ATTATTATATTCTACTTAAGAAAATACACCAACATAGAAATTAACTATAATATATACAATAGAGAACTATTAGTTATTATTATAACATTTTAACAATAGCAATACTATCTCTAAAGATTAAGATATAAAATAATTATAAAAAGTAACCATCATAATCTGAAATATTTCACAATCATCAAAAAATTGTCAAAAAAACAAATACAATAATATAAAGAGCTATTATAATATATCTATAAAATTAAACATATACTAAAAAAGCAAAACACTGCTATAGATATATTAAACAAACAATCAGACTATATAATTAACATCAAAACACTAAAAACAAATATCTTATAACAGAAATCCAACATATTATAACACAATCATAAAACAGTATTAGCAGTTATTATCAGAATTAAAAAATCAGAATTTATAAATAAACTAAGGAACAAAACAGTCAAAGATAAATAAATTCAATAAAAACTATAAGACAAAATAACTATATTATAAAATAGACTCATAATATAGAACAATATAATCAAAATACCATAAAAAATGATTATAGAAGTCATTATAAAGCATCATAATCTATCCAGCTAAAAACATCAAGGAATTAACAAAACAATTAAAATAATAAATCAATCATACTACTTCCTATTTCTTAGAAAAAAAGTTGAAAAATACATTTAACAATATAAAGAATATAATCAAAACAAACCATCAACACATAAACCCTACAGAAAAATAATAATACTAAAAATATCAATAGAAATATAGTAAAGCATTACCATCAATTTTATCCAAAGACTACCATTATCCAGAGAATCAATATATAAAATAATCTATACCAACACTATAATAATTATCAATAGATTAACCAAATATATTATCCTACAACCAATATTAACACATATAACTATAGAATAATATACACATTTTATACTAATAAAAATATTTTTATAAATAGATCTACCAAACAAAATCATTACAAACCACAATAAATTATTTATAATAAAATACTAATAAACAATTACAAAAGCATATAGAATAAAGTATAAACTGTCAACAATAAATCATTAACAAACTAATAGCCAGTCTAAAAAAATAATTCAATTAATTAAACAGTACTTACAGAACTATATAGACTAAAAACAAAATAATTAGATACAAGCACTACTAATAACACAGTTCATAATAAACAATATAATAAATATAACCACAAAACAAATACCATATTTTATAAATTTTAGAAGATTTCCTAGAATAACATAATCTAATATATTAAGAGAAGGACTATCAAAAATTACAATAATATAAGCCAAGAATCTTTAAGCACTCCACCAAACAATTTTATAAAATATTAAATAAATAGAGTAAAAGATAAAAACCTACTATAATAAAAAGCATAAAGATGTATTAATCCTTAAAAAAAAAAGAAAATTTATCTTTTATAACAAACTATAAAATAAAAAAATTTTAATATTCTAAATAAAAGACTAAGTAACAAACTTAATATAATTAAATATAGATCTTTTAAAATTAAGAAAAAGCTTACTAACAATAATTATAAATTCTAATTATTAGTAAAAATAAAAATATACTCCATATTTTATATCTTATTATTAAAATCTATAGAAAATTTAAAAAATAATAAAAATAAAGCCAGTAATAATAAATTTAAAGTTGACTTCATTATAAGAAAAAAATTAAAAAAAAAAGAATCTTTTACTTAGTTAGATAGATAGAGTATAAATCTAAATATAACTTATAAAAACTAATCAATTATTTAAATTATCTAGAAAAGATCTGAGCCTTTCATTATTAAAAAAATCAAAAAGGACAGAATCAAGCAAAATAATTTAATTAAAAAGATTATTTCTAACTAAATTAAAATAGCTCTAAAAAGCAATAATAGCTACTTCACTAACTTATTATTTAGTTATCTTCCTTTTCTCTTCTTCTTATCATTTCTTTTTTTCTTTCTCCAATCTCTCTAGCTCGGCGATATCTTTAATATCCCTTACTATAAAATTACCAACACACTTTTGAAGAAGCTTATCTTATTTTTATAATTGATTAATTTTTATAAATAAATGTTTAACCTCCTTATAAGCCTCTTCCTCCTAAAAATAAATTTAATTTTAGACAGCTACAAACCGCCGCCACTTACTATCAGAAAAAGTCGAAAACAACTCTATATATTTTTAATTTAAACACGCACACTCATCATAATAAAAAGAATCAAAACACTTAATATAAAACTTATTAAACTAAGAATAATAAACACAAAGAATAATTATCTCAAACCTTTCTTCAGTAATATGATAAGCCAGTTTATTTTTTTAAATACCTAAATTTTTAAACAATATGATTAGATTATTATTATAAGCATAGAGAATTATGAAATAAAAACACTTATTTAAAAATATAAATATAGATCATTATTTATTATATTATCAGAATACTAGCCTTTAAAGGAGAGAATTATTATAAAAATTGATAAACCACAATTAATAAATATTATAGTAGATACTATTATATAAACAGCTAATAAGAAAGTATATAGATACTATATATATAGATAATATATATAAAAAATAGATACTAAATAGAGACTGCTTAAAGAATAATAATAAATAAAATTATTATTAAATATAATTTTATATTATAAAAATAATACTAAAAATAATTATACTTTTCTTTAACTATAACTATTAACATAATAATACAAATATTATAAATTAATATCTTATTCTAATATATACTAGCTATATAATCTAACAAAATAAATACTTCTAAATATAGAAATAAACAACTCTAAGAATAGAAATAAATAATTCAAAATATTAAAATAGATACTTTAATATCTCTTAATATATATAAACACTCATTTATTATTATATATTTAATTAATTGTATTTTATATTTATACTTAAATAATATATTACTATTAGTATCATAATAACTTACTTACTATTCTTATCCTATGATAAAATAACTCTCTTGAATTGCTTATAACTTCTTTACTACGTTAGCAGAATACCCTGAGTGACTCTCTCCGATCTCAGACGAATCGTTGCAGTACGTTTTGACACCGAGTTGGCCACTTCCGCCCGAAAACGCGTTCCATATTGATTTGAAAGCTCAATTTCTAGCCCACATAATAATTACATACAAAAAATTAATTATTAGTACAATTAGAGCATTGAGATCTTCTATACCTAAGAATACCACACTCACTACACTGAAATTAGCAGTGTACGCGCATCTGAAAGACTGGAAGCTCAGGCTTGACCAGAACAATAATAGTACTTTAAAATACCTCAATCTGACTTTAGATAAGTACCTGAGCTTCCTCTTTAATAAAGCTTTATTCATAAAATATCTACTTTTTAAACTATTAATGTTTTTGCTTCTCTTTCTCATATGTAGTCTATAAATTATGAGCTTCTTTTCATATAATTAGAAGCTCATTTATACTTATTTTATAAATCTTAGATATCTAATCAATTACTTAATTAATAGCTTCTAATAAACTTGATTTACGCTGACTAATTCACTTTTTAATTATATTTAATTAACGCTTGAATTAACAAGGATTTTAAGATGTTTATAAGCAAGATGATTATAAATTACTTAATCAACTTAGAAAAAAAATTAAAATCTTTAATTAGATAATAAGCTATTAATAGACTTAATCTAGATTAAATAATATTAATTTAGTTACTATAAAGCTATTCTAAATAGTCTTAACTTTATATACTATTATATATATTTTTAAAAAAGCAATAAGAAAGTCAATTTTATTAATATAATTAAATCCAAATCTTATCCATTGTTTAATAAGCTATCTATATTACTATTTTAAAACAGCAAAACAGCTGATATCAAGAGATTACAAAAGATAAAAGAAATATGGAGACATATAGATTAGAATAATATTATTCTTAGTATATATATAATCAAATTCAGCAGTTAAATGACTTCTATAATCATTAAGAATAAGCATTCGATATCTTTTTATTACATAGCTATTCATATGTAGAATAAAATAATTAATAAGTTAATCTATATTAAGCTTATTTATTATTTATTTATTATTACTAATATTAATTCTCTAATTATCTGGAAGAGTTTCAAATCAGGCTTCTTATAAGTATTTTATTATCTTAAAAATCATATATAAAAGTAGAACTTATCCAGTAGAATTAACTGTTTCAATTGTAATCACTTATTTTTGATTACTAGGCTATAATAGATATGATCTGCTATATCAATCATTTCCAATTATGACTTTTACAGTAGTATAGAGCCTCATAGTAAAGCTAGTCTTATCAAAGTTATAAATATCTTTCTATAAGATGCTATATTCTAATATAATCTCTTATATATGGTTAAAATACTCTTAGATTATCTTTCAATCTTCACATTTAGTATGTTCATAGTTATATCTTTATAAAAATTATAATTTAATCTTTAAACAACGTCAAATTAAATTATATATCTAATTCTTTCCAATCTATTAATTTCTATGTTGTAAGAAAAGATAATTAGTCATTTCTTATATAAGAGATGGCTGAAGAAGTAATCCATATTTATCTAAATCTAAAATCTATTTTATAAACGATTTCTCTTTAAATTCTATCAATATATGTCTATTAACACATATTTCAGCTCGATATACTATGCCCTTTAATCTGTTTTAAAGAGTTAAATAGATTACATTATAAACCTATACAGCTTAATATATAAAGCGAATTCTACCATTTTTTAAGTTAAATAATGCTAATTGAATTTTTCTTTCTTATTCCTAAGAATTTGACTGGTTTTTATTGCGAATTAATGGCATATTAACGCGTTGAATTTTTAAAAATAATATAGAACGCGTTTTCGGGCGGAAGTGGCCAACTCGGGTGGGTGGCCAACTCGGGTGTGGATTACGTTAACCCGCTCAATGCGGGGCTTATATAATATGTTACTAGTTTCGTCTTAAGACTGAGCAGTTGAACTTCAAAAACAGGCAGTAGAGCAAGACTCAAAAGTTTCTTTTCTTATTTTGCAGCCCTTCAACGCTTCTTGATCTACACAACCAGGTATATACGCTATAGTAATTTCATTTCAGCACTATCCTTTACTAAGCATGATTTTAGCACGTCACAAATTCTTAGCACAAGTCAAACGGCTTCCTTACAATTATTTGGCGTCATTAAATAAATCCTTCCATTTAGCCCTCAGGTCCTACCGTCCATCCTTTACGCCCTATGTCAAAAATGAGCAGGCTTTCTGGCTCCCGCGCTAAACCAAAGTGGGAAATGGTTTCGTCCGCACTATCCGGTCAGCGAAACCACCTCTGCTAAAGTACTGCTCGTAGAGCGATGGTAAAAGAGGTACACCTTGCTCGACAGCATTCAACGGAATTTTGATTTGCTCGACATGACAACGACAGAAAGAATCGATCATCTCGACAGCAGATTAGGGCCTGACCCTAAAACAACGCCTACATCATACTGTGTCTTTCTCACTGGTGTAACTGGATTCGTCGGCGGCACTATCCTCTCTTGTCTCTCCAAGGCACATCCTAATGTTCGCGTCAAAGCTTTGATCCGTCAGGAAGGGGATGCCAAAGAACTTCAATCGGTCTATTCAAATCTCACTCCCATCATCGGCGATCTCTCTACGCTTTCTCTCCTCACATCCACAGCAGCGGAGGCCGACTTCGTCATCCACATGGGAGGTGACAATGTCCCCGCCGTGTGCGCGATGATAGATGGGTTGGCATCCCGCACGACCACTGGATCGCCCCTGCCACGTCTCATCAGCCTAACCGGCCCGCGCAGTCTTATCGACCTCTCGAACCCCATAACTGGGAATCTCAGGGCGAGCAGCCGTCCCTGGAGCGATGTCGTCGACGGGCATGCAATACTGGCCCTTCCTAAGGATCGGATGCACGCGGGCGCGGATCAAACGATCATCGCTCACAGTGTTGCCAAAGGGGTGGGCACAATACTAGTCTCGCCCGGTCAACTGTGGGGTAGGGGTAAGGGCCATCTGAAGAAGGAGAGCAATGCAGCGTTTTATTATAAAACGGTCAAGAGCCGTGGTCGAGCCTTTGTCATCGGCGATGGTACCGCAACATGGTCGTGGACTTCCATTGGTGATTTGGGTGATGCGGTCGTGTTCCTGATGGAACAGGCACTAATGAGTGGGAGCGAAAGACGCGGACAAGTGGGAGTCAATCAAGACGGCTACTACTTTGTGCGCACTGGAGACTTGAGTATGATGGAAAGGGCGAAAGCTGTCAGTGAGCGCTTAGGTCTCGGAGTAGTAGAAAGCATCCCGGTCGGGGCCGCAAAAGAAATTCATCCGTTTGGCCCTATCATGTGGGGTTGTGGTGAAAGAACGAGAGCTGACAAGCTGGCTAAGTTGGGTTGGAGGCCGAAAGACGCTGATTGGAGGGTTTTGATGGAAGAAGAAGGGGGAGAGAGGGCATAAGGGTAGTAGCAAGACGAGAATAGTAGTATCTCTAATTTACCGTCTAAGTGGGTAGTAGAGTGTTTGTGGTATCCGGTGCTCCTTACTACGCCTGGGCTAAGATAGACAAAGCGAGCACATAGACTTATAGGTCTGTGCAATAACAAATTCAAGATGCGTACGAATAACCAGAAGGCGATTCTGCACGCTGCTGTATCTCTGCGTGTACTTTCCCATGTGACCTTAACAAAGAGATAGGGACAAAGATCTAAAACAGCTCTATCTCGTTCTAGATGCATTCTCCTTTAAGCCTAACGATACGAGTCACATACCAGAAAAACGATGTCATCAGCTTCTAGCAGAGATTCTGAGAGCCAAAAAACCGAAAGTGGTTATCCAATGCTACAGGGACGAATACAGAGATCCCTAGATGAAGCAATTCGAGCTTCCTGGCAAAGAGTACAAATTCGTACGAACAGAGCTACAAACTGGCGGAAGCCACAGGACCATATTACTACAATCTTTTTATCCATCATTGGCAGTTAACAATACTGCTTGTAGATTTGAATATTTATTTCCTCTTGAATTACCACTTTATTGCAGCATTTACCGAGCTAAGTTGAGTATTGCAGCTACATGAGGATGCAGAGGAAATTCGTCATTTGTGCACGCGGAAAGGGTACCTTCTTTCTCTATATAAGTAGCAATACTTTCACTGATTACTCTTTTAGCAAGAGGGAAGGTTGGAAGCTCTTAATCTGGGATGCATCAATCCATCTGACAAAGGCATTGGAGCGGTGATATGGTGGTTTACAAGGAGGATATCCTGTGATGTGTGCATATGAGCCAGAGCATAAACTACTTTGAAGGAAAGCTAAAATATTCTTGGTGATGTACGATTGGCTAGAATATCTGGTTGGGCAATCTTACACATTTGGCGCCCTTGGCATAGTAGAAGTTGTTTTGTTTCTATGGAAGGAGCATTTTGAAACAAATCTACTCTATGAATAAGTTATAACGCTACTACTCTTTAGGGGCAGCGAACAGTAGAGTTGGTTTTCAATAATGGACTAAAAACTTCCAATTGAAGAAGAGCTCTCCTAACTTCCTATCGATAGTTGTAAATTTCTTGGTTGTATGATCTTAGCACTTAACTCACCAAAGATGTTTGAAGTCAATAAAAAAGTGATCGAATATGTTTCCAGTACTTTTTTTAATGCTGGGGGATGAATGAGAGGTAGAAATATACAGTTTAGCAGTATATGATAAGATTGCTGTCATAATTGACATGTAGAACTTACTTGTTGATGAGTATATCTGTACATCTGTGCTTACTCAACTTTCTTGTGTTCTGAAGATTCAAAGACTGGCTACTCAATGTATAATGCTGAGTAAGATTATTAAATGTGAGAAGTACTGTTTAGATAAGTTAAAAGAACAAAAGTATGAAGACTTAATCCTTCGGTGTGTCTCTTTCTAACAACTAATTTCTATGTAACTTCGATTATTGTTTGAATTTGGAATAGATTTCTTGATCCTCAAAGTAATATGCTTCTATTGTAGATAAAAGAGACGAAGTAGCCAGCTTCTAGACAGAATTATATTGTATTGAGGTAGTTATATTGTCTTTTTTCAATACTTGTCAATAATTGGTAGGTGATTCAATGCTTTATGGTGTTAAGAATATGATGTTAGACCTTCTTAAAAAAAATTGTGCCTGGAAGTCTTAGGAATAATTCTTTGCAGCTTTAGCCATAGCTGACTGTTTCAGCTTGAGGCATTAATTATACGGTATAATAGATGGTAATTAATCACTAAATCCTGAAGCTAAAATATGTGGTGTTTATGTCTTTCTTCTTAAACTAGAGTAACTCCCGGACTTCAATAATTTGTTTCTGAATGTCTTTAAAATTTAGTATTATATTTTATTATTATAGAAGCTTCTTCCAAATGTTCTGAAGTTTAAAGAGACCTTAATAGTCGTGATTAAGCAGGGGAGGACAGCTAAAGTGGCGATCAATAGTGTAGTTAAAACAATAAATAATATAATCAACTACAGTCTTTTTTTTATTACTAAGTGACTATTTTAGAGAGAAATAACTAAAAAAGCTACTATATAAATAACGAATTTATAGATTTGCTAAGGAAATATCTATGAATCCAAAATCATAAATCTGTCTCGTGACACAGTGCGTCTCGCTACGCAGGGACAGACGTTATTGTTTATATGCAAGAATGAAAAGCCACCGTATGTTGAACAGGTGGACAGCACGTGTAATACTAACAATGGCTGGTCTATCACTGAAACAGAAATGACAACAATGCCCCTCCCAGACTATGCAGGTTGAACTTTCCAACGCCTATAACCAAAAACCAAACCCTGAAAAGAAAAGAGAAAATAAATCATGAAAGTTAACATTAATAGGGTATCGTAGATCAGGTAGTGTCCTCAACGGGTCCGCATGTACAGAAGAGGTTCTGGTCACCGAAGGCTGTGATAATGTTAGCATCAAGACTTTGCAAAAAGAGGAATGAAGAGGTAACTAACCATCGTCAACTCGGGTCACCGTGGGCCAGAATTTCTTCTCCAACAGCCACGGCAGAGGATATGCGGCGTTCTCGCGGGTATAAGGTCGATCCCATTCATTAGACAGCAGATCTCGCTGGGTGTGAGGGGCGTTCTTCAAGACGTTTCCTTCACGTGGCTGTTCTCCATTCTCGATAGCAGCGATCTCATTGCGAATGGAGATCAGGGCATCGCAGAACCGATCAAGCTCGGCCTTGTCTTCTGACTCTGTGGGCTCGATCATGAGCGTGTTGGCTACTGGCCATGACATGGTGGGTGCGTGGAACCCGTAGTCCTGCAGGCGCTTGGCAATATCGATTGCTTCGACACCGGATGTTTCTTTGAATTTGCGGGCATCGAGAATGAATTCGTGGGCACAACGACCGTTATCATTGGTGTACAGAATCGGGTAATGGTCCTTGAGGCGGGAAAGAATGTAGTTGGCATTGAGAAGAGTGATCTTGGTGGAGTGTGTGAGGCCGGTGGAGCCCATCATGTTGATGTAGTTGAATGTGATGGGGAGAAGACTGGCGCTACCCCAGGGTGCGGCACTGATTGGGGGGGATGCAGACTCGGAACGCTTAGATTGTAAAGCTTGGCTGGAAGGGTGTGATGGGAGGAATGGACGCAAGTGTTCGGCAACACCGATGGGACCGACACCAGGGCCGCCTCCGCCGTGAGGAATACAGAAAGTTTTGTGCAGATTCAGATGGCAGACATCAGCGCCGATTTCTCCAGGTGAGCAGAGGCCAATCTGGGCGTTCATATTGGCGCCGTCCATGTACACCTGACCACCGTGTTGGTGGACAATCTCACAGACTTGCTTGACACCAGGCTCAAAGACACCAAAGGTACTTGGATAGGTAATCATGATCGCTGCCAATTCATCCTTGTGTTTCTCACACTTTGCCTTGAGGTCCTCGATATCCAGGTTTCCGGTCTTGGTGTCACACTTAATAGGCACAACTTTCATGCCGGCCATGGCTGCGCTGGCTGGGTTGGTTCCATGGGCTGAGACGGGAATCAAACAAATGTTCCGGTTTCCTCCTGAAACAGACTCTTGGTACTTTTTAATCACCCGCAGACCAGCAAATTCTCCCTGTGCACCGGAATTGGGCTGCACCGTGACTTCTGCCATACCAGTGATATCAGCCAGCTGTTGTTCTGTGTCACTGATAAGCTCGGTGTATCCCTCCACAGTATCAGCGGGCATGAATGGGTGGATCTGTGAGAATTCTGGCCAGGAAACAGGGATCATTTCGGATGTCGCGTTAAGCTTCATGGTGCAAGACCCAAGAGGGATCATGGAGTGAACCAACGACAAGTCTTTCGATTGTAGGTGGTAAATGTACCGCAGCATGCTAGTCTCTGAATGGTAGGTGTTGAAAACCGGGTGTGTTAGGTATGGAGAAGTGCGCTCCAGAGTTGCCGGGATGCTGACAGGCGAGATAGAATTGTTTATCGTCACTTCGCCTTTAGAAGATTGCGAAGCAAATACGTTGAGGATCGACTGAAGCTCGTCTTTTCCCACCGTCTCATCTAAAGACAGCGCAACCTTGTTTGATTCGACTCGTCGGAAGTATATTTTCGATGACTTAGCTGCTTCGAGAAGAGTATCCGCTGCTTTACTATCTGGCAGCTCAACAGTTACGGTATCAAACAAAACTCCTTCGTCGGAGGTATTGCTGCGCACGGGAACATTGAACCCCAACTCTTGTAAGTTTTCACGCAACAACGAGGCCATGGCCATGATGCGTTGAGCAATGACCTTGAGCCCCTTAGGGCCATGGTAGACAGCATACATGGCGCTCATATTAGCGAGGAGAGCCTGGGCTGTGCAAATATTGCTAGTTGCCTTTTCACGACGAATATGTTGCTCCCGAGTCTGAAGAGCCAATCGGAGAGCACGGTTTCCCAATCGATCTTTAGACACGCCTACTAGACGCCCGGGGATTTTGCGCTGATGCTTGGTTGTACAAGCAAAGAAAGCGGCGTGGGGACCACCGAATCCCATTGGCACGCCGAAGCGCTGGGCGCTTCCAAATGCAATATCCGCGCCAAATTCACCAGGGGCTTTGAGAACAGTCAAAGCTAAAAGGTCGGTAGCAACCGAGAATGTACCTCCCAGCTGATGGATGGTTTCTCCAAGTGCGCTGAAATCCAGAACACTGCCCTGTGTGTCGGGGTACTGAGCAAGGACGCCGATCAAATTTTCACCCTGCTCCTTGACAAGTTTGAAGTCGTCCGCGATGACATCACCAACGACCAAGTTAATACCGAATCCTTCGGCACGAGAGCGCATCACAGCAATGGTCTGCTCATGACAGAGGTTGGAAACGACAAATGACTTTCCGGGTCTCTTCTGTCTGGGGACCGGCAGAGTAGCCAGAGACATAGTCATGGCTTCAGCCGCCGCTGTGGCTTCATCGAGCACCGAGGCATTAGCCACAGGCAGACCAGTCAGATCTGCGGTCATCGTTTGAAAGTTAAGCAGAGATTCCAGACGGCCTTGGCTGATCTCTGCCTGATACGGGGTGTAACTCGTGTACCAGGCCGGGTTTTCTAGGATATTTCTGAGAATCACTGGTGGGACGATGGTGGGATAGTAGCCACCACCAATATACGACTTTCCCACTGTGCTGATCTGCTTCCGATACTCACCAAGAAGCTTCAGCATATCATTTTCACCCAGTCCACCATCGATAGGATCGCGATACAGCTGTGGGGCAGGCCGCGGAGGCGTCACCTCGAGATTCTTCTTGGAGAGAATATCTGCCGGAAGGACCTGCTTCACGAACTCATCCAAGGAAGCCACTGGCGGGTCGAGAGCAGCCAGCATGTCCCTGGCGGCATCTGGAGACGGGCCTATGTGCCGACGAGGGAAAGTGTCGAGCGGTTGAAACAAATCGCGGGGATTCGGGTCTCCATGGTCCTCAAGCGACGTTGTGTAGACTGCACGCCGGGACGAGGGCAGATTCTGGGGCACCGCCTGAAGGCAATGGCTGCGCGTAGAGAACGCAGAGGTCTGCTTTCGGTGCAGACCTGTGACTAATCGCGCTGGACGTGTAAAGTGGCGGCCTGCCGCGCGGGCAGCAGCCACAGATAGAGCCATGGGGATGGACGAGACGATCAGAGCTGATCGATCAGCTCAGCACCGCCTATACTTCGTCAGGGTGTGTAGGGATTGAGGGCATGGACGAATTGAAGTTGGACAGAGAAGAAAAAAAGAATCACTGGAGATTGTGGTGTAAAGAAGTAAATTGTTGTGCGACTGCTTTTCTCGTGCTGAGGCTTTGATAAGGGAAGCTTCCGCGGCAGGAGCATGCGTCGCAGTATCGTCCGGTAAATTACTGTATTTTATTGTGGAGTCAGCTGGGTTCTCGACGCAGTTTCCCTCGGTAAAGACTTCCACAGGCCAATCATAAACACTCTTTTATCAGGGATTATGTCATTCACCGCCCGGGTTGGTATTGGTAATACCGAAAATGGCACTGATAAGATAAGGCTTTCCGCGGGAAACGTCCAGGTACAGGCGGGAAAAAGGAAGATCTTGCTCTTCGGTCCCCGATTTCGCCAATCAAATCTTAATAACACGTGCTAGACTAGATTTCTTCAATAGATTTTGTGTCATTGAATATTATCATGTTGAAAATAAGGCCACCTAACCAGATTTGAATAAGCTCTAAACCCTCAGGAATTCCAATTACAATAATAATGTAACATGGCCAGCCTGGAAAGCTTTTCTGGGCTAAATCCAATAAGACCAGTAGGATAAAAAGTCTCTCAAATATAGTAAAATTTGATTATAATATATTATAATTCATTTTAAAATACTTCAATATAAAAAATATTTTTTTATAATATAATATATAGCTATGAACAAGGTCCAATTCAACCCTAGTAAGACCGAGGCCACCCTATTCACCCACCGGACAGCGGAATGCCTCGTAGCGCTGGGAGTATTTCTTCTTTGTTTGGAAGATCTAAGCGGCATGAGACTTGATCTCTTGGTGCTGAACAGCCTGTAATGTCAAACCCATTTACAAGAAATAGTCAGGGAATTATAATCCCCTACAACTCCCTCAGCGACCGTATCAATCTGCGTTGGCTGCAGCAGGCAATCTTGCAAGGGGTCTCGGACTTTTGCAATAAGTAAGCAATCTGGAACAGAAAGAATTTGAATATTAAGGCGGACCGGAGGCATTTGCATGAGTGGTGGTGCGAATAATCCGTGATGCGGAAGATAAAAGCATACAACCAACCATGTAGGGCATAATAGAGGTTGCTTCAACCTTACTGGCGGAAGACAAAAGCATAAGGTCTCTTGCTCCTGTCATACTCCCTAATCATCGCAGCTTGTTACTACTACAGACCGCCCTTTTCCTCCTCCATTCAATATCCCTTTTCTCACGGTTCCATACTGTTTGCCCTGAAACGACCCAAGGGAGTGAATGAGATAGAACCCTTCCCGCGAGCCCACCCACCACGTTCCACTGCAATGCTCACCCTGGGAAATCGCGCCAAGCCTCGCGCTAATTGGTCCTTTGCTGCGACCCTGTCGCGTGTTCTCACTCATGTGATTCTTTTTTTTCTAGACGTCTTTCTTTTCCGTATATTTGTCCAGCGTCTTTCACTACCAGATGCTTGAAGATAGAAGTTAATCTCTGCACTCTTTTTTGTTCCAATATTCAAAACATGCATAATTTTCTTATTGGATCATGTAGTTGATTTGTATAATCTGTATTATCCGTTCTATTTGTATGATTAAGTGTTGAACCTAGTAGAATATATGTTGAAAAGAAGTAAAAAGGTCAATAGTTCTGATTGGTCTGTATATATTAGTAATATACGCGTTTCCCGACATTCTGTTTCCTGGTTTCCCTTCCCATGTACATATACTTCTCTTTTCAACCCAACACTTTGCTAAATGGATTCTCCTATTAAAATATAGCCCGTTCTTATCTTAAATTACTTTAAATCTTCCGCCTCATGTTATCGCGACACTCCACATAACCCTACCATGCCAAAGTTGTCCTGACTAACAAGAACCAACTATGTAAATGTGATGTGGTATATATCCCACCTTATAATAATCTGGAAGGACTGGAGTCCACTACACAATCCCAGACAAAGAATGTGATATATTGTAAACTCGGTCGAACTGGCTGCTTGTCAGGTTCAGCATCCTTATTGGCTTGGCATTATAGTCTTCTCTTATCTGACACGTATTCCATAACACCACAACAACAGTTGCCTGTTCCTTCGCCCACCTTTTCTATGGTAAATATAATGGACAAAATTTCCATAAAGGCTCTCTCCGCACCACTGCCATAAAAGTTGATAATCCCACTCGTTCAGCACTGAAGTTGTAATGGTATGAAACTGTATCGGCAGAAGCCGCCGACCGATATTAGCATGGCATCAATGTCATGGGTGTTGAGGCTACCGTTTGTAATTATCCTGACGGTCTTATTTGCATACTCAATTCGAGGGCAGCGTGGAACCCAGAGTGGTTTACGACGGCTTTTAGAGAGCCTACAAACGTCAGCCTCACCAGCGGTGTTTTCATCTACAACAGACTGTACGAAATGGCTGCGACAAAACCCTGCAAGTATTGTTTATAACTATGGTGTGAATGACACCTTATCTGGCGCCGGCGCTCTTAGGGACTGCCTCCTACGAGATGAAGCAACACAAGCGAGACAGAAGATCCAAGAGATTCTGATAGCTCTTCCACTGTTTAGCCAGCCAGGCGCGGAGCAACAGCCCTTACAGGAGCTTCTTCAGATTCTGCCAAACTTGGAGTCCCTCAGGTGAGTCACAGAAGATCAAGGTGAATTGACAATTTCTATTTACACATCACTCTTTAGGTGTAATGGACATTATCACGCGTGCAGATCTCTTAATCGTCAGCTTTCCAAAAATAACAACAGTTGGTCTACATATTTTAGCTACGACATGGGAAACAAAGTAATTCCATTTATTGAATGCAGCTCTAACTCCCTAGTGTATGATGGTGGAGAGAGTGACGAGAGACTCGATCAGCTCTACCACGCTCTCGTCGCGTGTCCGAATATACAGTCACTAAGCCTTTCTCTCAGTCAAGGCAGCTGTATAATTGGGGACACACGCCGATCATTCAGCTGGAAAAAGGGTGACCGTTTTCCCGCCCTCGAGAATTTGACTTTATCTGGCTATGACTGGGATTTCAGGGTCAATAGTCGTGAACCATCAAACGCTGAGCATTGGAAAGCATCCATGGACTGGAGTAAACTGAAACGATTGGATTTCAGTCTCCCATCGAATTCATTTCTTGAAACCTTCCGCGATGAACTAGGCGGTCTTGAGTCCCTTGTCCTACGCCATAGATTGGGATTTTGGGGTGACGAAGAGACGTTGTGTGCCTTTGATGCAACTGCCGAAGAACTGCGACAAAATTATACCTCCTTTATTGCCGCACTCCTGCCGTTGCACGAACTGAGCATCAGTGGCGTCGGTCAACCGCTCAACATGACACCCATCTTGGAGACCCACGGCGCTAGTCTAGAAAAACTAAATATTCACGAGTTTGAACATGACTGCAGATATGCAACTGGAAACGCTACCTGGGTACGACCAGTTCTGGGTGTATCAGAGGTAGAGGAAATCATTGTCTCGGCTCCAAATCTCAAAGAGCTTACACTGGATGTATACCGAAGCTCCAATAAATGGCCGAATTCTATGCTCAAGGCACTTTCCAAGTTTCCTCATCTTGCCCGACTCACTATATACTTTGACCTAGAGGACCCAGGCAGGACCAGATATGCAGAGCGATGTCTTGTGAACGAATGGGTTCATGGTCAATACTGCACCATTCACGAGCTTATGGAACCACAGCTGAATCACACAACAGCAAGCGAGATATTCCACACCATACGGCAATATCAGGCTGGCACCAAACTTCAAAACGTTACATTTTTTGCTGGTAACTTTGGGAGGCAAGAAGGAGGCGGCTTAAGAATTGACCCTCACTATGAGTGGAACAAGCCAGCAAGGTATGACTGTTGGATGGAAGAGGATATCATCAAATGTACAGGTCAACACGACATTGATTTGGATGACGAGGACTTTCTTCTCTAAAGTATTGATCATATTGACTATAATGATACTGTAATGTATCTAAACATATATGTTCACCATTCAATTAAATCCTGTTATATGGGTGGAGTGTGATACACGTACACTTGACGTTCATATTGTCTGAGCTCTGCGGCGTACCTCACTGGCCGACGTGGGAAAATGTTTCTGTTCAAGATTTCCTTTCCAAACAGCGCGATCTATATGCATATCTACACAATGAGACTCTTAATTGATTCAACACTGCAGAACAGGGCTAGAGATTGCAGAAGATTTTGTCTTGCCCCTATCGTTGAATAATACGTGAAGTGCACGCGGGTATTATGAATCAGTTAGTCACAATGTTAAAGCGATTTACAATCGCTACATGGTTTGGTACGATGGGACCCCAGCGTACCTATGGGAACACTCTCCTGTTCCCTCAGCTCTTCGCTATGTTAAATGTATGAGAGGGATAGAGAATGTGGTTGCATTAGGCAAGCAGTACAGCGATGACGGAGATCTGCGATTTGCGGCCACCCTGCTCAGTCATGCCGTCTTTGCTGACCAGAATAACGACAGTGCAAAGGAAGCCCTGCAATCGGTCCATCTTCAGCTGGGCTATGGAGCTAAAATGGAACATGACGCAACATTTACCTTACGGGGGCATACGAGCTGGATCATTCCAATCGGCCGTCGCGACTCTTCAAGAATGCCGCGACATTAATGGCGCTTTATTTGGAGCGGTTGTTTGACACGGTCGCCATTAGCGTTGATGGGCCTAAGGCATAAGGGGAGGCCTTTACTATTGATTTTATGGTCCCCGATATGGATGAGAGGTGGCATTTGAACATGAGCAATGGCGCATTGACTAGCCATGAGGTGAGCTACCAGAAACCGTCTGAGGGGACAGATTGGCTAGCGTTACTTACCATTTGGGCGACGCATGAAGAGCTGGTGCCGCTCATTTCTGGTGAACGCCGCCCAGACTTTGACTCGCCACGTCGGGAGATGCAACCATATAGAGTAAACTTATGTCACCACTGACCGTTTTCTGACCCTAAATTTGCAATTGTCAAGCCGCAGCCGGTCATAACGAATTAAATAGTGCCTTATTTTCTGCTCGAATCGGTGATGCTTGACTAGGTTGTTTTCTCTATTTTATGCCACGAAATTACTTATTAACGTGAATTGGGTGTAAGACCCGACCCCCCATATTCATTTTCGCATTATCTACCGGTGCAACCACCCAAGAAGTCTAAATTTAACCCAACACGACGTTGAATTCGGTGGAAATACAGAAAATGGTGATTGATGCCATACTCAAACCTTGTCATATAAGTGTACATCTTTTATCGTAGTCATCTTTCCTAAAGAACTACAAAGATTCAAGTTTTAATGCCTGCAACTCGCCCTTTCTTAGAGACGATTTCGCTTGCAATGAACACAGGCCCGCGATCTACGCTGCCGACGCTCGAGTATGAATAAGGTAGAAAATGGTTACACTCTTCACACATGTGTCGTTACAGTCACTTCCTTAACATTTGCATGCCAAGAAAATATGATGACAGAGTAGGTAGTTTTGTTGTGTTGTGACTAGGCCCAAAAACGGCATAGTCACTGTCTTTCAATCACAACTTTACAGTGTCTAGGCTGACTCAACTTCTTAGCCGGTGAAAATATCACTGCGCCAACATGTTCTAACCATATACACTCGACTGTAAGCACATCTTAGGCAGAAACAGAAAACTCTCCGCGCAGTAATTCCCAGCTCTCGCATTGTAGTTCTTGAACTTGGGTCGGACCAATCACAAAGAGCTTGTCGTCGTCGTCGTCGTCGTCGTGATTCAGCTGCAAGAGCCACGGTCTTGAAAACGCCAAAATCATGACGCCTACCCCTGAAGAAATTGTCAAAGAATATTATGACGACCCCGCCCTGGTAGTGCGCGTCGCGCATCGGGCCATCCCCAGTAAGATGGAGATAGTCGAACCCAATCCCGCCTGGCCGCAGACCTTCGCGACGCTCAAAGCCCTCATCGTCGAAGCCCTTGGCGCCACCGCCATCGTCGTCGAGCACACAGGGTCCACGAGCGTCCCCGGTCTGCCGGCCAAGGATGTCATCGACATCGACCTCATAGTGCCGGATCCTACGGACGAGGCCGCCTATGTTGCGCGCCTCGAGGCTGCGGGCTTCCACTTCCTCCTGCGCGAGCCTGCCTGGCACCAGCACCGCTTCTTCTGCCGCTACGAGCCCCTCGCCAACCTGCATGTCTTCGGCCCGGACGCTGTCGAGCCGGTCCGCCACAGGATCTTTCGCGACTGGCTGCGGAGCCATCCGGACGACAAGGAACTGTACGCCGAGATTAAGAGGGGGGCTATGAGGGAGTCGAGCCAGTCGGGCGAGGACATGATGCAATACACCGGGAGGAAGGACGCTGTCGTCCGCGGAATCCTGCAGAAGGCGTTTCGCAGCTTGGGGTACATTGATTGAGGCGAAGAGACCGTGTTGCGGAAAGACTACTATGCGCAGCATGAAATATCAGATAACGAAGGGTATCGTGATGAAGAGACGAATTCCAGACTGACTAGGTAATATTTAGCACATTTCGAACATATTCATACTGCAGGAAGAGTATAAAATTGAACTTTATTAGATTTGGACACTATTATCTTCTAAATAGCTAAAGAGAAAACAAAATTGAAGAGTGGAAAGAAGGAGAAAAGATAGACATACTCTTTTCTATAGGTATTTCCATATAGGGTTAATTGTTGACTTAATGAGCGCAATTTTATAGACAAACCAAGCATTATATAGAGTATACCAAGCCCATATAAGGGTTAGATTCGCACCTTTAATCTCTGCTTATATATGTAGTAGTGTCATGATCTAAGGGCTTTCTCCATGGTGAAACCGTTCTGAAGCAGTTCCTTTATGCTAGATAGATTCTTTGTGTACTTTAGGCTGCCTATTAGGGCTCTGCATCTAGATTATCTTAGAATGTAATACTCTAGATGTCCCTTAGATCGTTACAACTAGCAAATATAATATTGAATTGAAATCATTAAATATTCTTCTGTGATATTATACTAATTCAAAATCAAGATAAATATTTTAAATAGTATCTGATCATTGCTAGTATGTCTACACCATGGCCGCTGTACTTTGAGCCGTGTCTTTTTTTCATTTTTCCACTTATGCTACCATATAAAAGGTGATGAAATCTAAATTCTAGGGGCCTTTTGAATCTGATGTCATACTGCCAATTTTGGACCAACTTTGTACTCCTTTCTATATATTTGCCCAATCGCCGGCTGTCCTACTGTCTATAACAGTAAAAAGGTCGCACAAGAGATAGGACCCCCCTTACATATGTATACTGCGCTGCTCCTACTTTTCGAGTTTCTTTTATTTGTTTTGTATAGATCCCTGTCTTCAATCAATGCATTACTATATTAACAAATTTACATCAATCTGCATCCAATGAGTAGACGGCTCATCTGCCCCGCGCCATGGTGCACGTATGAAAGCATTAACCAGTTATGTTTCATCTTTTACCGCCGCTGCCGATATCTTTTGTATTGCTTTTTGATTAACAAGGCTGACCACAAATGGACTCAGCCTTGCAAAATTGACTCGTAGCCTTGACCCGAGTCGTTTTTTCTCGTCCTAATAAAGCTCTAATCAGATGGTATGTTTAATCTCTTGGTATTCTCCCGTTTATGGCGGATTAGACATGTAATATTCGACATATATAACACGATTGTAGAAGCTCGGCATATATTACTTGGATTTGTTCCCTGCCAGTTGAGGTTGAAACTCATGCATGAGAGCTGCACCTACACATACCCTACAATGCCACGTCACTTGTACATCAGGCTGGCTGCCGTGGAACTACCCGGCACTCGTGATGGTCGCTCTCGAGAATACTATGACGGGCTACAGAAGCCCTTGCGCCTGGCAGAATAAAAGTATCAGCCTGGATGCCGAGCTGTCATCTTGCTGTTCTCCCAGGCTGAGGCGTATCTCAAGCCTTGCCTGGTCACCCCCTGCTTGTGTTACAGCATCAGCCAATCTCTCTGATAAGTTCCTCAAAATTGTGTCGGTTCAAGATCATTATCAGGAGGCAATACTGCGCACGAATGCTTTGATCCACCATTCTGCTATGGCGCATGCAGATGCATCGCTGCTTCCTATGTCTTTAGCAGAGGCCCGTACTTTGTCTCGTTCTCTCTCTTGATTCGATGAGTTGCATGTGCTTCCTGCCACTGGTGGGTGGGTAATGGTAGCCTCTGGCACCGCCCCGCTGAAGCTTCCTATCAACGTCTCTCGAACATTCCCTCTTATTCCTGCCTGAGTTCCTCTTGTCAACAGGATTCTCACTGCTCTCATTCCACTCATCCCCTGAAGCTCGTTCATATTCCGCCCTTAAACTTCCACTCGAATTGCTCCATGGCGGATTTCAAGAGAGGACGCAGTGCTGCAAGAAGGGGAGGTGGGTATGGCCTGGGACGTGCAATGGTCAATCCGAGGTCAAATCGAGGGACCTGCTTTTATTTCAGAGATTATGGAACGTGTACGTGGCGGATATCCCATCCTATTCCACGATGGAGAATGCTAACCTATACTTAGGCAAGTACGGAAGCGCATGCACCTTTTCTCATGATAGAGTTTCCAGCAAATCTCAAGACTGTAGACCAGCGCAGCGCGATAGGAGAGCTGATGAATCCTTGGAGGAACAGCGCGCTAGGGTCAGCTATAATTCCTGGAGAAGACTCATTCGGAGGCTGCCTCAGACAGATGATCTTTATGCCATGCAAAATCTGTGGGATGGGGCTCTTGAAATATGTAATTCCGCCCTGGTGTATACTCGCACCTTATGTATTCATGGACTACGCTGATATCCACCACTTTTCTGCAGTGAACGGCGATGACCGGGATTGGAAGCAGACTCTTCCAAAAGATCTGAACAATGACGACGATTATTGCGGTCGGGATTACATCCAAGCTCTCTTGAGCAAACGAGCACAGGCCAGTCAGTATGATAGGTTTATCAAAACTTCGCGATCATTCCTCCTCGTCATGACGCATTCAGCCATGGTAGACTGCCTGTCGGTTGACACGTACGTTGGAAGCTTATACATCTTCATGTCGGGGGCAAATGGCACCCGAGCGATTCCATTTTTCCAACATATCTGCGAGATCATTGTGGCTACTCGTACAGAGACTGTTCGAGAAACTCCACTAGATAGGCTCGATTCGACTTTGGTTGTTCTCTCAGCTGCCCTCTCAGAATTACTCCGGCGCGAACCTCGAGCCAGATACAACGAGAACCTTTCCGATCTTATCAATTCTTTGGAGACTGCCGCTCAGTTGATGACTGAGGATGAGTCAACCGTTACGTCTAATATAATCATCAGTCGGGCTAGAGACCTTCGCGCCGTAGTTGATCGCGCATGCGGATTACTCTCCGAGGAGGCTGACAATGACCTCGACGCACCCTCGACTTCGGTCCTCCGCTCAACTTACCCCCGTGATATCGTCATGCCTGGAGACCGCCACGATAATGATAAAATCGACATTACGAAAATCAAAATATTTCCCACACGAGGGGAGATAATGAGTGATGTGAAAGAATTCTTACCTTCCACAGATCCGGATCAGCCACATTTCCTTACCAGCAAACTGGAGAGACACATCGACACTCACTTCCGCCTCCTTCGTCACGATACGTTCGGCAAGCTAAAAGACTCGCTTGGAGGTTTGATGAAAGATATCATCAATGACCCAAATAAACTCACGAACCCAAGGCCTGAATTCGGAGACACCCGCACTTATACCTACTCAAATCCGTTTGTGAGTTACCTGATGCTCAACAGCCGCGGAGGACTACAAGCTCGAATTTCCTTCCTTCAGCCTCATCCTGCCCGCAGAGGATCCACAGTGGACAGGCGCAAATGGTGGGAGGAATCAAGGCGCTTAGAAGAGGGTGCTCTCCTCTCTTTTATCTGGATACAGAATTCAACCGCTCAACACCTGTTTTTCACCGTCTCCGAGAGAAGCACAGAGACAAGAAATGATGATAGCTTGACCCACAGCAATAATACGGCAACTATCACAGTCAAGCTGATGACACATGATCAGGCCGCCGTCGAAGCCCTGCTTGACTTGAGTCGCCAGAAGATTCGTGGCATCCTACTCGAATTTCCTCATATCCTCCCAGCTACATTCATTCCTGTGCTGGAGAACTTGCAGAACATGCAACGCCTGAGTCGATTGCCGTTTCGCGAATGGATTCTGCCAGATCGCGTCGGCGGCCCGTCAGGGGCAAAGCTTGACGTTCCACCGCCACTATACGCTCGACACGCCGGGTTTGCCTTTCCTCTAAAGTCCATTCTCATTTCAGGTGCTAGCACTATGTCATTGTGTCCATCTTTCTCGGGTAACGACCACTTTTCTCTTGCTGAGTTGGAGGAGAAGACCGAGCTCGATCGTGGGCAATGTGTGGCTTTGGTCGCAGCGCTTACTCGTGAATTCGCCTTCATTCAAGGCCCCCCAGGCACGGGGAAGTCATACCTTGGAGTTAAGCTGATGAAGGTTCTCCTAGATGTAAAGACGAGTGCAAATCTTGGTCCAATTGTTGTTGTGTAAGTGCCATGTCTCATCTGTGTATCGATGCCTACTTTTACTAGCTTTCACTGCCTGGTTCTTTCTTGTATTCACCACATATCGAGCTCCAGAGTAACCGGGCAATGTTACCTGAGTTAGAAGGATTTCTGCCTACATATCATAGGGGTTCCATGGCTTCGGCCCACAATGCCTATCTATAGGTTCTCCACTGGAACTGGAAGGGCAGGCACTGCATTTGACTATCAATTCCATGTATATTTTCTACACTTGAAGATGCTTCTCACCCGTCTAGCCCCAGCATTTATCGCTTTCTAGAATATTATCGGTTGGGCAATCAGCATAATGACATGTAGTTTGCTGACATTTGCAGGTGCTACACGAATCATGCGTTGGACCAATTTCTAGAGCACCTTATCAATACGGGTATCCGGAAGATCATTCGTGTTGGCGGTCAAAGTCGCTCCGACTTGCTTGAGAACCACAATCTCCGGATCATCGCGCAGTCCGAAGCAAAGAGCAAACACGAAAGTTGGCAGGCTGCCACAGGCTATCAGAAATTAAACGGGTATGAGGAAAAGTCAAAACGTATCCTAGGTCGACTACATGGCAAACCAAAACGGATCGAGTGGAAGTATTTTGAGCGTCACATTGCCGGACATTACGATCGCATAAACGCTCAATTCAAGACGGTCGATGAAGATGGATTCACAATTTTTGGTCGGCATCCCTTTGATATTTGGGCTGATGTGCCCTCTGTTGCAGAGCCCGGAACAGCTTTCACGACGTTAGACATGGCCAGCATCATCCAAAAGGCAGGAACAAATGTCCAATCTCTTGCATACAACGAGAGGGGAATGCTTATTAAACTTTGGACCGAAGAAATTCGGCGGGACGCAGCAGAAGAATTCTTTGAAATAATCAAAGATGCTGAAGCCACCCAACGTCATCTTACGAATGTCCACGAGGAGATCAACCGACGGGTTCTACAAGGTGCGGACGTCATCGGCCTCACAACAAGCGGCCTTGCTAAGAATATATCGACCTTGCAACGTGTGCGGTCCAAGGTTGTCATTTGCGAGGAAGCTGGTGAAGTGATGGAGCCACACATTATATCCGCACTGCTGCCCACAGTGGAACATTTCGTTCAGATCGGCGATCATCAACAACTACGTCCGTCCATCAACAATTTCCATGACCTGTCCCTTGAAAGCGATCAGGGGGTCTTGTATCAGCTTGATCGGAGCCAATTCGAACGACTCTCGGTTGGCGAGCGCGGAAGACCCTCGATGCCTGTTGCTCAACTGAATGTTCAGAGACGAATGCGCCCTGATGTTTCTACCCTGATTCGGGAGACGATATACGACAAGTTGATCGATCATCCAAGTACGGCGCAACTCCCCGATGTGGTCGGCATGCGCAAGAACGTATTTTGGCTCGACCATGACAACATGGAGGACGAAAAGTTGGCAGAAATACAGCATAAAAAATCTAAGTCCAACGACTGGGAAGTCGACATGGTGCATGCACTAGTTCGCCATATGGTCCGCCAAGGAGTCTATACCAGCAGTGATATCGCGGTATTGACACCGTACACTGGCCAGCTACAGAAACTACGCACAGCAATGCGCAATGACTTCGAGATTATCCTCAGCGATCGGGATGAAGACGCCTTGATTAAGGATGGGTTTACTGCTCAAGATTCCTCCGAGAACGAAACTGCTGCGGAACAGCACAACAAGAGAAAGCCTCTAGAGAAAAAGAAGTTGAGTGACCTTCTCCGCGTAGCCACTGTCGATAATTTCCAGGGTGAAGAAGCCAAGATCATTATTGTCTCTTTAGTTCGAAGCAACAAAAACCAGAAAGTCGGATTTCTCAAGACCACAAATCGCATCAACGTTCTCTTGAGCCGTGCCCAGCATGGAATGTACCTCATTGGCAACACTGATACTTACTCGAACATACCAATGTGGCAAAAAGTTATTAATATGCTACGTGCCAAGAACTCTGTCGGCCCCTCTTTGGACCTCTGCTGCCCTCGACACATGGCCACTGCGATTCAGGTCCAACAGCCAGACGACTTTGCTAAGCTTAGTCCTGAAGGTGGTTGTCGCGAAGCCTGTATGGACCGTCTCCCAGATTGCGGACACCGATGTCAGGCGAGGTGTCATTCCAAAGCTATGCATGAAGTTTTCAGTTGTGAACAGCCCTGCCAACGCCGATATAAGCCTTGCGATCATCCTTGCCAAAAGAAAACCTGTGGCGAGGATTGCGGGAGATGCACGGTCGCGTTAGAGAATATACAGCTCCCATGTGGCCATTTCAAAGAGCGTGTTTTTTGCTACCTGGCACAAAATCTAAACGCCATCCAATGCAACGTTGTCGTCAGTAAGACCGTCCCTAGATGTGGCCACATAGTCCAGGTGCAGTGCTCTCAGGAGGTGAACGAGGAAAAATACCTCTGCCCGGATCCTTGTGGGACGATTCTGACCTGTGGCCATCCTTGTCCGGGTTCATGTGGTCGTTGCAACATCAAAGACAGTCTTATCGCGGAGCACTCCAAATGCGACAGAATATGTGGCAGGCGCTTTGGAACGTGCAATCACACTTGTCCCAAAACCTGCCATGATGGGTCAGATTGTGGTCTATGTATGTCTAGGTGCGAGGTAAGTACTATGAACTCCTCTATCGATCCTTCTTCTTGACACTGTACAGGTAGCATGCAAACATTCTCGCTGCACTCTTCGGTGCCACGAAGCATGCGCACCATGTATTGAGCGATGTACATGGTCCTGTCCACACCAGGGAGAGTGCACAATGCCCTGTTCGGCGCCATGTAACCGTTTTCCATGTAATAAGCGCTGCAGTAGGCAGCTTCTTTGCGGTCACCAGTGCCCTGGTATTTGTGGAGAAGACTGTCTTCCAGAGTATTGCAAGGAATGTCGAATGCAGCTCGATGCTCAAGTTGACATGTTGCTGTTCATGCAGTATGGGGAGATTAATCTAGATGAGACCCCGGTGATTGCTCTCGCTTGTGGGCATTTCTTCACCGCCGAAACCTTGGACGGTACGTAAGGCTAGGGTTTGCCAGCCCATATCCTCATCCACGTTTCGTTGTTTGAAGAACCGCTTGAATAGCGTTCTGTAGGATGTCTTCTATCCTTACCTATTCTACTCCATAGACCCTGCTGACTTGGCACCTTGACACTTAGGTATGATTGGGTTAAAGGAAGTATACAAGATCGACCCTGAAACTAGCAACGTCCTCGGTCTAGAAGACATTTCTTCCACAATGGCTCTAGCAATTCCAAAATGTCCACACTGTCAACGCCCCATACGACAATATGCAACACAAAGGTATAATCGGCTCATTAATCGCGCCGTTATCGACGAGATGTCAAAGCGATTCATTGTCACGGGACAAACAGACTTGCAAGAAATGGAGAGTAAACTAACCAAAATTGAGACTGAATTAGAAGACACTCGTTCAGATGTCACAGGTGCCAGTATAGGTTACATTTCGCCAAATGCGCACGATCGGGCCATCAGAAATGTCTCACAAAAGCTTCAGATTCGGTATAGGACATCCGCACAACTTCGGGCAGCTGTTAGTCAACTCCAGCGACGCGTGGCTGAACGCCACCAACCTGCGCACAAACTTCATGAAGCTACAGTCCATGCTATGCAGCGGGATTTACCTCTTGAAAGCGCACTGGGTGCCCTCAAGCTTAAGGATATCACGCCGACTGGCGAACGCGATCACCGCATCACACTTGGGGCAAAGATGATAGAGATTAAGATTGACTGTATTACTATGGAAGACAAGTTCCGTGTGCTTTCAGCTGCGAAGGCCAAATATGGGGATTCAGCTACTTCTCTAACGTTCTCCGGAAACTCTCCTTTGATGCTGATCAAGGGCTTCTTCCAGTCCTGCGAGGATCTCATCAACAAATGCAGCGAGAAGGCCTTGCCGAAACTTGCAGTCGAAGCATCACTCTACTACGCGCGCATTGTTCGGCTGTTCGAGACCTCTGGACTTTCTGACCCCAAGGACCGCGAGATGGCTATCAAACACCATGAGAGCGCTAAGACCCTGCTTGAAGGAGCAGAGAAATTATGCGAGCAAGGGTTCCAGGCTGCAGACACTCTGTTGCAGGCAGTCAGAGAGTCTCTCAAATCCCTGCAGAAGGATTGGTACGAAGAAGTCACAGTCGAGGAGGTCGAGGCGATCAAGAAAGCAATGGTTAGTGGGCCGAGAGGAATTGCCACCCACTCAGGTCACTGGTACAATTGTGCCAATGGACATCCGGTACGTTTGGCCCCTTGCTCCTTGTGGCATAAATCAGAAATACACTAATTACAAATTGATAGTTTGCCATCGGAGAATGTGGTATGCCCATGGAGCTTGCACGTTGCCCGGAGTGTGGGGCAAGGATTGGTGGACAGCACCATGAAGCTGTGCAGGGTGTGACCCGTGCGGAGAATATGGAGCATTAGGTGACTATACATATAGGTACACTAGATACAGGGTTCGTTCCGGTCTAGATAGATTTGGTATATGAGATGACGTGTTGTCTTAGTTCCTTGCGTTCTATTGGTTATAATGTATTTTCATTTTTCAACCTACGCTTGTGACGCACACGCGAGGCTGAGCCTAGAGGGGCCAGCAGGTAATTTCGTCCACTTACATAAGTAATTAGCGACAGGGCTGGGAGTTCGTGCTAAGTACTGCAGGATAGGAATTGCCACCCTCGTTTCAACTAACCCTAGAACATGATAATCTAATGCAACAGTACAGTGGCATTGAAGTAATTTTAATGAAGCACTAAGGACTAGTGCTTATCCAAACCCATAATAATTTATTACTCGGCCTAAATGATCATACTATAATCAAAATAATTGTAATCTAACCTTTATAGTAAGATATTTTTCCGTTTTGTTGGCGCTAAGGCGTGCATTTTTAGCGCTTCATTAAAACTACTTCAGTGGCACTGTAAGTCTCTCGGAGGTAATGGCTTGTGGGGATGCCCGAAACCCTGAACGCTACTCATTTATGGATGGTGAAATTAAACAGTTGAGGTCTGCAAAAACTGGGTGATGAAACACATCCAACCGATCTTTATTTCATTAGACTAGCATCAATTTGACCTAGCCAGACGCTTCTCGAAATTTGGATGAAAAGGTGAACTGTCACAGAAAATTCAGTGTGTACGTTGTAGAAAGAAAAAGAACACGATGCTTAGCAGGAACGAAGAGTGATCTACAAATATAGCTTAGCGTATCACCACAGTTGTGACATGTCGGCCAGAATAAGTGCCAAATCAATCATTACCGTCACTAATGAGGGGTCCCTTTTTGGTGTAGTGGTTTTTCAGCCAACATAACACCACCGTTCCAAGGCGAACCGATGACGTCGACCGGTGTGGTAGGTAGACGTCTTAATATGCGAATTTACATTTTAATTGGTCATCAGTGATTAGATGACAGAATTTCTCAATGTAACATACTCCTCAGTGGATTGCGGCGCTGTTGATCGTAACTTTGGGCGTTGCAAATCTGAGCCCCAAACGGCTTAGTGCTGACCATTCTGACACACGGAAAACACATCCGAAAATCTTAAATCGTAGATATCAAAATGCCAAACTGTAAATGCTAAACTGTAGATGCTAAACTGTAAACCTTAAATATTGTATCATAAACCTTAACATAGTACAAAATGTAACGAAAAAAGTGGGGGCTTGGGTTCTGCCACTATGTTGACTGGCCAAAAAGGCACCAACCTTGAAATATCGCAAATCCTAAAACGTCGTCCTGCAGCACTAGAAAACGCCACTCTCTTTCGCGCGTATATCACCAGTCCACCATGCAATCACCAGACTATCTCCGGGTATAGGCTGTTGGCCTCTGAGCGCTACAAAGTACAACTCGCTTATCAGCCGCAGCTTTGCGAGCCCAGCCACAGGGCCGCACAGTCCCTAGGTCCCCACACAAAGTACTTAGTCTTGCATCTGCCTTGGCAAACAGCAAAGGAAAGTAGTTAATTTACCCGACAGTTATCGCTCCGTCCAGATTCGCCATTTGGATTGCTTACCATTCCACCGCGCTATCTGGGCCACCAGAGTGTGCTTCGAATGTCCACAATATAGTAAAACCTAAGATTAAGAAATCAATTTTGCACAGGATTTCATTCCATAATCTGCGTATATCCCCTGACATACAGTCCTTAAGTAATCAATATTGGCCAATAATATTACCGATCCTTATATAAAGGAAGTTTGTACGGCAGACCATTTTTTAAAATACCCGATATAGCCGGGTATTTCCTCATTTCTAGATATATTACTGGATAATATTGATCCACTTTGACCCATTTAGCACGTTCCTTGAGTCGAGGCGGTTTTAGTGTACATGTGGCGGATGGAGACACTGTCCAACGTTGGTGATCGCTTATTCTCGAACTCATAAACGTGATCTCTGGTTTCTCGATTCCGAGTATCCGAACTGCCGAGATTGGTAGTTGCTGTGTGGGTCCCTAGCCTAGGGCCCTCATATCGCAGAGATACGTAGCCATATACCGAAATGACAGCTAAAATAGCGCCTCACAAGGCCCTAATGCACCCAACAGATTTATCTGCGAGTTTATTTGCTGAACAATATCAAGACTAAGCAAGCCAAAAGTGGGTAAAGCAGAACCCGGCATCGAGCAGCTATAAATACAATCGACCTTTATGATGCCTATTGGATGAGAATGCATCGGTTGTAAAACTACTGCACCAAAATGGGTCACCCTCAAGGATAGCGGTAACTAATTTGGCTCTTATTTAGGCTGACAGAATGGTTATTTTCGATTTATTGATAAGAAAATAGAAACGAGGGAATCCAAAACACAAAACGAAAAAATATAGAACCAGAGAACGCAAAAAGAGAAAACGAGAAAGCATTTTGTTAAAGTACAATATTAACTCCATTACTTGATTTGAAATGGCTGCCGGAAAGGTATATAAAGGTAGGATCGTAAGGCGAATTGTTAGCTCATGGGCAAACAAGTTGTAATCACAATCACCACAATACCAACAATTGAAAGAAGCCAACCCTTGCCCTATAAACAAGTTGCAAAGATGATCCCACCCGTTGATAGAAATACCTCCTCTCCGCGCAACAACGTTAGTACATATTCCCCTCCATTATCTAATAGTGGATTAACAACATCTATGCTAACATCGGAATCCCAGTACTCTTGCCTAGCAGACTTGTTCTTTCGCCTCATCAACCTGATGTGTGCGCTGCGTGAGATGAGACGCTCACTCGGGCAAGATGCGGATTTGATTTCTCCCTGGTTGCATCGCGCTGAAGCGCAGGTACAAACCGCAATGCAACAGTGTATCTTTCTCGGAGCATCGCAGCTAGCGCGTCCAAAAAAAATGAAACTGAATGGTCGGCGCTGAATTTTGACGGAGGGGTTTTAATCTGTGTTGGTCCTTTGCTGTCTACTTGTTTGTCTATAAATGTGTCTGTGTGAGAATGTTTAATGTTCTTTCACGTTCTATGTCTGCTTCCTTGCCATTTTAATTAGTTTCTGTGTTTTTCTGCTTTAATTGAGTCTATTGTATTGATTTAATGTAAGTCTTAAATATAATTATTTTCATAGTAAAGTGGTGACTTATCAGGCCTGATTCAGGAATGAGATGGTCGATAAAAAGGACTTTTATATCACTTTTATCAGGCCTGTTTGGGCGACTCTGGGCTGGATTTGTAAATAGGGGAATCTGGTCTAGAATATATCAATCATACTTGACAAGCCAGTGGGATAAATTGATATACCTAATGAGGACCTTCCAGTTATAAGTGGCGTCTCTTTTCCAGATAATCGGAAAAGCTTCAAGCTTATGTTATGGCACTTTTGGGGAGTGTAGGCGAATAAACAGTCGATAATTACAACTTCAAATACGAAGCCAAGCTATTGGCGCATGCTCAGATGGCTAAGGAATTTAATATGTTTCACGATTACTGCGAGAGTTGAGAATAGACTAGATTCTACAATCATCCGGATCGACTAGTAACAGAAACCACTCGCTTACAAATTAAACTTCGATATGTTGATATGTTGATATTCATAATCATTAGCACTAAGTAAAACGGCGGTTACAGTCTTTCAAGACAGCCTTTTAGAAGTAGTTTCTCAACTACGTAAAGATATCAGGAAGGCATTTAACGAGATATCGGCAATACTTAAAACCAAAACAAAAAGTAAAGGAATTAGGACAGCATTATTGAGGCAATACTAGATTTGCGGAGGCAACCCAAATGTTTCGAAGCCACACGCCAAAGAGGTTGTAGAATAGAGTGCTTTTCTACAGACACAATAAGACCTGAGAATGGAAAAGAATCATCAAACAATTTATCCCTTTGATTCTTAGAACAAAATAAACTTCATACAACTAGTCGTGCTACATATCTCGCTAATCGATGCTGAGCAGCACCTGTCGTCAACACCCAAGTGTTGAACTACCTCATGTTTTCGTGAACGCAACATCCGTAACTCAGTAGAGCATCTATGGTCCGAATATTGCCTCTAATCTTTATTTATATGAGTATCGCTTTGTTTTGAATCGCTTCCAGCTAAAATTTACCTTCTTCATTATTTATTACTCTAAGCTGCCTCTCTCGCTCCTCGAGGGTAGGAAAGATCCCAGAGATATTAGGATGCTTAGCGTAATAAGTTGAGTGCTTGATTTCGCAAACCATTTGATGTTCCTTTGACTTATGTGTCTCACAAAAAAACCTAGCGCAAAGAAGGCACCTTTCCGTCTTCATAGAATTTTGGTCATGAAGCAGGTTCTGATGCTATGCCGGTTTTCTCAAAGCCATATGTTCACAAACGGAGCAAATGTTCATGATGGCGGATAATTGTAAAGTGAAGGTGCTATGGTGGTTGATTGTGGGTTGTTGTCGCGCAGATAGCTACAGGACTCTGTTAGATTGGTGACATAAACCTTGGCCAGAAATCTATGTGGCAGTATGCACTATATTTGGAGAGTATTAATACAAATCAAAGAGTGATACCTTTCAGCCCATAGAAGCGTGCCATCTGGCTTAGGTGGGGACCCTTAGAAAGGCTCATTCAAAACGAAACACGGCCTCTCTAATAGTGCCCAGCTACTTTTTCAGCGAGATACATTATTACAAGACTTGGGCGTCATGTGTGATCTGTCATGTAACTTAAAGCCGCTCTGTGTAACACAAGCAAGGTTATTTGGTAGCAAGAATGTCGATAGGGCGATATAATACTCCTAAGAGTAGTACAAGGCGAGAATTCTCCCTTATCGGTGAATGCTGTCCACAGGTTGTCAGAACATGATGAGGGGTGACTGTGCCGCATCACGGCTTCGAGCCTAGTGCCTCGCTTGAAACATTGAGGCTACCATTAAGAACACAACACATAATTGAAATGTTTAATTCATTACAGTAATCCTGCTAATGTGACATGAGTCTCATATAAAGTATATAGCATTAAATGGCCCTTTTATGGGCTTTTGACTTTTGCACCGAATTTTAGGGATCCACATATATCCTCATTGCCTCACAGGTTCTACTTACTTATCCACTTGTTTATAAGTGATTTATATGTATATAATAATAAGAGAATTCATGATAGACACACTTAGCCAGAGAGAATGGCACCGTTCTCCACTAATGCTACTACATCCAAGCATGCTTATAGTTCCATTAATGGGCCTTGGTTCTAATATCATTCCTATTCGATCAACCATACAACCGGCCTTTTGTACCTCCATGACGTCAGTACCATTTGCTGGCGTTCTTAAGCCAATCCGACCGACTCTACCCTCGGAATTTTCGCCCACATATTGTTGAAGGTCCTGGCTTGACGGTTTCGCTGCCAGATTCGTTGTGTAGCCCTGCACAATAGAGAGGCCGGTGGGATGCAAACACATCCATAGTAAGACTGTTCAAGCTCCTATATCAAGTCAACAATATTACTCATACCATACAGATAACTGTCAAATACTTCAAAGCAGACATTCTTGCCAAGATCCGAGCCCACAAACTTGTCAAGGATGATTGGTTTCGTTCTTGGTTCCATTTCCATCCCAATGTCGAGTCGCGTAAGGTTGGCACACTGCACACTCCATTGTGGGTTGCTTGATTCTTCTGTGATCGAATGAGTGCCGTAAAATAAGTCGTTCCCATTATGACGAACAAAAAGCTTTCTAGTGCATCCCAACTGTCGCATAAATCTCACTCGGCACGGTTTAAAGCCTCCGCGTGCTTTGGTCCATATTGTGTTATATCTAGAAGGATAAGCCACGAATCTGTTTCCAGTATTTCGACTAAGACAGCAAGAATTCCTGCAGCATATTGTAACTGCGATACGTGGACTCTTTGACAGTCCCGGTCTTGAAATGTGGGAATTACGTGACATAATCCATTCCGTATGTCCAAGACTTGTTCCGGTGCAAATGTTGAACGAGCCGCAAAGAGCAATAAGACTTGCTCCTATCTTCCAGCCAATTTCAGTGTCCAAAGCCCCAAGGAGATACCAGAGCCTAGAATATAGACATAGCACGAATACCAACAACCTGATTATGTAAATACTTCAAATTATATTATGATGTTGCAGGAAAATACATAATAACCCTAACCTTAAGATTGTAATAAACGCCTCTCCACGCTTATTTTTATTTTGAAGTATCTCCAGTTTAGGGAAGTAAAGAAATAACCGTCTACACGAGCTCCGCTTCAATGACTGACTCTGCTGCTAGTTCTTTGTTGTAGATGCGATTGATTTTAAAACCGGTCGATTCTAGAAGGGCGGTCCACTGGGCTGCAGTTCCTATCTAAATTGTCAGAATCATATATCCACAACTCTAATGTTAGTAAAATGAAAAGTATAGCTTGCTTTCCATGCCAGAAGCCATCATCATGACAATATCAGCGGAGTTTCCAATCTCTTTGGGATCGTTCGGGTCAAGAACGACTTCATGAAGAAGCAATTTGCTATAGCCCTTCCGCATCCCCAATTTCAGGTTTTCAAGGATTCTTTTGCAGTCCGAATCCGGCCAGTCGTGAAGAACAAAGTGCCTACAATGAAAATGGTCAATATAATATACTTTGTCCTGTAGCTAAGTAGCAAAATCCAACACTATGGGTGCTTCTCACATGTAGTATGCGGTGGCTCCTTTAATAGGCTGAGGAGTGAAAAAGTCATGATCCATTTTCTTAATTGTAGGGTCTAGGTCTCCCGCCTCCTCAATCACCACTGGCTGGTCTTGAAGGATCAGAGAACCGGGCTTCAGATCCTTGCCGTGCACCTTCGCAAAAGAAGTGAGATCATGGCCGATACTACCGCCGCAGTCAACTAGTACGGCAGTATCGTCCTGGATACTATTTATAAGTTCACCAGTTGGGTATATATCTGAGAGGGAAGGTCTGTTCATGGCATAGGTCTGCATGACAGTTCCAACGACCTTTTCGGTCTCAGGGTTCGCCTTGAGCCAATCCCATACGGTTTTACCAGTCCAATAGCGAAATAGCCCATTTACATGATCAGTGGGGTTCTGAAACCCGGTGCTTTGGACAAAACTGGGAAGAGAACGAAGCGCTGGACCCTGCATGTCAATGTATAAACTGACGGTACTGGGGATTTGGGGCCCTTCTGCTAAGGCTGCAGTAAATGGGGTTAGGCCAAATACACCTGGCCTGACGACTTCAAGCATATGCGCGCCAGCTAGCTGCCAGATAACACGGGCTTTATATTGCGTAATTTGAAAAGTAAGCAGAAAAGAAATAGAATAAGATTTTAGTGTTCCATAGAGAGACTCACACAACAAAGTATGATCACAGGTAACCAATTTTGAGAGCTCCTCGATCGACTTCGGGGAGCCTCCAGCAGCAGCCCATTTCTTCCAGATATCAAGCTTGTTAGTGATTTCCAAGGAGGCCATGCGAGCAGGTTCTATCCATGACTGGCGATAAGCTGTTTCCCAAGGGGATTCAATACGGCTAAGAAGAGCGCGAGCTTCAGCGACTGCGAATTCGCGGTCGGCGTTAGAAGTAAAGGAGTTTCTGGTGATTGCACGTAACTGAGATGGAATATCCGCCATTGTGCTCTAGCATACGACAAGCCGATTGAATGGTTGTTTATCAGAATGAGGTAATGTATCTAGGTTTTTGTAGGGGAACAAATTAGATAATGTGCTGAAATTAAAAATAACGTAACCTTTTTGCTGATGGAGATGAATTTGAATAAACCTGTGACGGAGTACGAATCAATACTTCAATGTCGAGAATATTGAAAAGAAGAAGGTGAGATATATAAGTAGAGTGTGCTGACAGAAACATTCGTAACCTATTATAATATGCTGTTCGACTGTACAACTTTTATTATTTGATCCGGGACTGGATAAGCACAGCCCCCCTCCGTAGTTGTTCCTTGGTGAGATTTCCTTAGTGGGACTTAGCTTCATCTTGAATAAATAATTTTGCGTCCATCTAACAAAGAATTTATTTTTACCCTTCACTAAGGAAGAGCCTAATTAAATACCAACATAACAATGCAAATAGAGTCGATTAAGAATGGCCCAGACTCTACCGCTTCTTCAAGGCCCTGCAGAACAGCCTCCTCCAGGAGTGACCTCTAGTTCTTTAATTAATTTTTGACTCGCATAATAAGCTGACTGCAATAATTGCAACTGCGGCTGTGTGTATATCTATAGCTTCTCTATTTTTTTATTCGACCCTATACTAGAATTGTTATCCTTAGCGGTTTGCATTTCATGATTGTAAGCTTTAGCACTGTTCTCTCTTTGCTAAGTAATAATAACGAAACTATTAGCGTTTACTATTATTGGATGTGTAAGGAAACCTGCCTTCCCAATCAGACTGTACGTTGCCTATATTCAAAGGGATCTGTTATGGGCCACATGACCATTGCAAATTTTTTGTGCATATTTGCCCTGGTATTGATAACTGGAATTTACGGCTGAAAGACTTAATTGGAGTATCATACGTAAGTATATTCCTATGAGAACCTCAATATGTGCTTCAAGCAAGTATTTGGCTGACCTACTTAGTATTTTCACGTTGGCTCAATATTGTACGGGATTGCGGTGTTGTCTTCATCAAAGCAGCAATCATACTGCAATTCATCGTAATTTTTGCATACGAACTGTCGAGCCGTATAATGGACTGGCTCTGACACTTATTAATCTGGGTGAATTTTATTTTTTGTCTCGTCAGCACTTTCCTGCTTATCTTTTCATGCCACCCTATGGTTAAAGCGTGGGACCCACTGATTATTTATGGTTCCTGTCCCATCAACAGCTTACTGCTCAATGTTGTCGAGATTGCTTTTAACTCAGTCTCGGATATTGTCATTATAATTCTCCCACAGATGAGCATTTGGAGGCTGCAGATGAGTAACAGCAAAATAATTGCCGTCTCAGTTCTATTTATTATAATTGGCATATTGTGAGTCGTTCAACCAGATCATCCCTCTTTGGTCTGAACCTCGATTCTCATAAATTATTTCCTAGTGCCTGTGCTACGTCCTTCCTTCACCTGACATACACGATGATAATACTTCGAAAGACGTCAAATCTCATATACCTTGTTTTTTATCTGGATTACGGTCTATGTGATCTAGCCCTAAGGCTCTAATGCAGGCAATTCGATTAAAAAATATTCAAATAGAAAGGATTTAAGCTATGCAACAAATGTTGCAGTTTACCAGCAATACCTCTCATAAACAATTAACCCGATATTGATCTTTTCCGTGGTTTCGGGTGTTTTGGCAAAAGTCAATTTAGTGTTTGTGTATGCACGTGTTTGCTAAAATAAATTGAAACTCTTTCATAACCGTATGTCATATAATTTTCGCCCATTTAATGGTTTTATGCTATTAAAATGTCTTATGGGAACCCTGTTTGATCAAAACTTAGCCCATGATTACTCCGCCAAAATTCTCGAAAACTACTCGTACACTCCCTTGTTTGAATACTGATTCATCTCCCAAACTTCATATTGACGGCTTCTACCTATAAGTTCTCTTTAAAGAGACACAGGTCTGAGGTTAAGCCGGGCATCCTTTATTTACCCACCACTATTTCTATGTTTGTTGGACTTGGAGTTCGTTCTCGGGGAGGGCCATCAAAAAGTGGCTATAACCTGACTTCCGGCATATTTAATCAATCCTCTCACCAAATTCTGCTGCTGGTATTTCAACTCATCTAGGGAATATACCTATCCTCAGGACCTCTTCTTCCACAATTTCAAGCCCAATTAACACAGAAAAGACAGCAACACAAACCTATCTTGATCATGAACGATACGACCATAAAGCAAGACCCTGAAATCGACTGTAGGATCGATACAGACAGCGCCGACGAGCACACCCCTCTCATCCCCACGAAAATTGTGCCTCAAAAACTAAGGCAATCCCAGCAGCACTTCCAAGGAGCAATACCTCAACAAGTGGAATTACCGAGACTCACACAACTCGACGAGCCTATCGCGGCGTCCGACCGTCTCAAATATGTCGAGGAAAAGCTGTCCGCCATACACCATGGCTTAGAATACCTCTTCATAGCCCTGAATAGTCCGCAAGCTAGGGTGGAAACGACGCAAAAGGAATCGGATGGTCAGGTCAATAAGGGGATTTCTACGGGGAAGGATTTGAACAGTAGAACGCTGTGGGGAATCAAGGAGTATGATGACAAAGATGTCAATTCCTGCGTTGCCCATAACTTCATATTCAAGGCTGATGTGCAATTTGATGCCAATAAGCTAGGGGACTTGAAACAGGACGTCGTGCAAAACTCTGGAATACTGCCGAAATTCGAAGCGAGGTATGGTATCGCCGCATACGTTATATTGACCAGTGATGTCCCGAGGGAGATACTTGATGTTATCAATCGACGCGCCGACGCGAAAACGCTATTCATTGGGAAATATCAGCCGGAGCAGTGGAGGCAGCGATTGGTTAGTATGGCTGACGGTATTATCAAGGAATGGCTAGAAGGTGACGAGACAGGGTCCCTCTTCCGAGGCGAGGATCCTATCAGAGGCGGCTGATTTTAGTCGGCTTTACGATAAAAATGAATTGGATCCGGAATCTGGTAGCTTTAGGGAAAGTTTGAGGTTTACATAGATTTATGCTTGGGGTTTATCTTTGTGGGTATTGGGGTTACAGTAAGTAGAGATGATAAGGAATGTGATTTGATAATGTTAGCTACTGGTTCTCGGGGACTCCTTTTATCTCGATAAAGGCCTAGAACTCTCAATAAATCAAATGTTATCAGTTTAAATATATTATGTCTATTAGAAAACTCACAGGCACAGCCAGCCCTATCAATTACCACCTATTATTCTCAAGCCACACCCAACCCCAAACTCTCATGCAAACTAACGCTACATCAGTAATCCTCCTCCTCCTCCTCTTCCTGAACCTCCTCAAGCAACCGCTGCGTCTCATCTTCCGTCTCCCGCTCCTGCAACCTCCTACTCTGCCTCTGCACAAACCCGACAAGAACCGATCCAACGACAAACCCAAGACTAACAAGAGCAATATTAATAGGAATCGGGTTCCCACCCAAAACACCTTGACTCAAAGCATCCATGGCCGTTTGCGATAAATTGACGATGCCAGAAATACATATAATTGCTCCGTAGACGCGTCCGAAGGTTGCGAAGCCGAAGACTTTGGTGGCGTAGTCACTGCAAAAAGCATGTTAGTAGTTTACAAAATCGGGACAGAGGGGGGGCTACATACGACATCGCAGAGTAGTATAATGGGCGTAGAAGAACGAATAATGTGACTGTTACGTATCCAGCCCACAGGAATGGCAAGCAGTTGAGGATCCCCGTAACAGTGGTGAGGAAAACAATCAAGGAAAGCATTTTCGGCACACTCAGATTATCGAGTAAAATTCCAATAAACGGCGTTGATGCCACCCCGCCAATCGGTAACGCGAAATCAAAGAAATTGTTGATTGCGTCGGCATGAGGTTCAGAGTCTAGCATATATACATACTGATCGCGAATTGTGGCGATGAAGTAGTTCATGCGCAGCATTTGCAATACAGTAAGCAGCGTTATGAGGATAAACCATGGCGACATGAATTGCTTTCTAGCGGGTTCCCCGTGCAGAACGCCCCAGACTCGCGACGTCACATGGCGCTCCTCTTCCTGCTCTTCGCGCTGGTGTCGTTGGTCGCTGTCGCCGAGGACGTTGTCGATGTTTTGTAACTTGGCCTTGCGTTTTCGGCGTCGCTCGGCGCGTAAATGTTCCACCTCGTTGTCGTCGGATATGTCGCCGTCGGAGTCGTGGAAGTCTCGCGAGGAGTCGCGTGCTGCTTCGATTTTTTCCTCGAGTTGAAAGGTAGTTTTGTAAGGTTTAGAGGGTAAAAGGAATGCTTGGGCTAGGAAAATGAGCAGCGGCACGATCAAATAGTATAGAAAGAAACGCGCCGGTTTCAAGGCATGGTTTGATGATTCGTATGCAAGGCGATAGAACAGAAACACAGCGGCTGAAGCATCAAAAGCACCAGTAACCAGCGCAACGATAGCCCCAGAATGCTTTGGGAAGGCGTTAGCGATTTGAAAAGCTGGCACAAAGATGAATGTACCGCCCAGCGATAAGAAGAAGTTTCCAATCACGTAGCCATCGAAATCGGGAAATCTGAAGGCTAGATGCATGAGCAAACTGCCGGTAGCGAGACATAAACAGCCCGTGAAGGTACAGATCTGCGGACCATATCGGTCAAGAAGGGTTCCTATCGGCAGGGCAGAGATGTTGGCAGTAGTTGAGGCGACTGTAAAGAAGATGTTGAGTCTGTACTTATCAGTAAAACCGCTAGTGAGATAGTATCTGTAGACACGTACTGTAATTCCTGCTTAAAGCACACATCCACACCATCTTCCAGGTCATCCTTATCGCAGAGCCACTCATAAACACCCTCCGCTAACAACACTGGCTTGAGTGCAGCAAACCCAAAAACAATTCCTGACGCGAGCCAACAAGCCAGAATTGTGGCAGCTACCTGGGCTGGTACATCGTCAGTCAAAAGAACATGCTAAAACTGAGACATGAACCACCTATTCTCTTCGCCACAGAAACCTTGTAAGCGCCAACACTGGGCTGCGTGGCCTCTTCGTCCGATTTGGGAAATGCATCATAACTCAATATTCGCCGCACCGATTTTCTAGATGGGGACACGGGCCTATAGCGGTCGACGCCTTCAATAGACGACACATGTTGAATGAGCGACATTGGCTAGGATAAAGAGGTCTACGAGTCTCGTTACTCTTACTCCCATCAATTGGAAGTGGAGGAGAGGGGAATGAGTCGGGGTGGTAGTCACGTGCGTCGGTATATACTAACGAATTTCACCCGCAAGCGGCCAATTTAGGCCCTCAATATTTCTCCACTTATATTAGAAATATAGCCTAAAATTAATATTATGATTATTATTTATCATAAGAACACATTTCAACATTAATAAGATTAACTTAAAAATTATTGTTATTTTAAAATTACGCTGTAATTTTATATATTTTTAATACTCTTTATTATGTTTTCCTTTCGCGGGTGAAATGGTAACTCGTTTATTATTTCTCGAACCTTAATGCCAAGAAACACTAAATTAGGCCGTTTATTACCTGTCATGGCTCGATAGCCGCCACCTTAGGCCCCACTTTCCTAAGCCACATCCAAGTCCATGTTTTCGAGATTTTGTCTTTCAATTATTTCGCCTCTATTTTGCCTGTGTTTACTACATTGATAACAAGTAGGCTGCTGGACGGTACATATCTGCTCTAAATATGTAGCTTGCCTTCATACAAACTAGACGTGAGCTTGAAACAAGATCCTGAGCAATGGACCATGGAGCTTACAGTAGTATCTTGCCAGGGATAATAAAGCTCAAGAGGTCGACTTTCCGTAACAAGATTATGGTTGCCTTCTAGATGAATTTTCCGATTTGAGCGCTAAAAAATATCAAACTTTATTAAGATTGCGTGAATGGCAAGGTAGATCTTAGGTAGCAGCTATACTTGCTACCTTTTATCACCTTGTATATTATTAGTATCACTCAAGTCTCTCTTTCGCTTCGACTCCAATAGCTACGCGCCCATTCGGCCAATATCGAAGGGCACTATGGGGCGCTGGCTGGTCCTTTCCCCAACGTTTCTTTACCTCCCCATCCTTCTCCTTACACGCTTGATCCAAAAGCGGAAGCACATCCTCCGACACAACCTGCGCGACAGACTGCCAGCTATTCCCAATCATCGAATTCCTAGTATTAATCACAAACAGCACCGTAATAAACGCAAGTATAATAGAATGCGCCACGATGATCGATACACCGATAACAAACCCGTCCCACCGGACTGGAATCAAAGCGGTGGACGAAAACGAGGTTAATGCCGACGCTGTGGGGTCCTCCCGCATCAGGTGTTCGTAGTATGCTGTTTGGGTTCCTCGTGTTATTAGTGCTTGAAGGGCGAGAGCGGGACTGTTTGTATCGTATAGAACATCTTTGAATATGTCGGTATGAGTTCGGTCTGCCGTGCTAGTGTCCGCTGTGTTTGTTTCCGAGAGGAGAATGCCCAGGTTCGCGGGTGGAAAGTCCGGCGACGCAACAGCTTGCTGTGCTGGTGGGAGGAGGCCGAGGAATGTAGTTGTGAAGTGGAAATAAGTGTCGAAGGCGTTGAAGTCGTTTTCGATGGCATCAATTCCCATGTCAAAGTCTTCCCACTCCGACTTGGGATTAAGTGCAAGTACACCGCGATTATTCAGGCTATCCGGTGTTAAGGATGCACCAAGCTGCCGTCGGACTGACTCAGTATCGAAACTATTGCTATTGCGGTCCCAAGATAGGTGAGGCTCAGAGTTTTGCCACGAACTAGCCATGTCAACGGTGAATGTCTTGGAAACGAGGTTGGTGAAGCATGAGGAGACGCGGAGGACTGCGGTGTTTGAGTCGTTCATGATTATTGACCAAGGGCCGTCTTTGTGAATAGTAGTCACTTTGTATGGCGTTGTGATGTTTTCGAGGTTCCGTGCCATCATTGCTTTTCCGTCAAGGATGTCCAGGACAATGAGCATGGATGAGGCCAGGGGGTTGTTGGAGGCTAATCCGGTCTGGTTAGCTATCCTGTCGTCGGGGTTTATGTTGACCAAAGGGTCCTCGAGTTGGATGGTGAAACTCTGTGCCAGACGAGGATAGCAAAGACTTGACATGCCGTATGTCGTGTTTTCAGGCGGGTATGGCAGGGCGCAGGTGAACTTGATGGGCCTTTGTGTCTCGATATTTTGCAGCATTGGATATGATTCATTTTCCAGGGTCATCTGCCCAAACAGACGCGGAGGGAATGTCGAATTTAGACGCAAATCAATGAATGATGGGGAAACGCAGACCACTCGCTGATCCATAACCTCCGCTGGCCCTTGGAATCTTCGGAGACTTGTTCGCTGTGCCTCATCTTTGAAGGGAATAAAAGCTCGATAGGTATGCCCTGTATCATGGAAGTTAGGTCCCTGCGAGAAAGACTCGGCGAGCTCGCCAAATGTCCAACTTGATGGTGGAGGAATTCTCCACCAAGCAGCCTCTACAAAGCCAAGGGAACTGAAGATGTCAACTTCAGTCAAATTATTGCTGTTAAGAAAATTGCTGTCCATAAAGTCCGAGATAAGAATCGTAGAGAGAAACTGGGAAGCGACAGCCACCAAGACCTCAACAACGACAAGCGTCGAAATCAAAAGCGAGAAAGACCGCTTCGGCTGCGCTAGTATGCCCTTTGTAAGCAAAAGACTGGTCGGACTGACACTAACAGCCCTAATAATCGAGTAGAATGGCGCATAGAATAATGGTGTCCCAATCCTCTCCAGTATAATACTACTAACCATCGCAGTAATCAGACTAGCCTGGAGAGTCACTATTGACCTTGTAACTGCTGTGCAAACTGTGACGAGCCTCGAGGTCCAATTTGCGTGCACTATCCGGATCCAAAAATTATTTGGCACGCCTCCTGATATCGCCGTCATTGATTCTCTCCATATCAGTCCTAATAGAAACCATGGGATGAATAGGAAACTGGAACCCAGCAACAAGATTAGAACGCTGGGGGTGCCAATCCGCTCCCATGCGTTTCTTGTCTTTTGTTCTGCAGGAGGTTTTGGCCATTCGTTCTGGGTCTCTTCGGTGTCACCGTACGTTGTAGTATTTAAAGTGGCTAGTGGGACATAATCCCCGGCCCTGGTAGATATCATGGCTTCAGGGGAGAGAATCAGTTACCTTTGGATAATCAGAGGCCCAGAGCCCCTTTTGAATTTCTCATCGCCATTAGTTAGCGCCTGGGAATTTGTAGCCAAGAACGGCCAGCCATTTTTGTCCAAGGCGAACCGTCCGTCCACCAATCAGTATGCTTATTGTTTCCTGAGTAGGATGAAGAATTCAGCCTCTCGCGCGAACCAACGAGGTAGGATTTTAGCCGTTTTTGCCATACTAGCTAGACCAATGACACGAAGAAAAAAAAAGACAAGGCTGACTCTCGTCCTCGCTGCTTTCCCTTTGTTGCTCAGTCCCAATTCGTAGAAATAATCCAGCAAAACAGGTAGGAACAAAGGCAAGGAGATTTTCTCGACGAGAGAAGAGAATACCTACCGAGCAAAGACTACTCGCGCCAGTGTGGCAAGTGGGCAAGCAGCGGGAGATCAGGATCGCGCGACGCTCACCCTGATCGTGCTCGATGCCTTCCCGCTGGAACTAGTTTCAGAATTCCCCACTAAATGCCAGGTGAAGTGTATTAATTGGCTCTCAAAATATGTGTGCATAGCCTCATTTAATGAACACTTAAGCCTCACGAGTCATGTTGAAGCTGCAGGCAAGATTGGATTTCCATGGAGGCCACCCTTGGCAGGACACTTGGCAGCTAAACAGAATTATCTAGTTTGTTCATAAGCCAGGGCCATATTTACCTGCACCCCTCTTTTCAAACCCGTCAGGCATCGTGACCTCAGCGTTGGCGGTACAATACGGTACAGGACAGGTCAGGTCATCCAATAAAAGGGAGATGCGAGCCTTGAATCTCAATGTATCGGGAACATTTGCATAAACCAGCATCAATTCGGTATTCAACGACGAGGATCTGGATTGTTTATTGGGACTCGCAAGGCTAGAATCAGAATTTGCCAAATAAGTTCGCGGGACAAGGTAGTTTCTTCGAACTGTTGCTGGCCAATAGGCTTTCTAGCATACGAACCCAGTCACTCCGTGTGGATGTTGATGTGGCTCAGATAGTACATATTGTTGTTACGATGCCGATCAGAATAGATACCCATGGGCGCTTTGTCTCTGACCTCCACAACCTCAGCACCGCCTTTCCGTTTAGAATTTGTCTATCGGCCCCACCTACAGCACTTTCAATAACACTTATAGATGTATTATGCCTACCAATACATCCACCAATCACAACACCACATTAATCGCGTATACCAAGAGTACAAGTGGTGACACCTGTTTCCAGAAGCCCTATAACAGATAACCACCACTTATTTTCTTTCATTATTAGTACTTCGAAGGGTAAATATTCATCTTCAAACTTGTTTCTGGTGGGTTCTGTTGTCGGGGTGTTATGGTGTGATCGTATGATCGCACCCTGCATATACTACAGATTATAAGTACAAAGGCTCGGAACATGCCGGACCGTCTCGCCACCCCCTGTAAATAGTGTCTGAATTTATAGACCGATCTACCAGATGATAAATGAGGGGCACAATAGAGATAAGAATTGATTGAAGTAGCTGGATTATTCGCACAAGAATGGAAATGACTGGAAGGAGAGAGTGTCAAGAATGAATCTTGCATCTTGTACATGTCCGCGTATGTAGTTAAGATCGTGCCAATGTTTTACACATCAAGGTATCAATAATTGAACAAACAGGGGGCCAAAAAAACTCCACGCACTGCACTACACCAAACACCAACACCCAACATTACACCCATCATTGATAGACACAAACACCATCAAACCGCCTCAAGAATGTCGGACACACTGCGAATGGGAAGTTGTTTGCCTCTGCAGGTAGCGACGATGACTCCTTCAAAGCTGGAGTAGCATTCGCTTTCCCCGAATTCCAAGAAGTTTGTAAATTCATATAGCGAGACCATCGGCAGTTCCGTATTCGCATTGAACTGTGTCCAACGGCTCTCTGATCGAATCTCCCACAGCCACGTGCGAACATCGAAGGGTAGTGCATCAACGAATGGCGTACGGCATGCATATCCTCGGTTTAGAAGGGAGACTGTTGCGCTTACGACATGTGAGTAAATAATCGTGCGTCGAACGCTCTCGGCAAACATCCATGCTCGCCACGGCGTCATAGTACTAGGTAACTCTGTAGGCACCTGGGCCCACAACCTGCGCGAGAGAGAGATGATTATCTCATTCAGCCTTTCCATAGACTTAGCATCTATGTTGCCATCGGTCAGTTGGATACATTGCGCCAACACTAGTCCCTGGACACATGCCAGGAGCTCCTCAAAGTTCGCCGCCTTCCTCGCGGCATGTAGCAGCATGATGATTTTCTGCTGGAGTAGCGAATATAACTTTGACCCACTCAAATGGCCATCTGAAAGACACAGGCTGCATATATCACGCATATCTCGAATAGGTTTGGGCATCGACTTGCCGTAAAGACAAGGGTGGATAAACGGTGAATTCCCCTGCGCAAACAGCACGGGGGTCTGCCGCACTATATTCGCAACCATCTGAATAATCTCCGGCGGACGAGGCTTCCTGATTTCGATCTCTAATGTGGCGGGAATTGATAGGGAGTGGTTCTCGTATGGGGGAGACGGGGATTGGGTCGCTCGTAGCACAATAATCTCGTTTCCATTGTTGGGGTTGGAGTTGTTAGTTGCATGGGTCGGCTTGGCGTGAGCTTGCTTGGAGTGGGCTAATTTGACGACTCTGTTCTCTGCGGTCGAGCCAGCCTGGGCTGATAAGGGGATGTTGACGTATTGACAGCGAACGCCCTTCTTGACGCAACGGGAGCACTCTGGAAACAACAGATCGCACCGACGCTTGACCTTAACGCAGCCGTGACAGGACCTGCGGAGACTAGTCCCATTCGACGCCATGACAGCTTGGAATAATCGCAATCACGATGTAAGTTTAGACCGTATTGCAGTTCCACTCTGCAGACTGGTGAGACAGCGGCAACCTCCTGGTGAAGATGTCGAACGGTGGAGAAGGCTGCTGGTAACACGTGATGTCCTTTTTAGGCTAGCGCACGCTATATCTGGCATGGTCTCCACACGGGCCCCACTCTATATTCCGCTAGGCTGTAAATAGTTTAACGTCCACTGGGTTTATACAGCCTCGGTACTTGTTTAATTATTGTTGTTAGAGTTTACCAACGTTGATGCAGAATAATAATAGGCTATGTGATAATTAGATGCAGTATGTACAGAAGTGCATATTATTACAGCAATGTAACAGTCCAATCATCACGCCTCGTAGGGCGGGGGCGGGTCGTTATCTTTGTTCACGGGCGCTGAACTATTTGCATTAGGCCTGCGACGGCTTGACTTGGGACCTGGATCTATCAATTCGTCGTCACTCGATGGCTCATCTTCGCTGGACGATGCATAGTCGGGGCCACTGCTATTCCCCAGTCTCTCGCGAGCCTATCTCTTGTCAGAACATGCCAAAAGCAATGTATACTGATACATACCGCTTCTGCCGCCTTCCACCCTGGTTCTCTCTGGTCAGAAGGAGAAGACGTTGACTGAACAGCCGGCAACTCTACAAGCGACGAATCCATTGGCTTGTGTCTCGGCTTGATGACGACTTCCTCCTTTGCCGTGCGTCCGACGAGATCGCCATTCTTCCATATGCCATACTTCAGCACCATTCCCTGAAAATCCGTCCTTTCAATAATACAATCCATGACATCGCAGTCCGTCAGCTTGGATCGCTCTGCCCGACTCCTCGTAATCGCGACGTTATCCAACTCAGTGCGCTCACAGACCGTGCCGTCAGCGATAAGCGAGTTCTTCACAACACAGTACTCGAGGGTACTTCCGCCGAGAACCACACTATCATCAAGCTCCGACTTCTCTACAAGCTTCGAGCTCATAAATTTCGTGGCCCGCGCCGTACTGCGCTCTATCCTATTCCTTGCGGGGGCCGTGCAGTGCGCCAATTTGCTTCTTTTCACATACGAGTCTTGAATAGTACAATGGTCGAGCTCTGAGCGTTCGATTTGGGAAGCGAGGACATGGGAATTTTGGATGTTGGAGCGGCGCAGCTGAGTTCTTATTTTCCCCTTTTTGGGTAGATCTTCTATCACCGAGTGGGAGACCTCGGATCGCTGAATCCGGTTTTCGGAGCTGAGGTCTTTGAGGGTGCTTTTGCTGAGTGTGGATCGTGATATTTCGGGATAAGACTCCCATTTATCGGGGGTGACTGTGATGTCTGCAAAGGTGCTTTGCCGGGCTTTGGGGATGGATGACATTTTTAGTATGTACGCAATAATAATCGTTAGGTTTAATTGTGTTGTTTTGATTGTGTAGGGTATTGGAGATGTCGTGGATTTATCATATTGCGGGAATATGGATGCCTGAGGGTGCCCCACGTGGGATAGTTCAGCTAGCTTCAGCCACGCGGTCGACTTATTATTAACATCATTATGCCAGCTATTTATATAATTTAAATTGGCTTCGGTTTCTCATTTCTACATTATCGTTGCTGCCAGTACAATATATTCCGTGACAGGACGACCATACCCAGGGAAGGCCAGGATAACCACCAAGCCTCGAGTCCGGTATTTCAAGCCGACCGATACATGAGCTGCCCTTTCATTTCCAGGTGATGCCAGGTCCGAAGGTCCGCGTATAATTATTGAGGAACAGTAATTCCGGGGTAATTGACTGCCAATAGCGGCTCGAATATTCTTTCTTTAAAGTGTTTTCTCATGTCCTGTAGTTAGCCTCTTCTGAAACCGTCCTTCCTGCTCTGCTTAAACGTCGAGATTCTATTCTTTAGACCTCGGGGCATTTCCGATGGATACATGACGCCGTCACCGTCATCAAATGCAGGGCAGGGCTTTCCGGGATATGCCAGACCAACTATCCTCGTCACTATTACCCTCCGTTAAGGAAGGTCTTTTGTAATGGTGAGCCATGAAGGCTTCCCCCCGAATGCCATATATACGCATCTTCGCACAACGGCGCTGAAATACTACCTGCCTGCGGCTTTTCTACGTGAAAATGGTCAAGAAAGAGAAATGGGCTACCGCAAACATGACTCTGCGTGCTGGGAAGCCCAGTTTTTTCCATGGGGTTCACAACTTCACTTGTAACCCGGGTATATGATGGCGTAGATTCGATTGGGGTTGCAGGTTCAAATACGGAATCAGCATACACTTAGAATCCTACCTCCTGAGCTTTGAGAAGCGTATTCTTTACCATTTCCCTACCCGGCGAGTGACTGATGTTCCGATAGAAGTCAAGAATACTCTGTTGCATTGCTGTGTTGCCGGTAGAGTGATGGCGAAATTTTCTCTGCACTAAGCCTGCGTTGGTGCCTGTGGATGTTTCCATGCTTGATACGCTAGCCAGGCCGGAACAGCGCCTATAAAAATACTAAGTACTCCGAAAAAGCCAGATAGGAAAAGACCAAGCAGCCGTGCGACTCTTTCGAAGCTCTGCCTTTGCGTCCATTGCCTAAATCGGCAGTCATAAACGGTGACGAGGCAAGAGTGCGAGTGCTAATGTACCAAAGGTTGTAAATTAATTGAATCATCCACAAGGAGAATCAAGAGACTCATTTGCAGCCGCATCGGCCAATGTTACAAAAAACTATATCGGCAACGACAAAGAAGACAGCACTGAATTTGGTCGGTGAGAATGGCCATAGGGGTATAGTGCAGCTGCTGTTGGAGAAGGAAGCATATATCGAAGTACAGATGGTCGTGGAGGTGAAGAATTGGTTGTTCCTACATGTAAAGATAAGGAAGACAGCACGAAATTTGGCTTATGAGAACGTCGGTTACGAGATAGACCGCTTACTGTTAGATTGGGGAGCGAAGCTTAAGAAGAATATCTGACCACTGAGAGTGTCTATAGTACTGCGGGGCTTCTGTCAGGCATCTAACCCGAAGAGCAAAGTACCGAAGAACAGAGAAGGGTGGTATCACCATCAATCGCAGGAAGCGCAGTGGAAAAAAAATACGCAGAGTGGGCAACGCAGGTGCTGGGTAGCCTTGATATAGGTACTCACTTGCAATTCCTCCTCTCTGCTCATTGCCAAAATCATGCAGACAGTCTAAATAATACTGAGCTGGTCACTATGATTGGCTACAGACGCTTTGGCAGTGCTGGATGAGGATATGCTGTTCGATTATGTCCAAGTTGGCGGATTCAAAGCTGTCGCAGAGTTTGATACCATTGAACTGTACTCCAGGTATGAAGGTGGGCGTTGATACAAATAAGCTTGTAGTGAGAAGACACCTCGTATAAATTGGCCGTAAGTGATTGTCCTAGCTAGGATGGTGGCCATGCTCAACCCGAGACGAGCGAGGCTGTAGAGTATGTAACTGGTGCTAGTCTCATGATCGGCAGTTGTCTTCATAAAAAGGGATATATCTGCATCACATATCGCTACGGGTACTGTAGCCGATTTCATTGTATTGGGCATCCTAGCACATATTTAATTTTGCGAAAAAAAGGACACAGCCAGCTATACAGACTCAATATTTTCTACCAACTAAAAAGCGAAAATAATACTAATCAACTCATCGTCCGACCACCCTTCATCGCCTAGTCATAGGACCCAGCTTCTCCCTGCGGTTTACCCATCAAGACTCAAGGACTAGTCTACGGTCAGAGCCTCAACCAAAACTCATCTTCACAATACTTACTTAGCATAGCACCTTCCATCCCCACCACAATACGGATACCCGTTTGGGCAGCAAAAGTTAGGACAGCACCACGGATACGCATCCGAGCAGCACAATGCACTGTTCGGGCAGGGACGCGGCCACGCTGGCGGACAGACATCGGCAGCATCAGCATGCAAGCCCTCCAATACCGATTTTTGATGCCCTTCAATGCTATCTGCGTTCTCGAATTCCGGTCCCTGGTTCACTGCAGGGGTGCCTTCGAATGCGCTGGTGCCGGCGGATTGGACACCACAGCTCGAGGTTAAGAGAACGAACGTGAAAGCGAGGAATTTCATGATTCAGGAGTGAGGTAGTCAGCTTTATTGCTAGGGGAAATGGCTAGACGGGGCTGATAGATGGTTGATAGATTGCTCATACAATATTTCCATCTAAATCTGGGGAAGGGGTGGTTTAAATGCTATTGCCATGTGCGCTGAGACAACATTTTCAGCCTCAATGGGCATCACGAGGTTCCTTCTCCAAAGAGTTCCGATCTGCAATGCTGACCTAACATAGCCATAAAGATCTACATATGGTCCACAATTTATACGAGCGACTATACTCATTAGACGTAGAGCCAAGGCTGAAATCGAGTCCTGCCTCGCCAGATGCAAGTGTCCCGTTACGGTGTTATTTATCGCATCGATAAAACAATCAAAAGGAGTGCATGGTGATCTAAATACATATAAAATAATCTTACAAACTCTATTGGGCATAAATCTAACCAGATTAACGACTTTATTGTATTCAATATGAGTTATTGTACTGTACTATATATTACTAAAGTAACTAAATATACTAGCGTTTCCTTTGCTAGAACTTTTGGTACACTACCTTCGTAGAAAGAGACACAGACCCCATGATTTCAATAATCAATTCTCCAGATTGTATCTCCAAAAATTGTAATATTTCTCTCCAATGGTTAAAGCTGTTACTAGTACAGAGTATGGTTTGGTCTATAAAGTATTTCCCGTCTTTTCAGCTAGCTGCAGCCTGTCACCCCCGCTAACCATCAATTATTTATTTATTTAGTCAATTTTACGAGCTTACCCAGCTGTAAGTTATGAAGGTCTCGTTTTCGAGACTAGCAACACAGAAGATCAGCCTCTCTATATTCCCTATCATCAGAACGATATCCTCTATCAACCAACATCGTCATAGTATACCTACTTCTAGCAAAAGCGCTATTAGATCCATCTTACTGGACATCCTCCTAGGTAAGCCCTTCCATGGGAAGCCGGGTAATGCACCTTTTATCATGGAACTACGCCGCCTACTTTCCCAAAAGCTTGTTGGCTTTTGCTAGCCGATACGAGGTGCCGAGTCGGTCCAATAGTTGATCGAGTGGCTAACCAATTGGGGAGAAACACATTTTATAGCGAGGGGCTTGGATTCCAATATCGAGGAAAATTCCCCATAGAAGAAACAGGATAAGATTGTGATAATCAAGCAAGCAGTTGAACATCATACAGTCATTCTCGAAATCGGGTTGACCCACAAACATATTATGATTGTTTTCTGGCCTCACTGCCAAGGCCATCGTGTGAACATAATTATTAAGCAAGCCATCTTCAATTGAGGGCAAATGTAAATCAAGTTGTCTACTGTAAAACATGAAATGTTTGAGGTTCTGAATCATTGTACATATTTTCCTAACTCGGTCATTAATCTGTATACATACATTGTACTATGTCAATAAGCTTGCTTCTTCGCAATTAAATTCCCGAATAAAGGAACTCCAAATAGTTTAGTGAAATGATCTACAATTAGAGGCGGCAGATTTAAGAGCCATGGTTCCTGTGGAGAGAACCTAGTCTCTTAAAGTCACTGGAAACTGCCTCAATTCCGCCCAATCAGTTAGATAATTAGTCCAGTTCCCCGTACAGAAATCTTACGTAAAGTCCAATCACCCGGACACAGTGCGACAGGTCTCCGTGGACAGTCGTGAACCCCCACAGCATTGCCGATCCTGTGCAACAGAACTCCAGTCTCTACTCTGTGGCAGATGACTATGTGGTATCAGCGTTCTGCCTCTAGTATCCAGGAAATTTTTTTTTCCCGCTCATAACCGTTAATAGATGTTTTTTATTGTCTGACGAGGCATAGAACAGGAGTAGCGTAGAGCCGCGTGTACTGCTCCATGAACCGAGATAGTCTTCGCACGGTGCTCCGTCATCTTAGCAAACTGCCCCATAAAGTTATTTGTCGCTTACGACAAGGCTGTAATGAACAGGTAACTTAATATACTATTTGCAGGCAAACAGTCGAAGTAGATCAGAAAGAGAAGCCCCCGGCGGCTATTTAGCCAATAGGGCATCTCCAGCAATCCGGCCCAGTTCAGGCCTCCGATGCCTTTACACAGCCACGCAGCGATGAGTGCGAAGATTGGCTGTTGCTCAGAGGCGCTGTAATGCATCATGACCAAGCCGAAAGCGCTTAGCTAAATAGCCTGATAGGTGCAATTCCCAGTGCGCCAAATCTCCTTTTCGAAAGGCTTCTTTCGAAATTCACTCCTCCCAACACCTGATTGCGGCTCGATCAAATCGATAGACCAGGATGCTGAACCACGGCGTCCGGCTGCTGGCCCTGGACGGCGGCGGCGTCCGTGGCCTTTCCGCGCTGATGATCCTCCAACAGCTCATGGAGGCCATCAACCCGCACGCGCCGCCAAAGCCGTGCGATTACTTTGACATAATCGGTGGGACAAGCACCGGCGGGTGAGTCGCTGCGGTGGATGGACATTAGTAGCCTTGCTGACTGACCAGGCTGATCGCGATCATGCTCGGCCGGCTGAAGATGAGCATTGACGAGTGTATCGACGCATATCTGAAGCTTTCGGACAGAATATTCCAGAAGAAGCGGCACAGATTGACGATTAAGGGCAAAATCCAAGGGCGATTCGACTCGGAGGAGCTGGAGCGGGCGGTGAAGGAGATCATCACGACGCAGGGCCTGCAGGAGGATACGCTGCTGAAAGACGAACCGGATGCTGCTTGTAAAGTGTGAGTTTGGCTCAGCCCTCTGCGACGTCATACCTGAGCCAAGCTAACGATACTCCACAGGTTCGTATGCGCAACGAGAAAGCAGACTAGGGGCATACAGTGCCTCACGAGCTATCCATCCCCGCGCGGCAACAACGACCTCCTGAACAGCGTTAAGATATGGGAGGCCTGCCGTGCAACAGCGGCAGCGTCGTCCTTCTTCGACCCGATCGAGATCGGCCGATACAAGGAAGAGTTTGTGGACGGAGCAACAGGCGCAAACAATCCAGTGATGGAGCTGTGGAACCAGGCCCAGTTGATGTGGGAACCGGAGCCGGCTGACGGCAAGGTTCAGTGTCTGGTCTCGGTCGGAACAGGTGTCCCATCACTCAATGCCTTTCAAGATGACGCTTTGGGTATTTGGGGAACTTTGAAAGACCTGGCCACCGACACAGAGCAGACTGCCGAGAAGTTCCGACGAGACAAGGCATACTTGGACAACAGCAGTCGCTACTTTCGCTTTAACGTGAGCCGCGGATTGGAAAACGTTGGGCTTGAAGAGTCCACAAAAATAAAAGAGATTGCGTCGGCGACGCGGGAGTACGTTGAGTCACAGGAAGTTTTCAAGCAGATGCAGGCATGTGCGGGCAACCTGGCAGGCCGAGGATGTAAGTAGTTACCTCGAGCTAGAGGGCATTTATGTACCTAACTCGCTCTTCGTAGATGCTGGAGAGTATCAAACAAACAAATGGCGGTCAAAAGCCAATCAGACTGATGTAAGTGACAATGAATGAAGTTAGTCAAGCTTTTATCGACTAATTTTTTAAGCTCCCTTTTAGAATGCTAAGTGATGAAGAAATCCAGTGCTTACGAGCGCTACGGACTGTAGAATATGAGAAATTCAAAAACCGCAATCCTGATCGCCTTGAGAGAACATGCGAGTGGTTTTTGAGGCATGAACGTTTCTACGAATGGCGGGAAAGAAGTTCAGGGCTTCTTTTAGTGTCTGCGGATCCAGGATGTGGAAAATCAGTTCTGGCCAAGTCTTTGATCGATCGAGAAATCAAATCCACCGAATCTCGAACCACTTGCTACTTTTTCTTCAAAGATGACGATAAAGAGCAGAAGAGCTTGACAATCGCATTCTCTTCATTGCTACACCAGCTCTTCTCACAGAAGGAATCACTTATTCAACATGCCATGCAAGACTACACAACAGAGGGTGATAAACTACCAAAAAATTTTCACAAGCTCTGGGGCATCCTTGTTAAAGCCACATCTGACCCAAAAGCTGGAGAAGTGGTCTGTATTCTGGATGCTCTCGATGAATGTCCTGAAGCAGAACGATATCAAATTATTGACACCCTGAGCACATTCTACAGGCAAACTCAGAGTAGCAGTCAACTCAAATTCCTCGTTACCAGCCGCCCTTACTTTGATATTGAAAGGAAATTCGCTAGCCTTATTCGACACTTTCCTACGATCCGCATTCATGGCGAAAGAGAATCGGAAGCTATTAGTCGCGAGATTGATGTTGTTATCAGATCAAAAGTCTCAGAACTTGGACAAGAACTGGAACTTGACTATTCCGAGCAATCAGCACTTCAAGATGAGCTCTTAGCTATGGAGCATCGGACCTACCTCTGGCTGAAACTGTTGGTTGACGTGATCCGCGGCGAAGTCGATCCAACAAAAAAGCGGCTAAAGAGAATTATCAACACACTTCCAGCTACAGTCGATCAAGCATATGAGTCGATCCTGTTGAAAGCCAAGGATCAGAGAAGAGCGCGGAAACTTCTCCATATAATCGTCGCGGCCAGAAGGCCACTCACACTAAAAGAGATGAGCATTGCTCTAGCTATTGAGGACCACAACCGATCGTACGAAGACCTTGACCTTGAAGTTAAAAACGAGGCACGCTTTGCAACAACAATCAGAAATCTTTGTGGCCTCTTTATCAACATCATCGATCAGAAAGTCTATTTGATCCACCAAACCGCGAAAGAGTTTCTTGTTGCGAAGGATCAGGCGCTTCTCGGCAGCTGGAAACATTCCCTCAGCCCGATGGAATCCGAGTTTCTCATGGCCAGAATCTGCATCACCTATCTTATGCTTAGAATCTTCGGGGACAATTTCCAGGACGACACGGCACACGACAGGGATGCTATCAAGCAGTATGGCTACCTTGAATATGCTGCTAGTTTCTGGGCTACCCACTACAAAGAAGCGCAGAGTAGAAAGTCTGACGAAACATTACAATTAGTTTTCACACTCTGCGACAGTCGATCCCGGCGGTTCCAAATTTGGTTCAACATATACTGGAATACGGCTCACCCATATGAATCAGCTCCACAGCTAAACAATATTAGTGTGGCATCGTATTTTGGCTATGATGATATCGTCAAGCAGCTGCTCGATGCTGGGGCCGATATCGAGTCAAAGGATAGTAGATATGATCGGACGCCTTTGGTATGGGCCTCTATGAAGGGGCACGAGGCTATCGTCAAGCAGCTGCTTGAAGCCGGTGCTAATGTCGAGTCAAAAGATAGTAAATATGGTCGGACGCCTCTGTTGTGGGCCACTATGAATGGGCACAAGGCTATCGTCAAGCAGCTGCTTGAAGCAGGTGCTAATGTCGAGTCAAAAGATAGTAAATATGGTCGGACGCCTCTGTTGTGGGCCACTATGAATGGGCACAAGGCTATCGTCAAGCAGCTACTTGAGGCTGGGGCTAATGTTGAGTCAGGGGATAGTATAGGTCGTCGGACGCCTCTGGAATGGGCCGCTGAGAAAGGGTACGAGGCTATCGTTATGCAGCTGCTCAAGGCCGGGGCCGAAGTTAAGTCGAAGGTTTATTGGTGGAACACACTCGCGGCCTCTGGCGCAGGCCGCCATAAACGGGCACGAGTCTATCGTCGAGTAACTACTCGAGACCGGGGCTAACGTTGGGTCGAAGGACATTTTGGGTCGGGCACCGTTGTCATGGGACGCTGAGAAAGGGTACGAGGCCGTCGTCGAGCAGCTGCTCGAGGCCGAGGATAATAGTAGTGGACAACGTCATCATTGAATGCTTAACCACCTTCCCACCCTCCTTCTATCGCATTTATCATATCTTTATAGACTTAGAATGGAGTGACTTCAGATGCCTAAACCGTGGATTTGTCTCCCGATGGGGTGCGTCTCTCGACTCAAGGGCGGAGGTTAGACAATATGCTCAAAACCAAGAGATAGAACGCGCTCTGACATCGCTAGTTGCTCTAAAGCATAAATTCAGGACGGTAGTAGGCAAAACCCAACATTACTTCAAACTTTAATAAGTAGGAGTTAACACAGAGGAGGAAATGAACCTAATCTTGGCTACTGCTATTTTAATCTCAGCTCGATTCTTGGGGGTAGTATTAACCAATGATTTGAGAGTTATGTCCTGTAAAATACCAAGAGGTCGGCCTACCTCGTCTGCCGCGCGCGCGGTGGGCATATGAGGACCCGACACAGGAACGGTTCGCAGGTCCTTGGATTACTTAATAAATAAAAAAGATTTTTTTATTTTAAAAATTAGAAATTATAATAATACTTTATTTTTTTATTTAGTTGATTTTTTTAATTTTTCTGTATGAATTAAAGATATAATAGCGCGTTGAATGATATTAAATCAATATAGCTGATGTGTTTGGAGATGAGTGAATTGCTTGGTGGAGTGAATTGCTCAGTAGTGGATTATGTTAATTATCAGAAAATTGTCAGCTAGTAAATGACTTTACAAGACCAAACCCTTTTTGGCATAGTGGTTTTCCTGGTTGATAAAAATTAACTTATGCATTCTTAGTAATCTTAGGAAATTGTAATTCAGCCTCCTGTGCGCCTACTCAAATTCTAATGTTTACCTTTATGTCCCAGCTTAAGACTGATAACTGCTATTGTGCCTGTGCTTGGTTAAGAATCAACATTCCAAATTGTCCCTTAAATCGTGATGGCATAATTCTTTTCTCAGACCTTTTCGGTTCACACCTTTGTTTCTTTCCACAATTTTACTATTGACAATCTGCTGTCTACTTATTTTTCCTGGACTGCCATGACAACAGCAATGTCTCGCATGTCGCAAAAGCGACGCGCTGAAACTCCAGAAGCCCCTGCAAAACGCGCCAAGTCCACAGTCGTGAGAAGTAACCAACGAGCCGTAGCACATTTTGCTGATAATAAAGCGCTGACTACGCGACTGGATGTGTATGTCTTCGGAGAAGGCAGTTCAGGGGAGCTGGGACTGGGGCCAAAGAACGCAGTTGACGTGAAGAGGCCCCGGTTGAACACAAACCTGGATGCGAAGAAGGTTGGGGTTGTTGATATTGCTACGGGTGGCATGCATGTTGTTGCTTTGACCTATGATGGCAAAGTACTGACATGGGGTGTAAATGACAATTTTGCTCTTGGCCGAAAAACGTCATGGGAGGGTGGAATGAAGGGCATTGATCCCACGGAAGATGATTCTGCCTCAGACACAAGCGATGTGGAGTTGAACCCATTTGAATCTACTCCAACTGCTATACCTGGGGATAACTTTCTACCTGACACTACAATTGTTCGTGTTACTGCTGGTGATAGTGCCACGTTCGCTTTAACACAACAGGGTTTGGTATACGGATGGGGAACTTTTGTGGTGAGCGAAGGTCTTGCACTCCCATTTTACCTGTGGATTAACATTATTGCAGAATAATGAGGGAAAATCTGGCTTTCTCCTGACTCAAACCAATGACATTATCAAGAAACAGACAAAACCAACACTCATCCCTGGTTTGAAGAGGATCGTACAAATTAGTGCTGGTAACAACTTTTGTTTAGCACTAGATGCGGATGGCAAAGTATACTCCTGGGGCATGTCTGAGCAAAACCAACTCGGTCGTCGTTTGATTGTTGATCGTCGTCAGAGTGCATTGGATCGTGAGGTCAAGCTTGATATCTTATATAACAGAGCCGGGCTATTCCCTGGTCTGGTGGCTCTACCAAAACGGAAGAAAATTGTCTCAATTCATGCTGGTAGTGACCACGCGTTTGCAATTGACTCCAATACTGATACATGGGCATGGGGCCTAAATAACTTTGGACAGACTGGGATTAGCACAGGCGCTGGCACTGGCGGTGCCACCATTGTGACTCCCCAGAAGGTCCAAGCACTTATGCATAAAAAAATGAAGATGATTCAAGGCGGCTCCCATCATTCTATTGGCATTACGAACGCAGGGGAATGTCTCGTCTGGGGTCGAGTAGATGGTGGTCAAATGGGTCTTGATATCAGCGCCCTGTTAATGAATAACCCTGCTGGAGTTATATTAGAACGAGGGAAACCACGCATCCTCATCCTGCCTACAGCGCTACCTATCTCGGGAAGTACGTTTGCCACGGCAGGCTCAGATCACAATATCCTCATTACTTCGCAAGGAGAGGCTTATTCGTGGGGGTTCAACACCAACTACCAATGCGGGCAAGGCTCAGATGTGGACGAAGTCTGTGTCGCGACTTTGATTAATAATTCCGCAGTTCGGGACAAGAACCTCACCTGGGCTGGGGCAGGTGGTCAATACTCTCTGTTAGCCGGACCACACCAGCAAAGTAACAAGCCATTTACACAGTACTTTCAGGGGTCTAAAAGTAGCCTAGCATAGTTGTTGAATCATGCTTCTAGATCGCTAACACCACTCCTCTTGCCTCGTGGTAAATCCTACTGACAACTGAACCTTTTCTTTCCGAAGATTCCGACGGGTCATAGGTACGCTCACAGGAATCAAGACAAGTATCCAAATATACGGGATAGTGAATCCTATGACAAACCCAACATCACCTCTACCATCCATGATAGCAATAGCAACAATGCTAATCACAAGACACGCTCCGTTAACAACCGCCCCTGAAAGAGTCCATAAGAAGCTCAATTTCTGAAAGAGCGATCGAAAACACGGACTTGCCTTCCGTCGCTCATTAAGCCGTCCTCGAAACTGCGTTCCACAGCAGGCATCCACCGCAATAACATCTTCTGCCATTGTATACAGTCCTGGACGGAGCACCTCGCCTTTGACAACGGAACTCACGCGAAAATGTGCGCGCATAGAGAGCCACGAACCCACGTCAAGAGCAAGGATGTTTAAACTCAGCGTGAGAAACGTGGATTGGTTAACGATAGAATGGACTTGAATGCTCGGATTAGTGAGTGCCGTGGCAACGATTACTTCAGCGATGGCAATCGATAATGCGATTAGCAGGCTCCACTGTGTTGCGTCTAGGCTGTATCAGCTGGGTCCGGAGACATTGCTGTATGGAAGAAAACTTGTTGTCGTAGTTGAGGAAAGTGGTTTGAAATGGTACCATTTCCAACCCAATCTCCATAGCCGAAGGAAAAATTGGACATCGAAACCAAAACCCCAGAGGGTGGAGATAACGGTGCAGGCTATGTAATAACGTAGGACTCTAGTAATTAAAAGAAAGGCATTTTTAAGGGAAGGATGAGATATCAAAGACTTACTGATCCATCGCTTCACATGAAAACCATCCCCAAGGATGTAGAACAGAGCAATTGGAATGAGAGAGTTCCAAACAAGCATAGAAACTAGCCATATAATTGCCGATCTTTTGAGTGGTTCGGAAGACAAGTCCAAAGTCGGTGGACGACCGGTTGAGCTGCTACTGCTTATGATCATATCCATTTTTACACCACGCAGTCCTGCGTTTCGAAAAATGGCTGGTGGAAAGGGCGTAGAAGGGATTTGTAGCAAAATACATAGAGTCGGGGAGTGGTTTGTTCAAAATGAATATATTACAGGTGACAAATTTTTGGAGGAGGTAGAGGGGTGAAACTCGCCCGGGTTTCCAGTGTTTTGAATGAAAAAGGAAAAGGACGGAGGAGAAGCATTAGGGTTGTATGTTAATTTAACAGAATTTCTAAAAATGGAAATATATGGATTTTATTGCCGTTATCAGAAACGCTAAAGGACATTAGCTGATGAGCTAGCTGACGCTACTGACAAGCTTTACAAGGGCTTTTTTGTTAAAGAGTCGAATCAGGAGGCAGAATATTCGAAAAATCTTTTGTCAGAATTTCGAGTTATACATGTATTACCCCGCGGACAGAAATGGTATAAATCCTCAGCTAGAGTTGCAGTAAACTCGAAAATTTTTGATTTGTTAAGCAGCAAGACTTTTTAGAAACTCAAGTGTTAATATCGATTGAAATATATTATATTGCAATCATGGCAGACGTCCATGGCACATGTGACGACGTGTTCAAACCGGTAAAGCAAGCCCTGCAAGCCAATTTCGATAATGGAGAAGACTGTATTTTGAAGGATACGTGATAAATCAACTACAAGAAGGAGCCAACGCATCCGTTTCAATTTATACGGTAGAAAATGCTCTTTCCAAGAGAGCAGTGAAAGTTAAATATCAACCACGTATATTCCCTTAAAATATTATCTAACTTTATATCCACCTTATATCTGCATCTAGCTAGTGCAAGTTTGGTGCAAGTAAAGTTATCATGCTGACCTCACGATTTCGGAACTCAACACCAGCCATCGGATGACATAAGTATATATATATATACACCTATATATGTACTCGCACCAAACCTGGAATATAAAGACTGGAACATTATTCAAATACATCAAAAAGTTGATTACGCAGATTCCGAATAGAAAACCTCATATATACCAGATATATCCTCATTATGGCACTGGTGACATTTCCTCTCGCACTTTTCTCTGAAGAACAACTTCCTAAGTAATCGGTCTTCTACAAGCTACTGAGCTGCTACAACTACTAACTATATGCATTCAGAGAACCCCCAGATGTCCCCCTCAATGTCCTCCACCGTATCAACGAACTACGCGGGAGATACACTCGGCATACCTACAAAGAAACCATCCCGGCGATCGTCACCGCCTGCCTTTCTGGTGCGCGGATGGTTGAACAAGACTAGATGGGCTACTGGATGAGATTACTAGTTTTGTCAGCACGGAAGGTTGCACGCCTAGGGCCGAGGAGGGGTGGGCGAGGGAGAGGAGAGGAATAGTCACTAGAGTATGTGTTTATGGATAATAAAAAGGGAGGCCTCTCAGTTAGCTGTTATTGTAATCAGACAACTACATCATGCATCAAACTCTTGAATTCAATAAACGGCACAATTTATTATCTTTATCTAAACCAAACTGGAAAACCAACTAATTGCTATACGCCGTGGGAGTCCGCTTGTACACCACCACCGCGGTGCCATCTTTCAGATACTCGCGACGCGGCTCTAGTCTATACTTGCCAATCGCGGGCGCTGCCACCCACCAGACAAACCAGTAAACAATGGAGGCCGCCAAAATGCCAATACCGACAACCGAAGACAGCCAGTAGGGCAACGACGTATCACCTTTACCGCCGGGCGGACGCAGAAACGGCGCAACGAGTTGGAAGGCTTGCGCAACCAGGAAGAAGGCGGCAATTGGCCACCAGACTTTGAATGGGCGCGGAAGATCGGGCTTCTTCCATCGCAGGTAGAATAGACCCGTCACCACGAGGAAGTTCACCACGCTTCCGGGATAGCCCTCTAGATCGATGATGAAGCTGTAGGCGTCGTTGAAGGGGATCGCAATGAGGATGATGAAGGAAGGGATGAAGTGGAGTAACAGCCCCGAGGAGGGCGAGCCAAAGGGCCAGCTGGAGGCCCAGAATTTGGGGAAGGGGATGACGCCTTCCTTGGCGAGTTCTTGGTTGACACGAGATTGCGCAAAGGTGACGGTTAAGACGTTTCCAAGAGCAGATATGGCGACCAGGACACTGGAGAAAGGGTCAGATAAGGGTTAGAGAAAGGTCGGACAGATTCTTACCTCAAGGCTCGCTTGGCAGCACTTCCAAAGACTTTGCCCATGAAGTACGAGGCCACAGTGTTGCCGCTATGTGCAATTTCTTCGGGAGTCGCTGCGGCAAAGTATGAAATGTTGCATAGGATATAAAGGATGCCACAGACAGTTAAGCCTAGCGGGCCGGCGATTTTGACCGTGCGTACGGGGTTTTTGACCTCGTTCAACACATACATGGGATTGGACCATCCAGCATAAGAGTTCAAGACTTTGAAAAGCGCCGTCGCGTACAGGTTCCCCGATGTCGCTGAACCAGCAAAAGCGTTGCGGAAGCTCGCATGAGGGTCTGGGATATGAGATATGCCGCCACCCAAGACAACCCATCCGGTAACGACAATGAAGAGCAAAACGACAATCTTAATCACTCCGATCACGTTCATCCCGCGTACGCCCCAGTTCGGAAGGAATGTATGCAGTAGAGTCACCGAGACGATGACTGCAATGGCAATACCACGTTCCTCCCATTCAGTAACGACATGGTCAGCGGCTACCAGGATGTAGGATGCAAAGACCACGCATCCGGAAGCTGTTCCAATTAGATCAAGACTTCACGAGCACAAAGGGACCTCTTGCGTACCGGTAAAACCAAGGCAGATGGCTTGAACGGCAAAAAACACCGTGATAAGAAGTCGGGGTCTCTTATACACAGCCTCGAGATAGACCTTCTCCCCACCACTGCGAGGGATCATGCATGCGAATTCAAGCCAGACGCAGAGACCAGCAGCACACAAAAACAGGCCCAAGACCCAGAACATGAGCGCAGCGCCTACACTCCCCAAGCCCTGCACTATCGACCCTGGGGTTGAGAAAATACCCGTGCCGATAATACGGCCGATACTGCGCACGGGAGTCAGCATTACACATACATTACTCGCACATGGGATGATATCGACATACACCAAAAACGTCGTCGAGACGAGCCCCAAGTGCCGGCCGAGACCTCCCTGGGTGTAGTCGTCGAAAGCCAGCGCGCCGACATCGTTTGGCTTGGGCAGCGATATATTGTCCACATTGCTTTCAACAAAGGGTTCAGCGCCCTTGACATCTTCTTTGGACTCGTACGACGCCATGACGAGGCAGTTAAGCAGTCAATCAATCAATCCGACTGCGATGGAGGTCAGGATCAAGAAGACTTAGAAGTCGCACCGTTACACAGAGTGCAAATTCTGCAAGGGTGTAAGCCATGCTGGATGTTATTATAGCCAACGTGCAGGCAGGCTCTAGCTGCATACGGATGCAGCAAGCTGATAACAGTGCGGGCTCTAATTGCGTGCTCTGGACAAAGCGACGCCGGCCCGCTTTGGATCCTCCTGCATCCCCATACTTGTACTTTTTTTACTCTTAGTCGTGCTGGGGGCCAAAGCTAGACCCTAGTTTTTTATTGATCTGCCCTCTTAGGAGCAGGGGATGAACTTGCGAGTTTTTCTAGAAGTTTTGGCACGCGACGCCCCTATTCGAGTGGGGCAAGCGTCGTGTACTTCCTACTGAGTCTCTGACATGCAGGTGCAACCTCGCAATGCCTTACCGACATAGTGTTGTACCAATGCAGAGCTGCACAAAAGACTCATCTCAGCCATCTATCACGCGAATGCGCCGTCGCTTGGACTGACTCGAAGATAGCCATACTGCCATCCTGCTATAGTCTGGTGCGTAGTCGTTGACAACAGCGTTCTCAGCTGCCATAGGCTATGCCATGCCGACAACAAGAGATCATATCGGACTCCGTGATCGTGGGATCTGTCGGTATGTCGGCTTCGGAACGGACCGATTGGGGGGAGGGATCCTCACCATTCAGCTGTCTGCCATTAATAATTCTTGACCGGCGCTGTTGTTTACTATTGACTACGGGTTGATATTAATAACCACCAAAGCTTAACTAACTTGTGTGTGGCGGAGGGAAACAGTGATGCGGCTGATGCCACCGGGCGCGAGAATGGCGTCAATCAGGCTTGAAACAAGTAAACAACATCCTTGTCGATAAGACAGCTATCTCCACGTGATGATAATGTCACAGTCAACTACAGCAGAGAGGAACGATCAGGATATTTATATTATTAGTATGCTAACCGTGGATGGACACCTGTCATCAGCCTAGCTGGCTGTGTGATTGGCCAATACATAGCTGGTACTATTAAATGCCTGCAAGCCTCTACGTCATGTCCGCGGCCTTACCCACTTGTGACGTCGGTACCAGCCCAGTCGTTATACCATTATATACCTGATACAGTGTCAACAGTATGTGATTGATTCAGGCACTACCTGTTTACTGTGCTTTATGCGATGATGGCTTCTATCACCATTAACGCCCCCGGCAATGGGCTCGTATACAACACTTTTCTAAACACCCAGCTATCAACGCCCCGTCTATGTATCACATCAGAAGAAGACGAGTTTGACGCAGAGACTATTCGCAACTGGCAGAACGAAGGCTTTGATGTCAGCTATGTCCCTCTCAATGAAGGGGGGAAAGATTATCTCAATCGCCTGGAAAACCTGAAAGACGGACTGGGGGTGGGAGAACAGTATGCAATCGTCGGTACGTCTACTTGATTAATGAAAAATAAACAAAGAGCTGACCTGTCCTTCCAGCCTACGGAGACGCTGCGGCTTTCTGCCTGGACCACTTCCACAAACCTGCCACTGGAGCCAGACTCACGGCACTGGTTGCGTACTATCCCACCGCCATCCCCGACACTCGCACCAGGTTTCCTCCAAGCCTAAGGGTGCTGGTGCATCTGGCAGGCGAGAGTATTGACATTGTCTCCACCCCACAAGCACTAGGACTCCAGGGAAGGAAAAGGCGAATCGTCACGAGAAAGCTCGACCCGGGAGTCGGCGTTGGCGAGCGCAAAGACATTTCGTATACCGCGTTCACCTATGAATACGTGCAGCCGGGATTCGCCGAACATGACATGGACGAGTATAATCACCAGGCTGCGGAATTGGCGTGGAGCCGGTCGTTGGATGTGTTGCGAAAGGCCTTTCGCAAGGAGGCGGACTTGGAGCGGCAGTGGGAAATCAACACAGAAAGTGAGTCCAACCCTGACTCTAAACAGCCATATAAATATAAATATATATATATTTCTGACCGCTTCAGGCAAGTTTTTCAACGATAGCTTGGCAGACACAATGTCGACATATGTCACGCACAAAAACGCAGCAGTGACTATGGGCCCAACGCTCGTCGGTGGCGTAGGCTTGCGGGCACTCCGCCGGTTCTATGAGGATGAATTTCTTAGCACCAAGCCTCCGTCAATGCGTCTGCGTCTGCTGTCGCGCACGGTCGGATCTGATCGGGTGGTTGACGAAATCTACACGACCTTCGAGCACACGCTCGAAATGCCATGGATGCTCCCCGGCGTTCCAGCGACGGGGAAGCGAGTTGAAATAATCCTAATCGCCATTGTCGCGCTTAAAGCTGACAAAATCTTCACTGAACACCTCTACTGGGACCAAGCCAGCGTTCTCATGCAGGTCGGCCTGCTCGATCCAAAGTTGATTCCTCAAGGCGTAAACGGCGTCAAGAGACTCCCCGTCACCGGCAGAGAATCAGCTCGTCGACTCCTCAACGAACACCCCGCACGAGGACAAGAGTATCACCAAAGGCTCATCTCAGACGCAAAGCTCAAAACCAAGCACAAACGGGCGCAGTCCCAAAGCGAGACGCCTGAGCAGCGCAAGATCCATACGAATGGCACAAACGGGGGATCGTCCAAGACGAATGGCACAGTCTCTAACAATGTCTCTGACACCGAGAAATCGTTCAATCGGTTAGAAATCAACAACGGAACGGCCGCTGGCGACGGGAATGCCGAACCCGAGCACAAAGATGGCGACGCTGCTCCCTCGGAACGACCTTCGCTGGCTGCACGTGTTGAGTCGGAGAATTAGGCGGCCTTATGTTATGTCCGGCGTCTATATTATGATTTTTATGGCTTCAAAATGGTAATGGGTTTTAAGCGACAGATAATCTGGGTTGCCTGTGTTGCTTCGAAAGTGTATGGTATTCTCGCGACTCCGCATGCGTTCCGCGCTAAGTTATGCATTAATCATCAGTATTATGATTTGACCAATCAATGTCTAATATAAGTTACATAGTAAATTTATGCATAGACCAATGCACATCATGACCTAATCAATCCCCGCCATTCAATCACTGCATTATCTCGTCACCACGTCATACTCAACCTAAATGCTGCACAGATTTTCATCGCGCCGAATCAGAGCTGTCACTCTCTGCGGCCCTAGGCTTGATTCGTCTAGGCAAATAAGCAACTTGCATATTCCCAAGCTTTGAGATCGAACTCTACCGCGGAATCACGAAGAACCTACCGCGGCCGATTTGGTCCGAAGGGATATAGCATGGATTTGGTATGTGTGAAGTGTCGGGATTGATGGGGTTGACTTGACATAACATGGCTCATATCCACTGCGTAAATCCGGTTGTTAAGTCCAGACCCAGCATAGAAGGGTGTATAAGGTCTTAGCATGAAAGGGTATATAAGCAGTCTGGTACCCAGCATACCCTCTCAGCAACAATTGAAACCAGAACCAGACCAGAACCAGGCCAGAACTAGAATCAATCAACAAAAATGAGCGAAATCTTTTCCCCAGCCCCCGAACCTCCCACTGAGCTGGGCCGCCTGCGCGTCCTCTCGTCCACGGCGAGCGTCCACGTCTCACCACTCGCTCTCGGCGGGATGTCGATTGGCGAGGAATGGTCCGGATTCATGGGCTCGATGAACAAAGAGTCGTCCTTCGCGCTCCTCGACGCCTTCTTCGCCGCCGGTGGGAACTTCATCGACACGTCGAACAACTACCAGAACGGAGAATCCGAGGCCTGGATCGGCGAGTGGATGGCCGCCCGCAAGAACCGCGACCAAATGGTCATTGCAACCAAATACTCCACCGACTACCAGGGCTACCGCCTGGGTAAAGGCCACGCCACAAACCACACGGGCAACAGCCGCAAATCCTTACACATGAGCGTGCGCGACAGTCTCGCCAAGCTGCAGACTGACTACATCGACATTCTGTACCTGCACTGGTGGGACCATATCACGTCTATCGAGGAGGTGATGGACTCCCTGCATGTGCTTGTCGAGCAGGGCAAGGTGCTCTATCTCGGCATCTCGGACTCACCCGCCTGGGTGGTCTCGGCGGCCAACTACTACGCACGCGCGCACGGCAGGACGCCGTTTTCTGTGTATCAGGGCCGGTGGAACCTGATGCTGCGCGACTTCGAGAGGGATATCATCCCCATGGTGCGGCATTTCGGCATGGCGTTGTGTCCGTGGGATGTGCTGGGTGGCGGGAAGTTCCAGTCGAAGAAGGCCTTGGCGGAGCGCAAGGCGGGTGGGGAGAAGCTGCGGAGTATGTTGGGCGATGGCAAGCAGACGGAGGCGGAGGAGAGGATTTCAGAGGCATTGGCGAGTGTCGCGGAGGAGCATGGGACGGACTCGGTGCAGGCGATTGCGTTGGCGTATGTGCGGTCGAAGGCGCCGAGGGTGTTTCCGCTGGTGGGCGGGCGCAAGGTCGAGCATTTGAAGAGTAATATTGATGCGTTGAGTATCAAGCTCACACAAAAGCAGATTGAGTATTTGGAGAGTGTTTCGCCGTTTGCGCCTGGCTTTCCGAATAATTTTCTGGGCCAGGATCCCAGGGTGAGTGGTGTGGCGGGTGGGATGTTGGCGGCTGCCGTCAAGTTAGGGTTTGAGGAGTCTGATTATCAGTATGCTTGACCACACACTTGTATGACAAAAGTGTTGAATATAGTATCTCCATTCTCTTCTTTTCATCTGCATTTACGCCAATTTATATCGGTGTACATATGGTACATATGTATAAGAGAGGTTGAAGTATGTAAGAAAGTAGTATACACTACCTAATCTATCTATGTCAGACTAAACGAAAAGAAGACGAAAGCTAAACGAAAAACTTGATTTCGGTCTCCTTCAACTTGCCCTCTCCAACCAACCGCTTGGCCTCCTCAGTATAAACACCCTTGACGGCGCCTCCATCGGTCCCAGCCTTGCTCAGCTTGGCAGCCAGAGCAGCAAGCTCCTCGGGGTTGATCTTGCCCATGATAACCTCGACATCATTAAGAACAGCGTCGACCTGGGCCGCCGAGGCATCGCCGCCCTCAGCAAAGTAGTTGACGTCCTTGACACTGCCTTTGAGAACACGCTTGTTCTTCTTGGCTGCGTTCTTGGCGGCTTCCTTGCTCTTTTTGTTCTGCTCGCGCTCGGCCTTGGCTGTCTCTTCGGCTTCCTTCTTTTTGCGCTCCTCCTCCTGCTTGGCCTTCTCCTTCTCCTCCGCAAGCCGCTTCGCCTCGGCCTCCTTCTCAAGCCGCTTCTTGTCCTTTCCAGCACGCTTTGCCTGACGGAACTTCTTGATACGCGCGTCCCCAGCAAGCGCATCATCGACAAGCTTCCGCAGACGAGCCGTATCCTCCGTCTTCAGCTTACGGCGCGCATTGGCGTTTTTACGCTCAACGTGGCGTTTCTGGTCACGGTTCTCGTTGTCGTCGGGAACATCCTCGTCCTTGTATTCGAATGTCCGCCAGCTGTCGAAATTGTACCAGAAGTTATAAAACTCCTCGACATGCTCTTCAGTGCTATCCTCGTTACCAATCATAGGCACAGGATGCTTATTGGAAAAGCGAGCCTCGGACTTGAACACCGGGTTCCATAGTTTGAAGAAATTGCCCTTTTCGACCTGCTTTTTGGTTGGGGGCTCGACATCCGCCTCTTCGTCGACGGAGTCGAATTGGCGACGCTTGGTCGGGTCGAGGAGCACCTCTGTGGCCTTTTGGATACACTTGAAGAAGCTGTCGTTTTCGTCGGTCTGGCCTGCTGCGGCCTTCTTGTCGGGGTGATGGCGCAGGACCTTCTTGCGGTGGGCACGCTTGATTTGCTCGGGTGTGGCTCTGTAGCGGTACTTGCTGAGACCGAGGACAGCGTAGTGGTCTTGGCTCTGCTATCATTAGATACATTAAAAATATAATCAATGTTGAAACTAACCTTCCAGTCCTTAGCATCGCGTTGCAACATCATCGGATCCTCGGGCTCGGAAATCTCGTCATCCTCGTCGTCGTCGACCTTCTTGACATTCTTCTGGGCTTGAATGCGCTCATCTTCGGAGAAAGTACGGCCATGACGTTTCTATAATACATCAGCTACTCAACCTTCTCCATAAATTTAATATAATTAATATAACTAACCCGTCTGGCATGGGCCAAAAAGTGCGGACCGACTGGCTCGACGTTGCGTTGGGTAGCACTGGACAGCGCAGAAAGCACCTTGTAGTCCTTCTCAGCGCTCCAGCCCGCAGGTAGAGCCGGGAGCGAAATATCGACGACCTTGGCAGCAGCCATTGTTAGGGACGTGGATAGAGAGGCAGGTGGAATTGTGATGATTGAAGAGGGGTGTTTTGTGTATGTTCGCTGCGGGTAGAAAATTATTTTTTCCCTCCGATCCGAGTCGGCCAATCAGCGCCGGCAGATTTCGGAGACTATCTTCTGTCAACGCATGTTCAAATATCGAGTGCCATACTACAGCATAGTTGAATTCGCGACACTCCAGTCGTTGACCTATAAAATGGCTACAGTCTCTGCTCTTTCGGCCTACCGACAAGTACTCCGCGCGACACGCATTGCTTTCAGAGGTGTGTATCTTACCTTCTATTTTCTTTTCCCTATTCTCTCTTCGTCCTGTAGATCCTGATTCCTTAACACGACAGATGACTTCACCATCCTCACGGCCGCTCGCACCGAAGCCCGCAAGCAATTCGACGCACACAAACGCACCGGTGTCGACACACCAATGCAGATCCAACACGCTGTCGAGGCGGCGAGTATTCTGAGACACAACATTGTGCAGGGAGCGCGAGATGCAGAGGACCAGAATGGGAAATGGGGTGAGTCTTCAGAATACGGAGGTGTTAAGATGGACTTGCTAATTATGTGCTAGAGCTCCGCATTCATGACGAGATCGAACGAGGGGATAATGATTCAGTCAAGATCGACGGGAAGAATGTCAAGGTTGATAAGCCTTGCTCGTCATAAACCCGATACGTCCTCTGTACATATTCATAATCAGGAGTTAGGCTGCATGGGAGATCTGTACTATAGTTGATAATAGCATTATTTTTTACAAATTGGGTTGGCTATGAGCAAGGACATGATCAGATTAATATGGGATATAACGTAAGATACATTCAAAACGCCCGCTATGCACAGCTTGATAAATACAAATCCGTCCTAATCTCCAGACAAACTGGCATATTGTACTTCGCCGCTCCCAGGAGGAGGAGCAATGGCATGGCTCTGCTCTGCTGCCTCTGTCTGTTCTGTCTGTCCTGCAGCAATGGCCCGCTGGCCAGAAACAGGTCCAACAGCCTGTCGTCCTTCACGAGCATTCCGCTTCCGTTCTTCATCTGCTAGACTATCCAACGGCTTGGGCTTACCCCATCGAACACGCAGCGGACAGCCCTTAATAACAGCCTTGCCCTGACACTGCGCCGCCGCCGCTTCAGCCGACGCACGAGTCGCATAGTTGATAAATGCACAATGAGCGCGGTGCGAGCACACCAGTGATCGCAACTGCCCAAACTTGCTGAAAAATACCCGCAATTCATGCTCGGGCAGATCGTCCTCCACGCCAGTAACAAACAGCGATGTCACCTTGGGATCAGCCGGCGGCTTGATATCCTCTTCTGACGGTGGCAGCTGGGCCGCAGAAGGAAACGCCCGTCCTCCTCCCCGGCCTCTGCCTCCCCCTCGTCCACCTCGCCGACTATCACTCGTGCGAATCGGCCCCGGACCATTGCCATATGCATTGCGCCTCGGTGCTTGCTGCTGCTGCTCAGTCTTCTCGTCATCCTGCGCAACCTCGATTCTACGTTGTTTCTTGTAATACGGCTCACTATTCGCCAGTCTTTTCAACAGCTCCCGCGCCTTTTCGTCGGTCTTTTCGTACGCCTCGACAGCACCACGCCCTTCCTCGATTTCCTTCTCGTGCTCTTGCGCGTAATATTCCCTGTTTATGCCGCTTTGTGGGCCCGGCGCAACCATTTTCAGCGCGGCATCACGCACGACGATGGGCAGGCCAAACGACAGATCGAGCATGCAGCACTGACAGCAGTTTTTCAGCCGCGCGCACGTCAGGCAGATGTTGGTCCGCTTGGTGCGTGTCGCGCGGTCTGCTTTCCAGCGGAATATGGTGAAGGGGCGTGTGCACTAAATAAAGTGTTAGGTACTGATGTGTTAAAGGGAAAGGTACTGACTTACGATCTTGCATTCGGCGCCGTGGTCTTCTTTTATCATCTGCACATACGGGTTCTCGGGCAGGCAGTTCTCGCAGACGGAGGGGAAATCGGTGGTTTCCCACCCAGAGCGATTGATGTCCTGCTTTATCTGGGGCGGCATGTTGTGTATGATATGTTTGATATGTTCTGAATTATGTATGGGTGGCGGGCGGAGAGAATTATTATCGATCCACACCGCGCCACCAGATGCGCGCCATAGTGGCTGAGAATAGTAGTCAGGTGACCTCACGTGCTTTTTGTCACATGCTATTATGTTAGCGGAGCCCTCGGACTCCGCAGCCCCCAACGCGGGCCCAATCAGGGTACAATGTGTGGCGGAACCCGCGGCCGCCGAGATTCCTGCTGCTCCCCCTATCGCCCTGATAGGCTCCCAGAATTTCTTCTCCAGCTCGACCTTAGAATCTGCGTCTTCCACGTTTGCCCATTGCTTATAACTTGCTCAATTGCATCAATTCACTCTTGTTCCTCCAGGCTTGTGCTGATTTGTGCTGATTGTGCTGGGAGAAAGAGCTGTTGCGCAGGACCTCAATCGCCACTGCAAGTCATTCTTTTGTTTTTTTCAGCAAAGTCTTCCTTATCCTCGAATCCCTCCCACATACCCCTTTTCGCCAGCAACTTTTCTCTTTTCTCTACCTTCGCACACGATGTCTCCAGCAAAGTTGGAAAGTGAGGATCACAGCCGTGATGCTGCCTTCAACAAGGCTATGCACGGAAAGTCTTCTACTGCCGCTGGCGGTTTTGCTGCCATGCGCAACAAGGACGAGAAGGCCCATAAATTGGCTGTGGATGAATACTTCAAGCACTGGGACAACAAGGCAGCTGCCGACGAGACAGACGCTATCCGTGAAGCTCGACGAGCTGAATATGCTACCTTGACAAGACAGTGTGTATACCTATAATTTGTATCTTGTCGCATTCTAATAGTTACAGCTACTACAACCTTGCCACCGATTTGTACGAATATGGATGGGGATCCTCGTTCCACTTCTGCCGTTTCGCTTACGGAGAGCCCTTTCACCAAGCTATCGCTCGTCATGAACACTACCTTGCCCACGTCATGGGTCTGAAGGAGGGCATGAATGTGCTGGATGTCGGATGCGGTGTCGGCGGCCCTGCTCGCGAAATTGTCAAGTTCTCTGGTGTCAATGTCGTCGGCTTCAACAACAATGACTACCAGATCCAACGCGCCACTCGCTATGCTGAGCGCGAGGGTCTCTCCAAGAAGCTCACTTTCCAGAAGGGCGACTTCATGCAAATGCCCTTCCCAGACAACAGCTTCGATGCCGTCTACGCCATCGAGGCTACCGTCCACGCGCCCAGCTTGGAAGGTGTCTACAGCGAGATCCGCCGCGTGCTGAAACCCGGCGGTATCTTTGGCGTTTACGAATGGCTGATGACAGACGAATATGACAACGCCAACGCCGAACACCGCGAAATCCGACTGGGAATTGAGCAGGGTGACGGTATCTCAAACATGGTGCGGATCTCCGAGGGCCTGGACGCATTCAAGGCCGCCGGCTTTGAGCTTCTCCACAACGAAGACCTGGCTGACCGCGACGACCATGTGCCCTGGTACTATCCTCTCGCCGGCTCGTTCAAGCAGATGCAGTCACCATGGGATATCTTCACCATTGCTCGCATGACATGGTGGGGCCGTGGATTGGTCCACCGTTTCGTCGGTGCCCTCGAAACCGTCGGCGTTATGCCCAGAGGCACGCAAAAGACCGCCGACAGCCTGGCTCTCGCTGCCGACTGTCTCGTTGCTGGTGGCGAGAAGAAGCTATTCACTCCTATGTACCTGATGGTAGGCCGCAAGCGTGAATAGACCCCTCATATATCATCATCATATCTTGTATTCTGTAATTGCATTATCCTTTTTGTTGTTTTCATTTGTCATGCAATCACGATTCATTTGTACCTCGAAAAACGACCTGCATCTAATATTCTTTATTCTTATTCTTCTTGTGAAGTACTTGTATCATCGATTAGCTTTTTATATATTGGGACTGGGACGAGGTCGGATTACTTACACTTACGAGGAGACTCAGGACTTAATGATAAAATCATTTCTTATCTACGTATTACTCAAACATTCCGGAACAATAGGGCATGCTCTCATGCATTACAATTTATCTATATATCAAATACGTGTAATGCTAACACGCGCAGCACAGTGCCACTTTAGGTCATGACGATCAATGAGCAAGGCCTGAATGGGCCAGGGAATCAGGGAGAACACTGAATAGCACCATGGGCCTCTTCACTAAGTATTTTAATATGCTCATTATTTTTAGATCGAGACTATTGTCTCCGCGATCTGTGTGGGCTTTGACTGCAATTCTCTGGTTGATGATCATATCATACTTTATATTAGGCCATCACCGATTGGTTTCGTTCGAATGATTTCTGACCTCGATGAGTCAAGCATCACAAATTATAGAACTTGACACCATCTACAGACTCTGCGCTTGTATAATAAGTCCATGGGAGTAGAGTACCGGAAAGAATGCTCGTTGACAACTAAGAAATGAAGCTTTAGCACGAGTGGATCATATGGGTGGAACAAACCTTTTCTCCGTAAACTAGCCCTGCCAATTCAATTCGACTGCCTCCGCCTGCTCGGCGCGTAGTTTTCAACCCAAGAATAGTTTCGGCCTTGACAGATCCTCAAAAAACTACTTGCATTAAGCAATATGCCAGCAAGTGTTAGCTACACCCCACTGTAATATGAAAAAAATGCTGAAACGTTCCGTCACATGCGTAGGATGTTGTGGATTTTGAGGTCAGCGACACGTCTGCGGTCGTCATAACTAATATGGCTGTGTAAAGCAATCCTGGCTATTGTTGACATGGCCGGCTTTCACAACCTGTCATGACTGCTTCCGCTTCCCTCTTCTATCCCTAAAGCTAAATTTCGTTCAAGCATGACATACCATGTATTCAGTGTATTCTCTTCGACCGTTATAAAACGACCTATAGTGCCATAGACCGTCCTGCAGGCGTCTATCACCTATCATATCACATCAACCTATTCAACGTCGCCTCGAATGGATCCGATCTTATATGTTTCTACCATTGATGCTGAGCCTCTTCATCGCTATCGAGAAGGAGGCTATCACCCCGTTGCCTTGGGGCATATATTGAAGGAAGGGAGCTACAAGATACTGCATAAATTGGGATGGGGAGGTTACTCTACCGTGTGGGCTGCGAGAGATCAGAGGTTGTATTCACTGCACTCAATACCTAGCTAAATGAAACTGATATATTTCTAGGGATGAGACCTATGTTGCCATCAAATTCTCTGTTTCAGAAAGTGAGAACGATAGAGGAAATCGAGAAGTCCGTGTCATGAAAAAATTAGCATCCATTCACCCCAGTCCTCAACACGTGATGTGCATTCTTGATGATTTTGAGTTAGAAGGTCCAAATGGAACTCATAAATGCCTCGTCTTTGAATTGCTGGGACCTAGCGTTACCGACGTTACTGATGCGCACTTTCCCGATGGTAGGCTCCCCGGAAAGCTCGCTAAGAGTGTTGCAAAACAAGCTTTCATCGGGCTCGACACATTGCACCAACAGAAAATTGGCCACGGAGGTAGGGTCCACACATTTTTGACCTCCAGAGTACTTCAGAATAGTGCTTATTGGGTTTAGACCTACATACTCGCAACTTGGCTTTTACCATGCCTTGCTTGGACGATTTACCTGAGGGCGAATGTATTGAGAAATTAGGGAAACCAAAAATTGGCTATGTCCAAAGAAGGACGGAAAATCACTAGATCCCGGTGTACCAGAATATATTGTTAGACATGCGGTATATCGGTTACATCCTTGGTCGTCACTCTCTAATATCAAGATTGTCGATTTCGGGGAATCATTATTACAAAGCGCTGTTCCGCAGACTCTTCACACCCCGCTACCAGTTCGGGCGCCTGAGATAATATTTAAGGACCATCTAGATTATCGTGTGGATTTATGGAGCATGGGTTGTATGGTAGGTGGAATAGCCGAGAGCTGGAATTCATTGAGAATGTTTCTAACAGGTGTAATAGCTTTTTGAACTTTTCGTAGGCCAACCGCCATTTGACAGCTTCTTGATAACACCAACAATTCTTGTTGGTCAAATACGAGAGATGGCAAGCGATACACTACCCGCGAGATGGATGGATTCTCCAGATATTCTGGACGGTACATTTACCGCAGACGTTTCAGGGGTTCTACGTTGCAAGAATGGCTGGAAGAAATGTATTTTGACGGCGAACTCAAGGAAGATTTGACTAAAGAAGGCGTAGTTAAGTTGGGGCAAATCATTGGAAGACTGATGGATCTGAGCCTTCTTCTAGGCGAATTCTCAGAAATTGCATAGAAAAATAACGTGTCAAAACCATGGTACTTGTCACAGTTCCAAGGCGAGAGGTCAAAAACAGAAGTCTATCCATTAACAAGACGAATTCTGAAGAACTAAATCTAAGCAGGGGGAAGCTCAGGTTTATAAACCTGAGCTCCCAAACTACTCTATCTACATTTGGCTGGGCATATCCTGCAGAAAACCACTATCTGTATAGGGAGGTGGGAGATCTCCTGCAGAAATATAACTCTTGCCGGAGTTTGTCCCGCCAAACCCTAACAGTATTGACATACCGTCCATGGCGCGTTATGCCGCACTAGCTGGCTGACAGAAACCAACGTTGGAAGGCTCCTCTCATTCGTAGTCTACGGACCTGGCCGCCTGAACATCTCAAATCGCTGAAAGGCTGACATGACGTTGCTCGCGTCGCATATCATCTGCATTCTCTTTTGGTTCTATCGTCGGCATGCCCAAACATGTCTGTGACACTACCTAGCATCGTCCTCGTCCCGGGGGCTTGGACTGCACCCAAAGCATACCACAAGCTGATTGGTGCCTTGGAGGCGAAAACTTTCAAGGTTCACGTTGCAGCCCTGCCAACGAACAACGGCCAACAACCCCCAAACTCTACCTTCGATGCCGACATACAGGCTGTCCGCGAAGTCGTACAGCCTCTGGTCGACGCCGGCCAAGAGGTCATCATGCTGATGAATTCATACGGCGGCATTGCTGGAACCAGCGGTATCAGAAACCTCACCCGCAAGGACCGACAGGCGAGGAACCTACCCGGTGGTGCGGTCAGTCTCATCTACATGGCCGGATTCATGCTCAGCGAAGGGCAGACGATTCGAACAGTAGTGCAAGCCGTCAACCTCCCCGGAAGAAGCTCGCTCGTGAAATTTAGCAGCGACAACAGCACTTGGTTTCCCATAGACCCCATCTGGCTCCTGTATCACGACTTGTCACCCGAGGATCAAGAGGAGCAGGTCAAGCTGTTGAAATGGGGCAACGCTGCGATTTTGACTGGGCAGACAACCTACGCTGCATGGAAAGACATACCAACGCTCTATGTTCGATCGTTGAAGAATCGTTGGCTGCCGCCCCAGTTCCAGGACTTCTGCCTCCAGAACGCAGCCGATGCAACAGCGCCTGTCAGTGTCGCTGCCCTCGATTCTGGCCATTCGCCTTATGTCAATTTCGCGGCTGAGTTGGCCCAGAGTACTTTTGAAGCTGCGATCGATGCACGGGCCCATTTATCATAGGCTGGACGTTCGGTGCGCAGAGCGGCCATGATACTATTCTCAAGTACGATAGAGCTCTTAGGCTTTCGTTGTCAGAATGACAGGATTGAAAAAGCTTCTTTACTGTACCTCAGTCCTTGTGAATGTGCATGTTATCAGGAAGTTCCTAATATTCCACGTCATATCTGCCACGTCAGATCAGGAGCCAATCTAGGACCACACCATGTGAGACGCTCTTTATATCTGGCGGACTGCGCTTTTCGACTATCTGGAAAGCTTCGTCTACCGGCGTGAACGTTAAATAAGCGCCTAAGCGCCATAGTTCTTGCAAGAATATTGGCAAGTTATTTAAAAAGAGAGTATATAACTAAGCTTAGACTGATTTCTCTTAAAGTTCGTTGTGTCAGGATATACTCCTCTGGGGAAGCTCCGCCAAATAACCCAACACCAAGATATCATACAGGCTGATGGGAGCTCTGAAAGTGTGATGTTTTAGGATCAGGAGCAAATAAAAATTGACTCTGATGTCGTGAATGATTTTTAGTTATAATATGACATATTCTGTGTCTATTATTAGAATTGATATGTTTTTTTTTACAAATAAGGCTTGTGTGATTATAGGCAATGATATATTCTATATTTCATGTATATAGAATATCTAATTGCTCTCTTAATGGAAGCTCTAAAATTAACAAAATCTGAATGAGCCGTATGACTGAATGCAATAAAGATTTTTATTCATAGCACAAAGATAGAATTATATGCGATAAAAACATAGCTATTTGATTATTCCAAAAATCGGGGATTTTAGATGAAGCAAATAAGGCAACGATTGACTGCGGTGGAAGACATCTAGCATCCTCAAATGCAGCATACTCCACGCCAGATCATACCAAAGTGAGCATGGCAATACCGACTACTAACATTGATGGCGCAGATACTATCAGCTGACTCTGAAACAGGGGCCCTATTGATAATACTCAACAGGAAGCCATGGATATCAAGTGTGGTAAAACTATACGAGAATTCAGCTCACGATCTCTGTATGTAGCCACCATGTCCTCACCCTATTGTTGGATGATAAGCTGTACCTAGCACTGCTATCGAAACATATACAGGTATAGCCTCAATTACACCAGCTCCCAATTATACCCATATGTGCTGGCTTATTGGCAGCATTAAGAACCAGAAGGCTCTCCTTAAAGAACCTTATAAACCCTCAAGCCAGGGGGATTATCCTAAGAGCTACCAGCCGTCATCGTGTATTAGCAGTGATAACGGCACCGTGCTTGAGAAGAGCGCATTGAGACAATGGGGGAAACTATTTGTTGAAGGGGGGACGTAAGCTAGGCCGGCAGTTCACAATTTTTGAGGATGGCATACCAAGAAAGGTTATGCGAGAAGCTGGATTCGTCGACATTGAAGAGAGGAATTTCAAGGGAAGTCTCGTGTTCATCTGACAGATTATACAAGGCTCGCAATCGCCGGCTTCAATTGGCTTCCCTGCACAGATATCAATCACCCCTTCAACAATTTACGTAGTTTCGTTATTATTTAACAGCTATAACGATACGGCTTCATATCTCTTTACAATATTCTTTCTGCCGCAGCCTATTCATTGAAGCCTGGAGTCGAATCATCTGGAGAGTGACAGTGGTGGAACCTTCTGGAGCATCAGTCGCAAGCTTTTTTGCGGCATCTTTGGTGTAGTTGGTGACATTCGTTTCAGTCAATATGGATATGATAAACTTCGAGTCGAGAAGCTCTTGGTATCAGAATAGAGTTTCCTTGGCCCTACATTGCAAAATTCGGATCTAACGTAGAGCCAAAGCCGTCGAATCCGAATAGGGCAAGATATTGGTCAGAATAATCGAGCAGCGATGGTTCCAGATCTGCGAATAGAGTCAGGTCGAGAGGTGCAATATCTGGGGCGGTAATTTCGCAAGCAGTATCATTCGCAACAGCAACGTACGGCACGCCCCCGGCAGGATTGAGGGTAATGCTTTGTGACAAGTTCTGACCAAGGGGCTCCAGGGATGGTGGCTGCTGGTGAAGAATACTGTCTGTATTGACCACGCTAGTGCTTTTATAAACCGCTCCTTGCAGGCGTTCAACAAGTTGCAGTGCGTTCATCGCTAACGTGCTGCCGTCTGCCATAAAACGCAGAGCCTCTATGCCACGAGTGATGTGCAATAATTGATGGTAGGGAGAACGAAGTAAAGCGATCAGAAGCAGCATGATGATGGCCGAGCTGCACGTATGAATATCCGTAAATGAAAATCTGGCGAGCAGGTCACGGCTGTGCAACTGACTAATCCAGTCAATTACTATTGTGGCCGACTCTGTGCATCGTTCCGCCAGTTTCTGAGATCGGAGATACATCTCATTGCCTTCGGGGCTTCTTGAGCCTGCGGCTTCGGGATGCAATCGTTTGCGGACAAGACGCAATATGACTCCGCGACCCATGTTTACCCAAATCATATTATACCCGATATTGAGGTGAGCATTTGCTCGAAATGAAGACTCTTGCGCTGACAACAAGTGAGCCGGAACCGATTGCTTCCAAGATTCTAGCTTGGAGCAAGCCCAGTCAAAAGTCGTAGAGCTTTGTTCAATGGGGCTAAGCATCCATGTTAGCAATTACGAGACCTGTCGCGAGGTCGAGAACTGTGTGCGCTACGTACCCAGCGTTGATGATTTCGTCCATTATCATTGTGAGCGTGGTGAATGCGACCAGTCGATCTACTCGCTGAAAACCATCTTTATCTAGATCCTGTCGCCTTTGCGGGAGGGGGACGGTTATGTCCTTGAGTTGTAGCATGGTTGGGAGTCCCATAATAACAGATGTCTGACTAGATACATCGTTAATTTCAAGCACTTTCCTGGAATGATGCTGGTTGTCATACCGTTCAATGCTATAGATAGTCCAAAATAGTCGGACTTTCATCTCATGAGCTTGAGGTGTCTCGTCATTGCCCATTCCCATGCGATGCAACGAGAGGTTGACTGCCAGGTTCAAGGCCAGCCCCAAGTATATATGGTGGTGAGAAATGTCTTCGGTCGCAAGAAGGTACAACGATGTCAAAAGGCAGCATATCGCACTCTCGACAGAGTTAGTCGCAATGACTCGTGGCAATAGCTTCGTGGCCTGCGCAAAGAACGTTCTACCTGGGATCTCTCGGTCGGTATCGAGCAGGTTGGCCGGCCTGGATAGATGCTCGAACGTCCTCCCAAGAGCCAATACTAAGAGCACAAGACAGATGGCGGTGCATTGCTTCCGCCGCAGCGCACAAGCTTTGTTCATGTACATCTCTATGAGCAAATTGCGGAACCACTTTTCGTCAAAATAGTACCAGTTGGACTCGAGATATGTAAAGAACACGTCAACAAGGGCTTGGGCATCTTCGTAAGGTGGAAGTTGATTGAGCACAGTGAGGAGCACAAAAGCGTCCTCTTCTTGGGCAAGACTGCTTAGGTGTACGGGACTCTGTGCATATGGTTAGCCAGATCCTCCTGGGGCAAGCTTGGAGGTCACAAGGGTCACAAGGTTGTGAGCGTCACTTACATCTTGGCCCTTGACATGCACTGGTGAGATTGTGTCGGAAACTGCTTTTAGAAAGCTGGCGTGAGATGCCGAAGGCGTGCTATCTGTCAACTCAATTCAGCGGATGCTTTGGCTTGGCGAAAAATTCTTCATTTAGACGTACCGACTACTGCTGTAGCTGATGATCCAATTGACTGAGACTCCATGTTGACTCTAGGTCGAGGGGTCCAATTGAGCGAAGTGGATGACTCCCCACCAGGGCTATCACTCTCGGGGACCAATCTCAGTTCATTTCTTTGAACAGCCTCCTGGAACAGCTTTGAGATCATTGAAAATTGTTCAGGATCTAAGTTAATTCCAGGGAATCCTTCATGGAAGCTCCGAGAGACATCCATCGCCACCGTCTCCCAAACCGAGCTACGTGCCAAATGATTAGTGAATGCACTTTCTACGCAAATTAAAATGATAAGATAGGGCAATTAAAAGATGAACTGACTTGTTCCATTTCAGTGGCTCCTGTGAGCGTGTGTCGTCCCGGTGTTTGGGTTTTGTTTCGAAAATGCAGGCCTGGCCGGCGCGAGTGCAACTTCGGCACTGATTTTCTGAAGTCAGAACACACTTCTTTTTGCCATCACGACAAGAGATACATGCTCGTACGGCCCTCTTGCGCTTATCTAAAGGCACGTGCGGGCGGTATCTCTTTGATGGACGTGTTCTTGGAAAAGGCATGGTTGACCTGCTCAATCTAGTCAGTGTGATAACCAGATAAGTGTGACATCGAGTATAATGAACCATAATGAAGTATTAGATGCTATAAGTTGGATGCTTGCTGAGAGCGGAATTATTGATGGACTAAGATTTGACTTTGGGAGAGGGTTGTTAGTAAAGACGGCGCCTAATGTTTGGTATAAAACTTGACTAAGGTGGTTACTGTAAAAACGTGACATGACAAGAGTTGTCACGGTAAACGTTTGACATTTTTTAGGAATTGAAAGTGGACCCCAAAGTAGAGTGTGTTCTTATTGGTCGACTGAACTAGTCAACCAATTAGAACGCAGGTTCTCTACATGCTAAAAAATCTGGTATGAACATCTAAAATTGTACATGTTTTTTGACTGTACCTCTATATAAATATATAATCAGGTCTTCTGACGTTCTTTGCAAAATTAATAATTTTAATTATAATCTTTTTAAAATTTTATAATAACATACATGGCACCACTTCACGAGAAGCCCAAGTTCTTAAGGTTATCTAGCCTTAGATCTTTTACTATCAAGATTATGTGTTATTAGGAGAAGTTAGCTGAAAGATTTGTGACATGAAGACGCCATTTGCAGCTCTCAAATTTATTTCTTTAATCTATCTCCTAAGCAATATTGACAGTCCGATGTAGATCGGTCTTGAGCTTTGACCATCTCGACGCATGAACACGCCCATCCTTGATTGTTGCTAGTACGTGTTCCTCGGGTACGTCAAAAACGGTGATGTTTTCCAGGGGATTCACGTTCAAGATCAACAGGTCAGCTGCGAATCCCGGAGAGATCTGGCCTAAGAACTTGTCTTGTCGGAGCATTCGAGCAGCGTTGACCGTAGCGCTACGCAAGACTTCTAGGGAACTTTGAACTTGACTCCGCAATCCAAATTCTCGGGACTGCGCAAAATGTAATTGCCCAAGCAAATCCGTCCCAAAACAAATGGTTACGCCAGCTTCGGCGGCAATCTTGATAGCGTGCAATCCCTTCTCCAACACCTCCTTATTCTTCTTTGCCGAGGCTGGAGGAAGGAAACCCTCAAATTTTGCCATTGTGGCGTAAGTGATGAGGGTCGGCGTGAGAAACACTCCTTTCTCGGCCATGAGCTTTGCGGTTTCTTCGTCAATTAGGTTGCCGTGCTCAACTCCCAGTACTCCTTGTTTAATCGCCTGCTGGATAGCTTGGGGTGTGTAGGCGTGCGTGGTCACGTATGTGCCTGCGTTTGATGCGACTGTGACGATAGCCTTAATTTCCTCGTCCGAAAACTGAATATTTTCGATCTTGTCTGTCGGGCTGGCCACTCCTCCGCCACCCATAATCTTGAGAAAGTCTGCACCCTGGCGAATCTCCTCCCGGGCGTACTTCAGGCAATCGGGAACGCCATCGATGACCCGACCGACGCCTTGCGTCTCTCCGCCGCAGCACTCGTGACTATCTGTTAGCCCACGCATATCACCGTGCCCACCTGTCTGTGATAATGCGTGTCCGGCAATGAAGAGTCTTGGACCTGGATGCACATTCTCCTCGATGGCTTGTTTCAGAGGAAACAGGGCACCTCCACAATCTCTCACGGTCGTGAAGCCTCTCTCTAACATGGACCTACACACCTGTGGCTGGCGCAGAAGTGAGGCGGAGGGGTGCATCCTTTTCATCTCTTCCAGTCCCTTCGTCCCAGGAACTGCCATCAGATGAACATGGCAGTCTATCAAGCCAGGGCACACGAACTTCCCCTCCAGATTGACCTTTACCGTAGATGAATCGCCCTCCCATTCGTCGGGATTGCCATTGACAGATTTCACGACGCCATCATAAAGATGGACTGTCACGTTGGTCAACACCTGGCCTTTCACCGGGTCAACGAGATTGGCTCCTGTCAAAACATATCTTGGCCGCGGAGGGAGCTTCCAAGGAATGGTAACCTCGTCAGATAATATGGGTATCTTCTTTGCTGTCATAATAGCGCCTTATATTCGAATCTTATGGTGTGTAGAAAATGTATTGGATTTGAAAAAAGTTGGGTTGGATATATGAAGAAGAAAAGGCTTAAGGAGTCTTCAAAATAGGACGAGCAATAATGTAACTTCCCGCAAACGGCAGTAAAATGCGGGGACATACATAACCTTTGTTCCGGGTACTTGTACCCAGCTAGAGGCGGGGGAACGTTATTCAGCTAGGTCTAGAACATGTTGGTATGTCCATGTCTCGTGGCACGAGACCTGAGGTCGAGTGGTGAAGTAGGTTTGGCGTTAGCCGGGTACAAGTACCCGGCAATGGCTTTCCCCAGTCCCCAGAAAGATGGTATCCCAAACGAGATGATCTTGGGTACATGTACCCGGTAATCGCGTCGGACGATAACAATTGGGTTTCGATAACTATTTATCGGTCTAAGACCATTGGTTGGCTGAGCACTACGAGATATTCATCGTGCATTCCATTGGGTCACTGAACATCACTGCTTGGCTACTATCGACTGTGGCCTGGTCTCGTCATGTATAAGGAACGAGACAGCTCCTGCTCGAGGATCGTATACCTTCATGATACCTTGGAACGTCCAACTCGAAAGAAAATCATACCGTGTCAACTCCATTCACTCGCGATTCGCTATGACCTTAACTGAAGAGAACAAGTTCGTCGCGGAGGCAAAGACCTCAATGGACTCCGCAATTATGCATGCCAGTACAGGTGAGGCAGAGTCAAACTTGATCATGACCCCTGCCGAAGAGCGAAAGCTCGTCCGGAAGATTGACTTGCAGTAAGTAATTGGCCCCAGTGCAACATTCCGTGGTATTCTCTGCGGGACTGACAACAGAACAGCTTGATCCCACTCATGTTTATTCTGTATCTGTTCCAATATCTCGACAAGACATCTCTTGGCTATACCGCGATCATGGGTATCTTACAAGACGCAGTAAGTCTGCCTGCTACTCAGACCAGTAGGACCAATGACCAATAGTAACATTATCACAGAAACTTGTGGGGACGCAATATTCCTGGGTATCCAGCTTCTTCTACGTGGGATTTCTCGCAGCCAGCCCTCTGTCCTCAATCCTGTTGGTCAAGTTCTCGGCGGCCAAAGTCGTAGTAGTCACGGTGTAAGTTTGCCCCTCAAAAGACCGATCGAACAACTCAGGGAGTTAACACTACTGACTACGTGCCAGACTTATATGGGCGGGGATACAGATGTGTATGGCTGCTGGTAATAGCTTTGGTAGTCTTGCTGCCCTGCGCATCTTGTTGGGGGCTTTCGAGGCTGCAGTGAGCCCAGGCTTTACAATCATAACATCTACGTGGTATAAACCATCCGAACATGCCCTGCGGCATGGTCTGTGGTACGGAGGAGCCAGTGTGGCTACCATCTTCGGTGGCATTCTTGCATATGCCGTCTCCCATATTCACAGTGCAATCAAAACCTGGCAGGTGTGTAAACACTTGAGTGATAATAGCCAAGTGTCATTTCCACCCTCAGCTAATCTGTCATGCTAGTTCTTGTTTATCATCTTTGGAGCCGCTACATTTCTTTGGGGACTGATAGTCATGTGGCTTTTGCCCGACAATCCTCAAACCGCATGGTTCCTCAGTGAGAGGGAAAGAAAGATGGCTTTTGCCCGGGTGCAAGGTGCGAGGCATTCAACCGAGACCAGAAAGTGGAACCATGGCCAGATGAGGGAAGCACTAATGGACCCCCGGTCCTGGCTGCTCTTCTTGCTCTGTGTATTCACCACTCTTCCAGGCGGTGGCTTGACAGCGGTATGTAGTGCAGTATCACCAGATGCTTCTTCTACCTTTCCAATCCAGCCCACATATTCAAGTAACCAGAAGCAGTGCTAATCAGTCTATTTTGCAGTTTGGAAGCGTTGTCTTGAAGAGCTTCGGGTATAGCGTGTTGCAGACTCAACTTCTCACCATGTCACAAGGCGCATTTCTCCTGCTTTACGTCGTTTTAACCGTGGTCGTATCAGTGACTTTCAAGAACGCCCGATGCGTGTCTATTGCCCTTCTCAACCTCATATCCCTGGCGGGGGCCCTCATGATCAAGCTGCTTCCAGAGTCCCATAAGCTAGGTCGCCTTGGGGGCTATGGTTGATCACCGCCTACGCCAGCGCCTTCCCTACAATTCTTAGTCTCGTGTCTAGCAATATTACCGGACACACTAAGAAATCTACAGTCAATGGAATGCTCTTTGTTGGCTTCTGCGTAGGATACATCGTCGGCCCACTTACATTTTTACCGGGAGAAGCCCCAGCTTACAAGGTGAGTTCGGAGTGGCGTGTTCCCTTCTGTGGCAAGTACAATGTGAATTCGTACTGACGTTTCCCAGACTGCATTCAACACCATGATTGCTTGCTTCGTTCTAAATGTCACTATCATTATCGTCATGAGACAGCTGATGGCGAGATGGAACAAGAAGCGCGATCAAGAGTTTGGCGCTGAGACCAGCTCAAGTGGACAAGCTGTAGAGGACATTGCAGCTCAACTCGGCCTAGATGAGACTGATTGGGAGAATAAGAGCATCCGCTACTCTCTATAAGATCTAGGAGTGTTGAGAAGGGTGATATTTTAAGGACCCGGACTACCTATAATTCAAACTGTAAAACAAAGCCTTCCTGCAGACAGTAACATGAACGTCTCGTCACCAGCCAGCCTGTGTTACCCCATTTGTCACTGTTAGCTCGTCAAAATTACCAATTCTCTTGAATCTTCTCATTTTACAGCTCGGAGCTAATGATGGGCATCATATATTGTTTTTCAATCCAGTATTTGATGGACCTTGTCTCAGTGCCTTGTCGACTATCTATTTCTCGGTAATACACGTGAATACCACCCGCGATAATGTGATCAGTCATAAACAGAGTCTCAATTTTCATCTGCTTAGTTGCTTCTTTACAGTCTCTCCAGCTACTCGATGAATAAAACATGCCACAATCTGTGCTATCAGAATACACAGCTTAAGATCGGCGGTATCGTACCCATGCTCTTTGTCAAGGATGTTGAGTGATCCTATGGTGACACCATTCAAGCGGACTGGAATGTTCATTACTGATCCCAAACCTGCCTGCCAAAGTTGCTCCCAGTCTTCAAATGCTGCCTTCAGATCCTCGCGCACGGAGCCACGCCAAACATTGCCGTCTACCAAAACCTGCTGGCACCACGCTTCGCGGCAGGGCGGTGGAGGTGGAGTTTCAACGTTGTCTCTGTCATAATCCGCGGTGGGGGAACTCTTTCTTGTTCCTAGTGGGTGCAGGTCCGTGTTGGTGCTGTAAAGCCTTGTAACGTCTCCTTGCTCAGTGAACGCAAGGACAGTGAATAAAGAATGTCCGAAGAAGTCGGCTAATGTCTGTTCTAGTGCAGCCCAAACAGCCGATTCCGTGCTGTTTGCGTGTAACTCGGCGCCTAATTGAGCCAGTCGAGCTAAGCGTGCACTGGGAATACTGTCCGGTTGAGAAGACGTTGGCATATTGGAATTCGAATAGCGAAAGTCTGCAGTTTGCTGGGGCTGCTCCTATAGTACTGGAAGACATGCACAAGACCTCTGACACAGGGAGATGTATTTTTATCTCTAGGTGAGGGGTTCTCCTGATAAATATCAGTTTAATGACTCAAATAAAAGCGTGTAATATTAAATTTAGAGAAAAAGTGATATCACCACTACTTTCATCGGGTACCAGTACCCGGGGCACAACTAAGGGTAACTATCTGTCAGCCAGCTAGTGGGGTTATAACGCGCCATAGAAAGCTATGTCAATGTCAGAACCGTGGTTTTTACGCGTTATTTTTCTACGCAATTTCCGAGAATTTGCTTAATTAACTATTTAGATTAAGGCCTTTTAGTCTTATAAGCGCATATTATCTAATTGTATGAACCATAAATAAATAGGGTATAGATGCACATTATATAAGGATAGTTCTATATGGAAATATAAGCGATTTTTTGTTGTTATGTGTCCGAATTGCTTCAATATATATGCCCGGGTGGGTGGGTGGCTGCGTGGTTGACCCTTGTGCGCGGTTGACTCGTGAAATACGTTACCATTTAGCTAGCATTTATATGTATATTGGAAATGGCCAATTTGATAAAATCAAACACGAAAAAAAATTTGTTCGGTACATTGTTCCATTAGTTGCCAAAAATGGCTTCTTTTAAAACAATCCATGGAGAAAGAGCAAAGTTATTCAAGACTTTTATAAATCAAAAAATAAAATCAGACTATAGCGTTAGGCCAATTACAATATATTTGCATTTTCATCATGCCTATACTAAACTTGCAGGGACGGAGGTATGATGCATGTAGAAGTGTTCTGAGAGTTGCTTGATTGAGGATATTGGAACCGCAGGTTAATGGAATTTCAATCGCATGACGACTGCAAGCCAGCGTAAGTGACATGTGCATTATTTACTCCGAAGCCGCCTGCAGAATCAACGCATTCTGAAGACTCTTGACCATAGCACTGATATGTTGTACACTCTTGGCTCTTATTAGTGGACTCCCAAAACTCTGTAAGTGAATGCGTAAATCCAAGTATTTGGGGTGGCAGTAGAGGGACACCATCTAGAAGTAAAATTAACATGAAGATCAAGCAGCAGGTGAGGTTCTATATGTACCATTAAAATGCGTGACTCGGTAAAAGATTCCAGTTTTGTTATAAGATGCACCAGCTAGACTATCAATGTAGTCGGCAAATGCTTGGTTTCCAACTCTCGGCTGACCGTAAGTGTACGCGCCGACAACTTTATATTTGGCATTTGAGAGAGAAGCGAAGGCCAGCTGCGCTAATGCGCCTCCGAGAGAATGTCCAGTGATTACCGTACGATAGTCAGGATTCGCTTCAAGTGCACTTTCCAGTGCAGGCATAAGCTCAGGAGCGAGCGAGTTCCACGCGCCGACGAATCCACTATGAACTTGACATCCTCCCGGACATACCACACCTGGCGAAGCATAATTTGTTAAGAAGAAATCAAAGTCAGTCAGCCAATCTCTATCGCTGGCGGTGCCAGGAATAGAGACAATGATATTTTTCTCGCTCGGAAGATTCCAAAGAACAGCTTGCGTATCAGTGGAGGTGATGTTGAAGAATTTAATTAGAGTAGCCCCTGTGTTAGAAACATTCGTGCATTGTCCCATGCTAATGTCGGGGTATGCAGCGTATTGCACAAGCTTTTCATAGATGGTGTGGGTAACTTTTGAATAATCAGTGTTTCTTCCAAATGGATTGATAATCGCGGGGTCCATGATTATACCTGGCGTCTTTCCTCTCTTGTCCAAAGTTGGCAGACCTAGGGCTACGTAGGAAAGAACTGCTAAAAGAAAAGGATAGCGCATTTTGGATATTTTGGATATTTTGGTAAATAACTGGGCTGGTTGTTTGGGGCTATGCATGTAGAAAAAAGTGAAGTCTTCATAATAAATCTGCAAGAAGATATCATATGCATTAATTACGTTTCATCGGCCATTAGACCTCGGCCGCGTCTACCTGTATAGAGAGCCAATATAATGCGGGGTTGATCTAAATACTAGTCTTGACTAGAGGTTAAAAGCAGGTGGATAAAGTATTATGCGGGCTCTATATTGCGCTGCTTTTGTGCTTGTTATCTGTTAAATTTCTGATGACAGCTATCCTCTTGTTCTTCATCCATCCTCGCAGATATATCATATGCTGTTGTAAGTAGCCGGCATTCAATAAACATGCAAAGGATTAGGGATAAAGAGGAGAGGACGGGGTGACATATTTCAAGGGGCATGGTAACATAATAACATATTCATCAGCATAAGGTGTGTCACAGTGTTCAATCAGAAAAGTACATGTGCATAAGAGGTGTCTTAGATTTGCATCTTTTGTCTGATAGTATCTTTCGCTGAACTTTGTTTTGTTTCACAGCATCGAACCAACTACCGTCTTGACAATAATACGGCTAGTATGCCGCATACCCGAACTAAGTTGCTAATAAAATTAAAGTATTTAATTAAGAAGATTTTTCTACATATAGCAAACTCAAAGAACACTATAGATAAGAATGCAGAGCTTTATATGCGTAATCACCACAGGGCTCAGAAATTTAGCAAGCAATCCTATTTACTTAGTATATGTCATGTCAAATAATCTCAGGCCAACGAACGATACATATGTACTGGAGACTTTCTAACATGAACAACCACTAGGCTCACTTACGGTGGGATTTCAGTCCTTTATGTATAGCAGATTTAAACTAGCTAATGGAATCTTCGCCACTTTAATAAGCATAATAATGCTTAGCACGTTTATGATAATAGTATTGACCTTTGGGCAGTGCTTGCGAGTGGGGCGGCAGCAGTGATATAGAAACTTGAAATAAAGAAATAAGTATTTTGGATGGTAATATATGTGCGGATATATACCGAATGAGAAAACTCACCCATCTTTAGAAAGGGGTATTTGCTAGGCTAAGCTGAGTGTAAGACTGAGTAGAAGACTATCGCGATCTGTATACGCTAATTATTTTGCGAATTCCATATTTCCACTATATTCAAGATGCAGAGCTCGTTTCGGGACACTAGATTTAATCTTGGTCAGTTAAATTGTTCAAAGCTCGCTGATACGTCGTATCCAATACCTATGGTTTAGAACTGTCGCTACTCATCGCCCGTTTTTTATTCTCGTTAGGAGACGGTCTAGGACGTCCTGCTTCCGATCCAGCAGATTGTTCTGTATTACCCGTCCGAGGCGAAGAAGCATTTCTACTCATCCGGGTGTCGAATACTGCAGTCGGGTTGGTAGTAACAGTCTTAGCAGGGCCTGAGGGACCTTGCAAAGCTCCAAAGCGACTGGCGTAACGTTTCTCGGTGAGAAGCTGAAGACTTTCTTCGGCCATCGAACCAACCAACTGCGCAGAATTGCCTTTGGAAAGGGCCTTTTTAATATCGAATAAATCCGCCAAGGTTGTCACCACAACCTGATCGCTATCACCATCGGCAATAACCTCCCCAATTCTGTATATCTTCTGATTTGACATTTCGGTTGCCACTTTGCACACCTCTAGACATTGCTTCGAAATATTTATATCTTCCTGTAATCGCAATCTCTCGTCCTCATCTCTGTTATCCCCATTCAAGATCAAGGTCTCCAGGCGTTTCCGAAGGCGTTCGATGACTTCTACAAAGCCCTCTCGGTTTCCATTTAGGGCTTGATGTGTTATAATCTGCGCTTCGAAGCGATTCTGTGGATCATCACCTGTAGATGATTTTGGCGCCTCTTGAAATAAAGACGACTGTTTATGTGTCAAGGACTCGATGTAGGTTTTCGCATCTTCACAAATACGAATACATTGTTGAGTCACTGCTCTTTCGTCTGTAAGGTCGACTTTTATTTCAGAAGTACTGGTCTTGTCGATTACAAGTCGTGCCAGCTTCTCGTCTATTCGTTGTAGGTTAATCTCAAGATTATATGCCGTGTCTTGGACCATCTCGTTATATTCTTCAAGAACTTTATGAGAAATCTTGGAGGTTTGCCTAATGAAACAAGTCAATAGAGATCGAAATATACAGAGTTCTGACTAACATAGTAATAGTGCCTACGCCGATTGAGATCGTCGACTTATACCCTGCGATAATATCAATGAATTCATTGATGTCACCTCTTCTGAATTCCAGCTTTGTCCAATCTCGAAAGCCCGTCTTAGATTTTCCACTGAAGCATTTCATCGATTCTTCAAACTCGCGACATACTTGGCTACATCGGTCAATAGGGTCTCGAAGCAGGGCCAACATTGACGCTTCGGAATAGATAATTTCCGTCAGCGACGTAAGTATGTTGACGAGATCCTCAAGCTCATTTTGAAGCCTCCGTAAAGTTTTATCGCGATCTCTAAAGCGCTTGACAGTCTCATAGAGCGACTTCGTTGCTTGAACAGCGGCTGTGGTAACAGCCAGAACCCCCGCAGTTATGCTCAGAGGATCTGCCATCTTCGTTGCTTGAATAAACACAAGAATGAAGGGCAGTTCAGGGTTCAAATACTAGTCGATTAGGCCCGATCAGGTGCCCCTCGGTCGCCCCTCAGCAGCTCCAGTTAGCGCCGTGACAGTTAGCGCCGTGACCCTGCTCTCGGCGGGTAAATCTAACATTAGACACATGTCACATCGCTTCAGCACCAATCAACCCTCTCTGTATGTGTGATTGTCACGCCTTGGCAGTCCGGAAGCGTGTTTTAGTGTTGTGATTGGACGCCTGCATACGCCCCAGTATGGTTAGGTTGATTTGCTGCATGCCGGCGCGTCTTGATAGCCCTCATCGTGGTGGATAAGAATCCCCGCAGCCGCCGCATCGCTCGGCGCAATCACCAACCTGACTTTGCTCCTTACTGTTTTACTACTCAAATTGACAACGATGGCAGAAGCTATAGGTCTCGCTTCTGGGCTGCTGACTTTGGCTACTTTTGCTTTCCAGTCCAGCGTCACACTATATGAGACGATAAAGAGCTTCAGTTCTCACACGAAACGCGTACGCGACCTGCTAGAGGAGCTAGAGGCTTTAATCGAAGTTCTAGGCCCCCTCAATGACTTGGTCACGACTACGACAGATACGGGCCTTTCGGCGCTCAATCTTCCTCTCAAACGATGTGGTGACTCTTGCAACGACTTTGAACGGGAACTTCTGAAATGTTTATCGCGGTCTGGTGGTAATCGGACAAGTTTTCGTGATTGGGCTCGATTAAGGTATATGAGTGATGATATCGATGGGTTCAGACGACTGCTCGCTGGGTACAAACTGACTATAAATATTGCCCTCACTGACGCGAACCTGTAAGATTCTGTCCACAAGTATCCATTACTTTAGAAAAAGCGTCTCTGAGCTAATAAAATAAACTCGTTAGTCGCAAATCTTCCATTACCGCCGAAAATCTTGAAATCCAAAAAACCCTGATCGAAACCGCCAAAGGTGACCTTGAGGCTCATCTTGAGAGTATAGATGAAAAGCTTGAACAAATAGTCGGACGCACTGTGACGGAGTCCGATTCAGATACGTCGGAACTGCGACTGATGCAGGAGGAGCGGTTGAGCACAGAAAAATGCCTCCAAATTTGTGCCAGTTTATCTGAGCACCTCGATCAGATTCAACTCAAGGATGATTCTGCTACTTCAGTTAATTCAGATCCAACACCTGAGAGGATCACCAACGAGGGTCTACAGGAATGCAAGGAAAGCCTGGCTTCAACGGCTTCGAGACTGGAGAAGCATATGCAGGATCTTCTGGACCGAATGTTGGTAAAGTCACAAGCGAGAATGACATCTGACGAGGAAATTGCGGATTTGACAAGATTGCGAGATGAGTGGGAGACGACCCGTCAATGCATGGATATCTGCTCTAGGGCAGACAACCACTTGAAAGCAAATGTAACCACCATTGAGAACTATGGCACTGGTGATGCTTTACAGTTCATGGTTTCTACGAACGGAAAGGTTATTCATGGTAAAAACCGGGGCCTTGGATGGAGGAATAGACAAGTTGGAGGTCATCTCAGCGATACCTCTCTTCAGCAATTATCTCGGGATATGAGTAGCATCAACTTCCGGGGTGTTGCAAATGAAGAACCATCGTTGCAAGAGATTCCGACACCTGGTCCTGTTGATGACAAGCTTCCAATTAGACCAGAATACAGTGAACGGTATGGGCGAGGATATAAACTCACACCTAAATCTTCTCCAGGCCAATCCATGAATTCTACAAGGCTATCAGGGGCCTGAATCCCAATGGTTCCCTGAAAGGCTAGGAGGACGGGTAATTTTCGTTATTTTCTTTGATTCCATGTGTATGGTAGAGTCGGCAAATCCCTAAGTTATTGTACAGCATTACAGAGATATTTGAAACCTTCATCTTTTCACTTTCTCTTTCATTCATTTTGCCCCACTGCCAAGGCGCCGTGAACCAAGCCCTGAAGTGGAACACGAACGTGGAGCGAATGAAACAGGTCCATGTTTTAGTGGACTATTCAAAACCAAAGAATCTATCTACATCATGAACTGCGGGGGAAATTGGGTATGTATTCAATAATATTTCGGGTATGTTGGGCGGAGGAGGACACGGGTAAAGTAAGAAAGGTGAGACGAACAACTGCATACAAGATGGCAGCACTCTAGGGGTAGTGCTAGGCTTTGCAGGAGCTGTTAGAGATCTTGTAGTAACGCTTCACAAGGGCTCTATAACAGAATAGTAGATGCGTAGGCCACTATGGGCTTTGATGAGAGTCGAAATATTTCGGCATGTAATGGGTCACTGTACATTAATAGGTAGATACAGATACCTATAGTTGTGCATATCGCTTCAAGCGAGGGGTCATTGTATGAGCCATTATCATCGTCACTGTAACATCTGAGAATCAAGGTGCCAACTTCATTGCCTGCTCCCGTACTGGCTGTTGATCCATAAAGGTTTTGAGCTCAACTACCCGGTACTGCGTGGTTTCAGATTTAGTTTGCGGCCGGAGTTCTAACTCCACAATATTGAACTCATCCACATGCACATTGAGCTGCTCCGGATCGTCCTTGAAAACGGTTACGCTGGTAGATTCGTACATAACTGTTCGTCGCGGTAGCGAGCTATCATCGTGGGCAATGTCCCATGCCTTTCGAACGTTGTGATGGAATTTAGATAGCTTTTTACTGCGCATCTTAAACATTTCTGTCACCTTTGCCAATGTCCCAACAGTCTGACCGTTAATAATGAATGGGGCGTCGGCAGCGACTAACGTTCCAAGCGAATCGGTTGCCGGTTCAAGCGAGTCAAGTGCGAGAAGCAAATTTTGCAGGAAGATGAGACCAGCAGAAGCAGTGGAGGGGAGGCTATCAAGGGAGCCGATATGCACAGAAGTTTGAGGCATTCTATAGTAACGAACCCTGTCTCTATGTTAAGGTTTTTGGCTTTAGATGGGTGTTAGGTTCGTCAGACTGACCGTGAGCCGCAGTATTCTGGAAGTCAATGTTAAGAACGTGACACTTTCACTCTAGACAGGTGCAAAGCTGGCTTGAGAATCCTCCGTATTTTTGTTGAATCTTCGAACTCAGTCGGGCAGATTGGGTTGACAGTTTCAGTACTTGATTAAATCTAGGCAGCCGCCTCGTATTGCAGAAGGCCTATGCACGTGTTCAACCACCAATCAAATCGTGCACTTAGTCCACATCCCCATTATCTTATGTTGATCGAAAAGACTAACTTAACAGTTAAAGATTTAGAGTTGGAAAATACGTTACGATCAAACCAAAACACTTCAACTGAAACACTGAAAAATAATGAAGTCGGCTAGGGCGCCTTGACAGTGGGGTGAAGCTAAACAGAGTGTTCGATATGAAGGAGGTTTCGAATGTCTCTGTATATCCAAGGTAAACGCCCTTAAAAATATTGGTCGATGGAGCTGCCTATTGAAATGAAAAGATTAGTTCCCACACTGTGACACTGTAAGCTTCTGCTATAGGTAAAGAATAGTATTGAAGTATCTTGGGAAGTAGACATCAGATGACTAGCGAACGAGAAGAGAAGTTATATTACTAGAAACATTAAGAAATTTCAGGCAAGATGTTTCGGAGAACAGCTTCAGGCTTGGTCATGTGGTCATCTATCGCCAGCAGTCTATCCAGACCTTGCGTAAATATCAAGAAAGCCTGGAAAGTGAAAGTCAAGGTGAAAAAGAGAAAATATATATAGGCGTACTTCTATTAGAAGGAATATTCATTCCAACCAACCCTTGTGTCAACAGAAAATAGCCCTCATACATCTATGAACTGAACTGCCGATACGCCTGCACAACCCCCGACCAACCACCCGGATTATTATACTCCCTGGGATTATTTATCCCATCAAGAATGATGACATCCGACGACTTGGTGCTGATCGAATACCAAACCAGATTTTGCGGCGCATTACTCACGCGCATCATAGTACTCTGACACACGCCATTGGTACACGGCGTATTATACATGCCATTCCACGGGCCTTCAAAAAACGCCCATGCTGCGGAGCCATACAGCATGATATTTGCACCGCCATCGACATTTGCTGCGAGCGCAGATCGACAGAGTTGGTCGTTTTGAGCGCACCAGGAGAAATCTGGGTCGTGGTAGGAGGTGGATATGGTCCAGGGGTCTGCAGCGGTTTCGATGGCATTCAGGCCTTGCATGTATGGTGTCTCGCTTTGCATCATGCCCGCGTACAGGGTTTGGGTGTTGTGGAAGTTGTATTGGTATAGCCAGTTGTGCTCGAAGCTTGTGCCGACGAGCCAGGTGGGTAAGGTTGACTCGGAGAGGATACCACGGCCGGTAGAGACAATGATGGGCGAGGGCCCGCCGTCAAGATTGTGGTCGGCTGTCCAGCCCCAGTGGTTCTCGATGTAGGCGGAGGAAGAAGGGGAGAGGTGCATGAGCATGAAGGCGGCCATGCAGTTGCGGGCATCTTGGTTTGTGCAGGTGCTGGAGATAGTGGTGTCAGCGGTGCCGCCGACCGTGGTCAGGCTGTTCCAGAGCCCTACGGCGCCGGGTGAGGTGCCGGCCATATTAATTTCGACGATGATGGCACCGGGCAAAGGCTCGGCGACGGCAAAGCGCATGTTCTGGATCTCGGCAATGCCCGTGTCGCCTGGGTTTCCGACTTTGATGACTGGGCGAGGGTTGGAGGAGTCGGAGAATGCGGTGCCTGCGCCGGAGAGGACAGACCAGGTCTCGCCAACGATACGACTGCCGGGGGGGATGAGCAGGGTGTCTTTGAGGATGTAGACACCGTATGGGAAGTAGGTGATTCGACAATTGGCAGCGTTGTCTTTGAGGATGGCGTTCAGGCTAGCTGAGTCGTCTGTCTTGCCGTCGCCTTCGACTCGATAGCCAGGTACAGTCTTGACATTGACGATTTGGCTGGCTGGGGAGTTTGCGTAGCTAGGCTGCTTGCGGATGAAGTACTTTCCGCTACTATCCAAAAGAACGCTGGGGCGTGTGGTGGCTATATAATCGCCAGGTCGGTAAATCCCAGGGATCTGATTGCCAAAGTTCCATGTGTCGATATGGGATTGTGCACCGAGCACGGTTGTGCCATTTGTAGTCACGGCGATAGGATGCTGCCAGTCACTAGTCAGATTCTCGATGAGCAGCTGGCTATTACGCTTCCCCGAGTCGTTTGAGGAGTCGTGGAACTGTACCACAGTGCCGGTGTTTGTTGATACAGAGTCAAGAATGACCATCGACCCAAGTGCGTTCTTGGTCATGTCAACACCCAAGCCGCAAGAGTCGAATATGGCTGCTTGTAGAATAACTGTAAAGCCACCGGTGGCTGCAAAGCCGGTACGACAGCCGTTGAATGCGATGTTCTTGAAATTGACTTGCTGGTTTGAGTTTTGAATACCAATGCCGCCGCCATTGATGGTCTATCCCATCAGTATATGCCTAGAAAGGCAAGGTAAAATGGAGGAGGAATACATACCACGTCTGTCACTGCAATCGTTGACCCGCCATTAATATGTATCCCAATATGCCCAACGGACCCCTGCGGCATATTAATCTGAACATCCGTCAACGCACCCCCCTGTGCAATCCCCCACTGCAACGCGGTAAACGCAAACGATGGATCACAAGCCGTAGTATCCAGGATAACATTTCGCATGGCAATCATGAACGTCGTCTCTGGGTGTCCCGCTGCCGGATCCTGGCCATTAATGAGAGTCGTGCCCACAAAGTCCGGGCTTGCCTTGATAACCGGCCTGTTCAACGGATCTCCCACAATCACCGTGCCTAGCCGCAAATCCAGCGTGCCACCAAGAGTATACACGCCTCCTGGCAAATACACCTCGGCGGGCATATACGTAACCCCCTTTCCCTCCCGCGACCCTCCTTGGCCATCCGCATTCAGCGCGTTTTGTATCGCTGATGTCTGGTTCCCGCTCCCGTCGTTTCTGACGCCATAATCGAGGACGTTGCGGTAGATAGGGTATACGGAGTTCCCTTGGATGAATGGCGCGAAGCCGCGACCGGCGCCTGTGTGGTCTTGCTCCTCCAGCCAGTATTTTGCTGGGGCTTGGCTCGGCGTGGGATTCGCGCAGAAATTGCCGCTGGTGATGCTGATGCTGCTGGTTTGGGTGATTGAGGCGGATGCGGATGAGCTGGTGTCGATGGGTGGAGTGCTGCTTTGCCCGCCATTTGTGCCCGGATAATTGGTCGGCTTGCTAGATGTTGAAGATGTTGAGGCAGTGGTGCTGGTGGGAGGAGGTGGTTGTGCAGGCTGGGTTGTTGGCTCTGGATTGCTTGTTGGCTCTGGATTGTCTGTTGGCTCTAGATTGTCTGTTGGCTCTGGATTGTCTGTCGGCTCTGGATTGTCTGTTGGCTCTGGATGGTTTGTGTGGGGGAAGATGAGAGGGAGGATAGCTCCTGCCAATGCCGAGAGGCTGTAAGAATTGGTTAGTATTTTTCTTGTTTATTATATGTAGACGTACGGCATTGGAGGAAGATTCAAGAGTCCCTGGTCATTCGCGAACCATTGTGTTGGCTCAGGCAGAGGGACGATAGTTGCAACTGCCGTGGAGGCAACAGCCAGCCAAGTCAATTCTATATACATGGTTCTAATTGACCACGAATAGAGTGAACGACCCCGACAGACAAAGAAGAGGGAAGGTGTTAAAACAAGACGAAATAATGATTTCTACAGAAGTTTCGTTAATTCGCCTTTTAGGGTTCCTGATTGGGAAATTCCATACACGGCAAACAGGACGTGCCTGGTATGCTAGACGCGTTGGCAGGAATCTTGAACTTGGATTGACGCTGTCACATTCCACAGGACTCGAGATCATCCTGTATTTTCTTCTCCTCAGGCCTTTCAAAGGGCCTGGACAAGCAGCCAACAAAAACAATTTCTCATTAGTAAGGCGATAGAGAGCTTTGATTAATCATGTTTTTCTAGTTTGGAGGTACGGACATATGTGAATTTGTAAAATGAAGACTGCGCCAGTGTTTGTTCCAGGGAGCCAAGGAATTTGATTTTACCGATAATTAAAATGAAATAAGTGAAAACTAGGGAATAAAACATAAGAGACAATTTTAGACGGATTTCTGCAAAAATTTGCCTCATTTCTTATACATAGTTATGTACTTGTGCTGAATTGAAGCAACCCCTAGACAGGGTATATAGCCCCTTGTTCCACGCCCAGGCTCGTTACCTCGCATAATTATTTACAATTGAATCCGTACTGCGGTATATATTTTCGATTAAAAAGTTAATTTATGTATAATGAATATCAGAGTAACTGCATTCATGATTTTATCGCCTTGACCTCAGCCGCCCCGACGTTACGAGCCGAGTTAGGGCTTTCTACCAAGAGGGCTACCCTACCACACTCAACAACAACGATAAAGTAGGCAATGTATGTGTGGGTATATCTATATGGATCAATGAAAATATCTGCTTTGTTGTACATAAGTAAAAATGGGTATAAAGTTAAATCATGCATGGCTAGTCTACATTAAAAGAATTATCAACTCGTATCCCGCCCAATTCCATATTCAACCCATCACTCGGCGTATCTCCAAGATTTCGACTTTCAATAATGTTCTCCGTAGCAGACTTCAATCCCAGGATATTTTCTCGCGAAGCAGACGGACTCTGCACCGAAGTCCGCTTCAGAGAATCGCTTCTGAGGCGATCGCTTCTTAGACGTCTGCTAGGTCTGATAGAGAAGAACGAAGTGATTGTCTGGCTGATGGGCGAGGCATTGCGAGCGCGGCTAATCAATGGGCCGTAGCAGGGCAGGTTTGCGCAGAGGACCGAGGCACACACTTCGATTCCGGACCACATGATGATGTTTACGACGGCGGCTGAGATTTCTAAAGTCAGTGGCTTTAAGATGCGATGCGGATTTTGAATGTAGGGACATACTATTGAAATTGACGGCGTAGTTTCCTTCGATGTTGGAGATTTGGAATATCACAGTATACGCAAGACGCGCTACAGACGAGACCACACAGCTAAAGAGTCAGAGGCTGTCTTCTCACCGAAAGGATAAGATATGTATCATAGCTTACAAAATCCCAAGCCCAAAGATCCCGCATACCCCGATTTTCTGGTTTGTGCTGAAGCGAAGCTTCCGGATGAAGAAGACTGGCAGAGCCAGGATACTAATATCAATGACAATGTCCGTCACGCTCGATAGCACATACATGACGGCATAGTTGGTGGTCGGATCACACGCCACCCAATTACAGCGCAGCGGCCAGATCTGGAAAAAGGTTGCAAAGAGAAACGATATAAGCCACGCAGCTGTGATCCCGAGTAGGACCAAGACTGAACTCGGGAATCGGCCGATTCCAAACACGCGGCCGTAGAGGAAGAGAATGGAGAATTTGACCAGGGCGACGGAGATGATGTACCAGAATTGAAGTATGAAGAAGATCTACTTGGCTTTAGCGATATTTATCTCCCAAAGCATTTAAATAGGCTGGTTACTCACTTTTAGGAATTTTTCGGCCTTTTCATCGCCAAGTTCTTCATATGGCGTTCCAAACCCGCCAACAGGTACGCCGACGATGTTAGTGATGGCCAGTGCTGCAGCGAAAACCTATCGCCGCAGAATTAGACTAAGCATTGGAAGTTTGTAAATGTGTGGCGAAGACTAACCCAGGCTGCGACAACTAAATAGTCGTCGGCCTCCAAGGATATTCGCCTCTGCCTCCGCAAATGAAGCCGAAGCGCAACCGAAAGACCGGAGACGACCATGAAGACCGCCATGGTCACGATCATGGCCGTCGACGCCGAAGTCAGCATGGTGAAGAACCTGGAGCGCAACTAGCTAATCCATTCGAATTAAAGGCGGCTGTCGAAAACCGACAGTACGGGGGATGTGGAGTTGAATATCGACAGGGGGGCCACGAGGTTGGTTTAAAAAGCTTGTACATGGGGGGGCCCCTAGCGATATAGCGCTGTTACATAGGAGACTTGCTAGAGTTAAAGGGAAACCTTATGGAGAGATAGGGAACTGATATTAGCTAGTAGAACCGACGGGTTAGAGGCTAAAGTTGAGCCATGACAAGCTCTAGCCTGCTCCAGACTGGTCTGCTTTCTGACACGCAGATAATGACGCAGATAAGGACAGCCGGGAATCCTAGCACCCCGAGTCCAATCAGCGACGCTTCTAAGACGCACTTGTCATTAGCACGCAGGATCGACATTCGTACAGACGTATCCGGTCTCCGGCCTGACTCAGACAACGCTGAAACCCGGAAGCCTTCCCCTCCCAACAGCTATAAGTTTAGTCCCGCGATAACACTCGAACAGCCTTTTTTGGGCGACCTCCAAACGCTTCAGGTGCCTGAGTTTTCTAAATGTCTGCCGTCGACCCCAAGCTAACTGAGCCACTCAAACCCAGCTTCACGGCTGGCGGCGAGAAGGCCTCGGACCCTCCGAAAATCCAGAAACTGATCGATTCGCTGCATCTGCTAAAGCATCCCGAAGGCGGCTGGTTCGCCGAGACCGACCGCGACGCTCTTCGCATCCCCAACCCGTTCCTCTCGAAGCGGCAGGAGCATGGCGGCGCTGTGGAGTATACAGCCAAAGCCGACGGCGACGATGCCACGCGATCCGCCATGACCACCATCTTCTATCTGCTGACTCCCAATAGCCCCAAGGGTCGCTTCCATCGGAACAAGGGAAGAACGGTGCATACACTACACAAGGGTCGTGGAAGATACGTGCTTATTCGTACCGACGAGGCTAAGTCGGGTGAGAAAGCCCGCGTCGAGACTTTTGTCGTTGGACAGAATATTGAGAAGGGAGAGCGATTGCAGTGGATTGTCGATGGGGATATCTACAAGGCCAGCTATCTGCTGCCAGATGATGACGATTCCGGCAATAGCGAGGAGGGGCTATTGATAAGTGAAGTGAGTTTTTGTACTGTTTTCATTTTTCTAAACGAAGTGTATTTACTGATGGATATAGACGGTGGTGCCGGGCTTTGAGTTTACGGACCACAACTTCATGCCTGCCGGTGTCCTTTCGGAACTGGTTGAGGCGAAGCAGGCCGAGGAGCTTCAGTGGCTCCATTCAAGCAATTGATCTCACGAGTTCAAGATGACAGGATTAAAAATATTGCAAGCTCATTCAGTTTGTAGACAGCCTTTTGTTAGGACAATAAATCTTATCGTAGTTTTCTCCCACCGCTTCATTTTGACCCTCTATCTATAACCTGATCACGTCCATTGGCTGGTACCTTTCACCCTGTAGCCACCATAAAACAGGCTAGTATGACTTGCGACACTGTTAGCAACGGACTAAATACTCTCCCTTGTATTGAGCAATTTATGAATCATTCATATCGCTTACTTCGAACTTTATATGTAATACTAAATCTACGCCTTTTCTAATATTCATGACTAAGCATTCCCAGAAACTTTAGTGGGTAAGCAGGAAATGATTAGCGACGACTCGGAATTTCTATACAGATATAACTAGTTGATCACATTGCCAGTAAATAGTTAACTCCACCAACCGTTTTCTCCACTATTCTGCCCCTATTACATTTCACTGTGTCGAGGGCAAGGATAGTGGCGAGAATGGCTGGATCGATAATAAATTTGATATTTCGATATGTCGATATGTAGATATGTAGATACCTGTTTTATACCATGAGAGACATACTGTCGGAAGGAACGGTGGGTAAAGAGGATTGACAGGATCGACAAAGGAAGGTGTTAGTCTACTAGTCTCAATTTTGTGGAGTCAATACTCAGCCTGATGTTCGGCAGGAGTCAACTGGTGTAGCTGTTGATGATATGCCTTTCTGTTTGGTACATAGTCAAGCATTCGGCTATTCCTATAATTATAAGCCCAACATAGGTCATGTCGAGCGAATGATATTCCATATAATTTTTACAAAGTAAAATACAACTTCTTATTACACCAATATGTTGTGACATTTCTCCAGGAATATTTTCCTCGTGCGGGTCAGACTATATATTCCTATTATATGCATGGATGCTTTTGGTCCCGTGGCACGGCAAACCCTAAGAGGTGCAGTGCGGTCAGCGGCGACAAGTGAGTTGCCAGTTTGGGTCTGGATTTCTTTTCCTTTTTCATGATGTCACCGTCTCCTCAGGGGCGACAGAGGTCTTGATCTACAGTGTTATCAGGAAAGCTGCACGTCGCCAATATAATACGTTATGCATGCATTGCGAGCCACAGCGGTCGCACAAGATAGGAAAAATTTTATCGAATGAATGAGCTACCAAGCGAACAAGGCCAAGCAAGGAAGATTCTCAGAAGGAGGCAGTGCGATAACACCGGTCCACTGCATGTACATACCAGAAGATGAAGAACCCTGGGACCAGCCAGATCAGCGTCTTGCATTGGCTTGGAATAGAGATCACAATAAGATGGATGATATTTAACCCTAACGCCTCCACCAGGCGGTGCTGGTGCTGGTGCTCTCCTTCCTCGGGCTACCTCCCTTCCACCTCCAGCCTCTCCTACCTCTCCAACCCTCATCTCGAGCTCGTCGCTGATAAACGGAACAACCCGGCTATCTGTTATACTTGTGGGTATTGATAGGGCTAATTTCTTGATACTGCTTGTATCCATCCTCATGTCTGCCGAGGAACACCATGAGTTCCCCCAGAACCGCGAGTCCGCGGCTTCCGTGCACAGCGACGAAACACTCCGTGGCGAGGAGCAAGAGTACCAGCCCGAGGACAGGCCACGTGTTCGCTTCCGTCAGGATAATGGCGATGATGCGCGCACCTTGGTTGCAGAACGCCTCGAACACGCCGATCATCCTCGTGAGCCATTTCACCTTCCACCAACGCAGGGAGGCGATAACCTGCGACAGTCTGAAGATGTCACCAGTGCCAAACACTTACAACAGGAAGACAGTGAGAAGAAAACACAGAAACAGGACACTGCTGATGGCACTGCTGGTAAGGAGAAGGGTGGGGGGAAACGCGACGAAGAAAAGGAGATCGAAGAGGAACCCGAGAAGGTAAAGAAAACGTTTAGTTTCAATAAGGCGAAGAAGTTCTGGAATGTGGACAAAGCACGAGAAATTGCCCGAAAACTAGGACGACCGCCGATGCAGGGAGACGGGTTGACTGCGGCACTCCCCGACCAAAACTGGGCTGGCGATGGAGGCGTTTCTCTGTCGGATATGACAGACGATCACAAGAAGACCGACGAAGATCGACAACGAGACCAAGCCCATGCGACCTCAGAAGCTCATCGTTTAGTTCGCGAGCTGACACAACATCGGAAGGGTCCGCGTTCTCGCCCTCGTCCCCGACAACCATCAGAGACACGCCCCCCGACTCCAGCGATTTCTAACGAGGAGGCAGGCAGAGTCAGCGGTGGGGGGATTTTGGGAAACCTTCTCAAACTTTACGGAGCAAACCCACAGCATGGACCAGATAGTCGTTCCAACAGTACTAGCACAGATCAGGAATCAGAAGGAACGCCCGGCTGGGTCAGTCCATCGTCTGGAGTATCGACCCCACGGAAAGAAAAGGTAAAATGGTATAACAAAGACAAGAACAGGTCAACAAGCTCGTTGGTCGGAGCAGCATCGAACTTGAGTGCCACAGGAGCCCCCAGTCACTCCAACCAGATGTTGTCCGCAGCGGCGAGACGACGTAAGCAGGGTGGCAAGCCACGGCTGGAAGATGAGATTCGAGTGACGGTTCATATTGCTGAGATAATTTCCCGTCAACGATATCTGATGCAGCTATGCCGTGCTCTTATGAAGTTCGGCGCCCCTACGCATCGGTTAGAAGAGTATATGCAGATGACAGCGCGGGTCCTCGAAGTTGATAGCCAATTCTTATACTTACCGGGCTGCATGATAATATCATTTGACGATTCATCGACACGTACCGCCGAATTTAAGTTGATTCGTGTGACACAAGGCGTCGACCTAGGTCGGTTAGCAGACACCCATAGCGTATACAAGAACGTGGTACATGACATGATCGGGGTTGAGGAAGCAACAAAGCAACTGGAAGACATCATGAACCGCAAAGCAAAATTTCCTACATGGTTCCTGGTGATTATGTACGGCTTGGCTAGTGCCACTGTCGGGCCTTTTGCTTTCAATGCCCGTCCTATTGATATGCCCATTTCGTTTCTTTTGGGGACTATGTTAGGTTTCATGCAGCTGGTTCTTGCTCCTCGATCTACCCTATACTCAAACGTGTTTGAAGTTTTTGCGTCAGTACTTACGTCCTTTCTCGCTCGTGCATTTGGCAGTATCCGATGGGGCATTGTCAATGGAAAACAAGAGTATCTGTTTTGTTTCTCTGGCATCGCTCAATCAGCCATTGCTCTTATCCTGCCGGGATTTTTGGTTCTGTCCAGCAGTTTAGAGCTACAGTCGCATCAATTAATTGCCGGATCCATACGAATGGTATACGCTATCATCTACTCTCTCTTTCTCGGTTACGGAATCACCGTGGGCGTGACAATCTACGGACTGATGGACGGCAACGCGAATTCCAACACTACCTGTCCTACATCCCCCATCAAAGACCCCTATCTTCAGCGATTCCCTTTCGTCGTCGCAATGTCTGTTTGGCTAGTTATTCTTAATCAAGGAAAATTCAAGCAAGCTCCGGTCATGATGGTCATCGCCTTCACCGGCTACGTAGTCAACTACTTCGCCACGAAGCGAATCGGCAGCAACTCCGAAGTCGCCAACACCCTAGGCGCCTTTGTTATCGGCGTGCTAGGGAATCTATACAGCAGACTCTGGCATGGCCATGCCGCAACCGCAATTCTCCCGGCGATTTTCGTCCTTGTGCCTTCCGGCCTCGCAGCGACAGGCTCCTTGATCTCAGGGGTTGCATCTGCCGACCAGATTCGCGGAAACGTCACTGGCCATAAAAACGAATCCAGCACAGGCGGAGCCAGTAGCGGTTCTGGCGGTGGCGCAGGCAGCGGTACGGGCATTCAGTCATCATCATCGGATACGTCCGTCTTCAATCTCGGTTTTGGCATGGTGCAAGTAGCCATTGGTATCACGGTAGGCCTGTTCATGGCGGCATTGCTAGTGTATCCATATGGAAAGAGACGCAGCGGACTTTTCAGTTTTTAGCTTACGGCTGTATATATCACTTATATCACTTATTGCTTGCATACATATGTAGCTGCAGCGTCACCTTCATTTCAAATGCTCTCATGAATGCATCAGCAGATGCTATATAGATAGACATTAATCAAGCATCATCCACCCCCTTCCCTTCTCATAACCCTAATATAAAATTTAATTGGCAAACCGAAAATCCAACCTCCGACTCCCCTCATCCTTCGTCGTCTCCAAATACCTCAGTTTCTCCGTCTCGCTCATAGCATCCCACTTCCCATCCCTAGACTTATTCCGCCATACATAGTAAACTTTCGTCAGCAAGTAAATTACGATGTTTACACAAACAAGAATCACAAGCACCCGATCACCACGCTTGTACCGCGGCGCGTCGTCCGCGCGGTAGATATTCGATGCAATGATTCCACCTGCTTGCACGCTCATATTGTACACGGCTGCCGAGACGGTGCGCGAGCGCACGGTGTTTGAGTTCCTGGAGTTCCAGCCTACTTGGATTGGGTGTGCTGGTACAATGCATTAGCAGGCCTCTCAAACATGCAGATGCAGTGTGGGTGATGGAGATGGGAAAGGAGGGGGGGGTTTACCGTTTGGATAACCGAGCAAAAGCGTCATGACCGTCCACGCCACCCACTTATTAATACTATTGATATCAACGACATACAAATACACCAGAAACGGGAGTGCCCAGATCTGACCGACCACCGAGGTCAGACTCAACTGCCCCGTGAGCTCGCTGGCATAGGTGAGCGTGAGCATTAGGATGATGTGCAGCACGTTGTATGGGATGGTGAGCAGGTTGGTTTGGAATGTGCTGAAACCGATGCCCTTGAGGGAGAGGGTTAGGTAGTTGGTTGGCGTGGTCATGGGGATCTGGAACATCAGTCCGATTATGTATAGCGGCCAGAGGTCGTAGTCGGCGAGCGATTTGAGGAGGAGTTTTGGGGTGATGGGTTGCCGGTTGTGCATGGAGGATTTGGATGGATCTTCGCGGATGCATCGGTTTATGATTATTTTCTCCTCGCTGCGACAGTGTTAGTGACAGTGTTGGGGGGGGGGGTGTAAGATGGATGGGAGGTGGTAGAGGTGTACCGTTCGGTGAACCAGCCCTTTTTGCCGCGGAACCAGCTTGCAGTCTTGGTCGGTGCAGCGGGCATGAGCACAGTAGCGAGAATTCCGACGACGAGAGTGATCAGGCCCTAAAATTGTTAGCATGGTCGATGCATTCTTTAGGTTATTTCTTGAGGTTCTCGGATGTACCTCGATGAGAAATAGCCACCTCCATCCAGCCTGACCCAATACACCGCGCATATGCAGCAGGCCAAAGGCCAAAAACCCAGCTAATATATCCGCAATTGACATGGCTGTCCAAAAGAAGCCGAGTCGAATAGAGAGCTCGTGGTGTTTGTAAAAGTACGAAAGATATAAGATGACCTAGCTAGTTAGTACAAGTGAATTGAATAAGAGAGGGTACGAACATCAGGAATAAAACCGCCCTGGAGAATGCCCAACAGTGCTCTGCACGCCAAAAACGACGTTCGCCCGCTCATCCAGTATTGCGCGCAGGCGACAATCGACCACAGAATCATCTGCGCTGGAATCCATCTATCCGGGCCAACCCATTTACTCACGAGCTGTGAGGGCAGCTCGGCGCATAAAAAGGCGAGTTTGAATACTGTGTTTCCCAGATTATAATCTAGCAGCATCCATCATTAGTACTACGAGGCCTTCGGGGAATATGATCAGCTCACCATTCGTATTCATTTTCAAGTCCGTCAAGAAATTATCCGTCAACGCCTGCGAGATATTTGCCCGATCCAGTTCCAGCGCCATGAACATGACACACGTAAAAATCAGGATCCGCACATCAATTTTCCGAATCAACGCATACTCTTCGCGCCATGTCCAGCGGAACGAAGGGTCGAAGCGGTGAAGATTCTCCCAGTCCGGACGCGGCTGGTATTCTTTCGCTGTCTCGGGCGAGTCAAAGACTGATGGCTGTGTTGCGATTGAGTCGAGATCAAGGCCGTTATCTCCGGACTTTGTTCTGTTAAAGAGTCTAGTGATCCAGAATCGCTGTTCTTTGCTGGGATCGGCGAGTGAGGCCAGGTCGGAGGATATAGAGGTGGTGCTGAGAGTCGCTGGGTCTTTATCGTCGCTTCTCTGGATTAATTCGACTGGCTGCGCGGAGTCAACAGCGCCATAGGTGCGGCTATTAGGATTGCTCGCCTTTGCGGCGCGACCAGTGAGGACGGTGCTCATCTTGACAGGTTTTAACTGTTGCTCTTTCGCGACAAGGGAAGAATTACAATCAATCAATTGACCATCTCCATTGCTCGATTGGTGATCAGAATCAATTTATATTGATCTCTATACTGATATATTCTTAAATACCGACGACGACACCGGCACATGCACTCAACGCACGCCGCATAGTCGCCATTGCGCCAGGCTGTCACGACATATAGTCAGTGTGTTGAAACGAGGGCAGAGAGTGGCAGATGATGGTATCATCGTGGTGCCAAGAGCAGCAATGATATGCACAGAGATAAGGACCATGTCGCATTGACAGCAGCGATGGGATATTTACTGTTTGGGGGCATGAGGGGAAGTGTTATCACGCAAGGGCATTGCGACATTGCGGCATTATGTCATTTATCATTAGGTCGTCCGGTGATGTTAAGTTGATTTTTGGTGTAAGGCGTGACTAGCGTGGGATGGCATGTTGGATAAATAGAGTATTCTACCAGTAACCAGAATTGTTATTGTTGTAGTTGTAGTTGTAGTTGTGACTTGTCGTCGAATCGATTGATGACCTCAGTTCACATGTTTAGATCGACTAGCCGAATCGGGAAGGCTTGCATAGTACAGTAGGATGGCATATAACTTAGTAATATTAGATTAAAGATATATACTCCATACATAATACAACATGTTTAAATATTATCATTAGTAGTATAGGAAGGGTCTATATTTAAACTTTGTGGTGCTATATTCAAACTTTTGTCACCATACTTTTTATTCATGACGATTCATCGCTAAAATAGTCTAACAACTCAGATCCTGGAAATAATAGCCGAGAAACATTAATTCATTATCAATTGATACCTAAAAAGTAAAAATATCAGAGAAAATGGATATATGAGCCACGCAGCCCGACCCTAACATCAACAGCCCAGGCATGAGCGTCTCTCAGCATCGATCTTGGTACAAGAGGACGGCCCGAGAAAATATGTGGTTTCTCTGACGACTCGTAGGAGACAGCAGGATATACATGTACATGTATGCCTCGATGGATGCGATACACGTAATGCTATTCTCGGATCCGTGCTGAGCGAGAGTCGAGGCCGGTTGAGCGTACCGTAGTATGTCAATAAACAAAGAAATCAAAATAGAAGGGAATAGTTGTGATATAGTTATAGTGGCATCATATTATTATACATAAAAGCTGTTTTAGTTTGCATCAAGCAGTGTTGTGAGCTGGACAGTATGGTATAGAAATACAGGACATGTGTGTTAGAAAAAAAGATGGGAAGGAGACGGGACCAGCCTGGGGGGACAGTTAAAATAATAAATAATCCTCTGTGCGAAAGAAAGCAGGGATGTCAACTTGCAGCTGCACCTTACTGGTTGCCCCCGTTTCCATGTGACTAACTGAAATCCGGGGTTGCGGGGAAGCGTCCCCCTGGTCTACACTACACTATATATTCTCTCCCGCACAGTTGAACTACCCAACGACAACATTATACGCCATCTTCCACCACACATTCGCCGCCGCCGCCTTCTTCTGTCGCCTCTCGTCGTCAGTAATCAAGTCCTCCCTCCGCCCCGTCCACAGATCCATCTCCTCCAGTTTAACCCACTTCGTCCTGTTCCAGAACTTATAACCAAACACGAAAATCACAAACACGGGTATCAGGATATAGTTAATGACAAAGTCCTTGGCGCTGAATGGGTTGAGGAATGCTGTGTATCCCTGGAAGAAAACAAGGAAGATGTTAGCGGCCACAGAGGCATATGTGCCGTATGGATAGAAGGATGCGCGATAGGGCAGGATGGAAAGGTCTTGGTTTTGCGCATGGAGGGCGCGGCGGAAGCGGATGTGCGCGATGCCAATGGTGCCCCAGACGATGAATGTCGCGACTATCGAGTGTTAGCTTCCCACTCTGATTAACAGCTATATTGTTCTCCCTCGGAAGTTATATTGGCAGGGTGACATACCGCCAGACAGAGTAATCAGCGCCGAATAAACCACACCCGCACTCGACGATAAATCCAGGAATGAAATACACGCAAACACATTTGTGAAAACCAGCGCCGCCCACGGCACGCCAGCCTTGTTGGTGACGCCTAAAAACCTCGGCGCTTTCCCATTGCGTGCCATGAAGAGAATCGTCCTTGAAGCAACGTACAACGAACTATTCCCCGCGGACAACACAGAGATGGCAATAAGCGCGTTGATCAGATGCGCGGCCGGGAGAATCCCTGCTTCTGATAGCGCAATGGTTAACGGTGAACTGGCGGTTTTGGATCCAGAAGACAAAAGACGTGGGTCGTTGTACGGGATCAATATTCCGATGAAAAACATCATGCCTAGATAGAATATGAGAATGCGCCAGAAGACTTGTCGGATTGCTCTGGGGACTGCTCGACGGGGGTTGGCTGATTCGCCGGCCGTGATGCCGACCCTGTTCGATTGATTAATATTAATATCAAAGTGCAGTCGTCAAGGAGGAACAGGAACATACATTTCTGTCCCAGCATAGAGAGTCCCAGCCACAACAAAGGTCTTCGCAACACCGTTGATAGAATCCGCGAACGCTCCCGGGTGATGCCAGTATTTGAATCCGATTTTCTGAGGCCCGATGCCGCCAGCACTGATGATGATGGCCAGTATGAAAAAGACCGTTATAGCGAGGACTTTAATCCTATCAGAGAATCAGCGTGTCTATGAGCCGGGCAAAGTTGATGGGTACGCACAACGCCAGCCAGAATTCTACTTCACCATACACCAGAACCCCCAAACTCGACATGCCCAGAAATATAAACCAGAAGATCAGAATCCAGGCCCATAACGGGACCGTCTCAGTCCAGTAACCAATGACAAGGCCGATAGACGTATATTCATTTGCAAGCACAGTCACCCACAGATACCAATACGCCCAGCCTAGAGCAAATGCCACGCCGTCGTCCAGAAACCTTTCTGCGTATTCTATAAAAGAGCCAGAGACGGGGATAAGCGTAGCCATTTCGCCGAGCGATTGCCTGTCCCGTCAGTACTCTTCTCAGAGGGCTGAAGAATATGCATACATGACGAAAAACACAATAATCCCAACCAACGCAAAACTGATCAGAACCCCAGCCGGCCCTCCATTATGCAGCGCATTTCCCGACCCAACCAAAATCCCAGGACCGATGATTCCTTTACACTCAGTCAATTCAATACTTACCCATTTAAAGAAAGACTAACCCCCAATCGCAATCATCTGCAAATGCCGGGACTTTAACTTGCGATGCAACGGCGCTGAATACGCATCCTTGGCACTACCCTCATCCTTCCCGGCTTCATTATCAGTTGCAATTCGATGTGCGGTGGTCTTTTGCTTGTCGTTGTCGTTATCATTGCTATTGCCCTTGGATGGGAAGGTGCCGAAATTGAAATCTGCATTTCTCCCATATTCTTCTCCCGCACCAGGCTGGGCTTGCGTGGTCATTGTGTGCCTTTTGTTGCGCGGTCGATCATCTGTCTAGGACTATAAATTACGTTGTCATACACCACCGACGCCGCTGGTGATAACCTGCCTGAAGACTAAATCATTGAAAATGAAAAGTCCCATCTTCAAAATATAACAATAACCGAGCTAGTCACAGCTTGGCCGATGGCGCCATTTCGTGAATCTGATCATGTTCTCCGCAGTGGATCTGGTAACATCGAGTAATAGCTCGTGTAAGACAGCAAGACAGGTTGGGAGGATTCCGTCGCATGGCGCGTCTCGCGGTTAATTCGCGTGGAGAATATCTACTTGAAATACTACGTAGCACGGAGCACTGTTGGTTCCTCATGAATAATGAGAATTATAAGAAAATAATAATATGATCGGCGTGGCTGTGCGCCATCGGCCCGCGAAATGGCGCCGCAACCCTATCTCTATGCCCTCCTCCGCACTTAGAAGTTATGACAAAAGCGAACTTTTAACCAATTTATGTCAGATTAAATTAGGACTTCCTGGGGTCCCGCCTGTGGACGATGCAAAAGGTTCAAATATTACTAGCATTGGTGTAGTGAGGTACCGAAATCGCGTTGGCGGTGCTATATTCAAACTGAGGGGAGGGAAGAGCGGAGAAGAGAAAAAGGATGGCAACTGTCAAGAAGACAGACAAGGCGAGGTAAATGGTTGTTCGTTCTGCGGCTCCTCACTCAAATCAACCGTGCGTCAACTCAGTCAGTTCGTCTGGTTTATCCAAATTCATGCTATTTGATCTCATTTCTTTCCCCATTTATCAACAAAGCGTAGGCACGGTAACAACCGGTGCCGAGGAAGCACGAACAGGCTTTTACTAAAATTTATAAAATTTAAAGCGTTACCATTGTATGCAAAGACCAGAATATACCAGTTGACATTCACAGTATTAACTACTATCTAAATAACATTTGAATCAAACAGGAATGGTATCACCAAGCCGCCTTCGCCAACCACCCTTGCGGCCACCTTCTCACAGCCGCCTTTCGGCACTCATCCATAATCAAGATCCCCAGCCCAAACGCCGCAGGCAGGAAATAATGCTCCACGGGGACACTCGTCGTAGCGAGCACGGGTTGTAACTGTGGGATATAGAGCCACAGAACAGCCATGCACAGCGCAAACGCAATGGCCGGGAAGAGCAGCAAATTCTGTGTTTGTTTGTTGAAAGCGGGCGGGTGCGAGAAAATGGAGAGACGGCGTGTGCGGATGGCCATTAGATTGAACCATTGCCTGTAAACAACAATTAGCTATTATACGGAAAAAGGAAGGGAGGGTGAGGAGCTTACATGACAACTAGGTTAATGAAGTAGATTGATGATGCCTCGTTGAGTTTGTCCTGGTAGAAATCCGGATCAATGTTGTCTGGGACATTGCCGAAGCCGAACCAGAGTGTGGAAAACGGGATGCCGTTGCGCTGGAGATACCAGTATGACATGCTGAACGAGCACACAGTTTCGAGCACCCCGAGGATCCCGTAGGACTGCAGCATGAGCCTCCAGTCGACAAGACGGTCCTTTTTAGGGTTACGCGGCGGCCGCAGGAGGACATCCGCCTCGGGCTTTTCGTACGCGAGCACAGTTGCAGCGGCACAGTCGGTGAAGCAGCAGATGATGATCATCAGGAACGAGGAGAGGATCTGAGGCAGGCCGAAGACAACGTTTGTGAAGACAGGCCAGAATTCAGAGAACGAGCCTGCCGGGAGAAGGTAGATGATGGTTTTCTTGAGATTGTCAAACACCACGCGGCCGTACTGGACAGCCTCAACAATGGCCGAGAAGGAGTCGAGTAGCACCATATCAGCGGCTTCGATAGCGATATCGGACCCGCTTCCCAGCGCGATACCAATATCAGCGGCTTTGAGAGAAGGGGCGTCGTTGACACCGTCGCCAGTCATGCCGACGATTTCGTCGCGAGCTTGGAATTCGCGCACAATACGGAGTTTCTGTTCAGGCGTCGTTCGTGAGAAGACGATTTCTTGGTACTTGCATAATTGATCCCACTGGTTGTTGTTGAGAGACATCAGTTCCGAGCCACTGATGACAATAGCTGAGGACGCTGGTTTATCGGGGACAATCTCGCTGTTGGTTGCACTGCGTTGCAGAGCAGTGACATCGTCAACGCGACTCGATGCAGAAACAATCCTGCATTGGCGTGCGATTGCAAGCGCGGTTAGGCCGAAATCACCTGTGACCATGAAGATTCTGATTCCGGCTCTGCGGAGAGTGTCGACGACGCCGGGGATTTCCTCGCGTGGAGGATCCACGATGCCGACCATGCCAATCAAGACGAGATCAGACTTGGCCTGTCTCATCACCTCAGCCTCGAATTCAGCGGATGGAGGAGATGCCATAATAGCCTTGGCGGTTATCACTTTGCGAGCAAGCAGGATTACGCGCTTCCCTTCGCTGGACCAGCGGTCTTTGAGTTCTTTGACTTGGCTCAATGTTGCTGCGTCGAGGCTCTGGACACTGCCATCAGCCGTGACGGTGTATCCACATCGTTCAATCAAGATATCAGGAGCACCTTTGATTGTTAACAAGATGTCATCCGGTCTAAAGTTGACCGACTCTGCAGACGACAGCGCCAATCCCAAGCCGCTAGATTCGTTGAGTGCGAAAGTCCGAATCATGAACTTATTCTTACTGTTGAAGGCCAGCTCATAAGTCTTTTTCCACAAGCGACGCAAGTCCGCGACTGAGCCGAAAGTTTCGGAGAGTCGAAGAACGGCTTGATCAGTGGCGTCGCCGAATATAGGGCGTTCATGGAGAGGAAGATTGGAAGCAGCAGCGTCGAATTCGGCGGCATTGCATAGTCCTGATGCTGCGCGGAGTTGATGAATGCTCGACGATTTACCTTTCATAACCATATCATCACGGGCAGACTCAGGAGTGTATGTCGAGGTTGAGATCGCGCAGTCGGTTACAAACATTTTATTCTGTATCATAAGCAGAGTCCAAAAAGAAAGCAAGGGCTGTACTAACCCTCGTCAAAGTTCCTGTTTTATCACTGCAGATAACATTAACAGCCCCAAGCGTCTCGACGGTCTTCAAAGACTTGCACAGAATCTGGTTCTGGCGCATGATATTAGCTGTAATCGTCAGACTCGCGGTAAGAGCGATCGGGAGACCCTCTGGAATAAACGCAATAGCCACGCTGACACAGTCGACAATCAGTGTAGGCACATTGATCCAGCCTTCGTGGTCTTTTCTCAGCCAAGCAGCCCACACGATGATAACGACGACGATCATAAGAATCATGATAGCCACGATCAGGGCAACAAAGCGTAACACTTCTTTCTCAAGAGTAGTCAACCCCTGTTTTGGTTCACCGGCGAGTTTGGCTATGCGGCCGAAAACGGTGGTGTCGCCAGTAGACACGACTACTGCCACTGTGTTTCCAGACACGCAGTGAGTTCCTTGAAGACCGATGTTATGTGTTTCAAGATAGTTATCCTCGGTCGAGTCGACCGTGCCATTGATAGGCTGCGATTCACCTAGAAGGGTCAGTTTACGATCACGAAACTAATAAACGAGGTGAAATACCAGTAAGAATAGACCTATCAAAGCACGCATCGGTCGAAACCTCAATAAAGCGAACATCGGCCGGCAACTTATTCCCAGCCTTGATATACACGACATCACCAGGCACGATCTCGGGCGCAAGCACCGAAGTCTGAGAACCGTCCCGTAGCACGATACAACTCTCCGGCAACATGGCCGTAATCGAAGCCATCACTCGCGATGATGACCAGTCCTGCCAGGCATTGAAGCCAGCTTGGATGAAGAACACGGCGAGCAGAACAATCGCCAGGGCCAGATTCGCTGGCGCCGGGGGGTCACCCAGGGGCTTCCAGGATACAAACACCAAAATACACCCTATAAGTAGGATGGCGCCGAAGCCTTTGAAGAAGTAGCCAAATATCTGCCAGAACCACCGGTGCGGTAACGTAGAGAGCATGTTCTTTCCGTACTGGTTGAGACGATGGCGGACTTGATCCGAAGACAGACCCTCTGCGGCGTCAACCTGCCATTTCTTCTGCAGCTCTTCAACGGACAGGTTATGCCATTCGATATTTGACAGATCTATCTGCGTTAGCATGGTACAGAATGGTAGCAAAGCTCGAACTGACCATCAGTAATCTGATTCCTCGCCTTGGCCGTTTCGATCTGCTCGTTCCGTCTTGCTTCGTCGATATCAAACGAGCTAGATATATCATGTCAGCACTGCGCTTACATAGAACGCGGGAATAGAAGGAACACTCACACGCTCCGGTAATGAATCGGCAGCGTCACGGCTGGATCGACAATCCCCCGCTTCGCACTGCGAATTGAAAACTCTGACGAATTCGAGGCTGTGCGCGTGAGCTGCTGCCGAGCAGACGGCCTTGCGCCGCGACCAGTTTCCTCGTCGACAGTCTGCCATCGCACGCGACTCTCGTCCTTGTCGTCTGTCATTGGTATTGACTTGATTTGACGAGCAGAGCAGCAGATGCGAAAAAAGGGAATGGGAAGGAGTGAAAGTGAATCCCCGACAAGAACGTCGAGCTGGGGCTGGTATTTATATCTCAGTCATCCCCGCTGAGCTGAGGGATTATCATTGACAATGAAAAAAAAAACATTAATTTTCCCGCTCGCGTGCAGCTGCTGCATGCAGTAAGAGCTGCTCTTGTCGAGCACATGGCAGGCCCATACCACATGGCAGATCGATCATCATGAACAGTGCTACGGTGTGTATGTAATATGAGCGATTTGTTCTCACCAGCCACTCTACGGGCTTAGCCCCAAGCGGGGGTAGATGTAGAGGACAACGAAAATGCCGCAGCAAAACAACATTTGAAGAGTCCTGCAAGTATATCTGCAATTATTATGAGTAATTACGGACCTGATAAGAGGTAATCGAAAGGTGGCTATAAGGTACTAGGTATAATAAGATAGTAATATAGTGGTACTAGAGATTCATGCAGCGCTATCTTCGATGCACTCACCCCAGATGAACAGGTATTAAGGTGGTCCAAGCTCTTTCTCACGATCTCAGCACAGACACAGGAATATATATCTGATATTGCTAGGCATTAAATCAACGAGAGTTTCCGTCATGTCTGGCTCACGTGTTATTCGCTCATAGAATGAATGAAGCAGAGCTGCCTGGTACCAAGTAGCTGCCAGATGACACCGTTTCAGCTGGCCAGTGGATTTAGAAGAGAAACAGAAAAAATGGAAAAGTGACGAAATGTGCAAACCAATGGTAAAAACGCCGCATGACCCACGTCAGCTACAGCACAGCGCAGCACAGCTCTTAATTTGTTTAATTTATAGTGAATCTCCACTTTGCTCGGCGAGTGCCGAGAGGGGCCCCAGATTACATGTACATGTGCCCATGATAGGTAGTGGCAATCATGATTTGATGACTCATGAATAAATATACTTAGTCTGTTCCATGCCTTGAAAAGAGGGATGACACGAGATTGTTGGATAGGCTCATGTCTTGAATATAAAACTGTTCACCACAAGTTCACATAAGTGAAAGATGCCGTCAGACAATCAGCCATCAGCATGGATTAAACGGATTGAACAACCACCGAAACCCGCGACAAGCAAGAGACAGAATAAAGGAAAACGCCACACACCGAACAGAACACAGAAAAGGCTTGATAAGTCAGATATAAACATAGCCTGTATCAGAACACATAAAGAGTAAATGTATCGTAAAGCAGCAGACACAAATTCGCCGGAAATCCAATTGAACGCCATAACCCGATCCCGCAAATGCCCTAGCATTTCCAACAGCAGAAGAAGAGAAGAAAAGTTACGAAAGCATGGGGAGGCCATGAGGGGGCTCGACTTTTGTTATGATACCCCTATTTACTAGCCAGCTGTCAGAACTCGCGTCACACTCGTTGTCGAATGTGTTTGAACCGAGATGCCTCACCTCCGGGATATCCGTCATCGTCATGTTGGTGTTTCGGCATGCCCAAGCCCGCGACGGCGATGCGGTTTAGTTGGTGAATGTCTTCAGATGTTGCGCCAGACGGAGGAGGTGCCGAGGGCTGGCCCTGTTGGCCCGGAGGAACTGGTGCGCCGGGGGAGCTGGAGGCGCCTCCAGGCGCCGCAACGCCGCGGTGATTATTCGATCCTGATAGAGTAGGTGGTTCGGGACGCGGTTGGTTCAGGTCGATGTTTTCTGGTAGCGCTGGAACCTCGTTTTGAGAATCAATCAGACGCGATTGAAGCCCGATTATGTACTCGCGCAATTGGTAGTTTTCTGCCTGAAGAGCCTTGTAGCTTTCCGACAGTACCTCATATTCCCGGACCTGCTCTTCGAGTTTCCGAATATAGCCCTCTTTTCGTTGTCGGAACGCTCTCTACAGATAGTCAAAACCCGAGTCACCTGAACTAATATATAGTGTACCATACCTGAGCAGCACGGTTCTGAGCGGCACGCTTGGAGGTAGACAACTCCCTCTTCCCGTATGTTTTCCGAGCAGCATCGCTCCCTGCAGCTTCATGCACACCGGCCATAACCTGGGGCATAACCTGGGCGAGCGACGGGCCTTGCGAATTCGCAGCGGCCAACATGGCGCTTCCGGCGATGGCGGGGTCGATGTTCTGGTTTGGACCCGAGGGCTGGGATCGGCCTTCTGGGCCTTGTGATGACAGATGTTGCTGGGCAGCTAGGAGCTGATCGTGGAGTACTGTAGACACAGGGTTTAGTAGGAAGTTCAAAGCTTTGCGATCTGAGTGATGTTGCGACACTGCGGGGGCAGGCGGTTTGAAAGCGCCTACAACAAGCATGATCGCGAACCAAGGCACTTTCTCGTCCAACGACTACATGCGCATACGATTAAAGTACAGCGATGTGCCAAGAATATCCGACGGGCAGGGGGCTCTATATAACAAGCTTACCTTGATCCGCATGATCCTAGATCAGACAGGAGAGCAGTTAGTCACCGGATCGGCAAGGCAAGAAAAGGGGGGAAGAAAGGCAAGCAGAAGGCTGCTGGCGGAGAACAGACATAATAGCCACCGCCAAACGACGAGCTGACTTCCCTATACGACTGCATGGAACGCGATGGTGGGGAGGGTTTGATGACAAAGAAAGGCTGCTTACCTGAGCAGTGTTCTGCATACTGGGATGCGGCGCTAGCGCGGGTTGCATCGAAGAGGGAGCCAGCAAAAATGCGCAAAATGGACGAACTGTAGCGATTCCAGCCTATAAAATAGAAATGATCGAGCTCGATCGGGAGAATGGGCCGAAGCGAGAGTGAGATAGAGGGAAAAGAGAAGATGGTTGGAAAGTGGAAGTAGGTGGACGAGATAGCAGGCGGCGATTGGCTGGTCGGATAGGGAAATTCAATGCAAATCGCAAGTATTCTTATGTGACCGACGTTGGTAATAATCGATTGACGGTCGCGCACGGGGGCACGGTGCTGCGGATTAGTTAATCTAGTAAACCTCGCAGGCAGTGATTCATTAGTCAGGACGCGGTAGATGCTAGGTCGTGATGGCAGTCGCCTCGTCGAGCGATGGTCCTAGTCGTAGTCGCTGGAGTAGACGGAGGATGATCTCGTAAGCAGAAGGAGGTTGGCTGGGCGGAAGGGGGGACGAGCTGTTAATAATATTAAATAACATTCACGGTACGTTGTACCGTTTTCTGTATGCTACGGCGCCGGAAGCACCCAGCCTGCGCCACATACGTAAATTTGGTATCGCACGGTACGGTCGGTATTGTATGGGTACTCTATTATTCACTACTACTTATTATGAACATGCGGACACGTAATGTATTGTTATCCATTCTACAAAAAGGGTATATCTATATACTATACTATTGCCACCACAGTACGTGAAAAAGATACATCACCCAACCGAGAGTCGCCCGGATGTCGAACATGCCGCGGAAATACTGGTACAGCGGACTAGCGCGAACGCCGGCATCTCGCGGCCGAAAAGGGCGACTTGATGACTAATTCACATTTGACGAGAAAAGGAATAATGAAATGATGCTTGCCTAGAATAGACTATATTTAATACGTGCCTCTGAAAGATTAGTCACCGATTACAGATAGTTAACTTCAGCTAGCTAGCCTGGCGCGAAGGAAAGGAGCTGTCCGTATTTGGTGTCCGGAAATAACTTCGGTGTTACATTACTCCAGACTCTAGAGCACAGAGCTGCTGATACAACTGGCAGGTAGAGGGTATGATCATAGAGAATACAAGGAAATATTCCTCATCAATATGATATGCATATACATTCAACGTAGTAAATATACTGACAGTGTGGAAACGAGAATATTCTAACGGATGCTTTATATGGTGACCGCCATCAATACGTTATAATAGGACTAGTAAATACCGGGAAACAACCAGCATACCAGTCTTACTCTGTCGATGTCATGTCGCTCCCAGCCACCCCCAGCGGCTAGCCGGAACAGGCATACCGTTAGTCAGAAATTAGTAACCAGACATTGGACTCGGTCCGAAGAGTAGTGCCGTTTCCGTTTTGTACGTACGACCGACTACATAGTAAGCAGGCTCTCACGCGTCGGACATGGGCATGTTGATAGATTCGATTGGGAATATGGAAATGTAAATAGTTTGTCTCAGTCGCGAAGAAAATACGCCGGCGCCACTGGAATGTGAATCAGACTCCCACATTAATCGCAAATTCCGGTAGAAATCAGATGTTATGGTAATTGTACATGATTTTCTCGTCCTACCAAGTAGATAATGCTACACGCTAGTTACGTTTCCTAGGTCATGCTCCTGTGACATTGTTAGTGAATGAACATGCATATTAGATGGATGATAGATAAAAATCTCACCTTCAAGTACTCGCTACCCTTCTCGTCAAACTCTGCCCGCGTTATAGACGACGACGCGAGTGCGGATCCCGATGCCCACTGAGCAGCACCTTTCCAGGCGTCGAGAACCGGATCCGCCGCGCGGCGGACCGATAAATTGGAGCCCACTGGCAGAAAACCACGTAGATCAGTCTTCAGTCGCTCGTCAAAACTCTTGAATAGCGTATTGCCGCCAGTAAGGAAGACGTCTTTGAGGAGACGCGTGCGGTCCTCGTCAACAGTAAACCTTTGGTTGAGCGTGCCAGCCGCGATTTCAATCAGCCCTGCCTGATCAACGCCAGCAATGGATGGCTGGAAGACCACCTCGGGGACTCTGATCCTCTCGACGTTCAAATGGATCTGATACGCTTCACGCTGGCTCTCGGGGTCGAACGGCCAAGGACCGCGCAGGAAAGCATGTACCATACTCTTAGTCCAATCCGTCTGGGCTTCTAATGTATGCTCGTTGGTAAACTCCGGGTCATACTTGAGTAATTGCTCCTCTATTGTCTTTAGAGAAGCATTCGCATCCTCTTCCTCCTCGTCATCGCTCTGCTCTCCCGTGGCAACTGTTCGGTAGACACCCCAATCGGCGTCATCGGCACCGAACGTGTCATCATCACCACCCCTTCGTCGTTTTTTAGGCCCATCGGCAGCAAGATTTGCCAGCGTCTTCATACGCATTTGACTCGCAAGGGACTTTCGATTTCCAAGGTCGGCCTTGAGACGCTCGCGCTCCTTAATCTTCTGAAGCAAAACTTGACGGGCTGCTCTCCGCTCACCAATCCACTCTTCAAAATCATTCTCGCGCCGTTCATCGTCCAGGCGCTGTTCCTCTTCAACGCGAGCTTTCTCTCGTTCTTTCTCTGTTTTGGCGCGTTGCCGTGCTTCCATGTTCGACTTCATCAGGCGTTGATGGCGCTTCTCTTTGATACCCGCTTCGTCTAGCTCCTCATCCGGAACATCAAGCAATGGAAATGTGACTTCTTCTTGATTCTCTTCGGTTTCGTCGTTGCCCAGATCCTTATTTCTAGACCGTTTGATTGAGCGCTCAAGATCTCGTATCGTCCGCTCCAGATGCGCTTCATCTTTCATGTCCTCGCTTTCTAGAATCCGCCGGACTTCTTTCTTCGTCTGTTGAGCCAGCCCTTGTTGTAGGTCCTTGTAGTATTCCAGCTCTTGCTCCTTTTTCATCAGCTTCTCTAATCGCATCTTGGCCGCTTGCTCTTGTAAACGACGGCCGCTTTCCTTTTTGCGTTCAGCTATGCGTGCAAGCTCTTCTTCAGTCTTTTCAACAACGACATGCTCAGTGAATGGGTATTGTACAACATAATCGCGATCCTCTAGCCCAGTCCAGTCTAAAAAGTGGCTGATTTCCTCGTTATAGTCCAAAGACACGTAGCTGAGTTTATGTATCAAATCTTCCATTTGATGTTCCGTCATTCGGCCCGGGAAGGCGGGATATTTAAGTCGCATGAGTTTCAGCAAATACTCTGAAGCTTGTTGGCCGCCCCAGTTCAATCTCGAAGCATTGGAAAATAGTGCCTTTGAGTTCATCACTGGGACGACGTGCGTAGCAGTATGCGACGATGATACTATCAATCCATCTTTTCCGCGATTATATCGGTACGAGAATAATGAATCGACGCCATATGCGACAGAAGGGACGCCGTAGCATTCGAACAGGATCTCATTCATCACTGCAATCCATTAGATCTATTTTCCATCACCACACGGAAATAACTTACTTCGTCGAGGGTATGCAAGATTTGCGATCGATTCGGTCATGACAATCGGTCTATCCACGTTTCCGTTCGAACCGTCAACCCCTAGTTTGATAAAAAGATAGTCCAAGATGCCTTCCATAACCTCCCAGTTGCCAACTACGCTGGTACCAGGATCAAAAGCATATCTCAGCTGTCCACGAGTTGTGGCGTCAACATAGGCGTCATATCCGATAAACTGGCAGCCTTTGTTCAACTTCCGGTCTCGATAGCGACTCATGACGGGGGGGATCACGAATCGCGGATTCTTATCAAATGACCATCCGGCCTTGACCGTGTGTGAGCCTAAATCGTGTCAGTAGATGCTCCTCTAAAATGCTACTTCAATCATACCATTGTCAATCACTATTGCGCTTGAGCCAGGCGAAGCTCTGCTCTGCTCGTATCCATCTGGCTGAGGGGGTTGGTAGCCCTTGAAAGGAAAATCTTTGGCATTGAGAATCTGCGGCGGAGGCTTTGCTTCATTTCGATCGCCTCCGTTCGTTGAGCGCGATGGCAAAATGATCTGCTGCGAGGTTATTGTCATCTTGAGCTGCTAGCTAGACGAGCAGGCTAGAAAAGTGAAAATGCGGCGTTTGCGGTGAGCGCGATATCACCGCATGATATCTCTCCCGATCCTTGGGGTGGATGGATTTGATGTGTCAGGTAGCAAAGCAGAATAACACGCTCGAACAGGGTTTGTATATATGTCTGAAGAGACGGAAGGGCGCTGGAGGTCTGGGAACTTTCATTCTCTGAGTTCCGCAGCTGGCCCCCGGAGCAATTCCGCCAAGACCGTGGTTTCATTGGTCGCAGAGTTACTTGATACCTCGCAAGACTTTATTGCTTTCATACATTGCTTACAATTGTCAACTGGGATTAATTCTTTCACATTAAGATTCTTAGATATACTATTTCTTAAAGGGTATTCTAGTCATGATTCATAAATACACACTGCGATACACGCGACACTCAATCTTAAGAAGGCTCCTGCAGGTTTTCGGTAGCTACGCGTTTATTAGCATTCTGGAATAATTCACGAGAAAAAAAGCTAGAAACAAACCTTCTAGATGGAAAAGAACGTTGGATTGGTAGTTCTTAAACATTTGCGCAACAAGCTCGACGTTCATGTTCTGAACATTGACTTCCTGAGATAGCGTAAGCCCAGACATTCCTCTCATACCTATAGTCATCTTGAGTACACTAAACCTACCTGCAGGCTCTTGTTCATGACCATAACGGCTTCATTAAGTTTTTCCTGTTCTAATTAGTGTTACAATACCCTGCCATCAGAAATCGCTGCATACAATGTTGGTGATGATACGGGAGAGCAGAAGGCTCTGCTGATGCTCGTGGGGGCTCTCCTAAATATACTATCAGAAAGCTCATACGAATAATAAATCCGTTTCATTGAGACACGTACCATTATTCAATCGCAGGGTCTTTGTATTTGTTGCGAGTGGTATTGTTTGTTTGGCGCCAAGAACGCGGTGCTATTTTGGAGTCGCAGATCACGTGAGCCGTCCTTGTGTCTATCTATCGAAGCTGCGATCAAACCCCAATCCAGAACGACTGAAGCTTCCAGCTCATCGAAAACACCAACGAACCGGCTGTTTCACAATAGCCCCGTGGTTTATTCAAAATGGCCCCCCAAACACCCTCTTCGGACGAGCATCAACAACTTCTTGACACTCTTGACATCGCTCCAATCCCGCGTCCCTTCCGGAGCTCAAGGTGGAAGCCATCGCAACGACGCAACAAAAACGTGAAACAGCTACTCTCCGAGTCATCGCGAAAAGAAGCATCTTCAATGGCGACGCAAGTCAATTCTGGCGCCACAACACCACTTCCTGGCAGCACCACTGACGGTTCCCAAACCCCCTCAGTTGGGATATCCTCCCGACCTCCCAACCTCGCCCAAGCGTCTCAGAATCTCTCTACCTTGGTGCTGGAGAAGAACCTACGAGCGACGATGTACACTGGAGGCCCAGCCGTCACGTATACTAATATCGAGTCGGCGCCGTCACTGAGTCCAGCCCATCAGCATCGCTACTGCGATATCACTGGCCTTCCAGCGCCATATACCGACCCCAAGACGAGGCTACGCTATCACAATAAGGAAATATTCGGTGTTGTGAGGACGCTTGGTCAGGGAGTTGCGGAAAAATACCTCGAGGCAAGAGGTGCCCACGTGGTTCTGAAGTAGGGCATATTCAAAAGGCTCGGATTATTTGTACATATATTACATTTGTTTTAACGGGGCTGTATTAAGCGTTGTAAGTTTTACCAGGCGAATTTGATTTATTATATTCACTCATCGATCGTCCAGACCTATTTTATAGTGCAATGCCGTCTGTCGTGAGTATGTCAGGCCAGCCAAGTCAAGCCTTTTCCACCCGCCTGCCCCTCTCGAGACAGGTTCAAGAAAACGCTCCGGCTTAATTGTGACCATAGGTCGATCTTCGCCGATTTCGAGAAGAAATCATGCCAACCGCTACCGAAACTCCACAGAAAGGACAATCAGTTACAGCGTCAATTGACACTGTGGTTGTGGCGGGAAAGAAATGCGTCGTTTGACGTGTTTGAAGGTATTCGAGGAAGCTTCAGATGGGATACACCGCGTAAGGTGGATTAGTAGTATACTTATTCGAGTTATAGCAAATTTGCGTGTATCATAGCCTTCGAAATATTTTGGTATCACCATTTAATACACAAAAATCACCTGCTTTAAGCATGAGTCGTGATATTCCGAACACAAATTATTGATCAACAAGAAAAGAGAGCAAATGAGAATCAGATTGGTGTTTTACGCACGCTAAACTGACCGCCAACCGCAAACGGCTAGGCGCCTTACCGCTATTTCGCTCTTTCCGCTTTGGAAAAACGTGGCAGAAACGGGGAAAGACAAGGAGCTTCAATATTTTCGACTTCGATTCTCTCACCCTGCCCCTGGCGATATTTGCGCTGTTACGAGATTCTTGAGACGAGAAACGAGTTCCTTTGACTTTAAATTCTTTTGGCGTCTTTTATATGCTGCGGTGATATTCGAAAAATACCTTATCACTCGAAAACAAATCCGCGTGGCATACTTGAACTTCAGCAATTGTCAATAACTAATATCCGCTCTTGCTGAATTTCTCTCTTTACTTTGGCACGATAAGGAGTTTGGACGTTACGAAATATAAAATATTCAATCAAAATGCCTACTATGTGGCTTTCGGAAACCCAGAGTGCGTCTCTCTCTGTCTAATGTTTACTTTCTATCTCAACTCAGTCTAACTATTATTTCTGCGAATAGAGGTCGGAGCCGTCTTCTGTACCGGTGGTATGCATTACACTATCTACCAGATATGCGCGAATCGAGGACGAGACTAATATATTATTTCTGGGCTAATAGGGGGCTTGTTTCTATTCGGCGGAGTATTGATGTTTTTTGATCGCTCAATGTACGTATATGTCCTAACCGTGTGTATTATGAAGGAAAAATACAGTCACTAACCCTAAATCCAGGCTTGCGATGGGAAATGTACGTCAATCCAGCGCCCCAAACTATCCATCCCGAATACTAACTCGCTCAGATCCTCTTCCTCATCGGCCTCACCCTGATCATCGGTGTCCAGAAAACACTCGCGTTTTTCTCCCGACCCCAGAAAATTAAAGGCACAGCTGCATTCGCCGCGGGCATCATACTTATTCTGTTCAAATGGGCCTTTGTTGGTTTCTTTGTCGAGCTTTACGGTATTCTGATCCTGTTCGGAGACTTTTTGGTCACAATCGGCCAGTTTGCGGCTAATATACCTGTTGTTGGCCCATATATTCAGCAGGCTTTGAATACGCTGGCGGGGCAGAGAAGAAATGCCGAGTTGCCAGTGTGAAGAAGCCTTGTATAGATTATGCCTTCTTTTTTATGAGGTGTATGGCTTGTCTGGGTATACCGCTTGTAATGATAGTTCGTCAACAGCTGCGATTTATATTTTAATTATATATAACATAAGTCAAATTAATATTGCTATTCAATCATGGCCCTTTACATCATTTATACACATTGTACTGGGAGATCCCCTTCAAGATGTACCGTTGGCCCATCAATCGGGCAAAATACAGTACAAATCAGAGATAGCAACTCCTTCCTGTTTAAGGCATTCCTCAATCACAATCTGATCAAAATCCTGCCATGAATCGCCTTTCCTGATAATTCTGGTAAATTCCTGCGGGTTTCTCGCTCTGTCAAAGCGCAATTCTGACTTATCAGCCGGAGCTGCAGCTAGTGTTTGCTGCAATGTCTCTCCATACCGCCCAGCTGGGGTATCCATATCATCGCCCAGTTTGAGAAGGTGAGTGAAAATTTGAGGTTGTGGATTTTGGAAAGCATGTCGCAAAACAGTAGGAAACATTTTCCCTTTAATATGGACATTGGCCCCTCGCTGAAGTAGGTACTCAAATATTTCAGTATGACGGCAAAATGCCGCGGTGTGCAAGCAGGTACCAAAGGGGCCTTCAACCTTATTCAAATCAACGCCCTTGTCGATGAGCAGTCTGAGTGTGTCAACAGGGCCACCGGCCACGCATGCTTCCTGAAATGGAGATTCGAGTCTGCCTCCACCTTCGTTGGGATCTGCTCCGTATTGCAAAAGGGCTTCAACACCGTCGGGACATCTACTGGCGCAGGCTTGTTGTAAGGGAGTCCTATCCCCATAACGATCTGCGAGGCGTGGATCAGCTCCTTTCTGGAGGAGGAAGCGTATGAGATTGCCATCTCCAACGCCGGCTGCTGCTCCCAGTGCTCCTGTACAATTCATATCAGCTCCGTGTTCAAAGAGCAACTGTACCATTGGGACGCCTCCATTCCTCGATGCTGCTGAGAGACAGCTTTTGTAGAACTTAGTCTTGCTTGGTTTATAGTTGGTATCCGCGCCATAGTCGAGAAGTAGTTTTGCACACGGTAAGTCTCCATTTAAACATGATGTAAATAACGCGGACCCTTCCTGATCCCCAGAGATGTTCGGATCTGCACCTCGCTCCAGCAAGACTTGTATAGCATTCAAACTAATTCCGTCAAATTTTCTATACCCTCCACCCATTGGCAGAGTGGTGAAAAAATTGAGCAGACCTCTCCCAACAGCCGCCGCCTGCAATGCAGTCCCAAAAGCTCCACCTTGTATATTCACATCTATTCCACTGTCCAGGTCCTTTTTAACAAGTTCTTCAAGGCCGAAATAGCCTCCCGCATGCAGATTTGTGGGGAATCTTACATCGCCTCTAAAATCAGCACCGTATTTTACCAACAATTCGACAATATCAGCTGACACTTTGTCCTTGGGTCGCAGGCCTATCATATAAGCAGCACGCAGTGCATTTTGAAGCATAGGTCCCCGCTTCCAATCGATCTCTTTACTGTCAAGCATCAGTTTCAACACTGACAACAGCCCGAAAGAGCTGGCCACATATAGTGGAGACTGAGTGAGAAGATCGTATAATTCAGGGCTTGCTTTTGGTGTTGCGACGACAGTTAAGAAGTATCGAATCCAGCGAAGATAAACATCTTCCATATTGAGAAGAAATTTCAAGGTTAGATGGTGGATTTTGGTGGCTGATACAGGCACCTGTTCGTAATGGTAAAGCCAATTGTCCGCAGCATAAACTGCTAATGGGAGACTATCCACAACGTCACGAAAGTTTCCTCTGATTAAACGCATATACATAAGGCAGCATTCTGTAATCGAAGCATGCGCAGCGGACTTTTCAATATGGAAGCGAACGACTTGACCATTCAGAATATCATTCGATAGGAGGTATTCCTGAATAGATATATGTGCAAGTCTTACAACTATCCTGGGCTCTTCCTCGGTGCCGGGACTACGCTCCTCGATCGTTGTCATAAGTCCTGGACAAATATCAAGGACCTCATTAGGGTCCCAGATATGCTCGATTTTGTCGAAAGGTTCAATATTAAAATCCATGGCGACCAATTCAGCTAGCTCTTCAATGTGCAAAGGACGGGTGCTGAATAGCAGCCAATATAGCATTCTCATGGCTACGACATAGTCATCGTCTGATATATGACTGAGCATTTGAGCATATGTTTCATTGAGGTCTTTAGGCATGGTTGCAAGTTTCCGTCGTAGATCGGGAGGCCCCCGGCAGCGTCGTAATTCTTTTAGCTGGCACACCACCCATAGAAACCTGGTGAAATAGTTAGAAAATCATCATCATGGGCTAATCTAAGCTAACCTACATGCCATCGGACTTCTCGATTAAGGAGTCTTCAATAAGTTTCTGAACCTCGGATTGGCCACGCCACCGTTTAAAATCTCTGTCGGTGCGTAGGCGATCTCGGATATAGTTGCGAATGTCCTGTTTGACGACCGAGGTTGTTAACTTTATTGACGTAACAATTTTCCCCATGTTCTCAATACACTCCTTGATATATTTGGTGTCACGACTTGTAAAGAAAATATGGAGATTTTCGTCAGCTTCCTTGTTAATTTCCTCAATCATGTCGAACAGGTCACTCAGATCCTGGCACTCGTCTAGTGCATCCAGAACGACATAAACATTGCAAAATTCAGAAGTCATATTCATAAAAGCAGATAAGAGTTGACTCGTTGACCGTTGTTTGTTGCCATCTCCGAACAGCTCTATCATAACTTCAGAGTTTTTACCCCCACAGTCAAATATTTGCTTCAACAAAGATCGCAACATCCCCTCTGGTGTTCTCTTTGTAGCATCATCTGCCTTGAAATAAAAGTATATTACAGCAATGTTCATGTTTGTGGCTCTGTGTCCCAGTAGGTCTTCCAACACTGTTGACGATAATACCGTCTTCCCACTTCCAGGGGTTCCATTCAGCCAAAAGGTGTTTGGATGCAGCTTCCATTCCTTGTATCGTTGCTCTTGAATAAGCCAATTACCGGTATTTTGGGCCTTCGTTCGCAATGCATGCATATAATCAACAGAGGAATCGGGTGCTGATAGCCATCGTGCAATTTCATCTCCACGCCGATCTGTGAAAGAACATTGAGCAAATCTCGTCAGCAATACATTCAGCAACCTTACTTTTTATTTCTTCCCGTTTCTGCTCATGCAGACTTCTCACAAGAGTATTAGTCTCGGTAGTCTTTTGGCGAATATCTAAAACATTGTTCCTATTGTCGACGTGTAAGTGGATCAATTTTCACACTTGAAGACGGAAACATACGTCTCGTCCAAGGTCAAGGCAAAACTAAACAAAGAGATATACTCAGTTATATCCTCCATAATTTTCTTCATATAAGCTTCTTTGATAGGCCAGTGCAGAGCTTTCAGTAACGCTTCCCTTTTAGACAGATTTTGATGCTTCGGAGGTGAGATATCTGTCTCCAACTGCTCTAATTTTTGAAGACATTCTTTAAATAAATCCTCCATATCACGTATTCTGTGTAGCGTTGGTAAAAAGCACTCTTTACCGATTGAGTCCACATTATTGTCGCTAGCTTCGGTAGAATCGCGCTTTGTGAGCTCCTCCAAGGTTGCAAGAACAATCTGCAAGCCACCTAGCCGTTGAACAAGGCCAAGGATAAGCGTTTTCGAGTTTTTCGCTGACCTCACATATTGCATACAATGACCACAGACCACGGTTGTTATTTGAATCACCGCGATGAGACTGGCAGTGACACTCAAGGGATCCATTACATCGATTTGGCGAAGCCATTCGTCCTCGACTCGGAGATGAGAAGGCTCGATGGGAGATGCGTCTCCTATTTGAATCCATTTTGACAAGGCTTTGGCGCCAGGCTGTAGCCGGTAATGTCGCATTTGAAGATGCGCTGGACGAATAATATTGAAAAAGGGCCCAGGCTGTGCTGTTGGCGCTTCGCTAATCCCTGCATATGCTGTGCCGCGCGGTTAGAAACAGCAAATCAACGCAAGCTGTTTCACATTGGTATGTGTCTTTCAAGATGACTTGGAGAATTCCAAACGAGCTCAGTGTAATGTATTTATTGTCTATTGGTTCTGTCTCTGTCAAGGTGGATATTGTTGTCGTGAAACTGGATGACGCCTAGAGGAATGGATGGCGGTGGCCTCTTCCCCCCGTGGCAGAAAGTAATCGGCTGGGAGCATCGTCGGCTTCTTATCTTTAGTGAATCAAAGCAATTGTTCTATTTGCAGTCTAAATTAGCTCTTTCGAGAACAATGAAGAATATTTGGCATCCGAAAGAAATAGCCAGCTCATGTGACTTCAAAATGTTCGTGCCATTTTTATCCTACCTTGATGATATAGTCCCTTGCTAAGGAAAGGATAGGCATCGATATCTACAACAACTTAAAAAAGTCTGACTATGTCTGATATTGAGTGTTTGCATAGCGAAATCGATTCTAACGCCAGACTAAGATGCTTGCTTGAGGCTATCGATTATAGGAGATATACTTATATCAGTGCTTGCAGGACTGTGTTTGCTATTACAAAACTGAATGGGCCATGCAATCATGACATTTCGAAATAAATGTGTCTATAGCATATCCCGGTACCTATGACCATAATTACCAAAGCAGATGAGTGTGAATAAGGACATAATTGTAGGTTTTATACAAAAACCGTACCAACATTCCATTTTCCCACTCGAGAATAATCCTATGTCCGCACTGTATTATGAATGGTAACTCCCACATAGGTAGAAATCAAATTTCTGGTCTCATTATGTGTACTTGTTGATATGAGCGGCCTGGGTAACAGCAGAGGAAATGGCCTCGATGGGCGAGGAGGCTTCAAGATAGTGCGCGATGAAAACCGCCTTGTTACACTTGGCGGCAACGATACCTTGCTTGCCTGTCGATGTGGTCTAAAGTAATTAGCATCCAGTAGGACAAGTCAAGGGCTGGGCGTTATATAGTAGCTAGAAGCACACACCTTTTGGACGAGCATTATTGGAATGTCAGCATCGTCGTCGATCTTGTTCAAAACATACTTTTCGCCCTCGAATTCGGGTCCCTTGCTTCGAACACCTTGAGGGTCCGTGAAAGCGCCGACGATTACGGAAATCTCCTCGTCAGAAACCTATTCCCAGGTCAAATGTCACTCCCGCGTCTCTTTTGTTGTGTTTGCAGAGAATCTATACCTCGATGGGTCCTCCTTTACCCCATGTGGTCTGACCAGTAGAATCGACAACGATCACTTTGTCGAATGTTCCCTGTGCAACAACACTGTACTTACGTTAGGAATGTTTTTGATGAAATGCGATATAGAGGGCCTACCCTTGCGCGAAAGCTATGCAGAGACCATATCAGATCAGCTCAAATTCGCTTCCGACTGAGAGAAAAGTTGTATAAAGAATTTCAAGGAAAACATACGGTCCCAAGACATTGTGTGTGCTATGATAGTTTTGATGTATAGAAGGTAGAAACGGAAGCTCGATGGTGGCAGTGCACGGCCCTGAACAGCTGATTGTTTGAGCTGCCGTCCAGCGTAGAGAAGAAGTTCAGAAGATACGATCAGATAATACGCACAGATATCTTCCACGCGAGGGGAGTTTGATCTGTCTGGAAAAATGATGTTGTGTGGTGTATGATGAAAACAACAGTTTGGCAACACGAAGAGCAAGCTGAGTGGAGTGAGGGGCCAACCTTGCCCCGCCTTCCCAAGGCGATTTTTCTGGGTGGCAGCTCGGCTTCACTCTGCTTGCTGCCCGCCCGGTTGGCGGCGTTGAACGTCTTCGGCCCAGCCTCATCATTGCTGCCATTGCTGCCATTGCTATGCCGTGGTTTGCTCGTCAAGTTGTCAGAATGTCCTCCCTAGACATATCCAGTCGCCATTCTGGATAAGTATCGCCATCTACTAACATCGCAGTCGCCAGTATACCATCCGCAGAGCTTACAAGCTGACGCTACAGCTGTCCACCATCGAACAATGCCCACAAAATCAGTTTTTTCGCGCCGCTGAGCGATGGATTCATCGAAGGAAATCTCTACGAATGACAAACTGTATGAAATATGGCATTATGGCATATCGTGGTATATTATTCAGACATGCAACCAGCCTGCGAGTTAGATGCGACCTAGCAGATGACGTAATTTCGATATGAGCGGTCGCAAGCAGATACGGTGATTTACAGTGGGGTGTACTCGTGGCTCATAACAATCAATTCTAGATACAGAGCGGCCAATGACAGGGCTATTTACGGGTTATGCACGGCTACCCTGAGAAGAAGCGGTCTGCGGTTAGATCATCGACCTCTGGTTTTACCGGCAACTTCTCGGAATTATGCAGGTTGAATAGCCATGGCAAGGGACGGAATGCATCCCGGCGCAACAGACAATAATAGATAGAGACGATGCGTCTAAACACACTTTTCAAACGCCCTCGGATCATATTGCTAATACCTTAAACCTGAAGAAAAGTACTCTGTAGACGGTGTCATGCATCTCGTATCTCAACCGAGCCAATTAGTTGGATGCTGATACGCTGAAGCCTTGACGGTTGCATGCACGCTAATAGCTCCTCTGCTACATAACGCCACAGTGTTTCACCACTGTTTAGACCCTTCCTCACGTTTTCTGAGCCTCGCCATCTTGCAGGAAAAGTACGGTGAGGTCAGTTGATCTTGCAAATGGCCCCAGAAGCATTGATGAGAGTCGGCATTCTTCTCAATTTGGTACATTCGAAGCAAGAGATTTGCACAGCAGTTGGCACGCTCTGGTAGTCGGCTATCCATTAATTCACCCTTGTTACCACGGCCGTTCTGGCGTCTTCAGATTTACCAAAAGACTTTTTCCGATGGAGGGAGAAAAAGTCGCACGAGCTTTTTCTTTTTTGGTGGCGACTGAGTTCAGTTGACAAGACAATTGAAGCTGAAGGACACAACGGAATTGTCGGAAACATGGCCGCTGATTGGGCCAACGACAAAATAAAGGTGGCGGTAGTTTAATTAAATCCAAAGAGCCGTCTCGCCTTCTACGAATGCGACTCGCCTGCCGCCCGTGAGCCTGCTAATCTGATCAACCGGGCCTAGCAAGCGAATCGATCGGGGGCTGGCACCTGCAGCTGACTCGAGTCTGCCCCGAGCAATCATGGACCATGCCTGGCCTTTTGTCCCTGACTGGGGCTGATCGTTGTTGTCCAATGCCTCCCAGGATGAGAAGAAACGGGCCAATCACCGCCCCGGCCCGCATAACATTTGTCTCATCTCCATCTAGATGTGACATCTTAAACACACAATGAATTAAAGGGTTGCCCTAGCCCACTATTTGGGTTCCAGACTTATTTGTACTTGTTTGAGTGTCATTCTCCTCTCAAATTCTGCGCTGGTGCAGATTTCTAACTTGACCAACCCTCTTGGCCTTCTGGAAAGCCGTCCGTTCTTTTCGAACACTATACGAGTCCTCATTTTAGGGATTGGATATTCAGCTTCTTCAATTCGTGCATATAATTTTTATAAGAAAGTATAGAAAAGGAGGGAAAATGGGTATCTTTGGAAGGAAGCACGGAAATTCGGCCACTGCGATATCACAACCGGTTCTCACTTTCACAGACGCTGCGCCTCGAGATGATCTCCGGGGTCTCTGGGACATTGAATCGCCCAAGCAGGGTATGGCCGAGCGTGGTAAACCCCACACAGAAATAACGATGCAAGAATTTCAGGACGCCGTTCAAGCATTTGACTTTACCGTGACCGAGCCGCCAGACGGATTGGTCACTGGACATTCTGCTAATGGCACCATGGACGGGTCTATGATTGGGATTGCATTGGGTAGTCCTAGCATGCTACCGCCTCCGCCACAATTTCAACCGATTGAATGGAAGACCCCTACCATAGACGTTTCTTCGGAGAGGACAGAGCCACCGGGCTCTTTAAGACGGAAGCCAAGCAAGTGGAAAAAGTTCGGCGATCTTTTCAAAGGAAAGCAGGGTGAGACGAGGCAGACGTATGAGCCTTTCTACCAGCTCGACAGGAATAATCAGCCATATCATCCCGAATCACAGATGCAATTTCCAAGCTCCGATAATGGAACTGCTAATATCAACCCAATACCAACACCGGACAAAAGTATCATCAAAGGCCAGGATGCCAAAGATGATTCGTTGTTGCAGATTGACATTCCTACTGTCCATATGGAGCGGTACAGTGTCATGTTTAGCAGTGTGCTGGGACAAAAGCCTTCTTCGTCTCTACTAGCCAGACGGAGTAAGGCATTGAATCAGATACAAGTTCATCATAGAAAAAACGTGGGTTTAGTATCAATTTCCGTTTCATATCAGGATTATTAACAACATATAGAACAATTTTATCGAACCTCCTATACCTCAACGACGGGCTACATCCCCCGGACCAGCAAAGTCGCCTGCGTTCTTATTGTTCCCCAATAACGAAAATGGCCCTTCTGCAAACCCTCTAGATGCCACTGCGCCATTGGAACTGAAGAGTCCTCGTCGATCAAACACTTTTCCCGCGGAAACCCCGCGCACCCAAACCAAGAACACTCACCTCACCGTCCCAGATCTTACACCTGCACTGTCGAGCGGCACGTCATTGGGGTATGCATCGACGGAGGTATCTTCAGCCGGGATTGATTCTCCTTCTGAGATAATTTCCAAACCTACCTATATTCCCGGACCAGAGCCTGTCTGGGAAATGATCACGAAACGTTCTGACTCGCCTTTGAGCATCACCATATCTGCGCATGTCTCGACACACTCAACCCCAGCAACAAGCCGTGAAGACCTTGTCAGCACGAAAGCAAATCAACTACCGCGAGAAAACCCCTTGTTTCCACCAAGAGTCAGCAGTCGCGATCATGACCTACCGATAGGCCAACCAAAACCGCGAGCAAGATCGCAAACAATGCCAACGCCATTGAAAATCAACAAGAAAACAGTATCAATAGAACAACAGCCAAAGCAAAAACCACCACAACGTCAAGAGCAACAAAAATTCGCCATCTCTACCGCTCGTTCCGTATCTGTTACTGGCCGCCGACCCCCCAAACAGTCATCTGCTTCTCTCGCCCCTCCGCCATCCTCATCCCTACCACCCGGACCAGCCACCCGAGATCGCTTCCAATTCGAGCCCACTAACAAGGACGAACGATTCGGCGAGCATCAGAAACTCGTCCCCACAGTCGTTGATATCCGTCGAGGATCAGGCCATCAACATAAGAAGTCCGAAAACGTTGTAATTGAGACGTTGTGAGTTTGGATGGATAGACCTGATTTCCCCTTCATCAGTGTGTTTACACGTATACTTTTATTACCATAGAGCAAAGCTCTTGTTAACACGCTCTCGTTTTCCTTTTGTTGTTGAGATACCACTTTTTTTCACATTTTGCCATTTGATATGGCGTCGATCATTTTAATGTCATCTAGCCCTAGTTTATACCTCAAATAGACTTATGTACATTCAGAATCGTCAGGTCAGGCGTATCCCGATCATTGATTGATTGATCAATGTTCTATTCATAATTCTAATGCCTACTACAAATCATTTCTCAACCTGCGCATCAGTCTCTACCGTCCTCGCAGCTGAAGACGACTCACCCCCTTCTTCCTCAACCGGGATCTTAATCCCATTCATCGCCCATTCCATCCCGATATACGCATCACTAATAATCCTCACATTCACTCTCATCGTCCCTGAGACACCACCCGGAAACTTGACTGTCGCTCTAGTCGTGGTCGTCGTCGTCATCGCTCTCCCTCCTTGGCTCTTACCCTTACCCGATGAAATAGTCTGGTTTTTACGGTTGTTATTCGTCGAAGACCACGAAACCCGCTTCAACGCTACAAGATCCCCATTTCTTTCGTCCGACACAACGAGGAAGTAACCCTCCGTTTGAGGTTTCGGGAACCGCGGGGCGTAGATTTTGAAATCCGGTGTGGAAGGAGGGTTTTGGCGGCTTAGTGTCAGTGTCATTCCCGTCGTGGAAATGGTTGATAGTGAGATTGATATGCGCGGGAGGGTTGAGATGATTCTGTCGAGTTGGTGGAGAGATACAGAAGGCAGTTTTGAGGCTAGAGTGGATGCACGGCTGGATGTGAGCGCGATCAGGGAATCCGGGAGACCGGTTTTGGGTTTTATTGCGTCTGGTTCAATGTTGGGGAGTATAGATAATGGATGGTCTTCGGGCCATCGCGCGGATTTGATGCATTGTAGCAGGGTCATCATCATACGGCAGGCAGGCATGTAGCCCAATTCAGCGAGAATATCGATCGAGGCTTGGATGATACGGATGCCCTGGTCTAGGACAGATGTCTGGTCACCGACATAATCGGAAATAGGGAGGTCGATGCGCGACATGTACGCTTGCAGCAGTAGGAAAGCCTTGATGTGAGGATCCCACATTGGCAGGTCGCCCATAGGCTCCGGAGAGAGAGGGAGATTGCGCGAGAGTTCGGCGTTGATGAGGTCTTCGTTGTGTCGTACGGGGAGCTCGTCGAATTCAGTCGCAGAGCACATCCATGCGAGAACTTCCTGAAAGGTCGGATCGCGTTTGGCGTGGCTCATCAGGTAGCGGACTGTCCTGTGCGAAAGGTAGTAGTAACTCATGATCTTACCAAACGGCGTAGGGTCGACTTCGCCAGTGGCTGAGTCTAAGATAACGCAGGAAGACTCAGCAAGCTCGGATAGAGATTTATCGACTAAGTCGATCATGAACTCAGCTGCGATTTGCTGTGCAGCAATGGTATTATGCTCGTCGGCGGATATTTCCAATCCGTAATACGAGGGATTCTTATGGAGGCGACGGAAGAAGAAAGTCCACGTTAGATAATCCAGCGCATCCTGTTTTGTCACGATTGTGCCAGCAGATACTTCTGCGCCCAAATGGTTATCCAACACCTTGTGTAAGGTTGATTCTACCGGAAATCCAGTATGCAGGAAGTGCTTGTAAAAAGCCTTTTTAGCGTCCTGAGTGAAAATCCGTGCAATACCGGAGTCGTCGAATTGTGGACGACCAGCTCTGCCGAGCATTTGCAGCACATCGGTCAAATCCATATCCCTATAACCCTCAATTTTAGCATCGAAGAATTGCGTGCCCTTCACAACTACGAGGTGTGCCGGCAAGTTCACGCCCCAGGCGAGAGTACTTGTAGCCACTAGGATTTGAATTTTGTTATTTGCGAAGAGTTCCTCGGCGAGTTGTCGGTCGGACTCAACCAGACCGGCATGATGGAGACCGATACCGAAACTGAGAGCTTCCCGTAAAGCATCGTCTTTAACACGGGTGAGATTGAGTTGAAGATCGTCTTCTGACATGCGCACGAATCGACGTGGGTTATCTTCCATTCCACAATAGTTGATGAGATCCTTTGCTGTCAATCGGGTTTGTCTCCGAGAAGCGACGAAGACAATGACCGGCTTCTCAGGAGAATGATTTTTTATTGCCAAGAATGTTGGGCGATTCATCGACTGCATTAATGGACAGAACCCACGCTGTTCAGGGAAACCGTCAATGAAGATTTCCAGAGGAACTGGACGGACAGAGTGTCGGAAGTTGTAAAGCCCCTCCTTAACACCGAGCCAGTTCGCCAGGTCCGTAGCATTGGCGCATGCAGTGGACATGCCCATCAGTCTTACCGAGCCCTTAGACTGAGAAGCAATATAATTCATACGAGACACGATGATTTCCAGGATAGGACCACGATCACCACCCAACAAATGGATCTCGTCAATAATGACCAGGCTTACTTGTCGGACATACCCTCTGGTCTGCCAGCTTCGAGAGATACCGTCCCATTTCTCAGGGGTAGTGATAATGATATCGGCATCCCGGATTGTTCGCGTATCTGGAGTGTTGTCACCAGTTAACTCAACCAATCTCAATCCCATTGCAGCAGTAAGCCGTTTTCGCCAGTCCTGAACTCGTTCGCGTACTAGAGCTTTCATCGGGGCAATATAAACAACTTTAGACCCTGGGTTTTCACGGAAAGCCCACCACATAGCTAGCTCGCAGGCAACAGTCTTGCCACTTCCTGTGGGCGATCCCAATAAGACATTAGCAGATGTATGGTATAATGTATGAAATATCTGTGTTTGCATTGGATTGAAGTATTGGAAACGGGCTCCATAGATCTCCTCTAGAATTGGGTTCTTCAAGGCAGAAATTGGAAGGGGTTGAAGGTCGAGAAGATCTGTGTAGACACTTTCAGTATCCGGTCGAATAAGATGCTGAAACGATACCGGTGTGACTGTCTCCGCACCAAGCCAGCGATCAGAGATGGTTCGAACATATATTTGAGAAGGTAATGGATCAGACAATGGAATGGTGAAATTCAACTCGTGCTCATCATAGAGTTTCTTTCGGCTCAGGATGAAATATTCATGATGATAGATTTCGGATGTATCTGAATTCTCAACCCAGATCCAGTAACCTTCTGATACGCCATGGTGTCTATCGTTCCAGATAAAGTCAGGATAGAGAGAAAGCCGAATACGGAGAACGTCACGGTTGAGAGGCGCGATTTCAGCTTCCACACTCAATGTTGGGAAATTGTCGAGTAGCTTGGAAAGAGTATTTCCCATGCGATGGTTATGTACTAGCTGGCCAATTTCAGCCGGTTCCATTTCCCGCATGGACTGTACCGATGATGTTGGTAATTTCTCATCTAGATTTTTGAGGATAGGCAGAGGTAGGTCAAATTGATGGAAAGGATGTTGGAATGGCCATATTTGCTTTTCAATCGATTTGCACATCGACAACAAAACCTGGCATTGATAACCCCAACGACGGTTCAGAGCAATCATGAACAGCGAACGGCATATACGTGCAGACTGCTGAGCCACATATGCCAAGTCCGAAACGAGGGCAAAATCTTCCAACTTTGCACGAGAAATGTAAGATTGCAAAAGAATGTTGGTTTTTGCATGTGGGGAGTCATTACCCCCTTCAACCTCAGTCTGGAGAGCCTCCTCACGTAACCTTTCAAGCTCTTTGGACTCGTTCTCACGAGCTTGAATATTGTCAAATTCTCCGCTTAAACTGATCATCCTCAGAACGTCCGCTTCGCTAGCTTGTGGCCTCATCAAATCGTTGAAAATCTCAATACTGGTTTGCAAAACATAGTATTGACTAGCAATACGGCCAACATCTTTGGCGCGCAGTTCTTCCGTTCTTTCATTGAATATGATCATCTGGCTTTTCTGCAATACTCGGGCCGCGTTGACAATTAATTCCCGGCGTCTTTGTACCAACATCGGATCATCGCGGATCTCTGCCCATTCGATGCCGTAATTGCGTGGCTCGCGCTTCATTCGAACGAAGAGATAAGAGTAACCAAGCCATTGCACAGCCTCGGCTACACTTGTGACAGTACCGAGTGAAATTTCTGCATTCAGGTTATCCACCAATTTTGCAGAGAATCGGGACTCAATAGGCTGCTGCGATGTTACAGCAGAAAGATAATGGTGGAGTTTGTCGTGTGTTGTGCAAATAAAACCAATACCAGTGTCCTGAAACTGTGGACGACCAGCACGACCAAAAATCTGCAGAACGTCAAGGATCCCAAGGTCCACAAATTTACCTTCCTGTGCACTGTAGAGCTGCGTTCCCTTGATAACGACGGCTGCGGCGGGAAGATTGACACCCCAAGCTAGGGTTGCTGTACAGCAAAGAACTTTGATATGGCCTTCAGCGAACATGCGTTCCATGAGGTTACGGTCTGATCTTGTTAAACCAGCATGGTGCGCGCCAAAGCCAGCTGCAAAGAGATCTCGTAGTTCTCTCGCGCGTGCACCTTTCAAATCCTTTACTGCCTGACTATATCCTTCTGTATCCTGTGCCGTCAGAAATAGATCCTCACACTGTTGCTCCGCAGCCATCTGCTTGAAAGTACGGGCCGTCAGGACAGTGTCTTTCCGAGAGTGAACAAAAACCATAACTTGGTGGCCTTGCTCCAGCATGTCTCGAACTTTCTCAAATGCAACGGCATCGAGATTCTCGCGAGATTGTTTACTGCCAGGCTTTCCTTTAACACCGACAAAATGCTGTTCCAGCGGTACGGGACGGAATGATTGATCGAAAAAGAACAGGCCAGCCATTCTATTTACTTTTAAGAAATCTGCAACGTCGATATAGTTTGGAAGGGTCGCAGAAAGCCCAACAATCCGAATCAAGGATTGTGTACTCTCAACCTGACGCTCGGTTCGCGCAACAAGAGATTCAATAACAGCACCACGTTCGTCGTGAAGCATGTGAACTTCATCAATGATGAGCAAGCGAACTTTCTGGACAAGTTCAGTATCACCAGTGCTTTTTCTCGTCACAACATCCCATTTCTCAGGGGTGGTCACGATGATTTGAGTTTCCACAATCTCGCGCTTCGATAATTGCATATCCCCAGTTAATTCTCGAACTTGAATTCCCAGCCATGCCAGACGCTTTCCTAGTTTCTCTGTGACTTCAGCTGCCAGAGCCTTCATGGGTGCAACATAGACAACTTTGAAGTCATCAAGTTGGACTGTAAATTCTGTTGCATCAGATTCCTCCAGAGGATTGGGTATGATATTCTTTGAAATGGCATTGAGAATGGTCAACATGGCAGCGTCTGTCTTACCAGCACCAGTGGGCGCACAAATGAGCATATTCTCGCTAGTTTTATACGCAACTTCGTAAAGTAGACTCTGCATCCGGTTTAGCGTTTTGTATCCTTTAAATGTGCCTCTGCACAACCCATCTAAAGACGAAATCTGGACAAGTTTCTGGTTTGGTCCTACTGGAGAAATGCCACGCGATGCTGGGACGCTGATTTCGGTATATTTTTGATGTTCAACCTGATCACTACCATTCGGAAGACCATATTTCTTTCCTCCCAAAGACAGTGTATTGCGAGAGTCATGTACTTTATAAACGTGTGGGTATTTCGGTCCCTCCCGGGTTTGAGCCCCCGCTAGAGGTGTGTGTTTGTGCTCGTGGTCTTGCCGACGCAGGGATTGTTCACGCTCTGCGAGAGTTTGCAATCTCCCGGCCATCAGTCCATCCGTTTGAGCTGCACTTCTTGACGTCTTGGGTGAAAGTATCTTTTGTCGATGAGCGATCAAGTCTATAACCAGGTCAAGATTATCGAATCCCACAATCTCAGCCAAAGACATTTGCAGCTCGTCATCCCCGGAATCAGCTGCCAGAACTGCTGTTATTTGCTCTAAAAGCTCTTCTTTTCCGAATCCAGACCTTTGAGACGCCAGTGTCTCACATTTCGACACCAACCAAGCGTAGCTATAATCTTCCGTGCCAGAGGGAAGCAGCACCCCGTTTATGTCGTCAAAGTCATCACTTTCTTCATCCGAACTAATAACATCCCAAATATCATCTACTGTTCCCGAAGAGTACTCGTCATCTTCGAAATCGACATCGACGTCTGTGGCGTTGTTTAGTTCGATGGTTTTCGTACGGTCGTCGAGTTTCAAATCGGCAATAGATTGCTGCATTTCAGAGAGCTGTTGCAGCCACTGAGTCTGTAGGGTAGCGATGTCCGCCATTTTCACTGTTGCTTATGTACAAGTGTACCGATATGGGGTTGATGCCAGAAGCAAAGAAATATAAAGGCATCAGTGGGGTAATAACAAGACGGCGGGATGTTGCTCTTAATTAGTCACCGAGCAGGAGTTAGGGCAGTCTGTCAGGGCTTCAGGCTTGGCAACCTTAATACACCGCCAAGGGCCGTCCGAGGCGCTAAACGCCAAATGGCAAGCGGCAAGCGGGGGCCACAGCCGCCGCAATGACAATGGGAGCGGAACCCCAGTGACACTGCCTGTTATCTACTGCTGTCACACTCACCACAGACAGGCAACGACATACTGGCCTATGCTTATAAGCTTGCCCTGCCTTGCTGACACTTGCTCTACACAACGATCGCTTGTCCATATCACCATCATGAAGATCTTTTACATGGGAGTAAGACACTCTTGCCGCCAGCCCCCATTCCTTGAATTAACCCGTCGTCACAGGTCCTCCGCAACGAGCCCAAGCCGGCCTTGGAGCTCACCGGAGAAAAGGATCTCACTAGGTAGATACAGAAGCGGTCGGTTTACTGGCGTTTTGGCTGATGAGGTTTAGTTTCTCGAGATTTACTCGCCAGAACTATGAAGAATTCATGATGCAAGTCCCCGCTGCTAGGTTCTGAAGATTCGACGTCGCTAATACGTTTCTTTCATTACAGGCTATTTACAAAGACCGTGGCGGGTGAGCATGCCGCATGCGATAATAGATAGAATTTAGGGGCTTATGCAGAACAGAAAGAACCAAGGCCGGTCAGAGACAAACAATCGAGGAAAAGAGCTACAGTGAGGTTCCAGATTGTAATTACACGGGACGGCATACTGATTCTGGGATAATCAACAGCTTTCCATTCCATGAGCCGAGACGGTGTCGCCGGAGTCATTGTCAGCGACAGTGAATACGTACGCCTGTTCCATCTGCCCGCATCATAGTCCAAACTAACCGAACCAGCCTCCTCTTGTCGCGCAACAACTCCTGTCGAAAATGTATGCGTCATATGTCTCTTGAGTAATATTACCCCATGCTGATCAAGCGACTAGCACCGACGAATTCCTCTCCAAACACCCTCGCAGCGAATACTCTAACCCAAGCTTGCCAGAACGAGGCCTCGCTCTTCCTCAACTGGCTGAATACATCAAGAAATACCAAGACCCGTCACAGGCGGATTCGATTATGAAAATCCAACAAGAGCTGGACCAGACCAAAATTGTGCTGTATGTTAAACCTAGCAAGTTGCCCGAAGGCCACGCTAATTCAAATAGACACAAAACTATCGAATCGGTTCTAGAGCGAGGTTCGTTCCTATATAATCTGGGTGGTATATCAGAGACTAAAGTCTTTATAGGAGAGAAAATCGACAGTTTGGTTGCCAAGTCTGACGGCCTCTCATCTCAAAGCAAGATGTTCTATACCCAAGGTACGTCACTTGTCCCGTGAACTAATACTTTACTAACAAGACAATAGCCAAGAAACAAAACTCATGTATGCCCCATTACTCGACACAGTGTAGGTCAATGACTGACGAACTTAGGCTGCGTTGTTATGTAGTTGGAGCCCCTTCCCTAACCTCTTTTTTCTTATGTAACTGCAAACAAATCATTGCTTCTGTCGTTGATATTCCCTCCTGTCACAACTTTTTGACAGCCTATCTCATGTTCATGCCACCACACCCACACCACATTCTACCATCATAATTAGATTGCTTTTTGCTTAGTACATCATATTTATAACGTCTCTGATGAAAACACGGTACAAATGTGAATTTTGCTCACCAGACTGTTTTCCATATCAATCAATCAGTGTATCTTCATGCCACACACCAATTCTATCGCTAAACCCATGGACGTTACATTGCATCATGCTACTCCGTAAAAACAAGCTTTCTGAACCTGTATACTTTCCATATATTAAACATCACTCCCCTCGCTCTCCCCCTCTTCACTCGGCAACCGATCCGGGAACCATCCGTATCTGTGCATATCAATATAATAGTCCCCCATCGCATCCTCCTCGACCGTAACGCCTTCATGTCTCAGCGCATCAGCCTGACGCGCTGCACTCCCAGCGCCACTATAACAGTCAGCACTATCCACTACTTATTATACCAGTTGACCCCCGGACGCATGCGGTGCACCCATCATTAATGTCATATTAGCCTGAGCTATGTAGATGTCTACTACATACCGATGCGATATCGTCCCCTTTGAATTCACAACTCTCTGCCAGGGGACATTATCATCATGAAAATGATGGTAAATCTCGCCGCGCTCGTCGTTCTCGTCTTCTCCTTCTCCATCTCCGTTGCCAGTCGAGTTGGTCCTGTTGGATGGGAGGTGTTTCAGACATACCCCGACTTGCCGGGCTCGGCGGGCTATACAGGGCATATGATTAAGTAGTCATTCTCGAGCTGTGTTTTTTCAGTTAAGGATGTAGGAGGCTTACGGTATCCTAGTAACAGTGCTATATGGCCGTAGGTGGTTACGTAGCCAAGGGGGATTTCTTGAACGGCTTCGTAGACGGCGTTGAACCAATGCTCGGCTTCGTCTGTGCGGGGCATTTTGTGGTAGGAGTGAGTTGGATTTATTATCTGTAGAATTTGGTGGAAATATGTTTTAAGGTCAAATTGTAGCTGATTGACTGGAAGGTCGAAGGATGCAGATCAATGTTGATGCTCTGATTTGAAATCGATACGAGCGGCATCAATGCATGGTTTTGAGCAGTGAGACTTCAGACACATGCATTTTATGCCAATTAAAATTTAATATGAGTTGTGAATTTTAGTCAAAGGTAATCACAGAACTACATGATTAATAACTCAATTGCAAAAATCCTCGATATATTTGAAACTATACATGGATTCTACTAAAATCAACAGCTATCTAGATGTAGCCGCAACAACATTAATCCGCATTGATAACCACCCATCAAGCTCCATGCTTTTACTATCAACTCCACCACCACCAAACATTTTTAACACGCCAAACACCTACAATGCCCTCGTCTCTGGCCGACTACCTGGCCAAAAATTACCTAACTGCGGACCCGCAACCCGAGCGCCCCAAAAAGAAAAGAAAAAAGAACAAATACGGCGACAACTTCGACGATACTGGCAGCGGCGGCCTGATTATCGCCGACGACGATCCGCCCTCTCTCCGCGCCTCAGGCGGCCCTAATCACAACGAGGATGACGAAAACTCCCCCTTTGTGCTAGATGCCTCCCGCTCAACGGCCGAGTTCCGCCGGAAGAAGAAATCCGGCTGGAAGGCTGTTGCGACTGCTACGCCTGCTGGTGGGGAGGGTGAGGATGAAGCGGATGCAATTCTGGCCTCGGCGGCGGCAGAGAGTGCGGCGAGGCTGCGCGCGGAGAATATGGATGATGCGCCAGCTATAGAAGGGGGTATTGATGATGAGGAGGACGGTGGTCCGCGGATGGAATCTGGGGCGCGCCCCGGTCTCCAAACAGCGGCACAGACAGCGGCGATGGTCGCAGCACAGGAACGCAAAAAGAAGAAAGATCTCGCAGCGTTCCAGGCGTCAGTGGCACAGCAAGAAGAGGACGGGGCAGCAGCGAGCCACCAGCAGACGATATACCGTGACGCCTCCGGGCGGATTATCAACGTGGCTATGAAACGCGCTGAAGCACGACGAGCAGAGGAAGAAGAAAAGGAAAAAGAGGAGCGGGCAAAGGAAGCGCTGATGGGGGATGTACAGCGGCAACAGCGTGAAGAACGACGACAAGAGCTACGAGACGCGCGCGCGATGCCGTTGGCGCGGACGGCGGAGGATGAGGATTTGAATGAGGAGCTGCGGGCTCGCGAACGATGGAATGATCCTGCGGCACAGTTCTTGACGTCGAAGAAGACGGGTACGAGTTCGACGGGGAAACCTCTGTATAAAGGGGGCTTTGCGCCGAATAGATATGGGATAAGGCCTGGTCATCGGTGGGATGGAGTGGATAGGGCGAATGGGTTTGAGAAAGAGTGGTTTCAGGCGAGAGCGAGGAAGGAGAGGACTAGTAATTTGGAGTATGCGTGGCAGATGGATGAATAGCATTTTCATTACTCTGTATACGACATACGTTGACTGTATAAGGTACATAGCACAGCGTGGGAAATTGGCGTTGGGAGTTCTTCTCGGATTATATTATTATAATTCCATATTTCCGTCAATTGTTAAGAGTAAACAATCCTCCACTAATTCCTAAATTCTCAAAACATAGGGAGAAAACAGAAGCAGCTCTATTCGTATCATGAATTTTCATATCAAATCAAATGAACAACAAACTTTGTAAAACATCCAGAAACAATGCATCTACATAACGAATGAATGTAGTATGTAGAGTATGCCTTTGTCAGGCGGCTTCTCGGCTGACTGACCAAAAAGAAAACCTCCATCATATTCAAGACCAATGACCCAAGCAAGTCTCCCAATATGAACAAAGGAAAGGGGAGGATGGATATAAATGAGAAACCAATAGTCCTGCTATTAGCAGTAAGAGTAGGACTATTCCATTGATTCGGTTGGTTGATGTATGAAAGTCGTGGAACAAGGTGATAAAGTCGTAAGAAGCGCGGCGAGGAGTTTAGATCTGTGTAGGGTTCCACGCGATAGTATTCTGCGAGTAATAGGGATTGGTATCCCCCGTGCGGCCTTATTACCCGCCTTGACAAGGCAGAATAAAAGGCCATCGGTATGGAATTCTAACGGATATGATGATGCCAAGGTACGAGAGGTGAAAGAGGTGAAAAGAGTAGACAGCAAATATTCAACAAGATATAATTCTCTTGCTCCTCTTAATGCATTCAGAAGACAAAATTTATCGTTTCTTAACTTCCGACGCCCAGCCGTCAATATTCTCTCCGCGCGTGCCAGGCGATATGTCCAGATCAACATTGCTCATGCCTGGCGTTTCTTTGACGAAGTCGTGGCTCGACATACCTCCTGCATTCGCTCGGTCTTCTGGTAATAGCTCAAGCATCGGGAGTAAGAAGTCGCTGATTCGTTTGCCTTCTTCCACCGTGAAATGATATTTCTCACGTAGTACATCCGGCAATGCCCAGTGCCGGAGACGGTGGATGTTGCGCAGTTCTCCCCTGCGGTTGAATATCTCTTGTGACCATTTCCCTGAAAGACATAGAGATCGGGGGAACGGTCCTAGCAGCTCGATGATTTGGGCAATGTGGTCATCGTCTTTCCCGTACTTGGTACCGGACTGGGGGTCGAACAGGTAGTCTCCAGTGATTAATTCAAAAATCTATGCCTGATGTAAGCATTTGTCCTTATTCTATCATAAACAGCTCTTACCATGCAAGCCATACTCCAAACATCTGTACTGGCCCCCCACTTTGCACCTAGGATAACTTCCGGTGACCTATATTGTCGCGTCTGAATATCATTTGTGAAATGATGGCCGACCCAGCATGCATTTCCTAGATCCGCAATCTTGACCGAGATGATATCGCCTATGTCCTTGGGTGGGGAATCCGAAGGGCTCTTATCTAAAGAAATACTAGAGACTTCCTTCTCCAACAAGTCTCTGTAATGAATGTTAGCATTACTAAGATAAAAAAGAGAAAAGGTCTCTTACGCCGTCTTCTCGCGTTGCTTTTGCATATCATCCTCTGGAATGGTGGGGATGTTGTCCTTGATGCCCAGAACATCTTTCATTGATACCGCAGGCTTCGAATTATCTGATGCATGTTAAACAGAGCATCAAAAAGAAAAAGAAAAAACACTCACCTCCCTCGCTTAACATCTGGTTCAGACTGCTATGAGAGCTACTAGACTTGAATAGATCCATATGACTGAAGCTCGTGTGTAGCGGACTCGGAAGTGGCTGACTGCCTGTTATAAGAGTGCGTCTCCGCCGACGGCCATTGCGATTATCGTCTTTGTCTTTGTCGGTCTTGGGATCATCCTTCACGTACGTCTGAACAATCTGCTCGACGTCTCCAATCTCTATCAACACGTTTTCCGGTTTCAGATCGGTATGAATGATGCCACATTCTCGGTGCAGATAGTCCAGTCCTAGCAGAACCTGTTTTGTAATCTGTTTGACCAACGGCATGGGGATACCCCGATGATTCCAACGTTTGATCAAGCCTAGTAAATTCTCGCCTAGCACTTCAAACACCATGCAGACATGAACACCGTTGGGTCCCTTGTGCTCGAACGAATCTAACAGACTGACGACATGTTTCCGACCTGGATGGCCAGGGTTGGCTTGGACGATCTTGGTGAGCAGCTTGATTTCATCGATGGCGGTCTCGGTGTAGTGGGCGGCGGACCGCACAACCTTTAATGCGACATGCTTGCCATTGGTAGTGTCGCGCGACAACCAGACAGTTGAGAAGTGACCCCATCCCAGCTTCCGTACGACAACGTACCGGCCGTTGTTGTAGGTCTCTCCGACGTGAACAGGATGGTAACCACCTTTGCAGTAATCCTCTGAATCCTCCTCATCAGCTGTAGTTTCTTGCTCCTCTCCAGATGAGGACGACTCAGAACGCGAAAGCGGCGCGGCCTTTTGGTGGGATAGCGGGGATGCGACCGGGACGCTGCGACACACTTAGCACCACCACACAGCAAAATAATAAAATCAAAATAGAAATACAGACCCTTGGCTGGAAGTGCTGGCTACAGACGAGTCAGCAATGGCAGGATTCTCGTTTGTCACAATAGGCTTGAGATCAGTACCCTTCCTCCTCTTTTTGCCGCCGTTGCCATTTGCGGCGGCAGAGGCAACGCTCGCCATCTGTTTTCCCTTGTTAATCACGGCCTTCTTGATGTCTCCCCCATTCATGATCCGGCGGCCGCACTGGTGAGTGGCAAGCAAGCAGATCGCAGGACGATCGCAGGACGATCGCAGGAAGCAGGTGAGGTGAGGTGCTGAGGTGCTAGTTATTTTGTCGGTGGGAAAAACCGAACACGGTCGGGGCGATTGGGAGACGGTCCAGATGCCTGAGGGCGGGGAGCACTCAGTACGGTGACCTGCGGCCTGTGGTGTGCGGACGGCGGACGGTTGGGGGGGGACTCACTCACACTACTGGTGGCAGCAGGAACTCAGTCGATATATGGGGCTCCGAATTGGTCTTAGCCAGAGTCATCGACAGACAGCGATGAAGTCGATAGGTACCCGGAGCTATGGCGTATCGCCACTGCGCGCTCGATCTCAAACCGATGCAGGAGGGGCGGCTAGTCACGACTCAAGAGGTAAGAGGGGTTTGGTCAGTAGTGTGACGGTGATCGTAATAGTATTTAAGCAGGTCCTCAGCAGACTACAGAGAAACGGAGGAAACGTTAAGCTGGAAAGCAGAAGCAGCAAGAACAATATGAATCATTGAGGCTGGCTGCGAACATGAGCGGGCGCTGGCGGTGCTGATTGGAGGAGGCCAGTCCAGGAATGTCCGCAATGGTACGGGATTGCTCTTAGTCTCTGCGTGGACGGGGAAGTAGAACTGGATCGTGACCTGACTGATACGGTGATAGATCGAGTGATACTCGCAGCAGTAGCAATAGCAATAATGTAGCCGCAAGAGATTCAATACAATGTCAACTGGTGTCGGCGCAAGTACAATATTGAAACAGGAAGGAAGGAACTCGCTCAGCTGCCACGGAGACGCCCGGAGCGGCCTCAGCATTAGAGTGCGGCTATGACGACAGGCTTCTATTTATCACTAGACTCACTCCATATATACTATAATATAGGGAGATTGCCCAACAAATGGGTGGTTTTATTACTGTCTGTGATTGAATCTGTGGTTTAGATGCATTTTTTATCTGGTGATGGTATGGTTGCACGCTGTTCTATGTACGTTCTAGTATTCGTATGGTAATGAGTCCTGATATTAATAGAGGTATAGCTTGATGCTCACCGCCAGCGCCCCAGCAACCTACACTCACAGGTTACCACAATACCGGCGATCTCGACAGTCCTTTCCTCAACAGCTGCAGCTACCAGCTAATTATTGTTATTATTAATCACATCCAGCCTTTCACTACGCTTCTTCTATTAACACCTCTACCCCACATCTCCATCTTCATCTCTCCATCCCCAGTTCCAACATCAACATCATATCCTGTTCAACACCAGTTGACCCTACCGATTCATGGCCTAGGCCGCACACGATGGCAAACCCCTTCATCGAGCGGCCGATCGTCGACCGCCTGCTCGCCTCACCGCTCGCCTTCTTCCTGCACCCCGTATACATCCTCCTCCTCCGCCTACGCGGCTCACCCCACACACCATCGCCAACCTCACGCCCAATCCGCGTCGTCTGCATCTCAGACACACACACGCTCGAATGGCCCGACGTTCCCCCCGGCGACCTACTCATCCACGCCGGCGACCTGTGCAATGATGGCAGCGTGCGCGAGATCCAGGCGGCGGTCGACTGGCTTACGGCGCTGCCGCATGCACACAAAGTCGTGATTGCGGGCAACCATGACAGCTACTTCGACCCGCGCTCTCGCCTCGACGAAGACCGCGACAAGACATTGGTGTCAGTTTCCGCGTCGACCGCATCAATCCAGTCCATCGACGACTTTGACAGCCACCGCATCGACTGGGGCGACAACATCCACTACCTCCAACATTCCTCCATCACCTTGACTTTTCCAGACCCCGGAGCTGGAGCTGGAGCTGGAGCAGCTGCTCGATCTCGGAAGCTGAATATCTACGGCGCCCCCCAGATCCCGACCCCAATGTCGATGGGCCCCGAGCATGCATTCACCTACCCACCCTCACAAGACGCCTGGAGCGGGACAATCCCGATAGAGACAGACATCCTGATCACGCACACACCTCCGTATGCCCACCGCGACCTCGGCCCGGCCTTCAGCATCGGCTGCCCCTTCCTGCTCGCCGAAGTCTGGCGTGTGCGTCCCAAACTGCACGTCTTCGGCCACGTGCATTTCGCATACGGCGCGGAACCAGTGTACTGGGACGAAGCGCAGAAGGCGTGGGAGAGGCTGTCCACGCGATGCTCGCGGCGGCGCTCGAGATGGGGGTTTCTATATGACTTTTTTACGCCGCGTAATTGGTTCGATGCGCTTAGGGTTCTGGTTTATGGTGTCACGGGCATCGTTTGGTCAAGGGTTTGGGGTGGAGAGTCGAATCGTGGGAGTGGCTGGATGGTGAATGCTGCGGCCATGTATAAGGATTCCGGGGTTCTGAGGAATCCACCGCAGGTGTTTACGCTTTGATGCCTCTGGCTGTTATAATCTATCTCACTATTTTGTGTTGCTAATGCTGCGTATAGCGGGTCATCTGTTTTGGCGTGGAGTTTAATATGTATATATTGATCGAGTACGCACATAAGATTGAACATTGGAATCTATCAATGAATATATAGTAAATATATAGTACGGTATCGTACACTCATCTTATCGTCTATTTACAACTTCGCCTTCTCGGCAAACCGTGGCGACAACAACGGATCATATACATTCAACCCCAACGTATCCGACGGCACCGCTGCGTGATGGCCACCCTGTAGACCCCTAACATCCAACAAACTCGGGTTCAAATCCTCAATCTTGGCAGCGCCAATCAGCCGCATGTTCATCTCCATCTCTTCCTTGAGCAGCTGCATCGCCCGCTCGACACCTTGCTGGCCATACGCCGACATGGCATACAGGAACGGTCGTCCAATACCCACGCCCGTGGCGCCCAAACACAACGCCTTAATGATATCCGTCGCCCGCCGCACGCCACCGTCTACAAAGATCTCAATCTTCTTCTCCCACCCTCGCTCACGCAGCACCGGCATGACTTCTGCCAGCACCTCGATCCCCGAGCGCGCAAAATCAAGCTGTCGACCGCCATGATTCGACAACACGACGCCCTGTACACCGGCCTCGACGGCCCGCAGCACGTCTTCCACACACTGCACACCTTTCAGAATAATCGGCATTTTGGTAACGGACAGAAACCAGGGGATATCCTTCCACGACAGACTGGGATCAATAAACGAGGATATGGCGCGCGCCGCGCCTTGCGACCGATCAACGCTGTCCCCGCCCTTTGACTGCACGTTCGACCCTTCGTCGGAGAATTTCACGCGCATGTCCTTCTCACGGCGTCCCAGTTGCGGCGCATCCACCGTGATGAAGAGCGCCTTGCATCCGCGTTTCTCGGCGTGCTCGATTATGCGTTTTGTGATGGCCCGGTCTTTGTTTACGTATAGTTGTAGCCATTGCACTTGGTCGCCTTCCCTGGCGTCGACAATCTCGTCGAAGGAGCAGGATGCAAGTGTCGGGATCATCTGGACCACGTTGTGCTGGCGCGCCGCCCTCGTCAGGACTACTTCGCCCTCCGGATTCCCGAGTTTCCCCAATGCCGTGGCGGTGATGTAGAACGGGATAGAGGTCTTGGTGCCGAGCATTGTGGTGGTGAAATCAACAGTTTCAACGTCCACGAGGATCCGTGGTCGGAACCAGATTTTGTGGAAGGCAGAGTGGTTTTCCCGCATTGTCTGACTCAATTAGATACACAACTAAAAACTGATGGAGAGGTTCGTACAATCTCGTCATCGGCTCCGCTCGAGTAGTATGCCCAGGCGGTGTTCTTCATGACCTGTCTCGCAACAGCCTCGAAATCGAGCAGATTGTAGCACTGCGCGAGTGGGGGCATTTTTTTGATGCGCTCCTCGCGCTCGACTTCGGCGGGGTCTTTGACTTTCTCGTCCTGCTCGACTGTCGCCATGTCGACGGCGCCCAAGTGCTTGGAGGCATCGAGATACTTGTCGAGGGTGTCTGGCGGGTGGATAGGCTCGAATTCCTCGGTGGCGTCTTTGCCGGCATATTTCAGGATGATTTTCTGGCCGCCGGGGTGTTCTGCATATGATTCATCATTAGCTGGTGGGGTTTTTCTCTCTTGTCTTTTGTGATATACACATACCAGGTAGGAAATCGGTGACATCATAGGCCTTGCCGTGTACAATCACCCAGCACGAGTCTTTGGAGTTGTGGGTGGCGACCTGCTGGCCGGTGAGTTTGGCCATTTTTAGTACCAGCTGGTCGCAATGTATTGTGAAAAAAAGCAGTACAGAAGAAGGAAGAAAGAGGAAGATAGGACAAGATATCTTATAAACGGGCCAAGATCGCACCTCGGGATAGTACCGCGCGAGCCAATCAGATCGTCGGGCGATTGCGGAGGGCAGGCGTGGCCTATCAGCGGCGGGGAATTAGAAGTTTGCGGGGATTCGGGAGAGAGAGAGTCGGCCGAGAAATCTATACACAATTACCCATCATAATTTATTACTTTTTCCGAGTTTTGGGACTATTAAGTGTTAACTGAAGTTTATTATGTATTTCCCTATCTAGGTAGCAATACACGAGAACAAGACAGAGAGAGAAGGAAGAAAGCTAGTAAAGAGTTGTGTGTGAGTGTGTAAATATATTAATGAGCTTGATCTTATTGTGTCAAAAGGAAGCATTGTAGATAACACAATAATAGAGTTTATTTATAGTAAACTGTCCTTTGTACTTAATTGTAGCCTTTTACTTCGTAAAATTATTCTTTACGCAGGCCTTATACTTTTCAATCGGATTGGCACATAGAGTCTTTGTATATTCTCTATCATTTTTTTTTGAGAAGGCTCTTCCGTTTTTTGACAGTAGTAATCACCTCTAATTGCTCGTAAGTAAGGGTAATGTTAAATTGACCGTCATGTATGCTCTCTATAAAGGCATTATATGAACACAAGCCAGTCCATTTAAAAGAGCCTTGGGAGCGAAGGTATAGATCTTTAAGATGGTAGGGTCTATTTTGAGGTTACATGTCCAGAAGACAGCTTCCAGCTGGACAGTAAGGTTATCACCTAAAGCTGGGATAGGACAGATGGCCAACAAGGTGTAGTGGACGATCGTATAGCCATCATCATATAAAGAGAGGACAGTAGTGGCGATGTATATCAGATACGTTCTTTTGCTCTTCGTTAAGTCGCAGTAGCCAATCGGAGGTAAAGACAAGGTACATGATTTGGCTTTCTAAGCACCAAGACGTAGACTCCCCAACATTCTTTGGGACGATATCGGACAGACCGGTTTGAAAAAGCACGACATAGCGAAAACGATGAGCATTGAAACAAGATAAGCAAATGATGAGTATAAGACTTGTAATGTTAGTCGTGTCTGTATCTTTGTTCGACATCCTGTTACCATGATTATTAATTGATAACGAAAAGAAAAGACAAGAATTGAAGGCGAAGTGCGACATCAAATGTAAGCAACCGGAACAGAAAAGGTCCAGAAGGGCACGGGGCAACAAACGGGTATCATAACAACGGCCTAACTTATCAGCAGCGGGGAATTAGAGATCTATCATATAAGTTACATAATAATGATACTACAATATAAGTTACCATATGCAATATGCAATATGTAATAAATGTATATTATATATTGTATAATGTATAATGTATTGTATTATATAAATTAACTGCAAGCTAGGGCTTAGGGAATAATCATAACGCTTTATATAGAATCAAACCGTCAGACTGTCAACATGTCGAAGTTCTGCTCTAAGTATATGTGCCATACGATACTAATACTACCCACCAGGTGGTTGAGACACACTCTAAATGTGTTGGGTTCGCCCGCGCACGTTCAATCGTGCTGTTGACGTTTTTTTCTCAGGGGACCGTCAAAGCCATGACGTACATAGGATGCCCGAAGCCTAAGGCATCAACAGTCTTGTACTGACTGCTGAGGTATTTATAGTTTACTATATAATATAGAATAGAGAATGTCTATTATATAGTATATAGTACTGTCACTGCTAATACTGCTAGCACCAAGTAATTACTAGAATAGCAGCCTATCGGCGACTTGCTCCACGAGGCCCAAGATCGAGCAGCTAGAGAACCGCGGGGACTGGTCGTGAGTTTTGGGTCATGCAGATGCTAATTTCCTGCGGACCAACCAGCAGGAAAGCATACCAAAAGGCAAGAAAAAGAAATGACAGGCGAGTTCACGAAGCAAGATCAAAAGTCGGTCAATGGTCAGGTTGGCAGTCAGAGCACAGTCAGTTAGCGAGCACAGGCAGCAGATAGCGATCTGCTGATCAGCCACACTAAGCATGAATCTCACCAGGGCGAAATGACTCTTAGTGTTACTGATAACTATTCGTATTTGCACGCCCCAAGTTAGAACCCGCAATCGTCAGCCGCAACCACACTACCGATTATTATTTAACATTCAACTGAGCGAGCCTGTACTACTCTCCCTCGTCGCTCTCGGATTTATTCCGTTGGATAATGCATATCCAGCCCTCAAGTCTCTTTGCGGTCGCGTCCTTTGTCGCGATTCGGTAACCCCGCCATGAGCTCCTCGCTCGAGGCCAAGATAGTCGTGCTGGGCTCGCAGGGTATCTCCTCTTTTCCCATCCTTCTTTTTGGTTTTTTCCGTGTTAACAGAGTACAGGCGTCGGCAAGACTTCCCTAGTCAACCGCTATGTGCGAAATGCCTTCGACCCAGCCACCACCACCTCTACCGTCGGCGCGTCGTTCGTCACCAAGCGCGTCCAAGACACCACATCCGACACCATCGTTCGTCTGCAAATCTGGGACACCGCCGGCCAAGAGCGCTTCCGCAGTATATCACGCCTCTACTATCGCGGCGCCAACGCCTGCCTGCTCTGCTACGACATCACAGACGAAACCAGCTTCAAGGAGATGACCGGCTGGCTGCAGGAGCTGAAAAGCAATGTCGACAACAGCGCCCTCGTCATTCACGTCGTCGGCACAAAATCGGATATCGTAGCCATCGACCCATCCCGTCGCAAAGTCCCCTTTGAGCGTACCATCGCATATGTCGCTGAACAGCTGTATCCGTCGCAGGCCTCGACGCCTCCGCCAACCGCCAGCTTCGGGAATATTGTGTCGCCTGGCACTGTGCAGAGTCCCGATAGTAAGCGGAGCAGTGGGTTCTGGGGCCAAGATATAGGCTGGGACTGCTGTCATGAGATCAGCGCCAAGGATGGAGAGGGCGTTGAAGAAGTGTTCCAAGTGATTGCACGCAAGCTCGTGGAGCAGCGCAATAAATCATCTGCATCGAACGTGGCGCATGATATTGTGAATGGGAACGCGGAGCGCTCTCTCGCCAACGATGCTGAGGGTATGGACAGTCGTGGCAGTTTTCGTATTGGCCTGGGCGATAAACGACGCAGTTGGCTGGGCTTTCCTCCAGGCATGATTGCGTCTGAAGAAGTCGAGTCGCCAGCGCGCCCGGGCAAGCAGCGACGGCCCTGTTGTTGAATTGATGCATATGAGGTGTTTTTCTTTTGATTTAAAAGAATATGTCACATTCATGTCGTTACTTATTTTTATTGTATTTGGGAGGCATGCTGATTGGCTGGCGTTGGAGAATGCATGTTATAATCTGTTATAGGACACGATACCTTGTTATTCATTGTTGAGCATAAGTAAGTCATTGGTATATTTCTGATTCAAGACCATCATATCATGACGAAATTGATTGATTGATTCATACATACCCTATTATTCCCTTTAAATCCTTCCAAGATTAAAAATAAAGAAGTAAAGTAAAGAAAAACACAAAGATATCAGAAGAGACAAATGAGAGGGCAAAGACGCACACTGAGAGCGGCGAGGGGAGTTTAGAGCGAGTCAAAAAAATGAAGCGGTTAAAAACGTCGTCGGCATGATTCGAACATGCGCGGGCGAACCCAAGTGATATCTAAATTCAAGTCACTCTCCTTAACCACTCGGACACGGCGACGATTTCCGTTCCTCCCGCCAAGTTCAGTCTAGTGTCAGCGAGGCATATACGCGTAGTAGACAATTCGGCCGATTCGTATTCAGTTCAAATAAACAGTACATATTTATATTGGTTGATGGTATCAACAGGTGAATGTTAAATATTGAATATAGACGTATCTTCGCAGCCCTATTTCAAACCCTGCTCCTGCTCCTGTCTCTACTAACTCCAATCACCTAAGTCATCATGAGCTGATGATATCACCAGCTTAAACCAACCAACATTTAACTATCAATTTACCGGTTCATCCATTGTCTGGAAACAAACCTTATGGCCTTCTAGAAATTCTGGAAAGCAGCAACTTCTGCCTCCTCCAGCTACAACACCATACTTAGCGCCATTCGTGTACGAAATATTCCAACCCTTGGCCGAGATTCATGCAGAAGAGTAGGTGGAGTATGCATGCCATGGATTTCACCACGGCTATCGTGATTGAGTACATGTATTCGATGGGGCGCGATCCGCTGGATGAGCGAGAGTGAGTGCTTGCTTATGCGAGATTAGCCCCCCCGTCTTGGGCTGCATGGGTGTACGATACTGGATCTGAGTGCGAGACAGGCCTGGCCGTGGTTAAGGGGCGACATATAATACCAATATCTTCCACTTTGGACTCTGTCCTGCGCATTGTACTGCCTGCTATCGATATTGTAGCATATCATATCGATCCTTCCTGACTGTCATGGCTGATGTCGACGTCTCCACCGTAGCCACTCGTGTCGCGACGAGTAAGTCCCATTCTACGATATCTTTACAGTATTTGTTGATAATGGATAGTCATCACTGCCTACCGCGACGGCCTCGATCTGCTCAACCGCCTCAAAGACGAGCGCGCCGACAAACATGCCGCCAACTCGAAGGCACTGGACGAGCTGACTAGCTCGCTGACCCAAGGCCCGATTGTCATTCAATCGCAGTATGAAAACGACTTCCGCCGATTCGGCGAGGGGCGTCTCACTCACTTATATAAGGGACTACGTTGACTTATCCAGATATACACCCGAGGAGACCCCGTTGTGCGCGAGCAACTCAAAGAAATCATCATAAACCTCCAAATGACACTCCTCACCAACCTCCGCATATCTCTTGCCAACGATACAATCGAAATCGAACTCGATGCCCTGCGGGCTGCCTCTGATAACAACCGCGTGGACTCGAGTATGGCGCTCTGCCAGCTGTCCCAGCGTCTCGCCAGCACCGTAACCACCCCTGCTCCTCCCCCGCCACAGGGCCCGATGCGGTTAAAGTCTATGCCCCTGATGATCGATAGCAGCAGACGGCCAGCCCAGCGAAACAACCCGCCGCAGCCGAGTGGCAGCAGTAGTAGTAGCATTATCAGTAAGCAGAATAGAGAGGGCGTGTGGCCGCTGTTCCCGAGTACGTCTACGACAAGGACGCTTGGAACATTGGAGGCTGCTGCGTCTTCGTGTGTGTCTATTTGTAGCTCAGTTTCGTCAGATATTTTGCCACCGTCTATGACACCGTTGATTGCAGTTTGTGATTCAGGGGTATCTTCGCCATCACCCCCACAGTCGCAGTGTCACACCCAATCACCATCGCCATCGGTGTTGAATCCAATGATTGCAGATCTAACAAGTCTAGGTCATTTCCATCCCGCGTATCGACCGGAGCGCGAGCAGGGGATGTGTGAGCAGCAGCTACAGCTGCCAGAGATGCCGCGCTCGATTCCAGACTTTCTACCTCCGTTGGGAGGTGTTGATACTAGTATTAGAGGAGATGGTGATCATTAGATTTTGAATTCATGGGGCTTGCCGACTGTTGAAAGCTTGTCGTTGTTCGACTCTGTGCAAGAGCATATCCACAGAGACTCGAATGATTCCAGCGCCAACGGCATATATACTCACGTACCACAGACACGCATCACTGCCGACAACCCAAAACATCAACATTCAGTGACAGCTGACCGCGGACTGTATTACGAGGATGAAATTGTATTTACCAAGCGAGACAACAAATTTGGGCTCTGAAAGGGTGCCTGGAAGCTGCAACTGGACTGAAAAGCCCCTGTTCAATCCATAAACGGTCCGTCGGCTTATACATCGAGGTTTTGTACTGATCCTACTTGAAATACGTGTATGAGGGACCCGCCTGCGGCGGCACAGCGAAACCATCATGGACATTCGACGACAGTGTTCTTCTTGACACCAGGAGGATATGCTATAAATGGAAGTTTCTCGCCAAAGCCATATCAAAAGGCATCGCCCGCAGTGATGGATGGTACGGGCGGCGCGTTTGCGTGTATTTTCTATTGCGCAATGCAGGATGTTTCGGCACTAGGGTTCGCGAGTGCGCTGGAATTGACGGCGCATTTGAATAGGTGTTGTTGCAACGAACGTGTGTGGTGATTAGAGAGGCGGAAGTGGAGGATTGGGAGGTGCGTATACTTTAATCTTTTCCTTCATTAAGAATTCTTTATATTTATTTCTTTCCTTTTTATCAGGACTATACTATACCTACGACGTTGACTTAGACTAATGTTGTTCAACTATCATCTTCAGGCCACATGTATTATGTACATTGCCCGTCCAAACCCAAACCCTCTATTCTGTCTCCATGCCCTCCTATATTCCAACTGGCATAAGATATAGCCGTAAAACTTGGCAAAAGAAAGTAACCATTTTCGTCACGGACCCCCTGTCGTATTCAAACCGGCAATGATCATCACAAAACTCGGAGAATGCAACGACGTGGGGAATTAGCGAAAGCTTAGCCATTGCTTAGCTCTTTTTTTTTGCTAGCCGAGTATCAGAATAATGAATCACTGCTTATGCCGTTGATTATGCCGTTGATAGTTAGATATGGCTCCGTATTAGAAGAGGAAGGTCCGGTACATCATCACTCATCTTCTACTACTTGCTCGAGTGACGAAAATCAAGGGTTAGGGGTTGGAGGGGGTATAAATTTGGATGTTTTCCGGTGTGTACGAAGATGATGGTGTGACTACAACAAGGTCAGATTTACAATCTAGTTTATTGAAGTGAAAATGCATACTGCCTTCCCCTTCCTCCTCTTTGCAGCCGCGTCTGCTTCGTACAGCGGCGTCGCGACGTTCAACGACTACGCCGCGCAAACCAAGTACGAACTCCCTATATCCAACTCTCCTTCACTGCTGATTGTATAGCACCGTATGTGGCCCCAAGGTCGGTGTCAGCGGGACCTTCGGCGCCGCCGCCGGCGATCTCTCTCCGGATATCTGGTCTGGCGATAAATGCTCTGGATCGATTGACTACTCTCTATGGTGAGGCCCCGCCCCAATACCATGAGTTCCGCCTGCTAACAGAGCGGTACATAGTGACGGCGAAAACCCCGTGTCCGGCTACGAAGGCCCATCCTGCCCAACAACGACCTGCGGCCAATGCTGGCAGGTGTGCAATACCGGGGGCTATGGCGGCGCCACGGTGGGCGGTGTTGGGAATTGCATTATCGTGGACATCATCGATGCGTGAGTTCACTGTTTTGCGAAAGTATATGTAGGGTACGGCTAATAGAGTAGATGCCCCTCCGAGTCCGCGTTCAACTTCTGCAAGACCGAGGTGCCTGCGGACGAACGTTGTGGCAGTAGCAGCACCAACTCGCTCGATATTGATCAGAGTGCGTATCAGGCGTTGACGGGGACGGCGTGGTCGAGTAGTAGCCCGAACCTGTTGATTAGTATTAACTCTGCCAGCTGCTGAATGAGTCTGGGGGAAAGTTGGAAAGTAGTGGTAGTAAGGGTCGAAAATAGGTTTGCAGGGACGAGGAGTGCCATGTCGATCGATGCAATATAGTCGTTACCAGAACATTAAAGAATTGATGCCGTCGCTGTACCTTGAACAAGTCAACTGGTACGTGTAAGACTGAGTAAGACTACATGTAAGTAGGAGTGCGACTACTAATATATCAATACAGTTGGTTGCAAAAACGGTGCACGCTTTTACTTCCTTCAATTGTTTGACATGTTTCACCCTAACCTTGACCAGGCAAAGTGTCAGATTAATGATATTCCTGGAGTTCCATGTGGCTGTAATTTACCGTAACATAACATGATATCACTGGAAACCTTAATATACTGCAAAATCGATCGAATCGATAGGATTTCGAAGGCAGCCAAGGGAACCTTCCATGCCCCGAATAAACCAACAAACACAGACCCTGGCTTAGAGTTGTGCGGGATACAACTAGGCGAAACTCCCAATTAATAACCCGCTGCTCACTATTCTTCTATTTTCCTCAACTTGGCGGCATAACCTTCCCGATGGTAGTGATATGAATGGGCACTATTGTCAGACGTATATACGAAGAAGTAGACTCCTCAGTGGCATCTATTGGCTAATTTCTAGCCCCGGACAGCTTTGCGCTCAGCCCGACAGCCAAGATGTTTTCTATCTATGCTATGATGGTATCTAAGACTGGCATCTTTTACTTGATTGCTTAAACGGTGCACGCTTCTGAATTGTTTAATGTTTCACTTCTAATCTTGATCTTCATCACGCGAAGTGCCCGCTAAATTATGTTCCTAGAATCTTACTTGACCGTACTAATGTAATTTACCGCGAAATAACACATCACTTGCAATTCCTATGTAGCTGGTTTAAAACAAGAATCATAAAGCATCATTTGTGCCTTTCCGCATCAGTTAAAGCCTGTGCCTTGGAGCAGATATCTAAACACTGACGAGTTGTCTCCAAGTCATGTAAAATTTCGTCACTAAACATGTTCGACCTTGATCCTGGGGGCATTCGCTCCCTAAGTCTCTGCATAAGGTCCTGTACACGGCTCTCCCATTTCGAAAGTTCGCTCCGCACTGATTTCTTCGGACTATCTTGTACATATTTCTGGTAAAAGATATGCACTCGTCTGAAATGACATATCTCGTCCTCATCGTCATTCAATTCTGCCCGAGTGTTGTCATGAAGTCCATGTTTCTGTTGAGACGGGATTTCTTGATTAGAAGCCAGCGTATCTGGTTGTATGTCAACTTCTGCAATGCACTGGTATAACAAACTGCAATTGGAGCTAATTTTGTGGTCAAAGAATTAGTCATTAGACTGATTAAGATAAAAAAAGCCGGCCACTGGTAAGAAAATATTGTAGTGTAGGTAAACCTCTGAACACAAAGGGCTAGGTGGGAAAGGACTCACCAGCGAGTCTCCGATCGCGCCTTAGCACCATAAAGCTCATTTCTGGAGTGACAACCAGGACAAGAAGACGTTTGTGCTTGAGGCCTCCGGAATACAATGCTCATTGCCACGTTCCTTCCCGGAAGGAAAATGGATTCCCAAGGATTGTCAAGGTTGACTCGTCTTCTAGAGACTGAATCGTGGAGCTCGTACTCCATCTTCTGTACCTTTCTCAACCCTGGTAAATCGCGAAACCTGACTTCGAGCACTGCCTGGAAGGCATCGAATGAATTAACAAATTCGACATAAATCGGTACAATGCGGCCATGCGCGTCTTCGAAGGAGACAGGTTGCTGACGGTTAATCTGCGGGGGAAGAGAGAAATGCAAGGTTTTTACGTCCAGAACCAATTTGCGGATCTCCAAGACGCGATCGAGAATAGTGAGCATTCCACTTTGTGTCTTTCGAGATATTCCAGTAATACTGTCTCCTAGAGTCTTCAAATAGTTATAACTCTGTGTTACAAGGGTTCGTGTTTTCCTGATATCTTCTCTATGTTCCTTTGCAGCAGATCTGTGATTGGCGTTACAATTGATTCTATCTTGTTGGTAGCATTGATATTTGTGATTACTTACAATTGCATCGTCATCAATAGTGTATTGAGAGTCTGCGTATTTCCTGTAACTTCCTTCCTTAGATTATTTATTGCATCGTCTTTGGAAAGCGTCCATTGAATCTTGTGTAGGTTGGTTTGCAATTTTGAAGATGTCGGCTGATCGCCGAGTGAAGACTGGAACTTAACGTTCTTATTCAGGAAGTTCTCGATGCTCGACTGGCATCGCGACGCAACTTGTACCAGAGCAATCTTCAGGTCGATACGAGAATCATCAACTTGAACGCCTTGAGCCTCTGTCAAGGCGTTCTGAAGGCTGAGCAGTTCGGCAATAAGATTTTGATAAGCTGGCTTCGCTCCGGCAGTGTCATTAAGTGCTTCGACGAGGTTTTTAATAAGGTTGATCCCGGCCAGGAAGTCGCCAACAGAAAATCCAAAAGCAGGAACTGGCATGTTTTTTTATACTTTGTTTGTAATGTGTGAAGCTTCATACATTGATGTGTGAAGCTACATTGACGTGTTTGAGTTGCGGGGCTGTGCAAACATGTGCCTCAATATACAGATCTTTTAGACAATTGTATTGGTCAAGTTTCTTACAGTATCTATTAGGTTTAGCTTCTATTTCATCAAACTTGGGGTAGCTCTTGTATTACGAATACACATAACCCAATGCTCTGAGTCATAAAACGTTTCGTACCATCTGATACAGGTAGCGGCTCCGGAATAATTACAAAAATAGTTTAGCGTGTCTTGGCTAAGGGATCAGTAAACAATTGAAGTGAGTGAAAGCGTGCACCGTTTTTGCAAACAACTGTATGAGACTATTAGATTTGATAAATAAATAGTATTGCGACACAGAAGACACTGAGATCAGGGAGGTCCCCTGAATTAATTCTCTTAACTCTTCCTCTTGAGATTTTTCTTCTCCTGTATTCGCCGGAGTTTGTACAAACGGTCAAAGTCACCAATTTTCGCAGCGATTTCGGTTCTAAGATCGGCAGAGGATTCAAAACCCCCGGAAAATCTTTCAGACTGTTCCCCTAGACGAATGATTTCTGTGGCGATTACCCTTCATGGACTCAATCTCAGATTTATGATGTGTGCTCTGGGCGTATTGCAAGAGGTAACGAAGCTCACATCTTTTATTCACAATATCAATAATCCTTTTTGCTGGTGTACTAATGAGGGAGCTGCATTTGCTGAAATGCAAGCCGTACATTTCCTCAAACCCGTCTAGAGCAGCGTCTTCTAGACGGCTTCCTTCGTCGTTGTCATGCATCCATCTAAGGACTTCTACATCGAACTCAATGTTTCCACCGTGGACGATAGCATTTCTCTCTTGTCGAGCCATTTCGAAGATACCGTATTTTTTGCTGTTAGACGCAAGTTCATATCTACGTACAAGCAGTTGTTGCTTCCTCATTTGTTTCAGACTGTCAATCTCCTTTTTCAGATCATTGACTGCTTTATATAGATCTTCAAGCATCTGCATCATGTGCCACCCTCCTTTGTTAGCAATCATTTCTGATGTTTCTAACACAGTCAACTCTTCTCGTTGAACAACTCTGTGTGCTTGTGTGGTCAGATCTTCATCTGACTGATATTTGTTGTAAGGCATGTCTGTAAAGATTTAGATGGGAACTACTGCATTTATATCCGTTAGTTGAGCTGTTCAAGTGTAAAATTCTTCAAGTCTTTGCTTGTTCAGCCTTGAAACTTACTATTATCATCATTTTCTTGGTTTGCCCTACTCGGCTCGGCCAATACTGCAGGAGTTGAACACGTGTCTTTCAAGCCGGATCTCTATCGTTTTCTTTTCTCTTTGATCCGGGTTGTTACGAGGACAACTCCAAAACAACAGTCCGTGTCAGGAAAGCTGAGAGGGTTCCAGAGATGATAATGGTAGACTTAGACAGTTGAAAGAAGTGGGGAGAGCTCCAGAGACGATAATGATAGTTCTTATAAATAGGAAAAGTATAGGCCATTCAGATTGTTTATCGGATTTATTAAACACCTGAGCAGGCTAGTATGTAGTTTGGAATATGCTAGAAATTCAACATAGCTCTTTATTTGAGAATGCTGTGTGGAAACTAGTTATCTTGGAGCAAACAAATTGAACAGAAATATTTGTTTATTATCTAATATCTCTTGTGAAGAAAGAAAGATCTATCAATAAATAGTATACTGGCAACTCATAGTCTAAGGTATAATCATAGATACAGTACATAGAGTAACTGAAGAGTAGATCATATCACTATCAGCGTTTATGTTCTATAACTACTTTAGGAATACTGGCCTTACCACATGTATGTAAAAGATATCAGAGGTCAATGAGATGAGACATCTTGTGTTAGAATCCAGCAGTTTATCAAAACAGCCCAAACCAAAGGAGACACATGTCTTTGTATAGCAGTATATCTGTGTTACATGTACTACACAAGTGTCTACTGAATATGTGGAATTAGTGGTTTTCTGGATGGCAAACTCTTCTATGAAACTGTCAAGAAAGTTTTTTGTCGCAGGCTCTTTCATGAAGATCTAAGAGAGCTCTTTGTTGTGGTGAGACCATTTCAGGATTCTGCTTATGAACAATGTAAAAACTTAGATAATACTCGTGTTTGTATACGGGACGTTCCTATAACCAATCCACTTTTGTGGTGTTATATTCAAACTTTGTCATCGTACCGCAGTCTAGTATAAGGATGGAGACATGACCTCACGGGCCTAGCGGCATATACAGAGCCTCTTACAATGTTCTTTACATCTGCTATGTACCTCATCTTATCTTAATACAAGTGAATACTTACAGGCGCTTTAGTGATAGTCGCATTAAACCAGATATATTTTGATATATCTATGATAATTAGTAGAACATCATCAAGTGTTAACTAAGGTTTAATCAAGGCTTATAGCAGCAAGGAGAGAGTTGCATATGATAGGGTATAATGCATGAATCTACCAATCAATCAATATTTGAAACTGTCAACTGGCAGAGTATGGGTAGTGTGAAGGTACCAGACCTAGTTCTCTATATTAGGAACACATGCAATACATGTAATAGTTGAAATGCATACTATTAATAATTATTATATTCCTAGATAAGTCTCTTACAGTCAAGCATATACCCACATGCTAATACTACTTACTAATTAGTATTTATGTTCTGGCTAAGGTAGATATACATATGTCATTAGGGAATATTTATCCTTATATTATGGGATCTATACTATAGTCCATGTATAGGACGACGAACGTTTCAACATAGCATTATAAAAGTGGATTGGATACAGGAGCTTCTCTATCTTAATAATAATTGAACTTTTTACATTTTCTAGGGTGGAACCAATATAAAGAGCTTTCGTAGCATTCGTCCTTGCAGATGAAACTCAACAAAGGCACTGCCTTTGATCACCTGACAACCTACAAAAATTTCAATATAAAAGCCTCTATTATCCCTTATTTTGATATAGTCCATCGTACACCCGCCCGCACTAGTATTTTACTTTACACCGAGAGACCTGTTCAACTGTAACCCGAATAAAGGCACCAGATTTAAAAGACGTGGCTGACCGCAACTTTGGTTGGTAAAGTTGAATACAACAAGCCAAAAATGATAGCAATAGCAAGTTTCAGGCTGAGACAAGTAAAAGGCCTGCAAAACATCGCATTTGGACGACTCAACTTATGGCATACTTACAGTACTTCCTATCCACATCTCCACGGTAATTTCTCAAAAGAAGAATCAAACTTCTATCAGACAAGCAGAGAGTTGCTCAAGCACTACGAGACCATGTCAGAAAAATCCAACATGATCGGTACTCAAGGCGGCGATTTGACGCAGAAGCCCCATGGCCTAAACAAAAGGATGGGTGGTCTAAACAAAAGGATAGACGACCTAAAGAAAACGACAGACATTCTAAAGGAAACAATGGACGACCTAGAGAAATCGACAGATAACCTGAAAGAATGGCTTATGATTACACGTATGGATGAGCTGGGGTATGCAGCACGGCACAAGAATAGCTTCTTCCTTGCAGACTTAAAGACAGATGTAGAAGCCATTGCCTGGGCGCAAGGTAACACGGAACACAAATACAGACAATACGCTGCTATACTTGGATTAGAGGAAATGTATGGCTTGTCTTTAAGCAGATGCCGCTCCCTCGTTCGTACAGCACCAGAAAAGATCATACGAATTGCGAACAAAAGAAGTGATCTCCGTCATTTCTTTTGGTACCAGGAAAGTCGGTATTATCAGGAAAAGGAGATTAAGGAGGGAATTAAGGACATGAAGACAATTTGCACGGATATTATTACTCTGTGGAAATACTCTGAACCTCGACATCTTAATGATAAAATTATGGCAAAGGTCGCTGAATTTGACAGGCTCTTGCAAGAATATCACAAAGTCCGTGGTCGTTGTGACAGTTCAATCAAGCACCCGGCAGCCTCAGGCAACCAGGTCAGGTGACCTGTAAATGCGGTCACACAAATAGCTTCAATAATTCTCGCTTGTATGATTGATTTTATCTTCTAAGATTAGTTTTTGCAGTTATAGACGCCAATATAGTTTAGTATTGAGCGGGCCTTCTCTGGCGTAAGAAGAAGACGGAGGAGTATTGATACTGGGAACATCCCTGATCTTGGTGGATCATGTCACAAAACTGTTTAATTAATGAATCAATTAATTAATATTATTCCTAAAGCAATTAATCATCCCCATACATCGATATCTGCCTATATCTGCCTAGATGTTCAACATTTGAAGCTGTACCCCGTACCTTGACTTTCCCCGCACAGGAATACATGTATGCTATTAATAGATCATCAGTATATGCATAGATAAGCCCCTCACGACCCAGCACGCACCCACGCGCTCATACTTAGTCATCCTGAGTATTGTACTCTGTCAACGGATTAATGCATGTTGCAGTCAGCTGAGCAGTACTAGACTACTAGTCGATCTATCTCGCGATGTGATGGCCAGCGATAAGAACACGCCCCCAGAGCATGCCCATCCATGGGACCCGATGGCCTCATTTCCGGTCTCTCCCGTTCCTTATCCTGCTCCTCTTATATCTCACCTTATCTGCTTCTCCTTCTACACTATTCTGTTGTTCTCTCCCTCGCTCTATTCTATTCCACCTGGAGAGACAGACACTGCGGCTGTAGCCTTATCAGCCTGCCTAACGCGTTTCGGAAGCCGCATCGGAGTCATCCTGTGACTCACAGTACAGCGTCTCTTATATCGCTGTTCCCTTCATATCTAATATCTCTTTTCTGTTCCCTCATTTTCGTCTGTATTTCTCGATTCACTCTTACTGTCGGCACCCAACATGTCGGATCTCCGCCGCTCTGCCATCGAGGTCAAGCGCGACCACGACCACAAGGCCAAATGGGCACATGGCGCACGCGTGTCACAACACCACATCCACGACCCCGCCCTGCCCTTTCTGCAGCGCCCTGCAGGCCCGCTCTCTCAAGCGTAAGCCATCGCCTTTCCCTTCATCATCAGAGCGTCCAAAACTCCGCCGTGCAAGTGATGTACATAGTGACTAACTTCTGCAGTGTCCACACTGCCTTGCGACGCACCAACGAAGGCGGCATCAAGCGCGCTCGCCACGCCGCTCAAGCTGGCTTCCACCATGACGTAAAGGAGGCCCTCACCAGCGACTCCTCTGCCGACGAGGGCGCTCACCACGAGAGCGTCGCGCCGGGCTTGTTTCTCGGTGACGGTCTCGCTGCGTATGCCGCGTCTGGCGAGAATGTGCTGTCGGCCGCCATTTCGACCGCCGAAGTCAAGTACGAGAACAAGGTGACCGAGAAGCTGGTGCAGGAATACGAGCTGGTCTCGAAGGATGACGAGGTTGCTACTGGCTGTGGCTATGTTGCGGATATCGATGATTTTGAGGTTATTGACCACAACTCGGTTTAACTATGCATTTACCCACCTTTTGTTTGTTTGAGCGCATGATAGATATACCACCGGCAACGACACTGCTATTACTGTTATTTGTTATTTGACTTGTTATGCAAGTTTGATTTGTTTGTACAGCATGGCATCAGGAGAGGAGCAATCGGCGTTATGTTCCTTGATGATTTGAGCCTGTATTCTATATTCTAGTGCTGTTTCTGATTGATTCAAGAATACAGATTGTATTGCACACATTATACCACAGTAACCAACTGAAGAATAGTAATAATACTACAGAAGTAATAGTCATAGGGCTGGCCGGAGCGGCTCCTTCTTAGCCCGGCTTGGCACAATTGTTTACATCTAAACAATTTACCGTCTCACCCGCCTCAATCGCTTTTCATCATAGCAACCACTCCATTCGCACACAAGTATACTCTGCATCATGGAGCGACGGACAGCTGAAAGTCCCATGGACTTTGAATGGCAGACTCGCGCCCCCGGCGACGTCACCTCTCCCTTTTACCAGCTGGGTTTGCAGCACGATCCTCATAAAAAACGTGAGCCAGTGGCCGCAAGTTCCCAGAGTATTGCATTTACTAATATAACCTCTTGAACAGGCGACTACACTGTCTTTGACTCTCCCAGTAAAATAAAACAGACCTCACAATCCTTCAATTTCGCTCAACCATCCCCGCAGCGGCCTATTTCGCCCTCGCGTGCTAACAATGCGATCTTTGGCAAACCTGCCTTTCAAACTCCTCGCAAGTTCGATGCAGACGTCTCCTCTGGCCCTGAAAATAACATGTCATCACCTGAAAATGCGGATAATGAAGATACACCTGAGCCAGTGCAGAAAAGAGAAAAACGCAACTCGCTGTTCAACCTGTATGGTCGCTTTGCCCCTAGTCCCGGCCGTGGAGGCATTGCCAAGTTGACGAGACCGGCCACCGACCAGGCGCGACGAGTCCACAAGCGTCGTCTGCGCGATCGTGACATTGATCGATACCTGGGTAGAGATAGTGGTAATGACAGCGACAGACCTAGCAGTCGCGAGGAGAAGCGGAGTAGAAGGGAAGGAAAAAGGGCGGCAGCGGCAGCAGCAGCAGCTACTGCTACTGCCACCGCAGCGTCGACTACTCATGATTCTGGCTGGCGTGGGTTCTTTTCGTTCTTGAATGAACATCCACATTTGCCCACGATTCTGTCGTACTGGTTGCAGTTGCTCTGGAACCTGATTATATTCGGCCTGGTCACATGGGTGGTGGTTTCGTTCATCTTGAGTATCAAGAACGATATAAACCATGCCGCGGATGACAAACGCAATGAAATTATTGCTGAAATCTTCGACTGCAGGGAGCGATATGACAAGAACAGATGTGGCGTGAATGAGCGACCCCCGGCGTTGAATGATGTGTGCAATAACTGGGAACGCTGTATGGACCAGGACCCCGACAGGGTTGCGCGCGCAACAGTGTCGGTGCAGACGATATCGGCTATCGTCAGCAGCTTTGTCGATGCGATCAGTCTGAAGGCATTCGTGAGTCTTCCATAAAGCGATCAGTTATTGAATACTGCTAACCTCTCTAGTCCTTCTTCCTCTTAACAGTTGCAACCCTGACCGTTGCCAGCAACTGGTCCTTCGTCGCCTTCCGCAACCAATGCGCTCGTAAAGACGATCCATACGCCTATCCACCTTCTCCCTCCAAACCGCCACCCACTCCCTACCACCAACACCCTCCTCTCGCCTTCCCTGAGGGAAATCCATATCCCCTCGAATACCCCAAAACCCCTGGCCGCAGCGGCAGCCCCATTCGTCAACGAGACCATGAGACAAATACGCAAGATGAGCGACTCCTACTCGAAGACTCGCCGTCCCTAAATATGAATTTTGTGACTAGCCGCAGCCGCGAGCGAGAACAGCACCTGCATACGCCCAGCCCGTCGAAGAGGGAGCGATTTGCTTAGCCTTTTTCCTTTCTGTATGATAATCACTTATTTCTTTTCGAAAATTCTTTTGGGTTACACTGTTTGGTTAGTCTTGTGCAGGTACACGCGGCATCAGTATCAGTATTATTAGTATCATCAGGCTGGTTGGGTTGGCGTCATACATTGTTCTTTCTTCTGTAAGCGGCTTCGTATAAATACATACATAGTTAGGATTATGATGGCTTTGGTCTATGATAAAGCTATTGTTGGACAGTTCATCTATTACTTTTCATCTCATTACTGGCATATCTCGATGAGATACGTAATATGTATAGGTTGACCCTGGCTAAGATAAGCTAGCTGTACTGTCTTCCTACTTTATTGTTCACCTGCCGCTCAGTCTACAGGTTACCCATCTTTGTCGTGGTGTTGAAGTGCGTTCCCCCCAACATGCTTCTTCTTTCTGGCATACTCGATGAGATAGATAGATAGGTACATGCATAAGTTGACTCTAATTAAGATAGGCATTCTCTTCTCTACTATTATTTTGCCACCCTGTCTACAAGTTATCCGACACAACGTGGTGTTGTGGCCGCATCCAACATGCGCGTTTGCAAAGAGGGTTGGGGACACACACACACACAAACATAACCTCAGCAGTTACAGCAAGGTAAAAGTGCGTCTACATGATAAGTCACTGCTTAACATCTTACAGGGCCTTTGTTTAATGAACTAGCTACTCGTCTATCTGATATCCATCAAACATAATCTATAAAGCAGGAAATGAATAAGGGAGGGAAAAAAAAAGAGGTCTCAGATACTCGCACCGTCGAACAAGTACTCAAACAGTCGGAGCTTATCGTCGAAGCTTGAACCCGCCCTGTCTGTCCGCTTTTGACGGCGAATCATCACTGACCAGAAAGAAGAAACAAACCAGAGCCCACAGACGGTAGAAGAAAAGGGAAGAAGAAGAAGGAGGAGGAGGACGAGGAGGAGGAGAAGGAGGAGAAGAGAGAGAGCCTGCTCGTCAAGGTGAGTTTACGGACTCGTCGCTGACCGTACAGTGCTGCAGAGCCAGCTGCGCTACATGCTCGTATCAGGGTTTCAGGCTCTATCTTGCGTACAGGATCTCTAGGGAGAGAGGAGAGGAAGAAAAAGAAAAGATGGAGGGGTGAGAGGGGATTCATTATATAGGCTTGACACCGCGCTGAGGGGCTGGGTGATTTGGGGGAGCCAGGGGTCGGGATTGGCTGGGCTGGCGCAAACGAAGTGTTTCCTATTACGGCATGAGGACTGCCTTAGGCTACGAATGAAGGATTACGTCGCTTGGGCAGGTCCAATTGTGATGTATGTTATGATGTTATATTGTACTGTACTCTATGCTACACTGCTCCCTTGGACAGTTCCTCTACGAACGTCTGGCCCCATCTGGTACTGCTATCATCAGCAATCACCTCCAATAGAATAGATGAGATAGAATAGATGGGAAAGAATCACCTTGTGTTCGTGTCTACGAAATGCCTCAGCATATCATACCTCTCCTTCCGCTCCTCCTTACTCATTAGCAACGCCTTATGTATCGATTGCGATATCTCCTTGATATTCGCTGGATGGAATTGCACCGCCCCTTTGCCCATAAACGCTGACGCCCCTGCAAATTCAGAGAGTACGAGAACGCCATTCCGCTGTTCTTGACAGGCCACGTACTCAAACGCTACGAGGTTCATGCCGTCGCGGTGGGATGTGAGGAGGCAGATGTCTGCAACTGAGTATAGTGCTGCGAGCTCAGTGAAGGGGATGGATCGGTGGAGGTAGATGATTGGCGAGTACTCAGGTTTGCCTAACCACCACGATAAGAGGAAAGCAATGTGGGTAGGAGAAGAGAAACTCACCGAACCGCCCATTTATCTTCCCAACTTGACAGCTTATCTGCGTCTCAAGATCTTGATACTCCCTGACATCCTCGCGACTCGGTACAGCAACCTGTATCAGCACAATCTTGCCCTGCCAGTTGGGGTAATCGGTGAGAAACTGCTCATAGCCATGCAGTTTCTGGGTTAGGCCCTTGATATAGTCCAGTCGATCAACGCCAAGGATTAATTTGACGCCCTTGTATCGCTCCCCGAGCTGCTCGATACGTGACTGCACTTGGTCCACTTTGAGTGTCTCAGTGAATTTCTCAGGGTCAATGCCGACCGTAAATCGACCGACTCGCACCAGCCGGTCTTTGTAGAGAATTGTGCTGTCTTGGGGTTGCGCGCCTCTATTCCCATTAGCTTGACATCCCATCCTTTGCAAGGCTTGCAACCAGAATGCAAATGTGTATACATACAGCAAATTCTGACAACTCTCCGTAAAATTCAGCTTATAATCATCCGTATGAAACCCGACCAACGTGCTAGACAGCATCCCCTGCAACAGCTCCTTTGCTACCGGCAACACTCGCAGCGCCTCTCCCGCCGGGAACGGGGTGTGCAGGGAAAACCCAATGCAGGCGCTTTTCCCTTTCCTTAACATACGCTCTCGCACCATTTGCGGGAGTAGCATCAGATGATAGTCGTGCACCCATATTAACTCTCCGTTCTGTGCTGCGTCTGTGATGTAATCGGCGAAGATCTCGTTGACCTTTATATACGCTTTCCACGGCTCGTCGTCGAATGCTACGCCGGATTGATAATGCAGCGTAGGCCAGAGGATGGAGTCTAATATGTCAGCATATACTCACTTCATTTCCCCTCTTTATATAGGAGCTGGGAACGGGGAGAGAGAGAGATACTGGAAAACCCGTTGTAATGTGCCTGTGCAAGCTTCTCGTCGAGGAAGACCGGCATGGCGTTGTGCGCGGCCAGACTGCGTCGAATCTCCTCCCTCTCGGAGGGCTCCGTGGGACTGAGCCCCGGCCATCCAAACCATCGAAAGGAGGTTGTTTTGGTAAGGCCCGACAGCGAGGTGACCAGCCCGCCGCTCGAAACGCAGGCCTGGTACGATCCATCTTCGTTGCGTTTGACGGACAGGGGGAGCCGGTTGGAAACGACAATGAGGTTGCGCTTGGTGTCAGGCGCGAATTCGATCGAGGGCATGTTCGGGTTATCTTTTATTTTCTATCTTTCTGGTGGTATGAGGTTGCTAGGGGTGGAGTTGAGATTGTTTTATGGTGGTGTTCTCGCGACATTACTGTGGCTGTTATTGTATCGCATTGCCTCATGACGATATCCTGAGCCACCACCCATGTGAGCGGTAATTATTTCCATTGGTACATTTAACCTTCGAAAGGCTTATGTACATCGAGCTCTACGTCATGGTGAAATCATTCATATCGTTGAACATTATCGATAATCTATTACCCCACAATAATACAAATGATGATAATAACCAACCCTACAGAACCTACTGCTGTTTCTTCACCCCCGTCGCCTGATACGACTCAATAATCTTGGTGCCAATCTGCAGCGACTCCTTCCAGTTCTTCTGCCTTCCCCAGAACCGATCCGACGGACGCGCTTCTTGCAAAGTGCGTGTACGCGCATCTTCTTCCAACGACGCCCGATCAATTTCGTCCGGACCGTCGACGTTACCCACGGAGGCAATTGTAGAATGATCATCTGCCATGGTACCGAGGATATTTTTCCGTAGAAGCAGCTTCTGAGCCCGTTCCTGTCTGATACTCGGCGTCTCGATCTTGGACATTGTTTTTTCTACGACGTAGCGTACAGCGAGATAGATGTGTTCGGCAAAGAATATGGTTACCATTAACACCCATCCCGTAATTTCTCCTGCGTTGCCATGGCGGCCGAGACCCTCATTGCTGAACATGTACACGAGTGCGGAACTGGTGATGCTACCAATCCAGGCAAGAAGCCCGAGCGTATCGAGCCATGGGCCAATAGTATCTGCGCGTTCTGGCACTGGGCGTTTGAACTCTTTGCATATTTTGAAGAAATCGGAACGCAGCTCCAGCCAGTTGTTGAAAAGGAATGAAACGGGGACTAATGGCCATACTGTTGAGAATAAGGAGAGGTATCCAAACTGGATGACCATTTCGCGAAGGTCGTCTGTCACGTCGTATTCGGGGAGGTCTGCTTCGTTGCGGACTTTCTTTAATAGGTCGGCTTCGTCTGGGTGATCATCGTATGCTGGACTGCCCTTTTCATTGTTGGCTTTTTCTTCGGAGTATTCCTTATATTTGATAGCTAGTTTGCGCATGATGAAAGGGACGACGGTTTCCATGCAGGTGTTCACAATCTGTGCGGTTACCGCAAAATAAATTACCTGCTTGCGTAGACGGTGTGGGTCGATTTTGAAGTCGGAGTGATTGATGGTCTTTTCGTCTTCCTGCGATACGAAGGGTCGTACTGTCACTCGGAAAACATCAAGATAGGGAACAATAATGTTGGCGAAGGGGACGTAGACAAAGGCAGTCAAGAAAATAGCAAGGTACGATGTGATGAAGTTCACGACGAGCATCTTCTGAATGAACGCCACATCGTGTTCTTCTTTAGTTTCGTAGTTTTCGAGCTCAGTCAATTTGGTTGCCACTTTGGTAAGAATGGTGCTAGAAATAGGTAGCAGTGAAGAAAGCAAGATTGTTGGAATAAAGACCTAATTGGTAAGCTTCCATACGAGAGTAAAGAGAGAGGAGGCTTACAAGATACGTCTTCAGCGGACCGTTGTAGACCTCCGAGATGAAGATTTCTATTGCAAAGCAAGTTGCAATTACAGCGCCCAAAGCAATAACGGCAACAAGCGCAAACGGAATCTGCAGCAGCTGTATCTGCAGTCTCTTAGTCCAAGGAAAGATCGGACGCAACTCCCCAGTGGTTTTGTCTTGAACTTCTCTCTCGGGTTTGAAATGCCGGTTTTTCGAGGACAAAACAGAGACCCCGCGGACTTGCCATCGGATGCCCAGGTCGACTTCTTGTCGTTTCCAGTACTCTACAAAAACGACGCACCAGACACAATTGACAATGGCGTAGATTGGCGAATAGTAGCCCAGCATCACCCAAGATGAAAACCCGAACAACGCAGGAAAGAACAAGAACCTGAAATACGATTGCAGGAAAGCAAAGTAAAACCCAATCTATTTACGTCAGCACAGTACATAGAAATTGGGGTTTAGAGAAACTACCTTCTCTCCAAACTTGTCGCGAATTTGGTCTAGGTCTTCTTTGGTCAAAAAAGTCTTCTTGCTCCAGTCTCTCATCCAAGCCTGATTCGTCTTGTCATCATGCAAAGGAAAAATTGAGTCTACATTTTTCCACTGTCCATACTTAGGGGTGATATTTGCGCCACCATCTTCAACTGGTGCGGTCAGCATATAATGAATAGCTCGCAGACGCTCTGCACCGGACTGGGGGCCCGGCGAGGATTCACCACCAGGCTGAGTGTTTCGAAGCCCATAAAGCCAGTCGCGTACCCTTAAAAAGTCAGATTTAAACAAAAGACATTAATATTCCAGCATACCGCGATGTGTGCGTGGCTCGCAGCAAGCTCTTTTCAGGGGCCCTGATAAACACCAACAACGTCGTCCTATCGCTCGGGCGAACCTCGGTGAGAAACCCAATGTCAGCCAAGGTCTGCAATAGATTATTCAATTGTTCCGTAGCTTCGTCGCGATCTTGGACAGCCATAGCGTTAGCCCTTATTCACTACCACGGAACTCGCCTCCTCCCAGCGGGCTGGGTTGTTTACCTGTGCCGCCAAAAGTATAGCGGACAACGTAGTCCACGTCATAGTTGCCCTGGGGCTCATCGGCAGACGGCGAAGTTGTCATGGTATAGCGCTAGATCACTGTGTCCTTGTGGCATCCGACAAGATGTTCTTGCAGAACAACGAGGTTGTTGTTGGGGGGAGATTTAACTCTGACGGTGAGGGAGCTCGGGTTAACAACGACGTCATCCCGCGCGGCCTGCGGGTTAGCCCTCTCTGCCCAGATCGGGCGATCCGATCTGTAACTATATTGCACGTGATTGCTGTTGAATCTGAATGGAGGCTCATTTGTTCTTTAGTATTTCAATTCAGTTGTTTATTTAATTATAATTATTTTATCGACGTCACACATCCGCCGCCAGCTTGGTCAACGCCTCCCCGTCCACCATCATCTTCTCCCACTCCTCCATGGCCGTTGCGCCAACCGACTTGTAGAACTTGATACTCGGCTCATTCCACTTGAGCACACTCCACTCGAGCTTGCGCCCGCCGATATTTAGGACCTCCTTCGCCAAAAACTTCAACAACCGAAACCCGTACCCTTTCCCACGCGACGCTGGCTGCACGTACAGGTCTTCGAGGTATATACCCGGCGCTGACCGCCACGTTGAGTAGTTGTAGAAATGCAACGCCATGCCGACGGGCTTGTCCGGTGTTTCGGGCGGCGCGATCAGCGCTGTGTAGGTTGAACCTTTTTTGGGCGGTGAGCCGGGGAAAGAGAGTGTGGCGAGCAGGGATTCATGTGTAGCTTCGACTTCGTGCAGTGCTTTTTCGTAGTCGGCCAGCTCGCGGATGAATTGGAGGATGGTGGGGACGTCTGTTTATGTTAGTATATTATTTGCGTAGCGTTTCTTATCTCTTTGCGGGGTAGAAGTTGCGAGGATAAAAAGCACGTACCCTCCTCTGTGGCTATGCGGATGATGGGTTGATCAGACATGATTGATGACAATTGTTGTTTGACAGTTGATTATGTAGATAGAAATTATGAAAAATGCAGTTTCCACCTGCTGGCGCGATTTATAAAGATTGCACACGCCCTGCGCTTGACAAGTTTTACTAGGTGGCATACAAGAATTAATCATGGGCCGACCCACCGCAGATGTTCGCGCCCTAAGTTAGGCTATGTACATGAATCATGATGTTGCGCCCCCAAATCTATACAAATTATCAATAGATACGCCGCACATTAATGACTATTATGTGATTCTCCCAGAGACCTCCATCACCGAGACATTACCGCCGACATCCACTTTTGTTCATCGTTACTGTGGGATAATCTGTTAGCAGGTACATGTAAACCACCAATTATATGCGAACCCACCGATCAAAGTGAAGCAACATGCCCAACACTGGTATAAGCTGCTTTTGGTAATTCTTGTCCTTCTGTTCAAGAAATTGTAAAAGAACATTCTTAAGATAGATGTAATCGAGCGTGCCTCCACCCGTGGGCGTCTCGCTCCGCGTCGCCGACAAATTCCGCTCGTGCGATGTCGAGGATGCAATGCGACGACTGGGAGAATCAATGGAAGAACGCGAGGAGTTGGCCCCAGACTCAGTCGTCGACGGCCGTTTTAAATTGTTGCCTTGGCCAGCACGAAACTCTTCAGTCAGGGCTTTATTGGCCTTGCGGAGCTTATCGATGCGATTGTTGCTTTCCTCCACAGAACGGCGCAATTCAGCCTTTTCCTTCTCCATCTCATGTACTTGCCTCTCACTTTCGTCCAAAGCATCCCGTAACTGTATCATGGCTCGGCGTACTTCCTTGACTTCTTCGGTCGACCGTTCTGACTGAAGCTCCAAGTCATCTCTTCGGCGCTTCCAATCTCTCTGTGCGTATTCTAATTCTTCCCGGTCGTTCTCTGCGATCTTCAACGCTTTTTCTGTTTCTCGCACTTTGATCTTGAGGTCTTCTAGCTCTCTGGCACGACGTCGACCTAAAATGCTCGCTTCATCTTCCGCTTTGTCACGCTCTGCAATAGCAGCTTCCAGTCTTTCCTTGAAATCGCGAAGCTTGGCATCTGACCGGCCCTCGATTTCGTTTAAGAGACGGCGCATTGTTTCCCCTTCGCGACTTCGTTCGCCTAGAAGTCGATGAGTCTCGGCTAACTCTTCTTCCAAACTTTCACAACGTTCGCGGGCTTCTTTCATTTGCATCGCCATTTCAGATGTCTGGTCCCGCATACTGTTCATCAGGCTCTGAGCACTTGCATATTGCGCAGTCTTGAGCTCAGTCTCCTCCCGAAGGCCACTCATATCTCGATCGAGTTGCGCTGCCCTCTCCTCCACTTCTCGTAATTTTGTGCGGGAAGATTCGAGTTCTTCCCGAACTTTGGAGAGGTCCTTGGTAGTTCGTTCATTTGTTTCCACGGCTTGTTGCTTCTTGGATTCGGCTTGGCGCATTTCGGATTTGATGACGGACAACGACTCTTCTGCCCTGAGACGGCTGTCTGTCTCTTGACGGATCTTCTGGTTGAGGGTCTTGACTTCACTTTCGCGGTCCGTAAGAGATGATTTCAGAGATTTCAGGTCTGCTCGCAAGTCTTCGTGCTTATTCTCAAGTTTCTTCAACTCCACGGTCTTCTTATTTAGGTCCTCCTTTGCAGTTTTCAATTCAGCAGAATCAGCACGGAGATTCCGGAGTTCGGGAGTCAGCTTTTGCATTGTGTTTCTTAATTCTGTCAAATCCTTGAATCGGGACGCTGCTAGTTGCTGTGCAGCAGACAGATCCTTTTCAAGCGTTGTAGCCTTGGTCTTCAAATCTTCGAATTCGCTCTTCAGATCTGTGTGCAATTTCTGGGAGTCTGCGCTCTCAGATGCATTTACTCGAAGGTCAACAACTTCCTTCTCTAATTTAGCAAGCGTCTCTTCTAGGGCTTGTTTTTCTGCTCGTAAAGACTTGATTAAGTCTTTAGATTCGACATTATCTTGGCCAATACTCAATAATTCTTCTCGTAGATTGTCGATCTCTTCCTTCAGGTCACTCTCGCCCTTCAACTTCGAATGTAGTCGCTCAATCGCCGCATCCTTCTCAGCTACTTGTGATACAAGCTCCTCGATTTTCTTCTCCAGAGCTGCCACGCTTGATGAATCTGCAGCTACTGTCTCAGGCTCCGCTGTAGGGGTAGGCTCTTCAGGGGTCTCTTTTGAAGCGGACGACTCGTCGATTGTCTTGCCGCCCTTTTTCTTCTTCTTATTCTTCTTCTTAGAAGCACTTGCGCTGCCACCCTGATTTTCAGCCTGAGTCTCCGGCTTCGGTGTTTGGGCAATTGAAGGCTCTTTGGTCTCGGACTCTACCAAACTCTTTCGAACCTCATTAAAGTTAGCAGTCTTCCCAGCAGCAACCAAGTCGCACGCCGTTTTCCATTTAGGATTTGAACCAAAACCATCATTAACAAATTTGACGATATTCTGTAGTTCTTCGAGACGCGACGCTTTTGCACCGAGTTCGGTTCGAAGGGAGGATACAACTTCCTCGCCTTCCTTGACCTTGATCTTCAAGCTTTCTATCAATCCTTGCATGCCTGTCAGACGCTTTTCCTTATCTGCTTTCTCTTTTTCGACCTCGGCTAACTTGTCGGTAAGATCTGGCTTGTCTGCACTCTTCGCAGCGTCTGCCGACTCTTTTTTCAGGCGTTCAAGTTCTTCGGCCTTTTCCTGTAGCTCATTTTTCAGTTGGTCAAGAGTGGCATTTGACTTCTCTACGGTCGACTCTGCTTCCACAAGTTTCGATTTGATCTGGTCGATTTCTGCTTGATTTGTTGATTTCAAGTCTTCGACCTGCGACTCGTTCTTGTCTTTGAAGTCTCGCAAACCTTCGAGTTCTCTCGTGGCGGATTCTAACGAGATGACCATGCTTTCAGTCGACTCACGTGCGACAGCCAAATCTCGCTTTAAGTTTGCCACCTCGGTGTTGAGCTCGGTGATTTCGGTTTCTTTTTCTTGAACCTCCGATTCCAGACGCGGTATTTCGGTATCAAACGAGAATAAATCTTCCGATTCATCGGCATCTTGGGATTTTGATGATTTCTTAGATTCTGTCCTAGTAGGAGAGGTTGCGTTGGCGGCTGTGTCCTTTGCTTCACCGTCGTCGGCCTCACCGCGTTTACCCTTGAGATTAGCTACCTCGTCATGGGCGTCTTTCGCGGCCTTTTCTGCTTCTTCCACTTTCTTCTTCAAGTTGTCCTTCTCAGCAGTGACCCGTTTTAATTCATCCACAACCATATCGTTCTTCAAAGAAATCTGGTTGAGGTATTCGGTCAACGCTTTGGTGTCTGCGATGGAAGTCAACGGCGTGTTTTCTTTCAGAGCGGCTTCGAAAGGTTCGATCAAGAGGACTCTCGCATGAGCTATTTTGTATGCTTTTAGAAGATCTAGTCATACAGCCTTTAGCATTAATCGTAAAACGGGTTGAAAACCATCGAATCCATCGTACCATGATACTTGGAATCAATTTTATCCAGCCTCCGCAGCTTGACCCGTACATCAGCTGGTAGTTCTGGGGTCGGCGCAGGCTTGGATTCAGCATCGGGGGAGGCGGTCGCAGCAGAAGACTCCTTGCCTGCAGAGTCGGCCTTTTCATCATCGGCCTCCCCTACCACAGAGCTTTCCTGCGAGTCGGCAGTCCTTTGCTTGGGAGTGTCCGATCTGCTGGGTAGTTCCTCCTCACCAACCACCGTCGTTCCCCTGCTGGATACATCATCGTCGCCGATCGGAAATTCGAACTCGGTTGGATCGGGACTCCTGGTTGGGAGGGTGCTGTTGCTTCGTTGCCGTGGGGTTCTGGCAGACGGTCGACGACCTAGATTATTGGATCGCGCATGTGCGTCTTGAACAGCCCGTTGTCGCGCCTGCTCTTCGGCGATTCGAGCATCTATGGCGCCGCGGAGACGCTGTGCGGAGGGAGATGGGTGTTAGCTAGGCGAGCTACGGGAGGGAAGGGACTGCAGTTCAATACCTGAAACATGATGGGTGTTCTCCCTGCTGATCAAAAATATCAAGCAAAATATAATATTAAATATTAACAATACACAGAGAGAAGAGAAGCGAAGCGGCAGAGCGCAGCCGGCGAGAGGGTTGACGAAGCTGGGTTATCAACAGAGTGGCCTCCGCAGCGGAAGGGAAGCACCCCGGCCTTGCCTGACCACGCGCTAAGCTTCACTCCTGTGGCCACATGGCCAATGACGGCGCTCAGGGGAAATTTCGTTAGGGATTGCGCAGCCTGTACTTTGTAGTGCTAAGTTATGGACTTGTATATTTAGATGATTACAAATCTGCATTTGCAGGCTGCAGCGGTGTCCCATAGATTGATTCCTCGACTATAGAGCAGACAACGATATCTCAGAAGCTGAAGGAGTTAGAACAGCCTCGCAAAATTAAAATAAAATACAGCTTAGAAGGAGAAAATTTAGTAATTTGTTGATTTGTTAATAGTTAATATTAGCAACTGCGTCATTATCAACAAGATTAAGCGTAGGAGCAAAAGGTGGCCCGTGCATCTCCGCAAAGGCTGAGGCGCACCGTCATTCCTCGTTGATCTGTCCTGTCCATCTGTTCGCCATGTCGACGATGTGATATCGACAAACATTAGCTGCGATGGTGTCACTATGGCCCTGGAAGGTAACTACAGCTTGTTAGATTCTCACATTCATTTTGATCACAGCTAAACCCATCACAGGGCGAGGACAATTCACCCGCATCGTTTGAGAAGACGCTCTCTACTCTTTCCACCAAGATCAACGAGTCGACAACTCGACTCGATGCGACCCGCCAGCAGGGCCGCCGTTTTAAAGCTCTCTGGACACTCTACTCGATTTTCATATACCTTCTATATACCACGATAGACGTTCTAGTCCTCGGCTGGCAGAACTGGGGTCCATGGGAATATGGAGCTGTCCTAGGCGGGCCGTTTGTGTACATTGCGATCCTATTTCTGCGGTTACATCAGCGACGCTAATTGTTATATAGTGTTTACGGGGTTCGAACACTTGGAGGCCGAGTCTTCGAGTATCGCATTTCAAAAACCCAGCGTTACTTAGACGGGTTGAAAATCCAGCGCGATCAGACGATTGAGAAGCTCAAGGACGCGACAAAATACAACTCTACCCAACAATTACTTGAAAAATACGCCAGCGACTCGTCGCAGCCGAAAACACTCAAGAATAATGCAAGTGCCACCAAGCGGAAAGACAATGGATCTAAGGCAGGTCCAGCACCTATGACAGAGAGGACTGGGATCCCTCCCCCTCCAACTGCAAATATCCGACGCCCTCAGAATGAACCACCTGTATCACCACCCACAAACTCCCCGCCGAGCCCTCATCCTCCCAATTATGTCCAAGGGAAGCCTCTCCCACCGCCACCGCCACCGCCACAAATCGATCAACCTGGGTTTGCGCCAAATGCGTTCCCTGCACCTCCCCAATACAACGATGGACCGAAATGGTATGACCGATTTATGGATGTTTTGCTGGGAGAAGATGAAACTCTTCCCAAGAACCGACTTGTTCTGATATGTCAGAACTGTCGACTCGTCAATGGCCAAGCACCCCCCGGTATAAAAAACCTCGAGGAACTTGGCCAATGGAGATGTGGTGGCTGCGGCGCGTGGAATGGTGAGGAGAGCGAGGCCAAGAAAGTGCTCGAAACTATCAAGAACCAACCGCCAGCCACAGATAGGACAGAAGACGAAGAAAATTCCTTGGACGAAAGCACGGACGACGTCGTGTTGGTTGAAGACGCATCACATGATGAGAAGGAACGGAGTGGCGACGCTGAGGATGACGAGCCAGAGCCGGAATCTGCCCAAGAAGAGCCCGAGAAGCCGTCTACCAGAAAAAGAACGCAAAATAAAGCGAGGAGAGGGTAGCTTTGACAAAATTGTCGAATTCGGGTAGGAAACATTCATTTTTAGCCTTTAGCATATATCTTAGTTGTCCCATTCTCTATTCGGGGCCGAATAGCTAATCAGCATGTAATTCAATACAATGTTCATTCATACCAATACTTTCTATAATGTCTTTATCTTCTGATCACTACCAATTCACCCTGTATTGTTGCCGTCGTGGTCTCATGTTGAAAAGATTCGAGTGGGAACTGCCTTCTGTCTAGAATAGATGGAGCATCAAAACTGAACCCTCATTCCCGCTACTAATGTTGAATTTATAGATTTTGTTGACTCACCGCCCTATCGTTTGCAGCCGCCTGCCACCGCATGAGGACATACCCCTGCGCGTATCCTGGATAGATTCATAATACAAAAATTCGCACCGTACAACTAGCCTCATGTCCCCGTGCACCCCTTCAACAGACTTCTTGATACTCTGCACAGAGCATATATTTTTTTCTAAGGGGACTTGTATCCCAGTGGCACAATGCGGACTGGCGACAGGTAGTACACTCACCAGAGGTACTAGGCCACTTTAGAATATCAATAAAACAAGTTTCTTTATAGCTGTCACCATACCAGTTGACTTCAACTTAAAGTTGCTCTTTGAGACGTCGTAAGCCTAATTCCAACAGCTTGTAAAGAGCCAGAACGTTCATAGGAATGAAACCTTGGCCAACTGAAAGGATTGATATTCCACTTCCTATATTAATACTATAAAGACTCATGTATTGAAGTATCCAACCATTTACCATTCTTTAGCCTTGCAATCCTCTTTGCCAAAACCGCTTGATGAACTGTAATCCAATCGCGACAAAGGTGGACGTTTCCGAACCCAGATAAAACCTGTGTATTCTCATAGGGATGAGGCTTTTGTAGAGAAAGATCGCCGTGGCACATGATAGCCTACAAGTAGGAAGCGATCAGCTCTAGAGTCCTACTTTTCGTGCATGTAATTGAAAGTTTGAAGGAACTACCCGTCGAAGGATTTCCATGCAATGGTGTAGATGACACTCCGGCGGTACTTCGCTTCCAGGATAGTTGTGTTTTAATGCGATAAGGGAGTGTTTGATGACAAGCTATAGAGATGATTTATGGATGTGTGAGTTTTCGTTTTTTGGTAATTCGGGTTTGGGTGGATACTCACCACGCAGTGCAGTTGATGCATTATAACCACACCAAAACCTTCACTGGTTGGCGACCAGGCTGCCGAATTAGCACCCTCGTCAATCATGGACATGCCTTTTCCAGCAGCGCCGCCGATGGATGGGTCATTTATGGCAACCTAAGTACCTTTAATAGATCTGCTGTGAAATGCCCGTTTGTAAGATAAAGTTAACTTGCATCATATCACTTACCAGAGTATATTTCCCTCCATAATGGAGTTATACTTCTATTGGCATATGGCTCGTAAGGATCGCTTTCTATAAACCGATCATCTTTGTCGATAACATCTTCTTTCCAAGGAACTTTTAGTCACAACGGAAGATTAATCAGCATTGCAACTATCAATCGACATTATACACTATTATAATATGAATCACTATCTCCAAATAACTTATCTGAAGGGAGAGCACAGTCTCGGCTTGATGAGTTCTGAATAAACCATAATATCCAGCCGGAACCAAGAACAAGGGCTGCCAATGACTTGAGTAGAAAAGGGATTATAGTATTCAATATATTGTTTGACTTGGGTGGCACATCATCGATATCTTCTTTGTCTTTGTGTAAGGGGATATATTGATTTATTCGAAGAATAGTCATCGTCAATATTATCAAGGAGGATAACTAGAGGCATATTCTCACGTATGGAATCATGCCCATCAGGAAGAGATAGCGTGTCGGGCCCGTACAGAGCTACACATTTCAACTTAGTAATTACTCCGTTTCATTGCTGGACATGGTTAAATTACTTCCTGACTCTAAACATAGAAACATGTAGATCAGCAACATAAGGAGGCGGTCAATTACTAATTCTTAAACATTTTCGTCGCCGCGATAGTATGGTTTGGGGAGATTCAAATAATGCTCGGGACTCAAATGACACCGTACATATTTCCATAGCGCCTGGTAAACAACACCGGAAGTAATGATACTAGTGTGAACAGGGGTACGTAGTATTGAATTAGCCTCATGTTGATCGTTATCAAGATGCCCATAATCCACTAGGCACGGCCTGTGGATTTTTCTGGAATCGGAACCCCGTCAATTGACGTGGAGTCTTGGCGTTCGCATATACAAGTTGTTATTTAGTGTTTACTACGGAATAACTGCACGCTTATCATGCAGTTTAAACTACTTTTATTGCATATGGGATAAGGAATGGGTACGAGAGAAAGATCAGTATAAGTTGATCAACCTCAGCTTTTATAGATTTCTCTAGGTACTGGCAAGAAACTTCCCATTGTATAAGCTTGAAGAAAGTTGTCGAAGAATCACATGTCTCTATTCCATTGTCTTATCGCTATACACCGGCCGAGCTGAAACCCCTACAGGTGAAGGCGAGGGGAACTCCATACAACGGTTATAGCCTTTATTTCCCACAACATCATCCCTTCCATCCTCTTACAACAGCACTACCTTTTTGTCTCTGTTTAACTGCTTACTTTCTAGGCTGTTCAAGATTAGAAAATTTGCGTGTCACAGTGCAATATAATATACTTACGCAGCATGGGTCTCCGTCCCAGGTACCGCCATCACAGCTGCTCGTAGAAGGTCCCCAACAACTATCACTGGTACTGTCTTGGCGAGCCTCGAGGGAATGTTCCTCTGGCACTGGGTTGGCCAGGGCAACCACGCCAAACAAGGCTGAGAGGAAAATGACGAGCTTCATCTTGTCGATGATGATTGAAAGGGCAGATGAAGGTGGCCTGAAGAAATTTGAGAACGGGAGTAAGCTGATTCTATATATAATCTTTCAGGATGTGTATATAGACGTGTCCCATTAGTACGAAACGGAGCGCAATCTACTACCATTTTCATATCAGCGTCACTGACTCGGCGAGAGTCTTCTGGAAATGTTGGTCAGCGATATCTCCGCGATAAAAACGTTAGTGAAAGCTTGGTATTATTATTCGTGGAGCGACTACGTCATCGATAAGCGTATTTCCAATAAGAACAGTCTTGAAGTGACATGGGGAGACCTGGAATCCATCGTAATTTCGGATACTCGTAAGTACTTGTGATGGTAATGATGTGGGGGGGTTACATTGCTCAAAGTCATCAATTGACGGCTTGATTTACTTTGGAAATCATTGAAACGTAAACGGTTTTACCAGGCGCAATTTGGTTATAGAGCTCTCCGCTATCTACAAGTGTAAATGCAAATAACATAATTAAAACAAGCAACATTGGTAAGCCACTTAAGAAATCGTATAGCTCGCTTAGAAAACAGGTAAAAGTAGAAACACTTACATGTAAAGACCGGCGGTCAGACATGCTACGTCGTTGAAGTTTAGAATTGTCCCCCACAGGGCTAATTGTTTGGAGTCTTCTTCAGAAGCTAAGGAATTTATTTTCAAAATACTACGCTAGGTAAGTCTCAGCAGGCTAGATTTTGTTCGGTAATGTTGGAAAATCCAGTAGTTGTATCGAGACATTGTGAACGTATTGATCCTCATTGCGTGATTGAAAGTTGTTAGAGACTATACGATGCATGTATATATGTGAAGTTTCATTAAGATGAAGTTTGCACATTGCAATTGATGTTATGTAGCAAATCCACGATTTGGCCGTAATACCATCCTCAATATTTCCCTCAATCGAGATGGATTTCCTACAACCAAGGGCTAAGCCGGTGACAGACATCTTCACTAATGATATGCCAATAGATCGAAGAAAATGCCAACGAGTCGTTCCAATGAAAGTGCTTGTCTTGGGAGTTGGACGAACAGGTACTGCCTCTAAGTCCTACGGATTCATCTAATTTCGCCCAGTAAGGAAGCTAATCTTCACTATTTTAGCCCTTCGAGCCGCTTTAAACACCTCGGCTATTTGGATACATACCGCGTGATGTCTGCCAGTGTGGAAAACCCTCCTAACTACGCAATGTGGTATGATGCATTGACAGCTAAATGTGATGGAAAAGGGGAGTTTGGGAAGAAAGAATAGGACCAACTTCTAGGCCATTGTCAAGTAAATTTTTATAAGGCTCTATCAGTGTAGAAGCTGTGAAACTGGTTTTTTCCAGGCAGTTTGCGACTGGCCAGCTGTAGCATTTGACAGGGAATTGATTAGCACCTATCCAGGTGTTAATGTGATTTTGACCGACAGAGATATCGACAAATGGCATGCGTTCGTAACCACAGAGTCAAAATACGCAACGAATTTTGGCTAACGTACTATAGATCTACTATGAAAACTGTTTATTGGCGAGTTACGGACCCAGAGCTTCGCTACCTACCCTATATCGACTGGGCATCTGGTCTGTACTACCCAATGCTTCGGAAATTCTTCGACACATTCTTCGAAGGCACTTTCCCAACGACAGGTAAAGACGTATACCGCCGCCATTACGCGGACATCTGTAGTCTGGTTCCTCCAGAGAACCTGTTGGAGTATCAGATCCAAGATGGGTGGGGTCCACTGTACGAGTTTCTAGGCCGTGCCGTGCCGACGAAGACTTTCCTCAATCCAACGATGTGAACGCATTTGTTCAGCGCAGCCGCAAAAGAAATCAACGACAAATGCTGGATGTGGCGCTTCCCTTCACGGTAGGGATGATGTTGGTTTGGATTGGGGTCGATCTAGTTCTGTGTATCGTTTATTGAATACATTACATTCTGTACTGAATTATTGTATCGGGGAAATAGTTTGCCCTAGCGTATAGCTTAGCGAGACCTAGTTGGTGCTTAGTCGTACCAAGCTTTCTTAGCATTATGGGGCAAGTGGAACAAGGCTGAATCTTAAAATGTCGATCTTTTGACCACCATACCAAAAAGGGCGCAACCCTTAGGAAGGATTATAGTGGCACTTTCTAGTCGCGTATGATTTCTGACATAAAAATCAACTAGACAATGGCGCCATGCGGGGGCTAAGTGGTGATATTGAAATGACTCCAAATTGGAGACTTACCGAGGGTGCCGCTGTGATATCCTCCGAATTGTTGGTAATTAGTACTTCAATTACGCCTCGTTACGCCGGATACGCATCCGTCCGAATACCTCCTGAACAGAACCTAAGGGGGTCCCTGGATGTCCATTGTCGTGTGGTCTTGATGATCAGCAGATAATTAATTTGAAGGATCTGCATTTTTGAATACTGGAGCTTGTCTCCGACTCGCGGATCCCTTGATAGATGAAAACAAAACTAGTACAAGTTCTCGACAAGTCTTTGGATAACAAAATATTCCATTTAGATCCTGCGGTAGTTGAACCGAGCATGTGCGAAGTACTCAAATCAGAATTCATTATTTAATACTATCCGGTTAAAATACTTGAATTCATTGACCGGAAATAATCAGCACTAACTAGAGGGCGCTGCATATTTCTAGACAATATAATTATATCCTCTTTCCCTATAGTACAGCTTGATCGCTAGCTCTTACCATTCCGTGCCGTATTCAAGCTTTTCCCTCCCCACTCTCCGTTGCATCATTAGTTGCGTATATGCGTGCTAGCTTATGGACTACGGAGTATAGATAGAGTCCTCGCTAATGCCCTACTATGGATTGAACCCAGCAAAAGAAAGCGTACTAAAATAAGCACTTGAGGCAAATAGGGATCACGTCCTAGTCCGGGACTAGTAAGATATCTGCTAAATCCCTACTCTATCACCGGCCCAATGTTACATCTGTGCCCTCAGTCTTCTTATTTGCTAAAAGTAGAAGCTACTATTATTATCGCCATGCACTTTAGCAACTTTCACACTAAATCTTATCGTTTAACATGTCTTCGACAATAGATTACAACTAAGAACAAAATGCTGCAGCGAACTTATTATTTAAATCTAACAATTAGATAGAATTGTGGAGCTTTTAAACATTATATAAGCCATTGATAAGGGGGCGCAACTGATAATGATTGGCCAGACTCTGTAGTTGCCGTAATGAGTTTAAACAGAATATAAACCATTGATAAGGGGGCGCAACTGATAATGACTGGCCAGACTCTGTGGTTGCCGTAATGAGGTTTCCAAGCCGTGCATAATTACACTCGCCGTCTCGTATAGAAAATGTAAACAAGAATCGATAGGTTGGGGCGAAAATAATAGAAAAATACATTTCATACGAAACCAATTTCGCCGGTTTCCAATACAGCTTTGATAATGGGGTCAAGAAGATAGCGCTAAATGTTCCTAGGCTAACAACTAACCAAAGAATTACATGAGCATTTTTTGTACAGAAGCTACCATTGTGATGAATGAAAATGACGAGGAATTTTCAGAGTAAATAATGTTCCAGCTATATACCAATTGTCAGATACTGAAATAGCTCAACTCCTCTACCTGCATCACGATGTTGCTGAAATGGATCGTTTTAATGGTCTCTGTTACATTTGCTCAGCAGGAAGAATTTCTCGATGATGGCAACAATTTTGCGGGATTTGTGACGGCAAGTCTTTATGCCTATTATCTACGTCCGTTAGATTGAAACTAGTATATTGACTTCAACCAGAGACCAGAACTTAAAACGCCGATATTCAATGTGACCATTCATGATGCCTCCAGCGTAACACCGGGATATTGGTTTGTGGCTCCATACGCTTCGCTAGGCTTTGGAAATAGAGTGAAAAGGCTGGATTATTGCCAAGTTGGTCCACAGATATTTGACAATAATGGGGTATGACCTTTGGACTGTGATGATATTGTATATCGAGACAAATTCTGATTATAGTTACAGGAGCTTGTCTGGAGTGGCGCTTGCGAATTTGAAAATCGCAACGTATTTGATTTCAAGGTCCTTGATTATAACGATCCTTCGCGATTATCGTTCATCTTTGGATCGACTTCCCAAGGACATCTTGATGCTAAAGGAAAGGGAATCATTATGGATAACTCGTACACAATCCAGAACGAAATTCTGGCGAAAAGATGGGTTTCCTCTTTCAACATGCATGAATTCAATGTTATTGAGGGAGGCAAGTGTGCACTGCTAATTACCAATGTACCACAGCTCCACGATATATCCGCGCTGAAGTTGGAGCCGCAGTCTGGATGGGTTAGTAATAATGGATTTCAAGATATCGATATTGCCACCGGCAATGTCAATTTCGAATGGAATACCCTGGACCATATTCCAATTACGGAGAGCACGGTGGCTGTGCGCCAAATGCCTGGGGAGTATGCTATGAGTTGGGATTATATGTAGGATTAAAATAATTCCCTTGAAGTTTCAGGCCGACCATCGCTAATATGGGATAGTCATTTAAATTCCGTGGACAAAAATAGTGACGGCGATTACCTCGTCTCAGCTCGATACACTAATACAATCTACAAAGTATCGGGCCGAGATGGCTCAATTATTTGGCGTTTGGGAGGTGTAAAATCTTCCTTCGTTTTAGAGGGATTCAATTTCTCGTCTCAGCATGATGCCCGATTCCGACAAGAAAACAGCACCACTACTGTAATTTCGTTCTTGAATAATGCTTCAGATGGTGATAACAGCACATCGTCGTATTCCTCAGGCTTGCTTGTCGCACTTCAGACTTCGACCACTCCAATGACCGCCTACGTTATAAAACGATGGGACCGACCAGACCGACAACTATCTCCGTTAAGAGGCAATGTTCAAGTTCTGCCCAATGATAACGTGTTTATCGGATGGAGTGTACAAGGATACCTAAGCGAGTTTGCCCCGGATGGACGCTGTGTACTGGAGGCAAAGTTCTCATCGATCAAATTTGTTCCTTCAACTTACCGAGCATACAAGTACAACTTCACAGGCATTCCTACTGAGCTTCCCGTTTCAAAAGCTTTTGTCTATGGGACGACTGCTGACACTGTTACGAGTGTCTTCTATGTCAGCTGGAATGGTGCCACTGAGGTTGCATATTGGAACTTTTACGGGAACAACACCTCTTCACCGGACTTCTCACTTGTGGGAACTGCAAAGAAATCTGGGTTTGAGACTAGTCATATGGGTTCTGGATTTTCACAATTCATTTATGCAGAAGCATTGAATAGTACTGGACATGTACTAGGTAGATCTTTGGCGGTGCCAACAATTGTTCCACCCTCCTGGAGGTCTCTGTCTTGTCAAGATGGGGATTGTCATATTGATACAGTTTTCTCTCATCAAATCGACCAAACAGATGAAATTCAGATGAATAGCACCATAGACCGTAAAGGTAAGCCAATACTAAATTCCAAATATGATATAAATGACTGATTTATTAGGTGGCCTACTTCTACCTGTATCTTCTCCCCAACAAGTCTCCGGATGGATGCAAGATTCCTCTCATGTTGAGATTCTCTGGCTGGTGATTTGTGTACTTTCCATCTTGTTACTTTGGAGCACGTATCTCAGGCATTTCAATGTCACTAGACTGCTGCTCGCTGGAAAATGAAAATTTCGGGTTGGCACGAGAAAATCTATGTTCATGATGGCCTTGCGTCTTATATACTACTTCGGTGTTTAGAGTATATGTATTCAATCCTAGCAGAAAATTAGAGTCTCTTTCAATTTAAAATAACATATTTATTGAAAAAGAAACTCCGGAAAACTATTGATCATATTTCGTAACTAGAGAGGCTACTTAGCTTTCCGATTTTGCAGTCGGTGGCTTATATCTGGCAATATCCATCTGTCTCGTCCATATGTTTAGACCTGTCTTGCTACCTGACTTCACGGGTTGCCCCGCATGTCGAGTACCCCAATGCCCTTGTCCATCCGGGTGCAAATTTCTCCAAAATATCGCATTTCCAGCAATGGGCTTGAACGTCACTCCAGTTCTCGCCGTGACATTATTACTTCCCTCAGGATTATCTTCCTCCGCACATTCAATATAGTCGCACCAAAATTTCTCTGCTGGTCGACTCAATTTAGGAAATTCAGTACCTCCACCAGTCGAGTTAGCGTGCAGATAGACAAAAAATGACGACTCCCGATTCCCTCCTTTGTGTCGCGTGATCAACTCTCTAACTGGCTCCTCGTCCGGGAACCAATCGGTGTGCGCGTTATAATGTCCATCTATAGGGTACTGCACAATTTGGATCGGTTCGAGACGATTACGGGAATCGTAGCCTTGGAATGACAGGGCACGCTCTTCTATGCGCTTCACTACAGGATGGCTGCGCGGTGGATACGCTGATTGTGAGAGTCGCATCGTTGTGTTGATTAAATCTGGTCCAACCATAGAGGGTTTGAAGGAATCTTTGCTGTGAGGGGTTTATTAGCATCTGGAATGCTCGTCCCTAAAGCGATTATGTAGCGACTGAAGCATATACATACACAAGGTGCATTAACATTGCAGCTTCTGCGGAGGTGACGAATGATGTGACGTAAATAACCAATGGATCGTGAGAATAGATATGAATTCCGGGATTCGGCAACTCGTCAAGATTATTAATGACGTTTCCATTTAAGCTGAATGTTGTGTATAGTAGAAATTTCGACCGTACTTGATCGAAATTGCTGAGAAGCACTTGAGAAACAAGAAGTGATGCTATCCAGAAAAAGGAGATCCCCAGAGAATACCCCCACCGGAAACCATTGCTTTGTATCTTTTCTGTGGCCATATTGTTGTTGATTCCAAATAACAATAGTACTAACTAGATGTATTGGACAGAAAGTTCTTTTTTGATGGTGGACTGAACTCCACATAATATAACATCAAGTTCAGCAAGTTGTATTTTGACTTCGGGTCAAGGAAAGGGAAAAGAAGAAGGAAAATACGGTGCCCTACGATTTTCGCCCCCAATGGTACCAAGCAGCACTATGCTAAATACATTCTCTTTCAGTCTATTAGGCAATCGATATTGAGCGTGTAGCCAATTATAATTCTACAAAGTAGTGTGAGACAAATATTGACACTTGTGTTAACTGCGCCTGAAGAATTGATACCGAACGTTGTGGGGCCATACAGGAACTATTTCAGCGCCGAAGAGCTTGCTAATTTAGTCTTGAGCTAACGAAAAATTACAGCTAGTATCGTTCGTAGTGTACGAACGGTCTTCATAGTCATGCACATGCTGAATGGATCTATTTTAGGGGATTGAAATTGGTTGGGTTCATGAAACAGTGGCCACAGGAGGCTGTCAATTTGGGGGCTAAAGTGTATCTATGACCGATATTTCGCGGACGCAATGTAAACAAGAATCGATTTTGCTCTCCTTCTATTTCTGGAACCCTTATTGCAAATTTAATAATTATCTCTCTTGTCGCTGGAGATATACCCCGGATTGTATCCAGTAAGGTCAATACGGGGGAAAAATGTCTGTTTGAGGTAGCGCAAGAACAGCTTTCATATCACCTCAAAGTATAACTCGTCCCTCTTCATCTTCGACGACCCGGGATCAGGCAAGAGCCCCAATTCGACGTTAGCCGTCATGAGTTTCTTGAAAACTCATACCTTCTCACGCATTCCAGAATCCAATCATTCCATAATCAACCTTAATCCAGGCGATTCAAGTAAAGAAGAGAGTGGGCTGGTTTCAGATGAAGACTTAGATGAGGTAAACAATTTGGGAGTTCCGAATAGTCCCTTTGGCCCAACATTACCTTGGGTCGTCTCTACCGGTATTCTACTTATACTTTCGATGACATTGGCAATTCAATTATACTTTCCCCAAGGTAATCCTATAGGAACCTACGAAACCGGGTTTTCGACAGAGCTTGGTATGTCAGATGCATTCAAAAGAGCAGTGGAGATTCTTATATTGATACGTCAATAGCTTCTAGTAAACATATCATTTCGATTGAACAGGTTGGCTTCACTGGGAACGTCCAGATCCGTGATGATGGTACGACGTATCTCGACCCCGGTGAAGTACAGTATGTGGGCAAGCCCTCACCGAAGATCGATGAGAATTGGGAGCATTTAATTGATCGTAAGCAGTTCTAAAGTTGATTGACAAGATCTAATCATGCATAATCTTACGTTATTCTAGACCGCTATTTCTACTTAACCGAGGCCGAAGCCGCAGAGGCATGGGGCATGGAGGGCATTGAACAATTGTATTACCGGCTTTCTCCTGATAACGAACGTCGCTACGTTGCGGGTCTTGACGTGCTACACACTCTACATTGTCTCAATATGCTTCGAATGAAATTGGACCTGGATTACTATCCAGCGGCGGCAATCGGCTCGCTACATAATTACCACTGCATCGATCAGATTAGACAATACTTGATGTGCACTGGAGATCTGACTTCTATACCTGTTCGATGGCATAAAGGTCTTGGACGCCCATATGTCGATTCCGATAAACCACATACATGCCGAAACTTTAGCGCTCTACAATCATGGGTCATGAAGAGAGACGAAGCAGAATTTTAGGATTTTATATAGTATAATAAAGCTAGGTATTCATCGTTAAGTTATATTCCCCGCAATTATCTTGATTGGAGGGAATTTCGATTGTTACTTTCGACAATATCGAGTTGGGATTTAAAATATTTTGAATTATGATACCAGATATTTCTCGTGTCCTACGAATAGGTGAGATGGGACCGACCTCTACTTATCATTGACTCTACATTTAAGATAAATGACATCAATTCCTTTTTATTAATTGATATTGACCACTATGGTCAACCTCAGATCGATATGATCCAATTTTCTCCATACGGTTCAGTTGATGAGTTCTATACTAGACCGCTATCAAGTTGCGAGGGGTTTAGCTACTCGTACATAATATCTTCAAAACTATACCCTAGACATACTCGAAGTGTCGGTAAACACCTCATCTACCTCATCTACATCATTTACGGTGAGCATAACTTCACCCTCAACTTTCTTAACTTCAACCATCGCCCGCACACTGACATCTCCCTTGCCGACGCTCACTCCGTTGCAACACCCGTCACGACGGTCGGGCCAACCGTGACATCTTCCGGAAAATCTTGCACCATGGCATCTACAACTACCCTCTGCCAAGTGCCTCTGGAGCCATGCATCACTTCCGAGGTGTGCCAGAGCTGGGTGGGGACGACTACCACCACATCTGTCTCTTCCTCCGCATCTCGAGTTTCTACCCCAACTGCTGGTTGGATCCTTACCCTTGTAAGTCAAATTGACACAAATGTTGATTAGCGCCTAAGAGTTTGACTCGAAATCTCAGTATGATAAAACATGCAAGAACAGCTCTACCGGGTTTTCTAGCGGGATGAGTTGTTCTGCCGGAACTTTTACCAGCCCTACTTCCTTTTACGATCCGTGATGGTTTCTGTACTGTTTTCGCTAACCCTAACTGTTCTGGGTACTCTAACGGCCTTGATTCTACTAGCTACCCTGACTGTACCGATATTGCTGATAATATGGATTTACCTGGGATTTGGGCTTCTATGTCATGCTTTGTGTATGCAGAATAATTTTAGGGTTACTCGGGTATCATCACGATATACGCTACTAGAATTAGAAGTCAAATTAACTTTTCGAGAATTGTTGAAATTTCTTTGGATTGCCAGCCCGAAATATAGTTAATTTTTATTTATTATATAATTTCTACTAATATAATAAACGCCTATAGAAAAGGAAAAAGAGTGGATGTAAACTTTCAACTATAGAATGACAGCAGGGTCAATTTATCTAGGCTGGCTTCGTTTAAACAACTTGTCTCTGAGAGACCATAACGTTAGCCGCCTGCCTATCTTCTTCCATCCATCCTCCACTTGCTTGTTATGTGCAGGCGCATCCTTTTCACGCAGCTTGCCATTTTCGGCTCGCCATAGGATCACCTTGCCCGCTGCTTCGTCAAGGACTCTTATTGCCCACTCCGCATCCTCTTCAGACATGATTTTAAGCTCGCAGCTCTGGTCGCTTGCAACCCAGTTCAGTTGTTTCTCGTTGACAGCCCAAGAATCCGGCGAAGCGTCAGAATAGGTCGCGACCAGGAGTCTTCGGAGCTGCGGCGACCCAACATCATCTAATAGTAGTTCATCCTCTCCCACGATGAGACCGTAAAGATGCTCGAAGTCTGTGCGTATCTTGGTAGATAGGACAAAAATTAACACATCAGTCGCTGCAAAGCGTGTTCTCGTGACCTGAGCGAACCATAGTTCAGCAATACATGATGGACCAGCTATCCGAAGTATCACAGGCCATTCTCGTCCCATGTGTTGGGCCGGGGCCTTGGCCATACGTCTTCGCAACCGACCAAACACCGCGTCATCGGAGTCCTCTGGCTCTGATTCTGATGAGAAGATGTTGGCTACGGGCTGGAGCAGCGTGTAATCTAGAGAATGAAGGCGGAGAATTAACAGCTCTGGTAGGCATACCTGCTCTGACCACACCTCCAATCCACTACAGATGATGATTTTGACTTCTTGAAGCTTAAACATCGCTGCTGATGACAGACTGTGTGAGATAAGAGAAATTCTTCCCTCCTAGCTATTGGGTAAAAGCAGGTGGGGAGTAAGGGTTCCGGTTTCTATGAGAGACGGCAGATTGTGACAGTGTTTCTTGATGAGTAGTAATGCTATCTGTACAAGCTCTTTTTGCTAGCTGTACAACCTTTTCTCAACACGTGATCTATCACATATCCCACTTCATACTGGTACCTGCAAGGGAATTAAGAGGGATATACCTTTTTAATATAATACGTAGGAGCCCACTACTGTTGGCGGTGACAGGTTGTGTTGTGGTTGGGAATGGTTGGCAATGGATAACAGTATAATTGACATTCATCTGTTTGCTACCCACCCCACAACTATGTAGTCTTCAAATGTTATCAATTAACGTAATACAACCATAATATTGTCGTTTGATATATTTCGACAGCTTGATATAAAGTCATCGCAAAATATTCGTATAACCATACCAAGATAGTATAATGTATTCTGATAAGTTTTGATTAGAGTACTAAATACCATCGTAAAACTCAGGGAAATAGCGGCGTAGGAACTATATAGATTATTCCACAGCTTGATAAACTTCTAAATATGGAAAGACTGCTAATGTAATATGAATCAGTCTCTGCTTCTCTGGTATGCCTACCGCCTAGACATCCAGGCAGGAAGGTATGCAATAGCACCAAAATATCTTACTACAGGTGGTGACCAGAGATGGACAGCATTCAGACATGCCACCAAAAACTCGGTGGTAAAGATATTGGTTGGGAGTTGAATGGTGTTCGGCAGGCGATAGCGTACACCCGTGACGCACGCATAGCTGACCAATCTCAATATGTCATCGAAGGGGTGAATAACCGGCTCCGCGCATACGGCTACGATTGGGTACGCGTTGCTCGTGAATAGTAAGCAGTTCTATAACTCTTCCTTTTACTCCTTTCCCTCATATGGCCACTTAGTTTCCTCGCTGATCCGATATGCATCTAGACTGCGGAAACAGAGACAGAGCCCGCATTGGACGGCGTTCACATGGGAAGAAGTCGATACAGGGGTTACAATCAGGACCCACGATGATGTGATTGAAGGACTCGAGGACGAAACCAATAAATATCTGACCGAATTTGGCGAAAAGGAGGCTAAGAAGCATCCGAATGTGCGGCATGCTGTGGCCATTTTGGCGTGTGCATCGGGCGAAAATAGTCTTTCGGGAGATCCATCTCGTTGATCCGTTTTGCTATAGGTATATTTTCTACAACTCTTGCTCGAAAGTATGTACCTGCTCACCTTAGTTGTCCGCTTTCTAAATAGCAAAGGCTCGATGAGGGTTGATATATTCGTCCACATTTAGCGCAAAGGGGAAAGAGGTTGAAGAATTACTCCTAGTACACTTGACTATGTAAAAGATGTTTATAAATGTTTAGTTTCGACACGCCCACTACCCAACAAATTCTCTCTAGAAACTAACTTGAGAACGAAAGGATCAACTCACTCCTCTTGGATACCTGTACATCAGAAATGTAACCATGGTAAGATTCTCTGCGTAAGCACTTCCACAGTAGAACTGTACCGAGCTTCGTGATTCAGATCCTCACCCGAATCCCCTGGAAGGCTCTCAGAAATCTTCGAACTCTCGCCTTGCCTTTCGCACTCCCATAAGCGAAGCAGTAGAGCCCACACGATTGCACATTTCGGTACATAGTCGGAACATGATGACTGGACGTAGCCGGGGGAGTATTCCCTCAAACTCAAGTTCACAGTTGATAATGTTTCCAACTTCTGGTGAATCAACTTTGCGGAGTCTCTGCGGTAATCCTGACGGATAGTGATCAGACCGTAAGGCTCGCATTCCTCGGCCAAGTTGAAAAAAGTGTTAACTCTCGCTTCATCAGACACATCGACGAGCTGCACACGGGAATCACCCAGGAGTCCAATAAGACCTGTACTCGCACCAGTAACAGCGTCGGCATGTATAACAACAACACGCATAACAATCATACAGGAGGGTAGCTGTTGGAGGACATCAATCAGCTCCTGTCTACATATACGGATGCTTTGAAAACAATCGATAAACAGAGAACCACCCCAAATTGTTTATGATGCATCCCGTGCAAGACTTTTGAGTGGTGAACCATGACTTGCAAAGTCTGCTTCGTAAGAGGGGTTCCAATTGAGACGTATTGAGTCTCGCGTAGGGTCGAACCATGCCGCGCTGATAGAAGTCCAATTGTACCACTCAGCCTCTGGAGATCTAGGTTTAAGCAAGGGATTGGTGCTGTGAGAGAACTCGAAGAAGGTCCCGGTTTTCAAAGCGACTGCGCGTGACTCATGATATACGACTGATGACGGGCGGCCCGCCCGTTTACCTCGGTCGTCTGATAGAGGAGGCACGGTGATGGGGTTTTTTCGTCCAGGAGTTTAAATACAATCTCATAAAAGGGCTGGTCTTTCTCGCAGACACGATGGGGTAAGAGTAGGCGCCAAATTTCAAACCGCAACTCGATTGGTAGCTTGGGGAAGAAATGGAAGACAGTGCCTTGGGGAGGTGACGTAGAAGAAGACTCAGACTCGGCCATGAGTATACCCCGAAAGCATGGCTCCTTCAACTGGAAAAGGACAGGAATTCCGTTCTATAGGTGTAGGATATGATCCTGAAACATGTTTTACGCGCGGAGCATGGCGGCCTAAAGTACTCCTGTCGCTACTCGCATGCTAGCTTGCTTCGGCTGGGTTCTTTATTCCAAGCTTGCATATCGTTAGGTTGTCAAGAACCAGCTAATAACATTTTTCAATATTAGGGTCGCATTCATGCAGAAAAAGAAATTATAATGTAAACAGTTTTTGAAGTTTCGACTATATGAGTAGAGGTGACTATCCAACTACTACGTTAAGCGTATTATGCTAAACCATTAATTTACCTTTTTTCTAATAGAGCGCCTCCTTGAATATTAAAAATAAGTATACGATAAACGTAGATAAGATATACTTCTTATCTTATCAGTCCCTAGTATACTTAAGTCACGTGATGTTCTGCTAGCTCATCACTTTGTGTTACAATAAAACGACCAATCGCCTATCGATCTTCGTTTTTGTGACACCTATCATATAGTATTATTAACCGTATTCATATTTTATTAATATAGTTAAGTACTATATAATGTATATGATTATTTTTCTTCACACTTTTTCTTGAGATAATCAAATTCTTATACACCTCCTTCCCACCTGCTGCGTAGACGACTTGTTCAGTCGACTGTTGCATGACGTTTTCTCTGATGCAGCTTCTCTGCTTTGTAATGGCAAAGAAAATCAAAATATTCGAGCCACTATTATTCTACCGTATCGGCTCCCTCAGGCAGCCGATGAAAATATTCAACAATCAGGTGATGCCTCTCGGCATGCATATCCGAAAGCTGTAGACGAAGGTGGCGCATTGGCCAATCAATGCACCTTGCTACTTCGTCGATTGACCTCAAAGTTTGCTTCAGATGCTTTTCCGTCCCATATTGGTGATGTGCCTTGGACCATTGGCTCTTCCGCTGGATTCCGGCTCGCTACACGGCAAATATTCGGTCCATGCAGCCATCACGCCACAACAATTGAGGCACGCAACAATGACAACAATTTCTTCTCACCCCCGTCGCCGTCGCTTTCGATCAAATCGGTACATACCTCATCAGCACGCCCACCGCTCTTTGCTGTCCTCGGATGGTCCGGACTCTATTACCTTGCATAAATCGATCAATTATTCGGTGGTACGTGAGGTAGCTTCATCCTTGGAGCCGAGCACGTCAAACCTTAAACCGTAGAAGAGTCTGTGCTGCAGGTGGGATCAGCGGAGCGATTACATGGTTGTCGATCACGCTGATTTCTGTTTTCGGCTACCCTCGCCCGCGATTCCAACCATTTTGGCCTTAGCTCGGCCTCTCGTGGACTAGTATGATATGACAAGAACAATATCGCAGACAGACACGCCTGGAAGCCTTTCACTCTAGCCAATAAGAAGAAGCATCGCTGCCAGGGTATGGATCACGAGTTGGCATTGGCCTATAGTCTGCAGCTACCGCCACGACCAGACAATTATTGGAATACGTCGACGGCTTCCAAGGGCAAAGACCTTTTTTGTGGGCTGCTGTGATGTTGTAATGATATCCACAGGATCCGCCAGATCCTGGTAGTATAAAAATGACGTCTCAACCCATCTTCTTCAAGATCCTTGTTCAATACATTCAGCAGCATTCCTCGCAACTCCAGCTATTCGGAAATTATTTCACCTGTCTCACATCACACTAGCTCTCCTTGAAGCTGAACTGCGTACTGTCACTCTACACTACCCATCATCGTCCAACACAAGTCATAATGCCAGCACTAGGATCTGCAGGGCGCCCTGTGTTACTGCTCATTCGATCATTGCAATGGATTAGTTCGGTTATCGCTATGGGAATTTTCTCCTATCTCATCCACAAAAATCACCATGGAGCCCATTTGATCTACAATGAAGTGATTGCTGTTTTGTCGGTGGTCTTCTTCATTCCGGCTTTCATTTCACCTTTCATGCCCACTATGCTCAGCAAGTTCGTTGTGCTGATCGATCTTGTATTCTCCTATCTGTGAGTCTATTTAACATGACGTATCTATATCTACTAATATGCTAATGATACATAGGTGGTTGACTGCTTTCATATTCACGGCCGAAGACTTTGACCGTGGATTTTGCTACATCGCAGAGGCACCAGGCGTCTCGTGCTCCAAGAAGCATGCGGCTCAGGCTTTCACCTTCTTGGCATTGTAAGAAATTCTCTTTTAAACAGATTTAAAAAAAATAGAAACTTATCCTGAACTAGCATCTTCACCTTCTTCGGTCTCGGGGTTGAGACGTTCAGCCGATGGGTTGACAACCCAGAACCAGTGAGCACACGGGAGAAGAATGGTGCCCGAGCACCATTGGACGCCCCTGTTCAGTCTGCATAACGGCGCCAATTCATGAAGCCTGACGACACAGTACGGACTGATCTAGCAAAAACATATTACATCGGGTACTGTTGATCGCAGGACTTCATCATGCAGAGGGGAACTACTGAATGAGAAGCTGTAGTCTGCTACCTTTTATTCAAGATACATATTTATCTATGTTTCTTGACAATAGCTCTTTGAATATTTGTTCCGATCACGGACACTACACGGTGCTTCAGGTTAATGGAGTCGGACGACGAACCACGCAACAACCATACCCGGCGAGATGATAATATTTAATATAATGCCATTCTTTATTCTTATGATCAATTCATATAAAATTAATATTCCTCCCTTGTCCACTTTCCCGACTCGTAGCAGTAGTTGATGAATATGTTTTTCGTGAACATGATGATGTGGGCAAATGAAGAAAAGGATTAAACCCCTTGCATGAATATTTATAGGAATTAAGCAATAATTTTAAGTTACAATCCCCCAACGCAAGGATGCTGATTAAGTATGAATCTGAGTAACCCTTGCAGACCTCCAATTCTGTAATTTATCCGATAAACTAGTTACATAGTTGCATTCCGGGGATGAGCTAGCTTGCTAGTAGAGAGTTGGGTCTTTACTCCATATCAACGATTTGATGCCATGGTAATTTTGGATTAATTTGTATTAGAATATGGCAGAGAACTATATGTATGCATGCGGTAAAGAAGAATTATCGTATCGGATGTCATTTATCGGGGGTCCGGTTTAGGTATATAGATTAGATGAGGAGTGACGTCAGCGGTGGGACCCATATAATAACGATGGAGTTTTGAAAATACCCGTATAAGCCAATATTTGGACCTGAGAAAGAGAGCCTGGTGAATAATGTGCCGTACTCAAGTTATGCAAAACAGACTTCATTCGAATGTATGGAATGGTATCATCGCCATGCTATGCTAAGTACTATGTATGGAATAAAGGCAAATAACTAACCCTCCAAACGCCTTATATGTATACTGCTCGTATATCAATGCATCACCATAACATTTTACAAATCATCAAATACTAGCCCTCCTTGGTGCCATGGTTCTCCTCAACTTCTTCTCCTCCGTCGATTCCTCTGCAACCGGCAACGCCCCTTCATTCTTCAGCTTCTCCAAAAACGATTTTCCGTACGCATAACCGACTTCATAAATCTCGTCAAATTTGCCGAAATCCAGTGTTCCATAGGGGTCGATGGGTGGCCGCATGTAGAGACATCCAGGCATGATTTTGGCACGCTCGAGACTGTCTACTGAGGACACATAGGCGAGACGACCCTGGATTTCGCTAAGGGTGATTGGATTTGGTACGGCCGAGAACGGATTCCAGCGATTGATGAACGTCCAGAAACCGGAGAGGGTGTCGCCGTAGTCCTGGGGTGTGTTGTCATCGAGCGACCCGACGTCGACGGCGAGGATAATGTCGGCCCCTAGGCTTTTCATGTGTGCGACTGTCAAGTTGTCCACGTAACCGCCATCAAGGAGAAGGCTGCCTTCGTCGCACAGTGGTGGTAGCAAACCGGCTAAAGACATTGAGGCCCGGACATATCGCCAGACGTATCCTGAAGAGTGGAACTCGTTGCGGGATTTGCTAATATTTGTGGTATTGCAGTAGAATTCGAGCCAGAAGTCTTCGATTTGACTGTCCCCAAAGGCTTTAAAGATGCCACGGTTGAATTCGTGTCCAGTAGTATACGATACTGCAGGGTATGTCAAATCCAAGGCGAATCGCCAGATGCTGCCCATTCTGCCGGCGAACTTCTTTGCGCGGCCGTACATAGGAACGACATCTGCATCGCGGGCATAAAGGGCTCCAATGAACGACCCAATTGATGTTCCGCCAATGATATCGATGGGAATCCCAGCCTCTTCAATTGCTTTGATAACGCCGATGTGGGCAATACCGCGTGCTCCTCCTCCACCCAGAACAAGACCGACAGATTTTCCGCACAAACGACGTGCCAACCGATGGAAATCACCTTTGAAGGGGGTTTGTTGAGAATATAACGAGGTTTGATGGATACGTCGAGACGTGTATTTCTGAATCTCAGCTTGTATAACCTGTACGCGCTGTTTCAATGCTGTTCCAAATCGCTTTGTTTGGGGATGCGCAGGTTCGGTAGTAAGGCGGTATGACATTTGGACATGATGATGTCCACCGTTGATCCACATGCGGTTTTTCAACCATCGTCGCGTTAGTCCCGGATGGCAATAGCGTTCGGCATGAAGAAGCACAAGTTCTTTACGTGCAGTCGTTTTCATGCCAAGTAGGAAGCGTTCGTATTCGCCAATACTAGGCGAGCCTTCTGCTAACCCCACTAGTAGGATGCAATCGGCTTGGGTAATACATGTTTGTGTCCATGGTGAGTTCACATTTGTGTCGGCGATGTATACTACCATCCCATACTTTTCTTCTAGATCAGCCAAGTACTGTGATAACTTGAGCTTACCCATCTTGCTGAAGGCATGTCTTCCGAGATGGTTTAGGATAGCTGCTTGGTTGAGGGATGTCACTCCATTTGTCACGCCAACCTGATTGAAAGCAGTGAGTAGCCTATTTCCAAACTCAACCACAGGTACACCAGCAGTCACTGGCAAGATGGCGACGGTGCGCATGTTGATATTCGATGTAGCAGTTTTCGCAGTGGCAATTTCACTGGGCGGTGTATATTTTTCTGACAGTGGATTATAAACTAGATCTCTCATGCGTTGGGCAATGAGTTTCGAGATCTGTATCGTAATCCCTGGGTGCTCTTGGGCAAGGCTATTGAAAAGCGAGCGAGGGAACTTGGCTAGCTCGGTATCTCGAATTGCATGCAGTGTAGCTGGCCGTACTGACTCAGTCATTACTTCGAGCTCCCCAACACTCTCGCCCTGTCCGTATTCATCCAGAACTTGAATCTTGCCACCAGGAGTCTCAAGAACAGATCGAAGTCGTCCATTGAGTACGATGTAGATGGCATCGCTTTCATCACCCTGGTGATGAATAACCTGACCAGCAGTGACCTGAACCCACTCCAAAGCAAAATCAATATGCAAAATCAGACGTGGTAATACGCTAGTAAGCCTTTTGGCCAAAGTCAATAGAACAATGGGAGATTTCTCTGCAACGCGCTCGAGAGTCGCGCGAGGAAGGAATCCAACATATACATCTGTCTTTGCGATGACATCGGTGAAAGACCGGTATGATGCAACAGAACCAACATATCCCTGCATGCCACCGGGCTTTATCAAGTAAAGAGACCGCCTGGACGATCTTTTGCGTCTTGCATCGGAAATTGAAGCTCGAGATGTGTTAGTCGTAGTTCTTTGCAAACCTGGGAAGAATTCCTCTGATGAATGTTGCCCGTTCATAATATCATCACCACGATCATTAACCGGTACTCCGACGTCTAGAAAGCCGTCGATAACATAATATAACCCTGGATGACGTTCGCCCTGTTCGACAAGAACAGATCCCTTAGGGAATAAAACTATCTCAATATCGCTTCGCAATTCTTCTCGGAGACTGTTAATTGGAGAGGTACCGCCTGCACTCGTGGCTGACATGGACATCATAGATTCAGTATCAGCATCGTCGTAAGGGTCAATGAACCCAAATGCGTTGTTGAATACAGCCTTTTGTCGTCGTGAGTCGTACGAAACAAGTCTTGGAGATTGTTCTCCAGCATAAGCTTTCCGCAGCGCGTCTCTAGTGCTAGCTGTAAGACCGATTCCTTTCATCATGCATTGCAGAATAGAGTCTCGAAACAGACTGTCCTCATCAACAGCGTCGTCCCGAGTGAATGGGGAAATGGGAATCTGCATCGAAGGTCCTCGGAACGGTGGTCGCTCTAGTTGAGCTAGAGGGCTTTCAATTTCTCCAGTAGGTGTTGTTGGTTCATGCGATGGCGCTCTGTTATATAAAGGGCGGTTTCCATAACGATTAAGCTGAATTGTAGATAGTAGATCACCCGGACTTACACCGCTAGCTTGGGGTTGGGTCAACACAGAACGTTCGTGAGACATGGACAAATGACGCCTTGAAGAGGCAATTTTGACATGCAGAGCGGCATCTTTCCGCAGGGAGCTACTTGACCGACGTCTACGGTTGGCAATGGGGTTGTGTAAGGCGATTCCCTTGCTGTCATCATCCGGACCTAATCGTTCTCTCTCTTGTCTGAATTTGTCTTTTAATCTCTCGAGTGCACTCCCTCTTAGCTCGTTTGGGAGGTCAAATGCAGTGAATTTGTTGAGAAGCTTCTCAATGCTGAGAACTTCCGTATTCAGCCCCAGGTATGAGTGTGCAGTGGAAAATGTAACGCGCTGTAAACGAGTCAAAATGACTTGGACGATATGCGCGGTAGCTCGAGGGTACATTCTCGTCAAACGGCGGAAGGCGCTTGCCGGAATAATAGCAATGGTGGTATCTACCATTGCCCGAGCAACAATATCTGGGTGAACGGATTCTTGCTTTGCATGTTTACGGTGCCCGTGCCGTGGAGATGGCTCCTTAGGCGAGTTATTCCCCGTGCCGGTGTGGATATCTTCCAAGTTCAATGGGGGTACAGCGGACAATGAATCAACTCCCAGGCCATCTCCATTCTCCCGTGAGATCGGTCGAGAATTATGAACAAAACCTTGCGGGCTACCCGGCATTGACGCAGGAATGGTCTGCTCCCCAGAATGGCTGTCGGAGCCCTCACCACTGCCATGCCGCAGATGTACATCTTCCGTGAACAGAGTAAGGATAGAGAATAGCGATGACATGGAGGCTCCATTCTTCACCTCGGTAAGTAATTGATATCCCTGGTGTCCTGCGATATAACGATTCTCTTCCTCATCATCACTATCTTCTACCGCGGTCGTATTCACGTTTCGGGAAAGCCCATTCTCGCGTGTTGATTTCACAAAGATCTGTACCAGACCGTCCACCACCAAACAGAAGCCTTTTTCCTCTTCCAGCAATAAGGTTTCCCCGGCCATTAGCTTTCTCGTCTGCATTGTTCGCGTCAATTCATGAAAGACCGGCCGCTCGAGGTATCCGAAGACTTTGATAGCGGTCAAAAACTCGTCTAGATAGTTTGCGAGCCCCGGCTTCGAGTCCCCTTCTTGGCTGTCCGGAAAAAGGTCGATCTGCGGTTCTTTGCGTTGGGGCTCGGGCGGTAGACGGCTGTACATATTCAAGTAGCGATACCGGATGAACCAGATGACGGTTGAGAGGAAGAGGCCGAAAATCAATAATCTAATCCCCCACCCATTGTTAGTAGGCTACTCACAAAGAGCATTTCGAATATGTGGGGCAACGGGCATACATTGTTGTGAAATTCATTGTGAACGTCAGGCTCATCGAAAAGAGCGTAAAGAGCCAGGTCGGCAGAGTAATTGTCGCAAAGCCAATCACCAAGAAAAGGGTGCTGGGGATGGTATGAAAGACAAAGAGGAGCAAGCGTCCCATAAGGCCCGGCATTGCTGTTTCGACTGTGGGGGTGATCGAAGAGGAGGCCACGAGAGAGGCAGTTGTGGTCGTAGCAGCTGACAAGCTCTCAGCCAGAGCGAAGGACGACGCTACAAATTGCGGTGCATTGTGAACTTGGGCGGCCATGGTGACCGCGTTGACGTTAACGCAGGCACCGGCTGCAGCTGACAAGCTGCGGGGTGATGTCTTGGGCTTCGACGTGATCCACTGTGGGAGGGGTAGAATCGGAAGCGCACAACAGTGTCAGCGATAGACAGCCAGCGTGGTCATGTTGGACGGCGGCGCCGTTGGGGAGAAAGTAAGGACGTACGTAGGTATAGCGGAGCCGGAGGTAGCTCGGTCTTGATTGGGCGCGCCTTAGCCGCGGTATGCGGCGGGCCGACTCGTGGTGCAGCGAGTCGCTGTGATTTGCAGTTTTTAACTACTGAATTATAAAATAAGATTTATTCAGTATGGTGACAAAGGCTTGAGTATAGCAGCACAGAATTAGATTGGGTATAGGAGCGCTCCCCATAACAATATTAATAATATTTGAACTTTTTGCATTATCTACATGTGGCCCCCAAAAAGCCTAAATTAATCTGGCATGAATTGGAGCAGATGCAGGTGAAAGACAGGTAGAAAATCTTAATGCTATATTCAAACTTTCGTCATATTGATGTAATACTGCGACTACGGTTTCTTTTGTATGTTTTGTGTACAGCAGACGATCATTCTCGTGTGAATATCTACATATTCACCACCACTTGATGCTGAATGCACGTCATGTCGATCGTTACTGCATTGCCGATTGGCTCATAATGACAGCAACCCACTGCCAAGTTTTCGGGATATTGAACGCATTACAGTAGGATGACAAAAGTTTTTGTATATAGCATCACATTATTTCAAAAGCGGATTGGCGACAGGAGACCTCCCCCTACTGATACTATTAATATTTAAATATTTGCATTATCTATTGGTGAGATCCTAAGAAGTGTTTTAATTTGATATTAATTAGTATAGATATAGATAAAAGTTAGAATATCTTGATACTATGTTCAAACTTTAGTTGCAGCCGAAATCGCGTCATGTGATGCGAGATACCCTAAAACTCCAGCCATCTGTAGTTACCACCAATTGCTTAGGCACAAGCAGGGAAGAATTCCGGTCCTGAGCAAGACACCCTGCAGCTGCTACTTCATTATTTCACAACTTCTCTATGAGACACCGTAAACCAGCTCGCTGGCGACACAAAATACATGGTGTCGGATTTCTGGTTTGGTGATTTTATCCAACCCGAGGTCCATTTTCAAGTATAAAGATTTTTTGAGGTTTGAAATTTTGGTTCTTTCGACCTATTTATTTCAATAAAGCGGCTGCTTCTAATGGGAAGCCCCTTTCTGGCCGGGGTACCCCCGCTTATGAGTAGACGGAAATGGTAGATTCTCTAACATTGTTTCAACTTTTGGGCTGCGGTAGCTAATTCTTTCGGAAGAGGAACGAATGCCTTGAAGTCATTGTCAATTGGTATTTTTTCAAGATTCAATCCCCACTGGTACCGATAATTCATTTCCACGTTTCCCTATGGTTGAGGGGATTTTATTGATCTTTGCCTTCTTCGAAGGAGGAACATTGTTCGACAACGGACTGAGATTCTCGGCCATTCCAAGGGTCTAGCACTTTAAGTTAGCTAGTGTCTATATTTAATATATTTTATCAAACTAAAATAGATATTGTACTTCTGCCTTTTCCTTAGCTCTCTCGAGTTTACGTTTAATCCAGAATATGTTAATTAAAATATCCCCTATACTATCTATGATGCTATACTAGCAGCATAAGTGAATTACGTACCGCCAAGGTCGTGCTATCCTCGTAGAAGCTTTTTCCTTTACCTTCTTGCACTCTTGGTTGGGATTGCCGTGGAATCAATGACGGTGGCCAGTGCGGGAGTCCTGGTCAGCTTATTATTTTGAGTATTTTCTCAGTCATTTTTCCAAATAGAACCACTTACTCATTTCGGTTGTTTTTGTTTTGATATACAATAATTGTTTGATGGACTTTTCCAAAAGGAGTGGGAGGTGGACAGAGTAAAGATTTCCGGTGGCCTTTCGCAAGAACATGGAGACTTTTGACTTCGACGACGACGGCCGTACCTGTCACGGGGCTCACGCTAGCCACTGCATACTCCCAGCGTTTGCAGAACCTGCAAATTATTATACCACATCAACCCAAACGTATATCCAAAGTGCAGAAGCGCTGGGTTAGGACCAATGGCTGAGTTATGTGACAATAGTGACCCACTCACCGCTTCCGGTAACAAACGGTCAAAATCAACTCAGCCACCTCTATACTGATATAAAAAGATTGACTAACGTAATCCACATAGTTCTCCCTGTAAATTAATGCAAGAGACGATTTCATCATAAATAATATAATTGGCAAGCGACCGTATATACCAGAATAGCCTGAAACGTTTGGAACAACCGCGTTAGGGGAACCGATAAAGGAAGAATTTTAATCAGTCTGCTTTACTTCCAGAATAACCTAAGGAGGAAGTAATATAATAATTTAGATAATTTCTGTCTGATTGCTTAGATAGTTATTATGTAATTGCTGTACTTGCTGACTCTATATAAGTAAGATTTATAAGTCTTATAAAATTCACTTATGACTAGTCGCTCACAACTAATAACCAAGCCCATTTCTCGCGCCCATGAAATCAACCAAGTCAAAGAAACTCTTCTTGTAGTATCTCTGCTGAGATGTTCTATTCACGACCTGCAGACCGAATTGGGCTTCATAACTTCCAAACTCCCAGTTATCCATGAAGCTCCATGCAAATGCGCCTATAACCTTGACTCCGTCCTCATAAATTGACTTGAGAATCTCCGACATGTACGACAGATAGTATTGACTGCGAGGAGAATCAAATAACTGATCAGGTAGATCACGGAATGACTCGTCGTACACCGGGAAGCCGAATTCACTGACAATAACAGGTGTTTTGTACGTGTTCCAGAGGTAGAACAGGTAAGATCGGAGGTAGGTTGGGGTGATATAGACGTAAGAATCGGAGCGGTAGCCGATATCCCAACCATACACATTCGTCCATTCTTGAGTAACGCAATATGGGAAGAGGGAGTTTGTGGAGGTGTTCTGCTTGGAGCATGCCTCCACTCCACCGGGGGCAGGGGAGACGACGGTGGCAGTGTAAGGGTCGATACCAAAGAAGTCAGTTGATTTGCGAATATACTTCAATTCTGCATCAGTGAGAGGCTTTGCGCCTGGGAGGGTGTTGAGAATGGATTCGGGGTATTGTTGGCCAAGGCAGATCGGGTAGGCAAACACGCCCAGCTGCATGGCATTGAAGCGATTGGTGGCGTCGACGTCGGTCTGGTTTTCAGGGTTCTTGGGTACGCCAAAATTGTCGTTCAACTTGAAACCAACTTTACCGGTTCCGTTCAAAACGTCGTGGTAAAAGTGGTGAAGCTGTGCGTGGGCGTGGACGACGTTGTTGATTCCGGTGAAGTTGAACGAGTAAAGAAGAGGCTCGTTGATAGTGACCCAGAACGGAACGCGGTCGGAATAGTGCGCAAACAGAATTTTGCCGTAGTTGACAAATGAGTCAACGAATTCTGGGTGCCAGTATCCGCCGTTATTATAACCAATGTCAGGGGTTGCAGAGATATTGGCATCCTTCAGGAAGTAAAGGGGGGTGTCGAAATGGAGCATAGTTACTACTGGCAGCATGCCGACTTCCAAAACATAGTTGATGAGATCGTCATAATGCTTCAGGGCTTGTTCGTTAAGGGGACTGCCTGGGACGGCGAAGGGAAGGACACGTCCCCACGGAATTGAGAAGCTGTAATACTTCACACCCATAGCGGCCAAGCGCTGGATGTCCTGCTTATACAGGTAGTAGTTCTCATTGGTCACGTAGTCCTTAGGTTCACCGGTCTGTATGATCTTTTCTAAGAGACTGGGGGCACGTCCTTCCAGTCCCATGGCGCCTTCAATCTGAGCAGCAGAACCAGCGACGCCGAAAGCAAAGTCTTGTGGAAAGTCATAGCAGTCGGAAGGTCCAAAGTAGTCACGCGGTGGAAGAACCAGCTCGCTTGTAGGAACTGGAGTAGGCCTAACAGTGGTGGTGTATAAGCCCACAGCTGTGTAATTGACGAGACTCGCTTGAGCCCATTGCGAAGACCAGGCAGCTTGTCCGTACTTGTCGGCTGTATCTGTTGCTGAGATAACAGTTTCACCCGGCACCCAGCTACCCCAGGTTGTTGTTGACAGCTTGGTATTCATCATCTTGACGGCCTCCTTGTATCCAGGACCAAAGGTGGCGGTAGTACTAGGAGAGGGGATTGAGGTGGCATAACTGGAAATTTTCATTAGCCTATTTGAAGCACCGCGTATGTAATTAAGGTGTGTATATTCACCGAACAGTCTCATTCAGCGTATACGAAAAGGGCTGAAAGCGATATGACGGGGTTGCAGGAGGCTGAGTGCATTGTGGCCGGGCTGTATAGCCAGTCGTGGTGAAATACACCTCCTGTGCCTGCACACCAGCAGCAATGACTGCCAAGGTGACTGTAGTCTTCATCTTACTCCTTATTATTGAAACAGTTGACTTAAGCAATGTCAATCACAGACAAGGTCCATGGCGGAACCCATTGCACTTTAAAATGCCGAATCTGCATCGACTTTAGCCGGTCAGATGGCCGGGCATCGATGAGCTATGCCACTATCACATTCTGATCTGGGGGTTGCATTGCAGATCACAATGTCCCAGGCGTGGTGATTCGATCATTAACGGAGAAATTGAGCCAACTCATCCACGATTTCCCCCACAGACTCGTAAGCCAATTATCGGCGAAACCTCAATTTCTCCGCATGGCCTGTAATTGGGCAGTCTGCCATGTACATCTTTTTTTACTCCCGGCAAATCGACCGGCTTTTTTGGGGGGGAAGTGTTAGTCTCTTGTAGATCTTGTGAAATTTCCCCACTGGGGAATGAGGGGAAATATAATTGCCGCTTTTACCTCACTCTCATTGGCTAAAGGTCAACACGCGGTGTGGATGGGACGGAGAAATTGAAGTCACGTGCTGCTAGCTCTTAGCATAGTGGACAAGCAGAAGCTCGGCGTCTGATAGGCAGACTGCAAGCTATCTTCAAGATCAACGCTACAACACCAGCCATGGAGCAAGGCAGTTCACTCACCCTGCCATTGCGAGCACAGGTGAACAGCGGCACTAAAACGGACAACCTACCCACCCGAATAGCTCAGATTAATGCTCAGCGCGGGTCTTTTCGCAACGTCACCGAACAAAGCTTGGAGGACGAGATCGCGGCTCTGAAACAAAAGCGCAAGGAAATCAGAGACGGCCAAGATGAGGGGGAGGAAGCTTGCGAACAGACAGCTGACCTGGATGCAACTGAGCGCCATGAATTGCTGTATAAGCGACGAGCGGAAATTGCGCAATTTGCTGCGTAAGATGGGTTCTCGTACTTACTTTGTGGAGCTAGGACGCTGATGTCAATCGTTTTTCTAGGCAGGCGCACATGGAAGTGCAATTCGCGTTAGACTTTGTGTCGCTTCTCCTCTCCAAATATACCCCGCGTCAAGCAGAGCAGACCATTTCGCCGTACCTTAAGCAAAATCTCCCTACTGGTTCTTTGAATGTGGATGTTGTCAAGGCTCCCCAAAAGTCAGAGTCGAGTCGCAGGGACGCGCAAACGGTTGCCCGTGGGTGGAAGTTAGAGAGTTTTAAATCATCAGCCAATAAGCTTCTAAAAGTTGCATCTCGTCTCGATAGTGAAGTCGCCGCCGAAACCAAGTACTGGGACCAGGTGCTAGCCATCAAAGAGAAGGGCTGGAAAGTATGCAGGCTGCCAAGAGAACGACAAGCTTTGGGTGTTCAGTATGGATTTTTGGAAGGTTCGTCTGCAAAATATAGCCGCATTACATTACTCACAGATGACTGACGACGAGCAGCCACTCCTGTTTTCCGCGACAGAGGCCTCGCATCATTACGACGGGCTGATGACGGCACACTTATATTAGACAAAGGACTAGTGCCAATAAGATCAAAAGCAGTGCGGGTGCGTGTGAGAAAGGAAGGCAAAATCACCGGCAGATCGGATTTATCCCAGTTTGTTGCCGCTGCTGCTACCGAGGACTCGATTGAGAAAACCATCCTGCAAGCTCGCGACACTTTATTCGAGGAAGAGCTTTTCCATGAACTCAACCGAGAGGCACGAGCCCTATCTAGCTCGGGAGTAACTACACATCGAAATCTGATTGAATTTGAGTATGACGAAGGCGAGCATATCCTCCTAGATCTTGTGGACCTGGCGGATATACCCAAAGAAACCGAACCGACAGAACCCACCGCACAATGCGGCGCCATCGCTGAAGCAACTGCTCACTCTCTTCGAATTCTTCTATCATACGCCCACCGACAAAACTTACGCCGCCGAACACAATTCCCCCCACCACTCACCAACCAGAAACGACCTACACCACAATACCAACTCCTCCGGCCCATTCTATCCTACCTTCAACACGACGCGCATGTCCGCTCTTTACAAGAATTTCTATATGACATCTACCAAGTTTTAAAAGCAGCCGGCCTTCCCTCAGAGTACACGGGCTCGGCCTTCTCATCGCTGAAATTCAATACTAAACCCCAACACCAACACCTCCAACTCCCCGCTGTCGAAACCCTCGTAAGCCAATTCCTCGAGCCTCTCGAGTCCCGATTCTCAGGAACAATGGCAAACCAGAGCAGCACGTTCAACATCCGAATCCACACCAACACCGGCACTGAAACAAATCCCAACCAACGCCTCGCCACTACCACATCAACAATCGGCACCGAGTACGAACTCTCCATCCGCCTGCCAAACTTCCCATACACCCAACCACCCTCACGTATCGGCGTGAAGAAGGAAGTTGAATCCTTCCTCCTGCATCTATTAACCCTCGACTTAACGACCTACTTCACCTCCATATCACCGCAAAACACAACCCCCTCAAACCCTCCACTTTCTCTATCATGGGAATCTCCCTTCCCGCATCACGGCGAGGTAATCGGCGTGAAACCCAACGACGAAACCAACCGTGCATCGAAACAGCTATGGATCGAAATCAAACGAGATGCCCTCATTCTACGAATACTTTCTGATATCGACAAGAGCTTCGACAATAACGATGAGGGGGAAAGAAAAGAAGAAATTTCGAAATTTGTAGATGGGGAGGGCGTGTTCAGATATACTCGACCAGATAGGAGGGCTGCTCATGCCAAGCTTCTCTATGAGTGGAGACTCGGCGGTGATAATGAGCCGCGGAAGACGTTGAAGGATGTTATTGGCGAGATTTCGCGGTGTGATTGATTAGCAGGGTTAAATGAATAAATATCAATTGAGGAGAGATGCATTATTTTCATCCATGAATTCTGTTGCTAGATACACTATATGGAAATGGTTTTATGCTCTACATTATATGATGTTGATAAACATATTGTCAACAAACTCACACCCAAACACCCAAATTTGAAGAGATTATAAGTAATCTTGCCGCTTTATTTTCCTTTTACTTGGAACCCTCCTGTCCTTCTAGCTCGGCCATCTCGTCTAACAACTGCACCGTCTCCGCAGGACTCGCTATCCAAGCTGTTGTACAAGCTGTCCGTGCCTATATATACAATCAGATCAGCCCCAAAACAATGATAAGAGATAGGAAGTAAAATAGTACCTTGAAATCATTAGATCCCGCTGACAGGAACTGGTCGCCTACATGCAAAGTCATGGAAGGATCGACCCCGCCAAAGTATCGTTGGCACACTCGTACGCCCCAGGCTTTATCACCGATATCAACGAAAACGTCATTTCCACCTATAACCAATATATCAATATATAAAAGAGAGTCACGGGTGATCAAATACATACCGTTAAATGCACAGAAAGGCAAGCGATTGCCCACATCGCTACGCGCAAGCATGCTTTGCACAACGAGGACGGTTTCCTCGAGCTGCTCACGGTGCATCTTCTGTCCTTCCAAGGGGAAAATGCCCACAGCTCTCTCCTTACGGAGAACAGCCGCAGGGAGCTTCAAATTGCTAACGCATTCGTTGAGTGATGCTTCGGCGATGTCGAGGAGTTCGGTGATGTCATCCTCCTTCCAGGCGCGCATCTCGTCAAGAAGCCATTCGGAGCGGGACACGTACGTGAGCCGGTCGGGCGAGGATTGATCGTATCGAAAGAGGAAGCTGCTTTCACCACCAAGGACAACAAGTCCGCTCTTTTGCTCAGGAGTCAAGGATGGATGCGCACTGATGGCGTCAAGCAGGCCCTTTAAGCGGCCATAATATTTAGACGGCTCGGTATAGCCGGCTGCAGTGACGATGCCGACTTTCTTGCCTTGCTCTAGAAGATGTAGTAGCCGTGGAAGAACGGGGTTGTCTTCCATTAGGCTGCAGCCATCTTCGTACAGGGTCACATCGCCGTCAAGGGTGACAAGTCGGATTTGACTGCCGCGGGCTAGACCCATGAGTTGGGCAGTATTGAGGGTTAGTCGGATGTCATTGAATGACGGCGCAACGAACCGACGGCGACTAATTTGACGTCTCTGATCCTGAAAAACAAAGGCATCTTCGAGCAGGAGAGGGGTAAAGAATTGGCCCACAGTTGGAACGAGGAGCTTCAACTTGGATTTACCAGGCCGTTTGGATTTGTAATGCGCGACTAGATGGGTGTTGGCGCCGTTTCATTCGACAGTGACAGGGTGAACCTACTGTGGTCGTTTATCAAAATCTCGACATCCCGCATGATTTCTCCATAGCGTTGATGCGTAGCCGTGGCCACAGCTGCCAGTTTAGCGCTCTCCTCATGATAGATAGCGGTCGGTTGCGAATGAAGGACGAATGGCACAGCGAGAAGTCCCTGTTGGCTCGATTAGTGTGCATTCGGAAGGAAAAATTGTTTCGCAGGCAGAAAGATATCTGGCAAAAATTGCTACATTATCTTCCAGGCGACAAGATAATTTACTCCCAGTATACATACCTTAATCCATTCAATCTAGCGCCAACGGGTTAGCACTTGGATATAAGAGAACTTGGAGGGGTTTAACTGCAGTAGCGGCTTTACCAATTGGTCCCTACGATGGGTCTAGACAACACCAAGGAAAAGTCAGTTGGCTACGGTTGATGTCATCCGAGTTGGGCTGCACCGACCTTGAGGGCATCTGGAAAAATGATTAGAAATGTCGATCTACAACTAGACACAATGGGGAATCGCGTGCGTACATTCAACACGGTATCGCGTCGTCATATTAGATGGATGCCTGGGGCAGCTTAGCTAGCTACTAAGCGTCGGAGTGAATTGTCGACACCGAAGAGCTCCGAGGGCTTGTGTGAACTCCGCAGGGCTTCGAGAGGGGATGACAGGGAATGACAGACAGGCTGGCAGTCAGAGGGGTTGCTATGTAGCCTCAGGCCGCAATTGCAAAGAACATCAAATGGTGACTACTTGCTAGGGAATTACTAGAGTAGACAAACGCGTGGAAAAGACTTGTCATTGTTAATTGTTGATTGTTAAGTTACTTGTGGTGCGGGGAGGCCGTTGATCGGGCCTAGCGCCGCCGTGAGTCACCGACTCATGCTTATTTCTCACAAAACACGAGGTCACCGCCTCAACCATGCGCTTTTTGGACATATAAGCTACAAATGGCTTACCATACCAGGCCTTGGCCAGGCAAAGACCGGTGAGTGACTCACTTCGCACCGTATTCGTGCAAGCCTTGGCAGTCTGAGCCATTCAGTGGGGCAGCCTAGCATCTGCAGGGCGGAATTGATCTCGTTGTTGCTGCCAATATGGAGTCATATCACAGTCCGTAGTGACTAGGAAGAATTGCGAACCCCACTGCACCTCGTGATATTGGCGCTGGAGCAAGTATGATTGTCCAGGCAGCCTCAATTGGTGCCTTGAAACACGGCCAATTTGGCTGGTTTGGGATAAGGTTGCGGAGTTCGTTTTGCCCATTTTGCCCATTTTGAGGTCCGAAGCATCAACTGGCAGAATCAGTCCGACGCGAGAACCCAGTTGCAAGTGGAGGCTATCTTATCGTGGAGCAGGCTAAGATGGAACAGGAAATAATCGGTCACTAAAAATTCATTGGAAAATCGCACCATGAGCGATGAGGCTGGATGTTTACGAGGAATATAAAATGGGAGGATGGCGCCTTCTCTGTCTGCTGCCCCCTCTATACAAACAAGACAAGATTAAGAGAAAATCATACTCTACTCTAATACACCCGCTCGGTTATCCTCAATTGAGATCAGCCTGGATACTTTGGATCCTCACAAGCCTTTGCACTGGTTCCTTACTTCATATAAGCTTTAGACAGTCTCGCTCTAATCAGCCCTGTGTTGTATCTGGCATAAGCTTCGTGGTATACCACCGACATTTCACGTAGCCTTACACCCGCCAATATAACGGTGCCATGTCTCGCTCATCCCCCGAGCAACCTCAGAGCAAACCAGATGACGCCTCGTCATGGAGAGAGGATGCTACCTCGCTCTACTCCGAAGCCTCGCCTCTGCTCCTACCATCCAAAGACGGCTCCGCGCCAGGTTTTGCTCCTGCTCAGTCTCTGTCACGCGGTCTACAAATCCCATCAAGGTCATACCGTCTAACCTCCGGCTTCGAGTACCCTGCCGTCCTATCAGCTTATAATGTTTCCGAGGAAGACTGGAGGAGGTTTACTAGCGAGATCACAGAGCAAGCCAAGCTGTCGTCATCACAATGGAGAACAGTCATCGGCGTTGGCCTAGGCACAATGGCGGTCGGCGGTATGATGTTAGGCTTCTTCGGTGCCGTTCCAGCCGTCATCGCAGCTCGAAAGAAACGCGCGCACCAGGAGAATCGGAATGTGGCAGCATCAATGGCCTCAGACAGCGAGTCTGCTCTCTCACACAAAATCAGTGACTGGAATGAGTCGTTTTTCAAACCTCGCGGCCTTGTGATACGCATCGACATGCCATTTAACGATGACGAGAGTCTTTGGGAGATGGATGTCACCCCATCATCGTCTCGGTCAGGATCGGTAGTGTCGTTACCGATGGAGAGGACGGAAGCACAAAATACATCGAAAGAGAAAGAGAAAGCCCGGAGTCGAGGACGAATTGTCATTGTTCCGCTCAATCAACGTCCTTCCTCGGTGATGAGTCAAGCTACCACTCTCGCGGAAGAGAGTCGTTACATGCCTGTGGTTTACGATTAAGATAAAAGCGTGTCCAATTTTGCTCATTGTTGCTTTTTGGACACCCTGATGATCTTATCATGAGCATGAATCTGAGCGTACCTTTTATTGCTTTGTATACATAGCATACCTGTCTATCACAAGTCTTTTCTAGTATATAGCCTTTAGTCACTAATTTCTTTGCTTCGTATAATTAAAATTTGTTGGATATCACTTTACATTATTGATTTAACTTGTTCATCCATTGCGCTCTACACTACGGTCATGTGCATGCAACTAAATCATATTAAGATCGCAATACGCCCTATGGTAATTAACGAGAAGTATATCCGCCATTCGCGAAAATGGTCTGTCCAGTAATCCACTGTCCCTCGGTACAGAGAAAGCGTACTAGCGGCGCAATATCCGAAGTCTGGGTCAATCGATTGCCCATGCCATTAGACTTGTGAAACGCGACTGCCTCGGGAGATTCCTGGGGATAGAAGAATGCTGCACATCATCAGTCCTACTCTTCTATACAACATTGAAGTCTTTGAGATTTTATAAAATAAACTCACGGGTATCCATTGGCCCTGGCGCAACAGCATTTACACTGATTCTCTTTGATTGTAGCTCTTTGCTCACGCCCCTATTCCAAAACAGTAAGTTATCTGTGGCGGCTGATTATACTAGGTCAGACTTACTTGGTGAAATGCTCAACAGGCGCTTTACTTCCTGCGTAAGAGGTATAAAAGCCCGTAAAAGCAGCCAGCAGGGCCGTCACGATGGTAATAATCTTGCCGCCCTCGGTGACGTGCGCGGCTGCTTCTTTGAGAATGAAGAACGCCGCTTTGGAGTTGATCCTATACCAAATCAGTCCACCCTTACTCTCCCCTACCAAATCGAATCGAAACAAACTCACGCAAACATCTCGTCATACTCCTTCTCACTTATCTCCGTAATCGGCTTCTTGAGCACCTTCCCAACGGTGTTAATCACAATATCGACTTTCCCAAACTCTTTGATGACGTTTTGGAAAAGCGTATGCACGGCGTCTGCGGTGGTGAGGTCGGCTTGATAAAACGCGGTTTGCAGAGATGGATACGACTGCTTTAATTCAGCGGCAAGCTTTGTTGCTTCGCCCTTGCTGGATGCCGAGTTGTAGTGGATGGCTAGCTGGGAGATGCCTGCGGCTGCTTGGGCACGCACGATGTCAGCGCCTAAATTCTTTGCGCCGCCTGTAACGAGGCCAGTTTTGCCGGCGAGGGAGGTCGACATCTTTTTCTTCTATATTCAAGAGTATTTAATTGATTCGCAAGAACTCTGATGCATCTGGTGCTGGTGCTGGTCCTACTTTGAAGAAAGAAAGTTGCAAACCAGACCGCTCCGGATTTATAGCCATAGCACGAACATATGCAATAATGACATTGAATGCGATTCTACCCGGACACAGCACCACACCGCAAGCGTAGAGCTCTAGGCTGTGCAGCGCAGCCCGCTCTGCGTGGATTCTTTTCCAATCATGTAAGTGGAATCTAGCAGATCGCGATCACTCGTCGATGATGTATACAAGTGGGTCTGTAACTGCGCATACCGCCAGCCGATTGGATGGTCCAAATCGGACGGCGGGGCTGGCCGGTTGCGACGATTAGATTGATCATAAAAATAATGCATGCTACTTAAGTACTTACGCATGTTGTGTGTATCAATGATTAATGGCATCATCTCTATTCTTCAACGCAATTTATATACAACCCACGAACTGATCAATATATACTAACCAGAGCAATAAAATTACAGCTTCGCCTTCAGCCCTGGCGCGAAACTCGTCCCATCGCCCTTGCCAATCGCGTCAACGATCCGATCCACGACTCCAATCAACCAGATACTCCCCTCATCCGACGCAAGCCACTCCCCGCCGTCAATTTCATCAGTCTTAGCCGTGCCATCCTCAAACGCCTTGCGCAGCCCAAAAACATGCGAGACAACCTGCGGCCCAACACCAGTCTGCGCGCGCAAACATGCCACGGCGACAATCGACGTGAGCACGCGACCGACCGTCGCCGGCACGACACCTTCACTAGGTGATGTCGGGTCTGCGAACAAATTACCGTACTCGCCCTCGATAATATGCACAGGGAGATCGGGATGTGACTCGGCGAGTCTCTCCTGCAGTTTGGTTTCGAAGGGGTAGTAGATGGATTTCCAGAGCGATTGCCCCCGAGTCAGGATGTCAGGGACGACTTCTGATTTCAAGCTTCGGCGTGGTTGTGTTGCGAGGGCATTGCGCACGTCATCTGGTAAACCGGCTCGGAACTCACCCAGGCAGTTTATTGTGCGTGGGATCTATTTGGTCACGCATGGTTAACGGTAGCGAAGCATAGCAGCAGGTAAGCACGTACACCATTGAACCCAATACATTTCAAGCCGATTTCCCGAATGAGTTCGGCTAGATAGACGCTTTCCTTTTGGGACTTTTGTTCAGAGACTAGTTTGTGGAGCTGGACGAGGGATTCGGGGGAGTTCATGGTCATTGTTGCTGCGGTCTTTCGATTTGTTAGTATACCGTGCAGAGTACACAGCCAGTAAGGCCATAGAACAAGATAAACAACTTACAGCAGCCCCAAACCACGCCTTTAAGCCTACATTCCGTGGTCCAGCTTCCTGCGCAATAATCGAATACACAGCGCTGATCTGTGCTGGCGCCGGAATGGTTCCTGGGCGCGCATGCGGGGAGTTGATGAGCTTTTTGAGGGTAGGGGATAATTTGGACATGCTGTAGAGGCTTAGACAATCTGTTATATAGGAGACTTCGAGCAATGCTCTATATTTTCGACTGTAACCGCAGTAAGTGAAGTTAATTGAAGGTAGGAAAATTGTCGAGAGATCTTCATCCTCGGCCGGTTGACTCGTGAATGGGCAGAATCGGCCCGGGCACCGCGCTTTTTGCCGAGCCTGCTATTTTCGGCAGGCGGTATCTCTCTCGGCACTACTTTTGCAGCCGGCCCAAAAGGCGGGCCGTAGGTCACCTGACTTCTCAAATAGTAATTTTCTTGCTGCCTCAGGCCACCTAAGCAGGTATCCCGCACTAGACTAGATTGGGAAGCGTGCAATCAATGCGGCGATCGCCCAGATTTGACGTATCACCAGGTGTATCACAGCCTCGACATTCTTTGCGGGCGACATCAATCTCGTCTGAGCAGCTGAAGAAATCAGCGAGCATGATCAATACCGTGCCGTCATAGTCATTGCTATCTGCTCTACGCCTGGCTGATAAGTCCAAACCTGCCATCTTCTCTTTTCGTCATAACGCACCCAGCGAGGTCTCTCTGACGTACCCAGCTCCGCCCATTTTTCTCACCGGAACCCCCCACCACCGCCTTCACCACCCAGCTCAAATAATAATTTCCAGCCTTTGCTTCTCCCCTGACAATCATCCACTGCTTTCGAACTTGCTCCGTCTTCCCAATTGGGACTTTATCTTGATTCATCGCGACCGTCGGCACGATGATTTCGGCTAGGCCCCCCGTCAAACCGGCAAGGAAGCGCCGCATCGCGGTCCTAACTTCCGGCGGCGATGCTCCTGGAATGAACGGCGCTGTCCGCGCTGTTGTACGCATGGCAATCCACAGCGGTAGCGTGGCCTTTGCCGTCCACGAAGGCTACGAGGGCCTGGTGGCGGGTGGTGATCTAATCAAACAGATGAACTGGGAAGACGTCCGAGGCTGGCTGTCACGCGGAGGAACCTTGATCGGCTCGGCTCGAAGCATGAGATTCCGCGAACGCTCTGGTCGTTTGGCTGCAGCAAAAAATCTGGTCTTAAGGGGAATTGACGCGCTGGTCGTGTGTGGTGGAGATGGAAGCTTGACTGGTGCTGATGTCTTTCGTTCCGAATGGCCTAGCCTGTTACTGGAGCTTGTCAAGTCTGGGGATCTCACGGAAGCTCAGATCACACCATATACCTCGTTAAACATCGTTGGCTTGGTCGGTTCCATCGATAATGACATGTCCGGCACAGATGCAACCATCGGTTGCTATTCTTCCCTCACACGAATTTGCGACGCCGTTGACGACGTTTTCGATACAGCCACCTCTCACCAGCGAGGTTTCGTTATCGAGGTGATGGGCAGGCATTGTGGCTGGCTGGCATTGATGTCTGCTATCAGTACTGGAGCGGACTGGCTTTTCATACCGGAGATGCCACCCCGCGATGGCTGGGAGGATGATATGTGCTCTGTCATTACAAAGGTTTGTAAATGCTAATAGTGAGTTGGTGGGAGTACTAATTTGTCGTAGAATCGAGAACGTGGCAAGCGACGAACGATTGTTATTGTCGCCGAAGGTGCTCAGGACCGTCATCTCAACAAAATTGGTTCTACAACAGTTAAAGACATTCTTAGTACGCGATTGGGCTTGGATACTCGGGTTACAGTCCTCGGTCACACGCAGCGCGGAGGACCACCTTGCGCTTATGACCGAACCCTCTCTACTCTCCAGGGCGTAGAGGCCGTCAAAGCCGTCCTCGACGTCGCGCCAGATGCTCCTTCTCCGGTTATTATCATTCGAGAAAATAAGATTGAGCGAATGCCGCTTATGGAAGCGGTCAAACAAACACAGGAAGTCGCTGCTCGGATCAAAGCCAAAGACTTTGATACGGCTATGGCTCTGCGTGACTCTGAATTCAAGGAGTATTATTCGGCTTACATGAATACGACCTCCGTCGATCATCCCAAGATGCGTGTCTCCGAGGAGAAGCGAATGAGAGTTGCCATTGTCCATGTTGGTGCTCCAGCTGGCGGCATGAACCCAGCCACGAGAGCCGCTGTTGGTTATTGCCTAACACGTGGACACACGCCTATTGCCATCCATAACGGCTTTCCGGGTCTTTGTCGTCATCACGCTGACAAGCCTATCGGCTCAGTGCGTGAGGTCAGTTGGCTCGAATCAGATAATTGGGTTAACGAAGGAGGCTCGGAAATTGGTACCAACCGTGGGCTACCAGGCGATGACCTCGAAAATACTGCAAAAGCATTTGAGATGTATAGATTTGATGCACTTTTCATTGTCGGTGGATTCGAAGCTTTCACTGCAGCCAGTCAGCTGCGCAAGGCTAGGGATTACTACTCGGCATTCAAAATTCCCATTACCGTCTTGCCGGCGACAATTTCCAATAATGTGCCTGGAACAGAGTACTCGCTGGGTAGCGACACCTGCCTGAACACCCTGATTCAATTCTGCGACGCCATCAGACAGTCGGCATCGTCTTCGCGGCGACGTGTCTTCGTGGTCGAAACCCAGGGCGGTAAATCCGGATACATTGCCACAACTGCTGGCCTTGCAGTCGGTGCCGCCGCTGTATACATTCCCGAAGAAGGAATCAACATCAAGATGCTATCTCGCGATATTGAGTTCCTCCGGCACAACTTCGCCACTGACCGCGGCGCCAACCGCGCTGGCAAGATCATTCTACGCAACGAAACCGCCTCTAACACATACACGACACAAGTCATCGCAGACATGATCAAAGAAGAAGCTAACGGCCGATTCGAATCTCGCGCCGCGGTACCCGGTCATTTCCAGCAAGGCGGCAAGCCGTCTCCAATGGACCGCACCCGGGCTATGCGTATGGCGATTCGGTGTGTTCAACATCTCGAGGCATACGCCGGTAAATCTAAAGACGAAATCGCTGGAGATGACTACTCGACAGCTGTGATTGGTGTCAAGGGATCGCGGATTCTCTTTTCGCCGATGGGTGGACCAGGTGGTCTTGAATTCAAGGATACCGATTGGGACAGACGTCGTCCCAAGAACGAGTTCTGGCTAGACCTTCAGAATCTCGTTGATATACTAAGTGGACGATCAAACTATGGCAATGACATTTTGGCGGGCCGTACCGAAGATTTAGCAAACCAAGGAAGTACGTGAAAACGTCGAGTATTCCATTTCCTTCATGTCTATTTTTTAGTAACTCCTACCATATCTGCTTTTTGGAAGGATGGCTATTTGATAGACTCATCACGAAGTAGGTTACAATTTCTGTCTTCTTCCTACCAAGCAGAACTTTGAGAACCAAAGTCACGCACGATGAGATAAATGAATTCTTCTGGCCACCTCTATTGCTTCTATCTTTGACTTTATCGAAATGACATAATGGAATGGCGCATGGCATGTTTATAATGATTTCTTCTCTTGTTTCTTTCCTACATAGAGTTGAAAACTCGAAGATACAATACCTAACCGCAGAAGAATACAAAATGATTATGCGACATCAAACAGTAGAATTTCAGGAGTAGAATTAATTATGATGCGGATGTTGCCTGTTCAAATTAGAATTCATAGTCTGGTGCCTTGACGGTGCCATGTTTCAGCATCAACAAGAAGGGATCGGAATGTAGGTTTCTTCCCGATTAGGGCAACGTGATCAACCACACGCATTCCTTTTCGCCCTTTGACCACGAAATCCATCTTTTCTAGTTTATGTGTCAATTGTAAATAGTAACTATATACAGCTGATGCTGTTGAGAAGAAATGTAGTATAGACAAAATTTATACGGTCCTCCTATATATAGGATCGAGCCGGTTTTATACTTAGGGTTATTATTCTCATTCAACCCGTGATTTGAACGGTGTCGACATTTGCTCTTGCTTACAAGCCTTGGTTACAAGGAATTAATCTAACTGGGGTGTAAAAGGGGTTTCTTATTTCCTGACGCCCTTGGAATGAAGTGCCAACCTATCCATCCCTCTCGCTATCCCTGTCCGACGGAGAAACACGCCCACTCGACAGAAACCTCTGAATAAATTCTACTTCGATAGTACTTTTGACAAGATACCTGCGGCCATATGCTACTCTTGAGTTAATTATTTATGATTCCATGACTAATACGAAACACATACATCGACCGATGCGATAATGAAGCTTCTTCCCGACAGACCTAGAATATGTCATCTAATACCAGCACTACTACTTGGAACGCAGGTCGTCCAAGGCATTGAAGTCAATCTCGATGATCCCCGTAAGCCTCCAACGAATTGCTTCTATAACGCATACTAACCCTCATTACATATTAGACTCTATCAAAAACGCAGCCAAAGTCGTCGCCTCCGAATTGATGTCCTACTACACTGGCTACCGACCTGGTGACAACCCCGGCAATCTTCCAGACCCGTACTTCTGGTGGGAAGCCGGCGCCATGTTCGGTGCGATGATAGATTACTGGGCATTCACCGGCGACAGCACATGGAACAACATGACTATACAAGCTCTCCTCTGGCAAGCCGGTCCCACCGGAAACTTCATGCCATCGAACCAAACCATGACCGAGGGCAACGACGACCAAGCATTCTGGGGCATGGCCGCCATGTCCGCCGCAGAGAGAAACTTTCCCAACCCACCAGCCGACAAGCCACAATGGCTAGCGATGGCGCAGGGGGTCTTCAACTCGCAGGCCGCACGCTGGGACACAAGCACATGCAGCGGGGGCCTCCGGTGGCAGATTTTCACTTGGAATAATGGGTTTAATTACAAAAACACAATTTCGAATGGCGGATTCTTCAATATTGCGTCGAGGCTGGCAAAGTATACGAGAAATCAGACGTATGCTGATTGGGCTGAGAAGAGTTGGCAGTGGACGAGAGATGTCGGGTTCATGACGCCTGATTATCGCTTCTGGGACGGTGCGGATGATAATACGAATTGTTCGAATTTTAATCAGATTCAGTGGACGTATAACTCGGGAATTTATTTGTTGGGGGCGGCGAATATGTACAACTTTGTGAGCATACCCCCGACGCATATACGTGTGATGATTGGTATAACTGACGCAAACAGACAAATGGCAGTGATATTTGGAAAGAACGTACCCTGCAAATCCTCAACGCAACAAGTGTTTTCTTCTCCGAAAACGTCATGTATGAACGTGCCTGTGAGTCCGTGGGAACCTGCCAGGTAGATCAAAAGTCCTTCAAGGCATACTTTGCGCGGTGGATGACGGCGACCACACAAATGGCACCGTTCACCTACGACCTCATCATGCCGAAGATCCGCGCGTCGGCGCTTGCAGCAGCAAAGACGTGTACTGGCGGTCCCAACGGGACGAGCTGTGGGATGAAATGGACGGAGCAGAACTATGACGGGAGTACGGGTGTTGGCGAGCAGATGAGTGCGTTGGAAGTGTTGCAGAGTAATCTGATTCAGGAGGTTTTGCCGCCTTTTACGAATTCTACGGGAGGTACGAGTAAGGGAGATCCGTCGGCAGGATCTGGGGGTGATAATTTGTCGAATAAAGTACCTGTTCTCAAGGAAATTACGACCATGGATAGAGCTGGGGCAGGAATTTTGACGACTGTGTTTTTGTCGGGGATATTGGGCTGCGCGGGATGGATGGTGATTGATAAGTAATTGATGTGTTGAATGTTGAATGTTGAATATATTGTTTCGGGTGTTCGTATTTGCGTAATATTAACTAATAGCAGATTCGCTGTGGATTGTGTCTTAAAATCCGGTAACAAGTCATGATCATACTTACTAAGATATGTCTGAACGAAATGACATATGTAATATCTTGATATAGAAACCCGAAAGTAATAAATATGGGAGCTAAAAAAACTAATGCTAAGGTATATAAAAGAAGAGGTAAGCGAGAAAGAAAAAGCAGGAAGGAATTCCGTCCTAAAACATAGGTAAAGAGATTTCACTCAAAGTTGAGTAATCTAATTGAAATGAAATTTTATATTCAATACAAAAAAAATCAAGAATAAAAGTTGCATCCAACTGATCATAGAAATGACAATTGATGATAATAGCAACCATTCGAATGACTGTAACCATATAAACCAACAATTGATACATGTATATTCAGGGAATAATAAGTAAAAGGAAAAACTTATTACCACCATGTATCCCTCTATCCCTTTATCACTTGATGTTTACTCAATATTAAGAAGTGGAATTTCCAGCTGCGCTGACAATACTCGTTAGCACAGAGTTCCCACCCCCGTAAACCCCCAGTATAGCATAATCGGTCATGGTATAAATAATGTTAGAGGTAGACCAGCTTGTAACCCTCCCCGAAGTTACGGTTTGGGTTGTGGTGACGAATTTTGTAATGGTTCGACTAGCAGCTTTGGTAGTTGTTGTAGTGAGTGTGGGTCTGAGTGTTGAGTAAACAGTAGAAATTTGCGGAGCAAGAGGTACCGGAGCTGTTGGGGCTGTTTGAGGAGGTGTTGTAGAAAAATTTTCTGTTGTTGTAAGGTAGCCAGTAGGTGAAATTATTGGAAACGGGATGCTAGCTGCCGTCGTAGTTAGGGTCGAGTTCTCCGGCTGGATATTTGGATTCTAAGTTAGAGTCAGTTAAAAGTCACCGTGTTGTTCATAGACATAGTATATGAAGCTTACGCGAGTTGAAATCCCAGGTGGTGTAAGACTCACTTCGATAGACGGCGTATGTGTGGATGAGGCCGGTTCAGTAGAAGGATATGTTGAGGATACTGCTGAAGGATTGGATGAAGGCGAATTCGAAGGCAGAATCTCTGTTGGATTTGAGGTCGGTATGACACATACCTCTGAGATACAAGCTGTTAGTGGAGCAGGCCCTGGTACCGGCGGAACGGATGTGAATGGGGCCAGCGTCTTCGTGCCAGCCTCTAAAATCTCCCGTTTCCATCCTGGCCCACTGCCAGGGAGCAGTTTGGATAATGGAGCAGCTGCCTCCATCATCGACTGCGTCGTCGTTACCGATATTCTTGTCTTGATGCTCGTGATTAGCATGACTACCACGAAGTGGGTTTCTGCCGGGATGCTCGATGTCACAGTCTCAAAGACGGTTTCGATGGCTTCGTCGGCAATTGTCGTGACAGTTTGAATGGCAGGTACTGTCACGGGAACGGTGACATATATTACTTGCTGATTCCCTGCAGGAGTTGCCGCTGTTGTTGTGTTTGATTGTTCTCCTGATTCCGGAGTGGAGATGGGATTAGCAGTGGCAGGCCCTGGAATATACCAAGTGCTGGTTATGAATTTTGTTGAGAGAAATGTCACTACCGTTGATTCCGGCTCAGAAATGCCTGCTACGTTATCATATTGGCTTCCTTTTCCATAAAATGCCGTGTATGTTGATACTGTTCTGTATGGTTTTGGCCGGGCTGTCACCAGGCTGGCTGTTGCGATCAAGGGTATTATCCACAACATTTCGGAATCGCTAAAATATTCGATAGATGGTTATCATCAGCCTCTCAAATGTGGACAGAAAATCAGTGTATATAGAGGATGGTGCGTTTCTTTGAGGGTGCCTCCAGGGGTGAGATGAAACAGCCATCTCTGAAAGAATTGTGTACAAAGAAAATGCCTCCATCACATCGATTGAGTCTTTGGTGATATTTTTACAGTCATTATCGAGATTTTAACCGAATTCATGTATACGGTCCCTTTTCAATAACCAGACTTTTGCGATGATCTGTTTTATGAACATTTCGAGACTTAGCGTTGGAAGAACTTGTATCATGAGGGCAAAGGTGATCACCTGACCTACCGTCCAACAAGACACCAATCGATCGGACCGTCATCGTTCTAGATCTCTTTGTTCGCCACAGAAGAATGACACTCATCATCTTAGATATATCAGGTGATGCAGACAAATATAGTAACGGAAACAAACTAGGACGCAATTGTAAACGATAGCTACGCGCGAATAATACTTGCATTATCAGGGTGACACCTTTGCGCAAGTATCAGAGGCATCTCAAATATTCGCAATAATAAGAATGATAAAAATAGTGCGCATCGCTTGCGTGGACTAATGAGTTATTTCGAAATGATCGAAGATGCGGTGAGCATGCCTTCGGAGCTCTGCATTTTTCCAGCTTGAAAAACTGACATATCCAGCTGCAGTAACCTTCCCAATGAAACACGTCTCCGAAGTGCCAATTGGCCGACGCAGAGCATACCAAGGATTCCATATGACAGGATTGTACCACCTCAGGCCGATCACTTCACTGAAGTCCAGGCAGAAGAATAATCATAATCTATAGCATGATACATGTAACATTGAATACATTATTGCAATTAACAGCTCGTGGACAGTTGGTCCGCAACGCAGCCACAGTAATCATCATAAAAATAATAATATGATGTCATGTACAGCCACCACACATCACCAGGCAGCCTCTTTTCTTGGCCTCTAAGTTGCTGCTATTTTTGCGACCGTCGGCTGTTGGGCCAATTACGGGCTTTTCGGCGGATAGAAAATGCATCCATTCCGGCAAGTTCCGTTTTACATTACATGTTTCTTCCAGATAGACAGTACAAACCTTATACAGTCTTGTCAGATGCTTAACATGATCGAAAACAATTCCGTTGGAGAATTATCATGCCACGCTTGGTATGGATTATTATTACAGCCAAGAGTCGTTTAATTGCACGCCCAGTCGCGCGCTGATCTTTGGCATAAGAAGCCGCAAAAGAAGAGCGGATTGTAAATTCATAGCGCAGAGTCAGACTAGTCTTAGACTAGCTCGCATCCGCTGGCCTAATAGTCTCGCGATGTTACAACCAAATTGGTTTAGTTTAGGTTGACAGAATGGTGCCTCCGTGGCTGTTCGAGAAAAGACTAGGGTCCCCTTCTCTCGCCCGAAATTAACCCAAAAGGTCTTGCCGAGCCTGCGTGGTTGCATGATAAACTACCTATACGTACGATACGTCAACTTCGTATACGTACGATACCGTCGTTACGTATTACTAGACCATGAGCCTTGAGCTATTACAGCTAATCGCCCACTTTTTCTTACTGGATCTCCGTTCTGTAACTTTCCATTACCTTTTCCCCCTGTGCTGCGCCATGAGGCGAGTCGCGATGTGGAGCATTCAATCTGATTTTAGCTCTGTTTCGGCGTCTTGGGGGCTGAGTTAGGCCCACTGATCAGGCATTTTGTCATGGCCTCGTCGAATGACCGAATGGCTGATCTTTCCTGCGACAGCTAAATGGGTCCGGGGAAAACGCGATCCGTCTGTTGGATTATTGCAGTGGTAAGCATCCTCAGGGCTGAGGCAGGGGGCCTTTTGGGATACTTAAAAGGGGCCTTTCCTCGCTGTTGGGAGACATTTAATTCCCATCCATCAGCATCGATACATCGTATTGAATAATATCAGCATCCACCTTCAACCCAAATTATTATCTCCATCTAATTGATCGCTCTCATCCCATACAACATGCAGTACAGACTCATCCTTGCGTCGGCCGCTTTCGCCGCCACCGCTCTTGCTGCCCCTCACCCAGAGATTACTGAAGCTCCTCAACTTCCTGCTGCAGCTCTGGCTCGCCGGGACTTCTGGAGTGATCTCGGCAGTGATTTCGGCGCAATTGGCACCGACATTGCCAATGGCTTCTCGTCCCTCGGCAACGAAATTGGATCTGATTTTAGCAGCGTCGGACACGGGATAACTTCCGATTGGAACTCATTTACCAGCTCCATCGCCAGTGTTGCGACCCCAGCTCCCTCCGACTACAGCAGCTGGGCCAAAAGCGCGTCCAGCCTCGCTGACCAAGCTGCTTCCGCCGCCTCCTCACTATCCAATGTCGCCAAGACTCAAACCAACTCCGATAAGGCCTCTGCCGAGTCTCAGTGGGCTTCTGACGCTGCATCTATTGCCCAACAGGAAAGCAGTGTCGCTGCCTCTCTATCTTCCAAGGCAGGAACTCCAGTTACAGCTGCCGCGACTACCACTGGCACAATCTCTCTCACCAACTCTGCCGGCTCGGTTACTGGTACCACCGTCGTCACTTCCACCGGCGCGTCTACTAAAGCGTCGACATCGACATCAACCGGTGCTGCTCCAGCTGCTACTGCTGGACTTGGCATGGGCCTTGCTGGTTTCGCCGGTCTCGTCGGTGCCGTCGCCGTTGCTCTGTAAACAGCATTTTATATAGCCGGGAATACTGATAATATCTCCTTTCTTTCTCCTTCTCGTGTTTCTGTTGCGCATCAGTCTGGGACCGCGATGGAGTTTAGGCTACGGGGATGGCGTTCTTTCATCGTTTGACCAATTCAAGATAGTTTTCAGTTTAATGCGTCATGAATCTACTTATTACATTAATATTTCCGTACGTTTCTTGCCTGTAAGCTTAGACTCGAAATCTGTGCGGCGCTGAGAGACTGGCTGCTAGTTAGTTGATGGTTAGTGTAAGCCGAAGGCGCAAGGGTTGTTATGAAAAGCGAAGATGCTATGGATTTTTGGCACGCGCCTAAGTCCTGACCACTTCAGAGAAACGAAGAAATAATCAGATAAATATGCAACAAACAATACATATAAAAACAAACAAACGCGTCGTGATAGTTGTTAAATCCTATCGCCGCCGCATCGAATATGATTGCTAAGCCTGGCTTACTAACTCGGTGTTCGGCCGTGATTTGTAATGTTCTGCCCAATCACAGCCTGCGCATACTTGAGAGGCCGAACAAAGTTTCGATTATTCATTGCATACACTTGTTCGGAATTTTTATAATCTGTTTTTGGAGGTCGATATTTAGCTTTCACCAATAACGAGGTCGGGGAAGATGCACTATGATGAAGCTCGCCGGCATCAGTTGATCAAGTCAGTTGGTCACCTTCTGACGTGGGAATTATAAAATCGTGCAACATTCCTCCAAAGAATGCATCTAGAAACAAGATTTAATAGCGTAATTTCATCTTTCTATAAGTTATCTCCAAGCTCTCGACAATTCTCGCAATACTTGCCTCATACTTTCGAGATTAATATACCAAGCAAATAAAATGGTCTCCTACAGAACAATCCTCACATCCCTCTCTACCCTTCCCTCCTCACTGCCCTCCGGCCTCAAGGCTGTCTTTGTTGGTGCAACATCTGGAATCGCTCAGAGCGTCCTTATCGAGTTCGCTCGTGCAACAGTCGGCAAATCGCCAACTCTTTATATTGTCGGCCGCAGCAGACAGGCCTCTGCGAAACTCCTTGAAGAACTCCATACGATCAACCCCAGTGCCACCATCGAGTTTATTGTACAGGATGTCTCGTTAATACAAGGCGTTGACGAAGCGGTTGTCGAGATTAAGAAGGATGGATTGGATAAGATTGATTATTTGGTTATGGCAGTAGGGTTCATCTCTTTCGAAGGAAGAAAAGGCAAGTAGCTGGTTTCAGTGAATGAAATGAAGAATGGTATATTAACGTAAATCAAAACAGAAACAAAGGAAGGCTTGGAACCCTCTATGACAACCCGATATTACTCTCGTGCTCGCTTCCTCCACCATTTCATACCACTACTCAACGCATCACCCAATCCGCATGTGCTCAACATTCTCGCCGGCGGCGAGGAAGGCCGGCTTAACCTGTCCGACTTGGATCTGAAAAATCCCAAGAACTACTCCATCACAAACGCGGCAGTACACTCCGCGACTATGTTAACCCTAACCCTCGAAAGATATGCTACCTCCAACCCCAAAATCAGCTTTGTCCATTCTTTCCCGGGCATCGTCGCAACGCCCACCTTGAAGAAGGGGTCTTCGGGACTACTTGGCTATGTGATGCGCTGGCTTATTGCACCAATGGCCTCGGTTTTCGGTATGAGTGTCGAGGAATCTGGGAAGAGGGGGCTTTTTTACTTGACGAATGCGAGGTACACAGTTGATGAGACGGAGAGTCTGGCTGCAGATATTCCAGAAGGGCTAGACAAAGCGCAGAGAAGTGAGGGAAATGTTTTCCTTGTGGGTCGAGATAGTGAGAGCGTTGGGAATCAGGAATTACTGGCAGATTTGAGGCAGAATACGGAGACGGTGTGGAAGCACACCAATGAAGTTTGGAACGCTGCGACCTCGGCTTGAAGTTTTATCTCATATGTCTGTATGATATAATAATAATTGAATTTGTTACAAGTACTGGGATAGATTATTACACGTGGATTTTACTCGACGATCCAGCATCAACATCGAAGTTCTCAGATTGGTATGATTACGATACAGCTCACTTTATGGACCGGCCTTTGTAGCTACATGAACCCAATGCGACATCCTTTCATTTTTAAACCTTTATGCTAAAAAAAACAACAAGAGCCGCACTCAGACATTAATAATATGATTATAGTATATATGGTTTGACTGTTCTGATTACCGGGATTTCTAGCCCAACCCAGCATGCCAACAGGTTTAGCTCAATCGCAATAAAATTTTCGGCACAATTAACATTGTTTAATTAATTTCTTTCCGACCTATATTTCTCTACTAATATTATCAATGGCTCAATCTATATTCACATTGAATCGAATCACTTCCCATATAGATGGTAAAGCGTAAGATGATTGGCCAATCGAGTCTTTCCGTTTCCGGCGACGACTCGCATGTAGCCAACTCATCCTGCCAACCAAAGTGTGAGATTTCAGCCACAACATCAAAAAGTCGTCCACAATCTATAAATCGGCATTTTAATCTTCCTCAATCTACTCCTTCTGACAGGCAAGGTGACAGTTTCCCTATACGGTATGTAGTGCCGGGTTAGGCCATCTCAGCCATGGTCACCACAATCTAGACCTGCGGTGAAAACCATTACTTATTGTCGGTAGCCAATGGCGAGCTTTGAAGCCTACTATATGATTCAGTTTAGCTTCCCTTACCCTCAACCATTGGACTTCCATATTCCCCCTCAAGCCACTTTCGGCTTTGGCTGAAATGCGTCCTTGGTTGATAGCTCTTGGGTGTTACACTGAGAAGTGGAAGACATTTGCACTCCGAAGTCAATTGATCACCTCGGTAAGACATTGTCGCCGCTTTTTGTGCTCTTGAGGTCGTCCGGAGAGAGAGAGTCATGACGTCTGCTATTTCTGATAGCATGTGGACGACGGCGGATATAAGACAAGGCCGTCCTCATAAACTTAGGATGTTTAAGGTAAATTTCGCTATTTCTAGCTCTTTGGATACCTATAGAATTCACTCATTCTAATTTCACTTAACCGTTGAATTACCATTAATATGCCGTCCTTTAGATCCCACAAAGCTCGCCAAAATGGCGGCTTGGCCCCGATTTCTCAAAGCCGAGGAGCCATGCAGCTACCCATGCTCAATCTCGCCGATACCTCACGCAACAATGCTGTTGCTGCCCTTGGAGAATTCGTGGGAACTTTTCTATTCCTCTTCTGGTCTTTCGCAGGAACCCAGATCTCCAATACCCCTATGCCCCCGGCTGGATCAAACCCCAACCCGTCTGCTTTGTTGTATGCATCTCTCGCTTTCGGGTTCTCGTTGACAGTCAACGTATGGGCCTTTTATCGCATTACAGGAGGGCTTTTCAATCCTTCGGTATGATATTTCATCATTAAATTATTATTGTTGAAAACCGCATTTCAATGCTGATAGCTTTTCTCGCACAGGTTACAATGGCACTGTTTCTTGTTGGCGGACTTCCAGCGATTCGCAGCGTTATACTCGTTGTTGCTCAGATTCTAGGAGGTATCTGTGCAGCAGCTGTAGTATCAGCTCTGTTTCCAGGCGCTCTTAATGTCGAAACTACTCTAGGTGGAGGTGCCAATGTCGCCCAAGGGCTTTTCATAGAGATGTTCCTCACCAGTCAACTGATCTTTGTGATTATCATGCTGGCTGTCGTCAAGCACAAGTCCACTTTTCTGGCCCCTGTTGGAATTGGTCTCACCTTTTTCCTGACTGAGCTTTGCGGTATGCGTGAACGAAATTATCTTATTTTCTTCAATTAAGTCGATCCTAATCAACACATAGGAATATATTACACTGGCGGCTCACTCAATTTTGCACGGTCCCTTGGCCCTGCTATCGTCAACCATCACTTCCCACACTATTTCTGGATCTACTTCCTCGGCCCTCTCTTGGGTTCAGGTCTTGCCTCTGGTTTCTACGCACTCCTTAATATGATGCGGTACCAAACCGTTAATCCTGGGCAAGATTGCGATAGCTCTGAGACGGCGACTCTCATGACCACCCAGTCTCTGTCTAACCACAGCGCTGCCACTGGTGGTGCAGGATATCCCTCGACAGCGACACCGAAGCATCAGAGGAATGAGTCGGAAGCTACTGCAGCGAGTCCCACGTACAATTATACGAATGGTTCCCATGGGGAGGACCCCAATAACATATCGTCGGTGCCCGCTGCAGCTCAGCACGGTCAATCGGATTCCGTTTATGAGAAACAGGGTGAGAATGCAGTGTAGCCTTGAAGCACTTACTAGAGGAATAATGAATCTAGAATTGAAGTTGAATGGTTTGAATGAGACATTTGATGTGTATTGAAACATGGACATGTGGGGATCTGATTATTCTATAATTATCTTGAGCAATCATGGGGCGGGGCTGGTGAACTGATAAATTTCTGGTTTATTTATTATACCTAATAAATCTTAAAAGCAAGACTTACTTTAATATCATCATGCATCTAAATTTCAGCCTATTCAAACTCAATATTATTAGTTTAAGCGGTCCCTTCTAACATCTTCACAAACTCATCCCCCAAAGCCCGCAGCGATTGGATTTCCACAGCTCACCACTTCTTTATCAACAGTTAAATATCCCAACTTCTCCCTTACTCCTTCGACCATCACTGCACCTGCATCCCCAAGTGATCCTTCTGTCTTCTTAACCTCTCCAGCCAGTATTGTCTCTACCACCTATTCCTCCACATCACTCCAACCGGTAATCTCGTAACCCTTATACGCAAAGTCACCATCACCAGCCAACCTTGTACTCAAGAACGCATAAGGTCCATGACTATGATTGTTCTATATTCACTTGAATAACTGCAATACTACGGGCACATGGATGAGACAGCTTTCCCTACTCTGGTTATGATCAGCTATCACAACTACATATTCCATATGCCAGCGAGGTGATGCAATGATTAGTGAGGATGCTACGCGGAGAAGAAATATTATTTAGCCTGAATTCGTTGTTTACGATCGGAAAAACAGGTGATGATGATTGGCAGCATACTTAGGGCTTCTTCTCACGTCTCAACCCCGCACGGTATTTCTCCACTCTGGGGAGAATGGGGAGTCTGGGGAATCAATCTACCGAACCATGCTAGTATGGAATATAGGGGTAGGAAAGAGGTGGATTACAATGATTTAGATAGGCAATGTTTATACTTTACCTATCCCATGACTATAACAACTTCAATTCCTAAAGTATATGCGCATAAGGAGCATATTAAAGCATTGACAAAATTAGCAGAAACTAAGGTGTCATTTCGCTGCATGTGGCCGTCTAAATTAGTCTTCCAAAAACCCTATTGCTTCTCTAGTCGAATTAGAGGACTATTGTGTCATGACCTATTACTAAAGTAGTAAACTGCAGGTTTAACGTTGCATTGTCCGTTCCAGCGTCTTATGCACTACGCGGGAGGACCTGACACATGGCAGGAAAGATCTGGAAGGCTGTTTGTAGCTGATTATACTGGAGTGGTGCGGCTGAATTGGCAGTTTTATTACATTTATACGGTCCGGTCTAGTGATTGCTTGTAATAGGTTAAAGATGATTGTAAGGATATTCGGGCAGTGGATTTATTTGTGTACACTGCATCGTAACTAACATGTTAATACATATTGAGTATAGAATGTTACTTTTAAGCTGCCAAGGCCAGGGCCTTGAGTTTGGGGAAGTTGGGTGTGCCGTAGCCAGTAACGGGGTCCCAGCCAACAGCAGCCTTCCAGCTAGCACCAGGAACAACAGCACCGCCAGGGAGCTGGCTCTGATTGAAGCGGCTGAGACCGTTGCAGCCAGCGCTGCCACCGGTGGTTACATCGTTGAGACCCTTATATGCCTTGCTGTAGATCCAGGGGTTCAAGAAGCCTAAGGTAGACTTGCCGGCACGCAGACGGGCGTCGTTCAGGAGAGCCACGATAGCGGCGAAGGTGGGGCCAGAAGCAGAAGTTCCTTCGAACCCGCCCAGGCTGCCCTTGTCGTAAACCGCAAAGTTAACACCCTGTGCAGAGACGTCGGGGAATCCACGGCCGGACTTGTTGAAGAGCCCTTCCCATTCGTCAGCCAGGCCAGTTGCCAGGTAGGCAGCGACGGCATCGTCCTGGTAGGATGGGCGAGCCCAGAGATCGGAGAATCCACCGGATGAGAACGCGGCGGCGGTCTCATTCCAATCCTGGGTGGCACCGACGGAGGTAACCCATGGACAGGTTGCAGGGAATTGAGGCAAGAAGTGGGTGGTGTTTTTGCCGTCATTGGTAACGCATCCAGAACCGACGCCAGAATCACCAGACGAAAAGATGACGGAGACACCTCGGCTGCCAAGCTGCTTGTACAGATCGCAGACGGATTCGGCGTATTTAGGGGGAATGGTTTGCTCGTCTTCGCCGTATGAGGTGGAGATTACTTGAGGTAGCTGGTCCTGAGGCAGTTTCAATACTCCTTTCAAGAAGTCGAGGTATGGTTCGTTCTGGTTATTGCTTGGGTCCGGTTCATTGATGTCGGGTACCAACTCTCCAAGGCCACCAGTCGAGAACTCAGTGACAGGGAGAGGAGATGACAGACCAAGAATGTACTGCAGATCCAAATTGGCCTCACCACTGTCATCAATGTTGTCGGTCTGGTTGTTCTGTCCGTTGTTGAATTCGATGACGGTGAAATTCTGGCCAATCGCCCATGGAGCCAACTTCTTCTCAAACTTGGCTAGGTCGTCATATCGAGCATATTCCTTGAGGTAGCTGGAGAAAGCAATCTTGCTACCGCTCTTGGGGTCGGCAGTATAGTTACCCACTCCGTATTGCTTTTTGAGGCAAGTAGGGGTGACAACAGTGCCGCATTGGTCGGCTCCACTGAGACTACCAGCCTGCACAGCATTGCGATGGGCTTGGCTGAGCAGCTTGCCACGAGAAGTGGTGTGCATAGGACGAATGCCGCCAAAACGAGTGGTGGGCTGGATCATGTAGATGTGTTCAGCGACATCATCTGGAACGGAGTAGTGCAGGGTACGGAGACTGCGGTGTCTCTGGACCTGGTTGGTGTACCACTGAAACTGGGTGTCTAGCAACTCGTTCGCGATCCCGACAGTGGTGGTGAAATCAATCCAGTCAGCATCCTGTGCGATATCGGTCACACCAGCGGACTGCAACCAGCTAACAACAGACTCGGCGGCGCGATCGGACGGGAGCAGCATCTGCTTCATCTCGTCGTGCGACTGGAAGTGTTGTCCATACTTGGCGTTTCCAGGGGTGGCCATGTCCAAGACCGCCTGTTCAAAGCCAGCAGCGTCATTTTGCTGCAGAGCGATCTGAAGACGGATCTTTTGGGTGCTGGGAGCGTTGGCGGTGTACTTCCATCCTGCAAACTCGTCAGCACCGAACTCCGCCAGACGATGGGACACTCAACAAACCTTCTGGAGCCACGCGGAGCTTTTCGATGACCTCGCCAGTAGCCGACGAAGCCAGCAGCGACAGAGCTGCGACGGAGAGGATGTCACGGCCGAACATTGTGAGATTGCTTGCTTGCAAAAGGACAAGAGTTACATGGTCGGGGGGATTGAGGGGCGTCTCTGGTTAAGTAGTACCTATTCGTGCCATGGCTGCGACATTGGCAGTGTACTGTGATCACTCCACACAATTTACGAGCGGTCCCCAGCAATGCATCATGGCCAGCCAGTAACAAGGCGGCGCCCCTTGAAGGCCAAGGGGCCGGTGGCGTGCGGTGGATCGCCAACGCAGATCGTGCATCTCGCAAGACTGACTAGGAGGGCTAGCAATTACTTTCAACAAACCAACGAATTGACATCAATTGGCCCCCCTCGTATCTTGAACAGCATCATCACGACGCTCAAACCCACGAGCAAACCGGCGTCATGTGTGAACCGGACGGTGATAGCGAGAAGCACGAGAGAATTCGGAGGAACGATGAAATACGGACAGGACCCGCGGCGGGCTCAATTGACGCAACCCAAGACGGCTTTTCGCGGCTGAATAAGCCTGCTCCCTGGACAAGACGAGTATAGATCGGCGCGGTTATCTGAGGCAATCAGGCTGCCACTTTCTCTTGCATATTACCGTTGCATTCGATTAAGCATAATCTCATCATCTGGGAGGGGAAGACCTTGCTCATCGCTGCTTGGCAGTAATCACGGAGAGTCGCGGCGCAATGATTTATCTTCTCAACGACGATTCTCATCAACCAAGTCCGCTGGATACTCCGCACACAAGAAATAAGACTTCATGGCGGAGAATATAAATAGCCCACGATCGGCGTTGAATTTCAGCCTCTCCCGCGTCAACGTGTAAACATAGAGAATCAGACAATAGGCCAATTATCATTCTTATTAAGAGAATGTCCAATGTTATCTAGAGAAAAGTCAAAGTGCTGCAATTATTCAAATGATAAAGTGCCGAAGGACGAATACAATTTTTATTACTTATTATACATCTGTATGCAGCCTGTCACGTGCACATCACAACTGCAGTTCATGCCACTGCTGGCCCTCAATCTGCCTCCTGACAGTAGTCTCAAAATCCTCCGGCTCGCGCCCCAACATATCCGTCAGCAATGGCGTAACGACACTACACTCGCCTTGACTAATCGCCGTCCACGCTGTCGCCCAGCCTTTACTCAAATCAACGCCGTGATACGTCAACATCGGCGCATTTTGCGGTTGCGCCGCGAACTCGTCGACCGAGACCTTTTTAATCCGCACATCCCTCCCCAGGATCTTGTTCAACACCGCTACCATCTCCGCGAGCGTCAACGACTGCGCACCAGATAACAGCAGCGTCTTGTTGATATACGGAAACCCTAGTGGGTTACGCGCATATGTAGCGATAATTTTGCCCGTTGCCTCTCCCAGCTCATCGCGCTTCGCCCATGCCACGCCCGGCCCGGACCCATCGTGCGGGATCTTGATTTCGTCGACAGGCTTTCGAGGGTCGAAGAAGGCGGTGTAGATGGGGAAGGACTCGGAGTAGAGACCCTCGCGAATGACGGTATACGTAAAGCTCGGCCTGGTACGCGCGAGTTGTTTGAGGTATGCTTCGGTGTCGAGGTGAGCCTGCATCACCAGCGCTGTGGATTCGCTAGTCAGGTTTCCAGCAAAGGCGAGGGAGGAGTAGAAAATATGGGTGACACCGCTGCGTAGAGCGGCATCGATTGCAATGCGATGGGCCTGGATAAATAATAAATGTGTCAATTGATGTATTCCTGAGAAGAAAGCGCAGAACTCACCCTCGAGCGATGCTCATGTTCGCAGGACGCATACGAAATTAGAAACAGCGCGCCAACCCCATCGAACACGCGCTCCAACGTAGCTGTATCGTCATAGTCTGCACGACGAACGACGACACCTAGGCGACTCTCTGCGGCGAGTTTGTCGGGATTGCGAGCGATCAGGATGACTCTAGAGGCGGGGACGAGGGAGAGAAGATGTTTGACGGTACTTCCTCCAAGACCGCCAGTAGCGGGGAAAATACCGAGTTTGCGCTCTGCCATGGCTCCTTACTTACAGGGTCTTAATATGGTAAGAAAGAGTGTTCATGAGACTCAATTGACTGTTTTTCAGCTTGTAGTATGGGTATCATGTCGACTTATATCTTCGCCAGCTAGTACCGCGGATATACATGAAAATCATTTCGTCATGGAGAATCACCGGAACCGGAACCTGTGAAATCTGGTGCGTTAGTCATAAGTCCGCTAACTTTAAAGAGTATTTCTATCTTATCAAGATAGGGCGTTAGAAGTTGCACGTCTAGGAATCTCTGCAGGTACCTGATTTCGCATCCACCCAAGGGAGCGGAGTACTTAATAATCACCGTGTGTCGGATAAACGGATAACAACTCCGCAGAGTATTACAGTATTAAATATCAAGTTTTGTAGATATTTCAATTTAAAATTGATGGAGACCCAGTACACAGATTCGATGCGGAGAGTACATGTGTATCTAGCAGGTCCGTCCGGTGTGAGTCGTGGACTAAATATTAGGAAGTCTAAGCTGATATCAATTGATTGGTAGATATGTGTGCTATACCAGGTGCTGGGGTTTAAACCCCCCCAAAAATAGCAATTGATGTATTATGAGATCGAGATTATTGGATATATAAGGGCCTTTATATAATCTTCATTCTTTTTAAAATCAACGCTGTCGTTCTATGATTAGTACAAAGAACCAATTAATCATACATATACTGGCATACAGACTACTGGGGCCCATCAACATAATAAATTATACTGTTGACCTAAGAGATATCACTTATTCTAGATACACCTTCACAGCTTGACCTGTCATATGCATCTCGATAAAACATTCTATTTGTAGATGACATAGCAGACATTGATATTGATAATATAATGCATTATTGTTCCACTAGCGAATCGATAGTGACAAAAGCTCTGGACCAATCAGAGTGGCCCGGTGGAGCGCAGCTTGAAACCAGATCAACCAGGGGGATCCTCCAGACAGCCTGTCCCGTACCAGATGCAATCACGATGGGAAAGAAGGGAAGATCAAACAAAGGGTAGTATATTCCTGCCAAGCATTTGCTTTGTCAATACATAATTGCATGTGTCTGGAAAAATAACAATGATGCAAGAACAACGAGTTGTAAAGAACGACCCCGGATTTGCTGTTGGGCGCTAGTGGCACCACCGCCGTCATCCCGCCCCACTAAATACTGTTTCCAGAAGAATGATCAGCATGTCATTGGCCGAAGCTGCTAGTGTGTGGTCAAATATAGAGTCAGCGTGAGACATAACTGAGATTTAATAATATTTATTCCTGTTTGCTGAGCTGTTCGTGAATATTTCTTCTCCCTGCCCTGTCTGCAATCTTCTCTCTTCAACCTCACAATCCTGACCTCACACTTCCATCCTTCATCGTCAATCATCATTTGACCTCTACAATAAAACACCAAAATGTCTCTCTCCAGCTCAATTTCCACAGGCACCGCCTCCGCCGCAACCGCCACTGCTACAACCACAGCCTGCAACGTCAATTACGAAATTCCAACAAAGGACGCCGCCTGCGCCCTCCTCACCTCGTCCAACTCCACCGCCATACTCAAGGACTGCTGCGGCGTGGCGGAGATAAACTCGATCAACAACGGATGTTCTTCATACTGTCTGGCACAGGGCCAGGATATCGGCGACTTGACAAGCTGCTTCTATCGCAACGGCGCGTCGGCTAACAGTGTGTACTGCAATGAAGTCAACAAGACCGCCACCGCGACTGCTTCAATCACTGGGACCGCAACGGGAACGGGATCAACGACTGTACTGACGGGCACGGCCACGGGTACTGGGGCGACTGCTTCGTCGACGACCGGAGCGGCTGCTCCTGCAGCGAAGGTATCTGTGGGTGGGGTGGGTGTGTTGGCGCTGATGTTCTGCTCGGCGCTGTTAAGGGTTTTTGCTTAGGAAACTGTTATGATGATCGGAGTTGGATAATACAAACTTTGAAACTGTTATGATGATCGGAGTTGGATAATACAAACTTTCGGGTTGTGAGCTGGAATCTTAATGAGCGCGAGATGGTCATACTTTCTTTTGTTGTGTATAATTAAATGCCCCCCTACTTAATTTGATACCGCTGATTGAGAATGACATGACAAGTCATGTGCATACGTTTGTTATGCCCAACTACTCTCTGTTGACATGGGTAAAAACACTAAAATTATATTGACGAGATGAATCAATTATTTCATTACTTTCTCATAAATATAGATATACCCGAATATGTAAAGAAAACAGTCTAGGTCGTCAGTCTATAGTTGAGCTCCCAATCTGCCAATCCCAGTCAACTCCCGATAAAATCAACACGATAAACGCCTTGTCCTGTCTATTTGGATATTAAACGAGGTGATTGTCGCTTAGATGAAATCACTTTTCTCTAGCATTCACTGGAATTGGCTTCTCGCCCAGTGCACAGAGTCGGAAAATGTGTCGGGGCTTAGCGCCGGTGTCCTCGTCAATGTAGTCTACTACCGCGGAGTCTGAAAGGATATTAACTTATTACACACAATTAAAAACAAGGTAGAGGACGCTTACGCATCGTCGAACGATTGTCGAACATGACAATCGTACGCGGCTGCCACCGGACACGAGCCTGGAAGTCATGTCCCGTGATCATGTGCTGCATGAGGAATTCCTGCATGGTATGGAACTCGGGCTCTTTGAGACCCTGGATCTTAGTGATGAATTCACCATTGATAAAAAGACATTTCTCGCCAGTCACGGGATGCACCCGTACAAGTGGATGCACAGTCTGGACCGAATCTTTACGCACTAGCCCTCCGGTCAATCGGGCATGGTTGATCATCTTGGACGACGAATGAACAGCTTTGAGTCCGTCGATGAAGGATTGGAAAGTGGGGGATAGTCTCCTGCAGATCAGAGAGGAAAAATTAACATTGATCCAGTCGATTGGTTCTTCATGTGACGCAAAAGCTTAATACTTACTTGTATGCAGCGTCTGTCGCGGCAAAGACGGTGTCTCCACCAACGTCGGGACCCTGCAGCAGACCCAACAGGACATAGGCCGGCGGCTGAATCTCATAGCTGACATCCTGGTGCCACAGCGTTGTCGTGGTTCGCTGCTCCAAGAAGCGGTTGATCTCGTCCACATTGCCGTCGCGGTGGATGATATGGAAGCCAGGGTATCCCTTCATGGACCCCGAAATGGGCTGGTAATTCGGTTTGCCGAAATGCCGCATGAATTCATACTGCGCCTCGGGTCCAGCGTCAATTAAGTCTTGTTCGGGGAACGCGACGACCTTGCGCTCGGAAATGAGGAGTGCGAGCTCATCTTTAGCCGCATCGGACAACTTGTTCAATTGCACCCCTTCCACAACACTGCCGATGCACGGCTGGATATGCGACACTTTGGTACCAGCAGGTAACAGGTTCGGCTTAGACTTGTCCTGCACGCGCAAGGCGGGGTCTTCATACTCAAAGGGTTGCAGCGGGTCAAACCAGATCTTATCCCATGTAGGCAGATATTTAGGGTATTTCACATTTTTTTCCAAATCGTCAGACACTTTAACGTAAGGAATATTGATATCATAGCTTATCGGCTTTTCAGCCTGAGTAAGCGTGACTGTTTGGGACATGGTATGACGGGCCTGGTGGCCTTGTGAGTGGCCTGTTCGCAGATAGAGGGTTGGGGGTGGGAATAGAGAATTAAATAAGCTGGCGAGGTTGCCGCGCGAAAATAAAAAGAAAAATTCGTCTTGTGACGCGCTCAGAGGACTATAAATCCCTCAAGAGGACCCAAAATCCAGACGACTTATGATTTCTTGTTTGCAAGAGCTCCCCCACCTAGGCCCAATTAGAAACTTACCAGCAGCATTGTCTTTTCCACTTGCATCTGTTGTGCCGTTGGACTTGCAGCTAGGCTTATGCTCAGGGGGTTATCTTCCACACGAAAGGTCTGCTAGCTTGCCTAGCGAAGAGATGAATCTCTCGCCATGATATCACATGGGAGATTACCTCCGCGAGGTTGACCCATGAAAGTAGCGGTCAGGACGGAGTCATCTGTGAAATGAGACCAGCGCTACAGAATGGGAGCCACAAATCGGAGCGATTACGACATGTTCAAAAAGCCCTCGCGAATTTGCTAGATGTCAGCCCGTGGGAAAGCTAGTGGCTAGGACGGCGCGGTTGATAATTTGATATGGTGACTCGGTCGCGGCGACACAGGATCGACTGGCACGAGCGATACCGGATCAGAGCACGGAAATATTGCCAATTTGCCATGGTCCCGGGATCATGATAACGACATCAAAAGATAAAGGAGCATGGAGCAAAGCACCTGCATGATTGGCCGCTATATCCCTGCTGATAGTGCATGTTGATGCATCGACGACGACACCAAACTCAATCCAGCGTTATCAGGCTATCAGAATCCCTACCCACGTTATGAAGAGTGGGGCGAGGAAAAGTCGTTAGAGTCCGCTAGCCACCAATGCCGATTCGAAGCTGCGTCGCCTTCGACAATGGAAACTTTATTATGGGTGTTGTGCGAGAAGCTGGAGAGGGGGAGGAAATTATCGGGTAGGCTGCTAGAGCCTGTGCAAAGTTTGGAACGGCTGGGGTAGCACCCGCGTTTTCTCCAGATACTGTGAGTAAACAGCCATCGACCGCATTTTGGTCGCAACGGTTGCTTGTCATAACTATACGTTATTGTATCCGTCAACAACACCAGCTTGCATGCAGTCCGGCGTACGCCTCAATGGACAATAACGTGATTAGCATCCCGACGGTGCGCCGTGGAACCCACCCAAGGCGACCGATAGTTATCTTTTACGAAGGAGCCCACAAGGTGCTGGAGCGATGGAGCACCCATCATGCAGTTGACTCCGAGGCGAGCCGGTCAGCATGACTATCACCTATTGTCATGAGCCGAATATTTTTGCCATGGATGCGAACAATAATGTAGGTTCGATGTGAAACGTGCCGCGCGAGCTGCTCTAGCTTGCATACCTGGCTGTCCTACCGGATGGAACCAATCTGCTCATTATTAGTATCCCTATTAAACGGAGGACTGGATGCGCGACCGATAACCCGCTGGCTGCGGTGAATTATTAGGTTAGCGGATACTAGATCATAATTCACCGCTGCCCGAGGTTTAGTCTGCCCAGCACGTCAACCCCTTTGCAAATTGGTTTTTGTTGATAATTAGATGTCATGCTTCTTGGCAGTTGCTGCATGGTTGATCTGTCTGGGCATGTTTCATCTTTTGATTGGAGGACGTTAAGGTTGAAATAATATAATATCCAGATAATACCCAGCAGACAATATATCCAGACTTAACCATCCTGCGCCATTTCCAAGTGGTGAATTGCCGTTGTTAAGTGTGTTGGGGTTTTTTGGTCTTTAACCTAGAGACTAGTTGCCCTTCTTGGCTAAGCCGGCGAACCGCTAGAGTATGGAGAGCATTCATGAAACTTGGCTACTTTTTCCATTCGGCAAAAGAACACGGAACACCCGTGCTAGAAAAATAGCAAATTGACGACTTTCGCTCATTGGTGCTCGGAAAAAATCCCATCTCGCCCCGATCACGTCTGCTCGAACTAATGTGGATTATCTTTGTCTTTGCTGTAGGTGAAAACAGAATGCACGGTTCTCATTCCGTTATCATGAGTCGTACATACATAGTAATTGGCAATGGCTCGGAAAATACCCGAGCCTCAATACGAGCCTGCACAGACAAATCTTGACTGACGATGCGATGCTATTTTGCCGAGTATTTCCCACCAAAGAACAGTCGATATCTCACCGCTTTACGCAGTTCGCATCATAAGTTGTCGTTATCAGGAAACCAAATCCCTAGAATATTTCGGATCCACCAGGAAATACTTCTAGCCTCTAAGGCAGCGTTCGCATGTTTACTATCCATTATCGGTGTAGCGGCGTTTGACAGTTGTGATAGACTTGTCACCTTCACCTCGGCAGTTGTGGTCGGCCGAGGGATGCGAGAGTCTAGTCGCAAAATCCAATTTCTCGACCTCAAGGATAAAAAGCGTAAAGCCTAAAGGTACCTTGAGGACGGCGAATGATCGGCCATTGTGAAAGTGTATTTTGATCCCAACTGCATTATCGCGCCACAGGGGTCGCATGATGTTGTCGAATCATCGCTGCATAATAAAGATGCGTATTTGCTTTTTCTTTGCCTCTGTGATTGCGCTAGTTAAGATTGCAGTGTGCATTGACAAAGTGAACCAACATGTCGGGGCAGCTCGAGCAAGTGTGACGATGGCGGCCAATAATACCCCGCGATGAGCAGCAAGGATGTTATTTCAATAGCGATCAACATGACAGATGAATTATTGTCAAGAGAACGTGTGCTGTACAACGAGCCCTGCACTGTCCATTGGTCACAAACCGAAGTTCGGTGACTGTGACTCGTTACGCGACATCATCGTGCGTCCATGGTTTGAGTTGCACCACAAGCTTCGACTATGTCGCTTGTATATTGCGTCATGCATGAAAGCTGACAGAGCTTGAGCTATCCTCGTCAGCTAAGTTGCCAGAAGTAGAAACTGTCGCAGGCTGATGATGGTGCAGGAAGAGAGATAGTGGAAGCAGAGAGGTGAGGTTCCCAGCTTGCTGCATTACTCAACGGGAAGGAACCACAATATCACATGACAAGCAATGGCCTCCTCATTGCTGATGCAGTCCTCTGCCATCACGACACTTCACACTGTTGAATGTTATTTCAACAAAAAGCCTGTCGGCTCGCGAGACTATCATTCTACCTCGCAAATTGTATTGAAAAACCCACACCAAGCCAGTCGGTCCACATACCGCCGAGTCCAACGTGCTGAGATTCCACTCTTAATGCTAGAATCTCAATGGCCGTCTTCATCTACAGCAAGGGTGGTGTAATTATGCTATCTATCTTACCTTCCACAGCCCATAACTCCACTTACGCCGCACACCTCGCCAGGTTAATCTGAATGCAGATGCACAACCCCCATCAGACCAAACAATTGGAGACCATGCAAACCATTACCAAAGACACATTCTTACGCTATGTGCTGGTAATTATTTTCCTCACCGAATCTGGAAATATCACGGATAACACCCTCGACTTGAACCCGAGTAGCTTTGAGATTGTGGCAAGCAGAAAATGGAAGGAGGCATCTTACAAAATGACACGGGCTTTCGTGAGATCATGCTGCGCATCTACGTACGTGACTTGAGCATGCCTTCCTAAGACGTGCACATCTAGATGTGGGTTAAATATTTGCTATTGGGCCGTGTCGATAAGGCCAAAGCTTTCTATAGCCACACGGTGCAGCAAATGTGGCTGCATTCAATATGAAATGCACTATTGCCACCCACTGATTCCGGATTCGCGGGACCCACAATGACGAAGGCATGCGGCTAGGCCAAGACAGTCCGCATGCAGCAATTAATTTATCGCCAGTGTCTTCGGTCTGGTTTTGTATATTAATCAATGCCAGGGGTAACCTGACATTTATTCATTTTCGAATATCGACGTTTGCTTAACTGTCGGGAATACGCCGTCGGCGCAATGGAGTCATCAGCATCTAGCGCCTGTCAAACGGACCAAGCATCGGCTGTCGACGATATTCCTCTAGCTGCACCTGGTCAGAATCCTGAAAAGGACCCTGAGAATGGCGATGGATCGAAAAATGCCAAGGCCATCAGTTTCTTTCACCCGACTTTAAAGGATACCCGAATACGAGCCTACCGGCTATGGGCGGTAACAGGTTCGCCTCCAATTCAGTTATTGGCATGGTTATGTTTATCTAACAATAAGTCGGATAGTTCTGGCTTTGGGAGTATTTATCATCGCGGTGTTGTCGCTGTACTGGGGTGTTTTATATGCAGTCTATGATCGGTTACCTAATATCACCGTCTGGATAGTCGATTTCGATGCAAAAACCGCTCCATACGATACAATAACACCTATAATTGGTCCCTTCATAACGAAAGAGTTTTCTCAGCTGAAGCCAGCGCTGGTAGATAATCTGGGATGGACAATAAAGCCGGCTAATGAATTCGACAATGATCCCATGAGGGTCCGTCAGGGAGTGTACTATGAGAAGGCGCACGCTGCAATTATAATCAATTCTAATGCAACTGCACTTCTCAAAGCTGCCGTGAATCAAGGAAATTCGTCCTACGATCCTACTGGGGCTGCCCAGGTGATATATAATACCGCGCGCGACCAGACAACTCTGACAACTTATATTCTCCCGGCTTTATTGGACACGCTATTTCCTATATTAAGCCATTTCGGAGCCCAATGGGCCTCAATGCTGGATCGCAATTCGTCGACGCAAAATGTGTTCCGCACTCCTCAGGCAGTAAATCCTGCTATTGGGTTCTCCTTTATTGATCTACGCCCATTTAACCCTCCTACCGCCACTCCATCGATATCCATTGGCCTTATATATCTGATCATCATTTCATTCTTCAGTTTCTCCTTTCTAATGCCAATCCATGGTCTCTTCATACAGCCAAGAGGTCACCCGCCTGTGCGGACATGGCACCTCTTCACATGGCGCATTTTCTCCAGTATCATGGCTTACTTTTTTCTCGCTTTGTGCTATTCTCTTATTTCCCTCGCATTCCAAATTCCCTTCTCCAACAACCCCGCTCCTACTAATGTCGGGGCTATGAATCCGAATGCATACGGCAAAGGTTCCTTTGTTGTGTACTGGATGCTAAATTTCGTCGGAATGGGAGCTCTAGGCCTGCCATGCGAAAACATGGCCATGATACTTGGTCAGCCATACTCCTCGTTGTGGCTGATTTTATGGGTGATCACAAATGTTGCAACGTCATTTTACACTCTGGACCTTGCATCGGACTTTTATCACTGGGGCCGTGCGTGGCCTTTGAATCGAAGTATGTCCAAGTTTTCTCCTTTGCTTGCGGGATCATGTACTAACTTGATTGCTTCAAGTCGTGAATGGTTCTCGGACCATCTTGTTTGATACTAGATCGACAATCGGGATAGACTTTGGGGTTCTGTTCGCTTGGGTTGCAGTGTCAATCATTATTTTCCCATTTGCCGACTACATCATGAAGTGGAGATTATCAAGACAGGTAAAACAGGACAAAAAGTAGCGCTCTTAATGTCAAACACAATTGGTATATAGTAAACCAATTGCATAACACTTTTACCTATAATGTAATTAACTGCTCACGTAGTATTTATATTGCACTTAGCTAGTAAATTGAAGATACACATGTAGGACAATATCACAAATCAATAATCGATTCCAACGAATCTATATACGTTATAATCTTGTATCATCTATATTACACTTGAGTTCTTTTTCGACACCCTGAGAATCTGACACCTCCAACATTACGCTAGGCAATTGGTCAACTGGTAGTGAGCTGCACCTTAGAACATCGAAAGGTTTACTCGTCCGGGCTCTGGCCTAGGTCCTCCAATTTGGATCGAGCATGAGCTCTTCCTTCATCGCTATTCGACATGTTTTGCGTTGCACTATTGTTCAGTCATTAGCACATCCTACATCGATTACTTGTGTAACTTGTTTTCCTTGAGGATTGTTAAAACTTACGCCTTCAAGCCCCTAACAACATTCTGTCGGCTTTTCTGCTCTCCTCTACTGCTCTGCACAGGCTGCGAGCCATACTTGCTGAAACTTTCGTCTTCACTACCGGCACGTGTCTGGGTCTCGCCAAACTCGTTTTGGAGAACCTCCTGAGCGTGTTGCTTTGCTCCCTGAGAGACCCGAGGATTGTGTAGGGCCCTGTAATAAAATTCTTCAGCTCGATGCTTTTAAGGATATCAATAGAGAAGGATCTTGCATACGCTTTGTATCCACGCTCCTGGTTGGCGGGGTTAGGCGAAGATGAACGCGAGCGAGGCATTTTTGTATATGCTGCTTTTTTTTGTATATGTTCGATATCAATGTCGATTATTTCGCTAGCTAGTGAGTTTAGATAAGTGACAAGCACTAGCTCATCAAAAGATTGAGAACGCAGTCATATAAATAGCCGGCTGTGGCTATAATTGATGATGCTTCATGATGTTAAAATACTTCGTGCGCCACGGCGGCGCAGAGGCGCAGACCCGGAAGTTATCTCCTAGTAGTCATTGGCGCCACCTGGGGAGGCGACTGAACCATTATTGACGGAAACTATGTACGGGTGGGTGGATTATTAAGAATTATGCTTAAATGGAACAGAGATTGGTTGTACGTGTTGATAGGTTATGAGTCGCTGATGTGCATTTTGTTAATCGAGGACGGTATGGTTTTACTCTGCGGCGTAGATTTCCAGGCGAATTAGGGGTTTTGACAAAATTTGCCATATTTGGAAAATAGCCAAAAGATCCAAAAATGTGGACCTATAACTTGCAACTAGGCTCGTTAGAGATAAGAATCAGATTAAAAAACCATAAATTTTAAATAAGACCAAATAAATACGCATATATCGGTGAAGTATTATTCTACTCTTGTCCAGACCTACTTTCCTGTTTCCATTGAGGACTATTTTGACGCGAAGACAAATTGGTGAGTTTTCAGAGTTCGATACCTATTTGAGTCCCAATCCTTGATAATAATCAGAAACAATGCAAAGTGAAGATTGTATTTTCTGAGGAAATGACGAGAGTGTAACAAAGTATAGTGGAAGCTGAATAAATTACCGAGGCTTAACAAATAACAGGCATATCGCTTACTGATCTAGTAAATCTTTTCTACTTCTTATCAATCTCGCTACGGAGGTTTCTACTTGATCTATACTCCTTACTAAAAAAAGGGGGAGGTGGTGGGATGAGGGCCATCGTAAGCCAGGCTGATGTGGAGGGCCAAGCTTGATCCATTCTATGCGCTAGTTAAGAGAGAATTCCAGCGAGAAGTGCTTGAGTTTAAATATCGTCCGACCTACGACCACGGCTTCATCACCTAAACCACCGGTGCTTTTCTGGATATAGGATGGCAGTCTTGAATATGGCTCCACACAGTCATATAATACCACATATTTAGTCACAAATGCGGTAGCCGTTGGAAAACCCATCATACTTATCTCAGTTAACTACTGCGTTAGTGGTTTCGGTTTTCTCGCTGGCAAAGAAATCAAAGCAGAGGAATCGAGCAACCTGGGTCTGCTAGACCAGAGACTCGGCTTGCAGTGGGTTGTCGACAACATCGAAGCCTTTGGCAGTGATCCAAATAAAGTCACAACCTGAGGTGAATCGGCCGGGTCGATCTCTTTTTTTAACCAAATGGTCTTGTATGCTGGTGATAATATATACATCGGGAAAACGCTCTTTCGTGGTGCAATCATGGATTCTGGAAGCTTACTTCAAGCTTATCCTGTGTACGGAGAGAAAGGTTAAGCCATACGAGATGCAGTTGTTGCAGCAGCAGGATGCTCCTCGTTTGATAACTCGCTGGTGTCTCCGGGGTGTGGATTATACCACTTTCTTAAACGATGTCAATTCGATATCCAACATTCTGAGCTATACCTCCGTGTCTCTATCGTCTCCCACGGCCCGATGGGGTTGTGCTGACACCAAGTCCAGAGAAGCTTATGAAGATGAGAAATTATGGCCAAGTCCCATTCATCATAGGAGACCAAGAGGATGAAGGGACGTTATTTGCTCTTTCCACTCAAATTTAACGACCACGGAAGACTTTATTCAGTATATTCAGATTTTGTTTTATTTAAATGTGGACCCTTCAATTGTTGCTGGTCTTGTTCATGTCTACCCAAATAAAAGTACAGTTGAATCCCCCTTCGGCACTGGTATGGAAAATAACTGGTACCCTCAGTTCAAGCATCTCGGTGCAATTCTTGGCGATATTACATTTACATTAGTCAGGCGTTATTTTCTTGCAGTGGCATCAATGTCTATCCTTATGTACCGTTCTGGTCATACCATTCGTCGTGTAACTACGGTGCCTCGATCATTGGTACTGTTCATGGGAGTGGCATCGATCGAGTCTTCGATGAAGCTCCGACGGACTACGCTCCTGATGGTATTCAGTCATATTTCCTCTGTTAGTTTATTACCTAGATCCCAATAGTCGTTCAGGATATCCGGCGTGGCCGCGGTGGAGTCGGGGAAAAGAATTAGCCCACTGCGAAGCCAATACTTCGGCTATAATCAAAGTTGATTTCAGACTAAAGCTGCTTTAATCTAAAAATCAAAATTGACCTTTGCTTTATCTTCTTTGTTCAGTCCTGCATGATTATGAAGGGAAGACTGTCTCGGTGATCTTGATAAATGAGATACCAATCAAGTGTTGAAAGCATTTAAGCTAGACAACGACCTTTGGGGTTGGGTTCGGGAAGTCTGAGCTCAAAGACACACTCTCTTGTCGACTGAATTTCAGAACATCAATGCTATTACTTCTTCAGTGGTTTCATATTGAAAGTGATGTAACAATGGACGATATGATGGCCTCATTTCAACTGTCTGACAAGGAAATGAAATAACAGTATTACTCAGAAAATGAAGCAACAGACCTGGACGCTGGTAGTGAATAGAATGAAGGATGAAGGAAGTGAGTAACTTTATAGGAGTCGTTCCAGGTCCTGCAATCATTAAATGTGCGAAGGAAGACTGTCTTGTAAGGGTGGCACTCGGCATAGGCCAAAGAAATGACTTTTTTTCAACCGCATGTTGAATATTCGAGCTTGTTTCAGCTGTAAGTCATTTTATGGTTCTTATGAGGTCTATATCCCAATGATTGTTTGAGCAGGACCTACCTATCCATACATGAACAAGGGATGAGTTATGGCTCCTCTCTTGAATTTCGAGTGTTACTACTCAGTACTATCAATTTCATTTTTAAGCATATTAGTAGTTTTTTCAACCACCTATACAACCATCTTGCCATATATTATGTTTTCCTTCGCTTTACAACCAGGTGAAACGTGACAAAAAGCTTTGTTTATTGTCAAATTCAACGTATGCTTTTCACAATGAAAAATAAAAAAGGCAGCGTGGCTTTATATGTATAACAAAAGACTTATCGTTTTCGAAAGGCTACATTGGAAAATCGTAAACTTGTGAAGAGGCACCTATTGATATTGCTCTAGTGAGTATTTCCTTTGGCTATGAAATTTTCGAGATATGGGTCTCATAAAAGAGAGATGGGCCCTCTGTTATTAGAGTCCATCATGAATACCATTTTAATTCTCGGCGCTTTCGCTAACGACAAATACAGATGTTCGAGCTTTGGGATACCCCAGATTCGCCTTGTTGTATTGTCTGTGCTGGTCTCATAGTCAGTGATCCCAATCCAGAGAAAATCTTTGATCAAATTACTGGCTGGACAGAATCGGGACAGCTCAACAGAATACAATTGAACAGATTTCGAGAATTAATTAGTCTACAACCAATGAGTTGGCGATCAGCATATAGAGCAGGTAAATATAGTTTCCTTCCTCCCAACTATTGGCAGGAGTACGGAAAGTAATTCTGACATCTAAAATAAGTTTTTAGGATAAACCGCCAACTCCCATGTCTATCCGGTGTATGTTATCGTCACAACGAGTTTGACGTTGACCAAGGAGGTGCCATTGCGGTACCTAACAAAACGTCTTCAGTGATCTTGACTAAAGGTTTAGTTGTACCAATGGACGAAATATCTTGGATTCAAAAGCCGGATATAGATGCAGACAACCAAACCCATGTTAAGGTCGGATGGCTTTTTCACGAGACGTGTTTTGCTATTCTTGAGATGGCCGCAAAGTGTCGTATGACCTCTATTGAGTCAGATACACTTTTTCGGGCTTTAAATGATGAGTATATCAAGAAGCGGGCAGAATTCAAGAAGGCCATGATAAATGAAGACGTTAGTACCGAAAAGATGTTAAGGCGTCTTCGTGAAGACAACCTCAATCCACTGTGGATTCCAGGACTACAGAATGTCATCCAAGCTGCATTTGATAGACCGGTGCCTCAACCTCAGCCAGCTGAAAGGATACCTCCAGGTATCAAGACTAACGCTGGATTTAAAATATCTCTTGGCGCTTTTTACCTCCTTACCATCGCAATACAAGAAAGAATTGCCAATCATATTGGCAACCTACGAGATTTGCGTGTCATGATTTTGCTAGGTCGCTGGAGGCTTTCAGACAAGTTTTGGATTAATAGAATCCCGGATTGCATTCATGAAATTCACGGGATTTCCGATACGAAGATAGATTGGCAGTGGCTGGGTTTGGAAGTCCTCAAACTCGTGGAAAAGAATGAGCCGACTGGATATCCGAATAGAACCCGAGTGCATCAATATGCAAAACGTATATGGAATTTTTATCTTCTGAACCAAAGTGATACCACCAATGTCCACAACATTGAAAATAGTCAACTTTGAGCTGAAAATTAATTAGTCGATATTTCACAATATTTCCTTTTCAAGAATCCTCACCAGAATAGAGAACTAGAGTAACAAGAATTCCTTTAATTATCATTCATGCTTCTAATACTACTTGGTGCAATTAATCTGGGCTTAATTGAATAGTGACATACCTGATAATATAGTATATGTATTACAAGAAATTAAAAGACAAGCTAGGACTCTACGAAAAGTGACCCGTTCAGATGCACAGTCTGCGGGTAGCCACACAAAATCTCGCAGTTCTGAGAACAATGTCACTTTGGCGCTATGCTAGGTATGTTCGTACACGCTAATATCTGGATTCTGGTGTTGACTTTGAATGTCGACGGACGCTCTCGGGGCAGGGCTACACACGTCATGTACGAAGGGGCGAGCTCTAGCGTAGCCTGGATCTTCAATTGGCTGTCAAGAAAGGGAAAAGAAACAATATTGAAATAGAAGGCGGAGCCCTCTAGCTTTTATCATTTATTTTTATGCATACTGCTATATACTGTCAGCTTTCATTATACCAATTCTTTGAAGTCGTCTTAAGTCTCATCGTAGTGATAATAATGAAATATTGGCTGCTGTTGGCAACAGGAAGACGCAGCCAGGCACGGAATAGCACGTGTATCGATCGTGACTTCCTCGAAGGCGTCCAATTCGCCTTCCACCTTCCAAGTTCGCGCCAGCTGAAAATCGACCAAGCTTGATCTTTTGACCCTTTTGGATCGCCTCAAATGCTGAGATCCCCTCATCGCAAATCAATTCATCGCTCCCGAGACCAGAGTCTGTATCTACCAGAGCAACACGATTGTCCCGTGAGGTGTCCACCCCTGGCGCCAATGCAGGCACACAATGCGAGTGTCTCCTCTACGGTGTCCAGAATCCATACTGCCGCGAAGAAAAAAAAGAGCTATCACCAGAGAAAGGCGTGCTGCTCAAGTGACATGGCCTTGTGTGCATCACGAGGGGTTGGACCATGTCTCGCTTACATGGTTCACCAGCTGTTCGAGCGTCCAGCCTCCTCAAAGAACCTATTTTGCAGCATTGCCCCCCAAGCGTTTGTACGGAACTAAACGCAGCCTCGAACCAAGAACCCACGAAATCAAAATCACGAGCCAAACAAAGTGTCTGGAAATTGCCTGGGCCCACGCGGCGTGCTTTGGCCATTTACCCGTTCGTTAGCGCGACGGTGATCCTCACATGCAGCCTTGATGCTTGCTTGTCTTATGCGTCAGTCATTCTCCTGTATCGGAATAAAGACTGGACGATCGTCTTATCAAATGATCTGGCCAACTATCTAGCTAGAGCTCGCATGCATCTGCGAGATGTTGGAATTACTTTTGCAACAGGGGTGTAGGAATAATGGCACCGCGACTTCGTTTTACGGGCGCCAAGTAGAACACATCACATCGGCATAAATATTATTAATATGGGTATTATGACTACTCTCTACTTGGACAAAGGAATCGAGACCGAGTGACGAGTCTTGCCTGACTTGGCCTCTGGCAATAGCCCACCTTTAATTAAAACTCCGGCTGCGGACCAATCGTGACTCTACCACTGAAAAAGGAACCACACGCCAACAGCCCTGGTCAGTCGTCCACGACTTCTGACTCAGTTCTTGCTTGAACTAAGAGTGCTGTTCAATTTCAATGTTTACTCACAGCGCTTCGTCAAGGCAGAGTTCGGGGAGTACAGGCTCTTGAATTACTATCTTTTACTAAAGCCGTTCTCTGTTCGAACTTGACTATGATGACTTGAAAAAAGTCCGAGTTCTAATAATATCGATTTACTCAAAAAGTCGACCATAACAGGTAAGTAATGCCTAGTGCTATCCTAATCATTCTATGTACCCACTATCCAGACCTCCCAATCGCCAAAGCCAAATGTAGGGGTTTACGCATTGAAGATGAGTTAGATGTAATCGGCACATCCCCACCGTAACCGCTTTCTTTAGGCCGCCACAATTATTCTTATTGGAAAGGGTAAGCAGCACTTCGTTGTGTCGGCGGCGCCACCACTTCGTCAGGAGTATCCTGGATTCCGTGTACACAGTCGAATGTACTCCGTAAGGCAGCCCATGGCTGATTCTGTTATCGCCTAATAATTGAAGAGGGTTCTCCGAGCATTCCGGATTCCGTCGTTTCACTCGAGTCAGGCTGAGGGTTGACTGGCTAGTCATCACCGGTACAGAGAAAGTTCGACAAGGGCGATCACAAATAAATGAATGAGAGTAAGATAACAACAATAGGAAGCAGAGAATTCAAAATCCAACGGCTTTCCACAGGGATCGCTTGTGATTAATTAAATTCCGAGACAGCCACCAATTGGTACAAAAAAACCCCCCTGTTCAGGGGCTGAAGAATTCGGACTTTCTTGCAGTCCAAACTCAATCAACCATCACATGGGGGATCGCCCACGAAAGGTCTCGCCGTCTCGGGTGGCTGCGGGACCAAAAGCTGGCCAGGCGCCAGGCCAGGACTGGCCATCTATAACTGGGGCTTATCAGTGGTATTATTACTATTTGATATTGTGATATGCACAGCACCCCGCATAAGATAGACAATTCGGTTTAGAAGTATGAACCGACAGCTTTCAGCTTTCCAGGAGAGTCAGTCGGTTAATCGGGTCGGTGCATTATTACTGTGGTCGGCGTCCATTATTTGAGCTGGGAATATTGAGGCAAAGAAATATTCAATATCGGATTATGTGAATTTCCCGGTGAGCGATTTCTTTTTCGATAGTGTAGGGCGCATGCAGGTTTCACGCCACAATGGATATATTCATTGTTTTGCAAGCCTATGTTGTTTTTGATTGCTCCATATGAATTTGAATCGGCTTGCGTTACGTTGGTATCACGGTTCAGCCATGTGCTCGGGGAGCCTGTCGGACTTCGTGAAATGTCTAATAATAGCGATAGTGCAATTATTGTCAATAGCAAGGCCACGCCATCAAAGTATGTGTGAAACAAATCGCAGCCTGCCAAGATACAATTACTAGCACAACTTGTTGTTATCTCCACCAGGCTTCGGCTGGCAGCAGGATAAGGACTGAGGCGAGAACATCCACCTTCAAGAAGAGACGAGTAAGGCGACTACGGCCTCATTTAAGGCTCCTGAATGGGCAGGATAAGTTCCGACGTCAGAGGACAAACCAATGCAGCGCCAGAACAATATACGAGACTACTAAGTACGTAGTAGGGTAAAGGTCGAATTTCCCATTAATCGGCCGCACCAAACCGCAATTGGGGAAAAGGAAGGCATAGAGCGGTGAGCTATCGCTACCAGGCCAATGGCTGAAATTCAGTATGGTTAAGGCTCTCAATAATTCCAATATTAAGCCGACTATGTGGGCCTTACCCCACAGCGCCGCGCAGCTAGCCGCGACAAAATAGTTAATATCCCCTGCTGATCGCCGACCGAGGCTCTTGAATTTGGTATCGCTTGCTCACCAGCCGGCGGTCCGTCGGATAGCCAGGGCTCTTTTGACCCTCTCCACAGGATCGCTCGCTGGAAGAAGTTAGCGCTTAGAGGCATAATTGGCTAACTTGTAAGTTGTGGGCTATCAGGGAGCAGGCCGACCACGTTGAGCTTTGACCAATCTTCCAAGCATGGAAACCTGCTTTTATGGCACTACAGCCTTTGGCTTTGCTGTCAAACAGACCCAAAGTGCAATGATCATCATTGGGAAGTCCACGCGGAGAAAACTTACTCTCGTGCGCTCAGACATCGATGATTTTCGCCCGTTGAGCATGATGAGAGTCGCACTTTCAGGCGCTAGAATAGGGATTTGATATGGGTGCGTTGTCTTCATTGACTTGAGGTTCAGAGGTAATCCTCTTGGAATGTGGCTTTGACTTTCACGAGTCACAAATAAAAGTAGTCAGGCCAGACCGAAAGCCTAGACCGGACGTTCCTGCATCTTGCATCCCCGCTCAGCTAGTAGTTGGGACGGATTGGTCCTGGTCGGCGATTACTGCTATCATGATTTGATGGCCGAAGTTAAGAAAGAAGATTGATTTGAACGATTCCCCTGCCCTAAAGTCACTAGCGTCCATGAAGGTTAACTAGCATAAGTCTCCCAATTGTAGGGGTCGTGGGAGGTGGACTACAAAACACGATGATTCCTCATCTGAGTTTTTCCCTCTCTCTTCTTGTTCAAGTTCATCAAGTCCTTCGAGTCGTTCTTTAAACAAACTCTGTTGATAATAGCAATCGCTCTTTTTGCTATATCTAACATCCACTCTTTTAACCCGCACACTCACCACTTTTCAACTTCTATCTACCAAGGATTTCGAATCTTTTTCTTCCACATCAAAATGAAGACTTCCATCATTGCTACTGGCCTCGCCATCGCGGCCACTGCCCACGCCGAGAGCCTCATCAGTGTGCCCATCGGCCTCTGTGCCGGTATTCTCGGTGAGGCTACTTGCAACCAGCAATCCAGCAACTCCGGTGGATTGATCAACGTACCAGTCGACGCCTGCCTTGCTGCCCTTGGTGAAGCGAAATGCAACAAGGCTTCCAGCGCCTCCAATGACCAGGGTTCCCTCATCAGTGTCCCCATCAATATCTGCTTAGCAGTCCTCGGTGAAGCCCACTGCCAGCAAAAGAGCAGCAGCTCCGGCGGTTTGATCGACATTCCAGTCAACCTCTGCCTTGCCGTCTTGGGCGAGGCTGACTGCTCCAGCGGTAGTTCTACCACTGGCCCTGCTTCCACTGGTCCTTCTTCCACTGGTCCTTCTTCCACTGGTCCTTCTTCCGCTGGTCCTTCTTCGGCTGGTCCTTCTTCCACAGGCGCCGCCACCACTGCTGGTGCTCCTACCTCGAGTGGCTCAGGCTCTGGTCCTACTTCTGCTAATAACGGTCCCTCGGCCACCGCCCCTGCTGGTACTTCAAGCGGTGCTCAGGGTACCTTTACTGCTGTCACCGGAGCCCCCTCGACCACCGTTGTGCCTATCATTCCCGCCAGCAGCTCCGTCGCTGTCCCACCCGCTGCCTCAACCGCCGTTGTGGCTTACACCAGCACCAAGACTATCTGCCCATGCGAGGGATCCTCTACTCTTGTCCCAACCGCCAAGCCGAGCGGCCCAGCTCAACCCACTGGTGTTCTTCCCAGGCCTTCGACTGCTCCCAGCAGCCCGGTACCTTACACTGGTGCCGCTGGCCGTTTTGAGATCTCCGCTGCGACTGTTGTCCTAGGTGCTATCGCTGCTCTCGCTTTCGCCTAAATTCGCTAACACCCTTCTCTGCTGCACTATACGGCAAGATATAAGACCGCATGGCGTGGACCGATGTCAACATTTTTTTCGGTCATGATGTCCGGCCGATGATGTCTCTTTATTGATGGATAATCTGCTTTTCTATAACTTGCCTTATACCCTTTACCTCTAACGTGCGGACTTTTTGGGAACACGAATCCAACAATACATTCTTATTACACTTTAAGACATCATGTGCGGGTTAATTTTAGTATCTAATATTCGATCTTGGTGATAGGAAATACATGTCCCATCAATGGTTCACCTATTTTTGGGGGGTATGGATTGTCATACTTACTTCTTTTTCTCTCTTGATGTGATAACTTCCTCCATCAACACTTCAACGTTCTTACTGGATCTTTTTTATGACGTATTGTTATTTAGCGTAGTGATATGACGCGCTTTATGAATGACATTGCTTGGTTTACAATCCAGTGAGAGTAATCTGTCTTTACTCGTACAGTCACGCTACCAGTTGTCAACTGGTACTCATAACATGTGGCGAAGAAAAAATCCGTACCCTTTTGTTACCTGGAAGTCGTTTCCCCGAACCTTGCTATTGTCAGATGTAGATCTTGTTACTATTATTAATTGAGACGATCATAGCACTCAAAACCTAACCCCGATGCTATCCAGCTTTACTCTAGTTGTGAAAAGTCGTGTTTGTATTTACATCACTTTGATCCATCTAGTATAGCTCATAGTCAAACCGTCGAAACATCATAGCCATTGCGAAATAAAGTTCAGCCCACGCAAAACTATTCGTATAGTTAGTCAAATGAAGGTTTTTTTTAAAAAAAGAAGGTAGACAGATCAGCCTCCTTCAATCCTAATCATATTCTCGTTTCCTTACCCAAAGCTGCTAGATACGGCTCAAGCGGTTTCCCATCCAGCGTTTTAGCCTCTCCCAGCCATCTCTCTGGCAAAAACTGATATGAATCCGGAAACAGCGATCCATTGTGATGTACGTCGACAATACTCATACTGGTCTTTGTGCCTTTATGGATTATGTGCCCGGTTTGGTGCTCATGATGTTGATACCGCAGAACACGGTCTGGGTATCATCGTGGATTCCGCGCAGATATGCCGTACAATAACCAAAGAGACCCCAAGGTATACGCTTTCAAATATGACAGTCTCTCAAGCTCCAGAAGCGACGGTATCATGAAGTCAGCTTGAGGAAATGAACTTGATAATTCGTTTTTTAGGCATTGGTAGATTCGTGACGTGTTGATGATGTGGTACCCGCCGACGCTCAATGCAAAGCCGTTGTTTTAACGCCGGCAGCGACTCTTTTGAGATTGTCGCGGGTTGGCAGATTTGGTGAAGAGAGGATTTCGTAGAAGATGGTGGTCTTGGCATCTTCGAAGTTTTCTAGGTTAGGGTTGCACTTCCCGTCCTTGTGATTCTGGATTTCGCGGCCAATTATGGACCATTGACCCTGCTTCCATTTAGAACTTTTCTATAGTTGTCTCGTTTTCCTATTTCACAGTTTGCCAGGTTACATACTCTTTTAGGCCGAGCAAACTCACCGCCGGTGGTTGAATCTTTACAATCCATTCATCTGGCGGCGAATTGATTATCTGTGGCTCAATTAATTATTTATGCTCTCCACTAGAGTGAAAAAGAGGAGAGAAAACTCACAGCTGTAAGCCAGGGAAAGAATGAAGTGAGTGTGCCGCAGTACCGACGGTCATATTGGCTTTATGGAAGGATTTAAACGTCGGTGACTAAAGGTGCTTATAATTAAAGCGAAAGGCATATTCCACGATAATATCACCCGCAACAGTAGGAAACATTTTAGTAACGGCAGCGGTTGCATGGAGGGTTTGAACTCTGATTCTTGCAGAGAGCAGCTCGGTTTGCTGCTGGATGAGATGTTCCAATGAGAGGATGGAGCGGCGGGAGATCCTTAGTTCATTAGATGATGGATGTTACATTTTTAAAAACTTGGTGAAGGTGGAGGATCATACATAGGATTAAGAATTGCTCGTTGACGCCTGTGCGTCGAGGCGTCAATTGTGGTAAAGACCGATGACGCACTCCCAAATTTGGTACTCCATCCCGGCTTTTCAAAGCGAGGGTTTTCCGCATAAAGATCGTCGTAAAATATGGGATTCCGTATGTGAATTTCGGGAGGAGCTACTCGGACAATAGGACCTCACAGTATATATTAATTAATTAATCGAATCATGAAAATTAAAACATCGTCTATAACGTATAAAGATATATTATTTGTGACGGGACTGACTACTGTAACTATCATGCAGTCTGTAAATACGAAATGGATACTGTTCTCGCCGCACAATCACGTAGTACGCCTCATACTACGAAGTCAAAGCAGCAAGTTTTGGGCCGGGAATGTGGGCATTCGGGCTGAAGAAAATTCGATGCACAGCCAACACGACCAGGTATGCCATCCACAACACTAGTATGCAAAACGCGGCCGTGAAGGAAACCACGGCCAATGAAGTATCGGCTCCAACGCTAACTACGAAGGTAATCCTATCCAATAACGGCGTCATACTGTAGGTTTCTTTCAGTTGATTTCATTTGGAATCAAATCGGAAGTCGCGGAAAGCTGGTGACAGTGAGGAGTAAGGAAACCAGCAGCTGGAAATAAAAGGGAAAATTGATTCTATATCGTGCCGATGCGCGAGAAGCCATCCCAGTCGCCTTTTTCGACGTCTTCTAGTTCGTACAAGCGAGCCAATCGACCGGACAAGGATGTAATGACGAGTAATCAGAAGATATTAGGAGGGTTAATCTGCAGATTTATTAGTTTACGTATTTGCCTATATGTGTGGGATTGATTAAAAAGCGCGAGCCGATAAGTATAGCGGTGGTCAGTATACATAGTGCAGCATGGGCAGTGGAATTAGTGGTTGTATGATGGATGCAGTTTAACGGCCCACAGCGGGCGGCATGGTCTGACGGATCGGTCCGGGTGACATAACTTACAAGCCCTCCCCGCTGCTCTTTGCTGCATATGGTTTCAAGTAGGAAGCAACGGGTATCACACAGCTGGGGCGAGAAAATAGTTGTGCACCAGCTAGGCGAAAATCCTGCAGCCCTTGTGTATCTGTGTATCCTGATACACTCTCCCATCATGAGTCGTCGCCCTCCAGATAGGCGTGAATCTAAGTTTGCAAAAATCCTATCCCTCCCCCCCAAAAAGAAAAGATACGTACTATTTAGTCCACCGATATGACGGATCACAGTGCCCACAATGATCCCCCCGCAGAGACCACCCAGAACGTGCTCTCTACTACAAACGAATCCTCTCCACTTACTCCACCCTTCTTACTTCATTCACAGAATGTGCCAGTCATTGAAATCGACACTGATGAGGGCAACAGTAACGACAGAGACTCTGCCATCGACGCAGAAGGACAGTCCATTACGAGTGCCTCTCTTACATCATCTATTCTAGACTACCAGTATGCCAATGGACGGAGATATCACGCCTACAAGAGGGGAGCATATCTGCTCCCCAACGACAAAGAAGAGCAGGAACGATTAGACCTGCTGCACCATGTTTTCCTGCTCATTCTCGGCGGGCGTCCGTTTGTCTCCCCGGTGCATCTTCCACAGCGCATCCTTGATGTTGGTACGGGAACGGGACTATGGGCTATGGATGTTGCCGACGAACACCCCACCGCGCAGGTCTTTGGAACCGATCTCAGCCCAATTCAACCCGGATGGGTACCGCCTAATGTGCAATTTTATATTGACGACGTCGAGAGCGACTGGATGTATGATGCCGATGACGCGTTCGATTTAATTCACACCCGTGTCATGGGTGGTAGTATCGGGGACTGGGACAAGTTCGTGCGCCAGGGTTTTGCGCACTTGAAACCCGGCGGTTGGCTCGAGTTGCATGAGCCAGAGTCCTGGCTGACATCGGATGATAACACCAAGGATATGGCGACATATACCGAGAAATTTCAGACTAAATGCATCGAGGCCGCGGAGAAGTTTGGGAAAGAGATTAATCTGGCGCACACGCATAAGCAACGACTCATTGAGGCTGGGTTTGTGGATGTGCGAGACGATGTGATAAAGGTACACAATTTTTATAGGTTCCTTCTAGGTACAATCGTCAATATTAATCCCTTGTAGATTCCCGTTGGGTCGTGGCCCAAGGACCCTCGACTGAAAGAAATTGGTCGTTTCTGGCTCGAGCACTTAATTGGCGGCGTTGAAGTATATACACTCGGTTTCATTGGGCAAATTCTCAGATGGAGCGAGACTGAGTGCCGAGTGCTAGCGGCCAAGGTAGCTGAAGAGCTTAGGGATCGAAGGAACCATTTGTATGTGAACCTGCACGTTATATGTGGACGAAAACAATCATGATTTATGAAACCGTCATTGAAGAGGGAGTTATGGCGCAAAATTTATCTACTGCAAATGGTGAAACAGAAAATTATAGTATGAGATCGCAATTTCAAAAACTAACAGCTGTTTGCTCCAAGTATATACATGTATCTAAAAGAACCATGTAAGAACGAAAAGATCATGATTTGGAGACTTATGAGTCTTATCAGCCACCCTCAGAATTGGTAGAAAACGGAAATAGTACATTCGGAGCGGAGGAGCCCAAGAGTAAGCAGATGATTCAGCTATGGGTGATCGCTGAAGGTATATTATACATGTATATTGACTTCTACTCAAAATCCTTTGTCAAAGTGACTCCTTCACTTAGAGCGATCAGACCTGGGAGATAAGGCTGACGATTATTCATACATAAAGTTTCATTTGGAGATGATCACCAAAGCAAAGGTTCCTGCATATTATCATCTTGATAAATCCAGGTCATCGGGTCTGTATTTCCAAAACTGAAATCGTCATCTGGCATCTAATGCAAGTGATCAGTAAGTAAAAGTCCTATAATTACAGTTCGTTGACATACCATAAAATTCAAATCTTCCCCAATAGTAGACTGTATGTTTATCGGCGTGCCACTGATCTCGCCCATACTATTTTCGACCCGACATTGACTTGCATTATCTTCAAGGATCGCCAGCGCTATCTTTACAGCTTCCTCTCCTGATTTGAGCAAAAGTCTCGGAAATTCCTCCGCAGGAAGGCGTCGCATAAGTCCGTTAACGCGCTCGCCAAGTATATGCAAAAACAAGTATCCTTTCATGTTAGTCTCCCCAATCTTCAAACACTGCAAACTCCACTTTTGCGCGTGATCCAATATCCCGAGAAAGTCTGGACGCAAGGCGATGGAGCCAAAGCCGAAACTTTCATCATCCTCAAGTTGACTGAGAATTTCTGTCCCAATGATGAAGGCAGCATGAGCAGCGCCGATGCGAAAGAATCCAGAGCCACACGTTGCAATTCGCATCATATCGTCTAGATATGGCGGTGATGCATCGTCGCAAGATTGGCCGTCCATAAAGATTGTGGTGGATGGAGGATAGATTGCATACCACATTTTGAGCGAAGATTCAATTGAAACCTTCCTAGAAAACGCGTAAAATATTTTGTTCTCATGAAACGCATCCCGGAGATAAGGAGAGTGAATAGCCAAAAGATAGCGATGAATAAGACAATCCATTTGCCGGATTGAGAACTGGGATGACGAAGATCCAAACCTTAGGTCGTAACCTTGAAGGCTCTGACACATGGTCTTATATGATTCCCTCAGCTCTGAGTCAAGGCGAAGAGCATCCTCATACGTGCCATGCGAGCCAAGACTATTTAAAAATTTGACGATGGCAAGGCGCACAGGGAATGTTTTGCGAAGAGAGATTGCAATCGATATTTGGGTAAATCCATTTGCTGGCTGTGGATCTTCGGCCATGAGATGTTCATCATCAAAGTTACCTGGCGACTCCGTATCGAAATCTTCGCAAGAAATGAGTGGAGGGCCGCCAGAACTTAGACTTGAATGAAGACTCATCTCTAAAATAGTATTCCATAGTCTCCGCCTCATTTCGGAAACGAACACATGATGAGGCTTCCTTGGTAGGAGTGATGGGTCACGATGCAGCCCCATAAGCATTGCTTTTCTCAGGAGTTCGCCCACCGATACCCAAACCAGACCTTGTCCAATATTGGCTACTTCACGGGCAACCAAAAGAAGGATATTAGTTTGCAGGTTTTGAATAGTGAGTCGCGGTTTAAATTCTGGTTCCGAGATCCAGCTTTGAGCTTCGTATATCCATCGAATAGCAGAGGTACGCATGGAGTATTGGTCATCGTAAACAGTGGCTCCAATGGCAAGCACCAGTTTCAATTGGACCAGAAACGCAGTATCGGGTTTATCTGACATCCAAACTGCCTCGTAATCTCTTTTAAAACTTGGAATATGAAATATTCGATAAGTGGTTTCCAATGTGCGAAGGTAACAGTCAACTAGCTCATCCGTGACATGTTTTGGAGGTAATTCCGACGTTGCCGAACAAGGCCAGGAAGGTTCTCGTTGCTTTTTGATTGCCCTCCCTAAGTACTTACATTTTTGCAGACCAATCATAATATCAGATGATTCGTCTCGTACAAGCGAATCGAAAATATTGAACAAATTCACGAGCTAGTTTTCAAACGGGTTAAGAAAACAGCGACGCTTGCAAGATGATGTTAGAGCTTACCTCGAACAATCCGGTTATCCAATGACTTTGGCCAAACCAACGGGACTTGTGCATAACACTATGGTTTAGTACTGGAGCTTGACCCTGTAAATGGGTTTCGTGATGGAAGTGAAAAACTCCGCCGATACAAGATGTAACTGTGTCTATTGTTGAATTTGGGGTGGGCACAAGCGGGGAGACAGATGATGGACCGGAAGATGCTGGTGAAATTTTGGATAGTTTATCTTCAAGTTTTTTTATTCGATTTTGCATGAACTCAACATCCTGAGCAGATATCTGACTGGGCGGCGTCGGGACTGATGAGGGAGCTAGTAGCGAGCTTGGCGCATGGGTTACAATCGTTGACGGTCGGCTTGTGCTGGAATAATTATTTGAGAACACTGAAAAATCATTTTTTTCTTGGGCTCTCTTGCTCAGGCCGGAGTCTGAAGTTTGATCACAACCAGCATTTTGTTTTGAAGGCTGTGACGGGTCGTTCTCATATACGCAAGTTGAGTTTTTTGATCGCATGCAATTGCTGCATGTAGGTTCTCGGTTACACTTGATCTTCCGCTTTCTACATTGAATACATGACCTATAGTTCCCGATCGTTAGTCAGACGAAAACGTGAGATGAGGTATGCATCCTACAAAGGCGGCCTTCTGCGCCGGCGCTCGGTCTCGACCATGATCAGGGTGTCCTAGCTACTCGGTGCTGCCAACCTGAACTCGGACATCCCGAAATAGGAGAAAGAATTTCAAAGAAACAGATACTAGAACTTCGTTATATCCGACGGAGATGTTGCTTGTTCGGCTTGGGAAGTTGTATTCTCACGACGACCAAATTAAATAGGAGAATCTGACGGAATGAAGATTCGGAAAGTGCGCTGTTGGTCCGTTCCGCCCGCTATTTAGCGACTCCGACGGTCGGCTTTTCGGCCTCGGAGACGAGGTAGAAAAGACATCATGAGTTCTTTTTGCCCCTAAAGGTTGATTATAAATAATAACCTCGTCCTAGACTATACTATATATTGGAGTTGAGCCTGTTGTCAATCTCGCAGACAATGCATTGTTCTGATGATAACTATCAAGTGGGCCTCATTTCATTCGTTACCGCCCGGCCGTCCATGATATTGCAGAATGACAACATTATCAACGGAACCAATGGACTCACAGAAGGTCTTAACAGGAAATACCCTCGAGAATGAAGAATTCGGCCAAGAGAAAAGATCGAATACATCCGACCACGTTGACGATGCACCCGATGGCGGAATGAGAGCGTGGCTTGTAGTAGCTGGAGGCGCTGGAATCTATTTCTGTTGCATGGGCTTCACGAATTCATTTGGAGAGTTTGTGCAGTACTACCTATCACACCAGCTCCGTGACAGAAGCGCAGATGAAGTTGCATGGATCGGGTCCCTATCAGCTTTCCTCCAGTTTTCCATAGGTGTCCTCGCAGGACCCTTATTCGACCGGTTTGGCGCTTGGGTACGTTGTTTCTTACTGTTGTTACGTACACTTGAACCCCGTCAATTACTGACGTATTAAAAGATACTCCGGCCTGCTGGAGTCGCATATATCTTTTCTCTCATGATGCTCAGCCTTTGTAAAGAGTACTGGCAGTTCATGCTTGTTCAGGGCGTCCTTATGGGTATAACAATGGGCTTCCTGCAAATTCCAGGAATAGCCGCGGTGTCACAGTACTTCGAAAAGAAGCGCGCAGCTGCCCTGGGAATAGTTGTATCTGGGTCATCTATCGGAGGAATTGTCATCCCTATCGCGGTATCAAGGATGCTGAATAGCTCATCTCTAGGTTTTGGTTGGACAGTGAGAATAATCGGCTTCATTTTCATTCCCTTGATGGGATTTGCAATCATCGCCGTTACGGCTCGACTCCCTCCACGATCAAGTAACTTTTTTATCACCGCCGCCTTCAAAGACAAGAAATACGTCATGCTTATTGCGGCGCTATTCTTCATGTTCCTTGGCATGTTCACACCTCTATTCTATATTCCTTCCTACGCTGTTTATAGGGGAATGGACACGACTCTAGCTGGCTACATGCTAGCAATTCTCAACGCTTCTTCCACTTTCGGCCGTATCATACCTGGTATACTAGCAGATAAATACGGCAGGCTGAACATTTTTAGTCTTGGTGGTATCGCTACTGCCATCCTTATTTTGTGTATGAACAAAGTAACCTCCAACGCGGCCCTGATTGTCTACGCAATTATTATCGGATTTGCATCGGGAACAATTGTGTCAGGCGCTGCAACGGCTTTTTCCACTTGTCCCGAGAGCCCTCGAGATTTGGGAACTTACATGGGTATGGGAATGGCTATTAGTTCTCTTGCAACTCTGCTGGGCCCGCCAGTTGAAGGAGTCCTTCTAGATCACTATGGCGGATACCTTCAAATCTCGATCTTCAGCGGGGTTCTATGTTTGGTTGGTGGAATAATCGCGTTTTTCACTAAGATGACTACTCCCCAAGGGCTACGAGGCTGGGTGTGACCGGCGAAACCTTCCATGATATAAAAGATGCAAATGGTTGGAATATCTCCTCTCAAGACTTTTTCTTCACTACTCTTGTTTTGGTTTTGATAAATAGAAATAGACACAAAATAATATCATATAATTCATTACCTTTATAAAAAATGAAATCGTTACCTAGCAAATATTATTCAAACAGGATTTAGCCAATAATAATTTTCTTCAGTGCATGAATAGTAAGCACAAGAGTTATATTTAAATGCACAAGTATACATTTTTAGGTGGGTTTTATGGATGATATGTGATTGGTCAGCCGTGTTCTAATTGCTTCCAAATAGGATTGAATTCAATTGAGCGCCTGAGACAGGGATGTCGAAATTTCGGAATTCAGCACGACGTCATTCTATGGTCTTAATGCCTGCAAATAGTGGGCGATAAGGAATTTCATTGTCATATCTCAGAATTTGTGCTTTTTATTTTCGCTATCTTAACAGAGTCTTACCTATCTACCTATGCGGTTGAATATAGTTGCCATGTTTGGTATTTATTGGTACTGATTATTCGGTGAAAGAACCCCTTTAAAGTACCCAAAAGTTTCAAATAATTATAATATCGAGTTAAATATTCATTATTTACCGAGTATGATCAAGTTCTATAAGACATTTTTAATTTATAATCCTTTAAAAGACTAGCATTTTTTACTGTTCTAAGGGCCAAGTTTCGGCGTTCGGCATAGCCTCCGGAATTGACATGTTTTGTCGGAATGACTAAATTATCTGAAAATAAGTTACAGGGTACGGATCCTTGGCACTGCACATTTAGATGTCAACAAATTCAATGATCTGAAAATTAACAACTTGCAAACAATGGTTTCTATAGCCATCCATGATGTCCAGTCCTACGGAATATACCTCCCTCCTCGACCGCTCTGCAGTTTCGACTCAATCGTCTCGAAAATGGAAAGCTACATGGAAAAAATGGAGAACACCCATTCTATGCTACGCGGTGGCTTTAACATTCGATTTTGCAGAGTCAATGCGCTCAACGCCAAGGACACAGCTTTTTGAATGGATTCTGTGTGAGCGGTATTACTCGATAAAAATGTTGAAATCGGTCGGCATGCCCATTCTCAACCCAAATCCTAGCGTAGGGCCAACACCACACATGTGCCGAATAGATACTATTCAAACCCAAGTCAATTCTGTGAGGGCATGGCTGAAGATTGGCGAGAATTTCTTTGGTACATCATCATCACTCTAAAACACATCATAATTATCTCAAGCATTCAGCTAATAGTTGACTCCGATGGCAATCCAGCCGCCATTTTAGCTATCCCATTTGGCAAACTCGCCAACACCAAGGGACGTAAGCTGGTTCTTGCGCTTGGAATAATTGGACAATTACTTGCAGAGATGTGGACGTTAGCCGTTTGTTTTTTAAGCACCCACGGTCTCCCTCTGTCCACTGTTTATATATCAGTACTGCTCCGATCTCTTGGCGGGGGACAAATGGTATTATCCGCCATTCTGCATGCCATTGTGGCTGACGTGGTTACCGAGGAAAAGAGAGCTCGAGCCTTCTTCCACATGGCCAGCATGACGTTAATATCAGAGTTACTAGGACCAGCTGTCGGGTCTGTGCTAATGACATCTTACAATGCCTATATTCCACTTCTAGCTGTTTTGCCGCTTCAATTAGGTTCTATTGCTGCAGTCATTGCTATGCAGGATACTGTACGATTTACCAACGAAGATAACGCTGACTTTGGCAATGAGGATGAGGAGAGTGATAATGGTTCAACGATGGTCCAAGAAAGTACACGATTAACGATATCGCAAGCCTTGAGGATATTTTTGAAGTGGATGAAAATGGCCTGCAGGATTTTCAACCGCGAAAATATTCCTATTTTACTCGTACATATAGGATTTTTGACATCTATGGTGGCAAGAGAGACTCTAGATTCTCTAGTTCAATATGTTTCAAATCGCTTTGGGTGGACATTAGCCGAGGTACTGTTCTTTTTCTCTCCATTTCTCTTCGATCTGTATTATGCGTTTAGAATGCGATCACTAATACCCATGGAGCTAGGCAAACTATCTAGTTTCTTTGAAAGCTCTTGTCAACCTCATTCTCTTCCTCCTTTTACTACCACTTATTAGCGGGTCTTTAATAAAATACACTTCCATGAGCAGCAGAAATGCCGACCTGTGGATTGCTAGAGGTAGTTCTCTATTTGGGGTAATTGGACCAACCCTGCTGGGAATTGCTTCCTCGCCATTGTCTATGATTTTGTGTGAGTTCTCCATAAGGCTACATGCGACCCGTTATTTCATAGTTCTTATCATAGGAGGTAACTGATGTGAGGATATTAGCACTTATTTTATTTACTCTTTCATCTGGATATCCTCATGTAATTCAGTCATACGGAACCTTCTTGGTCAAACCAGCGGATGTGGCACCGTTTTACTCTTCCCTAGCCATGGTAAGAATTGTCGGGACACTAGTAGCATCTCCATTATTAGCAATGGCATTTAATATTGGACTTGAGAGAAGAGGAGACTGGTTTGGAATTTTATACTATACAGCTGGTATTTTGTTCTGTTTTGCTGCTTTCGGGGCGTGGGGATTGAAATAGAGCTGAAAAAGAACATAGATAGTGAGGCGAGCTTAATGATAATCACATTAGATCTTAATATAATTGAAGCTCGCGGAATATCTGGATAGGGTTTCGGAGATATTTGAACAGAAAAAAAGGAGTACATAGTAAGAGACAAATCGATCCAACGATTCACTGTCATTTTAGACGGGACGGATCATTTTAAATTAAGTCATTTGTAAACATGTACTAGAGGAAGTGCTGTCCTCATCTAAATGACATTACAACCAGCCACCCCCTTCCATTTTCTGATATGTCCACTCCTCAAGCTTCTCTGCAAGATTCAGATCCTTTGCAAGCTTACTTTGCCACCCCGGTTCGGCAATTCGCTGAAAGTATTCGCCACTCTGTTCCTGCTTCATCATCGGGCTTGCAGCACAAAACACACTTGTCCAAGAGCCCTTGTCTGCATCAGTCCGACCGCCCAGTGCCCCATATAATGAAATGATAATCTTCATCAACTTTGGGATCTCAACAGCTCGTATGCCTAGATTACTGTCCACCAGGCCCGGGTGTACAGCAGAGACCCAAACCTCTCCATTTCCAGCACTGGAACTAGGTGAGGCGGGGCCATAGAGCTTGTTCAATGTTTTTATATGCAAGACATTTGCAAGTTTAGACTGCCCATATCTTGTCATACCAGTCTCATTCTGCAGGCTAGTATCGTCGAAATCGATGCCTCCCTTCGGAGCAGAAAAGTGACCGGATGAGGCCAAGTTGACAATGCGGACTGTGCCCGGCCGGCAAATTTTGGATGTTTTTAATAGGAGAGGTAAAAGATAATAGGTGAAAACCCAATGTGCTAAGTAATTTGTTTGCCATTGGGCTTCAAATCCGTCCGGTGTCATCTCAAATGGGGTAGCCATTATGCCAGCATTGTTGATGAGTCCATGTAGCAAGCTCTCTTTTGAGATGAATTGCTTGGCAGCTGATACCACGGACGAGATAGACAAGTGGTCTATTTCCAACAAGCTAATATAAACACCAGGGGCTTTGGCTTTTATCTCGCTGATGACAGCCGAACCTTTGTCTCGATTGCGTGCGCAGATGTAGACATGGGCGCCGTGCTTGGCCAAATTGTATACTGTATGATATCCACTATTTAGATTGAGTTAGCATACATAAAGACCGGGCAGCCTCGAGAAAATATGGAGATTTACATTCCAGAAGTCCCTCCGGTCACAATGTAGACTTTGCCAGTCAGGTCAGGAAGACAATTAGGATGAAAAGTCATGGCTCGTTACGTTTGTTTCAAAGAGTTGTATGGGTATAGACATCATGAGAAGCATAGGGAAGAGCAATTCAGTCACTTATAAGCTTTTCAATCTCTTTTCTTGTTGCTACCTTGGAAAACATAATGTTCTTTTTAGGGCAAGAGAACATCAACGGGGTATTCCTAATCAGGATAAGCGCGGATTGTAAGCCAGGTGCATTAAGCTAGTTCTCAAACAGCTAGAAAAAGTGCTGTGCAACCATTCATAATCTTTAAAATAAGCATTGATGGGATCCACCCAACAGCAGGCAGCTTCTTTCATTGGTTCTGGCGGTAAGCAGTCCACATAAGTCGCTATAAATCTGTCACTCGTCTTACTGATTCATCATCATCATCCATCCTTTTACTTCTGGAACCCATCAAGGAATTTTTTTACCTGGTCTAGGAAAAGATGTTTTCTCACCAGAATGTTCCCACGATTCAGCTCCAGCCCATGTCGCAGCTGGCAGAGGTATTTCGGCATATCTTCCCTGCGTACTACCGTTCTGCTAACCGAGGACTTTTCCTAGGCAATCTACCGAGAAGACGATTGGACTGGTCTCACAGATGCAGCTGCCCGTAGAAAGAGACAGAATAGGCTCAATGTCAGAGCTTATCGTAAGTCCACTAATTAGCACTGTTTGGCTCAACTCGGTCCTAGGCATTGGCAGCTATTAATAACATAACCAGGAAAGAGAAGGGCACAACAATCGAAGGCTAGCTCCAATTTGGCCTCTACTCGCCCTAAACAAACTGCACCAACTGAAACTCAAATACCGTGCTGGGTTGAGAGACAGCAGAGAGTAGTTCACATTCCGGCTTTGGCCCTTACCAGGATTTATAAAGCTGGTCGTCCTCTTATCCCTTGGCAATCCGCCCCGTTTTTAACTTCTGAAAAGCCTCGAAAAATATCATTATTTGGAGAAATAATTTTCCCTCTCTCTTCTGACCATCTAATTCCATTGCTTCAATTTAACGTACTTCGTGGCTTATTAACTCTCCGACATCTTCTCTCTCCCATCCGCCCACAAGACAGTCAGCCAAATGAATGCTCTTCGGCAGCGCTCTATGTTCTACCTGACATATCTTCCTGTCCAGAGTCTCTGCCGGAAGCACTAAAACCCACATATCTCCAGCAGACAGTGCCGCACGAAGAATGGGTCGATTCGATCCCACATCCAGTTTGGCGCGACAATGTAATTCAAGCACTTGGAACGTTTGATGAAGATCAGCTGTGGTCAGATACTATTGGGGGACTCTTTGAGGGATTTCCATCCTCGGAAATCGAGAAACGAGGTGTGATATGTTGGTCGACGCCGTGGCATCCAAGTGGGTGGGAAATATCCGCAGGCTTTTTACGAAGATGGGGATGGTCGTTCAAGGGTTGCGAGGCGGATGTGATGGAGACCACGAATAAATGGAGAGCTCTGCGGGGTGAAAACCCCCTTGCTTTTGAATATTGATTCATCTCACATTGTTTTAACTTTCACTTTTCTTGATCTATGTATATAACAATTGATAAAATGCAACGCGATGGTGGCCTGTAGGTATATCGTAGTCTCCAATCTTGTATAGCTTAAGGATATGAATTGCTAAATATAGCTAATAAAGAGGAATATTTCATTAAAACAAATATATGTCAGCGTGGCTAGTCGAAGAAGGGAATATTCGGTAGGATACTTCAATGTTTAGGAAATGAACACCTAATTGACCGCTCTCGTTTCTTCTCTGTCACAAATTTCCAAATACAATTCAAGCAATCCTTCCTCCCATTTGATTCTTAGAATATGTTTGGCTTGGACCGCTCAGCCACACCATCGTAATAGATTCGGCATGATCAATCATGTTGATATCAGCAGTTGCCTCCTCTGGAGTATATTATGCTTGCCACATTCGTACGTTTGCTCGCATATGAAAGGTGCTAAGCACTTCTCGTGGTGGAGATCTATTTCGGCATACTACATCTATATATGTAAAATGTACGCCAAAATCTTAGAGAATTCGATTAGTAGAGCTGGATAAATATGTGCATCCGGGTGCATATGACGGATTTCATCGATTTGATTCCTTAATCTGGCATCGACTTGGCGATGAGACCTGAAAAGGGCTTTTTTTTTCAAGATTTGAGAGTTTCTCTTCTACTTAAAAGATTTTATTGTTACGTTGAGCCCCTCTTGCTTTCAATAGATTCATGTTACTCGTAAGAACACTATTCTTTTCCAAGACTTTCCATATCCGTAGACCGTGTTTGATAACTTTTTGCTCAAGTTTCTAGAAGTGAATTTTTTTGTACAGAGGTTATGCTTCTTGCTCTTTAGCTTCTGATGAACTTATAGGTACCTGAGTTGAGATATCGGACGGTGGCTTTATTTTCCGTTAAGTGCACGTAATTTTCGCCTAAGGCACGACGTTAATATAATATTTGTCTTGATCCTTCGTTTATATACTGCTGCTTAATCGATAAATATATTTCTCTGAGGCATTCTGTGTTTTTTTTGGCATATTCTCGCCACTATCCTGATATCCAACAGGGTTATCATAATAACGACCATCACCTCCGCCATCAGTGTACACGTCCCAAATTTTCATTTTTTGTCCTATGAGCACTCTCTGTTCTCCTAGGGAAGGTAATGGTACGTATTGCTGAACTTGTGTTGTGTATTCTGGTGTCGAATCCTTATCAATGTACTCTTGTTGCTCACTATCGTAATCTCTCTCATCAGATACAACTTCACAAAGTATCTCTGGTTTTTGACTGCCGGTCTCCGCTTCGGTTATTCCCCGCTGTTGGAACTCTCCTTGCGAACTGTCATCATTATCAATTGAAATCTATTGTCCAATCTTATTGATTAGGCTTTCATGCTCTAAAAAGCAACACGCAAAGTGCAGAATATTTGCAGATTTCTTGAATGATATACTGTATTATAATAATATAAAATAGCAACGCTTTATCGAAAATGGGTTAATAAAAAGAGGGACAATGTGCTTTGTATGAATTGTCTGGTTGGTCAAAGAATCAGGCTAACCACTATGTCTAAGACACACAACGAAGATAATGATGATATAAATAACAGCATATTGCTATGCGCCAGTATGACACGAAGAAATGTAAATAATGAGAAATAAGATGCATAGTCGAGAAGTTTTTCGAGCATTGTTCTATACCTATTGTGCTAGGCAAAGTCTTGACATCGTAACCGCGATCGCTCGTGAAAGACAAAGTGTTGGTGAAGGCGATTACAGAGTCACGGGGATGACGGAGCAGCCGAGGTTGAGGTTAACCAAGCCCGTCTAAGTCCTTGTTAGAAAAATCGCAGTGGCCAGAATATAAGAGTATTACCTGGTTGGTCTCCTCGCAGCAGGCTGTAGTAGCACCCTGGCAGACATTGCCGTTGAGAGCATCAACAAGGGAAGTAGTGATGGGAGTGCCTGATTTGATGGTTAGTACTTTCGAGTCACTCTATATCATGGAAAGAGAATCATACAGGTCAATCCAACTTGACCCTTTTGCTTGGCCTCGTTGTGGTCAATACCAGCAGCGCTCAACTGGTTCAAGACGTTCGAGTTGTCGGTGCTGTCGACGGTGTCGCAGCAGTGGACGGAGGTACCAGCAGCGCACTGTTTGTTGCTGCTGATATTGGTCTGCTCCGGAGGGTTAGAGACTTGTGGAGCAGGCGCAGGGGGGCTTGGCTGAGCTGGGGGAGGTTGAGACACAGGGGCTGGTGCTGGAGCTGGTGCTGGAGCTGGGGCTGGAGCTGGGCATGCATCACTGCGGACAACGACGACCTTTTTCTCGACCTCAACGGGGACTGCAAGAGCAGCGATCGCAAAGAGACATGCAGTAGCACAGGCAAAGTTGAAATGCATTTTGTAGGTTTTTGGTTGCTGGAATAAGCGATTTGATGCTTAAAGAGTGATGTGAGTTGGTCAACGAGTGTGGATTAAGTATTAGGTACTGTAAAGTAGATACTAGAACAAATGCTTTGTTGCTGATGATGGGAAGAAGAATGAGACCATCAATGAGGAATATCATGTCTTATATATACATATTTTGCAGGCATATCGTGAGACCTCGAGTTCAGATCCTTTCAAGCAGAGGTGAACGAATCGGCAAGGGCAGGCCAAAACGGGGATGCAACGTAAACGCCACAAGCAAGCCAGAAGCGCAGTGAAAAAAGGGCAAGCCAATGACAAGTTTCTCAGTGAGGTCATAATATTAATATCAACTGCATGGCCTCATATATCCGCAGTAGCACAAAGTAGAATTGTCACGTAATTCAAGGTCCAAGTAAGGGAGCTCAGCTGCCCAGCATCTCCCTTCTCAGGCATCCCAATTTTTACTATTTCTACGTGGAATCAGCCACTGGACAAGTCTAATCTCCTCCTAGCAGAATTAAATTAATTCCAATTCGTACTGGTTCTTCTGGAACCTAGCTATCCGGCCAAAACTGTGATGTTTGCGGTATTAGGCTTAGCACAGCTAATCATCACCCCTGTCTTCCTCTAACTCAATATTAGCACTCATTGAGGTTGGTTTAAAAAGGAGCATCTATATTTGGCAAAATGCTCACGATATGGGGTTCAGGATTAAATTGGTCTATGCCCGTGGACGTACCTGGCAGTAAGACTTGTGGAAGACCCAATCGGGTAATCCCTAGCCGCAAGGGATGATTAGACATTATTGATTAGCTTGTGTGACCTGTCAAGAAGTTCCCGTGCCAAATCGGAGCTCGCGGATACCTGGAATCTGGGATGAACTTTCTTTCTTATTTCTGCTATAATTCTGGTTTATGGATTGGTGCCTCTTGCGTAGCCTCCCCCCTGCCGCCTCAGTGCCCACTTTTGATACTTGACTAAATAACGATTTTATCTTTGATAACTCCGTTAAATAATTATTGTATCCTTAGTCTTGAACAAAATTCGTCAGGAAAGGATATGTGACTGCAACTCTGATACAGGTCGATCAGTTCAAAATGTAATCGATGCTTCCCGATCATTTCGATGGGACTGGTCTATCCCAGTTTATAGAAGTAAATGCGGAGGAAAATAATTCCTTGCTTCTCATTGTGGGTCTTGAATAAATTAGTGATGACACGTAAATGATCTGTCTTGCCTTTTAATAAATCAAAGCGCTGCATCAAAACCTTGACAAATTCCTAAAACAGTCGATGCAAGGTCCAGCACATGGGGCTCAATAGTGCGAAATTACATTAAAATGGCCATTGTGATGATAGGTTAATTGAAGACTGTCTTCAAAGGCAAAAAAGAAACCTCTCTACACACGTCAGTGAGGTTCGCACTCAAATTTGGTGAGGCATTTCTGTTTCCTCATGCCTGTTCAATGTGTTTCGCTTTTGGAGCATTGCGACCCGGGTTGAAGAGGGAACCCGTCCGAGCTCTTAGATCTTCCTAACCCTCGGAATATAGATGATTTACTATGGGGGATTAATTGATTCAGGATCTTAATAAGGGACTAACGTAATTCACCACCCACCCGCCAATTCAAATACACGTACAAAATGGCCATTTTTATAGCATTATACCTCAACAAAATTATATGTGAATAGTAGCTTAAATTTTTGTATTTTCTAATAAGATATTATTATTAATTTTGTATTTTCTAATAAGATATTATTATTAATAATATACTTATATTTTATTAAAAATAAATAAGAACTAATTGAGAATACTAAAAATACAATGTATTTTAAGAATTTTATGTAATCATTATAAATATTTATGTAATTTAATTTAATTTGTATTACATTATTTATTAATTTAATATATAGATAATATCGAAAATTAAGATACTATTTATATATAATTTTGTTGAGATATAGTGCTATTTTGTATGTGTATTTGTGGCAGGTGGGTGGTGAATTACGTTAGTCCTTTATTTGACTCAAAATACACGTAGATATATCTACCGAAATATTTGCGTGGATTCCTTCATGATGGTATAACGATGTGGTGTTCTAACCTTTAATTTATTAAAGTCTTAGTTTTTCGTTTACATATCTCCATTTTGCCGTCTTTAGTTGCTTGTAATCTACCAGTTAGAACTTCTAAAAATTTATAAACTGAATATTGATTGTGTGCATGTAAAATATATAAATATATTTATAATGCACCTATCAACGGATGTTCGTAGACCGCGATTGCAAGTGGAGATTTCTTGTATATCAATTACGTCAATTGATATAACTTTCAGAACTTCCGAAGAATCTCTGAATTCTGTGTAATTGTACAGGAAATAGTGCATTCAAGAATCAAAACCATTATCTAAACCCATAGTGAATGATGTAGTGGTTCTATTTGTCGAAAAATATTTGTAACAGTTGACATGGATGAACAACTTCTTGGTAACCCTGCCGGTTATTTTTATGTTTAGCTTGTCTACTATTACTGATATTTCTTTTTATAAAAACTATAGGCCATGAACTGTCCTGATCCTTGGTCTTTTTGCAAAACCACTAATTATTTACTCTCCAAAGATGTAGCCACGGAAGTGGCTTCTGAATCTCATACGCCGGCGGCCACCGTCCTATTGCATCACCTGCCTGATTACTGATAATGACTCATAGATAATCCTTTCGCACAGAATTTTCGGAAATGCTGTGTCAGACTGGGGGAATGAAATGTCGCGGCCATTGTTCTTTTGTTGTTGACATTGAAACATTGGGCTTATAAAGCTCTAGCCTGGATCGGAGAAGTCAATTCCGATATCGTCCTTTCGGCACGAGGACCAACAACCACCCCTAGCCTAATTGCCTAAATAAGACAACCAGAATTAAGGATTTAAAGTCAACTGGTTGGTTTGATGTCGTTTTGTTGGGCATTCTAATGTTCAAAGGCGCGGTGCCGATTATTGATTTGGAGTGAATGGGCCAATTTAACTGCATCCTGTGGTGTCATGTTCTGTCTAAGTCTCAACCTCCAGTGGGGTATGTTACTAACAACTCCCCCGTGGCTAGGGAGTGAAGGGTGCTAATACTCTTGTCACCCCACTGAAGGTGAGCATTTTTTTTATCTGATCAGACTAAGCTCGTTATCTGATCGATATCATCCAATAGACATCTCGGGATGAGTTTGATAATCCACTTCGGACATTATCCGAGTCATTGTTTCTCTCACCCGTTTTTCGCGGGACCAACCAGAGGAAAAGTGGGCCAAAATTACTTGGAAAATACTAATTCACGGTCATGGGCTTCGAGACTTCCTTTTTAAAGTGAATGACGCGTCGTAGAACGTATCTATCAACATGGACGAGGAATACATTTGACTGGTGGTTTTCAGGGTAGCCCAAATTTCTTCCGCCTTGAAGATGTGGGAAAGAAAAATGCTTGTTGCGTTGGTCATGTGGCAAGTAAGCTATATCTACTAACCTATGATCTAGCACGTGTCCCCATTACTGACCCATGGTGGTTGGGATGCATCCACCCTTGGCAACTTGGCAAACCGGCAGCTCCGATATAGGACAAAATAATCCAGACCATTCTCATGCTTTGGGTCTATATCATGGTTTTTATTTCCCAGAGTTGAACCATCGGTAGACTTTCTAGGCTGTAGCGATCAGCAGATGCGGTCAGTCTGTCACGAAGCAGATAAAGAAGCAAAAGCAACATACTCTTTTCACTGGTTTACCAAGGCTTGAACCAAGTAATTAGAGATTCAGCCACCTCAATGATGGATGAGAAAACCATGCGCCCGATTGTCTCCCCAGACATAACCCCGGAGGACATGATGAATGAGCGCCCCGAAGAATCCAGTCAGAAGCGTCCTCCACCTCTGATAATCAAGTTGATGGCGGTTCTTTTGATCTCTTGCATAAGTTTTGGATCTCACTGGTATTCGAGCGTGACTAGTGCCATGAAAACTACACTTAAGAAGGTACGCTTAACACGAGAAGCGTTGTGTTCCATGTGATTTGCCCTGACAAGGAACCACAGGAATTGCACATCACAAATACGCAATTCTCCCTGTTAGAGGCAAGTGAGGATTTTATGGCGACTGTGTTACTTCCATTTAGTGGCATCGTCACGGACCGGTTTGGAGGTGCTCGTAAGATATACTCTTCCGTCGAAGGACTCTCTGGACATATCAATTGATATAATTAATCTAATATATCAATTTTCACAGAAATGATTGTCTATGGGAATATAATCTACACTATCGGGTCAATCCTTGCCGCTGCTGCTGCCACTGTGCGATCATATCGATTCATGATCGGCGGCCGAGTTATCCTGGCTTTCGGAGATATCGCAACCCAGATTGCACAGTATAAGATGTTTTCCTCGTGGTTTCCACCAAGCAACGGGTTTGCATCCACTCTAGGCTTGGAACTTGCTATTGGAAAAGTGAGCTAAATGACATCCAATGCTTTTGGGTTGAAACCGTCGTTGTAGGTCGACTACTAATTCTATCAATAGCTTGGCGGATTCGCAGGCAAAGCAACAGCAAACATTATTGCAAAGGTATATATGAAAAATAAACTCATGTATAAATGTTTTTGAGCTAATTTTCGCAATTTATAGAGAACGGGGAACTTCGCTTGGACCTTTTGGGTAGCAGTTTTCATGAACCTTTTCACCAATGCAGCTACTGGCGCTTTCTGGTGTTTCAGTAGCTACTGCAACAAGCATTACATGGGACGACGTGACCGTGCCACCAACGAGACATTGACGGAAAAGAACCGAAAGTTTGAATTTAAAAAAGTCTTCCAATTGCCCTGGATGTTCTGGGTGGTACTTTCCTTCTCGCTCTTTCAAACTAGCTCTGCTGTGGTCTTTAGTCAGAATTCGACTGAGCTTGCTAAGAAAAGATTCGATGTTAGCGATATAACTGCAGGATGGTATAGTGCCCTCGGTGATTATGCTGGTAAGGCCAACTTTTTAAAAGTACCTCATACGTTGATTCATGTTGATAAATTGTTTATAGGCTTCTTCCTCGTTCCATGTCTGGGAATATTTCTGGATGTCTTTGGCAACCGGGCCACAGTCAGTAAGTTTATTCCACTATATGTCTCCGATCTATTTCTAGGAGTTTTAATGTGAACGTGCAAACAAATCTTACTATTGGATTTAGTGTGTATTTGTGGGATTGGAATGCTTCTTTGTATGTGTCTGGTCAACTTTGCCTCGACGGCTAAAGGGACTGGTGCTGCATTCGGAATCTATGCCGTAGCAGTATCTCTGGGACCAACCTCTATCATTGATAGCATCCGGACGGTGCTGTGGCACCAAACCGTGTTTGGTTCTGCGTATTCACTAAAGGTCACCATGAACAATGCGTACGTGAACAACTACTTGTCCGTTGGGACATCGGAGCACAGGCTAACTATACATTGCTAGTATGAACGTCATCGTGCGAATAATTACCGGGGCACTGCAAGATGCAGACAATGACTCCTATCGTCGAGCTGTGCGAGTATATCTTTTTCTTGCTGCTGCCGCGGTTGCAGTCGGATGTGCACTCTTTGTCGGTTCCTTCTTTACCAACACACTGGCCCAGCTGCAGTGGACGCGGCAGTATCGTCTGCGAAATGGCGGAGAAATCATTAGTTCCATGAAGCACAATCATCTTATTGTTAATGCAACACGTAACAAACGAGTCTCGCTTGGTTGTTTCTGTGCTCTTGTTTTGCTGACTGTTGGGAGTTGGTCTGCCTATATCTGGGGAGCTGTGACAGGCCACAACTCAAATTAGACAAAGTAGAATACCCAGGCTTTCGGCTGTTGTTCACTATAGTGTCATGCACATTTTTGGTCTAGACTATGTATAATCAGAATATTCGCTAAATTTTAGAGTAGGCCCAAAAAGCATTATCCGAGAGGGGTTTACAGCTATCTAGCCGCTTCATGAGTAGGTATAGTACGTAACTCCTAGGAAGCCCTTCATCGTCGCTTTGTACTTGGTGGTGACCTAGCAGGCGTGGCACAGACTTGCAGTTGTTGGCCGCCGGCGTTTTCAATGCTCTAGGCTTGTTTTGGGAGCGCCGACCCAAAATGGTGGATGCTTGGCGGCGCAGTACCAACTTTGGCAGAGGCATTATGCTGCTGTGCGGTATCCTATAAGAAGAGAATATAATTTTACGGCCATACATACAATAGCAGGAGCTAAAGAATGTGGACACTGTGTAACGGACATTTAATAATATTGAGGATAGGTTTGTTTGTGAGCGGGGGGACGGTGTCAGGTACCTTGGAGATGGCGGCGTCCGATTGGCCGATGTAGGTGATTATCGTTATCAATACACTACTCTTCCGGTCTCGGGCTGTGTTGCCCGCACATGACCAGTCACCACCAGCCACCGCGATTGCGTGCCAACTTCATCTCTTCTCCTCCATCTACCATCCTTTGTCCGACATAGTAAGGATACGGCGTTTTCAAAATGGGCCAGGCTCCATCCAAACCACAAGTCGCCGACGAAAAAGAGGCCGTTGCTCGTCGTATGAGCCGCTTAAGTCTCGACAAGACCGGCTATGTCTATGTCGAGAACGACGATGCGCGTGAGTGCTCCTTGCATCGTGATTGTCTATAGTGCTAATGTGGCCAGCTCCCCCATACAACAGCGATGGCCGCATCAACACCCTTTCGCTAGACCAGACAAAGCACTGGGAAGAGCAGCTTTTGTCGTCTCCAAGGGTGAGAGCTATCGTGACTGTCTTATCTTGGACTGTAGCTGACTTCTCAGAACCGTCTCGCAATCTCCGCCCTTACCCAGAACCGCTTCTCCGATATTCTGACCAACCAAGGCGCCACTGTTGTCGATAATCAGGTGTTCAATATCAAGATCCCGCTCGAGGGAGCCCCCATCACCAACCAGCGTTCGTCCGGCCGATGCTGGCTGTTCGCCTCCACCAATGTTTTCCGAGTTGCGATTATGAAGAAGTACAATCTGAAAGAGTTCGAGCTTAGCCAATCCTATCTATTCTACTGGGATAAGATCGAAAAGGCGAACTGGTTCCTAGAAAACGCAATCGACACCGCCGGTGAAGACCTCGAGGGGCGTTTGGTTAAGGAGCTGTTTGCGCAGCCCGTCAACGATGGTGGACAATGGGATTTTGTTGCAAACCTTGTCAATAAGTATGGTCTGGTACCGCAGGATTTGTACCCGGACTCGTACAACGCGAAGAACAGCAGTAAGATGAATGGTTTGATCACCACCAAGCTCCGAGAGCAGGCATTGGCTTTGCGCAAGCTCGTCACTAGCGGAAAGCAGCATCTGATCGAGCAGTACAAGCGCAATGCCCTGCAAGAGATCCATACGATCCTTACAATCATGTTGGGACCTCCCCCCAGTCCCGATAAGGAATTCACATGGACTTTTTATGATGCCAATGAGAAGTTCACCAAGGTCATCACCAAGCCCACTCAATTTGCGGCGACATTGTCCGACAAGCAGACTGTTCGTGCGTGTGGAGGAACTGATGTTCATCAACTGTTCAGCTTGGTCAATGATCCTCGGAATGAATACAACCGTCTTTTGACTGTAGATCGACTTGGAAATGTCGTGGATGGTGTACCAGTGCGATACGTCAATGTGGACATGGATGTAAGTGTGCTACTTTTCAATTAGGAACCCAACCAGGAACCTCAATCTGACATTACCAGATCATCAAAGCAGGCGCCATTGCTATGCTCCGCGCCGGAATTCCTGTCTTTTTTGGCAGTGATGTGGGCCAATTCTCCGACCCTGCTTCTGGGATCATGGATACCGATCTTTATGACTTCAATCTAGGCTTCAACATTACCCTGGGCCTTACTAAGGAACAGCGCCTAAAGACCGGTGAGTCCGCCATGACTCACGCTATGGTCCTAACAGCCGTGCACATCGAGGGTGGAAAGCCTGTCCGATGGAGGGTGCAAAACTCATGGGGTGATTCCGCGGGCGACAAGGGCTGGTTTGTGATGACGGACAAGTGGATGGATGAGTTTGTGTACCAAGTCGTGGTTGATCCACGATTCGTGAGTCAAGCGACAAGGGATATTCTGAAGCAGGATCCTATTGTGCTGCCACTCTGGGACCCTATGGGTGCGTTGGCTTAGTAGTCATGCTGATGACTCGATGAGCTTATGATATTATAGCGAATGAGCATTTATCCAATTATAAGCAAGTAATGAACATAGACAACATTCTATACATTTCCTATCCACCAACTTATCGCGTACCACCAGCCAAACTCGTCCATAAGACAGCCCTGACTATTACTCAATCTCCTTCGTCCTCTCCTGCACTGATTCCCTGACGCCATTCACCAACCCTGTCGCCTCCTCAACAATAAACCTCGCCATCGCCCCCGAGGCATCAACTATATTTCCCTCAGTAACCTGAGGCTCCCCCTTCTCCAACGCCCATGTCTGCTCCATCCAGCTGACCGGCCAAAGAAGAATCGCACCGGCCACACAACCCGCTGTCGCAAACAAATGCCAGACGAAAACTGCGAATACGCCGATCCCAAATGGTAGGAAGAATTTTACGAATTCATTGGTTTGATAGAGGTCTTCTTGCGAGGATATCCAATATTTTTTGGGCTCGTTCTTTCCATCGTCTTGCTTCTTGTTACTCGGGGTAGAGAAGTCGTAATGGCCGCGATACTCGTTCGGATTGTCGGTTAGGGTTAACACGGTCGTGAGCGTGACGGGTGCGGAGTAGAATGGGATGATGAAAATTGAGAAGAGTTGTTGGATGGTCACATAGAGTTTGAGATGTTCCTCGTCAAAAGCTATTTCATTGTTTTTAGCAACATGCTTTGATAGATAAGACCCTTGATATTTTGGATAATGATACCTATAGATTTCACATCAAGCTTGATCCGCGGGGACATGATCTTGTAAAACCGGTAAATCATCTGCACCAACCACCGCGAGTTATTGAACGACCATGTCCGGCAGAATGGGTGCGAGAAGGAGGCATTGGGAATGAAAAATTTCTCGATTGTGTATTTCTGGATGGTTGGGGGGGATTCAGTGAGGAGTTTGATGACGATGGGGATATCGCGGACTAAATGAAGAAGGTATTAGTTGTGAAACAAAAGTGATGGGCTAGTCGCTTACCTGGGTCTTCCATGGTTAAGTCACGGTGCTGCAGAAAGTTCGATAACTGAAATTGACGGAGTTTATTTTTTGGGTGTGTGAAAGAGAAGAAAAGCTGGCGCATGTATGATATTCGCGATTTTGAGTATCAATCAAGATTCTAGATGATGATGCTGATGGCATGTGGCAATGATGTCATCCGGCCCTCTTTAGGTGGAGTTCCTCGAACGGACACCTCCGCGGACAGTCCGGTCGAGAAGCTCCACCCTTCTCCAATTCGGTCGATTTGGTTTCAGAGGCCGGGTTTGTCCATCACGAAATCAGATCAGATAAGCTTAAATCTCACAATAATAATCGGTACAGCGCTCAACTGATGGTGCATGATGTTATCTGATAGTGGGTACTGGACGGAGTCTCCGAGCATGGGCGCGAAGTAAAAGAAGAATTATTGAAAAGCAATAATGAAGCCAATGAATTCAACAAGTTTACGTAAGTTATCGCCAGAGAATATAAGAAAAATTAATGAGGCTTTTACGTCAAAACTTTATACGAAGCGATCCCTGGCGGTGATTAGTGACTAACGGAAAAGGTTGGACTTCGCTTCGGTCTTTGTCTCCATACCGAGATTTTAGTCGGTGTGCGGGCATCACACCGAGCCTCTTTTCTATAAGTACTGAAAGCATGCACAAAGAATCAAGTATAAATCCAGCGCAGAGTCGTTCTGTTTCTGATAATCACCAAACAGATTCAATTCAAATAAAACGATTACATTTCTCAAAAGTCATTAATTGGCTTCCACACATTCAAAAAACCAACCACCGCCATTCTTAACTTCATACTATACTTTGATAGAAGCAAGTTGAAGATTCCGGGATGACACCCAAAATCGCCATCATCGGTGCTGGTCCAGCTGGTCTGACCCTGGCCTCTATCCTCTACCGAAATGGTATTACCTCCACGGTCTTCGAGAGTGATGAATCCCCCTCAGCGCGTCCGCAGGGTGGCTCTCTCGATCTACATCCTCAAACCGGCCAAGCAGCATTGGATGCCTGCGGTTTGACCCCGCAATTCAAGAAATACGCTCGGTATGATGGCCAGGATTTAGTTCTCAGCGACAAACACCATAATAGACTCATACAACTAAAGGATACGGAGACCGGGAAACCCGAGATTGATCGCACACAGCTGCGAAAGATCCTGCTTGACTCGCTCCCGGAAGGAGTTGTGAGATGGAACGAGCATCTCGTTTCCGCGACTGAAGAAACCCTGACATTCAAAACTCACGTGGAGAGCGGCTTTGATTTGATTGTTGGTGCGGATGGAGCGTGGTCGAAAATCCGGCCATTGTGTTGCTACGTTACGCCTTTCTATGCCGGTATTACGGGCATTGAATTGGTGTTGAACGAGACAAGCAGTAAACATTCTGAGATCTCAGCACTTGTTGGTAACGGCTCTGTTTTCGCCATGGCGTCCGATGATGGACGGGGCTTGTCCTTTCAACGTAATGACAACGACACAATCAAATGTTACGCGTGGTCCCGAAGACCAGAACACTGGGTCAAAGACGGGGGTTTGAACTGGGAGAATCGCGCGGAGGTTTGCGCTGTTCTGAAGAAAGATTTCGGGGACTGGTCGCCTGAGTTGACCCGCATCATTGACGAGTGCGACAACACTCCCACGCCGAGACCACTATACATGCTGCCCGTAGGAATACGTTGGCCGTCGCAGAAAAAAGTCACCATAATCGGCGACGCAGCACATCTTATGACGCCATTTGCAGGCGAAGGAGTGAATATGGCAATGGCGGATGGTATGGACCTCGCCGAGGCGATCATTGCACAGCCAGATAATATTGCCGCTGCGATCCGGGAAATGGAACCGAAAATGTGTGAAAGAGCAACGGGAGCGGCGGGGATTGCTTGGGAAAATACGATGCTGAGGTTCGAGCCTGGTGGATTGAAAAGGACTGAGGATAGATTCAAAAGACTGTTCCAGAAAACTCAGGGCAAGGCAGGCGACGATACTCATTGATGCCTACTAAGTAGGAATGACCTTTTAGTTTAGTTGTGCACATGAACACTCCCCTTCAACAAACTACTTTTCTATAGTAGCGTGCTTGGAAATTGGATTTTTGATTGTATTTCGCGCTTCAATTGATTACCTACTATATACATTAATGACAGAATTCTCCAATTACTTCCTTATCACAACTTATCGATGCATTGCAGCAGCTCACTACCCAGCGGGAATGTATTTTAAGTTGTAGATACATGTAAGAAAGCCGGACATATGCCATTCCAACTGGCCACCCTGTCAAAACTGAACGAAGGCGAAGATTGGAAACATGTATGCCTCAGGCCCCTTTACTATGTGGGTTCTCCTTTAGTGGAAAATCCCAACTGATGATTCAAAACCTGTATAGTTACGATAGTCTCACTTCCATTTATCAAAAGATACTCCGAATGGCCGGCTGAGTATCGAATGCTTCCAACTTCGCGAGAGATCGCAATACGCCAAGCAAGTAGATAGCCTGCCACATTCCATGTGACCTCATCCAAGACACTGGGGAACACACTTGCCGCGTAATCTTTAGTGTTTTCGCATCTTCTTTTAAAAGGGTCGCCAGCTAAAGTCCGTTCCATAGTCGGCGAAAATGCGATAATGTCGGATAGGTTTCATAAGTGTGGAGAATTCTGTAGATGATGGTCCGGCAGATATTGTCCTGTCGACTGAGATCTTATCATCCGGCTCATTCGTGATATTTAATATAAGATCGAATGAAAGTTTTAATTAGAGTGGTACTTAGACCAGACTCTGTCATTAGACCCCAGCAAAGGCGCGCCATGTATCACCTAGATTTCTGATTGTTTTGATGTATCATTGTGACTGAGATTGGCTGCAAAATATAACCAAAGGCTTCAGAATACCGGAAGTCATGTTCTTAGTGTAAATTTTGGAAGTTGGTTTGAAGGTCTAGTCAGGTGTGGATGTTGGGGACCTGAGCTGTTGTGTAAGCATATCATCAAGGCTGGGAGGAATTTACTCCTGCTCGCCTTCTCACACCTTTGATAAATATGCGCCATATCCAGAAGCTCCCAGTAGATAAAATATACAATCCCCCAAGAATAGCCGTTCTCTAAGCGCCTTGCTGAGAAAGATTGGCCTATTATAGTATCCGAGAGCCTAGTTGGGGTCGGCTATCGGCTTACGCCCACGAGCCGATAGTAGTAATCATAATTTCTTCGTCAGTGGTAGATCGTGAAACTTTAAAGTCTCTTTGCTAGTGCTTAAGCAATCAAATGTGATAGATGAGGATTCAGGTCACCATATATGATTGGGTTTCAAGACAGTACATGAGCAAGTGCATGTCATCACCTCAATATACTAGATATGTCGACACCGTGTGCAATGCACAAAGCTAGAAAGCCGAATACCCGCGGGAGAAACTATGAGCACAGCGCTTCAAACTCCTTATGAGCGGTGTCTTCATCTAAGCAGTGAGTGATGAAGCAGAAATCGGTCCCATCCTCAACTACGCTTTGAACCTCCCACATAACAATGCATCGACCACTTCGAGCGATGACGAAAAGGTCATTTTCAGCAATGGTAAATCGCGCATTACTGAGCTCAATACAAGCCCCCTTGTTAAAGTCTTTAATCATGTCGATATGTGATGGATGGAGTGATAGTCGAAAAGTCTTCGCATTGCCACCTAACGGAGCTGGGTATGCTTTGATAAGGAGAAGAAATGTTTTGTATGTTGCCACAATCCAGTCACCCGAAGGGCATACACAGGAACTTTGTACTTTTTGGTCTGTTTCAGTGGGTGGGGCCGGCGATATTTGACGTACCATGCACCGGCCGAATTTCCAAAGGTGAGAGTCCGAGAAGATTTCTGTGTTTTCTTGATTATATTGCGGCATCAAGGATAGAAATGCCTGAAGGGCAGCCTCCTGCGCCCATTGATAGCTGAAAATACTGTAGGCCATATTTTTGGCCCAATGGATATGTTGAACCGGGTATTCATACACCCAATCTCCCTTCTGAAAGTCTTTGTACAAATTCCGAACTCTGACGTGGGACGGTACGGTTTCCTGCAGTTTATCGTGCAAAATGAACGGAGGGAAGGTTTTGAATAAGCCACTCTCAATCAAGTCGTGTAGAGACGTCGTTGACGATTTACCCCGAATATCGAGTTCGCCTTGAGACACGTACTCGTCATCGTAATATTTGTGCTTCAGACGCCCCTCATTTGGAACCCGAAGAGCACCCATTAAAGCACGCGCTGGCAATAATAAGGCGCGGTCAACCCGACGTGTATTCAAAATACATATATTTATATTCGTCGCCCCTGGTCGTGCGTCCGAATGAAGATTCGCGATCGCGTTATCAACTGCGACGACGATAGAATCTGTCCATGATACAAGATTGTCATCTACCGACTGCCGACGTAGGAGATGCTTCTCGAGCATACATCTAGCCAATTCCCTGTCACGGCTGAGAAGATCCCCATCGCAAGATCCGTTCCAAATTGCCGCCGAGCGAACGAAATTGTGTGAACTTTTGCCGTTAGATCCGGGAGAATATGTGCGAAAAAGAAAAGGAGGGACTCTATCACATTTATTTTCAAGAGCGCGCAAATCGCCTCGTGGCTGGAATCGCCATTTAGAAGGTGGATCCATCTGGCTGGAACCATGAACCTCAAGGTAGCGGAGGGAGGAATAATCGCCGCACTTTCAGATCCGAAAACATGTCTGAAACATCCGAGCTTAAACGACATTAATAATTGTACCGATTTTAACAAATGAGAGATGCGTAGACGGGGCATGTGTTGATTTGTTGATTATAGAGCGCGTAACGCGCCTTGTACGCGGAGGAATGTAGAACCGGGACGGCCATCATAACAAAGGTTCAAACGAACGAAGTTTCATCACTCTAATATCATTTTAATGTTCATTGCTTTCAGAGATTAGGCAGGGCTATGTTTTTTAATCTGGACCAATGCAAGAAATTATTTAGACGCGGGCGCATGACCATTTGTTGTGGTATATGTAAGGAGTATTTTCTCGGGCTTTTATATGACGATGCATGATAGTTTAGCATATACAAAGCATACTACAGGCCATTTAAACTGATAAGAGACGTATAGTCGGTTCGCTAAATTGAAAATTCGATTAAATACAATTCATGAACCCATGCTAATCTAGACAGCATGACACCAACCGGCTTGTATGTGGAAATATTGCTTTACAGGCAGTATCCACCCGAGCTAAGTGACAAGGATGCTAACGGTAGTACCATTAATTTCACCGCAATATCATAGGCCAACCTTTATCCTCGGGATTAATCAACCATTCAATTCGGAACTCCTCGCAAAGTATCTGCTCTGTTGTCCATAATTTGACTAACTCGGCTAATGTTGTGGCTTCCACATTACGAAACTGGATATCAAATTCTTTCAGCGCCGCAAGGGAGCGAAATTCATAAGATTCTAGTTCGTACCAGGATGGGCAACTAATGAACAGCGTCGGACATAGCTTCTTGAGATTAACAATAGGGCGTTGTGATGCCAGCAACGAGTGTGCCGACTGCGATACTTTTTTGACAGGCGAATCTTTATGGATCTGTTGATGCATCATCTAGGCCAACTAAACATCAAATAGACAAAGGGGATAATAGTGTCTATCATTAGGCGCTTCCATATAAACTTCGGTTGATTACCAATATATAAATAATTAATTAGAAAAGAGAAAACTCACTGCGTTGGTAGAGACTTTGCTGAGATACTGCGAGAAATCGGAATTAAGGCGATTGATTGATAGCTTGAAACAGTTTTTCCGTGATAAATAATTCAAATAGTCGGCCGGAACAGACACGCCAGCTATATCGGGGTTATTTTAAACTGGCGACAAGCAGCGGGCAACACTAAAATCGGGTTTGATGATCCCCTCATTCTTGTTGTTATTTCTCGATTCCATGTCAGGGAGCTTTTCGGTCGGTGTTTTGTGACTTATTTGCATGTTCGCAACTTTGATTTGTTTTTGTTCTTCGCTTATTATTGAATAATATCGACCTTACAAGACCTGCTCTGACTTTCTGAGTGTTGTTTAAGATTTCATACGAATTTAGCGTTGGTTGTCTGGTCCACTCTCCCTTTCAACTGAGCCGCGAGCGATCCAACATCCTTGCACTAGCCAATGCGACGCCTAATTACGGATTCAAGAAGAGAAGGGCGTACATGGGAAATCGAGATGGGGCCGAGGAAGGTTCTTTAAGGAAATGTTCCTTAGGCCGAGATACTTTCTAAAACTTGTAACCACATTTATATGACTACTAGATATTCGCATAGTTATTTACTTTCCTTAGTGCAGCAGTATCTGTGGGGGATTATTGGAAACATGTCTCTAATTTGCACGTAGGAAATAGACAAGCGACGAACATGGAAAACTATTTCTGGCTCGCATGTCTATCAGATATGTTTATAGAGACGTGGAAATAGATGTGGGCTTTGATAAGGAGACCTAAGCCGCCCTTTCGCAACATTTATCATTTTGAGACTTTATATAGAGAACATTCTGTAGACTGGCTGACACAGTGCTAGAAGACATCGAGATCGAAAGTTACTAAACAGAATATACTAAGGAATAAGCCATGTCATAACTATAGAGAATCCATCAATTGATGGGATACACAGATATACATGTGATGGACGAATCGTTTAGACGACGGTTAATGAACAACCCGGCGATCTAAAAGGTAACTATAAGAAGTATTATGGCCGCCCCCGACTTTCCTGGCACTTTCCTAAATACATCCCAGCAAATCATTTTCTCGATATCTTGTCGATCGATTGGTCGGCCAGAATCTTCTGTACTTATCAACGAATCAATTACTCTATGTGGAAATACATAAGGATAAGGATTTTTTGATGACAATAACCAAGCAGTTTACTTCGCTAACGTTTCACAACCTTCTAACGAGACAAAACCCATCACATGGAACCAAGGAAGGCTCCGTAGGCCTTAAAATGTCGGACCTGTTCGCTTTAAATTCATTGTTTTTTCATTTTATCCTCATCGCTTTGATTAACGCCTATTTTACTATCATTTATCCCATTAAATCAGTGAGAGACCTTGGTAAGAGAAGGAATTATCCAAGCTCGAACTGATCATTATGGAACTATTCGACGTACTCGTTACTTTGCTTACTGTTACTACCGTCTGGGCATTTCCAGTCAGCCAGCCACCACTTACGCACTCCGATAACCTGCCCTGCCCTGCCTGCTGTGCAAAAGGCTGTGAATTGGCTATCTGCGGGATATGTTTTCCCATCCCTATCCCCAGCTCCACCCTCAGGTAAGTAATGGGCATAATGACCCGCATTCACCATGCGCTAATGTTGGTTATCATTACAGTGTCGTGTCAAGTCTATAATTGTGATCAATAGGACGTGACGACCGAGAAGGCTTGAAGGGAAATTGCTTTACATGTTTTGTGTCTTTGATGCCTAGAATTTGATTAATAAGCATACGGTGCATAAATGCGTCTTTGTCAATATTTTATGTCCATTACTTTATCTTGATTTTTATTCACTGAAAATATGTGCTGCATGTATATGTTGGATCGCTGCCAGCCTGCGTATAGACTACTTAGTCAGACCTAAATTGATGATTTAATTTTTGACAAAATTGATAACTCATAATCTAAATAAAATATAATGTAGACGAAGTTCGTGAACGACAATATCGAGAAGATAGCATCATATCATGAAGACAATAAACATGCGATCCCATAACATTATTATGAAGCGTGCGAGACATCCATATTCTAGCGACATTTCCTTTTTTAGCAACTATTTCTGTTTTCGGCAACCACAACGAACCCTATCTATACAGACCCCGGATTCACTGGGTAACTCTGTAAAATCAGGTGCTCTGAGTTGATTATTTTGTACATGTATCGCATCCGAACATGGCAGGATAACCAATCAACCCCTCCATAGATACGCCGTGGCGCCAGGGATGCAGATCTTCCGTAAGCAAGGCTTACTTACTGTGTAACCATCCATCATGCAACGAGCCCCTCCAAGGTCACATTTTATTATTTTGGAGAATGTCTCTTTGCTCTCAGCTTTGGATTTCTGTAAAACAATCAAAATCCTATTACGGAGATACAAGAAAGCAATAAGACATGGCTTCTGAACAGTCACAAAAGGTTTCCGCCTTGATTAATAGATTATCTGCGATTGAGAAATCCTCATCCGGTTCACTTTTCGAGAATGACAAACTCCGTGCCGATGCCGCTCATATTGTGAGGAAGCTTTCTGTAGAGTTGGAGAAGCCGCAGGATGCAATTTTGTTGAACAATGCTCTTGTAAAAGCCCGCCCACCATTATCATATTCAATTCCCGGGTATCTTCATAACTAATAGAGCTAATATTGCATGTTTGCATCTAGCCAGCCCAAACCGCCGCGGTGAGGGTCGGAATTGATCTGCAACTATTCCATCATCTTAGCGACGGACCCGAGGCCAAAACGGTGAACGAACTAACGAAAAGGACAGGCGCTGATGCTGAATTGTTAAGTAGGATTTTCAATTAAAATAAAATATTTAACTGGCATGCTGATATAAAAACAGTACGCATTCTCCGGCTGCTAGTGGCCATGAATTGGATTGATCAAGTTGATGAAAACTCATTTAAACCGACTTCCATCACCAACACATTAAGAGATAGCAAGCCGATGCAAGCTTCTGTCAAACACATGTATTTCAAAATCCATTCTTTTTCCTGGTTATTCTCCTAACTCAAACAGGTACCTGGCGCTTCCAATATACGCCAAGCTTCCGGACTTCTTGAGAAAAACCAACTACAAATCCCCGGCAGACGTTGATGATGGGCCCTTTCAGTATGCCTACAATGTGAAAGAGACGGCCTTCGACTACTGGGCCAAGGATCCCGTCGCTACGGACATATTCAATACATTCATGAGTGGGGTCCGTGCTGGCAGGAAGAACTGGGTACATTGGTTTCCTGTGCAAGATCGTCTAATTTCTGGGTCTAGCGGGAGAGATGAGGATGTTTTGATGGTTGACGTTGGTGGCGGCAGAGGTCACGATCTTACTACTTTTATCAAGACATTTCCGGCTGCTAAGGGGCGCTATATTCTCGAAGATCTCCCGGTAGTCGTTGACGATGTGCATGACAGAATTTCTCGGATTGAGGCTGTGAAACATGACTTTTTCAAAGAGCAACCTATTCATGGTTTGTGCCACTATTCCAAGCTTGGATAGCCCGACAAATAAGGTTGACATTTTTGTAGATGCCCGAGTTTATTTCCTGCATCACGTTCTTCATGACTGGCCGGATGAAGATGTTGTAAAGATTCTATCGCAGGTCACAAAGGTCATGAAGCCGGGCTATTCGAGAGTTCTACTTGGCGAGAATGTTTTGGCTGACGTGGACTGCCACATTTACCCAACCCTGGTAGACTGGGGTATGATGGTGCTTCACTGCGGTATGACCCGGACGGTCGGTAGGTGGAAGACACTGTGTGAATTGGCTGGATTAAAATTTATTAAGTACTGGCCACCTCCTGGAGATGGTGATGGAATTATTGAGGCTGTTTTGGCAGGAGATGACTTGTAATTCCTCGGGTTGGTAAGAAATTGATGGATATATATGGAGGTGTTTAAATGTTCAACAATTTAGACGAGTTAAATTACATACATGTTTATTGAGCTATGCTAAAGTGCCTGATAAATGCACAGGTTGATTCTAGGTACATGGTAGACCATCGAAACCTAGCACAACAGCTTGATTATCATGCTTGGCCATGGATAGGTGACGCAAATTACTCTTAATATATTAATTAGTCATATACGAGAGATACTTAAGCCGAGATAATTCCGTCTTCCTTCGTGGGGAACTTGCCAATTTTCTCCAACATGTCTAAATCCGTGGGGGGTTCTAGTGACAGTCTAACTAGGTCAAAGATAGAGTGAGACTGACGAAAGACTTGATCGATCTGCTCGAGTGAGCGGCCCCCGGTCTCTGGAAAGAAGAAATATATCCCAACCACTGCACCAGTACTGCAAGATGCGTATATAATGTAGTATTTCCAGGCGATGCTAGTGATTCCAACAGGAGTGATCTCAGCAATTTAAAAATTAAATAACCAGCTACTAGCAGCAGCCATGCCTGCGTATGTTTGTCGAATGGATGCCGGTGCAATTTCGGCGGCGTACATGAACGGAATCATAAACATCCCAATAGGGAGGAACAGCATGGCGAGGAAATAAAAGAGGAGAGCTAGCTTACCCGCGACGGGGTTTTCTAGGTCTGATGAAAGCCCTGCAACGGCAGCTTGGCAGACGATCATGGAACCAGTTTGAAAAAGCATCAGCCTGCGACGACCAATTCGCTCCACAAAGAAGCAACCGATGATGGCCCCTATAATAAGAATTATTTGCATGCACCCAGATACGATTCTGGCAATATTTCCCGAGTACCCCACAGTCGTCTCAAGAATACTATTGGAGTAGAATGGGATAATGTTGATGCCTGTCATTTGAGTGATCATAGGAGCTGCTACGACGATCAGCGTTCGGTGAAGATGTCGATCAGGGTCCATAGATCGCGACAGTTGCACCCTGGACGTTGGCATTGTGATCTTCTTGTGAGCCAGTCGTATGTAGTGTATCAATTCCAGGCATAGTCGAAAGGAATGTATCTAGTGTGACCAGGCCATTCATGATCGACTGGTCATAACCCTGTAGCAGGAACGCAACCGCACAGACTATTGCTAGGACGCGCTGCAAAGCAAGACCGCGGCATTTTTGGAACCGCCACATATGAGCTCAACTGAGGGTGACAGCGCATTAAGTTGAATTTGAAAACTTCTCGGATTTCAATCAGCATGCACGCGTTAAATACAATGAGAGCGACTCAAATTCACGATGTGCGTGAAATCCCTGCATTGACGATCGATCCGGGGAGAAAGGAGATGATCTACAGTGGGGATATCTCTACGACCCGATTTGTTCAGGGGCCCGATTTCGGACAGCGATATCCAGAGCACTTCATTGTTTATTCAGTATGGGTTGAGATTTGCAAACCCGAGCAATTCCACTCTGTTTATAACTTCTCGTTCTTGGAAAACGAATGTTCTTCTGTTGATCGTGCGAATAAGTCCCCATGTAAGGTCAGATAGTACCCTAACTCCAGCCCCGTCTGGGCAATTAAACTTTAAACTATCTGAGCATTTTCATAAGTCGCAGTGAATTCTCCAGGGGACACGGACGTGGAACAAAGCAGTCTGTATATCTTCTACAACCATTTATTATCCGAAGTTACTGATATTCCACGGTGGCCCAGGAAAATACCACCCACGGGACCGTGGCTTATAATAAGAGCGAGGATGGATGACAAGATTGTGCGTAATGTAACGGACTCAGCGCTGCACCGGTCACATTGGTGCATGCTCTATATTTGGCGTCCATGTAAGTTAGAACATTCTACACGTACCTTTAATTTCGAAATGTGGCGATGATAAAAAGAAGCAAAAAACTCGCTCGCTTAGATTCGCTTGAATTTCAATTAATGAGATCGATGCGTCGAGGAGAGTGATGATCTCCATAATTACGCCGCGCGCGGGGTTTTCTGGCTGTGGATCCTCCGTAGTTACGGCGAGAATTCTTGCGAGTGCGATATGTTATGTATTACACTTGTCCTCTGCATAACTCGGCTTCTTTTTCTTTTTGTTTAGTTCAATATGTAGTAGGCCTCACGTAGTTTTTAATGATTGGGCACGGTGATGACCGACCCGGACGAAATGAGCTGTCGATGACAGCTATTACTCAGAGGTTTCCATATAAGCTTAAGCTGGTGCCTCGAAGCTTCCCCATGTTTTTGGGCGCCTTCGGGTGATCCCGCCGAATCACAGGGCGTACTGCCGCCCCGAACTATGGGAAGCTTGGGAGCTCGCTAGGGTGACATCGCGCTCTGGGCTTTTACGGTTTGTATTACGCCGTTGCACTGGGACTTTGATTCAAGCTCCCAAGGGTTGCTTAGTTCGCCGGCATTTTGTTTCCTGATCCTCTGTTTCTCGCCCCGCTATTATGACCGAGCTCCACGCCACGTGCGGAGAAGCGAGGGGCCCAGCTAAAATAAAATGAGACAGAAAATAGGAAGAATGTCCCAACTATTTAAAGGGAAGTTCACCCAGTCAGGGATGATCGTCTTCTCCCTTCGAGCAGCCGTCATCATGAGGACTTATTTGGTAATCGCTGTCGGCCTCCTTCTGGGCGCTGATGCCGCTGTATTGGCGAGTAGAAATGGAACTGCATCTTGTCCTGGATACCAGGCGAGCAATGTGAGGACTCGGAATGGCGCTGTCGTCAGTGCAGACCTGACCCTTGCGGGTCCTGCTTGCAATGTATATGGCACCGATTTGGATAACCTGAAACTTGAAATTGAGTATGAGACTGGTAGGGTCCGTTGATTCATCACCTCGTGACTTTTACACTAATACTTGACCTAGATAAGCGAGTCCATGTCAAAATTTACGATGCTGCTGAGCAGGTTTACCAAGTGCCAACATCGGTTCTACCTCGCCCCGACAGCAACAATGGACATCCAGTAAAATCAGACTTTAAAGTGTCAATCGAAAAGAATCCGTTTTCATTGAAAGTCACACGTCGGTCTACCAACGAAGTCCTCTTCGATACGTCCGGTCATCCATTGATATTTGAGTCGCAATATCTTGGATTGCGCACAAGTCTTCCAGACTCTCCCAATCTCTACGGCCTGGGTGAGAGCACCGACTCGTTTCGGTTACAGACAGACAACTATATACGGACACTCTGGTCTCGCGATGCTTATCTCACTCCCCAGAATTCCAATTTGTACGGAAATCACCCTGTATACTTTGATCATCGTGGTAGCAAAGGTACACATGCCGTTTTCCTCTTGAATAGCAATGGAATGGATATCAAGATCAATAAAGACTCTGATGGTCAATACCTCGAGTACAACACTCTTGGTGGCATTTTTGACTTCTACTTCTTGGCCGGGCCGACTCCCAAAGATGTCGCGGTTCAGTATTCAGAGACTATTGGTAAGGCTGTTATGATGCCATACTGGGGATTTGGCTTCCACACCTGCAGATATGGGTATCAGGATATCTATGAGGTGGCCGAAGTCATTGCTAATTACAGTGCTGCTAATATTCCACTGGAGACACAATGGACGGATATCGGTACGTCATTAATCATTTTCTACTTGGATTGCTTGCTAATCTGTAAAAGATTATATGGACTTGAGAAAGGTGTTCACTTTGGACCCTCTTCGTTACCCACTCCACCTCGTTCGTGAGGTTGTTTCATATCTCCATGACCATAATCAGCATTACATCGTTATGGTCGACCCTGCCGTGTCTTACTCTGACTACCCTGCGTTTAATGATGGCGTAAAAGACGACGCCTTCTTGACCACTTCAAACGGATCTGTTTATCAGGGAGTCGTCTGGCCAGGAATTGCTGCCTTCCCGGATTGGTTTGCTCCAAAAACGCAAGACTACTGGAACGGCCAATTTTCAAGCTTCTTCAGTGCAGATACCGGTGTCGATATTGATGCTCTGTGGATCGATATGAACGAAGCCTCGAACTTTTGCCCCTGGCCGTGCTCAGACCCAGCAGCCTTTGCACAGTCGAATGGTGACCCGCCTAACCCCCCTGCCGTTCGACTGTCTGCACCACGACCTATACCCGGCTTTGGGCCCGATTTTCAACCTAAATGTGTCGCTTCGGTGTCATTTACCGTCCATGCAGAGACATACAACGGAGAGAATATCTACATTCTCGGTAGCTCGCCCAGTTTGGGAGAGGGGGACTCCCACAATGCCGTTGCTATGAGCGCCGCTAACTACCCTGAATGGCAAGTCACGGTTGATATGCCGGTCAATGGTACATTCACGTATGAGTACATTCGCAGGGAGTCCGACGGTAGCTGGATTTATGAGAAGCAAAATCGCACAATCACTACAGGTGATTGCGAAACTGGCGTACAACAAGTCTCTGGCAACATCACTACAAACTCTGGGCCGCAAAAGCGATCTCTTGACTCTTCTTTGGCACCCATGACACGATCGCAGACCCCACGTGATATTGCGCAGAAGCGTGATGGTTCTATGTCCGGCCTGCCCGGAAGGGATCTTCTAGACCCTGCGTATCACATCAACAATACTGCGGGCTCAATCAGCAACTTGACTATTCGGACGGATCTGCATCATTCCAACGGCCTCGCTTTGTATGATACTCACAATTTCTACGGTAGCATGATGAGTTCTGCTAGCCGCGACGCTATGCTTGGCCGCCGGCCATCCGTACGCCCCATGGTGTAAGCACACAGGTTCCTTTATTAAAAACATATACTGACATTCAGTAGTATTACACGGTCCACTTTTGCCGGTGCAGGACGTCAAGTTGGCCACTGGCTAGGAGACAATAATGCCGACTGGGACCACTACCGTTGGACTATCTATGAACTGCAGGAGTTTGCTGCCCTCTACCAAATCCCTATGGTAGGCAGCGACGTATGTGGTTTTGCTGGTGATACGACAGATGAGCTCTGCTCTCGCTGGATCTTTGTTGGTGCTTTCTCGCCCTTTTTCCGCTCCCACCAAAACCTAGGTACCGTACCACATGAATTCTACAGGACACCCATGATAGCCGCCGCCGCCCGAGCAGCCATCGACATCCGCTATCGCCTCCTCGACTACGCTTACACTGCCATGTGGACGCAGACACAGACCGGAATACCCATGATTAACCCGATTTTCTTCGAGTATCCTCATGATGACAACACGGTGGACCTGCCATACCAATTCTTCTATGGCTCAAGCATCTTGGTAGCCCCAGTTACCGAGGAAAACTCCACCTCGGTATCCATCTATCTACCCAAGGATCTATTCTACGATTTCTACACTGGTGCCCCTGTTCAGGGACAAGGGAAAACGGTCCAGCTAACCGATGTTGCCTTCGACACGGTTCCATTGTACTACAAGAGTGGCAGTATCATTCCGCAGCGCATAGCTTCCGCTAACACGACAGTATTGCTCCGTCAGCAGAACTTTGAAATCGTAGTTGCGCCTGATTTCCATGGCCGAGCATCCGGAACATTGTATCTTGATGATGGAGACAGCATTGAGCAGCCGCATACCTCAGAAATCTTTTTTGAGTACTACAACGGTATTTTCTTGATCACTGGCAAGTTCGGATATAATGCTGGCGATGTGGCGATCAGTCAGATTCGGGTCTTAGGTGAAAATGCGAAAAACCATACTGTTAATGTCAAATTGACCGGCGACTATCACGGAAAATTGAACTAGATATTGTGCATATAGGTTTACATAGCCTAAATTCAATATATAAGGTTTTTGAGTTTATTTTCCCATCCGACAGCCTATTCCTAGGAGTCTGGGCGGCTTGGCGTTGCTGGCTCAAACTAGTCACATGATTCACGATGGTAATTTCAATATCTTAGGTCCATAAAATCCCACTAGTTTCTACTTTTACCATCCCTACTAGATATATCAATAGTCGTTTGAGTCGTGGATCATCTTCGTGGATGATACCCGCTTATGTAAAGTGATATTAAACTTTCCGGGCCCAGAATTAGAATTTTCCCCCCACTTCGGTCTACACGACGTCGAAAAGACGACGCCAATAATAAACAAGTATCTCCGAGGCTAGAATGCTTAACTGACATATCTTACACTAGCAGGATGGAAGGAGAGTTAAGAGAAATGCAAAATCTTCGGCCGGAAGGTCAAGATTCCGCCATAGAAGCAAGTGAAATGCGCCAGTTACCTCCCGTAGATGGTGGAAAGGATGCCTGGTTGTTTCTGGCTGCTTGTTTCATCATTGAGGCTTTGGTCTGGGGTTAGTAAGAGACTAGAAAAATAGAAACAGAATTCAAATTGATGCATGCAGGTTTCACATTCTCCTTTGGAATCTTCCAAGATTACTACAACACCCATGAACCATTCAAAGGCTCGGGAGATATTGCCATCATCGGCACTTGTGCAATGGTGAGTTGAGAAACTTTGAGTTTCGACAACTGCTAAACAGTGTACAGGGTGTCTCCTATATCCTTGCTCCTTTAGCCTTTGCACTGTTGATTGCTGTGCCCCGGTTCCGTCGATGGGCGACGCCTGTCGGCTTCCTGATTATGTGTCTCTCGCTGGCTCTCAGTTCTTTCTCAACAAGCATCACGCAGTTGATTCTCTCTCAAGGAATTGCCTATGGAATCGGGGCCAATATTGGCTATGCACCGACCATCATCTTTATGGGCGAGTGGTTTGTCAAGAGGAAAGGGCTAGCTTTTGGTATCATGTGGGTGAGTGTACATCTTTTCAATATCCCATCAACATGTGCTGATCATATATAGGCTGGCACGGGTTTGTCTGGAGTTATTCTTCCCCTTGTGTTACAGCGACTTCTTGACTTGTACGGATTCAAAACCACCCTTCGAGTCTACGCGCTTGTACTTGCTCTCCTCTCTGCGCCTCTTATATATTTTGTCAAGCCACGGCTTCCCGTAGCACAGTCCTCGCGATTTCGTCCATTTGATCTGCGATTCTTGCGAAATCCGACTTTCCTTATCTACCAAGTGTGTAATGTGGTACAGGCACTCGGCTTTTTTCTTCCAACTATTTATCTTCCAAGTTATGCTCGTTCGTTGGGTGCCGGGAGTTTGACCTCCTCCCTTACCGTTATTCTCGTCAATCTAGCATCCGTCTTCGGCTGCGTTATTATGGGCCATTTGACCGACCGACACAACGCTACAACGTGTTCACTCATCTCTCTCATTGGAAGCGCTTTGTCCGTTTTTATAATCTGGGGGTTCTCTGTGACTTTAGCGCCGTTGTATGTATTTTGTATCGCCTACGGCATCTTTGCTGGTTCTTTCTCTTCTGCATGGCCAGCGGTCACCAATGATGTCATGAGACAGGACCCGTTGGCAGAGGCGAGCATGATATTGGGCTTTCTGGAGACTGGACGCGGTATTGGGAATGTGGTCAGCGGGCCGCTGAGCGAAGCCTTGCTAAAAAATTATGCCTGGAAGGATGTATTAAAGGGAGGCTATGGGACAGGGTATGGCACACTTATTGTTTTCACGGGTGCCACAGCGTTGTTGAGTGCATTGAGCATTATGGCACCACCGCTCAGACGAATGTTCGGCACATATTTTTAAATCCTTTCGTTCCGGGTCTCCACCTAAGATCAAACGATGCAGGTACGGCTTGACAGCATCTCAATTTCATTTTCCATTTGCAGATTCAATTGGCAGCGTCAGCATATGACTCTTCACGTCAATAGGTAGCAAATAAAAAGCATCAAGTTATTATAGAAACATCTCATTATCTCATTCAATAGGTCAAGTTATTATAGAGATTTGGAAATATCCATCATCCTCAGCTAGCAATTCGCCAGACGAAATACATACTAACAAAAGGGCCCCGATTTAGCTTTCTGTTGTCGTGAATTGATCATTTTAGAACCAGCGCGTTCGGCCGACCGATTCATTAGACCAATTTTGAGAAAAGAGATAGGGGAGGAATAGATTTCCCAGTTAAAAACTAAAAAAATAAAATCCCTTTTTTCTCGCCGGATGAAAGGAAAGGACACCGAGCTCTCCGCACAAAATCCAGCCACTTCGATGCTTAATAGAGGCTAGATGGAGGCGTGCGCAACTCTAAACGTCCTTCAGTGTTTGAATCCATCCCTTGGATGACCACGTGCCATTTCACGAATGACTGCTGTCTGGTGGAAAAGCCCTTTGCCGGCGCAATTGGCTCGTCTTTTACCTTCCCAGCGTTTTTAACCTAAATAAAACAAAGGGGCTACGCTCAGTGCAGTAATTCGAAACGCAATGCAGATACTAATAACCTTTATTTACCGTTTAAAAAAAAAGCTGTAGCGTCAACTTGTAGTGATTGATCAACTTGGTCAGTAGCGGAAAAACAAAAGGAAGAAAATTTACCCGCGATATGCTCCTTGCACAATTATGAAGTGGAGAGGCTTACGTTTCCTGCCCTAGATCTGCTCAAAGATAGCCTTAATAGAGATTTAATGACTCTGAGTGGACTGAAGAATTACGCGAGGGTTGTGTCAAGTAAATAGCAGTACGTAGAGGGACGACTAAGCTCGCGCTAAGTGTGTATATTCTGATCCCCTGAACTAGATTCATGATTTCCTCGCTCCGAAGCAGACCTTTCTTGTTGTTTCTAGTTAGATCATCGCCGATCATCCGTATCCAAATGTTTCGAGACGAAGAAATTAGGAAACCGAGTCAAAAGCGTGCGACCGGAGCGGGAGAGAGCTACATAGTACAGAGTGTGATTCTATATAAAATGGCCTGCAACCAGTCACCTAGATAGCCCCCGAATATACTCTTTAAAGTAGGATCGCTTCACTGCCTGGGAGCCACTCCCTTTTTATCATTGCTTCACTCTTCTATCTTTTTCTTTCAGAGTTCATTTATCTTTGTCAAAAGTAAAGGGATTAAAAATGCGTCTCAACTGGGGCCGCTTGCTCTCTACAGCGGCAATTACATCAGTAGTTATTGCCGCAACTACTTCAAGCAAGACCCTCAGCGACATATGCTCCAAATCTGTTGTACAAGCTGCTTTGCCCTCCGACATCATCCAGGGAATCACAATCGACTCAAGCTCAGTCACAACGAACATTGTCACGAACAGTTCTGTCACTAGTAATTTCTTTCCGGACTCTATTATTAACTTCTGCAACGTGACATTTGCCTACTCGCACGATGGAATCACAAATGACCGCGTTCTTCTCGAAATCTGGCTGCCGGCAACAGCTCAATTCCAGAACCGCTGGGTATCAACCGGCGGTGGCGGCTACGCCATCAACTCCGGCGACTCGTCCATCCCTGTTGGTATTATCTACGGAGGAGCATCTGGCATGACAGACGGCGGCTTCGGTAGCTTTTCGAATAGTGCCGATACGGCTATGCTTCTTGCTAACGGAACTCTTAACTATGAGACCCTGTATATGTTTGGGTACAAAGCACACTGGGAATTGAGTAAGATCGGCAAGGCTTTAACTAAGAACGTTTTTGGTTTGTCTGGTAGTGATAAGCTATACTCTTACTATCAGGGGTGTTCTGAGGGTGGCCGAGAAGGTTGGAGTCAGGTGCAGCGCTACGCAGGTGAGTGGGATGGAATTGCTGTCGGTGCCCCGGCCTTTCGTTGGTCGTTCCAGCAGACGCAGCATTTATTTTCGAATATAGTTGAGAAGACATTGGATTACTACCCACCACCCTGCGAGTTGGAGAAGATCGTGAACGAGACTATTGCCGCATGTGATCCTCTGGATGGCAAGACCGACGGTGTAGTCTCAAGATCGGACCTTTGTGCTCTTCACTTTGATATCGAAAGCGTTATTGGCAAGTCTTACTATTGCGCGGCGTCGAGCGGCGGGCCCGGTCCGTTCAAGAAGTCCAAGAGACAGTTTGGTGGTGGTGGCTCAACCCCTACACAAAACGGCACCGTTTCTAGGAAGGGTGTTGAAGTTGCAAAAACCATCATCAATGGACTACACGACTCAGAGGGCCGTCGGGTATACTTCTCATACCAACCCGGCGCGGACTTTGATGATGCACAGACACAGTACAATTCCAACACTAACACATGGGAACTCGATATTGATCAACTAGGCGGCGAACACATTGCTCTACTAGTGTACAAGAACGGCACAACTCTGGACTCGCTTGATGGAGTAACGTATGACACCTTGACAGAGTGGATGGTTTCCGGTATGTTGGAATACGATAGCACTCTTCAGACTACCTGGCCCGATCTCACTCCATTCCAAAAGGCCGGCGGAAAGGTTATTCATTTCCACGGTGAAGCCGACCCAAGTATCCCTACTGCGTCCTCTATTCGGTACTGGGAATCAGTCCGTCAGATCATGTATCCTAATATGACATATCTGGATGGTGCAAACGCTTTAAAAGAATGGTATCGTGTTTATACTGTACCCGGTGCTGCGCACTGCGCCCCTAACCCATTAATGCCCAATGGTCCTTGGCCGCAAACATCTCTGGGTAATCTAATTGATTGGGTTGAAAAGGGAGTCACGCCGGTTACATTAAACGCCACTATCCAGCAGGGAGAGCATATCGGTGACAACCAGCAGCTGTGTGCGTATCCTCTACGTCCTCTGTGGAAGAGTAACGGCACTATGAGCTGTGTTTATGATGAAGCATCAATCGCCACATGGAACTATGATCTCAATGCAGTTCCTGCTCCCGTATACTAGGATGATCACATATAAATAGTTATTCGTCCATTGTATTTATTGAATAGCTCGCATTAGACTCTCAAATGCTATTTTAATTAAATCGAGATTCAGTAACCTAGGTTACATTCTCCACTTGTATGAAATATCGGCATATCGAGATAGCTACATGTAGGGCAAACAGTATTTGTTTATATGTCAAATTTTCTCCTCTCTCAACTCAACATCTCAACTCAATCGTTCTAAATTCAGTCACTTTATCTAGTTTATCCAAAAGGAACACATTTACCTGTTATTTGGTCCCAAAATTACCTCCTCTTATCCACTTTAAAAGATATAAATTATTTTGGCCTACCTGATAACCAGAATGGTATATAATTATCGCATTTTTATTGTCATTGAATGTTATTGTCTCCCCTTAGCTTCTCACACACCTTATCCTGTTGTCATTTTCCGCCCTCCCACAGACTTAGTGCATAAAATCCCGGTTGTTCCCTCTCTAGCACTAAGTCTAAAGCCGGCTCTTGGCTACATATACACTAGGGTGATAAACTTTTGAATATAGCACCACATAAAATTGATGAGGTATAGGAGGCTTCCTTATATCAATAGTACTAATAATATTTCAGCCTTTTCCATTATCTACGAGCGGGGCCTTCAAGAACTCTAAATTTAAGCTGATATAAATTGGTGTAAATGCAGATGAAATGGAAAGACAGAAACTCTTAACACTATATTCAAACTTTTGTCATATTAGCGTAACCTGAATAATACCAAAGCCGTAACAACATTTAACGAAGAGCGCTGAATACTGCCCGTAATGGAAAGGAGCGTTGGCTTGGCGCTAAGTGGTCTAGAATCCACTGTGGCTGACACGCTTAACTACCCGACGTCGCGCGCTTTATCTGTTTGTTCTTTGCTAAAGTAATTCCTTTATCATGACTATTGCGCGTAGTTGTAGCTGATAATCTTCTTTGAGGAACTGCAGACCAGCTGTATGTGTATGCGCAATGGGCGTATTCTTCAGCAAACAGCCCCCACCAACAGTGTCGACCGACCAGGTCATCCCGTTCCGATTTGCCGACGACTTTCCCTACACACGCGGGCTGTGCTTGGACATTCATTTTCGATTTGACGATGTGCTCGATCCAGAGAAGCTGCGTGATGCCCTTGAGCGATTGTTGCAGAAGGATGGGTGGCGCAAACTCGGCGCGCGATTGAGACGAACGGTATGTTTTGTGTTGTCCCTGTTATCATTAGTATTTGATTCAGTCACTAAGATATGAAAACAGAAAGATGATAAATTGGAGTACCATGTGCCCGCAGAGTTCAGCGAGAAGCGTCCTGCTGTCTTGTACTCCACAGACAAACATAATGCTTCTATTTCTGATCATCCCGTTCTATCCCAGCTACCAAGAGGCAGCGGTGAAAGGCCGGCATTATTCGAATCTCCAATAAAGTTCCGTCCGTACATGCGCGCTGCTAATGGCCCGGAGCATATTAATGACTGGCTCTATGCCGATATCCCCCAGCTAGTAGTGCATGTGATCGGCTTCAACGATGCGACAATTATCACCGTCACATTCATGCACACACTCACCGATGCGATGGGCATTGTGGCACTTCTACGGGCCTGGACAGCAGTTCTACGTGGCGAAGATGAGAAAGTTCCTCCGTTTGTTGGGTTTGATAAAACCGACGACCCGATTGAGACTCTGCATAAGGAAATTCCGGCCTCCAAGTTCGTGCTCGCAAACCGGGTCGTCAAGGGCTTGGAATTTTTCAAGTTTGTAGTTCGGATGATTTTCGAGCTTGTATGGTGGCCTACAGACGAGGGAGGGACAGTGTTCGTTCCGGGCGAATACATCAAGACCTTACGCGAGTCCGCAATAGCCGAATTATCTAAAACGCAGACTTCCAGCGACAAGGATTCTGACATGGCCAAACCATTCCTCAGTGAAAGCGACGTGCTTGTAGCCTGGTGGATGCGGGTTTTGGCCAGGACAATCAATCCCCCGCCCCATCGTACCATCACTCTAATGAACGTGTTTGACATACGAGGTGTGCTCGCTGAACTGGGCCGCGTGTCTTCCCCCAACATCGCCCTTTTCGCAAACGCCACTTATGCATCCACCAGCCTAATCCCCGCAGGCGATTTCATCAGCCCTGATGTTCCACTTAGCTCACTCGCATCTCGGATCCGTAACGCCATCGACACCCAACGTACACCCGAGCAACTCCAAGCACAGGCGGCCCTTTTGCGGGAAAGCGTCGAGAAAACGGGACATGCACCACTCATGGGCGATTCCGGGATGTTACTAACCGCAGTGTCAAATTGGCATCGTGGAAAGCTGTTCCAGGTTGATTTCTCAGCTGCCGTAGTAGCCCAAAAGGCCGTTTCGCGTGCAAATCGTCCAAAGGAAAGTCAAACTGGAAAGCCGTCGTTTATTACCACGTCGGCGACTTATTCGGGTTTCTCGATACGTTATTCTCAAGCAGTTATCGGGAAGGATTTGGCTGGTAATTGGTGGTTGACATCTTGCTTGCGGGCTGGGATGTGGAAGAAGGTTGCAGAACAAATTCAGATACTATGAGTGTGAGTCAAGTATGGTATAATTCCAACGCTGCATGAATTGGAAAGAGTGTATATAGACTGGTTTGACTTCAAGAAAACTCTAGAAGAAGAGACATTTCTCATTACTGATTTAATACCTACCTTCAAGGAAGGCTGCCAATATTATTAACATCCATTAGTCCGCGAAATAGTTAGTGTAAAGATTCTATTCAATTGCAACAGTGTTTTTACAACGGTGAACTGCAGGAGCAGATGGATGTATTTAGGTGGGTCTCATTTATATTTCCTTTACACGATATCGATTACAGACTACTAATAGTTCGTAAATATTTTACATTGGAATTGGGCCTAACACCGGGATTACGGTCCGTAGAATAGGGGGGAAAAGAGGGTCAATACTTCCCAAACCATTCCCAAGTATCCTCTTTTAGATAGATCCCAAACGGAGCGTCGAGCAAAAAGCAGTGCGAACGATTCCAATAATCGTACCCCGGATGCCTACCGCCGGTCAAACCGAGCACAAAATTTTTGATCCAGGGAAGTACCTGCGGAAGCCAAACATATCGGACCTTATGATGGGCCTCACCAGTCTCTATCCCAATGGGAACGCCCTTAGCTAGCAGCCATATTATAGTTCTCGGATTATGCGCCAGTATCGCCTGGGTCATAGCCTCTCGGCCGGGAGTCCAGCGGTCGCATCGACAGTCTAGAGTCGGTTTATCGATGTTTACCAGGTTTTGCTGGACTAGGAAATGCATTAAATGGATTTGACTTCCATACGTGGCTGCGAAGAACGCTAAGTTTGGGCTACCCCCATACTCAATAAAGATTGAGACGGCTTCTGTATGACCGTAGCGCGCAGCTGTTTCAATAGGGGTGAACTGCTTATAGCTATCTCCCTCCATTACTTTTGTTGAAGCGCCTGCATCTAGCAAAAGTCTTATCATTGCAGTGCGGTTTTGAGCCGCGGCAGCGTGCAGGGCCGCACCATGCAATCGTCGCGGCAGGATGTCTCGTGGTGTAAAATTAAGATCGGTCTCTGAGTCAAGAAGATGGCGCACGATATTTTCCCTGTCGTGGCGAACGGCTTCGATGAGTATTTGGCTCTTGAATTTGCCTATGCTGTCGAGATCGAGACCCGCGACATCGAAGAGCATGTCTAGTATCCGTTCGTGCCCGCTACGCGTAGCAGCTAGGATGGCTCTGTAGTACTCCGGGCGGAATTTCGGCCATATATTATATTCCGGCTTCAAAAGCAGTCGCACGATAGCTTCGTGCCCGGACAGTGCCGCTGCACGCAACGGACTCCCGTCAGGGCTTCGATCTACATGACGTGACCAAAGATAGACATGGTGTAGGTCGCGGCAATGATCAAAATCATTTTTCGTCAAAGCCACAATTCGACGAGCGTCTGCGCCGTTGTCAAGAAGATACTGCACAATTTCTATATGCCCCCATGCTGCAGCTAAGTGCAGTGGCCGCCCGAAATACTCGCTCTTTTTATTCACACCGACAGACTTGCCAAGCTCTTTGAAAAGGGACATCGTAAGGGACAAGTTCCCGGTGATAATTGCCCCAGAAATGAGATTCTGTCGCCGCGTATTTTCGCCTTTGATGGTGTGGTCTTTGTCGAGGACGTCGCAGGTAGGATTTCCTGACTGCGCGGCTGCTAAGGCTATCGTCTCCCTGATTCTCGCAGCCTGTTCATTGTCTGCCCCGGTCAACTCAGCCAGTCGCGTGGAGACGTTAGAGATGGCAAGAAAGGTGCGCGTTCGGTACCTAGCGACGGAGTACGAGCCAGATAGAAGAATCCTAGCTCGCAGACTAGCAGACATTTCTGCATACCGTTCGCGATGTTGGTTCCTCAAGCTGTTCCTTATGTACTCACACGATGAGACTATGTATGTAATGTCATCGTTGAACATCTTATTGACTACCCGCAACCTTAGTGCTTTCAGTAGTCCGATGGAGTTCGCCAGGAGCTCCAAGATCATGAGAATCAGCTCCCGCGGAAGATTTCCGAATTCCATGGTCGGTAGGGTGGATACACAACTCTCTTCCTTGCGTGTAGATACTTGTCTCGTGGCCAGACGCGGGGTATGGAGAAGGAGGTATCACGGCCATTGTTTTCTGCGAAGGATCCAGACTTTTCGCCGAGGAGCTAGAATAGGCTGCAACAGGGTAGTCTGCCTAGCTACGGCAACTACCATTTGAATAAGAACTTTTGGCAATGATTAACGATTCCCTTCATAGCGATGCGAGAAAAATAGGAAGACAAGGAACAGAACAAATAAAAATGCATATAAAATGTCGACGTTGTGGGGTCACATAAGCCGACTCGGGCTCCTCCGCCAATTTAGGTCCCTGATGTGGGCGCCGACAGGCTGTTCAGTATACCACGTGATCCCTACTCAACCTTTGCTTAGATTCGTCCTTTTCGAGATAACAGAATTAGAATATTGGTTTTCAGGCTTGACACCATGTGGTGTATGACAGTTAGCCATCTGTTGCGGCTGCAACGAGGCCACCCGTCGTCGCACATATTTGCTACATATGGAATACGGACCGTATCATTTCTTCGCTACACCTGTTTCACAATATCGGCGAGTCTCTCGGTGCATTTTCTGTTCAGCTATTAACTCTCTACTTCCTCCTTTTTATTTCCTACACAATGAAATACTGCCCCAAACCAGCCAATCACACGCAGCGGGTGAAGGTATATAGTTGGATTGCAAACCCCGCGCTGTGATTGGCTGGCACATGAACTTACCTGGGCATTTCGAGATGGAGATTTGTTGGTTGCGGCATGATTCTATTGTCTGGGACTCTCAGCGGCATCAATGAATGATAATATCAGCTCACTGTCTCAGCTGCAATTATCGCCGCAAACAATGAGAAGGGATGACTCAACCCAGCTCAGACACTACTGAGTCGTGCCGAATCACCACCAGGGATCATGCTCCAACCAGCGCACCGGCTTTCAATGCCGACTGGTCGCAAGTGATAATCCTGAAGTGCACGTCCCGGCGCGTTTCTTTTGTCGGTCTCGACGCCGACTATCTGTCTCGCCTGACATCTCGTGACACATGTATCCTATTTCCCCCCAGACCGACAGCGGTCCCCGAGACTTGACAGGCGATCACCACGATAAACTCTGGCCGTGCAACGTTAGCGACCGATACCACGTTTATGATATGGCTGCCATAATATTATTGGAAGACTGCATATCATAGATGGCATAGAAGATTAAACGATTATAAATTTATAATACTAGCCGTGGTCGACCGAGGCGGCCACGTTGGGTGGACCCACTCTCCTGCTTTGCGGCGCTGGCTCAATGATACCGTGCCAACGGTGGATATGAACGGATATCTGCTATCTCGCTTATCAACCGAGCCCACGCATCTCATATCGACATGGATGCTTGTCGAGGTGCAACTTGGGCATTGGCATCGATTCATTAGATAAGCATAAGCGACAACAGCAGCCACGGTCACATCGTATCGCGATTTGTTGTTGGGAGTTTTCGCCTCATGCCGCGTCGTTGGGATGGACAGTAGCAGTAAGTTAGTCAATGAAATACAGTTATCCCTGTTAAGCTTTCCGGGTCAATGGGAGGCATCCCGAAAGCATGCTACGCTGTCTATCTTTGTCACTGTTACAACCAGCCAGAAAGCCACGCCTCCCCCGCAAATTCCACCCACGGATGGTATGGATGATCTCGCGTGCGCGCTGTCCTTCCATTTCCTTTCCGTTTTCTCTCTCGAGTCCTTACATGTCACGCGCACGGGCAGTAACTAGGCTTTCCTTGACACATGCTTTCCACCTCCCCATACTATGAGCGAGATGTGCCATGGGGAAACTGAAACAGACACAGAAATTACGTAAGAAGGGTTCCAGCCGATCCAGCCAATGGGATTTGGCAGGTCACGGGACCCGGTACCCCGTACTAAGTAACGAAGCTGGTCCCAGCTTGATCGGAGTCCGAAATTGCCTTATTCCTGCACGTGAGCAGTCGGGCTGAATGCAGTTGGTCGCATTGAGATCCAAGGCAACAGAGGATAAAACAAAACAGAAACAATATTTTGTTTCACTACCAGTCTCAGAGTACAGAGTATGAGTATTCATGACTGATGATCACGGCGACGGAATTATATTTGGCATCACTAGCAGCACGCTAGGTCGTAAATGCAAGCCCTAAATCAAATAGCACTCTTTCAAAGGCTCTCTTCCATGAGGCTAAAATTGATTGCAGTACGAGGTAACTAATTAGCGGGTAGTCTCTTGGGGCCGCCAGCGGGGCCAATAGAAGCCGCACGAGAAGCTTCGAGGACAGCGATCACGGTCATGTCCGGCACAGCGGCCACATGGACTGCAGGAATAAGAATCATCCAATAATAGCATGGTCGAGTACGACACATGTCTTTGATAAGAAGGCGCGTTGCGTTACCTTCCACCACGCAGGCTCGCGGCTACGACAAACCCTAGTCCTTGGAGTAGGTTGCATGTGCTCTTAAGCCACTTGATGCTATGAGCTATGAGCAGCAGAAGAATATGCTTCTGTCGAGAGTCGGTGGCTGCGTGCACAGGGAAGAAAGGGAGGGTTAGTGATGCTACCGTGCAATCCGGGGACGGCTGGTGCTAACTTAAAACAACCCCTAAAAGAGCGGACGGTGCAACCCTACTATCTAGCTTGCCGGCACCGCACCCCACCTGCGCACGCGACAGGCCAATGACTGGCTGTCGCTGGGCGTGTCTTAGCCTGTTTGGGGAAATATTGGCCCGCTAGTCTGGACTGCGGTTAGTGGCGGGGCTTGTTTGCAGCGCCACCGGCCAATGGCAGCCTGTGCCAGCGATCTGGCGGGCTGTTTTGGGCCCCGCCCCCGAATGGCGCCTTCCCCGAAGCGGGCAGGCAGGTGCTACGGTGCCGAAAAAAGTTGGCTGCGGTTGTCCGCGCTCGACCTGTCAGCCAGCGTCAGCAGGGGTGCCATCTGGCTCTTTGGAGCTGCCCTATCTTTGGTTGCATTCTCGATAATAATAATAACAACACCTCAGACGAGCTGTTGTACTGGCCACTCTCGCTACTGCCAATTGCCGCTAGCCGACACCCTAATTCCTGCGAGTATCCATTGTTTCGCTCCGGCAGTGGGGCCTTGCGCTGCTGTCGTTCGCGATAAAAAGATCGCCTCAGTCCCTGTCCTCGACCTCGATCCTTCTTCTTTCTCTCTGTGAATATTCTCTGCCGCAGAGTCCCAGCTCCTCTCATCCACCACCGTACGATCGTTGTCGAGGACAGTGTACTTGATTCCGCATTCCCTCAGTCCATCATGGCTGATACCAAGGCCGCCGAGGCCGATGTCTACCAGTCGTCTGAGCAGACCGCTGGCACCGCCGCTGTTGCCGACACGCTCCCTGCTGGATGGATGTACAAGCGCTTCAAGATCGGCGCATGGGCATTGCCATGGTACGCCTCTCCCAAGATCCAACTTGGTATGATCGCCTTCGTGTGTTTCCTGTGCCCCGGCATGTACAACGCCCTCTCGGGCCTTGGTGGTGGTGGTCGCTCGGGCACTGACACTGAGCTGGCCGATAAGATGGTAAGTTTCCCCTTTGAGTCGGCGAATGGGGCCGGCGACCGCAGTAGCTAATGAAAACAGAACATTGCTCTCTACTCGACATTCGCTGTCGTTGGTTTCTTCGCTGGTAGCATCGTCAACCGTATCGGTATTCGCATCAGTTTGGCCTTTGGTGGTATTGGTTATACGCTCTACTCGATTTCGCTGCTTGTCTCCGTGCACGATAGTGTGGACGGCTTCAACATTTTCGCTGGTGCTTTCCTGGGTATCTGCGCTGCTATCCTTTGGACTGCCCAGGGTGTCATCATGGTTTCGTACCCGACTGAGGAGCAAAAGGGTCGCTACTTCGCTTGGTTCTGGGCCATCTTCAACGTTGGTGCTTGCATTGGTTCCTTGATTCCCCTGGGCCAGAACATCCACACCACAACTGACAGCACCGTCAACGATGGAACCTATATCGCCTTCATCGTTCTCATGTTTGTCGGTGCTTGCCTGGCCGTGTTCCTGTGCGATGGTCAGAGGATTATCCGTTCCGATGGCACCAAGGTCGTCATGATGCAGAACCCCAGCTGGAAGTCCGAGTTCATTGGCATGTGGACCACCCTCCGTGCTGAGCCCTTCGTCATCCTGCTCTTTCCCATGTTCTTCTCCTCCAACTGGTTCTACACCTACCAGCAAAACGCCATCAATGCTGCCTACTTCAATACCCGTACTCGTTCTTTGAACGGTTTCCTGTACTGGTTCGCTCAAATTGTTGCTGCCTCGATTATCGGTCCTCTTCTCGATCTCAAGGGAATCCGCCGTACTGTTCGTGCCAGGATCATGCTTGTTGTTCTCATCAGTCTCACCCTCGTTATCTACGGTGGTGGCTATGCCTGGCAGAAGAACTACACCCGCGAGTCCGTCGGTAAAGGCAGCGGCTTTGTTTCCTGGGATTGGACACATGACGGCTATGCAGGCCCTATGTTCCTGTACTTCTTCTACGGATTCTACGATGCTGTCTGGCAAGGCGCTGTTTACTGGTATGTCTAGATTTCCCGTACATTCTATCTCGTTGTACCTTTTCTAACAGATAACAGGATTATGGGTGCTCTCTCCAACTCTGGTCGCCGTACTGCCAACTACGTCGGTTTCTACAAGGGTATCCAGTCCGCCGGTTCCGCCGTCATGTGGTCTCTCGACAAGGACAAGACCTCCTTCATGGGCGAATTCGCTTCCAACTGGGGTCTCCTGCTGGGCTCTCTTGTCGTCGCCGCCCCAGTCATTCTGATCCGTATCCGCGACCACATTGATCTCGAGGATGATCTTGTCGACGTTGACGAGACCGCCGAAACCGTTCTCCGCACCGCCCCTCCCGTTGAGAAATCATAAATAAGCGTAGATACAACCTTTCCCTTGATGGGAAAATTATAACTTGCAAAAGAAACAATTCCTTTTTGGTTTGATTTGATTTTGCAGGCTGCGTTTGTTTATTAGCGATACCACGCATACATGGATGCCAATTTCCATGTGTTGCATCGATCTTTTACTTTCTCCTTCAATTCATGCTTACATGTTGGCTGTACAGTTATTTACATACTATTTTGGTCTCTCGGGTGTGTGGAGCATGTTTATACTTAATAATGATACCATGTGGATAACATTGTCAACGTCAACTCTTGATGCATATCTACCTCGCTCGTAGTACATAATCAGCATGCAGTCTCGAATCTTGATTTCATCCACCTTAGTGCTACTCTAGTAAAGTTAACTGGTATACAAGAAGCCGCACTAAAAACACCTTGATGCGTAGTTAAGTTAAAGTTAGATAATATGACACTACGTAATATCTACATCGAGATATATCTCAAACACTTCAAATGATATTGATTATATATTTCAAAAGATGAGAAATATCAAATATTATCCGTGGTAATTATACATAAAGTTGACAGTAATGTGTATATACGTATCGGCAAATATCTGCATCGGAATGTTCATGTCAACTACTTTACAGCCAATAAACCCTACATGTATAAATTGATAGTTCCATGATATTTCAGCAACCCTATCGATATCACCCATGCCTATCATTTTCAAAATCACCTACATCAATTGATGTGATACAATATTGAATAAAGGATAAAGCCCTCCGAATCCTGTACTATTCTAGCCCCCGTATATGTTCACCCTCTTTCCTGCATCTCGTTCTCTATGGGTATCCCTGCTCAGCGTTTTTAATATCTTACATTTATCTCTAGTGGAATTTAGAGTCATATAATACACGCCTGTGACATATGAAAGATGGATCTTGTCTTGCTCAAGACATCTGGACTTGACGTGGGTACCCTTTGATTCAGATTCTTCTGTTTATTCTTTGCGATGTGTTGGTGTAACGAGAGTTGCTTGTTTTGGTGGTCTTTTTTTTTAACAGCCGTTGAATTCATTCAGTCTATCCTACATATAGATACATATTCTGTGTCTTTCTCGCGGAATGGGCTGTTGAGTATGCTGAGTTGCTAGGGCAGACTCTTGTGTGGAGAGTAAGACCTGGTATAACCTCTGATTCTTTTATTTATTCGTTTTGTATTGGCTCACACGGACCTCGTCAATCTATTTTCATCTTGTTTATCTTATCTCACTTTAGTTTAACTGTTGTACTTTCCATAGATGCATGGCTGGTATAATTTCGACCAACAGGGGCGTTAAGTTGACTAGATAGGGTGTCACGTCATTATTGGGTTATCAAAACTACATGTACACGTAATATTTGAATCGGATATATACATGTACTTTCTCAAAATTGCGAATTGCGAGACGTAGTTCTTATTTTATTTACATAGCCGATCAGTTTCCCAACAAATGCATCTAGTTGCCATGAGCATTCCCTCTATATCGGCTCATCCTCATCCCTGTCCTCCCTCCTATCCCCCCTCCAAATCAACGTCCACGAGACCAAAATCGCCAGTATCGACACTACCAAAAACGCTAAACAAATCACATACGACACGCGATATGTCGGCCCAAACGCCGTACTGTACACATGCGGCCCCACAATACCACTGAACTGCGCCATTGCATTGGTGAATCCAATCCCGATACCAGCTGCGATTGTATAACTGTTACGGTCAATACTGCTGCCATCGGCATTGCGGTATTTACTGTTCTTGGGATTTTCGAGAGCACGGATTCGTTCGGGCCATATTACTGGGTATGCGGAGCCAGCGCAGGAGGTGGAGACTATCAGCGCCAGGTATTTGACCGTGGAGTTGTGTACGGTGATCAGGATTATGTAGCAAATTATTGTTGTGGCTTCGACTGTATATACTAATTAGAGTAATGGGGTTGAAATGGAGAAGGGGGGGTAACTTACTGGCGATGGCGGTGGTCCATGGTCGAATCCATTTTCGATGGATCATGTAGCCGACTGTGTTCAGGAAGAAGAAGCATGCCACATAGGGAGGCTATCCCGGTTAGTTATCATCATAAAAAGGAGGGGAAAGGGGGTATACAATATTCATCAGCTGCGACTTCGCCGTCGTCGTAAAACCTAGCTCATAAATCACCGTCGGCAGCGCATAACTAACCCCAAACCCTCCAATTCCATGCCCAATCCAATACACCGCAAAGGTATACACCGTCGGACTGTATAGAAGAATCTTGAACGCTGTCCAATCCCATTGCTTTGACTTTCCCTTCCCCAACGGCGCAGCTGTACCAGCCAACCTGCCCGTGACATACACGCGCTCGTCCTCTGTCAACATCTTGGCCGACTCGGGGTAATCAGGCAGCCAGAAAAGCGCAACAAAGGCTAGGATCAATGCGGGGATCCCCTCTAAAATAAAAAGCCAGCGCCAGCCAGCCAACCCCCCAACTCCATCCATGAAACTAATCGCGTAGGCAAGCAACCCGCTCAGGGCACTGGAGACCTGGCCGAGAGAGTAGAACAGTGCAATGCGCCATGGCATTTCCGCTGGTTTGTACCAAAATGCCATGTGGTAGAGAACAGATGGATAGAAGCCCGCTTCAGCCATCCCAATAGCGAACCGGACACACATCAAGCCCTTGAAGTCCTGTGCTGCGCCAACGCTGCACGCGCACACGCCCCAGGCGAAAATCAGAACGAACATCCATCTCGACGGCCGGAACTTTTTGAGGAGCACGGTGTTGGATGGCTCAAAAATCAGGTAGCTGTATGAGAAGATTGAAAGAGTCCATGCCCATTGGGAGGGCGATAAGTGGAGTTCTTTTTTTATGCCCGTGCCCTGCTCGAGATTGATAATTGCTGCGTTGGAGTAGTTTCCAGAATCTATTACGCGGAAGATGTAGACGAAGGAGTAAAAACCGACGAGCCAGAAGTCAATTTTGCGGAGGACAGTCTTTTCGAGAGACGATTTGGCCGGGGTGTGGAATGATGAGGTTTCAAGATCAGTGGTAGAGGCGCTGGAGTGAGATGGGGAGATGGTGGAGGTAACTGTTGTGCTAGCATCTTTTGTAGCCATTTCTTCTCGTTTACACTGAGATGATGATAGATATCTGCTGGGAAAACATGGGATATTGTTCCGAGGAAAATCTATGTAATATACCAACCACCAACAGAGCTGTCAACCAGGTGTCCTGAGCGTTTCCTATGACTTCCTACAATCATCAGTAGAAAAAAAAGCCATTCACATTGCGTATACATACTGATGCCATGATAAGTTCAATCACGACATTCAAGTGAGGTCTTTCTTGTCGGAGGTTTCATTAAACTTTGCCGTGCGTTGATTGATATACAAACTCTAGCAAATAGCTACAGCTAGTAAGCTGTTACCAGCTAAGTCATGCATAACCCAGAGCTTATCGCGCACAAGTGAGCAATTTCTCTGCCTGGATTGGCCATCGCCACCAGTTGACGAGAGCACAGGTCAATGGCGGAAACCCAGTATCCACCAGCACGAATCCGCAGGCGTGTCTCTCTCGGATAGATATTGTCTGTGGACAGAAAAATCCATAATAATAGCTGAATTAATTATCCGCGCTCCAGACTTTTGGGCGGTCGATGTTGGTAGGTCTGCATGATGTGATACGCGGTGCATGGCGCAATCGTTAGCATTCATGATGAGGACTGAAAACCCCGCCCGTTTCGGACGTTTTAGGGCAAAGCACGACACTGTGCTGCGGGAGCACGTTCGGAGCTTCCCCACGCTGCGAATAAGAATGCTGCGAGTGCTGGAGGATTGTGTGTTGCATCAATTGATGATATGCATATGTTTTTTGTTCCTTGGTATTGGTATAACTAGCATTGGTCAGAATGAACAATATTATTAAGTGCTACATGTAGGTATATAACTGCCTGCCATTGATGTAGTCTGCAGCTTCAGATCCCCACAACAATATTGAAAACACCAGATATTCGAGGCTACATATCAGTTGATGAATTCACATATATACTTATAAATAAACGTACAACATGGCCCCCTCAGCTATTGAAACCTCACCGGAAGCAACCCCAATCCCCATCAAAGCTTGGGCGCGCCCAGATCCGACTGCCGTCGATCTCGACTGGGCGCCTCTGGTGCAAATCGATCTATCGCGTTTCGATGAGCCCGGTGGAAAAGAAGAATTAGCGAGACAGCTCTATGATGCAGTCACGCGTGTCGGGTTCTGGGTTGTCGTAGGCCATGGAATTGAGGACGAGCGTGTCCTGCAACAGTTTAGCATTGGTAATGCCTTCTTCAAGGAGCCTCTGGAAGAGAAGCGTAGGTTTCCCTGCAATTTTGCAGAGGGCGAGTATTTCGGATATCGTGAGAACTCCAGATGGATTGGGGAGACGGGGGTGAAAGAGAATATTGAGATGGTTCGTCCTCGTTGTCCTTATGCACATAGTTGGTCATTATCTCATTATTGAATAGTTGAATATTCCAAAGGCAATCCCAGCATGGGATAATGTTGGCCGACACCGAATCGTCCAGCAAAACTACGACGAAATCGCAAGCTTTCATCGCGAGTTATTTGACAAAGTTGCACGTAAACTTTTCGTGCTCATGTCAATCATCCTTGAGCTGCCAGAAGACTTCTTAGCCAAAGCCCATGGCTATGATGAGATTTCCGATGACCATTTACGTTACATGATTTACAACCGTCGTAGCAAAGAGGATTGGGATCGTGTAGAAGCTTACTCTAAAGGTGGCCACACGGATTTTGGAAGCCTCACGTTGCTCTTCTCCCAGCATGTCGCTGGTTTGCAAATACGTACGCCGGAAGGCGAGTGGAAGTATGTAAAACCCGTAACGGGTGGAATTACATGCAACGTTGCAGATACTTTAACCTTCTTGACTAATGGTATGCCACGTCTCCAACTATCTCGTCTTGGAAATAAATATGCTGACATGGGCAGGTTTCTTGAAATCGACAGTTCACCGTGTCGTCCAGCCTCCAGCTGATCAATTGGATCTCAACCGGCTTGGTTTACTCTACTTTGTTCGTCCAGGAGACAACACAGTAATGAAGACCGTTCCTTCGCCACTACTTGACCGTCTCGGGCTTTTGACTGAAGATGATAAGAACGACGACAAGCCTACTGTTTCGGGAACAGAGTACGTGCGGGCGCGTGTCAAGGATGTGCACTATAAGGCTGTGATTGATAAACGTGAAGGCACGTCTTTTGAGTTCAAGGGGCTCAAGGTACAAAATCATTATGCTTAAATAGTATGGTTTCTATATTTGCCTTTGCTATAATTAGTCAGGGTTGCCGTCAGGTTAATCACCGGCGGATAGCAAATCCTAATTAGCATCTTTAGGTTATGTTTAATATGAAGATATCCTCTATTAAAATGTGCATGCGAAATACACCAACTTCATTTGATCGGTTTAGACAATATCGTCATCCACCAAATTAAGAAATGAAGGTAGCTTCTAGAAGTTATTCTTGAGCACCAAAAAGGGGAAGCGAAAGCAAAGGGTAGCGTTGCACTGCGTGACCTAGCAATTCAGAAGACATTCTGCGGGGTGCAGGCGATCCTGCGAGCCGTTCCTTGCTACGGCTAGCTGCATTTGCTCGGAAAGATTCTAATCATCCTATTGAGCGGCTAGCTGAGTAGTCGAAGATCAGGAGGTTACCCAGAGCCAACAACAAACTCTTCAACGACTAATTAACTTAGGCGAGTCTCTGCGCAACAGGCAAGAACTTATAAACCGATCCGTCGTAATCCACTCACTCATTACCCTGGTCATCGGTACTGTAGCTAACATGTAAGTAGGATGAGGGGTTGTGAGACCGCGCAGAGCGATTTGTACTCGGCTCACATTGTGACAACTACGTCGTACAGAACTCAAAATACTAGGCTCTGATTGTGTGCCATCGTACGCTGTCGCCAACATTGTGAATACCGGTGACTCGTACCACGTACCTAACTACTCCACTGCTTGGCTGCTGCGGTTGAATGCGCTTGCATACGCGTCCAGGATACCCTGGTCGACGCAAAAACCCGTTAATGTTAAGTACCCGGATTATTCGAAAAATGAATGCCCAGAAAAAAGACCGCGAAAGCCCATACAACACGTTTTCACTTTTCCATGATCCACCATGAAATGGGGAATCGCATCGACACCTGTTACCATAGTCAGCCAGTGAGTCTCATGGGGTCAAAGAAAAAATTCTCTGCAATATTTGCATCATTTTATAAGACAGACTATTATGTAGGTTACATTCGGTTACTAAATTAAAGTGCCCCGCCAGCCACCATATACTTCGTTTGCCTACCTGCAGAAAACGATTGTTAACTTGCTAGAGACTATAGGAAATCATCCTTGTAAGAGGTGATCACCGAGCCTAATGACGAACTACAAACATGCCTCGTGCACGTCCCTGTCGATCTAGAGCTGTCTAGATATGCGAAACCCCGTTTTTGTGTTCCACTCTCGATATAGGTGTATACGACATAACGGCTCTGTGCGGTCGGCAAAAGATGCTATCCTGCATTGATGGCTTGAATGAACTCGGATTTCGGTTCAGCTTCAATCCATATATGGCTCTCATCTTGTCACGGTTTCGTCCCGTCTCCTCAGTCGACTATCCTCACGTAAGCCATGCTGAAAGTGACGTTTGTATCATTGGTTGTAAGTAGCGAGCGTGACTTCCCAACGAACTAGATCTGCAGACCAAAGTCCTTCGTCGGCCAAAACTTCCTGGATTGAGAAAATACTTACATAAAGGAATTGATGAATTGAATAACACACAAGAATAATATGCTAGAACGGTCACATTGAACAAGGAAACGGTGTTGATAGGCTGAAAAGGCAAGCAAGCATTGTCCTTGGATCATGGGTGGAGCCAATGTTGTTTACAAGCGTATACCAATTGCGTGATTCTGGATTCTTCAACATTGAAAAGAAAAGTATAAATAAGGACATTGAGCTGGTAATTCTTCCAAAACTTGATTTTCCATCGATAACATTTTCCCTTCAAGCTTCAAAATAAAAAGACAACAGCATAATGCATACCAAAATTTCCTTTTTTCCCCTTCTCCAAGCCTTTTGGCTCTCATACACAGCAGTTGCAGCACCCTATGAGACTCGTATTTTCGAGGCTGGCACTACCTTTGTTGCCCCCGAAGTTCATGGAACATGGGCTCTGGCTCCTTTTGTTCGAACTTCCCCTCCAGATCTTACATACATCAAAACCAGCAACACTGGTACAGGCACCGTCGAAGTTCATGTAGCCTCCGGCTCTTCAAAGTACAAAACCCGGATCCAAGAGACCGGATCGACCTTTTTGGAAGAAGAAAATGGCACCTGGCAACTCGTCGACTTTGATGGTGACGGAAAACTTGATTTGATCTATATCAAGACATCGAATACCGGCACAGGCTATGTCGAGGTCCATGTTGCCTCTGGGTCCTCTACATATCAGACGCGAATTCTCGAGACGGCCACCACCTTTGTTGAGGAAAACAACGGACAGTGGCAGCTGATTGACTTCAACGGCGACGGTAAACTGGATCTTGTTTATATCAAAAACCAGAATACTGGCACAGGCTATGTTGAGGTTCATGTTGCCTCGGGAGCATCCAACTTCCAGACGCGTATCCAGGAGGTCCCTACTACTTTCGTAGAAGAAAATAACGGAGTATGGCGGCTTGTGAACTATCAACACAGTGGACATTTGGACCTTGCTTATATCAAAGATCAAAACGCCGGATCTGGCAAGGTGGAAGTCCATATTGCATCTGGTGCCTCTACCTACAAGACTCGCGTGCAGGAGGTACCAACGACATTTGGAGAGGAGACGGATGGAGCCTGGCAGCTTATCGATTGGAATGCGGATGGTGTCCTTGATCTTGTATTCATCAAAACTAGCAATACAGGCACCGGTGACGTCGAGGTGCATGTTGCGTCTGGAGCCTCCTAGAGTGGTACATACGAACAGCATAGGATGGGAAAATGATGGCAGTCGTTGTGTTGTGAACGACAGAGAGATATTATGAGCTTTTAGTTCGTTAGCCTGCATCGATGATAGTTTCGGGCCCTTAGGGTGAAATATACGAAATTCTGACTTTGACAAAATTACATGTTTCGAATATCGTCTCCAAGGCTTCTCTCACTATTTCCTATAGAGATATATTCTGTATATACCCCTTTAATATGCTCGGTGTGGAGAATCGATGGGTGTAGATATCACATGTGCAAAGAGGACCTCACTTGTACACGTATACATATTGAACCATGTCATATCCTATGCCTGCCCATGACTAGATCTAGTCTCATACATTATCTAAGCCATTTAGCCTAAGTAAGCCTCCACAGAACAATGTCTCCAAGAGAGACAACAGAATGGTAACCATTTAAAATTGATGTTGTATGCCGGTGTACGGTTGTCCGACGAACAAAGCATTTGATAAATACTCCCTAAATCCCCTTCTTGTCTCTTTTTTCTTGTTTTGCCCACTCTCAACCATTCCCCCTTATCTAACCTCATTCACCTCTCCTTGTCCGCTCCTCCCTTGCTATCCACTCAACACCAGCAATGATTGAGAATAGACACGGGATGAATATATACTAAAACCAAGGTTCGATTCATCTACAATAAAATATGGAATCTAATTTTGAACAAGGTGGCTCATGCATGATTGTGGGGGGGGGAATCCACCCCTCAAATTAGCAGTTCTACGGATGTAACATCGAGGGCAGAAAACCTGTGTTTAGATATAAAGACAGGTCAATCTTTCCAAGCCACTGCTTAAGTAGTTGATTTATTTCCAATGTTAAGTCAATAATGCAACAGTATGCACAAAGGGATGAAAATTGAAACATCTGGATTTTATCCACAGTACATGCATACAGTCAGCTAAGTACTGCATAGTACTACAGTAGTGCAATAGTTTGAATAACACTAATTCTTAGAGCTTACGCCAACCCACACTAAAATGACACTAAGATGAACATCACGCGTTGTTTATTAACACCCCACACCGTCGAAGTCAGAGTATCAAGGGTGCGAATACTTTTGTCACCCTACTGTACATCTGCTTTATCAAGTAATTATTTTACTTCAACATTATTAATATTAACAAGAAGTTATTCAAACACATCACAATGCCGCCTACTCGGCGTACTGCAAGACGCGAATTAACGCCTCAAATGCGTTCCCGGATATGCGAATTGAAGAAATATGGTCTCTCTTACTCGCAAATTCACCGCCAACACCCAGAGATCCCTCTAGGAACGATCCAAAGCACAGTTCAACTCGAAAAAACTCGTGATGATAACCAAACAAAGCCTCGCTCGGGCAAACCACGCAAGATCACTGAAGAGGAGCGAGATCGGATTGTTGAACTGACAATGTCAAATCCAAGTATAACATATGAAGAGCTTATGAAAGAGATTGATGCGGATATTCACCGAACCACTCTCAGGAGATTACTTCAATCCATACATAAGCCCAAACCGTTACAGCTAAATTGGCCTGAAGGAAAGCCCCGGCATGCTCACTCTCAGGAACCCCGAGATCCCACTAGTCATACCAACATGCCTAGGACTAGTCTCGCACAGAGTAAAGACAAGCCTACTTGATTCCAAGGCACGATCTGGATTCTTTGCTGAATTTCACGAGATAACGGGTCAATGGTTCTCCCTTTTCAGTAGCTTGGATCCATCTCTCTAGGTTTAACTTTTCTGGATCGGGAAATACGGTTGAATTTCTATACAAGAAGTATATGGAGGTACATATGTAGTGACTGGCGTCTGATATCAAGGATTGATATAAGGGATTACACCTGTCTACTTCCATGCAAGCCTAATAGTGTCGTATCCAACGCAGCCGTATTGAAGTCTGTTAGCAACGGTCAATACCCTCTGCTAAATTCGATATAAAATGGTAAGATGACACACCAAGGTCCGATCCACAGACGATATTTGAAAATTATTAATCCAGGCAAAAATTGAAAGCTGTACACAAAAAGCCGCAAACCAGCCACTCGAGTTGACGACATTTCCACTGCTATATTATCTTCCCGTCGTCCCAATCGTCATCATCAACTGTTACGTGTACACATGACCGTAAACTACAAAGAGCATACCCGAAACCCATCTCCGTATGCCTCAACAAGTGGCGGTGGTGTTGCGAATCACATTATAATGCATGCCCACCCATTAGCAGAAAGGCCCATCTTCCAGCTTTCCGTGACCAGTATCGATTTCGATGAGGTATTCGTAGTCACCGTATCAGACGTGTTTGTATTAGCAACGGTTGGCTTGGGGTCCATTATCTCGCGTATTGTATTGATCTAGGAATCTGGCTGGTCCTTATGTACGTTGATTTGTTCTTGGAGTAACCCCTGTATCGTAAGAAGAGTAATATTAGCACCTAAAATCAAACTATCTAGCACATACCAAAGGTTCACGTCACACTATTCGATGAAGATGATGGTGTCAGGGTAGGCTAACATAGAGGGACATGGAATCGACCTAGTAGATATACTTCAGACACCTGTCTCGCTCAAACTTTTTTTGGGCAATTAATGCAGAAATCAAAATAGTCATCGTCAAATCCATCATTTTCGGGGCTATTCATTGAAGGGATTTCTTGTCTATTTGCCTCTTGAAAAGGTACTATCAATGTATTTCGTTAGTCTCGTGATTAATTATAAAACAGTTCTTTCATGGTGCAACCATACGCAGCACCACGCAGACCCTCACCAGACTTTTGGTTTTGGCTTGGGTTACTCGTTATTGAATCTTGAAACATGCTTTTCTGTTTCATGCGTTGAAGCATCGAATGCTTAGGTTCGCCGGATCTAAGGGCATTCTCTTGGTATTGTTCTCGCTACCCTCGGTCTATCCGGTGCTATTGTTCTTCAAAAAGCTTGTTTCGACATCCTTACTATTATTCTCCATCCACAATAGCAAGCTACACGTTAGCTGCCTATTACATATGTAACGCTGTTTCAGAATCGCCTTTGCCGGTACAATGGGAGGGCATTGGGTTTGAATAGTGCTTAATTGAAAACACGAAACACAACGGTATACTAGCTTTAGCAAAACATATAATTCAATGTTTCCTTACCAGAGATGAAATTCGGCTCCCTTTTATAGAAATAGCCTCGCACTGATTTTCAATGATTCGCGCTATATTCGAACTAATCCTTGCCCTATCTTATCACCACATAACCAAGAAATAGTCCTTGAATAAGAAAGGAACTACAACGAAAATAAAGTATATATATCATAAACATATCTAGTACGTAGCTGACGACGAGGCACAGTCGAATGGGGGAATAATAATAATCTACCAGGCTTACGAGCAATTGTGAAGACAAGAGATCAAGATGAGGAGGGTGATTGAAATATGTCAAGGTGAATATGCCGTTCCATGAATATGAAAGAAAAAAAAGAGAAATAAATAATAATCCTGTATTCTATCGTCGATTAAAGAACCAACTGTCTCTCTTTGTAGTTGATTCTTGTTGTTGTACTGACGAACCATTCGCATCTGCGCCGCCACCACCGCGGAGGGGCTTGGCGATGCGGGAGCCGCCGAAACTAAATCCTGATGGGCCATCCATTGATGTAACAAGACCGCGGGTTGAGCCTTGTTTGGCTGCTTCTAACCGTTCCTTTACTGCCGTCAATTGGGCTTCGAATCTGTAGACGTTAATTAGTATATGTATTGATTATATTTTCTTCGGTCGTGTGTTACTTACCGGTGATTGGCTGCAGTGAGCTTCTCCTGGCTATCCTGCAACAAGTTTTCCAAGCTGGCGATGCGCTCGTTACGAGCAATGAGCTTACGCTCTGCAATGGCGACCTCCTTCTTGAGGCTGCTGTTCTGTTCAACCAGTTGACGTTGGACGTGTGTGAGTTGCTCCAGGTTGCGCTCCAAGAAAGCCATCTTCTTCTGTTGCGCACGGTTATTAGACGTGCGCAAGACATTGTTGTATTGTTCACGAGTTTCATCCAAGGAAATTTCGAGCTCGACCACCCTTTCACACCGGTTCTGGAGATCCCGCATTAGTGATTTCTTCATGTTGTCAAAATCCGCAATCTGCTGTTGCAATGTCTTATTGGTGGCCGCGGCAGACACCGTACCGTTGGTTGCAGCTTTGACTTGCGAGTCGGCAAGGCTTTGGCGTAGTTGAACGAGCTCCTCTTCCTTGCGAGCTAGCTCGACCCTTGTATCAGAGATAGACTTGGTCTCGGCATCTCGGCGGTCAATATACAGCTTCTCTAATCGTCCACGGATCTCATTCACATCTGCTTCGCCTATGTTTTGCTCTAGCACCTGCTCATAATCATTTTCAAGCTCAACAATTCGCCTCTCAAGCTCAGCTCTTTTGCTGTCCTGCAGCTCATGTATTTCACTTCGATCACTCATTGAGAGCTCTGCTTGTCGGACAAAGCCTTGAGTTTCTAGGAGACTAGCCCGTAGCTCAAGGATATCATCGGGCGCAACCGCCTCTCCACTAGCACTGACTTTGTGTAGAGAATCCACTCGGTCGATCAGATTCTTCAATCTTTGCTCGTTATCTGAGAAGACATTGACATTCAAGTCGAATCCAGCCATCATCTTCGCCATGCGTTCCGCCTTCTTCTTATCCTTCTCATCGAGGGCAGCACCTGTCTCCTTCGCACGCATACGGGCATCGAGAAGCTGTTGTTTAATCTCATCCAATTCGGTAGTCAGTTCGGAGTTAGCTTCCTTCAAGCTATCCATCGTGATGCCCGCTTCTTTACTCTCGAAAGAAACCTTTTCAAGTTGCATCCTCAATTCATTAATTTCGGCATTTAGCTTTTCGTTGTCTTTTCCGGTTCGGGATGATGTTTCCTTCAAGCTCTTGAGCTCCTCCTTGGCTTCTTGGAGCGTCCTCTCAACATTTGTGATATACGATTCCTTCTCCGAGATTTGATCTTGAAGTTCATTTTCTCTTCGCAAGAATTCTTCGCGCTCGTCCTTCTCAAGAACTATACTTGGAGTGCTAGAGCGGTCCCCTAATCTTGAATCAGGTCGGCTTGGCGTTTCTGCGCGGATGGCTTCAGTTTGTAAACGCGAAGGAGTAGCAGGTCGAGGAGGTTTGGGGGCAGCAGGGGTTTCGGAAAGCGCTGGTGTCCAACGGTCTTTGGGAACCGACTCTCCTGCTCGCCAAATTTGTAATTCCCCTTCCAAGTTGGAGATATAGGTTTCGAAATTCGTGACTTGGCCTTGGGCTTTCCTGAGCAGCTGCTTCAGTTCCGCAGGACTCAACTCGGCGTTGATCTTCGCCTTGTTCTTAATTGCCTTCGCGCGAACGCCGAATCTAAGGGTCGAGATAGTCTCGGCATCGTTGTAACTGCTGGGGGAACAATTGATGATAAGCGTCGTTCGGGAGTTACCTCCCAAAGATTCCTGAAGAATACGGGTAAGTTTCGAGTCCCGGTAAGGAATATGCGTTGATTTTCCATCAGTAAGCGCGTTGATAACCATTCCGAGAGCACTCAAACTCTTGTTGATCTTCTTGGCTTCTTCAAGTGTTTGTCCGCTTGCGCCGGTCTTGCCCACCTTCTCACTACCTGCCAAATCGACCAAAAAGAGCTGACCGCTCTTTGCAGAGCCAGTCTCAACGTTCTTCTGAGTAACAGTAATGACGAAAATAGAGTGCGATCGAGACGATTCCTGGTTCATGTTGGTTGCCGACACTGCTCGGGCAGCTCCACCACGGCGCATGACTTCGTAAACCTCCTGCACGCTTGACACGTAAATCTCTAACAGGCCTTTGACATAAACACCACGGGACTTCTCTTCATGGACCGGTAGATTGTCGTGTTGGGGCACTAGCAAATCTCGGATACGCTCCATATATATTTCCATGTAGCTCACTCGGACCGTGTATTCAATGTTGCTCGGACTCGTCAGAATCGAAGCAAACATTTGCTCCACAATACGAGGAATAATACCCTTGCCCATGTCATCATCGATGTCCGTTCCCATCATCGTATACGATTTACCAGCACCAGTCTGACCGTAGGCGAAGACAGTTCCGTTATAGCCATTGAGAATATCGTCTACCGTCGGGCGAATAGAGAAATCGAAGATATCAGGTTGTTTCGAGTCCATGCCAAACACTCTATCGAAGGTGAAGGAGCCAGTGCCCTCCCTTGACTGTGCACGGTCAGCCATGTCCAATAACCACGCTGTATAATCCTTACGTTGATTTTACATGTATCATCTCCTTCGAAGCCCACGATAGTATCTCCGCCGGACGCGAGCTCGATTTTATTCTGCGGCCTAAATCTCGCAACCACTGTGCCAGCCGCTATTAGCAAGGTGTATCAACATGCACAAAGTCTGCGGTACATACCCTTGATGGTGTTGGAGCCGCTAGGGCCTGCCGCTCTATCATTCAGAGAAATGTTAGCATGTCAATCAGTAAGAAAACGGTCGCAATACTAGTTTTCATCGCGACGAGGGTGGCGGTCCATAAACGGAATTCTTACGCCATCTTGGTGATCTGTCAATCCCACCACAGGCCACACCACACCGCAGATCCGGAGAATAGACTGTCAACCCCAGTTTCGGGGGGAGCCGCAACGACTGAGGATAGAATGATGCAGAACTCGTCGACACTATCCGAGACCGCTTGCAAAAGCTAAAAGCAGTCTCGTGGGCGTACCGCACTGGGGCGACTGCAGGACTCGGCAGATAGGAAATTGATAGGCGTCAGGGGTTCACGTGCGGAGGACGAAACACGCGCACCTGCCGCTAATGCCAAACAATACAGACAGAAATGTCATCCACTCCAGAGCGGAAGCCGCGCTATACAAACGAAAGGAAGAAAGTGAAGGCGCTAGGACTGGTATGATCGATAAACGTCACTGGAGGAAAAAACACACCGATAGGACTGCGTATCTGTCGGGCGGGAGTAAACAACTTTGTTGCTACCGCTTACTGGGGTGGGGTCGGCCTTTCTTGGCATAGCGCGGCATGCGGCCTGCATACATTACCGATGTGGTTTATGTAGTGACAATGCAAGTAAATAAAATCCCTTTGTAATCATTATGAAATATTGGAAAGCTATGAGACATCGGCGCAGGCCTCCGTAGAAGCATTCATTTACGAATCGTTTCAAAGTGGCCACAAAAACGCTAAACGCAAAAAGAAATAGAAGCGTCGTGGTTGAATCGGCCGTCACAACGGACAGGTCACATCAGAATCCCATGATCACCACGCCATAACTCCGCGCTGTGCAATATCCAAGGAGAATCCCGCCGCTATGTGAGCCGCGGGCTTGTCCTTACAAGTATCGTGATAAGGTTGATTAAGTAGATGCTGTCATTCGTCTCTTGTCTCTTCGGTCTAGTCTTCCCAGCTCTTTTCCACTGTCTCGCGCACTCGCTTAACATATTCACGGCGGTTGTCCTTGTACAGGTTGGAAGCCTCCACGTTTGCAGGCGAGGAGGTATTAGGGTCGTTGAGCAGACTACCGAATCAAATAAGCACGTGATTCACTGTTTCCCAAAAGGGACGCCTACCTCTGGATGCTGGTCAAGATGGCGGCCACGTCGTAGGTGGGGCTCCAGCGGTTCTGCAGGATGTCAAGACACAACTCGCCAGTGCCGTAAACATTTGGGTGGAACATCTGGCTGATGAATTTGACACCAGGTGGTTTGTTTGGGTACTGCTCCTCGAAGTGCATCACCAGACGGAAAGTTCCATCTTCGAAAGGTGTGTCTGCAGGACCGATAATCACGGCATTCCTAGAAATGAATCGATTAGAATCGGATATTGTCAGGATTTATCGAAATCGGCCATACCAAGTCATGACATTGTCGGCGACGGGGGATGCGGAGACGCCGGCTGGAGGATCAGTCTGCATACGCTGCATGATGTTAGCTATCAAGAAACGATGCCATGCTATATAAACAAAGTTTTTTGAGGGCGTAGAGTTTGTCAAGCGTTAACTAACCTTGAAATCGCGCATCAAACGGCGGCGGGCAGAAGTCGACATTGCTCAAATAGCGGGGTTATACGGAACAACGGAGAAGGTTTGAAAGAGATATTTATCACGGAAATTTCAGATCAGCAGCGAAATGATCGATGATAACAGAATATCGCTGACGGAGGTGGGAGATCTGTCGGGCAGAGACAGTTGAGAAAGTGAGGAGAAGTGAGGAGAGACTGCCAGTCAAAGCGTCTCGCAAGGTGACTGCGGTGGCGGCGACAAAGCGGGCTGCTTTGATCTGCCTGCCGACTGCCGGAGGCCGGCCAGGCCAATCAGAGGGCTTTTAGTAAGCCGGTCCACGTGACCAAGCAGATGTGTCAGGATACTCTATACTAACGGTTTTGGGGATAGCTTCGATATACATTACAATGAAGTTATCAACAGTGTTATGGTTTGGTAGGAGGTACCTACCACTTTCGAATTGAGACCCAAATCTCCTTTGTGCGCCATGCAACCACCTTGCAGACAGGCTCGGAGGATACAGACACGCCCGAAATTACCTTGTATGTCCGATACATAGAGAGCTGTTTTCAACTCCGAATGCCAACGGCCCTAATCTTTTGCGGTTAGTGGGTTATTTGCTACTTTGTTCCTGGGTTGAAAAGTACGGAACTAAACGGAAAGATGTCCCCAAGCAAACTATATTAACACAGCGCTAAAAATTAACCTCAGTGGTTACTACGATGTCATCTCAACTCAAGAGTTAAGACTCTAGACCCCCGTTCTACGCCAACTTATCACAAAATAGCACGAAAATAGTACGAAGTTTCAAGTGCCAGCGACGTGCAATAATTGTTCGTATGATATGTAGCGGACGATTTACAGTGCTACTCCACAAATAGCAAAGGTTGCGAAATGTTCTAAGGGCTTAGTAGCGAATATCCGGAGGAAGTTATGACTATTTGGTAGCGCCAGGCCCCATCTAGTCTGCCCTAGCCAGCCACCAAGTATCACCTCTCTAATGCATAATAGTCTATGTGATCGCCTCACTGAAAACCCCTACATGGATGTTGGAGAGAAGAGATGGCCGTCTTTCTATGGAATGAATTTAATATTCTACCACCATCATCTGACCTCAAGTGAGCTCTTTCCCGTCGTTGTTAGACGAAAATAAAAGCTCGACAGAAAGCGCAAGATCGTACTATCAACTAAAAGCATTCTATAATACCAACATACGCTATCCGATTTTGAGTCATATCACCTGGTTCTTGTTGATGAGCCTAGATATGATAAAACGAGTAGGACATAGACGGACTAGATGGTCTCCGCTAGGTGTAATAATAGTTTAGACATATAAATTTCATTGGGGCCAATGCTATCAGATACTGTTAGCATATGCTGAAGATGGTATCGTAATGTCTGATATTTTTCAAGGCTCAACTGACGCTGTAGTCTTTGAAAATTTCCTTAGACGGCTGCTCCGGTACTGTGGGAGGTGCCCAGTGGCAATATCTGTTCTGGTTATGGACAATGCATCATTTCATCGCTCAGACCGAGTCAAACAGTTGTGCTCTAATGTAGGTATCAGGCTATTTTCTGAAGTTGAAGATTAGACTGAATACAATCAGTCCCACTCGCACTTTACCTATGATGTTCTTGTGACCTGACAACGCTTTCTGTTGAAGGCTACCCTAAGGGAAGACTAATATGGGCCTGGTAAAGTAGTTGAACAGTGTGTCCGGCGAGCACATAACATTACTATAACAAGAATCAACTGCTAATTCATTTTATTTCGCAGTAAATTTTCAAACACAAAGTGATACTGAATTGAATGTTTTCCCAAAAACGTATTCAACAAATCCAGTTGAGCATACCAGCTATTACTGTAACTATCTCAACCCGCTCATTCTTCCAGCGTTATCACCCTGGTATACCCAGTATATCAAGCTATCCGAACTCTCTTATTGTCCACTAGAGTTGACCAGCCAGTATCGGATTCCATTTTGAGCCCCCTCTGAACTAGCTAAGTCATAGCAATAATTATCTGGATTCCCATCTCCAATCCAAGCATCTTCATTTGCCGGTCCGTCAAGGCATCCTCCTCTGACCTCATCCCACCCATCCAGAACGTTGTTGTCACTCAGCAACTCAATGCTATTAGCAACGAATCCAAAGTCGTTGCATGGGCCTGTACCATCGACATCGTCGCCATTAATGACCACGCAATTTTCACTGCAGCCCCCATCTGTACAAGCTGTAATTGTATAGGCGGAAGTAATAGAGGCAGATGCGGTAAGCATGAGGACTATTTGCGGGATGGAAAACATCATGTTGTTGTTGTTGTTGAACTTTTGACTTTAGAGGGATTTGTAAGAAAAAATAGTGCTTGAAGTTGGCGTTTTTCGTATGAAGTAATGGAGAGTAGGGTAATCTTCTTTGACCTTGAAGAAATCGATGTTTATGATAATGAAATCAAAAAGGTGTGATGAAACAAAAATCCGAGTACTTCGACCCTTTACATACCGTAATTTTATACCTCGACATCTTCGTACACTATGAACTTTCTTGGACGTCATTCTATTGCAGATCACTTCTAGGAGGCTAACTAGTGTTATAATCATCTAACTAGCATATGACGTGATGGAAATGGCCCCTATACTCTATTTTTGAATTGGATGAGCTGAAGCCTACGAATGAACCACTAGATTAGGAAATCGGTTCCGTATTTGAGAGAACTACCACATACTGGAATTGGAAATGAACAGGAGAGACTACCTCTGTATTATAAAGGATAAAACGCACAGAGCAGTCATTTTTTTCTTCTGGGAGGGGAATCCCCAGCTTCAATGCAAGCGCGGACTTGGAATTATATGACAAGACCTCCCTATCTCCGGGATTGGCTTATACCGCACAGGCCCACGGACCCCACTACATTAACGAGATCGTCCTCGATCCCTGTGATTGGAAAATATGCCCACTGACTGGCAGTATTAAATTTAGACTTGTTCCAAATATTTCGGATTATTCCAAGTTTTTCAAACACGACTATACAATGTCACAGCCAGTAGTCGAAAATTAGATTCCAAATGCTTTCTAAAGCATGACAAATTGCGTAGAAAGACTGCATCATCCTAAAATCCATCTGCAAGGAACACGTTCCTTAATTCGTTCAGCTTAATAAGAAGCGGATCCTCTGAAAGTTCGACACATGTTGACCATAGCTTTCCTGAAATTATAAAACACTAAAGCTTATAAACAGACATTTCCTTGAAAAGTATGCGAAATCCATGCTCCCCAAGACAAGGGCGAAGCTAGACTGCTCTATATTTAAAGTTTGGGTTGGAAGATAAAGGGACGGAAGTAGTTGATATATTCCTAAATTAACAGCCGCATTGCTGTTTGATAGGTTTGCACTGGACCTTCCAGAAATCTGTTTATTCTTCTCATCACTATTATATTAATATTACGGGTTTAGTACAGAATGGTGTATTTACAGGAGCACTTGCCATTTAATGTAGTTTAGAGCACTCATGTGTTAGGGCTTGAAAAGTGGCAACCAATTAGTACCAAATTAATTACCGTCACTAAGAAGGGACCCCTTTTTGATGCAGCGGATTTTCGCCCAACAAAAACAAATCTCTACGTCCAAGACATTCTAAGGCAATTTCGGGCGTGACTGTATCCATCTCAAACATTGCAATTCTCTTTCCCGGGCATATGAATAAAGTACTTCAAACTTGATCCAGCATCACTGTCATGATCTAAGGGCTTTCACCATAGTGAAGCAGTTCAGGATATAGATATATGTTCTTTGTGTACCTTTGGTGCTATATATATGAGCCCTAGGTCCCCCATGTACTGCTAGGAAACATCTTCCCTATATATTCAGAATGCGCAGAGTTCTTAGATCATTATAATCACCCCTTTTGTAGGTAGTTCGGTTTAGTTACCACGGCTTCTCGATCAATTCCACTAGAAACAATCAAAAGGCGATCCCACTTTACATCCCGCTCTGCATTCACGCTTCCGCCGACCAGTATCATCTCCCACCGCATAACCAGCCGCTTAGAATTCAAATTGAAAGTCTCCTAATCGTCATATAAATACTTCTATCAATGCCTCGTGGTGCCTGGGTTTTCTAGACCGAACATTCTCACACCCAGCAGGCCAAGAGCTAGCACGATTGACGTATCAAAATTCAGGACCTTTGTCCAGAAGTCCAGGGTGACCTGGTGGTGTGCGATGAGTATTTGGACTGGATGACAGAGAAACGTCCGAATGAGTAGGTCCGCATCAACCTCTACTGATGGAGGCTAGCAGTTCTGATATACCTGGGTCAATCACTCCTCTCCTTTTAATCTGACTTTAGGGCGATTGACTACTACGGTGTCGCATTTGACCATCTTCTCCCAGCTGATGATAGCGACCCCGAGGTGTTACAGATAAGTATTATTGATATTGTGGATGACAATGGTATTTGTGCAATACATGGCTTCTGTTTGCGGTAGATCCGGTTGAGTATATTGGTAAGAAGGTACTAGCAGTGCGGAGATGCTGTCAGAAGAGAAAGGGAGCACAAGATCGCTGGCTAGTGAATGCACTGGTGGGCCCTCTGGTCCACGGGTGGGTAAAATCGAAAGGGTCCCAGAGAATTTAATGTTAGAAAAATGTAACTGAAAGAGAGTGTAGACCCCATATCAATTATTACATCTTAGATCACCCTTAAACCTACGATATGTACTGCACACTCTACGAATGTATGAACATGCGTCTGTTGATCCACGGTTTGGAACAGGGATCCACTAAAGGGAACCTAGATCAGGCAGCTGACATCCTAGCTACCCGGTAGATCGCCTTCGAAGGGCCAATGCATTACTAACGCGTGATTCACGGTCTTAGATGGTTTTGAATTTGAGGGATATTAAGTACGATATATAGAATAGGGTTGGCAACTAGCCGCACACAACTACGTATCCGTTATGTTAGCTAGCCAAGAAACCGTGATTGGCGTTGGCCCAATAGTAATTTTAGTTTTTGAGTGAGTAGGGCTACGGGCGGGAAAAGCAAATACTTTTTCACCAGTGCTGTAATAAAATACTAAGAAAGATTAGTACGGACTTGCCGACGCTTTTAGTGCCTCCGTAGATTGATAAACCAACAACAATAATAATGACCAATTCTTCTTGATTCGTTCAAATGTTAGCTTGTTGACAACTCAGCGCCTAATCGCAGAATCCCTCACCATTCCCCGAAGCAGGCCTTCCGGAGGAATCGCGCTAGCTAAGTGTTGATGGAGAAGAGTGAAACCGGATCCAGTTTGCGGATATCCGTGCGGGTCGAGCCGACTGACCCCAGATATTCATAATATAAAGGAACGGTCGCCCAGTCGGGTTGGTAGTCATGGTTTGAGAAACAGCTCCTATACGACGATGACTTCCGGTTCTCAGGCTGGCCCGAGACCGGGGGCGGCTGCTGTGCCCTTGCTGGGAGAAGATATCGAGGCCCAAGTGCTCAAGTCCTTACCTTGGATGTTATTGCTGGTGGCATTGGCTGACCTCCAGAAAGAGCGTCATTTCTGCGACAGATTCTGCGATTGGTGACAGGTTCAATTCCCGTCCTATAGCCTAGGCTTATGACCACAGGAAGTTCTAATGTCGAAACATTTTATATTAGTGATACTTTATCCGATACTACTTCACTCGCATCCAGTGTGGTTGATTACGTGTGCGTTCTTGGTGTCCTTCTTCATGTAATGAATAGCCAGCTAATCATGGATGGATTATAGATACGAGGTATCCCTTCACTTGCAGCCTCGAGTGGGAAAAATTGCAGAATACTGATCATTTCACCAGAATGGACGTCGATACCACCGATATCGCGAAGGAGAATATCTCTATGTCCGTACTAGCAATCCCTGACTCGGCGGCGCTTCCATACTGACTGTAACGGACAGCCGAATGACGAGACCGAGCAAGATCGCCTGGATATGTTGCATCACATCTTTCTTCTGATGCTCGACGGCGGTCTGTACAAAGCTCCGCTCTCTCGATCTCCGAGGCGCATTCTTGATTATGGAACTGGAACGGGCATCTATGCCCTCGACATCGCCGAGTCAGCCACCATATACATTTTGATGGAGATTTGATATTCCTACTGACCAAATCGGCGATTAGTGAATTTCCAGGCGCTGAAGTCATCGGTAAGAGACTGAGATGAGTTCTTTCCGTCACATGGGCTGACAGGAGAGCCTAGGCATCGATTTGAGTCCTATCCAACCGACATGGTACCGTGCTCCTAGTAACACTACTAAGAGAAGAATCTCTGATATGTAACCCCGGTGCCAGGATTGCCCCCAACCTCCAATTCGTTGTTGATGATGTAGAGGCCACTTGGACATACGAAGAGGGCCAAAAATTCGACTATATCCATCAACGCAATATGGTAGGCAGTATCGGTGACTGGGACCGACTGTTCGAACAAGCTATCTCGCACACCACGCCCGCAGGCTACATCGAGCTGCAGGAGTTTAATGTGTGGTTCCAAACCCAGCGCGGAGAGCTGCAAGACGACTCGCATATCCAACGGTGGCAGCGGGCTTTAGTAGATGGAACCAAATCTTTTGGCAAGCCATTGCGGGTCGTGGCAGAACTGGCAGACAAAGTAAGATCCGCAGGCTACGTGGATGTGAAGGAGGATATTCTTAAGGTTCCCATCGGTACATGGCCCTCAGATCCCAAACTTCGTAAAATCGGTCAATATATGCATAGCCATGTCCTCGACTCGATTGAGCCCCTCACGCTAGCGCTTTTTACTCGTGTCTTAGGCTGGACAGAGCTGGAATGCCAGGTTCTCATCGCCAAAGTGAAGGAGGAGTTCAAAAATCCCGACCAGCAGTTCTTTATATACACCCATTTCATCTATGGCAAAAAGCCCGAGGCCTGAAATTGCAGGAATTGCGAACTGGGCCCGTTAGCTAATTGTCTGAAATAAGTCAACTCGCAATCCGCCATCCTAGCATATAAATCCATCCTTCACCTCCAAATGCAGACAGTCTCTTCACAACGTTGAATAGAATGAGTAAAACCCCCTCATTGCACAAAGTATATGGTTGATGACAAAGCTTTTCGATGTCAGCCGCATCCGAGATTAGTATATACCGACAAGGAAAGGCTACGAGATATTAGGGGTTAGGTTAGATATGGAAAGGTGTCGATCTCGTAAATCAAAGGCGCTTTGGTGAGGTCTAAGTTTAGTACAAATGAAGTCGGCCAATGAAATAATAATATTAATGAGTTTCCTTTTATCATTGTATCGTGAACATGTTTATTTGAGGGAGGTTGAAAATCACGTGAAAATGGTGGCGATATCACACAGGAAGCAGTAATAGAATGGCTTTATATGAATAAGGCCGCTATTATCGACATTTCCAGCTATGGAAACAGTGCTTGTTAAATTTCTAATATCGCAGCAAGTCTTTCCCATAGAATGCCGTGCTAGTTCTCTAGGAGGCTCAGTTTGCAATACTTGTCCTGCATGGTAGTTGCGGCAACGGATAGCCTCGGTCCGGCCTCTCGGATATTCAAGGCGGAACGGCGCAGCGATCATATACTTGACCTCTTCTTCTCATATCAATCAAGAATCTTTTCCTCCGAAATTTTCATTCCGTTCCTCTTGTGTGTGTCCTTCTAGTGAACTTTCCTTCCGTCGAGATTCACAGCCAGAATCCCACAATGCAGACGTCTCGAGCCACTGCCCGCCTCGCCTTACAGGCTGGCCACTTGCCCCGACGATCCTTTAGCACGACCCGCACAGTAGCAAAGGAGATTCAAGATGCATACATTCTCAGCGCCGCTCGAACTCCGACTGCAAAGGTCAGTCAATGCCTTCAAATCGGACGCCAGATTTGTAGCGAACTAATATATTCTTAGTTCAATGGCTCCCTCGCCTCCCTGTCTGCCCCTCAACTCGGCTCGGTGGCTATCAAGTCGGCCGTTGAGAAATCAAATATCCCTGTCGAGAAAATCACAGATGTCTATATGGGACAGGTGCTGCAGGGGAATTCCGGTCAAGCACCAGCTCGCCAAGCCGCGATTCTCGCTGGTCTGTCCAATACAGTTGAAGCCATTACGATCAACAAGGTCTGTTCATCTGGGTTAAAGGCCGTTGTCTTCGCCGCCCAGAATATCCAACTAGGTCTAGCCGAAGCCCAGGTCGCCGGAGGAATGGAAAGCATGACCCAAGTGCCATACTACTTGCCACGCTCTAGCCAGCTGCCCGCGTTCGGCAATTTGAAAGTCGAAGACGGACTAATCAAGGACGGTCTCTGGGATGTCTACAACCAGTTCCACATGGGTGTTTGCGCCGAAAAGACTGCTTCCAAGTACAACGTCACCCGTGAAGAGCAAGACGATTACGCCATCCAGTCCTATCAACGCGCGCAACAGGCCTGGAAGGAGAACAAATTCGCCGAGGAAATCGCACCGGTGACAATCAAGAGCAAAAAGGGCGAAACCGTGTTTTCAAAGGACGAAGGCTTCGAAAGCCTACAGATTGAGAAGCTCAAGGGCCTCAAACCCGCTTTTGTCCGTGATGGCACTGGCACCGTGACAGCTGGTAACGCATCGACGCTCAACGACGGTGCCTCGGCGGTGGTGCTTGCAAACCGCGAACTCGCACGGCAGTATGGCTCTGGAAACCGTGCTCTCGCACGTATCGTCGCGTCTGCAGATGCTGCCGTGGATCCCGTCGATTTCCCCGTTGCCCCCGCCAAGGCGGTGCCAATCGCCCTCGAAAGGGCTGGTATTACCAAGGATCAGGTGGCAGTGTGGGAGTTCAACGAGGCGTTTGCCGCCGTCATCAAGGCTAACGAGAAGATCCTCGGTCTCCAAAACGCGCGCGTCAATGCTCTTGGAGGCGCTATCTCGCTCGGACACCCTCTCGGTAGCTCCGGTTCTCGTATCTTGACCACCCTGCTCCATCAATTGAAAGCTGGTGAGTACGGTGTTGCTGCGATATGCAATGGCGGTGGGGCCGCGACTGCTGTTGTCGTTCAAAAGCTGGACAAGGTCGAGTAAAATCATAATATCTTTCATGATTTGTTCTGTAAAGCGTTTTTCTTACTGATGAGGATTCATTTTGTATATCCAATGTATGTAAATACTAACGACCTATTCAATTCATATTTCAATAGTCGCTACATTTATCTATAGAAGAAGTGTCTATTACTGCTCACTAGCATCCATCAATCCAAATAGTTTCCCTGCAATAGGATCCCACTCCTGATCCCACCGACGCAAGCTCTCCTTTCGAGCGCCCTCTGTCAGGATTTGCAACTTATCTGGATTACTGAATAAATCAGTGAGATGCTCAGCAAGCTGCTCAGCATTACCAAAGCCACGCCCATTAACACCCTCAGTCACGAGTTCTGGCCAGGCCTCGAACCGACTCCATCCAACAACGGGGAGGCCAGCTCCAAACATGTCCACAACTTTCATAGGGAGATCTACACCGCTACTGCTAGTGTGTAAGCTGACACCAAGTGACGCGCAGCCCAGAAGCTTCGCGTAATCCAGGGTGCTAAGCCAGGCTGTTTGTATAGTGACATTTTTCAGTCTTCCGGCTTTGTTACGGGCCGATATTTCGTTGAGATACATCTCCTTTTGCGGTCCCTTGCCCGTGATGATTGCCAACACTTTAGGCAGGGCGGTTTTCTTGGTGGTTGCGGTTTCAGAGTATCGACAAAGAGCTTCGATCAGGACTGAGAAGTCTTCATCAGCCGTCCAAGATGTTGAACTGACAAGCACCCGAACATCCCCGGCCTCCAATTCAGCCTTCACTGCAGCGGCTTCTGGCAGAGACTTTATAAATTTTATCCTCTCCCCATCATCTAGTATAGGTTTGAAATGACTCGCCGGTCTATCGTGTAGCGGCAGGATGGGGGCTTGAGTAATCCCAAAGTCTTCTTTCAAGACCCGAGCCATAGCGCTGGTCACACACAAATGCGCAGTTGCTGTGCCGCAGAAGGCTTTCTCGTACCACTGCGATAACCTGACGAGTGGATGTCGATCCCCGAGTTTCAGCGCGAGAATTGAATAGCCAAAATTATGCCAGTCAATGACAAGTCTTGTCTGGCGGAGGAAGCATACAACAGACGCTAATGCTAGAGTCGGAATGGAAGGGGGGTTTTGGATGAGCATCCATTTTGCTGGTTTCGTGCGGTATGCAAGACAGATCCAAAGCGATGCGATTTGGAAGAGAACTTTGAGCGGCGCGAAGAGGAGGAAAAGCAGCTTGTTGCTTGTTTGAAGAAAGGCGGGATGCGGAGGAAGCGGGACGATGGAAATAGCTGGGTTGGAGATTATGTCAGGATGAGGGTCGGATTCTATTAAACATTAATATTCCCAATTCATATGGTCTGAGGCGCCCATTGCTACTTACCGTGGTACCCAATAACATCGACGTGGCCTCCACGATGAGCAATGCTCATGGCATGGTACTGCATTCGCGGACTGCGGCCAATATCTCCTAGGACAAGGATCTGTATCCGGACTTTCTCCTTGTCCTGCCCATCTTTCTGCTTGGCTTGTGGAGTGTACTGAGAGGGAAGGAGGAGAATAACCACAGTCAGCAAGCTTGACGCCCAGAAGGCAACGCTGATAGCGGTCTCGATCATGGTCGCGATGCGCTATGGTATTCAAGGTCTCATAACATTATAATAGCGCCAAAAGGGTCAGCCATGGGAATTGGCAATTGGTGTCTGTGATATCGACTCCAGCTGTTCGTGGTGAGAAGAGCGAAATCAGATGCGGGGAGACTCCAGCTTGGAGATCGGCTACAGGGTTGCAGCTTATCGCGGCGGGAGTCCCCCTTTTCGCCGTGGCACCGCCGCCCATTGGCCCAGAGCGACCGCGGCGGGTCGCCTTTTCTGAAAGACCGCGCGACTTCATTCAACCTTCGACTAGCTGAGTACAGACTCGTCCTGTGTTAGAATATTCAGCCATTCGCTGCCGGATTTCTTATATACAGCCTTGCGATATTGCAGTGCCACTCCCTGCGTCCGTCATCTCGTCTTTCTGACCTGTCGAGCTCCAGCCGCTTCGAGCCCCCACCTGTCAATCAAGCCGATGTCGTTCGTTGTGGCCAGATAAAGGCTGGAAATAAATGCAGCTGGGCATAACGACCGGCGAGGGCTAGCAACAATGTCGACTTCGTCCACGATATCGGACGTCTCACACATGCCCTCGGGCTCGTTCGGGCACAGTCGACGGCCGCCGCGAGGCCATACGCGGTCTGTTAACTGGTCGCAAACTCCTGCTTTTGCATCGCCTGTGATAAACGAGGGCGAGGTTCAGGAAGGCAATCATGCTCATCATCACGTCGAACACAATGACGGGCATGGACATGACACGAACCACAATAACACGGGCACCGACACCCATACGCATACGCATTCCCATTCGCATGCGGACTCGCACTCGCACTCGCACTCACACTCACACTCACATTCCCACGACCATAACCACTCGCACTCGATAGCTAGCAATGGATCAGCAATCAAAGCAGAAGCTATAGATGAAGCCTACGTGCAAGGTAGCAAAGCTTCGGACGCATACGCAATTCCCTTCCAAGCCTCTGAGAAGGTGCCGTTGAGGTGGGTAAAGAGTTGAGCTAATACCGATACTTCGGCTAATAAGTGATAGTTATGAAATCGTAACTGGTGTTCTTACAGCCGCCCCGTGGTCCTTATTATCATGGTATCTGAGGGCTTACACAACGCCGACCTCGCACAAAGTCTGGCGAATGCTGAAATCCGCTGCTGCCAAACAAAAGTTCTTGAAGACATATTCCCCAGAAACGGCAGTTGACACAGTATGGTGGCGCACGCTAGTTCTTGTCTCGTTGACAATGCTTTGCATTGGAGGCATATCCATACTTCGACGTCTACGTGCTGGTCAAGCTCTGCCAGCCATGACGGGCTTTCAACTCAACACAGGCTTGGCAACAAAGGCCATTCTACACGTCATATCGATTGCGCTGCCTATATACTCTGGCATGATTATTGGCGGCACAATGGTTGCACTTGCGCTGGGCTTGACGTATGCAGCTGGCGTGCCAGTGATTTTCGACGCCAGCGGAAAAGCCAGCGGAATACGAGAAAAGCTTGGAAATAAAACGGCATCCCTATTTGTTTTGTCATTATTTGTTGTCTTGGATGTTCTTGGCTACGACTTTCCAATTGATACCCAGCCATTCCGTGGATATATTTCTCTCGCCGTTTCAATCTTCGTCCTCCGTCCGCCTTTTCCAGCACCAAGAGACTTCGTCCTCGCAACCCAGAAGCCAAATATTGAGTCGGCATCTCAGCTTGGAAATTTTCTTACGGCTCTCCTGGACCAGCAAACTGCGGCTTTGCTTCGCAGTCCATTGGCCGCATCGCCTGAAGATGTGCAACTCACGTTGATTTCTGGTGGAGTGATGGCTCTTCTCTCAATAATAACCTCGCCTTTCAACGATTCGCAGGTGCCATTCGGGGTTTCAGACTTGATTAAAGCGCTGACAATTGCTAGTGTTTTTGCACTAACATATACGCTTTCTTCACCTTTCGGGCTACGTTCACGTCAGAAAGTAGGATTTGCGGCAACAGCTCTTGTCGTCGTACTCACCAGTGCCGCGCCACACGAAGAAAGCAGTCGTCTTGCGCATGTATCTTGGTCCGTATTGGCGGCATTTTGCTATTTCGCCGCTCTTTTCGACGATCCCAAACCAGGTGAGCCAACACGGCTCAAAAAGGAAAAATCATTCATCACAAAGTTTTTACTCGAACATGGAGAGGATTGGCCGATCTTCCATAGTATTATGTCGGAGGAGAATTCTCGGAGGATCTTCTACTTCATGTGGTATGTCTTACCGATTATTTAATCCTGCTGTGCTAATAAATGTAGCCTGAATTTCGGATTCATGCTTATCCAACTCACGTACGGATTCGTCACTGGCTCGCTGGGTCTGCTTAGCGACAGCATCCACATGTTCTTCGACTGCCTCGCTCTTGTCGTCGGTTTGTCCGCGGCAGTCATGAGCAGATGGCCTCCTAGCGAGCGCTTCCCATATGGCTATGGCAAAGTCGATACTCTCTCGGGCTTTGCCAACGGAGTATTCCTGATGATCATCAGCGTCGAGATCGTCTACGAAGCCATCGAGCGTCTAATGTCGGGTAGTGAAATGCGCCGTATCCAGGAACTCCTGGTAGTTAGCATCGCTGGTCTTGCCGTGAACCTGGTCGGAATCATGGCTTTTGACCACGCGCATCATGGCCACTCGCACGACCATTCCCACGGGAACGAGAACATGCACGGCATTTTCCTGCACATCATGGCCGACACGCTCGGATCCGTGGCTGTGGTCATCTCCACGATCCTGGTACATTTCTACGGCTGGTCTGGCTTTGACCCCATCGCATCGTGTCTCATCGCGATCCTGATTTTCGCCTCTGCCGTCCCGCTAGTGTCGAGCACGGCGTCTACGTTGCTGCTGACCTTGCCGGCGGATGTGGAGTATAATCTCAGGGATACCCTCGCGGGCATTAATACGCTGCGGGGCGTGGTGGGTTATACCGTGCCCAAGTTCTGGCTGGACGATACCACATCTGCATATTCCTCGGGTCACGATCATGGCCATGGCCATGGACATAGTCACGACCATCACCATTCCCACGACCACGACCACGACCACGCTCACACCCACACCCATCACGACCACGACCACGACCACGACCACGACCATGACCATGACCATGACCATGACCACAACCACGACCACCACACCGAAACCAAAGTCCTCGGGATGATCCACATCATCGCCTCCCGCAGCGCGGACATCGATGACGTCCGCAAACGCACAGTCGAATACCTGCAGCAGAAAAACATGGACATCGTCGTGCAAGTCGAGCGGGAGGGGGAAGGGAAATGCTGGTGTGCGGGCGGAAATGGGAATAGGTCGCCATATATAAGTTGATTTTTAACATACCTTCTCCATTCATATTACTGTTTTGCTATTCAAAGAAAGGGGGGTTGTCGATATTGGTAGTTGATGGGAGAGATATATACATACATATATATATATATAAGCAGGGGGGAAGGGGGTATTGTACATAGTTCAAATATTATATACGTGTCATCGAGGATGATATGAAGATAATATCAGATTTTCCAGGTGTCTCTGTGTGAGGGGTATCAATATACATACAGACATACGTATTGAAATAGGAATGACACCATCAAGTTGCAATGTTGCTTATTATAGATCTCAAGTAAATATCACTCATAACTGGTCCTGATACTTCCCGCCACAATAAGCGCAAACGTCATAACGATCATATAGCCGATCATAAACCTCTTTCCTGTCTTTTTCTTCGTTATTATCGCCATTATTTTGTTCCTCCCTCTTTACCTTTTCTGCTTTCTCTTTCTCAGGTTGGGTAGGGTCTTCTTCTGTGAGGCCGGGGGCATCAGTCATCTCCATGTCCTCAAACGCGCGTTCGAGGGAATACGCCACGCCGCGATCGCGGCCGAGAATACTTTTGTCACAGACTGAGCAGAAGGGGGCGATGTATGGTTCTTGGATGGAGAGAAATGTCAGGTTACATCGGTCTGTTAATTGGCTAGTCAGAATTTTTGATTTTTTTTATGTAGAAAAGGGAAGGTCTAGAAAAGGAAGGGAGGGCGTACTCCACCGATGCCCGTTTTCGCACATCGATCGATCATATCCGTGCCAGCTCAGGCCTATGCTCTGCCCTGTTCGTCGGAGACAGGTCTGGCATGTCTCCCACAGGAAGCCGCCGGGGCCTTGAAGACCAGGGAGTGGTTTTGCGGGGAGGATAGGGGTGGTTCGGCCCTCATGGGTTTGTGTAGGGAGCGGGGTTGTGCCGGTACAATAGGCGAGCTCGTCGGTGGCGGGGAAACTGAAAAGGGAGGACAGGTGGGAGAGAGCTTGGTGGGTCAAGGAGAGGAGGGGGTCTGATGTTCTGTCGTCTGGATGGTGCGAGATGATGGCGCACATGCATGCCGCGTAGAGCACTTTGGCAGAGCGTATATCGTCCCTGCGAACGTCGCGGGCGGAGGAGAGGATGTAATGTAGTATTTCGTCGCGTACATTCGCGATGTGTTCTTCGGAAGTGTCGGGTGGTTTGGGGAACGGTGTGTCTGGCGCAGGGGGTACAAAGAGGATGGTGGTGTTTTCTTCTGCTTTGGTCATGTATTCCAGTGTATCGCCGGGATGCATGGTGAATGCAACGGCCAGCCACCCGTTGAATGTGGCTAGGCCCCATGTGCGTACGATGGCCATGTCGCCGAGTTCGTATTGGATGTCGTAGCGTTGTCTGTAGCGTTCCATCCGTTCTTTCCAGGGGATGCGCTGTATGCCTACGGTGTCTTCCAGAGACGTACCGAGGATGGACAGAGCGATGGTTTCAGAGACCGGGCCGAGAGTAGCCATGTAGACCGTCGGAGAGTCGAGTTCGCCGGCTGCTACTATTCCTGTTGTATGGTTAGCACTGAGAGTACATATTGGGCGGAAGAGACGAACCGGTCATTGGCTCATTGTGTTGGTAGTATGTCGCCCCCATGCTGATGAACCCGTCACCTTGTTCTTGAAACGAGCGCTGATGAAATAGTACGCTCTTTTTGCTTGCTTTCTTGTTTTGTGGATGGTTTACATACGCGCTGGTATCGAACCGGAGCGTTACTCGTCCGCCGAGATAGCCTGCGACTAGCAGAATATTCCCGTTCTGCATCGGTCAGAATAGGCTCATCAATATCTGCGGAAGAATGTACACGTACTGAAGGAATCCATTGCAATGGGCCAGTGAAGTTAACACCGTCCAGACTCAGCTTTGAAAACAGCGCATCCGGAGCCATTGAAAGGTGCGCTCTCACCCACTGATCCCGGTCACTCTCACCAGCAGCGGCATGGACGTTGATAAACTGCAGTCTGGAGCCATAAACCAGAGCAACCATAGCCCCAGACCCATCTACTGAATCCCCTTCCTCATCAACCCTTACGGCTCTCCTCCACGGCCCGCATGAAAGATGTAATACCCTAGCCCTCATCTCCAACGCATCAGCCCACAGCGACGAGCCACACACCATACCAAACTTCCTAACACCCGGCTGATTGACGTGTATATGCGCGACGACATTCAGCACATACTGATCCTCGGTAATCGACTTCAAGCCATTCCTCATCACTCTCACAAGCACAACATCGTTATCATCCGTTGACACGACTAGCAACTGTTCACCCCAGCGCGCCAACTCACCATCCCCTTCCTCCCTTTTCAACGGCGGACACCACGCAAACGCCCTCACCCTACTCTTCCTCACGGCACTGCCCGTCTCGCCATGGCCATGCTGTTTCGCATGCGCCCGGAAATACGCGTCAAGCGCGTGATTCACAACGGCCACACGCGACCACGTCTTGCGTCGGCCATCGGCCTCATAAAACGACAACAACAAATTCGACGTCAACACGGCCAGCACACAGCGGCGATGTCTACCCAAGCCCGGCGGCGACCATGCCAGTGCACCGACAGTGCTCAGCGATTGCTCAGCGCCGATCGAGAAACTGTCGCGGTCCGAGGGCCATGCGACTTCCCATTCGGCGTGCGTGAACAGATTCGTGCGGATCTTGGCTGACGTCCACGGTAGGGATTTTTCTTTTTCAAATAGTGGATGGACCCAGGTGGGCTTCCACTGGGGGAGCTGTACATCTTTTATTAGAATAGGAGGTTGGTATACGGTTGATGAAGGGGTGGGGATACGATACTTGTAAGTGTACAGAGTCGCCCGCTGCCACTGCAAGCTCGCCGTCGTCGGACCAAGCGAGGCAGTTGTAGCAGGAGGGGAAAAGGTTAAGGTCGATGGCGTCACCCATGGTTTCCTCCGAGCAAACGTATGGTTTTGTTTACATTTTTAAATAAACATTATTAGTTAACAGCTGATACATGTTTCGCTGCGAGAGGGTTGGTGGAAGGAGACACATGAAAACATTCAGAAGAAAAAGCTTGGCGCGGTCTTCCGTTTTTGGACAGCAGAAATGCGCGGGAATTATATTTATAAAATATTTTTTCCAGCTGATTCACAATTACATCGCTTAAAATTTTATATTCTCTTGGTCTAAATATTCCTGGAAGAGAGTGTGAATTGTTGGGAAGAAAATCACTACGCGTACCCTCTAGAGTGCTATAGAAACGGACCAAACCGAGTAAACTATATAAATATCAATTGATTGATAGAAAAAAAATGACAAGAAACGCCACCTGCCTTCAATCAAAATATGTACTTCAAAAAAGGCAGAAATTAGCACGCTAGGTTCATAGAAGGTCATAACAAGGCGAGGCATGCACAGCACGAGACCGTCCTAAAATGCAGCATAACCAAATAAATACGTCTAGCAGGTGAGGGATGATTGCAACCCAAAGAATATATGTACGTAACCTTGTTTCCATGTTGCGATCCATGTTGATGTAAACTGTGTGATGGTAGGTTCGTCGTGATGCTGAAATCGTCAGTCGATGAAATCGAATACTTTTCTGATTGGCCAAAGGAAATCGGATATCAGAGCGAAAATAAGGAAAGAAAGAGTGACAACAAGTCTTAATCCTCCCCAAGACTCTCCCTGACACACTTCCTAACCCGCTTTTTGAATTCTTTCGGATCATCCCTCCACAACCTCGCAGCCTCCACATTCGCCGGACTCTCATCATTCGGACTCGACAACATCGAAATCACCGACAACAAAATCGTCTCTGGTGTCTGCACGGGCGACCAGCGTTCCGCGGCCGACTCATATCCATACTTATCCTCCTCTGGCGGATGCAGGATCGAGATACAGACATCCCCATTTTCGTAGATATTAGGGTGGAAGATGGGCGTCTCAAACTTCATTTTCGGGGGCATGTGCGGGTATTCAGGAGGAAAACTCAGTCGAGCTCGAAAAAACCCGCCGCCGTAGAATTTGCAATCGTCGGATATCATGAGCATGACTTCCCATTCGAAGACGCTGTTGTCGTTGACTAGGCCGCAGCTGATGCCGGGGATGTCCTTGTCGGACTGCATCTGCTGTAGTTGGCGCGAGAGCATGCGGCCGGCTGCTGTCGTTGCCATTGTATTTAATGTGGTGTGGTGTGGTGGTTGTAATAGATAGTGGCTTTGGAGGTGAGGTGCGAAGTGGGGGATTCGATGGTATGTGTCAGGTGGAGGGGTGATGAGGGGCGAGCAGCAAGCCGGAATGGCCCGTGGTGGGAGATTGGTTGGGGTAGAGCAAATAGTGAGGGATGAGCGATGTCAAGAGAGGAAGCATAGACACTGAAGGAGTGTAGACTTGAGATGACTATCGGGGGATTCGCCTTCTGCCGGAAGCGTCCCACCGCCACCCGCAGTGAGGTTATCGCCGCCACCAATCACAGCCACCAACGATCGGCAGGACATCTAGATATATATTATATTGGTATATGGTATGGTATAGGTGTAGGTATATAGATATATCAGAGTATGTGCTAGCACTATTTAACAGACATTATCCAGAAAGATCATATCATATGCACGTCGTCATCTCATACAGAAACGACCGGCCAATTACATGCTAATATCCACGGCGCCAGAGCTGTCGATCCGATCACCGAAGAAGAGAAACACCTGCGAGATGAGCACCAAGGCGAAGATGAATGACACGGCCATCTGCAAGAGGAAGACTCTGCCGACAATGTTCAAAAATCGCATGCGTGAGCCCCAGTTGAACGAACGCCACGCGTCAACGATGCCAATCTTGCCCTGACCACCAACGATTTCAGGTGTGACCTTTCCACCAAACGAACGGTCGAAGGGCACAATAGCCTCATCATCTTCTGGCAGCATCGACGCGGCCACGCGGATGAATGTGACTTCAGCGGGCATCTGGATGAGCACATACAGAGCGAGATAAAGGGCGCTTAGACCTAGACCGCTAGACACAAACGTGGTCGGGGCTATATCCGAAGGGCTCGCCATGAGGCTGCTCGAGGACGCAATGAGGAGAGGGACGAAGGTGGCGACCTGAGAAGCAACGGAGCGAATGGCAGCAGCCGGGGCAATCTTCCAAATAGTCTTGCGCCAGGCAGGGAGACGAGACCAGAGCGACTTTGTCGACGGCTCCGAGATGACGATATGAATCCAGCCCACTCGCAGGTTTGCCACGAGCAGCTCAGCGATGAATTGTCCCAGGGCATTACCGACCAAGCTTCCACCGAGGATGGCGGCGATCGGCGACGCCACGAGGTTGACGATCAGGACGATCAACAGGTATAAGCGGATGCCACGGAATCGGGAGAGACGACCAGCACGAGACTTGAGATGAGCGAGCGTGCTGCCCAGCGAACGGGTGATGGGTTTTGGGGGAGGCAGTTCGGCGTCGTTGATGCCGGTCTCGACGGTAGCGTCCGTCTCGATGCGCACGTAGACATCGGGGTTAGGGTCTTCGACGGCAGCGAGGGTAGCAACGACTTTGCCATAGATGTAGTCCAGACACCCGCTCGTGATGGCAAGGATGACGAGAGTGAGCACGAAGATGCTGAATCCGAGCACAGGGAACGGCTTGTCCTCATCAGAGCCGTCCGTTCCCCGCCGAACCAGATAGTTGGCGACGGCAGCGAGAGGCATTTTACAGGTAGGTATGTATAATAATTAATTAGAAACGATGCAATGGGATAATAGCAAGAATGCTGAGATGCAAACGAGGATCTTAGCGAGCAGAGTAGATGACAGCGGAAGAAGGCGCGGAGGAGGGGACCGTGGGTTTAAAGCAAAGCGCTGAGTTGTCAGCCTCAGCTGGTCTGGGCGCAGGCAGCAGCCGGATAACTATTTGCATTATTAATGCCGCTAATATGAAGAGGAAGTCCCGGTTGTTTCGGCTGCAATAGCCTAGTTTTTTATTGGGCTTGGCTGTTGGCTGTTGACGATCTCAGCCAACGCTGTTCAATGGATATTTTAGAATATCAATTGATATTGAAGAAAGAAACCAAAACCAAGTATTGCATTCTGAGGAACATGCATGCATTAATTACGAATGCCTGGAAAAGACCTGTCAAGTTGGCCACGATGATCGGCCTAACATGGGGTCTATTTTTAGCAGTCGGCGGCTATAAACTCCGCGCCGGAGGGGCTCTATAATTGTCTTCTCTAATAATTCAGTCTCTATCTCGACAGGATAATGGATTGGTCACCGATCAAAGAGAAAACCCAGCGTGCCCTCTTGCATAAACCACGCTGCGTCTCTCTGCCACCCGTTGACTACGAACTCCCGCCCTATGCGCACCACCTCCTCGATCTGCTCCCGGCTGCCCCAGCCAGGGACCACGCTCCAGCACACCAAATGCACGCCCACATGTATTGCCGCCCTGAATGCAATCTCACGCGTGAGCGGCCCATAACTCTCGACTAATGCCTGCATGATCCAGATCGCCGCGTCCACATCCTTGAAATGCTTCGCCTCAAACAGCTCTGCCAGCATCTGCCCCAGATCCAGCGCCCGCAGCCCCAGATGGCTCAGTTCCCAGTCCACCACGAACAGCGTGTGATCGGTAACCAACACATTGCCCGTCCAGAAATCGCCATGAATCAAACCATACGATCCATCACCGGAATGTGTCGGCGGCGAGGCAATTTCCCTCGCCACGCATTCTCTCGCTTGCTCAAAGACTGCACGGCTAGACTCGAGAATATGAGGGTAAGTATCTACCATAGCTGGAAGTCTCTCGTAATTCACCATATTCTTGAGCTTCTGCATTTCCGTATTCTGCCCGATCGTCTCCCTCAACCCAGCCTGCTGCTCCTGAGATCCCCATGTATGAAAGGCTGCAACCCAGTCACCTAGCGCATGCCCAATTGCACGCGCATCTGGCTCAGAGATACTCTTTCCTCGCTCAGACAGCAGCCAGCTTTTCAGGTCCTTTGACTCGGGCAGATTCTCCATGATCTGCGTATACGTCGCCGAGTCAAAATGCAACAACCGGGGCGTTTTGACCGTGATCCTCGACGAGGCCAGTAACGCAGCATCACTGAGGGGTGAAAAAGTTTTGAGTGCTCTGAGCATAGTCTCTTCAAAGATCTGCCAAACACATTGTTATTAACCTGCACCAACCATCCACTAACAAGCACATACACATCGATCTCTAGCCAGCTTAAAATCACGATTTAGCGCGACATAATCTGTAGTATGCTTAACAATAACCTCTTCTGCATCGGTTTCGCCGGGTAAAGTAATAGGCGACGATAATCTGCCTCTGTAGACGAAATTGGCTGTACCGCCATTTAGTCGCGTGAGGGATGAGCAGGCATAATCGGTTGACGCGAGCAGTTTTAGTGTTGCGCTCTCTATATCTTGGTCTGTGGCCATGTTCTTATAAACCGAATTGAATTTATAATACAAACGACTTGTGATAGATTCAGAATAAATAACAATTTGAACGAAGGAGGAATACCTATAATCTAACCTAATCTCAGATTAGAGGGGTTACATTTTCCCCTCTTGCTCATCTTGACTCATGCCAGTATCGACCATCGTAGCCCAATCATTGCAGGGCCGTCTTCATTAGTTCGTAATTTCTTTTTGCGGATCGTTTATCGATCATCATCAATAAGAATCATATCGATATATCGATTATATGAATTGAAACTCCGCATTGTGCTGCCAGTATTCCACATATAATTCAAAGGATGAATTAAAGATGGTGAATGTATTGAGTTTCAATGTAAAGGTTATTATCCTAGGCGGGGGAATCAGGCCGCACTATCTAGATGCCTGAGGCTGCGCGGTGCTTCCTCTTCTGCTTAACCGTTAAAATGTTGCATCATTGTTTGATTCAATGTTCCTATCTTGAAGATGTCTTCTTACACGATATATCGTATAATATACACATTATCATACAGAATCTAGCTCCACAGAATACCACCATCGACGGTTTTGCCCAGGAACATGACAGGGACTATGAGAACTATGCTTCCTTCACTGCCACCACTTGGTTGTCTTGATTGACTGCAATCTCAACGGGTTTCACCGACTCCTTTACGGGATTGCGAGCCTCAAAGATCTGATCGAGTTCCTCGAGCTACAACGTAATTAGTTCATCTCTACATAATATCAGGATGGAAGAGAATGAATGAGCTTACCGTTCGGTTCTTGGTCTCCGGGAGAAAGAAGTACATAATGACAGTCTGAATCGCATCCCAGATAATGAACACAATATACGTTTTCCAGCCAATATTTGCCAACGAGACGGGCCATGCGAACTGGTTCAAAAGACCCGCCGCGTTGACAGCCAGAGCGGAGAAGGCCATTCCCTTGGCGCGCATCTCGTACGAGAGCACTTCGACCGGATACAGAGCCTGCAGCGGCGTGAGGCAGAAAGAAAACACTCCACCGAAGATGAAAATAAACCCAAGCGTGGCATTCGATGCGGCGTGGTTCAGACCACCATCGGCCTTGTTCACCTGGCTAGAGGCAGCCAACACTGCAATCCAAACTACACAGCAACCTGCCATACCACTGAGCATTAGTGGTCGACGACCGATTTTGTCGACAAACGCGGCACCGACGAGCGCCCAGAAAAATTGGAAGCAGGAGTATCCCAGGTTGATGTTTGCTTGTGTGACGTCCGAGGTGAATCCGGCACCTTTGAGGGCTGGAACAAGGTAGTATGTCAACACGCCGTTTCCAGCCCACTGCGCGAAGACCGAGAAGGAGACGTTGCACATCAGACGGTAGAAGTTGCTGCGCTTGTTGAAGAGACTGCGGTAATCCCACCACTTCTTGTCCTACAGGAGCTGTCAGTAAGATGCTGAAAGGTGTCAGGGTAGTTAATGCGGAGAGGCTTGCTTACGGAGCCATCCATGTTCAAATGAGCCTCGTATTCAGAAATTTGAAGTTTAACCCACAGCGAATCACAGTTTCCGTAACCGTGCCACTTCGTCAGCGTCTCGACGGCCTTTTCTCTCTTGCCGTTCACGTACAGCCAACGCGGAGACTCGGGAATCAAAAAGCAGAAACAAATGATCAAACCAGAGAACACCAACTGCAGCCACACGGGAATCTGCCAGGACACATTGGTGTGGAGTGTAATAGCACCGCGGACGGCACCAGATGACAAGATCGAACCAACAAACCAAAAGGTATTGCAGTAACCCGTCACAATACCGCGGTAGGCCGGATGAGTAGTCTCGACGACGTAAATGGGGCCGGCGGAAGAAGCAATCGAGACACCGAAACCAAGCATGAAGCGGCCACCCATGAACTGGCCAATACTAGCATTCGTGATCGTCAGACCACAGACAATTGTACCGAGAACGATGAAGAGACTGCCAATGAACATGCCAACACGTCGACCCCAGGTATCGATGGCAGGACCGACGAAGGGCAGAGCGCTGACGCCGCCAATCTGGTACATGGCCGAAACGATGCCGGCCCATATCCCCGAATCACTTCCATGGAAATGGCCCAGGAAGATGGTATTGGCAAGCAGACCATTAAAAAGCGCACCGTCAAATCCATTCATCGTCTGACAGAAGAATCCCACGAGCAGACAGAGAAATAGCAGAAGCGAAGTCGGATCCAAGAGTTTCGGGGGTTCCTGGATAAGGGCTTCGTTGAATTCCTCGCTGCCAGAGGCAACGTGAACGGTTGTGTTCTCCTGAATGATGAGCAATCAGAACATGCACCAGTGGGTATCTACTATCATGTTCAAGACATGGTTATTCACACTCACCAACTCTTCAAGCGATGCCACGTGCTTGGCATCGACTTTCTCGGTTGTCGCCATTATGCCGTTACCACAGTATAATCAAGATCGCGAGACGGCCCGTAAACGTGCGAGGAAACGAACCTTCGATCTGGGTAATACATGAGGAGCACTGGGAAGATGTTTCATAATAAAGTATCCTGTGGTTGTTGCAGAGACTTGGCGAGAAGCTTGATGGCAAAGTCAATATGAAGCTGGCCAGCCGCTAATCCGGAAAAAATGCGGAGGCCACGGAGCAGGGAAATGCGGAGTGCCAAATGGGGTTCAACCTTATTCAATCTGGCACGGCCTCTCCACAGTCAACGGCCACTGACAGACTTCGCTTCGGTTGTCACGGGTGACAGGCTGCCTGAATCGGCGCGGATGATACTATCGTCCGCGCTGGCTACTGGCTTATATTGATAGATGGGCAGGGTATGGCCCGCCCCCCATATCCCAGGGTCAAGAATGCCATGCCGAATGCATCCCGAAGCCGAAGAGAGCAGCCGAAACCACATAGCAAACCGAGACTAACCCGATTCACTCAGGAAGTGGCCGAGCAGCTAATTTCGCTTGTGATCGTGAGGAAAAACAACCGACTCGGGTGGAAAATAATGGATGAAATGAATGAGACATGCTTCAAGAGTGGCCATAACCGTCAACTCAACAAAAGCCTCAGCGTATATCTCGAAGTTCCTTGTATTGGTTTCATTAATATCCAAGTATTCATGGATGGAGTAAGCTTACTGGACAGATTCTAATTACACTATCCGACGACGAAAACTTCCACTAGTCAATTGCGATCATATTAAAGGATGAGGTGGCAAAGCTGCTAACATCTGAGGGAGAGGCAAAACGGAGGAAATGTTGTGCAAGCAGGTGAATGAATACACACCAACGACATTAATCACCTCTTGATTAGATATGCCCTGCATTGTATTCTCTGCTACGCCAGTCCTTATTATTAGTAGTTTTATTTCCGCCCATATCTTATTAAACGAATCCCAACCCACTCAGTAGCCCTAAATTTGCAGCGGTTTCCATTAAATTGACCTAGATAAGCTACTTAGTGCAATTCAGACTCCAGTTTCCTCTTGTCAACATCACATCAGCTGATCCATCCTGTGACACTCCAAAATGAGTGCTATTTTTCTACCAGTGTCATCCCACTTCTCCACAGAGAGTTAATTTCCGCCTGCACCGTTGCCACTCCATATCCCCCCACTGCTCATCCTTAGAATGTCGTCCTGCATCACTCCAACAAGGATATACTGAATCCATATCTAACAATGTCTCACCTTGACTACGCATAATTCTTTGTTTCTTGTCTCATCCTCCCTTAATTTTGTCAGCAAACGACATCTTCCTGTGCCAGCAAGGATGACACTGCTATATCTCTTGGCTTATGATCGTCAAAATTCTTACTCTCCAATGATAAATCACGCATTCTTCTGTCGGTACTTCTTCAGGGAGTAATGATCTACTTCACTTGCCTATCAGCGAAGACATGTCGGCAGAAAAATCGAACAATCCACATTAAATCCAGAAAACCGGGACTGCAGAGCCACCTTTAGTACTGAAACGGGATTATGCCAATACATTTTTTATATATAATAATCAGTTTGAATCATACTCAGTCTCATATTCATTTGAATCGGCGGATTATCGGCATGATAGGCAGCAATTGACTGTCCTGTTAATTTCGGCTGTCTAACGTACTTGTATTCAGGGTGTCGATCTGCCGAACTGCATAATCTTGATGGATCTAAGGATCTAAAGCAGTCAACGCCAATATGCATAAATAAACAGTGATACTCACTCATTCCCAAAATCAGTGAATATCTGAAAACATCAACAACATCATCGAACCAGCTGACCAGCATCCCAACTCCAAAATGAAGTCCATCCTTTCAATCAGTCTCATTTCGTTGCTCCATGCCGGGCTCCTCTCCGCAAACCCGGTCAGCTCACCCTTCAACAAAAGAAATGACCGTGGCTCGTACACCGCGAGTGGTTTGGGATCTCGCAAGCAAGCCATTACCAGCGCCGGTGGTACCACGCTCGATCTCGCCATTGCTATGCTGGAAACGTGCGTTTCCTCCGTTGCGCAATATATCCCTATAACTAAGACCTGAAACATTTGTTTAGATCGGATATGAACACTGATTATACCTACGGTACGCCACCGACTTATTCAGTTATTAGTCCTATCTAGTTGGCTAATATATATCCAGGAGATGGCAAAACCGAAGACTCAGCTAATTTTGGCATCTTCAAGCAAAACTGGTTTATGCTTAGAACCAGCGCGTCGGCTTTTGAAGAACAATCGACGAGCAGTTGGAATGACGGGGCGGTGTTAAAGTATACTTCGTTAGAGCTCTTATTGACGCATCATCTAACAGCTTCTGTAGCAGCGATTTGTCTAAGGATATTGCCTCCCGGCATCAGAGCCAAGACCACTACGGGTACGATGCGTGGTTCGGAGGCCACAGAGATGGGGAGAGCGGGGTGAATAACCCCAATACCGATGATATCAACAGTATGCTCCTGTTTCCTCTTTTTTTTTTTTTTTTTTTTTTTTTTAAAGGCTACATTCTTGGGTTGTGCACTTATCTGACAGTTGGTGATAGCCTACAAATCCGGTGTAGAATGGATCCAGACCCAGATTGAAAGCAGCTCGGCTTATCTTACTGACGATACCAAGTTTTGGGTTGACGTCACTCCTATCTAAAGCTTTGAGGGTCTAAATACATCTGATAGTATGTTGAGAAGGATCATTTCAGAACGAAGGCAAGTTTCAAAGCTGGATCACGCACAAATATTGGGGATTCCCTGTCTTAGAAAGATCCTACAGTTTAGATGAAAATTTAACTTTCTTTCGTCATATATCAATCCAACCTAGTTATGCATTTGATGTGTCGATGATAATGTGTTCAATGTTATCATTGGCTGTAAAATTTGCTGTAGCTACATATGTAAATGGAAGCCATGTTCCATGTTTCTGATTGGTACAGCTGAATTTAATTATTATAGAAATCTGAACGCATAATATATTATTACCACTGCTAAAGTCATCATTTCGAAACAGCCAGAGAAATGCTACAATCCATGCACCAAACAGCAATGTAATACGAGTGCCAACTCCACAGTGAATAAATTAAAAACATTCCATTCCAATGATAATATTAAAGTTCAACGTGAAAAGAGACTAAAACCAACCTCGTGTTCGGTAGTGCGTGTTTAGAGCTAAGTATGTATCAGATGCTAATATAATGCGGCCAGCGTTCCGTTTTCATTACGGGGTGGAACCCCGTTCCGTAAAAGGAAAATGGCTTGCCAAATCTACCACGGAGTAGAATAGGAATAGCATAAGATCGGCAGACAAAACGCGCTTACATCTTTGCCGGCATGAGGACTAATTAATTCGTGGAGATAAGGTACCATCTGGGGTAGTCTCTTGGGGTAATTTTCTCACCTCTATTCAAATGCCGGTTAGATCAATGGGACAATATCGGGGATAGTATCAAATTATAGCAGTCTTGTGGAACACTTCACACCTTTAATTTTAAGCCAAGATATTATACGGGGCACACTCATTTCGTGAAAGTATTAAATAATGCTGAATTCCTGCGCAAAATGATATCTTGGATCCGAAACTAGAAATGAGTAGAAGACAAAATCTTTCATTGACAACCGATTGAATCTATCAAGATGAAGATATCGACTCTCTTAGCTATTCCTTCCTTGGCCTTTCTAACCCTTTCTCAACCAACAATCTTGAGAACCCGTACGTTAACCCATTTTCGTCCTGTACTACGAACTAAAGCTAATTTCCTATCACGCAGAATTGCGCTCTGTTCCTTCAATCCGTTCTCAGTCGCAAATCGCTGAGAGCAATGGATCACATGCCAGTACAAGCGGAACTTCGTTTGTGATTGGCGGCAAGAAAGGATATTATGCTGGCACAAACTCCTACTGGATCTCTTTCCTCACCAACAACGATGATGTGGACCTGGTAATGGGCCATCTCCAAACCTCCGGACTCAAGGTTCTCCGGGTTTGGGGGTTTAATGATGTCAATACCAAGCCTGCCAAGGGAACCGTGTGGTTCCAGCTGCTGCAAAACGGCAAAGCAACCATCAACACCGGAGCCGACGGCCTGCAACGTCTTGACTATGTAGTCAAATCTGCAGAGGCCCATGGTATTAAACTGATTATTAACTTTGTGAACAATTGGAGTGACTATGGTGGCATGCCCGCTTACGTAAAGAACTATGGAGGAACGCAGACTGGTTGGTATACGAATACTGCTGCTCAGGCCGCATACCAGCATTACATCAAGACTGTCGTTAGCCGATACACCAGGTCATCTGCTATTTTTGCGTGGGAATTAGCCAACGAGCCTCGTTGCAGTGGGTGCCACACGTCCGTCATCACCAATTGGGTGAAAAAAACCAGCAAATTTATCAAGTCTCTCGACTCGACTCATATGGTTGCCATTGGATCTGGTGAGTTGATTAAATTTGATATATCTGTATGAGAATGTCCGAAGGGAAGGCTTACTTTTGATTCTCTTCAGAGGGCATGGGTCTCGCTACGGATTCCGATGGAAGTTATCCATTTGGATATTCAGAGGGAAATGACTTTGAAGCCACCTTGGCTATCTCCACTGTTGACTTTGGTACCATTCATATGTATCCTGACCAATGTGAGTTGCAAGAATGCATGATACAATACAGTATTTATTTGCATTTTCCGGTCTAACATAATCGAATTAGGGAGCGAGTCTGACTCATGGGGCACCACCTGGATCCAGGCCCATGGAAAAGCCTGTAGCAAGGCAGGCAAACCATGTCTCCTCGAGGAATACGGTTCGTCGAGTTTCTGCAGTGTTGAGCAGCCGTGGCAATCCGCTGCTCGTACTTCGCTCGCTGGTGATTTGTTTTGGCAGTGGGGAGATCAGTTGAGCACAGGCAAATCACCGAATGATGAGTACAGTGTTTGGTATAAGAGCAGTGATTATACCTGCTTGGTGACAGATCATATCAGTCAGATTGGCTCGTAGAAAGTCGTGTATGATTTTGATTTGAGAAGTTGTCAAAAATAGCGACGCGCTGCCCTAGGGTTATAGGGCAGCCGTTTGGGGGTACTTATGACAAGATTCAAATTGTTCTAAGAGCAGGGTCAAGGGCAGTCAGTCGAAGAATAAAAGACTATTGGAATGCCACATCTTATTTCTGAAGGAGAAATTGATCAAATAGACAAATAGTAATCTGCATTTATTTAACCGTCTCATACAATTCCAGTGTCTAATCAAAAGTCACGGTGTCAAAATTCGCTCGACTAATCCTAACCCTAACGGTGTGCCAGGCGGCCAACGGGATACAACAAATTGGTCAACCACCATGACAAGTGGTCAAACCTAAAAGAGTGCCTAAGTGATCTTAGAGTAACGAAAAGACCTCACTCTTCATATTAGACATAGGCCGACTATAAGACTCTATTAGGCCCACTGAATCCAGGGATTAGGTCGTTTATGGTTAGATAGACCCTATATGTATATTTACAAACTAGACTATAAATTAAAGTTGGAGCTAAAGTTAAAGCTGGAAAGAAAGATTCTTAATTAGGATAGGCACTTGGAATATAATTAGATTGGATACTAACTCTTAATATGTAATAGCTGTGCTATTTTTGTATTTAGAAGTTGGGATATTAATTATGTGTACTGAGAACCGTTTGGGAAGTATAGTCCTTGGCATGCATGATCCTTGGTTGAAACAACAAATAACAATAACGAGCGGCGACCAAAGGCGGTGCAAAATCGCGCGCCAATCGTTCACCAGTTCAACTAAGGAACAACCAACAAAGACCCCTACGCTTTAGCTCTTCCCGCGTCCTCCATATTTGAGCATCCCCCATCTCTGATCTCTGAGGGATCCTGGTTTTTTTTTCTTTTGGCTTATCGCATTCCCATGGGTTGCCCTCTGCCTCCTGCCTCCTGTCTATCATGAATATTCTCCCTACCTTCCTGTGGGGTTGTCTCCTGTGGCTGGGTGTGGTGGCAGCGCAGTCATGGTACTCACTATTTCGCAACAACCTGATAGCCCGCAAGACTGGCCTTCGCTTTCACATTATCCCTATCAGCCATCTCAACCACTTTTGGATGCTTGTTGACAAACACGTTCTGCGCTATGTCAAGCTGATTTTTGGCGATAGTGCCTTTACGCGGTACAATTGGATGGGCTGGGAACTGCACGGCCGATATTACTCTCATCATGAGCTCGGCGATGCCTTCATGTTGGTGACTCCTGGCCGGAACTGGTTGTATATCGGCCATCCGGATATCGTGATGGATCTAGTTTGGTCAAAAAGGAAAATGTAAGAAACTGATAACCCCGAGAAAGCGGCGGCTAGTGATGGGTTTCAAGTAGAATCGCTATGGAGTCGAATCTATTATCTAGGGATAAAATCTAACTGTGTCCATCAATCATGCCATCCCAAAGCTTCCTTCTTTGCAATGAACTTGATCCTTAGATTGAACAATCTATAAGGAAATTAATACCATCTTATATACCCGTAAACTAACCGTCTGGGGCTTTTATTTGCAACACTTGAATTTTTGTAATGTTAAATCAATTTTAGAAAGTCATTTGTCGAAGCACTGATGATTGTTTTTATAAACAACCTGACATTCTTGTAGAGTGTGTAATGTCTTAATTTTTACAAGCTCGAATTTAATATTAAACTGAATATTTAACTTATTAAGGGGGGTAGATTTCCGTCACTGGCTCAATGAGCAATGTATTCAAATCCTCCGAAATCATGTGCGTATTATGCGCAGTACCACAAACTAGCGATCGACGGCTTTGCGCTCCGCGATCTGCGAAGAACGACGAAAAAGATGAGTCAAGTCGAGGTGTTACTTTACTCTTTGGCTTATTCCTTTGCTACTTTTGTAAAGAGAACTAGCTAATCTAGTTTCTGTCTGCATACAGGAGCATGGAGATCACCATACTAATCTACGCCATTCTACTACATTACTTTTCTAATCGGGAATAAGTTAGCTTTTGTTGGAAATTCCCATTGTTTCTATAAATAATTTGCGACTCAACTCAGCCTTATAAGGCCGAGTTTCCCCCATATTGAATATTGAATATTGAACCTGCTGCTGTGTTCTTCTTCAAAGGCTGATTTGTTTACATATTCATATCCCAGCACTTAACTTTTTCTGAACCTTCTGACCTTGATTCGTAACCATAACGACACTGCCTTCGTACGATATCGGTACGAAAGATACAAGGGCCTGGAACCAGTCTCAAGAACTGGTAACTCCTCAGATTCGATTCGACTCGAACCTGAGATTCCACAAACAGTGCAGATAGACAATCTCGCGATACGCATGCTTTATCCATCTACTATCTGTATTTTTTGAGTATTTGGTTTAAAGTTTAGGCGGAATTATTAGACAAAATGATTTTAGTGTAGACTTCTATCCGCAGTCCCGGGGGGTCTTGACTAGTCCCTCTAATAGTCTTTAATTAGGTCAAGCCAATCGAATACGATGCTATGAGAAAAATTGCCACACGATTATAAAAGATGTGAGATTTTTTGTGAGCTATACGGTACCTGTTTGAGTCTTGAGTCGGGTTTTCCGAATCGAAAGCCGCCGGTTTTTGGCGGGGCGTGCGGCATTACCATTAACCGTTTCCTAATCCCGTTCTGAAACAACTGTATAAATCGTAAGATCTTGTAACAGGGCTCACTTTGCATCCAAATTCACTAATTTATATCGAGTATCCTACAAATATCAACGACGGTTATGGATCAGTTTCAAAAGAAATTCTCTGTTGAAGACATCCCTGACCTGGCTGGCAAGGTCATCATAGTCACTGGGTGGGAATTATTGATATTATAGCTGATTCAATACGGGCTGACACAAGATTTCTCCCCTAGAGGTGCCACAGGAATAGGTAAACAGACGGTAGAGCAACTATTGAGCCACAATGCCAAAGTATATGTCGCTTCTCGATCAAAAGAAAAATTTGAACAACTTTTCAACCACATTGAGTCAGCCGATCCGCATATGGCAGCAGGCTTGAACTTCCTCGAGCTTGATTTATCGGATGCAACGAGTTGCATCTCTGCGGCAAAGCACTTCGCTGAGCTTGAAGGAAGACTTGATGTCCTTATTGCGAACGCGGCATTAGCTGTTGTAGTGAGTTACCTCCTGCGGGCACTAGATCGAGGTTGATCAGACATAGCCAGAGACATTGTCAAGTGATGGAATTGAGATACAGTTTGGTGTAGGTTCTATATACTTATTATCTTGGTGCGGGTCATATTTGCTGACGCTAATGCAGACAAACGTATGTAAGGAAACATGTATGCTGCAATACAAAAGCTTAACAATTTCCCATCTTTGTAGTACTTTGGCCATTTTGTCTTCACGCACAACCTTCTGGTATGATCTTTGATAGTCGACTGCTCATGCTTATCTTATATCCATACTAATATTCTGTTAGAACCTGATTCAATACACGTCCGAAGCATTTGGCGAAGCGAGGATTGTCATTGTTTCATCGCATGCTCATGCCATGTATAAACCGGTTCTACCGGAAAAAATCGACTTTGAAGGGTTAAGGATGGAGGGATCGAAGACTATACAGAGCTTTGCCCAGGTGCAAGCTAGCTTGCAAAGGTCAGTTTATCTTCCATGTTATAGTAATTTAGGCTATTATTTCCTTGAAAGTACACAAACTTTCGCAATTATCTAGCTAGAGACAAGAACGAACGAAACTAAAATCCTAGTAGATATGCACGTTCAAAGCTGGCAAATATATTATTTGCTCGGCGGCTCCACGCCCACTTTCAGACCACGGGCCATTCCAACATTCTTGTCAATTGCCTCAACCCAGGTACGTGGTTGGAAAACAACACTGGATCGTGTGCTAATGAGGCTCCTGCACAGGCACAGTCGGCACTGCTCCTGGAACCGACTCAGCTGCGCTTCCGCCAATTTTCAAGTTCCTCAACTCTTCGGTCGTCCGATGGATGAGCATACCACCAGAGGACGGTGCTCTGACAACGCTGCTACTGGCTACAGACCCCGAGATCAAGACAAAGTCATTGAGTGGGCGGTACTTTGACGTTGGGCCTCTTGCTGGAAAGTTCTACTATGGCTATAGTTGGGATGCCACAGACTCGAAATTATCTGATGTTGCAAAGGATGAGCATCTCTCTGAGACACTATGGAAGTGGAGTCTACAAGCGGAGGCGTCAATTGGGCTTGCGAGACAGGCTACAGGCCAAGGACCCAGCTAGGGTTAGGTCACAAAGCCATTGTTGGATGCAGAAACTAACGTCGCATTAATATAGATAGAAATGATTGAAGCCCGTATTGATAAGTTTAAACGACGGATTGCCGATTTGATTCGCAGCTTAATGAATGGGTGTGGGTCGGGAGTTTGAAGCGTGCTTGTAATTTAATCCTGGTCCGGATGAATGGGACACTTCTCTCAAAATTTATACAAAGAGTGGCCGATAGGTAGGAAGACAGGCGATCAGATAGACATTGGGCTCCACCAATGTCTATGTCATCAATAATACCGATGGCCAGGTTCCATCGTCGACAAGGCTTGTTGGGAGAAGGATGCGAAGCGAATTACGGACGTCGCTAGCCCACTATCAGGCAGGGTAGAAAGGCGTCAGATAAGTATATGAGAGGTAATTATTCGGTAGATCAGAAGGGATTCAAAATTGCTTGTCTTCAAGATCCGTTCTGGAGCCATGACTGGCTTGCACACTACCTGTCAAAAGCGTCAACATCAGGTAGAAAACATCACGCTCTTAGTCGCGTTGAGATTCCAGACCATTAGTAGGGGCATAATCAACATGGCGACATCGGTGATAATATTAGGGGAGGGAAGCTATTTGATCAAAGCGTGCTTCATTCAAACAAGTCCCACCCGGGATGGTCTTGTCCCAGTTGAACGCAAATGGCCGATATAGATTAAGTGACATAACAGCACACACAATCGCAATTACGATGAAAATCCCGGAAATAATATAGATTACAATCTGGTACGAGTCCTGATGTCGAAAAAGAGGGAAATGTATAACGAGACTGGCGAGGGCAGATATTTGTGATCCATTGCGAGGCTGCGTAAAGAAAGTGGAATTTCCCCAAGTAATGCCTTGAGGATAATTGAAGACGACACGCAATCAACGTTGGCAAGCCCTGTGCGATAGTGTCGATGCCATCTAATCTCTGACTTGTAGCGATAGGACATTAGGACATCGATGATAGGTGGGTGAGAAATGGAGGGGAAGGGTCATAGCTAAACTCATACAAAGAAGTCTAGACCTAGTAGGCACGGACATTGCATTGCTTCTGCAAACCCTATTCCAAATGAGGAAAACAATGGAGCGCCGGTCTATTCCCAATTAGGAAACCATGAAGTACGTAATAGATGTGGAGAACGAACCCTGTATTTAAGGTTTTAAGGTTGAAGCATGACAGGTTACCTATCCTGATTGGTATCAACTAGCCACTTCCAGACTCTTAGAAATGGGGAGGCTCAGAGTCCACTTCAATTCATCTTTGTCAATTCCAAGGTGCATTTTGTGCATGAGATCCTCCTATCTGGGTAGCATTCATTGTGGCTTTTATGAAGATTAATAAAGTTCAACTGTGACCATCAATAGCACATTGATTGATTATATTATATATACAATAGACCAGCGGAGATATCAAGCTCGTGCTGGCAGAGTGGCGTCTGGTATAAACAATCCATTTCATATCCATGAACTCCTGAGCCCTGCTACCCAACCAGAGGAGAAACATACACCAATTCTCTACCCCAAACAAACCATCCCAAATATACAAAAAAATATGTAGACGAGAAGTACCTCTCCAAACGTGATAACCTCATCCGGGGAAGAAATTACTATTATCATCAATTGGTAGGTCGAAAAACCCATCATGAAGCATCGTCCCAATCGAAAACAAGCCTTCAGGGTCAAATGGCATTTGCAGGCCGAGTTCTGGCACAAAGCCAGCGAATTCGACCTGTGATGCGTTGGCCGCCATCATGTTGGTCATCATTGGGTTGGCTGCGTCGAATCCGGGCTGTTGGTTATTCATGTCGAAGCCTTGTGGTATGAATGCGGTTGATGGGGGGTCGGTGGTCACTGGGACACCGTATGCGGTCCATTGATGGGAGGATGTGCTGGCCGGCGTTGCACCAGTACTCACTGGTAGCACGGCCGGGGTTGAAGTGGCTGCGCCCATGCCGACTGGTGTCGAGTGCTGAGAGGTATCCTTGGGTGAATGCGAGGATCCTACGCCAGCTTCGCTGGAAGGTGGACGCAGTGTCTAGGTATAATCAGTATGATTAATTCGAAATAAAAGGGGCAGATGTAGGTATTCTCACAGTCCTGTCACCCTGGGCATTTTCGCCAGGTTTTGACTTCGCTTGCTCCAGTTTCCGGTTGACAAACCAATTCTTTAATAAATTCAATATCATACAGAACTTTCCCGCCGTTCGGCCGCCTGGTTTGCTCCCACTTATTTTCAGATGCGCTATTACTTTGTCGAGATATTGCTCGGCTTTGAGGTCCTGTGATGAGAAGACTAGACCGAGGCCATTATCCTGAGAGATAGCTGAATACATCTTGAGAAGAGCGACAAAGCCGTATGCAGTTCGGGCAAAATAGACCGTGGGGAGGCAAACGATTGTATCGTAGTCAAACGATGCTATTGTGTCCATTGATCTATGAATTGACGTCAAGCACGCTGTCAGGGCATCGATTTGTGCTGCTGTGACATTCGCGATTTTGCCCTCGCCCTTCAAGCCGCCAATGAAAGGGGGCTTGAAATCGTCAATGTTGTGATCAACGTGCATTGAAATCTCGTGCATATATATATTGACCACACACTCTGCATGTTTCAACAAAACTAAAACAGTCAGTAAGATATGATCAAACATAGAACAGCTGTTTCATTCAACTCACGAGTATAATTCTCTGGTGCTATCTCACGACGCCATTGGTCCAGTTGATTCTCAAATCCCTTCAACGCAAACTGAACCTTAGCATCCATCAAGGAAGCGCTACTAGACGGATCATCCATTGAGAACTGAAAGCCGATTTCTTCCGCAATATGCGATAACTTGGTCCAATGGATCAAAACTTGATCAGACGGTAGTGCGTCTCGTGAGGTTTGCAATATCTCAATACACTCATCCATATACGGATGCCATCGACAAAGCAATGGCCGGCGAAGGGCCATTGATGCGTTTACTGCAAGGAAATAAGCCCCCAGCCACGCGCGTCTTGTTTCCACAGCATCCGGGTCCATCGAACTTCTGTTCTTGGGGCCCATTATCTCTCGCAGCATTCCAAGCTGTTTATTGCCTTTTCTCCTCGTCACGCGACCCATACCGATATCTAGCGCCATCACCACGGCCATGTAGATGAAGGGGAAAAACTTGAGTTCTTCGAAATGATCAGGTGGGTTGTACCACGTACACGACATGACAATTGCCTGCACCAATTCCAATGATTTTTCACCTTTGACGACAACCTTGTCCGCAAATATCCTGTGAACATCGTTTGTCAGAGGCATTTGCAGTTCTGGTCGAAAGGGGCTGATGGAAATAGACAAAATGACGAGGAACAATGTGGGTTTCTCTCGGCGTACAGACGCCATACTTGTGCCCGGCGGGAAGACGACGATCGGCAATGTCGGAGCAATTTCGTTCACATAGCGGTCAAAGGCCTTGGAAGCAGTCTCGACATCAATCACTCCGCGATCAATCAGATCGGCGAACTCGTTGGCATTGTCAGAAAACTGTACAGCGCCGGACGGTTGAGCCTGGTGCCAGAATGCCTCGTTATTTTCTTCCCGCGCCGAAGAATCTTCGCGTGCAAATGGTGCGAAGAGACCAGCTTGGTAAGGCGCCTTTCTATGTGGCTTTGAATCCCCGCTAGCAGTACGTTTTACCCGCAAAGTGGGCGACGCACCAGAGCCAGAGCGTGGTGCAGGTGGTGGCCCACCTCCAAGCCAGCGACGAGGAGGAGGACCAGCTTCTTCCTGCGACGCGTCATCTGGGAACGCACTTGCAGCTCTTTTCGAAGCCTGTAGGCTAGCCGTAAGAGCATCTATTTTCTTTTCCAACTCCGTGACCCGGCTGTCCGTTTTTTTCTGCCGTTTGCGCGAAGGGGCTGTGATAACACACTGCCTTTTCGCCTTCGCACATCGCTTACACGAAGCTGATGGGTGGTCGCTATCGAATTCGCACCGAACCTTCAACTGACGACAAGCTTCGCAGGCGCGCGGCCGTTTCAAATCCCCAAGCTGGTCATTGTCATGGACAGCACCGGTGAACCCAATTGACATTTCATTCAAATAATTCCCGAATTCTCCGGCGGTCTGCGGGTTATTGTCGTGGGACGAAGGCGTCGAGTCGTGCAATTGATCGTTCGACGATTCGGGGGAGACATTGTAGTCGCTTGTGTCATTGGGTCCATTTCCAGACGTACGGCCGTCAGAGCGTTTGATATAATCGTCATCTTTCCGCCTTTCGTTTGTTGGTCGCAACCGTGGATCGATGTCCATTCCGTCTTCGCCAAAGGGCCTGCCACAAGGGGCATCAATAGCAGGGACCTAGGCAGCTGGCCAGCCCAATCTAGGGGCTCGATGTTAGCTTGGAAGTGCATACTGGCACGATTTGGGGATGATGGGATGATAGTGGTGTGTTGCGAGTAGTGAACATGCGGGGGAGGGGAGTATTATTAAGAAGACAGCAGAAACAATGACGACACCGACAGGAACCAGAATCCAGTGTCAGATAGATGTAATACTAACTCTCTCTCTTTGTATCGGCACTCCGACTTGGGGATCCAGCTTCGGTGTCACAGCGTCGGTGCGCGGAGGGTCGGTTGCCGGTCGTGCCGACCAGCGCGCGACGAGTAGTTAGCTTCTGCAGCACTCGTCGCGGCCCGGTGCAGTCTAGCTGTAGACCTGCGAGGATGCTGGGACACTGTCTAATAGAAGCTCAATAACAGCACCTTAACAGCCCAGCACGAAATCTGGAGGGCGATTGAGGAGATGAAGGCGAATGAGACGTTGATGTGGCGAAAATCCTTTAATCGGTGTAGCGGCCGCCGCAATGCTCAAGAGCGCGCGCCCAATGGAGCTAGCAAGCAGGCAACAACGTCTAGAAGCTTAACTTAGGAATTATATGACCAGCAAGCATAAAATAAATACAGGATGTATTTGCGTTAATTGGTTCTCCAATAACCTACGTAATGCCCTCATTAAACTGAACATTAATTGAAAAAAGCTTGAGATTTCTATGATTCGGTATGAACATATTTCCTGAACGTTGTTCATGGGGATGGAGACGAACATGACAGCCGCTACGACAACAACCAGTCCAGCAAGTGTGTTGTGTAAATAGCAGAATCCCTATCTAAAGGTCAAGAAAGGTAGACGTTGTCGAACCAAAAACATTCTCATGAGTAAAGAAATAATAAACGCCTACAGCCAACGTCCGGAACAGGTATGCAAGCAAGTGTGTCAGGGTATCAAAATGTGGTATCGTATAGGAATGTTAAATGCGGGGTTGCCTCGATGTTGGCTAGGAGAATTTGTGGACAGGGCATTCCCTCTTTCTTTCGAACCACTCTACGATGCAGAGTTTATGGAACTTGCACAAACACTCAAGCCGTGCTAGTCTATCGCCGACTTCGTATTCTTCCATGCAAATGGTGCACTCCTGGGGGGTGCTGTCTTCGTTGACACAGTCTTTCTCAGTGGCTGTAAACGACAACATGCGCATCGGGTGAGGTGATTGGGGAGGCGGGCTAGATCCAGGCGGTGATCGGCCCGTGCGAGAGGAAGTTTGAATACACTCGCGAATGTGAGCCTCACGATCGTCTTCATTGCCATCGCTGCCACGTGGGGGAAGCTGCATGCTGCAGATCGGGCAAATATCACGCTCATCGACAGGTACTAGGTTGGGTGGCGGATAACGGGGTCGCTCAGGCCCAATCAAAGAGCGAACACGATCAGGTCTAGTGCGTGAAGGGCCTGAATATGAGCTTCGAAATGTAGAACTAGCCGGTCCGGATTGATGTGTAGAGAACTGTATTCAGTTAGTGCGTTTGATATCAAATCTAGAGATCAACTCTTACAAAATGAGGTGCATCTCTTGCCGAAGAAGACAGAGGTGGGGAGGAGGATTGGTTAAAATCATGAGGCAAAGTATAGCGAGAAGAATATAGATGGTGGCTCGAAGACTGCCCAGGCTGGTTGCTGGAAAAGTTTGTTGATAGATTACTTCGATGTCGATAGCCGTAGAAATCTCTGTCACCAGCTGTCCGTGAGCTAGATATTTGTGTTCCTGACAATGATCGATGTGGTCGATGCAGAGGATGACTCGTTGGAAGCGGCGGTAGTGTCGTACCCCAGTTTGGATCGACCAAGCGATCAAAGCTGGCTCGAACAGCTCCATAAGTCACGGGAGGATCTGGGTTAGGATCTGGAACACAGGGGTTGCAGAGTCGTACTTCTTCCCCGCCTCCCAAAGCAGGGTTGAGAGGATGGTGATCGTCTGAATAGCCTGCAATGGAGGAATCACGGGCATCGTCAGATGTGATATCGAGCAAATGAGATGAATGAGATGATTGGGATGAATGGCGGTTATGACTCGAGGCCCTTTCAAACGGTGTTGGTTCCGTAGGTTCTGGCGGTCTAACGATGTACTGTCTGGGAATGGTAATTCGGTGAGGAGAGCACGACGAGCACACCACCCTGCCACACTTTCGACAATGGTGTTTCCTGTACCAGAAACTGAACTGAGTACCACATATTGGACAATGTGTGACTTCCGTGTCTGGCTGCCACTGCGGCAGTGTGTATTCAATGGGATTCTGTCCCGAATGCGACGATGTAGTAGACAAGATATGGCTAGGCCGACGAGACGAGCCAACACTTGATTCGTGAAAGGGTGGCGAGGATACAAGGTCGATAGCGTTGTCCCGGGTCGATCCGGGGGCCCCTGGTGAGTTATACTGATCACCGTGAGGCAACATCGGGAGAGGCCTGTTGTTCGATGACGAGCCAGGCCTGGTCAAAGCCGAAGGTCTGCGTTGCGACGCTTCCTCGTCATTTGATGTGCCAGTTAACCGCCTCTTACGATCCATTATTATAAGATAGTTGAACCCTTTCCAAATATTTATCTGCTTTTATGTTTATGCCAGCCCTCAAACCCGCCAAACGAATCGTATTCGCAGGGCTCGCATTCCGATACGGCTTCTGGTAGATCGAAGGGAGGGTGGCGAGTTTTATATCGTCGAGCGTTTGTCAAACAGCAGCTGTCCGTTGCTCAGCGACGTTGAATCGCAATGTGGGAAAAGCTAGCTACAGTGACGCTTATGTTCTGAGTCTTATTCTCAGTGGCGAGCAGTCCCCACGTGAGCGAAGGTTGTGGAAGGTATGGATGCGGAGGCACTCGGATCGATTCCCTGGTTTATCTATGCGGTCCAGGCTGACTTCTCGGCAGTGTCCGATAAGGCTCCCTCATCGAAGAGGCTCGATCCGATGAACGATGCGAGCAAAATGGGGTGCACGATGGTATTTTTAGGTGGCGATAAGGTTCAAGGCGGGTTTCGTCTGGTGATGGTTTCAGCACGGCAGGAGGCCACCAGGGAGGCAGGCTGCGGTTCCGCTCGGTATCAGCGAGGAGGAGGGTGGGCAGAGAAACTTTTTGAGGTGACGATGGTCAGCCTCAGAGCATGCAGGCATGACCGGGCGTTGCTGAGGCTCACCGGACAAGAAAGGGAGCTGAACTCGTGATCTCCGGCTGGCCCATAGATACGTGCCGGGCCTGTGGCCAATCAGCGCGCTGCCCTTTATACAGCTGTTTGGCTGGGATCAGGCGTATCTATTCTGTCCATAATAATAGCGATCGATAACATAAGTTGATCTTAAGATATAATTATAATTATAGTATTATGGTTTGATATCTATAGGCTACATATTATCGCCCAAAGCTATAAAAAAAATAAAGAAAGAATCATTTATCAATATTGCACTTCAACTTAACAAGAACACTAATCTTCTATCTCTAATATTCACATTAGTCTCCTCAATGACACTCAAATAACACATTTCAATATAACCAGCCTTGCTTTTTCAAAATCCCATTTAACAACCACAGATCCATAATTCTGCGCAAAAGTATTATTATAAGGGCAAAAAGAAACCAATGACTTTAATCATAAAGCAGGCACACTCTATCAACGTAGTCGTCATAGCCTTCCTTACACCTCATGATTGCGCCTGCCCCAATTTATTAGCTACCTGAAGCTTCGCAAAGACGTGTGTCAAAATCTGGCTGTCTAGCGACTCATATGTTCAGTAAGCTAATTAATGCTAGTGTTTCGTTTATAGCCGAAATTAGACAGGATCAGGATACACTACCTCCACCAAGCTCCCGTGTATCCACAATCCTCTTTATGGAAGCTATTGGTTCGGGGTCGGGACGACTATGGTAGAAATTCTCCAGCGGGCGGAAAGCCCCGTGGCCTAATTGTTAGGTTAAACATAGTTAGTCTAACGCGTTTTAGTCATGCAAGATAACCATAAGTTACTGTAAGATCAGAAAGTAACTGCAGGAGTTGTGTGACCCTAAAAGTAGGGTGTGGATTTGTCAGCTAGGGCCTGATTCGGCGGTATCTCGGACTCTCTCAGCGCATATAAACCCATTATTTTTTCGAGCCTACAACATTGAGATCAGATCATGGATGATATGAGTGGCTGACGATGGATAACGCGGAGTCATCTCGCCAGCCGAAGAAAGCGACACCTGCATGCGAAAAATGTCGTGTCCTCAAGGTGAAATGTATTCGACCCGAGGAAGGACAGCCGTGTAACAAGTGCGCGTCACATCCCTAGCCGTATACTTCCCATCAGGCTAATTTAAGTAGATGTGCTAGATCAAACTCTAAATGCATATTTCCAGAGCCAAAGCAGCGAACTCGAATTTCACAAAGAGCGAAGCCGTAAGTGACCATGGAGGGCACTCCGCTCAACAGGTCAGTTTTGCTGACAGGGAGGGGATGAAGGCGACTGGTCGATCTTGAGTCCAAGCTCACCAATATCCTCGGCCTTCTTTCACACTCGAGCGCACCCCTTGGTGGAGTCCAACCCCCCGTTGATACGCATTTTGGACTGTCGGGAATTCCTGAATATTTCAACAACAACCAACTACCAACAGCCGAATGGACGAGCCAAGGATACCTGGCTGGTCCTCCATTGGACGAAAGCCTGGGGTCGAGCGAAACCCAGAATACTACCGAAAAACCCCTAGAAAAATCGTGGGACGCTTCCACTGCCATGGACGCTGCTTGGATCACTGACTTAGGACTCAGTCCTGTCGTCCTCGAGCATCTTCTAAACAGGTTCCGCGGTATGGCGCCATACTTTCCATTTGTGCGGCTCTCACACTCCTGGACTGCTGCATCAATGGCTGAAGATCGCCCGTTCCTATTGCTTGCAGCTGTTGCTGCTGCTTCCTCGAAGTACTGTCACCTTCAAGACGCTCTGATCAGACAATTTAAAGAATCTCTCAGTCAGCGAGTTGTCATGGCTGGCGAGAAAGATCTAGATCTTCTCCAGGGGTTACTTGTCCACCTTGCCTGGTGAGATCTCAGTTCCCACATTGCTTTCTATTTTGTCGGCACCGGTGACACCAGCAAGCTAACCAATGTCAGGTTCCATTTCCAATTTGTCCCAGGAAGTGAACAAACCTACCAATACTTACAAATCGCAGTCAGCATGGTCATTGACCTTCGCCTCGATCAAGAGGCTGCCGACTTACTTGAGCAGCGGGCCGAGCTGGGTGATACTTATATCCGGGAAGCATGCCTTGCTTATCTAGGGTGCTATTACATGTCTAGCATGTAAGATGCCATTCCCAGGCGCCATGGGCTTGAGCTGACCTAAATAAAGAATAGCAATCTCTTCGGGAAAACCCAACAATCTCCAATTTCACGAGGAAATGCTTCGATGTGCTACGATGCTAAAACAACAGCCAGAATTCGAGACAGACCGCTTGATATGCCCAGTGACGAAAGTGATACAGTTTGCCGAAGAAGTCTGCCAGACTTATCGGTCAGAAGGCATTCATGGCCCTCGGCTGTACATCCATGCTGAACGATTCACGACGCGGTTAGAAGAATGGTGGTCGTCTGTATCGACAGAACTTCGCAACACGGGTAGGAATCTCTCAAGCTCTGGGCTTCTCATTTTAGCTGATTGAAAATCCCTAGTATTACTGATCAACGGATATCATGCCGTCAAGATTCGGATTCAAGAAATGGGCTTGGTATATTGCTATGGGCGGAGAAGACCGCCATCTCCAAAGGCGCAGGAAGATTCCACCATGTTATCTACCCCTCCTATGGTCATCAGCACCTTGATCAAATGCGTCAGTTCTACAAAAGAGTATCTCGATTTCTTTCTTGCCACTCCTGCTGCGGAGCACAGTAGCTTGCCATTTTCCGCGTGGTATCAGGTTGTTTTTACGGTATTTGTGCTGTACAGATTATCCGTCGGACTACCAGAAGTGCCCGAATGGAACGTGGAGATTGCGCAGCAAGCTGTGGATCTCCAAGAATACATTGATACACTGTTGACTCATCTACAGGCTATTGAGCCGTCTCTAGCCAGGCAAATACCTACCAAGAGCCTCTTTTCAAGACTACCCGAGATCTTAGGAAGTGTAAAAACTTCCTATGCATTGGCAAAAGAGAATCTCGCACAGGTTCGTGATAGTTGCCATGCTCATCAGGAATTTAAGCCTTCGAATATCACAGCCTCGTCCATTCAAAGGTTGCACCGTTGCCCTGCATTGCGATATTCGAGTCGCCATGTCGCCCAGGTTCCAAGTCAGCCCACACTACAAAACGCTATTGCTACGGAAGTCCAGAGGATGGAAGATGAGCAGTTTTTAGGTGATCTTTTGTTGACAGATACTCCTAGCATGATAGTTTCATCATCTACAGAGTTTTGACAAGTTATCCATGCTCCAGACCTCACATCCGCGAAGCTACAGTCAGTTCCAGCATAACAACACTTCAGATCTCGTCGGGAAAGACATGGGTGGAAATCTTATTTCCGGCGGAATCGTATCGCTGGGGCAGCACATTGAAAAGTCCATCAACATCCCGTGGTTCAAAATCAAGCGACAATCCCGCGTGAGTAAGAACGTCCAGCCCAAAGTTCTCTTTGATCCAGTGGGCAACCATATCCATCCCCGCCACAGCTCCGCTCCCAGTCCAAATATTGCCGTCAATAATCCACTTCTTCTCCATTGTCCACTTGACCTTGGGGTATTCCTTCTTGACCCAATTGTACTCGAGGTTATTGACAGTGGCCCTTCTGCCGTCTAAAACACCGGTGGCTGCAACAACCGCGGCTCCGGTGCAGATCGTGAACAGTAGCTTTCCAGAGGCAGCATGGCGGCGGACCAGGTCCTGCAATTTCGGAGGAAGATTGGTTCCAGCAGGGTTATCCCCACCGACGAGGAGGATATCCAACTCGGGGACGTCATCCACAGCGACCGTAGGCACCATTGTTACGAAGCTTGTCAACAGACGTACCGGCTTCAGGGTCTCTCCGATATGGTGGAAGATGAATTCGGGCGCCTTTGCCCTAGTTTCGGATCTACGGGCGTGTATTGATTGATCCCCTCCATGAGCATCTTACTTGCAGAATTGAGTAGATCGCATGGTCCAATGATGTCGATCGTCTGGTAATCGAAGAGCAGGGCGCCAACGTGGATAGGAGCCATTTTGATAGACGTATCGGGGACTGAGTGTCAACTGGTGTTTGTTTGTATGTTGATAGTCAATACTGTGGGCTGTGTTTCGTAGCGCTTAAATACTACCTCTTTCCGGGCTGCCATAATCGCGGCGCGGGCTGTTCCAGAGCGCCCGTCCTCCGTGGTTGACAATCTCGGCACGGGCAACGAGGTAAACTCATGAACCGTGTTGGTGGTTTGTCCATCTGAAATCCATATTAGGGGATTTTAGTGAGATCATATTATTCTCCTTGTAGCTTTTATTTCCCATTGTTGATCAAAGGGATTTTGACTATCATTGAACCTCTGTATTATATAATTCTTCAAGGCCACAAAAATCCCCCTCTGATGAAGCATATGTATTTTTAGAAACGAATAAATTCTTTTAAAAAGTGCTGATATCCCAACTAAGGTAAATATAGAGGTTTTCATGGCGTGCAGGGGTTTGATCATGTTCAGGATAGGAAGATATGTTTAGCAGGATCGTACTCTACATCTCTAAGTCGGATATCTCATCTATCTGTTCATAGCTACGAGTATATTTGGTCTCATATTACTACGGCATATTACTTGGTGTATGAAGACAAGGCTGAAGGTCATGCCGCTATCCCCCCAAATCCAAGAAACTAAACGGCGGTAGGCCTTGAAACCATTTCATGAAAACCAAGTGATTGGGCCTGGTCCAAGGTAAGTCCAATGCCCAATGATCTATTTCAACTCCTGTTGGGACTTTGCTGGTCTGGTGTGGGTTTCAAGGGCCCTTTATGAGCATGAATCGGCCGAGAGGTGTTTGACATCCATTCAACTCCAGTCCCAACAGTTGATAGTTCATTGTCAACGGGATTGGGGTGGTGGGTGGTGACGAGATAAACAAGTTGTCCCAGAATCGCAAACTCCAATTTCAACTTGATACTGTACACCATTGCCTTCAAAATAACTTGAGTATTGTACAAGCCTGAAAACTCCAACACCAGAAGAGAGATATCCATTAAGATAGCTGCGATGTTAATTGCCAAAAGCTGGTATATAATTAATGTTCGTCGTCTGTCCCGGTCTGGATGGAGCCGGATTAGCTTTGCCGTTTCGTAGATATAGAAACCGGATATCAGGAATTCTTGGGCGGAAAACCATGCCAGTTGTAGGCGATCTATGATATTATACCCTGTTGCCCATGCTTGCGGTTCCAAATAGGCTGCTCCGAAATAAAGGACCGTCGTCGGGAGGATAAGGAGGATGGTGTCAACGATAATAATATTGCGAAGAAAGCGCAGGGCTCGATAGTTGCGCGAGACCAGATGTAATCGGGAGTATAGGACTACGCTTTGGCCGCCGACCATGAATATCCAGCCAGCTTCGATGAGTGTTAGAATCAGCCATAATGGTGCAAGGTTGAAGTAGTCTATTATGGCACCGACACTGAACGGGATGACACCGGCTGCAGTCGACAAGAGGATCGACCAAAAGTACGTGCCGTGATGGTGGCGAAAGGTCGCCAGAATCAGAACCAGAAGTTCGATAGAGTTATATAGCGCGACGGAAAGAAAGACCGCGAATGTGATTTGGGTAGACAAGGTGTCTGTTTGATTAATCAGGGGTGCGAGCCGTACGGCGGCCTCGTTGGAGATATTCCCCATTCTTGAATATTTTTACATCATGATCTGTGAGGCGAGTTGCATGCGACAAGATGAAATCGTGAAGATGCAGAGAATATTTCCACGAGCCATCTGGCGGGGGAACACTTCGTGGCTGGGGCTTATGTGAGATACCTTGGAGAGGTGGCTTGGGGGTTTACGGAGTGGTTATGGACAGGCTGACCCATTGGAAGAGTCTGGGGGAAGTCAGTTAAGCCCTCGATAATAAGTTAAAACTTAAGCGCGAGCAGGAGATAGACGTATTAGGATTGAGCAAGTGTATTTGGCCATTCTTATTAGCCGGGGTACTTCATAACCCGGGTTAATGGGGCTCGGACCGCTCAGCGGCGAAAAGTGCTGGTAGCCTAAGGAACAGGACCAAGGTACTCCCAACTCAGATTCTAACTCAGATTCCATCCTCTGCGAATACGCCCCAGCCGTTCACCACGCATTTGAGGTACTGGGGATATTGGCGATCTGTCGGTTGCAGAACAAGTGCCAGTCTCGGCACTTTTTTATCAGCAAAGGCATCAGTGAAAGAGATAATTTCCGAAATTGTCAAGTGTAAGAGAACCTAACACATCTCCCTCCATTCGGATGAATTCGCACCACAAGGATCTCATTCTTCTGTTCCTATCTCAGGGTGCATAAGGTGCATAACATGGAATCTCAGTCTACTCAGTACACTCATGCCGACCTCGACCTACAGCGTTCCATAAATGAAGAAGATGTGATACTTACTCTATCGGATAGGTACGATCAGATGGAAGGTCGCGAACATAAAAATGAATGAGGCAGGCAACATATTTTCAATTTAAGACCCCTTCTACTTACACTAGATGCGGCACCCTAGGACCGCAAAATCTCCAGATGATTCATTGAGTACTAGCACATCTTACAGAACCGCACAATCACATCTCGTACCAAGTACTAGAGACCGAGGAGCACCAATTGGTTGTTATGTATTCCACCAAGGGCTAAAGGTAAAGCTTGAGCCAAGGCTCAAATCCAAAGAGCCCCCCCGGAAATAGTCGGAATGTGTTTGTAGGTTAGCCATTCCTAGAAATCACCGCAACCTCCCCCTGCCTTCTCAACTTTGTGGAATATTTCTGTAAGTAGGAAGATTAAAAATCAAAGAACGCCTTCCGGACTTAGTTCATAAGAGTCAATGTCAAATTCTGATCCTACTAATAAAATACGTACGGAAGCGCAGCTTTAAGCATTCACCAAACTAGTGCTTAACAAGTGGCAAGCTTAAAATATCAATGTTGACCCGAAATTAACATTAAAATCAAATTGTGCCACTTTGGATTTAGTGGCTAGATTGTCTGGCACCTAAGTACCCTCACGGACTTCTTTGCTGAACAATCTCTCGTACTCTCTCGTCATAGAACTCTGTTCTGCTAGAGACAATGTCGACGGCAAAAACGATCCCCAGTGTTTCAGGCTCGGGACGTGAATGGTCCCTTCTGACCCACGAAGGAGGCTTACCACTGTATGGTAGCCTGATCGCGATTCGCTCCCAGTGGAGACGTTAAAGTAAGATAGTAGCATCATCTTGTCTCCCCAGTCCCCACGAAATATGACATTAACTGGTTTAATAGGAGCAACAATTGTTATATCAACTTGGCAGTGAGGCGATGTCGATCCCGCTCGATCAACTCGTACGTGCGTTGGAGACAATTGCCTGGTGGTCCACCCCTGGGTATTACCTATAGTGATCTTCAGTCCAGGAAGTGGTGTGATTTCGCACTCAAACCATGTCGGAACGGGCTTGCTAATATCCAGCGGTGGCCCGCAGTAAAGAACTCCTTTCAGAGTGCAAATCTGGGTGAAGTAATCCAGAGCAGGTGTCAATCGTCTACCGACATTCTTATGCACGTCATTCGGACTATTCATGAGGAAGGTACCTAGACTATCGACTCTGAGGTTCGTCAGGTCGTCCGTTGCTCCAGAACTCCGGCTTTCTTGCCATTCAACAAACAAGGTGTTGTTGGTTGGGTCCTTCGCTAGTTTGCCGGCTTTGTCAAACGCGCCCCCTAAAACTGCGCATTGAGTCATGCGTTTTTTGAGGTACTCCCTGTATTCTGACTCGTTCTCGTACCCAACCTCAGAGCTCATGATGGACTTATATTCGACCTTTGCATGCAGTGCGAAAGATTCTTTTATCTCGCTACTGGCCTCCTCTTGCTCCAACTTCAGCTAATATCGTGTTCCCATGAGGCATTCCACGATAACATGCGTTCCCCACCGATAAAAAAAGGTTTCGAATGCTTCGTAAGTTCCGGTATCTTGTCTCCATTCTGGCAGACTGTTGGCGTGGTCAATCAGCCGCTCATCGATATAGCTGTGCCAGGGATCTCTAAGGAGGACTGAATAGACCTGTTGATCAAAGCTGTAAATTGCGTATAGGCTCGTTGATTTGAATGTAGTCTCGTAACTGTATTGAGAAGACACGGTGGCTGACACACCCATGTAGCCAGCACTTGCGCTTGCAGAGACAGAAAGCCTTTCTGCCATCTCTTTACCCATTTCGCAAATTATATCATTTGCTTCTGATCTCCCACCGCTGTCAATGAGTCGCACGTTTTCTGGGAGCCGGTATTGTTTAGTTGACCCCGGAGTGGTGATTATTTCTCCTTCTACTCCCATGGTAACTATTATGGCTTTGGAACTGCTGTTCCTGACTGCATGGTGGTCAGAAGCATCGATGCCTGGGAGAACGTCAGCTACAAGCGACAATACTGGAATTAGGCATTATATCTTGTTGAGCGAGATTGACAGATGTCCCCAGCACAGAGCATGCTGGAAGAATTGGTGTAGCCATATTAAGACTATTCTGTGGCCGATAGTTGATAATTCAGAAAAATTTGGGAGTTGGTTTTGCAAGTTTTAGTCTTGAGCGGATTCTGTTGTAGAACATCTAAAGCAAAACCAGAATCAGCGAGCCATACTCCGGATTATAAAGCTTTCAGCTTCCCCCTCCCTAGTGATTTTACCTGTGTATCTCATGCTTCAATTTAGGAAAGGGAATATGCAGCATTTTGCAACATCATTCCACCCTATTGTAAGCGGGTGAGTAATTTGTCCCAGAGTTCCTATTGATCGACCCATCCAAAAATCCGATTGCCTTCACTGCACTGCAACACGCCACAATTTTCTGCTTCATAGAATAAATTCTTGGTATTAGAGGTCAATCACTATGACCAAATTCCAAAACCTAATCTAAACGCTTATAGAAATGAAAGAGGTTAGCTTTCAATGCAACTTTGGTCTCGGGCGTGATGGTCGGGCCGTCTCATCAGCCCAACCAAGCCTAAGCTGCAAAAAAACTTTTATCAGGCTTAATGCGGCCGTGCAAGAAAGATTTCTGTAGCATTCTGGTACCAAATTTTATTGTGGATGCTCTACCCCGCTTTCGTGAGTGTGATCCTCAGGCTTTCGGACAGAGATAGCTATTCTTCCGTCGTAGGTAACTAACTCAGTTGTTGGATTACAAAATACACCTCATCGAGTCAAAGTTGACTCGGTACCTAAATGGAGTCGATTAAATGGGTATTGTAAATTGAACTAGTTGGGAATTGCCACGTATTAGCATGAGGGGTTTGGAAGTCTCTATCTAATATACGAGATATCGCCCTCTATACCGTACAACTTTTGGTATAGAATCGAGACAGCTGGGCAGATCACCATAACCGCTGATCCAATAGTAACTTAAGCCTAGTGAGGGCTACGGATCAGCTGAGAACCTTTTTCTCAAAGATTGGTTGGTTGTCATCGTCCATAATTCTGCATGGGTAACCAGAGTGAGGTAGGTTGTGTAAAAATGCTACGCTTGAACCCATCGGCGATGATGTTCTTCCTGCAAGGCAATAATACATGGGCAACAGGATGCGTGATAACTATACTGTAGACGAAATAATACCAAGTCGGCTGGCTTAGCTGAAGGATGTATGGATTGGCGCGTCGCTAACGTGGCACGTACAGGGGTCGTGCAGGATGAGATTCATGTAGCTCTCCAATTGGTGACCCGATGCGACAGGTAGGTCCGTGTCTTGGATTGCAGTGGGTAACTTATTGGATATCGCTACAGGTCTCCATAATATTTGGGATCTAGACTCTGCAGGGATATGTGATTAGCGGGGTATTACTTTGAGTCGCTTGTATGAGGCATAGAAAATTTTGCATAGCAACTGTAAGAGCCAAAATGAATTAGCGATACATTTCCTTATAATTTTACAGTATACAACACCTTAACTCCATTAGAACAACCTGGTAGGTTTTTAGGGGGCTTTGGAGAACCCTTCCACGCAGACTTGACTCGTGTCTGCTTCCGTCCCGTAGTCGAGGTAGGGAAGGTCGTCATCCGGAGATTCCTGGCGACTTTGATGGTATTCCTATTGTGACATAACTGTGGCTGGGGAATTTCTAGCCACAGTAGGAGTGTTGCATTGCCACCCAATAGCATTAATAAGGCCGTCAGCTTGCTACGCACCTTGTTTACGTATCTCAACCGCTTACAGGTCTGATGTTGAGCTGCATTGCTATAATACTACATATTATGCTTCCTTGCATTGGGTCTAATGGCCAAGTACGAGAAGATTCATATCTGAAGATAATGAATCTCCATATTCCGTCAATTTGCAGTTCCTCCTTAGGCGTCTCGCATCAATGGTAGATCTGCACGGGCCCTTTCGCATAGGTATTCAAACCAGTTGAAAGAAGGTCAATTCGTTATAGGCCAGCATATGCCGGCAAATATGGAATAATAGTAGGTCCAAAAAATGAGGAACGAATTTCGTTTTCGTGTGAAGCAATGTCTAAAACTGTCGAACAACCTCCTACATTATGGGTGTGTAGATTGGGATACACTGAGCCAAAGCCATGCACCGGAGTTTTCTCGGCTTACGGGCAACCGAGCATGGAAAAAGAAACCCGGCAGCTAGAATGTGTAGCTACTTCCTGAGATGGCATTTAAATTGGGCACCAAGTTGCCAAGGCTAGTGTCACTTCCTATTCGGTTCTCTTTCAAGAATCTTTACCACGACTCTTCAGGTTTTATGTTTCTAGCAAAATGTTCCTCGAATACGTTATTGTAAATATATTCACAAACACACAATACCTGGGTAACCCTCTTGCTATTGTACGGGTGCCAAAACACAAACGCGGCTTTTTATCACAAACGACCAAGCAACAGATTACGGTCGAGTCAATCTATCTGAGACCGTTTTCTTGCACGAGCTAGCAATAGATAGTTTCGACGTCCCTCGAGTCCATGACAATCAATATCTTCACGCCAAAATGCGAGGTTCCCTTTGCTAGCCATCCCACAATTGGAACCGCAAGCTATCCTCTCGGCAATGCATCCATATTTGGAATAGGAAGTCTGGAAGAACTCGTGACAAAGGCCGATCATATCCATCATCAAGGTAGTTTCCTTGGTTCTGGCTCAACTCCCAGACCTCGAGTCCTTGGCGAACGTCACTTCGGCTTTGCTCAATGACTGCTTCAATTCAGACTACACGGACAAAGGTTGGAATCTTAGTCCCACGAGAACAAAGTAATTTGTCGATCTGAGCAACGATGAGAAAGGGCACAGGATACCGAGAACCAGAATTTTCATTGGCTGGGAAGAACCCGGCATGGGAAGTGCGTCGAGTGCTCTTTGTTGCTATCTATCTTTGTATTTTTGAAAGGAGCGAAGGAACTTGGGAAAGGTCCTTTCCACTACCACATCATTTAAGAGGTCAAGATGGGAAGAAGGAATGATATCTTTTGTCAGTGTTGATAAGAATAAGGATGGAGCTCAAATCCCCAACGTTTTACTCTGAGGAACTTCAGTCTCAGTTGGTGAAGGGAGAATTACTATGTGATATTGTATAATGAGAATTAACCAGTTTGGAAAAACAAGTTATAATACATGAAAGGCATGTCTGGCAGTAGAGAGACACCAGGAAGGTAAACAGCTATAAAAAGTTAATCTGACCTTAGTCTAGTCTGAAATGGCCTCTTAGATAAACTGTAGACCCTCCATATTCTTTTCGTGTGGCTAGTAGAGTGGTAACTTCTACCCCTTGAACTATATTCAACTTTCCCCTTTCTTTCCATTCTAGAGTATTACCTACATAAAAGTTATGTGCAGCGCGAAGGCGCTCAGGAGGGTGCCACTTTATGCTCAATCCGATCGGCCGTGCGCTCACTAATCGCTCACTAATACTCCTATTAAACCTAGAAATGTACGTAAATCTCACAAGCATTCGGTTTAAGTGAGCTTGGAGAGCCACAACAAAGTTCTCCAACTCATTTGCGTACGAATCGATTACCCGGAATGGAAATAGACGCATTAATGCACCGACCGATCCTCCAAATAGCAACACCCTCGATGGCGGCGGTATCGACGACGGCATCTCCATTGAACTAAGAATAAGGATCAATATGGCATACTCGCAGCCTGAATACAGCCAAAACATTGATGTGAAATCAACGCGATGGATTCAATATCGTCAATATCGGACCAAGCAGTGAAGCCGAAATGTCCGGGACGTGGTTCCTACCCTCGATGTGCTTCAGCAACAATATCAATTAATCTCTTTTGAACCGTGTCAGATTCACTACATTCGTAAATATTACATCAATTACATATCCCATCTACGCCTGGTCGTTTAAATACACACCGAGAAAATGGATATGCGCCATTCGACTTTAACCTATAGGATATGAACGACCTTTTTGATAGCCTCCTAATTAAAAGTTTTTCTTAATAGAGCTTGAATGGAGTACATTTTAGGAAAAGGATTCAAGAAATTAAGATGAGTTCAATTATAAATAATGTCTATCCTAGGCCATTTTGGGTGCGGCTAATGTGAACATTCATGGTCTTGTTGAGCATTCCAATGAAATTCGGATATGGGATTACTTTTTGGTCAGGCGAGTATTTTGAGACGGGCACATTTAATGTCTTCAAATACTGAGCTGCCATTTATCGATGAGATATTTCTGGATTTTAATTGCTTGAATGCTATACAGCTTGATAGTCTTGCGTGACGACCAGTATACAGGAAAATTCTACTTTTGTACCTGAGAAAATCTAGAGACAGATATTAATGAAACGCCTTGAAAGAAAAAGGACATTTCCTTCAGACCTCGATGTTGCATGCTGGAATTCCATACATGTTGAGACGAGTCTCTTTTCGGCTTAGCGATCATGGCGATAACGCAATCGTGGATTGGCCTAGCCATACATGGGGAAGACGGCCTGGGTCTTCGTTAATATTTGGACCAATCAGGAAACGTTGCCATTGGGTTTGAGATATAAAAGGACAGGTAGAAAGGTATGTACTATGTACAAAGAAGTAACTTGCTTTGTAAATTCTAGCCGGGTACATACTGGTATATATACAGTTCCCAGTCGTTAACTAACAGCGTCTCTCTGTAGGCTTCCTGAATCTCTAACAATGATCATGAACAACAACTCAATAACATCCTCAGTCATTTCCAATCTCTATTACTAATTTTAACAACAAAGCCTATGTAACCAGATTTATTATGTCGCATTGCACTGTTTATAGCAACCGGCATCCTTCTAATTCGCTGCATCTACATTCCATCCCTTCCTAACCATAGTGTACATTTCACCAGCGAACCAGTCACACCGCACCGCGCACACACTTCTTTTTGAGTCTATTCTCCAAACGTGGATTACGGGTCACTTTATTATTGATTTTCCTGATAGGCTCTGGTGTGGTTTACCATTCGGGTTATCTGTTTACATTTGGCTCATGCCAGCAGGCCGGAACCCCTTCCTAGATGCTGGAGCTGTCTCAATATATCCACGTTTCCCCCTCCTAGCGCACTGTAGAGTGAGACTTGGTCTGTGTGCATGTCATACTATACAAGCTATTTGCGTACTTGACTACCTGATCGCAGCAACATCAAGAAATGACCAACTCCCGCTGACTCTCTCACCACAACAAGTCGCTCAAGACGCGTTCAACTCATCCATCTTCATCAACACACACCGTTCACATATAAACTTCAACCAAAACAACAATATTAATTGAGAGACGAGACAATGGCCACAACACACTTCATCCCCGACCCCGAGCCCATCTCCCCAACCACAATGACCAACACCACACTGTCCGACTCCGTCAAAAGCGACGTCTCGCTGGTCAAAGACCCTGAATTCTGGCGCCGATTCTCCATGGCTGTGCATCGCGACGAGGAAGAGGTCGCTAGGACAGTTACACAGGAGACCAAAACCAAGTCGTGCGTTTTTCCTCTTACCATCTTCATCACATACAGAGTATGCAGAGTACGGCGCAGTAGCTGACTAGTTGCAGAGAATCCTGGCTCGTGCGTCAACGCAAAAAGACTCGTCGGTCGAAAATCTGTGGATTGGCGATTGCCATTGCCATTGTGCTTATTGCGACGGGTGCCGCGATAGTGATTTGGTATATGAGTAAGAATGGGTGGTTTCGAAAGGATGATGGCAGAAAAACGTGATCGGCATTTGAGAATGATGTTGATGGAAGATGAGATGGACTATTTAATGATCAAGATATTGCTTTTTTGCTGGTTTGATGCGGTTTCAGGTTTGGGTTTTGGAGTCATGGTGGCCAAGGGTTGGTGTTTGGTGTGCTTTGTTTTTTTTTTTTCCTTTTTCATGTATATAAAACCTTTTTACCGGCACATGTTGATAAGAAGCCTGATACTCAGACGGTCAGCTGAGACAGTCCAATGTATATATCAAATCGAGCGGAATTATGAATTTGACTGATGACAAATTGGATATCATTAGATTATACCAATTACGGTACAATAAAACCATCTTAAATATTAATCTACATAACGCCGTGCTTCCGACATAACCCCGACTTTTGAATTACCAATCCTCAGCCTGCAGAGTCAACCAGAATAGTCGCTACAAAGCTAGAATCTCCGCCGAGTCGGCTCTGGACTGGGGCTCCGGCTCATACTGCGCTCATCGCGCCCGCGCTCCTTGAGCCACTTCTTCGTCGACAGGTCTAAATCGCGCTGTAATTCAGGGGTGGGCTCTTTGCGGTGAATGAAATTGCAGAAACCGCCGCGGACGCACCCTTCGCCGCTATTCAACCGACAACACGCTTCTCGAAAGTCTGTCACGGGCGACAGTTCGCAGTAGACCGGTCGCGCGGCATACCATCGGGAGTTTAGGGCGTCGCAGGCTGCTTGTGCCGAGTCCTCGTATTTGAAGCGCGCGTAGACATTGCCGATCAGATCTAGTTTAACACGTTAGCATAGAAACCTCCCCATATGAATGATTACAAAAATACAAGGGCACATACGGTCATTGTTGTTATCGCAAACCACCACTTCCTCGATCTCGCCGTACTTGCACATCTCGCACCAGATATCTTCGTAGAAGGCGTCGAAATGGTTCTGGATTTGGCTCGGGTTCATTTTGTTTTTCGGGTCGTAGGCTGGATTCTGGTAGAGGTTGGGCATCAGGACGGTCTGCGAGTATGATGGCTTGACATGTTTGCGAGAGCAGCGATCGCCGTGGCGACAGGCTCCGATTTTGTAGTAAAATGAGCAGTTGACCTTGTCCTGCTCGGTGCCGAAGATTGAGGCGAGGTAGTTGGCCATTGTAGGCGTGGTATTAGAGGTACGTGTGATGCAGGCAATATAGAGCTTCAGATGAGAGAAGCACTTCAAGCCAGGGTGTGATGTGGTGTAGATTGATATGATAATGAAGGCGTGCAGGAGTTTGTCGCTCACAAATCTCCGCAGCGACTGCGGTGGCGGATCTGGGACTAGACTAATCCGTTCTAGTGCCTTCCAGAAACGCCAAGACTCCAACTCAACAGTACCAGACAACCGTTGACAATGTAGTTGTAGATATGTAGTTTTTTATTACCGGATGGACAGTATCGATTGTTTTATTTCTATCGATATTTACATGAGGATACTACAAAGCTGGAAACATTGACTGAGAATGCGTGCTCTGACCTTTCAATGTTCAGGCCAAAGAGGCTTATGATTTATAGATATATATAACAAAGAATTGCCACATGTCTTTCAAAGATGAAACACTGATGATCGCCAGCCTCCGGAACAAAGGCATAACCTGCACATCTCTATTCAGTATATTAACATAATCGAGCACCTACACTACTATAAAAGATCTAGTGTCACCTGAATGTGAATAATCTCTGGCTACATATTTACCATCTATTTCAACGAATCTAGAAGGTTCCAGCAAACAGCCAATCAGAGCGGACTAGTCGTCAGAGCAACAATAATCCATAATCTATCTGTGACTACCCAGCTTAATGCGAATTCAATACAGGCAGACACATGAGATTTATCAGATTGATTAAGAATCATATCGGCAAAGCTATTGGTGCATCTGCCGCTATCTACTATCTATACTGCGTTGTGGAGACAGCACAGCCGAAGCGCCGACAGCCAGTAACAGAGGCAGAGTCCTCGGCGCTTATCGGCGGCATCACTCCTTCCCCGCAGCAGGCCCGCCCTTATTTAATCCAAGCATATACAAGGTCTCCGCACGAGACGCAACTTCTTCCCAGGCTCGTATCTCACTCAAGCCCGCTTCTATTGGAAGTGAACAGTAAAGGTGACAAAATGCTGCCCCCGTTTGATTACTTTGACTATATACGGATTCGGTATGAATTACACTAATTAACAATTGCAACACATGCATCTACGGTGGTGGGCTAATTGATGCAGGAACATCAAACGACGCCAGCGTGAAGCACGCTTCGCCTCGCTCAGCCCCGAATACCATGCGCCTTTCTCAGCAGCGGACAAGGCAATTATAAATAAACCGATTGAGGAGCTTGTAGACGATGTCCAGAAACAGACTATCTCCCCTGTCGAGGTGATCCGCACCTACGGCAAAGTGGCCGTGAAAGCGCAGGAGAAAACCAACTGTGTCACAGAGCTACTTTTGCCTGAGGCAGAGGAGTGGGTGACGTCGGAGGTGAACTTGAAGGGTCCGCTCGCGGGTATTCCCGTGTCTTTGAAGGATTCAATTCAAGTCAAAGGATTCGATACGTCGGTTGGTTACGCGCGAAAGTCGTTGAATCCTGCTAAAGAGGATGGAGCTATTGTGAGACTACTGAAAGATGCTGGTAAGTAATATATCCCTTGTTTGATTGGAATTATTCTCTGACAAGACTCAGGTGCGGTCCCTTATGCCAAGACTGCGCTACCCATGACCCTTCTCAGCTTTGAGTCCGCTAATGGGCTCTGGGGTACGTGTCGCAACCCTCACGTTCCCGAGTATTCTCCTGGAGGCTCGACTGGCGGAGAAGGGGCATTACTTGCCCTTGGTGGAAGAATAGGAATTGGGTCAGATGTTGCTGGTAGTGTTCGAGCTCCAGCGGCGTGGAGCGGGATCTATTCTCTCCGCTGCAGTACTGGTCGTTGGCCAAAAAGTGGCGTTGATACAAGTATGCCCGGACAGGAAGGCGTCCCGAGTGTTTTTAGTCCTATGGCGCGTACGTTGAACGACCTTACCTACTTTACGAGGAGCATTATTGGGATGCAGCCCTGGAAGTACGACTTCTCAGTCCACCCTATCTCATGGAGAGCTGAAGAGGAAAAAGAAGCAAGTGAGAAGGTTCTGAGAGTCGGCTTAATGAGATCAGATGGTATGAAGCTTAGCCTTTCTAATAAAAGTTCTTGCCTGATATGTTCTCCTAGGTGTCATTCCCCCAACACCTGCGATTACGCGTGCGATTGACACTACAGTGTCGGCACTCAAAGCTGCCGGACATACCGTGGTGGAAATTACACCTCCCACAGAGGCCGATCCCTTCACTGGCTTCTGCTTGGCTTCGCAGCTGCTGAACTCGGACGGATGCTCGACATTCAACTCTTTCCGATACTCGTTCGAACCAACGGACCCTGGTGCTGCCCAACTCAGCAAGATAGCCTCCCTCCCTCGCCCTCTGCGATATATTTATTATTTGTATGTGCGATACATCCGACGAGATGTGAAATGGGCAACCGTTATTCGCGGATTCGGGCCCAAATCGGCAGCGCAATTATGGCAGATCACGGCGCAGCGAGAAGCGTTCCGCAAGCAATGGCATTCGTGGTGGGATGGCGAACGGCAGCAGTATGATTTCATTCTCTGCCCGGGGAATGCGACGCCGGCTCTGCCCCACGGAGCAATGCACGACGCGGTCTCGTCGTGTGGGTACACATTTTTGTGGAACTTGCTGGACTACTCGGCGGGCATCATCCCCGTTAGCCATGTCGATCGGAAGCTGGACGCGCTGGTGTACGGTGGGAAACGCGGGTATCGACAGGCATTGAGAACGCTTGGCAGCGACCATGCCATGGCGCGGGGAGCTTGGATGCACTATGACGCCGATAAGATGGATGGCCTGCCGACGGCAGTGCAGGTGGTGGGGCGGCGCTGGGAGGAGGAGAAGGTTCTGGGCTACATGGCGGCTGTCGAGAAGGCCCTCAAGCGAGAGGGGGCGCAGTATAGCATTTTAGAGGTGGACTGATCGTTCTCAAATATAACCGATTGTTAGGATATGAATGTCAATATTAATATTATTGGAGCATCACATAATACCCATCCCCGCCTCCCGAGATGACGTGCCTCCTGCCTTTAATTCTATCTTCGGCGGCCCATTCTTTTCTCGTCTTGTGCTACGAGGCACACAATAATAATACCCGCATACACACATGCAGTAGTACATCAGCGGCGGAGCGGATCTTAGGGTTAGGCTGCAACTCGGGTAAAAGCGGGGCGCCCGCTCCATCATGCCATGTCCCCGTCTATAGAGAGTTACTATTAGCATGTGGTACTATGTTGTATGTCGTTTTAGAATGTGAAAGCACACGTGACAACCGGTTTTTTCTCGTCTTCCGTAGCTGTACGGACATGCGATGCTAGACTGTATAACCATAGAGAATATTACGGAATGAGAACGGGCTAATCCGCATCCGTGCTAGCCCCGATACACCGCCTCTGCCAGTTCAGCGATTAGGTCATCCGAGCCCCGCCCCCACGTGCTCTTCCGCCTTCTAACTTGCCTCAGGACTCGCCTTGCTGGCTCGCGGCGGCCACTAAGCCCAGCCCGTTGGCCCGTGATTTCTCGTCGATGCTTCCGTTGCTTTCTTGCGCTGCCCGTGGCTTTGGGGCATGACCTGCGCTCAGTTGATGGTGCGGTGGTCATGACATGAGAGCCCCCCTGTCTGTCGTTCTCTCTCTGCGTCTGCACTGTGGTTTTGTTATTTTATTCGACTCTCTAGCATCGACTAGCCAGGCTGCAGCATGAGCGGCGCATCTCCACATTCCCCCAATATTGGCTGACATCCTGCTGCCTCTGCCGCAAACCACCAGACCTGTGCCTGACGAGTGACGCCGGTACCTGCTTTATTACAGCCTTCCTGCCGCCGCCAGCCTTCTCTTCGGTGTAAACGAGATAGGCCTCTGCAAACTGCTATGCATGATTTCGTCTTTTGCACCATACATTTCACGAGTCGTGGGCTCTAATAGACTTTCACCATCGGCCTTCACGTCGAGCCATGGAGTCCCCGCATAATCTTGGAGGGAATTACTGGGGGACCCTGATCAACGCCGACAAGAGTGCTGCTCCGCTTCTCGAGCAGCTCTGTCTGGGGCTTGTGCAGTTGATGGTAATGTTCTCATTATTTCTCCTTGTATGGGTTGGATATTAACGGAGATATAGCTCAGCTTCGAGTCGTCATCCCATGGATCATCCGAATTGACCCCCGACAAACTCGCCAGGTTCTATCGCGAACTAGGCGGCAATTGTGACGCCCTCTTTCTCGAAACCAAAGGCCCCGCGTTGTCATTCATCTACCAGGCCCTCGGCTGCTTCCATACTCTGCAGCCCACCAAAAACCCATTCGAAGCCCCGTGCATCCCGGCCTTGCTACCCATGGGCTTTGTGCGCTGGCAGGTGATTCAACTCCTGCTCAGCCCAGACGAGCATTCACAGTATCTGCAAAGCGCGGTGAGTCGATGGGACGTGCCCAATCCGACTGGGGGCACCTTCCCCAAGGTGATCCCACGAGAAGCTTTTCCAGAATCGCCCGATCAAGCCATGCTACAGTGGCACGAGAAGGTAAGCCGACGGCTCGAAAAGGACCACGTACACCGGAACACTCCTCGGCCGTCGCCGGGCGAATTTGGTCGGTATAATAGTAATAATAACAATAACAACATCCCTACGAATGGCTCGCGGGGGAGGACTATTTTTCGCAGGAAAATGCCTACCGCTATCATGACCCACGAGGGCATTCTGACATGGATGACGAGGCTCACCGACACCGACGACGTCGCAGCCCGGATACTGTCCGACGCTCGCGCTTGCATCGATTCGAAGGAGCATTTGACCAACATGGCACACCGCGCCCAGCCTCGCGGAACTCGTCGCCGCGAAACAAAGCTTCACCTGCATCTGTACGCATTCCTACACGCTCGAAATCCACGCGTACGCGCACCAAACAAGCTCCGCTTCCTCGTAAATACCGGTCCGAGCCATCGTCTGACTCATCCATCGATGAAACTCTTTTCTCTAGCCGACGACAACGTAGCTCGGTCGATGACGACCAGCCGCTTGGCCGCTCCTACCGTCTGTCCCCCAGCCTCGACGCAGAAAATGCCCGACGACACTCGCACGACGCTACGCACTACAAACGAGACCGAGAGCCATGGCGGGCCAGTCCTCGACATCCCCATCCACACCCACCCTCGAAGATGAAATTCTACGAGAACATGTTCGACGAGCAGCCAACGCCACGCACAACCCGAGACCCTGACGCACCCTTACCGTACGAAATCACAACCAATGTTCCGCGCGTGCACATCCGTCCCGACGGCACCCCCGTCGAGGTCCGCGCCAAAAGCTTTAGTAATGGGACCCACAGCCACAGCGGATCCAGTGGCTCCGACCGACCTCGCTCGTCCAGCGGGAGTGCCGCGAACTGGGCGCGACGGAACAGTCCGAGTCGGCGAAAGGTTCCTGTATACGAGTGACCCTAATCCCTGAACAGACATGTGTTATTTATGAAACGACAGACAGACAGACAGACGGCATGGCTTCAATAAGCCCCTGCATTTATTCATATTCATTTTTGATTCTTCCTCACTTACGATTCACGAAGTATGGCCTCATTTTGTCGATTCGCACGTCAGCCCAGCTCTGCTGCGGATCTTTATTGTATATATATATCGCACTCTCTCACTCCCTGCAACTTGTGACAGGTTGTATGTACCGTGCAAAACTCTCGCCTTATCTATCAATACATATCATCTACTCCGTATCGATTCCCCCCTATCTCATGACATCATGATAACCGATAAGCCTACCGTGGTTACCGTGGTGTAGTGTAGATAAGACAACCCTTGGCGCCGGAACCAGACCCTCCGCCCCGCTTTTTGTCTGCTAATTAATCCAACGTCATCTGCACTCGCAGTGCTGTAATCCCACGCTCAACACCTGTATTTCACATATCATTTTTGTGAAGTGGTTGAGAGGTGTTTTATTGTGAGAGTTTATTTTGTTTTGTTAATTGTCGTGGCTAAGGCGGCGCGTGGTCGGATAATTGTATGCGAAGGGTGCATGCTTAGTGTATTGTGGCTTGTTCGAGCTTATCTGTTATTATTGTTGTTACTTGTTGTTGTTGCTTTTCCTGTCAGTGAGAGAAGAGGGTCTTTCACTGAGTATATTGCTTGTAGACGTGCTCTATTTATGCAATAGAAAATGTCTCTTAGCCGCGTCTCCTATCTCGAGTCATGGGAACACCAACCGCCACCCTTCATTCGGTATCGCGGTGGTGGAGGAGCCGACTCTGGTGCCGAGGATAACGACAACGACGAGGCAAGCCCCTCACTCAACGTCCCCAATGCGCATTACGAAAGCGAAGGAGATGATGACCAGGCGGCCCTCTTCTCATCTTCCTTCCCCTCCACTGTCCCAGCGCGCTCAATCCGGCACAAGCTGACTTTCAATCCAGTTGCTGGGCGCGGCTGGACGCACAGCTCGGTGGTTTCATTGGGCGGTGGGGATGAGGAGACGAGGTCTCTGTTGGGGTCTGGAATTGGGTCAGTGACGAATTTTTCGGAATTAGGGGCGTCGGTGCGGGCGACGGATGATCAGGCGGTGCAGGAAATCGGGTTTAAGGATCCGAATTGGAATCTGGCTGAGACGATACCGGCATTTGAGGTGAGTAAGGCGAAGAGGGTGGTTCAGGTTATTGTTGCGGTCATTTATTGCCTGTTTGCGGCCGGCCCGGTGTTTGGATTTGCGGCTATCAAGCCGGTTCTTATTAGGGAAGGGGTGTATCGGGATCTGTGTACGAGGGAGGAGTTGGAGAGGGGGTTTGGCTTGTGTTATGGACAGGAGACGCGGTGGGTTTGACTTGATGATTATGATGAATGGTGAATATGACTGACCTTGATAGGCTCAACTTGATGTTCACAATCGCTGCAGTTGGTACAAATATCTGTGCACTGCCAGCTGGAACAGCTCTCGATACCTATGGACCTCGAGTATGCGGCGTTCTGGGCAGTTTTCTGTTGGGTATTGGTACTGTTCTATTTGTGATCGGTTCCAAAGTCTCTTTTGATACCTATATTCCTGGTTACCTATTCCTTGCTCTTGGCGGGTCATTTGTTTTCATTTCCTCCTTCCAGCTCTCCAACGCCTTTCCAACGCGTTCAGGTCTGATTCTCTCGCTCTTGACTGGTGCGTTTGATGCCTCGAGTGCGTTGTTCTTGGTCTTTAGGCTTGTCAATGAACAGACAGATGGCGGGTTTACTGTTCAGAAGTTCTTCACTCTGTACCTTGTCATCCCGGTCTTTATCTTCATTGCGCAGGTTACTGTTATGCCAGGGACGTCGTATAAGACGGCTGGAGAACTGGTGCTGCAGGCAGAAGAGAATATTGCTGCAGAGGCCAATGACATGGTGGATACGTCTATTGCTGATCACGGCGAGGCTGAGCGTCAACGTGACGAGCGGCGCGACCATCGACAGAGCGTTGTCAGCAATATCAAAGGATTGCTAGAAGAGGGCACGGATGATCGGGTGATCGACACCGGTGTTTTCAATGGAGAGACCCCCGAACACGTGAACCACGGCGGTGCTGCTCCTGAAAGGGTGTCTGGTAAAGGCGATTTGACGTCTCCTGCGAAAGGCGACACGAAGCATATTGTTGGAGGTGTCTGGGGCGCGATGCATGGCGTCTCTGCTTTCCAGCAGATTCGGAGCCCGTGGTTTATCCTGATTACTCTGTTCACGGTGCTTCAGATGCTGCGTATCAACTACTTTGTGGCCACCATCCGCTCTCAGTACGATTACCTCCTCGGGTCGCCTGAACTGTCTCGCCAGCTCAACGAAGCCTTTGACCTTGCTCTGCCCGTCGGTGGATTGATCGCCATACCGTTTATCGGGACTATCCTCGACTCGGCCGGCACTCCCCTAGTTCTCTTCACTCTGGTCGCCGTGTCCACGGCGATCGGCATCCTCGGCTGCATCCCCGGCAGCATCGGGGCTGGGTACGCGAACATCGTCCTCTTCGTAGTCTACCGGCCATTCTACTATACCACGGTGTCCGACTACGTGGCCAAGGTCTTTGGCTTCCGGACCTTCGGCAAGGTCTACGGGCTGATCATCGCGCTTGCGGGCATCTGCAACTTCGTGCAGACGGGCCTGGACGCGTTGACCTTCAAGGCCTTTGCGCGAAACCCAATTCCTGTGAACATCATGCTGACAGTCGCCGTTCTTGTAGTCGGGTTTCTCCTCGTCACGTTCGTGGCGACCAAGGCGCGGGCGTTGACGTTGACTCAGGGACAGGCCGAGGTGCTGGCCGCCGAACAGCAGCCCCTGATCGGACGAGTCGAGAATGGACGGCAGAATGGGACGACGTACGGCACGGCCTGATATGACATCGATTGAGAGGATTAGTTAGTTAGACGATGGTGTTTGTGCACATACACGCAGCCGTCCGTGTTCTCTGGCAGCGAGCTGGTAGTGTATACGCGGCGTGGTGTTGTTCTTTGTACATAGCAGGCGACATAATAGCATTGATTGACAATACAGCATACAGCATTCAGCATTCAGCATCTACCACCCACTACACTCCTTTATCTCCGTCCTCTTCCCCCCTATTCCCCCTCTTTCCCCCTCTTTCCCCCTCTTTCTTGCCTCGCCTTCCCTCTGGCCCTGATGTGACAGAGGCAAGAGCCGTTCCGCAGCAGACTCCGGCCCAGGCAAGAGCGTGATCCCGGGCTGCCCCTGACGTAACAGGAAGGAGAGGAAGGAGCAAAGGAAGGTCCCATACTGATCCTACGCGCCCATTGGCCTCTGCCTCTCGCTTGCGGCTCTGCCCTGGCACCTGCCACGGCGATCCTCCGCAACGGGCTGTGATGTAATCTGCTCTCATCGAAGCGAGGCCGTGATCTGGCTGATCTGGCTGATCTGGCGCAGGGCTGGCCTGTCTCCACCGCCAGCATGAATGCAGCGTGCCTCTCCTGCTCTCCTTCCTCTCCTCTTCCTCCTCTCTTCTCTCCCACGGCCTCCCGTACCTCCGCTTCCCCCTGCTTCCTCTGCTGCTTCCCTGCTGCTTCTGCTTCCGCTTCGGCACCCCTGCGTCGGCTGTTGCTTCTGCTTCAGTCTGTATTTCCCCCGTCTGTGCCTGCTCTCCTCCACTGGGATGCCCCTCGTCGGTCTGATCGGTGTGAGCCAGGGTGCGCCAGACATCCCGCTCATTACGGGTGGCTCCAGGATCTCCAACCTCCTGGGCTCTGCGGCCCCCTCTCGGCCAAAGACCCAGACGCCTGCGCCAGCCATTCCTTCTGGGCTTCCTCGTCTTGCTGCGTCTTATTCTTCCTCGCGCACTGCCACTCCTTCGTCGCCTCGTGCGGCACTACCACCTCCACCTCCGACATTCAAGTCGCGCTTGCCCCTTCCTTGCAAGCCGTCGACTGTGAACGCCGGCGCCACTCTTTCACCTGCACCCTCACCGGTGCTCGCCGCCGCCTCGTCGTCTCGGTTCGACGAGAGACGCGCTGCTCGGGACAGCCGGTCTCGACCCTGGCTCGCTGGGTCCAAATTGGCCGCCAAGTCTTCCTCCCTTGAGCGCGCGACTCTTCGCCCGACCACCACTGTGCGAGAGCCCCAGACGACTGACCCCCGTCTGGATGATCGCCGACGAGCTCGTCAAGACCGCGACCGTCCTTGGCTTCCTAAAGGACGCGTCTCCCCAGCTCCTCGCCCGATCTCGCCCTCCACCAACATCTCGGCCCTGTCTTCCTCCGCCGCCACCGTTCCTGCCGCCGCTCCTGCTACTCTGGCGCGTCACTCACGCTGTGGACTCCTCAAGACCCCCACGCCCAAAGATCATTTTGATCTTCCGCGTCCTCCGACCTGCAGACGAGTGTTCTTCGCTTGGGACGAGACTGTCATTGATGTCGAAAAGTGGATCGACCCCATGGTGGACAGCTACGGCCTCGAGCCGTACTGAGTGATTGAACTCCTCGTCCTTCCTTCGACTCACCCTCAGTTATCAGCTTCGGCTGAGCTTCCAGTTTCTTTCGCACTTCGCTCTCGAAATCTATCGCTGTTCGGACCTGAGTTTGGCCAACGCTGGCGACCCCTTCATTACAGGGCGTGTCGACCCCCGTGTCGCGCACTCTTCGTCCGCCAGGCCGTTGCCTCGGTTTTTGCCCTGGCCTTAACCCAATGGTGCCAAACCCTCAGCTCCTCGAGGGCGGTGTCCAGGTCATATTCTTTGACTGCGAGTGCCCCTTCCGCTCTTTTCCACGCTTCTGAGCCTCACCTCTTATGGTGCCTTCACGGCAGTCCGCTTCCCAACTAAGCTTATGTCGTCTCTCCTGGCTGCTGCCATTTATGGTGGCGCTACTTCTTTCTTCATCGTGTAGGTTGTCTGTCACCAGCACAACTATCACTTGACTAACCTTGTCACAGGTCGACACCCAGAGCGAGATCTGGGATGGTGGCACCGCGCGGCTTCGATTCGTGTAGGTAGCATGTCCTCCATAATTATCACTTGACTAACCTTGTCATAGGTTGACACAGCAGAGCGAGATCTGCTATGGTGGCGCTGCTTCGGTTCGCACCGTGTAGGTAGCCTGTCCTTCATGAATATTACTTGCTAACCTTGTCACAGGTCAACACACCAGAGCGAGATCTGGTATGGTGGCACCGCTTCGATTTCCATTGTGTAGGTAGCACGTCACAACCATAACTATCACTTTGCTAACCTTGCATTAGGTTGACACGCCAGAGCGAGTTCTGGTATGGTGGCGCCGCGCGGCTTCCTTCCTGTAAGCAACGTCTAAGATGACTATCACGACTACCGCTAACCATCGGTCATAGACTCTCCCGACCCCCCCACGTTTTCGTTTCATAGCTGCTCATGGTGGCGCTGCTTCGGCTTCCCTGGTGTAAGTTTAACCTCTCCCAGCGTTGCTCTCGCTTCACTAACCTTGCAGTAGTTCGACAAACCAGAGCGAGATCTGGTATGGTGGCGCAGCTTCGGTTTCTTCTCGGTATGCAATCTGCCATTTGACACAACTGTCACTAACCTGCATAGGTCGTCTGCCTGGGGTTTTTTCGATATTTTTTCCCCCTCACACGAGAGCGAGGTCTGGTATGGTGGCGCAGCTTCGGCTTACCCCAAGTAAGTTTGGCCTGTCACTTGATATGAATGAGTATCACTAACCCTATCATAGAAGCCCTCAAGGGCAAGTGTCAAGTATGGGTATGGATATGGGTATGGTAAGTGCAAGGTCAGTATCACCCGCCCCTCCCCTGTATCTTTAAACCTATTATTTACACAATATTTACCCCTCTGTTCGATCATTCTTACACTCCTGTCTGCCATCTATTGCCATCTGCTGCTATTTCATCAAGTGTCTCGTTTATCGAGGGGCTTGGGGAAGTGGCTACAGCTGGTCAACGTGTGGTTGTTGATTGTATTATATTGTTTCTGTTTCTGTTCTCGCTGTACTTTTGATTCTCTGTCAGACTGCGCATGTTAGGATGTAATGTCGTGGGTTGAGCCGTGTACATATGCTTGTGCTGTTGCTGTTGCTGTTAAGAATATATCGTGCGGAATACTGAATAAAAGCTGTTTCTTCTTTGCCATGTTGCCGCCTTGTTGTAAACGCCTGCTGTATCTAGGAAATCGAAGGCAGGGGGACTGCCCAGCCACCCACAAACACGAACACGAATACCGAGCACCTCAACGTAGTTCATGTAAATACATTCACGCAGTATTCTGATAACTAGATGTCTGGTCATTATTATTAAGCATGTTTCGCCCCTTTCCAATGCTATCGGGGCACCATTCCAGCATGGATTGAGTTACCAGATAAGTAGGATCCATTATATCAAGAACAGTCAGGAGTGATGAAAGCTAATGGTGATGGTGGTTCCGGAAAACAAACAGGAAATATAAACTAGACGGGACATGAGCCGTCAGAGATGCAACTCTTCTACAATATAGCCAGTCTAACAAGAGGGGTGATAGTAGAAGATAGGTTTTAGTATAATGAAATTAATATCCCTCTTTATATGCCCAGCTCTGTCGAGAGTTAACTGCATGTTCCTTCATAATGGTTTTACAGCCACCCCAATTCGATACACAAAGCCTGGTCCAGCTTTGTTTCTGTGCCACGCGAGCGCAATTGCCTCTTGTGGTCCTGAGACTTCTTCTTGCGACGACTAAAGCTTTCTCCCTTCTTTTTCGGCTTGGATTTCACGGGCGAGATTTCAGAAAATCCGTGTCCTCGGGACAGAGAAAACCGTCACCGGCACTTAGTCTCAACTGGCGGGCTGGCTGTTGATCTGATATTCGAGGCACCCATCCACAACACATATGATTTCTTCACAAGGGTGAATATCAAGCCGGGGACAAAACGGTTCTAGGGCCGAAGTTGACTAGGTCCTGAACGGTGTCATATCTAGAAATTTCGAGGCCGGGATTTGTAGTCCTCATCGTTGTTAATTTGATAATCCTGTGGATTGTTCGTCTCTTATCCCAGGAGCCTCTGCCACATCACCACAATTGACTGACAAATGTGTCTGGATTAGTTACCAGAGATGGCTGGCTTGTAGATGAAGAGCAGTGGTAGTGTTGACAGGATTCTAGGAATTGTCAGTTTCTCAAGACTATCAAACTATTAATGAGAATAAATACCTCTCTTCATCTAAAACACGGGGTAGTATTATCTCCGTATTGAAGAATCCCATCAGAGCTGGAGGACTAGATCTTGCTCGTTGGGCGGGTTTGTTTGACGGTCGAAAACCTCTGTAATTTCGAGTTTGTGAGTGTCCGCCTCTGCACGTCTGGTAGAATAGGATAATAGCTAGCCATCAACCAAATGAGGAAACATTCCTCGCCCTTGGTGTCCTTTTGACCTGAAGCCCCAGTCATTATTCATCTAATCATAATACGTGAAGTCGTAATCTATACAAAAACTTCGTATCTATACACGGCTAAAAAAGTATCCAAACCCACAAAACCCTCATGTGGTACAAACAAACTCACGTGCACGCGCGAACCAGAGCTTCATTACTTGTCATTAGGACCAGGGGTAGGCTGGTCGTTCTTAGGGCCAGTAGTGCCGCGGGGACCAAGTCGCGGTAGCCATTTACTGTGATTTATCAATAAGCAATCAGATTCAAGAAGCAACCCAAAAAACCAATCCATACGGATGCCTAAAAATATCGCCACAAACAGAATTATGACGATGGTGGCGACACCGTACCATGAAAACAAACAAACAAACCAACTTTCGATGTGGCGGTACGCCCATATGATAAAAATCATCAATGCCAGGCCCTTCTAAGACTGTTGTTGCACCATCAACAACATGAAGTTATTTGTGTCTCGGTATACCCCGCCTGCAATGTTAACAGCACATGCAAATCATTAGCCATATTCTGTCAGTAACACGAAGGCTGTTAACAATCAGATCGTTTCCTGATCGTTTCCTCCTAATTTTTGACCAGCCTTTCAGGGCAGGGACACAGATCTCCGGAAGAAGTTTCAGCATGCATGGTGACTGTACGATATCTAGGGCCCGATCGTGCCTATCGAAATTCTTCACCAGCATCTCAGTAACAATGTTGTCTTCAAATTACATAGATAATACCATAGGAGATTGCGGGTACCGCTCCTGATCTATTTCGTGCGGCAGGGTCACGGCAGGGCGTGGTTTGGGAGATACCCCGACAAATTTGACATCCAAATATAGGGTTTAACTTAAATTTGCTAATTAAGTGGTGAAGCTTCCCACCATTTAACATAAATAGGCTGTAAAGACTACTAGTTAGATTGAGAGGCAGAATTGTGAGTACATAGATTCCTATAAGCTTGACCCCATGTCATTGATTGAAGAGGTCAAGGGACTTATTCTCTATATTTCAGATCGCTATTTTGAGTCAAGCCGAGTTCCTATAATGAAGCTGAATATCTGCCTCTATCTACACTAGATCAATATCAAAAGTTTGGTTTTGGATTTATGTAGACACTAGAACTATTTTATAAATAAAATTCTAATAAATCAGTGTGCCTTTTTGTCTATTCATGTTTTTAGGGTATTGGCGGACATTAATAATGTGGAAGTAATTAATCTATAAAGTGGAAATAAACTTTTCATAAAAATGACCATTGTCTCTAATTCGATTTAGTCCGTTGTAACTGGGCTATTGATGCCTAAATTTGTGTGGTTTTCTGTATAGATCTTAGAGCTGAACCTCCACTTCTTGGCTGCCTAAGAGTAATGATATCTGATAACCCATCAAACATCAAATTATGAAATTTCCCAATCTCTCGAACCTAGGAGTGTTATTTCTCTAGGCACTAAAACTTAAGTTATATAATCAGTCACATTTTAATCAACAGATATTTATAATTATTAAGAATTAAATTAGCTTTTAAATATCAAAATGTCTAAAATGTCATAGAATAAGATGATTGGCATAAGATTATTATAAAATTTAGTAATACCTTAATTAATGCCAAGTATAAACTTTAAGATAGGTCTAACTAGAAAAATGTTTTAGCAAAATACTTTCCTGTAAAAACCCTATTTAATCCATCAGAAGAGATCCATTAGATAATAAACAGTGAGAGACTTATTCAGAAGGATTAGACCCCTAAAACAATATTCAATTCCTAGCCAATTATGTCATTGATAACCCCCCTGCATAGAATAGTTCATGCCAGGGATGAAATAACTTCATGACTCTATTCTCGCGTAACAAACAAACTTTCCCATCCTCACTAAATCACGACTCGTGGGCTAGAATGTCGGTCCTAGAGCACGAAGAGAAGATCCATGATGACGTACACAACGGAGTAAATGGCATGGATACCTATGTCGAGATAAATGGAAATCTGTGAAGTATCTAAAATCCGTAAATAATCTTCAAAAAAAAATCGGGGAAACAGTCCAGTTCCCACGGTCTCTCGCAAAGCAAGGTCTACGCAGTTGACTTGGCTGCCTGATATGTATCAGAGCGCCTATTGCGCAAAAAGCCGGGAAAAATTTCACGCCGCCGTCTTGGACTAAAATGGTAAGAGCTGGATAGATCTAGAAGGGTCTGTAGAAAAAGAAAGTCCATTTTTTGCCTTGCACAAGTACGTGGCCAAGCCGATATCACATGGAGATATACTTCCGAACCAATGAGATAGGTGGTCCAACCCCATTTATATGAAATTATACACTCCAATCGGGTTTCCACCCGTTCTCCTCTAAAACTTTAAATTAGCAAATAACACGACATTATTGAGACATCCCTCCTTGCTCCCTGCGTATGATTGTGGTTGAGAGAGCTTTGCAACAGAAATATATGGGTTTCGGACTTTCAATAGAATTGATAGCATAGAGTAAAGCTTCCAGGCAACTTCTCCCCTGCGCTTTGCTGTGGTACAAGACATCGGGTGACTGAAAATTGAGGCTTGCTTTCTGCCTTGAAAGAATTGAATGCAATCGAAATCACAAATCACTTTGATGTATATCATATTCGTTTTTAAAAAAAAGTACGTAACTCTCCTTATCTCCTAGAGCGCTAGTTGTTTTGAGACTAGATCTATTGTTTATATCACTACTGAACTCCGCCTCCAAGTCGGAGGTCACTACCTACAGATCAAAATCTCGTCAACTAGTCCATTACTGCTCTTTCATTAATAACAAGCTGTTATCTCCCCATTAGCGCATACGGTCCTCGTAGGCCTGCGAGACCATTTGTGTGCTTACTAGAATTAACTGCAGGACTTCGGCGTGTTGTAAAGACAATTGCCACGTCATTCCACTTTTGTGACTCTTGCTGCAGGTTAGAATTCCCTGAAACAATATGATCTGCGTTCTAACAGTGTGAGTCTTTGCGGAATAGACGGCCTAGTTGACAGCTAACAGGGGTACCAGATACTGGCCCTACCAGCATGCAGAGTGCTATTCTTCATACTGGTGATACTCAAATCAACACGGAGGAATGGTTCGGCCTCTATCAGAACTGCGTGCGACATTTCCTGGATGTGGCACAACATTCACCGCTAGCGCAATCGCTCGCCGCGTTTCTCAATATTCTCCTGCCTTACCAACGCGTCTTAGAGCCTGTTCTCCGATTGACAGAATCTACTAGCCGCTATCGGTCTAAGTCCAATTATGGGTATATGCTGCGAGTGTCTCCTGGACCAGTTTCGCTTATTCCCTATATTCGGCGGCTGGTTGTTACGGCTACAGATACCCCCTTGACAATGCGAGAGTTATTTGGGGATGACTGGTGCGCCGGTATCGGACAATTACACTTGCAAGAACGTATGAACTATTTGTTTGCTGCTAAGAGTGTAGGCTGGCTGCAAACCAAAGCGCATTATGACTTGCCCCCATATGAAACCGTTCCATTTCTACGTCCGCTGCGTGACCCGCAAGAGCAAGAGCTTCGAGTGGCTGATGTTCGTTGGAGTGAATGGCTCGCTATGGAAGACTGGATGGTTGGACCGCGGAGTCCGTTTTGACCATTTTGTGTGTTGGGATCTCATTCCATGTAAGAGGCCCGGGGCAAAGATGAACTCAGTATTTCCATCAATGGCATTGGCGAGATCCACAAGACTCATGAAGAATTACTACACTTAGAGAGCTGCCAAACAGTAAATACCCCATCAGTTTCAACGAGCCGCATTTGCCATAACCAAAGAGGTGATCGGTTGGCAAACTAAGTGGGCAAAAAAGGACAATAAAAGACGGACGAAATAGGAAGAAAGAAAAAGAAAATAAGCTATACTTGTAAGAGCTAGTATTGTAAGAATATAATATACTATCTTCGATCCTCTTGACAACATGCTCTTTCCAAACATTTACTTTTGACGGTTAAGTACTGTGAACACAAATGGCTGTCACGTATATAATGAATCGCTGCCTAGAGGGGGATGATCATTCGATGTAAACAGCAAGTTTACATACTCAGAGAAGATCGACTCTATATGAAGTACCTGACCGCGACTATTGCATATGAGCCTTTCACCTTAAAAAGATATTTAGGTAATTATAAGCATATAGCAAGCAAAATAACTGGTCAATAGCACGTCGTCACGCCAATCGGGGAATACCAACTGCCCAACAGCCACTCACAATTATCGAAGAGTTTTATCTGCTACTACTTCTAGTACCAGGAATCACTATCTATAGATGGAGAGATAAAGTGTTAATAATTGATCTAATCTTTACCTTAGAGGATATAGCATTTATATAATTTATTATAAGATAGATATAAGCTTAGATTATAATTTTGATCATCTCTTAAATGCTATAGCTATGCTAAAGATAGTAATAAACAAGACTGAAAGATGGCTATAAAACCTACTAATAGTTACACAATAAGAAAGACTAAGATATTTAAAAGATATTTCACAACATCCATTGATAGAGAGTAGAGGAGATCTCAGTTTTAGAGTCTCGTCTCTAGAAACTAGTTAAATAAGCTATAAATAAGCATATTATAATATCTATTTATATATCAATATTAGTAAAGCTAGATAGAGAACTAGTCTACTAGTCAGAAGAAAAAGCAGAGACTCTTTGTCAAATCTTCTTTTCATTGCCGCTTCAAGCTGGCCTATTAGATATCGATGGGTACGAATACCCTCAACTGGTCGAATGCCCGGAGACCACGCCTTCGGAGATCGAAAGAGCAGTACGCAGGGCGACTTCAAACAAGACACACAAATGTCATCCTCCATAAAACTGTGGAGATCATTCTTCCAAGCCTCCATAGGCTCTTCAATGCCTGTCTCCTGCAGGGTTACTTTCCCGCACATTTCAAAGAAGCAATTACAATAGTTCTTCAAAAAGTAAAATAGAAAACAATTATACACAGTTTAAATCCTATCATCTAATAATACTTCTTGATATACTGAAAATATATTAAAGGCTATAGTCATTAATCACTTAACTATTCTTACTGACACCTATCATCTCCTCTCAAGCCAACATACAGAGGGCCAGAAGCTCACATCAACAGATCATACTATACACCTCCTTCAACACATACACAAAGCATAGGCCAACAGAAACATAGCTTCACTACTCCTCCTTAATATATCAGAGGCTTTAGATAATATCTCCCAATAACAGTTATTACACAACTTAAAAAAATTATATAATAAATAGATTCGTTTCTTAATGATCAATTTTTAATGCTTAAGTTCTAAGAATATATAGCACTATCAGCACCATTCAAATCAGAGTATTTTAAAAATCTTCATTTTTGCCAATCCCCTATCTCTTCTATAATACAGATCTAATTAGCATATATAAAACCAAGAATATAGATGTAAGGCTCCTTGCCACTGCCAACTTCTAAGTGCCAAAAAGTAATACTGAGGTAATTGGGCCAATTGCTCAATTACAGGGTAGTTGGTGGATAGGTTGATGTTACAATCAATACTGCACTGAGATTCGGCTCGGTCCTACCAATCACAACGCTAAAGTGCTAAATTTTTAGCACGCCGGTCTCCAAAATGCTCAACATCATGCAACAGGCTTAACGTGTTAAAATTATTTTCGCCCAGGAATTCCCGACTGAACGAAAGTGTTTTATTCAAAAGTTGTTCAGCGATCTCCCTGTGGCGGATATTATTTCGTGCCCTCTGAAATGCCATTGACGAATCTAATATATGTTGAACCACAGGTCTGTCTGGCCCTTTCAATCCAAGCAGGAATTTTGTCAGCAACTCCTTGGCTTTCTCATGGGCTTCGCAAGCTTGGTACGACAATGCCAGATCCCACATAGCCCTCATAAAATCGAGTCGTACTAGAGTACGTATTCGTTCCATACGAATGACAATCATCTGGCGCAACTCTGCCGCCTTGGCCCAGTCTCCTTTCAATTGATAATCCAGCGCCGCTTCGTCAATAGCTTCAATTGCCTTCAAAAATACTTCTCTATGTTCGAGTACAATTTGAAAGAGTAGAGAATGGTGAACATAGTTCGAAGCCCATGCCATCCTCCGCTGAACAGGGTCTCTATGATCGAGCCAAGGAGAAATGTTCCACGGCAAGTCGCCGATGATTGATGGAGGACTATCAATTAGGTTTTTCCATAAAATCCAGACCTTTCCCATTGATTCTGTGAAATATTTGGTATGATGTAGCCAATACTTCTTTGCATACGGCAAGAAAAGGAAGTCTTGGGGAGGTCGTTCATTGCTCGTTCCTGATTGCACATTCATCAAGGCATGCTTGAGGTCAAAGGAGGAAAAGCGTGATGAAGATGATTGCCTTCTCTTTCTAAGAATTTCTCGGGCAACCTTCGCGACACTAGCATTTTGAGAAGTCGAATTCATGGCGGCTGATACCGTACTGGAGCCATTTATTTGCCATGGCGTGGGTAGCGTTGCAAGCCGGGTTTCAAAGACATTCCAACTGAGGTATGTCACACAAATTTTGCCCATGAGCATGTCTGCTTCTTGTTTACTGAAGCAGATTGGAGTACTGTTTCTAGCACTACTCTCCACGTCCGGGAAAAGAAGGTGCTGTTTCGCTGACGGGTGGACAAAGTGTACAGTCAGTGCTTCCTCGTTCAGCTCCAGCAGTCCGCCACAGCAGGATACTGTTTTCCGTATGTCGTTGACAAACTTGGTTGTGTCCATGGTATTCTCACCGGGAACCACACTGAGAGCTTCTCGAAGCTCCCATAAAGTCAATGGCCGATATGCTGAGGAAACTAGTTGGAAAATATTGTTTCTGTATTTTGATCGCGAGTTCTTTTGTAGAATACGATCGTACACCGCTGGCAAGTCTGGTGGCATATCTCGTAAGGCAGTCAAAATGGCGTCGTCTGATTCTTCGTCGCATAAGCTGTCAATTTGAAGTACAACCCAGAGGAACCTATGAAAATGCCGGTTAATCTCGGGAACGCAAATAAAAGGGAAATAGGTTCAGTGTCAAGTAAAATACATACATTCCTCGAGCATTCGCTTTCAATGTGTCCTGTATTTCAATGATGATTGCAGGATTAGCTAGGCGAAGAGCACAGGATTTTAGACATTGATCAAGCTTGTTGTGGATATAATCGTTGATCTCATCTGTCAGAGATGATGTGTTAAGCTTGAATTGTTGAGGGAAATACTCATTTATAAAAGCCGCGGTCGGCTCCAGCTCCGATCGCGTCGTCAAGAATAATTTAATCGAGTTTCCTTCAGCAAGCGTTTGGAGAAACTCGAACAATATTTTCATCTCACTCTGCTCGCAATCGTCAAGGCCATCAATGATAAGATAGACGATTCTATTTTTCAGTACATTCGATTCAAATTCCCGGAATAAGTGAACAAGCTCATCAAGACCAAAGGAATGTGTCTGAGTTTCGTCTGTCCATAGCGACATAGAATCTAATCCATCCTCTGGGTCAACTGGTTCTACTAGCTGCCGGATCAGAGAGCCGATAATAGTCCTTGCCTTCAGAGACTGGGCGATATCGTATCTGCAGAAGAAATAAGCAGTCGTTCCCTTTGGGACGTGCGTAATCAAGTCCTCTGTTATATTTGCTGCGAGTACACTTTTACCAGATCCCAGCTTGCCAAAACATGTTAAGACAGTCCCTCCCTTTGAGTCACCTCTCCATTCCACATACTCAGGAGCTTGACGTATCCAGGATGAGTTTCCATTCTTTCTGATCTGTCGCCAGGTCGATCCGTAATCATATTTAGAGCATCTGTCAAGCAGAGCCAATTTAATAGCCAAGTTGCGTCGCGATCTGTCACTCTTGTCAATCTTATTCAAAAGAAGCGAACGAAATAAATAGTTCTGGCGAACTTCATCCTGTTGAGTCTTTGCAGACAGGAACGCGACTTCTTCTTTAATCTCATTTCCAAGAGCCTCAAGCTTGACAAGAAATCCGCCAAACTCAGAATCGAATGATCGAAATATTTTGATCCCTAACGGATTCAGATCTCTTTTGCGCGTAATTTGCACAGCTTTGGTGCATAGTTGCACAAGGTTGGTGAAGTATTCACAAATACTGCGCTGCAGAGTAGAGGAGTGAGGATACAGCAAACCTAGGTTTTGATAGCGGGGTGCTGAACGGCCGATGTTCATGAAAAGCTCCGAGAACTTTTCTAAGAAGGAGAAATGGTTTGTTGCTATCTGAAGAGTAAATCGTACTAATGCCCACAGCCCGCTCGCCATCATATTCTGGGTGCCCCCAACGACAACGTCGCCAATAGCTGCGAATGCTTGGATGGCATGGAGTACATTAGCGAAGCGCGTTCCAACACACCTCCTACCGATTTGCGAGATTTGGTCTATCTCCGCCGTTAAGCGGATTACATCGATTGCATCTGCAGAGTGGTCTTGGTGTCTAGCTTTGAGATGGCGAAGCGAAGTCTTTTCATCGGTGGAAAGAACAGCTTCGTATTCGGAGATGGCTTGCGCTAGCTGAATTTCTGGCTTACATTTGCCAAAGGTCGCTAAGGATACTGCCATTATTCCTCTGTGATATCGCGGGTCGTGGTAGACATGTTTTGAGGGGTTCAATCAATCAATTTGAACATTAAAATTGAGTATTCTAAACGTTAGATTGTTGGATTTGTTATAGAGTCAGTCATGTGCATCAGGCTGGCTGCACCTCCCCACCTAGCTTTGATGAGGCTGTGCAATTAGTGAGACTACATAGGCACGTAACACAGGTTTAACCAAAACTAGTTAGTTACATTTTGGGGGTCACGCACCTGGATGTCCTTGACCTCCTGCTCTTATAATTATATAATGGATTATACGAGGCCGACAAGGAAACCAGATTAAGACTATACCAGCTGCGGCAAGAAACGGGAATAAGACAATAAAAATATAGAAGCATAAAATATAGAACTGCAAGTATAGAGCAGCTAAACCAACTTAAAGGTAAATTTGATATATTCATTTTTAGATATAATCTTAACTAACAATTTATTAAAGAAATATACTGGATTTTTAAAAGCTCATCTTCAGTCCTTCGAGTCAGGGTTACGCTCCACAAACAGGTGGCAGCGCCTCACATTATGGCGTAGTCAATGTTCAATGAATCAAGTTTCTGCGAAACAACAATTCCCAGAGCATTTCGACCGAGAGCGGCGCCATCGTATTTTAGATATCTTTGGATTGTGTCTGTAAGCACACCATTCCGAGCAGCTGGAGGTTCTAGAGAAACTTTGCCATGTAGCTACTTCTTCCATTCAACTTGATCATCCAGGCGAAATTCGGAGCCCAAGTGTCTTCTTCCTGCAGCCATGACCATACTAACTCTGAAAATCCATTCGATTGCTACCTAGAAACTGAGGCTTCTGAACCCAGGAATGCAGTGCAATTAGGTCCTGGATTACCTGTTTCTGCACGGCTGAAAGTATGGGAAGTTTCATCGACAACGCTAGAACTTCTTTCTGCTGTAAGGGTAGTACTGGGAATTGGTGCTTAAATTGCAGGAAAAATCTGTGGGCCTCCTGTCGGTGCATCAGTCATGACTGTATCATCCCCAATTCGCATTTCCACCTTCAAACTCGAATACCTTTTGCGAAGAGTTGGTTACCGAAATTTTAGGTTTTCTAACATAGTTAAGTTCTCTTGTTGAACAACGCCTTATGCTTGTGTTCTCAGATCAATCTCTGACTGATATATCCATTTCTCGTGTGCCATTTTCGTATGGATGCAGATGGGGTTTGGAGTAAAACGCATCTAAGCACGAAAGCGAATTGACTACGATGTTCACGGCATCAAGTCCCCCAATATTGATTCATTCGGAAAGCCACATAACATGCAACGGAATTATTTTCTATTGTGGCACTCGTTTGTTCGGTCTCTCCCGTCTGCTGCTGGATGATATGTAGTCGTGATTCCCAGCCCGACTGAGACTCTGCGGAATAGGTAGGACCAAACGTCTGATGTGAATTTCGAGTCTCTATTCGAAATGATTGTTTGTGGTAATCATTATGCTGGATAGACTCCGTCACTTCTCCTCCTTTGGGGATATTCGTATTCGGATCTATTAGGGCTGAATTATATATATCCTGATATAAAGATGATAGGCTTCTAGTACTCGTTTAATAATTGCTGAAAGCACTTTTACAACTAGAATCTGAGAATCTGTGAATTTGACGCGGAAAATGACGACTAGGGAAGGGATATTCTGCACCATTTCCACCCTCTCCCTCTCCCACCGCCGCAGTAATCTGGCAAACTTTCCCCCCCTAGGCTAAAAAGGCTTAAATCTTTGTAGCTCTAGTAGTTCATGGATTACATCGAGTTCAGCACAATTTGCTGGAACGTCTGTTCTGTTTGATTTAGCACCCAGACTCACCCAGTCTCAATATTCTAACAACTATTATCTTTTCTTCTATGCTAGCTGGAAGAGATTTGTGAAATTCCATATCGTAAAAATTAGATTGTATTCATATAACCAGCCATCAACAAGAACCTCAGTCAAAGGGCCAATGTATGTCACACTCTGAATATATCCATTATACTCACTCATCACCTGTAAGGGTGACAAATAGAAACAAAGAGTCAAGTGAAATAGTGTGTCTGCCGTCTAACTCTCGCTCATATGACGCTGGTGGCATTGAAATAGGCTATCACAGAAACTACAACCCCCTTTTCGGGCAGAGGTTCACCGGAGAATAGGATATAACAGGAAGGTCATGACTAGATTCAGAAGGGCCAACTCGGAGTAAGGGAAGTTGTGCGTGTGTTTCAGGTTTATAAACGCAACTTACTGTCAGTATTCAAGGTAGACTGGGGGCCAAATCTAGGTAAGAGTCACCGCTAAACTTGCTGATATGGCGCTGGATACATGCAAGAGCTTCCCGTTTGTCTAAGAGATCCCGTGGGGAGATCCCGTTAATTATGCATTCATTATTGTAGTATTTTGACAGGTGAACTTCCGAGTCATTTCCCAGTATTTTACTCGGTGCTTGGAACCAGTAAATATCCGTTTTCTACTCCAAGCAGAAAGCCTGAAACGAATAAGAAATGAAGCGTAAGCTAAGCTACTAGGTATGGGTGCTCTGGAGCCCCTTCTGATGTTGCGGATTTGTTTCTAGCGTAGATTAACCACATATCACATACATTCTTGCAGTTCTTTCAGCGAGAATACACAAGTGTTTGAATCTGTCGATCAAATTCAGCTCCAGAACGTCTTCGAAAAGGTTCGCAACATAGGACACAAAGGCATCGCAAACTGCTGACGAAATTTCAAGCTCTACGATTAGGATTTTCATAACAGCGGTGTGTCTGGCTAGCCACTTGTTCCTTCCGTGAACGTAAATGATTATTTCCCGGCCCGAAATGATTAATGGGTCTTGCTGTAGTAGGTCTGAATGTCGTGATTTATGTGGAATGAGGACCTGCAGGCATCGGAGCCACCAGGCCTCTTTCCCCAACTGATGAAGGTAAGAATTCTATTCGATTGGTGTTAACGAGATGCCTCCTATACGTGGAATGAAGCACGAATTTGATGAGGGCATGGAAGGATAAGGCTTTTCACGCTTTTCTTTGGACTTTCTACGGATCGCAGTAATTTTATTTTGCTAATTTACATACTCAATTTTTTGCACCCTAATCAAAATGGTAGTTTTTCACGTCTCGATGGGTTGCTAGTTGCTACCACCGCAGCAGCACCAAATTCCTCCAGAATTCCCATTTTTTCTCCAGACGTCGCACGCTTACAATTTATTCCGAGATTGAGGGTCTCATTGGCCACTCAGATAGAGAACGCGCATAACCTTGCGCCTCTTTGCAACAAGGGCTGGAATGCACGCAAGGCGCTAGCTGGTAAGGGGCTTCATAATGCATTCGATCTCACGCTCCTCGAACCAGTCAACATAATATCTGTGTATATAAATTCTGGGTTCAGAGGGGTAGATTTTGTGGTGCAAAATATCTCGACCAGGTCACCAGACAAGGAGACAGTTGAGTATTATAAGTGTCGCGACTGGAGTGTATATGCAGCGTTGAATGCGGCGCAGCAACTAGCATCAACAAAGGTCACAGTTACGTTGCCCTGGTGTTCCTAGTTGGGTGTTGATCATCGGCTGATGATTCATAATAAACAATTTCCATTGTCTTCTCTTCGGTTTCCCCTGCCTTTCTTTGCAAACCATGGGACGTGAGACATAACATATTTCTCGACACCTTTCACAAATCACAAACATCATGGCAAGCATGCCACCTTCTGGATTCACCTTTTCATCAGGTTTCCTGTCCTCGCTTGCCCCCACCCCCTCATCGTCATCCCGAGACAGTAGTGAGGAAGGAAGTTCTGCGTCAACTACTCAATCCCTAGGAGCGACGCTTCTCTTTCAGGATTTGTCCCTCAGCGATGCTGCAGGATCGATGCTTACACCCCGAGCTAGGTCGCCAACTGCATGGCTGAGTCCGGGGAGCTCACCTTCTACTTATGCACAGCAGCATAATGCTTCTCCGAGTCCCAGACCGAAACTCAAGGCCTTCTCTCGCAGAAGCCGAAAATCTGGACGAACTCAGTCGACATTTTCCAGTACATCGCAAGCCAGCGTATATTTTGACGCCAGGGAGACGAGACCGGAGTTGATATTTTCAGACCATAGTACGGATAGAATACATATCCCTGGAGCCTTTCCCACCCAGGATGATCATAGCGAAAGTCATGCTGCAGGATGCGTCGAAATGGAGTGTGAAGGTGGGTCAGCAAGTAATCAATACAGCGACCTTGCAGGACCATCTGAAACGAGAACTACTGATATTTGTGAAGAGCTACTTCCTGGCGCTCCAGTTTATCGCAATCGGCTTCAAACTGGCCTGAAAGAGGTGAAAGTTCAACTAGCACGTCTTGCTAGAACTATAGGAATCTCTGACCTGAAAAAAGATCAGTCTCCTGATTTGTATGAGCTGCATGAGCGAACCAAGAGATATAGCATGTTTGAGTACGCAAAAACTCGGACTGTGGGCTTCATTGGTGCCTCTGGAGTTGGTACGGTTTTCTACTGATGTTGTTCGATACATCTGTTCCTAACTCCCAGACAGGCAAAAGCTCCTTGATAAACTCTTTGCTTGATCAGCAGAGCTTGTCACGTTCAGTATGTATCACCTCTCTCTTTTGTTCCTTCGGTCCTGTGTACCTATTAACATACTACCACAGAGTAGTGATGGCGCGGCATGCACCTGCGTCGTGACTGAGTTCCGACATGTTGATAAAAATCACACAGGACCTTTTACCATTGAAGCGCAGTTCATGACCGCACAAGAAATGAGTGAGTTGTTGGATGAGCTCCTCTCGAACTTTCGTCAATTCCATGTCACTTCACTCAATCAGGCGTTGGAACCGGGGGAAGAAAAGCAGAAGTGCCAAAGTGAGGCTGAAAGGGCATGGGAAACGTTTCAATCGCTGTTCAACAATCAGCCAAGATTGACAATGGAGTTTCTATCAGTGGACTATGATGGGGCCCGTTCAGACATTCTTGCTCAGTTAGAGCGGTGGGCGCATGCCGGCCTAACACTGCGACCTGGCGGGTCCGATGCGCTTGATTACTCTACGATTTCTGGTGATCTTAAGGAATGTCAAGACTCCCTCGACCTATTGACTGCCAATAAAATGGGTAATGGTAGACCGGCGTTGTGGCCGTTCATCAAATTGATCAGGTTTGTAGACCCATCTATAAAGGGGACTGACTCCTTTCTAACTCTTTTGTAGAGTATATCTCAGTTCACCCATTTTGAAAAACGGCTTAATATTGGCTGATCTACCAGGTATGCGCTCAGGATTTCAAAGTTCGAAGTCAAACTTCAACTCACCAAAGTTAGGCCTAAGCGATCTTAACTTTGCAAGGGTCCGAGCCACCGAACGGTACCTTGCTCATAGTTGCGACGAAGTCTTTGTCGTCGTGGACATAGCTCGTGTTTGTACAGATCTGTCTATCCAAGATATTATGCGAAGATGCAGAAATGGTCAGCCGCGACGAATCATCTGCACAAAGTCTGAGGTATTAAGCATGACCCTTCCCGCTGGAAGGTATGTACTGATCTGTCTTCCTAGGCAATTTCACCCGAAGAGGCAGCTCGTGGAGATTCCCCTGCTGCTCTTAAAGTGAAGCAGATGAATAGAGATGTCCAGGCTGTCCGAAAACAACTTGAAGAAACCATATGGGGTATGCGGAAAGCGGATGGAGAACGACTAAAAACACTCAACCACGAATTATTTCAACTAGAGTAGGTTCTTGATCTCAAGGTGCAATGATCTCAGTCGCTGAATTTGTTGTAGCGACAGAGAAAAGGAGTTGGATTTCGAGTAAGTTATATGCGCGTGAGATAAGGCATATTCCTGCATACTAAATGGTCGTCTAGGATAAAAAAGTTTCTCATCAATCGGCGAAACTCCGAGGTGTCGCAAGAGCTCATCCAAAGGTATCCAAATATCAAGGTTTTCTGCATCAGCAACACACTATACTCTAATTACCGTCACGGTCGGGGCAATCAGGACAGCTTGGTGGAGGCATATATTAATCTTACGGGAATTCGTGAGCTGCGACGCTATTGCCAATTGGTCCCAGCGGATGCTCTAATGCGTTCGGCATCCGCGTTTCTGGATCACAAAGTGCCAGCTCTTCTGTTATCTTTGAATCAGTGGGCATTGTCTGGAAAAGATTCGGTTATGGCTGAAAAGGCCGGTAGCCTTCGACGGGTTCTGGAAAACATACAACAGGCTCTTCACCAGGTAAGCTTGACCCAAGAAGGTTCTTCAGATTTCTGAGCAAGCCTTTGAAAGAACAAACTGCTCTGATACTCAATAGGAATTTATTTCCTCTCGAGGATGTGTTCAGCTTGCGCGTCAGAGCTTAGATGATCTATTCGGGGAATGTGTCTATGAAGTGATTCGTGAGTTACTTTGTGGAATGATTTTTTGTCTCTGGTCTAATGAATTACCCCAGAGCGTTCTCGAGATCGCTGGATGACTGATAGTATTGAAACCAGCCTAAAATGGGCAGGAGTGAGTTTCACTAAAAGTATTCCCATTCCTATAATGCATTCCTGATTTAATCCACAGTTGGCCCCTGGCACGTATGCCGCCTTCTGTCGCAAATCTGGAGACTACGCAACTCCATCTGAGCCTCGTCGCTGCTGGAATGATGAGTTAGTCCGGCCAGTGCGTGGAGAGCTAAATGATAAATGCAACGATATACTGGATTGGTTGGAAGCCCAGACGGGGAAACTAGCGAGAGAAACTTGCGTCATTTTTGAAAAATTCCACAAAGAGATTAAGGGTAAGTCCTTAGGTTGGACAAACGCTCGTTTATTACGGACCTTCGTTGGTAAGATGACTATCTGACGGCATCCTGTAGCGCATATTCATCTTGCACCCTACGCTCTCAAAAATCTTCAAAAAGGCATGAAATCCAGACAAAAATGCATTGAAAACCATATAAGGGAGTCTATTCAGAAGATTATTCAGAGCTTTGAGTATGATGTCCCAGAGATTGATGATTGCAAGCTCGATTCTAACAAGCTCGCCAGACTCTTAAAGCGAGATATGCTTCATGGCCACTCCAGCTCCTTCATCTCTGTCCTGATGCAGCCTGCTTATGCCGCCATCAATCGTGAAGAAGGTGTGGCATACAATGCTATTAACTTTATCTTTCGTATGATAATATTGACATTTTCATTCAGGTGATAGAAGTCACACCCGGCGGACAAGAATCATGAATGATCATCTAGAGCATTCAAGGATTTTTACTGCTTTCTCTAGAGAGGTCCACACGGAGTACACAAAGATTGTAACAGACTGCTTTGATGACCTGCTGAAAAACTTAACCGAGCAGGTAGATAGTATGGGAAGAGACTTCCAGGCCGTTGTTACAGCTGAAGGCCAAATTTCAGAGGCAGAACAGGCACCCGCATTGGCGGATGCGCTCAAGTCCAAGGTTTGGAAGATACACGAGATCCTGAAAAGTGCCCAGGCCACTGTACGGGAGCTCGAGGCGAAAGAGTAGATGATATGATATCTAAAGCAATGTACCCTCCGCGAGGAGAACGACTCAGCCATCGGCATTTGAACCGTGATATATAAAGTTGTCTATGTTACGATGGGTCAAAGCAAGCTAGAGCTAGAAACAGACCTATTTTGTCCTTATGTAGCCATTTACCATTCTACGCACTCACCCACCCACTTTTCGTAGACTTACACAAGGCTCAAATGAATACGAGGCCAGGGATATTGAAAATTTTTCTCGAAAAGGGGTTGGGAGGTATCAGACCGAATCCACTTCAGAAACTCGATCGATCTCTTCGTTCGGTCGATTTTAGCTGTGACTATAGTCTTGACTTCACCATGCGACTCTGACAATCACCGATGCAGGACGCGTCCACCACGAAGAATGATGAATTATGCCCTGCGTTAGGGACAGCAGACACTGTTTCAGACGAGGAAGAGACTCGCAGGGTTGATAGACGTTTCGTTGGCACTAACGTTGTTACGAAATATCGCGCTAGACACACACGATCAACTTCTAAGCTATCGACGTTCGAACTTAAGGGGCATCAGGAAAATGCGAGAAGATCATGCAGACATCCGTGTCTTTGCAGCAAAGGCGATGTAAGCTTCAATCGGCATTTCGTGCTTAACTGCCAGGTCTTGTAGGGTGGCGTTACCAATTCTGGCGTGCTGCATCAGCTTCCATTGATGCAGGTTGAAGTGAATAAAACGAAAAACCACACAGAAGCAAAATAAACATGCCGTGTCTTTTGAAAATCTGGCATAACAGCACACGAACTTTTTGCTCTCCACGTGACGGGAATGCTTTAGGTAAAAATATAAGCCGGCATTACTGTCGTCGTTGAGCTTGCAAGAGAGGAATGAACGGTTCGTCGAAGTAGATATATTTAAAGGTAGAATTGATAGATATAGAATGGATTCCCGAGTCTGTATTAGTGATCCATCGACCGAAATTGTGTGCAACCCAATCATTTTTCTTTTTTAGCGGGAATATATGGGTGGCCTCCCAGCCTCTACATTTATCTAGCAGCCGTACGATAACTTCTGTGTCGTACAGGTACGGTGATTTCGGAAGTTAGTTAGGAATTTGCCTTTTTCTTTTGAGCTGGCCATCTTGACTTTGAGCTTAACCACCTTCGGGCACCGATACCGGGAATTTTATAAGCTGCTTCTACATCTCTTCGGACGATTTCGGCCCCAATAACTAGCGACATCGATAGAGTGTCAAGCTTTAACCACGATACCGAAATGGGTGCACCCTTAGTAAGAATTGTAGTGGTGTTTTGTGTTGCATGTTTTTTTCTGGCACAGGGTTTCTGTGACATCTTGACGACCAAAGGAGCCATCTTCGATCGGGAAAACTACAGAGCCATCGTCAAGCGCATCATCAGGCAGTGTGGCGCTTTGTGGTACAGGTTCAGTCTCAACAAACCAGCTCTCCAGTGGTCATTTCAAACATATCGACATTCCAGGTCGAAATCTGCAGCTACCAATACAGATACTGAGCCTTTTCTGGTCAGAGACCATGGTAGAGGATATTCGAAATGAGTAGAATCTGTCCATGACGTTGCTCTGGTGCATACAGGGTAGTGTTAGAGAGGGATACGTCCATTTGCCATTATCCCCGAGCCACCCGTAATGAGCGGGTTGTCTGGCGCACCCTGGCTCACGCTGATCAGACAGACGAGGGGCATCTCAGTGGAGGAGAGTAGAAACAGATAGGGAAATTAAAACTGAAGCAGAAGCAACAAGATCTTGCTAACATTGCATGATGAGGTCTTGAGTGTACGGCATGGGCGTTTTCCCTGCTAGTACTTTGGCCGGGCCATATTTTAAGTTTCTGAGTGTAACCATAGCCCTACGCTGTACTAGTCCTAAACTTCTCCGACAGAATTGTGAACCATCCTAATTGGAGAGACTGTTCCCGTATAGCAGCTTTCTCGTATTCTATCAGTTCTGCCACATACCATTGTAACGCTGCTCCTCGGAGCGAGTTCTGCAGCTGTACCCTGATAAATTCTTCGCCACAAACCTTTGCGATTGATCGAACATGTTCGATGAATAACTGGACATCCCTGTAACAGGTTTGGACAGAACTTGAAGCCTACGAAGCGTTTGCACCGCACGTCACTGAGTGCCTAGGCACACATGTAAGCCGAAATTACTGTTATTGGTACAATATTGTACCCAGAGGGTAGCGTAATGGAGCCCTCCTGCAAACTTAACCAAACGCACTAATATATTCATCTCTCCATGTCCTATACGAAAGCAGACTAGAGGAGAGGAAGGCAATATGAATACTCTAGATGGAGGAAGAGACAAGGTTCAAGAAGAAAATCTTTTTGAGATGCTCAATGAATAAATGAGGGTGTGCATGGCGGTGTCCGTTCAGGCAGTCGGGCCTCTATACATGTACTACATGTTTGCTCTCCCATCAAATTATCCTGGTTAGCTGTTCAGTTCTTTGTTCAATTACCTGGTCAGCCGTCTCTTTATCAATATCGGATCATATCTTCATTCATATACTACATATCTGGTATGTAAATAACTATCTACCTCACCAAAACACCACGATATCTCATCTTCCCACTCTTCAACGCCTCAATTGCCTGTTCAGCGCCCGCCACCGTCATTGGGAACGCCTGCACAGTCGGTGTGATATTGTGTCGCGCGACAAAGTCGAGGAGCTTGTTGATTGTCTGCCGCGACGCCGTAAGCGACGCCTGGATCCGGATGCCCTTAGTGATCATTGCTGTCAGCATGATTGGCGTGTGCTCACGCGAGACACCGAGGGGGTAAATGGTGCCATTTACGGCCATGAGTTGGATGAGTCTAGACAATCATCAGTCTTCTCTTCATGTAATAGAAACGAAGGAGTATGGAGCATACGTAAGGAAATCTTTACTCGGCGCACTCCCCGTCAACAGCAAATGCTTCAAACCCCTCTGATCCCATCCCTCCGGCACGCCCTTTGCCGGATCAAACACATAAAACTCATTGGCCCCATAACTCATCGCCTCAGCCCTCTTATCCTCCGACCGCGACAACACAACGACATCACAGCCCATGCCCGCCGCCAACTTAATTGCCAAATGCCCTAGGCCGCCAATCCCCATGATACCCACACGATCCGTCGGCTTCACACCGCACCCATCGAGAATCGTGAATATCGTCGCGCCAGCACATAGCATCGGCGCGGCGTTTTCACTCGCATAGCCCTCGGGGATCTTAAACACGGTGTTCGCATTCCACACCGCGCCGGTGCCGATCGAGCCCATATTCACGCGATTCATCGAATAGTCGCTGCGGTTCACGCAATACTGGTCGTACCCGCCCAAACAGGGCTCGCAGGCACCACAGATATTGTACGTATACCCGAACCCGACGCGGTCGCCCACGGCGACGTTAGAAACACCCTCCCCAACAGCCCGGATTATGCCAATACCTTCATGGCCGAGAACGTATCCACTGGTGAGTTTCCCCAAATCGGTCCCGCAGAGGCCCGAGTGTGTGGTTTCGATATAGACTTGGCCGGGCCCGAGAGCGGCTGAGATGGTGGATTCGGTGATTGTGCCGGACGGTGCCGTGCCGTGAATGACTTGGAGGTCGAAGCTTGCCATATCTCTTCTTCGCTTTTCTTTTTCCAAGTATCGAGGTGTTGGATGTTTGTTTGAGTGAAGTTGGAGGAGAATTGCGGGGAGAAACCTAATAATGGACTTTCAATCTGAACAAGCTTCCGGAAACGGAGGTGAGGTCATAGGAAGGAGGAGTGACAGTTGTGAAGCCGGGAACGGCATGTTATTTATTTTCAATCCATTTTCTTATCGCGATAACTCAAAAATGTCACTGGACACAGCGCACTAGCACGCAGTGATCGTCAAAATAGTGTGGAGAGCTGATGATCCTCCGCGGCTCGTTGGGTCTAGAAATTGCGCCATATTGAATCGTCCGGAGACGCCGTGCGTACATGTCTTTACTATGGGATATCGATGTAGTATGTAGTATCGGTGGCAATTAATACGACGAGTCAACGGTCTTATTATTAGATACGTGGGTACAAGTTACGCACTTAGAGTTTAGTCCAATGTTGGATTTTCGGGGCGAAATGTGTCTTTAAGTCTGTATGTTCTTTATCCTTGCAGGAATTGCGTTTAGTGGCTGACATTCTGTTTGAACTCTGAGATGGACGTTACATGCTGGTAGATACGATACTAGGCATTGACTCATATGCAGGATCGTGTAGGATGATAAAGTGGAGGGTTGAGGTTATGTAGTGTGATTTCATAATGTGCGATGGACCCGTCCTACTAACGACGCCATGATTTAGTATGCAGGCCACTAAGCGGCTGGATCTTATCAACCGGCGATCGCCTGAATTAATACTAAATCGAGCCAATGAATAAAAGGAGGAAATATATATATATATATATGCTTGACCAACCTAATAGTCGTCATTAAGGATTAATCCAATGGAAGAATCGCAGGCAGTGGACCAGCCGACTCAATCAGATTTCCGAGTCCAGTAAATTTGGCCACAGCGAAGAGATAGCCCCGTTTATACTATCATCTGGTTAGCCTCGCGTTCACATCTAGTAAATGGGAATAGGGTATATACCAAATCCAGCGCGGTCGTCTTCTTAAATGCTCCGCCCCGAGTCTTCTCGGACTCATCCCAGTACAACAACCGCAACCATCTATGAATACGGGGATAGTCGTGACGGATCATCTTGATATTGCATTTAAAAACTGGGTAATAAGCAACATCAAACCGAATGATCGTCGCATACAACCTGATATCTGCCTCCGTGATGTGTTCGCCAAATAAGTACGGCTGATGCCCCGCCTCCCCCAGATGCTTCTCAACTCGATCCAGCGCTTCGAAGAGTGGGTATACATTCTGATTATACGCTTCTTGCGTCGCCGCAAACCCGCATTTGTATACGCCGTTGTTGATTTTGTTATACACCCATTCGTTCATCTCGTCGATTTCGCTGCGGAGATGCGCGGGATACAATCCCCCTCCATTGCTGCTGTGGGCTTCGCGAAATTCGGGAGCAAGCAGATGGTCGAATTCGGTGTAGAACATGCGGATGATCTCGCTGCTTTCATTGTTGACAATGGTCTCCTTCTTCTTATCCCACAGGACTGGTACTGAATATCGGCCGTCGTAGTCCGGGTCGGCCTTGAGGTACAGCTCCTTGAGATACTTGAAGCCATACAGCGGATCCTTTTCGGCTGACCCCTCGGTGCCTGTAAATTCCCATCCGTTCGGACCCACCCCGCGACCGACTTGCACGAGCTGGATGATGCTTTCGAGCCCCTTCAAGGACCGCACGATGTTCGTGCGATGCGCCCACGGACATCCGAGGTTGATGTAGAGAACGTACCGGTTGGCTTCGGCAGGGAAGTCGGCAGATGGCGAGGCAGAGACGAAGGAGCGGAAGACAGAGTCCTTGCGACGAAAATGACCGTCTGCGTCGGAGATGGGTGTTACATCGGTGGCCATGTTAGTCCTTGGCTGTCGGCGGTGCGGGGATTATTCAATGTTGCGATGGAGTAGTTGGCTTTTTCTTTGCAGGCAAGCAGGGTGGGTACGAGGGTGAGTACATATGTATGAAGGAGGGATTCTGAAGATATTTAAATATATGAAAATTAATATGAAATTACTGACATTTGATTATAGTTGGTATTAACTAGCCAACTTGTGGTGGTTTTGTAACCCGATTTCAGATTACAAAGCAAGGCCGAGCTCTGTAATCGCGCAACACGTCATCAACATATCCCTCATCCTCATACATCAGCTTATGTCCCTCACTGCAGCGTCAATGGCCATAGTCCCATGACAGCCTCACATATTGGTTTGCAGCATGGCAATGCTTAGCGAGCGCTAGCAACACCTTTATCACATTCGACACTGGCACGTGGTGTCTCAGATCCTCGACACTATAGTAGACCGATCGCTCAAGAGCATCGTTGAATGCTTTGTTAACTGTTTCAGAATCATTCCAGTTGAGATTGTCATCGCCAATTCGATTACGCTGGTTGGAAGTTTCGCGAGCATTGCCAATGAACTTAAACCCAAGCAAGTAGTTTCTCATATCCTCAAACACTGGTTCACTGTAATTAATATCCAACTCAGTGACGAACTTGAGGCCGCCAGTAGAAACGATGGCCGAGCACATGTCGAGAAACTTGTGTAACTGTCTATCATCATCTTCTCTGACGGGGAAAAAGTCCTCCTCGTAGCCAATTACGTCGATATCCATGCTGATGTAGAATGAGTTTTCGCCATAATATATAGGCAGAACTTCAGCACGGATCTGGCTGCACACCTGAGCAAGGACTGGTGGTCTGAGGGTGTTCTTGGAGTGCCCTGGCTTATTGACGACTGATGAAGGTAGACCTGGACGCGCAGCTCGGGCGGCAGATTCATGAATCTGAATGGCTGCTTTATGGCGTTCTTTTGTGGTCAAGGCCATGAGTAAGGACTGTATGAGATGCTACAGGTGGGTAAAACTTACGGCATGTTCGCCAGACTTGTTTGAGGTTGTCTTGTGTACCATAATTGACGTTGATACGAGGCATTTAAGAGATACCTAGGACACTTGGAACGTGATTGATGCGTGGATAGAAGGTTAAGTGAAGCTAAGCAAGAGCGAGTATTCAACCGAGCGGTGTCAGCACGCCACACTGATGTAGGTGAGTAGTTGGCAAGAGTAAAGTGAGCAGAGGATTGAGGTGAGTGTAAAGCAATCACAGCGCCGTTTGCACTCACGTGACGCAATCATTACAGGAAGATAGTAAAAATTTGAATATACACCACAAAATGGGACTGAGTACCCACGAAGTTGACATTTAAATTTGACATATATTGGTGTAAATGCGAAGGCAACGAATTTTAAGACTATCTGGGGCAACCTCCAAAATCGAGCTTATGCGCAGTTCATATTGAGAGAGTAGAGAACTGTATATCTACATAGATTTTCACAGGATCCCTAAAAATAACCAGTCTTTATTTAGATTTAGAGAAAAAAAGTAATAAAAGCAAAAAGAGATTAATCTTCTAGTATAATTAATTAAGGGAAAAGAAGTAGTTTTCCTAGTCTTAATATATGAGAATATTTGGTAGAGTAGCTTCTAGAGAGAACTATAACAACTATTTAATTGTATTAAAATACATAACTAAAGAACCAGCACTAAATATCAAAATGACTTTAAACCATTTCTTGACTATTGCTATTTATAGCTCTAGCTCTAAATTTTAGCAAAGATCAGTTAAAAGATTGTACAAGGCAAATCTACTATCGTACCGCAACACAGCCATAATGATATTGTACCAACACCTTTTACATTCAAAGAGCCTATCTCAACACCTATCACCATACCTACTTGATCATATCTTCAGCACAGGGGCCACCTCCTATCAATCTGAAACAAACAAATAAGAATCATTGTACAAAAGTTGTTGAAGGCAGTATCAAGGCTCTCAATAAAAGACATCCTGCATAACAGAAGTAAGACCGCCAGAACGCGGAACCAATCCAGACGAGGACTCATCACCATATTGGAGATCAACACGACAATCATCCAATATTTCTCAAAGCGAACCAGCATTACGGGTGTCTAACGAAGAAGTGTTACAATTTTGAAGCTAAGAATGAGGCTGAGGCAGTAGAAATTGTTGTAAGATTAAGAAGAACATGGAGCATTCTATATTTAGCATTAGTCAGTTGTATTTCCTAATCTTTCGTTTCTTTTCACTTGATGGCCGGCTGGTTTGGTTAGCAATGGGGATGACGCTTTCTAGTCCTTTTAAATGCAGAGGAGTTGCATCTAAGATATGGTAGCATTTCTTGTTGACGAGAATACATATGTATCAGGAATACTGTGTATTTTTTGATTAAATACATCTCTACAACAGCTATAACGAATGTGTTTAGGGCTAGGTCTCTCACTCGTGCCACTTTATATACAGCCTGTCCCCATCTTCTCTGAGATGCATAATGCTAATTATGACGTGCAAATATGTGCAACTCGCTGGAATTATCTGTTGTTTGAATCAGAATGGATACGGACACCACCGTGTTCAATACTACATAAATAGTAACAGCCTGAAAAATTCTAGAAGTTGTAATTAGGTACGGTATTGTTCTTTCTATACCCCTCAAGCAGAACCCTTACCTATTAATATTTCATGAGATCATTATCTATCTCATTTTCCTTGCGAAGTAGAAGGCGGAAGCTCGAAAGCGCCTTATAAATAGTGGAGTTGATCCACCGATCAATACTATATTTCCAAGCGAAGGCCCCCAGAGCTAGGCTGGCATAATATAAAACAAAAATCAGGTACCGTCGCTGATCATCTTCAAATGTTGCAAGATGTACGTTCCTAGTGATCTGCAAATCTTCAGACGGCATTTGATCGTCTGAGATAAGTAGCTCAAATAAGAACCCCAAGATTATCCTCATCAATGGTAGGTGGATAAGGTAAACTGCCATACTGAGGTCTCCAATTCTAGCAAACACATTGAAGTACTTGGATGAGAGGAAATTCTTTAGTTGGTCGGATGAATGAAGAAGCTTGAAAAGGCAGATTGCACTCAGTAGACGGTATAGCCTCATCAGGTCCACGTTATTCACCATATAATAGGGATATATGGAGGTGATTCTGGGTAAATCGGTAAGGAATTGTGTCCAGGCGGATTGAGATGGGGACGGATAAATTGTGTAGGAGCCGACAGACAAAATCACAAGTATAGCACTCCAAAGGGTGATATTGCACAGCCACGCGGAAAGCGAATTATGAGATATAGAGGCCTGAGATGGTATTTTCATATGCTGAGCGTTCAAAGACTGTAAATAGCATAAAGCACCGATCGCGTACGGGATGTTGAGGGTTTTCGTGTTAACTGTTTTGATTTAGAGACAGTTTTGCCGTTGTCTACCTGCTTTGGAACTTGTGTAGATGTATGAAACTTACAATCAGCAGTAAAAAAATGATAAAAAATACTTAAATAAAGAGGAACAACGTTCACTGGTCGCCGGAAACGCGAGGACAAGAGCATCAAAGCGAAAATATGCAGAGAACTCATGAACTGAGGTCGAAAGGTCCAATGATGGATATTGGTTGGATCTGAACCTGTGACCCAGGTAGATGTGATACTTGAAAAGAAGTCGTATGGAGCATTGTAAAATGAGGCAGGCGATGAAGGGGTGAAACCCTGAAGCCCTTTTACTCGGGAATGAGACGCCCACACATATAAGCCTAAGTGATTACTAGTGACATTTATCAGGCTGGAAGCCACACTTGGAAGAAATAAGCGCAGAAATGCTCTAACTACTTCTTCGCAAATGTAATTCAGAACATTCACTCGCGATTCATATACTTTCTGGGCATTTTTGGCTGCAAAATAACCGCTTGTGATGAAGCACAGGGACAACCACATTCCTGCTTCATATGATAGGCGAAGGACTGGAAGCTGGACCACAGAGTAGCTTTCACCGTCGCTTCGAGGCGCTGGTGACACTAAAGATGGAAAAAACGCCCCTGCTAAGTGATGGTTGACGATACACACGCTAGACATGCCTCGAAGGACCTGGGACAGAAGTTTAATGACATTTCTCTATGAATATTTGGGAGCACATGATGGCTACCTTTATCCAGGGTATGTGGTTTTGCTTTGAAGAAGTCATGACGTTTGAATATAATTGGGAAGGGTGATGGGTGAAGGGCGTCGAAAAAGAAACACTCGCCTTGAGCGTTGCATGAAATGTTCCTAAAATCTCACTGTCAAAGGCTAAGGGCAGGAAGAAAACAGCCAGGTGATGTCTCAGACAAACTCAGCCTATACATAACATTTAATTAGTTTTATTATCTAGTGCATATATCTAACCTATCGTAGCTTAGTATGGTGAGAAGTCATCATATTTTCAAAGGCTTCGTTTTCTTCGCCGCTATAATTAAGAGGTATTGTGTACTAAATGCTTATCTTACGTTTGCCTACCCTCACCATCTCGCCTTTTTACCAAAAAATACGATACAAATTCAATAAGTTCCCAGTCTGTAGGATTCACATATTTGTCTGTCAATTGCGTGCACAAAAGTCTCTTGTTTGATATTCTCATAAATTAGACAAATCCAATACTCCGAGGAGGACTCCACTGCCAGCCAAACTCTATCGTCGGAGTCTTTATGTAGTTAGACTCGAGCTTTGGTTTGTAAATCTACGGATTCATCCACGCGGGATATCTAGCTCCTTTTCTATACATGTTCATTAGTAGAGAAAACAAAGTTTTTACGCATGATGCTTACAACTGTCCAGCGGCCTTGCCTTCCAAAACCACCAGAATCCACTTCGAGACCTCCGTCTTCCTCGCGTTTTTTCTATTCATGTTTAGTGTAGATGTTCAACTCAAGGGACAATCCTATCACTAACCACCGTCCAGCGGCCCTGCCTTCCAAAACCACCAGAATCCACTTCAAGACCTCCGTCTTCCTCGCGTTTTTTCTATCCATGTTTAGTATATTTATATTCAAGTCAAATTCTACCACTTACCACTGTCCAGCGACCTTGCCTTCCAAAACCGCCAGAATCCACTTCAAGACCTCCGTCTTCCTCACGTTTTTTCTATTCATGTTTAGCGTATATAGTCAAGTCAAATTCTATCACTTACCACTGTCCAGCGACCTTGCCTTCCAAAACCGCCAGAGTCCACTTCAAGACCTCCGTCTTCCTCGCGTTTTTTCTATTCATGTTTAGTGTAGATGTTCAACTCAAGGGACAATCCTATCACTAACCACCGTCCAGCGGCCTTGCCTTCCAAAACCGCCAGAGTCCACTTCAAGACCTCCGTCTTCCTCACGTTTTTTCTATTCATGTTTAGCGTATATAGTCAAGTCAAATCTATCACTTACCACTGTCCAGCGACCTTGCCTTCCAAACCCACCGGAGTCCACTTCGAGATCCCCTGGATTCGGAGATGCCCTCGCTTCGGTAATTGAAGCCATGAAGACCGCAAGCCACGGAAGTATAATTGATACTTTCATTTTGGTGATTCGTTTTTATGAATGATGGATATAAAAAATCAAATTGACTATCTTGTAAGATTGGGTAAATAGATACCAGCTGAGGGTGTTGACCATGTTTATATACCTTTGGCTTAGGATGGTTCCCCGCCCCTGAATCCGCTTTCTGCTACATAATTGAGACATATAAGTGCATCATCAGCGTGGCTACAAATCTATCCTATTCTCTATTAGCGGGGAAACAAGTCACACGAGCACCTTCTATCTATACACTAGTGGCCGACTTAGCCGTGTCTATAAACCCCACAAGGAATGTAATATAGTGGTCAGAAACACGTTTTATGAGGACCGATCATATGAATTGACCTATCATTATCAAATAGTATACGCATCTTGTTGGCTAATGTCGAATCCAACCCTGGCTCTTCGTTCATTGGAGGCGTGGAATTGATAATAATTTAGCTCAATCGATATATTTTGTCAAAGAAAAGTACCCAGGTATAATCCCAAACTACATATAAAAAGATGACTCGCAACATCGGGGATGCATGAACAGAATTAATATTCCATCATCAGAGCGCCTCAATCATTTTATACTGTTTGTTCGTTTGTTTGTTTGTTTATACTGACATTCGAGTAAAGCAATAACTTCTTACTTCACTGTTGAAGAATTAGCTTTGGTCTTAATTTTAGCCTCTTTCATATCTTAGCGCTTATAATTAGTGCTTATCAATCTGGCCCCCGATTAGGGTGGCGGCCAATAACTAGTCAAATACGCTAGATATGCAAATGTATAAGCCAAGGCGCGTGGTATAACTCTTTTGGGTAGGTTTTCCGAGAAAATGTCTAGCTTCTAGGACTGTTTATGAATAATGAAATAATGAAAAAGCTGCTCATGAAATCTAGTCGCTTGACTCAAACCCTGGCCATGATGAAAGAAATGGATGGTAACACCTCACGGGAGCCGCTTTTGATGGAAAGCGACAGAGAGTATGATGAGAGTAGCCATGAATTGAATGAGAAGAATGATACTTATTCTCCATTTTTCACTTATAAGTCTCTATCAGTGTTGATTGCGAACTTTCTCCTTCTCATTCTCTCGGTCGTCATCCTTGTTTTTGCGAAACTTGAGTCCTCTAGGCAATCAAGCCTTTGCACTAAAGAACATTCCTTCTACTGTATGTTATTTTGCTCATTATATTGGCCCTTTATGTATTATGTATTAACTGACTGCTATTCATAAGCGCCGGCATTGGAGGAGGTAAAGTATGAAAAAGTTCGATATGCTGGTCTCCTAGAATCGGATTCATTATGGCGAGGATCCCCCAGTCCTATTATTGATGAAGCATGGGACAGTGTCACTTGGAAAGGTATTCATTTTTATGGAGCAATATCTATAATTATTAAATGAAGTATGCTTGGTGGGTTTAATGGCTAATGTTTTCTTTACAGTCCCGGAGATCCCTGTTGATGAAAGCGTCGTTCATCGAACAAATAACCAATTCGATATAAACTCCCTGACACGGTTTCCGCCTGAGTTTGGAGGGCAGATCTACACTGAGGTAGAATGGAAACATGAGTTACACTGTCTGGTATGCGCCCTGTATTGGTTACGCTATATGAAAGATATCTGTGGTCTTTTACTAATAGAATGTATAGAACCTCATGCGGAAGTACATCTATTTCGATTACTATAAAAATTCCACGTCTCTATTCTACGCATACTCTTCCGACGAGATCATAAATCATTTAGGTATTCTCAACTCCTATTTCTTCTCCTAAAAGAAGAAGCAAAAAAAATTCCTAGATGCTAATTCGGATCGGTTTTCTTTTGATACCAGCTCATTGCATCGATATGCTCCGACAGTCCGTTATGTGTAACGCTGACACGGGGCTAATATTCTCATATTGGATCGAAGGACATGATCAAAAACACGTTGATTTCAATAACGAGCATGTCTGTCGAGATTTTGAGAGCTTGCTGGAGTACCAGAAGCAGAATGGATACCTAATTTCACAAAATTTGCTTGTTAGACACCCTGGAGCAGTCGACCTTCATGATCATCCAGAAAACTTGACACGGCTGACGATGCTACCTGAAGAAAGAAACAAATACTATCTCTAAGAAGCAAGTTTTATATAATCTATAGTTTCTTTATAAGTAGGCTTACTAAAAGAGACCATACGATATATCGATTCCTTTTCAACTTATAATACCGAAATTCCTTTATTAATAAAGGGATATTCAATCTTCGCTTTCAAATCATATAATTTAAATTTTCAGGAATAGATAAGTAGAGTATCAACACATCTGCTTCTTGCTGATTTCTTGAATCCAAGGGTCATCAAAGATATCATGGAGGTCAGCCCGGTTCGCTGGCTCGATCTTCAGCATATGCGAGATTACGTGGCGCGACTTTATTGGAAGACGGGCCAAGAGAGCGTTGAATGAGTTATCGACAGAGGCAGAGAAATTAGAGTCGCTCATCTGAGCCCGATGCCAGGGATATTCTTGTAGCGATAGCGCAGAAAAGAGGATAGCTAATGCCCAGACATCCGCCTTTAAAGCGTCATATGGCTCTGCTCTATACATTTCAGGAGCTATATATTCGTATGTACCGACAAAGTCTAAAAAGTAAGTTAGTAGTGAACAGTATTCGAATTTTCGTCATGGCATTGGGATGCGCATGGCACCGGCATATATGTCACCAACCTGTTGTCGGGCCTTCAGCCCGAGTTAAGTTCAATGCTTCGCCAAAATCAATCAGCTTAGCATTTCCGTCACTACATAATAGTATATTGTGGATTTTGATGTCGCGATGCGCAATGTCTCTCATATGTAGATATTGTACAGCTTTCAAAAGTTGCACAAATACATCTGATATATCATTTTGAGTCATGCTCTCGGAGAGCAGTTTTGTAATCAACGGAGTCTCACAACTCTCCATGATATACAACCATGTTTCTTCCTCCTGCCTTAGTTCGAGCGATCGGATGATATTAGGATGTACTAATTGAGAGGCTAGTTTGAATTCAGACTCGACTTTCTCAATGTACTCCTCAAAGGTTTCTCGTCCTTCCTTCTTGTTGAAGACTTTGATAGCAACAAGGTCGCCGGTAGTCGATGACTGTGCCTCTAACACCGTACTATAAGAACCCTCGCCCACCTGTTTCAGATAGCGGTATTCGCCGTCGCAAGTTCCTACAGCACATGTTGGAGCAAAAATCTGTTGTGCTTTTTCACTCTTTTCTCCCTGGTAGATGGTGCGTCCGAATTGGATGTTGAATTGGGTAGACAGGATGATGGTGAGAAAAACGCTGATTAACACCCATGTAGTATGCCAAACCATGTTTTGGGATTTTGATATGTAACATATATGTATATTTGATTTACCTGACGTGAAGACTAAACACTGAGCGGAATTTGCACAGGTTTGGCACGGCTGTATGTATGCGTTCCCCGCCGAACGAGGTCGGCTAGGCGGTAAGCCTAGTCCGTCCCTTCTTGCTGCGTCTGTGGCCAAGACGCGTTAACAGAACTCTATACAATCTATAACATAGCACAGGAATTATTCTATTTCTCTTCTGAGTACTGTGCCATCACAACAGAGCAAGTAAAAAAGAAAAAAGCAGGGGAATGACCCCGTCCTGAGTTGGTAGCACCATCATCAGGCCTTGCCAGATTTGCAGTAGCCGTCACTCAAGCCCCCGTGGTATCTATATCCAATTGCTTTACGCTGCTGTGCTCTGAACCAGGCCATCACTTAGATAAGAACGACTTAATTTTTGAGTCGTTTGAGTCGACTGACATCGCGGCTGCTCGTTTCACTTCTGTCGTCTACCGGTTTTCCTCTCCCGATCAGCAAACACTCGAGCTTACAAACATAAAGGCACTAGACTTATGAAGTGTACCCAGAATAAGAGTGTTATTCATCGCAGAGTGATCACAAAAGAGAGTAGAAGAGTTCGGGAACTCTCCCTCTACAGCAATCGCTTCTGTGGTTCGAGAAGTCAACATCTAGCTTATGTTGTTTGTACAATGTTGAACGGCTACTTTTGGCATTGATCGTACTCCTTCATTTCTATTTCACATTGAGGCGGTACTCATAGACCATCGATCGAAACAATCTAATTCCCCTGTCTACTATTCTCACTCCAAAATGGTAGCCCCGCCTCTCTTCGGGCCGTTCCATACACGGCTGCACTATCTATTGATTCACCCGCATACTCCCGTGCTGCAGTCAAACGGCTCAAGGCGACCTCAAGCGTGGGAATGCGGGTTCCGTGCTTCTCAGCGATAGAGAGAGCATGCTTGGCATCTTTGGACGCGAGAGCTGCTGCAAAGCCGGGTGGAGTGTCTAGTGGTGGCGCATATGCTCCGGTAGTGATACGTTTGGAGTAACTGTCGAGAACCGGGCCAAACATGCTGCCAATGAACTGCTCCAGTTGTTCAGTGCCAAGTCCCGTCACTTCAGCGAACACTTGCGCTTCGGAAATCACTTCTAGGAAGCTGATAACAAGAATATTTCTTTTGACTCGTCAACTTTGCTGTCCAACACAAAAGAATGCAGATTGCCATACCCTGAAATCTTGAGCAGACTTGACTTTCGCACATCCTCACCCATATATATGATGCTTCTCCCCATAACATCAACAATCAAAGGTTTGATCGTCTCTACGGCTTCGGAGGACCCAGCCACCGAAAAGATGAGCTTTCCGGCAGCCGCCACCGGGCTAGCACCAAAGACCGGAGAAGCAATAAACACCGCCCCCTTTTCACCAAGCTGTTGCGAAGCTGATGCACAGGTGTCTGGATGGACTGTTGATGTGTCCACGAATATTTTGCCCGCTAATGGGCCCCCGGCTGTGAGGGCCTTGGTCAACAATTCATTTAGGACGTCGTCGTTGGAAATCTAACTCGACCGTCAGCAGAAGTACCGGGAATAAAGTGCAACCACATATACCATTGTAAAGATAATATCTGACTTCTGAACCACGCTTTCAAAGTCATCTTCTGGAATGGCGCCTGCATCCTTCAGGGGTTGTCCCTTCGATAAACTGCGGTTGCTATAACGAAGTGGTGGCGATCCCTTAATCCGGAGGTGCTTTTGGAGATTCAGGGCCATGCCCAGCCCCATAGATCCGAGGCCAAACTGGCGGTGTCTTGTCAGTCAGTAGTAGATGGTCACGTGATGCTATTCACATACCCAGCCAATTCTTTGCGAAGGTGATGCCATACTGCTATTGTAAGTGACATCGGATGATCAGGTTTATCCTTGAAGTATAGCGGAGTTTTCAATTGTTGGAAAGGACAGAAACTTCGTAAATAGAGAAGCTATGGCATAAGCGGGTCGCAAATGTGGACGACTGAGTGGAAGTGGAGCTCCACCTAGGAGTTCTGTCGACCCAAAAACCACTACACCAAAATGGGGTCCCCCTCATTAGTGAGGGGAATTAATTTGGTATTTATTGGCTGACAAGTTCACTCCACCAGTATGCTCAATCCGGCCCCGGCAGTTGTCTGACTAGCCGCCACTATTTCCTCCAAAACGGTTGCCATAGAAGGCCCGATACCCCAGACCGGTCGATCCTTGCAGACCCGCTGTACCAGCTGGATGAATAATGTTTCGCTCTCATCAAGAAGACTAGCGAAAGCACTCCGATCTCTGGACCAAAGGCGGGGGTCTCGGTCCGCCGTCTCATTCCCGGTATTATGCAATATAGGTTCCATAATGCTGTTGAAAATCAACATGCAGGATTCAGAGGTTTTTGGTAGTTTGTTGAACGACTCCAGATTGCTCCGGATATCCGAGATCGCCCCCCTTAACACTCTCCAGATGGTGAGGAGGATTCCGTAACCAGTAACCGTTACCCAAGGCGCTTCACGGAACGCAAATTCTCGATCTTCACCGGCGATGTTTAATAGCGTGCCCGTAAGGTCATCAAGAATGGGCAGCATGGCGTCTTCCCCGGATGTATGCTGCAACAAAGCAGTTGCCGATCGTCTGACTGCGGTGTAACTTCCTAGAGTTAGATGAGTGGCTGTGGCCAGACCAGCAATCAAGCTGTTGTCCACAATACCTCCAATCAAGAGGTTATCTGGTTTGCATAAGCTGACCTTGATGGAACAAGTTATGAACTCAATGGCCCGCCATAGCAGATACTGAGGGCTTTCCGTAGAGTAAGCTTGGTCTTTGATAACCTTCGAGATCGACCGCATAGCGGCGATCATTTGTCGATTCTGAGATTGAGTAAGGATATGGAATGCCGATGGATCCGACAGACTGGGCGGTAACTGGTAATAGCATCTCGTGAAGTCTCTCACCAAAGAATCCAGGTTGGTCAACACATAGAGCGTTGCAAGTGGGTTTGCTGCGAGTGCTGTTAGAAGGTCTGGGCTAGGTGACTCCGACATTAGTTCCTGCGTAGCCAATGACAAGGAGGTGGTAGCTAAGCCTCGCGAACCATCTAGGCTATCGTCGAACGGCAGGAGGGTCGACGCTTCATATTGCTGAGTGACTCTCTGAAGCCATATCTCTGCGTTGTTGGCTTCCCAGAGGCTACTAGGGAATGGAAGCTCCCACTCAAACTCCATCGGCGATATCAATGGACGGATATTGCAAGCTGAAAATACATGAAAGTCCAGAAACATGAGAGTGTAAAGTGACAGCTTCATAGATTCCGCATTGACGTACGACCTCCATCGTGTATAGGGTGTCTGCGAGTCGTCCCTTGACGCACTTGGCTCGCTTTGAGACCTCCAAGACTGGGAATTAGGCATGGCTATACTCTGTCGAAGCAGTCCTAGTTCGCGAACGGCCTAATACTTGAGGGTTAGGAGCCTGCTAGAAACATCCAAGACAAAGGAGCAATACTGACATCAACCAGTGTTCGTAGCATCTGTTTTGCCTTCTCGAATTGAGTCCTGTCACTCATGAATGCCCCGTAGATGATATACAAAAGCCACGACTGCATGACCCAGGTTTTTCGAAGCTCCCTCCAGTCAGAGGATACCTAGATTACAACATGTCAGAATACAGAAAAAGCAGTGAAGATACAAGAGCAAACCAGACGACTGAGCTCCTCACACCCGCTTTCCCATAATCCTCGACTCCATTGTACGCAGGCTGCTGCGTCGTCGGGATTATGCAACCGTATTGTATACAAGCTGCCAATAACAACCGTAATGTTCATCAATGGCTTCGGCGTCGAGGATACGGTGAATGTTGGCCGATGCACCAACGGGAGTGACTGGTGGAAATACTCAAAGTATGCTTTGGTGTGCGTTGTAACAGCGTCCACACTCACGCTAGGGATATAAGATCTTCAGTTAGCGCACATGATCAAAAGTGATAGCCATCAACTAGCATGTGCGTAAACGGAATCCACAGGGGGGGCCATACATAGACGCAGGATTTACAGAATAAGCTTGTGGACTTCCTACAGGAAACGCAATCTGCTCCTGCCTGGGTTCCTCGGGAATCGTAGAAAACCCAGTAGATTCGACGAGTGCCGTAAACGATGGCGCCGTGTCGGAGATCGCCTGCGGGACGGGACCCCATTCTTCTTCAGGTTGGTGGTTTTGCTGTTGATATACTACTGCCCGACACCGGTCGGTATGCCGTTTACACACATCACTGGAACGACGTGTTAGTGCGAGAAACCTGAAGCTCATAGGGGAATAACCTTCTCGAGAATCGAGCATTGCATTTGCTACAATGAAAATTCTTGCGAGTGACGCCTCCGTGCCCTTGAAGTCAATTAGCTACATTCTAAGTTTTGTCAAGATATCAACTTCGGACTCACTTGCTCGCTTATGTCTTTCAAGGTTCTCCTAGAGTCGGACAATGGTTAGCACATAAGGATATATGTAAGGATCCGGTGAGACCTTACACTCCTCGTGAACGATTTTAAGCACGCATCGCAAACAAAGGGACGATAAGAGCTCATAATTCCAGTCTCCAATCACAACTGTTACCATTTGTTTCCTCAGAGGTGTGTAAAAACAGATATTGCCGTCGGCCACCTTATCTCGGCCGCGAGTGCTCGGTCATCCACACGCTAACCGCAACGGGAATCTATCGCTGGCGTCCTGTTAGATACATTGCATTTAAACTTTGTACGCACTGGTGACATTACTCAACAACAAAATGTGCCGGTTTCCGTTGGCTTTCGGGTTCATTAACTAGTTAACATCTGGTAGAGTATTTGGATACGGGCTTGGCATGAGATTCGTGACGAAACCGACAAGACCCAATTCTCTCAAAAGTCGGGAATGACTTCTCATTTCCATGTGCTAAATTACTTTTGGAAACGCAATATTCGAAAACCGTGAATAGACACTGCGCCCAATATATTTTAGGTTCAGCGGATAATACGACGTCATGGTTGATACCGTAATTTTCAGCCAGACTTGCTTGGAGCAACAAACTAGACGACATAATTCAGTTGTTTGCAATATGCTACTACTATTCCTTCCTACTCGGGGAAGGAAATCCTATACCCCGATAACATTGAAGCTAATAAAACTTTAACTTTTTCGGCCATAGCACCAATAGATATAAATATGTACTTCCCGCATCGCATCACTCCACAACACTCACAGACGGCTATAGTTATCGGTCAAATTGCCCATCGTTCCACCACTTGGGCCAAGGTATCCTCGTTTCCCACATTTCCTGGGAAAACAATTAGTGGAAGCTCGATCCACTTGACCTCTCGCCCGCCTTCGCTTATGCTCCGCAAGTCCTCTTCCTTTTCGCACCACCAAATTGGTACTCCTGGTGCTGCTTGACCCAGCACCCGCGCGCGCTTAATGCCCATTCCAGCTGTCGCGGCATCGGAGGATGTCACGCCTCCTTTAGCGAGGAGATATCGAGGACGAATAATCAGGTTACGGATGATGTGAACTAGAGAGTTTGCGACCAAGTTATTGATGTCTAGATTTGTCGCCCCTTGTGGTGTCAGAGAAGATGATGACTCCACGGTGTCTGTCGTGACAAGATCCCGACTCGTCATGACCAAGACATCTTTGCCAGCTTTTAGTGTTGCTGAGACCTTTTCAATAATCGCCCGGATACTGATAGAATTCTCTAGCATGGTTAAACTGTCAGGGTATTTTTGAGATTCTGTCAACAGAGCCGGCACTTCAACCGTGATCACCATCAACTTTTCGCCACGACGTTTTGTCAATGATTGGAGCTGTTCCGTCGATTTCGGAACGTATGATCCCGCCACTATGAGCCCTCCAGGTTGGCTAGCGGTTTCGAAAGTCGGTAATTGTTGGGGCAAAATAATATCTTTGCATGGAATGCCGAGACGACTTGATACAAAAGATGCACCCGATCGATAGCCGAAACGGCGGTTATGGTTGCTCTGCACTGAGGCACTGGTTAGCAAATGAAATTCCCATGAATGTGCACGTAGTAAGCAGGTTGGATAGAAATCCCTCGAGAAGAACATGGATACCACAAGAATGTGGGCGATCCAGTATCATACCTTTCAACAAGCCCAAGCAAAACAAGTTCATGTCCTCTTCCTGAACTGCATTCAGGATCACTACACCGCCTTTAGGCACTGCAAGTAACTTCTTGGCTACTTCTGTTACGCCTCCTTGTCGAATATCCTCCAATGTGACGGAGATAATGTCTTTGTCGGAGAAGCGTCTCCCAGCTTTCTCGCGCACGTATTCAACAAGATTCGATGATTTAAACCCGAAAGTTTTGTCCGCGGCAAACGGCGTGTTTGCTACTGGCACAAGCGCATCTTTATCAATTACGTAGTGGACATCTTCAATTGTGACACGTCCACCTTGCTCAAAAAAGGGGGTGATAATCCATGCGTCAGGTGAGCCAATGGTGTCAATATGCGATTCAATCTCTTCCAAAAAGTGGCCTCGCAGAGTGGAATCTCCACGAAGGACAATTTCGAACTTTTTGCCGGTTGACGATGCAGCTGTTGAGACGTTTCGCAGTATCTCACTGAGCAATTCTCGAGCTTCGTTAGACGATAAGGCACGACTGTTTGTTAAAACGAAGAAACCTTTTGATCCAGTGCGAAATTCCGTGGTTAAAGTATCAACATCCCACATTGTTAGGACATTTATGTCATGACATGTTTGCGTTCCTGTTGGATCGTCATCGAGCACGACGAGCACAAGGTCGGGCTCATTTTGTAGATGATCTTGGATTCTTCCGAGCAAGTTATTGGTGCTGCACGTGAATTTTGGTAATGTTGTTAGAGTCTGCGAGAGTGATAGTGAGTTGTATCTTGTGGGTTCCAATGTGTTGCTTTGTGAAGTCCACCCAGACGAAGGAAACCATATCTTAAATAGTGCCGCCTCGCCCTCAGCTTCCAGACCCTGAGCTATAGCTAACTCATACAATTGATGTGTGCTGGCGATGAGATGATGGGGATATTTGTACGTTTTAGCCAGAACGATGATTTCTTCCTATCATGGCGTGTCAGTTACCCCGGCGCAATCTACATGTAAAGCAGGCTTACCAGCGTGTCCCGAGTCTGTGCGATGGTGCAGCCGGAAGTAAAATCTCCAAGCACGGCTTTTGGCGCCACGACTTTGAAGGATTCGCTTACACCAGCCGCATTAGAGATAATTGAAATTAGCTCACTAGCCTGCAAGCCGAGATTGATACCTAGTGCGACAGCCTCAATCGCTGCTGCAGTGTGAACTATTTCCAGCAATTGATGGATCAGCTTGTAGGCTCCAGCAAATTGCGAAACGTCCATCTGGGTTGATTTGCTATCCGAAACTAAAGATGGACTCTTGGGGAGAAACACTCGGACAACGCCGGAGTCATCTTCCCGCTCATATTCCATTTGTGCACCAAGGAGATATAACTGTTCTGCAGTTGATGCAAGGAATAGCGGGAATTTCCGATTGAGACCTTCCGAAGTTACGATTCCCTAAGGGTTCGGTCAGATCTGCTGTCCAAATTCATCGTGGCGGCGCTGCAAGTCAAAAACTTACCATGTCTTTCACAAAAATACCGAGCGCGGAGTATGGTGTCCAATCATCCGCTAGCATATGAGGAACTCGGTTCTCAAACATCCAACTGTGCGCCGAAGTACCCAGGACGCTTTCATACAAGTGCTTCGTATTCAAGCCCAGAGTAGCAGCCAGTCCCATCGCCTCTGCTGATATGGCAATATGAATGCCCGCAAGCTGTTGGTTGATGAGTTTGACTTTGTTTGCCGCGCCCAGTCCTCCTTTGATCTCGTAGAGGCATTCTGACATCGATTCCAGGATCGGTTTGGTGTCCTTTAGAGTCGCTGAAGATCCAGAGGACAGGATGGTCAATGTACCTTGAGCAGCGCGTACGGTTCCCCCAGATACAGGGCAATCCACCACTCTGATATCTGGTCTTTGAAAATCCTCTTTGAATAATCTAAGGACTTCCTGTGGGAATGCCGGCGCAACTGTGGAACAAATAATAACGATTGCATCGTGCGGAAGGCCAAACACCGCACCTCTAGATTCTGCAAAGAGCACATTCTTGATCTGCTCCGCATTCGCTACCATACAGATAATATACGAAGCGTCTCTGGCACTCTCTTGTGGACTTGATGCGGCAAATCCACCCTTTGATGCCAACATCTCCAGCGCCTTAGGGCTGACATCGAATCCGCTTACCCGGAAACCATCTTCGAGCAGATGCAGTGCCATGCCCATTCCCATGGCACCCAAGCCAATGAACGCGACATTTGGTTTGGTCGCCATTGCTGAGCTCTTTGCACTGGAGCAGAAACCGAGTAACCGTAGCGAGTGGATGTTGTGCTGAGGGAGATGTGACAAAGCCGTATCTGAGACCGTTGTATCAATGGGTTGCCCAAACCGATATCCTGACACAGAGAGACAAAAACCTCTAACCCTAGAAAGCAACAGTCACAGCTTCCGTCTTTGCGTTCCATAACTCAAATCATAGGCTTCGGATAAGCATCTCCCGGTCCTCGCTGTCGGCAAAGTCATGATGACGCCGGTGCTCCCATAATAGATGCCTCATTTCTTTCCAATTATTTCGGCAAACATGAATATAACCAATGGCACAATGACGCTGTGACTATTTTGCCCTATACAGTAGTTCCATTGTTAACGTGGATTTGCCACCTCCACCTCCACCTCCACCTCCACTTCCGGTGCTATTAGCCCAACCAATGATTAGCTTCTTTCCGACTCAACGCATTAACTGTGTTCAGAATTCGCGAAACCTAGCATTAGAAATTATACGTTAGCAGGCGCATCAAATGTTCGGTGGAGTGCAAGTTTAGACGTCTCAGCCAGTGGCGGGATGTCCTTTTCCAACCATCAGTCGTTCGGCAAACAGAAGTTGGGGTCGCTCATGTTTTCCTTCAGTCTTTGTGATGGATATCTACAGTGTCTCAATAAAGGTGAGATCTAACTAGATTTTCAGAAAGATGTATGATAAATCCGCCAAGTAGAGTCTCAACTGGTAGAGAATAATTCAAATGGCTCTTTGAATAGTTTCATTGCTTGATATGTCAAACCTGACCTTTCATATATATGAGCAAAATTTGTTGTGCAAAGGTGAGGCACCGTAAGAAGCGCGACTCTAAGACTGTCAGGCAGTCATAAACCATTTTCAATATCAATTAGCTGCTGTATCCGCTCCAAGGCGTCTATACTAAGCTTCGAGACTAATGTAAGTTCTAGCGGTCTTCGCCCCTGCGCTGTTCCATAACCAAAATAGTGCGATACCACTCCCTTGACGCCTGCCACGCCAACTTTGGACAGTGCCCAATCAGCATAGCTGAGCTAGGATTGCAAATCTTGGGCTGCCTTCAGATTCCTCTGCTGGTAGAGCTGTAGAACTTACCATGCGTCCGTGGCATGACGTTGGCAAGAGCTGTGATAATGCTGTGTGACCTCGCTACGAGGGCGGACAGGAAGAAACCTAATTTTCCGCCAAATGTCGCGAAGGGCTAGGTCGGTAGGGCGGAGGAGATTCTCTGTAGCCTTCTGACATTACCACAGGTGAGTTTGACGCCGAAAATGTTGGGATTCTTCTGCGCCAGGCGGATTATAGAATCGGAACTGATGTCCATGCCCCCTATAACACTAGGGAAGTTGTAGATCAAGACAGGCAGGGGAGAGTTTTCAGCTACCTGAAGGGGGTTCTTTTTGTACAGTCAGTTAACCCATGTTTAAGAAAGTGCGTTTATATCTTGCATACCGTGCTGAAGAAGCCTTCAATGACTGGAGGCGTCGTCGAAGTGGTCCAGTAAGCCAGCGGCAAGACCAGAACGAAATCTGTTCCAGCCTATGTGGCATCCGCGATCAATATCAGTGTCTCCCGCACGCTGGGTGCGCTGCATCCCACAATCAGTTGTAGGCTCAAATAACCAAGATTGATCAGGTAGCTGCGAACCGTTCGTATTAGCATCTTTCATACTTCGCGAGAGAGATGAGGTACCTCTCTCTTACTGCTTAGCAGAACCAAGGCCTCGCGACTCCTCCAGCCATGTCCTGGACATGGGTCTTTGTACCTTCGAGGTCAATCGACTCGTCTTCACTGAAAAATATCACTACGAGCGTGTAAACTCCGTATCTGGGATTCGTTGGTGTCATGATGATGACTGTGGTTGAAAAGCGTAGGGAGTGATTCCCCAACGGCGAGGTTTTTTATACTGAACTCTTTCGTCTATACCTAAATTAATAAATCCACGAAAGAAGCCGAGGATAAAAATTGCCCCCATCTAGAATGGTTTTGGTGTTTCTTACTGTGCTTTTGCATTATATTTGTAATTTAGAGCAGAATTGAGCTACACTAAGCACGTCAGCGAATATGATTGGGGGAGCAACTGCGCATCGTCGGCCGACAGTAAACGAAACTGGACACTGGACACAGCTAAAATATGATGTACATGACCCTCATGACATGTGAAAACATTTTGTTGGTAAGAAAAACTAAGGCAGAAAAAAGTTCGTGCGAAAGGATTACGACCTCTTCAGCATAGGCTCCGCCAGCGCCTCATTCTTCGAGACTGTCACGTATAGCCTCCAGATGCGATCTTTGAACTCACAAAACTATACAGTAGCGATCCGAGCCTGAAGAAAGTGAACTTGGGGACGGGTACATATGAAGACGAGAGCGGAAAACCATGGATTTTGCCATCGGCTCGTCCACTCAAAGGCCAAACCGGCGTCGGGGTCTTACACTCTTTCGTGCTTTCTCAAACCCTACGCTAACGGAACTAAACTGCCCTCAGACCGATTCCGAGGCGACCCTGGTTCGCGCTATGACGTATAGTATGGTACCGGACAGCTATATACATGACAAAGTTTTATATTTCCTGTTTCTCTGATACTGGTGTTGTTACGATTAGCGTTGTACTTTGTATATGGGTTCCTAAAACAGGGCAAGACAAAAAAAACTATCCAAACTCCTTGACACATACTTCTCATTAGACCTTTCCAAACTGAAATTTAAGTTAAGAGCTCTAGGGATCCTCCACTCCTAAGAGCAGTAGATTCGCCTGTTATGCAGCCTTGTCAGCTGCTGACACATCAATATCCAACTTCTCCGTCTGCCAACGGGTCAATATCGTAGATGATGAAATGGTATCAGGATGCTCAATGCCTAAAGTCTTTGTTCGTAACTGTTTACAGTCCCCCATTAAGTTGAAGGCTTCCGCACCGCGGCCCTGCCTTTTCCAGGTCAAGGCAAGATTGTTCATGCTAGTCAGCGTGTCTGAATGCTCTGCACCCAGCACCCTTTTTCTCGTTTCCATTACTTGCACATTCAACTCTTCAGCTTCTTTCCATCGCCCTTGCTTCTTGTATATTGATGCTAGATTGGCCATATTGGTCAGCGTGTCTGGATGCTCTGCACCCAGCATCCTCTTTCTCGTTTCCAGGTCAGCCCGTTCTGCAGGTCGCCAATTACCCTGCACTAGCTGACCTCCTTCTTGCCTGATTTTACATTCTCTTAACTTCAATCATTTCCTGCGTAGACTCACCTTTATTATGCTTCATGGACGATGAAGATGTCCTGGACTTGGGCTGTCAGGTTCTACCGTGGATCAGCAACCAGGTTATCCTCATAGGGCTGCAGACCCGTAATAAGGTTTATTGTACGCTTGGATGCGAGCTGTTCGTTCTATCCCAGCAAGTAGCATCGATCAGTGAGACAGCAATCGCGCGACAAAAGCTATTGAAGATATTTGAGATTGTCGACAAAGCATGTTCAGTGGGTGTCATTGTATGCATTCAATCAACCAGCTTTCACTAACAAACTCCACGGAGGTCACTGAACGAGGCAGATCGATTTCGAGCTCTGAAGAGAATTCGTAGTTACAAGGATTCGACGAGCAAAATCAGACAGACTCTCATCAAAGAAACACAGGAAATCCTGATCAATTTTGTCCTAAAAACCCCAGAATACCACACCCTTCTACGCCTAATTCCGGATTGCTTGGCTGTAGATGAAACGGAGCTGTTGTATACGGAGGAGGGATACCAGGATGACGATGATATTTGATATCCAGGACATTTGAATGAAACGCTTTACACGCAATTACAGACCTATGCTACGTGTCGCTGCTGCACGGGTCACCTGGAATGGACGCGGCTGCGACTAAGCACCGACAGCTAAAACGGGGATGAAGATGTTTCGTTTGAACTCGTCTTTAAAGCCAATTATTTTTCTCCGACACATTCTCAATCATTTGTACAGTGGAAGGAGTCAAATGTAATAGTTCCAAGGTGAGGGAACAACCGCTTGATGAGGCCAACAAATACGACTAACGCTTAGGGCCGAGGTTTGCAGGCGGGCTGGTATTCAGAAGCGGAAGAAAGTAGGGTTCACAATCGCACCCCTTGAGCCTTTATCGCCGAAAAAAAATCGCTCTCGCGTGGCACAAAGAATGAGGCGACTAGAACTGGGAGAATTTTGCACATTGATCAACGATCTGCTTGGGAATCCGGTTCATTTTTATATCCAATCAAACGTGCTTAAGGTTATTGAACCACTTGATCCCTACCCCTGCCGTGGTATTGCCCCTTTTGAAAGACTTTCACTAGGGCAATGGCTTGAAAAGATTCCTCATGTCTCCAATAAAGGAAAGTCTCACCTAGCCTATACTATTGCGAAGTCCGTCTGGCAATATTACGATTCTCCGTGGATGATCACACCGTGGACTCACGAGAGCATTCAGTTATTGAATGAAGGGACTGGCCTGACAGGTCGGGGAAAACCACATCCATACCTGAGGACAAAGTTGGTTCGAGCGATTGTAAAGTCTAAGGACTATTATTATGCCAATGATCTCATGCACCGATATCCAAATATTCTTGCATTAGGGATTCTTCTCATCGAAATTGCCGTCAAGCAGCCCTTAACAAGTGAGGAGTGTCCTTACCCCTTGAGTGAAGCCGTGATCAATGATTACTATACGTGGGCGTGGACAACAGCCCATAGAAGCAATTTGAAAGACACTGTACATTCTATGTATGAAGAGGCTGTTAATAACTGACTCAATCCTGACCTATTCAGTGGCTCTTCAATACAGCAATCTAGAGAGGTAGACGTGATCAGAGCCCGACAGAATGCTCTCTATGAGAAAATTGTCCTCCCATTGAAAAGATTATCCGACTCCTACCGAGATGACTGGGATATCCAAAGTCTTCCGACAGAGAACACAACTGAGACATTTTCTGACCAAAACATTTCAAACAAGGCTATCACTGCCTCAGAGTCTCCTCTTCAAGCAGATTTCACGGTTGCAATATTCTGTGCCTTGCCGCTAGAAGTCGATGCAGTCAGCGTTCTTTTCGATGGGTTCTGCGAAGACTCTACCCTCCATCAGAACGCACCAGGAGACTCAAACACATATACTCTCGGTCGAATGGGTCGCCACCATACCGTTTTAGTACACCTTCCAGGCATGGGGAAGAGCGTTGCATCCCAAGCTGCCTCTTCTATACGATCAACCTACCCGAACATCAAGCTCGCCTGGTGGTCGGAATTTGTGGCGGTGTTCCATATAAGAAAGGACAGGCGGAGATTCTTCTCGGGGATATAGTGGTCAGTGACGGGATTGTGCAGCACGACTTTGGCAGAAGAGTTCCGGGGGCGTTTCTTCGCAAGACATCTGTTACCGATGGGCTTGGTCGGCCTAACGTGGCGATACGAGGTTTCCTTTCGAAAATCAAGACGACTTTGGCACAGAAGCGGATTGGAAGCAAGATGGAGAAATATTTGGAAGCCATCAACCAGACCCTTGGCAATGACGCCGCTCGATATCCAGGGGTAGAGCATGATGAGCTCTTTCAGTCTACATATCGGCATAAACATCAAGACCCCGTTGCTTGCATCAGCTGTACCCACTCTACCAATAAAACAGTTTGTGATGAAGTGTTTGATCTAACGTGTCATCAATTAAAATGCAACAAGGAGAAACTTGTTCAACGCGAGCGGCTTCAGACTGCCTTTACCCTGGGACATACACCTTCTCCCACTATTCACCTTGGTCTTATCGCATCTGGGGATACAGTCATGAAATCTGGACAAGATAGAGATCTCATCGCTACGCAGGATATTGTAAATGCTTTTGAAATGGAGGGTGTAGGGGTCTGGGATAGTTTACCGTGCCTAGTCGTCAAGGTCGTGTGTGATTATGCTGACAGCCATAAAAATAAAATATGGCAACCGTATGCTGCAGCGACAGGTGCTGCCTGTATGAAAGCTTTACTAGATGAGTGGACGTTATGACGCAGTCAAGATACATTAGTTCACGTCTATAAACATAATGATGCTTGATATAATTCTCGGACTTCCCGGTAGCTGCGGATATGGTGTTTTTCAACTAAACTTTGAAATCAGTTATTTCAATTTGTATATGTTTCTCTCCCCTCTCTCCCTAGATACTGTCAACAACCTCGGTGTCCTCTACGCTGTCTTAATTTGGATATTGACCTGCGAGCAACCGACCATAATGTATAATAGTAGTGCTCTTAGAAGTGGTGAACCTCCAGAGTTCTTAAATTTGAGCCTATGTTAATCTGGAAACGGCTGATGAAAGCATCTGCCAAGGACTTTAGATTATTTTCCAGTCTGCAGGAATCTGTTCTAGCACCCTATACTCGGCTTTGATTGTAACTGTGGAAAGTGAACATCAGTGTGGATGATATTGTGGTCTAAATCTAGTGAGGTCATCTAAGCCAAAGATCTGTGAACGGGAAGGGGTGCATGAGGCATCAAACAGTAACCATCACTTGTATTAGAGAAACAATTAATGTAAATGTTTGTTATGTATACACTAGACATCTGTTCATACAATACAATACGTAGGGTTGCCTTGGGGTTAGTTTAAAGTAGTTTAGCTCCTCTTGACAAAGGGGTTGAGAAAGAGTAAAGGAGTCGGTTTTACCTCCGAGTGTACCACCAAGGAGAAAACAAAGCATGCGAATCATGAATATCTTCCTATCTCGGGACTGGAGAACTTTCGTGCTCTGAGAACAGAGCAGGTGTTAGGCGAGCATTCTGCAGAAAGCCCATTTAAATTTCCCTGAGAAGATGAAAACGCAATGCCAAGATGACCTCATGTATCTCAAGAGTCATCGAAACATTAGTACTTGTTTCGCTAATAAACCCTCGCTCCCATTAAGGCTACTCCACGCGCAATTGCCGACATGAGTAGCTGTCGTGCGGCGCGGCCCCGGCGATTCACAGATAGGATAGGACAGACATGCAAGATACTTTACGAGAAGATTGGATGCATCCTACGATGTTCGGAAATCCATCGTCACCAGCCGATTGCAAAGACGATAGATTGAGCAAACACCCGAAAGTGGGTGTGGAGGTGGAGCACCACCCGCAGATAACGCAGCTCCACCGGTCGAACAGAAGAGGCGATTAAAGTTCAACCGCCATGTTATAACCCACTTGGTCGTACTCACGGAGACGATATCTCCACACACGGTGATGTCGTTCTTGTTGGAGTCCAAATTCGATTGTCTTGGCTTTGCGGAGTCAAATATCACACTTGTTTCTCGCTGTGGCATCCAGTTGATATCTAAAATTGCATATTCAAGTTCTTCTCCCAGTCCTGACGGTCGAGGTAACTTTGATCTCCCGGTGCATATCTTCTTTCTGCACACGAAATCTTAAAACTATGCCTGAAGAAAAGAAAGACTCATCAGGGCCAGATGGGGGTGATCTGAAATCAGTCATGACCGAGGTCGGGCAAGGGGTTCTGAGAGACTCGAGGGTCGAGGATGCTGATCCAGCTCTCCGGTTCGCGGAAGGCGAGGTTATCGAGTACACCGAAACGGAGAGCAAGGAGGTCTTGCGCAAGATAGACTGGGCGTTGATGCCGTTGCTATGCTGGGTCTATGCGATACAGTTCGCCGACAAAACTTCTCTAAACTATGCATCGCTAATGGGAATTCGGACGGACACCCACCTGGATCCCAACTCGCAGCAGTATAGTTGGGTCTCCAGCATTTTCTATGCAGGATATATCTTCTGGGAGTAAGTAACCAACATTCCCTTACAGGGTGGATGTAAGCTAATATTCTCCCTAGATTTCCGACCACATATTTGCTCCGTCGTCTACCCTTGGGCAAATACACGTCAGTTAACATCGCTTTCTGGGGTGTCGTGCTCGTGTGCCACGTTTTTACGCACAACTATGCCGGCCTTCTTACTGTCCGGTTTTTCCTTGGTGCGTTCGAGGCTACTGTCACACCAGCATTTGTGCTTTTCACCTCCTGCTGGTACAAGCAGAACGAGCAGGCTAAGCGGATGGGCTTCTGGCTTAGCTGCAACGGTGTTGCGCTTTTGCTTATCGGTCCAATCGCCTATGGACTGTCCGCGGTCCATAATGCTGCGCTTGAATCCTGGAAGATTCTATTCCTCGTCCTGGGACTACCTACAGTCGTCACGGGTCTTTTTTACCTGTGGTACATGCCTGACAACCAGATCAACGCTCGGTTCCTGAACCACCGCGAGAAGCTCATCGCCATTGACCGCATCCGTGGAAATTTCCAGGGTATCGGAAGCCGCCAGTGGAAGTGGTCGCACTTCTTCGAAGCCTTCCGCGACCCTCGCACTTACTTGTACGTGCTATTCTCTCTGCTCATGAACATTCCCAACGGCGGTATCACCACTTTTGGCTCCATCGTCATCAACTCTTTCGGCTTCTCGCCACGGCTATCGTTGTTGCTAAACATGCCCACCGGTATCATGGACATCTCCTGCAAGCTTTTCTTCACCTACATGTCCGACCGATTCCTCGACCGGACTCTGTTCGCCTTCATCGCCATCCTTATCCCCATGATCGGTGGTATCATGATGATCGTCATCCCCTTACACGCAAAGGCCGCCCTGCTGATCGGCTACTATTTCATCGGTGCCGCCGGCTCGGCTTGGTGCCTTGTCATGGTGATGATTTCCAACAACACGCTGGGCTACACCAAGAAGGCCACTGTCAACGGTCTGCAGATCCTCGCCTATGCCGCCGGTAACTGGATTGGTCCCCAGACCTTCCGGTCCAACCAGGCCCCCAATTACTACGATGGCAAACTGATGGTCGCCGTCATGTATGGATTATCTGCCCTGACACTCGTGGCCATTCGTGTGGTCAATATTGTTGAGAATAGGCGTCGAGACCGCAAAGCGAAGGACGAACCTGCCGTTAATGCCAATGCGACTGGTGGAACAGAGTTTTTGGATCTCACGGATTTCGAGCAGCCCAATTTCCGTTATGTTCTATAAAGAGGGAAAAACTAAGAAAACGGCCCTAGTATTGGTCTTTCTTGGACAGTCGTGTCGTAACTATTTGAAAGACAATGAATTTAGCTTATTATCTTATATTTAAATATAAGTTGGGACCAAAATATACAAAGTTATATCTAGCGATAAATCCACGTATATCTACTCAAAAAAACCTCATTCAGCAATTATGGACGCTCTAAATCAAGACCTTATCTTACACCTGCTCTGCAAGAGTGCGCGACGCAGCCACAGTGCCATTGCAACATGAATGAATGAAGGCATGGTTTTGGAAGTATCCTCCGTCAGGCCAACATCGCCCCGTATGCCATATCCACTACCACCCGGCTGTTTCGATGACCAAGCGGTCGCCTGCAGCTACTTTGACAGAGTTCTTGTCTCTAATGACGACCCGGTCACCGGACCTTTGAACCCAAGTATTTTGTCCCCGCCACCCGTCATCACCACCAGCCATTCCGTACGGAGAGAGACTCCAGCGCTCCGAGAGGACGTTTGAAGGATGCAGAACTAGAATCGAGCACTTTCGATATGGAAGGCTTCTCTTCCTCAAATAAGTTCTGTCCAACTGCATGGACACGATTACCATCCACGAATATCATGAAGTTCACTGGTGTAAATCCAAATTTCTAATAATAGGTTTTAATGGAATGCTTCTGATATCTACTCCTTTAGTGATAGAAATCATTGACATGATCTTACTACCATTATACTACGTATTTAGAAAATGGTGACTGCCTATCTAATTGAAACCACTTATGATGGAGTAATTCTTCACCACCTGCACTAGGGTATCTAGGTCTTTGTAAATAATTTTGATGGTAGAGATATAAATATTTTAACGCGTAGTCTTTCTTCAGTATAAACAATATCTGCTAGGTTATATTATAGGCAGATAATATTGAGGAATATTTATAAATAAGAATCTGCTTGATATTGAGAGCCTTAGCAATAGTATATACATACTAGGCTTTGAATTGGTCTATATATTGCTATATTTGCGACTTGGACAAACCTGATGGAATTAGTAATGACTAAAATAGATAATGGATATAGCTAAGCTTCTTACCCACCAGCAACCTCGGCCTATATGAACAATTTTTCAGTGTCGCGATTAATAGCTTCAGTCAACTCTTTGAACGTTAAAAGAAGAATCTTGTGATTTAATAGTTTGTCTTTATTAAATATTAGTATTTATGCTACCTATATTAAAGCTAATAACTAGAGTCTTGTTTGTTAGATTATAATATATTTAGATATAATTGACTATACTATCAGTAGATCCAAAGAGAATAGTATATAATTTAGGTGGGCCCTCTCGACGGGTCTGTATCAGGTTGTACGATCATGTTTTCTGGGGAAATTGGAACTTGTCTTCTTCCCTCAATGCGCGACCTGTAGGATGTGTCGACGGCGATTGATCAGGCCGGCGAGAGCGGACGAGATGGTGGAGTCCAGTGGAGGTGGAGGTGGAGGTGGAGCTCCACCAGCCTAGATACACATTACCACCACAATAGACCCCATTTTCGCCATATTAGCAGAGTGATTGGTCTCTCTCCAGACCCCATAATGAAATAATCTATGGACAACGAGAAAGTAGGTTAGAGCAATGTGGCCCTGCACAGTCTGATTAAATGGAGCCGGCCTTGCCATACTGGTTAGGCTTAATCAGACCTCCCTCACTTCTACGCCGGTGCCTCAACAGATAACCAACTTGAAGCACATCGACTAGAAAAATACCGTCGCTATGGGATCGATTGCTGTTCCGCAGGAATATACCGCGCCTCTGCCTACCAAAGTGAATAGTCACACCAATGGTTTTCACACCAATGGCACTTCTGCCGCGTATCAGATCATTGAAGAACCTAGCCAGTCAGGAAGAAAAATAAAGGTCATCGTTATCGGCGCTGGTGCGAGCGCACTCAACTTTGCACATGATGTCGACACGAGTCCTCTCGATCTAGATCTAGTTTGCTATGAAAAGAACCCAGAAGTCGGAGGCACCTGGTACGAAAACCGGTATCCAGGATGTGGCTGCGACATTCCCTCTGTGAACTACCAATTTTCATGGGCCCCCTCCCCTGAATGGACTTCATTGTACGTTATCATATTGCAGCGGACCGCCCACAAAAAGGTACATGACACAGCGGCTAACTCCTGACAGCTACTCGAGCGCACCGGAAATTCTGAGATATTTCAAGGAGATTGCCGATAAGTACGGCCTTCGTAAGTACATTCGCCTCAATCATAAAGTGGTTGGCGCAGAATGGAACGAGCACGACCAGCAGTGGCACGTCAAGGTGCAAAAGGGAAATAACCCAGACGATGTGATTGAGGCCGAGGCCGACATTTTGATCAACGCTAGTGGTGTGTTAAAGTGAGTGTCTCAATAGTGATGTCTCCGCATGAAGCAAGACTATTGTGGCTAATCGGCTGTTTTACACATAGCAAGTGGAAGTGGCCTGCGATCCCAGACCGAGAAATCTTTCAAGGTCCTATGCTACACAGTGCTAATTGGGATGACACTGTGGAGCTCGCCGGAAAACGTGTGGCCGTTATTGGTTCTGGTTCTTCTGCTGTGCAGATAGTGCCGAGTATCCTACCAAGTAAGCCAATGTGTATATCCTCAGGAAAATTGCGCGACTGACGGTGTTTCATTAGCTGTCTCTTCTTTAACATGTTTCATCCGAAGTACGTCATGGGTGACTGCTGGATTTGGCCAGCGATTTGCAGGAAAAGGCGGATCAAACTTTAAATGTGAGCCATCCTCCGCGATTTGTTAGATCGTATGGACTAAGACTTGAATGAAGACAACGAAAAACATAAGGACGTGTTCTTGAATGACCCCAAGAAATACCTTGCATACCGAAAGAAGATCGAATCGGAACTCAACTCTCGGTTCCGCTTTATCCTGAATGGATCGAAAGAGCAGACTGAAGCAAGAGCAGTAAGTGACAAGAGAAACCCCTAGTCTACGCAATGACAATTGCTAATCCAAGTTAGTTTTCTGAGAACGATATGCGATCGAGACTCGCGGCGAAGCCAGAGATCGCTGATTTGATCGTGCCCAAAAATTTCGCCGTCGGCTGCCGTCGACCAACCCCTGGTAACGGATACCTCGAGGCACTTTGCAAAGACAATGTGACCATAGAGTCCCACGGCATTGAGAGATTTACGCCGAAGGGTATCAAAACCACAGATGGCGTCGAGCATGAATTTGATGTGATTGTTTGCGCGACTGGTTTCGACGTCAGCTGGAAGCCGCACTATCCCACAATTGGTCGTGAATCACGCAGTCTGAGTGATGAATGGAAAGATATTCCTAGCACATACCTCTCGATCACTGTGCCTCATTTCCCCAACTACCTCAGTGAGTATTGTCATCTCGACAAACGTGAAGAGCCTCATACTAATCAGCCATTACGCCTATAGTCTTCAACGGGCCATTCGGGCCCTATGGTCATGGAAGTTTCCTTCCCATCACAGAAATTCTATCAAAACACTTTCTGCAGCTATTCGAGAAGATGTCTTACGAAGGTGTCACTTCCTTCGAGCCTAAGGAAGAGGCTGTTGCTGACTTTGTCGAGCACCGCCGCAAATTCATTCCGCGTACGGCGTGGTCTTCGCCCTGCCGCTCATGGTTTAAGCAGGGTACGATTGACGGTGAAGTGATGATGTGGCCTGGATCACGTATACACTTCTTCGAAACAATGAAAACTCCTCGCTGGGAAGACTACAATCTCAAATACACGTCATCCAACCGATTTGGATATCTGGGCAACGGGTTCGCAGCACGTGAGTTCGATGGACGAGATCTCAGTTGGTATTTAGGTCTACTGGATGAAAAGGACGCCCAACATGCGTACCCAGACGAGGACTTTAAAGACTTCATGAACCAGTAATTCTGACGGCCCTGGATTTCTAGATTAGAAAGTGCGTCTTGAACAAGGCTCGAGCGTGCTATTCAGGTTGCAGGGTATGTCTGAAATAATAATTTCTTTACGAATAGGGTTTCCTATATGCATTTAGTCCACCGGACAGATAGCGTAATACAGTAAATACAGCACATGGTGTCATTCTGATAACTATTCTAACCTCTTACAGACCAGCACAAGAGGTTGAGGTTGAATGGGTCTTGTTGCAGATAGAAAATTATGTCAGTGTGGACATAACGAGCAATGACCTGTATCAATAAGTGATAGTAAGACGCTCATTGGTGCTTCTAATACAGGTGGTATGATACACACACACATACATATATATATATACATACTTCCAATCCATGCCATGCTGTTTCAGCCACTAGGATATTCAACACTTGCACCAGCTAGTGTGTCACATTTACACTGGCACAACCGTCTTCCAGGGTCTTTAAACGATCGTCTGTGCTAGCATCCCACAGCCCCACTGTTTGATCAGTAGATGCTGAAGCGATCTGCCTTCTGGTAGGAGGAAATGCTACAGCTAAGATCGGGTTTAACATGTTCGAACCCCTGTAGCTTTTCAGGTCTTTAGATGATCATCTTTCCTAGCATCTCATTTCCGGGTTGTGTCACCATCAGATGCTGACGCGATCTGCTTGTTCTTGGGAGAGAATGCTACCGCTTAGACTGAGCATCACTTCGCCCTGGTTTCCAAGAGTGTTTTGTACAGCTGACATATATTAAGATTGTATCAGCGTATCTCTCAGTAAAACTAAAAGTTCTTTCTGTGTTGTTCCTACTTATGTAAGTTACAATATATATGTATCTCCTCTAGAAGAGTTCAACGTACAGAACTCTTCCTATACATATAGTCCACTAATTATGAGATGTATTCAACATTATAGATATCAATAGTCTAGTTAATCATTTTATCTTTGATAGAATTTAATATCATACTATAAAATATTTTCGTATTTTCATACTTGTATTGTTTGTCGGCACATGTTTAATGTCCGAAAAGGGCTGGTTAGTTGCTAGTGGGAGAGAATCTAAGATGCAACCCCGCATGTCTTTCAATTCTCCAGTTGTCAACTGCTGCCAGCCACTATGCGTTCAGGCCCACCGGTCTCGTGTATCAAGCATAGCCACTTGCTCCTCATTCCGATAGAGCTTCTCGCGGCCATTTTCGCGCTCCTGCCTAACCGAGACATCAAAAACGCCCGCTTGACCTGTCGAGGTCTCTGCAATGCTGTACACTTGCGACTCGACCGTGTGTTCATATCGGCTAATATACGTAATATAGAAGTCTTAAAGGCCATCGCAGATGATGAAACTTTCCGCCGAGGCGTTGTTGAGATTGTCTGGGACGACTCTCTACTACCTATCACACGAGACCCTGGTGAGTTCTACATTTATGACTACGAAGAACCGACACCTCAGACGATTCTAACTCGCAAGACGATTACAGTGACAGGTCCCCAGTTTGGTTCCGCCACAAACTTGGGGATAACCTGGGCAATATATTGAATGAGCGGGTGGTGCCTGACGACCCCGACCTTCCTATCCACGTCGCTAAGACCCAGCATGCTGCCGCTCTGATCCCAACCAAGGAGGCTTGGTCATACTATCAGACTCTAGTCCAACAGCAGAAAACGGTCCTCGCATCTGGAGCTGATGTCTCTGTGCTGCGCTATGCCCTAGAACAATTCCCCTCCCTCAGGCGAATCACTGTCACTCCCGCCGCCCATAGGGTTCTGTTCCACCCGCTGTACCAGGCCCCGATGATTCGCGACTTCCCGCAAGAGCTCAACTACCTGATCCAATACGGCTGGCTGGCTACTAAAAGCGCATACTACCACCCTATGGCGCCTCCCCCTGGGGCCCCAAACGAAGGCAGACTGGACCCGTGGCGCGGGTTCCGTATCGTCATGCGCCTCCTAGTCGAAGTGAAGGACCGTCACCATGTTATGGAGCTAGTCCTAGATACAGGGGACCTGCTCTGCGGGATCAGCTGCCGCATCTTCGAGACCTCGCGGCTCTGCTTCTGCAGCTAGGCTTCAGGCGGATTGACCCGGCCCTCATCGTTGACAGCGATTGGTACGACGACTGGGTGCCCTTCCGCAGCGGAAATCTCGGCCGGATGCTGGCCAATGCCCAAGACCTGGAGCACGTAGCACTGTCTACCACCGTCGGTCCAGACCCAGCTGTTGATGCGGAAGATGGCGGGGATGGGCATATAAGGAACTTTATCCCACTTAAGAGTATCTTCCCCTTGGACAGATGGCCCCGTCTACGGCACTTGGCGCTGTTCCGGTTCTTGGTGAACCAGGGAGATATGATAGGGCTGTTGGTCGCCCTGCCAGAGACCTTAAGATATGTAGAGCTGAGCTTTCTGCTGTTCCTAGAGCAAGGAGGGAACTATAGGGATATGTTGGTTGAGATGCGAGAGAAGCTGGGTAGCTGGCGAGAGAGGGGGGAGCGGATCCGGCCGAGGGTGGTGATCGGGGTTAATCTGACCACCCTTCAGCTTATTGGAAGGACGATATGGACGGATCGGGAGGTTGGGGAATTCCGTTACGGGATGGGAAGAATCCTTTCGGTACAGGTCAAGGGGGGAACAAAAATAAGATAGAATATGGCTTTGGGGTAGTGAAAGACGTGTTTGAATCTGAATATGAACGACCTTTTATGGACCGCCATACGATGATGGAGCTAGGATACTACAAATAAGGACTGTGGCCTACTATCCCAAGTATATAAGAGAAACGGGGACTAAGATGAAGATATTATTGATATATATGTATGTATCTCCCGACTACTGGCATCTATGTCGCATGTAGTTCCCCTAGACTCTGGTACATATTGAGCCTATTCTAAGAAAAATATATATCATATTTAATAATATCGACAAATAACACAATTATTGCTTTAAACTTGGAGCTAATCCTTAAGTCTTTTTGTTAGGGTTCTGAAATTGTACTTTCATGAGTATTGTATGGTCCCAGGAATACGACATGTGGCACACGGCTCCTTGATGTCTAAACCAACAGCAAATTTCATCCCCGAAGCAATATCATTTCGAAGCAAACCCAGCGACTTATTGACTATGGCTAGCCTCCCTTTGGCTTTACAATCAACATCGGTTGGTATGATGGCCCTAGTCTAGAGGAGGTATTTCAACCAGTGTAAAATTCTCTCTTATAACTAGGTAGCAGAAGAAGAACTTAATAAGATGACAGGATGGGGAGAAAATGTGGCGCGGTGGAGTCCCATTCCCAGATAGCGGCATGAAGGGTATTGCTGAATTTCATAAAATGAACGCTTCATGCCCGGTAAGGAAGACGCGTAGCTACATAGACGGAATCTATTACGGACACACTAATAGAATGACCCGCATATCCTGCTATCTGTAATTAATCTCCAAAATCAACCCTACACTGAGTTTTGACCCCAAAAGAGTACATCTAAAATCAAAATCTCCCGCTTGTAAAAGCGCCACAGTGCTCGGGGATCGGAAATAGGCCGGCGTAGGCTCGTGCTAGGCCAGACTAGTTTTGTAGTATGAGTTGGCATTGCGTCATTGGTTTACTCCCGCACGAGGAAACTTGGGTAGTACGAATTATCATTTAGGTTGTGGATAGGTCCAATTTGCAAACTCACTGTATGATTTCCACCAATCTGGGATCTGACAAGTAGACTAGCAGGGGACGTCGATGGTCGCACAATCCGGACAGACTCGATGAATTCATGGAGACAGAGTCACACAGAGATTGGGAGGATCGGCCGATCGGATTGCCGCCATCCATGGATGGCTCACAGCGGGGCTCGTGGGATGCCCAGGAACTCGGCAAATCCATAAACCAGACCTCAAGCGCAGTGCCGCGTCGCTCTGTTTTCCTAGTGTCTAACGAGTTAGTTAGTTCAGGCATGTGGCTAGGATCGGACGTGGTTCCGGTTTTCTCGGCGATCTGCGATGAGCTGAAAGAAAGTTGGAGCCTGCGTAGACGAGCCTCCTAGCTTGCCGTCCGGGCGGGTTAGTGGCGATAGCGCCAGATCAGCCCAGGACTCCAGGATGTACCGGTATATTTGTAGGGGGTTGAGTATGTATGTAGGATGCAGGGCCATTGGGCTGGTTGAAAGTTGCTGACTAGTACTAACTTGTAATCATGAAGATAATAAAGATGAGAAAAATGAAGAAAGGGGACGTGGCTGGAGCAGCAGGCAACTGTTTACTCACCAGCCACACGCTAACCCGTCTAGTCGGTGGCTGAGGGCCACTCCACTGGAGCTTGCTGAGTGGGGCGATTACGCATCCAGCAGTGGTGATATCAATGTTGATTGGCTACAGGGGCCACGGAGTCTGCATTGGGCAAGCGCTAAGGCGTTCCCGGCCTAATAGCGCAGACCCAGAACCAGAGGAAGAAAAGAACAAGGACCGCTGGTAGTCCTGATTGCTCCTTCCCCACGAAGCGCTCTCGAGCTTCTTGCTTCCTCTTCTCTCCTGCCACTACTACTACTATTCCTCCTAGACTCGACTGTATCAGTCTCCCTTCTACTACAGAGCCATCGCACAGTCATTCTACAGGCAATTGGCGTAGACCAGCCCAATTGCCAGCTCCCGATTGCCGCCTTTTTTGTTCTGCGGCCCAGAGCCGCCCGCGCTCGGAACCACTGACGTCGTTCGCTGCGGCATCATCCCATCGTCCTGAAACGCCAAACAGTAACACGTCGTCGCTGACTGCAGTGATTTGCACCTGCTAGGCATTCTCTTTCAGAACTGCCGACACATTTCTCATCGTCCTTGCTCTCACAACACAATGGCTTCAGAAGCAGCCTCCAAAGCGGAGGCTAAGCAGGAAGGAATCATCGAGACCACTCAAGCAGCAAACAGTGACCCCCATTCCACCATCCAGCCTGAACTGGCCGAAAAGAAGCTTGTTGAAGAAAGCCGCAAAGCAGGCAGTGTGGCCTTTCAATTCAATCCCGACGCCTCGCCAGAAGAGAAAGCCAAGGTGGCACAAGCGGTAAGTTGCTGCCTGCCGTCGTGATGTCGCGTTGAGGTTTAGAGTGTGTTCATAACTAATGTTGTGATGCGGTATACAGTCTCTTCCCCCGGGACTCAACCTTCCTAAGAAACCAAATGGCGCTAGTCTAGTATCAGATAAGGTACCTTCCAGTCTCCCTACCTGTCGTCTCGCCAAACACTGACTTATTCTGATGAAGGATATAAGTGGTCCCGCTGACTACGACCTGCCTTCAACAAACAAGGCAACCGACCAGGTAGTGGAGGCTCCTTCGGTGAAAGAGAATGAGCCCAAAACTGCTACCAACGGAGGTCTGGATGAGACGAAACGCTGGGCACGGAACCGCACCGGATGGGCTCCCCAGTTCGCCAAACCAGATGTCACATCAGACGATGCAGAGACACTGTTGGATCACCGGACCTTCTTGGAGGACATTCTAAATGACAAGTTCTTTGGAGGTATGTTGGATCCCCTTGCATCACAAAATTGGATATATCTGATTCACATAGACTGGCATCATAATGCCGCCGTTATTGTCTTTGCTTGCCTTACGTCTTGGATCATCGCTGTGCTCGGAGGCGGCCTAGGCTGGGTCTTTCTGGTAATGGCTGCTTGTGGCACCTACTACCGAACGTCAGTTCGTCGCGTTCGCCGCAATTTCCGTGACGACATTCACAGAGAAATGGCGAAACAGCGCCTGGAGACAGATACCGAGAGTTTGGAATGGATCAACAGCTTTTTGGTCAAGTTCTGGCCAATTTATGCCCCCGTTCTCTGCGACACCATCATCAACACTGTCGACCAAGTGCTGAGCACATCGACTCCAGCTTTCCTTGACAGCTTGCGCTTGAAAACATTCGTCTTGGGTACTAAGCCTCCTCGCTTGGAGCACGTCAAAACTTATCCCAAGACCGAGGTTGACACAGTCATCATGGACTGGAAATTTAGCTTCACACCCAACGACACAATGGACATGACTTCACGCCAAATCAAGGATAAAATCAACCCAAAAGTAGCCCTTGAAGTCCGAGTTGGCAAAGGTGTAGTCAGCCACGGTTTAGATGTTATTGTTGAAGACTTCGCATTCTCTGGCTTGATGCGAGTTAAAATCAAGTTGCAGCTTGAATTTCCCCACATGGAACGTGTCGACATTTGTTTCTTGGAACGTCCCGAAATCGACTACGTTTGCAAGCCTCTTGGTGGCGAACATCTTGGTTTCGATATCAACTTCATCCCTGGTCTTGAAGGTTTTATCAAAGAACAGATTCATGGTAACCTTGGTCCAATGATGTACGAGCCTAACGTTTTCCCAATTGAGATCGCGAAGATGCTCGCAGGTAGTCCAGTTGATAAGGCCATTGGTGTTCTCGCTGTCACTGTTTCTTCTGCCGCCAATCTGAAAGGAGCCGCACGAATCGGTAACACCATCGATCCTTATGCCTCCATCTCTCTCAACAGCCGAAACGAACTTGCACGAACTAAGACCATTCACGATACGAGCAATCCTCGTTGGAATGAAACATTGTACATAATCATCACCTCATTGACCGATGCACTGACTATTGCCGTGTTCGATTATAATGAATTCCGCAAGGATCAAGAGCTGGGTATTGCTACATTCGCCCTTGACAAGCTTGAGTCGGAGCACGAGCATGAGGGCTTGAATTTGGATGTCTCGTATAGTGGTAGAAGCCGTGGCATCTTGCACGCTGATATTCGATTCTTTCCTGTCTTGGAGGGTCGAAAGCTGGAGAATGGTACCGAAGAGCCAGCCCCGGAACTAAACACTGGTATTGCACGTTTCACTGTTGAGCAAGCTAAGGAATTGGATGGCAGCAAGAGTTTTGTTGGATCTCTCAACCCGTATGCAGTCCTGTTATTGAACGGGAAGGAGGTTCATGTCACCAAAAAACTGAAACGCACAAACAACCCTATTTTCCAAAACAATTCGAAGGAATTGCTCATTACGGACCGCAAGAACGCTAAACTAGGGCTTGTCATCAAGGATGACCGCGATTTGTCAACTGACCCCGTTATTGGAAAATACCAAATAAAATTAAATGATATGCTCAAGATGATGGAAAAAGGTAACGAATGGTATCTCCTGTCTGGCGCCAAGAGTGGCCGTGTCAAAATGATGCTCGATTGGAAACCTGTGGCTTTGCGAGGTATCGCGGGTGGTGCCGGCTACGTCTCTCCTATTGGTGTGGTTCGCATTCACTTCAAGGGCGCCACTGAGTTACGCAATTTCGAGACTATGGGTAAATCGGACCCATATGCCCGTGCTTTGCTGAACGGTGTCCCTAGTGGTCGCACTGTTACCTGGAGGAACAACCTCAACCCGACGTGGGATGAAATCATCTACATCCCTGTTCACAGTACACGGGAAAAGCTCACTCTGGAAGTCATGGATGAGGAATCCATGGGTAGAGATCGTACCCTTGGTGAAGTTGAGGTTGCTTTGAAAGATTACGTGCATGAGGGTGAGAACGGCGAATTCGAAGTCGATGATGAGAAGCAGGACATGAAGAGTGGCCTTCGCATGAATGGACGTGGTGCAGCCAAGGGTCTTCTGAATTACACCGTTGCATTCTATCCTACACTAAACGTCGTTGACCCCGAGGAAGAAGCTGAGGAGGCTGAACAAGAGGCAGCAGACCCCGAAGGTTCTCGTAAGAGCCTTGATTCCACTGGCCGCAAAAGCTTGGAGCGTAATAGTACTGATGCTGGAAGAGTCAGCACGGATGTCAAATCCAATGGACGACCCAGCATTGATACTGCTGCTTCTAAACGTACTAGCAACGGGGGCCCGACTTCTCCAACATCTTCCCTATCTGCCACTCGTCAAGAGATTCCTAAAATCCATATCGGGGCTGAAGACTTGCAAAAATATGGTATGAACTCCAAGTTGTTGATGCTCGAGTGAAATAGTTACTAATTCTTTTCACAGAGTCTGGTTTGATCGTATTCAAGTTCATTGATGGGCATCTGGCACACTCGAATGTTCAACTCCAAGTTCTCATTGATGATCACATGTTCCCCTCATATACTTCAGAGAAAATCAAGTCTAAAACAGCGACATTTGCAGATGGTAAGCCTGGATCTATGGTTGATTATTGACCTGACCCCTCACGGGGTTGGTGGTTTATGTAACACAGACTAACTATTAGTGTAGTGGGTGACGCGTTTGTGCGCGAGCTTGAATTTTCACAAATCACACTCAGGCTTGTTGACAATTCTAGTGAAAAAGAAGAATCTCATGTTATTGCTAAGTTGACTGGCCCAACACTGTCCACCCTGCAACGATGCCTATATACTCCAACCGAGCTACAACTTCGATCGGACAGTGGCGCAATTAGCAAGATCAAAGTCAGTCTACGTTTCATTCCGGCTCTCATGAAACTTGATCCCAAAGAGTCTATCAACAACTCTGGCGACCTCAGGGTTGATATTCTCGACGCCGCCGATCTTCCATCAGCAGATCGTAACGGTTTCAGTGACCCTTACTGCAAATTCAAGCTCGATGGAAAAGATGTCCACAAGACTAAGGTGCAGAAGAAAACTCTTCATCCTGCTTGGAATGAATACTTTGAGACACCGATCAAGTCGAGAATTGGAGCCGACTTCCGCGTGGACGTGTACGATTGGGACTTTGGTGATAAGGCGGACTTCTTAGGCGGAGCTCCCATTAATTTGGAGATGCTGGAGCCGTTCCAGGCTCAAGAAGTAACATTGACACTAGACGGAAAGTCAGGTGCGATCAGATTGAAACTCATGTTCAAGCCATCCTATGTCATTCGGTCTCGTCAAGGCAGCTCAACCTTCTCAGGAACATTTGCTACTCCAGGTAAGATTGTCGGCGCGCCTGTCAAGACTGTAGGCCTAGTCGGCGGTGGTGTTGTGAAGGGTGCATCTTTCCTCGGTCGAGGCTTGAAGAATCGCTTCGCACGCGGAGATAAAGATAGTGAAGAAGCTGAAGTTGCGACACCTCCTCGCGAAGACTCGCCTCCAAGGACACCCAATATCAAGACTGACGGCAGTCTTTCCCGTGCTCCAGGACTTGTTGTCGATCCGGCCACACCTACTTCTCCCGCCGATACCCCGGATAGCTTGCAACGTCGTCACAGCCGTACCCGCAGCATAAGGTCTCAGTTTGGCGGCGATAAGAATGCGCTTGGGTCTGGAGGGGGAGGAACAGCGCTTATCACTCTTGTTTCTGTTACAGGATTTCCTCCTTCGGCCAATGTCCGTTGTCACGTTCGCCATCTAGGCCCCAAGGGTGCTAAAGAAGTCCACAAGACCAAGGCAGTCAAAAGTGCTGAAGGAAGCATCCAGTTTGATACAACTCACGAAACTGTCAAGGTCCCCAATACTACTGCTGACGCTCAGTATTCACTGAAGGTTGTGAACCACAGCACTTTCGGCTCCGATGAGAGCCTTGGAGAAGCCATCTTCTTTGTCGATGATCAGGGATCCTCCATGAGCAAAGAGAAGACTGTGGGCGTCGGTTCTGGTAAAGTGGTCATCAAGAGCAGTTTCACTCCCAACGAAGTTGCCAATGGTCGTCCCAGCACAGCCACCTCGATCAACGGCGACAACGATGCTAGCAGTGAGACTCCTGATAAGAAGCGACGAAGCTTCTTGTCTAAGCGCAGCGTCAGTGGTGCTTAGATTTGGTGATCGAAACGATTGATGCATTGTATCATTTTCTCTCGCTCGAAAATATATGCTTCGTCTATTTGTTATTCCGGGGAGGCAAAAAATATTCACACGACGAGACTGTTTGCTATTGCTTGTTTTCACGATTTATTCTTACTCTGTTTTGTGATATCCTTTTCCTTCGTATTATAAAGTCTATTTGGGTTGCTATTATCGGCTATGTAATGTATTCATTCATAGCCAGATGGGAAATGAATATAGTATTTGATTTGATATACTGGGTAGCCTTTTTTTTTCCGTCCTAGGAAACTACGTGTAGATAGCAATGAAAGGACCCCTAGATTATCCATTTCAGAGTATACCCAACCACTAATCTAGATAATAGAAATAAACTGATACATCATAACCCTCTTCACCCATAAATGTGTCGAGGATCCACTACATATTCCCTATTTCAAAACAATTGACACCCAAAAATGTCAAAACAACCAAGGGAGACAAATGGTGGGGATATAACTACCCGTCTCGACGTCTTGCAAGCCCTCGCTCATCATGCACCGCAAACGTCCTCTCCTCCAATCGGCCGTACAGAAACACCAGTTGTTATGTGGCATGACTAGCTAACTCCATGAGAACCAAAGCAGATGAGGCCACATGTCTGTATAGGTAGGTATGCGTCCCGCAACGGTTCAAATATTAGGGCTGACGGGTAGAAATTTAGGGTTACTGGTTCTGAATAAGCCAAGTTCCAAGATGCAGTCAGATAGTTCAAAATTTACTTATATGATAAAAGTTTGCATACGGTGTCAACACTTTCTGTCTTTCAGCTTCATTTACACAGATTTAAGTTATAAAATCCTCTGTTAACCCAGTCTTAGCGCTGTTTTTGTATACTAGCAAAGGTAGAAAGGTGTGTAGAGCGTTGTGAAAGTCCTTAAATTTTCAAGAAATCCTGGGAAACCCAGGATGTCATTCTGCCCAGCATCGGGAGGAATGGGGAATGGAGTATTGCAATGTACAGGTAAAGGAAATTAGCATTTAAATAAATCTTAGGGCAACCTTTCCAAACAAATTTCATCTAAACAGGAGTTTAACCGGTAAGGATTCCTGTTAGTCCCTTCGCGGATCTTAGACATGTTCTCCTGAATACTATTATCGTTTACAGTAACTGATCGGGCACAGAGTTCTTGGCTGCTTTTGACAATCAGTATTCACCTCAAGTCGGAATAATTCTGCATCGACATCATTTAAGATGTGTGCAACTGTTACAGGAAAATGTTTTCACTGGTTGTTCTTGAATGGTCTCTATTCTTTTGTAATGTCGATAGAAGGTCCCGAAAATCAGAGTTAGAAAGGTCTGGCAGGTTGCTGATATCGTTGCTTAGAGCTTCTCCCATCTGTGCATCTCCTCACATTGCTCGCGTTTCTTATTGGGCATCTTGGTAGATGACAAAGTAGCAGATAATTTGCTCCTAAATGGAACACGGTAGATGGGTGAAAACGATAAGAATGTTGAAATTGACAAGACAGGTGAGGGCGAATAGGGTGATCGATGGCATTTATGGCCACGGGACTCCATGGTCTCACTCGAACTATGTGGTGGCGTCATTGACACTAGCATATCTTATGCTTTGAATGAATATTCAACCGATATTGCAATTACTATTGGAGAGAGAGTTTGGAATAAATAGTTGGTGGCGTATCTTAGAACAATCTACCACAGATTAAATAGCTAGATCTTTGTTAATGTTTGCTGTTATTGAAAAAGAGAGAAAAACCGACAAAAAATAAGTTACCACATAGGACAAAAGGGTACTAGAGAATAATGAAAGGAAGGTGTGAAAGAGTAATAGAAACAGGAAATAGTCCTCTTTAGTCATATATATTAGCCAGGTTATGATAAAGGAAAACGCTACAATGGTGACAAAAGTTTGACTATAGCACCACAAAATTGAATTTTGTATAGGAGTCCTCTTCATACCAATACTAATAATAGTTGAACCTTTTGCACTATCTATGTGCAGACCTCCTAAAAGTGTACGTGAGAGGATAACGTTCAATTATTGGAGCCACAAGCCTAAAAAATCCATGGATAAACTCTGGTATTACCCTCGAGACTTTTCGTCATAGACTGGCATAAATATTCATATATCTCGATGTGATCCCTTTCAGAAGCGCCGGACTAGTTGACGTCATGCTTTGTGGTCTCCGAAACGGATCGATGGATATTTCCAATGTTAGATTGTACCTAGTACATGTGAGAGAAAACCATTAGAATGAGATTTCCTACCTTTCATATATTTACATGTTAAGTTAGAATTTCATTTGGATCGTTTTTCTCAGCTGTAGAACATCTCAATTTTGAATATATATATACGTATGTATGAATGGCTATTGCAAATCCTTTTCAATATGCAAACCACGCACCATCCAAGCAGCGGCCAACCCAAATACTCCTCCAACAGCAAGAACATATCTCGCCTGATTCTCACCATCCGAAGAAACCCAAAACGTAAAGCCGACAATCAACGCCATCAGAATCTGCGGCGCGGCAATCGAAACATTATGCAGGCTCATTATCAATCCCGGGCCATGAGACCGCGAAAATCTCGCTGACTCCTGAGACACCTTTGTGCTAATCAGCGCAAATGGGATCCAGCCGGTACAGTACCAGCTCAGGCCGAGAACGCTAATGAGAAGCGTCGCGCCAACTACCGTGGACACCCACAAAGTGCAGATCATGCCTATGCCGAAGAGAACTTGGGAGGTCATCCAGAGGTTGGAGAGGGTTGCGTAATTTCGGAACTTTGATTGTGTGCCGTCATAGCGTTTGAATAGCCAGGGGAGTAGTATACTGGAAATAAAAGCCACGCATGCATTTAAAAGCATGGCTCGGGATCCGAATTGCAATGATTCGTTTTTGAGTATTTGTTGTTGTTCTTCATCTGCTGCTGCTGCATTCTGCAGGAGGTCATGGAAGGCTGTCACGTCGGTCAGTAAACACCGTCGTAAAGCTTAGATCTTAAAATCTTACCAAGATAATCAATGTATCTGTACCTATTAGTTTAGAACTCCATGTTTGCATTAAGGGCAATCACTCACGTAGTAACGTAGTAGAGAAATGGGAACCAACCCATCCAAGAAAACAACTGAATCTTCCAAACGCTGATCACCTCTGGAGAAAGACTGCGTATTACCTTCCACAGCCCCATAAGCGTAGTTTTCTGATGATTCGGCTTTTCAAATTTAGACCTCGGCGCTGCCCCATCTGTGAGAAAGACTGATAATGTAATGACACTAAAAACGAGACAAAATGACGTGAAAAGACACAAATTCTTGAAATGACTCCCTGTCATAAAGGGCTGCAATTTTGTCGTATCCATCGACCCGGCAAGCTGCGCAACGATATTTCCTATCCCCGTCATCCGCGCAGCCCATGCCGACACCATGGTCTGTTGCTCCGGACGACAATTCTCAATCATCATGACTCGTAGACCCAGCTGGACAGGTTGAATGGCAACGTTTAGGGTGAATATAAAGAAAACCACCAGAGCTCTGCTTAAGCCATTTCTCTGGCCGCCATCGAGCGTCAAATCGGGTGCCCATCCAAGTCCGAGAAGTGACATGACGAGTCCAATGAAGCCGGCAGAAACGATTAGTTTCTGATGGCCATATCTGTCGCTTATAATTCCGACCATAGGCTGGACGAATGTCCCGGCTAGTGGTCCGGCCAGCCAGGTCAATCCCGTTGCGGCTTGGCTGACGCCAACCGACAGCAATTGTGCCTGTCAATATGTTAGCTGATGCATAATTAATTTCTGAGGGCTGGCTATATTACAGATCCATATGAAGCTAAAAGAGCAAAAACGAGCTGGAGCCTAATGGGCTGTTAGCTTCGATCCGCCATTATCCGCTGGTGAACAACTCACGTCCCAAATCCACTCGACAAAACAAGCACATAAAAGACGCCTCGTGGCCGACGGATATACAAGGTGTCTTCGGGTGTCTCATCCATAGGTAAAAGTCGAATAGAATCCTCTTGAAACTCGTCATCATGACCGGAAGTTGACTGCGTGGGGCTCGCAACCGCCATCTTGCCGGCCGATGCCCACTGAGCAACGATTCCGATTCCGACAGGACCAGCTCCACGCACAACGGAGGATTTTACATAAAAGCAAAAATGAGCAAGCTATTTGGTGTAATTGAATAGTTTAATAATGATTGAATCGAGTGTTGTTATCGGAGAGCTCCAACTGTCGTCTGTGTTGGTTGTGTTGGGGGCTAACCCTAAGCCCTAACAGGAAACGCGGGGAATGCTTACGGCGCTGGCATGGTGACATCGCATCCCTGCTGCTCATCATCTGAGTCAGATTCTCGATTTCTTATGTGCCTGCAGAAAGCAATGTTTTTGGGAACATGCCAGATGCAAATTATCACAAATCGCGGCATTGTCTTTGTGCATAGCTGTAAAATAGTTGGGTTTAAGTTCGAGGCTTTCGATACTTCTAGTACTACATTGAGATCCGTATTCTTGTATGGATATAGTCTCCATGGATCTTCAGATAATGCCACAAGTGATAGGATCCGTCAGATTGCCACCTTCACCGCCTGTTAGCGCACACAAAAGGCCCGCAGCTTCCTGGATGACTTCATCTCGGCCATAAAACCACTGCACCAAACGGGGTCCCCTCAAGGGTTGCTGTAATAAATTTGGTTCTTATTTCGGCTGATATCTTATCAACAAATACTGTAAATAATAAAATGTCGCATGGAGAGGTCAGCCCTAACAATATACACTGCACGCTTCCACTGTTAAACCTTCTACCACCCACGGCCCTTTCCGATCAGACGATGACGATCTCTCCAATGGGAGTAGCGGCAGCATACTGATGTTAGCAGCCGATTCTGCTACTGAGACTGGTTGCTTTAGGTTATTAGGTGAATATGACGCCTTCGCTAAGATAAGCGTGTGAAAGTTATGAATATAGACTTAGCAAGTTGTTTGATATAAAGCAGTTTTGTAACAATGCCAAGAAAGTGTTGCCTGCTCTAGCCTACAATCGTACGATTCAGTCAACACTTGTCAGAGACAGGCGGTGGTCATATTAAAAAATGGCGATGGAACATATCACTGCTGTCCGCGGTCTACTTGTTCCTGTTCTTGATCCGTCTCTCTGCATCGGTACAGACGCTCATTCGGAACCAATCATACATATAAAATCTTCTACATCCGAATTCATCAAACCTGATGACCCAAACCCCGAGCCCATGCATAATTTTCTCAAGATTCCCAAAAATGAGGAAACCATTTATGACGGCAGCCGTGTTGCGGAAATCTATGCCCTGGATGACACTAGATTGGCAGTGTTTCTTCGAAAACATTACCTTACTCATGCAGAACGGATTGGGAATTAAATTGCTGGAAGATCTACTTCTTCTAGAGAGAATAACAAAGAAGGAGGAGTTGAAGCTTGAATACCCATATCCACAACGTGCTATTATTCAGTCCCTCATTTTCCAGGTCTTTACGTAATGGGCTTCTTCTCGATTTGTAGCTTGATCAATGGTTTCTAATCTCTTTCAGAATTCTGATAACCCTTGCCAAGCTCAAACTTTCCCGTATTGATCAAACGATCACGTTATTTAGTAGGAAGATCAATTGTCTCTAATATCTTCATTTAATATGTTACTGACTCTAAACATCCTTACTCAATCAATTTAATATGGCTTTTCCGGTCTTAATAGAGTAAACTGTTTTAAAATAGGAGTGTGTGATGTATACCCTAGCCCTCCCCTACCCCTTCCCTAACTAGCCCCAACCTTAATGCTCTGCCTGCCAGTCATCTAACAAATATGGGTATAACCAACACTGAATCACCACTTCCTAATGGCATTTATTATGATTATCACAGTATAGTGCCCTACTAACATAATGTTTCTATTATGTTTGCGCTTTCCAACTACTGATGGATCGGGGTTAGCCAGCATACAATCATCTGATCAATGTAACTAACTCTCAGCATGATGTGTATTGACTACTACTATATAAAGCGGAATATATGTAGAAGGGATAATAGTATTTGAATAACATTTAGCCAACCACTGCTAGCGTTGAGTGCATGTGAACTGATGAGGTTAGCAATTGAGGTAGCCAAGTTAGGAGCGAGAATCGTGATGGTAGTGTCAATTGGGGGGGATCGACTATAGAGCTTAATATTGTCACCGCATTTGCAAAGCATCTGGATTTGTTAGGCATCAGGGCATGGACGAGGGAGAAGAAAACTAGGGTCCTGAAGCTCGCAACAGCAGGCAAGGTTGATCCAATAATTGACGAAACGCTGCCTCTGACTAATACTGTGTGTGCGTATGAGAAGCTGGAAATGGGAACGCATGTCGGCAAGATAGCTCTACTGCCTTGAAAGTGAAGATGCGGAAAAGATAGCCGATGGGCGAGTTGACTAGTAACGAAATGAAATGTTATTCGCCACTCAATTGGCGATATGAATCCCTTCGGGTTTAGATTAGTAATGCCATGTCAAGATATCTCTCAACACAGAATATGACAATGAGATAGCACAATCAGAGGTCACTCAGATCTTGCTGCTGCATCGAAACATATCACGTGCTTTCTGTCCCTGTTATCTCTATTGACAGGGGGCTACCGCCTGCCGGATACAGTTAGCTCTACCCGCTGTCACTATTCAAAAAAAAAAAAAAAAAAGGAAAAAGATGTGAGACACAACACAAAAGAATCCAATGCATATGCAAATAACAAGTAATGATAGACATGATCATGTGGCCTAGGGTTGCCAATAATGATGTGGGTCACGGCATGCATGTCGTGTACAGCCTCCATTGTTCTGTACAATCACATATTAATTTAGCAACACCATGGTGAAGGCCTCGATGGGGTAGTTGAGATGACAAGTGTCCGGAACAATAATAATCATATTAGCCGCCGGCCCTATCGTCGAATGCTACTTCGGAACGGTGGTCGAGACCTCGACCCAGATTCCGATGTGGATATCTGCGTGGGACAAAAAGGGGCTTGGATTTATTTTATTTTTTCCACCTCGATAATCTAATTACCGACTGGCAACCAATGGCAACGGCGCGGAGAGCAGCAATGACGTCCTTGATGACAGTGGCACTTGTACCATCGGTCAATTTGATCAATTAATTGAGGCTGGAGAACAGGGTATCTGGAGCGAGCATAGTCAGAGATGGCGAGCGAATACGTCGTCGATCGTCCGGACAAGGGGCAGCAGCTCCCAACATTCCTTGGCGTCGCCAGCAGTATTATCTGTTGTCTTACCAGGCCAGCAAAGAGCAATGGATGGAAGAAATGTAGAACGAAGCGGGCATCGTTATGAATGCAAGGACGATCGATCTCGGAGTGCGGCGTTAGCATGATCAGCAATAGCAATGATAATAAAATACCCAGTGAAGAACTGCCCATATAACAGCAGAATAATACATGTTAGTAATTAAATAATAAAAGAATCACACAGTGGTAGACTGCAGTAGTAACTAATAGTCAGGTCTCTCCCTGACCCCCCACCTGCCTCGAGGGTGAAAGCAAGCCCGGGTCCAAGCTCCTTCCCTGCCAGAGCTTCTTGCGTCCCCCTTAGTACTTAATTGCTGTCATTACTTCATGACGCCTGCACAACAACAACATCAACATCAACAACATCAACAATAAATATTCATTCCATCTTCTCCCTCGCCTCCCATTGCATCGCCCCCCACTACTAGCGCCTGCCGGGCATTCATTCTGTAAGTACTACCAGCCTCCTGCCGCCCTATCTGATAATAGCGGGCGCTGTCGATCCTGGTCGCCATCGTGACCCAATCGACGGCCCTGCTTGCCCACGCCGCTCGGATCGACAGCTCGCTGCGTGGCGACTGCAAACCGCCCAAAGCCCGTTGTTGGCTCTGGCTTCCCTCACCATGCTGTCATGTTTCTTTCGCTTTTTCCAATTTGCCTCCCCTCCTTTCCGTCCACCACCAAGGCGTCTGTTTGTTGCTGACCAGTCCTCGCTTGCAACAGAATCCTCTTACGCTCGCAACATCCTCCCTAGTTAACCAACATTGCGGGAGACTGATTAAAAAAATACCAAAAAACCACAATGGCCGCTAAAGCGATCCCCGCTCACCTGAGGGCTCAGGCAGAGTCTGGCGCCCAGGGTGAGAACTTCGAGCGCAAGCACCACGGCAAGTCCCAGTCTCACATGGTAAGACTAAGACGCCGTTCGTGGTCACGGAACTGAACGAGCTAACACTGCCAGGCCTTCGAGAATGCTTCCACCAGCGTGGCCGCCTCCCAGATGCGCAATGCCTTGAACGCCCTCTCCGAGACCGTCGAGGACCCTAGCACGAAGAAGCGCTTCGAAGCTGAGATGGACAACTTCTTTGCTCTTTTCCGCCGCTTCCTTAATGACCGCGCCAAGGGCAATGTTGTCAACTGGGATCGCATCGCTCCCCCACAACCTAGCCAGGTCGTTGACTACGCCGAGCTAGGTAACTCCGCCTCCGTCGAGTTCTTGAACAAGCTCGCCGTCCTCAAGCTCAATGGTGGTCTCGGAACCTCTATGGGCTGTGTTGGCCCCAAATCCGTCATTGAGGTCCGCGAAGGCATGTCCTTCCTCGACTTGTCTGTTCGCCAGATCGAGTACCTCAACCGTACCTACGATGTCAACGTGCCTTTTGTGCTCATGAACTCCTTCAACACTGACGATGACACTTCCAACATCATCAAAAAGTATGAGGGACACAACATTGACATCATCACCTTCAATCAGTCCCGTTACCCTCGTGTTTTGAAGGATTCCTTGCTCCCTGCTCCCAAGAGCTTCAACTCTCAGATATCCGACTGGTATCCCCCCGGCCACGGTGACGTCTTCGAGTCTCTGTACAACTCGGGAACTCTCGATAAGCTGCTTGAGCGTGGTGTCGAGATTCTCTTCCTTTCCAACGCCGACAACCTTGGCGCTGTCGTTGATCTTCGGATCTTGCAGCACATGGTCGACTCCAAGGCTGAATACATCATGGAATTGACCGACAAGACCAAGGCTGACGTCAAAGGTGGTACCATCATTGACTACGACGGCCGCGTCCGCTTGCTCGAAATTGCCCAGGTGCCCAAGGAGCACGTCAACGAGTTCAAGTCCATCAAGAAGTTCAAGTACTTCAACACTAACAACATATGGATGAACCTCCGTGCCATCAAGCGTGTTGTCGAGGAAAACGAGTTGGAAATGGAAATTATCCCCAACGAGAAGTCCATCCCCGCCGATAAGAAGGGCGAAGCCGACCTCTCCATCATTCAGTTGGAGACCGCTGTGGGTGCTGCCATCCGCCATTTCCGCAATGCCCACGGTGTCAACGTGCCCCGTCGTCGCTTTTTGCCTGTGAAGACTTGCTCCGATCTTATGCTGGTGAAATCGGATCTTTACAGCCTGCAGCACGGCCAGCTTCTCATCGACCCCAACCGCTTTGGCGGTGCGCCCATCATCAAGCTGGGATCTGACTTCAAGAAGGTTTCTGACTTCCAAAAGCGCATTCCTAGCATCCCTCGCATTGCCGAGCTCGACCATCTCACCATCACTGGCCCTGTGAACCTAGGCCGCAACGTCACCCTCAAGGGAACTGTCATCATTGTTGCTACTGAGGGAAGCACAATTGACGTTCCCCCTGGATCTATCCTCGAAAACTGTGTTGTTCAAGGTAGTCTGCGAATCTTGGAACACTAGTTTAAATTCTGCATTCAATTTTCCTCTATATTTTCCCAGCAGTCGCCAATTCATCGAGATAGGCCCTTAAGGTCAAACTAATCATTTCAACTTCTTCTCGCGGCCGTACTTTCTTTGCTAGAGTGGATAGCGGCGAAGCACTTCGTGTATGAGTGGATGTTCTGCATATGATGTCGCGAAAGCACACGCATTGAAAAGTTGGTGTTAAATGGCCGCGATTTTGTCTTCTGGTGTTGTCGCCTATACGCATTATCTGTTACATACATTACTTTCGACTAGCGATATCAACTACATATTTTCCACTTCCAATCTCGTAGCGTGTTATATCACGATACTGTAATCCGGCTCAGATTTAATCAATTATCCCGGGTTGACACCTGAGGTATCGGCCGGGTAAAAGACCACTCCGGCTATTGCTAACCCTAACCACCATGACTGATTCATAGGAATAGTTGCAAATCAAGCAATGTGGAAGACTTTTCCTACACCCTCAGCCAATCATATCTCCCAGCCCATCGATCAGCTCTGACTCGACAAATCTGATATCAACCACACGTCATGCCATGAATCCTCTTCGCGATGCGTAACGTCATATGGTTTCCTGCCCCTTTCCCCTTTCGTCAACAAACACTGATGATGTTGGCCAGTTCTTCGCCACGCTAGCCAGAAACATGCGAACCGAGTACATTACGTCCCTGCACACTTACTGTCTCTGACCATCGACAGTTGCTCTGTGTATCAGTTTCGTGATGAGTACTTCTGCGCCGTTCAGATCGATTGCGCCGGGCTCGTCGCTGGCTTTAGCTAATGATGACAGCACGTCAACTGGCCGCAGAAGGAGTCTTGTGCCGAGGTGGAAGAAGAGAGTATCGACAGCGTGTCTGGCATGCAAGAAGTCGAAACGAAAGGCAAGTTCAGTTCATTGCAAGTTTGATTTGAGACTGACGCCTCCTTACCATCAGTGCTCAGGAACCGCTCCATGCGAGAACTGTCGTGCACTACACCGTGAATGCATCTTCGATGAATCTCTCGACCAGCGCCGCCGCGTTGCCGCCAAACGCACCGCCGAAGAACTCGAATACCACCGGGACATGCTCAACGATCTCTTCAAAGTAATCCGGTCCGCTAGTGAGCCGCAAGCCCAGAAACTCCTCGAACTAATCCGCAACGACGCGACACCAGAAGAAATCCGGCTATTCATCGACGAAATCCTTGCGGAGCTCCAAGCCATCGAACCAAATAGTAAAGAGAAGCAAGAGACAGCGGCACAGCTAAAGGCGCTTCGCAGCCGAGCGAATATGCAGGGCTCGGCACCGTCCTTTCAGCGCAAGGTTATGGATGTTAACTTTCTATGTGATAACCCGCCGATTCAGGTACCGGCGAAACCCTGGACGACGGTCAGTGATGATGATGCGTTTGTTTCGCATTTGATATCGCTATATTTCACCTGGGATTATCCGTTTTATGCGTTTCTCGATCGGGACGTGTTGATTAAGCACATGCGAAGAGGGGAGCGGGAATCGGAGTTTTGTTCGCCTTTTTTGGTTAATGCGTTGCTTGCACATGCTTGTGTAAGTCTTCTTTTCTACTACGGGAAGGGTGAATATTAAATTAGTCGGTGCAGCATTTCTCGGAGTATTCGGAAGCATATGGTGAGCCCGGCGATGTGACTACCAAAGGACAGAAATTCCTGCAAGAGGCCGAATGGCACTATAGCCACGAAGCTGATCAGTTGAAGCTTACGACGTTGCAAGGGACGATGATTCTTTATGAACGGTGGATATAACCACCCTTGTATCTGCATCATTAAGTGTTAATGACAGGTAGATACTCGATCTCCGGACAAGACGACTTGGGCTATACCATGTTGAAAAAGGCAATCGATGTGGCTGTACAAATGGGATATGTAGATGAGGAGGAGAGAGAAGTGACTGAAAGGGACCTATGTGGATATTCTGATGATTTAGTGGCGTCTTTAACAAAATCGATTTGGGGGCTTTTCCAAGTCGATACGTTAGTTTTATCTTTATAATCGTCTATGACGAGGGTATTGACAGAGTCTAGGGTCTCGCATACCGGCTTCCTCAAACCAAGTCGCATAAGACATGTGTACCTAAGCAGACTTCCACGTCGATCTGTACAAGAGGATTCAGAGCCCTGGACACCGTATCCTGCTCAGAAACTTTCTCGTCCGGCATATTTCGTTACATACTTTGACGAAGCCTGCTCACTTAGTGAGATTTCGAGGGATATCTCAAACACGCTTTTCACAGATGATGAAACTCTTGATGACGACAAACACCAACTTTCTCAGACTGTTGAGTTGCTGTATTGGAGGCTGAAAACCTGGCATGAGAGTTTGCCTGTGGAGTTCAATCAGGCTCAGAAACCGGCGCCGCATATCCTCTTACTTCAGTACGTATCTCCATCAATTTATAACTACGGCTATCTGATAGTTAAAGTATACGATACTACACCATACTCATCAACATGTTCAACTGCCCGCGCGGCCACAATCACCAGTCCAAATCCGTCGACGTCAAAACACCCGTGATGAGCGAAGGCGAAGGCGACAAAAATTCCATCGCCATCTCCTCTGCGCGTGCAATCGCGAAACTCGTCAGCATCCATCAAAAGGAATACGGGATGAGCCGATCGCACATTTTCACGCTGTACGCGGTGAATCTCGCGCTCTTCATTCTTCTCGACCGCGGCGCTTTTGATATCTCCGATCCAGACTGTATCGCACTCACCTCTGCGTTTGCGGTCATCACCACTCGATCGACCCTAGGCCATAGAGTCCTGTCGATCTTCCGACACTCGATACGCAAGACAACCAAAGACGCGAGCCGCTGGACAGAGCTACCAGAAGGTCTGCGCGAGATCCTGGAAGAGGAGGATTCGACGTTCTCAGACTCAGAGCTCGAAGAGCCTGAAGCTACGGCACCTAGCCGCAGTGCCTCGTCTTCGAGTGGCACTGGCGGCGCCATCACTGACGAGGATATGCCCCTGTCGCCACTTGGTCTGAAACGACCACCGCGTTTATCGCAATCATCAAAAACACACGGCCGGAAGGATAGCGGGAGTGGCGGAAGCGGAGGATTGTGTGAGATGCTATGTCGTTATGAAGTTATGAGTTTGGGCAGAGACGAGCATGTTCGGAGGAATAGTAAAACTAGTTCGAAGGGCGGGGAGTAGTGGTTGGTTTCCTTCAAGTGTTGGATTTATGCATCGTTCTTTATATCCGGATAAATTGACCCAAATGACGATTGCTTCTACACTTATCCGCGGCGGTTTTCCGCAACAGTCAAGATGTCTATCTGCGTTCTAACTAATCTAATCTTGATCTAGACACTCGCGATACATGTAACTAGACAAATTAACTAGCTACCTTGCACGCGGTGAAAGCAACTTGCCTACGTAAGTTGCCTACCGTTTGCTTCTGGAATCATCTAGGAATTTTATACATGTACACACCAATTGATATTATTTCATGAGCCTTCGTCTTCATTGATTTACGGTATAAGCTAGAGGAAATAGGTTTATGATAAGATACATGTATACAGTGTGGAAAACGAGTGTATACCAGGACTCACAACAAAATCACTCTTCATTCTGCTATCAACCCCCTCTTTTTCGCCCTCTTCGCTCTCGTTGCTCAATGTGCTGCTATCGCTACTTCCTACCCCCTATTCGCCGACGACTTCAGTTTCCACACCCAATACATGTACACTCTTCGCGATGTCAACAATCAAGCGCAAGACCGCGCGTAACGACGAGGCCTATTCGTAGAGATCTGTTTCTGGACGCCATTGTAGCGAACGATTTGAACGTGAGCGTACTAGAAATGGATATGTTAAATCTACTCCAATGCCTACGTAGGTATCGTTTGAGACGATATCTAACGCCGAATAGCAGCACTCCCGCTCCATCTCATGTTCGCCGATGGCATCATCGTGCCTAATTCCGACAATAGGCTATGGGGCGACGCGGTATTTGACGGTGTAGGATACAGGGTATCGGTGAGTTGTGGGGGAGCGGGGATATACGTTTGTTTTAATAGAGAATGGGGGAAGGGAGGAAGTTTTGAAAAAGGGAGGATTGTTTTGTTTATTTTAATTATTTGAAAGAAAATACCAATAGGTTGTTTATGCTGCATTAAAATTATAGCATCAATCACCTCATCGTATATGATATCATCGTCATCTACTTCTCCTGTTGAACCGGCGCGACGTTGCCGGTCTCAGGGCCGTATTCATCCGCATCCAAAGCGTTCATCTCCTCCTCCTTATCATTCAGCTTGCGGAAGACAGCGAAGAAGATGATACCCGCTGAGAACGAGGCACACGCCAATCCGACAAACATCCAGAGAATAGCTGGGTCGTAGGCAACAGGAGTCAAGGCTTCGCCAATGGCAGATCCAAATGCGTTAGTCAGCAGGTACATGGACTGGACGAAGGATTTCATGGTGGGAGGGGCCTTGGTATAGGCGTATTCGAGACCGGAGACGGAGGCGAAAATTTCAGAGATACCGATCAGCATGTATGCTGGGGTTTGGATGGCAATGTGGATGTTGTTTCCTTGGGCGACGCCATTGACCTTAGAAGCGTCGCAAAGTGGTTTGTCGTAGCAAGGTCCGGATACGTAGATCAAGTGCTGAACAATGGCGGCGTAGACCATTGCCAAGGAAGCAACGCAGAAGCCCAGTGCGATACGAGTGATGGGCTTGAATGGAATGTGCAATTTGCGCATGAATGGATAGACGGCGAGTTCAAGAATAGGCAGGAAAACGATAATGGAGATGGGGTCGAAGTTTTGCATCAGATCGTTTGGAATACCGTGTCCCGACATTTGCCCAGCCTGGGTGACGAAGTTGTTGGAGAACTGGCCGTATACAACCCAGTAGATCGGGTAGAAGGCGAAGACCTGGCAGGCGATAAGGGCACGTTTCACTTCGTCGACAAAGTGGTCGTCCCAGTGCAGAGAATGGCTGTGGCCGTGCTCGGCTTGCCAGCTGGGTTTGGCCGCGTCCATGTTGAAGTGCTTGATCATCATAAAAATGGCCTTGAAGGCATCGGTAATGATCTGGCCTTGTGGCGGGCGCACAACGTAGAATTTGCGGCCCAAGACCAAAACACCAGCACCAACCAGGAACATGCAGAGGCAGAGAAGGAAGGCAGACCAGAAACCGACATCACGCTCCATATACGGAGTGGCGAGAAGGGACAGTGAACCAACGTTAATACAACCGTAGAAGATCATGTAAATCCGCTGCACTGTTACAGCAGGGTCGATTATAACACGCTCACCATTGGGGTTGGTCCTGATGGCCATCTTCTTGCGGGTATACTGGTCGGCAATCAAGGGGGCCACGTTACTCTTGATACCACCGGTACCGAGACCAATAATGATGATAGCAACGATAAATCCACCAAGACCAGAGCCGTGCTCAAGGGCTGGGGGGAGCGAAGTGAAGAGAAGAACCGCCAGACCGACGATATAAACACCACAGAACCAGGCGATCGTCTTGTATTTGCCCAAGTACTGATCAGCGATGACAGCACCGAGAATAGGAGTCACTGATATAATTAGCCTATTTCCTCACTCATTCGAAAAAGTCCACCCACCGTAGCACCAGAACTGGAAGAAAGTAGAAAGACCAGTGGCACCCTCGTGGCCCATTCCCAGAGCACCACGACCCTCGCTGCCGTCGAGTGGGCGTTGGATGTAGTTCTGGAAGATACCCTGTGTTCCATAGTAGGTGAATCGCTCGCTGAGTTCGACCACGGCGACCAGCCAGGCGGAGGCTGGCAGATGCTCGGCAATGTGTCTCAACGTGCGCTTTTCATCCTCCGTGGGCTCTTCACCATCAGGGGTGACGGCGGGGGCCTTCTCGTCGACATCAAACTGCTTGACGTCGGCGACGGGTAGAGATCCTCCCGCGATATCGGTAGTCGGGTGAGCTGCTCCCTCGACACGGTCGAAAGACTGGTGCAGCCTGGAAATTTGTTAGCAGTGAAGCAGATTTTTCTGACAAAGAACTCACTGAGCAACCTCAGCCTCGTGCTCTGCCATTGCGATCGAAGTGTACAGCGGCAGGAGGCAGAATCAAGAACAGGTGGAAGAATGTAATGAGAACAAGCAAGGAAAGAACACCTCGGGGCGCAGGACGGGGTGGTGGGACACGCAACCATTAATATTAATAGAACGAAAACGACAAAGCAGAAAATTTGCCTGTTCCTGGTCCGTGAGGGCATATCCCTCGCCAAGCTTCCTGGACAAGTTACAATAGTGGAACTGCATTTGCATCTCCATGGTTGGAGCCTAGTGGAGCGCTACATGTGCATAACTCCATCGCGCCGTCCTATGGATGGGGAAGCAAGCGGTCCCAGCCGATCCGTTCGAACAGAGTGATGGGCCGTGGTGCTGTTCGGAGTTTGGTGTTTCTGGTGTTTCTATTGTTTCCGATTAGGGCGTTCCGCCCGGCTGCGGCTACGTGCGGCTTGTGAGTGGCGGAGAGCCAAGGCTTGGCACGGCGGCCTCCACCCGCTGGCGGCACCGTGATACGCCAATAATGTAACCCAAGCTTTTTTTTTTTTTTTTCTTTTGCCTTGTTTTTTTCTCCCTTGGCATTTGAACTTGTCTTCCTCGGCTTCTAGAAGTCAGTCGGAGCACCTACGGTTCTCCTTCACTAATAGTATTTCTTTGGTAAAGACAATCAATGCTGATACGTCTATTTTCAGGCGGCAGTCTTGTCGATCCAGGGCCACCGTGTTACACACCACACACACACTGGGTATGTCCCACTGCAGATCGATTCCATCGGGATCATGCAGTATGGAGCTCATCTCGACGGTTGCATCCAACTCGCATGGATGTTCCACCTTGGCAATAGCAACCGGCCAACACAATGTGTTTCTCCAACTGCCTACGATCTCACTTCGCACCAATCCCCGGGCTGCTGATGCCATTCAGAACTGGTCCTTGATTGCCAGCTGACGCTCTGACTGGCTGACTGCGCGACTACGCTCTTTTCAAATTAATTATTGCATAATGGAAATTCCCAGCTGTCACCAAAATCCACTTGATGCTTCTTCCCCGCGACTTGTGGTCCAGCACGACTCGGGTCTGCGAGACTGCGGGGACCGTTGAGCTATTAATTTATACAGGCTTGGGTTCTTGATAAAGGCTCTAAATTAGGGAGGAGGAAGAGCCTCCTGTGACTAGCATCCACGACGAGTATTAGTTTGTTGGCCAAGCCTTTCTCTGTGCCGACAGCCGTTCTGCCAACCGACTTTGTGTGATAACTAGGGGGCCAACCACACACAAGTGGCATAAACTCTGACGTTGGAATCACACAAGCACAGATCAATCTCACGTTGTTGCATCGGTAGCAAAACATCATTGTAGCCTGTAGGGGCTGAACTGGAGTTACATGATGTGAAGATCAGGATCGCCGCACAAAGGAATCAACAATCAATCACCGGCGAGATCTGATGCGGTACTGTTAAGACCAGCACTGGGCTTGCCGAAAGGAGCTGGTTCTGACAGCCGGACCAAGCGAGCCACGGTACACAGGCCTGTCCATTTCAGGAATGTCAGGAATGTTGGACCTACCGATTAACTTACTCGTGATTGGACGAGAAAATCTCTCCTCTTTCTATCACGATCCGACAGGCTGAGATCCGCCTCGCCAATAGAATCAACCGTGATTACGCTTCGTATGCTAACGACTATCAAACCCCTGTATTCCTTAGTTCAATATTAATCCCGAGTGTCTCAGATAATCTACCTGCCAATTCTGGAAACTGCATCCAATCCCGAAGACATTCAATACTTCCCCCTAAATAATAAACCCTTAACTTTTCCATCTCAATTAAACCTACACAGCTCTCAACCATAAACCAAGGCAGTAAGATTTGAAGCACATCAAACTAGTCCCGACGAGACGAAATAAATCGAGACTAACCGATCTGCAGTGTAGTGTGCATATCAAGCATTGCTCGTGAAACATCTTCCCCATTACTGCCATTGGCCAGGCATCCGTGCTTCAATACATCCATGTCTGATATGTTGCACTCAGTTTAGTTTGATACCCTGAATCTACGTCTGCCCCATAAAATGAGGACTTGGTTCGTCTCTCTTCGATAGAACATGTGGACTATTAACCTAACCTATATCCACTCAGCCGGCCATAGAGTAGTAATAATAAAACCCCAATTATTGAATCAACGACCATCACATGACCATTCACAAATTAAACGCAAAAAGTTATATGATAGGCACATGTGCAATTGCCTGGTGTTATAAATCTCAGATCTTCCCCAAACACCCCTGCTAAGTACATATGTACTATCTATTGATGTTGGTAGAGAAATAGTAGAGAAAAGAGCATTGAATCTGGTGAAAGCGTTCAATATTTAATATTGAACAAACGATTGATGCACGACCGCATCCGTCGAAACATTATCTACTACTCACTTGGTTTAGGGATTGGCTTGCTTTTTTCTTCTTCAAATTTTATTTTTGCCAATCAAAATGTCAATGACCATGTCATGCAGTCAGTGACTCGGTATACTGATGTTGACCTGTCATAAGAGTCAATTGAAGTTCATGGTAAACTTCTAGGGCATTTGAGAGGTAGGCGGATTACTCCATGATACTCGCAGGCACCGAAAGGACTGGATGCTTTGTATCAATTGATGTTTCCTTCCCTCAAACCTGGTCATAATTGAATCTCTTAGGTAGGACTTTTCGGCCACTGTGCAATAGCGACTGATACTGATACTCTAAGGAGGATTTAAGAATATTGTTCATTCTCAGTAATGTATGCATTTGTTTAAGTTGACATGAAAAATCGTAACGACAAAGTAAAATAAAATACACACGCTGCGGCAACTTCCCTATTTTATGCGTGCTTCTCCCCGGCATGTAGACCATGTAAAAACATGTAACATGAAAAGCAATATTATAATGCAACGATGTACCCTCGAGGGAAATCAATATCACTGCATGGTATCATAGGCTCTCTCCTTCGTCCATTTTATCTCATCGATCTTCAGTATTGTATCACCACCCCAGCCCCGGATGGGCTAACCCCTTTCATGGCGGGTTCTCTTCTTGACTGAATATGGATATCGCGCAAGTAACCAAAATTCAATCAGCTCAGACGCTGAACTTAGCCTTGGCACGGGTGCTGCCACTGTGTGCACTATCAGTGTGGCCAGAGAATTCAACAACATCCGCATCCTTCAAACGCAACACTTCCTTGAACCGACGCCCAATGCTCTCGAGAACATCCTTGCCCTTGGCAGCCGAGCGACCCTCTGTGCTCTTGTCACCGGGAAGACTCTTACCAACAGTGCGAGTCCACAGGCCAACACGGTAAAATCCCTTGCGAACGTTGACCACGACGCCCATGACCTCGTTGTCATCGTCGTTTTCGAGTGTCTCACCAATCGCAGCGAGCTGGGCGTGCAGCCAGAGCTCGTCAATTGGCACGGCACGCTTGTCCTTGAACGAGTATGACCACTTGCCACCGTGTTTGTTTTGCTGGTCTTCCCATTCCGGTCGGATTCCTTTCTTGAAGAGATGGTAATCGGCTTTGAGGCCGAGTTCAGAGGTAGGACTGATATTGTTCTACAGAAAACAGATTAGAAGTTGAATACCGAGAGTGGTGCGACCGACTAACATAGATGCCCCAGAATTCTTCAACGGAGCTGAAAGTCACGACTTCCTTGAGAAGGTCGTTCCAGTTGTCACCCTAATTACACCTGTCAACTTTGTTTCGTCGCAATATCATTTATCTAGAGCCGTACCTTGCCACTCGGGGGCTTGGTGAACCATAAGGTCCATTCGTGCATCAAAGGATGTTTGACGTTGAAGTTCTCAGGGTCGTGGAAAACCGTGACGATCTCGTTATCGCCGTTCTGGGCCGCAGCCTTTTCGTCGATGACAGCAGCAGCAGTGCCATTTTCAGTGATGGTCGCCATGACGGAACGTATGCGAGATAAGATGAAGGATAGAGTGTAGAGGATGCGCGGGGGTGGGCGGTGATTGCAGAAGAATTTGTCCTGCGGCGAACAAGGAAGTAGCGGTCCACAACCAAACGATCAAACCCGCTCGAGGAAAAATCGACCGTGAATTATCGAGTAGAAAATAATCCTGCACCAGGCAGACCACAGAAACAATATTATGTGGTAGATCGTGGCCCAACGCCGAACGAATTTGCAGTTCTTCTTTGTGTCTGGGACAGCGGATGTTTGAAGCGTAGCAACTTTTAATTATGTTTTTGGCCACCCAATGGAAGGCGGCGAGGGGCGCCAAGCCCTTTGCGCGGAAGCGCCAGCAGTCATTATTTACCTTCAGTTTACATTCTTTTAGTCTTTTATTTCTTTTTATGTTCTTTATAGCGAGCAATTCACCGGTCAAATCCGCTCGTCTTATTTATATATTTGCTCGCATTACATGTGCGCCAAAAGCCTGACGATATATTCAAGAAATACAATAATACAGTACTAGACTGACAGACCGATCGCTAAACCCAAACCACGGAAGACAAGCAGAACCCTCTATCTCAGTGTATCTATAAAATAACAACACCGAATCTATATCGATATCAATCAACATTTAGGCCTTGCTGTTGACAAAGCTCAAGTAGCAGTTCCATCCTGATGTACAATTAGCGACGGTCAAAGCGAATGACAAAGTCACCGACTTACCCAAGCTGACCACGTTGACGACCAGCACCCGGTACTCCAAAGGAACAAGAGCAAAGTTGCCGAGTTGAACGGTTGACCATACACCCAAGTTGGTCTTGTATGTAGACCAGTAGGCCTTGCGCAGTTTCTCCATCGGGTCGGAGCCCTCCATAATAGACATCGACGACAGGAAACAGAACAAGTTGACGGGTGTAAAGATCAACTGATCGGCCGCGACACGAGCAACGACTGTGGTGGCTGTGTTCTTGAGAACAACATGGCGCTGGAGAACGCCGTACCAGGCTGAAGCAGCAGGGCCAAAGATTGCTAGAGCCGTCAGAGAGAAATTCAATTTGTTGACAAGTGATTCAAGTTACCTCCACCGTAGAGAACCATGCGACCTGTTCGAGCGTAATCATGCTTGTCGAAGCCCTTCTTGTCGACAGCCTGTTGGGCTAGAACATCACCGGCTCCGAAGAGAGTCTGGGGTTGAGAAGATTAGAAAGACAATCCTATTGAAACAAGATATTAGAATTTGGGAAACATACCGCGGTGGTTATGCTCGACGTGAGCAGAGGCCGCTGGGCCATCTTGGCCGCATACCTAGAAAAGTCATCATTGATCAGCAGACTTGAAATACTCTTTGGGCGTGACTTTCGTCGTACCATCGCAACATTGTGAGCGAACGTCTGTATTGGATTGGATATGTTAGGGTTGAATTGAAGAAATGTACAGGGTTCAAGGAAAATGGCTGGCAATGGATACAACAGCTCGAAAGAAAGAAAAAGACAGACAAGAAGCAATGTCAGACCGCATGACGACAGAAACCAGGTTCTCCGCCCTGATAATAGGAAGTACAAGAGGCTAGCTTGTCCTGACAAGGGGCGCAAGCAGTTCCAGCAAAGATGGAGAATCCACCGGTGGACCCCGGTGAGCCCAGTGGCCAATGGGGGATTCGGGGCAGCCACGGCCAGCGAAAAGGCGGCGCACGGGCCAGAAAAGGGCTGTCACCTGACCCCCGCCTGCTACTTTCTTTTTCTGCGCGGGATGCCCGGCCCAATGCAGACATAGGGCTTAGGGCTACGAGCTCTAGGGTTTCCGCTCGCTTAGCCCGCGGTTCGTTCAAGAATATTACTGGTGGGTCCGCAGGAGCCACACTGATTGTCTGACTGTATAGAGAGTGGACAACCTCAAAAGTCGACAACTCCCGACCGCAACGACAACCCTCGCCCTCCTACTCCGTCGATCCCTACATTGACATACAGCAATCATGGCTGACGCTGCTCCCCGACGTGGAGGATTCGGTTCTCGTGGTGACCGCGGTGGTGACCGTGGTCGTGGCCGTGGCCGTCGTGGTCGTCGCGGCGGTGCAAAGAACGAAGAGAAGGAGTGGCAGCCTGTCACCAAGCTGGGTCGTCTCGTCAAGGCCGGCAAGATCACCTCCATGGAGCAGATTTACCTGCACTCCCTCCCCGTCAAGGAGTACCAGATTGTCGACTTCTTCCTGCCCAAGCTCAAGGATGAGGTCATGAAGGTACGGCTACAATTTTTTTTATGCGGATAGAAACACCGGTCATTTTGTTGGATATAAGAAAGAGCAATTTTTTCCCCACCTATGCCAAACACGATACTGGAAGATTGCTTATTCTTAATCGATTTGACTAACCATACTCTCGGAAACAGATCAAGCCCGTCCAGAAGCAGACCCGTGCCGGTCAGCGTACTCGTTTCAAGGCCATCGTCATCATTGGCGACGGCGAGGGACATGTCGGTCTTGGAATCAAGACCTCCAAGGAAGTCGCTACTGCCATCCGTGCCGCCATCATCATTGCCAAGCTCAGCGTTCTGCCCATCCGTCGTGGTTACTGGGGTACCAACCTTGGTGAGCCTCACTCTCTGCCCGCCAAGGAGAGCGGCAAGTGCGGCTCCGTCACTGTCCGAGTATGTATTATCCCATACCTCCCACCTCTACACATACTAATTACTTGCCCAGCTTATCCCCGCCCCCCGTGGTACCGGTCTCGTTGCGTCGCCCGCCGTCAAGCGTCTCCTCCAGCTTGCGGGTGTCCAGGACGCCTACACCTCCTCTTCCGGTTCGACCAAGACCCTCGAGAACACCCTCAAGGCCACTTTCCTTGCTGTCGGTAACACCTACGGTTTCCTCACTCCCAACTTGTGGAAGGAGACCAAGCTCATCCGCAGCCCGCTGGAGGAGTTCGGTGATGTTCTGCGCGAAGGCAAGCGATACTAGACGTTTGGTTTTCCGAGGAGAAAATGCATTTTGTTTTTTTATAATGGCCGGAGCATGACTTATTTCCATCATTCCCCTAAAACTGATTCACACCGACCTGCTTCTGTCAAGGCGGGGGGTCAGCGCTTGATTGTATAGTTTACTACTGTGAATGCAAGCATATCTGATCCTGATTGACTATTTGAATTAAAGATGCGTAGCCATAACCCGAGATGGATAGACTTACAGACCATTATAATGGTGTGATCGGCATATTAATTCGATATTGAAATTCCTAGTGTCTACCGGGAGACCCGCTTTACGAAGCCGTATTTTCTACTCTTTACTTTTTCCGGCTGCGTTTCCGAAAGGTCAAAGCCTCAATACTGTTTTTGGACTACTAATCTTTATACTCGGAAATCCGCAGGTAGTACAGGCGGGATGATTTCGAGTTACCAAAGTCAGTCGATCTCCTCAAATAATGATATCATCCAAGACTTCGGAGATAAGAGGCCTCAACGAAGACCGGATAAACCTTCAAGGAGAATGCCATGGTTAATATCAATATAGAGTAAAGACGTTTATTAGGATATATATATAACATACGACGCAATTTTCACTCCAAACCCTGTTGTAAGGTTAACAATTCTAGCCCCATCATCAATTAACAATTTAATCTCTGCGTTCAAATATAATGCTATGATTTGAAAGAAGTGCGGCGTTATCCAACATTCAAACGGAGTTTAAACGAGACAACTCTCTATAACAAACCAACTTACCAGGTAAGCGACAGGGATTTGTTTTGGATAACGGCCCCATTGACAATTTCATTACGGACGACGGCTGCAGGTTCGTATTGTCAGTGCAGATATCTGGGTAACTCCGAACCACCATGTGTAACATGGTCCCTGGCTTAGGTACGACTCGAGAATTTGAAATGCTGTCCTGGATCATCTGATCTCAGATCAGTTTTAACATAGAGATTGACCCTATCTTGAGTTAGCAGATGATGTTCTTCGATTAGGCCTTGGACGAGAACGAGGCCGGTTGATGTTATTTTTCTTTATATGCGTAACACAAGCTTGCCTTTGAGTTCAGATGACTTGATTAGATTGACTGTATAAGTATTTCCTTCGATCAACCAACAGCCATATGGAAAGAAGCTGTACAGACTGGCGTTGCTAAGCAATTTATGCGACATGCTCAGGCTACAGCAGGATACTCTGCCTTGAATTTTTCGGCAGGGCACTTGGCGTGAGTGCTGACTGGGGAGTCCAGAGCACACGGTCCGCAGGCTGAAAGAGGAAGTCGCCAGAGCAAACGGCCACATCGATTGCCAGGCAATCGCGGCTTCCCTTGTTGTCTCCCCTCTCCGCACGTGTCTCGCTCTCGTCTTCTCACTTAGTCCTCGCCTTTTGCGCTCCCCATTCCTTCGCTAATCCATCCTTTGTACACGGATCAGGACTACACGCAGCGTTTAAAATGCCAGCAACGTTCACAGCAACGCTTGTCATGCCCAGGGAGACCGTTCGAGGCAAGTCAATGATCCCAACGGCCACAATCAAACGACTCTGGCGGGCTTCCAAGGAAATCGATTCACCATCCCCTGTGCAGCGTAAACAAAAGCAATCTGAAAGTCCCAATTCAGACGAATTCGCCAGATGGGCTAAATGGGGCTGGGTAAGTGATGTGAAAGAAAGTTGGGAGGACGTTGATCCCTTCGGGTCTGAAGATCCTCTCGAATGCCCTGTCACTCGTAAGACATCTTCTCTCCGGATGAGGTCTGCATGTCTCTAACTAGTCCTGTTTGAATATAAAGCACCCGAATATGCTCATACTGGCAGCAACACGCCTATCAGCTTTGATCTGGCTCATGGCATGGAGCGCAGCTCTCTTTCCAACGCTGTCATTGACCCAGTCTTCCTGGGCGAGGATTTTGCAGCATTGCTCAAAGTTCCTAGAATCCCATACACTGAGAGTATTTGGGTAGACCTCTGGATTCCCATCAAAGCTGGAGAACAAGTGATTCCACTCGATGGCCAGTATTTGTCATCGTTGAAATCATTTGCTGGGCTGAGATATTTGAAAATCAGTGGCATGCTAAAGTCCTACCAGAAGGAGATATTTCAAGCTGTCTGGGAGATGGAGTTACTAGAGGAGCTTGATTTGAGAATGGCTGAGGAGCCGCAGCTTTCGCTTGGAGTGTACTGGCGGCGCATTGAGAAGGGGTGGTCTCCAAAACGACGTGAGCCCCAGGTTTACAGGTGCCCGTAAGTAGTCGACCAGGGTATTACCATTGCATGCTTCTCACTACTATATTATTACATAGTGGTGACGGGAAAGGACGCATCAAAAAGCATTTTGGAAATGCAGAATACCTTGAAAACAGTGTCATCGAACTAGCAAAACCACGATTCGACGAAGGCACTATCGAATACGAAACCTGGGCAACACAAACCCTTCCCATCATTAACCTGACTCTGAGAGGCTTCGTCGTTGACGCCATTCCATTTCATAGCTGCTTCTATGGAAATAAACTTCGTGAAATCACATTGACGGACTGCTACGACGCCGGTTTCTATCTCCCGTCTGACATGGCTGATGATGTTCGCATCAATATCGACGGCTTTGAAACGGCGACCGTGGCACCTATCCACGATCTTCCCAAGGAACTCAAACATATCACGTTGAAAGACGGCAAGAAAGTTGACGAATACCCCGCTCACGTTGAATCGCCTCATCCTCTACACTGGTTCACCCCGAAAGAGAAACCCCTCCCGACTACTAGCCCTGACCCACCGCCATACAGCCCTGGCAAACACCCTAACCGACATGCAACCGTTGGAGGGCAGAATATTTCTCCTGCGCCAGCACCAGGTGGAAGACTGTCTCTGTTTTCCTGGCGTCGTCGCAAGGATCATTCAATTGCCATTGGTGAAGAAGACGAAGATTAATCAGTCTATCAGTCACGACTGCTTCTTCTATCCATCATCTTATTTCTCCTTTTCTATTGAATTTGAAACGACGAATCCAACTTCTAATGATTTCACGAGTAATAACGGCGTCATGCAGATCATCTTGGCCAGCTTTATTTAAAAGACAATAGCCATCGAAGTCAATAACATCCGCTTTCAATACCAAGCAACGGGTGTATTGCCTTCTTTATTGCTGCTGTCTTCTTGGCGTTTATTAGGAGCTATAGCTATTGCATATGTTGGAGTTGAAATTAGTTACGTTACACGAATGAGTATTAATGCTTTAGTAAGGCTACGAGAGAAATTACTTTCAGTTTAGAGTAACAATGCTCTAAACTAAGATAAACTCTGAATCAAAAAATAGAATTAAAGTGCATTTAGATATGGATTGTAAACTTTTGATATATATTTCCAATCTCTGACGTCGAACGAATAAAAAACACTTCATAAAGAGCATTAAATGGGACTACTGCCATTCCATCATCATCATTCCGTTCAATCCTCGCATCCTACAATCCATCCCAAAGTATCACGAGACACCACACGCCAGTCTCGAGGGACTGTCTACGCCGTCTCGCTTTCGCCAACACGAATAACACCTTCCGGACTAACACCATGGGCCCAGAAGCCGTCAACAACCAGTTGTCTATCCACTCATTAACAGTGCCCACAATACGAAAATAGAAATAGAATCCTACCCAGCGTCCTTCTTATCATGAGCCAGAATCAACCAGTACCCGAAAATCCCCTGCGTCAAGATATCATGCACCGCCCACGCGACGACCTCTGCGTCAACACTAATCTTATGCGCAAGAGGCGATGCAGCAAGGATTCTAGCCGATCAGTCTACCATTTTGTTTTGAGTAAAAGAGAGAGGGGGGGCTTACATCGGATATAGCAAAAACGTGGCCAACGTCGCGCCTGCAAACGACGTAAACAACGTCCTATGCTCCTGCGACCTCCTCGCCACAGCCCTCGACCCATTCACACCGATCTGATAGCCGATCGTCAAAAACGACACACAAACAATCGTATACCACACCCATCGCCGCTCATGCCACGCAAACGTAGCGATTAATCCGGCCACAAACATAATCAGATCCGCGGAGATGGCGACCAGCAAATGCGCGCCGCTCAGGCCACCTAGTAACCCGATGTTGATGAGCAGGAGCGGTGTTGTCAGGATCCAGTTGATGTAGCGTGCCCAGAAGATTTGCCGCAGCACTTGTTGCGTTGTGTCGGGGACGTGTGCGTGACTGTGGTGGTGGAGGGAGTATGTCCAGGTGCTGCCTTGGCCTGTGGCCATGGCGAGATAGCTGAGGAAGGAGATTGTGGTGATCAGGGCGGTTAGTGTGTGCAAGAGCCGCTTTTGCTGTTATCAGTACATGTTAGTTAGGGGGGTAAGAAGAGTTAGGGAGAGGGTGGTTGCGTACGACTCGCACGCGGGCTGCGAGGAAGTAGAACGCTAGAGATGAGACGCCCATGAGCACGACGACAACCCTGTACGTTCTTAGTACTTGCTGCATGAACTTGGGGAAGGGAAGGAGCTCTCACCATAATGTGCGTTTCCCAGTACTGTGGATTTCCTGGAACACAGGATGATCGCCTGGGAGGACCGTCGGCACTGGGCCGACGGACGAGGTAGGCACAGGCGGCAGAGGCAGTGTTGCCGTATGTTTCTTGAGCACTTCCTCCATATCTGTTCTTTTAATTTTCAGTATCGTGTCACTTATCGATGAGTTTACTCCAATGGGTGTGGATAGTTGAGGAAGAGGAAGGTGAAGATGAATGGATATTAATAGTGATCAAAAACAGATGACGAAGCTGACCAGACAACAGTGACAGATCTGACGTCGACGTTATTCACCACCTGACGCCACCAGAGCCATCTTGACAACGGATAGTGGTGCTGCTGCTTAATAGAGAATCTATCGTCATCGTTACGCGCGCGCTGGTGTATCCGCTGCAAAGCGGTCCAATCGGGTGGTGCATGACCTTTGAATTGATACAAGCATAGAACCTGTTTCGATATTGAATTTAGAAATGGAACTATGTAATTGATGATTTGACAGATTTTCAATATTGCCTAGGGATCGTCCTTTGAGATCGGCGTGCGGGGAAGGCTTCTGTTGTATTTCATATACTATATGTATGAAGTATATATATTATATATATACAACCTTGAAAACTGTCTATTTATCATGTCTAGATACAGTTACAGCTATTATACAAAATATACAGGCCGAGTAGAGTGCAACAAACAGTAATATAATTATAGTACAATCAATTGAGGTCAAGCTGTTCCGTGACGTCATGGCAGCGCACACACAATGCGTCTTCCTCTGCATCCTCAGGCACCGCATACCGCCAGCATCGCGGACACTTCGCATCCAGTGGCGCATACACATGCACAGTTGCCTTTTCCTGGCTACTCGGCAGCTCAAAGTCCGCAACATAGCTCCACTCCGCAGCTTCAATGCGATCGCGCACCTGCGTTTCCCCGCCACCCTTCATACCCAGGGTAACAGAGGATACGACGAACAGATCAGGCAATTCATCTAGATAGCGCTGGAAAGTCGACAAAGAGGCGTCGTCGGGCAATTCGATATGCACAAAGGACTGCAGCGACGACCCCATCTGCTTCTTGACCCGCGCTGATTCTTGAAGCGCTTTGAGTGCCGTGTTGCCTGCCATCAGGTCCGGGAAATCCTGGCTGAGCGCTTCATCGAACCATTCAGCAGGCGGGAAGCGAGCGACTCGGCGTAGTGGGTGCTCAATATGGCTCTTGATTTTGTCGGAAGCGTGTTCCCATGACTCTTCAACCAGGAGAGGAGTAATTGGCGCGAGGAGTTCCTGCAGAAACGTGTAAATGTGGAAGAGCGTCGTCTGCGCTGCGCGTCGACTCAAGCTGTTTTCGGCGTCTGTATACAGCCGGTCTTTGACGGTCTCCATGTAGAATGCAGAAAAGTCTAGATTGGCCCAGCGGTTTAGAGCGTTGACGGCCTTGTAGAACTCGAAGTTGTCGGAGGCACCACGGCACGCGTGGACTAGTTCTGATAGCTGTAGCAAGGCTTGGCGGTCTATCTTGCGGAGAGATGCGTAGGGGTTAGTGTTTAGAGTAGGATCGAAGTCATCTAGGGCTCCGAGCAAGAGCTTGAATGTGACGCGGTATTTGTGTAGGCTTGTGTTGACGGTTTGAAGGACTTGCTGGCCAATGACAACGTCGCGGGTGTAGTCACTGCTGGCAGCCCATAGCCGGAGTGCATCGGGGCCGAGAGCATCATATACAGGCCCGGCAGGCTGTGTTTGTTTCTTCGCGCCTTTGACCTTTTTCGGCTTCAAGGGGGGGAGAAGTGTGCCGTCCATGATGGCATCTGGGTGCATGACATTGCCAATAGATTTGCTCATCTTGCGTGCATGCTGGTCTAGAGTAAAGCCATGAGTGATCAGGTATTTGAATGGCGCGGTTATTGTAGTAATGCCGGCTGCAAGCTGGTGGGCGACGTAGGTGAGAAGACCGGATTGGAACCAGCCACGGTGTTGGTCTGTACCTTCAAAGTAGATATCCGCTGGACGATCGCGTTCAGAGGAGCATTGATCTACCTGCGTCCAACTGGTCCCGCTATCGAACCAGACATCCATTGTATCCGTGCCGCGGCGATACCGCGAGGAACTCTTTTCTCGGAGAGATGCAGGAATCCATGCAACATCATCCGGACTGTCCGTCCACCATGCATCAATACCACGGTCTTCGATGACGTTCATTACATGCGAGACACTTTCTTTCGTCAAAATCGCTTCGCCGGTGGCTTGGTCGTACAAAGCTGGTATAGGAACGCCCCAAGCCCGCTGGCGAGAGATACACCACTCGGTGCGATTTTTCACAAAATTTACCAATCGCTGTTTTCCAGAAGGTGGAACAAACTTCACATCAGCTAGGGATGCCACAGCAGCATCTCGGATATCGGCAACGTCTGCGAACCACTGCTCAGTAGCACGTATAATGACCGGTCGCTTCGATCGCCAGTCGTACGGGTATTTGTGTTGGTATTGATGGCTGGTTAGAAGCTGGTGGAGGGTGTCAACATACTGCAAAACTGCAGAATTCCCCTCTTTCAACACATCTTTGTTACTGAGTAAGCCTAGGTCGCTGGGCATGGCTTTGTCTGTGAACCGGCCCTCGTCATTAACCGGGGCAAACGCCTGTATGCCGTTCTTTAAACAAACTTCATAATCATCCATACCATGTCCAGGGGCGCAGTGAACGAGCCCCGAGCCTGAATCGGCGGTGACAAAATCAGCTGCAATGAAAGGCTGTTCCTCGACGCCATCTCGCTTGAATATCGGTCGGTATGTGGTTCGACGACATAGCTCAGAACCCGAAATAGAAGGCACAACGACCGCAAGATCCTCATCCAACATTTCCTGAAGATATTCCAGCCTCGACCTGGCGATTAACAGCTGCCCGTGCTCTTTAGACTGAACAATAATATAATCTAGCGACTCGCTGACTGCAATCGCCGCATTCGCAGGTAGAGTCCACGGTGTAGTTGTCCATATAACCGCGCTCAACCTCGACGCGTCAATCAAAGGATTATTCCTCAGCTGTTCAGGCAACTCAACCAACGGAAACCTCACAATCGCCGCCGTCGAGACATGATCATCCTTATATTCTAACTCGGCCTCCGCCAACGCCGTCCTTGTCGAAGGCGACCAATAGACAGGTTTAAACCGGCGATATATAAGTCCTCTATCCACCATCTCCCTAAAAACTGCCAATTGGTTCATCTCAAACTTCTTATCCAGCGTTTTCCAATGACCCTCCCAATCCGCCATGATCCCCCATTCTCGAAACCCTTTCATTTGCTCCTGTACCGTCTTTTCAGCGAGCTCTCGCGCAGCTTTTCGGATTACGGCGGCGGAGCTGGAGGCATTTGTGAGGTCGTTTCCGAGCTCTTTTTGTGATTGTAGAGCCTTGAGCTCGATTGGTAGGCCATGGCAGTCCCAGCCCGGCACATAATGCACACGCTTTCCGCGACTCAGTTGAGTGCGATTTATGATGTCCTTTGTGACTTTATTAAGCGCATGGCCGACGTGCAGGCTACCGTTTGCGTAAGGCGGTCCGTCGTGTAGAATGAATTCATTACTGGCAGGTCGCGTTTTGCGTTGCCAGGCGTAAAGCTCGTCGGTGCATCGTTGGAGATATTTCGATCGATCCGCGGCTGACACGCGTGCTGGAAAAGACGAGCGGGGCAGTTTGAGCGTTGAAGACCAGGAGCGCGTCATGCTACTTCATCTACTACTTGTGTAGTAGCAGGAGGCCTGCTCTTCCTGTTTTTCTTATCTGGCGAAACTGGTAAACTGCGGCGGAAATCTTGGGGATATAATTAGCTCCGGGTATTTACCACACGATACAGAGTTGGCTTAATTACGCCTGTCTGATGGGGTGAATACGTGTAAAATAAATACATGTAATGTATAAATTCAAGATTCATTCTTCTCATGGGGAATAATAAACGGAAATCAGTAGCCTCAGTATCCAATACGCCAAGCCCAGTTATATGATGAAGTGCCTTAATAAATAGTCATCGAACTGACCGCCCCGTTCTTCAACACCTCGAATAAAAGACCAGGAAAACCAAATAGCTCTGTGTTGCCTAATCCCCGAGCGCCATCTTGACCTGTTGATGATCGATGCTTACCGCCTGCACTTTCCTCCCAATCTCCAAGAAACTCTACACTGCTTTCTGGACTATCTCCCCAGCCCCGGTTTAGTACCATTCCCCGTTGGAGGGCAGCTTCTTCGGCGGATGATGAATAAGAGTCTTTCCAGACCTTCTTGAGTCGTCGAGAAATCTCATCATAGTGTGTTTCTGACGTTAGGTTACCGGCGGACGGACCTAGCAGTATTTGCCATCGGCTTCTCCGGTGTCGGTTGAAAGGGTACGAGCCAGGGACATTGCCATGAACAATAAATTTAGTAACGGTGAGTTGAGAGAATGACGCCGGTGGGGGGAGATCCGTGATATCTGAGCTAGGGAATGCAGGACCAGATGTTGTGGGGTATGAGATGAATGCATCGAATCCGTGATGGAAATAATTAAAGAAACATTCTGCCGGAAGTGACAGAGGATCGATTTCTGTAGCCCGTCTTGTCTCATCCTCAGAATCATCCGTCGGGCTGTTATTTGACGAGTGATCTGTGTCTGGTGTGTCATGACCTCGTCCTGGTGAAGGACTTAGTAGATGTCGACGGATAGCACCAGAAGCACCATGTATCGATATGCGACGGTCGTTTTTGCGGTATATTGCGTCAGGCGGCCCAAGTTCGGCTATCAAATCTTGGGCTGTTGTTTCCGAGAATGTGACCATGAAAGATGGACTAGATCGTCGGACCAGCTCGAGTTTACCAGCACCAAGAACTCGGACTTCTTCAACCTCATCTGGGGCTGTGTCTCTTCCCTTTCCAATCAATGCCTGGGACCGCGGGAACTGGGGTGGAGTTGTAAACAACTGATTGCGCACTTCAGACCATGATGATCCCTGAAATATAGCCAACGAAGTCGCCGGTGAAGCTGCAGAAGATGACAACAAGGCTACAAAATCACAGTTATCGGACCAGGCTGAATCTTGCAAAGGAAATGAGAAAGCGACGCCAGGGTACGACAACACATAAGTTCCATAAGGCGAATCATTGGCGGGTGGAATGTATTCACCAGGATATGACGGCCCAAAGAGCCTATTGTAGACATGGCGAAAGCCAGGTCCTGTCGAGGGAGAAGGCTGGTCTTGCGACTTGGCGTTTTTGACCACCTCCTGACTCTTATATACTAGAGGCGTTTTGGAAAAGTCCAGCACTTCTATGAGACGCAGGCGCTGGTCCGGTCCGTCAAATCGTAGTCGGAGCCCGTTCACAGAAAGGTTCAGTATGATGGGTTCGTTCAGTGGTTCTGTAGGGGAGTAGGCGATGTCGATAGCGGGGTAACTCTGAGGCCGAGATTTGATGCGAGTCAATACATTATGTAGTGAGCTTCCGAGCGCTGACATGAAGTCATAGCTGTTAGCAATCTAGAATTCCACAACTTCACTTCAAGCTTACTCAGAAACCCCAGGCCTTTGCCTGGAGAGACCTGCATGGCTGCTGGCGCCCTGGAGGTTGACATGGCGGAAGCCGTTTTACCTAGTCATGACCAAGAAGGAGAGGAGGCGCGCCGAGATCAAGCATACGAAAGCCCAACGTAGAAATAATATGTACTGGAAATATGTTGTAGACGCAAAGATTGTGATCTGCTGGCTCTGTGGTTGCTGTGATCAATCACTAATGCGGTCTGCAGCTGATCATGTGAAGCGTGCATGTCCCGCTGACCGATGACGCCGGGGCCGATTCTGCCGGCTTATCGCGACCGCCCTCGATAAGAGCTTCCCGCGCGCTAGTCCGTTTACGGCTTTGTTTACCTTTTTCCCAGACCAGCCACGCCCAAACAGAGACACCGCTCACACCACTGTTATGTACCACGCCTTTAGTCGACTTATCGCCTACACTGCACACACTACACACAAGCCCGCCCCGCCCGTTCGTATTGGTTTTTGAAGGAGCGGTTGGGCTGCTGCATGTTATATACAAGTATTCCTCCTCCCATCCACCACCAAGCCAGCGCTTCTGCCCTCTAGCATGCCCGTCCAGCATTCGCGGCCTGCCTTTGGGCTGGCTGCTAAAAAGCCGTCATTGCGACAGCCTTCGAGGCGCATCATCTCCGAGCGATCGAACTCGCCAGCCGATGCGCTCAAGCCGGCAAACACAAACATTATGCGCATGCAAAGATCTCCGAGTGCACAGTCTGTCGCGGGGGCCAAACGGAAGGAAAGAGACTTCGAACCAAGTGGTATCCAAGACACCAACATACACGTCGTCGTCCGTTGCCGAGGGCGGAATGAACGCGAGATCAACGAGAACAGCGCTGTTGTTGTGTCAACAGAAGGCGCCAATGGCGTCGATCTTTCTATGGGCCCTAATGCTTTAAGCAATAAAACGTATCACTTTGACAAGGTCTTCTCGCCTGCAGCAGACCAGTCGACACTTTATGAAGACGTTGTGACGCCGATTCTCAATGAGGTATTTCCCTTCCCTGCTTTCTACGACATAATATTGACGTATTGTAGATGCTGTCCGGCTATAACTGCACCATTTTTGCCTATGGTCAAACAGGTACAGGCAAAACATATACAATGTCTGGTGACATGACAGACACGCTGGGAATCCTTTCAGAGAACGCAGGAATCATCCCTCGTGTGCTATACTCGCTGTTCCAGAAGCTGGAGGAAAAGGAATCCACTGTCAAGTGCTCTTTTATTGAACTGTACAATGAGGAGCTACGCGACCTGCTGTCGCTTGACGACAAGTCAAACTTGAAGATATATGACAATGAGTCGAAAAGAGGGCACAACAATAGCACATTGGTGCAAGGCATGGAGGAACACTTCATTCATTCTGCTACTGCCGGTATCAAACTACTACGTGGCGGTAGTTACAAACGCCAAGTAGCTGCCACCAAGTGCAACGATCTGAGTTCGCGAAGTCATACCATTTTCACCATTACTACGTCTGTCAAACGAACGACCGAATCAGGCGAGGAATATATCAGCTCAGGAAAGCTCAACCTAGTCGATCTTGCCGGCAGTGAGAACATCCAACGGAGCGGCGCGGATAACAAGCGTGCCGCTGAAGCGGGCCTCATTAACAAGAGCTTGTTGACTCTGGGCCGAGTAATAAACGCCTTGGTAGACAAGAGCTCGCACATTCCATACCGGGAGTCGAAACTCACCCGGTTGCTCCAGGATTCCCTTGGAGGTCAGACAAAGACTTGCATTATTGCTAATATTTCGCCCGCTCGAAATAACTTGGAGGAGACCATCTCAACTCTTGACTATGCGTTTCGTGCCAAAAACATTCGCAATAAACCCCAGGTCAACTCCACGCTGCCGAAGAAAACATTGCTTCGAGAATACACCTTGGAAATCGAACAGCTGAAGAGTGATCTCATCGCAACAAGACACCGCCATGGTGTTTACCTTTCTGCAGAAGCGTACGAGGACATGAAGGTCGAGAGCGAGTCCCGACGGATTATCCTTGAGGAACAACGGGCGAAAGTTGAGAGCAAAGAAGCTAGTCTGAAACACAAAACGGAAGAGCTATTCGCGTTGACAAGCAATTTCAACAATCTGAAGAAAGACCATGAGGAAACGCGCGCTGCTTTGGGTGAAACAAATGACGTGTTAGAGCAAACTGAGATAGTACTGCGTGACACGAAAAGACATCTCACACAAGAGGAAACGCTGCGAAAAGCACATCAAGAGACCGAGGGCCAACTTCATGAAATCGGTACCGACCTTTTGTCGAAGCTGGACCAGACTGTAGAGCATGTCAACGGCCTGCACTCTAAATTACGTCGGAAGTCTGATCTTCACAGTCTCAATCGCGAGACCTGGGAGGCGTCGACTGGTGATGTTGTTGACGTGACAAAGCTGGTTGAAGACCGGGTTGAAGTCTTTGAAGCCCAACATAGCGCTTTGATCAAAGGCTTAACGAGTCAGATCACCGAGTTTGTTGCATCAGAGCTTCGAAGTGTGGAGAGTGGAAAGTCTCAGCTAGTCGAATACAAGTCCTTATTAGATAAGGTTGAAGAGGATGTTACGGAACAATCCGGCAAAGCTCATCACGAAATGAATGATGTACTCGAAGAAATCAAGGTGTTGAGAGAGGATGTCAAAGAGAAGGTTGGTCAAGGGTTGAATGGCCTGTCCGTTGCGGCGGAGCGTATTTCAAAAGAAGTCATCAATGAATTGACTGGTTTTCATGCCCAGGTTTGTGCATAATAATTGATACCTGGCACAATTTGCTAATTTTTTCGCAGCTTCATTCCTCCTATAGTACGCTGGGTCGAGACCTCAAGGCTGTTTTCGAGAAGACAGAAGAGCAGCTGAAGACACAAAAGGCCGAGATCGAAGAACTCTGCAGTCAATTGGTCAATGCAAATCGCCATGTCATTGAGCAAAACCAAGCGGCTTCAGTAGAAATGGAGAGGGTCCTGGAAGAGGAGCAACAGGCAGCTGAGGCTGACCGCGCAGACCTGCTATCTCAAATCAAACTATTGATCGAGGAGTCAGGACAAAAACAAATATCACGACTCAAAGGTGGTGTTGACAAGATTAAAGCTGACGTGACGAATTCGAACATGACTCTCCAACAAGCGACTGACGCATATCAGAGTGGCATGGACCAGTGGAGTGAAAAGGACACTCAACTTATGGGAGATGTCGCAAGTTCAAAGGACGAGATCAGACAACGCATGCAGAAAGACTGGGCTGTAAGTGCCGCCTACCGAGTTAAACTAACCAATCTAATATCTATTTAGGGTTTCGAACAGCGCAACGAATCAATCCAAAAAGCGACAGAGTCTGTTCACCAAGAGACAGTCCGCATTGTAGATGCCCAAATGCAGGGAATGGCAAGTCAAATGGAAGCATTAGATGACTTTGTCACTAAGGCGCGATCTCAAAACGGATTGCACCACGAAGCCCATCTAAAAGCATTTGGAAGCTTGGTCACCAATGTCAAGAACTCCTACAATTCAATGGAAGAAGGATTCAACAGTCTAGACGACCGCGTGCAATCCTTTGACAGCTTGATCACCCAACAAAAGGATAACATTTACCAATCGGTACCGCCATTCTCCGAGGACGTTCGACAGCCCCTTGAGGAGCTTCGAAAGAATATCCAGGCAGCGCCCATATCTGAATACAAGCCAACAGGAACGACACCCCCCCGGACTTCTTACGAATACATCAAGAATCTACCACAAACGGAATCCCACGATACATTGATCGCAAAACTGAAGCAAGGAACACAGCTCGCTGCAACCTGCCTCGAAGGAGAGGAGCTCACGCCACTTGCTTCGCCTTTGAAAAGCCGTCTAGGATCGCCATCAAAAACCAGGGTATACAATGACAATGAGGACGAGGTAGGAGAATCTACCACCACTGCAGCCACATCATCATCATCATCCAACACGGGTCTTAGGGAGGTCGATATAAACGTCGCCGCGAAACAACTCAAATATAACAACTCCACCACTTCGCACGAAGTCACAGCCGTTCCTACTATTGACAAGACGGAAGATGACTTCCCTTCATCCTTATCCCAACCACCGTTGAAAAAACACCAGGCCTATTCGGACAGCAAACTCCCGCAGAAAGCTCTCTCGCGGAGAACACCCGCCGGAATCCCGTTGGATGGGAGAGAGAATATCCCGCTCAGTGCTAGCACGCATGGAGGCCGTCGCCTCCGAAGCAGGCAATCTAGCGGCTGATACAATATTCATAATTCCATAATCATATATGTACCATTCGCAAGCATTACGTGGTGTATCGAGTCGTTCGATGTTGATTGTTCTCGCATTCCCAGTGTCTTGGATACCCCATTCTTTGATGCATTGATTCTTTGTTTATTTATTATTCGTGAGGGATTGGAGTTTGGTGGATGTGATGATAGTAATAAATGGAATTGATTAGTTCAATAATATATATCTTTTCAGCGGCTGGGTAAATATCAAACTTATTTGGGTCTGATTATGTTACAATCCGTCCATTCAATTCACAATCGTCACGTAAATGTATTGATCCGAGGGCCAAACGTTGCTGATATCAATTACTTTAATATCGAAGATACTAAACTCTTCAAGAATCTGAACCCAGTGGCCCTGCTGATTCCTCCACCCCAGCAGGGCCACCTTCCTCTTCCTTGCCAGGTTCATCACCTCCAGCATCTTCTTGCGTTCGACTAGCCAGCGGACAATCCCCACTCGCCTCAATAACACGTCTCAACTCAAACATGCGCTTATCGAATTGCTCCATCATCTCCTCCAACGTCTGCGTTTTTCCCTCCTTATCATTCTCTCGACCCGTCGAGAACCCCGCCGTACCCTGTATCCTTAGCATCAAGGCACTACTTGGCGCCGCGGTGTCCGGATCGTTTGTGTTCTGCGGCGTATCGAATGTCGGCGCCAGGCTCAGAGAAGAATCGAGGACCTGCCAGTCCGGCGTCAGACTATGCGCTGATGCAACCCGGTATCCGTGGCTGCTAGCCTGCTGGTGCGGTGGTTGTGGTTGTTTTTGGGTCGGTGGTGTCGAGGCTGCTGTAGTGCCTGTGCCGGCCGACGTCGCGACTTGCTCTACCGTCCCACCACCAGACAAACTGCTCGTGCGTTCCACATCCAACACGATGAAGCGTTCCTGCACGCCTGGCAGCGGCGGGGGGAGGTAGGAGGGTTTTTCGAGAGTTGGCGATTGTCGTTGCTGCGCAGTCTCAGAGCCCTCGCCACTGCTTCCCCCAAGCACGTTCTGCGCTGGCGAGTCGTGGCTTAATTCGAGTGCCCGTAGCGAGGCTTCCGTGATTAGGTCTGGGTCATCGTCTGAGAATATGTAATGGACCGTTGGATGGTGGTAGTCGGATGAATGCACATCTTCGATTAGAGTGAAGAAGGGCCTGAAGGCGGGTGGGTTGTCATCCTCCTCGTGCTCGTGCTCGTCTCCAGCAGCTTCATCGTCATCGGCATTGTATTCAGGTTGCCGCGTGATAATGGTTGTTGATGGGGGTTCATGGTCGTGGCGCTCGATAGGCTGTGGCGTTGTAGGATTGTTGCTCGTGGTCGCGAGCGAGGATGGTTGTTTAGATGGTGACGACGACAGTACCGGGTTGTATTGTTTGGGCAACGACGACATTTCCAGAGAACCGCTACGGCTACATGGTGAGGTCGTGGGCGGGCATGGTGAGGAGAGTGTTCTGATGAGAGGTATGAGTGGAGTTGTAAAGCAGCAGAGCCTCACCGGGACCGGCGATCTTGACCAGCCGGGTCATGTGACGAGTGTCAACACTGAAGTCTGATCAAAGTTGCAGTCGGAGAATTTATTCATTCATCATGAAATAGTTCAGCTTTATGCAGGGGTATCTCGTATACATCCAATAACACCAGAAATGCACCGTAAACTAAAAGTGTAAGGTAGAAACCACCGAGTCGTAACCAAGTTACGCGGATTCGTCGCTCTGTTTCCATTCGAATTCTGCAGTATATAAATATCAGCTACTCTCAAACGTTCCAAGAAGGGATAAAGATAGCTCACTTTGTCGACACATCGGACACAGTCCTTTCGACGACTCTTGCTGGATCCAAGTCAAGAGACAATGCTGTTGTACAAATCAGACGCGAACAGAGCCATCACGGCGCAGATTCGAACGAACCATGTGGAAGGAATGACCGCATTTTCCAAGCACTATGTATAAAGAAATTAGTTCGAATGTCGATTCTCAGAAAGACAAGACATACACAGCGCGCAATCATCGCCAGGGAATTTGCAGGTTGGACAGGTGCCGTCAAACTGGACGCGACAGATACCACACACTTCGTCTTCGGGCATGTTCCAGCGCCACGACGCGACGGCGTTCCATTCCTTGATGGTGACTTTCATTGTGTAGTATATTGTAGGTCGCGAGAAACAAGGTAGCGTATAACTCCAATGACAATAATAATGTAATATCAGAAAATAGAGAGAGAGATGCGACTGCGGAGGTGGGCCCGCTAGCTGCAATCGCCATTCTCGGATAAGCAGCAGTAGCTCTCTTGAATAAGTTAATAACTAATCAGCCATCCCCGCAGTCGCGATAATATCAGCTTCCTTGACAACTACTAATGAACCTCGCATAATGGCGCTTCCTCTTCTCTACTGACTCTAGTTTATTCATCATCTCCGCTATCATGACCTTTGCTGCTCTACGCTCTTCCCTCCGACCATCTCCCCTGTCCCGTCACCTCCATCGCACCATGGCATCACAGCTCCAGCAGCGCTTCAGCTCCTTCTCATCGTACCTAGTCACACCCGAGCAGCTCAACACCGCTTTACAGAACTATCCACCAAGCAAAATATCTACATCCCCTCGCGTCATTCCGCTCTGTGCAGCATGGTTCATGCCCAATGACCCCGAAGGCCGCACAGGCATTGAAGCCTTCCGCAAGGGCCATATTCCGCACGCCCGATTCTTCGATATCGACGGTGTCAAGGACGAGGACTCGCCATACCCTCATATGCTTCCCACAAGCGAGCGCTTTGCCGAGGCCATGAGCGGCTTGGGAATACACCGTGACGACGAAATTGTTGTTTACGACACTGCCGAGCAGGGTATTCTAAGCGCCCCTCGTGTTGGGTGGACGCTGCGAGTTTTTGGCCATCCCAATGTTCACGTGCTCAATAATTATAGGCTGTGGGTTGAGCAGGGTTTCCCTGTTCAATCAGGCGAGTCGGATCCCATTGAAAAGACCAACTATCCAACGCCATCCTACGATACAGACCGCGTGGTTCTTTTCCCTGAAATGAAGGAAATTGTAAAGGACTATGGGAAAGAGGGAGCGGATGAAGCGGAGATCCTTGATGCGAGACCATATGGGCGCTGGTCTGGGGAAAGCCCAGAGCCGCGCGTTGGTCTATCTTCGGGCCACATGCCGGGCTCCAAGAGTCTTTCGTTCGGCGAACTGCTTGATCCCCAGACCAAGGCATTCTTGTCACCGGATGAACTACGCAAAGTGTTTGAGGCGAAAGGGGTGGATTCGTCCAAGACGATCATCAGTTCTTGCGGATCAGGCGTGACTGCTGCTGTTATTGAGACTGCGCTGACTGTGGCGGAATTTGGAGATCCATTGAAACGGCGACTCTACGATGGTAGCTGGACGTAAGTTACCTTATTCTCACTTATTTATATATGGACGGTTCCCGTGTCTGACGTGATATTTTAGTGAATGGGCCCAGCGAGTTAAAGATGATAGCGGATTGATCAAGAAACTTTGAACATTTCCTGTATATTGCCATTGCCCAGACAACTTGTGGGCAAATATAGCAGAGTAAACTCCAATTACTTTGAACTCGTGCGAGATTGTCCATGTTGGCTCGAAGCATGTTATCAGATGCAAACTTAAAACATATACTTCACTTCACGCTTGGCATCTACGTGCTATATATAGAGCAACGGCACGTCTGTTCTATCTATAAATGACGGCACCGACAGAGAGGGTTTGTTGGTTGGGCGACATGAGTCAAAGAATTGGCAATCCGCATAATATGAAAACAGAATAAAACCAAATAAAAATAAACACATAAGGCGATTGAAATAATGCGCCTTGAATGGGTTAAATGGCAAGCCACAACAATAAATAATAATCATGAAACATGAGAAGTAAGAAGCCTGCTTAGTCACGCTGCGAACTAGGCCAGATTCGCGGCCCGAGCATGCAGCGTCTTCGGTCGACGGAAACTCCCATTCTCCAATCTGCCTTTTAAGCATATCTCCCTGGTGTCATGAGAGCGACAGCCGATGCTAAGATGATACAGACTCGCCTGTCATTCCACCCCTGTCCTAACTGTAAGTCGCCTCACCGGTTCCTTTCTGCCCACCAAACTGCCCTCAATCCAAGCGCCAGACCTGCAACCAGCGACCAGCGACCCCCCACATCACACCGCCCTCCAGCCAACCACTCGGGCAGAAAGAATACTCATCAACTGACTGTTGTCTGACTGCAGTTGTTACACCGAATTCGAAAAGCTATTGTCTTTAGGAGGCGCGGCTCTTTCCCCCTCTCCTCGATCCTTCCGAGTCCCGTTTCGTTGTCGCCCAGGACCATGTCAGCAGGCCGCAAGGTATTCCACTGCGCTGTGGACGACACTGTTTTGACCACCAACATCAGCGAGATTAAGAGATGGGCTTCGAACGGCGCAATTACCTTATTTGTGCCGCTTTACAGTGCGTTGACTAAAGCGCTCGCCATGGCAGAGTCTGCCGCTGGCGGTGGCAGTATTGCTAACAAGGTATGCAGCTCTTGACCGTCTCCAGACCCCAAAGCGCGGCGCCTCCCAAGCAGCCATAAACTCTCGCGAAGCCGTCCGTTTTCTCGACCGAGTCACTTCTGGAAAGGACAATATCCCCTCCGACCGTGTAGTCTTGCAAGGACCAATGGAGCAGTATGAGACCTGGACGGAGGCGGAGCAATTCTTTCTTCCCGAGTTCGAAGACCCAATAGACGAATCATACGAGATCCCCGACGGTGAAGTCGCCACTCCGAAGATTGAGGTAGAGACCAAGTTCAATGGCATTACCAAGGAATCGCCAAAGGGTCCCGGATTGCCCGGTTTGCCGAGTGACTTGTCGCAGATGTTACTGAGTAAACTCAATTTCAAGGAGCCGCAGCCTGTCGCAAATATCCACAACGATATGAAGTCTTCTGTATCACTTCCCTCGACCGGTACCCAGAGTGATCAGGGTTCTCGTGCGTCATCTCGCAGTTCGCGCACCAGTCCAGAATATGCGGATCGTAACGGTTCAAAGCCGGCGAATGGTCACCACCGTTCAGTGTCATCGTCGTCAACGATCCAGCCAACCCCTACATCTCTTCGCCCATTGCTTAGCTCTCTCCTATGGCGTCTGCATTGCGACAAGGAAGCCTCTGCTGCTGCACTAGGTCTCACTCTTGTTACCAACGACCGCGACACCCAGATCTGGGCCCAGAAGTTCGGAATCATGACCAAGAACATCCACCAGCTGCGCACTTCCATTCAATACGAAGAGAAAGAATTCAAGAACCGTGTCAAGTACGCCGAGAAAGCACAACATGTTACCCCAGACCCGAAACCCCTCTTCACCTACGAAAACGATAGTGAAGAGGATGAATTGGTATTTGTGCCTCGAGGCCGGGGCAAAGGTGCTTCTCGCAGCGCTGGAGGTCGCGGAGGAAGCGGTCGCAAAGCCAGAGCAGCGGCTGCAGCAGCTGCCACCGCAGCCCAACCTGAGGCTCCCGTTGAAGTTCCATCTCAGCCTATTGATCCAGACTCTTTCAGTCGTTCCCTCGGCCCTAATTCCGCAAAGCGGTCTGGCGTCGACCTGAGCACACAGTCCGGCGCTGCTCGTGGCCTAGCTGCCTCCGGCCGACGCCATGGAGGTGGCCGACGTGCCGGCGGTTCTCGCCCGCATTCGTCTCGTGGTGGACGTGGTCAGGGGAAACTATGGGTTCCTTAACCAGTGAAAGAACACGGCTTCATTCCCCTGAACGAAGTCAAATTATCTTGTCTAGATCAATTCAACAAGGGATATCTTTCCACGAAGGTGAAATCAACAAATCTCAAACGGATGGCATCCTTGTCTATGACGGTTGCACGGCTAGCCTGTTTACCGGGATCAAAGAACATCCAGAAAACTGTATGTCCGAGCATCTTCAATAACATGACAAGCGGGAAGATAGATCAAAGTCTTTTTTCATAGGGCCGGAGTAGTTCCGAACATGGACCGTCTCTGTTCGTCCAGCGCGAGGCTGTTTTTCATATCCGACTTTCCTTTCGTACCACCTCATCTTGGGCGACTGGGGCCATCCTTTATCATCTGGAGGGCCATGGAACGAAAACAGTTGATTTGACTTTCTTCTACGCTAGTCTAGTGCTAGTCCTGCTCTCTCCGTTCTATATACCGAGACGAAGGCTTTTCCTCCATTTTTTTTGTTATGCCATGGCATGATCCACGAGAAGCAGTTACTGTTAACTGCAATTTTTCGGAATATCTTTGTCATGTGCAGTTGCTTTTTGATTATTATATTTTTCCTTTATTGTTGCTGGTTACTGAATGTCATTTCTAGCTAGTTGTGTATGTGACTGTCGTTTTGCATTCCTGAATGTAGTTGTAGTATGTAGACCGTAGAGTAGTACAAACCCGCGAGTAACATGAAGAGCCTGATACTGTTCATATTCATGTGTTGTATGAATTAGGAACACTCTTTATGGCGGTACCAGTTTTGAATATCTTGTTCGTTAGACTCCAATGCTAATCGTCATACAGGTGGATTCTAAACTACCTTGGACTTTCTACACTCCTCTGCAAGGCGCTTATACATAATTTAGAAGTACACCATCAGCCGATAACATATCATCTAGTTATCATTCCCATCCTCCAATTGAAACCCCCTTCTTTTGACCACGTTGTAACTTTCCATAAGAGCCATCATCTTATCCAATCTCTCCTCATATTTTTGCATCCGCCCTTCATAATTCTCTAATTTATGACTCAACCTCTGATTTTCCTGCTCTGCCAATAACCGCAATCTCCGCTCTTCTGCGAGTTCCTCAAAGTAGCTATTATTATTCGCTCCAGTCCGCTGGTTGATTTCCCCACCGCTTCCACGACTGCGTTTCTTGGATTGTAAAGTGCTTTCGTGTGTAGTAGCCTCGTTTGTGACGGTCAGGGTGAGAGGAGGAGCACTGGATCCAGCTGTTGATTTTGTACCTAATCTTGCTACTGAGTCCTGCCTATGTGGTCCACGGAGATGCTGATCAAAGTGATCTTTGCGATAGAAGCCTGAGCCTGGTTGAGAACGGCTGCAGGCGGGGTAGGGGCAGAAGTATTTCTCGGTTTTGCCATGTTTGGAGTTTCGAGGTGATACATGTATAGTCTGGTCACCATTTCGTGGCCGGGGGTGAATGAGAGATGTATTAAGTTGGATAGGAGCTCTAGACTCTATTGCTTCTGCCCGTTCAGGTTCTGATTCTTGGATTGTTCTGGCAGCTTGATATGAAGTGGATCTGAGAGGGGAGAGCTCACTGGGCTCGGTACCTAGGGGATTGGTAGTTTCTGCAGTTTTTGCAGCTGACGAAGTCGGTAAGAAACTTAGAGATGTCCCCGTACGGTAAGTAGCAGCAGGCCCAGGTACACATAGCTGCAGTTGCTGTTCGGGATTCGTTAGGTCGAAAGACTCAGTCAACATGGATATGTCGTAGGCAATATCATTAAGACTGGAATCGAAGACTGGAAAAGGTTAACGCCGTTTCAGGTAAGAAGGGAAGAGAGGGAATAACCCGTAGATGGGACGATTGAATCCACATCGTCGAACAGCCCAGCCGTGTTACTAGCCGTTGGAAAGATCCCCTGACTCCAGTCCCAATTCACCTCGTCATAGAACATCCAACAAACACCCCACAACACCACCAAAGCGGGCCAGATCGTCCATGGCATTGTGGTACACGGAGGTCGAAGTCTGTTAGGAAATTCTGAAATCGAAAAGTATAGAAGGTTGAGGTATAAATCCTTCTCCCATGCAGTGAGAATCTTTTCTAGTTTGAGGAGAAGGTGTTGTAGTTGAAGAAGGATTCGGTAGAAGGCTTCCCAGAGATCCATCAAGCCAGTCATATCCCGCTTGTCTCCAGTTTGCTCTTCTGCATAAGACACTTCGAATACTCCAATCCACCCAAGCTTTAGGAAGTGCTGGACTTGGGAACCCGACTTTTGGAGCTCTTTTCTTAGAACCCTGAGGTCTACTTCTTTTTGATGGGAAACCTTTTTTATGCGTGATAGAACTAAAAAACAATACCATGACAAGTTAGATTCTAGGTCTCCATCGTCTGATTGTCTATTAGCAATAAATTTCACAGTCACTATAAAGCTTACGTAGATCACATCTATTCTTATGTAGATCACATATCCTCTTCCAAATGGCGTTTGAGAAGTAATCCACCGGCCTCCATTCTACCCATTCTGACAGGCCATTCAAATGTTCCTGCATAACTGGGACGAGAGTAAACGGAGAAATTAAAAAGATTTTTTGATTTGCTTTGACTCTACCTTTAGCAGGTTTATATGGTAATTTGGGAAATATAGGAGATGGAGGACTCTACATTTATAGCCTCGTCAAACCCAATCGACTTAGGGCGGTAAGGCGGTAGGGCGGTCGTGTGGTCGTTTGTGCTATCCAAGGTGATAGCTAGGGCGGCTGTGGAAGGTTCGTGCACGCAGAGTCGTAGCCGGATTGGGCTATCTACTGCAGCCATAAGACTGACTGCATGGGCGATACTTCGTGTTATCTTGACCGAGGCCACTCGGATACCTTGCGATTTAGGCGGCATCTGTATGTGTGCCTGACAGCCTGATCTTACGATAGAAGAACAGGCTACTCACAGGTTGTCAACAATATATCAATTTTTCTATTAGTTTTCACTGTACCAAACCCTCTAGCCAGATAGGGAATAGCGTTAACCCTTCAGAACTACTTCTAATCGTCACAAAGGGGCCTACGGGAATGTGGTAGAGTAAATAGAGTAGAATTGCATATCAGTTGTGCGATTAAGGAGAATATTAAAAGACATAAAATAAAGCTAATTTAGATTTCCTTACGTATCAAATGATAGTTTTATAAAACTCCATGTCTGAGCTCACAGGATTTGTCTTGTCGCTCAGAATCACAGAACAACCAGGATTCCAAGGCCAAAATATCGAAATTTACACTGATAACCAAAGCTCCCTTCAAACCCTTCAAAATCCACACACAATTTCAGAACAGTACATCATACAACAAATCATCAAAACCCTTACTGCCTGATAATCCCAGTCCCCAAGCAACAATATCCACTTTTACTAGATTCCCTCCCAACTCAGAAGCCTAGGGAATGAAGAAGTAAACTCAACAATCAAGCACACAGCAGAATAGAAAGTATTTAACAGAAAAAATACTCCTAATCTAAACAGTAAAGAACCAGTACCAACCAAAACAGCAATAAACCACTAGATCAAAACTCATACCAAGAAAGCCTAAAATATAGCATAATTCAACAGCAACCATAAAATAACACTACAATAATAGCTTCCAATCCTATCTAAAACATCCAAAAAGATCTACACCAAAATAACTCAAAATTAAAATACCACCATAATCCAACTACATACAAGAAAAATTATATTTAATAAATACCTAACACATATTAATATAATAGATTACAATCAATACCACCTCTATAGAACCTTCACAATATTAACCATCAAAGATATATTTCTCAACTATATAGCCCTCAACAACGTACAACAATCAATATAACAAAGCAACAAATCAGAATACAACTTCCCTAGTAATACAAAAAACCCTTTTATATAATCAAAAGCATATACACAAAACAGCCCAGCTAGTTCTTAAGTTGAGACTTATCTCCTATCTTATTAACAAGCTAATATTATCTTCACAATCTATATCTACCAAATCAACACCTAACAGACATACGACACAGACTATTACAGATTAACTACTTTTAATTTTATCTCCGATTTCTCAGTACGTTTCTCGCCAGACATAGATCCATTCAATGAAAAAGCAGCTGCACGGCATAATATACCACTTAGGATAGAACTACACAACCTACCCTAAGCATCATACTGACATGAAATTGAAAAAAAAAAAAACAAATCTTCTTAATGGCATAGAAAATTACTAATCATTTGAAATCTAGTATATAAAACATATATAAAAAAGAAGAAAAAGAATACTTACTACGAATGATAAGCTACATGAGATTACACTGAGAAAAATAAATAAATTATAAAAAAACTTAATATAAGAGGATATATATAAAAACAAAAAGAGAGAATAAACAGAGAACGTTCAAAAGCACCAACTGACAAAACAAAAATTGATATTCATTTAGTATATAAATATATTAACTAATTAGCAAACCTTCTCTAAGGCAGCTACACAATCACTATATATAAAGCATATAGATAGATCTCAATACCCTGACATATCACTAAAAAGAAGCCTCTAGTATTAATGTAAGATTACAACAACAACAACAACAATATGTACATATAGAGAGTAAAGCGAAGACCTGTGAATTCCCTTTTATGGCTGGGTTTGCCGTTTTGGGTATAGTCTCCCGATGCGCCCGTCTTGTAAACACCTCCCACATCATGACCTCTACTATATAAGAACCATCTCCTCGCTGTCCTAATCATCCTCTCTCCCAACTTCTTCTTTCTCTCCAATCCTCCCAAATATTCCACACTCTTCTAGTCACTGCCGTCGTTTCATCTGCCCCCTATGGCTACTACCAACCCCCCTCTCCTTTTTCCTATCAGAATTGCGGCTGTACCTCCCCCTGTCTTCTTGTCTCCACTTCACGGTTTATATAGACTTTCTTACTAATAATAGTATAAATGGAACAGAACTTATTATTCTATTTCCTTCCAGAATTAAAAAGTCTTAGTATCAGCTCAAACAATAATACCACAGAAGAGGATGATATACAACATCTAAGTCGCGCACCTGAAAGAAGCATATAAATTAATACCTAGCCAGATCAACTTACTTCTGACTCACAGGAAGATAAAAAACAGCTTGTTATAGGCGCTCTTGAAACCAGGCACACTGCTGTACATGACCTGCCCTTTCACAAGTCTACCCCAGTGCGTTCGTTACAGCTGCAGTAAGGAGACAAAGACAGTTCGAAAGGGTGACTGTTTTGAGACGCAGTGTCAGTATTTTGACTACGACGGAGAAGTATTCGGCGAATCTATTGAGACTTTGCAGATTGAAATGTTCTCCGCGGCCCGCAGGATCGAAAACCTCCCGGCGTATCGATTGGAATTCCACCCTGACCCGGAAATCTGGCCGCGCCTTGTATCCGCCGGTGGAAAGTTCGTACCACTCATTGGCTGTTACCATAGCCAATATGACGGAAATATGTTCGTCCCACATAAGGATCAACTGGTGAAAGCCCACGTCGGTAGCAGGATCATGATCGACGCGCAGCAGTTCCGGAAATGGAATCCCAATTATGCAAGACTGGCGATGAAAAAACCTCATACCGATATTAAAGAATAAGTAAATTACTAGATCGTTAGGTAGGAGTAACTTCTACACCGTACACTATGAGACTATTTATATCAACCTGTCTATGAATAGTCCACCGTGTACTCGGCCATCGCCCACATCTTCTTCACCGGATACTTGGTCTGGCTCTTGTTATCCACCTGTAGAGTCCACGTCGACGGCAGGACCTTGTTGACCTTGTCCGCCGTCAGGATTAAGCAGTCCTTCAGCGTCGTGTTGTCAGGCGACCAGTGCTTGATCGAGTCGAGTTCCTTGATACTCAGTGCAGTCGCCAGATCACCCAGCCTTTCCGATGGCGTGAGAACGAGAGAAATCTTCTGCACGGTTATCTTATTCGCCCCCCGAGTCCAGAAAGGTAGCAGTCGATTGAAATCGGCCAGGACCATAGACACTGACGGATTCGTGCCGCTGCGTAGCTGGTCCCGGAAGAGGATCCAAGGACTGGCAAAGTCGGTGGAAACGTCCACAAGCGTACAGGGATGGCGAGCGCCGGCCGCGGTAGATTTCAGCTGTTTCTTTGCGGCATTCGTTGCTGCGGTCTTGAACTGGGACCTGGTACTGCGCACGGCCGTGTACCGCAGCTGGAGGACCACGTCAGCGATGGTCCCGTAGTCGAACTGCCGGATGGGGTTGGGGAGTTCCAGAGACCAGGTCGAGATGGCGCCAGCACCTTCAAAGGGGAGGTACTTGTTGCCCTGGAAGGCCAGGTTGAACTGGCGGCTGTCGGACTGACCCGTCGTTACGGCGATGGCCATGATGGGACTGTGGTCGCTGCGGAAACCGTCCGCCGTAGAGTAGTCGTCGCCGCTGGTGGCCGTATCCGTAACACGATAGGAGGACGAGTTCAGGCTCAGGGTGCAGTTCAGGTTCTCAAATGGGCCGGCGATGCAGGGGATCTGGACGCCCACGGAGACGATGCGCCGGCAGTAGTGGCCAGGGAAGTCGAGATCAAACAGGACCTAATGAACCGCGTTAGTCACAAGTTGTTGAAGCATATATCCATCCACCCGGAAGGGGAGAGAGTACCTCTGGAAGACTAAAGGTTGCGATTCCCCTTTCACGCAAGGCCAGCAGCTGCGCTGGATCCAGCTGGCGTAGGGAGATCTTCTTCTCCATCTCAAAGTCGAACGGCTGGCTGTTCATGTAAGCCATCTCGATGCGATCGAGATCGAGCCCCAGCATCGCCCCCGCCAGCAGGCCGTCCCGGCTGCTGTCCCAGTATCCGGCCCCGGCTGGTCGCAGGTAATAGTTGCTGTCTCGTGGGTTCTCGAAGCTGTAGGCCCTTTGCAGCTTCTGCGCCAGGTCGGCCGCCAGCTGGTAGGTGTCCTGGTAGAGGCTGCGGTACTGATTGTCCAGCCAGTTGTAGAGCTCTTCATTGGTGTATTTGGACTGCAACCACTCCAGGACCTCACTGGCGTTGTCTATCTCCTTCTGCAGCGAGGCCACCTCGCTATCGATGCGCTTCTGCATGGCCTTCTGCACCTCGATCTGCCGGTCGACGACCTTGATCTCGCGGCCGGCCTGGTTGGCCGCCTGGCGCCGCTCCTGCAGCTGGCGCATCAGCTGGCCTGTCCGCCCCGCGCTGAGGCCCTCTTCGCGGACGATATCGCTGCCCTGCCGGATCCCACTGGCGGTGGCCTGCAGCGTCCGCGCGACAATGCCCGTGCCGACTTCGGTCGAGACGCCGACGCCCAGGGGCTCCGCCTGGACCGTCACCTGCGGGATGATGAGCAGGGCGGCCGCGATAGTATCTAGCGACGCGGCTCCCTGCCCTAGCAGCATGGCCGTGAACGAGCTGTCGATCTCTAGCTTCTCGTTTGGCGTTACGCGGAGGCTGTCAGTGGAGGGGATGTCGATGTTCTGCGGGATATCGTCCCACGCGGTGTCGGCGTCGGGGATCCTGTATGTCTTATTGTCACCTGTGAGCGCCAGGTAGAAGCCCAGCCGGGTCTCGTGCGCGCGGCGCGTCTCTTGCAGCACAGCGATAGTCCTATTCACTTCATCCGTCTGCAGTTTCTTCGTCTCCAGAACGAGCCGCTGGACGGCCTGGCGCTGGCCCGTCGACAGGGCGAACAGGGCTTCGGCGTCCTTTTTCTCTCGGATGCCGATGATCAAGGCTTCCATCGACCGCAGCTCGTCCGTCAACCTCCGGGCCTGCTGGAGAAGCTCCCGGAATCGATACCGGGGAGTGGCCTCGCCGTTCAGATCAGCGGCGAACCCGGACGGGCTGATGCCGGCGCCCAGCGCCCGTTGTAGTTGACCTGGGTCGATAGGAGGTGTAAAGAGCGCCCGATCCTGAATATTGCCGTAAAGGTCCATGTTATTCCGGATCTTGAACAGCCGGTCGTCGATGCGCTGCCGCAAGGCGAGGATCTGCATGTTCGCCGGCACGCAGAAGTAGCCGGTCTCGATGTACGGCACGTTGGTCTGGCTGTCAAGCTGGACAGCAGACTGGCCGCGTTCTTCGACGTCCGACTGGAAGGGGAAGTCCAGTTCGAGGTCGACCTTGGGGTTGGGGTTCTGGTCAGCATCCAGCTTGACGAGTTGGTTGTAGGTGAGCACCTGTCGCTTGCCCAGCGACGGCATGGGCACCGGCGCCGGTCCAAAGACGTGCGAGGCCTCGATGTACCGCTGCATCGCTAGCGGCAGCACCTCGAGCGTGTTCTGGCGGAACCAGGCGTCGCCGGCGTCGAGTAGGATCTCAATGTACTTCATGGCCAGCCGCTTCATGTAGGCGATGGGGTGACCGCGCGCGGCCGCATGTACATTCGCATGGGCATCGGCCCAGTCGGCCAGCGCCAGTCGGTCCTGCTCGCTCGACCCAAGGGTATCGTCTGGAGGCTGCGTCGTGTTGTGATCGCGGAAGGGAGGGAAGAGCCAGCAGCGCGTCAGGTCAGTGCCCTCCATGGTCGGATCAAAGGCACACCGCGCGACACGGAGAGCCAGTTCGTACTGGCCCGTCGCCTGCAGGCGCTCCATCAGGAGGCTGACGGCGTGGACGCCCGTCTCCCACTGGTACAGCGCGTGGGAGCGGGCGAGCTCGTGGAAGACGCGGATGCTCTTCGACAGACCCGACTGCCCAAAGGCGTTGGGATAGTAGCCCTCGGGGAGGTTGGATAGGGTCTGAAAGATGTCCTCGAAACCCGATCCCAGCGTGGCCGTCTCCACGAGGACCGGCGCGACGGGGTTGCTCAGCAGCTCCTGGGCGAACGGCAGCCGGTATTTCTGTCGATCGCGCGCCAGATACTGCGGATAGGCCAGCAGGCTCTGCACGCCGTCGCTGGTGGAGGTCTCTAGCAGCAGGCCCGTGGGCCGATCCCAGTTGATCTGGTCCAGGCACAGCGTCCAGCTGTAGTTGGAGCTGCTGGCGGGTCTGCCGGTCTTGGCCAGATATAGCTGCTCGCTGGTCCCGTCGTGAGTTATTGAATCCTCCGAGGGCACCGTGTCCTTGCTGCCCGCGTTGACATGCCATGAGAGTCGCATGAAGTCCGTCGGCACCGTCTTCTCGCCCGAGGGAGTGGCATTGGCTGGGTCCAGCACCAGGCGAGGGCCTTGCATCTCGTAGCGGCCCAGGGCTACGGTTGTGCAGCCGTCCAGCCCGGTGCTTCCAGACTTCTGCTGCCAGGTCTCGACCTCGATGGTGAGGACATTGAATTCCTCTTTCTTATTGAAGGCTGACGGGATCTTGCGCGTGTTGGTCCAGAACCGGAACGATCCCGCATGCGGCAGGACCCCGTTGGTCTCATGGATCTCCACGACGCCCTGGGCGACCTGTTTGGCCGTCCACTGGCCGTTGCGCAGCTCCGTCCAGCCCATTGAGAGCTCCCAGTAGTGGCTGGACTTGAGGTCGCTCGGCTTCTCGTTGGCCATGGTGGAGAAACTGTCATCGGTCTTCCGCTGTTTCTGCAGCGTCTTGAGGGTCAGATGAGGCAGGAAGAGATACAGACGCCCGTCGATGTCAGTGGGACGCCGACGGAAGATGGTCGGGACCAGATACGTGCCGGGGCGGTCCAGCTTGCGGCCGTCGAGGTCGACGTCCTGCGGGATGATGCCGACGTCTAGCATCGTCCACGGCCGCCAGAATACATAGTAGGCGTCATAGGCGCCGCGGAAGTCCACGCGCCGGTAGAAATATCGATAGGGGGTCGTACGCGTGCGGGCGAAGAGATGGACGCCGCCGATATCGTCCTCCACGGCGCCCTGGCCCTCGGCGACCTCCCGGCGTTCCCACAGGTACGTGAGCAGCTCCAAGTGGGCGACCTCGTCGGCGGCGTAGATGTACGTGCGGAGGGCGTCCTCGATGGAATCCGGCGTCAACTTGGCCCGCAGCACCGTCGATTCAAAGGTGCGGAACTGCTCCGACTTGTCGTCGCGCAGCGTCGGGTCGATCCAGTTCTCCGGGTGGAGGAAGGCCTGGCGGTTAGCCTCCCACAGCCGATAGCGCAGCATGTAGTCCCAGTCGTCGCGTGAGACAGCCGAGCTCTGGACGCCGTAGTCCTGCTCGAGGCCCAGCATGCACCTCTGCACGTACAGCTGGACGGTCGAGATGGCCTGCTTCAGCCGGGACGTCTTCATGCCGGACCCCATCTGCACGTCGATCAGAAAGTGTTCATAGAGAGAGTCGGCGTCGAACAGGTTGCGGTCCTGGATGGACTTTTGCTGCAGGAGATACGCTACCAGAGCGGCCCGCTGGTGCTCTCGCAGCTGGTCGTTCGCCGCACGCAGAGAGGCGGTAGTGGTCGCTTGAGAGTGGATGGCCTGCCGGAGCGCGTCCGCGTTGGAGAAATCCATCATGGGGATGTCTTCTGGGTTTGTAGCGGGTGCGGCGATGCTGTAAAGGAGGTTGCTGGAGAGCGCAGGGATGGCCAAAAGTCGAGATATCGCCTTGACAGCTCCCCGGATCCGCTCGAGACTGGAGAGGTCATCCTGACCGATCAGCTTAACTAACGCGGTATCATCGAGACCCTGGTAGTGAGCCCCGCAGATCTGCTTGACGAGAGCCGTATCCCAGCCCCCCAGTCCGGCCAACCGTGGGACGAGCTGTTTGGGATCATCGGGGTTGGCGAGCCATTTGCGAAAGTCCAGCAGTGCGGACAAAGAGGAGGAGCGGCCCTTGGGTGGTGGGAACGAGTCCCGGAGGTCCGTATACAGCTGCAGCTCCTCGAGCTCGGCCATGGACACGCCCTGAAAGGCGAAGTTGGAAGCATCAGTATGGAAATAGTGGACTTCCTCGACCGCTAGCTGGTAGTTGTGCACGAGCTGGCGCACCTGCGCGAGGCTGGACAGGACCACGCTGGCTGTCTGAACGGCGGACCGGTCGACCACCAGAGCCGGCGTGAAGGGCTGTGCGGCATCCAGCGCTGTGGTCTGCCACTGGAGTTCTTGGAACTTTGGATCGAGATGTCCCTCCCAGGTGAACTGGTACGATTGGCCGTTGAGCAGTCGTCGGGGGCTTGTAACATACCTCCCCGATTGTTTGGAGAAGGCAACCTTGACGCCGTCGATCGATAGACTCCTCTTGGACCCCGCCTCATCGGTGACAAAGGTATATATCTCGGTGGACGGAGGTAGGAAATAGCCCTGGAACGGAGACTTGCTGATGTCGGGAGGAGCTAGCTGGATGAGAGCGGCGATGGCCGGATGTTGGCCATCGACGGTGAGCACGTCGGAGAGCATGAACTGGAGGATCTCCGCGTTTAGGCCCGGGAACAGCGGCTGCAGGATCTTGCAGATCCTCAGCAGCTTCACTTGGTATGACTGTCTCGCCTTCTGATCATCGTCATCCGTCCCCAGTCCAGGGCTGGTGTTGCTGGTGATGATCTGGACCACGGTCGGCACTTCCTTCTCGACGGTTACCCCAAACTCATCAGCGGATTTGTTATCTGACCGGCCCTGAATCGCAAATGTTTGCATGATGAAGTCGAGGCTGTCGAGCGTCCAGCCGCGAGCCGTCAACGCCGTGAATCTCTGGATGATGTCGATGGTCGCCTGCGGGCTCTCGAAGGGATGCAGCTTGGAATAAAGGGCACGGAAGGTATTATACTGCTCGGGCCTGATCTCCAGCAGCCGACAGAGAAGGGATTGGCGGTAGAGTTGCGAGATGCTGGCTAGTGACAGCGTTTTCGAAACCCTTGTCTGGAGGCCCGCAAAGCCCGAGGTCGTGAGCTGCAACGCAGACTGCAGGACGCCGGCACAGCTGGCCAGCGTCTGATTCGGCTGTTTGAGATTCCCGTCCGCTCCAAGCTGGAAGACCACATTTTGCGGCTCCAGTCTGGGGGTCAGGAAGAGGCGTGCGTAGAGGGAGGACGATCCGTTCGTGGGTATATCCCCCAGAGGGGCAGCAACTCGACGATGGGGAGGTTGGCCATCTTCGAGAGCTGTTTGACCCCCGCGATGCCAGTGATTACATCCGGCGTGATGACATTGCTGTTGTTTTTCGAGAGGATCGTGATGGCCGCGTCGGTGTCCGGGATCGTCCACTGCAGCTTTTTCCACAAACGTATGAATGCCTGCAGCCGGTTACAGATATCTTCTGTCAAGGGGTTAGCCGGGTGGTTGCCAGGAGATTCAACATAGCGCAGTCGCATGTCGTCCAGTTTGCCCGAGAACTGTGTCTCGCCATTGGGCATTTCGATGACCAGATGTTCGCCGAGATAGCGAGTATTCAGTAGGGCGAGCAACTGATTGAAACTGATCTCCGCACGGGGTAAGAATTGGGCCTTGATGAACATGAGACCGGTTGACTTGGTTTCATTGGTAGACAACATCTCCTCTTTCGTTTGGTATCCCCAATAGGCGGCAGTAGGCTTGAGCCCGATGCGGTCGTGATAGTCATTGGGGTTGCCTAAGAAGTCCCGCGTCTGGATGGCTTCTCCCGTGATGATCACGTATTCTTCCTGCTGGAGATCTAGGGACTCCGCCGCCGCAAACCGGTCCAACACGGCAGCTGCCTGCTGGGTTGACAGAGATGAGGAGGAAGAAGAAGAGGAGGAGGAAGAAGAGGAGGAAGAGGACGGAATCAGTGAGATTAGCCGCTGTTCGGAGCGAAGCGCGACTACCAGATCCGAGCGAGTCGTTCCCAGAGCGTGCAAGAAGTTTCGGATGCTATCGATGGCCTGGTTGTAGGGAAACCGGCTCAGAGGGAACACCATCGGTTGGATGATATCCCGATAGACAGTATAATTGACGTGCCGCGGCTCGGTGAGGTCACCGTCGCTGGTGTCTTCGTCGTCCATGTTGAAGGGCTCCTCAACGTCGAGGCTGGCATGCTTGACGACTGACTCCAGGGCCTCGTTCACCAGGTCGATGTACGGCAGCTGCACGTTGGTGTTGGCGCACGACAGCTGGAGATCCCCCAGGTCAGGACGGCGGTCGAATAAAGAGTCTCGGAGAGTCTTCGGGTTGCCTGCATCTTTGGGATCGACCAGCCACTTATCCAGCTGCTGCAGCATACTCACGAAGTAAGCCGCGGGGCTAGTGATAGACGAACAGTCGGCGCAACCCTCCATCTGCATGACGCTGGGGAACATGTTGCCGATGTTGATCTTGGTGTCACCGCTGCTGGGGGTCTCGAAGGATTCAGCGCGAGAATGAGGGTGGGATGATTTTGTCAAGGCCAATGGAACTTCAGTCTTCTCCTGCAATCCCTTGACCCACAGCCGTTCGTTCCGGCGATGGATGCGGCATGCCTGGTGATAGATGCGCTGGGCTGACTCGGGGCTGATGCCAGAATTAGCCACGGCGGAGGTAAACTTCTCCAGAGACTTCCGTGAGATGGTTGCAGCTGAGTATATGGAAGCTTGGATAAGCTTGATGATATCCAGGGGATCCGTAACTACCGCTTGGAGGCGCTGCAGCACGGCAATCAAGCCGATGACTCTGGTTTGGTTTGGCTTCGGAACCAGCTGGAGATACTGCGGGTCATTAAGATACGGACGCACAGAGTGCCTGGAGATGTCGAAGTCTACGTCAAGCAATCGCTTCATGAATGTTCGCGCGGCAGAGAGGACAGCTTTCTCTTTCTCCGGGAACGTCGTCTGGACCAGCAAGCTGTAGATCGTCGCAGTGGATTCCAAACCCAACAGACGACTACGGAACTTCTTCAGGACGTATTCGGGATAGTCGCCGACACCCAAGGAAGAGGATCGGAGAGCAACATCGCGTATACTGTTGGCATCTCGGTCGGCCAGCAGATGAGACAGGAGGTCGACGTTGTAGGTGGTGCAGGACAGTAGTTGATCGATGAACTTGAGTTGATTGGCATCGGACCCAGGCACGGTGGCAGCGACATTCTGCAAGGCCAGCGAGAGGTCCGTCTCTCCCTGCTGGACTTGAGTGAAAGCCCGTCTCAAGGAACTGGACACGGAGGGGAACCTCTTGGAAAGGAGAGGAAGGAGCTGGAGGTCGTCGGTGGCAGCCATAGCTATTGCAGAAGTACAATGAAGTTAGAATGAACAGACGGAGATGGAGGAAGGATTGACCGGGCTGTGATTGTAACTGATCCTGAATTCATTTTTCTCTCTTCCTTTCTTCTTCTTCTCTCTCTCTCTGTGTCTGTCTGGGTCTGGCTCTGGACGCGTCGATATCACGATCCAATACGTAAAGCGTTCCGTACAGACACGGTTCATACGGTACTGGGTAATTCGGTAACCGAACCACCAGCAACTCCCATCAACTACTACTAGTACTTAGTACATACTCTGCGCTACTAGTTACTACTAACCAGGTAATGTCTCTCGGCTATATTCTACGGGGTAGCGCTGGTTGGCAGCTGCAACGATTAAAAACAAAAATAATCAACAGCTTTCACTGGCTCTTCCCCTTCTTTCTAGGTCTCCACCTGCTGTCAAGAGTTAGTAGTGATCGTCTAGAATCCAGGGCGCATTACCACGAGATCCCACTGGCTCAAACAAAGGGAAGCCAGAACATCGCTGGCTGCCAGCTGTCTGATGGCAGACAAACTTGCATATGTACGTGAATAATCCTCCACTGCACGTCAGGTTCAGCACTCGTTTAGCACCCCACCTGTGACGGGCATGTCCGATGGAGCGAATCAGCCTTGCAGTCGGCCCTTTCGACTGCCCATGACGTGTCATCGTCCATGACAAGGATGGGAGGGGTTGCTCCAAAATGTGGACCAGATTCTGCCTCTTGAGCTGTTGCGATTCCCAAGATTTGATCCCTTGGGATGCATAACTAGCCAACGACGCCGACGGACTGAACTTCCCTCGACGGTCGATGACACCGCTTTTAGTAAACGGGGGATAATCGAGATGCAGCAGGGCTAGAACCACCACCCAAGTCCAGGGATGGTGACCTGGGATTCTCTGCCATGCACCACTGCTGCAAAGAATGGGCGAGGCGCTGAACTCCCCGAGCCAGACGACATTCTAGAGTGGTACACAGCTATCTAGCACTGGCTGACGGCGGTGCGGTCTCGCAGACCTTGCCCGGGTTACTATCAGTGACTACCTAGGATTGTCATGGAGGATTTAGACCAGGTAGTAATAATGTGCGAATCTATATGGGCCACGAACTCGGGATTATCTGAAGCAATCAGGCCATGAACCTCGCTCTGTCTGCTGAGCCCCGCGACTGTTGGCCTGTCAGGAGAGACCCATGGGACACCGATCGGTGAGATAAGACGACGCTTAAATCCCACCTGTGGGAGCTGCGACGGCTGCTGCTGACTAACCCCTTCGTTCGATGGGCCAGGAACTGCTCTAGAACCGAGAACTATTATAGTATACTATACTAACATCTAGGATTAGTGCTTGATAGCGGGAAAATAGCAAAATTACAGCCCCTCTCCGCTTCGATACGCAGCGTATTTTTGCCATCCCCCTCCCTTGACGGACACAAAAATACACCAGTAAACAAGGCGATGATAGAGGGTGATCAGCCAGCCAGAGGAGATCTAGACCATCACGGAAATAGAAATGAGGGGAAGGAGGCGGGATGACGGTCTCTTCTCCGACTAAGTATACGCCTGCAGAAAGGGAGGACGACCCCGTTCAGGAAATGGTGATAGCCTCATATCTGATTCACATTCACCCCTGCGGGTAGAAGAAGTAAACAATTAACATTACATATGCAGACCTCCATCCAAGCAGTTGACTGAAACCGTAACAGCGATCATGTTACTGCAATCTTCCCTCCTGAATCATCAACGGTATCCCGAAGGTGCTCCCGGGACCGGGGGTTCGTCCCCGTTCGGCGCCGCTTCCAACTCCGTCACCACGACGGGCAATCCGATCCTACCTCTACTGGCTTCGGCAGTAGATTCTGGAAGACAGGCTGTGCAGCAAGCAGCGTCACCACTGCGCGTCGAGGCTGCAACGGGCGCTGCCTCGCTGTCCATCCCGATCTACGTATCTCCCGGCCGCGACCCGACCACAACTCCAAGCCTGGAGCTGACATATAGCTCTCATGCGGCCAATGGTCCATTCGGCCTCGGCTGGTCCCTAACAGTACCATGCATCTCACGGAAAACGACCCGGGCGGTCCCACGGTACAGCGATCAGGATGTCTTCGTTCTGTCTGGGGCGGAAGACCTGGTGCGCCTCGATGGGTCGGCAGCAATCAACACAGCCGGCTACCTGGTACATCAATACAAGCCTCGGGTGCTGGTTGGGCCCTCTCAGGCGCGGATCGAGCGCTGGATTAACCCTAGCGATCCGGCGGATGACTTCTGGCGCACTATCTCCTCCACGGGACTCACGACGCTCTATGGGAAGAGCCTCGAAGACCGCATCCACAACCCGGAGGACCCCCAGCGGACGTTCACCTGGCTGATCAGCGCGACATATGACCTCAAGGGTAACTGCTGCGTGTATCGCCACAAGGCCGAGGACTCGACCAATATCGACCTCTCCTGCGCCCATGAACAGAATCGCTCCACCCTGAGCCGTACGGCAGGGAGATATCTCAAGAGTATCCACTACGGCAACCGTAAGCCGAATCGTGATCTGGAGACTTGGGCGGCGCTGCCGATCCCGATGAACGCCTCCGAGTATCTGTTCACGGTCATACTAGACTATGGCGAGCACAACCAACAGCTGCCACAGCCCAGCGGGGAGACCCCCTGGACCGTCAGAGCAGATCCCTTTTCCTCTTCAGCTGGTGGCTTCGAGGTGCGCATGTACAGGCTCTGTCGTCGCGTGCTGGTATTTCATAACTTTATCGAGAAGGACGTCAAGGACTGCCTCGTCTCCTCCACTGCATTCGCCTACCAGGAAGCACCGACCGGGTCGACGCTGGTCGCGATAAATCGCCACGGACATCGTAGAGTCTCTGATGGTAGGGCCGGATATCGGTACACCGACGAGAGGCTCCCAGCCTTCCAGATGGAGTACAGTCAACCGGCATTACAACCTGGTGCCTCCCCAGAAGACGGAGAGCGCCTGCAGCCAGTGGCCGTGGACGCATCTCAATTCCCCGATCTGCCCCACGCACATCCTCAGCAACGCACCCAGTGGTTGGACCTGAATGGCGAAGGATCTCCCGGTCTCCTAGCTCAGCTTGCTAGTGGAGAGTGGGTGTATATGAGGAACGAGAGCTCAAGAGACCCCGACTCGGCGGCAGCGTTTAGCCCGCCTCGCCGGTTGCAGAATGTCCCCAATTCCCTACTGAACCCGAGCGGCTTCTTCGCTTCTTTGACCGATGACGGATCGTTGCAATTTGTTGACCGCGACGGTAGGAATAATCGACTTCAAGGGTACTCCGAACGCAATACCGCGGAAGGTTCCGGATGGGGCCCGTGGGTACTGTTTCCTAGTGTTCCTTCAGAGCTGGACGACAACGGATTGGACACATATTCGATTGATCTCGCCGGTAGCGGACGCCAGGATCGAGCCCATTTCATGCAGGACAGCTCTGGCCAGCTGCGGTGGTATCCATCCCTCGGTACCGATGGCTTTGCGCCAGCCCGGATACACTCCGGTCCCCTGATCCCCAGGGACGAGAGAGGAACAGCAGCCATCCTGCTGGCCGACATGACAGGTGATGGACTCACAGATGTAGTCCATGTGCGCGCTGGAGAGATCGTCTACTGGCCCAACCTTGGCCACGGACAGTTCGGCACCTGTGTGAGGATGGACAACGCCCCCATCCTAGCTTCATATGACGAGTTCAACGTCTCTCAAGTTCGGCTGATGGATGTAGATGGATCTGGATGTGCGGACCTGGTTTACTTTATCCCCGGAGGCGGTGCTGCCATCTACTTCAACCAGAGCGGAAATGGCTGGAGCGAAGCCGTCTCGCTCTCTGTTGTTCCCGACATGAGCCTGCTGGCGAGCATTGAAGTGGTCGATATCCTTGGGCGAGGTCTGCCGTGTATCTGCTGGACGTTGACGCAGACCACCGGAGCAGGTTCCCCTCGTCTCTACTATCTGGAGTTGATGGGGGAGATGAAGCCCTGGTTACTGACCGAATATAGCAACGGGGTTGGAGCAAAGGTCTCCCTGGAATACCAGCCATCCACTCACTTCTACCTCCAAGATGAGGGCACCAGTCAGGCGTGGAATACCCGACTGCCCTTCCCAGTGATTTGTGTTGCTACTCAGACGACCGATGATCAAGTGGCCGAGACGAAGCAGGTCACCCGCTACGCCTACCACGACGGCTTCTACGACCGCACTGAACGGGAGTTCCGGGGGTTTGGCCTCGTGGACATCTGGGACAGTGAGGATCTATCGGCAGGTCCTGGCCTCAAGAGATTGGAGGCACCACCACGACATTTGCGCACTTGGTACCATACCGGAGCGCCGGTATCAGCACTGGAGACTTCCTTTGGCCATGGCGATTTGAGCGTACCACAGTTGGTGCCGTTCCATCTGCCTGAAAACGCTGCCAGTCCGAGTGAAGTCCGAGAATCGCTGCGTGCGCTGAAGGGGAAGATCCTCCGGAGCGAAACGTATCCCGATGGAAGGTCGAGAGAGGAGCGAACTCCTTTGGCAGTAACGCAGCACAACTACACTATTTTAATGGAGCAGGAGATCGAAGACACTAACGAGTGAGTTTATTTGTCGCTCTTGCCCTGGTAATGTGGATTGGATGGCTGCTAACAGACGTGAACTGGCAGGAACCGAAAGACCACCGATCTCGACATGGTGGTCTACGAACAACCTCATGGACGGTTCCGAGTCCTACCCCGTGAGTCTCTTCAGGTCTCGTACGAGGCTAATAATGATCTGCAAGATGCCCAGATGGAACATCAGATGTACCTGGAGACGAATGAATACGGACAGTGCACCAAGCAGGTCACTGTCCAATACGGACGACTGGATCCTCCACAAGATCTCGACGAAGACACAAGAGCTACCCAGCAGGAGACCATCGTCCACTATACCGAGTCCAATCTGACGAACGCTATCGACGAAGATGACTTCTTTTCCCTGCCCACGACAGCCGAAGAGAAGGGATATCGAATGCGTGGTCTTTCAGCACCAGAACTTCCATCATTACTCTTCTCGTTCGAGGCATTCTCTGCCAACGGCTGTGCCTTGTTCAAAGCGGCCACCGAAACTCCCTACGAGCGGGATCGTGATCCTGTCGTATCTCCCGAAGTATACAAAGTCCTGACATCCAACACCCGTTCCTACTACTGGAATTCTGACCTGACGAGCCGCTTGAAGTTGGGCCAGATCGAAGCCTACTCCGTGCTAGACCGTACATACCAGCTAGCAGTCACCTCGGGGCTCATGCTTCAGGTCTTTGGCACGAACGATGACAGCACCTCCTTGCGCACCGGCTGGTCGGCCCAAGACGGAGCCTATGCAGATCTTGATGATAACGGCAGCTGGTGGATTCCGAGCCAGCAGAGCCGGTTCTGCTTCCCTGCCGCAGCCGACGATGCTGACACCGAGCTTCTTCAAGCACGATCGCATTTCTATCTCCCCAGGTTCACCATTGATCCGTACCGGAACGTTGGCGAAGAAGAAGTAGATCAATACTGCCTGTTGAGAGTCCGATCGACCGACGGGGTGGGCAACACCGAGTCATACCAGCCGGATTTCACCAGCCTGCAGCCCGTTATCCTCACAAACTCAAACGAGAACCGCGTCCTGATTGCCTATGACGGCTTTGGGGCTCCTATCGGGGCAGCAGTCCAGGGGAAGGTCGGTGAAGGACTCGGCGATACGTTGGACGATTTCTCAACCACAGTCAGCAGAGAGGACATGCTATCCTTCTACGCCGATCCCGTTAAGTCGGCAGCAAAGCTGCTGGGATCTACATCCTGGCGACGCATCTACAATCGGGAATGGACGTCAGAAATGCCTGCCTTTGAGGCCGAGCTCCGTCGGGACCAACATCTCTCCTCGCCGTCACCTGCGCAGATCTCCGTCTCGATATCGTATCTGGATGGTCGTGGTAACAAAATACAGTCCTTGACCTTGCATTCAGACGAATCAACGGTTAAGTGGAGGAGAGAGGGATGGAGTATCTGCAGTACAATGGCAAAAAGCTCTGTCTTGACCTTTGTGCCATCTCTTGAGAGTAGCCATCGCTACTCCAAACGCAGTGATCTCGCTCCGGAGAATTTCCCACCGAGCTCTGTTACTGTCTATGATGCATTGAACCGGGCAGCTGCGACTCTGCACCCCGACCACACCTGGCAGGTCACGACGATTGGTGCTTGGACGGTCAAACAGAGAGACGGCGGAGATAATGTCCTGGTAGAGGACATGGCAGCCGACCGAGAGGTCGGTGCTCTCATATCAGCCTCCATGGATGGTAACCGCTACTTACCCACCTGGTATGCAACTCACAGCGCCTCCACAGCCTCTGCACAGGATCAGGCGGCCGCAGAAAAGTCCAAGGTCTATAGCAATACCCCGGATCTCCACCATGTAGATGCTGCAGGCCGCACGATATATTGGGTGACTAACGATGGGTCGCCAGTGCGGCAGACGTCCCGTCTCCAGCTAGATATCGCTGGCAATGCCGCAGCAGCCTTTGATGCCCTGGGTCGGGAAGTGACGAGGAGCCAGCGGGACCTCTGTGGTCGTACTCTCTACGAATCCAGCATGGACAGCGGGCCGAGCTGGTCGTGCCCCGACGCCCTCGGCAGACGATGGCTGACCTGGACAGTGCGGCCCGATGATGTGAAAGGCAAGAACCGAATGCGCATGGGATATGATGAGATCGGACGGCTGACCCACGTCTGGCTGCAAGAAGGCCTCTCTAGCAGCACGCCGGAGCGCCTGATTGTCCAGCATGAATATGGAGAGAGCCAGTCCAACGCGACGAAGAGGAACCTGCACAGACAACACTACCGCACCTGGGACCAGGCTGGACTGTACACCAGCACGGCGTACGACTTCAAGAGGAACTGCATCAGTCGACAGACGACCTTCGCTCAGGACTACAAAGGTATCATCGACTGGTCTCTCACCGGGCAAGATCGGCCGGCTCTGGAGGAGACGGTTCATGCCGAAGAGGCCGAGTACGATGCATGCAACCGGGCTTTGCGTGTGGCGGGTGTGGATGGGAGCATCACCCAGAATATATACAACGTTGCCGGTTTCCTCCAGACGCTCCTTCTCACTAAAAGAGCCAGCCCAGAAACGACAGAAACCTATCTAGAAAATGTCAGTTACAATGCCATGGGCCAGCGAGAGCTCGTCATGTACGGTAATGGCGTTCAGATACGGCATGACTACGACCCATTGACCCAACTGGAGGTGCACAAGAAGACATTGACGAAGAGTGGCGCAGTCCTCCGAGACCTCCAATACACGCACGACTGCGCTGGTCAACAGGTTTACCGCGAAGATGCCGCTCAGCAGAACACTTACTTCCGCAACAGCATCGTGCGACCTGTCAATGACTACACATACGATGCACGGGGTCAGCTTATCAAGGCCACCGGAAGAGAGCAGGTCGACGCCCAGGGATCTTCTCTCACCCCATACGGTCCCAGGTACAAGGGACAGCAGACGATCCCAGGTGACGGCCGTCAGATGTGCCAGTATACAGAATCCTTGCAGTACGATGGGGCTGGCAACATCAGCTCTCTGACCCACGACTCAGGCGATAGACGGATCTCAGGCTGGAAACGCGTGTATTCCTACGATGAGGCTAGCTGCTTGACGGACTCAGTGTCGGGAGTCAAAAACAACCGGCTCAGTTGGACCACTGTCCGTGGGGCGCAGGAGAACTACACCTACGACAACCGGGGGTGCATGACTTCTATGCCAGGGACAGTGAAGGCAAGTTGGGATCATCTCGCGCAGCTTCGAGTCAGCACCTCTCAGCGGGTGCGCGAGGGCACTCCCGAGACCACCTGGTATGTCTACAACGCATCAGGGGACCGGGTGCGGAAGGTCACCGAGCGAGCTTCCGCAACAGAAGAAGATGCCACCAAGCTGCGGGAAACTTATACACTCGCTGGCTTTAGTGGCTACGAGATCTATCGCGAGTACTCGGGCCAGGGTGCCGTTGAGTCAGAGAAGAAGATGGTGCAGGTCTCAGATGGAGATTCGACCCCTCTCGCCCTGGTGGAAGATGTTGTAACTGGCCTGAACGGGTCAGCGTCAGCCTCCCAGTCTCTCCTCCTGGTCCGATATCAGCTCGATGATGGGCTGGAAGTCGACGACCTCGGACAGGTCATCTCCCTGGAGGAGTACTCGCCGTTTGGCTCGACCACCTACCGGGCCACTCGCAGTGATGTCGACGCTCCGGCCAAGTATCGGTTCTCTGGCTACCCTCGAGATACCCAGGATACGGGGCTTTACCACTGCGGAGTGCGGTACTATGCCGCCTGGATCGGTCAGTGGACATCGCCAGATCCCCTGGGGGTCCTGGACGGGCTCAACGGCTATTGCTACGTCGGGAATGACCCCGTGAACAAGGTGGACACCCAGGGGACGATGAGAGAGGGAGAGGGAGAGCCCCGGCCGGGACCCAGTCATGATCATCCTCGAGCCAATGCAAATGGAGCTGAGAGTGATTTCAGAGATACAACGTCGGTTGGCATCGAACGGCACACAATGGAGGAGAACGGGAACACCTTCACCGTCTTCGGCGCGGTTCTGGAGTTTCAACGTCCCCTGCAACCCGAAGAGATCCGGACGGTGGTCGAAATGGGTCACAGGGAGATGGGTGAACTGGCGAGTAACAAGACACGGCCAACGGTCATGACTGCCTATGCTGTGAGAGGCACGAATACAGTCATCCTGACCTCATCCATGAAGAGTAATGTGAGGGTACGGGATCATTGGACATATAGTGAGAGCCGCCGGCAGTTTGAGCATCAAGGGAAACTCGTCAGCCTGACTGACCTCATGGGCAACCTTCCGTACAAGGACAGTGAGGTGGTCAACATGAGGGCGCTGAACGAAGAGAAGGACGAGGGCCATAAACATCACATCAGCGCTTGTGGGGAGACCATGGCGCTCAACCAGTGGCTTCAACTGGAGCAGAGGCCGGTGGACTTGACCCCGCGAGGTTACATGCTAACGGTAACTAGACATCAGGGTGATCTGGCGATCAAGCCTCCCTGCTCTGTGGATGAATATAGTGGGCACATGTTCAGTTGCGAGTGGCACCTGGAGGTGCTGGAAATCCACACTGGCCATCCGGAGCGTAGTACAGGGTCGTTGCCAAAGAGCCGGCGCCTACGGTGGGGTCCTGATTGAGATGATGATTAGTAGACCATCTCTAATGTATCCTGTGAGCTTAGTACCTAGAATTTTGAGCCATTATGACAAGTTGCTTTTTCATTTAGATGTACGTAGTAGTAGTGGTGGTGGTGGTGGTGGTATCGTTTGAAAATGACCGTCCGAATCATTACAAACCGGTAATACCCTTGTACTGAGAATGTAATACGCCTGTCAAGGCAAAGTCGGCGTTGACTACAATAAAATAGCACTAAAAGCTGCATGAACAGCCCGATCAGGAAAGCGCTCAACCAGCCCTCCTCTCGTGTCAACCAGCATGTTGAATATCCGGAGTCTGACTTACCTCTGTGTATATAAATCACAACCAACCAGGCAAGAGAACTGCAACGCACAAAGGCCCCAACATCCCAAAGTTCGGTGACTTCTTTTCTTCCCTGAAAGAATCTCCTGCTACCATACCATGTCAAGAGACCAGGATTCCCGCCTCAAGACGACCACCGTGACCAGCGCCCCGGAATACTACGACCAGGTCCTCGCGCTGAGCTCCAAGATTATCAATGACAGCTGGGTGACGCTGTACAGTGACAACGATGTGCTGCAAAGCATCGACGTGGACGGCTACAAAGACGGCGGTAATAAGGGGCAGATCACGGGGAACCTGAAGCCGTGCCAGTTCTATCTCAAGCCGCAGGAGGAGTCCAAAAATAATAAGATCCAAGCCATCTACAAGATTCGGTAGGTGTATTCCCCCTTGCAGATATCTGGCTCTAGTAGTCACCAGCTAACGGACGATACCCCGTGCGTGGTTTTATCTGTATCTAGATTCGATTCGGGAACCCTGACAACCTCGGGCCACGATGCCCTTCAGATGGATGTCTCTAATTGGGAGATTGCCGTCAATGTGGAGCTGGACAAGCAGAAATGGAGCAAGATGACGGATGATCAGAAGGGATCCATCACCAAGTACTATGAGCTTCCGGAGGAGGGGGAAGAAGACTCGGGGGCTGGAGATTATTCGGTGACTCGGATTTTTGTGAAAATTATAGGTGTTTCTTCCTTAGTTGTTTTTTTTTTCTCTCTTTCTCTCTTTCTGTCTCTCCGTCCTCTTTCTGTCCATTGGCTCTTCTCTTCCTTGATGGTTCATATCCCTGACAATATGAGCTGACTAGACGCGAAAATCAACGACATCAACGAGGACGAGTCGGTGTTCACGGACGACGATGGGAACTCGTGCAAGATCGATGACTTTGATGACGCAACCCAGAATGCTTTGCAGGCCTTCCTTGATGCCTGGACGGAGATCCAACACAGCCAGGGAACCAATACGTTGGGAGTTACCCTGACGCAGCCGTCGGATCAGGAAGGTAAGAATACAATCATTTAAGAGTTACCTTGTATATTCAAATTGTGGGATAAAGAAAAAGAGCTGACCGAATTCATTAATGAACTGAACTAGAGAACCCCTGGAACCGAGTTATCGTACGTCCCTCCGACTACCTCCTCCTCCGATGACCAGGTAAAGAAGGCATACTGATAGATAGTTATTATACAGGACCAAGAGATGTCTGGATGAACTGCGCGGACTACCAGAATGATCAAGCCTCCGCCGAGGACAAGAAGAACTACAGGTGTTTGCTGTGGTGTGAACTCTTGCCTGACCACGACAACCTAAAAAGCCCCGTCATCGCCACGAGAGCCAACTGGTGCTACCCCGGCATCGATGCTACCTACGCCGTCAGTTCGCAGGTGTTCTTTGAGAAGTTCCTCGTCGAGCAGCTGCAGCCGTTAGCTAGAGCTAGCGAGCTCAAGCCCACAACGACTCGTTTGCATGTCGTTAAGATGAATGTCAAGGGAATGGATTGCAGTTACATAGTCGCGGTTTGGAAGTTCAGCGTTGGGCACAACGAGGACCATACCGCCGCTCTCGACGACTACTTCAAGCTGACCAAGGTGGAGGAGAAGCCGCCCAAGTATACTTGGTCCAAGACGAACACGGGCGATACCGGTGCGAAGTGCATGGACTATTCCGGGGTGGGAAACGTATCAGCATGGGCGAACTTGCGTCAAAGTGGCACGGTCAACCTCACCGTCAGCCCAAACATCGGGTCCAACAAGATCTCAGTGTCGGGGAGGATCAATTATAAATGGGCATATCGGGTCTCCGATGATGACAACGTCATGAGCACCGATCCAGTCGCATCGTACGTGTACTATCCATTTCCCCATTCCCTCCCAGCCAAGGGTAGGAAGAGCTCTTCCTTACCCCAACGGTCAGCGACTAATGAGAGAGAAAAATCATGTCATGCCATAGAGCCAACTATTCTGGAACCTGGAGCCTCTCTCTGCTCCTGTCAACCGACAAGGACGGTCAACTCCACCTGGCCGTGGACGGTAGCGTTAACCCCCGGGTAACACTCACATACAGCGTAGGCGAGCTTTCGAACGCGAGCAGCTGGGACACGGATATCGCGGACCTGCTTCAATCGCAGATCTCCGACGCTATCACTGCGGCCAAGGAGAACCTGACAAATCTCTTCCTGACTGCGGGCAAGTTCGTCTACCCTTCCAACGGGTTGCTGTCCTTTACCGACCCCGTCTTTAATGAGGAAGGGGATGTCCTGGCGTCGGTGGAATATAAGCCGTATGTATATCTGATCTGTCTCCTTTTCTCTCTGCCCCGAACTGACTTTGAAACTCCTTTCAGGATGACCACGGTTACGGTTCCGAGTCCCAGCGCCGGACCCAAGCTGACAACATATGCCGCCTCGGAGGATAAATCCCTGGAAAACCGGATTTCATCATCCGGATGAAGGTCTCTCCTTCCATCTCCTCGTTTTCCTCCTCTTGCTGTAGTTGTTGCCTCTTTCCACTGTTTTAATTTGCTCTCTGCTCTGCACCGCTTGAGATCTATATCTCTATGTAGGAGTTTATACTCGGGGGTTCCTAAATAATGCACCGGCAAAGTGTACTTCGCTTCTACCAACTAGGGGTCATTCTGGAAGAGCCAATACATAGAGAATCATCTAGATTATATTTTCTACAACGCCGACCTCATTGAAGCATACAAAACACAGGAAACCGAAGCAGTTGGGTACATCGACGACGTGTCCATCCTAGCTGTAGAATCGACAGCGCAACACAACTGCAAGACCCTCGAGGGCATCCACCAGAAGGCTGAAGCTTGGGCAGTGCAGCACGGGTCCCAGTTCGCACCCACAAAATACCCGAGACCGTAAAGCCAACAACACACACGCGCTCCTCCTGCCAAATGCCACGATCAAGACCTCCCCGTCGTGCCGATACCTGGGGGTCTACATGGACACCAAGCTCCGCTGGGACTACCACCATGAAAGGGTGGAAGCTGAATCCACAAAGCAAATTGCGGCGTTGTCGGCTCTAGCGTCTTCGACGTGGGGCACAGGCACGATTAACCTCAGACATGCGTATCGAGCAATGATTGTTCCACAGATGTTCTATGGATGCTCGACATAGCACATCCCCGTTTATGGCCTCAGTAGCGGTTTTTTTGGTGTCGATTTCACAGGTCCTCATATTCTAGGTGTAACTCTCATAGTAAGAGGTGCCTTATCAACTGTAAATATCAATTGATGGCTTAGACAATCGACTTCATTCTCATGTGTAGCTTCAAATATCACCTATTCTGGAAACATTTATTCCATTGCGTAGACTCGATATTCGGAAAAAACCCTAACATCTCAGAGTTATTGATGTATAGGAACCGGGTTTATTATCATCGTGAATCACCGAGATGGTGAAACTAGCACAGGGTCTATGAAACATGGAACCAAACAATCTACTAGCATGATTCAATACTTCAACACGGGATGGTAAAAAGGTGTATAATTATCACACCAATAGCATTCAAACATGAACGCTAGAATATGCTATCGAACCGACACTCCGCTCTCTGATTCGCAGATCTTTGACCTGACAAAAGCAGGCCGGAGTTTTTCCCAACGGGGGATAGATATATTTTTTTTTATCTTGCGGGGTATGAATGAGTATTTATAAGTTTGAAAGCAGTCTTTATTTAGCTGAGTCTGTACTAAATTTTCATACACCACCCAGCGCTGAATGATACAGCCAAGAAATGCACTTTGTAACTCTGTCGACTGCTCTAGCGCTCGTCGCGCTCACATCGGCCAGCCTCACATACCGCGGTGCGGATATCTCGTCTCTACTTCTTGAAGAGTCCTCCGGCATTTCGTACAAGGATGTAAACAGCAATTCCGACAGTCTCGAGTCCATTCTTGCCGGACATGGAGTCAACACAATTCGCCAACGGCTATGGGTGAATCCGTCCGATGGTTCTTACGATCTGCAATATAACCTAAAATTAGCGCAACGGGTAGTGGACGTTAATATGAAAATATATCTTGATATGCATTTGAGTGATACGTGGGCGGATGGGTCACATCAAGTATGCTTTTTCTTCTTCCTTTCTTGCGTTGTTTTGGATCTTAGAATTAAGAGATTGAAGCTGACTGATGAGAGACGACACCATCTGGCTGGTCGACTACCGATATCGACACGCTGGCGTGGCAGGTGTACAACTACACTCTAAACGTCTGCGACTCGTTCTCCTCAGCATCAATCCCTCTAGAAATCGTATCTATCGGCAATGAAATCCGTGACGGTCTTCTCTGGCCGCTGGGCTCAACAAGCAGTTACTACAACATCGCGCGTCTGCTGCACTCAGCGGCCTGGGGCATCAAAGACTCTAGCATCACCCCCAAGCCGCAGATCCTCATCCACCTCGACAACGGCTGGGACTGGGAGGAGCAGTCATATTTCTACACGACTGTGCTCGGCGAGGGACCCTTATCCAGGTCCGACTTCGACTTGATTGGCGTCAGCTACTATCCATTCTACGGCTCAGGCGCAACGCTGGCCGCACTCAAGTCTAGTCTGAGCAATCTCGCGGCGGCGTATGGCAAGGGAATTGTTGTTGCCGAGACTAATTGGCCGTATGCATGTTCCAGCCCGAAATACGCGTTTCCTTCGGACTTGACCAGCATCCCATTCTCTGCGGCCGGCCAGGCGACGTTTATGACTGACTTGGCGGATGTAGTGGCGGGAACGACTAATGGCTTGGGTCTGTTTTACTGGGAGCCCGCCTGGATTGGAAATGCGGCACTTGGGTCAAGCTGTAGCGATAATCTGCTGGTGGATTGGTCAACAGATGTATTTAGGACAAGCGTGGAGGTATACTCGACAATCTGAAGAGGGAATATGGTGTAGCGTCCGTAAGAGGAATAGTGCGGGTCGTGCGTCACTATCCGCCGACCAAGTCACTTGACATCATCGCCTGTTTGTCTTCTGATTCTCTTTGTTCTTTTTAATAGTTGACCAGTATCCACCTGAATACCCAGTTCCTATCCTCTTCTTAAGAACAGAATCTTAGAGCTTCAACCGGAATATCTTGCTGTTGACGGGGTACCAAACCGACTGCCAGTTGACTATTACTACATTAATAGCAGCCAAGCCAAGCTTCCCCGCATTTCAACATCATCATCCGATCGGCCACCTCAACTATTCAACAACGAAACCGATTGTTACGAATACAGTGATTGTTTAAGAAAAGAAAATGTCTTCTGTTATCGACGAATCCGCCATCTCGCCCACCCTCAACCCGACAATCGTCCAGCACCGCCGGGATTCGCTGGAGAAGCATCTCCAAACGCGCCCGGAGCTGCAGGACCTCAAGGACAGACATATTCTGTTGGACACCAATGCAGCCCCGTACGTACTTTTTCTTTCCACTATATGCTTATTAAATCTTCTCTTGTTAGGGCAATCTAATTGCGTGATAGGAGCCTGCAAGCTACCCAGGCGGAGCTCGCCCGACGCCGAGCATCCATTAATCTAAAGAAACATCTCGAGAAACGCCCTGACCGCGATGATCTAGTTGAGAGTAAGTAGTACAAACTCAGCAGGGCTTGTTTTACTCAACGGTGATTTAGAGAATATCCTTCCTACTGCTCGCACCGACATCGCCCCGTCTCTGCAAGCGAATGCCCGCGACCTAGAGCGCAATATGCTCGCCGACAATCTCGAGCACAAGATCAAGGATCGCCCGGATCCGGAGCGCTTGATTGCTAAGGGTATTCTGGACGAGAGTGAGGATCCACGGAGTCCTACCGAGTAGACTCGGACAAGACTCGCTATTAGAATCCCTTGCACCGTTTTTTGTATTGTGAATGATTATCGGCGTTGGGTTAGGAGAACTGATCACACTCGTTCGAAATGGCATTGGCGTCGACTGGATCGATTGGATTGGATTGTAATGTCACTCATTAACAATTTCATTATCAATATCATTATCAAAGCTTGAGCCCTAACTCCATGTCTACTACCTACATGTAATAAACTACATGCAAGATATGATCAATAACTCTCAACCTCGACACTAGCAGTCCCCGCCCCAGCACCCGTCGATAAATCCGGCGTCCAGCCACTGGGCCGCTCACTCCCTCTCACCAATATTCCATACGCCGCCCTCTCCACCTTCTCAACACTATTCTGCATCACGCCCGTCTTCTTATACATATCCCGCATCAAGTTATTCCTGTGTCGTCGCGGAACATTCAATTCCTCGAGCATCGCCCGCATATCCCTCAGATCCACGACAATCCCAGCTTTGCTCTCAGGCAACACAGGCACCGATTTAGTCTCGTCCTCAGTCGTATCCATTGCACTATCACCTCCCCAGTCTTTTTCTTCCTGTTTCCGTCCATCCTCCTTCTTAACCTGCCCTCCCGTCGACAACGTCGTAACCGCAAACCTCATCATCTCACCCGTCAAATCAAACACCCCCATCAAATAATCCTCCTCTGTAACCATCACCTCCGGCAACCAATCCCTCACAATGTCCTCCCGCGTAATCAGTTTCTGCGTCTCAATATAATGCTGAAATGTCACCGCTTCAATAAACTCCTGAACTCCGCCCGAAATCTGCCGTTGATACCGCCACGCGTTTATGCCCGTGATGTCTGGGACGATAGACCGGAATAAATCACGGATTTGGTCGAAGCGGGTTTTGTTTTCTTTGGCGATGGAAGGTGGGATTGCGGTGTTGAGGGTTCGGAGGCTGCGGAAGGTTATTAGATGAATATAAACGTTGGAGTTTATGATGAGGGGGGTTACCGTTGGAGAGCGAAAATGCTAGATGGTAGAACAGAACAGCGTTAGCCAGGGAGATAGTATGTAGTGGATGGATAGATTGTACATTTTCTTGCTCAGTGCGGTGATATCGCGAGACGCTTTGATTACTCGCTCGCGGCGGTCATGGTGCTCGTCTAGCTCGCTGCGGAAGGTTTCGAATATCGATTGGAAGGCTGGTGTTTCGGTATTCTCTAGGGTGTTTGTGGCCATGGCGGCGTGGTTAACTATGTGACCCTCCCAAGATCGCTTGGAGCTAGCCATTAATTGATTAATTAAAGGGGGAGATAGTGAGTAGGAGAGAGATAGAGATAAGAGAAATCATTTGATGTTTTTGCAAACTGGTGCGGGGAGAACTCCGATTATGGTTAGCGTGGTTGAGATGTTGAACATTGGTGATGTCATGTCAAATGTGATGTTTGTAAATATTATTAAATATTAATATACATTTATATTAAGTATTGAATACAAGAAGTCTCTTAGGATAGTATTGTCTTTAATTGATCAAATGCAAATCTTGGTGGTTAATCATATACTGGAACAGCCTTGATTGTATGTAATCTATAGATGTCTACTTTAGTCCTAACATTAACCTTAGATCAATGTATTTGATATACATCGATGATGCCACTGTTGACTAGAGCCAAAATTGACTTCCCTATTTCAACAGATAAAGAAATCGTCGCATGAATACGTGAAGTTTTTAACATTTATTTATATTACTTGATATATTTGTCATGTCAAGCCCTAAGCCCCTAACCAGGCCCGCAGGTAGCACATGCAGACAAGTAAGGCAGTGTTCTCTCGAACCCCCGAACCACAGTTCAGAACAGAAATACCTTCAGTAAGTCTAGATCAGACATACAGTGACATGTGTCGCCTGGGAAATTGCTATAAGATGACACGTACACTCGGAATAGGGGAGAAATCAGCGTTCCATTCCCCATATTCTGCAGCCGATTAATGTATTTTACACTTTTTCTAACCGGGATGTAAGTACCTGTGAAGTTGACATTGAAAATGACATTGAAAATGACGTGAACAACAGAACCGCGTTGGCTAAGCCGTCCATGTCTTGGAATTGACATCTATCTCCGCGCGCAAATACTACTGACACTACCAGAATGATTTCCACCCAACCAAGATCAATTTAGATTTAAGGCTGCTTCTATGATTATTCCATCCCTATACTATGGCTAGTAATCTCACCTTCGTCCCTTTATTATAATGACCCTGAAACAACGGATAAGTTCGGACGAACCTTGTACACATGGAAATTCATTTGATTCATCCGATGGCTATATTACACTTCTTCAAAAATTTTGTAAAACGCGCCCCACACTTATCGTGATGACGGTGCTCATCGGTGCAAAACCTAAGATGCCCTAATTTATCATAAAGAGTAGCAGCAAAGAAGTTCCTGAGCTTTCTTCCTAAACGGCATTAATCATGCTTCCTACTTCTCATGCCCCTTCTCGTAGATGTCCTTGAACATGAAGAGGAATGCCATATCTTCCTTTCCGACGCCGGGGCTAGCCAGGAGAATATCATCGTCCCAATTCCATTGGGGTGTGTTCAAAATAACCGTATCTTGCCCTTGAATGGCCCCTGCTCGAAGGGTTAGAGTAGCACTCTGTTTAACCTCCCTAGTTTCGGTCCCGTCCTGACCTCGAAGATACATATAGTGCGATATATCTGGAATCTCAGGGGTTGCCACGAGCCAGTGATGGTTATGTTTGGATTGGACAGAAATGTTAAGGCCTGTCGAAGGGTTTCGCATTAAATACGGTCCGCCGCAATTAACCTAAAAGCATTAGAATGTGGAATTTTACTGAAATTGGCGAAGCATTGAGAACGAAATGTTACACTGTTTCAACTGCCGAGGTGGATCATTGTCAGTACATTGCAGAAATTCGAAATATTGACCCCATTTATCGCAGTCTATCCCTTCTTTGCTCATCACAGCGGTTCCGAATGTGTCTAGGATACACTTCTCGTTTGAGATTGGAGTGAGCTGTCCTAAATGACTCGCGAAATCAGCATACTAATATATCAACATTTGAATGACCGGCGGAGACCGTACTTGATTAAACGGCCTTATGTTTAATTGGATAGGCTGTCAAATACTTCAATAGGAAACATCGTGGAAATAAAAGCCTCGAGCCTTTCCCTTTACGCGCCGTGGGCTTGATAATTTCCTGAATTTTTCATAATGCGACAACTCTTTATAGACTTCCAGCTGCCTGTACCCATTGTATTTTTGAAATCACCTCTGTTACATGACAATTCAGGCCTCGCTGCAAAGTCTCATTAGCTATTGTTTCGTTAGAAATGTTCAATTTTCGTACATTTATAATTCTCCAGTTGTAGTACAGAGCTACAGTCGGACACCATTCAGGGGGACTTGGGACATATCAATTAGCTGGATTATACCTTGAAGAAGTATAAAACTGTGGAAAAAGACACTCAGTTGTTGCATTGCAAAGTGTCGCCTCCATTCGCCTACCATTGCAGAGTAGCATCTCACCGACCGTGGGTCTCCTTCTTCTCCTCTCCTTTACTATGCCCTAGGTTAAATCTTTGGCCTTCCAAGCTTTTGCTTAATAAGCCCAAGGTTTAGCGGGCTCCCAGATGCAGCTGCCACTCCAGTTACAAAAGCGCAAGCAGTTGGTGAGGTCGCCGCGAACAGAAGCCCCCCTCATCCGGATATCCCACAGGCCCAGATCCATTGTATAGCTTCAGCTACTCCGCCAATCAAAGAGCTGAGAAATACCGAAATTACTAAGAATAACCATCACTGAGATAGTATTACTAAGGGTTTTAAAGTAGGACGCTAATTAATTGAGCGTCATGTCATTCAAGGCTCGCTGTAATATCCAACAAACTATACGCTTCCTAAGGGAGAACAGATGCCAAAGGTGGACACCTTCGCGTCCTTTAATCAATATTCTCAATATAGAACTAGCCTAAAATGGAAGTACCTAGATTTATTGGAAATTATAGTCCTATTTTTGTAAGTACCTTATTCTAATTGTAAAAGGCGCTGATCAGTCAAAGGCAGCTCCGATGGGTCTCGTTGCTTCAACGAGATAAGTTTACGGAGTAAGTCTGTATATCGAGAGTGATCCTACCGTATTCTAGTTCTAGAATAGGGTTGAATAGAATAATCCAATTAAATTAACCACCCACATTTAGTCTATCCAGATTTAAGACACCTCTGGACAGAGCCCGACTCACCGTGTGACATTTACGCAATTATAATTAAAATAAAATCTTAAACTTTAGATTTCTATAATAAATCTGCTATTTAATCTGCTACCACTACTATTCCCCTTACATGAACAAACCAGGATACCCTCAAAAACACAGCCCTGTCTACTAGGGTCAAGACACAGGTAGGAATAGGTAAGTAGGGAACAGGAACCAAGAATAGTCAACCACTTGCCCCGGCAGGGCTTTAAATTTGTCGTACGAAGTGGACTATTATACTATAGTGATATTCTAGTTAGGTAGTTTTAGTTGTATACCTGCATATCCTTGCTAAGGAGTTGGATCCCATGTCATGTGATATGTATACTGCTAGGCTACCAGTGGTAGCCTAGCAGGTAACAGCAGCTACTATGACTATAAATAGACGTACCTGCACTCTTAGATTCAGTGAATATCATCATCACTTGTACCTCAGTTCAGGGTTACAACTGAAGGGGCGGGGTCAGTGTATAAATACACCACCACCATCTGTAGCCACTTCATCTCCGTCGTTCATCTCATTCGTTCATCATCTTTCCTCGATTCTCATAGTCTAGCTCTAGTATAGGGCTGGCTAGGGAAAGGACAGCATATCATTAGACAGATATGAGATCTGTGAAATTAGAGAATAATGGAGATAAAAATATCAGGATTAGTGCGGGCACAGCCCTTTTAAAACTTCTGAGGCGATCTAGCACCTCGCCATGTCTATTTATTCTATACAAATATCCAGTAAGTAGGAGTTGGCTAGTAAAGTAGAACATAAATATAGAATGAGAATGTCTCTATTAAGTATTTCATGAAATGCTATTAAATTTAAAGAACACTAACCAGTTTCTACAAGAAGAATGACCCAGTTGGTGGTGATTCTAAATATGAAAATAATTCTAATCAAGAGTCTATAGCTGCGCACATTACATTTATGTAAGTAGTGCAGGGCATTAACACTCATCAGAACAAGAACCAAAGAAATACTATTAAAAAGTAATTAATCCGGACACTGATAATTTAAAATTAAGAACGGGTTAATTGGTATTGCGGAGAGAATAAACTCATCGGAGTTTCTTTTCAACATCAATTGAGCTATCTTATGTACGCCGATCTCCTTAGTTCAATAATTCTAGCAGCATCGAAATGATTGTGCCAGTGTGGTTGATGTGGAAATTCCTATGCTGGCACTGGAATGTGAATTTGATTTAATTTAGTTTGATTTTCTTTTGCTAGCCAGAATTAAATCGTGTGACATTTACTCTAAATATGTACAAATCAAGGACTCGGCATACTGGAATGTTGCAACGTGGACAACAACATATGATTGGTTCATTAAAGCAGGCGGCGGGAGCATGTTTATTCAGCTAGTATAAAAAAGGAGAATCGAACGCTGCAGGTTGTTCTAGCTTGCTGTCAATTGAAATATCTATAATATTACCAGTCGTAGATTGAGGTCGACGGTGAGTATTTCAATGGCCGGCGTAGCTGACGTCGACCTCGGATGAGCTTGGCACCGAGGAGCTAGTCAAAACAACGTTGTTCTGTTGAATGTCCAGCACGTCGGCGCCGTCAGTGCCAACAGTAGAACCGTCGGAGACGCCAGCACTAGCACCTGTGAACTGGACGGTTCCGAAGTTGGCGAAGGGGACTTGGCTGCCGTTGGAGTCAAAGTCTTCGACAATCCACTCAGCGTTTTGGCCGCCGAGATTGGAGCTCGAAGAGGGAGCTGAGAGATCCTGGCTGACTTGTTGGCCGCTAGTGAGGTTCTCGATGACGCAGGAACCGGCACTGCTGCTGCTGGAGGTCACGGTGACCTTGATAACGTCGCCGCTGTTGATGTTGATGCCAGAGAAGTCGTAGGCGTAGTCCGGGTACCACTCGTACCAGGCATCGTAGGAGACGGTGCCGGAGGTATCGACATTAAAGTCAACACCGGTTTGTAGGATGGCGGCAGAGTAGGTGTCACCGTCGATACCGACCCAGGCGGAGGCGGAAGAGTCGGCGGTGGCACCGGAGGGAAGCTTGGGGGTTGGGACGGTGAATTGCGCCGTCACTGAAGTGAAGGTGGTTCCGGAAGGAGGTGCAGTGAGGACGGCACCGGCCCAGTTGCTGCTGTAGTCATTATGGGTGCTATTGGCTTTGGCTAGCTCAGACGGCTCCAAGTCCGCACTGGGAGCAGGAATCTTGGGGTGTGTCTGGTGATTTCCGAGCTTACGACGAGCAACACGGGCAGCGAGACCGTGGCCCGGAGCAGGAGCAGCGATAGCAGAGGCTGCAAGGAGCAGAACCTGGGTGAGAACAGCGACCTTCATTGTGATGGTGTTATGGCGAGTTGAGCTGGATGACTTTGCTTGTACGGCGGCTCCGGCAGTGAAGGACTTCAAGAGAACAATAAACCTGACGGGGCAAGCATTCCAAAGAGCAGCCACTAGATATATTATATACTTAAGGATCTGCTACATATCATGCTAAAGCGCGGTCAACAGTGGGCAGGAAGTGCATTGCCTGGAAGGGCTGCACGTTGACGATCACTATGAATCAGGCACGCCAAGATCCGCTTCAATCAAGGGTTCGTATAAGAAAGCATTAGGTCTGCTGGTATGCAGATATAACCACTGGCGTGGCTGGGATTCCCAAGCGCAAAATTATGCATGGCAAAAGCCAGGGGCCGTGACCCAAATGATGGACAATCTATAAACTTCGGCCTGCGTTAGGGTTGGTGTCTGGCCCCAAGGTGACACGGAAGAGGCGTCCAGCTGCGACGTCGCAATCTAGCCGATACGAACCATCTAAGCAGATTCCAGAATCCTGGATATTTTCTAGTTGACGGGTCTCAACGTATGCATATATTCTAGCGGCTGCTTTGGAACTTTCTCGAGGGGTACTATTGATTGATGGTCGGCTTTGACACAAAGTAGCACCCATCCGTGTTGGCACTCAGGATGAGCCAGGCATGGGGGTGCTAAGCCTGCCACCGCCAAGAATCTGGCTGACGCCACCATTGGCCACGGCATCGCGAATAGATATTCGAAATTTAGAAGGGAAGCATGTAGCGACGATCGGGAAGGCTGTTCACCATAAGCATTTGGCGGCGAGGGGGCGTCGGGCAAGATCGATGGATCGACAGCGCTAAAAATATGAATAATGTTGGTCTGTGCAAATCATCAGTCGTCAATATTCGCGAGTTGACCATACGGTGGCGCAAGCCTCACCTAAATATTAACCATAAATTATCATAATAATAACGTGTGTTGGGGGTTTGAGAATGTTGCTTCCACCGAACCTAAATGCAGAGCGAGGTCAGGAGGTAACGCAGAGCGAGGTCAGGAGGCGACGCACTTCGCTTGTTCACGCTTACATGTACCATTGTTACTTAACACCTTAATTGATATCTGACTGGAACTGGCCTATCCTGCCACGTGCTTGACTGGCTGACCGCTGCATACTTCGTTGCTGGGTACGCAGGCTGGCATGCGACACATTCCTGTGACACCTATTTCGATAGCCTGAACGATTACTCCAACCACCATAAGGAATTCACTGGCAAGGATACCATGGCAGCACATATATTAATAATCATTATGCTGACTGGTGATCCTCTATACTCGTCCCATACTGTTTATTCACTATCGACAGCCACTTAGTAGTAGCAGTAGTAGTGTCAAGTGACTTGTTTTCTTATATTCGTCCCAATGGGCCGAGGGCCTAAGGCCCAGGGATGAACTTGATTCTTTCATCCAGCCAAGCTCGATTTAAGCTCAAAACCGCCCCAAATATCCAGCATATTTGCTTAAATAGTTAATAAGCCAATATAGAAACCCGTAGAGTTATTCTTAGATGTCGATTTTCGACAGTACTCGCGCCGGTTATGGCACGGGAAATTTTCGCAGCTTAATTATTGTGTAGGATTACTTTGCTCTGGGAGGATAAATAGTCAGTCTGAGTTAATGATAGTATACCGGTATCGTATCCTAGATAAAAAGCGAGGACACTAGTAGGATTAATAGGGCACTTTCTAAAAAGACAGTGAAACGAAATATGTTTTATACATAAATTGGTCGTGGGGTTGGTCTGATTGCATTACTCCCTACAATAGTGATATAATAGTAGCATTTGAATTTGATTCAATCTTTTGTTCAATTTGAACAGCCATTATACCAATATACTACTTTACATACAACCGTTTTAGTAATAAACGCAAGAGAAAGTTTTCCACCCCACTCTGTTCTTGTAAGAAATCGAGCTGCTTCTGAATCTTTGCATGAAGAAGATGCAGCATTTCTTTGGTATATTCGAGGCTCTTTGTCTGTTCCAAATGCTCAAGGACTAGTTTTTTAAGTTCAAAAGACATCTTCCCGGCGACACGACGTTCCTGGAGAATACTTTGAAGCTTGATATTTGGGCTGGTAGTCAAAGAATGAATTAATGGCAGAGGAAATTTCCCTTCATCAAGATCTTCACAAAATCTTTTTATCGCCTCATGGTTTCCTCAGTAAATAACCCTACCAAATAACCCTTAAATTGAATGGTACATATATAAGGTCGAAGCCCGTGTAGTGTACTGAACTCTTTGGCATCCAAGTGTTTTCAAGCCTCCTAGGATTCTTGATGTTTCAATATACCCCCTTTTTCTCTCCCAGGAGTGGAAAATGAGGCAGGGTGAAATGTGCCGCTTCTGACCACTTCATGTTCCAGGAACAGATACAAATACACTGCTCCTTCGTGTACCTTAGTGGCTTAGATAAATTCGTAGATCATATTAAAGTCAATCTGACATGCGTGGAGTTCGTATTTTCCCGCCCCCACCCGTATGTATACCTGTGCCGCTTGCTGACTTTCTCTCCTCTCCATGTGATTGCTTTTTCAACTGCAGCCAATATTTCTTTACCGCCCAGGCACAATAACAAACGTCAAATCGAGCGATAGGTCTGAATGCACCCCGAGTTCCTTTAAATATATCCCTGCCATAATGGTGCAACTAAGGCAGTTCTCGTAATTGCCCTGACTAGATTGATTCAAATGTCGAACTTTCATGATGATCTGCGGCACCTCGTATTCCAGTCACTCTACTGTTTCGAATGCGGATAAGGGGATTCACCCATACTAAAGACATATAAGCTCAGGAGAACGTCGCTACAAGGGATAAATACCTCGTATGGTCCACCACATATATACATGTTAAATATCCACCGAACACAACATTGTGAACCTTCCTGCATCCTTAATACAAGAATAACTACTCAAGATGAGGGTCTCGCCTCTCATTCTTTCATTGCCAGTGATTGTCTCCGCCCAGACAGGCAACTCCATTTGGAAGAAACGCCTTACAGGTGCAGACCTCGACACCAACCAGCGCTGGTCCGTCGCTGGAACTGACCTGGGGATACCATATGTGCTCGAAAACGGCGCCATTGGCTTTCTATTTGGCGACACGTTCAATACCCCATGGCCTGAAGAACCCAACAATGACTGGCGGGCACCCGTTATGTTGCGCTCCGCCATCAACCCCGGCGACCCGAACGGGATCGTCTTCGACTCTGCAGCAGGTATAGCAGGCAACGGCAACGCGCCAGAGATCATGCACAATGGCCACAGAGGCGACGATGGATTCGGTACGTATGAAATCTCAGTCATTCCCAACGACGGGATCGGGTTCCCCGAGACCGGCGACCAAATCGTCTCCTACATGAGCATCAAGGACTGGACGGCTCCGTGGACGACCAACTATGCCGGACTTGCTATTTCGACGGACGGAAACACCTTCACACGCCTCGATGTCAAGTGGCCCAACGACGATTCCAACACCGACCCCTTCCAGATGTGGACGATGCAGCGTGATGGGGACTGGGTGTACATATTCTCCGTCCGTTCGGGTCGCCAGCAAGGCCCCATGATGCTGCAGCGAGCGCCCTGGGACCAAATGATTAACCAAACCGCATATCAAGGTTGGGGTTGGGATGGCAACGATTGGGGCTGGGATCGTCCTTGTACTCCGATTCTACAAGGCAACTTTGGCGAGCCTTCGGTGCGCAAGCTGAGTGATGGGACTTGGGTTATGAGTTATCTTAATCTTGACTCGCTTAACATTGTGACTCGCACGGCGACGGGACCTGACCAGGTCTGGTCGGATGAAACGGTACAAGTCTATTGGAGTCAGGAACCGTCCCTCTACGGGGGATTTATCCACCCTTGGTCGACGTCAAATGCGAGTGAGCTCTATCTGATGGTTTCGAAGTGGGCTCATGATCCAGTTACGAAAGCCTCGACGGCTTACCATGTGAGCCAGTACGTCGGATCTCTCTGATTTATTATGTTAAATAATATTGAATGTTATACACGTTCCGAATTGTATGTAATTAATTCGAATTGCGAACATTAGTCATGAATATGATATAGAGATTATACCTAATTTGGTGCCTTTTACCCCAGTGACGTCTCAGCTACTGCTTCTATGCAAGAATTAATGCACAACCACATTATCCATTGATATCATATCAAGCCATCATATATCAAGAGCAGGTGTTTGTGATCATGTTTAACGACAGTGCTCAGAACTTAAAATCGGATTCAAATCTGTATTATTGCAAGGGTAAGAAACTTGAACTAATCATAATAGCGTTATTTAACATAGCCATATACATTTGATGTAATCTGGAACCAGATTGAGTTATCTAAACATCCCACAAACCTACCAGACAGTAGACAGTAGCTAGATTAAATATCAGGCACATGTACCCCGTGAAAACCAAAACCAACCACACCGTCCACCTTCGCACGGCCAATTTCAGTCATGGTTTTAGCATCGAGAACTAACAAATAGCTTTTCCCTCCAATACCATCCAGCACGACAGTGAGTAAAACCCCAGAGTCTTCATCATTACCTTTCGGGTCAGGTACAAAAATCGGTTCGCCGGCGGTCTGCGCATGCTCGCTCCAGTATAGTGATGTTGTCGTTTCCACATCAAACTTGACGAGTCCATCTATAAACGAGCTTTTACCACTATCCGTCACTCCGTACACGTACCGGTGCTTACGGCCCCGTACTCCAGGATTGATAGAAGGCAGTTCAGGACATACCCCTTTCTCATGTGAGAATTCTATTGAGGCTCGTAAGGGCTGGGAATTTGCCGTCGGAGGTAAGCTTGCAAGCCGGAAGCGACGAAAGGCCGCTCGAGCGTTTTTATTAGATGGATCGCAGAAGGGTTTTGCAGTTGGCGAGTTGGAGAGAAGATTTCCAATGTAAAATCGTTTGAGGACGTCTAGGCTGTCATAGGCACATACATCTGCCACAATATCAATCTTCGATGGATCTTTAGTTGAAGGCTCTTCGTACGCGTTGATCGTGTGGAAGCTGAAGAACGCATCTGATTCATAAGTTGCGACGAGACCACGACCAGCGACTTTACGATCTACTACAAACCACTTTGCCAACTTTGTTGTTTCATAATCGGCCAACGCGTCGACTAAATTGTGAGAGAACAATATGGGAAGGCCACCCATACGAAAATGCGAAGACCAAACGCATAGAATGACATAGTTCTCGGTGAGGAACATGGAGTGCACGTAGGCTGGAGGATTTTTGATGGTTGCCAGAATGCTTGTCTTGCCTGTGGAGGGCGAAACTGTGAAAACTCGATAGTGGCCCATAGGGCCCATCTCTAAGTTGTAGTTATACACTTCTCCAGTGACTGGATCAGTTTTGGCGTGTGATGCGCTTATTGGCCCCTTGAGGTCAGGGTGTAGGGTTGTCTGTTTAGCAACGCCGATGGGCTCCAGGGTTTCTGGGTCGAGCATCTGCAACGTGGAGTTGTCTGTTTTATTGCATAGCGTCTGTACACCAGATTTATTATCGATTGGTAGCTCACGCTTTGTGCCTGTGCGTGAAAGACCGGGGAAATTGACCGATAACGTCACGCCGATGTTGACACTGTCTGGAGACTCCTTAAGAGACGGCGTGAAGAAGGATTGCGCCTTCTGGAAGAGCGACAGGCATGGGTCATATTTAGCGCCAAATGTGACTTCCCCTCGAAATCCAGTTTTCTGAATCCGCTTTACCAGACCATCGCATGTCAAGCGCGAATTATGAGTGACTCGCACGTTTGAATGGTCGGTTGTCGGGGCATGGATGTGAAATCGATGAACTTGCGCCAGATTATCGAACCAGTGGCTCACTTTGTAGACCTCTTTCCCGTCTTTTTCAACTCCACGCGGTCCTAAGCCGTTGCGGAATAGAACACCTGCGCAGTATGCAGGAATGATGCCGGTGACCTCTAGCTCTGTAGGATTGAGTTCTTCGTACTGGACATCAAACTGCGATGACAAGTTAGAGTGGAGATAAAGATATCATATTTAAGGCGCTGCTTACTCCTTGTGTATTTGGCCAGTCGTTGTAATGAGTGGTTTTGATGCTTTCTTTTGAAATCGGAGACATGTGCGCTGTACTTAGGGTCTTCAAGACCTACTATCGTTTTATTTGTACTTGATATATTGCATGAAACTCTACATCAGTGGAGGTTCTAGGAATCAAATTTGCGCAATATATTATTAATATTGATGGGGAACCGGTATGGTAGATATAATGAAATTAGGCTGTAGGTTCGTGCGTTTCGAACACTATATTGACATCTTGGCAGGTATGAATAGTGAGGGTTATATATGACTCTTCGAGTCAGCGCACGGCCGTAAGAAGAGCATTCGGACAAATTGTAGACAAATAATAAGCTGCAAACAGATTAGTCCTAACCCCAGGCTGAATTTGCTTCCGAGGGCGCACTTGGACCGTCCAATGGTTGTGGTTCGGATATCTGCTTCCAAACCTGCTACGTACGTAAGCCTTTGCTGCGGTCAGCTGATAATTGTATTATAGACAAATAAGTTAAAGAATATTCAATACATTATAATGGATATTCTCAGTTATTGAATCAGGAAATTGGGTGAAAACTGAAAATAAGCTTCACCTTGTATAAATGTCGTGCAAGACTCAGTGAAGAAACACAGATAATATCAACTGCGTTAGTCTCTACTTGACTGAAATGCTAAATACTGAGCACTAGAAAGAAAGAAAAACTGAATATTTGCCCGTTTAGCTAGCACTGTGGTTCCAAAAGGGGAAACCCTTACCATGAATGGACGCAGTTAATCCACGCCTTATACGTAAGGCGCCAAGGCAGTGATGCGATACAGTTGGTATCCTGCCACCTTCAGAATAAAAGTGAATCAACCATTAGATCAATATTAGAGGAAGTAGGAAAAGGTATAACAGCCCTTTTTATCCTAATTTTTTTTAAATAGTTATCTGACATTCGATCACATGGATATATTTAATAAGCAAAACTCACTATGCCTTAACATACATATTGTACCTTCCCCCCCATCTGTCGTATATTGTTTGCTGAGCAGGGTCCTTTATGGTATCAAATGTTTTGTGGATTGCATGCAACAGATTTGGGACAAAATGAAACAAACAAACAAACCAAAGAATTGCATTTGATTATGACAGGTTATAAAGCTCTTTGTTTAATTACGGTTAGAACCCGTTTTCTTGTCTTATGTACATCCTTTTTTTGTTTGGCGTTTGCTCAGTATTTGTTTGACAAAGCAGACCTTCTGAGTGGAAAGACTGCATTGTATTCCGCACAAGCTATGGAAGTTGAAAATAGAAAATAAAGATTGTACAGTTGTAGACAGCCTAAATTGCGTGATTATCTATGTTAACACTAACTAACATCCTGGCTCCAAGCCTCTGACAAGTATATATAGTTATACAGACAGTTGGCGCCATCTGGTACGTATGTGATCCAGGAAACTTTCGGACATAACCATCTATCATTTCTTATTTTTACCCCCTCGCTCCACTTGCAGTTTTCCAGGGATTTTGGTTCCCTTTTTGTTCTTTCTGATCGAGTGAAGGAAACTGGATTGACGAATAGGAGCTGATACAAGTACAATGGGAAGTGGAGAAAAAGGAAGCTATGCTGCGGCGCTGAAAGGGAATGTCAACAGGGTCAACACACGTAGGGCAACTTCCTCGAAGGAAAAACAGACTGCCCAGTAAGACAGTCCCGCGTTTCATCTTTCTTTTATTTCTGCTCTAACCATCCACGAGTACAGACACAACTGGCCGGTTATCTTATATAAGACGATACCTCCTCCTCCCCGCTATATTCAGCTGAATCGCCTGGATAAGGCTACTGTCAGAAAATACGTCTTCGAGGAAGTATTCAAAACAGAGGACATCGAGATGAAGCAGGAGTTGCAGAAAGGTGGAAACGGGAAAGGGTTCTGCGTCTTGGAAAACCTCCGCGATCAAATGATTGAAATCCAAAAACTTCATGCAAAGATGGATGAAATGCAAAAGTTCAAACCGCTGATGCTCTCTATCCGCGCAAGTGAGCTAGAATGGCTCAGTGGAAAAGAAGACCACGACGCCCGTGCTCAAAGAAATCGGATTGTCCATGGAGGGAACGTCGAAACTGACCTGGAAGTGCTTGAATTCCTACATAGCTCTGACGATCAGGAGAGGTGGGAGAATGCTTGTGTAGGCTTCGAGGAGCTTTACGGATTCCCAGCTACGCGGCTACAATCCAAATTGGATACAGTGCCCAAGGAAATAATTGGAGCGCTTAACAGAAGAGGAACCCTAAAACGGATTTCTAAATGGAATCAGTTTCCAAAGGAGAAGGACGACCTTATCACATCATGTGAATCGATCATTAACCTTTGGTTAGATGCCACAAACTCTACCCCCTATCTGGAACACAAAATCACGACAGAATACAATGAAATCTGCCAGAAGATGATCGAGGTAATGAAGTCCAAGGAGAAGTCTAAATCGACTTAATTTAATAGAATGTTAAATTCTGGAGAGTTTGATTGGTTGGTGGTAATATGATCATAGTCCCGAGGGCCAGGAAATGTACTGGTTTTCACCTTTGGACTTCGAATAATTTGGCTATTGAGGGGTTAGACTTGTTCCTAGACAAAAAATGAGATACAAAACCATTTGAAAAATTGGCACAAATCACTTTTATTCGCCGGCCTGGGTCCTTTGATGTCCTTATCAGCCTTGATTGGCCCGGCCATTATTCGTAAGGTATTTTTTATGCTGTGGTAATCTATATTACAACCATTGTACAACATTGTACAACGTTGTCCTAGTAGTGTCCGTGTTCCCGCATTTACCTGCGCATGTATCGCTAGTATGTCTCGGTCAATTTTTTTTAGTGTCTTATTAAAATGTATTATGTCGCACACAATTTAACCCGATATGCCCCTAGATATTTTGACGCGGTGTTGTTCAAGGCTAAATATCTAGGGTACTGCGGTCGTAATGTCGAAAAACTTTTACACGCACTCTATATTTAACCAATATCAGTCGATACATAAAAATTATTGAGAACACATTCGCAGGCTGTGCAGAGTCTATGAAGTATCTACAAATCTACAACACAAGAGGGCATTGCCACCACCACACTATATTATTAGCGCCGGCGTTAACAGCATAGCAAACCAACACTTTTACTTGATCTCACTTTGCTATTGGTCAGTTAATCCAAGCCAACCAAGGCTTCTTTACTTAAAATGTGATTACTGCGGAGTGTGAGGCTGAACCAACTAGTCATTTGGAAAATCCCTACCCCTTTAAATGACTGACTTGCCTGATTTCTTTCTTGCTTTCCCAATCCATAGCAGTGCCCTACAACATGCGGCGTTTTCTTGATTATCTGTTTCTCCTTTGGCTACCGCTAACGGTCTTCGCCAAAGACGACCCGGACTACCGTCCCTGGTCAAATTTTCGTCCGAAGAACGTGACGGGTCTTACTGGACTCTATGCCTGGGTCGGATCGTTAGTATACTGAAATTGCCGTGTTTTATGGAGTGATAATTAAAGAAATTAGCTACTACAATGCATCCACTGAGATAGACTTCAAGCCACTCATTGGGGTGACGTTTAATGACACTCTTTGCCCTAATCTTAAAGGCTTTTCAGGTACTAAGAAAGTGGACTCTATCTTGACTATAGCTGAACGAGGCCCGTACAATTCTGGGAAGGACTCGTTAAACCTGTGGCTTACTTTGATTCCTCCAAACTACAACCTTTCCTCGGTGCCATATGATTCACAAATTCCGTTCTCATCGCCGCTTATATGGCCAATTCTCTCCTCAGAGTGAGTTCAAACCTGTCGCACAGTCGAAGCCATTCCCCTTGGTATAATATGGTTGATTTTGCCATACTGACTGCAGTAGACTTACCTGGAAACAGGGTGAAAACACTACTGTTCCAGACAACTTCAATTTCACAGTTAGCAAAACGCAGCAAGGGTCCTACAACCTCTCAGGGACAATGCAAGAGAGTTTAAGCTCAGAAGATGTAATATCAACAGTCGGCAACGTCACCATGTCCTCCTGCAATAGCACTGAGTACACTGATGACTGGAGATTGGACATATGGACATATAAATGGTGGGACAACCAAGGCTGGGACGCCTTCACGTTCCCTTCTCTCGACGTCCAATTCGATAACAATACCGCGAATTTGACTTTAAATGGATATTTCATAGCGCAAAATTTTGTGAGGACCAATGCTACCGACTGGATTGGACCGCAAGAAGTAGGAAGTTCTATTCAGGGCAGTATTCAGATTCGTTTTTCGGGTGTGATAGACGCTTATCATTCGGATGTTATGAATCTGACCGGACAGAATCCTGTATGGTTGAGAACGGTAGGCTTTGGGAATAATTCGCTGAATATTGATAATACTGGCGGAGCGGGATCTGGTCCATATCCTGCGCTTGCAATTGTTGCCACCGGTTTCATAGGTTGTGTTGTTAGTATGTATATTTGATTATGAGAGCTGCTCAATCATAATTTTTATTTCCTTGCGGGTCTGCGCGTTTTGATTAGCAAAAATTAAAGCGGACTAAGTTGACTATCAATTTACTGATTCCCTCGAGATGCTGTCGGATTTGTCAGCTGTATTTCCCAGCTAATATGTTATGCACTTACCTTCTTCATAGTTGTATTTTTTATTGGTATGTATAACGATTGATAAGAGCGGTCGAGCAATATGGGGATATGACGTATAAGACAACCGAAATTATTCGGCCAGGGCCTAAGAATGTTCGGACAGAGAGAAGTATATATTATAACAGTACTATGCGTGCACATACATGACTTCTCGTCAATATGAACAACTAATATTGAATTTGATATAAGCTCTACTCTCTAATATTTCTAAAAACCGTTGTTACGTATAACGTCACCAACATGATCTCAATCTCCATCCAAAGGGCCCCATTCAACTGGCTGGCCTCCTCTACAACCCTTCCACCACATCCTCAGCGAAACTTCCGGCCCTCGTCGTCGTCCATCCGGGCGGCGGGGTAAAAGAGCAAACAGCGGGCCTCTACGCCCAAAGCCTCGCAACAGCTCACAACCTCATAACCGTCTGCTACGACGCGTCCCACCAGGGCGAAAGTGGCGGTGAGCCACACTTCCTCGAAGACCCCTCACAACGCATCAGTGACGTCTTCGCTGTCATCGACTACTTACAAGCCCAGCCGTTCGTGAACCTCCACAAAATCGGGATACTAGGCATCTGCGCCGCCGGCGGCTATGCCGTTGCCGCCGCCAAAGCAGACCACCGCATCAAAGCGGTCACGACGGTGAGTATGTTGAACATCGGCGACTCGGCGCGTCTAGGCTGGGATGGCGACGAAGACCCAAAGAAGCACACGGCCACCCTAGCCCTGGCGGCGCAGCAGATTCGCGCTGAAGTAAAAGGGGCTGAGACTGCTGCAGCGCCGTACGTGCCGCCAGTGGACGAGAAGACGCCCTATGATATGCAACAGGCGGCAGATTACTACCTCACACCGCGCACGCACACCCCCCGAGCAGTGAATAAAATGCTCATTCTCAGCCTTCCGTTTGTGCTCAATTTCGATGCGTTTTATCTCGCGGATCTGTATCTCACGCAGCCGGTGCTGCTGATTGCAGGCGAGAGGGCAGGGTCCAGGTGGAATACGGAGAAATTGGACGGTTTGATTGCGGGTGCGAAGAAGAAGGTGATTGTGCAGGGGGCGACGCATATGGATTTTTACGATAAGGCGGAGTCTGTAGGCCCGGCTGTGAAGGAAGTTGCAGAGTTTATGAAGACGAACCTGTAATCTGGCGTGGCGCAAGTTTATTGTTGATATGTACATGTATGTATTCGAGGTGTAGTTCATAATTCGTAAGTGATTCACATGCGCAACCGCTTCATCTCCTCCAGCGTCCAATACCTCCTCATATTCTCCGCGCCCAATGTCCTGACTTCATCATCGAGATGCTCCCAGAGCACCTTGCCAAACGAGTCCAACACACTCTTCATTTCCTGCAAGCGGAGCTCCCTCTCACCCGTGCGACACGCCTCCAGAAACTCTTCTAGCCGATCCATCCCCTTATGGATTTCTTTGTGCTGGTTTAGTAAATGCACACCGCGTCTAAACTCGGGCATTTTACTTGCTAGCATGGGGAAGACATATTGCTCTTCGATGCTGTGGTGCGTGTTTAGATGTGATATGAACTCTGAGCCCATGTTGAGAAATTGGCGGATGGACACACCCGAGGGGCGTTTGTTATTGCAGCATGCGGTGTAGAGTTGGTCCCAGGTGCTGCGGAAATGGGCGTGCTGGTCATAATCAGTATCTGAATGTATATCATATATATATGAATTGATGGATAAGGGAGGGATACAAAGTAGTCCATGTGCTCTGCTAATCGATTATAGGCGCGGAACTCTGCGGGCGTGAGCTTGGGGAGTTGGTTGGCTGTTTCTGCTTCACTGGGTGCACTTGGACATGTTGTCTCTGACGATGGGTCTGGTTTTGCACTCATACTCCTGGTGTTGAAGTGGATGGCTGAGAGAAGCGGTTGATAGCGTCGCGAAATGATGGACCGCAAACTGCCTAGGCGAATCGCACATATAAGCATGTAGGATTGTATATGGAAAGCAGGTCTATATATGATTCAGAAATAAATGAGAAAGGCACAAGTAAATATATGTATCTGCAATGATGGTCGATCTAGCTTAGAAATCTCTGACAAATAAAAACGCGATAAGTCGGGTTGCAACATTGAATTGGGGCGCGGTGATTGGCTGGCTGTGCAGAGCTACATATGACAAAATCCGAGAGGAATATTTATTATTGTATTCTGCTAAAACTACACCTGCGGTGTGTATATCTGTGGCTATTTAAGTATGTTGTATGTATCGGTTCTTCAATGGATGTCTGCCACTGTCCTGCAAGCAGAATAGACATACATCTAGTACATCCCCGTAGGCATATCAAGTATACCGTTAATGTAAGCACTTCTTCGGCACAACTGCAGCCATGGAAGGGCTGAATCGCAATTTGACATCCGTGCTATCTTCAAACGAGGGCTACGAGGGGAAGGAGAAGAGTCGGACTAATTCATTAGTATTATCGATATGCTGAGAAAAGTATCTGACCAGCATGAATATGAACACGGTGGTAATACACCCACTGAAGGGAAGCAAGAAGCCTATAGGTAAAATACGTAGCCAGGATATATATAATAATCGGGCTTATAGCTCCGAGTGCTTGATTTTGCCCGGTGGCCTGAAATTGCCCTTTCGCAGCTCGGCGATGGCCAAGTCGAATCGGGCTCCTAGCATCCATGCGATGAAGAACTAGAAATTGTTAGCTACGTACTGAAGGGGGTTGATTGTTGCTAACCAGGACAAGTGTGACGACAACGACTATGCCGCCCATGATGATCATCATCATTTTGACGTCCTCCCACGATTCCTGTGCTTCCCTCTTCTTCTTTTCTTCTTCCTCCGTTGATACTCCGCTGAGCTGACGCCTGGCGTCCTCGGCCTTTTGAGTTGGGAAAAGGGTTTCTATGAATTTCTCAATCTAACGATTATGTTAGCGGGATCAATAATAACCAGATCAGGATACTAACACGGCCGCAGGCAATGCTGATCTTAACAAAATTGGGATCCTTGGGCGTGTTCTTCTGATGAATGCGGCGCGCATATCTGCGAAATGTGTCGCAAAGTACTCGTAGATTTTGAGTCGATTCAATCATTAATTGGCAGGCATCGCCTTTTGTGATTTTGATGTTTCGTTGAAACATCGAGTAGTTGCGGAAGCAGAGCTCCAAGGTGGCAATAGCCATGGCTTGAGGGATAGCGCAGAAATTAAACACACTCTGCTCACGTAGCCCGGCGAGGTAGAAAAGACATTCGTCCATGTGCTCAAGAGCATTCAATATCATCTCTGAACTGCAATTGAGCGCGGCCTCTTTGTACTTGGGGTCAAATAGATCCTCGAATTTGTCGACGTGCTTGGACCAGATTTCTTTGGGCCAGAAATGTCGAGCGTCATCGTGGTCCTCGCGGATGTCACGGATGATATTAGTTTTTTGCAAGAAAAGCCCCATCGATTTGTGCAGATTTGGACGAGCCAGCAGCCCGGGATTACCAAATTTTGCCTCGACAAATAACTGAGTCAAGCCATCACCAACAAGGCCGGCCACGTAATAGCAGTAGAGGTCGTATTCCTCAATGGTATTTACGCTGATGCCTTCCGTTTCCGCCTTGCGAACGAAGTCGGCCATGCCATTGCCCATTTTCTTAGTCATGTCCTTGATGATTGCGCGGTAGGCAGGCTTGAGAGTCTTGTACTCTGTAATCACATTGTCAAACTCAACCAGAAGCTGGCGGTCCTTTTCCTCAGGACGATTGCCATCCCAAGTCCATCCATCCTTCTCGATGATATTCTTGAAGTCGCGTAATAGAGGCTCTTTCACAGCCAGCGGCACCGATGTGTCGTCCTCGATGGTGTCGAGACCACGCAGCACCAGATAGAAAACAGTCACAGCAAACAACAATTCCGGATGGAGCTCTAGGATGACGGCGGAGAAGCTGCGACTGGTCAGCTTGAGAAAGTGGAAGCTCCGTTTCCGTGTTTCAGGGTCCTTGGAAGCATCTCGCTCGTGTGGAGGGTTGTGCCACACTTTCCTAGTCACGGTCAGCCAGGAAATTCAGTACCGTAGCGGGCTAAAGCACATACCATTGTATGATGGATCGCAGCTGCACGGGATGGCAGGCGAAGTAGGCGATATTCCACAGCAAACCCATGATTACGGCAAGTCAAGATCGATCAGTGGTCCAGCACTCGACTCGGATGACGCAGTCAGGGAGACGCAGAGTCAACAGCACCGGTGGGTTAGGGAGAGTGGACAGACGATGTTGGACGCACGCAAGCACGGCTCTCCAATTCCATTCTCTGGGAGCGCGGGAGAGAGCGACGCGGGCAGAGGAGCATGGATTAATATAGTAAGCGAAGAGTTGGCTCTAACTCTATTGCAGGAGCCAATTTAAGGGGGACGACACTCACTGCGGAAAAATTCAAGCGGGCAAACGTTGCAAACTGCAAGTCAAACACGTGCAAACATTAGCGCATGGCGGGGCGAGCGCGAATCACAGCAGGCGTCGCTTTCCAGGTTGCCGAATTAACCATTTAATTTGAATAACATTGGGACTACAAGACTACAAGTCTACAACTTACACAGTCACTGCTATCGGTTTTCTAGTTGTGCGCTTGATTCTAGATTCGACTCACCTGATCTGAGCACGACGATACGGGACCGCCATGGTTGTCGACACCACCTACTATGACGCCCTGGGCGTCCCGCCAACAGCAACCGAGCTGGAGATTAAAAAAGCATACCGCAAGCTGGCCATCACCACGCACCCGGGTAGGGCGATATGCATTGTATGGTATGGAACAAAGCTGACTTCCTGTAGACAAGAACCCTGGAGATGAAACTGCCCATGCTCGATTCCAAGCGGTAAGCATACCTTCTCCACCATCGATGGTTGTTACCCTCGACTCTAGCTGATGACGCTCAACTAGATCGGCGAAGCATACCAGGTCCTGAGCAGTAGTGAGCTTCGCAAGCAATATGATAAATTCGGCAAAGACCAGGCCGTGCCGGGCGGCGGTTTTGGTGAGTATTATACCGAATAACCTAAACAGCACTAACAGTAACAACAGAGGACCCATCTCAATTCTTCACCATGATCTTCGGTGGTGAAGCCTTCGTAGACCTCATCGGCGAAATCTCGCTCATGAAAGACTTGTCTGCTACGATGGACATCACCATGGAGCAGATGCAGGAAGAAGAGTTGGCCCAGTCCGCCGAAGAGAAACTGAATATCCACGACGAAGAAACGAAAGCTGCCGGAGCTGACGAACATATTCAACCCGAGCCAGCATCGAAGCCGACGCCGGCTGCTGCCCCTGTTCCCCCGACGGAATCTGGCGCCACTTCTGGCACTAGCACACCCAAACGCAACTGGGGCCAACAGGCGCTCCTCGACAAATCTGAAGAAGAAGCAAGAATGGATGCGGCCGGGCTCACAACCGAAGAGAAAGAGCTGCGCAAGAAGGAAAAGAAGAAAGGCCTTACAAAGGAACAACAAGAGCGACTTGCTCAGTACGAGGAAGAACGACGAAAAGCCCGCCAGGAGAGAGTCGATACACTGGTACGGAAGCTGGTGGACAGAATCAGCGTGTGGTCAGAAACAGACAAAGGCCCAGAGGTTACACGTGCATTTGAAGAAAAGATCCGTCTCGAGGTTGAAAACTTGAAGATGGAGTCCTTCGGCTTGGAGATTCTACATGCTGTTGCCCAGACCTATCTGTCAAAGGCTACCTCTTTCCTCAAGTCTCAGAAGTTTCTAGGAATTTCTGGGTTCTTTTCTCGTCTCAAGGACAAGGGAACCCTGGCTAAAGAGACCTGGAACACTATTTCCACGGCGATTGATGCACAAATGACCATGGAAGAAATGGCCAAACTGGAAGAAAAAGGCGGTGCTGATTGGACTGACGAGAAGAAGGCCGAGTACGAGAGAAAAGTCACAGGCAAAATCCTGGCCGCAGCTTGGAAAGGAAGCAAATTCGAAATCCAAGGAGTGCTTCGTGACGTTTGTGACAAGGTTCTGAATGACAAGACCGTGAAGATGGAGAAGCGCGTGGAACGAGCGCACGCCTTGGTCCTCATTGGCACAATCTACCAAAAAGTAAGATGCACTTATGTAGTTGTGATCTCAATGATGTATACTAACCGAAGTCAGGCCGAGCGCGATCCAGAAGAAGAAGGCGACTACATGGCCTTCGAACAGCTCATGGCGGAGGCAGCAACGAAGAAGCACAAAGATGACAAGAAAAAGAAGAAGGAATCTGACAAGTGATAGGCATTTAATTCATAATATATAGACAGCCTCCATGTTGCTACGACTTTTGTTTGATATTGTCATCTGCTTGGGATATCCTTTGTCATGACGAATTACCTTACGGCTAGTATTATGTCACTTACTGATGTTTGTTGTCCTTTCGGATTATTGATAGACCAGTGTCTTGCCCCACGATGTATCTAGAGATGTGTGTATATAGGAAATATCTCTGCTATAGAAAATATGCAAAGTAAATGTCTCATTGGACGAAAATTGTCGATGCACGTGCTTGACCGCCATCCGCCGCCCGCGACGTGCAACCGGCCGCGCTAAGCCCAGTCTGGAGCGATGTTTGGAAGTCATGCAAAAGGTGACGATCGTCTGTCCTCACTCACCACCTGCACCCCGTCTCCAGCGACGTGAAAAGCCGTACTGGACCTGACACAGAACCCTGGCTTGTGCCGCCATGCTGGAAGCATCTTTCTCATCCTTACAATGCCATAATGCGCGACCAGTTCAGCCGCTCCCCTATCAACCGACCGGTCGTGCCCGCCCCGAGCATGAATCCCGATAAACAAAACAACAATGGCATGCCTGCCAAACCATTCAAGCCCAGCCTCAGCGCCGCATTCAGAACTGCAAACAAGCCGTATTCGCCCCTAACACCTCGCCTTGCCCCAACGGGTGGCTATCAAACCCCAAAGAAGCCTGCTTCTCCCGATACCGCCCCTCCTTCGCTGACGAAAAGGGATGACACCAGTACTTCTGCCTCGACCCCTCTCAGCTGTAATGTCACGCCGCGATCAGGTACGCGGATCTCGCGACGAGATGGCCCGATTGCATCTCCAGAGACCACCCCGGTGGTTGTGCACACAGCACCTCAGCTACCTCGTCCTACACTACCGGTTGCTACAGGTTATGCCCGAGCAGAACGAAGCCCAGTGCGGGGAGGATTAGGGTTACGGCCAGAGGTAGCAAAATCAACCATAGCGAAGAGTATATCGACCGATGCACTGAGTCTCAGAGCTCCGTCAGTCGCACATTCATCGTCGGAAAGTCTGAGTGGTTCGCCGAAATTCTTCCGTGCCGGTGATGCACGCTCGTCCGCGGGGTCCCATGACGCAGACTCACGGCCATGCTCTTTTTCAAAACAATCTCAGTCATCAAATTTCTTATATGCGGATGGTACACTTGATACGGACAGCCAGACAGATGACTCCAACCGAGTTGGCTCTACAAAGAGGCGTTCAACGGGGTCGTCTTCTCGCCTTCCTGTAGGCGTAAAGGGCCAAACGGTGCTCTCGCCTCGGTTAAGACCCGCGCAGTTGGCAGATACAACCTCCCGATCTTCGCCTGATAGCAATCTACAACCTAGCCCAAATATTGAGGAGAGTTTTGAAGCTCGACTTTCTACTTCTTTCAGTGTTACTTCTCCTTCTCCCGCCCAACAACCGCTACCGCAACCTCTACCGCAACCGCAACCTCAACCTCTTCCTCGTCCCAATCACCGAAAGTCGACAAGTCTCGGCTCCATTACACAAGTTGTGTCTCCTCGGGGCGTTACTCGACGAGTCACGCCAATATCGTCCCCGCCGCTTCTTGCCGAGGCTCTAGGTGTTACCCCAGAGCAATCACCTCATCCAAGCCCTCAAATTATCACAAACATACTAGTAGATCCGGTTTCCGATCATAACATACCATACACAGTACCTCAGAGCCCGGTTAAATTAGAAGGGCCCAATGCATTCGGCGATGGAGCGTTAAATGCCCGCACAGAAAGGAAGATTCTGGATCTAGAGATCAGCAATTCATCCCTCCTGGCTATTAATCGCACTCTTGAACGAGAATTGCGCAAACAAAACGCAGAACTGCGCCGATTTCGACGACTAAGCCGCTCTGGCCGTTTATCCATGACGACTTCTATACGATCCATCTCTGGCGGTGCGCTATCAGTTGTTAGCGAAGCTGGCGACACCAGCGAGCTTTCTTCCATCCATTCCAATGACGAGCTGTCTGAAGAGAGTGACAACGATTCATTCGCCGACGACACCACTAACAGCCCTGGCAGTCTCGCAGACCATGATGCCCGACATCGGGTTAGCGACGAGAAGCGCTTCATGCTCGACCTCGCCAAGCACCAAGAACTGCTCGTCGATAGCCAGAAGCTCAACCAAAGTCTGAAACGATGCCTCGGACTGACAGAAGAATTGATTAAAGAGGGCAAACGAGCGCTCGACTATAACGTCCACGTTAACGATGTCGAAGTTGGTGGCCGCGTGTTAGCCCCTGAAGAAATCGCAGACGAACTTGCAAGTGGCCGTGGTTTGTTGAGCCCAGGCGCCGAAATCGACGAAGCCCTTGCGTTCGATGTATCCGGAGACGACCTCAGCCCGGCATCATCACCTGATCCAATGTAATATTCTCGCTTTTTTTTTCAATATAAATCTGGTGATACCCTTTCTTCTTACACCTCGACATGGCCGGGCCAGTCTTTCTTTCAATCTTTCTGTTTCATTTGTTCAAAATGGAGTTCACCTCCTGATAATATTTTACCCACATTTACAACGTTGTATTATGCTTAGAATGGTGTTTTTTTCGGGGAGCTTGGCGCATCTTTGGGTTGATTGAATTGGGCATTCTGTTATCATCGGGATCATCTGATGGCGTTTGATTTATATGATACCTCCTGTGAAAATGCTAAATTCTCGCCACTCCTGTCCTATCGCTACATTTTTCTCCTTGTTGTGTTTATGTATTGATACCCTTTTTATTCATCAATTGGTATACATATATGGATGTTGGAATAATGGCTGCAACACTTGTGTGTTTTGAAGTGCTAGTAAGCACTTATGTAGTTCATATGTACTTTCCATTGCATGACTTAAAATTTTTCTACATCCATTTTTAGAACATCCTTAACCAGGTCACACCCGCTACTAGAGAATAGGAATGGCTAATAATATAACCCGGCGTTGGGATATTATTCGAGAGAATAAATCGTTCGCAGGATAATATAATATATTACGGTTGGCATAGGCTCGTCAGTTTCGAAATCACAGCAATATTATCTTAGGGTAGTATCCATTCGAAAGCCTTGCGCTCAAACACATCTCACATGCTCAAGAAAGCACACCCATTTATGCTCTGTTTATAGCTGGTGATATCGAGAGGATAATACGTATATTGCGTTATTAGACACCCACAGAGCATGCATTGTTCCGCCTCCACCAACCACACGCGGCCTGTATGCTAACTGGCGAGGCTGGCAAATTGCTCATGTCGACAGTAAGGTGCCTGATCACCAATGTGGTCGATTGATAATGTAGGAAAATAGAGTTGGTTGGTGGTTAATTATGTGGATCTCTCAGTATATAATCGTTTTACCTAGTCATGAAATTATCGAGGCTAGTAATCTCTCGATTCATGCCGAACTTTGTTTTGATATGCTATGTATATACAAGAACCCTAACAGCCGCCTGCTACTCATCAGGCGAAAAATAACCGTCTCTGTCGTGAACTCGTGTCGAAACTCGATTTCCGTTTCCTAGCAGATGATACTTGGTGCTCGTTCGCCGACTGTATATTTGGCGAGGGTACTTGTTCAACCACAGAATCCGTGGAACTCTGCACAGCCTCGAGAATCGTCCCTTTTGAAAGACAGTAATCGACGTGTTCGTTGAAGATTTTGTCATCGGCTGGTTGTGTGTGCGAACAGATGGGGCATGTCCATATTTCTGCGGGTTTGGGAGACGGGGGTGATTTTGTTGGGTCAGTAGTTGGTATTGTATTTATAAATGGGGTATCATTATCGTTATTATACTCTTGGCTAAGCTTCTCCAACTCGTTAATCTCATCTTCTCGTTCTTGGCGCGCGGCGTTCTCAAAGTCTTGTTCTGCGCTTAGTTGTGTTTCGTTAATTCTGCTCTCAGCAGCGGTTTCAAGGTCCTGGTCATTGTCCTGGGTTGATGGAATAGGTTTTCGGACTGATTGAAATCCAAAGAAATTTAAGCCGCCTTTCTTCGTACTAACAAGATTAGTACATCTCAATCCCAATAATCTTAACCGCATATTCGGAATTTCCTTCTCAAGTTTGACTATTATCGGCAATGCATAGGCGTATAGGTCATCGGCCCGGCATACTGCTTTAGGAGGCACCACCTGTCGAGTATATACCTCGAAAGTGTGCAACTTTATCTTAAGTACTAAGGTTCGTCCCTTACATTGTGACTTTGCAAGATCCTTCTCCAATTCTTCCGCCGTGGAGCGCAGTTTCGCGTGGATAGCTTCTTTGTCGCTGATTTCGGAGAATGTGCTTTCTGTCCCAACGCTCTTGCGTTCGTATTCCTCAGCTGGTTGGATCTTTGTCCGACCCAAGCCGAGATAGCATTGCATGAGAAACTGAAATGCTTTCTCTCCAAATAGTTTCTTTAAAAATGCTCGCTGCGGGTAGATCTCGCCGCACGTCTCAATGCCGATTGCTTTCAGCTCTCGTTCAAACACCCGCCCAATACCATTGACTTTGCGTACAGGTAGATTTTTAATAAAACTCATGATTTCTTCGCGGTCATTTGGGATATAGAATTGGCCGTTCGGTTTATTTTGGTTTGAAGCTATTTTGGCCAGTTTCGCGTTCGCAGCGATACCCGCTGACACGGTGATCTTGGTCTCTTCGCATATTCTCGCGCGCATTTGTTGGACTGCCTCTTGTGGATCCATATTATTCTCATCGCAGTACGCGGTGATATTGAGATACGCTTCGTCAATCGAAGCACTTTCAAAGCACGGGTCATATTCAACAAAAACCGCGCGAATCTCCTCTGCCTTTGCGCTATACTTTTGGTAATTCTGCGGCAAGCAGATTAATTCCGGACACAGCTTTTTGGCCACAAACGAAGCCATTCCGCTCCGACACCCGTATTTTCGTGCTACATAGTTACATGTCGTCAGCACTCCCTTGCCGACTGCCATCGGCACGGTTTTGAGTTCCGGCCGGTCGAGCTCTTCGACGGCAGCAAAGAAGGCATCACAGTCAACATGGACGACTGTTTGTGTCAGATCGCGGCTGAGTTCGAGTTCGGCGATGTACTCATCTGCTCGGCGACAGTCGGAGGATAGATCTAGACGCTCCAGGCGCGCCTTGCGAGCGAGAATCTGCGAGATCTTCTCGGTTAGGACTTTGTCACGCGATTCTTCATGGTTGAAGAATTTGGACCCTTTGGAGGCATTGTATATAATTTCCGATACCTTGTTATTTTGGTTAGTAGGCGTATTCACTCAATGTGTAGGGATGGCTGCTCACTTTACGTTGATCGACCGCGTCTTGACCCGCTTTCAGCAGCGATGGTCCTAGGAGTGAGTATTTGAGGGTTTTATGTTCTTGTGGAGCCTGTCTAGGCGAGTCCTGCTGTGGCTCTGGTATATCTGCATCTTTATCTGCACTTTCCATTGCTGATATTGCCGATGGCGTGTCATCTGTTCACAGCTGCTTCCTAAGGCAGCAAAATGGGTGACGCCCTGTCACGTGATAGCGCGTCGCCTCGCAGCTCCAAGTGGAGACGATCTCCCTGCTCGCATCTGCCTGATATTTTTGTCTCTTTTACTCCTCAGACCATGATAGCGGAGTGTTTATCCTCGAGATGTGGATTCTCGAGTCCGATGGGGATCTACTTGGCGGTATGATAGTTTTGAGAACTGCCTTACAAACCCAATATTGATTATTCTGACAGGAAAACGGGTCTGGCTGAAGCCCGGGAAAAAGTATTTGTTCGGCCGAATCAAACAAGAAGGCGGTATGTCAAGACCTTACAGATTGTGGAATAGTGTAAATTGATTTATTTGAATCGCAATAGTTCGCCATGTTATCCATCATGTATCTATCTCAAGAAAGCATTTGGTTATCGAGGTATCTCCAGTGCAGGCAGGCGATGGTGTATGTTCTCCGTATCCCCGCCACCCGATCAATCATACTAAATAGAGGCAGGCGCATGTGCATAAAAAGTCTGTTCTGACAGTTACGGATCAAGGATCGAAATGCGGGACGACGGTCGATACCGTGCAGATCAGAGGGTCGAGTCAAATCTTGACCCAAGACGAGCATACATTACAGCTGGGGCGGTACCCACCAGCGCTTAGGTGCGTGGACGGCTATCGTATAATGTATAAGATGGACAATGGCTCGTACTGAATTTTGTTCAGGATAAAATGGCATCCTACCGTTCTTAGCTTCTCGTTCTCATCCAAGGAGCTCAAAGCCAAGGATCCTCTAGGCCCCGCACGCAGTCGATTGGAAGACCTCGACATCAAGACGATTATTCCCTACGTCGAAAAAACCACACACGTTGTCCAAAACAAGCGGAATACAGCGAAAGGTCTGCAGGCTCTTATCAACGGGAAATACATTGTCCAAGATTCATACCTCGATGCCCTAGTCTATGCTGCCACACCCGGAGACCTTGAGATATCCGAGTCATTGTCGCCTCTGGAAGTGGACTATGACGCACATTGGCCAGATGCGAATTTGTTTCTTCCGCCAGCTGGTAAAGAACCGGTCCAGAGGCCTGCGGAATCGTTTGCACCTAATGCGAGCCGCAGTCATGTTTTCGAGGGTTATACGTTTGTATTTTGCGACACAAGCCAGTTTGAGAATTTGTCACCACCGATAAATAATGGCCATGGCAAGGCTTTGTTTTACCAGGTACATAATGGCCACACAACGGCAGATGACTTATTGCAGTATATGCGAAACGCAGCAGGCGAAAAAGGGTTAGGGTCCGAACATAACGGCGATGGAGGGATCGTCCTAGTGCGGTTCAGGGCAAAGGGTCATGAGGATTGGTCGATCGAACTGGGAAATCAAGTGGCCATTAAAATGGACCAACGTGTGATCGAACAGAGCGAGTTCCTGGATGCCATACTAAGCAACGATGCAACTTCATTGTGTCGATCGCTTCCCCGAGAAGAGGCTCCAGCCAGCCGGGAACCCCAGACGAGAAGAACACGACGGAAGACGCCTGAAAAAGACCTGTCTGCGGATGCCGAACTCCCGGAAGTAACCACTACGCAGCCAGAAGATACAGCCCACTTCGAGAACACGCAAGCCGAAAAGCAAGTTGAAACGCAACGAGCAAAGCGATCACAGAGCCGCCCTTTTGTCAGTCGACTTAAAGGGTTTGATGATGGATTTGACATGGAGGATATTCCAATACACCACTCGGAATCGGGCGATGTAAATGACGAAATGGAAGTCCAAGTTCCTTCATCTCAGCCTGAACCTGTGGACGTTGAAGAGGATGATGGTATGTCGGGTCTTCTCCCGGGAGCCAATGCAATGAAACGACGCAGAGCTGATATGGGCTCACGGTTATTTGGCGATGACCTCAAAGCGGAAGAGGCGCCAAAACCAAAGCGACAGAAAGTCGATGTTCTTGCGGCTGCTCGCCGCCATCGTGAAGAAGAAGAGGCAGCCGCGCGGGAACAGAAACAAGAGAATGGGATCACCTTCCAAGCCGTTGCTGAAGGCATGGCTATTGAGGAAATGAAGAATCTTGTTCTTGTCGAAGAATTCGAAGTCCCAAATCGCCCAAGACAATCCGCTACGGTGAAAGTGACTGATCGGTGGGACGAGGGCTGGAACGGACGAAAGAATTTCAAAAAGTTTCGCAAAAAGGGCGAACCTGGCGCGCCTCGGTCCCGTATTCAAGCCGTCATTGTTCCCCTGGATGAAGTCAAACGCAAGGACTACGGTATCGGCGACCACTACTGGACCAATAATAATAATCAACGAGACGACAGCCCCGAACCTATCTTCAAACGGACTAGCCAACAACCGAGCAGCGGACGGCCTGCTAGCCGTGCAGAGAGCCAGGCCTCTCTGGATATGTCGGAGGAGCCACCTACATCATTTACAGCACCATCAGCTCATTCAGAGACGCCGCGACCAGCTGCTTCGGTGACGCAAAAGAGCCAGCGCGTGAGTCAGAAGAGGACCAGGGGAGATGGGGATAATGACAGTGATGGCGAGGAGCTTCGATTCAAGTTCCGCCGGAGAAGGTAGCCATGTACAAGGAAGGAATTGCATGTTATTCTCTGCATATATACATATCTGCTAACGAAGACATGATTGGCGGGATGGGTCCATGGCCTATTCTTATCCAGAAATCACGTGCTTCCAGGGAAAAAATTTGCAGATTGACGCAGGACGCGGCATGGTGATTGAGAGGCCAAGAACTACGGTTCGCATTATTCTAGAGCATACGAACGCACAGTCATAGATATCCAAATGTATATGCATGTATGTGTAGGCGTATTGTGCAGCGGTAATTAAGCATCGCGCGCCAAGTGAAACCCTGTTCTCTTATCAAGGGAGGGATTATTGGAACCAGCCCACATGACAGACTGCCCTTTCCCTTGTCCTTCCCTTCTGCCCCTCAGCATCATTCTTCATTCCTCATTCCTGACAGTCGCTCGCTTTTTCTCGTCTCGCTGCAATACAGGCCCTATCCCGTAGCACCTAGTCTGACGTGCGCTTTCTACTCCACGATTCTCTGGCTACTAGTCTCCACCGTGTCGATTAGATAGACCGATTGCACTTATCGGCAAGCCCGACTCCGCCCGCCGCATTGTCATTCATCAGCGCCATCCATCTTCGTTTGACGCCTAATGCAAACGATTTTCGCTCTGTGACAAGTCATTCCTACAACGAACATTACAACATTCGCCCACCGGCAGCCCCGCGTTGGGCTACGCTGGCTGGGCCTGGCCCTCTCTTTGGCATCCATCGCGCAAATTTGTCACTGCCAATCCATCAGAAAAGATCGTGCATGCTGGCGAATTGATCAAGGCAGCCCCCAATCCACAGTCCCTGGCTAGTTTATGATAGATCTATCATTTCGTTCCTTCCAACGACTCTATGTCAACTCCTCTAACCATGCTTACCACCTTACCTCCCCCCGGCCGATTTCGGTAAACTCATCGATCCTCCCCCTGTCCACCGTCTCGACCCATAAAACGCCCAGTCGATGCACGAGCGAGGAAATCCATAATGATGATGTCGATTCAATGCATTCGCTTAATGCGTCGTTTGAGTATCATCCCAGAACGGATGTGGAAATGGAAGATTGCGAGACCATAACCGATGTTTCACATCAAGTAAATCGAAACAGTGTTCAGTTCCAGAACCTACCTATCGAGATACATGAGGCGATATTGGATCATTTGTTTGGCGAGCGAGCGTCTGCTGCCAACAGTAACGCTCATGGGCCGGGTTCTCGCAGTTGGGTCAAAGCCTTACGGCACCCTAGAAGAAAGGCCCTTTCCAATTTGACCTTGATATCGCCGCTGTGGAGGAATCTGGTACAGGAACGAATCTATCGGCACAGTGAGTAACATGTGAAATTTTGCTCACCCGTTGTTAACTCCATTTAGTCAAAGTCAAGGGCACCAAGGACGGACTCGCCGAATGCGAAAGTTGGTTCGTACTCCATCCCCATCTTGTACCCCACGTTCGTCACATCGAAGTCTGGGTCCCTGTTTGGGGAAATCGTGCCCAGAAGAATACGGCTACATATCCTCGTGAATATTTACCGGCGCGCCGATACTTGAATGAGGATAATGGTCTGGCGGGGGTAAATGCTGTTTTGCAGGCTACCGTTGCTAGGTGGGAAGACCATGACCATGGACATCGCGGTTCAAACAATTTTGCCTTTCATGTAGCCTGTCACAATGCTAGTCTCGAAGAGATATTTTGGCATGTAGGGTCAAATTTTCCTGCAGCACAAATTCTCACTCTCGAAGCTGGCCATTGTAAGAAACCACCCTTGATTACGCATTTTGCCAAGGATCCATCGGGTTTGCAAGGCCAACACCATCTTATCCAACTCCCGAACATCAGAACGCTTGTCATGCGCGGTGCCTGGAATATAATGCGGGATTATCGGCATTGGGTGACAATTTCCGATGCCTTGCCTTCGTTACGAGAATGGCATTGTGCGTATGCAAAGCCAAAGGTTGAAGGATATCAGACGATCTACAGGGCACTGTCAAATTTGTCGTCGAGTGTGGTGCACCTCAACATCAGTCTGGAAGGGTTCCATAGCAAAGATCAGTCACATTGGTATGGTGAACGGGCGAGCCACCATCACCATCTCTGCCGACTACTAGGTGACATCGCGCCGCGTTTGGAACATCTCAGTTTCACGGGTAACGTGTGTGCGAGCCTTTTCAATGCCGCTCGAACGGCTGTTGCCCATCGGCCTCAAGACGCCAGGCTCAAGTCGCTCGATCTTGTTGTTAAGACATGCTGCCAAGAGCCAAATAGCGAGTCATCATTTCCGCTACTGGAGGAACCATCTGGGATTACGAATCTGAAATTCATTCAGTCGTTTGGAAAACTAGTTTTAGGCGCGGTCCGCTCACTGGACACATATCTCGCCTTGTCGTACATTCGTATCCGCTTCATCGATCTCGACTCCACATGCGCTCTCCTCAACCCATACTTTCAAATGTCCGACAGCGAATGCACAGGGCTGTGGAATGTCCAAATCATTGAAACCCTGGCGCGAGTGCGCCCATCAAGTCAATTCGCGCAGCTGTCTGATGGTATTTATCCTCAATTCGGCCCTGACAATACAATAATCGGTGCTGTGTATCCTCGTACGCGACCATTGAGCATCAATGCCAACAATTACAAAATCCTGTCCGACGCGGCAAAGTCATAGCCTACAATTTCTTTGTGGCTGTTCTGTTTCCATGCTTTCATTATCTGTGTTTCATCTGCGAATAATACCCATCTGGCTGGCGCTTTTATTATGCTTTATTTGCCTTCTATTTACGTTGAATATGTGCAATGCATTTCAATGGTAATTGATCTAGCGTGAGGAGTGAGGCGTCGTGGTGGAACAATTTGTGGGGTTTCTTACAACGAAGAATATCCATCATTGTATTGAAATCTACTCTGTATTTCTCAGACATTGATTCTGCTGGACAGTGTAGCATTCAATAGTAATATAAGTTGTTATGGAATGTTATGCATACATATGTAGAAGATTTATAACTATATGTATTGGTCTTACAGAGAACATTAAAATTGTCTCCGAAACCAATTAATTACTACCTACAATACATCTACAATGTATAATTAAATATTTCTCACCCATCACTCCCTCTTCTTCCCCAATAACTCCGTCGTGTGGGTAGAATTACCGCCAACATCAGCAATAATAACCCCCAAAATCCAACAATTCACCAAATAAAACACCAGCGTAGCCACCCACAGCCCAGGCACAAAGGTCGATATACCGAGGAACTCAAGCTGGAAGGCCTGATGGAGCCAGAGGACCTATACATTATATATTTTTTAGCCTGCTTTTCATTGTGGTCAGGGAGGGGGTTTGGGGGGAGGTAGGAAGGTACCTGCGAAACAACCCACAATACCAACGCGGTTATCCCGAGAATAGGGGATTTGAGGAATGATGATGATGGGAGATATAGGGGGAGAAAAACGAGGTACCAGAGGAAGTACTACGGTCTGTATTAGCATGGTTTTTTTAAAGGGGAAGGGGTGGTTACTTGGCTTGTGCAGACTTTGTTAAATGCGACAAAGGCAAAGGTCTGCGCGAGCATGGCGCCTGGTAGGGACCGTTTGGCTAGGATTAGTGGGATGGCGAGAGTTGAGAGGACGAGTTGCGGGATGAAGGCTAGGGATTCAAGATGCAATCCATCCTGCTGCGATTCAGCAGCAGAGGAGAGGTAGAGGAGGGTGTTGTACGGCGAGAAGTTGTGGCGGTGGTCGATGCGGGTTAGATGGTGGAGATAGGTGTGTTGCAGGAATGGGTAGCCGTATACAGCGTACATCCACAGATTTAGCGCGATGAAGGTCAGGAGGGAGACGGCTGTGAGGGTGATTCGGGCTGGGGTGAGGAAGGTTGTGAGGATGGTGAAGAGGGATTTGGGTTTGGAATTGGATTTGTGTTGGGAGGGAGATGGGGATAAGGACCAGATCACGCTAGGGGCGTAGATGAATGGGTAGATTTTGAAATGCACGCCAAACCCAAGTAACAAGCCCGCGAGAACGATGCGGCGATTCAGTACCGCCCATAGCAGCGCAATGACGAGAACGCCGAGCAGGCCCTCGGAGCTGCCGCGCGTGCTGATGGTAGCGACCATGGGGTTGAGGAGCCAGATGCTGGCATACCTGAGGCGGGAGGGTTCGGTCATGGAAGGGTATTCTGTGCGCAGGACGAGGAGCAGAAGCCAGCCAGCCACGAGATCGGCGACAGCGAAGAGGACTTTGCCGAACGAGAACCAGAGCCAGGCGGGCTGCCAGGTTGTGGGGAGTAAGAGCCAGGCAAGTAGCGGCGTGTAGCGGTATGTGTCGCGCAGATATGGCGATTGGCCCTGAGACATGAAGCGGGATGCATCGGTGAAGACCAAGTAGTCGATATCGGTGTATTTCATGGGAGAGTTGTTGTCCTGGTACAGGCCGTAGAATAAAAGACCGACTCGCAGCAGGGCCGCGAGTGAAAATATCACGGCGGGAGAGGAGAATAGAGAAGGCATGCTGGTGCTCTCTATCTGTAGTTCATTACATGTAGATGATGTTGTTTACATGTGGATGGATGAGGACATGAGCATTCGGATTGTATTACGTGAGAATTGAATGTTGTCAATCATGTCATAGAGAAGCCGATGTCCATTTGAGTCTCAATTGTTGCTGGAGACAATAATTCTGTTGCATTGAATAGTATCATGCAGTGGGTAATGTGAATGTTCGATGTTGTCGAAATTTCTTGCTCGGTGATTGGCCCGGCGCACGTGACTCGGCTGATCAGGTCTCCCAGGGGATGCCAATTCAGTAGCATCCATTGCATATCATGATTTTATCAATTACAATCTTGGCTTTGATTTACTCTATCCAGCGATTAAAACATAAAAGACATGACAGTATAAATCGACCGGAACATTCATAGATGCTTGAGTCACAGTGGTTACACTATTCCGATACAGGACTAGCGGGTGTGAACGCATTACTTGACAGCTTTTGTCAAACTTTAGCCATCATCAGAAATGGCGCAAACCTTCCTTAGTAAGGATTATTTTGGTTATTTTCGTTGCATATTTTATGACAGCTTTTTTTTTATCCATTATTTTACTTTCGTGCCAGAATTCCGGATACGTCTGAACTGTTGATTGGTATGTACTATGAAGCAGTTATCAATACTAGAACTAGATGGCTTTTTGCCTTAGCAGCGAGGTGCCATAAGTCATCTGTATGACGTCAGGACTTATTCAAACGATGATAAGTTTTAATCTTAAGGGGAAGAAAAATGAAAAAAATGTCTCCACCGCGGATCAGAACATCAAAAGGTTGCGTGCCTCGGCGACAGCTCTGCGTTTTCTCGGGATCCGCGGCGCCTTCCGATTGGCTGATTCTGCGCTTTTTTTGATCTACGGGATACTCACAAGTATAATACAAGCCCTCTCAACGTTGAATTATCGTTTAGCCTCGAAAATTTGTCGTTCTCCAGGAGCTCAGGCCAACCAGGTGCATCCATCCCGGAAACTTTTCTGGCGTGTTCGTCACTACCAGAGAGTGTCATCGTCTGGAACTAAAGTAATTCGCCGGATTTGACAACCGCGAACCCTGCCAGTATTTTGTTCAGAGTTTAGTTGTGAAGATCCTTCTTATCAATTGATTATTATATCCTGTATTTCTTCTGCTATATGATCCTTCCCTTGCCCTTAGAAGCCCCTCAACTCGCCGTTCCGCTACTTGTATTCCAGACCCTACGACGACACCAACATCCAACAATTGACTTTGTTTATATCGAATTATCATTTCCTCCCCAATGATCGACAGCCCCGCCACAGCCACCTTTTCATCCTCGAGCTAAGAGCTGACAGCTGAATTCAAAATGCTGCGAGATATTATAATAATCGGCTCCGGCATAACGGGCCTTTCGACCGCTTTATCACTCTCCCACCACCTCTCCTCCGCAGTCCCAGACCTCCGCATCACCATTTTCGAACGCCACTTCATCCCTTCGACGTCCGGCGGAGCAATTGGCTTGTCGCCCGTTGCACTTCGCTATCTTGATCATTTGGGCGTAATGGATGAGCTCGCGCACCTGGGACCAGAGGCCGGCGCGGATGTTGATGGCATCGAGGTATTTTCGGCGCGGACGGGCAAGAGTCTTGGACAGGTTGACTTTGCTGGGAAGAACGGGGTTGGCATACACAGTGATAAAGGACCATTAGAATGCCAAAAGACATACAAAGGCGCGCGTCTCCCGCGAATCAACCTAACGCTCGCCATGATATCCGCAGTCGAGAAGCGGCCAAACATAAAAATCGTCTACGGCAAGAAACTCTCGCACGTCAGCTCCCTAGACGACGAGGACAAAGTCGAAATCCATTTCGACGACGGATCGCGCGCCACAGGCGATTTACTTCTCGGCTGCGATGGCGTGCACTCCGCCACACGCCGCAACTTCATCGACCCCGGTCACGAAGCTGAATACAGCGGATTCACGCTCGTGCAAAGCACGATTCCCACAGCTAGTCTCCAAACCTCGCCACATTTCCGGGCGACATCGTTGAATTTCTCGAAATCGGGGACGATGCTAATGACCTTTTGCGATAAATTTCATCAAGAGATGTTTGTGTCGGTGATGTTGGAGTGTCGTGAGGACGCGGTGGGGGATTATGTAGTTGTTAGTAATGAGGAGAGAAAAAGGATCATTAGAGAATCACTGGCGCGGGAAGTACGGATGAGATACGGCGATTCGGCGATTCCGTGTATCAGAGAGACCGTTTCGCGGCCAGACATTGACTGGATGATGTATCCGATCTTTCAAGTGCCACTCGGCGGGCGGTGGTATACTGATAAAGCGATACTACTTGGTGATGCGGCGCACGCTGTAAGGGCCCCTTCCTCAAAGAGTAACCGTCCAAAAAAAATGGCGAAACTGATAGTAATTAGATGCTCCCCCGTGACGAATCCGCCGCATACGCCATCGACGACGCCATCGTGCTCTCGCGTGTTCTGGCTGAATACATCGCCTACCCGCTAACTAAAGCCTTTGAAGTCTACGAATCCATGCGGCGTGACGAAGTCACGCACGCATTCAAAGAATCCCGTAAGTTGTGGAAGCGCCGCAACAAAGATGCGGGGGCATTTGAGTCTTGGGTCCGTGAGCGTCTTGTGCCGTTGCAGTTGCGACAAACAGAGGCGTCGCGGCAGGCGGCGTTCAAGGCGGATGCGAGTAGAATTGAGATTCCGTCGCCAATCACGAGGTTGGGGACGGGGATGGGTTCGGGGCAGTCGTCCGGGAGGTCGAGTCCGGCCAGCTTGAGGCCGTTTTCGAAGGCAGGGTCGTCGGCATCGTCGGGGAGCGAGATGATGCCGATTGGGTTGATGGATATGTCGGGGTTGGCGATGAGATGAGTAATGCCTTACTAAGACTAAGATGGAGTCAGGCGTGGAAGTGATTATGTTAATGCATATTAATACCAAAAGTTAGAGTCCGTTACATTACAGGAGTTGGTTTATTAGATTAGATTAGATCTCAACTTTAGCATACGAATTCCGTTTCTACTGTCATGCAAGACTACGCTGATACAAAATGGCAGGCTGTATCACTCATTTTCCTAAAACAATGGCTGACGTTCCATCGTAATCTCGCACTTCCCAGCCTTAGGCACGTTGATGAAAAAGTTCAGCGGCTGCATACTCTCCGGCGTAGTACTCGGCGCCAAACGAGCACCCCTGCACTGCCGGAAAAATTCCACCGTTGCCATCCGCAATTCCATCCAGGCGAGATACATCCCAATGCAAATGCGAGGGCCCATGCCGAAAGGAGCGAATATTAGTCTCCCCTCCATTGTTACTGCGCGGGGATTCTCCTTCTCGCCGAATCGAGCATGCATCCAACGTGTGTGGTCAAAGACGAGGGGGTCGACGAATAGGCTAGGGTCTCGGTGGATAGTGTAGCTCTGTGTGCTCACGGTAGTGCCCCCTGGTATAAAGAAACCACGAAAAGTAGCTCCGGACTTTGGTACGACGCGAGGTAGACCGCCCTGCGTTGAGCTGTACAAACGAAGGCTTTCCATCATGACAGCGTTGAGGAGGGGAAGGTATTCGACGGTTATATCGTCATAACCATCTGTGAGTTGAGCAACTTCATCCTCGATCTGCTTTTGGAGGGTGGGACGCGAGAGAATAGCCCAGATCAGATACGTCAACGTGATAGCGGTACTGTCAGACCCGGCGACAATGAGATTCCCGGATTCGATGGAGACGTCGGCGTCGGTGACTTTGGAGTGCTGTTTTTTAGATTCATTGATCATTTCTGTGAAAATGGCCGTGGAGTTGCCCACACGTTTGGCGTTCTCCACGGCTTTGTGACCATACTCGAGAATGTAATCGTTTGCCCGGAACATGGTCTGAAAGGCTGAGAGAGGGATATAGGGTGCAATCATGCCAAAGATCGGAAGCTCGACATTGATAGCAAGCCCTGTAATTGATGATTGGAGGAATTCAATGTATTTATTTTTCTGTGATCGAATTAGAACAAGAAAATCGGATAATATACATTTTCTCTTACCTTGCCAAATTGAAGCATTTCGAAAGATTCTCCAAACATCAAATGCGCAACAGTATCCGTCGAAAACAAGTACCACCATTTGTACATATCCGCCACCCCATTCGACGACTCCAGATCTTGTCGAATCCGCTGAACAGCAAGTTTTGCTTTCTCCTTAACAACGAATTCCCAGTTCCTGCGCAACTCCATCTTTGTGAACGAACGGGCAAACATTTTCCGTTTCTGAGCGTGCTTCTTTGGATCCTTCTCGGCTAGGACCCCAATACTAATGGGATTACTGACCTTTTCGTACCAATCCCCCTTGAGAAATGGGGAGCCGGCGCGATGGATCTCCCTTACCTCTGCATAGGACGAGACGGCGACTTCGTCGGGAGAAATGCGGACGACTGGGCCATATTTAAGGTGTAGTTGGTGAACGTAGTTGACGCGCTCGCCAGTGATAATGGTGAGTTTAAGAGGAAGGCGGGTGAATTTGGTGTACCAGGGTCCTGGGACTCGGCGGAGGGATGAAGTGAGTCCGTTGTACAGGAACTGTTGTTGATAATGGTTAGTTTGATTATCATTTAAACTTTCATGGTGCTTTAGTACCTGGACAATCCAAATGTATATGATCGCAGATGTGACTGCCAGGGTAATAGACGCCGCCCAGCCCATGGCTTCGATGAGGGCAGGATGGTCTGTTACAATGTTCCCATAACGTCAGCAGCGAAGATTGATGGATGGCGGGGTGGATGAAAGAAGTGACTAAGGAAGGAGGAGCACGGTGCTTTCGATTACGGTAACAGGCAAGAGCGGTACCATTTTGGGAAAGCCTGAGTTAGTTCTATTTTTGCTGCTAGAAATCATACTCTATAGACTGATGATTGTACTTACGCTCAATGCGTCTACATATAAAACTAAATAAATGAGAGATGATGTTGTTATAATTTCTTTTATTCAATTTTAGCAAGATACTAATATAGGCCAAAAATAATTAAATAATCCATGCCACGAAGTACTCCATAGAATGCGAAGACATCAAATTCGTAAAATATTACACTACTCAATGGTAATCCGTCTCACAGCTTCCTCATTCACCTTCTTCGGCACTGTAATTGACAGCACACCATTCTTCAAGCTCGCTTTAACGGCATCTTGGTCAATCGGTGAAGGGAAGCTGAAAGTGCGACTGAATTCGCCCACAGATCGCTCAGACACCCAGTATCGCTCGTTATTGTTCTCGACTTCCGTGGACTCGGCTGGCTGGGCGACTGCCTTGGTGGTTTCGGTTGCATCAGTGGTATCAGATGTCTTTGCAGCTGGCTCATTAGTGTTTTCAGCAGCGTCTCCCATATTGACATCGGTCACAGTTGTTGTAGACTCTGCAGGTGGATTTCCAGAAGAAAAGCTGCGCTCGGTGCGTCCTTTGATTTGTAATGTCTTCTCGTCCACGAACTCAATCTGCAGTCCATCTTTTTCTATTCCTGGTACATCACCATCAAGGTGGTATGCGTCATCGGTCTCACGGATATCAAAATTTGGCGCAAACCCGGTCACTTGGTTGGGCCTTTCACCCTGGAAAAAGGAATCATTGAAGCGGTGGGTGATGTGATCGGTGTAATCGTCTAAGAGGCGGAATAGAGACGAGAACTCCCCGCCATGACTACCTCTAGAAGAGGTGAATTGCGAAGGAGGAAAGAAGGATCGCGGGACGATGGAGATTGAGCGCTGTGGAGTTATTGTCCGCCGAGTGATGTGGTATGGCTGTGAGGATGAGAGACGGCGGGAAGCAGTGGCCTTTGGGGCAGCGCAACCGCGGAAGATCATTTTGATGGTTGAGTGTTGGACTTGATGTTTTTGCTTTGAATTTATTATAGTAGGTGATTAAGGAGTAATTATTATCCTGACGTGAGGTTGAGAGATGAAAGAGAAGATCGCATGATCGAACCAGAGTATATATACCTTTTTCGGGCTAGCGCGCCGTACCTTCTAGAATCAGCTAGAGCCTCCCGGGCCATTCCAGTGGCATCGCGCGAATACTTTCGTTTGATGTCATAGTAATATTATATATTCGGCTGAATAGAGTTTCTAGCTTTAACTGGTCATATGATCAACCCTGTTTCTGGATAGCTGGTGGCGGGGAGCATTGTGGCCGGGTGGCGACATGAGACAGGCTCAACGGCGATAATACACCAGACATTCGTCTTATTCTGGGTTCTCAAAGTTGGCGGTAGAAATGATGGACGAGGTTTTAGGTCTCCTGAGTTGCATAGATATCAGGTATCTTGAAGTACCACTGAGCTTTGAAGTTGCAGATAGGCATTGGCGCCGAAAAGCTGCTCCGCCTCTGGTTGAAATGGAGCCCTCGATTGGAGATATCTGACCACAAAGTTGGAGGAGGCCAATAAAGACTCTAAATTCAGTCACGTTATTAGAATGTCGAAATTCTGCGTGGTATCGAACCGGTGTTCTTGTAAAATCTGATAGAAAGGTTATGTTCGTCCCTGGAGGACATGATACAAGAAAATAAGCTCAAATTTTTGGATGAAATTGAGGAAAATGAGCGACCCTATTACACTGACTAATTTTAAAATGGAATTTCTACAGAATGGCAGAAATTGGACAAGAATCTTCCACTCGGCCATGCGATCAATTAATTCTCTTTCTGGGTGATGAACTGGAATGCTTGTGGGAGGGACAATATGATGATCACTAGTCACCCGCTACTATCACCATGGATCAACAATCTAATGTCTAGGTTTGCCGAAGGCGATGAGCTAGTGATGTTATTAGATTTAGCTAAATAGAAGGAGGTAACCCCATTACACACCAACAAACTCCATCAAGTATTATCGACATTTGAAACAACCTCACCAAACCCCCGCCGCAAAATCAACCACCTGCGTTTTAGCGACAACCGGCACGATACTCTGCGCGAATAACAAGTGTGCCGGATCGGCTCTGACATAGTAATTCCTGTCCTCGGTGGTTTGAAATTCCATGACGAAAATGTGCGTTAGGCCGTTCTGTTCGATTCACAGGGTTCAGTCAGGTCGTGATTCAGCCATGAACATGTATACATGATAGATTAGTACCTGTAGCCCCTCTATCGAATTCTCACGACCCCCTCGAAGTGAAATAATATACGGTCTCGCGGTTCCTGGATGCAGACATTCAGTCTTCAGGTTGAGCATGCGTGTGATAGTCTATAATCCACGAACACAATATTAGAGTTATTAACAATGGGCCGTGAGCCAGGATGGATATGCCCCGCATCAGACCACCACATACAGATTGGATTTCTTTGGGATGTATATCGTCCTTGAACGTGAGCATCACTACATGAAGGACAGGCATATTATTCGGATGTAAGTCTATTATTTTGCGTATGTTTGTGAATTCGAATAGTTCTGGGTTACTACTAATAACTTGAATGGGGCCGATGATTGATCTCCCTGCGGGGGTTCCGTCGATCTATCTATGGCGGGGCAACCTTGACTTTAATAACAGGATCTTTTATACGCTAGTAAACTTCTTGACACGGTAATTTGAGGATTCACAGTGAATTTAGCTCTATTCGTTAGTGAAAACATGGCTTAAGTTACGTTTGGTTATAACTTATAGAATCATTGCACAATTTTATGGGATCACTTTGGACTTTCGATATTTCTCTACGAGCCCCCAAAAGTTTGATGAGACCAATGAATGCCTCCCCTTATTCTTTCTCTAGGCCTTCTTCAAGTGATCGACTGAGGTAATGGCGAGATTGATAAGGTGAGTATGTCTCTTCTCTTCTATTACGTTTCCTTCTGCCAACTTTATTAGCTTTGTTCTTACTTTTTAGACTCACTTTTAGAGCTTGCTATAGTAGCTTGAATCAGGCCTAGGGATTAATACTTATTATAATTGGTTAATTTTATTTTAGTGCTTATTTATTCTTAATGGAATAATTAAGCTTGGTATTTGCTTTTCCTTATTTATTTCATAGTTATTTTCATATCCTCTGGCCCTCCTAGCAAGATATGTTGTAGTTCTGGATTTTTCTAGCCTGGAACCCGAGCGATACTCGAAGCCTCATGTAGCCAATTCGGCTTTTTTTTCTAAGTAGCGCAATATCCTGTTCTCTCACTACGCTAGTGACCGCTTTTCCGCGACCTCTTTCCTGAAATGGTAGTGTGGCATTACAATCCAAGATCTAGGAGCCCGTGAAATCTCATATAAACTAAAAGAAATCTCAGACGTAAGCTCTACAGCCTCATCCGTGTAAGAAAAGTCATGATGCTTTCGTGGCTGTAGGTGAATGAGTGGCCAAATATCAAAAAGTTTGAATAACTTAAGGTTGAATGTGGATAGTGCTTATTTTGTTCATCGACATTGCACTAGTAGGTGTACACACTGTCCGCGTGCACATGATCATCTTTGACCATACGCTGTATATATACGACGAACCAGTGTATTTGGGCTATTTGGTCTGTCCTTCTTCGTTAGGATCATCGGCCCTTGTGCCTGGGCGGGGAAAGCTTTGGGGTATTGTGATGATCACGTATCGGGACCAAGCAGGGGGTTATAACTGGCTGACCGAAAACAAAATTAGGTTGGATATACCTTCTTATCGTTTTTCCCGCTAACTATTTGTTCTAGGCTTCGGCATAATCTTCTCCGTTAATTGGCTCCCATTTCACATTCGATACCTGTTCTACCGCGATTTCACGTAGTTTACTATTATCCGCATACGCCACTTTCTTTGCTGGGCTATTTGGTGAGAAGATTTCAATGCGGTTGGCATTGATATAACTGGCAATAGCACACCAGTACTTAACCCGTTTTATGTTGACCTTCTGTATCCGACTTGGGTGAAGATGTTTCTCAAGGAGCCAACAAAGTATTTTCTGGGAATATAGTGTGGTAACCAGGTGGCGTGTTCGAACGTCAAGACGTTCGGAAGGGCCACCTCGCGAGAATCGACGTATGCAGCATTGCCACATCGAAAAACGTAACTTTTTGAGCTCATAACCTGATACCGGTTGATGTGTCGCAGAGCGGGGCCTCGGAAAGAGGTATCAAGATATGTACTTTGGGCCGTACTTTGGGCCTTTTGGCACAAACCATTTCGTGTGGGTGGCGTATCTCGTCGACTTCCTTGGTTGTCAGGGCGAGGCGTTTGTTGAAGCGTTCCCAACGGCTGCAGGAAAAGCAGAATACACAGTTGAGGTATTCCACATTAAGGCGAGAGTAGTGGTGTCCCCTATTCACCCACAAGACCAAAACCATAAATTGTGATGTACTCTTCTCATAAGCAAAGATAATCTTCTGAGGCACAACAAGATAAAGGCGATCATTAGCTAGTAGATGGTCCCTGACTTGAATAAAGACCTGACCTGTATGGTTGCAATCGAACAGAGCAAGAGGTGGGTATTCTTCCTCAGCTATCCAGGCGCGGAGAACTTGATTCTGGAGTCGGTACAAGCTATCCATGCGCACGAGGAGATCCAGTCTATTGGTGTTGCGGAGGTGGTCAGGGCTTCGATTGACAGTGGATTGGTTGTTTAATTATCAATAGGGGCCCAAAAATGGGATCGAAATCGTGAGTGGGACTATCGTCCATACGGGCAGCGGCAGTAAAGTGACTGGCCTCCCAATCATTTTGTTTGGCATTTGGTTCTAGTAGGTGTCACTAAAAGAAGTGACAGATCATGATATAGGATGATCCATAGATTTGAAGCTATCCAGTGACCAAGGGGGAGATCTGTTTTCTTCCAAACGCTCGCTCGGCCTAATTGGAAGTCGGCGAGTTGAAAGAACCTTTGGAAAAGTCGTAGTGATAGATTCAAAGGGCTCTCGCGAGACTTGCTCTCATGGGAAGAAGATATAGCCTCAATATCCTTGAGGCCGCGAGCGACTAGAAAGCAAATAGGCCATATAGCAGCTGACCGAGATTCAATGGATGCCTAGAATGCTTTGATAACTAAAGATACTTGATGGCAAAGATGATCTGGCTCGTAGGATGGCAAATTTGTAACTGTCCTACTAGCGGACGAGAGATGAAAAGGAGAAGGAAACGGAGATTCCGATGGGATGCCTACAGCCCACCGCAATCAGACCACGGCTACCAAGGGAACGGACTAAAAACCCGAATGTTGCTATGTCGAGCGTTAATGCCAATGTAACCTCCTGTTCTAATGCGTCCCGTCAGGAAAAGTACGGTGAGTCTTGCGTGGCGTAGCTCTTCATCTAGTGCTGATATTATGGATGCTGGCGACGGGTCTTTAGTGAGATTCCTCTCTAGTGAAACCTATACTGGGAATGGAGCTTTTTCATTGCCAACAGCATATGAATGATCAGAATTCTTTGGGCCATGAGTGTCGGTAGGATTGACAATAATTATGCGCAACTAATGGAACCATTGATCCGACCATTGGAGACCCTTTGAGCAGTATCTTGAAATTGTTGAGATCAGGAATTGTCGGCCTCCTCTCTAACCCGCTCAACTACGGTCGCTTGAATGGCATCCAAAATTGTATGGTCATCAGTTATGTCACCTTCCAAGGGCTTCTCATGTTTGCCCAAATGATGGAGTAATCCATTTCGAAATAAACACTCCTTGGTTCGTCAGACTATGATAATGATGGGCCTTCTATAGTAGGAACGGAGACGCCATCGTCCGTAGCTAGCCGTTCTTATGCGACTTTCTTTTAGGATTTTGCGTACCCTTTGACTATTCGCGATGGTGATTAAGCTACCTGCCTGTAATGCTTCTGACCTCACCGTGCCCCTGGCCATTGGGATCGGTAGCTCCTGGATTGAAGTCTGGTGTTAGTGACCCCGATTTAGCTACACTGGATTTCCTCCATATTCATCCAATGGCCTCAATGACCTCAATAACTTGCAGGAACATTGGAATGCCAAAAGGCAGACAAAGAAGATGAGCATTGGAACAAGCGTTCTGCATATTTGACTCTGACGAATTGATCAGGTAAGACGCGGTGAGTGCCATGATTTCGCAAGGCTTGAATTATCGGGCACAGTGAATATCAAGATACGCGCAATATTTCACCACGAGTCACCTGGTTTCTGGAAATGGAATATTAATAACTGCAACTATTTATCAGGGCGATTTGCATTTAATCCTCATACCTGATATTACCCCAGAAGTTGAAAAAGGTCTTTGTGTGTGGAGTTACCTTGCGTGAACTACCGCCTCGACGACCATATGTACTCACGATGAGATGAGAATCCTTAGGTACTTTCATGATTTAGTGGTGTTTGAGCAGGCGAGGGCGGTCCTTGGAATGTATCTTTTGAGTTCTTGGAAAACCTGAGGGAACGCATCGTTATGCACCCTTATTTAACAGACGCTGCACCGCCTTTGAATAATTTGGCCAGGTTTTCTAGGTACGGTCATCTAGGTAATACCTTTTTTTCTCTTGCGATAAACTGCAACCACGTACGCGTATATCGTGAGAAATGCCCTAAACCTAACCCTAACCCTGGTAGCGCGATGTTCTACCTTGGCTTTGGCGAGGTCTTGGTTGCGCTTTTTGGCCTGAGACTTGTTGATGATGATGTAGTTGAATTTTAGGTCCATTTCGATAGTGCTTCCATGTTGTTAGTCGATCTGCGTAGCATAGCGTAGATCCTTGGTGGCAAGGAAAAGATTGACACAATGGGTCAACGCTTCGAGGCGACTAATGTTGAGAGTTGGGGGCAGAATGGTGACATCGATTCCAGTCTTGGTGAATACTGCTTTTATTGTCGATGCAATGAGACTACCTTGAAAGGTAGTCTCGATTCCCACCACCTAGTGCATCACTTTCTCGGATGGCTCGATTCTGCTAGGGTTTCGACAACATGCACTAGACTGCACTACCGTGTTCACCTCGACTGGGAATCATGAGCCATCTTGATGACAAGTAACCTGAAGTCCATATGCATTAAGTCCATGATTGGTAGCATGATTACATGAGCATGGTTGGCATGGCACCGAACGTTCGGGTCGGAGAGCATTGCTAGCGCCTTCGGGGAGTGGTTTAGATTGACGATAACGTTGCTTCGTTGGGGTGCGATGACCGTAGTTATTTTTTCAACTTTTCATAGACCTATCACAAAGAGTGTCAGTGAGCGAGACAGTTTAAAGCGAAAAATCTACCTACCGTGTTGAAGTGGGGATACCATCTCAGATATACAGGAGACACTTACAGTTGAGAACAACGCCTTGAGTTTGAGGTTCCCTGAAACCTGTGTCATCTGCGTGTATAGTCCCTTGTCGAAAGAAATCCTTGAAGTGTAATGCGGTTCAGTTGGACGCGCCGTTTGTTTCTCAATACCAAGACGCAATTCTCGCAAATAGAATATCTGGAGGCTGTGATATATTGGCAGTGACTTGACTCTCCAATACGAGGATGGCTTCAGCACATGCTGAGCTCATGCCTATGACGCTTACACAGGACCGTTGACAGGTGATAACATGACTTTCTTCCATGGTGACCATAGCTTTCTGGCATCTACCATTGTGTGTGTAGTGACTCCGGACAGAAGCACTAACAATGTTGATGGTTGACCACTGAAAGTGGTCTTTTGCGTACGAAACAAGGTGACTTGCAGAGCCGTATCAGGATTGTCACTGTCAAGACAACAAACAATGAAACCAAGCAAGCTTGGCAGTAAGTTTTGATTGAGGCCAAATTCGATTTGAAACCATCATCAGTATTGATGGGAGTCTGCGAAATGATGATGATTCCGATCTCTGGAAGGGAATCATCAATCTAATTTGTTTCAGCGCAACATATATGGGCCTTGGAGTTGAAGGAATTGTATCTAATGATACATCCTCAGGGATATCCAGTGGGCACAAGACAAGGTAGATGGTACAGGCCGTCATTTTCTGGCATGGCAGTTTCGTACGTTGCATCAGCTGGTGAAGGAGCGAATTCATCATGACTGGCCCCAACTTTGGTAAAATCTAGAATACGATTGAATAGATTTGAAGGGCACATGCTGGACATGATCGCAAAAAAGATCTATGCAACCTCGTGACATTTGGGCATTGGACGAGGACTATGAGATGATTAGCTTCATTCAGATATTAGACCAACGATACAAACCGTCTAGAAGCCAAGCCTACGACAGGCCAGGCAAGAATGACGTCACGCTATCTCGAACAAGGTGTCCGGGGGAGGCCATCAAGATGGATTAGATGGCGAAGAAGCACAGTCTAGCCAATCGAAATTAATCATTGTTTCGACAGAATAAACTCTTCACGAGTGATTCCTTGCGGACCTGTAGAGTAATCGAAAGTTAGTTTGAACTCTCAATAATAAAGAGTGAGAAAAAAGTGAGGGGCTTAATGAACAAGCAACAGGGATGATAAAAACCACACAGTAATCATATTGTGATGTGAATAATATGTTGTTAGATAATAAGAAGACATACTGACTAGGATGTCTGTAGAACATGAGTTTCCTCTAGAAGTTGTGATAAGAAAAGAAAAAGTTGGAACAGATTGAGGAGGGGGTATTTGAGTCTGTTTGTGGAGGTTTGACTCACATCATCGGAAACCTGAAATGGATGAAGCTGCAGTAAGGGTAGGCCAAAATCAAGTTTTGATGGTCCGAATTGCTAGTAATGGCACCGCGATGGGGCATGATGAAGATACCCAGCGTCATTGGAGATATATAATAAAGAATGGCGGTGTTGCCAGTTCAATTGAAGCTTGAATGTTACACATGTGGATTTACCTGTCACAAAGGACTAAATAGAAAAAAACATGATCGGCATGGCGGTACCTGAGAAGAGAGGCACGGAAAGAGTGAAGTCTTACAAAGGAAGGCATGATAGGCCAATGAGGCAGGTGGCAGGTTGCAGGTGGGCACGTGGGGGCAAGCTTTCGGCCCCCAGCCCCATCCCAGAACAGCATGTCGTCAAGGCCAAATGCACTAGTCTGTTCTGGAAGCCCAGCTAATAAACTACCCCGGACTGGCCCGAACACAGCCAATCAGCGGGAGGATCGTCGCCGCTAGTTAGATTACTGCCGCAATATTTGTAGATACCGGGAAACTCGGGCTTTGCAGTCGAATGGCCGGTCGGCATATTCAGGCATTCTTCGGCTCATTGTGAGGGCGGCTTGAAACTAGTGACACGACGATGCAACTGTGGAGGATGCTTATCGGACGATGCGTGGTTCCGTAGTTTATTTAAACCCAACGTCTGCCTCAGCTCGGGTCAATGAGTGTAGACGACCGTAGAAGCAATGGGCGTTCTAGCAATTCTCACCGCTACCCTAGCCGTACTAGGCCCAGCAGGGGCTGCGGCCTCAGCGGACATTGTTTCTGCAGCTGGCCAGACAGCTAAAATCCCAGGGTGGAGCTTGCAATCAGTCTTGCATGCCTCCGATAACTTGACCGCGTTGGCGAAACCTGGTGCCGATGTCTCTGGATGGTATAGGGTGAGCGCTCGCAAGACGGCAATGGCGGGCCTCATTGAAGCGGGAGTGTACAACGACACCGACTTATGGTATTCGGATAATTTGAACCACATTGTCGATCGCTCAGTCTTTGGCACGGCATGGTTGTACCGCGAAGAGTTCACCGTGCAGCCAGAAGCGGGGCAGCATTACTTTGTCATTACCCATGGTATCACTTCCAAAGCTGATATCTGGGTCAATGGCAAGAAAATTGCGGACAAAACATACCAGCAGGGCGCCTATGGCGGCCACAAGTATGAAGTCACGCAGCTCCTGCAGTCGGGCGCCAATGCGATATTAATCCAAGCGTATGAGACCGATTACCTCTTGGACTCCGCAATGGGCTTTGTCGACTGGAACCCATATCCACCAGACAATGGCACTGGGGTGTGGCGTGATGTCGAAATCTCTCAGACCGGTCCTGTTACCTTGGCCCCGATTCGCGTTGTTCACGACTGGACACCAGGGAAAACCTCAACTAAGATTACCGTCAAGGTTAACGCTACCAACCTGGAAAATAAGTCAGTCAAGGGCATCCTCTCAGGGCAGATAAGTCTTGGTCCAGGCAAGCCACTCATTCTCTCGCAATCCTTCACCTTGAAGGCCAATGAGGAAAAGACTCTTACGGCGACTGGTAATCTCCAAGACCCACAGATCTGGTGGCCAGCAATTTGGGGCGATCAGCCATTATATGATGTCAACGTTACAGTACTGGTCGGAAACAAAGAATCTGATATTGCTGAGCCTCGAAAGATCGGTATTCGCTATGTTGAGTCTGGCTTGAATAAGTTTGGAGACCGTACCTTCAAGGTCAATGGCGAAAGATTTCTACCGCTCGGTGGCGGCTATGGACCGGATATGTTTTATCGTTGGGATTCGGAGTATGTACGACAGAAATTTGAGCTTATGCTAGATCTGGGCATGAACACCGTTCGGCTAGAAGGGAAGCAAGAACACCCAGAACTGTTTGAGATTGCCGATGAAATCGGCCTTATGATCATGCCTGGATGGGAGTGCTGCGACTGGTGGGAAGGATGGACAGTAAGTTGCTTTTCGTTGTCTCAGAGACCAATAGCCCTAATTTCATTGACAGTACAATACCGACGTCCCCAGCTACGTCCGATTCAATGAACACGACTACTGGATCGCAAATTACTCCATGCTGCATGAAGCCTCCATGATGCAGACTCATCCAAGCATCCTCACGTTTCTAGTGGGGTCTGACTATTGGCCAAACGAACGAGCGGCAAAGATCTACGTGGACGGACTGAGTACATGGGATTGGCCCAATCCCATTGTAGCCTCCGCGGGCGAACTAGGATATCCAAAGATTCTCGGGTCTTCCGGAGTGAGAATGGATGGCCCGTACGACTATGTCCCTCCAAACTATTGGTACGGTGGACAGGTTGGCGCTGCTTTTGGCTTTGGCGCTGAAGAGGGTGCTGGTGTTGGAACACCTGAAATTCGTAGTTTGAAGAGATTTTTGTCTGAGGACGACCTCAACGATTTGTGGACTAAACCTAATAAGGGGTTGTTCCATATGTCGAGCAATGTTTCATCGTTTTACGATAGGTCCATTTATAACGATGCCTTATACAATCGTTATGGTGATCCTACTAGCTTGGATGACTATCTGTTGAAAGCTCAGATTATGGACTATGAGGCTACTCGCGCCGAGTATGAAGGATTCGCATCACTGCAAGATGCTCATCGCCCTGCGACGGGAGTGTAAGCTCTATATCCCTATACTCCATTGACTTCGTCTAATGTATACAGAATCTACTGGATGATGAACAGTGCCTGGCCCAATTTGCACTGGCAGCTTTTTGATTACTACCTCAACACAGCTGGCTGTTTCTTCGGCGTCAAGGTCGGCGCTCGACCGGAACACGTCTCCTTCAATTATGAAAACAGGACCATTTACTTGATCAATAGATTCAATTCTTTGAACAAGGGAGATAAAGGTGCCCGTTCAGTGTCTATTGACTTGATTGATACAGATGGCACTCCTCTATCCCATCAGAGCATCAACGTAACTACAAAGCCAAACCATTCAAACGAGATCGCCAAAGTAAGCGGATTCAACAAAATTAAAGACGTCGCATTCCTACGTCTCGTGCTTTCCGATGCACAGGAAAACGTGCTCAGCCGCAACATTTACTGGCTCACACCCAAGAACGACGTTTTACAATGGGACAACTCGACATGGTACTATACTCCCATAACGTCATTCTCGGACTATACTTCCCTGCAGAAGCTATCAACTGCAACCGTTGACACCACCGTCAGCGATATTTCTTCAAAGACGGATCAGTCAACAACAACATTGCAGGTGCAACTGGAGAATAAATCAAAATTACCGGCGTTTTTCATCCGTCTCGTCTTGATTGACTCAAAAACGAATGAGAATATCAATCCTCCCTTCTGGTCGGATAACTATATCACCTTGTTCCCAGAAGAGTCGCTGACATTGACCGTTTCTTTTGACTCCAAGTTATCTTCCTCGCCCGCGGTAGAGGTGTCTGGTGGGAATATTAAAACAACGATTGTGCAATAGTGGACGTGTTTGACATACCGCCACGTGCGCGTGGGAGTTAATCTAGTGTATATGTGTATTTAATTGGATAATATCTCATATAGTTGCTTGGAACAGCGATGATTTTCTTATGATCACTACGGGCCCTTCGTATCACGAGGTCTGCCAAACCCTAATAGAGAAGACAGGCCATAGACACATTGGCATAACACGGAAAGAATCTACACAAATCCAATGAACGGAAGTATGTACTATCAATTTCCAAATATTTACAGTGGAGATTTCAATGTTTGATAAACATCTAGCCCATCGGTTTAAGACGAAGACGGGCCACCAACAGTGATAGTCAACGACTGGGGGTTGGCCGCAATAAGCGCACCAGACTCATTTTCACCAGATGAGTTCACATCATCATACGAAAACGCATACCCCTTTCCATCAACCTCATAATGATGCACCAACTTACTATAATAGTTCGTCGGTGACACAGTATAATAATCCGTCGCCGGCAGACCAGGCTGCACATTACCACCATCAAGCAACAACGTAGCACGATTGAATGCCGCACACAGGATAGGAACAATAGCATAATGCTCGGAGTTGTCACCCGCCTGAATCGCAAATGGTCCGCTATTGCATCCGAAGATATCCGCAGCAGTGGGTTTCGCGTATCCGCGATTGTCACCGCCGCAGGTTAGGGTGTCGCTTCCACCGGTCGTGCATGTATAGCTGCCGGCAGCTGCAGCGATGGTGAGCGGGCTGCTGCTGTAGGTGGACCATACGGAGTTGATATAGTCGGTGAAGTAGTTTGACCAAGCATCTGCGTGATTATCCTGGATATAATCATATGGGGCCAGGGCACGCAGGTAGTTGCCGCTGCTGTCGGTCATGCAGAGACTGCTCCAGGGGTATCCATCAGAAGCGGTTTGGGCGACGAGGCCAGCACAGATCTGGGCGACGGCGTCAGAAGAGAGGCCTTCGGCAGTTTGGACGCTGCCGTCCGTGGTGAGCAGCGAGGCGCCGAGGATTAGGCCGACGAAGTCGACGTAGCTGAGGTTGGCGTAGATGCCACCTGCCTCAGTGTTGGTGAGTTCGATGAAGCCCCAGTTGACGCCGGCGTTAGGGTCGGATGGGTTGACGGGGGAGGGCTCGACGAGGGCAGCGCCGCCGGCGCCGTTGGTGACGACGAACCATTGGAGAGTGCCATCGGCGATGTAGACACGTCCAGCAGAGACGTAGTCGGGGAGGGTGATGGTGGTGGTAGAGCCAGCGGCGCCAAGGGGTTGGGCGAGGTCAGCAGTAATAGCGACAGGGACGCCAGAGGTTGTTCCGGGAGGATAGTACCATGAACCATCAGAAGCAAGAAGAACAACGTTTTTATTGGAGTCTTGACCAATGACATAGGCATTGAGTTGGCCGGCGGACGAGCCAGCCATATTGTTGACGATTGAGATGGGAAGCTGGGCGGCAGAAGAAGTTGCCATTGTGGAATCCTGAACAGCCTTAGATCCTCCTACGAAAGTGCCATTAAGGGTATCATATTTGGTGACGACAATATCTTCTGGACCTCCAGGGTGAACCCGGATAGGTCCAGCCAGAGTCTGCCCGAGCATCATGGCGGCGAGCGCCAATGTCCAATTGGTAAAGGAACGCATAGTGGAATAGGAAGAAGTACGAAGGAATGGATACTTCTTTTGTTAAAAGGCTGAATTGAAGGAATGGCCCTGCAGAACCAAATTGTAGATTGAGGGCAAAAGCATTGTTTATATATGCGGTCCCACTTGTCAAAATCGACACTGAACTCAGGGCTCGAATCGGTCAACTAGTATATTGACATTACAGTGGACCGAATAGTATTCACCTCCGTATGTCGGGAAATTTATGTTGCATGGCCTCAAAGGTCCATTAGAAGAAGAATTTACCTTAAAACTGGGCTGGCCTGATTCCCAGGTCACATAGTGTCAAATCATTGCATTGACTAAAGAGGGGCTACGAAGTTGAAACCGGTCACGCTCATGCTTATACAATTAAGCTATCAGGTCTACCAGCCAGTCATGGCTGTCAAATCTGTCATTGTATATCGAACACCAACATACAAGTCCACGCGGGCAGTAATCGTAATCGCCCGTCCAAGGTGGTATCGTGCATGGCCATATTGAGTAACTACTAGCCAGCTGAGCGAGATAATTGGATTATCGACCGCTGTACGTGTTCCTGCATCTCCCCGAACCTAAAGAAAGAAACGTGGACTAAACCTTGAATATGCTGGACGGCATTCGCGCCCCAGACCGCAGAGGGGTCAGGTCACGGCTTGGTCTAGGGCCGCTACAGGCCGGACAAAAAATTAAGCCGTGGCTCTCCAAATGCAACTATGGAAACGTTCGGATTGGCTAGCTTGTTCCTGGACTAGAATTTAATGCCGTCTGGTGCCTAATTCTAAATAAGCTAATTCTCTTCCAGCTTGGCGTTTATTATTCTCTCGTCCCCTGCGTTACATGGCGGCGCCGCCACATAACGCCTCAAATCTCTCGCAGGGCGGTCATTAACACTTGGGTAGTTTCCCTTGATGTTTGAAGTTAATAAGGAGTCGTAAAATGATAGAACAACCCCGAAAGAGAGACCGATTTAATCCAGTATATTAAGCTATCTCGACTCAATACTAATTATCAGTTGTGCCATTCGATCCTGCGCCGATCCGGATTCTGCCGTCGGGTACGACTCTGACCCCAGGATTTCCAGATTAGGTAAAATGCCTGAAGATGGTTAAGAGTGATTGAAGACGGTAATAAATGGTATCTACTCTAGTTAATACACGGCTGCTTGCAACCCAACGCGGCGTAACCTTGTAATGGATTGCGCTGCTCTGCATTGATGACGCGCCTAAACCTTTTGGTTCACGAATTAACTGAACAGAATACTAATAATTCTTGCGAAGCTTAGTTTTGGTCCTCAATTGCATCGAGATTTTCCGGGCCTCAGGTTGGAGTATGGAAAGTACAATGCTACGTTGGTGCATTAGTTGCCTATATTCTGATACGATTGGTATATTGTGTTTTCTTCTGGTCACATGTACGTATGTAGACCTCAACGGGCATAGTTTTATCAAAAAATAATGACAAATCAACATGTAAATAAAATAAAAGCCGATTCGGGCATGGTCAGTGAAGGTTGGTGGTGTATTTTCTCTTCATTTTCATGCGTTCACCACATTTCGGAATGTCCGGGCTACATTCTAGAATACATCGATGACGTTAATCTCATGAGAGGAGTATGAATCGTCTTCAATTGATGCCTTTAACTCGGCTCCGTAGTATTGATTGTCACAGAGAAAAGAATTGGCCAGTAATAATGAGTTAGTTTCCTGTTAAAATCGTAAGAGCTAATAGCCATGTAACTCAAACCGGGAACTAGTAGACGTCCAGATAGGCTATCTACAGCCCCTCATAATGTCACATCTTCACCAAGTAAACGCATTATCTGCTGATTGCTGTAATACCAGTCACTTAACCCGAACGGATCTGGATCAAGGATTTGGAATTCGTCATTGAATAAATCTTCTGCATCTGTTTCCATCCCAAATCTTCCCGACAGGTCTAAGTCACCTAAGGAAATTGGAACTAGAGTTGGGTCTAGAGGGAATGAGGTGCTTAGTTTCTTAGAGTCAATATAAAGGTGTGCTGCCTGACATAGTAGCTCATAAACTCGGTAGGGGTGTGTTATTGATTCTCCCCGGTTATCGTAGGTGTCAATCTTCAACGAGAGAGCGAAGCGGTCCAAACGATCTAGATCACCTGTGTCTATGAATTGAATAGCGTGTGTGAATAAAATACTAAATGGAACAAAAGGTATGTGCAGAATAGCCCTATTGAACAAACCCCAATTTCTATTAGTATACGATAGAGCAGTAATTTGAGAACTTGGTAGAATAGGGAGGCAGGCACATGGATATTTCAAACGCACCAACTTAGGTATTGTGTCACCAATGAAGGTTCTTTACAACTACGTAGATCTGCCATGCACTTTTGGTGTATATCGAAGACATCGCGGGCAACCGCAATACAGTCATCAGACACATCGCTTGGTAATCCTGGTGCAACGGGCACAGCCCGAAGAATCATAGCCAGGAGCGAAGATTGGCAAACCAAATCGCATTGCAGAAGTATCCTTTGCATGGGATCTGTCTGATCATCGATAATTCTTGTAGTAGCATCCTGAACCAAAATATTAGCAGGATATGTCAACAGAGGCCAAAATATTTTACCAAAGCTTCGCTGTGAGTTTCGTTGATTATGTCTCGTACCTGCCCAGCAAGTGTCTGGGCGATATTACCACGTTCATGGGAAGGCCTGGATAAGCCAACTGGACTATATAGTTGATCATATACCTTGCCCTGTATTCTACCTAGTCTCGTATATAGCGGCTCGGGCGTGTCAGGCAGTAAAGTGATTTCGTCGTCGCGCATATTAGATGGTCGACCCAGTTGAAGAGAAAGGCCTTTGTCAATCTTATAAATGGTCCAGAACAGACGGTTTTGAGCCTCTTGTGACGACTGATCCATGCCCTCCATTCTTGGAGAAAGGCGATGATAACCTAGTGTCTGGCAAAGATTCGTAGCCGCCGAGATAAAAGTCCAAGATTTGGTTGCATTAGAGTTGGCAATGGAGTCAAATGCCTGTTTTCATATTATTCAGTCAGCCAAGATGATCTTTTTAATTGAAGCTGAAGTTCGTACACCCAGAGTCAACGCAGCGATAATTTCCATAGACGGCGGCAGAAAAAGAGGGAGCTGTGCAAGACCATTGTGAAAGTTCTCTCGGCAAATTTGAAAGTATTTTCGGTAGTCACTCAGCCCAGACACAAGGATACGCTCGGAAAATACGTATGATAGATACCCGTTGGCGAGAATGAGATCTAGTTCACTGTAGTCGTCCACTGCAAAATAAACCTTTCGGCAAATTTCAGTGAACTGATCAACCGGTAAGATTTGAGCGATTCGGGCAATTCTAGCATATCCTTGATGGTCTTATTATACACGTCAGCCTGTACCCATGTTGATAATACTTGTGCAAGGTGTTTAGAGTAAACTAAACCTTTTGCCCATCGCAACGCATTTACGACCGCCTCCAAGGGAGGCATTGGAGGACTATTGGCTGCATTATTTGAAATTTGAAATTTGTGAGATGTCTGTAGTGTAGTAGCTGGGGCATTCAGAATTTCCAACAGTTTTTTCAATGATGCGACCACTTCACTCGGAGAATCGCCGTATTGCGGATTTCGGTTATCCACAACAGCCTTGACAAACTTGATTATGTGCGCAGAATGATCCCATTGCGCGTCACCACCATGAGATGACAATCTTGTTTGGTGTGCGGCAATATCCTTGTCTGAGCTGGCTTGGCTGGGATGCCAGACAAGGGCTGTCTCGGACTTTTCTACGCCCCGAGACGCATTCTGTGAGAGGAGAACAGTGAGGCTATCGATGCCTTTTGCAATTTGGTCTATTTTCTGCTCGCTGACATTGTCACGTCAAGATAAGTCCGTAGATTTTGACAAAACTACAAAATACAGACTCACTATTGTGCCGATATCAAAACTCTCTGCTTGGGAGCAACTGTCTTGGACGCGATCGTACTATGAGTACAATTGATTCCCGATGATGCACAATTCGAGCAAGGGGATCCTCTATCACAACCGACCTATAGGTGCCTGTCAAAACTGCCCGAAGAGCCAATGAGGATGTTGAAGATTATTTGCCAAACCTTTCGGGTGCGACATTGATCACACTGTCTAAAAATCAGCCTTCAGTCCGACTAATAATTAACTACTGCTTTGCGTGTTACCAGACATACCGATCGACGCATAATTCCTGTACGTCCATTTGATCTGTCCGCACCATTCACTCCGCGGGATTCCATCTTGCATCATGTTCTGCAATGCATGGAGATGTGATGAATGGACGTCTTAATAAATGGTTATGTATCAGCGCGTCCCGCGGATTTCCGAACCAGGTCAGGGTCTTATCAGATAAGTAGTTAGCGCGCGCCACACTTCCTGCGTTAGGTTTAACGCAAACTTTTGTAATACCCAGCTTGTAGTTTGATTGGCAAGTCAATGTGAAGCATGTATGACCTTCGGGCAATTTAATTCTCGACAAAATCGGGGCAAGTTTACATTTAAGCAACTATCGTTAAGCTATAAGTATGTGGTTCTGCTTTTTTGAAACCAGAAAAGAAATGTTCACAGTCTATGAACATTTTCGAGTTTCACGGCAAAATGGTCCAAAACATCCTCATTACCGGCGCGGCTGGCTACATGTATGAGAAAATGCATGGTTTCAATTGATCGATGCTAACATGATACAAGCGGAGGCTCGGTCCTTTCTGACCTCCTTGCAACTTCAAGCAGTGCACTCAAAGGAGTGAGGTTGTATGCGGCAGTTCGGACTCAAGAACAGGTTCAAGCCTTGTCAAAGCTTGGAGTCAACGTCATCCAGATGGACATCAGCGACGCAGAGACTGCGACAGAAGCGGTACTGAAGAATGAAAGTATGTGTCGAATATCTGATAGAATCTAGCTATGATCAGAGCTGATCTATCTGGTCCTAGTCGACATGGTAGTTCATACCGCAAGCTCTATACTCGCCGATATACCAATTCTCCTTATCCAGGCTCTTGGCCAGCGTCGCCAAGTCAGTGGAAAACAGACATATTTTATTCATGTGAGATGGCTTCACACTGAATATTTAGAGAATATTCACTGATATTAAAGAGTCATCGGTGATCACCATATATTCCGAGGAGGCAGGTTGGCCTGCGGGCGAGGTGAAAGATACCGATCCATTGTTCCAGAAAGAAAAGGAGCTAGCCAGCCAACATCCGGTCGTAAAAGTAAGTTACTTTCAGTATGCTATAAAGCCAACTTAACTGGCTTGCGCTAATTACATTGATAAGACCAACATCGCTGTTGTGGAGGAGGCATTAAAGCACGATGTAAAGTGTGTCAATATTGCTGTGCCAACTGTGTGTGAGTTTGTCAATCACTACAAACATGCCAATAAATACGATTAAAATGGCTACATACCACAATGGTGCGTGGTATTGGGGCTTACTTTGGACAAGATGGCACAGGTACTGGTCAATGGCGAAAATTGTCCGTCAGCATTCCGGCCTACATCAGGGTTAGCATCGAGCACAAGATCGTCTATAAGTTTGATAAAGACGGAGTAAGCTGGTTTAATCTCACTGATCCTTTCCCAGACCAGATAATATGTTTCAGGGCTGCGTATCAGGGGGCTAATATTTCATAGAGTCCACCAGCAGTGCACATCTCCGACTTGGCCGAACTATATGTCATTCTTGTTGAGAAGATCTTGCAAGAGGAGGATATTCCAATGACCGAAACCGGCTATTACTTTGCAATGGCTCATAGAGCACCTTGGTGGCAAATCATGGATGGCATTGCCAACGCCTTATATGCGCGTGGACTTGTGCCTGAGCCCAAGGTACATATCTGGCCGAGCGACGAGATGGCAGCAGAGTATCTAGGATTTCCGGCTGCTTATATTAGAGCAATGGGGACTGCATCGTAAGTTAACTCCTCTTGATCGTTGGGGTCATGAAACACATGTCTAATGAATAATTAGGGGCAATGCCACTCCTGTAAATGCATATCGACTTGGATGGCAACCAAAGTGGACCCAAGAGAAGTTTCTAGAGAGCATAGATGATGAAGTACAGGCCGTTCTCGATTTTGACATAGGCAACACCAATATTTTCAAAGTGTTGCACCCGTCAGAGAATTGATTCCAGTCTGAACGGACATTTACGCCAGAGTCTCAACGTCAGGTATTTCGGCGTCTCTGCTTCTAACACAAACATTTACTAAGTTTTCTTTAGAATAATGATTGGTTTTGAGATGATTAGATATTTATTACATGGCCAGAGTTTAGATACAATCTCAATACAAACGTGACCTTGTACTTCTTGAATTATAATAGCCTTATTAGCATTTTGAATTGTCGCGAGTAGAATAGAATAATGCAGGTGTCTCTCCCTCTTCAGAGATGGCAGTGCAAATTCTTTTAATCCAGCAATATCCCACGCGTCACGATTATTATGCTTACCTAGGAGTGCTCCCAAGCCTGTTGGACCGTCCCGTTTATTGCCTGGTAATTTGATCTATATTCCAGAAAACAAGGGTAAAGCGTAAATTTTTCGAGACCCATGGCCTTCATTCGAAATACTACGATTTCAATCGGTTGCACCACAAATGGCCGTGGCCCTTGGTAAAAACCATTGTATCTCAAGTAATTCCAACTTTGGCAGGGAGCCTCAAATAATCAGTTTTAATAGTAATATCATTGTCCGAACAAATTGGCTCTTGCGTGATGTAATTCCACAGAAGGTATCGATTAAGACCCATCCTCCTCCCAGTAACGATCTATTGATAATTTCTACTAATGACTCAGGGCCAATAGAGAAACTGCCCTTAGCGAGCCAAAATAATTGTACCACCAATTGCTTCTTGTTTTGAGATATGCGAATCATTTTGAGAGGGAAATATCCCTCCTTGAAATAGCTGTGAGTAATGGGATTTAGACATATCAAATCGACGTACATTTCTACATAAATATCCCAGAATATATGGCTCTCTGCCAAGAATCTGTGCGTTTTGTAGACCAGAATTTTGATAATGGTCTTTAGGTGGAATGGTAATCTAGTAGAGTCGAGCACAGAATAGACGGATATATGTCAAGTCGATAGTTTCCTGTCTGGTCACGATATAACCTCCATCTCTCCTTTCACATTGAGCTCGGTTAGTACGGAACGATCCAGGCAATTGTAAGACAGTTGGGCTTGGTGAAAATGCACAGCTTTGTCTTACGCTTACAACTATTTTTTTTTTTCATCTTTATTAATTAGCATGGCAAGGGCTACTTTTGGGGGGTTTTAAGAATTGAAACACGTGGGATGTCAACGGCAGGGATTATGCTTTATGAAGATTTTGAGGACTTTGCAGTCCTGAATTTCGGATCAATCAACTTGAGTATGGAAATTAGAGAAAAGGGGTAATATACAAAATCGCAAAAACTTGTTGGAAATCTTGGTGAAAATAGATTCGCGGAATATATGAGGATATCTTCGGCTGATTCTTTTAGCACTTCAATATCAGCAAGCCACAAGAACGCCCAAGTTGACGGATGAATCTTGTTTCCCATCAATTCGCTTACGTGGCTGAGCAACCTGAAGCGTTCTGGATGGGCAAATTTCTCTTCCACAATGGTAAACGTGTCATGGCTGGTTTGATCGTTTCCCCTGGCATTTATTTTCCGGGAGAATCAGGGCTTGGTGACTGCATGTTCACTTGGGATGCGAAAGTGAGCAGGCCCTGTCCTTAGGTTGTAAACATGAAAATGAAGAAGTCATTGACTAAAGAGAAATAGGGGATACATTTCATATCACCGGACAACGCGCAGTAGTAGCTAGTTCGACAGATATTATTATGAACCTTTCGAATATGTCAAATGTTATTATCTAGTATGGGACTCCATAGCTATCGGTACGGCTGACATACATGCCTACATATTACATATACATATGGAAAAACACGATAGGATCAAGGTCATTAATTAGTCTTGTCTTCTTGCAAAGCAAGCTATAACATGATTTCGTATTGGTCCAAGCAAGGTTGATGAATTGTCAGTTAATTTTTCATTGCCAGATGGGCGAGAAGAAGGACCCCACCTACTCCTTTTTAGCAATATTCATAATGAAGTTGGCAATATGTGGTATTCGACCGTTTCAAGATCAACGCCACTTATGGGTAATAAATGCCCACAAAAAGTATCGTCTATACTGCTAAAAATTCCCATTTTGTCCCTTTAACGCTGTGACCACCAGTATGTAACTTTCCATCTTTCGATGCTATCAATGGAAAAAGGCCATCTTGCACCTTGACCATCAGTCTATGCGTACCCTCTTCGATGTCTTGCGCTCGAATGACGAAATAGTTAAGGCCATTTTCATTTCGATCAAATGCACTGAGATATAATCCTCCTTCATGCTTCCGATTTTTTTGGGGTATGTAATCCTCACTATATCCAATAAACGTCCCTGAGACAGTGTTTGAAAAAGTGAGCCAGCCATTATTCTCATTACAGAGCCAGTAAATGCCGTAGAAGGGAGAATTCGCGAATCCATCTTTCCAAGCTTCGGATTCGGGGTATGCATTTAGAGTACTTCCCCTTAGGGTTATGATTTTTTTAACAATCTCGTATGATAAACACTCCGTTGTGAAAAGGACAAGTCTTCTTTGGTGTTTCTATCTCCAGGGTAGAATCGGTTGGGGTATAAGGAAATTTCACACCCTGACTATCGCCACTTAACATTTATAACATCTCTGCGCGTACCAAGCTGACGTAATTTATATTTGTCAATGGTTGGAGGTGTGAGGGAGATGGCTTTTCAGCGTGAAACCGTAGGACGATAACGTCCAAGCGAACACGAGAACCCTGATGATCACTTCTGGCAAGCAGGATTTGACGAGAATGATACAAAAGACTAGACTGGATTTTTCTAAGCAACCCCATCGTCTTTTGTGCGCCCGCCTTCAAATATTGGGGCAGAACTTAAAATCAATGAGGTAATGGTACCACACGGTTGATATCAATTGATGTCAGAGCTATCACAGTATTTTGGTATATTAATGTTAGTCATATGACATAAACGGAAAGGTCCCAAAATAATTATCCCTTTCGTTTCAAAAATCACCCTATGTTATCTCCATCACAACGGAAGGTCCTACTAAGCGCAAAGCAGGTCAAAAGCCCCTACTACCAATACATGTAGTCAGCCGCCTCTTGGGTCTGAATAGGCAGCAAACCTGTTGACATCGGGATCACGTAGAATGTCGCTGCAATTACATATTTGACATCACAAGACCGAACATCTATAAATGATATTAATAGTGTTGGAGTTACTCCTGCGACTTTATTTAAGCAGTATGGTAGGTATATTTCTCCGAACAGTGTCATTATTTGGCTTCTAGAGGACAACATGATCCCATGCAAGTATTATTTCATCTTACATCACGGCGAAGAGATTATTGAGGGTGCGATGGTCACCCATGAGATCGTAACAGGTTTGGTATTCCGCCCGTGAGTTGATTTCATTTGAGGATGGGGACCGATAAGTCCATACAAATCACACCCGGTTAGCCATTTAGAAACACCTAAACAACATTGAGGTTAGACAAAGTTTACATGGCTTAAACGTGCATCTGCACATATATAAAATTGGGAAACACATACAAAGTTCCTTAAAATTTCCATCACAATACTCTCCCTCTATATCAATTGATACAATTTCTACCGGCGATCCTGAGCTCAGGCTTTGTCTACTAGTTTACTATTGAGATAATGGATGTCAAAATGGGTTACACTGCTTATACGAACGCTCACACAGCAGTCCAATCGAATACGAAGTAAACGAAGCTCTCATCAAAGCTTCCAGCAAGGCCATGGGACTGGATAGAAGAATCTAGTAAATGAAGTCCACCCTCCCTGTTCTCCTTTTTAACAGAATTCCCAGATTGGGGATTATGCATTGACGCTACATCAAGTGACCCGTCCCAACAAACCATGAATGCAGGTATTATCATACATGCACATCTTGTATCGGTGGCAATGACTAGTTGAATAAAGATAAGGGGGAAAAAATATGAAACTGCTGTGGAAAAATTAATTCTGGAAATCACCAAATAATTCTGATGGACAACCTGGTAATCGGAAACTGGCCCAAGCTGTAAGGACAAATAAATGGAAAATAATGAAATTCGACAAGTTCAGCCTGAGATCTAATACATAGAGAATCGATATAAAGATTGGACAGAGAAGGCCTCCTACCATTATTAGTCACGGATGTCTGGGCGAGATTCCCAATTAATGAGTATCTTGTACCCCGCACTTCACTAACTTGCAGTACATCTGCAACTAGTCCCCAAGGCACTCCCATAAAGTGAGCCAAGAATCTTATTCGCCCAATATAGAATCACATTGCCATTTGATAGACGTTGTCAGGGATTATATCACCATCCTAAATGCTTTGCGCAAGTAACACGCGACTTCAATGGTATTTGAAGCATTGATTAAATACAGTCCCATTTCGCATACCCTCCATTGCTGAATCTGTAGACTTTTTGGTCTTCAGTTGATTACAGTATGAAGTCATCATCGATCGGCTGGGCATCAATTGAGATCAGCCATAGCTTTCTTGATGCCTCACGCTTGAATCAAGGCCGGAAGATAGAAATAGTGAACAAATATGTATTTACGATATGAAATAATTCAAGATTTTCGTATCCTTGCATCAAAGACGGGTCGGAGAGATTGAGACTGAGCTTTGGCGCCGAAGTTGTAGTTAGATAACTGCGGACCTGTCGGTAGGTATAAAACTGACTCTCCTGGGAAATGCAGCGTGAGACTCGACATAACCTGACCATAGAATGAAAAGGCATATTCACAAGAACGTATTCGAAAATATTTTGCAGTTTGGTTAATTTATGTTTGTCTCCTATCGAAGACTGAGGCAACGCACTTCTTCAGGGATATTGCCGAAACATAAACACATGATCATAAATTCACACCGCGCAATGTCACTAACAGGAGAATTAAATTTTCACCAAGGCACTGTAAGGAAGATTATGGTAATGCCCGTTTGAGAATTAAGCCTAATTTAAGTCATTCCATGTTGTAATTCTGAATATACCTAGTACATCAATTCATACAGTTCACTCAAATACAAGCCGCTGATATTCATCAAGGTGTCCCCGCAATAAAATCTTGGTTGCCCACGCCAGTTACTGGATAATCCAGAAATTATCATGAATTTTAAGTATATGATATGTCCATGTGTCTTTGCATTACCCACTTTTTCCACTACACCAATTGATAAAAAAGAATAGATGGTTACGCAGATGATTAGATGTATTGCCTAAAGGGGACTTTCGCAGAACTACCAACCTCGAGCTATGTATATCTGAAGACAGAAAGTGGCAAATAAATGCTGTTGCCACAGATCGTCAGCGCATGGACTGTGATATGAATTTGAGAATTCTTGATTTCAAAACCATGCACATCGTATAGCTACCCGACGTGCCACTCATTCTACAGAAATCCTTCTGGCACAAAAAAAGCAATCAACATGAAGTCATTTCTCAGAGCTATACACGGCAGGTGATGGCAGCATCCACTAAGTTCCTTACAAACTAGCAACCATGGAGGGCGGTTCGAGACGTCATACACGCAAGTGCACGGGCCCGCCACGTTGCCGATGACATGCATCCATTCAGAGCGTGCATTGAGCACATTAGTCAAGACTCATATCTATAGGTGGAAAAGTTCTTGCTGTCAAATATAAGACGAAATGAACAGAGAGACTGATTCGATAGTATATTGTTGTATACCGACGTCAGACAATGTGATGTGTAATAGCCACCAATTAATATATACATATCCTGGCCCTCATTTCTTTCACCAGAGGGCAGATGCTTGCTCACTAAGAACACTACTTCGTCTCCCGAAGTGCAATATACCCAAAGTATATTCTTCTTTGACCATTATGTTTCACTCTTTAGCCTTTCGATACTACTCGCGAACTGGAAACTCTATTCGTTCCAGTGTGATGTGCAAGTCAGGCTTATCAAGCAACGTTCCTGCAACGAAATCTGGAGAATTGGCTTTCAAATGCTTCCAAAAAACTCGAATGTATAGCTCTAGTACGTGCTACCCGCTTTTAATATATTGCAGCAATTAAAATCGTTCAGAATTCAATGACCAAGCATTACATCCTCTCCCGCTTGACAGCCAAGACGGACAAGAGAAAGGAAAGAGTATGCTGAATTTTGTTACCCATCCATGGAGATTCCCTCAATATCGGCTGATAAAACCAAATATTTCGTCATGCAGTGCTAACAAATACAGGTGAAAAATCATTCTACGGCAGCCCAAAACGAATCGACGCTTGCTCGGACATGATAATAGATGACGTCTACGGACAAGAACCATCCGGAGTTGAACATCTAGAATCCGTGCCTCGTCCGTATAATGTTGGTAGACATATAGCGCATCGCATAGAGGAATTGGGGGTGCAGGACTTTTTTGTCGTTCCTGGTAAGCCTCAGTTTACTTTCACTTACACTACCCGAAAGGCGTCATGTTAATATATACATTTGCAGGGGACTCCAACCTTCACCTCCTTGACCATTTGCTTGAAAACAAAAATCTCAACATGGTTGGATGCTGTAATGAATTAAACGCTGGTTATGCAGCTGATGGGTATGCTCGCACTTCTAACGCCCAAATCGCCGTTGTGGTTGTCCCCTACGGAGTAGGAGGACTATCGATCCTGAACGCAATTGCTGGAGCCCGCTCTGAAAACCTCAAGGTCATTGTTATATCAGGATGCCCCAAACTCTCGCTCATCTCAGAACCTAATCTCCTACATCACTCTTCCGGCTCTGACGGCAAAGAAGTGGCTCTCCACGCCTTTGATCAAGTAACTGCGAAATCACTGCGGGTGACCTCGACCGAGTCTGTACAGGATGCTATCGATGAGGCATTGAAAGAATGTCTCGATCGGTCACTTCCCGTTTATATTGAAATTCCAGAAGATCTTGTGCAAGTACCGTGTTTGGAACCCACGCCGTTGCGGAAAGGGATAACGGCTATTTCCATTTCGAGAGATATAAATTCTGCTCTAAGCAGCATTGAGCATGCATGGAGCTTAGCAAAGCGTCCAGTGCTTCTAATAGGACCCCAGGCATGTGTCAATCTCTCACGGACTGACATTGACCTGCTTGCGTCAAGGCTGGGATGTGCTGTTCTAGTTCAACCTGATGCAAGACTGATGACGGAGACGCACCCCCAATTTTGTGGCACCTTTTGGCCGAATATTCTCAACCATCCCGGGGAGAGGGTCATGTCAGAATCCGATTTATGGCTTGTCATTGGGGGTCGGTGGAGCGACCTCCACTGTCTTGGAAATGTGGATCCTAGCAAAAAGAAATCTCAAGTCATTGAATTGAAGTCGGATCTTGTGAGGTTTCCAGAGCGGTCTGAATACAAGGTTGACCTCCAGGTTCTGATCCAAGAACTTTTATCGTCAGAAAAGATTCAAAGAAATGACAGTTCGCTACGTGCATATCGAGAGTATCAAGATTCTTCTGTGCCTACCTTTGAGGCCGCACAAGACCATCCAGACCACCCTGGTGACCCAATAACCTTACCCAGCGTTTTGCGTGGTATTCAGACCATCTTTCATGAAGGCGATACCCTTGTTGCGGACGCGGGTGAGACCTGGTTCACCTCCCAGCATATCCGTCTTCCGACTAGCGCATCCTATCAGGTACAAATTGTTTATGCCTCGATTGGTTGGGGACTTCCTGCAACTCTTGGCTGCCAATTAGCTCGTCCACGAAATAGATCAATCTTGATGATTGGAGACGGTGCCATGCAAATGACGGCTCAGGAACTAAGTACCATGATTCACCTCAAGCTCAACCCAGTTATCTTCGTTTTTAACAATTTAGGGTATAGAACAGAAGTACGTACTATCCAATTCGCGACTACGTATCCTCAAACAAGACTAATGAACTACGCGGCTTACAGACTGTAATCCATGATGGACCGTATAACTATATTTCCAACTGGAACTATGCCGGTCTCGGATCCTCTCTTTCTGCGCAGCCACACGCTGAGAATAATAATTCCTTCCTTCCAGACCACTCCTCTGGTGAAGATGATGCCTTTTTCACACGCCAGATTCGGACATGTGCTGAGCTTGATTCGGCCTTACAACAGGTTGAGGAGGAATACTGGAAGCTGGCATTGTTGGAGTGTTGTATCCATCCCGATGATATGACTGATGAGCTTAGGGAATTAGGTAAAAAAATGTCTCATGACTAGTTTGATAAAATCGGCAGAATCATTTCGAAATGCTGAAATTCATAATTATAAACATATCAACAGATTAATAAAGTGTTCAGAATTTAGGGGTGTAGGAACAGAATGCAGAGTGGATCTGGAGGTCGCCATTCCGTAAATCCTTCGATATGTCCTAACATTCCCAATACAATAGTCGAATATATCAACTTGACAAGTGCCTTTCCACTCGATCAGATAATGAATAGGGGTTGGTGGTTGTCCGTCATAAGCTCTTTCCTTATCCCATAAAGCTAAAGGGACACAGCATAGTTGACCTCTCTTAGTTCGCATGGTGGAGCATGAGAATATTCAACACATGTCAATATTACAATAGGATATGCTATATTAATCTCGGAAGAGACCTCAATAGAGAGTGAAAATCTAGAAGCGATTTAGCTACTAATCGAGCCCACCAAACTTGGAAAAGAGATTGGAAAACGGGATAAAGTATATTAAAAAAATATTCATATCAATTATTTCTAGAAAAATATATTAGAATATTTAATACTAATAATTTTAGAAATTATATTTAAATATCTAAATTATGATGAATAGTACCAAAATAAACAGGCAGGTTCTGTATTGCTGAGTAATCTGACAGGTGCGTACAAAGTTCGACAGCTAGCGCCGTCATGTGATGACGCTATATTTGTCACTGGCGCAAGATAGAAGATCGCTTTCCTTCCACTGCGAAGCGGCGGCCTTTAAAGACTCCAACAATTCCAGTCTTCGCGGAGGCATGGCCACAACCGGAGCACAGCCCGGTGCTTCCACGCCTGGACTCGGAGAGCTAGAGAAGGAGTTAGTGTGCTCGGTATGTTTATTCTCGAACCAAGGATAGGCTCTCTGCATCCCACGGGCTTTGGCATTCTGGAAATGGCGGGGAAAAGTGGGTATTCCGCATCGAATTCAGCATCGCTAACAGTGCGTTGAAAATTACTTAGATCTGCACCGAGCTGCTCTATCAGCCCCTCACCCTCCTTGATTGTCTTCACACCTTCTGCGGATCTTGTTTGAAAGAATGGTTTTCGTGGCAAGCTGTTCGGCCGCGCACATCAAGCTCCGCTCCCCGATTTACTTGTCCGTCATGTCGGGCAGGTGTTCGTGCGACAAGACCGAATGCGACTGTAACTTCTCTGCTGGACATGGTGTTGAAAGTCAACCCTGGGCATGCGAGATCCGCACAGGATAAAGAGGAAATTGCGAAGAAGTACAAACCCGGCGATTCGGTGCTAGTCTCGCCGCCTAATGCCTCCGAGTCGGATGAAGAAGATAGACGGCTGATCGAAAACGTGAGAGAGTTGAGCCTTTCAGAGGTTTCTGCTTCGCATCGGAGACGGGCTTCTAGTAGTCAAGCAGGGGATACTTTTCATAGGCGACAAGCAAGAAGCGCAGACAATAGGGATAGGTCGGACGATGAGCGCAGAGGTCGCCATGATAATGATCCAACAACAAGACGGCAGGCCCAGCACCATGTCGCTAGAACTGCTGCCAGTACGGGGACAACCATTGGAAGCGCTACTGATCCAGCTAGACGTATCGAACACCAATCAAGCTTGCGTTCCTTGCTAAGTGCATCGGACGTCGGAGATACGACCCAGGAAGAGATTGTTCGCCTTATTATGGAAGAGGGACTACTAGACGGGATAGATCTACGCGGCCTAGACCAAGCTCAAGAGGAAGAGCTGAGTGATGGTTTAGTGCAGATTTTTCTTAGTCGACATCCTGAGCGATCTCATCCACAGCGGAGGAGTAGTGATCAAACGGAGCGACCGGCCCCCTCATCCCAACACCGTCGCTCTAGGTCACACACTACACAAAGCAGCAGGAGCCCTAGTGCCGTGCCTACCGAGTCTGGAAGACGCCCTCCTGTATCTCGTCCACATCTTCTGGAAGCAACTGAGACCCCGTTACGACATCAACGTCGGGCCTCAGATGAGACTAGGCGACGAAGAACATCGCCCACCCCAGTTGCCGCAGCTTCCACTTCTGAAACTGCCCTGCGGCCAGCAACTCGGTCGTCTAGCGATATGACAAATCAGCGATCGAGCGCTCCTCGTTCTCAACCGAGAACCAGAGAATCATCTGCAACTTCTATTTCCCGACGGGCGACCGAACCTGAAGGCCGTGCTTCTGAGTTATGGCTAACGGGAACAAGAGAAAGCCCTCAATCACAAACCGGAAGGCAAATACTGGGTTCCCTAGAGACGAATAGTCCCACTGTATCAACACCAACAGATCGCACCCCTTCTGCTTCAAATGCCGCTTTGCCTGGTGTTTCGACGAATGACACACCGTCCCCTTCCACGAGCCTCCCCAACTTACCCGCTTCGGTGCGTCGTCCTGCGACATCACGACCGGCACCACCCAGACAGCATCCTGTGCGTGTTCCATCAACTCATTACACTGAACCATCTCTTTCATGTGAGCGTTGTGGCATATCAGATATCCAGTACAAACTTCACAAGCGATGCCATAAATGCAAAAATGGGAATTTTCATGTCTGTCTTCATTGCTATCGTGTAGGGTCGGGCTGTCCTTATTACAATACAGTCAGCAGCACTCGCGAGGAGGTTTACAAGGATCAGCATCACCCGGCCAATCGATCGCCAGAGGAGCAGCCGCATGTATTGAACTCACAGAAATACCGGAAGCCAAAAGAGAGTTCACTGCGTGGCACATCCGACTGGAAACAAATAACCAATGAAAACCCTGCTAGCAGATTAGAGGACGGCATGTTTTGCGATATTTGTCAGTCCGCTACCAATAATTGCTTTTGGCAATGTAGTGAATGTAATGAAGGGGAATGGGGATATTGTCGGCGTTGCGTAAACCAGGGCCGTTGTTGTAGCCACCCACTACTACCTGTTCGCAGGATATTATCTACAGAAGCTGCGACTTCACCGACAGAGGCTACTCCAACTGGACTGATCAGTGTTCCGCCGTCACTTTCATCACCGGAATCTACAGCATATCAAGTACTTTCTTTTTCGACTGAATGCGATATCTGCAAATACCCAATCGCCCCTTCCTCAACACGCTTCCACTGTCTCAAATGTAATGAAGGCAACTATGATGTTTGCACTAATTGCTATCTGAAGCTCGTTGCATCGGGTAAAATCAGCAAAGAAAACGGACACAACGGCTGGCGCCGCTGTTTGAACAGTCATCGCATGATTGTTGTTGGATATGAAGATCATGAAAAGGGTCAGCGGCGAAGAGTAGTCCGTGATATTGTTGGAGGCTACACATTGAAAGAAGAAACCCCACAGGTTTCAAGTCGCACTGACTCTTCAAATTCCGTTGCCTCCCCAGATCTCGGCAATGGAGACTGGTCTTGGAAAGAAGGCAACACGAAACGCAAAAAGGCCAGTCGCGCTCGGACATCGCACGCTGGGACCTCGTCACCGACGACAGACTCTGGATCTCCAACTACCACCCAATCATCTGGCCGTCGCGTAACAGGCTCTGTGTTCCCTCCTGATGGAGGTTATGGTCTTGTTCTTCGTGCCGAGTGGCCGTATTTCGCAGAAGAAAACTGTACCGATGAGCTCTCCTTTCCTAAAGGGGCTGAAATCTCGGAGGCGGAGAATATCAACGATGAGTGGTACTGGGGGTATTATGCCGGACACACGGGGCTATTCCCAGGGAACTATTGCACACCTGTGCGTGAGGTTACACAGTGAACGAAGTCACATGATAAAAACTTTTGAGTGGAAGAAATATTGATGATGATGATCATGATTGCATACGGTGGCACGGGATGGCATAGTGTGATATAAAGCACGAAGTGACAATTTTTTATTTTACAGTAATTGGGTTATAGGCAAGGTACACGTAGCATTGGTCATTTGATGTCACTTTATTATTCATACCTGTTGATACCACCTACATAAATTCAATGTGCGACGCTTTATGCTCAGCCTGGCTCAAGGATCGCTTACTAGGTAGTATTTCTTTAAGGAAAGAACATTGAAGCGGGCAGATAGTCCTCACTAAGCGAGGATAACGACCCAAATTTGGGATTAGCGGATTCAAAATATTTTACACTTACTTGATCAAGTACATGTAATAATAGAATGGTCCGAATTATTCCCAATTTACCTACTACAGACACTCGATAGATAGAGCTGTGGAAGCGTGCCTCTTCTACTTTTTTTGAAACTATAATAAAACTAAGCAGGGATATTTATGTAAGAAGCGTCTCGGTACTAGAAATTCAATGTTGATTTCATCGGATTAGACTAGTTATATATTGGTACTTAGGTATACACGACACAGGGGAGAACAACAATATGTCACAGGGCCAGGTAGCTATTCCAAGGATAATCTGCCATAAATACGCCCTAGCTTAATCTACAATATATGGTGGGTATGGATATGCTGTACTGAGTACGGAGTCAGTATGATCAGCTTCTAATCTCCAAGAGCAGCACGTATCGATAAAGAGGGTTAGATACCAGACTATAAATTTTTGGCTGTTAGAATAACTTAGTAACCGAACCACTTCAATGCATAGTAATAGGGTTGCCAATGGAATTGGCAGAGGATGGATCTTAGCCCTTTTCATTAGGAATGCCCCTCTTACCCCTGGCATATGCAGACAGGGTTTGTCTTGAAAAAGCTAGGGGTTGAAAAAATAGCTCACATTACTTCTTCGTTGATCAAGTGCACAAAGAGACACCATTTCAAATATGAGGAGAACATGTTATGATTAGTAGAAGAGAAATAACTAAGTATGTCTTAGGTTGAAAAATGGACGAAGTCGCACACATTTGATAAAAGATAGCAAAACAACTTCTCACGAAATGTAAAAGAAGCCTGGAATCCTTCACAGGTCCAGAAGCTCTAAATGCGATATCTGAAATGCTTATTTTGCTTGTCCGTCAAATCATTAAAGCTCTCCATAGCTTCCTCTGCGATATTAGCCTCTCCTAGAAGACCCATCTTCTGCTTCTTGCGGTTTTCCAGATAACAATATCCGGTATAGATAATCTGTAACCCCATTGCCCCGGCATATGCACCAGCTAAGCCCTTGATAGCTGTTGGATATCTTGGGACCTCGTTTTCAAGGAAAAGGTGCGGCCCAGCGATGTTTCCTGCGCAGTAGAGCCTAGAGCTAATTTAGCATTCTGAACGGACTATGTATAAATAGAGGCCGATAAAAAGACGTACACAAAATATATTCCAAGAACAGTGCTTCGCTTGGTGTGACCGGCAGTGTTAAGCCCAGGAAGCGTCCAGTTTAGAATGACAGGAGAGCCGAGGATACCTTGCATCCAACACATTCCGACAAGCGCGAATCGGTGGTTAATTGGGATCTTGAGAATCCCAATCAATCCCGCTAATCCAGGAATGCAAGCAACTGTAAGAGTTTAGCCAGGGAGGTAACTATGTGCTACGTTGGCAGCAAGGCAATACTAACTGAAGATTGTGGCGCCAACCATGTTTGGCAATTTTGACAGATAGCCAAACGCGATGACCATTACTAATTCAAAAGCACCCACAGGAGTTTGCAACAAGCTCGTACGTAGAGCATCATAGCCAAAGCCTTTAATAATGGCGGACAAGAAGTTCGTCACACCGCCGTTGAGGATACCATAGCAAATAGCCATTAAGAACAGCAGCCACGCTTTTTCGTCAAGGAGAGCCTCCTTGATCTGCTCGGGCACGGTCTTGAAGTGCTTCAGACCGGTTTGGTTGCGAGAGATTCGCCACACTGCGACAACCCTCTCATATTCGGTTAACATTTTGGCGTTGTGAGGGCCATCAGGTAAGTACAAATAGATAACAAAACCCCAGGCGAAAGTCAATGCACCGACAATCTAAAAGAACATTGCGTTATTAAGATCAGCCATCACGGTTGGAAACGAATCTCAGGTGATCTTACCAAGTAGATGAGCTTCCACTGTGGGATTGCTAGTCCTGAGGCATGGCCGGCGCCATACGCGAGAAGAGCGCCTAAAATGGATGAGATGCCATTGACCGATAGCCAGAATGAGCTACGGAGACTTTGTTCCTCACGGGTCCAAAGCATTGATGTCAAAACGATGAATGCGGGGGAAATCACAGCTTCCAAAGCTCCAAGGAAAAATCGAATGGCGAAAAACCCCGAGAAGTTGAATACCGCAGCCTGTTAATGTACGTCATCCTGTTAGATTTCTAGGCGAATAACGGTAATATAAGGTTGGGGAACTTGCCTGAAGCATGCACACCGCGCCCCAAATAAACAGCATAATTCCGATCAACCTGCCAATAGGATATCTCTGCAGAAGAATCTGCCAAGGGTAAGCTGCCGTAAGCCAGCCAAAATATAAGGCAGATGAGACCCATGAGTACTGATTGCCGGTCATATGCGTGTCGCTTTGCAGACCGTAAGCGTTAGAGTAGTTGAGACTACATGCTATAATGTTAGAAATATGTATCACTCATCGACCAATATTGAAAAAAAAGTAGACCTTACGTCTGTTTATCCAGGAAACTCAGCATGTAAGTTGTCATCATCTGCGATCGACCTGTTAGAGTCGAGCCAGAAGATGTCTAATCACGTCGACAGGATATAGTTTATCTTACCATTGGCAGAACGATAAAGTCGAGCTTTCTCCGGACCCTAATAGAATCGCGCTCTAGCTGACTTTGATCGTATTGAAGAGATTGCTGGAAATAGATCTTTGCAACATCGTTGAGATCCACGCGGTCACCCTTAAGACGGGCAAGAAACCCAACGGGTTTGGAAGTGCCAAAATCATGGTCAGAAGACACCACGACGGCCTCATCTGCTTCCTTGCTCGTGGACATTTCGAACTGCGGTATAGTGTTCTCGTTTGCTTGTACTCAGAACTAGTAGGGGTTCATGGCTTTAACCGAGTATGTTTTTTACCTCCTCTTGATGGCTGTTATAAATACTCATAGGAGTAGAGTACGAACGGAGGTCAGCAGATATCCAGTTCTGATATCTTGAAAAGCTATAGTCACAAGGTGGATCTCTTGTATAGCTAGCTATCTTTGCGGGGATAGCAGTAAATCCAATTAGCCAGAATCATGAATAGGCAGGTCTAAAGAAGCTAATATTGTGGCAATTACCTTTTTCCTTAACTAAAACCACGTTGACATACCCCATAAACCAACGCCAATGACTTGGTAGATAGCATAGATGGGGTAACCTCTTCACTAGAGAATAGGAAGGAATTGGCGTAGTATACTCTCAGGTCACGATGATTGGTCAAAAAATCCAACAGAAAGATCAAATCCGAGAGCGGTGAGAATAATCTAGCCAGTTAGAGTACGTAGAAACATCCTCGGGATAGATAGCATAGATAGCATGTTAGATAAGGCGCGTCTCCATGCTATCTCTCTTAGTCTCTGGCCCAAGCTTCTCACGTGCAGCTTTGTTACCTAGATTACTCCGTATGTGCACAAAGTTCGACAGATTGCTATGGATAGGGGTTCATAAGGAGTTCCGAAAGAAATTAAATAATAGTAATATTATAGCCCGCTGATAGTATTTCATTTCTGTTAGTTGAACTGTACGTACCGAGTAGTTCTCTCCGTACCAATATATCATTATATACTAAATATACCATTATAGTAACGAGTACTACGAGAATGAGCTCTATTACTCTCACAGCGGATACCATCGTCCAGAAGGGATTGCCAAAGCCCTCACGACCTTGGGAAACCATCCGAGATGAAAAGAGGGCCGAGCAGTTGTCCAGGATTCCCGAGAGCTGGAGACTGGAATCTTCGTTGCATCCAACCCCAGAAACCGTGGATTTGCGACCTGTTGCTGCCACCTCCGGGCTACTTACTGAGAGAGAGCTGATTATCACGGGCGAAAGGTACGATGCAACATCCCTCGCCGCCGAGATTGCTAAGGGCACGTACACTGCGGTCGAGACGGTTACGGCGTTTTGCAAGCGGGCTGCAATCTGCCAGCAGCTTTGTAACGCTTTGACTGAGATATTTTTCGCCGACGCGATTGAGAAAGCAAGAGAATTGGATGACCACTTTAAGAGGACGGGTAAGACCGTGGGACCCTTACATGGTCTGCCTATAACTTTCAAGGTGAAACTAATATAAAGCATACTGTATTCCTAGGAAGACTTGACAATGAGCGCTAACGATAATAATAGGAGTGTTTCCATGTCAAGGGGTACGATGCGAGCAATGGCTACATTTCCAGGTGCTTTGACCCTTCTACCACGACAACTCCCATTATTCAATTTGTCGAGGATGCCGGGGCCGTCATTATCGCGAAAACCAATGTCCCACAGACCATGCTTGTTGCTGAGTGCGATAACAATGTCTTCGGACATACCAAAAACCCAGTTGTCAGTCATTTAACCTGTGGCGGCAGCAGTGGTGGTGAAGGAGCCCTTTCGGCATTTAGAGGAAATTCATTAGGCGTCGGTACAGATGTAGGCGGCTCAATTCGGTATGCGGGCCTCCAACATGTTCCCATCGCTTCTATCTTGATGTGCTAATCCATGTATCCTCGTAGGCTCCCGGCTGCCTTCAACGGCGTGTATGGCTACAAACCCTCGGTGGGTGTCCTTCCCTTTATCGGTTACGCTGCCTCTGGCTGGACCGGTATGAATACCGGGATTCCTGCAGTCCTCGGCCCAATCGGCCATTCGATGCGAGATATGATCTTGTTTACCGAGGCAGTCCGCGCAGGTCAGCCTTGGAATTTCGACCCTGCCATCATACCCGGCGTAATGGAACAACCTATACCAGTATCCATGAAGAGACCTATTGTTGGAATTCTTTATGAATCGGGTATTACTCCTCACCCTCCTGTGCGTCGCGCAATCCACGAGGCGAAACTGAAACTCGAGACCGCTGGATATGATACTAGAGATTTCACGCCTATCTGCCCTAACTTCATGGAAATTCGGAATATTGCCTCTCAGCTATTCACAGTCGACGGCCTCTCATATCCGAGACGAGAACTAGCAAAAGCAGCTGAACCTGTCGTCCCGTCCGTGGCAAACTTTGGATATTGGGACATTCCTCGAAAAACTCACGAAGAAATGTGGGATTGGAACACTAAGAAAGGTTTAATCCAAAAACAAATGCTCGATGCCTGGCAGCAGCTTGGGATTGACCTGCTGGTTGCTCCAGCCGCACCTCATACCGCTATTAATCCCGATAAATGCACCACAGAACTGTACACAGTTGCTTGGAATGCCGTGGATGTAAGCCGGGAGCCGTAAATAATGAAAGGAAGGAAGACAGTGGAGCTGATAAATCTTTTAGTATCCGGCCGTTATTATTCCATTTACAAAGGTAGATCCTACCTTGGATCCTAAATATGACGATTTCAAGCCCAAAAATGACCTGGACCAGGCTATTCAAACACTCTGTAAGTCAACGCATGACCCTCCATACTTTTATTCCCCCCATTCCGCAAATGCTGAAAAAAATCTCCTTGACTTGGGTACTGATACGATTATGTAGATGACCCAGAGGTCATGGCCGGTGCCCCGGTGTCACTACAAATTATTGCTCCCAGACTTCAAGATGCGGCTTTGCTTAGGAACACGGATATTATTGACGGCATTCTAAATGGCAAAACCTAGTCCAGCTTATCTTATGAAATAGAGTGTAGACCTTATTCAGAGAGACTCGGGTATCTCAATTGAGCCAACCATAGCACAATTTCATCATGCCGAATACCCGAGATATGAGCTACTGATTAAACTTTGAACTTATAGAGCGGGGTATGGCCATATAGCCGTAGCAAACTATCGACTCCAAATGATAATCATCAAGTTGATAATAATATTATTAAGTATAACAAGCTGCAATTCTAATAGAGTTCGTGAAAAAAGATGTGGGGTTACAGACCTTGTAGCACAGTTGTATACTCACCAAGGTACTCCGTAGAGAGTTAGTAGCCGCCATATTGCTGTTCTCTTATCTATGCTATCTTAGTGTCTACCAGTTTGAGACCATATGATAGGTACGTGTTGTAACCAATAGATGGCTCAACGATTAGTTGGATATTTACCCTAGCGTATCTCAGGATCGCGTCAATACGAGTTCGGAACAAAGTGCTCCTCTGTATGGAAAGGATTTATCATCAATAATGACAACGCTCATCCTTAAATTTATAGGATACCACAATATTACTACGGATTTGACTCGAGCAATCTTCGTCGACTGTCGATTACATTTCGAGGGCCAGTACGAAAGATGTCCTCAATGACACCGCCGAAATATCAAATATGTCTTATTGGTTCCGGCGGTGTTGGCACAATTGCGTCGATTGTTTTAACAAAGTCTGGCCTTGGTCGAGTGACTGCAGTTCTTAGATCCAAATACAGCTATGTTTCACAGCACGGATGGCAGATCGAGTCCATCGACCATGGCAAGCTTTTAGGATGGAAACCATACCGCTTAGTGAGCTCTGTTAATGATGCTGCAACCGATGAGAATGGAGAGCAAATAGAATACGACTATGTAGTGGTGTGTACGAAGCAGTTGCCAAACAAAAGTCCAGTCACAGATATGATATCTCCGGTGATAACTCCTTCAAAGACGACAGTGGTCATGATACAGAATGGCATAGGAATCGAGAACGATATCATCAAAATGTGGCCCAAAAACGCTGTGATGAGTAGCGTTAGCCATATCGGAAGTTCAATCAAAGAGCCCAATGTAGTAATTCAGATGGGAAAGGACGTTTCGAAAATGGGGCCTCATTTTCACGATGGACTCGATGATTCTGAGAGTACAGAAAAGGCCAGGGCGTTTGTGAATATGTACGTCATGGGTGGTTCCTCCGTTACCGAATTTGTCGATGATATTCAGGTGGCGAGATGGGAGAAGCTGTTATGGAATGGGACCTTCAACACGATCTGCGCCTTGATGAGGATGGACGTTGGTGAAGTCCAAAGAAGCAAAGGAAGAGAAACACTGCTCGTCCCGATGATGTGGGAAATTTGGCGTATTGCGAGCTCTGCGGGCCACCATATTCCAGAATCAATCATTAGCTGGATGGCATATCGACTGCCAGATGACTGTGACTATCGACCAAGTATGCTATTGGACCTGGAAAATGGGCGCCATATGGAGTTGGAAGTTATTCTAGGAAATCCGCTAAAACTAGCGAAAGAGCTTGGGGTGGATACACCCATTATGGCTACTGTCTACAAGTTTCTGAAGTTGGAGGAGTGGAAAATTGACCAAAAGGTATTACCAGATTAAGAGTTAGATCTTAGAAGTAATGAATAGTATAAACTATTCAAGTTTAAACAGTCATGCGGATGCTATAATGGCACAAATACATTCGATCCACGGCGTACCAGATACATCCAATCCCAGACCTCTCCTCGGTCTCTAGCTGGCCAAATCTGATCTACACAAAATGATTGTGTCCGTCTAGCCGTCACGATAGGCCGAGCGTCGCAAATACCATTGAATAATTGGATTGCAGTTTCTCGGTCTTCTGGTCGGTCTAGTTCGCATGCCGCAATGAAAAGTGGCCAGAGTGAGAGTTTCATGTCTTCAGGCGGGCCGGAGATATGAACCATGACCTCATAAGCCATGCTCAGGGCCACCTGATCTGCATTAATTGAGCGTCCTGGGCGACTGAACAGGCGGAAGAGGTAGAGAAGAGCTGCTGCTCTCCAAGCATACGCGTGTAGGAGAAACTTGCGAGATGTTTGCATCGACATTGAACAATCACGGAAGGGGCGCCATGCCACAAGTTTAGCCCGAATGGATGCTTCCCTCTCTGTCAGATCCGTATTACACGTTAATAAGTCATGAGCCCCGTCGCACATGTAGCTGGCACTGGGATATCTGTCCATAAGAAAATGGACGTCCTCAGCAAGAGCGCAGAGTTCTGACAATATCGGAGCTAATGATGTTGTGAAGCCCATAAACCGGTCAGCGTGATTCATCGAGTACTCGTCCAACCAGATGGATGAATTTATTCGGGTACGCCGCATCCTCGAAAGTGAGATTAGAAGATCTTGACGCGCCACGCCTCTGGCAAAGTATTTTGCTGACTCGGTGAGCTCTTTACCCGAGCGTATGTAAAATTCCAACACCAGCGCTACATTCTCTACGAGCCCGAGTAGTGTGCTTCCTCCACCGTCAGATCGGAAGTCTGTGATCTGTTCCTTGGTCAATGAATTATTCGGCGTACAAACTCGAAGAGTAACGTACCTCTGCCCCAGACAGCCCAAGTAGTAGCATTAATACTAGTTCCGGACTGTTCTCGTGCTCGTTTGCGAACCTCAGTCGACTGAGTAGTCGTGTTTTGCGATTTGGGATTAATGTAGCACCCATAGTGTCCCTGATATAATTTTCGCCAATCGCACATAGTGAATCACCAACAGCCGTGGGATTCCGCTGTAAAAGAGGAATCACAGCCCTGTTCATCTCGTCCACGAAATCATTGCTCATAACTACCTCTGCGGGATGTCTCATAAAGTAGACTTCAATGAATCGCTTGTCTGCTGCGAGAATCTCATTTAAAGGAATAAGGCTCGGACCTCGCATGGGAGAAGGAGAGTTTATCGAATCTTCCCATGTCACCGTACTTTGATCGTCTGCAGAACTGAGAATAGCGTGAGAACCCCCGATATCTGTTTCAGGGGACTGTGGAGTCCAGTAGCTGCAGGAAAAAGAAATGTTGTCAGCTTTCCAATCATCTCCATTTAGCATCCATTCAACCTCTGAACAGTCGTTTGCTCGGCCTTCTTCAGACAAATTAGAGGAGATTGAAGCTCGTCTCTTCTCGGTACAGCCTCGCGATTTTGCACGAGCTACCGCATTGCCGTTCCTCAAAGATGATGGACGAGATTGAGATGCTATGTATCCCCGACATTGCCGGCGACGGCGAGAACATGTCCCACACGAGGGATGCACTTCGTCGCATTTAACCTTGGCCTGCTTGCAGTCGATACAACCTTTTCGTGAACGAGTTGCCATGGCAGGCAGAAGGAGGCAAGACGAACAGTCAAATAATTTTACTGGATTAAAGATTTGGATATTTCAAATGATATCCTCAATCAACGGCTATGATTGCTCAACGAGAAGGGCGGTTCTCCTCTTATCTCAGCTGGCTCGGAGTTACGGACCCCCTCTTTCTCAAAGTGCTCTAAGTGGGCGAGAGATTTGCCATAGCTTTTTGCGCACTAGTTGACTAACCGCCGAAATTGCAAATGCCATTTTAATTCAGTAAAACAGGAACCATTAAACAATTCCATATATGCATATATAGAACAGTTTCTCTATTCCTATTCTATATATATGCATCGCCCTATTGTGCCTTCCCTAACCTACATGGTAAATACTTTTTGATTTTAATTTTATAGCTCACCTACTAAGTCAGATTCAATTGGGCAGGAGATAAGTCTATATGACTTCGTATATTTGGTATTTGGAATGCCCAGAAATACGCATAATTCTAGGCGTAAACCTTGCTGGAGAAGAAGACACGACAAGGCTCTAGGAGACACTAAATATTTTTGCAAACTCCCCGCCAACCGGGCGATGAATTGCTGGGAATAGGAGCTAGTATCGTTATTAGCTTCGTGCGGGGAAGTGGAGACGATGTACTGAGTACATTCGGCTGTCAAAAAATAGGGTGGTGATTCTAATTGCCAATCTGACATAGCTTGCAAACATACCTGGGAAAGAGGTCAACTGCTAGATAGCTCATTCTTAGTTATATATGGCTGTTTTAGGTTTGCAAAGCATCAGAACGTAGAAATAGGATGATTTATGCTATGTAATTACTGGATTTGTTTCGATTTAATTCGGAATCTTTTGGAGGTCGTAGGTAATAGGTATGTGCTCTATGATGATTGAATCAGGCGCGCCCTGGATTAGGTAGGAATGCAGTCAATATAGTTGCCATCTTTGGCCTGTTCGACCGGAACAGCGATACACAAAAAACTACAGATGTCAGGTAATGGACTGAATACGTACCCACATATGATCAATTAGTATATTAAAATTATTCTTTACAAGACACTTCCATAATGAAACAGCGATAGATACCTCGTTTTTTTCCATTTCTTAGCGTATATAAGGAGTAGATTTCACAAAAATCCAGTCTTCTACTTTTCGGCGACGTTTTCCTTGCCTCGCAAATAAAACCTCCTGCACGCAAGATATTAATACATTTTTTTGAAAATGCGGATTATTTAGCAACAGAATGGGCATATTCGCTTTGAGCTTTGTTCCTCCTTTGTATAAATGTCAATAACCCTTCAGGAACTTTGGCATCATCTGTCAATCCACTTGGAACTGGCTCATCCAATTGTTCGGAAAGGGGGACGACTCCTGTCCATGGCGGCACTTCATTGTCTGGTCCATCTTTTATCCTGTCTCTGGGTTGTACACCGGGAATACCAGTTCGAAATTTTACTCCACCACTGAGGATATCAACACGTATCACACAGACCAACGAAACCTGAAAGGAGGAGACAGGGTTTACGTCCTCCCACCTGCCTTCAACGATATGATTCGTTACACCCCTCATCACCTCCCGCTTAAGGTCACGATCCTTAATAAGGGAGCATGCACCATGGACGATTCCGGACCGATAATTAAAAGTATGCCCATTCGGGGCCGATGAGAGGACAAGGCCGTCAACTGTATGTAGCATCAAAAAATTTAATTAATATCAGCTCAAACCACAATGTCGAAACTAGATGTCGAAGCGATTGACTGACCTTTGGTGCTTGTAATGCATACTCTTATCTTATCGTTCGGGATTTTGTGTAACTTCTCGTCGTCTCCAGTAGCACATTCTGACTCCTTATCCCGCACAATCTCCATTAATCTCGAGCTAGGGTGGCCGTGGAGATAGATCACTGGATCTTCATTCTCGCCAGCACGGTGAAACAGGGCGATCATAGGCACGCACTGCGGCAAGCCATTGTCGATGTATGAGACATGGGAAATGAAAGTGTCCGAAAAGACTTTCTGGATGGAGTCGACATCGTATTTGCCTCTCTGTTCGTGTCGCCGAAGTTTGGCAGGCTCCATCATTATCTTAGGGGCGAAGTTGGCTGTCGGGTATACACTTTAAACCTGTATGCAGATGTACCTATAGGTAGGAAATGCGATAAGGAATCTTCTGCCAGATAATTATGTTGTTATTCGTGCTTTACCTTATTAAACAACAACCCATGCGTTACTTCATTAGGTACTTTTTCATGTTTTCCGGATATGCATGAAGCCCAAACGCAAATGACTTAATAATTACTGGTCCATAAGGTATTAGATTCTGATCTCGTAAGAATAGACAAAGGGTAATAGGCTAAGCCTATTTTGAAAGTGACTGATAGCGTCGTCGTTAGCTATCAACTGACAACCCCACTATATAGATAGCTTAAGTACCGATAAGAAATCAGCACTACGGAGTCCGTTTGCCAAGTTAAGGCTCATTAATTTGAGGCTACTCCATATTTGTACAAAATGTTACGCTGGAAATAACTGCTTGCTATCTCTACCTGCAGTTCTGTAGCGCAGCCATATGGTTGATGGATAATAATTCCTATATGTAAAAGCTAACTTCCGCAAATGTTACTACTACAGTTAGCATACCCCCTGCTTTTAAGATAGCCTCTCCGTATGTTAAGACGCTCCCGAGGTATACCCGGGGGTACTGAGTACAGGTGGAGACTTCGTGTCTGTACTTACAAGATACGGGTCTGCATCTTCCTTAGATGATGTATGCGGAGTAATAAGATCCACAATGCCCACGATGGCCACTTGCTATCTCCGCTTATTGCCTTGACGATCAACTCCCCAATGACCTATAACTAATGGATGTGTCTGCTTGGTAGCACAACATGACCGGGATTGCTAATTCACAGCCACGTCAGCCCGACTATTTACCCTGCACTTGGCAACTTTCAACCCTGCAATTTTTTTCACTCTTAGAATTGTTGGAAATTATACATCGGCTAACATAAATCCAGAGCTCTCCGTATCCTGATTGCTGGGGCTTAGAATTTTGCTTTTCTTTCATTAAACATATCATTTGGGTTGGGCTGCGCCATAATGGGCTCTGTGATGACCCCAAAACCGTGGCAAGAGATTGCCGCGGACAAGAAAGCTGAGCAAGCGTCCCGAATCCCCTCCGAATGGAAGCTCTCAGAAAAGGTGCTGAAAAATGCCGAGACAACCGTTGACTTGCGACCAATCGCAGCTTCCTGCGGTATTCTAACTGCCAAAGAGCTGAAGATCACTGACGAGTACGATGCAACAGACCTGGCTGCCGAGGTCGCAAAGGGTACCTATACTGCCGTTGAAGTAACAACAGCGTATTGCAAGCGGGCAGCCATCGCACAACAGCTCCTCAGCTGCCTGACCGAAATAAGATTTCTGGAAGCAATTGAAGACTCTAGGAAGTTGGATGAAGAATTTAAGAAAACAGGCAAGCCAGTAGGCCGCCTACACGGGGTACCCATGACTTGCAAGGTAGATTGTGCACCTCTTGCTATCTCAGCGCATCATTGACTCCGAGTAGGAATGCTTCCATTTGAAGGGATTCGACTCTAGCAATGCATATATTACTCGGTGTTTCGATCCAGCAACCTTCGATTCTTACTTGATCCAACTCCTTAACGCCGAGGGCGCGGTATTCATCGCCAAGACAAATATACCTCAAAGCATGTTGGCTGCAGAAGCACACAACAATGTCTTTGGCCAAACGAAGAACCCCGTTGTTTCTCATTTGAATTGTGGTGGGAGCAGTGGAGGAGAGGGCTCAGTATTAGCTTATAAAGGTAGCGCACTTGGTATAGGCACAGATGTTGCTGGGTCTATTCGGTGAGTAGGGTCCGATATTACCAATTTCCATGAAGACATCCGGCTTGTGGTACTGTCATTTGCTAATCAAGACGAGTGAGCAGATGCCCCTGTGCGGCTAATGGTGTTTACGGATTCAAGCCTTCAAACGGCATTTTCCCTATGATCAACTATGCCGCATCTAACTGGCCTGGCATGAATACTGGTATTCCAGCTGTCTGTGGACCCATGGGAAATTCAGCGCGAGATCTCACGCTCTTCTACCGAGTTATTCGCGATGCAAAACCATGGAATTACGACCCGGCGTTGGTACCACAGAAGTCCGAATGCGACACATCAGATCGGAAGCCAGTAGTTGGTGTATTTACAGAGAGTGGAAAATGCACACCACACCCTCCAGTCCGCAGAGCCATCAAGGAAGCCGTCGCCAAACTCAAAGAAGCCGGATTTGAGGTCCGGGAGTTTGTTCCCCCGGATTTCACCGAAATTCGGAACTTGTCCCATGAGCTGCTCTCCCTTGACGGGCTATCATATGCCAAAGGACAAATGGAGGAAGCAGGTGAGCCGCCGGTGGTGTCAGTACTGAAGTCTGGCTTCTGGGATAAGCAGCGGAAAACGTTTGAGGAAGCATGGGCTTTCAACGCGAAGAAAATCGAGATGCAAAAAAAGATGTTAGATGCGTGGCAAGCAGCAAAGGTGGATGTTGTCTTGGGCCCAGCAGGACCTCACACGGCCGTTACACCTAATGAATGGGTCAACTATATGTACACTGTTGCATGGAACGTAGTAGATGTGAGTGCCTGTGTTCTCTTCGCCTCTTGAAACAGCCTGGCCAAGGATCCCTTGACTAACATCATGCCTGCAGTACCCGGCCTGTATTGTTCCTTTCACAACCGCAGACCCGGAGAAAGATCCAAAAGACACTTCTTTCAACCCTCAGTCTGAGTTGGATGCCCAAAATGAGGCCATGTGTAAGCAACAATTTTTCTAAACTTTGACATGCATCGTAATTCATGCGTATGGTTTCGTCCCAGCAGGCAGAAAAAACTAATTGTGATATCAGATGACCCGGTTCGCATGGCAGGAGCCCCCGTTGCTATCCAACTCGTTGGACCACGGCTCGGTGACGAACAGTTATTGAAGGACGTTGAAATGATTGATACTGTATTGAAAGCTTGATACTTAGGCTTCAAAGTTTGCATGTCAGCCATCGTGAAGAAGCATTGAGTAGTTGATTGATTGAATTAGAGCTTTCCACGCTTCCCATATGCCGGTTTCCTTCTGAGAATTATTTTTTTCGGTTTCCATTCCTACATACAATCAGATTATACTACACTGGGGTTAGGAGTCGAGTACGCCTGCTCGACACGATGCAATGTTTTAGGCGTTATCACGGTCCCGATCCTGGGACATTTGCGTCTAGCCATCATTGCAATTGGAATATTTGAAAGTAACGAGAAATTGATGAAGTTTATAGATCAGTGGAAGATATTTGGCCAATGACACGATCTAATGTAAAAGTGACAAGAAGTGGTTATAATCCAGTAGAGGTAGCTGCACATCTCTTTCATGTATATGCTACCTAGGTATCCTGAATTGCTAACTATCTTGGCAGCAATATACACGCAGACCTCTTGACTTTAAGCTTTATAAGAAATTTTCAAAACCCAGCAATATTTTTCCTCCTCCCAGACACCCTCGGGAATTAAAAAAGTAAACCCATTGCCGGATCCTTTCTTATGCTCCTTCACCCATTCAATTTGCGAGGAATGTGCCCCCATTCCAACGACGGTAACCACATCTCCCCGCAACAATGGCAATGGTGTATCGAGGTAAACCTTCTCTTGCGTAGGTTTATCCAAAAAGAGAATATAAAACGCATCATCAGTTTGCGTGAATCTGACATTGTTCCCATCCGCAACAAGCTCCGACATAACGAACCAATATGTTGTATTAAAAATCGCTTCCTCGTGTGCATGAATCCATTCTCCAGCTTCACGCAGATTCTGTGCCTCCCTCTCGACAATAGTGCCGTCTGCACGGGGTCCAATATCAAGTAGGAAATTCCCATTTTTGCTTACCATGTCCACAAGGTCTTGAACGATCGTGGTAGCATTCATATATGCGCTGTCTGCCGTAGCTCGATTGTACCCGTAGCTATACGGGTCCATGCCTTCGTTTGATTCCCACTTGCGGAGCTGGGCAGAGGAAAATGTTGCGTATTCCGGTGTATCGAAATCGGCGACTTCGGCAAGACCACATCGAGAATTGATTGTGACCTGGCGGTTCTGAGACCGAGCTTGATTCCACCAGGATGCGGCGAAGGGGGCTGTTCCGTTGGCAGCGCCGCAGTCGCACCACATGATATCAGTTGAGTAGTCATACGCAAGAATCTCCATTTGCGGTACCATCAGGTCGGTGATGAAGTCGTCGATGGGGAGGCGGCCTGTATACGGCTCGTCAAGACCCGTGTAGGGGTTTCGGGCAATGATACCGGGCCAGCTGGTCGATGCGTTTCCGCCGAGTTGAGCGAAACCGTACGGTGCGAAATCTGGGTTAAACCATTCAGGCAGAGAGAAATAGGTACCGCGTCGGAGACTTGGCTGGTATGTTTCGGCCGCAGTGAAGAGATCCTTGAGAAGATCACGCTGAGGCCCATAGAGCAAAGCATTGCGGTCGGTGGTGCGCGACGTGTTGAATAGAGCAAAGCCGTCGTGGTGTTTCGTCGTGAGAACAAAGTACTTGGCTCCAGATGCATAAATGAGATCGACCCATTCTTTTGGATCCCATTTCGCAGCTGTGAAGTTTTGGAATGAATCGTCATAGTTCCAATCAGGGCCAAATGTGCGAAGACGATAATCATAGAAGTCTGACTTGTCTGCTGGCCGATGGGTTGAGTACCACCTAATCATAGTGAGTATTAGATATTGGCCTCGCCACGCTCCGATACTATATAAAAAAGAAGAACTCACCAAAACCACTCTGCATAGCTCTCGTACGGAGTTGAGTTACCCCAACCTGGAACCGAAAACGCGCTCCAATGGATGAAAATTCCAAATTTGGCATCATCATACCACTGCGGACTTTCGTGCTGTGCAAGACTCGACAGATCAGAAGTCCACTCAGTCAATCCAGAGATGGAAACATTCGTAATGTGCTGTTCATCAGTAGAGTATGGGCCATAAGTAAGAAGAACATCAGCAGATCCATTCGCAGCGCCCTTAACGCCAATATCTACGCGTTTCTGGTCTCCGGGGCAGAGACGTTTGATATGGCCTGGCTCTACTGTTTCAACTCCAAGCATTGATAAAGAGACCCCTACTCCCTGACCCGATATGCATTCTAAACCAGGATTATTGATGGTGAGTTCGATCACCTGGTTCCCTTTTTCAGTCCATTTCTGAGTTGGTCGTACGAATTGAACTTGAGCAGACGATCTGGCCTTGGAAGATTCCCACAAGGACACGGAAAAGACGTGCAGTCTACCAGTGGTGGCATTAGAAGTGTCTGGAAGTGTAATAGACTGGAGGTCCTTGCTCGGATCTAATGATGCAGTGTACTCAAAAATATGCGAGGTATTCCAATTTGTGTCGTTACTGGTGAATCGATATGGGAAAATAATCTCGCCTCGGTTGATGGTGAGAAATGCCCACCATGGTAAACTACGCAACTCGGACACCAACGTCGAGCCATCCGCATACGTGTATGTCACATTCCCGGATACAGTGGACAACTCAACATCTGAGGATACTAACATAGATGCAGAGAAATATTTTGAGTTCTTGCGTGATTTAGGTAAAGCAATCTCCTGGCCTGAGCAGATCACATTGTCTGGCTTTGATGGATCCGGCTGAAGGCCTGGGAATTCATAGACGACACCAGTTTTGGTAGATGTGTATATTCCACCAGTGATACCGATGATGGCAGGGTCTGGATATGATTCATTTAGAGCATCAAAAGCTGCATCTCCGGGCTGAGCGCCGAATGCTTTATTGTTGAAGTAAGACTCTAGTGAGACCGAGGTTGATTGCTATTTTTCAACTTCCGTCAATGACATCCATATTTAGTTATGGTTAACATGAGCTCTCACTTCTCCAATGGACCGAGGATCTTTAGCAGCGGCTGTTGGAGACAATCCAAGCACCAACGCCAACAGATAGGATGTTTCAACCTTCATTTTGCACTTGAAGCTCAACGAATCACTGCAACCCGCTGAAACAGACGCCGAATTTCTTCTTATTTTCAATATTCTTCACAACAATCTCACACCGTAACGATTAGAATCTTTCCTATCAACAGACCCCGCTGTGAAATGGCACAGTGACATCGTAAGCATCCAGAAAGAAATAAATATTGACTCATGCCATTCGCCGCTTCAATGTCGGTTAATTAGATATCCTACCTCTGCTATTATAGTGCGAGAATCGGGGCAGATAGGGAAATTCGTCATCTACCGAAAGAACATCGGAGTTTCACCCGATTTTGCTGCAAAGAGGGCAAAGCGTGCCTGGTGGGTCGTTCTGCCCGCATGTCCTGGGTCGGTTTTGACTGAAGATTGATTCAATTGTCATTAAATCTTGGGGATCGACACTCTAAGCACTAGTAGAGTCATTTAGATTTGTCTATCTAAAGTTAATTATGGTTACATCGTGTCGCTTTGAGCCGATGCAACTGAGACCTAAATTCCCAGGTATTGGTAAACAACTGAGGGGAAATGCGGTTGTCAGGATGATTAGCAGTTATGTGGCAGCTGAAGTAGACAGGGATCTTGCAGAGTGAGAACTGTAATTAAATGGGATGCGAATACTCGATTTTCTCGTACTTTCGTAATGAAATGTTGAAGATACTGAATGGTATACCAATCTAATGTTGACGAAATCATTATTCTCGGCTGTTGCTGCTCTGGCCAACCTTCCCTTGGGCCTTTCATTTAACAATCCGGCCGGAGTAGACATCTGGTGTGGAAAGGCATATCGCGCTAGGTAAGATGGAGCTAAAGATGTGTATTTGGTAGTCAAATTGTACTAACGTCTCTGCCCCTCCGGGTTGAAAGCAATGAATCTTTGAATCCAGGTGGGTGGTTTGAGGAGCCCTCCCTGTCCTCAACACCGCTGCTGGATCTCAAAGTCAAACCACGGATGAGTATTTACATTTCTAGCGACTCTGAAGGAAGCCTTCTCGTGGATGCAGCCGTGTCGTATCTTAGTGGCGAAAAATTGCCCTGTACCAAGTCAAGTGTCGATTCACTGGTTCATCATTCGCATTTATCCATCGAAGTTACTTCGGACGAAAATCTGATTTCAATGGGAACGAAAGAGCAGCAAATATCGTTGGACACACGGGATAATGAGCTCAATATTAGTCTGGAACAGTTCCCAGCCCGTCTGACTCCTTATAATATTACCCTCAGCGCGTCTTTGGACCATGGAGATAAGAAAATAACATTTGTAGCGACAACTCAGTTGTATAGACTTCCACAACGTACAGATGGTGGAAGTTCCACAAGACTTGACCATCTCTACGGCGGGCTGGCTGTTATCAAAGGCGAGGAGACTGAATGGACACCGATTTTCCCCTACACATATTACGGTTAGTGGAGTGGACATTGAATACAGCAAAAAGAAAAACAACTGACAATTTCCAGTCCAATGGTCTCTCTACTGGAACGCAAATGTATCCACACTAGACGAATTTGCTTCTCGAGGATACAACGTCATCCACATCGTCCCAACAGGTGACTTTGGCGACACGCCTTTTCCTTGGGATGAATTTGAGCCATATCTGCAACGCGCCGATGAGCTCGGCTTATACTTCCAATATGACGTGCGTTGGGATTATACAAACCTGACCACGATGATCGACCAAGTCACCCGCCTGCGTTCCCACCCATCCATTTTGCTCTGGTATACCGGTGACGAGCCCGATGGAAAAAGCAACCCAATCAACTCGACCGGTATTGCATACGACACCATCCGCTCACTAGATCTGTATCATCCTGTGTCATTAGCTCTAAACTGCTACGATTTCTATTACGAGGATTATGCATCTGGGGCCGATATCATCTTGTCAGACGTCTACCCTATCTCAACCAACACTAGCTGGTCCACCGTCTACGACACGCCCTGCAATACGACATACGGGTGCTGCGGATGTGATGACTGCAACGGCCGTTTCGAAGACATTTCTGACCGACTTGACAATTTCGCGCATTTTGACGAGATCATCGGATGGCCGAAAACCCACTGGGGTGCACCACAAGCGTTTGGCAATGAGACGTTTTGGACACGCTATCCAACTGCAGATGAGGAAGTTGTCATGACTATGCTCAGCATTAACCATGCTGCAAAGGGTATTGTGATGTGGGATTTCCCGACATCGACAGACATTCTAAGTGCAACGGACGCGCTGGCGGCTGTTCTAACGAGTGAGCGTGTGGCAGGTTTCTTGGTCGGTGCACCAATTGTGCAACAGTTGACAGTGGCTGGTGGAGAGAGGGTGGATGCTGCTGCGTGGGTGATGGGCGATCAGATGTTGATTAGTATTGTCAATTTGAATTACGGAAGCGTGCCTCGAACCGTTAGTGTTAGTTTGCCTAAGAAGAGATCAGTGAAGTCGATAACCAACACACTCTGGGGTGAGACGGTTTGGAAGGTTGCTGAAGAGTCCTTGTGGGCTAGTGGGATTGCAGGACTGGGTGTATCGATTCTGGTGGTGGATTTGAAGTAGGGCGGTTGAGTCTAGCTTTAACTTTCCGTATTCTGTTCAATCTATTGCGCGTCTGAATAAGGCAGAACCATGGACAAAGCAAACAATTATGAAGAGCACAAAGGGTATGTATATCCATTAAAACTCATGTCCGTACAGTCATTGACCAAAGTTAAAACGTGAAGTGACTGGCGAGTCAAGGAATTGTTATATACAAAATAGTATGAATACAAAGCAATAAACATGTCTGGGATGGATTATTGACAAGGTACTACTTCCACAAGGCAGTGAAGTGGCATAGACTAGCCCAAAAGCCCAAGCATGAGCTTTTGGTAATCTCCACTCACTTCACCCTGGACGCGCTGGCGTAGGTCGCGTTTGTAATGGTGATGATATGCCTTCTTCACCTGATCTAGGTGAACCTTGTTCCAGTGCAGTCGTACAATCCGCACTACAAGCTTGAAGTCCTTAGTGCCAGCTCCAGCCATAGCTTCTTCCAAGGCGATAGCGTCTCGAAGCGCCGGGTCTGCGGCTGTCCGCAGCATGTACAGAAGAGCATCCTTCATATGTCCAGAGATATTCTTCTCGATATGTTTCTCTAAATCAGAGTTGTAGCGCTGGTGGAACGTGTGGTTGATGGCGCGTAATTCATTGTCTGAACTCTTTGCAAAAATGGCACATATCTCAGCCACATTATTGATCACTCGACCAGATGTCGCGCCATGGATGCTCCTGACTTCACTTTCGATAGCATTGTGATCGATAGGCTGGGATTCTTCGTGACGCGTTGCCGAAATAACATGCAAGAAAAGATTCTTGGTCTCGGCGGATAAATCATCTTCCACGTCCTTTTGCAAACTGCGGTTATGTAGGCGTTGGTATGCGTTTTTAATCTCTCGAAGATCGGCATTGGACCGGCCCAACAGCACGTCATTCAACAACCATTCTTTTGTACCCAATCCCTTGACTGCATCGCGGACAAGCTTTGCATCGTTCACCAATGGTCCATCAATAATAGCAAGTAATCCCTGTTCGAAATACCCGCCTGTCTCGCTCTTCACGTCTTTGTATAAATCACGATTGATATGACGGGTGTAGGCTTCGCGAACAGATGCCATTTGAAGAGGATCCAATGCCACAAGAACGCTGATTAGAGTGGCTTCATCCGTACCGAAGCCTTTCATGGCCTTGCGTAGAGCATTGGCCTGGGGAGTGAAATCGCCAGGGGCCGTCTGGTTGGGAACGTAGCCCAGTGAGGGGGCTGCCGGAGGTCCTTGGACTGGTCGCGGGGCACCCCCAAAACCCTGCTGAGGATATCCCTGCTGAGGTGGAGGGGCTCCGTATGCGCCTGGAGGAGGTTGACCATAAGGCCCTGGAGGTGGATAGCCATAACTTTGCTGCTGTGGAGGGTATCCCTGTGGCGGATATCCTTGAGGAGGTCCCTGCGGAGGTGCGCCGTAGGGACCAGGAGGGCCGCCAGGGCCAGGGGGATAACCGCTCTGTTGAGGAGGATGGTATCCTCCTTGCGGAGGAGGCCCGCCGGGAGGTCCGTAGGGTTGATGCTGAGGATACGGCGGGTGGCCTTGTGGAGGATAGCCGCCTGGAGGGGGGCCCGCTGTTTGTTGACCTTGTCAGCTGTGTTTCTTTCACAGGATGTGATTAGACGGGATACTCACGAGGCGGTCTATTGTACGACATTGTGTTATGCTTAGAAGTTCTATAAGAATGTGATAAAAAGACAAGTATGTATCACCAAACGGCGATGATGGTGAAATACGAAGCATCTGGACAAGCGGCGCCATCAACAATATATATACGAGAGACCCCGCCATCCCACTGGCGCCCGTTCGCGAGGCAGCTGCGTCATAGAGCATCCATTGGTCAACCAAGAGCTTGGCGCCACACGCTCAGGCTCCACAAGGCTGAGCCGCCAGTCGAGCCACCGTGGCGCAGCATAGAGTCAACCTCGCGCTACTTCGAGAGCATCGTAGTGGAAATCCTCGAAACTGTTGGTCACTGCTCTGCGAGCTGTCAAGGAGTGATTGGACGCAGTCATGGACGTGTTCCTACTCAGAAACTCGGACAGAGTCCTCACTTTAGTCGGCCGTTGGCGCGCTAAGCTACTCTTGGCCGTGGTCAGAAATTAGGGCCAAATTCGGTGGAGATAATTACGCTGGCTGTGCCAATGTCAGTTTTTGCTAACGCCTTCCAGCCTGGGCTATATTAACCCAACCCTCCCATTTGCCCAATATCAGATACGTGGTATCCTCCGAGGAGTCCAAGCCAACTAAAATCCAATTATAGCACGGAATGTTAATATCATCCCCTTCACCGTGGTACTTGGTTAGCGTCAAATCTTCTCTTATTAAATATATGTATCACCAATTTCAGCACTAAGGTTTAGATTTACTGAAGCGAGCTAATGAGTGAAGCCAAGAAGTGTAATCTACGCATTATGCCATCATATAATTTAGACTGCAAACGCGTGATCATAATCCCTATAATCACATTGCTTACGATTGGCAAAGAGCACCTCATTGAAGTGTCATCAAATGATAAAAAAAGATATTCCACTTCTTAAAGTTTAACTTATATTAACTATGCCGCGACAAACCAAGGAAAGGTACAAATCTCTGCTACATCTTCCGAAGTGGGTGCCAATATCGCGCTTTATGGCCAAGCCCGTCAGTGCATGCAGCGTCCGAAGGCGTGGTAGCGGCGGACAGACCGTCAAAGACGCACTTTTCCTCAGACTATGAGCAGAACGGCAGGGCAGTCGCCAACAAGGTCGGCAACAAGAAACAATCATATCTCTGCGCATAGAGACCATGCAATCTTGTTATGTCACAGGTGCTCCCGCGGGCTAAGCAGGCTATTACCACTATGAATATCTGACAGATAAGAAAGAAAGAGAAAACAGGACAAGAAATTGAGAGCTCGAGTGCTTAAGAGCTGGTCAAGGCCAAGCTAGCTTGATAATGTATCAGGGCCGGGACGGATGGTGTTAGAAAATAAGGTTCCGAGTCGACTATTCAGGGAGAAATGCGTCGCCATTGCGATGCGTCAGTGCGAGGGACTTGCGTTCTTCAAAATAGATCAAAATAGAGGACAATCCCCATATCAGAAGGACAAGTTTGTCATCATCAATCAAGCAGAGAGACATAACATAATGTCAAACATTTTCTTTTCAATTTACATAATTTTATGGGTCCATGACCGGTGCTAAATCCGACACATGTGAGCTCTCGCTGCTGAGTACAGTGGTCTCTAGGGCCGCCGGCGCAGCACTACTACGATGGCCTGAGGTCAAGGCTTGACGCTACAGGGGACCTAATACATCTACTACATACTTAACATAAAAACTCGACTGAAGATATTGAAGCCGCGTACATAATAAAATTAATAACAAATAGATCGCCGAAAATGCTCATAAGAATAGTGGATCATTTTATTGGCCCAGAGCCTCAGACAAAATCGAAGGGTCCACATAGCCAGTAAGGAACATCCACTAAAGCGCCACTTCTTAAGTCCATGGAGGTAAGCCCGTGGTAATTAAGTAAAGGCTCAGTTAGGCTAGATGCCAGCGTCAACGAACTTAACCCCGTGGAAGAGTAGTGACTCTATACGACCAGTTACTTCAGACTATAGTTGAAATTATGGTATCCCAAAAGCTATATATACTTGCATTCCATTTCACACTGAATGTCAAACTGGTGTACATAATCTCAGATGCCTGAAACATCTACACCATGACTGCCTTTCAAACAGTTCTGATCGTTGGAGCCACTTCAGGAATTGGCGAGGAACTTGCCCGCCAATACCATTCACAAGGCAAGCATGTCATCGTCTCGGGCCGTCGGACGGCAAGACTGGATGCTTTAGCAGCTCAGCTACCGGGAATGGGCTCTATCCAGGTATGCAACTCTACGGCGCGTGATCTACTTCAACACTAACATATGATAAGATAGATATACAAGACCTCCCCACTCTACCAAGCAAGATTGATGAGGCATTCACCAAGTTTCCAGCAATTGATGTGGTCATTGTCAATGCCGGTGTCCAGATTCTACTAGATTACAACACTGAAAACGCCTCCGCCAACGGATACCCGACAACGGATAATATCACCAAAGAGATCACGACCAACCTCACTGGTCCGACTGTCCTGGCACGCTGTGTCATTGAACACTTCCGTGGTTTACGATCGAGCCAGGCCAGCCTTCTAGCCTTTGTCACCTCAGGCCTGGGGATGATTCCGGTCACTATGTTCCCGGTCTACTGCGCAACGAAATCGGCGCTACATTATTTTACCGTTATCTTGCGTAATCAGCTCAAGGATACTGCCATCAGTGTTGTGGAGATTCTTCCGCCGTACGTGGAGACCGAATTGGACCTGGAGCACGCTGATGAGTTGAGAAAACGTTTTGGTGGAAAGAAGCCACAGGGGATGCCTGTGAAGGAATATGTTGAAGGTCTTGTTAGAGGGTTGGAGGTCACGGAGACGGATGGAAAGATTCAGAAATATGTTGCAGAGGGAATGCCCCGAGCTGCGGTTGAAGCATGGATTCAGGCTGTTGGTCCCATGGCTCAGATGTTGCACACGGAGTTGTGAACATTTCAGCGGATGGGGAAATGCCAGAGCCTAAGGGACCCCCCGCCTGCAAGGAGGATTCTTGGTCAATAAAGCCTAGATATGCCGTCTCAAAATTGTCATCTTGAACAAACGAGTCCCAAGCATCCTGGTGAAGTACACATTAGTAGTGGTTCCCATTCTATCCGGTGTATAGATGCGTACCCAATTAAAGTCATTCATTTCCATATTAGCACTTTCTGTGAAGTTTGTATTAATATAAAAACCTGGCTCAGAAATTATCGTAGATTGAGCACTAATAGAGGTACTTTCTTCGCAGTTGAATGCTGCTCCCGGTTCAAGGACCGATAATCGGTCATGAAGAGATATTCTTGGCCGCAGTAACTCCAGCATTTTTTCTAATACATGTGCTACTTTGCCCGCCTCATGATGCTTGTCCGACAGATCTTTCCATATGGCGTGCGAGGTGTCCAGAGCCCGTAAGATCTCTTGATCTTTGGTATTTGCATGTAAGAGCTTCCTCCGTTTTATTCTTGTTCGGTCCTGGAGATATAGGCAAAGTACCATAGCAGCAAGGGTAAAGTTCACGCTCTCGGGGGCGATGGTATATCCATAGATGGAGCTCAGACACCCTCCTGGTTGAGCCTCCCTGTAGATCGAGGATTGATGTTTCAGTAATACCATTGAGGAATCAACGCATCGTTGCTCTGAGAGCGCAAACTTGGAATCTGTCCTCGCTTTTCGGAGATATCGCCGATGAAGCACAGATACCGTCTGGTGGTAGAGCGTGTCCAACTGAACCTTCTGGAGAACCAGATATGGAGGGTCCTTGTGCGTATTCTCCCAGTTGTTGAGTCGCAAATATGAGGGAATCATTGCATACACCTGAACAAGGCCTTTATCAAGCTGCAGCACCCTCTCGTATGGCTCCGTGTGTATGGAGTTCAAGAATTCAACAACCCGCCTCATGACGCCTAGTATATTGTTTTTTATAAGCATGTACCCCAGTGGAACATTCTGCGAGAACGGTCGCGAGGGCGGCAACTCGGAAATTGTTTCCTCAAGGTCAGTATCGAGCAGGTTGCGTGGATCCTCAGTATCACAATCTCCCATCCGGATAGCAGCCGGCATTCCCAGATGAAAGGATGAGAGTACGTCAATCTGGGAGATCGTGATCCAGATCCGACGGCGCATTTCTCCTTGGAACGGTGTCATATTGGAGAAATGAGATGGGTCACGGTGCAGGCCTAGTCGCATGGCAATTCGCACTATAGCGCCGATGTCTGGGATCAGGCCAGCCCCCCAGTCCTCACGGTGAGAGAATCCAAATACGCTGCGCGCGATCATGGATTGAAGGGTCTGTAAATTGGCTTTGTTTGCACCGATACCCATGATGCATTGACCGGAATAGGTGTGGTAGAGTGTGGCCAGTGTCCCCGACAAGCCCATGTGGTCGTCGCTTGTGGTGGGACTGAATTTGATTGCCAGGCTAAAGATGGCATAGAGAAGTGCCAGCCATGATAGCGAAGTTGACGATGGATTCTTCCAGTGTTCCTGATACTATTTGGCGTCAGCGACGATCAATCATTCCGAGGAGCATCGCCACAAACTTCTTTCATGAAGGTCGTGTAGTGGAGAATGTCTGAGATAGTAATTAGATATGGCACAGACATTATGAGTGATCTTACATGTTATAGGACCAACAAAACAGTGTGGATCAAAAAATCTTGAAATCAGTTGGTCCGCTGCGGAGCGTGATGGCATTACAGTCAACAGATAATCGTTCGCTGCAGGGGGAGACTCGTTATATAAACCAGCCCCCTGGACTCGCGGACGAGTATCTCTTTGCAGTTCATCATCTAGAGTCAAAGCGGCCAACTGGAGTTTGCATCAGCATCTAACAGCATGTTTTAGCGCGACTCGTAAGGGCACACCTCTGCCAGGACACTATCCCAGTGAGTGCTAGTTCTATAGAAAAGGTCTTCGTCACGAAGTCGTCCCTGGATAGGACTTTTGGCTCTGTATTGAGATGCCAAGCCATTCACATCTCCTCCCGGTGTCACGCGATTTCCATACATGCACAGGTTACCGGATCCCCGCGCCACGCAATTGTGGCAAGGCTGTTGACGATCGCACCGCAATCTGCAAAGAAGTATTTATTATTTCTCAATCCAATCGCTAATAGAGTACACATACTTGCGCACACGGCATGGAGCACAAGAAAGCGGGATTCGATTTCGTTTCGTAGTGGTCTTTGGGGCAGCTGGGAGATCGCTGGCTAGTTCTAAATCCATCTAGACAGACACAGTGTAGGAAGTACCAATATCCCTTTGACGATGAACTTGAATTGAATGTTCTAATCGATTGAATTCGTGTGGAAAGCTCACTATCATACAACTAACTGTGAATGTATCTTAACTTTAGTGTTGCGGGCTAAAAATAGATCGAGTTATCTCGGGAACCTTAGACCATATTTGGTCACGTGCGGTAGAAATTCTGCCGGCGCTAGTCCTAATCGGAAGCTACGTAGTAGGTGATTTTAGCACTATAAAATCGAAACGCTAGTCTTACTCTTTGCCTTTCAAAGAAAGGACATAATACTCTTCCATGAATTTGAATTCATACAGAAGCTTTGAATATCAGACATTGGCCTCCACGTCAAGCACTCCGTACTAGTATAATAAAACCGCCTGAGGGCGGTGAGGGTCACTCATAGCGATGGCAGTGAAAAGTGCGCTAAAGATGCTAAATATCTAGCTAGTATGAAAGTGGAGACGGTGGCCTGACTCGAGACCCAAGTGTGTACGTACTGTAAGACGCTTAAAACGACCTAAGTATCCTAGAGAATGCGGACCATTTTTGTTCAACCATTCTCGGATGGTTCATATTACCCTCTTCTGGCCGCAACGTTAACGCAGAACTGCCTTGACAATGCTATTCTCGCTGCCCTGGACCCATAGGCTGCTACTATCGTTGCTACTGGCTAGTGTCCATGTCGCTGGGCAGGAGCAAGCGTTGTTTTCGCTACAGCAGCCGACGATTTATGCTGCCGTGAACAGTTCAACCATCAATTGCGAAAGGGCCGTAAGTTAGATTGGTTGTCGATCCAATGATATTCGTATTTACGGCTCATAATAATAACAACGGCTGCTGACGAAAGTAGTGTGTTTTAATACAACAAGCTCTCGGTCAACAAAATGTATACTATGGAGCACTACCTGACGAGTTCAGCAGGGGCTACTATAGTATGCAACAGCAAGAACTTCGCCCTATTTGCGTAGCAGCTCTCGAAACGGCACAACAAATAGCCCGGGCAATTACCATTGTCAAAGACGAGGAATGTCCATTTGCCGTGAAAAGCGGCGGCCATACACCCTATGCTGGTGCTTCGAATGTTCAAGATGGGCTCGTATTTGATTTACGAAACCTTAATACTGTCGAACTTTCTGAAGACAAACTTACCGTATCCGTCGGATCTGGAAATAGATGGATTGATGTCTATTCGATACTCGAAAGGCACGGATTGGCCGTTGCTGGCGGTCGCGTAGCATCGGTTGGGATTAGCGGATTTCTACTTGGAGGTAATTGAACATCGTTCTGATGCCATCCACAACTTCTAAATTTTGTCACACAGGAGGACTCTCCTTGCATAATAGAAAGTACGGCTGGGCCGTGAACAACGTCCGAAATTTTGAAGTCGTTTTGTCAGATGGCATTATTGCGAATGTTAATGCTGATAGCCATCCTGATCTGTTCTGGGCACTTCGAGGAGGCGGCGGGAACTTTGGCATTGTGACTCGCTTCGACTTGGAAACATTTCCGCAGGGCCTGATTTGGGCGGGCACAGAGGTTGTTGCGATTTCCGACCTTGCCTCACGCCGTGCGGCATTGAATCTACATGAGCCATTTCAATGGACCCTGCGGTCAGCGACTAACATAATGGGAAAAATTTTTCATCAAGGGTTATGCCTTATTGGAAAATGCGTTCACTCCAATGATTTCATCAACTACTTTGTCGGAATGTCTCAACAGACAGATACAAATGCCCACATATTGACTTTCTTCTGCTGGATGCCAGAGGTACGAATGATCGGCCTTGGGGGCAGTTTTGCATATCTCGAGCCAGTCGAGAAGCCGCAGGCATTGGAAAATATGACAGCACTGAAAACATTTTACTCTACAGTAAAGCTAAGGACTATGTCGGATTTTACCAAAGAGATGGATAGCTACACCCCACCGATCTACCGGTACGTGTCCTGCATTTCCCATTTTCGCTATGCTACCTTCTTGGCAACTAAACAAGGCTAATTAATTGAAAAAAAAGAGCCCATTGGGACACGACAACATTCAAAGTAAACGCAGACCTGATTTCAAAATTATTTGACATTTTCTTGGAAGAGACTCATGAGATTAAGAACATACCCAACTGTCAGCCAAGCACTAACAATCAGCTGATCACCAAAGATGACATCCTGTTATCCGACAACAAAGGAGGAAATCCGATGGGTATTAAAGCAGAAGATGGACCATTATTCTGTATGTCTCAGTGTCTAACTGGATTCCTATGGTCCGCATTAGTAACTTGCCATACAGTATTCAGCATCACGATAACATACACGGATCCGGCGGACGACGTTAAGATTAAAACTGTCGCACAGAAAGTCATGTCTCGTGCAAAAGCACTGGGGAAAGAGATGGGCTTGCACCTCCCGTTCCAATACAAAAACTACGCTGATGGAGACACGGATGTCTATGCTGGATATGGGACAGAAAACAGACAAAAGCTAAAAGATATTCAGAAGAAGTATGACGCTGCGGGTGTCTTTTCCCGTTTGCAGTCGGGAAGTCATAAAGTATGATTTTATACCACACAGTTTAATGGTGTTTGCTGGTGTTAAGAGCACAAATACTGTTCAAATGTTGCTTAACTACAACTATTATTGACTGTCGTCAGTAACATATTTATATCGTCAATAAAGGTTACATATTGCACTCCCAAGCGCTTGATCTTATTTTGACTCCAGCTGGCTATGATGCTAAGCCGTCTCAAGCCCTCGGATTCTACTAGGAACGAGTTCACAATGATTGACCCTCCAAGGCCCGGCGCCGACAAAGAAAAGTCTAGCCTCTCGAATCATATGGACAGGATTCTACGAAGCACCATCCTGGTTAGGACGACGATAAGTGTGACTAGGCTTGATTGGATAGCTTGCCTGCCTGTGGCGACAAGAGGCCTCAGGGCGGTTACAAAAATGAAATATTTCCTATTCTGGCAACCTGGACAGCCTCGCTGACCACATGTGGCAGCGCCGCCCTACTAACAATTCCTCGCTATATACGAGTAGCGGCGAATATCTAGATTTAAAAAAAAAACAATACAGGTAGATGCGGGATTGTAAAAACCATTGCTACAACGTCCAGGTTTTAGAAACGTAACTTTTATGTTTTGTAAATAATTTGGATAGTTAAACGATTCAAAATTTCCAATGGTACGGAACTTGTAATTGTCACTTTACATCCCGTTGATACATTTCACTATAGGAAACGCTGCCAAATTTGGAAGCGTTTCATAGAAGGGTACTTTTCCAGATGTTGGGCATGTACAACTATTGAGAAAATGTTTCAAGCTGAAAACGTTGCAGCAACGTTGTACAGTACAGCGGTGGTCCAGCGTTTGCAAGGCGGTCCCCGGGACACCGCATTTTCCTATATTGAAACCGTGCAAAACTCCCTACAGACAATGTTACACACTTGTGGAGATGGAAAGCATGAACAAGTAATTACAGCGGTAATGATCCCGGTCGACCGCAGGTACCGCCCTGTATGGGTCCAGCAGCGTTTGTGCGGCATCATCAAAAATTTTCTAGACAATGCTACTGCATGTGGGCAATCACATCCCTGACCTTTTCTTTGTTCTTATATTCCTAAGAGGAGTTACCGCCAAATCCGAGCTGGAAGAATCAAGAGCACGTGTTTGATCAAACATGACCATATATCCTTACTTCCAACTTCCTCTGCAGAAAGATTTTCTACCCATAATTTGTCAAGTAGTAGGTGAAGCAAAAGTTATGAGCTCAGCCATCATCTACACAGTCCAAGTGAGGAAGAGAGTTTCTATTTCATATCAATGATCATCTCTTCGAGAGGCTGGGTAAGAGACAGTGTTAGCTGCTTTTATCTCTAACCTTCGCCAGCTGGGATGCCTTGGTTATCACCTTCTATATCCCCACGCTTATTATATTTAAGTGAATTTGGGGAGGATAGTATTTCAAGTTTGTTCCGACGAAAGACAAAAGCAAGTAAGTAGTATCTGGCGTATATGGTGTACGAATTTCAATATCAAGCTCGACACTGACATAAAATGGTATCAGACATCGTGTGCAATGATGGTTCAATCCCAGACCAGAAGTCTCACAAGGGATCATAGTGATTACCACTGTTGCCCATTCGTTCGTTAGAATACCGAATAACCCAAAGCATGCTCTCCAGCAAAAGTGCATCTCGGCTACTATTCCCGACGGGATGTTGACCTACTGCAAAGGTATGTATTCTGAAAAGCATCATCTCATTCAATTTTGCATCTAACAGAATTGGAGATACAAATACTGTTGGCAGCAAGGGATACAAGACGGTCTATTTGGCTATGAATATTAAACGAAAGTTGTTATGGGGGCTTGTCTCGCTCCACCTACAAGAGCCTGGCTTTGGTTCGCTGATATCGACCGACTAAATCGCCTCATCGGTGTTGCTGAGGCGGATAAAACCTCCTCCTGACGGCCACTCCCGCCTTTTCCCGGATTGCAGACATCAAGCCACTCATGACAAGTTGATTGTGGGAGCTGGGATGCTCCGGTTTTTGCAGAAAACCCATATAGGCATCAAGGGTTAATGGAGTTCATTCTTCCAGCCTCGGTCACTCTTGAAATACACTTCTATCCTCAGCAAACTGGAACCCACTTTGGTTAAACTACTAGAGTTTCCGGATCAGTATGTTCAAATTTTGCAGGCCCAAGAGGTAGAGGTGTCTGAGATGAATGAATCCCTCGAGGTCTACAAAGAGCAACGTGTTTCAGAGAGTTATAGACATCAAAAATCGACTGCAGATATTCCTCGCACCTAGCGATGTCCCTGACTCAGTCCTATATTGGATCAAGGGCAAAAATATATTTTGCTTTGCGAAACCCCGATTTCGAGCTTTCAGGAGGTTGTTAATGCCTTACGGTCAATTCTGCCAAGGAGAATGCTCTCTATTGACACTGACCCTGTTGAGGCGACTTTCAAGCAGATTTTGATTCATCGGCCACTGGACCTATCTCAAGCTATGCAACAGGAAGAATCTAACCAACTTGTCAAGTAGAAGGCGACAGGCAGACGGTGTACTTCAAAAAGCAAAAGAATGGTCCCGGCAAATTTAATGGGGCTAATTCCTTACGGAAAAATAGATTTGGTTTGAATACCAACCTAGTTCCGTAAGGCAATACGACCATTCAAAGACCACGCAACGAATAAGGATACCTCCGATGAATGAACAACGGGCCCCTACAAAAATGGGTTCGGCAGGTTCAACAGGACCCTACAATTGATAGAAAAGACATTTGAAATCCAACCCCAATTACACTACAGTGCGACCACGCACACAGAAGGGCTCGCCAAGGAAATGACAAATCGTCCTATCCTGAAAATGTCATGGTCACGAAAGCGTTGTTTCTGACGAAGCTGTAAAGAATCGCGTGAAAAAAAATTTTCTCGCGGACCTACCATTAGACACGCCAATTCACTGCTACCGTACCCACCGCAATCTTGAAAATCTTCTCCAACATGGATTGAAAATTCCTTCGCTATAATGCAAAACGTACCCCTGTCGATATTTAAACGAACGCATCGGACGAATACTAGGACACAACAAGGTCTACGGTCTCATTCGATAAAGAGCTCTATGTGGGACAAGGGCAGTGACAATGATGACGGTGATGTTGACAGACCTGGCGACGTTGAGTCGGGACCAATACTGGTGAATATCTCGTTAAAAAACCATTGAGCTTTTTCAATGGGATATTTTTAATTCCATACATGTCTATAACTGTAAGCCAGTTGTATAATATACGCTGATATCCTCTTCTTGCTAATTCTCTATAAGGAAGAAAGCCGCACATTGAAAATTCAACGGCAGAATTTTAGCTTGTAGACAGCCTCCACCAAATGAGGCTGCAATGGAAACCGGCAAGTACTGTAATGGATAGGGTTGGTAGAGCGTGAATATATTAATTCCTATGTCGAATGAGGCTTCACTAGTATGTGCCCTGAAGATTCTACGTCCAGTTTTCAAGTATACTTTTAACGCTCTCACAATTTCAGCATTTTACATGTTCCTAATTCCACCTTCGCAGAACTATTGCAGACAAAGGGCATCTTAAATATCAATAGCCTTCCTATAACTTACCAGAGTTGGGTCTTTCAAAGCTCACGGTTCAGGGAACCGTAATGACAAAGTGCTCAGCTTTTCATGAGTGAAATAAATGCCCATAACAGCAGCCACTTGCCAGACCTCTTCATTGCAGAGCAGCATACCGCCAGTTCTGCAGCAAACAGGGAGGACTCCTATCCAAAACGCTCATCTGATATATGAAAAATCTTTATCTGTTGATCGTAGCTTCAAGGACATTATTCAGCAACTTCAAACAGCTTCGTTTCAAGGTATAAGACTATGAGACAGCTGCTACGAAAACACGACTAACCTCTATGTAGCAATTTAACAACATGCCTGCAACGGTATCAAGCATCACCAGAGCTCTCCTTTCCCTCCACTGTGGATGCTCTCGTGATAATCCACAACTACTTGAATCCAAAAATCACGCATTACCTGACTCCGTACCATCTTGTTTCCCTGGAATTCCAAGCTTGGAAATTTTGTTATATCGTCTCGTTGATATCAATGGTTACCTCAAGGTGTTGTCATCCGGGTCATTTCCCAGTCAGTTATATATGACCGAAAATCAAGCAGACGAATTGCTAGTCCAAGCCCTCATACATCTCAATAACTAGGGGTTATAATCTAAATTTTTCTTTCTGTCACATTTATCTTATGGGCTCTGGCACTAAATAGTCAAGTCAAGAGCGATTTGTCCTTGCATAGTCTAACCATGCTATTTGACAGGTTTGCACTAGGACAAAACTGGTGCTAGGCCTTCATGTACTGTGGACATTTCGCGGCGCAAATTGCATCCGACTTGCCGTGGTTGCCTTTCTGTGTTGGCTTTTGCAATAACCAACACTTACTATACCAAACGAATGTAGAATTTAGAAAAAAATCGTAGTTCTTCCAGTCTCTTTTCCTCACGAAATTGTAAGCTGAATGTTTCGTATCACATCAATACACGCAGCCTCAACCAAGTAGAGAGATAGTTTGGCTAAAATGGTGTGTGGGGGGGGACGAAACAAGACCGCTGAAGAACTAAAAGGAGATAGTAATACCCCGCAACAACGACTATTCCAACAAGAGTCTGGCTATGATTAGTTAAGCGATCAATTTTGTTATATATTTAGTAATTAGGAGCCTGCACGGCTGACTTCATGGAGGTAACGTTTCAGAGAATACGAAGAAAATGCATTCACATTATGGCTAGCAGCAAAGAGTCTTCTAAAAACGGTGAAGCCCAATCGTTTACTCTATTTAGCCTGCTGCCGACCGAACTACGATTGCAAATATGGGAACAGGCGACCATATCAATATTACCCCGCTTGGTTCTTCTTGAACCAAAGCAGCTTTCGATCCCACGCTACGAAAATAGTCCAGCTCAACAGGTTGCTCCAAAATGGGGGTTTAGATCTTATTGTCAACTTCCGGGGGCATTAACCGCGTGTCGAGAGTCTTTTGAGGTAACCTCCAAGTATTATCAGCGATCGTTTGGGACTGGGCAAGCCTGTCCCCAGACTGTAAGTGCCCTTTAATAATGTAAAAAAAAGTCCCATTTTTGCTGCGCGACTTTAATCACACCAGTATCTTACATCATTCACATGTATGGCAGTGGTTCAACTTCGAACGAGATTATTTATACCTAAAAGCGCCTAGTTGGAGGGATCCACTGAACCCTAAAGTGCAATTGTCCTACCAGGCAATGTTGGATAGCTTGAGTCTAGAAGAACGACGCAAGATTCAACACCTCGTGTTAAGCGACTATCTGGATATACTACCCGATAATATAATCAACCCAACGAGAGATGAGGCCCTTTTGGAAGTCATAAAGTCATTTGAGCACGTCAAAGGAGTGTATCCGGTCTATTTAGATGGCTGGACTCCAAAAGATCTAGAAAAGGGAACGCAGTTAATACTTCGGTATCCACCTGACAGAGATCTGGTCGTTCGCCATCTCTTTAAGGCACAGTATCGCCACGACAAGTATTGTGCCTGTTTCAATCGGATCGTCGATCAGTGGGAGAAATTTCGTGGCGGCCTGTTACGCAACCCCGAAATGTTGGACAGAAAGCTGGCGATCCTTTATCCCAAAACCAAGCCTAAGGTCAGGCAAATGATGGTACTCACAGGCCACTTTTACACCATATTCAGCGAGGCTAGAAAACCTTACAATAGTCGTGCATCCGGGCCCTGGAGGGATTACATTCCTAGCAGTGAACAGTGGCCACCTACACGCACCATTTGATGCTAAAGCTGTTTCCTCTTGCGGACATAAAGTTGTCACTCCAAGAATGAATTACAATGCTACTTCCTGTCCCGCGAGATTTAGATTCACTCAAATGCTATTTATTCTACTCGTATATGCTGATATGCCACTGAACGATGGCATGGGACCATTCTTTCAGGCCTCTCGTATATTGAGGCAGGAACAGAGCACATTTCAAAAATCTCTTCTTTCGTGACAAACAATCAAATGGCTGGTAATCTAGGGTATAATTTGACGAGAGAACGCTTCACAGGCATCAAATAATGTTGATTTTACTACTGAAACTGAGTTGCAGGGGGTCAGTTTCTCCACACCAGATATGGGTCCACACGTGTATCTGAGAATGTAGAGTGCCCAGCTGAGATGCCTAGATCATGGACCTACAAAACAGTAAAGTCTTCCTATTCTTTCGAGCTGATAATTAATTAGATTAAAATTTGTTGAGTCTTTGTAATAGCAGGAACCCCCCTTGCTGCAAGATGCGCCGTGTGGCTCGGAGGTCTCATTTCTTTTCAACCTTTGGGGCTAACCTTACCCCCCCTCTGGAATTTCCCATTTGGGACGATTCTGCTCCATTGATCAACAATATCCTGGTCCCAAATAAAACGGTTAATTAATCTTACGCTAGAATAGCCCACGATCCAAATTTTCTACCACAACTAATAAATTCAAAATTCAGGGCAGCTAACATTCTTTAGTCCAGACACGACTCGAGTGTCAATAAACCAGTGCATCCCTTGCATACCGGCGCGCCTATACAATTCAAACCCGAGAATCTAACCCTGTTTCGCGCCAAATCCACTAGAATAACAACGTGGTGCCTGTGAAAAATGCGGCAAATCCTGAATTTTGTCAAGATTCACATCCTTCAGAAGACATTTCTAGTTGAGAGGAGAATTCCCTTGAGCAAGATTCGAACCTTGCCAAGAGTACTAGAGTCTAGACCAGTCATGTAATAAGTCACTTCGCAAGTGAAATAATCTCTTATTAAAGCCCGGCTATTTCCCATCTAGTACATCCTCAGGTATTAACTTCTATGCTCGTGTTTTGGTGTCGATCCTCATCTCGAATTTACATCACTGGGAAGCAGAGCCTAGTAGAGATGAAGTGGTTACTCCCTCTCACAATCATCTATCTCTCCTCCAAAACCGTCGCTGGGACGTACCGTGGTATATCGTCCCGCTGTTCCCCGGTTATCTGGGATGCAATAGTATCGAAACTACACTCATTACCGGCGGAATTTGAGCGAAATGTATGCCGACGCAACTGTCCCGTCCACATCACCGAGCCCTCATCACCATACCATCAGGGCAATGGCATGGATGATCTCTTCGATCACATTATTAAGCCCGCCATTGAAGAAGTGTACTATTTCATGGCAATTCTAGACACAAAATACCCGACGCCACTAAGTGACCTACTCCATGTCGGGCGCCTTGTCACGGATATCGCGGAATCGTGTGCTGCGACATACAATATCCACAGCCTATGCCCCGTACAGCAAGAGTTACTACTACAAAATCAGCAGTCGTCGGGGTCGGAAACGTCGAGGCAGTTTAAAAAGTGTTTGGAGGATACGGCAATTCCAGCATTAGTAGACAGAGTGGCAGCATTCATGCCCTGGCTGAGTAAAATGTGTAGCAAATTCACGCCCGAAATGGTTGACAGGGTATGGAGACGAGCGGTTTTAGGGAATATGGGGGAGTATGGCATGGAGTGTGCAAAGAGTGTGGTGGGGGACTATTACTTTGGATGAAAGCTTAATGGGTAACTGATGTATGATTTGAATGATATATGATTGCTTTGAACAGAATTATTTCACTAGGTCTGAATAAGATTCCTAGAAAATCATCTATTGCGAGGATGCGCCTAACGGCAGTCACATTGATAAGTCAAATGGGTATACAATACATTCTCCGCTATTACACACCAACAATCATTAAGTACTACTCATAAGCGTCGTAGCTCGAGACATAAATCATAACTGAGGAAGCAGATATCGAATCCGCCTATCTTGTTCTTCAAGCAATGAATCAATCATCGCGCAAATTTCGTTGTCGCGTGCTTGTTGCCGTGCTACAAAAAACAATGTTGCATATATCGTATCCGACTCAATCGGGAGCGAAGAAAATAAAACAGCTAGGGCCCAGCCAGCCGGTTGAAACGATTGTGATTGAGCAGGATTCAATCCCGGTCAAGACTGCCCTTCAATTTCTCAATTCCATCCCGGACAGTGTCTCGGACACTGAACCCGCCGAACAGCCAGTCATTAGAGTGCCGGCCATAGTGATTCAGCGTGCCGCTGTATCGCTTGTAGCCATCGCTCCTCGTTCGGGCGGACGAGCCGACAGAACCGTCAGAAGGGACACGGCTGTGATGAGAGAGGGCGGGCCGTGTCGGGAAGACTGACGATGTAGGCGACAGTTCGCTGGGAGAAGAGGTCTGAACGGGTGAGGTAGAGGTGGATGAAGACATTGGAGTGGGAGAGCGCCGTGGGGGTGCTGGAGGTGACTGCCTTCGACGCTCTTTTGCTCCTGCTGGGGTTGATGGGCGTGGCAGAGGTGAGTGCGAGCGGATAGTGTTGATGAACTTTGCCGACGAGGTTTCGAGACTCCCAAACGAGAGGAAGCGTTTATGCTGACGATGCGTAGAAGAAGCAGTAGATGAAGTATTTGATGAAGAGATGGTGGAAGCCGGCGCGAGGGGGTTTGGTGGGCAAGTAGTGGTATCTGGTTTACTTGCTGCCTGTAATTGCGATTGCGATTCGACGGGATGGTTGTCTGGCATATCCATCCAATTGCCGAGGATTACTGTCTGGTGCTTGGAAACTGAGAGTACAGAAGTATCAAAAGAATGTGGTCAACTGTACTCCAATGCACAAAATCGTGTAATTAGCAAAAGGAAGATGAGACAAATTGAGGAGGGGGTCGAAGTCGTATTTATCTACCCTACTACAAGCTCACCACTGATCGACGGGGCAAAGTGACTCAGTCGGACGATGCTAGCGAAAAAGGTGGCCCGAACTTCGACGTCAGACGTCTCTTATCGGCCACACAAGGGCCAAGCTGCAGGACGCATCCAATCACTGCGAGACGAACTGAAGCAGGAAGCGATTCTCTGCCCGCAAAACAGTCGGTGACTCTTCCACTCTGCTGGGCGCGGAACGAGCTCGCCGGCGGCCTCCAGCCAATAGCAGTGCGCCAATTCGCGTAATCTCACCGCTTGGGGTCTTGGTGCACGCTAAGTGGGCCAGCCCTGCTGTTTGGCGGCTGCCCATTGGTCCGGCCTCGCGTGCCAACTCACCCTGCAGTCGGAGCTACGCCGAGACTACACCTCAATAGCGATAGCAGGCAGCGACTAAATACCCAAACTCCAACGGCATGGGCGTGATGGCCACTCTAGACATACCGTGCCGACGCCCGCAGAGCCTCCTCTGGTCATATGGCTCTTTCCTGCGCTGCCCATGAATAACAATAATATCAATTACGAAATTGCTAGCCCCTCCAATCCCTCAATGCGACCTCGATCCCTTCCGGCAGGCGCACAGAATGTTCTTGGTTTCAATAATCTCCCCATTAATAACCCACATGCACCTAAAACCTCCTACACTTTTTCTAGTTTTCAGCTGATGTCTGACCGAGACGCTAGTTTGTTTCTGCCTGGGGAATCCGGCCCCCATCCCTGCTGACTCGCGGCTGCTGATTGGCTGTATGGTGATACCACTGCTGCTGATCGCTGCCCTTCCGAGACACAACATGACTGCCCCACAACTTTCTAGCGGCCTTCCAGAAGAAGACCCCGTGACCCGGCTCTTATTTTGCGCCCGACATTCCCGCTGAGTCAAACGACTTGGGAGTAATTCTGCAGCTCTTACATCTCATGCATCACATTCTTCGTTCGTTTCACTCGATGGTCACCGATTCAGACGCTATGACACGCAATTGGGGAAGGAATTATCAAACATGAAACCGTGTGCGCAATGCATTCGTGGAGGTTTCAATGGGAATGTTTCTGCCTAGCACGGGAATGTCGGCAGCATGTCTAATTTTGCTTCTTTGTTGGTATATTATTTGTGGTTATCCCACCCGAGGTAACTAAAATAGAAACTGATGCGGGGAAACGCGTCATGGAAATTGCTCCACCGGCACAATTCTGATGTAATGAAGAACCATATGCCTTGGAATTGATGCGACTTTTACTGGTCCATGCATGATTGATTGTTGGTGATCTTCAATCACGACTGTTTTAAAAAAAAAAAAAAACTAAGTGTTTATTGGCCATTAACATTTCCGAGACACTTCTTACTCGCCAGTTGCAATTCTAACAATGTGTGGACAGAAACGAGATATAATTTTCAGCTATAGAAATCTGCTGCGCGTTCTGTATCCCTGTAAATGAATGAATGCCGATTTTAGTCAATGTGCATCAAATTCAATCAGCCAATGCTCGTCGAGCAGCGTCTGGGAAAAGCTTCCATCCATTATTCCCAATTGTATTGATGGGAATGCCTTGCTCTTTTTCAAATGCCGTGACATCCATTCTATTTTCCTCCATTGTGTTCTCTGTAGAACAAGGCACACCGCAATCTGCTCCATAAATGCAATTCTCAACGCCACACATCTTGGCCGCCGGCGCCAATCCAGTCTTCGCAGTCGCTGCCGTATCGACGTACAAGCTGCCAAGCTGAGATTTTATTTCATCTCTCGTAATCCGATTTGGATTCGGTACCCAATCTTGAGTCCCAAGCAATTGCAATCGACCATAGAGAACAGGGACAGCTGCACCACAATGGCCAAGGACGAACTTGATGTCCGGGAATTTTCTGAACACACCCTGATATAGCATTTCGACCACTGTGGAAGTGGTGAAAAATGCAACCTCAACGACCGGAACCGGTAGGGAGCCTGATGGAGGAGCTGTGGCAGCAGGATGGATATGTACAACTGCCTTCCGCGCATTGAGCTCTCTCCAAACAGGCTCCAATTTGGGGTCACTTAGCGGAACGCCGTCGTAAGTTGTCGACGTGGCGAACCCGTCAGGCGGGATCGTAAAATCGGTGGTGACTCTGTGGATTTCTTCAAGACATGCCTCTGGGCTGTTTGTAGGTAGTGCAGCGAGTAGACCAAATCGGTGAGGATACTTTGCCACAATGGAAGCTCCATAGTCGTTCGTACGCTTAAGATTCTCTAGTCCTGGGGGAAGATAAGACAACATCTGCATACGAATATTGGCTGAATCGTTATATCGGAGAATGTCGTTCACATCCCACATCACTGCCTGTGGCTTCGTGACCATGAATTTCACAGCGTTGAATAGCTTTACGCTATTTTCGGCTTCTTCTAAAGTTTGTGGAAGCTGGAAATGAGCGTGAATATCCAGCCATCCAGGCGGGTTTTGTGACTGGGCCATATTTTCTCGGTGTTCGAAAATAGATAGCAGTTATCGCTGTAAACTTGTCGATGTTTGAGGGGAGCTCTTTGGTTTTTCTCTATCCCGATGTTAGTTATCTAGTATATCAATATGCCGTAGTCAGCTCGTGGACATCTGTCTCTAAGTCCGTTAATTCCGATGATCCATTAACAACTGATCCTTCCAAAAATAAAAGACCCTACTTCAAAATTGCATCACGTATGAATATCATGAATAGGGAACAGTCCCACTTCTTGAATAATATTTAATTGGAGAGTAGCAACCAAGTTGCCGCATTATCAGGTTATTGGTTGGTGGCTCCGTAGTTCTAAGTAACAACCCCAAGAGATGATAGCCTACTTCAAATTTTCCTACTAGCTCATTACATCGTTTACTACACGTTTGGTTTAATATGTTTCATTCTGATGACTATTTTTGGAAGGCAAAAGTCAGATAATTTCCCATTAAAAACCGATATGCCCGACGCTAACACGCGGAGCACAGTGCGACTGCATTCTCTCTGCCAGACATTCAGGATGTCGACTGAAAGGCCCAAAGTGTACGTAAGACCAAAAAAAAGATGTTCTCAAAGCACAATGGAGAAGGATATCACATCGAATCAATAATAGCGAAGCCGAAGCAGGGAAGGACCAGGAGATTGTGACCTTTTTGGAAGTTGTACCCAGTGAAAAAGGCAATTTTTCTCAGTCACCCTAAGTGTCTAGTTCTTCTAGTTCTTCTAGTTCTTCCAGTTTTGTGTCGTCTGCATATCACTGGGTGGAATGCGCTTTAGTGTCGGGGGATACGCGTGACACAGAAGTGGTAGCAAAAGTAGTGCTGGTTACAGAACAGAGCCATGGAAGTGTATTTTAATTATATGCTTTTATATGTTTAATACTGGAGGACAACGACATCTCGAGGACATACATGGCAAAGAATGAACCATCTCAATCTGCCCCTGTGGTAACAGATACCCATACAGCGCTAAGAAAGGTCTACAGGTGACGTGAAACAAAGCTAATTAGGATCCTAGAATATTTTTTGTGAAAAATCCCAAACGTAGATCACGTATAGAATAACCTAACCAATATATCTAAATTGTCTCGGAAACCTCATTTTGTATTAATAACAGTAGATCTCGTGAGATTCGAGCGACCCGGAATTCATTTATTACCATCCAATGAATACAAAGCTCAATAAAAACCTTCGTAGACTCCTTACCTTTTAACGGCTTCCGGAAATTCAATTTCATGACATGGAGAAGGCAGAATCGGGATCTCATGTACCAAAGACATCTGCAATTATTCAATCTCAGATAATTCTAATTAATAGGGAAGTAAGGAGCGGAGAAAATATACGTAGATAGTGGACTCGTTGTAAAAGTTCAAAAGAGTTTTCATGGCATAGCATCGACAAACAATAGACCAAACAGCTTCAGCAGACAACTCAATCTTTTCGGGGCCGACGTTCAGCCGACTTTGACAGAGTGGACGTGTACATATTGCCGCCAGGTGAGTAATTTCAAAGAGCAGCCCAGGTTCAATCAAATGGCAGCCTAGAACAGGAATTTGGGCCGGTCTACCATCCTTGACATAGCAAAATGAATCTTGTACAAAATACCTCTTTGCCTGGACATGCGGAACGGAATCTTCGGGCTGGAATTCACTCTCCTGCCACCGATCCCCCCTACCGACATTCGATTCACATATACAAGCAAACCGCATTGAGATACCGTGACAAGCAATGCGTGAATGCTTCTATTAAATAAGTTGCCTGGACTTATTCTATAATCCTGTTTCGGGTTATAATTTGTCTAGCTTTTGTGGGGGCCTAACTACTATTACATCAATGTCCCAGCCTTCGACATTTGTCAACTAATCATATATCTTGGCATTTGTTCTGCTGGCGAATGGGTTCCAGTCAGAGCCCGACATGTGCAATGACCTCGCGGTCGCCTTGTCGAGGTCCTCCTTGGGCAGGCCAAGGATATCGTTATCCAGACCGCGGCTGTGCTCGTAGTCGCCGTCGCCACCGGGGAAGAAGGTACGAGCATACAGTGCGATGCCGAACCCATTCCTATCGCCGGCCTGGAGCATGTCAAGACCTCTCTTGTACCTCTCCACGACCGGCTCATGCGTGATCTGCCAGTCCGCATCCGTGGTACCTTGCACGCGTTGGATGCTGTCGAGCATCTCGCGTTGAGAGAGGAGGAAGCTGGATACATAGAGAGACTTGTTGTGCCATGCGGATACGGTTGGCGACTTGTCGTTCTCGTCCTCTGGTAGCGCCTTGAGGCTCAGGAAGGAGGCGACGGCGCGGCCGCACTGCTGCCACGTTGATGTGTTGATGCGGACATTGCCGTCGTCGTAGAAGGTGACCTTTTTGTTAGGCACGTCGAAGCCGTAGGCAAACGGCAGGGCGAGAGAGTACTCGTACCAGAAGGAGCAGCACAGGTTCGTCCAAAATATACCACTGTCCTCTATGTTTTGGATTCCAGCTAGGTAAGCCTCACCTGTCAAGTTCTCGGCCGCGAGCTTTTTGTTCTGGGTGTCTCCGCCCCAGGCGTTTGGCATGACATGTGGAACACCCGCCTTAGCCGCAGCACTGATGATCTTGGCCTGTGTATCAGGTGCTGCCGTTACGGCCAAAGATATGATTAGCACCTGCTGGCCCTTGAGTGCCTCGACCAGAGTGGCCTCTTCTTCGTAGTTTACCTGGGCGACCTTGACGCCTTCGGGGAGCTTATTCTGGCTGTCACTGCGAGTGATGACAGTAACAATGTGCTTCCCGGTCTGGAGGAGAGCGTCGGTGATGGGTCGACCAACCTGTCCGCTGGCCTGTGAAACTGTTAACCATGAAGTCTAGAAGCATAGCGGCAGGTGCCTTAAATGATGGTTTCATACACCAATGATGGCGACGCGCTCAATACGGTTTTTGAAACCCGCTGGTTGGTTTTTGGCGTACTGGATAGTCATTGTGTTGTTACAAGCAGATAAATTTTGTTGATTGAGGTGCTGACGCCCTTGGTTCTACTACGTATAAGTGAAGTTAGGGAGCGTTAAATGCAATAATGGTTACAGGAGCTTGTATCACGGAGGGAGACTCATGCATACATCAAATACTATATATAATAGTTACTTCACAGAGACAATTTGTCATCACCGCCTTGTCCGCTAAGTCCGTCTCTCCGTAGACTACTCAATGGTCAACGGAGTTAATATGGGAAAATGTTGGGTCCCGGTAACGTTTATGAACCGTTTTGTATTGGATACGTTTCGCAAAAGGCATAAATACCCCACTATTACTAAATTGGAGATGTTTCTACCAATGATATATTGCTAAAAGTGATGGCGTTGATATTTTTGTAATAGATCGTATTAGCAAACATTGCAAATTTAATAATAATTTCTAATTTGGAAACGTTGCAACAATATTGCGAGTTTACTAAAGGTTACAAGCGCGTTGATCAATTGCAGCATGTTTCTAAAGCGTTCGTAATATTGAACTTTTACCGAAACGTTGCCGGTTTTATTATTATTGAGCTATTTAACTATTTACGTAAACATGCGCATATTCTTCTTTCTGTTTTTTAAAAATAGTTTATGCATCTCAAATAGAATGAGCCTCTGGATACTTTCATTATATAGACTCATTGGCCTAGGGCTTGAAATTTCAATTGATCACTGTCCCAGGATCTCAGCCAAGGATTTACTACCATCCTCAGGTTCCCCTTGATCATCGGTTGGAAGCTCCTGAGATGCAAATGACAGAAATACCGCCTCCCAGTGGCCATCATCTTCGAAGTGGAATAGCAAAGCTCCGTCCTCATAGATTCCATTTTCGTACTGAGGTAAACTGCCTTGGTTCATATGGATGTCGTGAATCCCAGAGCCATAGGAAGAGCCGAAGATGTACACCTTTGCTTTCTTGTTTATGGCATCGGTGAGGATCGGATCCATCTTGTCAAGGATATCATTGTTTGGTCCCGGGATATCATGAGGGAGGACAGTGCCGGACTCGATGTCCAACAATCCTTTGGTGCGGACGAAATCTAGTCCCTGGAGGTTAGTTGGCTCTTCAATATTGTGACGGCTGGTGTTATGATGGCTATTATGGTGACTATTGTGAGTTTCCTTTCCATTGTTGGCGTGGGTATACGACCCCAACAGGTGGAAGCCCTGGTTCAAGTCTGTAAGGGTCTCCGTAATTGGATGAGAGAAATTGCGCTCCAGCCAGAATACTAGACGGGTATCTTTGTCGGTCGATTTGACGTTGATTGCGGCCTCAAGGCCTCTGCCCGAAGAGGAAGAGCCATCTGTGAAGGAGAGGTATATGTGCGGGGATTTGGGGTCTTGCTTTTCAGTTTGCTGCGTGTAGTGCGTTGGCTGGCCAACCCAGACACCGTAATGTGGGATAGTCATGGTAGTCTGACTCTAGTATTTTGCAACTGAGAGTTGGGCGAAACAGTTGACTGCTAGGGAAATAGCAAAAAAATAGAGATGTACCTAAGTAATGATTGTGTGTTTTAAGGCCCTTATAGAGTAATGTTTATTCAACTGATGCTATTTCGCGACGCGTCATCGGCCGGGACACATGTCTCGATAAGAGGGCTTCTATGGAGCAGTTCCGTTGTCCTAATCCAAGCACAAGAGGCCATGACCGCACGTGTCTGTCTAGATTCCCCCGCACTGATAATGAGGGACTGGCGATGATGTCGTCGTTTCAATGCTGCGTACAAATAAGCAGGAGTCTAATTTATTAGGGCACAAAGTTACCAAGTTGCGCTTACGCAAGACTCGAAAAAACCCGTTGTGATTAGTTTCGCCATAAAAACAAGCATCAGCGCTAGATACCCATTACGAAGGGATCTACAGTAGGATTCATCAGCTATTGTCAGGGCCGATGCAGGATGCAAAATTCGCGTACAAAGGAACAAGTACTAATTTATGGGACCATCCTCCCCCCTTCACTATCACTTAACTGGCAGCATTGTTCCCCTGCTGGCCGCGGTAGTCCAGTCGATGCCATTGCCATCCCCGCCTTTGATCTTCATCTTTTCATGTATCAATGAGCTTGTTGCTTTCCTAATCGATCCCAGTATATATCTATCTCAAAATAACCTTATTTTTCGATATTGAATGCATAGGTTGTATATTGAGTAATCGAGGTATGTTGGGTTCTCGACTGGGGAGTGGCGGAATCCAATAAGCCTATTGGTTGAACATCCTCCTCGAATGGTATCCGGTCGTGCTTTTAACCACGATATCAAAAAAGTACAACCCTTACTTAGTAATACTTATTTTGGTTATTATAGTTGCATATTTTTTCTGGCATGTCACAACTCTAGGTCTTAAGAAGCCGCTCTAACAGAAATTCCCGTTTGATTGACATTTATGGTTGCGTGGATGTCGAAATTTACAATATTAGATTCTATTGAAGGCACTGCATAACTCTCGGTCTCGACATTTCTACTCTGATTTTGGCCGGTTGCGAGTCCATCTGTCTTCCTCTCTCTTATCCGTTCTGCTTCCGAATATGCTACAGTTGTGAACCCGCAACACTCATGGCTATGCCTAGCTTTCTACGTCTTCTAGAAAGCCACAAAGCGTGATTGGTACAGGAATCGTCGTCATCATCTAAACTTGTCGTTGCCATTGATTGGCTGTGATGGGATCTTGAAGCGCCGAGTTCCTGTAGCACTATCGTATTTACTCCTCTGACTGTAACTCTAGCTTCTTCTGAGAATTGATAACCCCAATAGAACATCTCTAGAACCCGGTCTAGACATATTCTACAAACAGCTATTAGAGCCCGTCGATCGCGTGACGATTATCCAGTTGGATGGATCTGCACCTTACTGCTTGAAATGGCTGCCACAAAGACTATATTAGATGAAGCTCATAAAAATCCATGAACCGTGCCAGCCTGACGCACCAACGCTCTAGGACATCCTAAAACCAGTAAAGCATTAGGCGTGTCAAAATTATTTTTCAAGTGTCCGTCGTGGTGAAAGCGTTGTCATTCTGGCTACATTTGACGCTGCTTTTGTCTATGCCCTTTCACCGGCTGACCCTACGCAGTCTATCTGGAATTGAAACCAATAGAGGGTAACGACTAGGAAAAATCGAGGTATATGACATGTTAATAGATTATAATTAAGGATCTGTAATGTGGTCTCAATGAGATAATGAATAACGAGTGGTATTATGTTATCTGAGAGCTAAAGGATGGATTAAATAACAAGATATTGCGCAAAGAAAGGAAAGACACCCATCTGGAGGTCACGGACCTGGGTTCACTGTAGTTGTCACAGATAATTATGATTGAAACAATTGTTTGCTTTTACTCTGCTTAGAACATTATCCGCACTGCAGTTGGGTTTTCTCCCTGTCTTGATTCTTTATACGAAGAAAAATGGAATCTGGTGCCGTCTTCGCCTTAATAATTCCAATCTCATTGTCTTAATAGAAGCAATTAATATTTCATGAGCATTATTCAACCCGCACGATAAGCTGACAAGACAACCTTAATCTAGTAATCACTTTGGGCCGACTTTTCGCCACCTGAGCAGGACGCCTGAGACTGTCATATCCAGGAGGTTAGGCACGGTCGTTAAACTTGAATATATTAAAGGGCGTAGCCTAGTGCCCTGGCCATTTCCCTAGCTCTTATTCGGTCCAACACCATGCCACTAGTCTCGGTTATAGAACAAAACGAAGAAGTTGTTCCGCGGCAATTCGACCCAGACCGCTCTGTTTCCGGTCAAATATCATGCATGATCCAGGTATCATGGTCTGGGTGACATGACACCTGTTGGAGGTCTTAGTTTTATCTGGTAAGTGTTGCTAATTTTACGGAAAGGATTTTTAGCACTGGTATCTAGTTATGTGATAAACAGAACAGTGCAGCCTAATTTGGTTGGCATTTATCGATATCATTTGCCCGTTGTTGTACGTAAATTCTCTAAAGGTCGCGGGGACTCGATGATTGCCAACTTCCATGTCAATGATCGCGAATAATGAAGAAGCACTCAAGACAGCAGACAGATCCCCGAGGCAAGAAATGCACCTATCTTACATGCAAGCGCCGTTGATGGCTTCCAAATGCCAAGGACTGCGGGAACCGTCGAACGCAGCTAAGGTGGACGGTCTTACGATGGTACGTAAAGAAACAGACCGTGCATACTGCATACGTTCCTTGGCGAGGCATCAGACTCTGTCTTTGGTCTGGAATTTGTTAGATTGAGGCCTAGCGTAGATAATACCTTTGTTGCCGAACAGAAGCAAGTTCGTTAATAATATTCCTATTGTCATTCGAACACGATGATTGATCAATCTCCAGATATCCACAACGCACGGGTCGCCGCTTGTCTGCACTCAAGGTTTAATTTTCTTGGCGATCTAGTCAAATGACCAAAATCCACATGTGTGGGAAAGGACGAAATGCCGAGTTACAAACTTACACATAGCGAGCACTCGCACAGTAGTTGCGAGACATAGGAAGCCGGGAGGCTGGGAAACACTACAATATTTCTCGGCCTTTTCTGGGCTGCATACAGACTCGCTAAGGTACCATCGGGCCACTCCGAAAGTCAACATTTTAACACTGAACATGGCGGAAGTATAATGTTGGGCCAATGGCGGGGTAGCCGATAAAAGCTCCTAGAAACGACTACGAGAGCGCTCTCAGGCCGAATAGGATTAATGTCATATACAATATCATTTGAGGGATTTCCCTCCACCAGATAACAATCACGATCACGATCACAATTACCTATTCGGCTTCATGATTCAACCGCCAACAATCCGATAATTCCAGTGACAGGCTCTTGCGGATAGCGTCGGGTGGCGTAAAAAGACGCCATCAAAGTCAATATCAAATGCAGCGTGCGCCTCCGTTCGTTACTGGATTTCTAGAACACTTCTCAAAGTTCTCAAGACTCGACCACAACACTGTCACTAGTTAGTCTGTTAGTCTGCTACTGAGGCTGGATTATTGGTTTATCTGCCCAAGGTTTCATCTGTTGACAGGATCTCGTTCAGATCGGCCAACCACGGCGTAGAACGGGCAATTTCGTTATCTTGCCCCGGAACACGTTATTATTGGCATATGCTGCGAATGGATAGCAATATTAGAAATAGCTTAACCAGCCGCCTGTGCCAAGCCCGAACTGGAAAAGGCAGCTGCTTAGCGTAGTGACCCCTTTTTTGTGTCTGTGGGCGCTGCGCCGAACAGACTGGCGTTTTTTAAGATGAAATTTAATTTGTGAACCTCTTGGCGGCCTTCGAGAGCCATTCTCAACATCCTACTATCCTATCCCATGGGTTCAGGTTTGAGCAAGAACACTGTATACACGTAGTAAGAGCACGTCTGCCTTGATATGTACGATATGCAGCCCTGATAAGCAGCAAGCTGAGGATACCAACCCAAGTAACCTAGTTTGTCCCGTTCAGCTGTGCAATTGGCGAGCCCTGATTCAATGCAACGCTGGATCCTTGGCTCCAGATGTGATTTGCCGTGAGGATCGCGTGATAAGCATCTCGCTGTGACACACGCTGCCAAGGCGGTCCATCTCTTATCGGCTCCAGCGCTCTTCGTCCATAGCATCAATTGGCCTTGGGCCTTCGCGTACTCCGTTGCCACATGGCCTACCTTCCTGATGCAGCCCGATAACTATGGTTGCATCTTGGACAGCACGCAATGGGCCCCTAGTCCAAGCGCAAGGAGCACAGCAGTAATTAGTACTTAACCAGCGCCAGGGACTCCCATGATGGCGGCGATCTGTTTCCATCTCGGTGTTTTTTGTGTATTGTGTGTCTAGAGCGAGAAGTCCTCCCACGATGAGTAAGTTTTTGCTTTCGGCCTCTCTACTCATTGTTTTCATTGTTGTTCCTTGTCGCACGATGCTAACGCTATGTAGCTTCCCAGGAGATTGATGAAAAAACAGCCGGCATCCCCGCTACAGAGGATGTGTCGCGCTCAGTCAGCCATGACGCTGAAGACGAGCCCACCGACGAGGAGCTGGCGACCCTGCGTCGCGTGCCGGGTAATCTCCCCATCGTAGCCTACCTCATCTGCGCCGTCGAGTTCTCCGAGCGCGCCTCATACTATGGTGTCTCTGGTCTGATCTCCAACTTTGTCAATCGCCCGCTGCCTGTCGGAGGCAATGGCTATGGTGCGCCCCCGGCAGGAACACAGCAGACTGCTGGCGCCTTGGGCATGGGTACTGTCAAGGCAAACGCTGTCAACCAGTCCTTCAGCATGTTGGCATATGCCCTGCCCATGATCTTTGGTTATCTTTCCGATGCTCACACAGGCCGCTTCAAGATGATCTGCTGGGGTGTCCTCGTTTTCGGCGTTGCTCACGTCTTGATGGTTGGTGCGACCGCGCCAACCCTGCTTGCCAATGGAGGTGCTAAGGCGCCGTACTTTATCTCCCTGTACATTCTGTCGGTCGGTGCTGGTAAGGCTAATCATTTCCACGGTGTTGATATCAGCGCTAACAGATTCCAGCTATGTTCAAGCCCAACGTCTCTCCGCTCCTTCTTGATCAGATGCCCAACACCAAGGCGAAGACCAGGGTGCTGAAAAGTGGTGAGAAGGTCATCGAAGATCCCGAAGCTACCACCGAACGTGCTGTGCTCTGGTTCTACCTTCTGATTAACATCGGCGGTTTCATGCAGGTGGCCACCTCCTACTCTGAGAAGTATGTTGGCTGGTGGTTGGCCTTCATTCTCCCGCTTTTCTTGTATCTGCCGCTTCCCGCCCTCCTGGTATGTATCTGTGAAAATGTCCATTGATTTCCTCGGGTAATACTAACATCGCATCAGTTCTGGCTTCGAAAGCGCCTTGTTCTGCATCCGCCCGGTGGTAGTGATCTGCCCAATGTCGTTCGCGTTCTGGGCATCTGCCTCAAACGTGGAGGTATCTTCCGCATTGGCCGTCACGGTTTCTGGGACGCAGCCAAGCCATCAGTTATCGCGGCCAATGGTCAGAATATCCCGACTCGCTGGAACGACCAGTTCGTTGAGGATGTCCGTCGCACGTTCCAGGCGACGGGAATCTTCTGCTTCTTCCCCATTCAGTACATCAATGACAACGGATTGGGTCAAGCGGCGAGCTTTTTGTCTACCATGTTAGTCACCAACGGTGTGCCCAACGATGTCATCAGCAACTTCAACTCTCTGAGTATCATCTTGTTTTCTCCGATCTTTAACTACATGTTCTACCCACTCCTCCGTCGGTTCCACATCCGATACGGCCCTGTCGCTCGTATCACCACCGGATTGGCCATGTCTTCAATCGGTGGCGTCGGTTACACTGTTATCAACTACTATGCCTACAAGCTCGGCCCTTGCGGCAATTATGGTTCTTCGGACACTTGTGTGGATGCCAACGGAGTTTCTCTAGTGGCTCCTATCACTATTTGGGTATGTATCCTCTCATGCCTTCACACGTAGACGCATTCAATAAAAGGACCTGCATTATCTTTAACCAGTTCGGTGCTAACAAAAACGCCAGTGGATGGCGGTTCCCTACGCTCTTGGTGGTATTTCCGAGCTCTTCGTCAACGTCCCGGCTTACGGTATCGCCTATTCCCGAGCTCCCAAGAACATGCGTGGCTTGGTCTCTGCCATCAATCTGCTCAACACCGCCGTCGCCTACGCGATCGGTCTTGCCTGCTCGGCTGTTATCCGTGACCCGTACCTGACCTGGGATTTCGGTGGACCATCCATCGTCGGTGGTGTTCTCACTGTTGTTTTCTACTTCATGTTCCGTCACATTGACAAGGAAGAGTATACGTTGAGCGAGAACGGTGATTACCATCTCACGCTGGAGGGTACTGCGAACGTGGTTGGCGAAAACTCGCACAACAAGACCACTAACCCCACTCCTGCGATTGCAGAGAATGAGGAGTTTGGTATTTCACCAAAGCAGTAAACCAGTGACCGGGTGTTGCTGTAGCTGTGACTGGAATACTTCCAGTGCTGAGCATGCTTGTAACAAGTACGTGTAATGAAGCTGTCGTCGGTATTGGACGAGCATGCTCGATCTGTTGTGTGATATCGCACGTAGGAAATAAAAGATAAAACTCATGAATAGCAATAAATATTTTAATATTGATCGTTCTTATTTGATGACCACATTATCCTTAGATGTGTAGACATTAACGTTACTACATTGAATATGTGCATTGAAGTAAAGTAACTATTTCAAAATGTTAGGCGTACACCTTAGTTCAATTGATTGTATTAGGTTGGTTCTCCAACAATAATGAATTTATGAAAAGGGATGAATGCGAGTATCACAAAAACTAACCTGAATCTATTCCAAGAATACAAAAAAGAATACCAAAGAATAGGGGGGCATAGGGAAGGGCAACAGCTTTGGGCGGTCTATAACTTCGAATCCCGTCGTTGGAGGCCAAATTAGAGAATGAGTAATCTTATATATTACACTATAAGTAAGAGAGCATAGAGATTATATATGATATAGCTCTAAATCACTGCCTTCTTTTTTCTCTCTCCATTTAATTTCGAGGTGAAATTTCTTAAGGTTTTTGTTTTTTCTTTAAGACCAGTATTTGATATCATTGATAGTATAGAGTACATATATTCAATATTTTAGAGAATCATTATAGGGTTAGATAGAATTATAGTTTCATTTTGCGTCTTATTATTAGGATGGTATTGATATGTATATAAGATAATTTGAGTCTATCAACCACCCAAGGCTTGCATGCGGACTATAAACACAGGATTTGAAAAGCAAAACAAGCTTGCAAAGGAAATTTACAGTCCCAAACATCCCACTCCAAACAAGAGAAATTTCCTCTCCTACAAAACACCAGATATGCAATTTATAAAAGAAAAAGAATGTTAACAGAAAACGTAAATACTCACTAAGAAAAGAAGTGTAAAAGTTCACTCTTCATCCAACGTCCACAGTCCTGCACTAGGCTCTCTCCATGCCCGAGGCTGCTCCGAATGACATCGTCGATGTCGTCTCCCAGGACGCAATCTCCAATCCTCCCCGGCCATCGAAAACGAAACATCCTCCGTCTCCGACAACGTCGGCGTACTTGCACACGACAGGACAATAGTCTCCTTTGCGGACGATACCGATGAATGCGTGGACCCCGATGACGGCAGTGACGATGAGAAGTGAAGATGTAAAGGAATCAGAAACTGCCGAGCTTTCTCGAGTCGTGGCCAGATGATGCGGCGCAGCATCGCGGTGGGGACGTGGTTGGCTTCTGTGATGGAGGAGATGATCACCTCTCTTTGTTCTTCACGTTGCTCATGGCTCTCATTTTTCTCGGCATGGTCATGTTCTTTGGGTTGGTTTTTTGTTATCTTCTTGTGAACTCGAGATCGTCGCCTTTTCTTTGTCCGATGTCGTCGATGTTTCTCTTTCGAGACAATCCCGGCGGATATAAAGACGTCCTCTTCGTCGGAAGAGCTGTACGGAAAGGTCAACGTGTCCGGGCTTAGAGGTCGATGGAATGTATCTTTCACTAGAGCTAGTGGTTTTCTCTCCTTCCCGTTTTCCTGTTGTAGCGGTAATGAAGATGTGAATGGTTGATATTGAGAGTCAGGGTTGAGTGGCGCTGGCACTGGTACATCTTCGACTCGAGTTGGACCGCTGAACGGCCAGGAATAGTGGCGATGACGAGGCATGGCCGGTTATATTAATTCGGCTTAGATTTCATGTTTTCAGTGGTTCGAGGATGTCGAGTGTTGAGTACAAGCCGGAGGAGGAGGGCTTTTTTCTCCACAATATCAATACCCTTTTCAGCCCTCTGCTCGGGCTGAGAAGAACAAAAATGCGATTTCAGAATATTTTCCCCGGTAACGACTGACGGAGGCAGGCAGAATAGTGAAATAAATAAGTTCTTGCAAGGCTATTGCTCTGATGGCGAAACAACCAGCAAGCCTAGTTTTGAAGTAAATAAATACATCGAAACAAATAAAAGGCAGAAAGAATGCGCTACGATCGGAATTATTAACGCTCATCTGGAGCTAAATGGCATCACCACGTGAAGCAGTAATACACAGGATGAGTAAGAATTGGGTTGCGACCGGTTACCTCGCACTGCCCCGGTGACCAAGTGAGTTTGGTAATACGGCTGCTTGAATATTTGTCGAGGTCACGTTCAGGATCACGAGGAATGTTAGTGGTGCCTGCTAATAACATCCGGTGTCTTCCACTGTCTAGTGCAGGAAGTGATCTGGGGATTAATAAGCTATAACCAAAAAGAAAATATAAACATTAGTGATATCTTGCCGAGCATCATTGTTAGGGAGTACAAGGTAGATCAGTAAGAAATAATAATAGAGTCTTGATAGACGTTATTAACTGCGATTTTATGCGGCGGACATGCATTCTTTTGATGGCAGCTTACTCTGCCTGTCTGGGAGGGGGGGTTCTTGCAATAACAGTACTCGGCATAATTAATCGATTGACGTCGTGATTAAACCTTCAAATTCATTAGCACTTTTCTTTTCTTTTCCTGTGTTTGAATTATACTTTTTGGATTAAAAATTAAATCGCAGGTGCCTAGTTAATCTGTTCATGAACAGCAAGGAGGGGTGATCAGCAGGTCCATATGCAGAAACCCTGATGTGGCACGGGCGCCGTCGGACTTGACCGACAGGGCGGCCACAAATATTAGAGAATGACGCACTGCTATTGTCGATTGATCACCAAAAGCATCGGCCGGTCCTAATTACGTTGGTTGATATTAGATTTAGCTTGTGTAACATATTCACATGCAGATTTTGACTACTCTGGACATGTTTGTATTTTGCAGTAGTGTTGTTAGGGTATTCCGCCGAATTAGGGTTAAATCTTAGGGTTAGTTTCAATGTTGCTGTGTTGAGGACGAACAGTTCAAGGTCGTTGATACATCAGCGTTTTAGCTGGTTCTATACCATGGATCAGACTGACAATCCTGAACGATTGAGAGGTGATTTTGAAATTAACTCATCATAGATAATAGGACTACATCAGCCTAGCATGTCAGAATACTTGAACGAAAGATAATTATGAGTAATAGCCTTGCGGCCGATATTCTATTATTCTAGATATAAAAAAAACACATCACTGCAATACAGGATATCTCAAGATACTATGCCCAACGATACCCCAAAATTCAGAGCCAAAGCAAATAACCAGAAAGAAATAGAAACAGTGAATGGCACCAGGCCAGGAGAAAGGCTGGCCTTGAATCGTCAGGGTCATGACTTTGCCGAGTAATGGTTGCCTCAACGGGATTCATGACGCTTGCTACATGAACCCGTTGTAGACTGGCCAGGCATTGAGGATATGTTGGTTACTTCGCAGCCATGACTTCATGGTATCATCTTTAAAACGCATCATCAGTGCAATTTCAGCTCTATGAAAGTTTAGAAAGCTTACCAAGAGAACCAGTGCCAGTGCCACTTGCAACCGTAAACCTCGCATTCCCAACTTTAAAGACTGTATCCTGATGCGTTATGTTATTGTTATGATGGTGGATGTGTTGGACATAGACTCCCAAGTCCCATTCACCTTCGGGTACCTGTCCTATTGTCATTTGCGTATGGTCGAAGACGAAAATTTGGTTTCCTCTATTATCTTCATACGGGTTTCCAGGCGAGCCAAACCGAACCACGGTCGCGCTGCCGTTCGCTTTCCGGAGCATAATTGAATACTGGGCGGTTTGGTTCTGTGACGGCTGCGATTGATAACCAGTCATCTGGATGACTATAGGAAAAGGAGATCCAGGTCGAGAATGTCCCAGTGTCCCTGGACGCACCACAACATGAAAATCATTGCCCCCACTAGACGATGCACTTGCTGCACCACTTGCTTCGAGAACCATGATGTGTTTCGTGTTTCCTTCACCTCTGTCTGTGCCCGGGAGTATTAGTATCTCTTGCCTACCCTTCGCGCTCAGAACAAAAGTCATGCTTACAAGCTGTTGAATAATGTATTTGAATATAGTCCCTTCAATGTGTAACAGTCGGTGATCAATGAGACTGTTGGAGAAGGAAGAAGGAATATCATTGAAACGGAAGATGGGGACGATTATAAAGACATATCTCTGGCTCTATATGTCTTGGATGATGGCTCCCAAAACCGATGGCAGATAGTCAGTGACACAAAAAACCCCCAATATTGCCTGTATGATTCACACTCCACCTCTAACTGGGTTCTCATTTCCGGGTGGTATGCCTCTTTGGAATCAGGAAGAAGGAACAATTGAGTCACGAAGGAGGGAAACAAGCTAGACTGGTCGTTTCTACCAAAGATATATCAATGCCAGTATGGGAAACTAGAATTGTATCATTGATGTATCAGCTATAACGAGACAGTTGCACATGTAAATTGCAACACCTTCGTGACGTCCAACTGGCCTATGGTAGTACTTTTACGAGCTTCGCAGACATGTTTTCTGCAAGCTAGCGTCAGCTGCACGAGGAAACGGTGTAATCGAGGCACCGTATGCGGATCCATGTATGCAGCACATATCAACGTCTTCGTGGGGTCTGTGACATTGCTTTTTTCCAACATTTTCTTTGTTTTCAAGGATCAATAAATTCATGATTTTTGGTAAGGAATGGTTCCGACTGGCTACTAGGCCCCAATTGACACCAATTGTTGGGAGGCCAGATGTCCAATGAGGCAGGCAATTTGTCAGGGGTGATTCTAGTCCGAGTAAGTGCGAGGCCTGTCAGAGCAGACCTGGATAAGTCGGCGAGGAAGATTCACTAATGCAGCGTCGATCGATCTTGGAAGGAGTAAAACGATCTGGTCTGGACCAATCAGGGCCATGCCGTGCGCGCTAGACCCAAAAAGTGGAATGTGGCTAGTGAGCGCCACTGTGGCGTCATTACTGTGGCGGCCCCAATTTCCAAGGAGTGCTAGACCGCTCACTAGCCACATATGCTAAACGCGCATTAGCCACACACTAGCCACAGCAAAGCGCCTAAACGCGCCGCTCCTTTCCCAATCCGGCCAGGCTAGCCCGTCAACTACTGAAACCTTGGGCCTAATAGTGCCTCTTTCCTCTGCCATATCGTGATTGTGCACCTTCCAGGCTCCAGCATCACTGCTTCAATTCGTCATTGGGGGCCTGACCCCTTGCGTTTTCTCGTTTTCTGGCTTTTCTATACTTCTTTTTCATTTTGGGGCGGCTAGTCGTGCTCGATTTCTGGAGTTTCTAACAATCCTCACTGCTAGTAGTAACAACATTATATCAATCAGGAAATGCCGAGGAAGATACCAAACACCACGCAGATCGCCTTGGGTGGTGCCCACACAAGCGCAGTCCAGGCCTCCATTAACAAATAAGTCCAAGCTGGGCTGGAAAACAACACAATAGCGCCACTCCCGCCCATTCCGCCCATACCCCCATACCCCCATTCCCCCATTTCCACCGACGCAGACAGCTCACAGTTCAATTGTGCTACTCACCGCTCCAGTAGGATGCCGAAGCAGGAAACCCCCATCTCCATGTCGTACTAACTGTTGGATCCATGACGTTCCGTCGTCCCACCACAAATGTCGGTCCGGCCTGATTCTCTCAAGACTCGCGTTGTCCAGGCTGCCAACAGTGATATCAACTAGCGGTGGCATTGGGCTGGAAACTGGCCGATCATAGAAGAAAGTCAAAGTTGTCCCACAACGTCCACAGAATGACCGGTAAGTTTCTGGTGATGAGTTCCAATGAGTAAGATACGTATCTCTTGTTCGTGGTACGTCAGAGACAGGATCAGTAGCCCCCTTCTTTGGTGTTCGTGGCGTCACCGCATCAAGCGTAGACAAATCGATGCGAGAGCTTTCCTCAGCAGTTTCACTAGCTTCCATGCTTGGCAGGAGGTTCTCGGATGCTACTTCCGGAGCCACAACACTCCTTTCTCCTGGCCCCAATGGTGCAGATTTACCATCATCACGAGGTAGGAAACTCCAACGGACCCATTCTGCTGGACAGACAAACCAACATTGGATGATCGCTCCGCTGGATTGTCGACAAGACTGGCAGTGATCTAGGCCGACTAATGGAAAATTAGTTGGAACTGTTCTCGGGGAATCAGCTTGGCCCTTGTCAAAGCCAACGGAAGTGGGAAGTGCTCTAGGAACGAGTGGGCGATCGGCTATAGCTGGAATGCTGATAGTGTATCTGATCGCCTTGCAAAAACAACCCCCTTCCAGAACAGTTGCTTCTTTGGGAACGAAGGCCATAATCAGACTGAATGGTATTTCCGTAAGGTCTTTGAGCTCGGTGTGGCTTGCCGTATGTTGTTGTTGATGCAGCTGGAGTCACGAAAAAGAAAGTACTGGGTAGATATGCCTCGACATGACGGCGTTGCTAGGCGGCAGCACTGCGTAGACGAATACGAGGTGGGGAGCGGTAGAACCACCAACACGGATCCCCTAGCCCTTTAACTTTGTTGCAACATACCACACGTTGTGATATTATTGTCTTTATTGCTGGGATATATCACCTTACAGCCGATTACCTGTAGAAAAGTGTGCACCGCCACTTTTCTGACAACATTGCCGTAGTTGTTGCCTCAATGCAAATAATAATAAAAAATTGAAGGGTCATAGTTCAACAAAACCTTACTGGGTCTCTGGTATTTCTTTCAAAACCAGTTCGATTTATAACAAAGATGGAGGCCATAAGAAGACAAACTCTCGCTAGTCTAATTATATATATACGTTGCCGTGCCTTCCTCCTATGGCACTGGAACATGTAGAAAGAGCAACATCACCATCATCAGCGGTCTGATCTTTTCCTCATTCAAAACTCCCTTGTCTTTCTTATTTCGTTGCTCTGCAGCACGAGCCCTATCATTATGGCAAGGATCTAATAGGGCCACCGTCGTCCCGGACATGGCACCATTAATACGAATCCCAAGTCCAATCCAGCCAGCACAGCGCAGCCCCCATCGAAATCTCCCCAAAGGCACCGTGCACTTCGCAGCTTCTGTGAGGAAATTGATCAACATTAAGGTGCTTCTCTACGTCTTTCTAGGACTAGCAGCTATCTTCTCCACTGTACTGCTGTTTTGGAAGTTTGGCTCTTTCCTGCGTCAATTCACCAGGGGGCGGGTTTTTCAGAATGGGAAGTCGTTTAAAACCCGCTACATCAAGACCTGGTACGGCTGGGTTCCTCAGGATCGATACAACGCTCGACAACGTGCCTGGAAGCGCGTTTTGGGTAAGCCGTGGAGATGGCTTTCGTGGACTGATTCGAGTGACGACTACAGTTGGGTCTGGTGGGATCCGTCTTGTTCAGGGATGGAAAAGCATCTGCACGGTCATGGCCATCGGCGATGGCTCTACAGGTATTTGTGGGGAGGAGACAACGCAGATATGAAGACGAAGGTGAAATCAACCACTGCTCGTATGGATGATGACAGAGCTCTGGTTCGTGCAAGACAGCCAGCATGTTCATCTCGGGGTGACAATGTGGATCGATCACAAAGGCTCAAAAGTGTCAATCAATCCACGATAGTAGCTTACGAAACAACCGACTTTATGATACCTTTGAATCCCTTGACATACTTCACGTTTCCTCTTCAGTCCAGACCACGTGAATCGTCACCCCTTGCAAATTATCAACGACTTTGTCTTGATAATTCAGAGAGCTTTCCATGCTACCATCCGTCGTATATTCAGAAACAACATTTCCCTAAAGCAAGTCCACACCGGGTAACTGCACTACATGCACGTCGGAGCCTTAAAATCCAACGTCATATTAACTCTACTCAACACATCAATCGGCGAGCCAAGAATCTCAGAGAATGGGCGGTTCGTATGCAGATGGGAAGTCTTCAGGATATGATATCTCACTATTCGGGTCTTGATGGGCGTCCATGCAGCCCTCTATCTGATCTATTCAACAGAAGTTCAGACCTACAAAGTATATTTTCACAGCATAGTTCCGGGTTAGTGGTGATTGACACTGTTGAAAACCCCTTATCTGGACAAACCCGACCTGCCGGATTGCAAATGACCACATTTTCTGTTTTAAAGGGCAATAAGAAGTCGCGATCCCTCCATAGGCGACAGAGTTTCAATGTGGCTTCGAAATCCAAAAGAAGAAAGGTTAGCTCAAGTTTCGTAAGAACTACCAGTCCGACGCTAACGTGCATGAACAACTTGCTGGATGATGAAGTACGTTTTATTGACGGCTTGGATAGAAGCCTTGAATGGTTACTTGGCGAATGTCAGCCGGGTCGTAGAGGTTTCAGCCTTCCAACCTTGCCCAACAACTGGATCAACAAACAAGCACGGATTGTATATGCCACTCCCTGCTGCGCCTCAGCCGAATTCATGCGACTACATGGCTATTCACAAAAGACAGATGGGTTCTCTGATGAGCGAAAATCAGCGGTCCTCCTACATAGAGTAGCAGATACTCCTCATATCGACTCCTGGAGAGCACACATTAACAAACAACGGCGGAAGAACGCTATTCAAGACGTCAAGACCATCGAGCACTGGGAGAGCTCGGCTGAGGAGCCCCCAGATAATGTTCTTGACCCATCAAGTTGGATTCTCCGACGACCTCCTCAGGGATTTGCAATGTCAACGAAACAGAAGAATTCTTATTATGATGTTGGTGGCGGGAGATGGGAAAAATTTGCGGACTGGCAGGTGATTGATCAACGAGAACCGAATATAGGCACACGTGCTCTTAACGAAGGCTAATAAGCCGTCGAAAATGTGAACAGGACCCTCATGGACTGACCTTTATATGGCGATGGGATGATCATGTAGATTCTGAGGAGGCTGATGAGACTTATTCTTAGAAATTCTTAGACTTTTGAATGCTGTATAGTATATTGAGAATAGAATAGATTGAATATCAGTAGCAGTAGAATAGCCCCAAAAATGGAAGTAAATCGACTTTCCAAGCTAGAATGTGCCTATATTACAATGACGCCAATGATTTTGATGAACCGATGCCAAAACTCCAGCTGTGGTATTTAGCTGCTGATACCTCATACCTCCTGTATGCTACAAAGCCGCAACAGCGGTGTCGGGGTGTGTGCCAGTATTATTTCGCATAAATATAACCCCAACTCGCATAAAACTCTTGATATCTCTCGAATATTTCTCTTGCGGAAGATCAGCTAGAAACCTGGAGGGTTCACACGCTGACTGACTCGAGTCCACTTGGGCAATTCTTGACACCACGCATTAGCATATCTCTGACAAGCATGATTATCTTGACTTCAACTTACTGTGAATGCCCTTGCGGTATTTCTTCTCCTTTCGGTCGTAGATTGTGTATTTGTCCTTAGGCAGCATTTCCTGCTCCCGTGGCATTTCCTCATACCATCGATCAATAGCCTTGGCCATCGGCAATCCATTACGCTTCAATGCAGCGGCCACAGTATCGACAACGCTATCGACCGCACGAAGCCGTCGTCGCTGGCGGAATTTCTGTCTGCGCGAGAGACGCCATGGGATTTTCCTGCAAAGGGAGCAAAGTTAGTATGCGTGTCGCGATCACGTCACACGGCATTGTGCGCTTGATGTAGGTGCAGAAGATGGAAATTAGGAGTTGCTTACCATAGTAGCCCTCCCAGCAAGGGCAACGTTGGCTTGAACATGATGTGCGTCGGCTGTCTGGATGGACTAATAAGAATAATAAGAGTGATCTCGGCCGTCCGAAGAAACTGGAGGACGCAGCTGGCCCGTGCGCGCGACCTCCGCGGCTTCAGGACCAACTACATCATGTGCACGGGGGGTTCTTGCCCTGTGTGAGTGGCCAGCCGACGCTTGTCCCGATTTTTTCCTTCATACTACTTCTACTGCGAACAATAATTGTTTTTGTTATTTATCCCCATGCGATTATAGTCCAACCTCGTTCCTTTGGTGCGCTTCTTACACTCATTTCTCTTTACTTGCCTGTCAATGTTTGGACAGCTGGCTTCTATGGGACTGTCGTGAACGTGGCCGTGGCCAACCACCAGATTCTCTTTCGATCGCGATGCCTCTAGGCGCCACAGCCGACCGGCCCTCTGCCTGGTGGAGGGCTGGCTCGTCGCTGACCATGTTTGAGATTGGCGCGCTATGTCGTGGATTCTTGCTGGGCTTGAACAAATTGGAGGTCAATGGCTTAGAGTCATTTACGGAACTCCTCGACTCCAGACGGGACCCTTCCAAGAGAACGCGCGGGTTAATCACCGGTACAGCTACTCATCTACAGTGCTTGGACATGGGACTGATTTCTTCTGCTGTGTTTTTATAGTATCCAACCATATCAGCGTGTACGTACGTACAGGAAGCATCGAACTTGCCATGTCCACCTTCCTTCGAAAAATTCCAACATATAGCTGATCAATGACTGGGCCTTAGAATGGATGATCCTCTTATGTGGGGAGCGTTGCCTATGAAATACCACTTTAATCTTCCCTCGTTTAACCGGCGATGGGGCTTTGGAAGCCATGATATCTGCTTTGCTACTCGGTAAGACCGCAATACGTCTCTTGAGGAGGTATGCTATGGAAGCTAATTGAATTATATAGCCCAGGCGCCACATTCTTCACACTCGGGCAGGTTCTGCCGACTCATCGTCTGGCATATTCACCATATGGTGGCCTGTTCCAGTCAACCATGACCCAGGGTGTTCGTCTCCTCTCGAAGGGACCGTTTCCTGCCGACCCCCATTTTGCGAAGATCGACATGCAACGCTGGAGCCTTCGAAGTGTCTGCGTCGACCCCTTCTCCGAGCTCCCCACCGCGTACACCACTACTGGCGAAGATGCAACCATCTCCCCTTCGTCATATGCTTGCAATTCATACTCGTGGATCCATATTTTCCCCGAAGGCAAAATTCATCAATCCCCGAAAAAGATCATGCGGTACTTCAAATGGGGGGTTTCACGACTCATTCTGGAATCGTCAGAATGCCCAGACGTCGTGCCCATCTGGTTAGAAGGCACAGACGATGTGATGCACGAAGATCGCAAATTCCCTCGTTTCCTGCCTCGGCCATTCAACTCAGTCAGTATCACGTTCGGCAAGAAGGCCGATACGGAAGCCGTATTTGGCGATCTACGCCGTAGGTGGAAAGAATTAAAAGCAAAGGCAGAGAAGACCAACCCAGCCGTGGCTCAGCTTCCTTTAGGCGTTCTTAGCGAAGAGCTCATGTTTGACAAGGAAGCGGTCGAGCTGCGAAAGGAGTGCACGAAGAAAGTCCGCGATTTAGTATTAGAGGTGCGTCGGTCCAGAGGCCTCCCAGATGAAGATCCAAAGGCAAGTTTGGCCGAGACCTGGATTCTGGAAGGACCGAAGAGGGAGGGAAAGATGGAGGATGAATCTTGGGTGCGGGACATCTAGGAGATAAAAGTGTACAACTAAATATAATATTAAATGTTTCCGCGAATCCAATACTTATCACTTCATAACACCATATTGTTATTCCAAACAATTATAATCTACGTACTATCCCATTCGGGAAGGCGGCCCTTGAGTGGCGGTGCTTACTCGGACTTGCAAGTACTTCCGAACTTCTTCTTCTCTTGACCATCACCCATGTTCTTCTTGCTTTTGATTGCATGGTGGCATTCTACTCCCCATGCCCAAAAAGTACACCCCGTACGCGTCTATTAAACCCACTAATACCGCCCATCCATCGCTACAAAGCTCGTCTAACGCTCGGCATGGCCCCTCCGGCTCGTCGCCTTCTGGAGGTCGCTCCGTAAACGACCTCATCCATCACTTGCGCCGCACTCAAGTCAGCCCTACTGGAGAGGGGTCTTCAAGCCCTTCCAGGTCCACCACTCCACGAACCTTGCACCCGTCTATTAGGAACATACTCGACGTACCGGAGACACCACCACCGCGACCCCGCACAAACGTCAGGCAACTAGGCGGACGATTTCGCAGGACACCAGGTCCGCCCCCTCCTTCGAGTTGGTTAAACAATAATCAACCGCATAACAGTACAATAGATCGACGGGGAGGGGTATCTGTGGGATATGATCAGGTGCTTTACCGGCTTGAGCGGCTGCCCGGCGTAGTCTTCCCACCAAAGGATAGCTTACAGCATGTCGTACTCAAGTCTATGGCGACCCACTGGATGTGGCATTTGGATTACGATGGAGAATTTTTACTGGAGCTTCCAGAACGCATGAAAATTCTTTTACTGAGTTATATCGGAATTTATTCGCGCGACGTTCATCCGAAGTTTCGAGCACATGGACTCAGCAATCTGTTTGCGATACCAGAAGATGGCGTGTATAACGTGAAAGACATCACACGGCTGGACTTGGGTGCTGCACTCGGCACTTGGACCAGCCTTAAGTCGTTGTTCAATCAGCTACTTACTCCATCCCCGGTAAAGGACAATACGGACAACCAAAAAGAAGAGGTTATTCCCGCGTCGTGGGATGAGGCTGTAGATGCCGAAGCAGATATTGACCCACTAGTTGTACCATCGCCTTTATCTGTGAAGTCATTGTCTCATGTTCTTCGGTTTCCGAACTTGAAATACCTATCTTTAGCTCATCCAGACCCGGCGAGTTCTAACTGGGGCTCGCTTTTAAACCTGCTGTCTCACATTCCTGCCTTGACGCATCTTTCTCTTGCCCAATGGCCTGTGCCGACACTCACCCCGAACTCGATCCACACACGCGTTCGCCATCCAACGATTCGCTCCTTGACATTCGCTGCTGGGGGGACTGACACATATACTGCCGAGGAGAACAGCTGGGTTGAGGCGGTTAGTATTCTTCGCAGGCTATCTCGTGCAACGTATTGTCTTAAGTGGCTTGATTTGGAAGGCTGTGGTGAATGGCTCGGGGCTTTATGCTGGGACGGCCATGTATCTGACGGGGACGAACCGTATCATGCGCCGTGGCCAGAATGGAACGGATCGTGGAGAGATATTGAATGGGTCGGACTGGGTCCTGGATGGATACCCTCGTCGCAGGGCATTGAAAACAATGATGAACTCCAAAACCCCATCGTCCCGCTGGCAGCGTCTATTCACGCCAATACAAACCACCAACAGAACCCCCGGCCAGCAGCTGATCCTGACGACCTGACCTCTGTTTTAACGGAACAGGAGTTGCGAGAAGCCGAGATGGCGCGTGAACGGCAACGTCGCGTCAATGAATGGAAAGCGTATGAAGATGTACTCCGGAAAGCACGGAAGGTTGAGAAACATGTGCATCGCATACGTCGCGACGGCGCTGGGAAATGGATTCATTTTTCGTTTGGCGGTGAGGGTCGTGAAGAGAGACGGATCATTGAGAGGGTATTGGAAGATATTGATAAAATTTAGTTTATTATTGATCGGTGTATTGCATATCTGCGTTACCCGATGAGCACGAGATTAAACAATATCATTCTTACTCTAGCTAGTAGCAATGGAATTACCTGGATGACGGCGATTCATTTACTTGCAAGCTTGATCGGACGATAAATGTAACATTAAAGTGTCGTAATATCAATCGAAGACGTATATAATCTAGACTGATCATCTCACAATTGAAGATTTTGCTTATGATTGAAGCTAGAACTGTGGTTCAATGCAATATTTAAAAGTGGTATGTTTTATCTCGCTCGTAACTGCTCTGCAAATAATTTATTTACACCCATTGTCAATATCTCCGACGTATGCAATAGAATATTTACTTCTTCCTTCCCTTTGCATTAAAAGTCTTCAACGGATCCGCCTTACGTCCTCCAGCACCACCTCGTCTGCCTTTATTCCTATTCCTCTCCCTTGCCTTACGAATCCGATTCTCACTCGTCTTCCCAATCCCAACATACCCCTCAGACCCCGTAGCCACCAGGCCCTTTTTACCCTTCGAAGGCATCAGATAATCCGGCACATGCTTGAGATGCGGCTGAACCCTGACGGCGCGGATCTCACCATCATGTCGCAGCTGGCGCAGCTCCTCCGGGTTCTCCTCAAAATGCCGACGTAGTTTCTCTGACTTGATCAATTCCTGCCGGATTTCGCGGGCGCGGGCCTCTTGCACTGCCAGACGGGTGACGGCACGAAGCGCGTCCGTCATGCGGTATCGGAAGGAATCGACTTTTTTCATTTCGAAATGGTAGGGTTTGACTTCATGGCCCAGTTTGGATTGCCGTTTGATGATCTTGGCCAGTACGGCTTCGTCGTGTTTTGCAGTTGGGTAACTGGTGGGTTTGTGCTTGCCGAATTCTTCCTTGGGTATGATGAAGGACAGTGCCATGCCTGTTTTGCCAGCGCGTCCGGTACGTCCGATGCGGTGTGTGTAGGATTTGGAGGTTGTCGGGAGGTCGAAGTTTAGAACACATGCGACGTTCTGGAAATCAATGCCGCGGGAGATGCCATAGTCTTTTTGTTTGCCAGTTAATTTCTGTTTCTTGTTGCTGGGTGTTTTTGTCGACGGTTCCTGAGCGGCTTCGTCGTCGCTAGATTCTTCGAATTCTGCTTCCGCGTCATCAACGTCGTTGGATGCACCGTCCTTGGAAGCAGATGGTTTTTTACTCTTCTTTGTACCCAAGACTTCTTGGTCATCGGCGGCAATGATGATGTCGTAAACGCCTTTGTTGAACTCTTGAACAACGTGTATTCGAGAATTCGCAGGCAGTTCCGAGTTTAGGACACAGCTCTTGATACCAAACTGCTCCAAGAAGAGCTTCAAACGATAGCTTCGGTCGATGTCGCCGACGAAGATGATACATTTACCCTTGACAAGCTCCAGTTTGAAGATGACGTATGTGAGTAGGAATTTCTCGTCTTCGGCACATCGAACAGCAAACTGCGAAATGCCGCCTCCTTCATCCCCGGCCTCGGTCAATTTAAGAATCACAGGGTTCCTACAGAACAGACTTTTCAGAGTATCGACCTCGGCGGTAAGCGTTGCGCTCATCAGAAATGTCTGAATACCTCGAGGCACGGCTTTGGAAAGGGCATTGATATCATCTTCGTAGCCATACGACAGTACCAAATCAGCCTCGTCAATGACCAGCTGCGTGAGTTCGTTGAGAGACAGTGCAGAGCTGTTAATGTTCGCCAGAACACGGGCCGGTGTGGAGATGACGATGTCCGGGAAATCCGCAAGCATTGCACGTTGGACTGCATCTGAAACTTTCTGAGTGAGGTTGACTGCGCGAATATCCTTGCCGCAAAAAGATGAAAACGAAGTAGCAACCCGCTGCACCTGGTCGGCCAGTTCTCTTGTCGGGACAAGAATAAGGGCAGACGTCGCTTTCAACGAAGGCTCGTTCTAGAAGAGTAAGTGTTAGGGATTGAGATAGAAAATGTGATCGTAGTACATACGGCTTTTCTTCGAAGAATGGATTGAAGAATTGGGAGAACATATGCGGCGGTCTTGCCAGAACCGGTTTTCGCTCGGGCTATATTAGGTATGTTAGTACACTTCCCTCGTTGAGACCCGAATTTGGAATTACCTAAAATATCCTTACCCTCGAGGGCAAGTGGGATAGCCTGGGCTTGCACAAGTGTCGGCTTGGAGAATTTCTCCTTCACCAGCGCTTGGCGAATTCGCGGGTCGAGATTGAGCGTCTCAAAGGTGGATTCATTTTGACTGACGGCTTCTGCTACCTCCGTCGATGGCACATCGTTCTCGTCGAGCTTTCTCTTCATTTTGAAAATCAAATTTGATTTAATGACAACTTTTGTTGTCTTGCTGACGATACAAGCCTTCCGCAGAAAAAAAGTTTCGGTAGGACAATCCTATCGCCGTATCCGGTCCGGCATTTTTCCGCTCCACCGCCTGCTTTCTGCCACCCAGATGTGTTTGCACTTTGCATACTCCAAATTAGTATGCTTGTCTTCTGCACTGCAGAATGCTTCGAAGGGAACGCTTCCAATACGATAAGCATTGAAGGTGGTATCAATAACCTCTGAGAAAGTATTCCTTTTTGGCGGGACTATAAATGTCCACTTTTCGTTCATCTCTAGAAATTGAAATTAAATGCCTATCTTGCTCGGAAGCAATAATATATATTCCACAAATAAAACAAATTAAAAATGCCTGATCTTCGTTCTGAAAGGCAGCCAATTTCAGATCTCTGTCGCATTGGAAGACGATGGTGAGCAGCAATGCTGCTATTGTTGTATACAAGTTCGTATATTCGGGTGAGAGGCAATCATTAAGGGATCTCTATCGAAAATTTACAAATTGGTGAACATGTAGAGGGTCTAGAAATCCGCATATGGGGCCGCTGGACTATTGAATTAGACATCTAGAAATCTAAGAATCAGCTCAGTGGAGTATGATGAGTTTAATGCAGAAGGCTCTGCGACGAGTGTTATGGAAACTTTGTAAAGACCTACGAGACTTGCGCTGAGAAAGGAATTGGTCTCTTAATTAGTGATGGAGACGAAGAGACGGACACAGCTGAACTTGAGGTCGGTCCAAGATCAAACAAAGTACATATTGACGCCCAAGATATTCGAAGGCACTCGGCTCTACCACCCAGGATGGTTATGTCGACATGAATGATACTTTTGAGATGTTATTACAGTCAATCGGAATTCGTGGTGAAGCCAATTGAAAAAGGCATAGTTTTTACAAATGTACAGTCCTTACATATATATAGCTAGATGCAAAAATAGAATTACTATTAGATGTAAAGTTTTTAAAGGATCGAATCTTACCGAACAGGATACAAGAGCGAGGGGAATAGGGGACTCACCAGACTTCTATATAAGCATACTATGTAAATTGAGGGGAAGACTTTTCGCCACGGTAATTAGGTATATATTTTCTTCAGGCACCGAGGGAGGTGTCTTACCTGCATTCCTGCCCAGTTGCCTAATTAGGAAGGAATAGCCCCTTCACTCTCCCTGGGAGTTAGGGTTAGGTAGGGTACGTAACAATGCCGGCATCGCTCACCAACCAGCACATCATTTTTGCCTCTCTTTCATTTATTTGCTCGCGTCGATTGTCCGTTTGATTTTCGCCGGATCGCGTTTACTCATCGACTGGTCGCTCACGCATGGCATGACCTAGGATTCACCGAGAATACACGTCGAGTCTGAAGAGGAGAAAGGTCGTTGTTTGCTGAATACAAGTATTGGAAAAGATGAAGGATACCACAAGCAGCAAGGTGCGATATGACGATGATATGTTTTTAGAATTCATGACAGGCGGTCGTGATGCTGAAATCGGGTATTCTCCACACAGAAACCCTCATTGTCTGATCGAAACCAATGGAACAGATTCGTGGTAGAATAGTTGAAAATGCTACTATAGTGCGCCGGTTGTTTAGAAAGAGGGAAAAGTTCTCAATCTAAAATCTGGCCATATTCCAAATCCTCCTCGTCATAGTAATTCACGGAAGTAGACATCAACCAATTGATACATATGTACAGCGCATGTATCCTGGACTTGGTGCCTGACGAGCAGTGATCAGCATCGTTGCAGGGTCCTGCAACGTATTTTTGCCACCATAGATAAGACCAGGGACATGTTATCCCTAACAACAGAGAGGATCATGCGTTAGGCGTTTCCTATAGATAGCATCACGGCTCGGTACCGATTCCGAACCGTGCTGGGTCAAACGGGGATCCCTGATTAGTTGGAGCATTGACAAAACAGATAAGAGACGGGCCCGATGCCGAACCGTAGACACAGCAGGTCACCAACTGGCTTATGTTACGGTTTTATACTCGTCAGATAAGCCGGGTCTCGACAAGGCTATGGATAAAAAATGGTAATTGACTCCGCATAGCTGCTCTATATACTGGGTTGGTCTAACTAGTATGCCATGTATAAGACCACGTTGTATTGTAATGTAAATACTCTCCTCACAAGCCGTGCGGGGTCTCAAGCATTATTTCTATAATATATATGACATTCAGTCTATATTATCACCGTCATCAATGTGTAGAACGGAATTCAGCTTGTATCCGCAACCCTGTCCCTGCTTGACAGGGAATTAATAATCCTGTCCTAATCATAATGGCATTCACACAACATGTTGTCATTATCGGAGCTGGCATCGTAGGGACTAACCTTGCGGATGAGCTGGTATCGCGAGGATGGAAAAACATCACCGTTGTCGAGCAAGGTCCACTGCACATGCCTGGCGGATCGACATCGCACGCCCCAGGCCTCGTCTTTCAGGTAAATGCGTCCAAAACAATGACCCAACTAGCGCGCTACACAGTCGAAAAGTTCAAGTCACTGGAAAAGGACGGTCAGAATTGTTTTAACCAATTAGGCGGCCTTGAAGTGGCAACAACACCGGAACGCTTAGAGGAGCTGAAACGGAAGCACGGTTATGCATCTTCGTGGGGAATCGAGGCTCGGCTTATTACTGCTGAAGAATGTTTCGAAAAATATCCACTCTTGAACAAAGAGCTCGTTCTCGGCGGGTTGCATATACCTAATGATGGCCTTGCACTCGCAGCACGCGCAACACAGTTGCTTATTGAACGCACCAGTAAGGCTGGTGTTCGGTATTTGGGGTTGACACCTGTCACTGGCATCGAGCAAGGGGACCGAGGTGTGACTGGCGTGATAACAGCTAACGGAATGATACCCGCCGATATTGTTATTTCCTGCGCTGGCTTCTGGGGTGTTGAGGTGGGAGCAATGATAGGCCTGACGATTCCCTTGGTTCCTCTCGCTCATCAATATGCGAAAACAACTTCGGTTCCTGCTCTCGCTGGCCGAAGTGTGAATTCTCTGCAAAACGGCATGAATGCAAGCATGCCAATTCTAAGACATCAAGACCAAGATCTATATTACCGAGAACACGGTGATCAGTACGGGATCGGATACTACGGCCATCGTCCGATGCCAGTTAATGCTGCCTCACTAGGCGTTACATCAAAAGATGTCGACGAGAAGAACATGCCTTCGCGTCTGGATTTCACGTGGGAGGATTTTGAACCGGCGTGGGAAGAGACTAAAAGGCTCTTACCGGTTCTACAAGACTGTGAAATATCGGACGGATTTAATGGCGTCTTCTCATTTACGCCAGATGGTGGGCCGATTGTAGGACAAGCTCCTCACTTGAATGGCTTCTATGTGGCTGAGGCCGTATGGGTTACACACTCTGCCGGCGTTGCACGAGCTGTCGCCGAAGTGCTCACTACAGGATCATCGCAGATTGATATTACGGAATGTGATTTATCCCGATTTGAAGAAGTCCAACTTACTCAAACGTATATCAGTGAGACCTCTCAACAGAACTTCGTTGAAGTTTACGACATTATACACCCGCTCCAGCCAAAAGAGTCCCCACGGAACCTCCGCACCAGTCCATTCTACGCCCGACAACGTGAACTAGGAGCGTACTTCCTTGAAGTTGGCGGCTGGGAAATCCCGTATTGGTATGAATCCAATGCAGAGCTGGTTAAATACCTTCCAGCCGCGTGGCAGCCCGTCAAGCGAGATACATGGGCAGCGCGATACTACTCTCCAATCGCTGCTGCCGAGGCATGGAAGATGCGGAATGCGGTGGCCATGTACGATATGGCATCATTCCACAGGTTCCAAGTAACTGGCCCAGGGGCTGTTCAACTTCTGCAACGATTATGCACGAGTGACGTTACTGCAAAGCCAGGGAGCATAATCTATACCCTGCTCTTGAATAATAACGGTGGAATCCGCAGCGATATTTTTGTTGCAAGATTAGCTGATAGCTTGTTCCAAATCGGGGCAAACTCGACTACTGATTTGGCATATCTCACAAGTGAAGCTGCTCGCCAATCACAACAAAACCCAAGCCAATGGGTGCAGGCCCGCGATATCACGGGAAGCACATGTTGTATCGGTCTCTGGGGTCCTCGTTCGCGGGATGTCATCAATGAAGTCAGCGCAGACGACTTTTCGAACAAAGGGCTTCCTTATTTCAGTGTCAAAAGAGTGACTATAGCCGGAGTTCCAGTTACGGCAATGCGTAAATCCTATATTGGGGAGTTAGGATGGGAGCTTCATGCTAGTGCCGAGTATGGCCAACATTTATGGGCCGCTTTATGGAAAGCGGGACACCCTCATGGACTTATTGCAGCTGGCCGCAGCGCCTTTAATTCCCTGCGACTAGAGAAGGGTTATAGGATTTGGGGCACAGATATCAGAACCGAACATGATCCATATGAAGCTGGAGTGGGCTCCGCCATCACTGCAGACAAAAAGGAAGATTACGTTGGAAAGGCAGCGCTTCAGCGCCGATACCAAGACGCCGTGCCTTCTCCTTCTCGGCGATTGCGTTGTCTGACAGTTGAGGACCGCCGGTCGGTTTTGTTGGGTAAGGAACCTATATTTCATAAAAACAAAGCAGTCGGATACGTCACAAGTGCTGGTTTTGGCTACACAATTGGCAAACCTATCGCTTATGGCTGGCTACCGAGTGATGTGCAACAAGGTGAAGCTGTCGAGATCGAGTACTTTGGACGCAGGATTAAGGCTAGGGTGACTGTTGAGCCTCTTTATGACTCACAAATGAGACGTCTGTACGACGAGGATCCGGCTGTTCCGCCTGAATTCCAGCATCGCTTGAATGCACGATTGTAAAGTGCGAGGGTCGGTGTGGAATATTTGAATGTTTGTAGATAAGCTCGGACCTTTTATCTTAGCGGGAATAATAGTGCGATGATGATTGAATGATATTTGTGTTAATATTGAAATGCTAATGACTAGCTGTTTGGGTGAGCTCGTTCCGGTCTATATTCATGAGAATCCTAAAGACCCTCAATGAAACATTTAACAATCGTGTGATTGTACTACGAAGTAGAGAATCCTAAATTATGAAATCAGTCTGGACAGCACTCTTCTTCAAACCAAAGTCTGCGAAGCCGAACATTGCAGTAAATGTTAGGGCATCGCCAAAACCAACCCATAGTCGAAAATCTTAAATATGTTGCATGGGGAGATAGGCAATTCCGTGATAAATGAAATGGAGTGTATCCTGAACGTTCAAAGACGCGGGACTTCAAGTTACTTGAATGGGCAATTGAACTTACCCGGTTTGGTTTGAATGTCGGCGAGGGAATATCTGGACTCTTCCTCCCAAATTTGAACACAATTACTCCGTTTTCGAAGATGTTGAGCACGCTAGAAATATCTAGGGACGCGTTTCGGGCTTTCCCAACTGGGGTCCGGTCGGCAAGAGAGTACTGAGGCGTCGAGAATTGCACGTGGGTTCCATGGGGATTGTCGCGTTGGCATCTTCACGGGCGGTTTCGAAGGTGATTGATATGGCAGATATTAGACACCAGAAATTGCAACTTGAGTGAGTACCGAAGAGATAGAGTGTCAAATGTTTCAAAATGATTGAATTCTATACGGAGCAGTCACAAACAAAACCGGTAATGTATGGTCGCGCGCATGGCTTTTGTGGGAAACTGTACAAAATCGCTGTCGCAATCAAGCAGGTCGTCAATTTCATACCTTGGGTCAGGGATGAACGTCATTATAGGTTTCCAAGATCCCACCAGGCAGAGCCACCAGCACTACCTGGGATGGTTTGAAAATCGACGTAACTCATGTTTTCCATGTCCTCAAACTGAGTAGGATCCGCCCATAGCCAGGGTGTGCTGGAATTGAACATGAAATTTTCTGGAGGTGCAACTAATTTTTCTTGCTGCGATGATTTAGTTCCTGTGGTTGTTGGGGTATTTCCTGATGCCGCTGAAGGGACGGAAGCACGATAGAATGACATAGGCACAGCTTGGCCTCCATCAGCGGTGTCGACGGTGACCTCTGGGGATGTAGTAGCTATTATTTCGAGCGTGGAACAGTCGTCGTCCATTTCTTCCTCCCGGTCACTCGGAAGTGGAGTGAGCGAGGAATGCAGCAAATTGCTTGTTAGTGTTTCTTGTGATGACAGATTATTATTACAGTTGAATTGAAGTATATCCCACATTAAAGAGATATTCAAGTGAATTTTAGATGGCATCCAATCTTCGTAATTCATATTTTCTGAGCCGGATGCAATGCTCATCATTTTGTCAAGAGTTTCGTTCTAAAACGTATTGTCATAGGTTAGTGGATCTGGTGGTACGATATCTCGCAGGATGACATACCAAAGCTTCGCAGGCACGGGAAAGCGGTACAAAGCTTTTCAAAAATCTCCTGCACTTCGTAAGGTCCACATTTGACTTGAATTTGAGCCGAGGATCTGCAGAACAGCAAAAGTAAAGTTGAACTGTGGCTGCAATGGCGGCCATGTGGCAAATGGAGGGATCTACCAGCCGTACTTGCTTCTCCAAGACCATATCAATTAGGCGAACAATCCACGTTGCATGCAACAAAACCAATTCGGATGACCTCCTCCAAAAGCTGTTTGGGATTGCGAGGTTTGGGTTATGTTTTGAAGCGACAATGTAAAGAAACGGATGGTTTAAAATGGTGAGAATGGCGTGGTACATAAACTGAGCCTTAAGCCAGGGGACCCAGTAAGCTCGGTTCAGACGTAGTTCCTCTGCCTTGCGCTCATAGAATTTAACCTGTTCATATCGGTGACATAGTGGGGTACGATTCTCAATTTCCATCAGATCCGACAGGATCATCGCATATGTTGAATCGTGCCACCATGGTTCTTTTAATTGATTATTCGAGCAATCAGTTACGTAGGCTCTGACTCTGCTCCAAATCCATCCAAAGTAGACAGTCATGCTCCAAATTCCAGTATCATTTGGTGACGAACACCCAATATCATCTCTTGGAAGTGGAGGATGACGATGTTTATTAGCACCTTGGTGAGAAGAAAACCAAGGACGCCATGTCTCGGTCGGAACATTCAGAAGTCCAGTCTGACGACCGTAAGTCTGCTCTAGCGTTTGAAGACTCCAGAAGAGTCTCTTTTTCCGTTCTGTTAGTGGATCGTTTTCATTATATGAGGAGTCGAGATCCAACATAGCAGAGCGGCAGAGCTGAGAAGCAAGAGATAGATGAAATTGACCGAGATGGCCTTCTGCATCTGTTTTCGAGTTAGTCAATAGACCGATTTATCTTCAAACAGAATGCCCGTACTTATAAAAAAGGAGTAGGAAAGAAAACACAAGCTTTCAATCGTCGCTAGCTCCACTGTTCCATTTGCAACACGGAACATGATCAACCTTCTGGCATTGTTTGCGTAATGTTGCCATTGATCAGGGTCTTGTGTGAACGGTGCGGCAAGTGCCTGGATGCTCCACACCAGCTCGTCGGGAAGATCGTCCTGATCTTCCAGTTCATCAAGATTGAAGCACCATAGCGGTTGTCGATGCCAGTACTTGAAGAATAGATCTATGGCTTTTGACCCTGATACCCCTCGAGCGGGTTCTTCAACTGGAAACCTCGCCGAGGAACTACTATTATGGTTGGTGCTGTATCTGCGCTCATTCGATGGAGCATGATGACCTGTTTTCGAAGACAAAGATGTCTTGATCTCCTCGAGGATCTGTTCCTGACGTGTTGTCTGAATCGGTCTGTAGAAAATTGTCAGAGCAACCTTGTCGACAGCGCGGACCGAGGGGTATATAGCTACATGTTTCCGCTCAAGATAAGATTTACCTTTTCTTCCAGGTCGGCTAGTTTATCTCGCTACGAAGAAGTCAAAACTTGGAGATGAGGCACAGTGGAAGGACAGGCAAGGCATGATACATACAGATTGCTCACCTAGTACCGCTCTTGCGGGAGCAGCAGCGTAGGAGCACTGCTGATTGAGGCGTACACAACATGAGCAAGCCGGTTTTTCGCCTGGACAGCGAATCTTCTTCCTCCTGATAAGATGATGTCAGACAGTGCTTGGCAAGAGTAGATAACGGAGACAAACCTGCAGTTGAGGCAAGCGTGGTTGGAGCGTAACCTCTGGCGAGAACTCTCGGGCGGCATCGTTGCGACGACGCAGCGAGCACAAGCTGGAGCGAGCGTGCCTCAAGAGATTCAGTTGGAGTCGAGGGGTCGCTCTCCTCGCGCTTTGGCCCAGTCTGGCAGGCGGCGGCCAGATCATGTGAGCTGGTCAGGTGACGGGTCTGGGCGTGCCTGGCTGATAATACTAAGAGCTTATCGGGATGTCTTAACCGCGTCCGGAGAACTGATCCCTGGTAATACTGTAATTACCGTTCCACAAGGACCGAAGGGGGACAATGGCTTCTGAGGGGTCTGCGGGGATGGCGGGGGCAAGTCACACAGGAATGCTTTGATAAGGCGTACCATATGCCGTATCCACTAGCAACAATACACGATCGTTATCTTGCTTCTCGGCCAATCATATGCGGGCATTCCATATACTGCGATACAGCAATACAGCATCCAATTTATTTCCCTTGCTCAGCACACAGCACTAACCATCATGTCAACAACCATTCCCAGTCAATTCTCCCTCAGGAACGAGAAATAGTTACTTGGAATCTTAGCTGTCTTTCCTCCTACCTATTGGGAGTAAAATTGCTAGTTAGGCAGAGCACTTGCACGGGCAAATAATATATTTCTTCTCTACCGGCAGACACATCTTGGGGGGTATATGGGACCACATCCATAAATGGAGCAATGATTTGTTTGCAGTGATGTTTTATGACCCGTCCTTAACCTCGAGCGCCAGGTCGTAGTAGAGTGAATTCTAGGCAGTTGGTCTAGATTGTCTGCCTATTTTATCTAATAAATAACTACTGAAATTGCGCAACCCAGACATCCATGGTGCGAACCTTGCTTCCGTTAAGCTGACCAACGGCTTCGATGACAGCGTCACGGGATGAGCGCAAAGTGGTCTTTAGAGTCGTTTCTGCAACGTGTTGGTCGATTTCCAACAAGAACTGTGTGCTTAAGACTGTTGAGGTCTCCCACCTCCCATCTTGAAGGTCCTCCTCTGGAATTATAAAACTTTCTTCTTCCAATTTCCAGCCACCAGTTTTTGCTGCGTCTTTGATACTGCTTGGGCTCGAGAGACAACGAATATTAGCATCACTGTGCTTGTTGTGAGCTTCCAAGGCAGCCCTAGTCATGGCAGCCATGACGTGCGGTATAGCAGCCCTTTCAGTTGCCTTGAGGCTGTACTCGGATATTACAAGCTTGCCGGCTCGGGGTTTCAGCGCAGTAAGTAGACTAACGAGAGTCTCTGAAGAAGCAAAGTACCATATGCAGTGCGCTAAAACAACAAAGTCCCATGACTTATCTGGGTGCTGCGCCAAGAAACCCTCAGGCTGGGAATTATGCCAGGAGATACGGCTTCCCAAACTGCCCGAGGAAATGTGAGCCTGTGCCTGAGCAAGAGTGACTGGGGTACCATAGTCTGGGGAGCCGGGGTCTATAGCGTCAACGTGACCATTAGGTCCAACGGCCTCGGCCAGGACCGTGGTGCAAGTCCCCTGTCCACAGCCAATTTCAAGAACGCGGCTACCTGTCGGGATCCTCCAGGTATTTATGAGCTTGATGCGGTGCGCTGCTTGTGGATTCTCTATCTGCAGTTGGCTCGGGTTTAGCAAAATGGAATATGAAGCAATTGTTGTTGCAGCCGTTGCTGCTATGGGGACGAATGACGTCATGAACGATGGTTACGACTGAGTAATTACTGAGTTTAATGCTATGGTATTATGGATTTATCTACGCCCACGCAGCGCTTTATATGATTTCCTAAATTCTGGTCTACTGAGATGAGTCACATTCAATGTTGCAGTTCTAAATTAAGATTAAATGCGGGCGGACTACGTAATAGGACTGGTCTAGCTATTTTCGGTAGGCTGTCAGCCATTATCCCTGCTTTTATGGCTGCACTGTTCGGTGCAACTGTATTTATGTTGCAGGTCGATCCTCTTGCTTATTTTGGACGCGAATCCAGATGTCTCGGTGTTGATCTGCGTTTTCTGCAAAGCCACTAATATCAGCCCCATCAACCTGTGATCATAATTATCGAAGCAATCTTAATATTAAAATTTAATAGCTTTTTATTTTTCTTATTTAAGCTTTCTTGATTTCGTTGTTTTCTAGAAATATTGATAAATCTAAAAATTTAAAAGATTAAAATTTATACTCGGCTTGTTCCATTAGAATGTCTATTGATGTGAGTATATCGAGTTAGAATTAAGCATCATTTGAAACAACATGAAAACGATTTCGTTACAGCTTCTTCATCATTAAAACTCAAATGGCCCGCAATAATTCAAGAAAAGAAAGAAAGAGAAGTATATCGTAATAATTACCACGCAATGCCCTCGTCGGGTGGTAATGGACAGTCGGTGGTGGCAACCTGACACGACAGATTCGAGCAAAAGCTGATATCTTTCTCGCTGATGGACGCATGCTTCGGCAGAGTCTGTCGAGCAGGCCAGATCTCCTGCTTTGCCTTTTGCTCACGATCGTAGTGCTCCGTCACAACCTGTCGCACGAGCTTCTGGAAGTATAACGGCCCCTTTTCCTTTTCGGGATGCAGCTCGCCGTTCACAAACACGCCTGCACTCAGATTCTTCTGGGTCAAATCACAGAGGTATTTGTCTTCGGACATGATGCGTTTGTACATGGTGTCAATATTCTTGAAGTCTTCGTCGGAAGCGTTCTTGTTTCGATATACTTCATATTTCATTATCGCACTGGTGGGAGAAATCGGGACGAATCGCTGCATAAAGAAAAAGTTTGGTCTGGATACAAACAATTAGTAACCGTTCTAGGTTGGATGGCTGATAGAGACACTTACGAGACATTCATAGATGCATTGGGAAAATAATACGTGCTAGCAACTCGCAATCCGCTTGCAATCTGCTCGGGTGTGGAGTGGGCATCGTGAATGATGCTTCCATTCTTCGTATCAACAGAATATGTCGATAGATCGGCCACAGCAGGGATATCAGGGTGTGTTGTTGGGCAGTGGTAGCATTCATTGTAGTTGTCAGCCAGAATTTTCCAGTTGTAGTCTCCCCCTTGCTCCCAGCTATGGTCAAAAACGTAGTCATCGAAGTTGTAGTTCTGGAATCGAGGCTGGAGATCAATCCCTTTGAAGTCATCTTCCCAAGCAATCTCTGGCTTTTCTGCAGCATCCAGGTTGACCCAGATAAAACCATTCGTATCAACGTGAACATGAATCGGGAAGAGACCATTCTTGCTCTTATCAAAGTTCTCCAGAGACTGGTAACTGGGAGCTTTGGCTAGTTTTCCGTTAAGGCCGTAAGACCAACCATGATATTTGCAAGCAAAGATCTTCGATGACCCTTGGTCTTGGGTCACAACTGGAAACCCGCGATGCCGACAGACATTGTGGAAAGCATTGATGTTTTCCTGGCGATCCTTCACAATTATAAACTGGAACCCAGCAACTTCGTAGCGGACCCAATCTCCGGGATTAGGAAATCTAGCCTTGTGAGTTGTGAAAAGCCATCGTTTGCAGAAGATTCCTCTTCTCTCAAGCTCGAACATCTCTTGGGAGGTATACCAAGAGGAAGGTAAAGCCCTGACGGGACTGCTTTCATCAGCAGGGGCTTCCTTGGTGGCGCCAGAAACACCGAGCAAGTTCCAGAGAGTAGAAGTCATTGTGATTCAAAGATAACCAATTCTTGCCAAAGATTGGTAAAGTGAAGGTAAAAAAGCAATGTGCTTCGTTGTGTGGTAGCCTCCAGACCCTCTTCCCCAGAAGATAGCAGCCTACATATAGTAAATCGCTAACCATACTTCAGTTGGCCACCTCCTTATCTCTCCCATGACTATCGCTATTGTGATATGCAACCCGAAGCACAATGGCCCCGTCAGCCGTTCGGTGGCGCATGTACATTCGGAAGCCTGCCGATCACAGGACCGGAACGGGTTATACTCGCCCGGACTGTTTGTTCGACTGTGTAATCGATATAGTTTACTGATAAGGTTCCTGCTTACTATATTTGGGACCGGCTCGCGGGGTCTGGATCGAAAGGAAATCTTGGTGGCACGGAACACGGTTCACCCTAACCCTAACCTCCGTGCTCGGGCGGAGGATCGCACAACCGTGACCGTTTTCGCTGCCGTCTTGATAAGGGCCATGCCAACACAACTGAAAGATTGACAATTGTTTTCCCGATTTAGAGAAGAGGTCCATACCTAGCTGATTTTTTGGCGCCCCTGATTTTCAGACTTTCCACTAGTGGTCGTGGCCGAACGTTGTGAGTCACGTGGATCTCTTCATCACGATCGATTAGAGACATTAAAAGTTCCAGAAGAAAAACCGAAACTGGCTACCTCCGCAGAAGCTGTCTAGGAAGAGTTTAGGCATTATTCAAGGTCAATCTGTCATCAAACACATAACCCCTCTTCTTTGGGGACACTGTCTGGGAACTACCTACGTATACTGTAGTGTAGGCAAATTTCTAAAAGATTGCGACTTATGCCTGAGGTTAACCTTTTCTCCCTCAAAGGTCTCATGACCGCATTGGAGACCACGTTGGTAGCTGTATTATCTGGACTAGGCTATTGATACTTTCCAGCAGCCGCCATAGTATGATATGCGGTAAAAGGCTTAATGGACCTCTAATTTGGCCTTTCTCTGGTGGTCTAGATTTCTAGTTCAAGCTAATATAACTAGTGATCTATACCTAGAGTCATATGACACGTCTCTAAATAAAGATTGAAGTCAAATGAAGACACATGTAGCGGTAGTGCACGAAATACTACATGAAATCTTTTCCCGTCTTTTTCCACTCCGTTCCATGGTACGTAGAATCAAACCCCGGAGCCCGTAAAAACCTAGAGACCTTCAGCTAGTTAAGGTCTAGCACGTGGTTTATATGCTTAGCATATCGATGTTGGCACTATGTATTTCGCTACGATAGGTTATCGAACAATGCATTTTCACTGACTACGTGAATACGATTTCATCCTTCTATAAAATAGCTAATGCGAACCAAATTGCTGGCGCATTAGCCTACATTTGGACTGTATCTGGTCAAACATTGGTAAACACTGTTATGAGATTCCCATTCCTACTGGCAACTAGAGAGCAGAACATAACACGTAGCAGACACGGGAGTATCCAGGCTTGTGTGGCTGATTCATGTGATGCTATTTCTGAGTGCTAACGGTGTGGATGTTTTTCCGATTGGTTTCTGGACTGAGTGGCTGCTCCGTTATTACTAAATAAAATTGAAGGGAGGAGAAAATAACATTCTTGCAGGTGTAGGCGCAGCTGCCTGAAAAATTGCCAGAACGATTTCTATCCTTTCATACCGTTCAGAGAAAGACGGCGGTGAAGCCAGAACTATGGGAATTATATCTTACTGGTGAATGTTACTATAGTTAGGTGAGCCACCCATGCATCGTTGTTGGTACCTAGTATATTGCCCGTAAAATTTAACCTTTCAAGAAAATAGTCCCCCAGATAAGGGCGGTAGATCCTTACTACAGTTAGGCGATACTTTGCACCTGGCGGGGTAAAACCTAGTTTTCCGCGGACAATTTTAGAGCAACGCCTTTTGACAAATGCTAGACCGAAAATGGTGGTGTAATCCTGAAATATCTGGTTCATTGATAACAAACCGCTAATTAGACGAGTTTCATTATCCCCTCTCCTTTGCTTTATCAGAAGCAATACACGTGTCACTGTTATCGATTTGACAATCAGTGGCGACGCAGACCCATCACGGTTCGGGTCGGCTGGAAAGCCGGTCATCTATCCCGAAGGGTTTTCCCGTAAACAAGTTGCATCAATAATCGATTATAACCAGTAGCTCAACAGAGCTCACAGTTTCAAATATTTACGACATACAACGATATTCTGTCTGTCATGGAGAAGAGAGAGAGTATCATAATCGTCGGCGCCGGCGTGTTCGGCCTGTCAACCGCCCTACAGCTAGCGGAAGAGGGATTCCGATCGATTACGGTGCTCGATCGGTCCATGCCTCCAGTGCCTGATGGATCTAGTAATGATATTTCACGTGTAATTCGATTTGACTATGGAGATAAGGTATACGCCGAGATGGGAAAGGAAGCATACGACTTGTGGAATACATTGCCTGAATATGCGGATTCTTTTCACCGAACACCCTGTGTATGGACTGCACAACAATCCGGTCCAGCGAATTTGGTCCAGTCCGGTGGTTCGGATTTCATTCGTAAGACGAAAGAGATCCTGACTAATATGGGACATGAATGGTTTGTCCTCGAAAATGTTGAAGCATTGAAAGCCCGGTTCCCGACGGTTACAGGAAACCCTATTGGGGCAGGGTTTGAAGGTTTTTACAACACCTCAGCTGGATGGGCCGATGCCGGGCTTGCCATAGCTGGTCTGCGCGATCGAGCTATCCGTGCTGGAGTAAACTTTGTTACTGGTCCTCATGGGCAGGTGACAGGACTGGAGAAAGGAGCAGATGGCACGATCAAAGCCGTGAAAACGGCTGAAGGGGGCAGAGTCCAAGGTGATAAATTTATCTTCGCAACAGGCGCATGGACAGCGAGTCTTATCCCGTCTTGGAACTCCATGGTAGCTACAGCTCAGATTGTAGGCTTTGTCCGGCTCACCCCCGATGAGGTGAAAGCATTGAAAGATCTTCCGATCATTTTCAATCTTTCTACCGGCTTTTTTAGTTTTCCACCCCACGAACAGACGGGCTATCTCAAAGTAGCATGTCATAGTTTTGGGTATACTCTGTCTTCCCCAGTTGAAGGTGAAGACGTTTCGTCGCCTCCTGGTAGGGCAGTTTCTGCCCGAGCCAATTTTATTCCAGAAGAAGGACGGCAAAGGCTGCTCGCAGGGTTGGGGGAAATTTTACCGCAACTTGTTTCACGAGGATTTGAGAAAACGGCGCTTTGCTGGTACAATGAGACACCGACTGGAGACTTCGTTTTCGACTATCACCCAGAGCATAAAAACTTGTTTATTGCTACTGGTGGTACTGGACAGTACGTGATTAGTCTAAAAGAACTTGATTAGCTGAGAAACTTTGATACTGACTGACTTGAAACAGTGCCTATAAATTCTTACCGGTAATTGGGAAGTACATTGCTGGGGCATTCCAACGCAAGCTATCCCCAGAACTATTGGAAAAATGGAGATTCCACACCGAGCATCAAAACTTGGAAAAGGACGACGTTTTTACCGGAGCAAAGAGTCGGAAAGGCGGTGATGGTAGTCGTGGTGGGCCGAAGAGGAGAGAATTCACCCCACAGGAACGAGACACTTTGCTTGCTCTTTCAGGTGCACTTGCGAAAAGAACTTCAAAGATATAGATTAGGGAATCACTATAGGACTCGGCTGTTGATGATGATTGATACAAATCAAATTTCAGAGGAATTGATGAAAGCCCTTTCTATTTGGCAATCTTGAAAAGAGTAGGATAGAATAAAAGACATGTGGTGACTTCGAGTACTCGTTGTATTTAGCGTCTAGCATCAATACTGTTATAAGTCCCTCATCGAGGTTCTGTTTATGTAGATTGTTAAGAGACAGCGTCTAGTGACCTATCACACTTCACTCATGTCGATCAATCTCAGCTGCCCTATACCACTGCCAATTATCTCTGTTCCATCTTAAAGCCTTGTCGATTTGGTTCTAGACTCATTAGTTTGTTCTGGATTCAACAATTGTGGGCGCCACGTGAAAAGTGACAGCTCTTATCCAAAGAAATGCGTCATGCGAATATGACAAGCATGCAGTCAGATATGGGCCATTTTTATCGTGCAGAAAAATACCATATATAGATCAGAACATGAGCCTAGCTATACGGAGATTAGCGGGAAAGCGAACAAGGTCGGCCAATCGAGGTGGTCACTCGGCATTGGATCTGATCCACTTCTTTGTTCTCCCCGTAACCCTAAATCTTGCCTGATGTTATTGATAGGAACACAAGGCTGGGAGAAGTACTTTGGAAGATGGCATGTAGCTTTCATGGTCGAACTGGTCATCCTGGAATGTTCCAGGAAGAGTATAAAGATTTGTCAGTCGACAGAAATTCTGGACTTCTGATACGGAGTAAAGTTACTAATCGAAAGTAGTGGAATAAGCAATTCAAACATCGAATGTTGATGTTTTAGGCAGGTTGTGAGGTTGAACCTGATGGCACATGGAGTGCAGTGGTCTTAAAAATTCAACATCGAGATTCCCGGGGCTACACATTAGATAGCACACTCCAAGGGTCTCTCGGTGGAAGATGTTATAATTAACGGCGAGAGAAACTACCGCAAGCTGTTAGCATGCGTTGGGATGTATGCTGTTAGTATCGAAGAGTCCCACACATCTGGTTGTGCATGGGTGAGCATTTCGATACCTCTTTCGTCATGCAAAGTAGGGAGAAACAAAAGACGAATCTCGCATCGCTTTTTGGGTCATGTCCAGGAAGAGTGGTCGTTACTTCTCGACGAAGATTAAGGAACCGATGTGATCCCTTTTCACCACCAGAGAGTTTCATATCGAACCGAAGCTATGCACCTGTTATTTGGAATCCATATGATTAAGCAGAAAATAAATCTTACATGAGAAATCGCCTTCTCATCATATTTGCCAGTTTCCAAGTGTACATTAATGTGAGAGTGAAGGTATCCGAACAGGATCGGGAAGCGCTTTACCAAATTATTATCCGGTGAAACGTAAGATAAGCCCGGGGAGAGAGCTTGCGTCTGGGCGCGAATGATGTCGTATAGACTTGAAGAGCCTAAGACTGATACCCCCATGGCTCACGTGGAGGTGGAGGAGGAGGAGGTGGGGAATTTGGGGTTTGGGGCGAGCCTGGATTGTTTCTGCTAACAATTGACATTCGATCTAAGTAAATGGTATATGATTGACTTGCCTGTTGACCAATGGAAAAATCTCGCCTCGTGTAGAGCAATATGGCATGTCGCCTGGATAAGTGGAAGGACCTTGGCAAGGGTTGGCAGAGGATTATTGATTGAGGATAGGTATCATACAAACCTTCAACAGAGTAACACATGATTGCAAGGGATTAGAATCAACATTCCCATGTAAAAGTATAAACCTCTTCCGAGTCTACCCGAACGCGATATTAGTAGGTTAATCAATCAGAAGGCGTGGATAAAAGTAGCTGGAATTACCTTAGTAGAGGTAGCTTGGAGCACCGGGGAATCCATTGCCGACCATCGTCCCATCCTACATCACTAAATATTGCGTGACCCCAATGCGGCTCTTCAAAGTCCTAGAGACCCAGGCAAGCGGCACATGCCTACAGCTCTGCACCGGAGTGATGGATAGTTTCGCTGCAAACCCGCTTGCGAACTTGCTTCTGTCTTGATTGCGTTTTCGGCGAGCTGGATCCAATCTGCGCAGAGCCAAGCTGCAAGGCCGCCCTCCTTGTTCTGGTCCGCAAATCGGCAGGGCGCACGTCGAGACGTCATCAAGTTAAATCGCGAACTAGTCGAATACAACACGCGGGAACTAAGTCCGCTAATTTGGTACATGCAGCTTTAGACTGCTAGTACTGCGTTATGATTAGATGACAACGACATGGAGGGAGGAGTGGGCTGCGTGCGGATACGCCGCGGCCTATCGATTGGCCGTTGTTGCTTTGATTTGTTGTCATCCTCTTCATAGGCTCCTTTGGTTGGCGCTCTCTCATGGATCCTTGATTGAGTGTATGTAGTCGATGTTACCGTGTTGCATGGCATCACTGGGCATCGTAATTTATGAGCAGAAGCTGATTCGCTCATAGGGGGGAGTCCAATAAATAATGCTATGACGAATAGTGACAGTATTCTTGCCTGCAATTTTTATGACTGCATATCTTTTCGTTTAGCGCCTGCATCTTTTCCATCTCCGCATGCAACGGAAACTGGGCGTGACATTTGTTCTATTGCTACCAACATGTTTCATACGAATATAATCTGTAAAACCTTGGATTTACGCTAAACATCGGCTAGATTTCATAATAGTGACTACCAACCAATGCTCTCAAAATGTATGATCAGCCTATCCGCTTTCGGGATTTTCGGGAAACATGTGCTGGGTTGTGATCCGAATTCTTTTACCATACTAGTAAATTAGAATTGTTCAAAGGACGAATAAACCCATTAGCACACCAAAGATCCCAAATAGCTCTGTGGTGCCGGACTTTGAAGTACAGGTGCTGATAATAAAAGTCCAAAAAAGCTGAGAATGGCATGGAGATATATGATCGCCACGAAGCAATCACACTGACTGCATGGTATGATTCGATAAACTAAAACGAGCGATTTAGAATCAGTTATCAAATTGCGGAGTGCAAGGGGAAAATGTACACAATTGAACCCAACGGAAGGGATTTGTATTTAATCCAAAGAAAGGCATCCCGTATCCGAATTGCATTCTAAGCCAACCCTTTTTCGACAGATCGTTGGCGCAAAATCCAAATGTTCATATTCCAGTCGTGGCCAAAAAAGCCAGGAAATAAAGCTGGAAGTCTTGCCTCAGACTCACTCAGTTCACGGGCATGTCGATGAGCGTAGCCTTTGCGCGTTAGACCCGACATAAATACGTTACACCTAATCCCCACACAGTTCCAATAAGGCCGCTAACAATAATTAATCCGGATTCGCATCGTAAAGATATGGAGCAGTGAGAGACTGATGGCATACCGTAGATATGGTGACGATGCCGCCGATAAGGCTGCCGTATTGAATCATTCCAAGCTATACGGCCGGGCGGCGTAACCTCGGCCACGGCAATTACGCCGCGGGCTAGGAAAACAGTATATACGATCTATACTGAATGTAAAGAGCTAAATGTATATTTAATCACTACCCATGGCTTTGTTGAAGTTTTAAATCACCGTAGCACGGCCCCGTTGATGGCGAAAGAGTAGCTCTCCAATAATCGTCAGACGGATTGTTTCCGAAGACCCGATTCTGTTGCCCTGGAAATCCGGGTCACAAGAAGGCTGTTATAAGATGTGGCTTAGGCAGTCCAAACAGAGTAATGTGATGTGATCAAGAGTCTGAGTACGCGATCGCTCTACGCCTGAAAAGACATTGGCCAATGAAACCCACCAGATATTGGAAGCACCCAGTCATTAAGAAGCTAACCTAATTAAAAGAGGTTTTAGTCTTAATGCTGTACTTCAAACGGCGATTGATAAGTAATGTAGTCCATATGCATGTAATAAACCAATAAAAACTAACCATTACCAAATGGCTCAGATTACTGTTAAAGAAGCGAATGCCACATTTCCTACCAAGCGTACAAAATAGCGCTAGATAATACCATCAACTTCCTCCAAATAGACCGGTTTAGAGGGACAACAGGTTCATTAGACGCCCTGGGAACCTGAAGGAGTCTGTGAACTCCTTTCCGGGTGTCGTCAAGATCCTGATCTGACAGTGGAATTAGACATTAGCTTTGACTGGGAAAACCGGTGCGAACTCCTAGTGGAAAGTAATACCGAAAAGCTGGTAGTTCCTGGTGGCCTAGTTTGTTGGCCAACGTCGTTTGGAAGCGAGAAGGTAGAGCGGAACCTAGACATGACGACCCGCGGTGAAAAGTTGAAAAGTCGTGCGGTAGCGAAATCAATAGAAGATTCAACGTTCCTAATAGAAGAGCTAAACTGGACTTATGAGACATATACGAATTGTATTTTTCCTCTGAGCGGTCTATTATTACCATCGGGACTGTGAAGACTAGAAAAACCTGGAGAATTGTGGAGCAAATTCATCACTAATTCCTTTTCTGTGTGTCCAAATGTGTACGCTCTCTTTCATAACCGCACGGAGCTCGCAGAGACCCCTATATAGAATACCGAGCTAGGGTTACGCTAATCCCCGAGGTGGAGGACATCGTATCCCAGGTGCATAACTATGCAGCTACATGCAATGCATGGGACGAGAAACATTAGTGGGAGAGACAACCCAGGAGTCGCAAAGCAGCTCCACAAACCCCAAACTCGTATTAATATTTCTTTTTCTTGTTGGCCGGTAATGCTAATCTATTGCCTGATTCTTTATCCATAATTCCGACAGGAAATAGTGGCTGTTAAGTAAACAGCTTGGTTAATTATTGGATAACATAATTTGTGGGCTCACAGTGATTTATCTGCTAGGTTTACAATCGAGCCATGGAGAAGACGGCGCTGCAGTTAAATTACCTTCGCGTAAGCATATGACAATACCCAGGCCTGAATCTAATATATGTCGTAAACTAATGAGGGCAAGTGCCTTCAACACCTGATCGGTTATCTCGTATAAATATACGGATAGCTAATTGGCTATCAATGTGATAGCCTTGCATAGCAACCCCTCTCCTTTCTCACGTTATAAACCCCGTGTGCTCATAGCCATACGACGCTCTCCGCAATCAGATATGCACGTGGATGATACGCTAAGGCGATGTCTCCTCCGACATGCGGTGACTACACAATCGCGTGGATATGCGCCTTGCCAGTAGAGGTAGCGGCGGCAAAGGCTATTCTAGATGAGATTCACCAATCCTTGCTTCAACCGTCTACTGATCCAAATGCTTACGTGCTCGGCAATTAAATGGACATTTTATTGCCATGGCCTGTCTGCCAGCTGAGATATATGGAACCATATCTGCTTCTACTTCCATATCTCATCTTGCTTCGACCTTTCGAGCGATCCAGTTCGTACTGATGGTGGGGATTGGAGGCGGTGTGCCAAGCAGAACCGATGACATTCAGTTGGGTGATGTGGTGATTAGCAAATCAACCGGGAAGTATAGTGGAGTGATTCAATACGATCATGGAAAGACTGTACAAGGCGGATGCTTTGAACAAACCGGCATGCTAAACCATCCGCCACAAAGTCTTTTGACACGTATTGCTCACCTCCAAGCTGATCAGATGGCGAAAAAAGATAATGGCATTTTAACCATCATTCAGGATGTCATAAAACGAAATCCTGATATGAATGAAAGTTTTATACCACCAGGTCAAGACACAGATTCTCTCTTTCGATCGTCATATCAACATATTGATAATGATAAAGAAAATAAATGTGTCAAGTGTGATAAACAGCAGTTAGTCCACCGACATCCACGTAATAGCAGGACACCTCATATCCACTATGGATTGATCGCATCTGGAGACCAGATGATGGAAGACTCTGAAACACGGGACCGTCTCACACAACAGTTAGGCATTCTCTATTTTAAAATGGAAGCGGTGGGCCTCATGAATCAGCTTCCAACTCTCGTCATCCGAGGAATCTCCAACTATTGCAATTCCCATAAACATAAAGACTGGCAGAGATATGTGGCCTTGACAGTAGCTGTCTATACAAAATTGTTATTATCACTTGTACCTGTTCGTGATACAAATCTCGGCCTGCCATCGAGCAATAAAGTACGGCACTAGGTGGCCCCACTAGGAAGAAACACAAAATTTGTCGGTCGTCAGGTTGAAATAGAAAAATTAAAACAATTAATTACCATGCAAGATAGGCCTAGAAGGGTCGCAATCACAGGTTTAGAAGAGGTCAGGAAGACCCAGATGGTCTTAGAGCTAACACACTGCATACAGGATCAATATAAGGAAAGCTCAATTTTCTGGATTCCATGTACAAGTCATGCAATGATCGAGCAAGCCTACTTGAATATCACGCAAACACTAGCCCTTCATGACATAAAACCAGCAGAGGTTAAAGAGCAGATCAAAACATACCTTAGCACCAAATATGCTGGGAAATGGCTTCTGATTTTCGACAATCCAGATAATACAGAGATATGACTAGAAGGTAGTGACACAGCTCCAGCTCTAAAAGACTTCCTTCCACAGAGCGAACAAGGATATATCTTGTTTACTACACAGAACCGAAAACTTGCTATGAACCTTATACCATTTGATATTGTTCTAATTCCAGATGTAGATTAAGACACTGCTTTAAAATGTTAGAAAAGTCATTGAGATAAAGGGGGGCCTAACTAAAGATTATATTATAGTAGATACCCTTTTAGAGTAATTGGCCTACCTATTCTTGGTAATTACACAGATATCAGCGTATATTATTAAAAAAGATATAAGTTTAGTGGAATATTTAGAGCCTTTATAAGCGTAGGAAGAAGAAGTGGTAGATCTTTTGAACGAAGATTTTAAGAATGCAGGGTGTTATAAAGACATTTAGAATCCAATGATTATCACTTGCTTAATATTTTTTAAATAGATTTAGCATCAAGATTAATTGGTAACTAACTACCTATCTTCCATGGCTTGTATCAACCCATAGAACATTCTATAATCCCTTCTCGACCTTACACCGGAGACGACTAGCTGCCAAATTTTCATTGGAAACCATCCCCTTATTATAGCTTCCAGAACACATTCATCCACGCCGAGAGGTCAAGATTACAAGAAGTTGATTAATTTGGCACGGCCATAGTCTGCACGATTAGGCTTGAACAGAGAAATTGATTCGTGCAGTAGAAGTAGTTTAGTCTCAATTTTTCAGGATATGGGAGGAGAAAGTACATATCCGAGCTACACCACGCCTGGCTATTATATCGAAACGATGTAGAAGTCAAAGGACGTGGAGGAGGCGGAATCTATCTAACCGCGCTCTAACAATTTAGACGAGCCCACAGCAGGGTCGACGAATTAGAGCGCGTGGTGTTTAAGCGAAATAGAGGCATGACCGACTGTTCGGGATTTAACAGAAGCCTTTTTCTTGCAAATTACTATGATTGGTTGATAATAACCGAATACAGGCAAAAACTGACGCGGCGGTAAGCGAACCGAGCCGTAGAAGTGTAGCCAAGCACAAGTCAAATCCAATCATGGACTTCTGCGTGATTCAAGCATGAAATTCATTGGACGATGTTTTAGGTTAAAAGAAGCCCCCGCAAAATAACATCTGTTGACCTGGAGAAATGCTAACCTGCATCTAGGAAAGATCCTGTGGGGAGTGCCGGGCCATCCAGTTATGGCAGAGGCGCATCAGAGAATTTCCTCCAATCAGCGTCTTGCGCTTTCCGGCCTGTTCAGATTATATAGAGGGTCTAGATATCTCAGTTTACTGGAACTTGTACGTTACCTTTTTCTGTTCTCGAGTGAATAGTATCTGTATAAGGTTCTATTTTGTGACAATACAAGGCGCAATGGCTTTACCTCCTAAGTGGTATCAGGTATGTGCAACATGTTAATTTTCGCAATTTCTAACCAAACTTCAGTTTCTGGTTTGCGTTTTCGCATCGCTGGGATCTGTTCTCTATGGCTATGATCTTGGTGTTATCGCTGAAGCTATCGCCAGTCCGTCTCTCATCAATGCGTTCAATGCAAATCCGACTCAGCGCGGCGCTGTTACATCTGTCTTTACTGGAGGCGCATTTTTCGGGGCATTCTTTGCCGGTGCCTTGGGTGATTATGTTGGGCGAAAACGAACCATCCTTGTGGGAGCAGTGATATTCTTGTTGGGCGGGTGAGCATGGAATTTATCAGCGGCAGAGAAAAAACTTTCTGACTGTCAGGTATAGCTGCTTACAGACTGCTGCTCAGAGCCTGTCCTATCTTTATGCTGGCCGATCTATTGCTGGCCTTGGGTGAATATAGTCGCTCTCATCCGGTATTTGTATCTGCTAACGATAACACAGAGTGGGAATCCTGGTCATGATTGTACCTATCTACCAAGCCGAACTGGCCCATCCTGATATTCGTGGTCGAATTACATCTCTGCAGCAGCTAATGTTGGGGGTTGGAGCACTTGTAGCTGCCTGGATTTCCTGGGGAACATTCATTAACTTTGCTGATGATGATTCTCGGCAATGGAGAGTTTCGTTGGGAATTCAAATGGTTCCAGCTGTCTTTTTGGCTGCACTCATTCTCTTCTTCCCAGAATCTCCTCGCTGGCTCATTGACCATGGAAAGGTCGACGAGGGTCTTCAGACATTGGCCCGACTTCACTCGGGTGGTGATATCAATGACAGCTGGGTTCAAATTGAGTTTGAGCAGATCCGCTCTTCAATCGCACACGAGCACGAAGCGGCAGCGAAATCTTATCTGGAGCTTTTTACCGATCGATCATGCCTCCGAAGACTGTTTTTGGCATGCTCAATTCAAGCAGCAGCCCAGATGACTGGAGTCAGTGCTATCCAATACTTTAGCACTACTATTTTTGAGCAAATTGGAATTCAAGCAAACGATACCCTTAAGTACCAGGGAATCAATTCAATCATTGCCATCATTGCTCAGGTGTGTTGCCTGCTGTTTATCGACAAAACCGGTAGACGATGGCCTCAGATTATCGGAAATCTCGTCAACTGTCTCTTTTTCGTAAGTTATGCACAAACGAAGTTAAGATATTTCAAAATCACTAAAATATACTTAGATTATTCCCACTATTCTCATTGCGAGATTCCCCCCGGGACCTCCAACAACCATTCTGCTAGCTGGGCATTTATCGTGATGACATGGTGTTATAATTTCTCCTTCAGCTGCACAACCGGCCCTCTCACCTGGATTATCTGTTCCGAGATTTTTGATATGAAGACACGGTCCAAAGGCGTGTCCATAGCGACAATGACGTCATTCGCTTTCAACACGATGATAGGCCAGGTCACCGACGTGGCTATTCAGAGGATTGGAGGATGGCGATTTTATATTCTCTTCTGCGTTTGTAATTTTACAAACGCGGTGTTCTTCTGGCTTGTTCTTCCAGAGACTGCTCTAAGACCACTTGAAGAGATGAACCATCTTTTCACTCATGAGCCGTGGATAGTACCCGGTACCCAGACGAAGCAGTTTCAGCAAAGAGCGACGATATCGGAGAAACTAGAGGTTGATCACGTTAGTGTCGTCAATGAGGAATAGGTTCCGTAAGACAATCGTAGATAGGCAATTTCACAAAGCTGAAAAACCATACTAGTTGCTGAGATAGTTGCTATCTGATTTTTGACTGGCGGGAATGAGCCAACCGTCCTCGTGGATTGGTCTCTCTGGATTAATTATGCGATAAATACCTTGATCGGCACTTAAAGACTGGATCCACGAAGATTTTGGTTTATATGAATGCAGGAAATAATTTCAATTGATTGTTTTCAAAAATTCTGCAGTCAGATTCAAGTGGTAGAAAATACAACTGGGGATTGATGGCAATGAAAATTGCGCCATTTCGATTTCTTTCAAAACAAACAGACCGACATGTATAATAATCATAATCAAGAAACCGCGGTACTTTGCGGCTTGTTACTATTTGACGGAGTAGGGTTACTATGATTACTGATCGAAACCCTAACCTGGCGTGCACTGGTAGTGTTTGGTATTGTCCGTACCTACTTCTGACGACAAGTTTTTTGGGCGGGTTTTGACAAATTTTACTAACAAATTTGTTGGGCACTATACCCTGTCAAGAAAATAATGGGATATAAAATCGTGCATATAATTTAGATCTAGCTATTTTAAGATACAAATTTAATATTGGCGCTACTGGAGTATCTCCGAGAAAAGTTTCTGAATTATGATTAGTAGGTAAGAAATTTTAGTCAATTAAAACGCTTGAATTAGACCCACTCAGGAACTACGCAGATTTTATGTTTAATATGACAAAGCATTGTTACGTCACGTTTTACAATGACACGCGCTGCCAGTAATATAGTTACCAGCTGGTAGTGTTCAGTAATCATGTCACGCCACTGCTAAGTTTACTGATGCAGTTTATAAGCAATCATGATTACTCGGCTTTTTAAAGTATTATTAAAAATTCGATAATATTAATAATAAATGTACATTCTGGTTCCATGGATGACTAGAAATACACCTGTTCAAATTGTGAATTGGCTAATCAACAAGTATTGGTCTATATAAACATGCCTCCTGTACCCTCTGATAGGGAAGGTTCATCTCTAACAATCAATTGACTATTCAACTTCACAGCAATAACATCACAAATATATTACACCTTTTCAAAGGAAAATCAGAACCATGACTTCAGGCTTGATCTTTGTTACTGGGGCCACTGGTTTCATTGGTATCGCAACCGCCCTCGAAGCCCTTAAGGCAGGCTATCGGCTCCGTGTAGCTATCCGTCAGGAATCCCAGATCCAGAAAGTTAAGAAGGTGCTTTCGGAGTATGCTGATAAGCTTGAATTTGCTATTGTACCTGATATCACCGACGACAAGGCATATACGGGGAAACTTGACGGCGTGGACTATGTCCTCCACATTGCGTCCCCTCTTGCCCGTACCCTCGATAAGAAGGATTATTTTGAACCTGCACCAAAAGGAACCGTCAATATACTAAAGGAGGCCACCAAGGTCTCAAGTGTTAAAAAGGTTGTCATTACCTCGTCTATTGTTGCTTTTATTCCTCTTAGTGGGGTTCCTGAGGGTGGAGTTGTTACAGGTATGGGTTACTCTTCACATCTGCTTATGTTTGTATTTAAAAGCTGACTCCGATGAAACAGAGGAGCCAACCTGGGACTTGACCGTCGATGTTGATGGAGACTTCACTGGTCCCCACCCTAAGGCTACAGCATTCAAACTTTACCACGCTTCCAAGATCCTCGCGAACGATGCGACATGGGAATTCAAAAAGAGGAATGACCCTAATTTCTCCCTTGTCACTATCCATCCTACTTTTGTTTACGGCCATGACCTATTCCAAACAACGCCTGATGAAATTGGTGGCACAAATAGTATTTTATGGAATGCTTTTGTGTCTGGCGAAGCGCAGATTTGGTCTAGCTATGTCAATGTCCGCGACGTTGCGAAAGCGCATATCAAGGCTTTGGATTCCACAATTCCCGACGGATCCAAGTATCTCGTGGCTGGAAAAGATACCACATGGAAGGAAGTCGCACAGCTTCTGAAAAAGAACTATCCCAGCAATGAACTTTTCAAGTTGTCCGAGGCGACCACGGGTATCCCATTGCCAGCCAATACATCCAAAGCTGAGAAGGAGCTTGGTATTGATTGGATTTCACTTGAAGACACAATCAAGGAAGTTGTAGAACAAAACTCGAAGTGAGGTTGTTGCATGTTCGTAAGTGGAGGATATGGAAGATGGACTATGTATTTAGGTATATAATCAAATAGAAGATGGTATTGTATTTTCTTACCTTTGAAAAGAAACGTGTGGTTTAGAAACACAGTGAAGTTTAGGAGACTAGCGAGAATTGATAATAAAATTATCGTCATAGAAAACACAATTTGTCCCTCGAATAATTATGTGAGAAATCTACGCACCTCGAACTTGACCCGAACGACCTGAGTCTTGGGAGTTACCGAGATTACACTTGAGAATCATATAGCTAACCTTGCTGAATACTCACTTATGTAGAAAATGATCTAAAAGAAATGAATGAAGATAAAGACGAGGAGTGGAACCCAAATTCAGGGGTAGTACGGTACTTGTGCCAATTGGCTGGTACAAGCCGGTTCCGGCCCAGAAACAAGAGAAACAAAATAGGTCAGGATTGGCAACATACATCGTTGTTGTTATTTCAACCTTACGTACAGTGCGTTCGACGATATTGGCGTCAATATGACTGGAATAACCTCAGGTGGTCAAGGCAGGGAGCCTGTAGCCATCTCATTACATATTTTAGAAATCGATGTCTACATTTGCTAGCTCTATCGGTAGAAAGGATTCACTCAGTATCTCAGTTATTGGCCGAGATATTTGAATATGATCCATTCACCAATACCTGTCTAGGCTCACTCGATTCTCAGCAACGAGAGAAATCCCGCCCGGATTTACCCAATGCACTTTTAACAGTGCTGTTGCCAGAGGTGCGAACAATTGAAGAAATAGACGATTCTCTGTCATTCGGCGTATTAGTACCCTCTTAAAGTACAGTACAGACTGCAAAGGTTCCAAATTCGCCTGGCCTCTGGCATAAACTTGCTTCTGCAAGATTTGAAAATTCATTGGTAATAGGTCTAAGGGAAAGTATACCTGCTGAGGAGAAAAAGGCGCCGCTGTTCGATATATCATCACATACTAGGGTTTGCGAGAAGAAAGTAGTTGGGGACGACGATGACTACTTTTACATATTTATCTTAAAGATAGTACGAAATACTGTCGCAATGTGTACGAGACGACTGCCGATTGACGATATAAAAAAGCCATACCGATATGGTATCGTCAACAGCTCTACTCTAGACTTCAATCTAAGGCAATACGTAAATTCTAGGTCGACACTATCTATATGTACACTATCTTGGCATCCTGGTTATATTATGGTTCCTGGTCAAACCTGTTGGAGGTGTGTAGGTAGTTGACATGATAGGCGCGCCGCATATATGGCCTATTTGGGCAACATTTGAAATGTCTTCAGGACTATCTCGTCAGGACAGAGGATTGTTGAAAAAGTTTCAAATTTACGGAAATTCGAATTTGAAGGCGATTGTTCATGCAAATTTCAATTTTGAAATTTCAAACGCCATTCCTACTATTTAGACTCGCTTTTCAGTTTCAAGATCCTCAAATGTAATTTCAACAAGAATCAGTAACCCGAAGGAAAAGGGAAAAAGTGTCGTCTGGTTGATTCGATACCTCGACACTGAAACTGGAATTTTCTCACTTTCTGTTTCGGTGTCTCCCAGCTTGTCACGATGGCCTTCATCCACCGACACTTGGCAAATGCTTTGTTCCGCGAGATTTATTGTTTTTTCGCAAGATCACAACGACAAGATCAAGAGTCTTCCTGTCTCAACTTCGAAAAAATAACGACACAATTTCACCAGGCTCATCTCTTAACGCCCAACCGCATGTGTTGATGCCGAATAGAGCATCATCCCAATCATCGTCCTCCTCACAACTGCCTCAGTATCTGCTTCAGGGTCCAGCGAACCTGGAAGGTCGGTGAACCAGAATTATCGTGTCTGGACACCGCCACCCCTATCGAGTCAATTACAGATTGAACCGAATTACGCCACCAAGGCATAGACTATTACTTCACATCTGACTATATAGTCAGATCTCGCCAATCAATCTTTGGAAACTTAAGCCCATAGCTTAGAGATAGAGGTTTAACGAAAAGCTCCTTTCTAGTACCGGTTTTACTGCGAAACCTTCTGTCTACCACGCGTACGCGGTATGGCGAAGGGAGGGGGATTGCAGGCATACATACATATACGCACTAAATCAGGAATATCGACCGACTTGTATAACATACTTTTAGCTTTCTAGTAGCATATAATGAAACTACGAATTTCGAGCTGGAATTTCACTTTTTCTCGAACCCCTTACCAATGTGCAGAATCGTTGAGAACTGCATTCTTCTTCCATAGGAACATTGTATATTGTCATAATGGTGCAATATATTTCTCCCTAAAAAAATTACTAAATGTGTGAAAAATTCGCCCCTAGCGAAATAATAATTTTTCTGTCACAGTTATGTAACAGTAGGAAATACTACCAGCGTTGGCTTCAGTTTCTAGAGTCACCAGACAGTCAATATGCAGAAGAAAAACGTGAAAGACAAGATTGGGAAGCCTATTCATGAACAGGATTATGTTTTCACAAGGTATCGTGGAGGCACGCATGAGGGAAGGGTAAGATCTTAAGAACTCTACTTAAAAACGACTACCGAGAGTTTTTTTAACCATACTTACAGGTTGAAAAAATCGTAATGTCCCGAGAAGAAGCCGAGGACGAAGGAGTATCAAACCCCCCTAAGGTAGGCTCAGATATACTACCCAGGTGTAGAACAGAATTGTCCTCAAATACTTTCTGACACTATATTAGGTCGTATATACTGATCAACATGGACATCCCGTAGCGCACAACCCTCAAACGCTGATAAAGGACGACGAGTAAGGTATTGAGCGTGTAGCTTATCTCCTTCATTAATATTTCTGCTGCATGAATTTATATTAAGATAAATATATTTCCTTTCAAATGCCCAATTCAGTCCAGGCGATTATTCCTATAAAAACCCCACCAAGGGTATGCATAATCCACCTTCCTTTCCACCCACCGTGCTCCTCGCCTCCATATTTCCAAACAACATAAGCATCGACTTGTGCAGCGCTCTGCTCAAATCAGATAAATACACGGATATCCGCGGGAAATGGGCTAAACGCACAGATAATGAGATCATAAATGCTTTTATTGCTGCTTTGTTATCTTGTAGCCCAAGGAGTAGGAATGTAATGCCCAGGCTTATCTCTCGCCCCCCATTCGCATATACAAATGGGGATGGGTAGTATTTCGGTTCTAATATTGAGTTTTGCTCCGCTGCACCCTCCGACATCACTTTTGGGAGAGGGAGGCCAAATAAAGTGTATGTTGTTGTTGGAGCTAAGAGGTGCATGCCTCCGAGACCTAGGAATACTGATGAAAGCACATATGGCGTGGGAGAGGCTATTGGATGAGCCATAACTGTTGTATTTCCAGTAGTAATAAGCCACAAGAGACTCTGTATCTTATGGATGTAGATCTTACTTTTCATGGAATTATCGCTACATGTACTGTCATGAATGCCTATATGGTCAGGATGACGTCAAACATGGTGATGATCAGATATCCATTTCGGATTATAGCAATTCATTATGAATATCATAGAAGTAAGATTATGAATCAATATAGCCTGTCTTATTTTTTTTAAAAAAGAAAATAGAGAAACCTTTATACCAAAAGCGACATAAAGTCCAAATGGACCGGATACACCATCTAATACTCTTCCTGAGCAAAGCCTACCTATATAAAAACAGGATTCGATCGATTTATAATAAATGCATAAAACACCAATACTATGCCTGCAGGGTTTCACTAATACATACTGCCGGACTAATAGCTTCTTGGGATTTATGTTAGTACATCTTTGCTATTATTAGCGCCCACATGGTGAAGTGCACTCTGCTGATTGGGCAATAAGAGACTTCTCTTGATGAAGGTTTCGTTCATGTAAATAATAATAAATTAAGCATTCGCTTTTCTGAATTGCTACAAACAAACGCCCTGAATAAAGAATACCATGATTGATTATCTAAAATTATTCGAAACCCTCGGATATACTTAGTTGTGTTTGTTTGTTTCCGTTGCATTTGGAGTTCCAGGGCGATACTGGAGAGCGCCTGGTCAGCTCCGCCTTGGCATAGGTATACAAATAGAGCAAAGCCAACCTTCGACAGTTAGCTAATAAATTACTACATAAATCACAATTGCTTAAGTGCATGACACAAAAATGCCACCAATATTACGAACGGGTGGGCAGAAGCTCGACATCGAGGTTGCAGCGCCTCCAGGGTGGATTTTCGCCGCAGGAGATCCTATCATCGGCCATGTCCTTCGTCATACCTTTTTACTTACGCTTGACGCCACTGTGACTCTCACATTAAAGGGCCGTATAAAGTTTGATCATAAAGCAAACGAAGACGAAGAGCATTACTACAACGAGGAACAATTATTGGGCACTACTACAAGCCAAACTCTCTTCCACGGGCCCCTACATGTTCCGAAAGACAGCTCGTCTACGACCATGGCTACTTGGCCTTTCTCGATTGAGATACCAACAAAAGTAGATAGGATCCGTCATAATATCGCTGGATACAGTGGCTTTTTAGAACCAGATCATCCAGGTGCAGTTTTACCAGGAACATTCCATGTGAGGTCTGGAAGTTGGTCTGAGTGTCTTATCGAATACTATCTCGAAGCACAGCTAAATTATATCAATGGAGGCCACAGAGCGAATGAAACTGCTGCAGTCTGTATTTTGCTGAGCAATCCTCCAACTGGAAGACTGGCGAAATATGATCTTGAGCTACGAAAAAGTTGTCAACTGGCTCGCAGTTACCGACTCCTCCCTGGAAGACAAGACATGGATGAATCGTTTAAGCAAAAAATACGAAGATTCTATGCCTCAGAAACGGTACCCCAGTTCCAGTATGAAATTGGGGTTTGGTGGCCTTGTGTTATGCAGCTTCATAATGAAATGACATTACCTTTGAAAATTAGCATGAGGGGGTTGGGGGAGAAGACGAGTATCACTGTTCAAGGAGTTACGCAGCATGTTCGGCTTAACTGGATAAAACTGAATTTAATATCCTCTACGACAGCACCACGAAAGAAAGGGGCCTGGAATAATGTTAAATTCGAGCATGACTACGACCTTGGCCTCGAAAAAGCTTTTGGGGATCTAGAGTCGCCAATAACCATTCCTTTGACACCTCACTGCGATACCAAAAGATTAAACATTGACGCTGAAGACAGTAACGGCGGGTACCAAACAGTCGATATTGGCGACCTGTTTCAGCTTAACATTCGACCAAATGGATTATACACCGGAAACAAGCTCTTGAGATTGAACGCACCAATATATCCCGATCTTGTTTCATATAGCATGAGACATGAACATAGGCTTAAATGGAAGGTTTCGTTCACTGTTGCAGGAATCACTGAGCAAATCAAGGGCGGCTCGAAAGTTACGATATATCCGTCTCCATAGCTACCAGGTTGTATATATTCTAGTGTGACTGCATCTTAGCATTTATCTACGGTTTCATAATTTGATATATTGATATAATTCCAGGAATTTCTATAGTAGGCACAATCTCCTCCCCATGCTAAATACCACGGAGATAACATGCTAAACTACGAAACTCAGGCTATGCATGAATTTGACGAGACTAAACTTGATGCAGCTCAAAATACCTTGATCTGGTTAGAAGAGTCAGTCCTATTGAACTGAGGCTATGTTTCTTATATGAATAGTATGCGCATTGGAAGAAGGCTTTTTGATGGAATCGTGCAACAAAACGAGTCCGGATAGGCTGCCACCAGTGGCAATGTCTTACAGTAATATACGCTTCCAGACCAATAGCTGATTATAGCATCGGAATTAAAATCCTGTAGTGACGACAAATTAGCCTTTTTGCGACTGGCAAAAATTCCACTTCCAAATAGCCCGATGACATCATTCATCAATCACCTATGCTATGAGTGGCTTGAGAATTTGACGTCGTATTATAAACGCATTGGAAGTCGTTTCGTTTAACGTTGCTCAAAAATGATCGGAAAATGATCGGTTAACATGGACACGAGAGATACGATGGGTTACCCATCCATAGGGGACTATGGATTGATTGGAGACATGCATACATGCGCGCTCATTAGTAAATATGGAAGTATCGATTTCATGTGTTGGCCAGTATTCGACTCACCGTCAATATTTTGCCGTCTTTTGGACATGAAGAAAGGTGGATATTTTTCAATCACCCCAGCATCAGAGAGTAAAGCAATCAGCAAGCAGAGATATCTTCCATACACCAACATGCTTGAAACTAAATGGATTGACGATGAAGGAGTCGTGGATATATGTGATTATTTTCTCGTTTCAAAAAGCAGGCCGCCTTCTGGTCCAGAGAGCGGTATTGTGTCAGGATGGTGTCCCTGTAAAGAATCAAAACACGATCGTCGCGAGGACTCCATTCGCCATTCCTGCCTTATAAGAAGAATGACTTGTGAACGGGGCAGCATGGATTTGACAGCAAGGATCTTCCCCGCGTTCAATTATGCTCGTGGCAAACATCAAATGATCAATTGTCCAAGTAGCGAATGCATCAATGGGCGTCAAATACGAACAATGATTTTCAAAAGTAATACGGAAACGATGGTGCTCGATATTTTTATCGACAGCAGCAGCGACGATAAATATGGATTTCCAGTGCTTCAACTTGAAGCAAAACAGGGAGTAGATTTCAAAGGACAAGGAATCGATGCGAAGATAACCATATCATATAAGCAATCAATTACCTTCATCGTCCGTGGCGACCGAACAGCAATCCCACAGATAGAAAATATACCCGCATACATTGGTCAAGTAGAATATGAGACCTTCAGCTTTTGGAAGAGCTGGGCAAAAAAATGCACCTTTACAGGGCACTATCGCGAGCAAGTTCTCAGAAGCCTTCTAGTATTAAAACTTCTCACCTACAGGCCCACTGGCGCCATTATTGCATCGCCAACCTTCTCCTTGCCCGAAACCGTTGGGGGTAATCGCAATTGGGACTATAGATATTCATGGATCCGCGACACTTCATTTGCCCTATACGTGCTTCTCGAAAATGGTTACAGCGAAGAAGCAGAGGAATATATGGGCTTTATTTACGATCGTATCATTCCCTCCGTCACGAGGAGAGCTGTGGAATCTCCCTCAAAACAATCACTACCAGTTGTCCTCACAATTAGAGGCGAGTGCGATATTCCAGAAATGGAATTAGATCACTTGGAAGGCTATCGATGTAGTCGGCCCGTCAGAATTGGAAACGGGGCGACATCGCACATACAAATCGACACGTTTGGAGCATTACTTGATAGTATTTATCTCTACAATAAATTTTCCGGTCCCATCTCTTTTGACCACTGGGTCGAGATAAGAAGGGTTGTCAATCAAGCCATATCCTTGCGCCACGAGTCCGACATGTCGATCTGGGAAGTACGAGGCGCCAAACAGAACTTCGTATATTCCAAAATTATGCTTTGGGTGGCTGTTGATCGGGGCTTGAGGCTATCCGAAAAGAGATCTAATCTCCCTTGTCCCGATCGCCCTATGTGGATTGCCGTACGCGATGGGTTATATGAAGAGATCATGGAAAAGGGGTTTAATAGTGAACTTGGGTTTTTCTGCTTGAGCTATGAAAATCAAGAAGTTCTCGATGCTTCGCTGCTTATCGCGCCCCTTGTACTGTTCTTGGCTGCTGATGATCCACGATTCCTGAGTACCCTAGATAACATAATGAGGACGCCTGAGGCTGGCGGGTTGACCAGCGCAAATCTGGTTTTCAGGTACGACCACAAAAAGGCAAATGACGGTTCGTTTCTCTGCAATATAGATATCCAGCGAATCAGAATTTCACTAAAATTGCTATGCAATCAGGGGTCGGAGGACGAGAAGGTACTTTCATTATGGTCACATTCTGGCTTATTGAGGCTATGAGCCGCGTGAGTTTTCTTCATCACTAGATTTTCTTATGTCTGTAACCGCTAGGTTACTTGTACAATCCATTGACGAATTTAAGGCCGCCCGAGCCAAGAGGAATATTCAAGACCACCCCAATCTGATGAAACTCCGTGACAACGCCTTTTCTTATTTTGATAACGTCATGGCTTTCTCAAACCATCTTGGCATGTTCTCAGAAGAAGTAGATATTGCCGGGGAACAAGTCGGAAACATACCCCAAGCCTTCAGTCATCTTGCCTGTGTAAGTGCAGCGATGAACTTGAAAGAATGAGAATGCTCAACACGGAAGACCTGGCACTGCTGACCTTTGGCGTGCTATACGATCTGATGCGCAGGGCTCAACGTTTGAAATTTTGCCCTAGGTGTAAAGTCAATACTGAATTTTGTTCTTTTCTTAAACAAGTACGGCTAGGAGAACTACAAAGTTACGTCACTATAAAGGTCCTAGTAAGATATAGTACTAGCCAACACTAGCGATTTTTTGTAAAATAACTTACTTCACTTGATCCAAATATGAAATATGAAATACGCCAATAAATGACACATTATCGACGTTTAAAGCCCCACATCGAGGCTAACAGCGTAGATGAAGTATTGTTTCAGGCTTTCGCTTTCTCATTCAGTCATGATGATTTCAGTCCCTTCGCCTCAAGGAACTTTGTTCCGCAGACCTCAACGATTTGCGTAATAGATGTACATGTGTTTTTGTCCTGCCATTTTACTCACCTCCCTAACAGCATTTCTTAGATTATGAAATCGTGAAAATGAAGATAGCTATTACAGGTGCTCGAGGTGGCGTTGGCAAAGAGATTGTGAAACTCTGTAGCGACTGTGGACACGAAACAGTCCAGGTTAATCGAACCGATCAAAAACACAATGGGACCCCGAACTCAGAAATGAGAACAGCCGATGTGGCGAGCGATTATAACGCGACAGTCAAGGCCTTTACTGGCTGCGATGCCGTAATTCACCTCGCCGCAATTGCGAATCCTGTCGACAAAGACCACTGGAAGGTGCATAACAACAACGTCGATGCTGCCTTCAATGGATTTCATGCTGCTGCTACACTTGGTATCAAGAAAGTTTGTTACGCATCGTCTGTGAACGCAATCGGACTCGCATTTTCTAACCAGCCATTACGATTCGACTATTTTCCTATCGATGAAGAGGCCCCTCAACGACCGACAGATCCTTATGCTCTAGCTAAGGATGAGGCAGAATATCAAGCCCAGTGTTTTGTAAACTGGTTCCCTGGCATGAAAATTGCTTGCATGCGAATCCATGAAGTGGCCGGACTGAAAAACGTGCAAAAGGATCATCAAGAAAATTGGAATGATTCAGCAGTGAAGCAGCTTTGGGGGTGGGTTCATCCTCAAGCTGTCGCTCGAGCTTGTCTCCTCGCCGTCGAAAAGGCGGAGAGCTTAAAAGGGTGCGAGATTTTCAACATAGTGGCTCCAACAACCACCCAAGAGCTTTCCTCAAAAGGTCTTGCGAATAAATATTTCCCGCAAGCTGAGATAAAAGGTGATTTTTCTAAGAACCAGGCATTTTGGTCCACTGCAAAGGCACAAAGGCTTCTTGGATGGCTTCATCACGAAATGGAGTAAAGCATTCATCATTTGTTGTAAATTATCTACGTTTTGAAGTTCGGAGTGTTTCATTACCGGTGTCTATTTGAATACTTAATTTGGCAAATTGATGTGTGTTATCCTAATAAATTTCAATCATTTCGCCTAATCTTAGATACCCTCTCTTTCAGTGACGATGTTGCAACCATATCGTTAATATACTCGCCATGAACGAGGTGTGAGAATGGTAAGTAAATGGATGAACTGGTCTCTTCAAAAAAAAAAAATGACAAATATGACGCGTCTCAATAGTACAATGAGCATATTAAACTCACCAGAGGCATCTTTTTCTTCATTTTTCCTAGAAAATTCAATCTTAGTTGGTTCTAGCATGATTCTGGTTCACATGATGTCCTCAATCATTTATCAGGGTTTGGAAATCGGAAGTAGACATCAAATTAAAGCCTCAGAGTCATTGAGAGCCGCGAGCATAAAGGGTTTCTGATTATTGAGATCTGTACAGTCCTTGTCCGCACCTGCAGCAAGGAGCATTTCAGCAACATATAAATTTCCCTGCGCGGCAGCATGAAATAGTGGAGTCCAGTTATAGTATGACCTGGAGTTCGGATCAGCTCCAGCGGAAAGGAGTATTTCCACTACTGACAGGTGTCCATTCATAGCGGCAAACGAGAGTGGTGTTTCTAAGTTTATGTCTCAAGGATCAGGATGGAGATCCACTAGACTGAGCAGTAGCTGCACCACCAATGAATGCCCCTTGCTGGCGGCGTGAAATAATGGGGTCCGCTCAGAAATATCTCTAGATTGTGGATCTACGCCCTCAACACCTAGTAGAATCTTTACGACATCGACGTGTCCATGAGATGCCGCGAGCGTCAGTGGTGAATATCGACGTAAATTTCACCGCCTGCTCGCAAATTCGATTATCCACACAATCAATTCAACATTAAGTATGAGGCGATATTGTCCAACTTTATCCATGGTATTATGCAACTGTTGGACCAATCACGCTTAATTTACAGCTAAAAAAATGGTGTTGGGAAAATTACAATAACTGGCCAAGCTAATCCATGCCTCTCTATGGCTTACACTGTTACTGAGAATAGAATATGGGAAAGTTCATGATGAAAGAATTAAGCCACTAACAGTTTGGTACTAGTTGATAGTCAAAGTTAGAGGGCTTTCATGCGATTCGGGACGTGGAAGAAACGTAAGACTCCAAGGCCTGAAATGGACGTATAGTTAAGGGCAATTCTTCTTGTACTGATAATTCAACATATGCGTGGGAATGCATCTTCGTTCTGACTATTAGTTACGGAATAGCATTGTTTCGCAAGTAATTATGATATACTCACTTACTTATGATGGCGTGGTCACTAATGCTATTATAGCCAAGGGCACTCTTATGTGTCAACTGTTACTCACAGGTATTATTACTAAAGAGAATGTGGCTCGATAGCTCATCACAGAGATAAGACCAAGTAGGGATTCAATGGCCCTTTCCTAGAAGAGAACGGAGGTGTTATCATGAGGAAAGGTATGTGGTTATAGACCGCGCAGCGGCCCGCAGTTAAACCTCTCAACTCTGGCACTAGCCATTCAATTTGAGGACTGAGGACTGAAATCTCCGCCCCTCAGAGTTGGCCCACGCGAGCTAGGACTCTCAGAGCGTAATCCAAGGGTCCGGGTATCTAAACCCTACTTTTCCACCGCTGGCTTTGGAATGAGAAAAGGCTGGTAGTATCTGTCGCCGAACAAATGACCATCTCCAACAGACAACCACCTAATCTGCGGGGCACGCAGTTGAATGAAAACTGGTGGCTCCTTTGCTCTTCGTATAAACCGCAGACTGTCTGAATCATGCAGTTCAATCCGGAGGGGTCGAAGTTGGGCAAAGTCCGGTGAGGTGCGTCGATTTGAGGTACTTGTGGATATAGTGTTTAGTTTTATGAACTTTATCTCCAACAACCCGTATACACACCTTGTCAGAATGTTTCAGTTTACATTGGTTTTAAAAACGGGACTCGATAAACGCAAGCAGCTTCACGAATAGGTCGATTTTTTTGGGGATTTTTTCAAGTCGGAAATCGCCAATTGAAATTGTCCCCCTTTTTCGGCTGAACTTTTGAAAGCTCTATTGCGAATCGATTGTATGATCACGCGTTGGACCATGTATATCAAGGAATTAAAGCGTTCGGAGAGAAGTTTATCCTGCCCAGGGGTCTGATTACGTCACCACGTGGCTCAGCAGCTCACGTTCCCGCGATTTTTGCAATATGTGAAGAAAATAATTTGATACTTAGCAACGTCATATAATATTAAATTTTTAATTTATTAAACTAATTATTTAATTATTTACTCGCGATATCGCTCTGGACGTCATATCCGGCGACCTCTACCATTTACAGTCAAAACAAGCCGAACCGTCACATCATCAGCATAACAAATGAGGCAGGCGGATCAGACATTAACCTCTAAAAGACAGAGAGCTCGTAGCAAGAAATCTAGAACCGGTTGTCGCACTTGTCGGTGAGTATGAACAATTCTAACCAATAAAGAAGAGAGAAGCCCCTAGAGTCGTATTTCATTTTTTTAATACCCAACCTTAGTGCGCGACATGTCAAATGTGACGAAACCCCAGGAGCATGTAAAAGATGCACTAATACTGGATATACTTGCGAATATGATCTTCAGACGTTGCCTCGCAGCGGGAAATCGATAGCTTTCGAGAAGGCCAAAGGCTACAAGAATCCTATTCCTTTTGCAGTCGTCAGCGGTCCAAATTGGGCGACGACCTCGGACGAACGACGATGCTTCTTACATTTCCAATATCGCACCACGCCAACATTACTAGGATTGTTTGATTCATTATTATGGCAGGAGATTGTGCTTCAAATGAGCCATTCAGAGCCAGCAGTTTACCATGCCGTAGTTGCTCTAAGCGCCGTTCACCAGGACACCGAGATGTATGGCATGCCCCTCCCTGGACAAGACCCTCAAAATAGATGGCATCAATTCGCCCTTGAGCAATGTGGGAGATCCTTTTCACTTCTTCATCGGCGCTCTCATGATCCCAGATTGAGAGAGATCATGCTACTTTGCTGTATTCTGTTTGTCCTTGTAGAGCTACTGCGAGGCCAATACGACACCGCCTTCAAACATCTACACAGTGGTTTACGGATTTTGAAAGAAGTCAAGGCTGATGAAAAGTTTAATCCGTTCTTGCTGTCGGCTTTCACTACGCTAGATATGCAGTCAATGCAATTTGGGGCAGGCGGCCTTCTATCAATCGGCAACACGATGGCCTATCAGACGAACCTTGCCGACGGCCTAGGAATAGTCCATGACTTGCAAGAGGCACGCCAAAATTTGACGGTCCTATTAAGCGCTGTTACTGATTTTCTCACACGATGTGGGTCCTTAACACAAGCCGATATAGTGGCAGAATACGAGGCTTTGCATCATATGCAGCTGCAGCACCTCTCTCAGTTGGGTCAATTCGACGACTGCTTTGAATATTTTTGTTCTTGTCACGTCTTTAACTCCAGAGAACATCGAGGAGTAAGTATAATTCGGTTATTAAATCACAGCTTCAGCTTGGCTCTCAAGACTTGTCTTTTGCGGGATGATTCTGTTTTGGAGTGCTACACCCCCGAATACAACATGCTCTTGTCGCTAGTAGAAGATGTCATAGATCACTTTGAAGACCGCCCGAGCTTCACACTAGACATTGGCATCATTCCAGCCCTTTATTTTGCGGCTATGTGGTGTGTTGATTACGAAATACGCTGTCGGGCAGTTGAAGCTCTGCAACGCTGGCCTCATCGTGAGGGCTCATTTGATTCCAATTGGGTTGCTTTCATAGCCCTGGAGCGCATGAAAACGGAATCGCTAACCGGTACTACCCTCAATGTTTTGAACGAAACCCCCAGTCATCTTGACGTGGAGAATTTCGGCCGATGGGACGATTCTCAGAATAAAAATTATTCACTAGAAATTGCATTAGACTCTACACAGTGCATGCGGAATTGGCCCTGTGTGAAGTACATCAAGCAGATTACACCTGGGACAATTAGGTACAATAGTTGAACTGAACTATCTAACTATGAATAAGATCCGCCGCCTTCTCGGCAATGGCATATACCAATGCTTGGTAGTGTGCAGTCACAGGCAATGGCAGAATACTTGCGTCTACAATTCTCAGGTTTTCAACACCCCTGACACGGAGACTTGTATCAACGACCTTGCCCATCGCGGCTGACCCAGCTGGATGGTAGAATGTGTTGCCGTTTACTTTCACTTGAGCATCAATTTCCTCATCTCTAGACTGAGCTACAAGAGCTGGGAAACCGTGCGTCGGCACTTGAGACTCAACTATATCTTTGCCTTCCGGTGTTTCTAAGAGAAGTTTGGTAACTTGTCGGATACCAGCACGAAGCGTTGCGCGATCAAATTCCGTGGCGTAGTAGTTTGGATCGATAAGGGGAGGTGTGGATGCATCCGCTGATGCGAGCGTTATGCGACCCCTTGAAGTTGGTGACATGCCCAAGACAGCCGATGCGATATGTGTGCCATCCATTGGGATAGGTACTTGGGAAATAGCCGCGCCTGCAGGCGCATAAACAATGAGCGTCTCTAAGTGACAAGAATCAGGTGCTAAATAAGGATTTCTCTCGATATCCGTTTCTCCGTCTCGCTGCAGTGCCCTAATCAAGTCGTCGCGTGGCGCTTGCAGCGTTGCAACCCAGTCACAAGGCAGCCCTATTGCATATGCTGGGCTATGCCACAATGGGGTGCCCACCGACAGCCCTCTTTCAGGATGGCGTAGCTTCCACCACTGTACGAATGCAAAATGGTCGTGAAAATTGCGCCCAACCTCAGGTACATTGACGACTTCTGTGATATTGTGTTTTGAAAGTTCTTCATGGGGCCCAATTCCCGAAAGCATGAGTACTTGTGGCGTTCGATAAACACCTGACGACACAATAACTTCCTTTTTTGCGTTGTAGACCTGGCCTCCTACGACCTCAACTCCATTTGCTACTTTCTTGCCGTCAGAATTACCAATGACCACACGCTGTACCATCGTCTCAGTAAGAATAGTAATGCCTGACAAATTTTTAATACCATATGCTTCGCTGGCAATTTGGCGTTGTCCACCGCGCCAGTTCTCGACCAATTCTCCCAAACCTAATGGTGAACCTGCATTGGCATCATCTACAGACTCAACGCCTATTCGGTTCCATGCTGCCTTTAGCGGTTCCCTTAACGGGTATTTTCGATCCGGGCTGCTCACGGAAATAGATACATTTTGTATCGGTCCACTCAAACCATGAGCGCTCTGGTCGGTATTGCGGTCGAAGTGCGTCTCCGTTTTCTTAAAATATGGCAAGAGGCCTTCATAACTCCAGCCTTTATCCCCCACTATTTCGCCCCAGCGGTTGTAGTCTGCAGCACTTCCACGGGTCCATGTTCCGTAGTTGGTTGCGGAGCAACCTCCAAGAGCTTTGCCAGCACTGTTGTAGCATTGCCGATTATCAAGATGAGCCTGAGGCACGGTGGTGTAGGCCCAGTCAAGAGGGGAGTTGTGGGCGCCAAAGCATGCAAGAGGCGACTGGGTCAGAGGATGATTAGTGACATCTGAACCCGCCTCAATGATGAGGATCTGGGTTGAGCCGTCTTTCTCGTGTAATCTAGCAGCCAGAGTGCAGCCAGCCAGCCCGCCCCCGATTATTATGTAGTCGAACGTGTAGTTAGACATTTTGCAGAAACTCCAAGATTTCGATTGAATTGACAGGATATAGGCGCACTATTCTTTTTGAGGGTCTAACAAACTATTTATCTCGTTCTCTCCGCAACTTATCAACGTTGTACATAGTGCGTACATTTATAACCATAAATCTCCACTTTGCAGCGTAGATCGATCTCAAATACGAGCTGACCAATGATATTAAGCATTCTATACCATCATTATCCATATTGGGAATGAAGGCGGGGGCCGTCATTCTTTAATGCGAACACGCCAATCAGAATCGACGCCAACATTCTTCAGCCGCCATCGAGGGAGTAAATAGCAGATAATGTTGCCTGAGTTCTGCCATCGCCCTTTTCTAGTATCGGGAGCCAGTTTCTCTAATGACGGATATATACGATGATACCCTTTTGTTGGATATTCAATTGACATGATAGCACGGTAGGGAAGCCTGTTTTTCCAGATAAATACTTATCGTGCGATCTGCCCATGATTAGAAATGTTAAGTCTTCTCTAGCCAATATCGACAATAACACCATGAAGAGAATGTTATAGTATTCTTTCTAATGCAGTCTTATTTATGATCGATCTGTATCATTATTGAAGTGATTTCTATGTAGTCAAAAGACTTTCAGACTTGTAATATCAATGTCTGATAAATTTTGAAATATACAAACCAAATTCGACTGAGCAGTTTTTCTGTCGGGACATACGTCTTGTATTCCCACTGCAACAACACTTGCATGATAAGGCCTGTATGGAGATCGTTCGGGGAAATAAGCATTCGAACTAGATCCCACTGCGATATATCTCCGATCCTTTCCAAGGGAATTTACTATGGCTACCAAAGTCCCGGACAAGTATCAGGAATATAGAATTGGGAATTTTGGGGAAGGTATTTCTGTGAAATGAATAACCTTATTTCCTGATTTTAGCAGTACGCTAAAGGCCACAGAGGCGTTGATGAATGCTATCTAAGAGGACCTAATGTTGGTAAAACTACCAAAAAATGCTTTCAAATGATTTCAAGCTGTCTGGACTATGGAACAAGGTATAAAGACGTAGCAGCCTTAAATTAGCTATGCATTCAGATTAACTATGACAAAAGGGCTGTCGAATAACTGCTATTGCGTTAAGCTACATGTGTAATATCTAGAAAGACTTCCAAATTGCATGGGTCTCAAGGTTTCCTGAAGAGGTGTTTTGATTCATCAGCATGCGACAGATGGTAATCAGTCGACTTCGCGGCGCACCACCTTTCTTAGTTGCATTCTCTTAGCTCTCCCATGCATCTTTTCCGGACATCAGAATCTAACTGAAATGGAATAATAATCCTTTTTGTTTCCAACATAATTCTTTATGAGGCCTCGGTAATAGCCCTCAACTCGTCACTCAGTGGATAGGCCTGTTCTATGGGCACCAACTTCTCCGCATCTTCCATAAGCCCTGCCTCCACCAATTCATGAATATTTCTCATTCTCTCAGTAACATCTTTAATCGACACAACCCACTCATTCAGATACTTTTGCACAGCTTGGGGTCCCAGGCCAATCTGGATCGACCGATGAGGTAGCGGCGCAAACTTCAAGTTTCGCTCAGGATCCCACTGAATTCTGACAGGAGAAGCTCTCAGTTTGGCACGCCATTCATCTAGTTTTTTATCTTTATCGCTATCACTTGCTTTCTGTTGACCGCCGTCATAGTGACTCAAACATGAGTTTCGCAATGCCCATTCAAATCCTGCTCGTGTGATTTCGATTGCCAGAACTCGCTCTTGTCCAGGCTTGGAAGCATAGCCGCAGCGATATGCCATCCAGAGAAACGACGGTTTTATCCATGTCATTCGAGACATTGAAAAAGGGGGAGAAATGAATTTCTGTGCTTCAAGGGCCGGGTTCGCGATATCGCTATTGTACGCTTGGTAGACAGTTATAGTCGTAGCTGTGTACTGGGCCCGGATGGCCCTAAAACTGTGGCGGGCGGGGCTTTGGTTCGTCGACATCGTAGTTTCCAGTTTAATATTTAAATATTTATTTTTATCTTTTGGACGCCGTTGCGCTATAGTCAAATTTTAAGAATGTCCCTCAGATATTGTTGATCGGATAGTGGTAGATATGTATGACACTAGCACAGTAAGACGATAGGATGCAATACATTACACTTGTATTTATGCCATGGGAAATTTGCTTCTCTGAAAAATGTGTCATAATTGATTTTGTGCCCCACTGTCAACACTTGAGCTCAAGTAATTGATTGGGCAGTAGCTTTATTGAATACGAGCACTTGAGGCTCAGCCGCAAAGTGTTGAACCGCAGGATCGGCAAAGGTTGGAATATACTACAGTACCACGAAGGTGGACGGTAAATGGGCCGTCCCCATATTAAAACCAATAATATTTGAGTTTTCCGCATTATTAACATGTAACGGGCCCAATGAAGTCTATATATGTATTCTTGGATCTAGTAACATTGAAATTGATGTAAATATCAACTGTTATAGAAGAGATTTATATATACATATTTGGTAGGACGGTGGACTATAAACGGTTTAACGACGGTTTAGAATTTAGGACAATAATTAAAAATCTCTTATGATGATTTTTTCTAAATGATCTATAACTCATAGTACCATCAAACAGAGGTATCACTAGTCATAAGCACATGAAGGATTATGTACAACGATAAATCAATCAACCCACCAACTCGTGACAGGCTCAGATTTCCTTGTTCAATTGTGTATTAGCCCTAGCTCATCATAAATCACGATATATACCGCCGTAGTCGTTATGTCGTTTAAAGAATGAATATATGATATTGCTGTAGACATGATCCCAGTCCGGTGACTTTTAAGACCGACTAATTCAACCGCTATCCGTATATCACGAGCGTAGATGACAGAGACGCTGGAGACGTTGCTATCTTCAGCATAATCGATATCGGAATAACTACAAATCATGCATCATGTGTACACTTTGGTTCTTTGCATCCTCTCTCACGAGGGCCAGGAAGACTTGGACTTCCTCATGGCTTCAGCTCATCACCTGAGTGAAAGCAGCAACACTGAAGGCCTAGAGCCACTCGAGAAACTGCAACATGTCAAAGGCTCATATTTCTTTCTACGTGTAAATGTTAGCGGACGACTCAGTGTAAACCTGCCGAACGGGTAGGGAATTGGCACTTGGTGAATATTGGACAGAATCCTCCGTCTCCATTGCTAGGCTAGCAATACGAAAGGTGCAAAACGAGACATGATGTCAAACTTTTCCCAACAAGACTAAAAAATGCTTCTGCCTTAATAGCTCTAGAATAACCATGGTACATATTCAGTTCAACAAAGATAGGGTAGCAAATGGAGTAGAACTGATAATCTGAATCACCTAGACGAAAGAGAGAAGAAGATGGGAAGAATATAATTCAGGCAGCAATCTCTACCGTCTACATCAAATATTGGACTCATTGTTTGCGGTGACTCAACCAGGCTTAGTGCCATTATTATTATTATTATTATTATTATTATTATTTAATCACACTTAGCTATCAATTGTTAGCGGCATCGGTGATGAGAATGATATAAAATATATTAAAAAAATATGACATGAAAAGTCAACATCGAAACTCGTCCGCTTGGCACTTGGAAATAATTGGCCGTTCCGAGGATATATTGTGACTAGAAATATCTAGATTCGATGTATATGTAATCCAATTAGCTAATTCAAAACCTAGTTCTACTGACCAGGCCAGAAAATACATGTACTTAAGCAACGTAGCCTTTCAGCTTCTCAAACTCATCCAAGCACCACTTGACCTCTCTAGCGATAAGATCCGGCTGGTACCACTGAACATTATGCCAGCTCTCCCTCGCCTCGACCATTCTGGAATTTCTGCTCAGTCTCAATTGCTTGAATTGTAACAATAGTTGGGTTGCGCCCGCTGTATCCAGATAATCCCTGACGAGCTGTCTCTCCTCTTCCGTTCCTTTGTCTGCAGCGACAGCTCTTTCAAAGGATTTTTGAAATTCCCCAGGAGAATCACCTTTAATAACAGAAACTGGTCTATCGCCTAAAGTGGTGGCGTCAAATTGTTTCTTCGACGCCAAGATTTCGGATGAAGGTATCAAGTTCTGCGCTTCGAATTTGGTAGCACTTCTTTGTCGATCTATGATCTCTGCTGGCGGTTGTTCATTTCCTAAGCCTTCACTGTTGAGAACATCTCTCCACTCTTCCTCTGTCATGGCGGGTTTTCTCTCAGTCCATAAAAATGACATATCCACACCTTCACCCATAGTCCTCATAATCGCCGGTAGTCTTTCGGGTCGGGTCTTGTAGTTTTCTTCTGTCAACGTGTCTACGAAGACCATTCCTGCGACATCTTCTGGATATAAATTAATGAACTCACGACCAGGTATTCCGGCCATTGAGTGCATAGCTATGAGATACGGCGGTTTGATATCTGCCGTTCTAAGCAATAGTCTCAATTCCTTAGCTATATTGACATAGCTCTTTGATTCGACAGTGAAAATCGATGGTACCTCTGACTTTCCCAGACCTGTACGATCGTAGATATAACAGCGGGCAAACACGGAAACATGCCTCAATACAGCGGTCCAGCTGACCGAGTTGTCGCCAAGGCCTGCGATACAGATCACAGCGGGTGTGCCTGTGGAACGAACAGGGCCAGCGGCGCGAAGATAAAGCGAGTGAGTCCCAATTGACACAAGCCCCCCAGTGTCATGTAAATTCCAGTCCACGGCAGTGGCCATGATTGATGTTCTCATGCAGCTTAGGCGATTTGCCGCATAAGATTCCTGACTTCCAAATTGTTTGGGTTAAGAATTAGAAGATACTTTCAAAGATTCATGTGGCTATGTTATTTTAATGGCTTTCCCCTCATGGTGAGACATGGTGAGACGTGAGACGGAACCCCGCCATGTTACCATCACCAATTGGTCCATTTGCTTATCAACTAATATCTTCTCCGCTTTGTTACTTTCCTAATTTTGATTTTCATCGCTTCCTATATTTTTTAGACCCATATAGACTCATGCTAGTCTCCCTTTTTCGATAGTACACACAATGTTAAAACAAAGATTTATCCCACGTCTCCAGCAGTAAGCTATTTGGATTTCCAGCCTCCTCCAGATTATCTGATCGATTTTTAAGGTAACAGCTCAGATCAAGGTAAGCCACGAAGATATGTTTTCTACTCTGTACTCCATATTCTTGCCTTAGCATAATCCTTTTCAATTTCCCGGTTGTTCCTTCTCATTAATTCAACAGCCGGGATGCTCTATAATGGGCTGTATTGAGGGTGATTGCATTCCCACAAGAGTTTGTTCACATCTTATCGCTAGATTTGATGAAACCATCAAATCTAATAAAACAGCAGGATATATTCAATGTTTGTGTCCCTCGTCCCTTGAAGAATGCAAATAACTCAGTTTTACTCTGCTGAATTTATCCTTGCTAACCTAATACTTCTCCGCAGGCTGCGGACTATGAGCAAGCTTTATCCAGATTCAAAGATGGATCAGTAATTAAACCAGTTCTCTTATGGGACTACTGCTAAGGTTCTCGAAACTACCTTTTGTAGCAAATTAGTCACACTGTAATTTTTTCTACCCACTTTTTGGAAATCTTCCTCGGGCAAGATCATTGAAGTTGAAGAGGCAAAGTGAAGGAGTATAAAGACAATATTTCAATGAAAATAAGCGTTGGTGATATGTTTGGCTGTTGAAACTTAAAACGCATTGATTAGTTTAAGTGTCATGTATAACATCCTACTAAGGATAATTGACCTGTCGGAATATACAACACCGATGTATGATACAATCAAATGGACAGACGGTATCATACTAATCAACTATATGACGAGTGAGCAATGTTGCGCATGTTCTGAGAATAGATTGGACGGATTTTTTGAATTTAAGAAATTCGATAATGACTAATAGAAACTATAGATGGTTCTACATAGCAGACAGATGGCCTCAGGAATGAAGAGAACATCGCAATTGATGCTCCACAAGTCCTAGATTTCTACCAGTATAGAATTACCCTAGGGAAAAACAGACACGATGTACTCCTTAGCAATTTTAATACTCTGCCCATATCGGCAACAAAAATGTGTCAGGAAATAATTGGATATGTCGATGTGAGCGTTCCCGTGAGAATGGGAATTTCCAAAGTTATAGTAGATCCTTTCTGTCATCATTTTTCTCCGGAATGAACTGCTCACATACAGGCTTCAATATTTCAAATGTCACCTGAAGCACGGAAGGATTATTTTTACGAGATAATAATGTCTATATATGGCAAGTGCTTTCTAAGTATTAAACAGTAGAGATGTAAGGCAATTCGATGCTTGTGGTAAATGAATCGGAAGAGGAAGGCTGTAATAATAATAATTATTATTATCATTAATCGGGTTTAACGACCTTGCGCAACTTTAAGCTATGAAGGGCTTATAATAATCTATGGTAGTTAGTCCGCTCTCCCATCTCGGTTTGCCGACCCTCAGCGCCGAAATTTCAAGTAACGCGGAGTAGACACGGATCTAGAATTTCTGCTTAACATTTTGGAGTTTCCGTATTGTATTAGCTTGTAATTAATACCCTGGTCAGATTCGCCAATGATAAGCGAGTCAATGAACATGGTCATGGTTACTAGGCTAGGCTGACGTGTTCGTACATATTTCCGCATATTTTTAAAGGCACACAAGCGAAGCAAGCATATGAGACTTACCCAAACACAGACCATGCATATTAATTTTGAATGATCGAACTGAATTTGCCGTTATGCACATCTCAATGGTTTTGTGTTTATAATGGAAAGTTTCCCCATGCCAACTTTCAACGGCTAATATTCGCACCCACACTTTTTATACTAGGGACCTTCTCTTTTATTGTTTCACAGCCCTAAACTTTATTGCTGGGTCAAATGGACTCCTTCTTCCTTCTGACCGCAGCAAGCGGCGCAAGTGCGCATATTCTGTTATATCGTTTTGGCGAGTGGGATGTCGAAGCACCTAGTCTCGTGGCGAAATACTTTATTCTGTTTGTAATATTCATTGGTATCGAAAAGTTCAACGTGGTCAATGAATACAAATCGGTCATTTCATTGCCACCCGGCTGGTCGGCCAAACTGGTTGGGTATCATATTCTGGGCATTTATCTGAGCATGATTATCTATCGAATAGTTTGGCATCGGTTAGCTAGATATCCGGGACCGTTCTTTGCGAAATTATCGAACTTCTACGTTACTTTGCTCTCCGCGAAAGGGCTACATCTTTATGAAGAGGTGGAAAAACTTCATAAGCAGTATGGGGACTATGTGCGACTTGGTAAGGCCTGTGATCACTTATGAATTAATGTTTAGTTGATTTGTTGTTTTGTGTTAAACCGCTTTTATTGTTTTATTAGGTCCGTCAGAATTGTCTATAAACGACCCCGAAGCGGTCAGACATATCTACAGCAGCCAAGCAAAAGTGGGCAAGGGAGTTTGGTACACAGTCCTCGAGCCTCGCGTATCCGTTCATATGGAGCGTAACAAGCAAGAGCATGCGCGGCGGCGAAAAGTCTGGGATCAGGCTTTCAGCTCCAAGGGTAGACAAAAAATTCTTAATCCTATGGATTTCTCTTTAAAAGAATAACACAGTTAATATGACTGTAGCTTTGCGTGATTATGAGCCCCGTGTCAGTCGCTATACAAATCAACTTTTGAGCGTCATTCAACAAAATTCTGGCAATCCGATTGATGTCAGTCGATTATTCAACTATTTCAGTTTCGATGTCATGGGAGACCTCGCTTTTGGTAAATCGTTCAACATGCTTATTGATGGGCGAGATGACTACTTCTTAAAACAGCTCCATGCTGATATGGGAAGCATTGGGTATTTCAGTCATTTGACCTGGTTGTTTCCATTTTTTAAACGGATCCCGGTGCTGAATGCGGATTATCTCAGGTTTTGGAAGTGGGTTGGTGATCGAGTTCAGGAGAGAATCAAGGTCAGTTTATCACTGTTATCGTCTAGCAGGCAACATCGTCAAGGTACATATGTATGAAAGATATAGATCAGAGATATAATAAGGAACTACAGAATACACCAAGCCGTGCAGATATCTTTACCTGGCTCCTTGATGATTTTGAAAAGAAACCAAAAACGAAAAGAAGTCAGCTTGACCTCGATGGAGATGCGTATCTCATTGTCGTCGCTGGGAGGTAAGAAAGCTTCTAAATATGACAATTCTCTATGGCTCATTGATTCCGATTATAGTGACACAACTGCCGCAATAATGACGAGTCTTTTCTTTCAATTAGCTACCGACCCTCAATGGCAGACTAAAATCCAACAGGAATTGAATACTTTATCTGAATTGACGAATGACCAGCTGCTTGGAATAAAGCTTCTTGATGCTCTCATTTACGAAACGCTCCGACTGCATCCAGCCGTTCCATCGGGGACACAACGGATGACACCTCCTGAGGGCATCACAATCGGTGACCAGTATATTCCTGGCGATGTCATGGTCTGTATCCCATCGCATACGATGTTCAGAGGTTAGCAACAGCCGGCTTGTATCTCGATTCACTATTCTAATCTGGCTGTTTGGCTAGACGAACGTGTTTTCACTCGCCCTCTAGAATTCATTCCCGAAAGATGGACTACAAAGTCCGAGCTTATCAAGGAACCATCTGCATTTATTCCATTCAACGGTGGTATGATCATGTCATGCTTTTGATTTCATTATATAGAAACACGGAACCATTTCGGATGTTAACAATGTAATCTAGGCCCATATGTTTGCGTGGGAAAGCAGCTCGCCCTAATGGAACTACGCCGGGTGACTGCTGAAATATTGACCCGGTATAATGTTGCACTTGCCCCTGGCCAAACTGTATCTGGTTTTTTAAATGGTAAAAGAGATGCATTTACATTGGTAACGCCGCCACTACAACTATTGTTTCGGGAACGGAAGAAGGGTAATAAATAATGCAGGAATGATGCAGACTCGTTCAAGTCGCACTTTATACGAAATATACATGTATAACCGTGGCAGATAATCATTATTTATCTCAACTGTTTTCCACATTTCTTCTCTCTATTTACCAGTCTTGCACAAGCGCGGTAACATTTGAAGTAGGTAGACATTTTTACACACATATTGCTCATTTCATGTTGATTACAACAGTCTACATTTAGTTGTTCATTCCCAGGCCAGATCTAGTTATTCTATCATCTTCTGATACCATGGTATTTGTATTATTTGCCTCCTCTGATGAGGACTATTTATGTTCAGATTGGTACTAACCCTGACGCTATCCTATTCACCCATCGCATAATCCTTAAGACTTGGAATGGTCAGATATTGCTACTATTGAGACTATATTAAGACTTCAAGTCCTGTATCATAAGTGCTAAATAGGAAATATAATGTATGACCGGGATAGAATTACTCATGCAAACATTCAAGGATAAACTTGGGGCATTCCTAAAACCAGTGCATTTTTGCCTGGTATGCCTGTGCCGAACACCAAAATTAACCGCATTCTTTAACGCTGGTAGCTCGGAGAAATCTGGAAAGAAACAGCAAACAAATCTAGTTCTGTCGTTAAACCTAAAATTCACTTCGCGCATTCAAGGATCCTTGGTATAAGGCGGTGGCTGTACGTCTGCGATTGCAAATGACGGCACTATATCCGGGCTTTGGGGACGGACGAAACGGGGAGGACTATTGCCTTTCCTTGACATAGGGGGTAATATTTGAAACTCCCCCTGTTTGCTCAGGGTAAACTGTCTATTGCAAAAAGACAGATTTGCTTTAATTTTCAATGTATGGGTGATTGCTATGTCCGACATCTTAACGTCAGGACAAATATGTGAAGGGACCTTCAGGCCGTCACTCGCGTAGTCACCGATACAAAGACCCTCTACAGGCGGCAAGCCATCCCCTTTCATATGCCGCCATGACTCGTCTTGGGTTAAGTTGTGAAAAGTGTGTGATATCGGAAGGGGATGTTTAGTAAGAGCATAAACCCGCATAGCCTGCGTCTCAGTCTGGAACTCATGCTTCTTTCGATCTATCCAGACCTCGCACTAGGATATAACAGTCACCACCACATTGGTTAAGTATACCTTTGGCTGGTATCTCTGAATATCGGTGTAGGCAATACTCAAATAAACCGGGAGCAGCTGGCCATGGACGTAGACGGTAGGGAATGTCAGTCTCGCGCGGAATGTTGGAGGATCCTTATACGACGAGAATCTCGGAGACGGTCCGTAGAATTTCTGCTCTTTAAGCCAGTACCGGTAATATGGCTCTGGGCTATCGTAAGATGGGACATAAATCAAAGGTAATGTTGAGCTTAAATTAGGGCTATGGTATAGCGCCCATTCCGGGTATTCGAGGCTGGCCTCTAGCTTGTATTCTACTTTGGCCAGACTCCCTGTACGGGAGTTGTCATGTTCGAGCAAGCATAAGCTCGGTGGGAGAATATCATCCGCGTTCACCTCAAAGGTAGCTCGTGATTGGGATGGAAAAGTGAATTCAAAATGCCATTTGTACATCCCACCTGCAATTCCGAAAGGGAACTTGTATAGATTTTTGCTCTTATGAAAGAAGATTGTATCGCCGGTATAGGACTTGCTACCTGCTCGGCTTTGATATTTCGTGTACGTGCAGCCGGTGAATGAGATTCTGGTGACTGTACCGCTCTCGATGTATTCGTCCGTATCGAGGAGGACATATCCTTGTATTCTATCTCCAGCAACATAACGCCTGTTTTTCTTATTCCTAAGAATTATGCGTAAAGCTTCAGACATTCTGGAAATGTTCACAAATTGGGCCACTCAAACCAGTGGATTCATCAACAACATATTCTATTTAGTGGGTAGATCAAGATCATATTCCAAAGCACAACACCATATTTAAATGACAGCTGACTAACCTACACTGCCTCATTATACAGTTTGCGTCGGTTTAATTCGGAATGGTGAAGATGACGCCAAGTACTTGGCAAGGCTATTTCTTGCCTTGGACTTTACTCGGGCAACCACCTATAACTATTAGCGGGGGCGGAGTATTGTTCATCTTGCCTTATCCTTGGACCAAACGAGGGAAGGACGTAATGATTTCTTTCGTGTAAATGATCGCCATAGAATATTTTCCAGTACATATATATATTAAACGGCTCTAACGATATCAGATACTGCAAGCCACAGCATCCACCTCTTGTCACGGTAATTCTTAGAATCTACCTCTCTTCTAACAAGGCAGTAATTTCACTGAGACGCTGGTCTCGGTTATCAAGAGGAGAAAAAGAAGACCGGAGCTCTCGTAAATTAGGACAAGATCTTGACACCTCTGCCTCGCATATAGCTAATCCCGGGTGTGAGCGTTGTGAGAGCGACGATGTACATAGACAGAGGTGAAGGATTCACCCCACCAAAACAAAAAAAGGACATACAGTAGCTGAGATTCGCTGGTGGTCACCCACTATACAACCCAGTTCTTATTCGGATTCGTAGAACGGCCCGCCGGCTACACATAGCAAAGTCTAATCTGCAATGAATAACCACTTTTTCGTATTTGCTTCTTAGTTATATAACATTCAAAAATTGATCGATCAAGCTAAAATAAGTAAAGATTAAATCCAAAAAAAACATACAACAGCTGGGATTCGCTGGTGGTCACCCACCCAACTACTAACCAGCCGGCGTGTGGCTTAAGTACGGCTGAGCGGACGGGAAGCCCTGTTTTCCACACCCTATGGTCGTATGTGATAGACGATGCAGAGAACTCGTTCCTTGTAGACAGCTTGCTATACGTCAAACCATTCCGGATGACAATTAACTATACCGTAGCTCTATTAAGATCATTTTGCGGCCCCTTTGTAAAAGTAGGATTAGGGTTAGAGATACATCGTTCCAGCCATATGGGATATAAACTGCTAATCGGCATGTTCCTGCTCCAATCCTGGCTCTTTTGCAATTCGCCCGTGCCCAAATCCTGATTTTCGAAGATATTTCCTCAATGTAGCCGCCGAGACATCGATACCAGTGCGTTGACGCAGATCAGCAAAACTCAGACCGGGATCGCGCTTTGTTTCTAGCAGAATACGTCGCTCATCCCTTGCAGATAATGCCTTGGGCCGGCCAGAGCGAGGAAGTGACTCTCCATTACGGCGTTTGGGATGTTGTATAGTCGTTGATTTTACCGTCGACGCGGGAATTTGTAGTTGACGCGCAATATCTGCAATTTTGACGTTATTTTTGTAGTATGCTATAATTTGGCCACGGAGGTAGGGAGTTAACTCTTTTCCTCTGTTGGAATTGGAGTCAGGTTGCTTTAAAGGCGTGCGTGGCATGCTTCAAGTCACTGTTGAGGGTGTTGATATATAATGTCAACATTGACGCGGTCGCGCGAGACACTTTAGCGCGATTGTACTTAAAAATCAGCAGGAGTGATCAAAGTTATTCACTTGCTAATGTTTAGTGAGGTAGAACATCGAAAGAACTACATTTACACGTGCATAGTCACCACATCTACCGCGACCATGATTAGGCTGGAGAAAAGTTGCGCTAGTATTGCAAGTGCAAGTTTCATCTCCCATGAAGTCATTTACATAACATAGTAACTACCAGACCACCCACAGGTGAGATGTGGAGTATGGTTTAGCTGTGTTTAATCGTTATTTTAGTGATCTGTCCAATTGCAATACCAAGTGTAATAAATTATTCTCAATATACATTCAATTCATCATTGCTATAACCGGCAATCGAATCATCATACTACGTAGTTAATACAAGGACACAATGCATCCAAACCCTTGCCAACCCATCCCTCAAACAAAAGAAACCAATATCCATCATAAGATCATTCCCATAAAGCAACTAATCACTATCACTCAAACTATCCCTCCTCCGTCGTCCACTGCCATCACGATCCCGACGATATCCCTTGGTCAATCCCGGGATCGGGTGGTGGTAGGACTTTGTGCCAGCGTCGTCTTCAGTGTCAACAGTCGAGTATTGATACTCAGAGTTTGTGCCGCGGGACGAAAAGTCTAGTGGCTCGGTGTATCCGCCCGGCATGGAGCCGCGAGGAGCCTCACGTTTGCGCGGACTGTTATGGCGAGAGCGACGGCCGTCAGTAGTAGCCTGCTGCTGCGGTCTCTGCTGGCGACGAGTCTCACGACGCGCGTGCGTGGGGTCAGGGATGAGATGCTCTTCTGCAGCAGCCTGGCTGATGACATCCTCATTACCTGCGGTGAATGAAAACCCTGAAACGTTGCGCGTGTCCCGATGGTGGCGGTCCTCTGAGTATCGAGGATGATGACGGTGTTGCTCGTGCATCTCACTCTCGGTATATGCCGTCGGGGGCGAGCTAGGGGTGTAATCAGTGCCATAATACGTCGTATCACCCTGGGCGTTAATCCCACCCACGCGCGCGGGTTTCTCCTTCCGATACGCGCGCATGTCATCATCGCCCTGGCCTTCCCAATTCTCTTCCTTTCTCTTCCGCAGCAATTTCTCTTTCGCAGTCTCTCTAAACTTCTTCTTCCGGCGCGGCTGCTGCCCCTTTTCATTCGTCACCGTCGTCGCTGTCTCAGTCATATCCGTGACCGTGCCACCATCATCAGTATATCCATTGATGCTGCCGCCACCCAGCTTTGTGCTCTTCGTTGCGTTACTCAGAGTCTTCCCATCGGGACCCTTGCGGCGCAGGACAGTGGATTTGTAATCCTCCCAATCCCCCCTCCGCCACACAAATCCGCCGTTTTTGGCCCAGAAGAAAAACCAGATGCTGGCGATGACGAAGCTGGCGCCGAGGATGGCGAAGAGTGCGAGCATACCTTGCATGTTAATGTTGGTAGGGCTTATGGAACCGCTGCCCGCGGAGGATCCGGCGCTGGTTGTGGTGGAGGATGTTGAGCGGGCGGCGAGGGTTTTCGTAATGTCTGAGGGTGTGGTAGGTGTGGTCTGGATGATGTCGATGTCGTTGAGAGCGACTGGCTCACCCTGGTCCCCTATAGGGTCAGGGATTGCAACCACAGGAGGCATGATGAGAGTCGAGAGCCTGAGCTCAAGACGGGCCCTGGATAGACAGCAGGTTAGTCGAGGTGGTCGAATGCATGTTTGTCAAGAGACCCAGCTTACTCTATATATCAGAGCTGCCCCTCCACTTAACCACGATAAATCAAGCTTAACCCAAGAATGCAGCGAACCGCAGCCGAGTGCTGTCAAGTGGATGCGAGGTAGGAATGCGAATCCACCCCTCGATGGTTATCCTATAGACACTCAGCAGACGATAACAGAGCAAAGACGAGATTCACCGCATGAAAGAAACACAGTGTCGAGGTTTGTTATTTTATCCCCAGGGCAGAATGATCGATGCCCACCGCTGTCACAATGTGAAATGTGGTGGTTGGAATCGAAGAGGCTGGGCAGCCTGCGGCGCTTTGTTTGGGCGCTCGTTGTTATGGGCAACCACTGCTTATGTCATGGATTTAGTCACGTGCCCGGCCCGTCCGCCCGCAGTGGAACCCTGTATTACCATGGATCGAAGGGAGCTAAGATAGAGCTTAGATAGGAGATAACCATTCCTTAATTTTTAATCTGCGGTTGGTCTTGGAAGGTATACACCGAGGAATTAATGGTTGATCAGCGATCGCTCGCGTGGAATTACAATATCTGAACATCTCAAAGTACATCGACAAGAACCAATTCCAGGACAACTTCCTAGCGTTGTAGAAAATACATAGCCTGGCCAGACGCAATGATGTACAACTGAACAACTGAACGGCTCGACAACGCAAAAAAGTCACACAGTATCGATTCGATCACTGGGAAGTCGGACAATGATAAAGGGCCGACAAAAGTACAGCGATGCAGAGTAAGAGAAGGCTAGAGGGGTATACAGGGTATATAGTGTTGAAGTGAGTAGATGGGCAAGTATCAGTTTAAGATAAGAGAAGAACAGCTAAACATGCAGAATCTGGGAATCAAATATGCAATGCAAAACAACGGTACGGGGAAAGATCAACAAAACATTATCATCATCATCAGGGTCATACAGGCATAATGAAAAACAGACATGATTTATGCAAGACGTCAAAAAAAGCGCTCAAAAGAACAGAACCCAATGGTCATTACATCGTACAGTCGTGCCACCATGATAAGATCGACAAACAAAAGAAAAACAAGTTTCCATCCAACCAAAACGTGGCGAAAAACACTTTTGCTTAGTTTGCTTTTCGATTTCAGCTGGACAGAGACGAGATGCTCTTTGTAATTCTTATTTCTCCTCGTAGAGGCAGACCAAACAACCAACTTTTAGTCATCCTTTTCCCATAAAACGCAAAACAATAACAACCTCCCAGTTTTTGAAGTCATAATAATTCGCTCTCGGCTGATACACAATAGTTGTTTAACGACCGCTGAAAGTGGAACGGCTTGAGCGACGAGAGTTTCGGTCGGACCGTCGGTCGTCGCGAGGCCGTCGCCCATCCTCGACTTCTCGCCGGCTGCTAGCAGATGTAAATTCAGATCCTGCAGGCATGATGTACTTCTTGGGTCGACGGCCTTCAATATTCAGGCCAATCGCACCCTGTTCATCAGTGCGCAGGTGAATCGTTTTGCCGCTAACTGAGCCCTGAGGGAAAGTCATGGTCATTCCATTCATAGTCATTGTGAAACTGCTGTCATCATCAAAGCGCGAACCAACACCACTTCCATCTCGCGTACGAGCATCGCTGCCACGGCTGCTGTTCGAGCGACTCTTCTGGCTACCACTGTCGCTGTCTTGGCGCTGGGCAATCTTGGCTTTAAGTCGCAAAGCGTCAGCAGTCAGCGGGACACCAGTCCGGCCAGACTTCGCTGCCTGGTACTCCTCAGCGCTTCGATGCTTTTGCTCCAAATCAATCGGCAGTTCGCGACGAGGTTCTCGTTGAGGTTGATGTTCATCATCGTAATAATTGGTACGTCGACGTGAGCCCTCAATGATACGCCGCGCGCCATCAGGTGCATGATAAGACGTTCTTCTAGTAGCCTTCATGCTCTGACTACGCTCGGGTACACCGGCGATCTTGCGGATTTGCTGATGTGGCAGAGCTTGTTTCAGATCGGACAAGTCCCAAGAGTCTCGTGAATGAGACATGCGACGACTGGTGGGAGGCACGCTTCCTGTCGTCATTGATTTTTGGGGAGGCTCGGGACGCTTCTGGATGATCTTGGGCGCTTTGGCTTTGGGTTTCGGTGCTGGAGGCGGTGGCGGTGGCATGCGGTAGTAATCCTCATCTAGTCCCTCCGTCTCAACTGGCCGGCGACTCTCAGATGGCCGGCGAGAGCGGTGTTCTCTTGAAATCTGGCGTTCCAAGAAAGATCCATCCTCGAAGGAAGCCTTAGGGGTAGTGTGTTCTATCACAGGCCGTCCATAGACCGAAGAACGACGGCGCTGTTCTTTTGGTCTGGATACGGACGATGCGCGTTGCTTTTCAAACACTTGTTGGTAGGGCGAACCTGGTTCGGCATAGTACTGCTGGTGTGGGGTCGAGGGCATGGTATGGTACGCAGAAGGGGCCGGGGGAGGTCCTTGCTCATAGGGGGTCGCTGGCAAGGCACCGGGGTTATACATGGCATTCGGCATTCCAGCGTGGTAACTTAGAGGCCGTTCATCCATATTGTAAACAGAAGCACGACTGGGGCGTCGTTGACGCTGAGTCGACTGAGCTATATGCATCTCCGGTCCATGTCCCTGTGCATGTCCATAAGAAGGGTAAGGGTATTGTCCTGTCTGAGGGGACTGAGGGGGTATATCCTGAGTAGGAGTAGATTGCTGGTAGTAATAGTAGGAAGAGTAGTCCACGGGAGCGGGTACTGGGTATCCAGGAGCATTGGGGTAGCCATTGGCATAAGCCCAGTAAGCATCGGGCTGGGCATGCATGTTGATGCTCTGACGCCTCGACGTGGAAGAAGACCGTGGAGGCGGCGCGGCCCTGGCATTCATGTGCATCATATCAGCAGAGGCACGCTTCTCTTGACGTTGTTTTCCCTTATCCTTTCGGCCTTCTTTCACGCGGACGGCTTCAACGGGTCTGCTGGCGGCAATAGTGTCCAGGGTCAAGGGCATAGGACTGGGCCGGGCACTTGCACGAGACTGACTGCTATTACCGGTGGCCGCGGTACGGCTGGAATAGCCCGAGTCGCTGGCAAAGTCAATAGGCACGCTGTCCAATGGCACAAGGGCAGTCTTGGATCGCTTCGCTGCAATATGAGCGCTCTGGCGGGTTTGAGGAATAACACTGTCTGCGTCGTCATCGTAGTCTTCGATATAAGCAGGAGCAGGTTTTTGCGGAACTTTTCTCGCCATGTTGCAACGGCGCGGCAGGTTTTTATTTCGTTCGGCAAGGAGGTGACCACAGTGGGCTCCAGCTTCTGCCCAATGCTGCTGCGAGCAGACTGTGGGCGGGACCCTGCTGTGTCTGGGCCAGCTGATCACAGACTATGGCAGGCAACAATGGGGCTCAGGATGTTGTTAACGACCGGCGGCGCTTCTGAATCGATTGTCAATATCCACAGTCGGATCCTTCTCCATCGAAAACTGGCGGGAAGAGTCTGGAACTAGAAGATGAGCAACAGAGATGAGTCACGGCAAGACGACTCTTCTGGCAGGCTGTGAATGGGCGACGATGGGTGCTGGCTGGGTAGGGAAAAGCCCGTGCAGACAGCGGTTGAATGATCTGGCAGACTGACAGAGGCGGCGGTGGGGTTGGGTGGAGTGTCTGGGATTAAACACAATCGCAGTTGCAGAGCGCAGGAGTACCAAAACAGCAAAAGCGCCTGACAGAATATAGGACAGGAGGGGTGCGTGAAGAAACTAGGCTGTCCCAGACAATGGCGTAGGTGAGGCGGGCAGATCGGAGGTCAAGTCAACAAAGGTAGGAGGGCGAGCGAAAAGCTTCCGTGCGGCCAAGACGATCGTAAGCAGGACAAAAATTTATGTCGCTCGAGCGTAAAATAAATCGCGTATTTTTTAGTTCGACGTGAGGCTGTACGTCGCAGAACGGGGGGCGAGTGCGACAGACGAGACGACAGACAAGACGACAGAACAGGGCAGGGAGCAGCAGGAGCAGAAGTGTCGTGGTGAGTTGTTAGTAGCTGCTGACGGCAGGTAGAGCGCAGACTGCGAAGACAGACACTAAACACTAGACACCCGACAGCAGCAGGCTGACTGTGAGAGAAGAAAAAAGCGGGTGAGTGGAGGATGCAGTGGAGAGGGGATGCGAGGGAGTTGCCGCTTCCCGTTCGGGCCTATCGTGATAGGCTGCGGCGTGCAGTAGTCGCCCTGCTGGTGCTGGCTGCTGGGCTGCAGTGCGTCTGAAGGCAGTTAGTGACTTCGTTATTTTAGCTGGCGCGCCTGCTGGAAGCGAAAGTTGTCGTGGTGTCGTGCAGATGTAGCTTTCTTGCACGTCTCGCCCGGTAGTAGAGGGTAGAAGGCGAAGGATGGAAGAGGGGGCAGGGAGATGAAGAAAGGAGAATGCCAATAATTAATAGGGTCTCAGGAGTGCCGGCCTCGGTGGTATTCATCGGGTCGAGCTCGTGCAGAGGAAAAGACACAGACGCCGTTGGGCTGCATTGTCGTAATTTAATATGGGAATGGAGAGGGTATTTTCGGAAACAATCAATAATACCACACACTGGCAGGATGGGGCCGGGTGAGTCAGATATGATGAATTAATTGATTCATAAGCATTAATAGATAAATCGAGGGTTCAGGAGGGGAACTCCAGGAGGAACGGGGACATATTTATTTATTCTTCTCTGCTTTTACGATTATTATAATCATAGAGTCATGATATACGCTGGGTAGGTCAGGCGAACTGTTTAGGTTCTTATTGTCCATTCAGCCACAGCCAGTAGCGCTTAGCGTTCGTTGATCAGGCTGGCAGTGCCACTGCGCTGGTCCTCATCGATACTGAAAACATGATGCCGGTGTGTATATCACCCTTATGACTGGCAGTTGTTGAGCCGCTTAGGCAGACAGACGAAATGGACACAAAAAGATTTTCGGTTACAGTACTACAGGTCCGGGGAAAAGTTATCGTCGTGCCCGAGGTCACGGAAGTATATTCAACCAGCCATGATGTTTGCCTCCGTGTTTTCCGTGCGATGTACGAATATAAGTCGCAGCCATGCGAAGAAATGAGAATAAATTACATGATTACATGTAATATTAATCTCGTCGTGGTTGGCTGCCCAAGCTGAGACGAACGTGTTGGACAGCAATTGGCAGCCCAATGACCGTGCAACAGCGGTCATCCCTGCAAGTCTCATCCTTTCGATTGTCGAAAGTCAAGACAGGTGGTGTTTCAACAACAGACCAATTAACTAGTCATGGATCGAAGGGAAAGTTGAACAACAACAATCATTATATTAACGGACCGACATGCCAATAAATCCCGAACAAGGACTGTCTGCGATATTTTCTGAAACGGCACACCTCGGACTGGGGCTAGCTAGGACGCTACCGGATGCTGAGCCCTGAGATGACGCTACGACCCTTATCTGTGATCGAGTTTCAACAGTCAGTCAATCATCACTCACATCACTAGTTAGGTAGATCAGATGTGACTGCCGGGCAAAGAGCAGTGTTACTCCGATTCTTAAATCACCGAGCAGCCATGTCACCGTTCGGGGCCCGTGGCCAGCAGCTCTGAAGAAGATATATCGACATGACGATTTTATCGGTACTATACGAGCTGTTTGTCGAGCAAACTACCCCCACCACTAGCCTGGCGCCGAAGTGACCATCCGCATTCAAAATACGCAGACTATATGCTCTCGGGCATCATCGGTGCGGCTATTTTTATTTTCCTCCTCGTAATTGTGCGTGAACAGTTGCCGTTCGTAAGACAATGTAGGGCATTGCCAGCCACGGCAATCTAAATGAACGGCGAAATTGCCACCCGTTTTCTCTGTTTTGACATTGCCTATTCTGTCAACCACCACGAAATATTAATCTTACCCGTGAGTCATTGGGCCTCCATGCAAGCTAAGCCGTACTGCATAGATCCACCGAGTGGGCCACGACCCTCGAAACACGCAACAAAGTCGACAAAAAGAAAAAATTTTGTCTGGTCAATTTCCCCATGTGACGTAACATCCAGCGAAACCTTTACTTTTTTTCGCTGAAAGTAGGGCTGACCTAGTCGAGCAGTGTACTTCTGGAAGCTACCGTGCCTAGTCATCTTGGAACTGGCCCGCTGAGTGGGTTTAGTAACGAACGTGATGTTCCTGCCCTATTCTAGCTCTCCTGTTGCCACTTCTTTTGTATGGTAGGGTTGTCAAATGTCGCAACGTATCCGAATCGGTAAATGTCGGTGCCAGCTTCTGCCAAGTATCATCATTACTGCTAACAATATTCACCGCGACAACTCGGACCAAGGGAACACCCCTCAGGAGCATATTTCGATGTCGTCTCGAGTGAAACATCTCGTAGTCCGTGCAAATTTCTTCTTACGTGTTCGGAGCCCGATACCAGCCAGGAAGCGTGGTCGAGCGAGGACCTTGCTCAGATCGACCGGAGATAGCCTGCCAATTCCCATCCTGTCATACCCAGATAGTAACGACTACTACTATGTCGTAGTACATGGTGTGTAGTTAGCTATGATGGTAGCTCCCTGGCCTGCGGCCGTCGACGGCACAGGCATGGGCTATTGGACGATCGTACGACACCCACGATGCCATCACTGGGATATCAATGGGATATCACTGGCTGCTGCTGAGCCTCAAGCTGGCTGGCCCAACGAGGCACTAGACAATCGAGATGTCGCTTATTGCATGACAAGACAATCCATTGGTTGTTGGTGCTGATCTCTAACTTTCAGCCTGCTGCCGCTCGCTCCTTCCTGTTGGGGCCGGGCATATCACGGGACTGCCTCGTCCACTACCATACTATTATCCTGCCACTACTTAACACTTCTTGTCTCCGCCATATAAACTCACACCACTCAAGTGCGAGGACGCCGCTCGATAGAAGCACGTGTGGGGAGCTCTCTGAGCCAATAGCGCACTGCCACTCTTTGTGTCACTGCATATGCCAGTCCACTCCGAGCCGACAGCTCGAGCTACCTTACGCTAGCCAAGCCCATTGATGATTGCTCTACATGGCCGTCTTTGTCTTGCCGTTCGGACTTTTGTAAATATGGAAGTGAGGCATGTTTGAGAGGAACCGGCGGGTAGGTGGGAGTTCATGCGAAGCGCTGCAATGCCCGCTGCCAGGTCTCTTGGAGCAGAGACTTGACAGTCATAACAGTGCCATTTGCGTCATCCTTCACATGATATGCTACCGTTCGCTCATCTAATCCCTTGAAAGGTGCGAGTAACCTCATCAAAGGGATAACGATGAAACCCTCCCCCTCATCCTAACCATGCAAGTAATAGCCTAGCAAAAAGTCATACTTTCGGTATTTGTCCAGAACCTTGCCACCCATCTCCGCACAAAATCAGGTATATATCTCACGTATTAATCTCTCTCGTGGTGGATATGCTATATCTCTACTGTGCAATGCCAGTATAATCAACCTGATTGGCTACGTCAGAAAGACCGGAAAGAAGCGGTCTGCAACTCCAACTTCTATATGTATGTATCATGTGCACAACACGCCACCGTGACGCAAGGGATGACGCTAGGTAATATCCAGTAGGGTGAGGAAAGGTTGAATATAGTACCACAAAAGTGGATTGGGTGTAGGAGCACTTCTCATCAATAGTAAAAAATATTTGAACTTTATACATTACATGTATCTGCGAGCGGTCCACCAAGAAGTATAAATTTACTATATTCAAAAATTTTGTCAAATTAGTGTATCCGGTGAGAGTTTCATTGTTGATATCCTTCCTAAGCAACTAGGTAACTAACTACCACATCATTGAAATCATCGCCAGTAATAATCGTCGTCGTCATCATCATCTTCTTGACGCTGGTAATAGACATTAAATCCGGCTGCACCTGACATGGCTGCAATCGTAGAAGATGCTTGCTTGGAAGAGGACAGCGTACTGGATCAAGTTTCATTAACGTGATAGGATCTCCAGATTTGATGGGGGTGTCGGCCCTAATATTATAGAATTTGGAGCCGGTGAAGGTAAAAGGAGAGTATGTTGCAGGGAAATCCGGCTTGTTCGTCACGCTTTCAATCCAGGTTGTAGGCAAACGCTTGCGTGAGTCATCCTTCTTAAGCCAATGAAATATAAGCGTCATTGATTGTTGATCAGCGGAGGTTTCTTTGTATTCAAGAGCAACCAAATTTGAGTCCCAAGCTTTATGCACCGAGCAATCTATCGTTATCATATTTTCCACTCTCTTTGAATTATGTGGGCCAGTCAGTGCTTTGGACTAAGCTTCGACTTCATTCTCCGGTTAGAAGAGCTTCAAATAACTCCAAAGACTTGAGCGATTGTCATGCCAGTCGCTATCCTTGTACTTATTCATTGAATAAGGATAGATATGAGCTCCAATGAGAACATCCTGATGACCTATCCTATCCGTGTTATTATGCAGGTACTGTCATGTTCTAAAGCCTTGGAGAGTGTTATTATTGGATTAGTAAAATGATAGATAGATATTCAACTTACACTATCTCGTAGTGCTTTGTCCCTTGAAGATGGTCAATTACTCTCATCTTCGGCTGGGGAGTTGCGGCGCCCCAAGGTGAAGAACTTTCATTGCTTGGGAGTAGAAGGGTTGCTGTGCGTATAGGAGAAACGATTTGAGACGTGGTCCCTTCGCTTTGAGGTTGAGGCATTGGTGTGGCTGAAAGTGATGAATGTTGACGTATAGCATCATCGGCTGCGCGCAGAGGCATTGATGCAGCGAAAGGAGATAAATTATGAGGCGTAACACTAACTCTTTTGCAGTCTTTATTCTGGCGGTGGCCTGGGACTGGGCTAGCTAAGGGGTCTGATTTCTCTCTCAAACTGGCCTCCCCTGCTGCATCGTTCGCATAGCTTACTTTGAGTGATAATAAAACTCACATGGACGCATGACGGCTGTCAAAAGCTCTGTGTGGGATTAGTGATGCTTTTAGTACGAGGCCTCGACGGTTTGTATCTCCAGTCTCTTCTGCCAGGATCCTCCGAAGTTCTTTGAGGCTTTCGATGAGACTTAGCCACAAGAATACGCAACTCAGGGGCTATATCTTTGGCGAGTAAACTTGAAGTAGTTTCTGGATTTCTTTCAATGGATCCTCGCGATCTGCATCATGAAATGCTGTCTGCCATCGTGTGGGTTGTTCAAAATGTCGTAGATGACCAATTCACCTCGTCAAACGCTGTAGCGTTTTCAGAGTGAGTAGATATTTCTGAGGGGAAAGGAAAGGGCTGTTGGGAGGGAGAGGGGAGGAACATCATGGTAAAAAGTTCTGGTCAGTCGGAGACGCCTCGGCACAGGAAGATCCCACCAGGTCCAGCTTCAAACACAGATTGCGTTTTCCAGCGGGAAAAATTTTGTCAGTGCGATGGGAGAGAAAGAAGAGGAAAGATAAGAAAGGAGAACAGTCCTGGTATGAAGAAACAGCTGTTACTTGGATGGTGGTTGCCTAGCACTGTCCCATTACGGCACCGCTCAATTTTGGTTTGGTTACCAAACACTGAAAATCAGCGGTATAACGTTTTGTAGTTGGTGGATGGCACCGTGGTGGTACATATGTAGCAAACGCCAGTAAAATTGTAGAGAAAAGCTTGAATATAAGATCGAGATTTTCTGTCATTCATCTGCATTTACACCAATTTATGAGACATCAAATATAGACATGTTAGGGGTTTGCTCGTAAATAATACAAAAAGTTTAAATATCATTAATATTGATCTAGGGAGGGCAACCTAAGTCTCGTGAACTTTTGTGGTGCTATATTCAAACTTATACCACCCTACTGTACATCAATTGATGTCACGCTATCCCATAGCAGATCTGGACATCCGTGTAAGGTAGGTAGTTGATTAGGGAGAGTTGCTACATTACGTTGATGTAAAAGCTATTCTTCACCGAAATTGATTCATTGGATATATGCTCAACTTTTATTACCTAGGTTGGAACTAGACTCGTCTACTACAACTATGACATAATAACGTGGGGGATTATATCACATTACATCCTAAACACACAGAGTACCGTTAGTAAGAGTATAGTTATAGTAAACTAGAGAGGAGACGCACCGTTCAACAGGATTTAATCCAAGCAACTTCATCCCATTATGCAAAACCTGCCGAGCCGCCGCGTACAAGGCCATACGTGCCTTAGCCGTCTTTTCCTCGCGGCCGACGATGCGTAGGATATCGTAGCTGGAGCTGAGCATGTGGGTCATACGGAACAGATAGGTGAGCACGGTGGTGGGTTCGAGGGTCTTGTATGTATTCAGGACAACGTCGGGCCATTGAGCTAAATATCGGGCGAGATCGATGGCGTGAGATTCGGTGAGAGGGGAGAGGTCGGCGTTGGGGAGATCTTCGGGGTTAATTTCTGCTTTGCGAATGATGGAGGAGAGACGGGCGTGCGCGTATTGCAGATATGGGCCCGTGTCGCCTTCGAAGGAGGTCATGGTTTCGAGGTTGAAGTCGTAGCCGTTGACGCTGGGAATGTTAGTATGTGTGAGTATAGATTGCGGTGGATGGATGGGCTTACCGCTTGCCGGACATGTCCTGGACCATGACGGCGGTGATACCGAGGGTATCTGCTGTTGCATGGGGGTCTTCGACTTGCTCGTACTTGGCTTCGTTCTTTTTCATGACTTCGTGCATTTTGTCGCCTACATCACGAAGGATATCGTCTAAGAACTTGACGGTTCCCTTGCGGGTACTCATACCACGGACCATGCCAAAGTTGATGTGTTGGCATTTGCTTGCAATGTCCTTGTGGCCTGTGAGCTCGGTGACCTTGAAAAGCTGAGCCAAGTGCAAATCTTGCTGCGAAGCAACAACGTAGATCATCTTGTCAAAGTGGTATTTGTTGTGACGCTCGACAATGGCGCCAATATCTCGGGTTAGGTATAGAGGAGTACCATCCTTTCGGATAACAATAGCCTTGCCGAGTTTCTTGGCACCATGCTTGGTGAAATCAACAATGACTGCGCCTTCAGAGTTTTCTGACGTTCCAGTCTTCTCCATTGACTCATAAGCATGCTTTAGGCTTTCAGGCAGAACCTGAGATTCACCTGAATAGACATCAAAGTCAATGTTCAGACGAGCATATGTCTGCTTGTATTTTTGAATACTGAGATCACGGAATCGTCGCCATAATGCCAGGGCATCCGCGTCACCGTCTTCCATACTCTTAAAATAACGACGGGCTTTCTCGTCATCACTCTCATCGACCAGTTTCTTAAGTTGAGCTTCATCTGCCGATACATCTTCATTCTTTTCTTTCTTTGCCTTGATGGTTTCCCTGAGCTCTTTGATCGGTACGTCTTGGGCGCTCATATCTTGGTTGACCTTGACGTAAACATCGAACAAGTGGTTGATAGGGTCTTTCAGAAGAGCTTCTTCGCTACCATATCGTTTAAACCCGGTCGCCAGCAGACCGTATTGTTTTCCCCAGTCACCCAAGTAGTTCATTTTGATGACCTCCCATCCGGTAATCGTGAATAGATTCGCGAGGAAACCACCAATAATTGTACTGCGCAGATGGCCGGCGTGGAAGGGCTTGGCGATATTGGGTGAGGAAAATTCAATAATAACCTTCTTCTTTCCCTTGGAAGCGTCTGAGGGGTCATGAAGACCGAGATTGCCGTTCGTACCATACGTGGCTTTGTTCTCGAGAATGCGGTTGATGATTGTCTTCAACAAAGGCTCGGGCTTAAAGAAGAACTGAATATGGACGCCGTGTGCGGCAGGTTTTTCGATGAGATCTGAGGCAGGGAATTTTTCCACGAGTTCGGCGGCCAATTCGTTGGGCTTCCTGCCCTTGACTTGCAGGGCAGGAACCTATTAACTGTCAGGAGGGTCCGTGGCTAGGAGGGAGGCAGACATACTGGCAGAGTCAAATCGCCCTTGTCCAGACTATTCGTCCATGCCAGCTTTGTGTAAACTAACTTCGGGTCAATGTCGCTGATCTTGCCGATAGTTTCTGCAATGTGTTCGCGATAGATGTCGACGGGGTTCAAGGACGGATAGCAGGCAGGGAATTTCGACTGGACGTCCGTGGAGTGCAGAGTGAGGCCCTCGATGGACGGGACCGACTGGTCCTGGGAGGCCGCCATGGTGTTGTACCAGGATACTCTACAAGAGGAAGAGGGGTGACGCGAGAATGATGAGGCAAAGGGAGACCGAGCGCACAAAGAATGGCGCGGCAGACAATTGGCAGGCTTGGAAAAAGTCGCGGGGTGTATCGCTGATTCTGAAAGTCGCCAAGCGCCGTTGAGCAGAAGTCGGCGCATGAGCGGAGCAAGCAAGACCAACCCTGGATTTTGACTCACAGAGGGGTAACTTTTTTCCCAGCGCCTGCTGCAGTCATCGATTCTGCCGGGCGGTGTGAATTGCACATCACGTGATATACTCTCACGTGCATTTCCCTTTTGGGCACTCAACAATGACCAGCACCTGACATCATAATCACAAGCCGTGATGTTGTTTCTTTCCTGCTGGGTGGGAATTTTCCAGTCGATTCTTCTTCCAACATGTAACTGCGCCCCGGCCGTCAGCGCGGTCGTTCTCCGAAACGCTCAATCAACCATATACCAGCATGTGCTTCAAGCAACGCCGCGAGAACGGCATCAGCCACTCCATCCACCGCGCTCTGACGATAGAGCCCGACTGCGAAGGCAAACACCAGCATGGCTGTACAGAAAACGTGCTCTACTTCTTCCTGATCTGGGAGCTGCGCCTCGTGCGCATCTCCTCTCAGCTCTTTCGCAACCTGCGCGACGAGGTGTGGAAGATTGACGAGGCGGCGTATTCGGCTTCCTTCCGGTACGACAAGAAGTACGGCGGGCTGGTGCCGATGGGAGATCTGGGGTATTCAGGATCGGTAGCCCTAACCCCGCTCTAGATAATGAAAATAATGAAATTAGGATAGTGTTGATAGGCTGATATATGTAGACGTTCTTCCGCACCGCGGATTCAAAGTATCTGGTCAAGAGCCTTCCGCGCAAAGCAGAGCACGACTTTTTCAAGGAAGAGCTGCTCTCTCCGTACTGCGAGTATATGAGCGCCAACCCGGACTCACTGCTGGTGCACATCACCGACTTTCTCGGCACGTCGTCGCCAACACTCGGTACTCTCTTCGGATGGTCGCCGTCACACCACGTGATCATGGAAAACGTACTCTGTGACAGAGACGAAGCGTCCGAGTTGGACAAATGGGAGACATATGATCTGAAACCGGTAGATTACTTCTACCCGGAACGTGATCTGGTGCCAGAGCCGCTTACCTCGCGCACGGTAATGTCACGGCTCTACGATGAATTCAAGGATAAAGTGCGGATCACAAAGTCGCAGTTCCAGTACCTGCGCGAGCGATGTGATCGAGATAGCGATCTGCTCAAGCACAGCAATACGGTGGATTATTCGCTCTTTCTAGTGCGGTATCCGTCGGGTTTGGAACCCTCGATGCCGATTCAGACGGCGAGCGAGTGGAGGAAGGGGGTGATGTCGGCAGATGGTAGGTGGATATATAGGGCTGTGTTGCTGGATTTCTTCTGGGCGAAGCATAAACTGCCGGCGCAGGCTTTGACCGGTGTGGTGCAGACGTTCAATGTTGTTGGGCGCAAGGGGCCGATGTCTATCACCACGACGGCAAGCGAGTACAAGGAAAAGTTCATGCAGATGGTCGACGGCCTGGTAGAGCTTCACGGAGACTAAAGAGTAACAGACGAACGAAAGTGTATATGAACGGATAATAATTATATTGTGTAAATTTATTATGAGAACAGGAACATTTTCTTTGGCATTAACTCCGTAAAGGAACTGAAATGTCGAAATTGCTATGTGTGACAAGCCAATAAACCCATCTAGTCATCATCTCGTCAGATCGAATCAAACAACGTATATTAACGTGTAATACAAGTGTTTGCAGCTAGAATGCAAAGACCTGGTCGTGGAGCTTGCTGACGGCGTTGGCCTTGGTATAGCCCAGAGCCTCGGTAGCCTTCTTCATAGCGGAGATCATTGGAGGGGGGCCGCAGAGGAGAATCTTGATATCACTCGCAGGCGCAGGAAGACGTTCCTGGAAACTAGTTAGTTCTGTACCAAATAAGAAATACCACATAAAAAGTGGAAGTACCTTGATCATGTCTCCAGTAACAAAGCCAACACCACCCTTCCAGCCCTCGGGAGGGTTGTTCAAGACGTAGTGGATGCTGAACTTGTCGTCCTCGGCAGCCAATTTGTCCAATTCCTCTTTCAGCAGAATATCGTCGGGGTTCACATTGGCAAAAATCAAATTAATCTCCGTGGAGTCATTTCCGCCATTGCGGGGACGATTGCGGATGATCGCCTTGATGATTTGCAGCATGGGTGTAATGCCTGTTCCACCCGCAATCATGCCAATGCGTCGAGACATGTTGGGGGTGTAGACCATGGCGCCCTTGGGACCGCGCACCTTCATGGTCTGGCCGACCTTGAGATCGTCGAGGTACTTGGAGATATTGCCTTGCGGGTAGGTCTTGACGAGCAGGTCGAAGTAGCCGGCCTCATTGTCGGAGGAGATAGGGGTATAGGAGCGGACAACGGGCTTGGGGTTGCCGCCGATCTCGGCTTGCAGGGAGATGTGCTGGCCGATGGGGAGACCCAGGATATCGGTAGAGCGAGGGAGGGAGAATCGGTAGATGGCGACATTGTGAGAGACCAGGGTCTTCTCCTTGAGGACGAAATCTTGGAACTCGGTTGGGTTGAGCACCTTGCGAGGGCCTGCGAGGGTCAGCAATGGCCGACAAGAGTAATGATAAACAAGCGACAGTCTAGCAGGAAGGCGTACGGCTAGTCAAGGCCCTGAAGACAGAGAGCACAGCAGCCAGCGCAACGGCGTAGGGAAGCCATTCCTGCTTGACGACGGCGGTGCCGACAATCAGCAGAGCCGAGGGAATGACGATGCTGCGGAGGGATTCGGTGGATAGAACGCTGTGAGAGCATTAGTATTGGCGGACAGGCCCTAATCGACTGGACATACCTCATTTTGCAGGCGTGCACTGTGCGACCAGGGACAATTGGCTCGAGGACTGCTGGGAATCTGGACTGGGGAGAGAAAATAAATCGACGGGGAAGCAGAAGTAGAAAGCACGCAGAAGCACCCGCAAAGTGGTCAAAGCTCGGCGGTGCAGTTTTCCGCGGCTAGTTCGACTATCGGCTTTGTTGATCGGAGTACGACAAGCAATTATTGGCAAATTATTAATTAGGTATTGATGCTGCTGATACAAAGACAAACAAGGATTGCTCCTTGGGATTACTAGATGTCCCCCAACGGCAGCAATTCCGCCTGTTCTATGAGGGCCGAGAAGGGCCAGTCCGCCCGCTATAGGTACTATCATTACGAGGGCTGAAGATGGCTCCTGCGATGACAGTCGAATAGACGCATCTACAGACCACGCAAGGGCCTCTCATGCTATTCGTGGCTGGCATCGGAACCCGACATGCTCCTCGGGAGCCCCCAACTCGAGGCCATCAAGACCCAATCAACACATTATCCCCGCTGTGAATTGGTGATCATCTTGTCCAGCCAACCCCACAATCACCGACCCCAACAATTGTCCCCGTCTACAGTCCCAAAAATTAATCGTTGTCGCAGCTGGATAGGATAATGGGCTCCATCGACGACAGCCACACGCAGGCTGCGCAGACGAAGCCGTTGCCGTTCAATCTGACTGAGGTGGACCGCCAGGTGCTGGCCTTGACAGACGACGAGTTTGTTTATCATGACTGGGACGAACTAAAGGACATCATCGGTAGGCCGCAGCCCCTCATCCAAACAACATACGATCACATTAAGATCACACTTATCAGATCACTCACTATATGTGATGAAACTATAACACCGCACTGCTTCCAATATTATCCTACCTATACACACGTAAACTCTATTTATTAACATCCCCAGGACGAAATGACCTCGGCGCCCTCCGCCGCGCACCCTCGGATCTACGCCGCTACATAGCATGGACGGACTCGATAAAGTCCAGCTTCGGCGGCATTACAAACTACATCTGCCAGCGGCGGCTCCACTGGACAACGTCCTCCAACCCCGATATCGCGTCCATTCCCTGGGCCAACGCGACCCCCTTTGCCGATGCCTCAGACTACAAAATCCTGCGCAACGACTGGCCGTACGGCCTCACGCCGGATATCGCGCACATCGTGGTGTGGTCGAAAACGCCGATAGCCGCGAAACCCGACACGGGGGAGGCGACGGATGAGTCGAAGGCGTTGATTGAGGCCTTTGTGGATCGCACTTTCGTGCAGCGGTTGCAGAGGGATCCTGTCTGTGAGGGCATGGCGAAAGAGGAGGTTAGGAGGGAAAAGGTATTGTGGTTTAAGAATTGGACGGCTTTGCAGAGTGTGCGCAGTCTGGAGCATTTTCACGTCTTGCTTAGAGGCGTCCCCGATGATTTGATTACGGAGTGGACCGATGAGCGGCGTATTGTGCAGGAACTTCCTTGACCTTGTTTCAGAACGGTGAAGAAGGTAAAAAGGAAGGTTGTTAATTACGCCTATATAGATACAGAGAACAAATAGATCATGACTAGAAAGAAAGAGCATACTCAGGCAAGCAATGGATATAAGTACTGCTCCAGCAATAACGCCTCCCTCCCATCCTCCTGCCAGCCCAAATCATAAAGCCCCAACCCAGCACTCACAACAACACGCATTAATTAACTCTTTTGCTCCTCAACGAACTTGAGTGCTTCCTCCTTCGACACCACGTCAATGGAACTAGCCTTGTTGCGGAAACTGACTCCGTAGCATTTCTCAGCGACGTGCAGCATTTCAGGCCGGAAAGTGGTGCAGATGAATTGACCATTGGTGGCTTCTGAAATCGATTGCAGCATTTGAGCCACGGCGGTACGATATTGGGCGTCGAGGTTAGCGTCGATCTCGTCGAAGAGATAGAATGGCGCGGGATCGCAGGCTTGAATGGCAAACACCAGTGCGAGAGCGCACAAACCTACCCATAGTTAGTAACATCGCGCTTGAAAACAGTGGTGCGAACTTACTCTTTTGGCCACCGCTGAGCTGTTGGATGCGTTGTTGTTCGTCGTGCTTGCTGTTGAAACTGACACTGATGCCAACTCCGACATAGTTCTCGACACTCTCCCGACGGTCTTCGTCGTCAGACTCGACCTCGTTCTCTGGCCGGAGTGCGCGGTCAGTCTTGCGTTGAATAATGAGACGGCCACGACCCGATGGTACAAGTTTTTCAAACACGTTGTGGAACTCGCGCGACACCTGCTTGAAAGTTCGTTCGATGGCTTCGTCTTTACGTTGGTCGAGGACCGTGATCAATTCGTCAATCGACTTTTGGGACGCATCTAGTTCTTCTCGTCGCTTGGTCAATGTTTCGCGTTGTTTTGTAAAGTTGTTGTATTGTTCGAAAGCCTTCTTGTTCACATGGGAATATTTTTTCAGTGATTCGTTGACTTTGTGTAGCTTCTTGACTACTGTGTTGGAGTCTGTTTTGTTGTATTTGGTAAAAGCCTCGTCGGGTAAAACACCTAGATCGCGAATATTGGAAGTGCATTCAGCAGCTTGCTTGGTCAAAGCCGCCTTCTTTTGCATGCTCTTCTCCATTCGTCGCTGGTGCTTTTCAATCGACTTGGCAAGAGACTCCAGCTCGTTTCGTATCTCTGCTTTGCGACCGTCAAGTTTAGCAACTTCTGCATTGCTCGCCGTAATGGATTTGTCGACTTCTGCGAGACGTTCTGTGATCTTGCCTAAGGCTGTCTGGAACTTTCTCATCTCACGCTCGGCTGTTTTGAGATTGCCCTGTGTGCCTTCATCACCCATGTCGATTTCATGGCCGCTAAGCTGGTCTAACCGTGGGTAAAGGTTCTCGCGAAGCTCAACTTCTAACACAGACTTGCGCGCCTCGAACTCACTGCGCTGGCGAGATAACTCCGCATACTGGCGCCGTAGATTCTGAGCAGTTGAACCAAGCGATTCCAGTTGCGACTCTTCTTCCAAAGTAAGTGCTTTTTGGAACGCCGAAGACAACTCTGCTTCCAGTGCCGCGACTTGCCCATCCAGAGCAGTCAAGTTGCTTTCGATGTTATGAAGAGCGCGCTGCTTGTTATCGAGATTGTCATTCTTATTCTGGAGTAACTCACGCTTGCTCCGTAGTTCCTGGCGTATTGGGCCGCTGCTGCCATGGAATTGCTGTTTGCGCTGCTCTAATTTTTGCAATTCACCAACAGCCCGAGTGACCTTTTGGTCTAGCCTTTCTAGGTCTTTGCGAATCTCGGTTGCGCGGTTCTTCTTTGATTCGTATTCATCACGCCATTTCGTCAATGTCTTCACAGCTTCTAACCGCGACTGCCGGGAGTCGTGGAACCCACCAGTCAACGCACCGCGTTTATCAGATCGATCTCCTTCCGGAGTAATGGCATTCACACCATGACTCCTAGCGTATTGAGCAGCTACTTGGAGGTTTGGACAAATAATAGTCTTTCCAAATACTTGCTGGAATGCGCCTTCATATTCGGGATCGAATTGCAGTTTCTCAATCATGGGGATTGTGTCACTAGCCTTGGGAAGATTGATTGGGCGGGACTTCAAACGATTCAATGGCATGAATGTAACTCGGCCAGCCTTCTCCTTTTGTAAAATTTCAAGCACCTTGGTGGCAGTTTGATCAGTGTCGACAACATAGTGGAAAAGACTAGTACCAGCTGTAACTTCGACAGCGGTACGATATCGCTCGTTGACTTCAACAAGCTCAGCTAGTGTACCGTAAACACCTTCGAGGTTATGTTGCCGTTTAATTCGTCGAACAGCTGCAATACCACGGCTGGTGTTGTGATCCATCATATGTGACAGATTGCGCTCAGCTCTCTCAACTTCGTGGGTCGCATTCGATAGGACTGAATCCAAACGAGCCTCTTCTCGCCATAATTCCCTTGTCACTGTTTAGTAAATATATTATAATACTAAAATGTTACAACTTACTTTCGCTCATCCATCAACTTATCTCTCTCGTCCTTGCCATTTTGCACCTCTTGTTCGATAGACTGGATGGTGTCGCCTCTACCATCAATCTGTTTGCGCAAATTGTCGATTTCCGGTTCTAGCGACATGATGGTGCTCTCGAGCTCCTTAATGTCCTCTTTTGTCTGAGCCTCGACGTTCTTCACGGATTTGATCGAAGTTTTGGTTTCCTGGATTTCCTTCTGTAACCATTTGTCTCGTTCTGACTTGTTCTTGAATCGAGAGTTGCGGCCTTGTTTCGCGTACAGACGTTGTCGAACAGTTTCAGCTTGGTCAAGTTGCGATTTGACACCGTCTTCTTGCTCCTTGGCGGCATTGAACTGGGGTAGCAGTGACTGGAGTTCAGTCTCGCGCTGGCTGATGGCAGACTGAACAGATTTGAGGTCATTATCATGTCGAGATTTGAACTGCTGAGCGGCAGATTGGCCGTCTTTCAGTGCCTTCTCCTGTAGCTCAACTTGAGCCAGGGCACGGGAAGAGTCACGACGCTCATCCTCCAGTTGCGCCTTATCCACCTTCAAAAACTCAATCTGTTGCCTGCACTCGGCAATCTGGGCATCGATTTGAGTCATCTCTTTTTCACCCTGAATGAATCGTTCGCGATTTGCATCTGTGTCCTCCACGCCAGTTTGTCGCGCGCCTTCTAAACTATCAAGCGCATTTGCAATTTCTTGCTGTTCGCGCGAGTAAATGGTGTATTCTAAGCATCGGCGTTCGCGATCCTGCTCCTGATAGCTTCGCAACTCATCCTTTTCTTCTTCCAATTCGTCAAGACGTTCATTGATGTAGTCTAGTAACTCGTCAATCTTTCCTCTCCTATTGTTAGTCTCGTTCATGATCTTAAGAGACTCGGCGCGACGAGCTTCATAAACTTGGGTGCCGGCAACTTCCTTCAACAGCACAAGTCGCTCGGAATCTTTCATATTGGTTAATGTGGTGACACGACCTTGAGGAACAATGTAATACGGGTTGGACCGCGAAAATCCCGCAGATTCTAGCAAGTTCATAACATCTGCTTTGGTGGCATTCTTATGATCGAGAGTATATTCGTCTTTCTTCAATCCGATGGTTCGCCGAAGGATCAACTCTGGCTTGCCAGTGGGGAATCGCTCGTCCGAGTTATCGAATATTACTTCCACGTATGCGGACATGACGGCAGAGCCTGAACCTTCCTGTAGGGCAGTTAATGATTGCCACATAAAGAACATACAAAAAAATCAGACGCAGTCTTACATGGAGCAAAGCTTGTCGCTCTTCTCTTCCCATCTGAGTATAGGCATCGCTAAGCACGAATCGAATGGCAGCGAAAAAGTTACTCTTGCCCGAACCATTGCGACCGACGATAACATTGTGCTTCGGCGAAAAGGGTTCAATGACCGTTTGATCTTTGTAGCTATGATAAAATCTATTAGCTCCTGACAGCGATACCAAATTGACGGTGGGGTACCTCTTGAAGCCTTGGATGATAATCTGCTTGATATACATTGTGACGGAGACACGCGAGGCGCGAAGGGGATTGCTTTACGAAGGCTTTCGCATCACCCAGTCGGCACCAAGAAGACAGGATTTGACGCGCAGACGAGCTGACAATCAACCAGGCAGCATCTAGGCGATACAAGGAGGGCGACAGAGTTGCTGGCGAAACTTGCACGGTCTCGACCAGCCCGACGCGTTCCTGGCGGGGACGTGTCTGGTCCACATGCGGCTAGAGTGGCCACGTGATTATTCGCGCAGTACAACATTGATGACTATATAAAATTTCCGTAGGAATCAAAATAATTTAATAAGTATATAGTTAATAAATGATTGGATCAAGGCAATCATTGAAACATCAAATACTAGATTAAATAATAAATTGCCCCGCCATTCGTCTAGCTTTGTGTGCCAAGAAATTGATATCGACTTCCTTGTATAAAATTGCCCAGTCCCGTCACGCTCAGCAGATACCAAATATAGCCTCGTGGTTGACCAACGCATCCTGAAGCTTATATAATTACCCCGCAGGCCGGTACAAACTCACTGATATCTCTATTAATATTAAGTTGGACGGTCAGCTACAGGGATGAAGGTTTATTACTACCTATTGCGGCAGGAAGCGGCGACATTTTCCTTGTATCCCTTGATTCTCGGTATTTCTGAGCCCTTACTGATGAAAGCGCCGGTCGCTCCTCGCGAGAACGTTTTCAAAACTCGTCCCTAATTATGAGAAACAGTTTGAAAGTACTTGAGAGAGAGAGCTCTAGTATACATTTTCATGTTCAACAAAAATATATAATTTACCGGCGCAGATGGATAGGAGGCACTGTTGAAATACCTACATAAATACTTCGACTTATAGAAAGAGCTCTTTCAATAGTAAAGTTGATGAATTTGTTTGAATTTCCTTTGCCCCTTGCTGACATTAATTGATTTCTTGGGAATTGGCGGGATTAAATATGTAACACAAAAAATGGGTGGTGGGTGGCGTGGTTTGAACTGATTACTGATACTAATTTCAAACCACCCTAGGTATCACTATTCGCTTGTTAGCTTATAATATAACTAGCAGCCACGTAATGATCATCAAACTTCCCCATTTCATCATTTAAAAGATCTCGTGTACTGTAATAACCACCCGAATAATTCCCCAAAGACTAAATCTTTAAGTCCAAAAGCAGGTCGTTCTAAATGTCATCATCAATCGACCAGCCCTTAGTTCTTGTTAGTGCGGTCAATGGCTATATCGCCTCTTGGACCGCGAAAGCATTTCTGGATGCTGGTTACAACGTCCGAGGTACGACAAGGTCCATCCAATCAAGCCTCGCATTGCTTAATGGACCTTTTAAAACATACGCGGATACCGGCCGCTTCAGTATTGTACAAGTCTCCGACATTACTCTTCCTGGAGCCTTTGACAGTGCTATACGCGGCTGCCATGCTGTTGTGCACACTGCATCTCCAATGTCTTTGAACTTCAAGGACCCGGATTCCGTCATCAACATAGCCGTCTCTGGCGTGAAATCCATACTTAATTCAGCGCGCGATTATGGTGGAGAAACATTGAAGACATTTGTTTTGCTTTCATCTTTCGCGGCTGTGAAGGGAAGACCGAAAGATGAACCATACACATTCACTGAGAGCGACTGGGATGACTTTTCCGGCGATGAAGTCGCACGCCTGGGCAAAACCAGCCCATCTGGGCTCATATACAAGGCTAGTAAGGCCGCAGCTGAACGGGTAATGTGGGATTTCCAGAGTAGTGAGTTACTGACTTTCAAAATGACGGCAATCAATCCTGTCTTCGTGTGGGGACCACCCCTTCTGTTCCCAGAAGACCCAGAGGACTTGAATATAACGGCTAAGGTCGTGTGGACGATTCTATCCGGAAAAGAGATCCCATCACCTCTTGTTGCTTCGGGCGGCTGTGTGGATGTGCGAGACGTAGCTCGTTTAATTTTATTTTCTGTTCAAAACGTGGAGACTGCGAGTGGGCAGAGATATATTGCCGCTGCTGGGGTTCGAAGTGAGCAGGCAGTTGCTGATATTCTACGGGCTGAATATCCGAATAGAAGAGAAATCATCAAGAAGGGGACCCCTTTCGAAGGGTATTTGCCGGACTATAGCTTTCCGGCAAATAGCACTGCTAGAATTGACAGTAGCAAAGCGGTTAAAGCTACCGGACAGGGTTGGATCGGTCCTAAACAGAGTATCGTCGATGCGGCGCGAGTATTGGAGCGGTATCTATAACATTTTTGCGTTTGAAATCTTGAAATATCGCAATTGAAACTCTTCATCGAGACCTCGGAAATCTATAACTTCCTTTGATAGTTTATCCATACACTTATATTCATCAAGTAGCTTTTTAATATGCTGTGAAAGGGATTGACGACAAATACGCTTAGCCTCGAACGTATTAATCCCCGGTTCGTGGTGTATGATCTCTTCCTTTCACAAGTACGTTTAATAATGGGTTTATTGTTTTTGAGAAACCTCAGATGGTTAGAGGATTGACAAGATGCATTGTTATTATCGACTGTGGCAAATTTTGCATTTCATCTGGTCCAGGTTACAGATTCCAGTTCAGGTGCCCACATGGAAGGTGAAATGGTCTGAACGAGATGACAAATTTTGATGAGTATTCATAAATCTAATTACATGTCACAAACTGATGTTGATTAGTATTTTACCCTTGGAAGGTTGGACGAACACCTGCGGGACGGCTTACAAATTGTATGTGAGATGATCACTCATCGCACCAATTTAGAAACGATGACAAATATAAGGCATGGTTTTCATATTATTATGCAGGGCTTTTTATAATCCATGCGCTAATATGCGTCTTTCAAATGTTCTATTTCTCGTATTGTTTTCTCTATCCCTAGTAAGCCCAAGGAAACGATCTAGAACTATCCATCGCCGTTAAATATTTATATAAGAACAGTGCATCGAGGTTGAAAGAAGACAAAATAGAGTCAAATACACAGAAGAGTCTTCCCGCAGTGTATACCGAACATTATGACTTCAATTATGGCCACGTCAACTCAACATGCTATCTTCGTGAAGGATATCGGCAAGCCCTTGGTGTACGGGGAACGTCCCATCCCGGAACCCCCAAAGGGCTACATTCTAATCAAAGTATTATCTACAATGCGTAAGTTAAGGGCCCATTTGTATTTCTCCAACCCATACTACTAATACATTCGTCTAAAGTTCTACCTCATGACACGTACGGACGCGACCAAGGTCTTTTTATAGGCGAACGACTACCCTACATTTTAGGCACCAATATCGCTGGCGTAGTCGAAAAGCTGGGTGACGATGTGACGTCTTTTAAAATCGGGGACCATGTCTTTGGTCAAGGAAACCCTGTTTATCCCACTCCGGATTCAGCGGGATTGCAAGAATACGCCATTCTTGATTCCGAAGCAGCAGCAAAGATTCCCGAAGGGGTTGAAATAGATGACGCGGTGTCATTCCCAGTTAATGCAACGACATCGTTTGAGGCACTGTTCCACCCGGAGAATGGATTCGGCTTCCCCCTGCCTTTCACAGATACTTCCATATTCCCAAGAGCGAACAAAAATATCGACCCTGCCACTCAAACGGTTGTGATCATTGGTGGAGGGTCGAATGTTGGCAAGCTGGCCATTCAATTTGCCAATATCGCGAGAATCGGACGTATTATCACTGTGGCTTCAATTCGAAATAAAACTTCTCTTCTTTCTCTAGGTGCAACCCATATTATTGACCGACACGACACACCAGAGTCGATCGCAAAGCAGATTCATGACATAGTACAGAGGGAAAACATCACGCACGTATATGACTGCGTGTCGTGGGAATTCTCTTTGGCATTGTCAATCGTCTCCAAGACCGATGCATCGAAGATTCTCACCCTTCATCCGGCTAAGAGCGGCGTTGCTCTCGCCCAAGAACAAGGCTTTGATAAGTGCCAAGTACAGTTTGTCGCTGGCGGTAATGAGTTCTTGAGACCTCTGTTGAAGCCTTTTTGGAAGTACCTTCCACTTTGGGTCAAGGAGGGCAAGATTGTGATTCCAAAATATCGTGTAATTGAAGGATTTGATCTGGAGCTGATAGAGTCGGCATTGGACGATTATAGAGATGGTAGCCCTGTACTGCCAGCGGTTGTTCATCCTCAGGCTAGAAAATAGTCTCAATGCAGGCACCTATATACGGCGGGTTGTAGCTGTATTATCCCCTTCGGGTGTGTTTTTTTTCCTATCAATACATATGCATCATATTACTGTATCGCTTGGCTCATTACCACGACAAATAATTGGTCATTCAATCGGCTTTTACACATTGATGTGTTCTAACATTATGAAGTTTTATGATATAGTTATTTCTATTTATCACTGTTAATTCACATAGCTAATTCGCTTTTTGGAAGGTGAAAGTGGTTGTTTCCCAAGATCCTCGCGAATGAGAAAACATATAAAACAGCACTTGAGGATATACCGTAAGTTTATTGAGAATAGATTGAATAATTACCTTTCTAACAGTCAGCCGGCCTTTTCTAAATACCTACTTGGTCTCATTGTAGAGTTTTTATTTGGTTTTCTCATGGTTGTTTTATTACTGGGTGGGATTTGTCCCTTCAGCTTACCATATACATGTAACATGACCTAAATAAATATTGCAGAAAGTCCGATCGTACATCTATAATGGATAAATAAACCTACCCAGCACTGTCATATTATTCAGGTATTTTACAAAGAAATATGCTTGATACTAGTTTTAAAAGCGTTAGGTAGATCGGAAATTTAGCATATGCAGTGTTGTCATTGTGTTACAAGGACAATATGACACTTCAATTGATTGGGATCTCGCAGCCAACTAGCGAATATTATGCAAAGCGACTCAGTACCGCAATAGCAAAACAGGCAAATTCAAGTAAGGCCTTTCCACTTAATTGCCCCCAGGGCAGTCTCCAGACCAGTCAATTTAACCACATCAATTCCCAGGTCTTCTTTATGAAGAGGTGTAACTCCTGGTTTGCTCCAGGAATCCTTACCCGCTGCGTTCCAGAACTCTAACATAACACCCATCTCCCTGCCCCATTTCGGAAACAAAGAGTCGTAGGCATCCAGGGTGGTAGGGATATATGTAACGGGCTTACCCGTCGCTCTGCCCCAGCTCTCCAAAACCTGCTGGTTGGTGAGGGTTTCCACTTCGGCTAGGACGTACTTCCCTCCGCGGGTCAGTTTAGGGTTTTGCAGAATGGCTTTCACAAAGAGCCCGACATTTTTCCGCTCATCACCAACCGTTGTGATTGGAGTTGATCCGTCAACTGGTTGGATCCACCCATACTGCCCGCTCGACCGAAGCAGGTTGGGTGTGAAAGGAGGGAAAGTCAAGTTGGATGCATAGTAGGAAATCCAGAAGAAGGTGGTTTTGGCTGCCAGGTCTGGCAGCTCCTTCAAGATGTACTCATCAACCGCAGCCTTTGACTCGAAGTGCGGAGTGAGATATTTTCCCTGCGACAGTTTGGCCGATGAAGGGAGGGTCGACCAGATGTAATGCGATAGAGAGTCTGTCGCGGCGGCAGCTTGCGCGAGGTTCGTCGCTTGAACTAGCTCAATTTTCTCGGCTTCTTCCGGGCCATATTTCATGAATGGTTCGATGAAGTCGGTGACTGCGTAGATGCCATACACGCCCTAGAGAACACATGAGCATTTAATATACCAGATGTAGAAAAGACCTTACGAACCTCGAACGCCTTGATCAAGCTATCCTTGTCCTTCAAGTTCGCTTTCACAACCTCAATCCCCGAGCACGCAAAGGTTCAGCCTTCTCGGGGGTCGGATTGCGAAGAACAGCACGAACTTTGAATTCTCCAGCTTCGAGCAGGGCATCCACGACTGAGCCTCCCTGGCTGCCTGTGGCTCCGATCACAGCAATAATTTCCGAGGGGCTCATCACGAGCAAGAAATAATATATTAATCTGAGTTCCGGCTGCAGGGAGAAGAATTCATGTTATTTACATGCTTTTCAATACCAGACTCATCGTAACCTTTTATATCCTGATAGCCATGACGTCATCTCGTAATCATCCTACATCTTCTGCAATGTGCATTTGTGTTTACCTGGTAGAATTTTAGATCTCACTTAGCACGATAGGGTTATGTGGCGTCTTCAAATGTTGGTTGCACGTCACAAAATACCGAAAACGGCATCCATTTCCTAACGAAGAAGGGCTTCCGGGATTCAGATCAGTCGCGCCATGTGATCCTAACGGCCAGTGTCTGGGAACCAATCGGCAAACGCTTGGAACTCGCCTTGTAAAATTGACAAAGCTCATTATCCTAACTTAGAGATGTTGTTTTACCGACCCAAAATTGTTAGGTTTTGCCTCTACTAGATGGGCAGGCCCAGACCAGTGGCTAAATTTATGCACTAAAACCCTATACACTGGGGATCCGGAAGTATAAGGCAGTTACCTATTTCAAGAACACTATAGCAGCGATATGTAGATATGAGCAAGACTTGGAATTTCTCTCTATCCTATCTTATGAAGTAAAATTCGGGGCAACTTACAAAAACCCAAGTGAAGACACTTTGCTTACAGACACTAAACGCGAAGGATGTTCACTCCGCCGCACAGGTCATCCCGCCGTCGCCTCGATCGAGCTCCCCCGCGATGAGTGGCCCGAGTTGAAGTGTATTTTATAATCTGCCTACCATAAACTCACTGATAAACTGACCAGAATTACAATTTTCAAAGAACAGCTATATATCATTACTGACCCTTGTTTAGGAAGTCTTATTCGCCGAATAAAAGTAGTGATGAGTATGGGTAATTAATTTTTGGCTCAAGCTTTGCGGCGCTTGAATAAACAAATCTAGAGAGCTGATAGCCAATCATTGCTCATGCTATTCCCAATGTTAGCTATGCTTGCCTTGATCAATGTTGTTAACATGGTCAAACCGTCGACTTGAAAGACACGGAATAAAATTCTGCTGCAATTACCTGCCATAATCCAGAGACACCCCATGGACAGAAGGCGACCGTTCTACCTCCTGACAAAGCAGTCTCATCCATCATTTCCAATCTTGCGATCCTTGTTTAATCCGAATTCTGCCCTCATTAATTCCTGTGCTGGGTTAACGAAGCGTGGCATGGCTGATCTTCCTCGCACCCCATCAGAACCGCGTGTTTTCCCAATTCAGGGTGGGACAGAATTGATCCTTCCTCGACAATCGAAGACGAGTCAGTTCCCACTTACAGACCTGAAAAGTTCTATCCGGCCCGCATCGGTGAAATATTCAACGACCGATATCAAGTAGTCGGCAAATTGGGCTACGGATCCAGCGCGACAGTCTGGCTATGTCGTGACTTGTAGTAGGGGCAGCTACTTCCACAATTCACGTACTCAGTCTAATAGGGGAGGGACCACCGTTATATCGCATCCCTGTTTGGCCATAATGTCGACATATGTCCGCGACGCGTCTGGACCAAGGAGGGTCGAAAGGCAAACGAAGCTCTAGTTGAATTTGAAAATGGTAATTGTTACCTCAAAAAGTGCTTTTAACCCTCTACTCTAACTCTGCTCACTGTTATTTCATAATCAACTAGTCGAGACACATCTGGGACATTTCACCGTCATTACCTCGATGGTTGTGTTAGCTTACTGCTATAGTGTACTTGTAAGGAAGATTTACTCTGATATAGAAAACTCTCTACGGATTCATCCTCACTCCTGTCCCAGCCCAGATCCTTTTTCTCCTTCAGATCAATGATCAACGCATTCTCCTCCGGGGAGAACCGAGCCCTTGTTACAGAACTGCCCGGCCGTCGCGTCCGCCGGGGAGTCTCCATGTGCCCTGCCTCCACGGGAGGTTCTCGAAAGTGCGGGTGCGAAAAATGATCAGCCCCCAACTGAGGAGGACATGATGGGGTTGTTTTTCTATCCAACAGAGACCAGTTTGAGTCTTGATCATGCTTGGTATATAATAATATATATGAGCAGCAGCTCAAGGATGAAGAGAGGAAAGGATACCTTGTCGGAGCCGGGCCTGATCACAACTGGCAGCCATTTTTAAATTCTCTGTTGATATTGGCAATTTTGATCGATTAGTGAATATTAAGGCACCCGTTCTACTTACCAACGGCCATACCGACATAATGTCTCCCACGGCGAATGGTTTTGTTTTACACCAGAAGCTCGCCAATGCCCAACTGCGTATTTACCCTGATGCAGGAAATGCGCATCTCTTCCAGGTACCGGAGCTTTACGCACAGCATCTTGAGCTGTTTTCGGACAAATGAATGCAGTTGTCGTGTTTCATGCTGGGCTCTTTGATAAGCTTAAAAACACATCACTGTCTTGGAATGAAAGCGTAGTCTTTCAGAAGGGAAAATGAAGGGGAAAAAAGGATTTTCCATTGTCATTAGTAACCTGCAAATTTACCACTGCAAAATCAACTGCACATTCCAAGATGCGAACTGAAGCACTACCAAGATTTAAACTTAGATGGGTGTTAAAATGATCTGAAAGAGTACACTTGCTTTATTTATCCCGAGTCGCAAGGGCTATACTGGATAATAGCCTCAAGGAATACCATTTATGAACTTAAATTCATTCGAAGGCCATAGCTATACGAGTTTCTGTATGCAGTCAGCAGACATGAAAAAGTTCTAGCTACCCTGAGACAAACATAACATCTTAGCTACGCAACTAGTTAAAATCATTAGTTAAAACACCGAACATTAATGATCTACAACTTATTTCTAATCAAATGACATATTGAAATATAAAACGTATCTTTTCATGTACTATACTATTCTTGTTCATGCCATTAGAACACGAAGTAATCAGTAACTATTCAGAATGAGATATGTCTTAAAATGTATTCGAAATACTATATGTCGTGATGTCAGACACTGATAGACACGTTAAAACTTAATGGCATGTATGGATTCAGGTTAGTCTACCGCCTTTAAACAATACAATCCAAAACCACCCTCAGGCTCAAATCACGGACCATGTACCACTGCCGACAAACACTTACCACTCGTGGCCTTCCGGACCGATATCAGCCAATATACCAACTCGCAGCATATTTTGAGCAAGTATTTCTGACTGGTGCGCCTCCAGCTCTTCAATATCCCAATTAGCAGTGACATAGCGCCCACGCAGGAAGTCGGCTCGTGGCGAGGCAAGGTAAAGATTCAGACCAGCACCAAGTTCAACTATTCAGAACCTGTTATCTATAGGAGGTTAAAAGCAAGTGAGTTTCGGCGTGATCTCACCTGTATCCTTCGCAGCGTCCCCAAGGGATTTCGCAAGCTCAGTTGGGATGATTCCTGGGTGGGTGGCAAAAGCCCGGATTGTGGGATATTCTGTCCCTCTTGTTTAGCTAACCATGACATTTAATGGTCTCTGTTGCAGATCTACTCACCAACGTCGATATGTTGTGCCAATTTCGCAACTGCGAGTTTCGAAATGGAGTATGCCGAACTGCCTGGATGCTCTACAAACCCCATCTGAGAGGCTATGATGATTACTGTTCCTTTGACAGTCGCTCCTCCCATTTTGAGGGACGAGATGTACTTCTCTGTCATCAGATAGGTCCCAAGTAGGTTTGTTTCCTAACGATAACGGGGTATATCAGCTTTTATAACATATCTTGTCTCAACGGCCACTAGCTGAGCTTATTACAAACCTGAGTTGCCCACCACTCAATCTCATTGCCATCCCCGAGGCGAGTACTGTTTCCACTGCGACCAGCATTGTTGACCAGAACGTGAATATTTCCCACCTTTGCTCGAACAGTAGTCCATAGGGCATCAACCGAGGCTTTGGAACTGACATCCGTTGGAATAGTGACTACGTCAGTCCCGGGGCTATCCTTCCTTATATCGTCCTTTGCCTCCTCAAGGGGTGCACTGCGTCGTCCAGTGATGACTACAGTCTTCGCACCGGCCTTTGCGTAGAACTTGGCTGTTGCCTAATCAAAACACTAGATGTGAGGGGCTTCTTCCCAACTATTTATAGTGAGGACTTGGGAACATACCAACCCAATACCTGAACCTCCACCGCTGATAAGCACATTTTGTCCCTTGACGGATAGCTCAGGGTTCTTCCAATGAATTTTGGGATATACGTCGTGGTGAGTTATTTTGGTGAAACGATACCCTGAATAAAGGTCCATCTTTAATGAAATTTCGGAGGTTTATTTGCAATAGTATTATGTGTAACAAGAAGTTTGCTGTGCGTTATTGTCGGTAAAATCATGCAGTGCGTTAGAGACAGGACGGACACTTAAGTAGGACATGTTCATTGTTTATCATAAACGATCCTGTTCTCTCCGACCATGAATATTTCATAATTTTTCAATTTGCTTACAAACCAAGGTTTTCCCTCCTCTAACTATACGCTGACCTCCATGTGACGAAGTGGCTTCAATTGGTTTACTTACCACGAATATCTTAGATTACTACCTTTATAGGAGTCAAAGTCTGACAATACTTCCGGCCACCGTGGTGATCAGTAATCGCACAAATTCCTCCACTCTCCTTCCGGTCGGCGGGTTCCTCGGCTCCCATTTAATGATTGACTTCTAGATGGTCCCATATGACCTCGGGCAGTCGAAGAAATCAGTTTTCTTATGTTCTTCCCCCCCCGGAGCTTTACCTAGCCGAGATGTACGGATGCGGGCATTGAATAAACGTTTCCAAGAACCTGAGAACTTCCGAGGTTCAACTAAGGATTGTGCGTGGAGTATGAATTCTTTTTTAATTCTTGTCTTTAAACTGATTCATTAATATGATTTATATAATAGTGGATTTATCCCACATTTCCACAGCAACTATACATCTATGAGAACGCATCACTATTCCAGCTTATGGCATGAGAACCCTATACCCTCAGATATACTGCACACTATTCCATAATACCATAGCTGTTATAGAAATGTGTATTGTATGTGTAAGATAACATTTTAGTAATACACGAATAGAACAAACGTAGTGAAGGAATTCTCTTTGGGCAACTAGTTTCATATGCTAAGTCGAAGCCTCTTTTGGCTTTCATCTACAGTGTTTTTGGCCCATTCCACCATGAGTGCCAAAGACTTTTCAACTAAATCCACGGAAGCCGCTCCACTAACAGACATTTGATCAGCTAAGACTTCGCGAATCCGTGCAGGTAATCCAAACAGGAGATTCAGACCCATCTTATTGTTGGGAGCCAGAGGCACCTTTAGCAGATCATAGAAAATTGTCGAGAGAACTACTACGAAATGACAGAGGAAGTACCTAAAAGATAGAACGCCTCTTTTGCTAAGTATACAGAGACATGAATAACAAACCTAGAGCATTCTCTCGCAAGCCCATTTTGCCGCGAATAAAGATATAGAAGCGTTCACCGACTGGCCTCAATAGAAAGTTCGAGACTGGAATTCGTCTCAGTGGCTTTTTGGCATCGACGGCAAGCTTGATGCATAGTGACTAGGCAATAGTAATATTCCAGGATATACATGATAGCATACACCGCAGTTAGTGTTGTGGCGGAGAATGTGTCTGAAAACGATACTGAACAGGCAAGGACAACCTTCACTCACGTCTCCAGATCTTCATCCAGTTCTCGGATGCTTCGAAAAATTTTGTGTTTCAGACTTCCACGATGCATTTCTTGAGTAGAGTGATTTGTATGTTCTCGACTTAACGATGCTCAGCTGTGCTTGGTAGATGAAGAACAGATTGCTACAGCCAAAGTCTCTATGCATGGTAGGTACGGCATCCGATGAGTTCGATTCAAAAAGGCCGAACGGAGAGAGTACGGTCACATTCATCATCTTCGAAATACGGAGGCCGTTCTGCACGTACGCAAATCTCCTTGTCAATTCTATAACCGATCCAGAGGAGCGCTCGTAAGCGCGGCTTTTCGATTGGCGTGAAGATTTCAATCCCTAATTGCAGAGTATTGCTTATATAGTAGCTCTGGCGTTCTAGTGAGAAGAAAGAGCGTGAAGCATAGCAAATGAGGACATCCACTGAATCAAATGCTCCGGAAAACAACCTGAACAATGCCTGTATTTAGAAAATAAGATTAGGGGAGAAAACATAATATAAAAAGTAGCTTGATGTGGGGACGTTTGGACTCTACCAGTGTCACAATTGCTTGCAGTCCATCTCAGGTTGGTGGGCCTTCCAGATTCTCAAGGATCAGTCGATACGCTTCAAGTGAACAGGATCCCCCGTCAACAGAGGATTTCATAGCTAGCTTAGGCTGGCAAATGCACATGAGGGCCAGAAATGAGAAGATACAAGCTAGGCTTGTCCAACAAGGCCCGACGTCGTTGTTCGCTTCTCATTGTAGGCCAATTTGATGTGTCATGCAATGTATAGGTATCCAGAATTGGAAATACAATGGACAAAATCGAAAAATAATAAGATACCGCACATCTTTCGACGACATCCCTGTTAAGTAGCTTCGCTGTTTCCTGTTCAATTATCTTTTGCGCACTGCTAAAGCTTTCCCATATTGTCTGTATCTGCCCCCCAGGATCCAGAGTGCGAAGTATGTTCGACGTGCAGGGTTGTCCACTATACGACTGGGGACTACAAATGGGGAGTGCTCGGGAGTTGAAGCTCCCTACAAACTGAATTATTTGAAGTTAAACGTAGCCGAGAGTTGAGGATAGAACCCTCGCCATTTCCGACTCGGAAACATAGAAGGTCAAGTTTGGTCTCATGAATAACAAGCTTTTGTCTTCGCAGAAGTGGGGTCCTGGAGAACTTGCACTGGATCTTGTCGTCACGGCAGTTCCCATACTGTGGTCTGACGCGGTCGCATGCGATCTGGGTTGAGGTGACGTCAGCCCGGACCTCCTCGCATAGATGACTTTGACCACCTTTCTTCCGTGACAGAAGTCGCAAGCCAGTGATACATGCCTACGAGTACCGTCCATTAGGTTATTTGTCATGGAAATTGAGACCTGGCTCCGACAAGACCAACTTTTCGATCTGGCTGCTGTGAATAAAGGGACTCAATTCTTGCGGCTTCTCCTTGCAAGTCGACATAACGCCCGGGGTAGACATACTGGTTACTGTCGACTGGGGACATCACGCGGTAACGACAGGCCTCGGCAGAATGGTTCATTGCACGGATAGATAGACATCCCGAACGTCCGTTTCGATATTAATTTGAACCTATCCTTTTCTGGCCCAAAACCTCGCCACTTTCTCGTTTGCTAGTTGCTACATTGGAGTTTAAATTTCCTTCCTGATTAGTATCTTAAAGCAGCGAAATTATGAATAATAAAGCTCGATGAGATCAGAGTGATGGTATATTATCTATGGACTACTTATACTCTACATATACTGCGAAGTATTACCTCGAATATGCTGCTTTTGGGAATTAATAGCAAAATTAGTAAAACTTTCTGCATTTCAGTACAAGTTAAAATCGTAAACGCGATTGCGTATCTTCTGGATTGACGACAAATATGGTTCAGAAAACAGTGTTGATCACTGGCTGCAGCGAGGGTGGAATTGGTGATGCTCTTGCTAAAGCTTTCCACAAGAAGGGACTTAGAGTTTTTGCAAGTGCTCGGAATCTCACTAAAGTGCAACATCTTAAGACAATGGGTCTCGATATCATACAGCTTGATGTTACTGACGAGGAATCAATCAAACAAGCCGTCGAGACTGTCAAGGGCGCAACAGGCGGAACGTTGGACTTCCTAGTTAACAACTCCGGTGGAGGTACGTCTCCGCATTCTGGATTTCTATATGCCAGACTAATTGGTTAATAGGATATAGTATGCCTTTACTGGACTCGGAGGTATCAGTAGCAAAGAAGATGTTTGACGTGAACGTTTTTGCTGTTGTCGCAGTAACTCAAGCGTTCGCACCTCTTCTCATTGCGTCAAAAGGGACAATTATCAACATCGGATCCGTAGCTGGTCATATTCCTCTTCCGTGGCAAGGATATTATAATGCAAGTAAAGCTGCAATTGGTATTCTCACTGACCAATTGCGTATTGAATTCTCTCCCTGGGGAGTGCGAGCAATTCTTGTCATCACCGGTACAATTAAGACGAGGTTTTTCGACAATCTACCAGAGCCACCAACTCTACCACATAATTCCCTCTATTATCCAGCTAAGGATATAGTTGAGCCAACCCTAGCCGGAACCGACCTGAAGAAGAGTGCTGAAGATGTTGATTCATATGCTGAAACAGTTGTGAACAATGCAGTGAAATCTAGACCAAAGCAACATCTGTGGATTGGAGGAAAGGCCTTCAGTGTTTGGTTTGCTTCGACTTTCGGTTGGTCAACCATCTGGGTAAGACTATTCCTTATTCTAACTCAAGTTCAATTGCTGATCGTATATAGGACGCTTTGGTCCCTGGTTTAGTGAATCTACCGGCTATAACCAAAAAAATTCGTACTGCAGATAAAACGAAATAAGGCCGCTAAATTCAGAACATATGAATTTTTATCATGTGTGCTATAGCTAAATGTAGAATTAGTGTTGTTTTGGAACTCTATTAAAGATGGATGGAGGTTCCATGGTCTACGTACTGTTTAATATCACCGATCTGCCTCTCCATGCCTTTTAATATTAGCTGTGATGTCTCCGTTTATAGTCTGCCAATCTTTTGATGTAATCCTTGTTTGGGCGGTGCGAGGAGTGGGTTTATATGTTTTTCATAACTGTTGACCTCTTAAAATCTTGTTTGTGACCATGATCAGCTTGCACATTAAACTCCTGCTGGATATTAACAGATCGCCAACCTTGCCAGGTCTTGCCGCTACTTGATATTTATAATATAGAAATTGCTTTAGCAAGACTTCTCGGACACCGCTAAATGGCAAGTCTACTTCATGTAGACAAAAGGAAGGAACAGAGGAAACGGACTAGCAACCAGCTCTACTAAGGCGACAAGTTAAGCAAACTTGTCAAGCCGTTGAGATTAAGCATATTGCTAAGCTCTAAGATCTGGTAAGATTATATCATCTTTCCCAGTTCCACGCTCTTCACAAAAACACTAAAAAGATTATATGAAACTGAGTTAGAAATAACTTAACATCTTGATTAAAAATAATTAATCAAATTATAGGAAAATAAAACTATTTAAAATTCTTAGTTAATACCTAGAATAATTAGTTTATAAATAATTATTAGAATCTTTATATATTTTATATGTAAGGAGGTTATCTGGAAAGCAGACAAGCGTTGAGATCATCGGCCGAATGAGGTACAGACTGATTGCTGACCTGCGGCATATAATATATTTAAGCAGTTTTACTCTAATAGATAGATAAGTCATAAGATTACTAAGGGCATTTACTAACGTATCAATGTGTATACTCACATCTAGATAAATAGTTATCCAAGTGACCCACTAAAATGTATCTATATGAAGGCTTTACCGGAATGGGTTGGCCCCTCGCTGCCTTAGGAAAAGCGGCTCCGCGGGGTCGCCACATCCTTATCGTGCGAATTTATCTATCATTTTTTTCAGCGGGGCATTCGTGAACAACAAAACACCATTGCTCTCCAACAAAGCGACCATGGCATCGGAGAACACAGTGGCCTCTGCGCATGGCCTGGCAGATGGACATTCGCCCCCTCACCAATTCATCCAAAACACAGGTTACATCGATAATGCCAACGTTCCCGCAGTAGACGCCGCAGCTCATGCGGAAGAAAACGTTGAAGACGACGACAACGAAGAAGCCGAATACTACGACGACATTTTCGACGACGACGACGACGAGCAAGATCTTGAAGAGGAGAACTTTAGTTCCGCCAACCCCAACGATTTCACCAAATCATACAATCGCCAGCGGCGCCTGAACGAAGCGATCGCCGACGCCAATGCACCCAAGTCGTCGTATCCAAAGTCAAACCCACAAAAGCCAAAGGCGAATGTGCGTGCGGCGGTGGATGATCAGATTGAATCCCTGTCAAAGCATGCGGTGAAACTCAGGCTTGATGACGTTCAATCGGGTCTACGGGGGAAGGATGCAAGGGTGGTGGATAAGAGCGACCGTGCTACTTCGGAGCAAGTGCTGGATCCACGCACGAGAATGATTCTCCTGCAGATGATCAACAGGGATATTGTCTCGGAGATCAACGGGTGTTTGTCAACGGGCAAAGAAGCGAATGTTTATCATGCAGTTACCGTGCGAGATAGCGATGAGGGTGACGTTGAGACCCTCCACCGAGCTATTAAAGTCTACAAGACTAGTATTCTTGTCTTCAAAGACCGCGATAAATACGTCACTGGTGAATTCCGTTTCCGAAAAGGGTATAATAAGAGCAATAACCGGGCAATGGTGAAAGTGTGGGCAGAGAAAGAGATGCGCAATTTACGGAGAATCCACTCAGCGGGTATCCCCAGCCCAGAGCCTCTCTATCTCAAGCTGCACGTCCTAGCTATGGGGTTTCTTGGAAACTCGCGAGGAATTCCTGCGCCGCGATTAAAGGATGTCACTCTCAACGTCCCAGATCCAGAGGCTCGCTGGCACGAATTATACATGGAATTGGTAGGTTACATGCGTACCATGTATCAGACCTGCCGACTTGTCCACGCCGATTTGAGCGAATACAACATCCTATACCACAAAGACAAACTCTACATCATCGACGTCAGCCAAAGCGTGGAGCACGACCACCCGCGCAGTTTAGAATTCCTCAGAATGGACATCAAAAATATCAGCGACTTTTTCAGCCGCAAAGGAGTGAATACCTTATCTGAGCGCATAATCTTCGAATTCATCATCAGCGCACAAGGCCCAGAAATGGTCAATGGCAATAACGAAGCCATGATCGCTGCTATTCAGAAACTCTTCGAGATCAAGAACCAACCCAACAGCGACCCTGACAGAGACGACGTCGACACAGCAGTTTTCCGTCAACAATACATCCCGCAAACCCTCAACCAGGTCTACGACGTCGAACGTGACGCGGAAAAGGTCCAATACGGCGAAAGTGCCGACCTGGTCTACCGTGACCTCCTCGCCGACAAATCGAACCCAGCCGTATCAATTACCCGACCAGACTTAACAGCGGCTGACAACGACGACGAATCCGACCAAAGCGGCGGTGTCTCGCTAGCCGGATCAGATGATGGAAGTGCAGACGAAGAAGATGATGATGTCTTTGCGAAACGCCCACCACGCGGTAAAAAGCACGAAGATAAGGACGAAAAGCGACAGCATAAGCAAAAAGTTAAGGAAGAGAAGAGAGAGCAGAGAGCGAAGAAAATGCCGAAGCATGTTAAAAAGAAGTTGGTTACTGCTACGAAGAGGAGGTAGAAGGGGCCATATTGCATATATGATTGATGAAAGAATTGAATGATTTAGATGAGTATTTAGCATCACGTTTTGTGGTTACGGTTAACTCACAATACATCGATCTTGCATACTATATAGGTATAGGGAATGGGAAATAGACCGGTTTGTGTGATTACATCTACAAGCGTAACATTGTGGTCGATACATTGCGGCTTCGACATTGAAATTTGATATTCAACATCGTTCATTAATGTATGTAATAATATAAAAAGGTAATTCACACCCATCAGAGCTCTCTTTGATCCTCATTTCGCGATGATCCTTGCCAATTCGCCCGCTTACATCGCTTCCAAATTGGAAGGAGTATACGGTTCACAAATTGGGTATGACCGCGCAATCAGTTGTTGAAGATATATATTGTGTTCATCACTTGGGAATGACGGCCTTGCATATCGAAGTAGCTCTAACTTGGCGATTGGCAAACTGGACTCATGATTCTGCTAGTATATAGCATTATAAGATTGGTTCATCCTAAGGGGTCGGCCTTGGCTCGTGCTTTTAATCGTGCAATAGCCTCATCAACGACATGTTTCGGCAGATCCGGAATATAATCGCCGTCATCAGCTGGGGACTCATCCTCGATGGGGGCGTCTGTAGGTTCCGTTTCCTGGTCATTGTCACCGCTTGCCTGCGCGAGTCTTTCGCCTGGTAGTCGTGCGAATTTGACCTTCATTGGCCCGCGTCCTAGGCCTGGCCAAATGTCAGATGGTAGGTAATCACCTTGTTCTACTCTAAAAGCTTCTCGAGCGTTGACGTCTTCCTCGTGGAGCTGGTCAAGTTTAGCGCGGGTGTCCCGTAAAACCCTCTCGACACCTTGGCGCATGTGCCTGCGCCGAGCAACTTCGAGGATGAGACCATCGTAAGCATCCAGGAACCCAACATAGAGTGATCGAAGATCGGAGAGGTCTGCCATGCCGGCCCTTATTCGTTCATGTTCTTCGTTCCAAGTTTGGGTGAAACTATGTGCTTGAGCGATGAACTCTGGTAAGCGGGTGGAAGCGAGACTGGAAAGGTGACCAAATATCTCCGTAGTAGCATTGCAGATGGCCACGACCGCATCGCGGTGCCCGAGAACACTTTCTAGGATAGCTTCCATATCATTGCTGCGCTCTTGGATTTCAAGAACAACATCTTCAGCTTCCGCTGCATCTCTCGTAAGAACACCAAGCATTTCTTGGTAGTCGGATTCGGTCATGGGGTCGACTGAGTCATTGGCATTGATTTCAGCAGCTTCATGGATCTCTTTTCCGAGTGGGACATTAAAAGCGTCCGGCATGTCGCCAGTAATAGATCGAGCTGCAGCTCCGCCGCCTTCGGTGTGTTTCACAGCCGTGACACATCTGTCAAAATGATGGACCAAGGATTCGAGTAGATCTGCCATCTCTTGAGCATTGGATTCTAGTGAGTGAAGCATTGCTGGTATGGACGACGGTGACGCTAATGCCGGGTTGGACGCGGCCGGTGAGGATCCCGAGAGTGATGAACGGGAGGATACTAGCTCCATTGCGGTGCGATATCGCCCAAGGGCATGTTGAAGCGACTGGAGTTCTTCATCAAAGGCAGAGCTGGACTTATCCAGCTGCGCCTGAGCTTCGTTTATACGGTCAATAGATGATTTCAAAACTGTTTGCAACTCATCGACACCGCGTTCATCTACAAAGTCATGGAGGCTCTTGGAGTCTTCGCCCTCTGGACGGAATGAAGAATGCACCACTGTTTGCTGTAGTTTATCTAAGGTACGTCGCAAGCGATCATCGACTGCGTCAAGCTCCTTTAACACACTGGCAAATTCTGCACGTCCTCGATGTGATATATTTTCGATTTCCGTGCGTACTTTATACAAAAGCCGAATTTGATTCTTTTGTCCACGTCTCAAAAACCCCGTTCTGGCCGATACGATCACGCTCTCCTCGAGGGCAGTCCGCGCGGTGTTGACAATTTCATTGGCTCGTGAGACATGGTATATCGACGACAGGGATCGCTTGGCAGCCACTAAATATGATATCAACGTATCAAGATGAGACTTGGGCTCCTCCACCAATGAAGGCGAGCTTCGACCCTGGATTTTCCCTGTTTCTATCCTCAGTGACTCCGACTGCGACCGCGAAAACGATGATTGCTCAGGGGAGTGAGTTGGCGGCATGTCCCATATGTTTCCAGGCAGCTCTTGCGGAACGATGAACGCTGGAAAACGTGTCCAAAAATGCCGCAGATGCCTTGAAATTGAGACAGGGGACAATGTCCGAGCTGATTCGGCGGTCGGCGCTGCCAAACAAGCCTTTTCCCTGCACGTTCGGACGACTAGCGGTAGCCAACGCCTGTTGAAGAGACGGGCGGTCACTTATGCGGTGGAAATTATTGCGTGATACGATACTGCGAAGAGCTGGTGATGACTGGGCGACTGGACCCAGCTTCGTTGAGCTCTCGGATCTAGACTCGCGGCAGTGCTCGGAAGCAGTCGTCAGCGCAGTTTCAGAGCACGACTCGGTCGAGGCAGTAATTAGGCGGTGCAGGACATGACGCCACAGGCGGCTCTGTCGACGGCATCGAGGGAATGATTAACCTTGATGATCTGGGGCGATAGCAAGAGGCTTGAATTCAGGAAGTCTGCCAACAGAGCGATAGCAGCTAGGGCGAGAGTAGCTGGGATGGATGAAACGCTGGACTAGGCCAATCCGGGGAAGGAACACAGACGTCCCAGAACGGAAAGGTGCCGGGCATGGCGTGATCAGGGCGACCCATGGCGGCAGTTTCGCCCTGTGAGAAAAGCGTAGATTGCACCACGCTGGCGGCAGATGGCGGCAGATTACCGGGCCCGCACGTGATCTTGCTCTTTCGGCGCCTTTGATCACGCCAGCGCCTTCAGTCTCTGGCCATTTATCAGTTACTCGCATCCTACTGCGCTCGCCCTGATAAATCATCCCTGTCCGCGTCTACAGGAACTAGCGCCTCTTCACAATCCTGCCGATCCGGTGCTCACCGCTACTGTCGCCCCTGGATGTAGCCTGTGATTTTCGCTGGCCGTTGGCATCGGCACTGCTATCGCAATCCTACTTATCTCGAGTTCGCCTCCGCTTGACAAAAATACCACGCCCCCAACCTCATTTTCACTGTCATCTTGCACTCGAGTTGACATAAATTCGTTCAGTCGTGTCCTTTTTTCTTGCGACAGTCAATATCAACGCTGTCTCTTGTAATATCGATTTGCCCCCTCTTCGGCATGCGCACCCACGAACCCTCTCCGCCAAATGACAGCACCATGACCAGCAACACCACTCCTCGCAAGCGACGCCGCTCTGACGATTACACTCCAACAGCATATACTGCAGCGAGATCGATTTTCAACAGCGGCTCGGCATATCCGATCGTGAAAGATGAACACAATGAACCAGAACGAGCCGCGACAAAGGCAAAGCTGGCTGACGGCAATGTTGCTCCCTTCCTGGCTAGGCATATTCCCACGCAGTATGCTCCTCTGGGAAAAGAAGCAGGAACTTCAAAAGGTCCGCCGCCGCTCAATGTGAACTCGCGATATTGTTATCGTCACCGGCCAGATCTCAAATGTCGCCGGCAAGCCGATGAGCCGTCGATGGACCAGATGCAACGTGTATGTCCATTCTGAAATGACGCTGAGTTAAAACTGACGAAGAAATAGGAACTCCAAATTCTTCCCCAAAGTGATCAACAGGGTATCGCCCATGTGTGGTCCTTGTTTTCTGCCGCCCCCGCCAAACAACGAAACCTAATGTTACAGGGCATTCTTGCCCAATGTTGCTTTCCCCAATTATCCTTCATCTCCGCCAGCGTAAGAGAGCTTATTCGCATCGATTTCATTACAGCGTTGCCTCCAGAAATCTCCTTCCAAATCTTATCCCGTCTTGATACCGCCTCCCTCTGCCGAGCCGCTCAGGTGTCTCGAGCCTGGCGGTCCCTCGCTGATGACGATGTCGTATGGCACCGTATGTGTGAACAACATATTCACCGTAAATGTAAAAAGTGCGGCTGGGGACTACCACTTCTCGAACGCAAGCGACTTCGTGCCTCGAAGGAACATATCGAACATCGTGCTCTGAATTGGGATGGGTCTGCACCCTCCACGCCGGATGCCACACCGCAGAATGCCACACCGTCAGATAATCTAATTTCTGAGTCAAAACCCGAACCTGAGGAATCAGAGCCCACCACTACCCAAGTCGTCAAACGTCAAGAGACGAAAGTGTCGTCTTGCCGGGAAGATGATAGCGAGTACTATAAGACCAAGTTCCGTCCGTGGAAGGACGTCTATAAGGATCGTTTCAAAGTTGGTACAAACTGGAAATACGGCCGCTGCTCAGTAAAGCTATTCAAAGGACACGCCAACGGAGTGATGTGTCTCCAATTTGAAGATAACATTCTTGCTACTGGATCATATGATACGACCATCAAAATCTGGGATATCGAGACCGGCGAGGAGCTGCGTACCTTGACCGGGCATACTTCCGGCATCCGTTGTTTACAGTTTGATGACACAAAACTCATCAGTGGTAGCATGGATCGCAGTTTGAAAGTATGGAACTGGCGCACCGGGGAATGCATCTCCACATATTCTGGACACCTAGGAGGCATCATCGGATTGCATTTCGATGGCAGCATTCTTGCGTCTGGATCAGTCGATACAACCGTCAAAATATGGAATTTCGAAGATAAATCGACGTTCCTCTTGCGTGGGCATGCTGACTGGGTCAACGCGGTTCGTGTCGATACGTTATCTCGGACCGTCTTCTCTGCCTCCGATGACTGTACTGTCAAGCTTTGGGACTTGGACTCGAAGAATTGTATCCGCACTTTCGAAGGCCATGTTGGCCAGGTTCAACAAGTAATCCCACTTCCGCGGGAATTCGAATTGGAAGAAGAACACGACGGAGACAGCGAAGATGACAGTGCCACTTCGGATACTGGGGACGAATTCCCCGAAAGACACGGGTCATTCGGTTCGACTACTTCTTTCTTTGAAGGCGACCGCCCTTCCCCTCCAAAGTACATAGTCACAAGCGCCTTAGACTCTACTATTCGTCTATGGGAGACCACCACTGGCCGATGCTTGCGAACATATTTCGGCCACCTCGAAGGTGTCTGGGCGTTATCCGCCGACACACTACGCATCGTGTCTGGCGCTGAGGATCGAATGGTGAAAATCTGGGATCCGCGTACTGGCCAATGCGAACGTACATTTACAGGGCATTCCGGCCCTGTTACCTGTATCGGGCTCGGCGACAGTTGTTTCGTAACCGGAAGCGAAGATTGCGACGTGCGCATGTACAGCTTCAAAAGCTGAGTCTGCGGCCTACACACATATCTTGTATAATGATGTTACAATTATGAATTTCTTTTAATACCCTGTGCATGACTGGTGTTTATTATTTTATGTTCCTGGTCTTGGTCTCGGTCATGTGCAGATTCTTTCGGGCAATTTTGTCATCAGGCGACTTTATGAAAAGCATTGTATCGTTGGGCGTATAGAATGGTCAGGCGCTCCGGTGTCTTGATACGGTGTTTATAGTCTTACAGTTTCAGCAATTATTCAAAACAACGTTCAGTCTCTGTACATGTAGTTAGAAGTAGGACCTAGCTTTACGCCAATCCTCACATTAATACCGATGTCTAATAATGATATTTATATAATAGTCAACTGGTAAAGTTCCATATATATATATTAGGTGTAGGCTTTGACTAATTATCAATTGAAGGCAATATCCTAAGGGTCCATATGTTGATGCTGGGTCTGACACCACGGACTGCACATCTGGACTTTCGCTAGTCTGCAATACTCCGGTTCTACGCGTTCCCTCCAAAATATCAAATACTATCTGCTGCCCAACCAAGAAAGGCCTTGAAGCTGGAATGAGCCCCCTTGTTTGTTCAAACAAGCAGTAAGCCTGATATTTCAATCCACACCCGCTTCATCTCGAACAGTATCCATGTTGCATTAATTGGCTGAATATCAATCGTCGAACTGAGTAAATTATAATAAATGGTTTAGTTAGATACATTTATGTCAACAAATTTCCTCGTGATAAACATTTGAACTGCTAGTTATTATTCTTTTCGTTGAGGTAACAACGATATGTACTATGGATAATCTCACGTGATTTATTCAGCCCTACTATTAGCTCACTAAGAAAGAACCTATATGCAGTTACAATAGGAGGGGATCTCTTATTGATTCAAATATTGCTTAATCCGTTATATCCAAAATATCATCGTAATATCAAACGAGTCATAGATACTTGAAAGAGTTGAACTTCTGCTCCGATAGACTAGTAAATCATCACAGTCCATATATCAGCTCTGATCTGATAAATTACAGAGTTACGACGAGTTTCTTGGCAGAAACACCCTTTTTCAGAAGATCAACAGCCTTCTGAATATCCCCAAGCCCCTTTCCAACAACCTCGGGGTCCGGTTTGGCTTTGAGGTGTCCGTTTTCAAGAGCCTTGGTAACAAAGTCCCGCCAAACCGCGTCACTTACTTTCTTGTGCGGCTCCTTGACAATAGATGCAGCATGAACTATATATGGAAGAACAATTGTCAATCAAACATTCTCTCAAAGACGATGAAAAGATCTTACCACTTGTCGGAGCGAAGTGTGCCGTCGACTCTCCGCTATACGGCAAAACAGTTGCGATTCCGACCTTTGCATTTATTTTTTCAAGAATGGCTTTAATTGGCTCGAAGCTTGATGGCAGGGAAATAGCATCGTAGACACCAGCCACATCGGCGCTGGCAAGTGCACTTGCAATGTCGTCCACCACAGTAGGGGAATTGTAGTCAAACACGGCACTTGCGCCAATAGACTTGACTAGCTCATGGTTGTGCGCAGAGGCAGTGGAAATCACATTTAAGCCCGCTGCTGCAGCAAGCTGGACTGCTGCTGCGCCAACCGAAGAAGCACCGCCCCAGACAAGAAGTGTTTTGCCGGTGGGCTTGGACGGCGTCACCGAGGGGAATGGAAGGGCTAGGTGGTCGTCTTGGAATAGACCAGCTGAAGCAGTTGAAACGGCTAGTGGAAGCACAGAGGCTTGTTCAAAGGATAGTGAATCCGGGATTGCTGCAGTCACAGCTTCGGCTGCAACTGAGTATTTCTGGAATGACGTCTGTGTTATGTTTTTTGTGGACAAGCCGTGGGTATATCTGGGATATATTAGAATGTGATTGAATTGGAAAGCGAATTAAAATAATCTAATATACTCACGCGAGCACTCTTTGGCCCTTTGTAAAGCGGGTAACGCCAGGACCGACGTCGACTACCACTCCAGCGGCGTCTTCGCCGAGAATGGATGGGAATTCCGTGATGAAGATACCATACGATCTGAGCGAAAATAAGTCAGCATTGATCAGTTGGGAATTGGAGCAAAGCTAAAGCTGTATCTTACTGGATCTTCCAGTCAACAGGGTTCTAGGTTGAAAATTAATTAGCTGGCAAAAGGCAAAGTGATCGCAGTGGGAATCATACAATAGCAACAGCCGCGTTTTGTATCACTACCTCTCCCGGCCCTGCAGTTGGATATGGGGCATCCTGAACGCGAAATGGGTGGACGGAAGCACCTGTGAGCCAAGCAGCTTGATTTTGCGCCATATTCAATGAGAGTAGCAGTGGTAATAATAGTGGTAGCAGCTAAGAGTTACAATAGCAATAAAGCGAAGGATGAGAACAAACCAAGTCTTTGGGGGAGCGATTTTAATGAATTGAATGGAATTTCTTCGATAGAGAGAACAGACACCCTGCAATTTGAATACGGCATCGGGACGATATTGATGCCATTTGATTACCAATAACGCCTCATTCCCTTGATGATTACTAAAGCTATTTTATGCATGCGGGGCTATAGTAAGTCCGATGAAACCCCGCGTACTTGATTATTTCTAGCTATCTTAAGCAGCTGTTCCTCGGTTTTAATAATATTTTAAAAGTATATGGAACCTGGCATGGCAGGTTCTAGATTTACCTCGGTATTAGGGTGTGGCTCGGTTCTCGGGGCGTCATATTTAGCGCGTACACTGGATGAATTGTAGCGCTCGTAGTCTTATTATTATTCATTGCCTTTGCCCACTAGAAATGGAATGGAAAGTTGTCCACTTAGGTTATTGCTAAAGTAGGTTCCGAAAGAAGAAATGCAGCGATTCGGCAAAAGGACCCATGCGACAGAAGGATCATCGGGCCGTGTACCCTGTACTGTGCACAAATTGCACAACTGTATATGATAAAAGTTTGAATATAATATTAATAATGTCTATCTGTCTTTCATCTACATTGACACCAATTTATGTCAAATTAATTTAAGCTTTATGGGTGTCACCCATTAATAATTTAAAAAGTTCAAACATTATTAATATTGATATAGGGAGAGCTCTTGTAGTCAATTCACTTTTGTGGTACCATATTCAGACGTTGGTCGCCTTGTGAGTTTCAGGGGCCGCGAAGATTGATTATTAGCCACGCGACCTGCATTGCAATCAATGAACTATCGTTTCAAAGACCACTAATATGAGCTATTCTTTGTACTTATGTCTTAGCTCTCCAAAGATGATCCATGGTTACAAAAGGGTGTTTTCAGCAACAAACTGCTATGGTCCAGGCTTAGTGTATAAAAGTTGCCGGAATCTCCTCGGAATCTCCGGGGTGCGCCCTCAATCTTGCAGAGTTTATATAACTGATATCGGTCTTCCAAATGAGATTTATCGCCGATAGCTGCAATAGTATCAGTTGCTATTCTTAGGGGCAGCGTAGAATGGTTGGACGGTGGTATGTTTGTCCGTCAAGCTTTAAGAATCACTGTGTTGAGTATCTATTGATGAGAAGCGCGCGTAAGAAATCTATTAGGCTATAATTGACCACTTAATGCAATGGTGAAACACGACAATAGGTTGCTTTATCCACTGCACTGAAAAGGAATACTAATCTTAAGATTGAAATGACGGTTATGCATTACCTATTGAGCTTGTAAATGTATTATGCTGGACGTTGGTGCAGAACCCAGCTATCTATACTAGGAAGTCTTCTCGCTAGAAGAAGACATGTGGCAAGGCGAGAAAAAGTCCACCCCTGTATTCTCAGCATCTGATCTTGTGGATCTCAATGTTGAGTTATGTTAGTTTCGTATTGGAGAGTCGATTTTTCGTCGCGAATAATATGCAGATATATGACAGGTTTCAATGGTAAAGCTTATGTGGTTATTGCACAATAGCCAATAAAGACCCTAGATCAGTGAATGAACAGAAAGCAACGGACAAAAGACTTGAAAGATGTTTGATCGGGGTCTGTTCAGTGAACAGGCCAGTCTGCGGCCTGAAACAAATTGTTTTAAGATATAGTTTGGCAGCCAAAAGTGAACACCGCCCAATGAAGCGTTTGAAAAGAAGCGTTTGAAAAGAAGCGTTTGAAGAGAGAGAGGTCACTCTGCTCCACGACACAAAAAGGGAAGGAGGCGCGCCACCTCTCCTTCCCCTACAACATCTTCTTCCATTAACCTCTGTCAACCCAAGAGTATCGCTTTACCGACCGTTTTACCAAATACTATCATAGCAAAAGAACTTAGCAAAAGGTATTAAGCGTCCATTTGACCTTTATAGATTCAGGCTGATCGCGTCCAGAAACAATCTCTACCCAATACCACAACTTCGATACCAAAACAGACTAATACATCAAACATGCCCTTGTTTCGCTTGAACCCATTCAAATCACTAAATAACCATCTAACCACCACCACGAAGCCGTCGATTATCTGTGAGAATTGTCTCCACAAACAACCTCAAAACACAACAAATGATGTCGTTGTCGCCAGCCTCGTTGTGCTTTGTTCCTACTTCCTGGCCTTCCTCGATGACCTCGAAATACAGCTTGCTACAATTCGCAGTGTTGAGCGCGGGGTTATTGTGTGCCTTCTTGGCGGAACTGTTTTCCTGAGTTTCCTTGGGGTATCTTTCTGGGTTGGCGTGGTTCTGCTTCCATGGCTCATCGGAGCTTGGATTTTGTGGACTTATGTCAGTCGTGGGTTCGAGAAAACCGTTTCTGCGCTGGACGATTGAGAAATAGACCGTAAAGGACTTGTTAAGAGCAGTTGCGAGTATAATTGTCTAGCGCCTTTTGCTGTGGGGGAGGTGGTCTGGTTTATTGCGATTCCAACAAGACAGATTAGATAGGAGGTTTGAAGGCGGATTATCCATAGCACAACGTGAATCAGAAAAACATTCCAATACATCCTTTGGCCAACATCTTATACGAGTGTTTATATATAGCTGGTTATAGTAGTCCTTGAAGATAAATCAACTTTTATGAACTGGATAGGGAATTGCCCGAACGTGTGCGCAATTGTTGGTGAACCTCCCTGCAAAGGCGGAATATTTCTGGTCAATTTTACAGTGGCTTAAATAGAATGGGGGATCGTATGGAGTACCGCAAAACTTATGGTAATAATAGCAAGCAACCACTTAAATATTGAATCTGACAAGCGGTATTGATTGTGATGCTGGGTTACGCCGTCGACTATTTCGTCCATTCAACTAGCTAGGTGAGATATTAAAATGCTCTTCCTTTGCCATCGCACCTGACACTTTCGTTTATTTCTCCCCAAAGGCATTTCTACTATCGTTTAAATACAATAACACTCCAAGAAAACCGGCGAACCATTCGAAGCAATCAACATGGAATCCACTTTCCGTTACTATAACACACCCCGTCCAGAACATAGACGAAATTCGGCACACAATCGAAATTCGGCTCAAGAACTTTTGCAATACCACTGCGAGAAGGCGGTCATTATGGCGTTCAACGCGAAAAAGTAACAGCTAAGGGAGATCTGACATCACGGAATAAACATAGCTCAACCGTCGCAAGAACCAAGGACCTTAGGGACATGTTTGCCGGATTCGTATTCGCCCTGTACTTCGCATTCTATATCGCCAATGCCCTTTGGCTGTGCCTTTTAATTATGGTAATAGTGGCTCTCATCGTATACGATATCAAGTTATTCCTCGCAGAATGAGGTAGAAAGCCGAAATTGTGACGAAGATGTGGTGATACCATCAATCTTAAATATAGCGCGCATGAGTCTTCTAACCATAGCCAAATATACCAATGCATTTCTTTATTTCATTACGTCAATTTCAATTACTGAAGATTACAGAAACATAAATTGTTTGACAGCCTCCACGACCTTGTTAAGGAGAAAGTGCACGTGGCTAAAAGCAGAAGGCAGAATAAAGAATATCAATACCCAGTGTCCTTTTTCATAACCTAATGCGATTATCATTCTTAATTTTTTTTATATGGAAGCATAATCCTGCTGATCTCAATTTTCTTCCTTGTTTATACAACTAAGAGTAGATTCAAAATGAATAACTACCTGCCATATAAATGCTCATTGCGGAGTAGAATGGAACTACAAAAGCCCGAATCAAGAATGTACTTCAACAAAGCTTCAATGGGGATGATACTCGACACTTACTGTTTTTCTTATTGTCTTGATAAGCATTTTGGAGTTGCCACCTAGAGCAACATTGTTTTTCCATGTATATCTGTCCTAAAAGTCATTCGGGAAGAACCGCAAAATTTGCTAGTACTTAGTTTTTATGGGAACTCTTTTTCGGGCCTATCCAGAATCAGTGTCAAATGAAATTGAAATGCCCTTCTATAAAGCCCTAAATCTTGAGATACATCTTTTCAGAATCGAAATTTTACAATGAAGCCAATTTGTTATTACTCTTTAACTCAAAAGTACGACGCTGATATCATTGATATCTGAAAAGTTTACGGGATCGCGAAATTGAAGATCACAATGCTCATAGAGACGCTGCTCATTTTAATTTTAATTTTTACAGTTCCCAGTGTGTCGATCCTACTCTCGATGTGGGTTTGCAGACCATTTTTCGGATACGTAGGAGCGACTTGGTATGAATGGACTCGAGAATTTAGGCACTCAGTTAAATTTCTCATCAACTGTCATTCCGTCAATCGATAACGAAACCCTAAAACATCAGGGTTGATAGCCAGAACATTTGAAACACTTAACATCACATTTCATATATCAATAAACTATTTTGAATACTCAAGGTTCTATTTCGTCGATCGCAATGTGGGTCTGCGTATATGGAAAAAGCACTAACTGTGGACTGCAAATACATCAATTGATATTAATTTAAATCAAACCCATTAAACACTCTTGTATATATCGTAGCGCTGAAAACCATTCAAACCATCACACGTTTTAACACAAATAAATCTCTAAAGCATAATGGTCATAACAGGGAGCATAACATGTCCGACAATCTGGTTGGCAACCGGGAAAATACTTGGCCAGGCCTGGATCTTCCACCCATACGGTGCATAGAGTGCCAGATAGATTACTGCACCGGTTAGGCAAGCCATGAAAAATAACACATACTTGAAAGCCTTAAAGACTCTCTCCATTCCCACGAAGAATCCGCCTGATTCTAGTTCCTTCGCCGTCGAAGACCATTCAATGGGAAGACAGAACATATGGGCTAGAAGAGCATAGGATATATGCCATGAAATACCACCAAAGAAGATGACTATTGCCATCATGTTAGTCGATGTGGTTTAGGAAAACGGGCCGCTGGTGAAATAGGTATTGAGACTTACCAAAGAACGGCATCCACATGAACGATTCAACCAACCCCCAAAACAAGTTCTTCTCACCAAGTCGGTGACGATACCATGCAAAGGCGATAGGACTCACAGCCACAAATATGAACAATGTTCCACATAACATGTCCCAACTAGGCAGGTAGCTGTGATCCAGGGAGTCGGCAATCCAACCTGTAAGGAAGTAATTTGTGATTGATAGCGGTAGGGAAGCGCCGATCGCATAGTATGTTCCAATGTAGCCTAGAATCGTGAACTTCGCAGATATTTTCATGTTTGACCACAGGAAACGGCGGAAGAGTTCTGTGAAGGGGCCGCGGTAGATCCACTGGTAGACAGGGTGAAAAATCTTTGGGTTATCAGTAACATAGTACTTCGATTAAAAAGAAAGGAAATCTTACCAATTCTGAACAGCCGTAGGCGTATTTTTCCCATCTCAGTAACTCATCAAATGCCGTTAGAGAAACGCCTTCTTTGAATTCTCCCTTGTCTGTATCATGTAAGTCATATGGGAGTCGTTTGAGTATGGAGACAATAACATACCATAAGTGGCTAATCGGACGACAAATCCTGCAGTTTGAAGACGCAGAGACATATCAAAGTCCTCGGACACATGACTTTCTGACCAGAACTTTTCAACACCATCTTCCACAAAATACACACTCTGAATGGCTTTCCAACGAAGGAAGGCATTATGACCGACAAAGGGCGCACAGTCACCATTTCCGACGGAAAACTTGATCAGCAGGTAGATAAGGTTGGTGAAGTAAGTGACTGTGAAGTTAGATAAGCGCTGCATGGGATGGAAATGACTACATACTAGCATTTTCGAAGAAACTGTGGATAACCTGCATGACACCAGAGGCATGTTGAATAATGGCAACCGATGGGCTTTCTTCCATCTCCAATGCACCCAAGGAAAGGCAGTCGACCGGCTAAATTAAGGGTTTAGCATGATTTATAAATGGCCTTGAACAAGAAAAGGAATAAAAAAATGAATTCTTACAACTCGAGTGTCGCAATCGATCAAAAGAATTATTTCTCCCATACGGACATTACCCTCGGCCCAGGTCTTGCCCCCGTCTCCATCGATAATTGTTTGCATAGCTTGTTGGTAGAGCTCTTCCTCCTCATCTATAGATAGAGACTCTTCCGTTCTTTCTTCGGCTTGCGCTTTCTCTTTCATCAGGCGTAGCAATTCGTCTTCGACGCGCAGACTGAAACTGAGGCAATAGTTCATATTTGAAGCCTTTTTGAATTTACCCGCTCGAACAAACCCATCTTTACCATGCGGTGGTCGTGCACACCAACCGATATTGTTAACCTTGTAGAAATTTCTGCGCATTTCAGCCACCTCTTGACCAACTGCCTGCATACCATCTTCACAGACGAAAATGCTGGCCGTTCCGCCTAATGATTCATAATGGCGGATGGCGGGCATCAAACTTTCGATTGTTGGGATGATGACTCCCTTTAATCCTTCTTTGTACACGGGCATCTGAATGGTGACGTGAGGAAACTGGAAGTCTGGATGACGCTTAATGTTCGGAGGCTGAGAGCTATAGAATCGCGAGTTCCCGTTCTTTACGTCGTTCATCGGGCCAACCAGCTGGAATAGCGTTCCCACAATGACAATGGTGAAGAATAGTGTAAAAAACATGAAAATGGGTAACGGTGCGAGAAGGCCAAGACGAGAAAGCATAGGAGTCCCTAGTGCCTTGATTTCAATTATGATCAAGCGAACAGCAAGACACTCGATGACCATGAGCAGACACATGGCTAGCCCAACCATAACTGAATGAGACAGAAGGAATGGGCGCGCCACTGGTGCCCTCTTTTCCTCGTCCTCTGCAGTGAGATCGACTTCATCTAGTACTACCAGGTTCTTTTCACTGTTTTGGCCATGCACCATAGGAGGAGTTTCGGATATGACACTTGGCGTTGTTCCTTGCCATGGAGTGTTACCTCCTGTGGGTTGACGATGGTGACGAGGGGTGTGGTGGCCGGATGTAATCATCGTTCCCCATACCTATAGCACCATTAATAAAGGCGTCTCTAGTAACACTAGCTACAACAAAACATACCGAACTCATGAGCTTTGTTTCGACGTCAGATGCATGCAATAAAACGTCATCGGCTGAAGTGCTCCAGACTAGGACCACTTTCTCCTGGCGGACAAAACAACAAAAGTCCCTCCTTCTAACACTTGTAGAGTCCTGAGCCAAGGAACTCAATGAATCCACAACGGGAACTGTGATGTTGTTCGGCGATAATGTGATTTCAGAGTCACTTGGTCCAATTCGCTTGAAAAGTAAAGCTGTGATGTCGGAAGACATTGTGAATACTGCCGTAAGACCCAGTTGTGAACTGATTGTTTTAAGGTCAGGGTCGATTGTATCGGGCTTAACTATATATTTGATCTCTCCTTCTTCGGCCGCTTCTTCCGATTCGTCTTCAACACACATGACCAAACCAAGAGCTGAGGTAAGTCTAGCTGCCGGATCGGCTTGGAGCCAGCCTTGCTCTTGGAATCGGCGAAAGAGGAATTGTGACATCTAGGTTTGTTATTATTACTTCCTTCAGTACATTCATTCTGGTGGCATTATTTACTTACTGTGACGGAACGGGTGTACGCGTCGACTTCACCCATTCCTTGTGTCAGGCTCTTTGGTATCTGATAGCGAGAATACCGAGGAGACATAGACGCAGTCGGTCTCGAGTAGTTATGCGCCCCATTGGGGGGGGTGTATGTTGCCATTGCCAGCTGATTTTGACCAGGCTTGGAAACAATAAACACAATGAAAGCAACAAAAACAGCGATCTCATAGATCAAAGAAGCTTGCTTTTTAACGAGTGAAGAGACAGTTGAGAAATGGCCAGATGCGCAAGCTTATGAGAACATTAATAGATCACCCTAGGGTTATATCGGTATCCAATCGTTCAATCACGCCGCAATCACGCCGCTAAGCACATGGGCGGCTGAAAAAAAAACCGATGAAAAATTCGAAATGTAAGGCAATTCTACTTCGTTCTCGCCTACGCTCGCCAACTCTGTTTCATAGATTGTATCTACTAGACTAGTCTGAGTCAGAGAACGCCCCAAAGCGATAACCAGCAGCTCCATCCAGGAGACGACATATCACACCGGACCCGGAGAATGCCGTATCGGGCGTTTGTCATGGCATTCATTTGTCTTGGTTTACGCGTCTATTCGCATAGGGCTGCTGACATTTTCCGGTTGACGAGGTCTCGCCATTAGCCACATGGCGGACTATTGAAGTCAAGTGTTTCCGAGTCAGACAAAGTAGTTGTAATGAGTGGCCGTTGGAGATAAGCAAGCCAGCCCTGTCCTTGGCGCTAGTGGGTTTGTGTAGATAGCTGTTGGGAGGAATTCGCAAGCGTACGGCTGATTGGCGCTAGGTTGTTATACTTCCCTCGCATTGACATTTGATTCACCGGATGAAGCCGACGCTATCAGCAGCTAAAATAGCATCCCACGACGTGTCAAAGCCTCATCGTTTATGGTGCGGATACGGACAAGTGGCTCTGATATCGTGGCCATTAACCCTAACCATGTCCCCTGGCGCCAATCGCCGCGTTTTCACAGGTCTGGATATGCATCCCAAGGCTCCGCCGCAACGCCATCGTTTTGCCGCCAAATAATCAATTCGGTTAGCTGGTTTTTTCCCCTATCGCGGCTTTCTCCTTCAAGTCTTTTTAGCCGACTGCCGGTCTGGGCCCTGGACCTAAGCTATTTTTGTTCTCTCCAATGGGCACGTTTTTTCCCTTGAAAACAAACATCAAAGAAAGAAACAAAATTTATTGTAGCATACGAATTACTAATTATGCTTTTTATTAAAAAGGTCCAAGCAAGATAGCTCTTGAAGCAATACGGCGTTACCCAAACCTTGCACGTGTGATTATAATTGTTGTCATTTTTGAAAAATGCAATTGTTCGTTGCAGCAACTATCGCTATTTCAGCCTGCCTCCCCGGTGCACTCTCTCTGGACGTTAGCGGAAGCACCAAATTCCAATCATCCAGCAAACGCGGACTCATATATATTTCCTCCTCGGAGCATCCTTCAGATTCTCAGATATGGGTTGAAGCGGGTTCGGATTTAACATGGTATTACAACTACGGCTCAACACCAACGGATGCCTATTCCAACCGCAGCCAGGCTAACTTCAAATTTATACCTATGCTCTGGGGATCATCAAACAGTTCAAGCTTTGCATCTGGAGTTAAGTCGTTAATTCAGGATCAAGGGAGAAATATTACCCATGTTCTTACGTTCAACGAGCCCGACGGCTCGACACCAACGGGCGGGAGTGATATCGATCCGGCTACAGCCGCGAGTATCTGGATTGATGATGTTGAGCCTCTCAGTGAGCTGGGTGTGAAGCTTGGTGCGCCTGCTGTTACAGGCAGCAATAGTGGGATGACATGGTGGAGCGAATTCTTTGGTAACTGTTCCTTGCTGAAGACCAATTGTACCCCGGACTTCATCCCAATCCATTGGTATGGTGATTTCGCGGGACTCGCAAGTCATATCGGACAGGTCGTTGAAGCGTAAGTCCATTTCAGCTGCATTTTTAGAGGATTATCAAAAGCCTGATTACTTTACAAGTTACCCGAACACCTCAATATGGGTAACAGAATATGCATTGCAAGATGCAAGTCTTTCGGACTCGCAGTCCTTTTTCCAAACATCAGCTGAGTATTTCGACCGTATTGACTATATTGAACGATACTCTTACTTCGGCTCTTTTCGTTCGTCTGTCTCTAATATAGGTCCCAATGCGGCAATGTTGACGCAGGACGGTAAACTTACCGATATTGGAAGCTGGTACTTGGGCGGTGCAGCGACAGGAAACGTGCCTAGTTCCAGTAACTCTAGTGACAGCAGTAGTTCTAGTGATAGTAGTTCAATACTCTGGGGAGGCCGTCGCCACAGCGTCAAGGCGGTAACGGCTGCGACTGCATTAGCAGTATTTGTTTTTGCTTTTTGATTATACAGAGTAATTTTAGCCTTGAGCCATTAAAATAAAAATCTTCTACCAAAAGCGGATGCGTTTGCATGAATAGTCAAATGGGACTAATTCGACTGCAGAAGTATTCCTGGCTAGAGTGCAGGCACGCTAGATTAGCACGCCATTTTTAGACAGCTAGTACTTAGCTGTCTGTCGACAGGGGCCAACACACGTGGTCGCTTAAATTTCCATCCTATCTTTTCTTAGGACTTGGAGCTATCAGGCAACCAAGGGAAATGCCTGCCTGGAATTCAATTGACCGGGCCTGGATGGTCCCAGACCAGACGCCACGCAGCCCTATCCGAGTTCTTCCTTATCAGCTCCTAACAGACCGCCACAAGTATAGCTCTGGCGGCTAGCAAAAAAATTAAATAAAAATGGCGAACCACAAACTGTCACTCGCTTGAAATTCCTTGACATTGGTGGCAGCGATTGTGGTAGCGATTGTGTCAGTTTGTGAATATTTGAAAGCTGATGTCTCTATTTTACGAAGCTTGGCCCTTTAAAAACTTTGATTAGAAGCAATTCCCCCCAACTTTTTCGAATCAGTTGAACCTTTTGCAAAATTAAAAGATCAGGAATATTCGAATACAACAATATGGAAAAATCACACCCATATGTTATACCGGAGTTTCAGTCGGCCGTCAGCGCGGACGACCGCCGTGCATATAATCATAATCCCTTTCTCACTCCTCAAGATCAAAGATCCATAATTTCGTCAGCACAGCGCTCTTCGTACGCCGGTTTCTCCACGAACTTCTCAGGTACGTTTTCCCGCTCCCGCCAGCAACAGACAAAAGAGCGCCTTTTGACGTTGTATAGAGGGCAAACCGCTTAGACAGAGGAAATTCAAGTCTGCGCGGCTAGTCGGTCCGTATGAGAAACCATGGACAGAAATAAGAGATCCACGTATGATGTGGGATAAAATCTTTTTTATCGCTCTCACAATAGTCGGTCTAGGCTTAGGAGCATACATTATCTATACTGGTTGGGCAAGTGTTGAAAATCCTGATGTGAGGAGAACATTTTCTTTCTTTTCTTTTCGATTTCTTCATTTCTTCTTCTTGAATGCGAACCCGACCGCTGTGGAAGCTAACAATTATATACAGTATTGTTTAATATTCGAAGATGACTTTCAGAACGGAATCAACAAAAATGACTGGAACTACGAGATCCAAGTCGGCGGATTCGGGGTTGGTTCATTTGATTGGGCTACCGATGATCCAACCAATGCCTACACAGATGAAAGCGGTCTTCATATCGTCCCGACCCTTACCACCAGCGCCACAAATATTACTCTGGCTGAAATGCTCAACGGCTACACACTCAATCTTACCAGTCAGGGAATATGTACCTCAACCGGCAACAATAGTTGTGCCCGTATCAGTAATATTACGACTCAGACAATGATCAACCCGGTCAGAAGCGCTCGTTTGACGACCAAGGGGAAACATAACATTACATATGGAAAAGTCGAGGTCACCGCGAAACTTCCGCGTGGAGATTGGCTTTGGCCTGCCATTTGGTGAGTGTTCTCCTGGATCTTATAATATTATGCCTGTTTCTCAAATATCATATGGGTATATCTAACAAGAGTCCGAAACCTTCTATAGGATGTTGCCAGAGTCAGATATCTACGGGGCATGGCCGCTTAGCGGCGAGATTGATATTATGGAATCCAAAGGCAACGAAGGACAAACGTGGGTTATACAATGGGTCTCACTCTTTTTACTTCAATGCTGAAACAAATATAGATACAATGGTGGACGCAATGAAGTCGGGGGCACTCTACATTGGGCACCTAACGCCATGCTTGATGCCTTCTGGCGTACTAATGGAGTGCGCTACATGACCCGCGGAGACTATTCAGATGATTTCCATACATTCGGTATGGAATGGAGTGACTCTTACATATATACTTGGGTTGATAGTCGGCTTGCGGTAAGTTTTCTTCTTCCTTCTTTTATTTTCTCACATTGAGAGAATAGAAGCATGCTGACTTGAACCAAGCAATCATTGTATGTGCCGTTTGGTAAAAAGTATGGATCCATGTACGACCGAGGCAACTTCGCCTCCATGAGTGTCAACGGATCAATTCCTGTAGGCTTGACAATCTATCTCAATAATTTATATTCTAGCTTACACGAACACATTAGCTTGATCCCTGGTCAGTCACAGGTCGCTTTAATACCCCATTTGACGAGGCCTTCTACCTCATCATGAATGTTGCAGTCGGGGGCACAGATGGCTATTTTGCGTAAGTTTACTTTGCATTCACATAGCTTTATCGCGGATACTTTTCCCATTCTGTCATGAACAAGTCTATATTTAATAATTTTTTGTTAATGAAAACACGCTAATTTGATTCGGTCGTATAGCGATGGGTATGGTAATAAACCATGGGTTGATTCTTCTGCAACTGCTATGGAACAGTTTTGGAATGCATCCTCTGCATGGGAGCCGACCTGGGGAGCTGGAAACACCCGGGGCATGACAGTCAAAAATGTCAAATTGTATTCACGAGGTCTCTGTGGGTCGCCTTCCAGTTCCAGTACTGCCGCTACGACAAGTGCGACCTCATCTTAATTCGTTTTCGGCGCAGTTTTATTGAGCTTTATGAAATGGTGGATTTTACAATGTATTTTCAATTAATATGTTAATCTTGAATTATGAAAGTCAAATCTTTGAAATATATTTATTACAGCGGCAAAACAAAACACACATCTGAATGACTAAATCTATTAGTAGGCCGATTTTCGTTTAAGGGAAGCATTTTCCCGCTGATTGGATTTTAATCGATTTAATTCATGATGGATTCTTCAGAAACACCTTTTACCACGCCGCTTTTATCTTACTCTTGAAAGACACCCTTCTTCACTGAAACTGTAAGGTTTGAGAAGATGCGACATTGCGTGACTTTTGAGTTTTTTCTTTCTTTCTAAAGCTCGTTTTCGTATTAATGGGACAATAGGGAGACCGCTTCGGCATGCACGAGAACTGGCGATATAGCCACTTCCAATACATCATATTCCGTCCTCATCCGCAAGGGATCTCACTAATCTAAGTCAATAGATAATGTAAATGGCTTCTTGTTTTTATAAACTGTGCTACCTCGGTAAAAACTATTACAACCACTCCATAGTGCAGGTATGATCTTTGGGTTAAAAAGAAACACGCACTGCGGAATTCTGAAATCTTCCCTACTACCATCATCTAGCGAACCACACCTATGAATGACATCAGGTTATATCGCACTTGATAAAGACGACTTTGCGGTTGATAAGCCAGCTGTTCTAAGTGAATTACGCTAGTAGGCTTCTTACCGCGCGGTTATGTAAAGACGGTCATGGGGTCTAGAATAAGCCATTATACTTATATTTAGATTAGTTCAATGCCCTATTTAATTCAATGTACACAAATCATTTAGGTTACATAGCTATTGCTGTAAAATTTGGGTAAATATCGGCAGGCGGACTCTCGTATAAATAGTTGACTGATATCAGAATCAGCTGTCTCATGCAACTCCCAACCACAGATATCCCACAGCACTCATTACCTGTTAAGCTTTGCTTTTGAAAGTGGCACATATGCGTCATTTATATTCCTCTCTTGTCGTAATCAAACGGTGCCTGACTTCTTGCGAACACTATTGGTCTTCCTGACCATACTGTCCTGCTTACATTTTCCCCCTCCAAGTCAAAATCCCAATCACCACGAGCAAGACGAAAATAATGCCGAAAAGGATACCTCCGAGTACTATTTCCCAGCCCCATGAATCACAACACCAATAATAGCTCTGATGTTGATTCCGTTCTGCGGGCATGCTGACGTGAAAACGAAGTGTTTGTGTCTCGAGGGTCTGCGAATGCCACGAACCTCTAGATAAAGTTCGTTATTGTGAAAGTCTCAATATTGCTATGGAAAATTTGTAACTGCAAGCGTTTTATGGTCGTGAAAACTGGATATGATAGTTGAGCGAATGGAGGATGGTAGGGCGACAGATGACCAAGCGGACGTGGAATAAATTTGGAGATAAAGTCAGCCAAGAAGACAAAGAAGAAGAAAATAGAAATTTGAAGCGGGATTACACTCATGAATTACTACATTCATAAGTTAAATATTCACAAGTGGAGTATCCATTTCATTGTTTCCTGGTTGGGATATTCGGAGGTCAATTGACGTTGTACGAGGTCATATCGGCCTAAATAACGAGGTTTTCAGAAACAGGTATTATTTGCAAACTTGGTACTAATCTCAGCACAACAACTCAATATTGACAGGCTGGATAAAGGATTCTTCTTGACAAAACCGGATTAAACCTACAAATTATCTATCATTTTTGCTTGGCATCGGTAGTCTCGATTAAAGATTTTCGATATCTATTTAGCATTGAAAACAAAGGAATATTTTATTTGAAGTGTCCAATATCCAATTTCATTTCAACTTCCTATACAGTATATTTCCACCATATTATTGAAATTTATGGGAACAGTAAAGACTAATAATAGTTTAAGTTAATCTACCAATCAGACAAGCAGGATGATTCCGGAGCGCTGGATAACGACGAATCGGGAATGATCGACATTACTAAATGTGTCAGAACCACTATATAACCTTCAAGTGCCTGCTTCGAATATGCTTTAAAAAATTTCCCTATTTCATAATAAAAATTATTTTTCGAATGCCAATATTGAAAAAATGAATTCAGCACTTAAAGTGTACCAATCGGGCTTTTCGTTATCGGCATTAAATACAGCCAAAACAGCCTCAAAATCCGCCAACACCCGACTCCATCAAACAGTCACCCTACATGACGGCCGAATTTTAGGGTTTGCAGAGTATGGCAGTCCAAATGGCCTCCCACTTTTATTCTTTCACGGTTTCCCTTCATCGCGTCTCGAGGGTCTCGGCGTATTATCCGGCAATATGATACAGCGCCATGGGCTGCGGATTATCGCCCCTGATCGCCCGGGCTTCGGCCTGTCAACTCCGCAGCCACAACGCCGTATTATGGACTGGCCAGCGGACGTTCGGGCTTTGACGAGTCATTTAGGGCTATCGCGGTTTGCAGTCCTGGGAGGCTCTGGAGGTGGGCCTTATGCAGTGGCATGCGCGTATTCGCTCCCACCGGAAATGCTCTCTGCTGTTGGTGTACTGGCGGGGGCTGGGCCATGGGAAGCTGGGACACAGGATGTACAGATCTACCGAAGAGTTGCTTCGTGGGCGGCAAAAAACTGCCCGTCAGTATTGACTACAGGGTCAGATATGCTGTTGTGGATTTTACGACATGCAGTAGAGACAGGCACAGTGGCGCGGCGGATAGACAACTGGCTTGAGAGTGTTGATAAGAGTGAAAATACAGCTGCCGAGAATATGCACAATCCAGCATCAATCAAAGAGCGCCGAGAAGAATTACTCCAAATCTTATTTGAAGGGTTCTCCCAGGGATCGGCAGCCTTTGTAGAAGAGGCACGCTTGTTAACAAACGAATGGGGCTTTAGATTTGAGGATGTCAGCTACGACAAAATACAAATTTGGCATGGGACTAGAGATGCTAACTCGCCGGTAACCATGATGCGGTATATGGCAGGGAGACTTCCGCATTGTGTACTACGCGAGTACGATGACGATCACTATACATTAGTTCGTCATCTGAATGAGATTTTGGAGGAAATTGGGGAAGAGATGCGAAAATAGACGTCGTGGACTAATTGTACAAATCGACGTTTTTTGTTTGTATATATAGGTGAAGTTGCAGCGCTTTCAGCCCACATACAACATAGTCTGCCGTATTTCGCGTCGACCATGACTTTGCATCGACTATTGTCTCTAGCTCTCCGATAGCAGATATCCTTCCGATCTATACATATAGAATTTGGAGACACTGAACTGAAAAAAAAATTTCTTGTCACAATTCCCTGAAAGTTTTCCATTTGAATAGTAATATTCGAATTGTAGCAGATAGCCAAATCTATCTGTTGCTCAAGCCGGGGAAGTTCTTGTCGTCAACAGGAGGGCCAGAGCCGCCAGCACGAACGAGGTCTTTCCGTCGAGAGTATAAGACTGTTCCATAAAGCACATGTCGCCATCAAGGTGGCTTTCCAGTTTCCATTGTTTTTTGTTCCTTGGCTTTTCCTCCTGAGGATTAATGTACTTCTCCTTTCGTTGTCACCCGTGAACTCCTTGGCGGCATCCCATGTCTTTTCTTCGACACCAGCGTTAGTGGCTTGGGCGATCTTCACATCGAGGTTGGAGCTCTTTCAAGATAGACCTGGCGCGTCTTCACCTGCCCTGGCCGAACTGCTTCTCAGAATTGCTGCTCGAAGCTCTTAGTATATCATATACAAAACTCAGAGGACATCGGATTGGTGACCATTCCAGTTAGGGTGACGTTCTCTGCGGAGATGACCACCACGACCTTGGGCATTTCTGCTTGCTCTAACTGCCAGCTTACTATTAAGTGCCCCAGACACCTCTCTCCACCCTGTGTATTTGCACACCCACAAATTTTCTCTTGGGAAGTCTTATGACTTAGGCATTAATATCTTCATATTGTCGTTCATTCTCTCACAGTTTCCGTCATTGAAGGCCATGCAATCACCAGTATTCTCACCTCTTCTAAATACAACGTCAATTTCAGCCAGCGACCTTCATCGTAGGCATTTCCACGGCCCCTTGGGGGGTTATATATTCATGGAACTTTTTCCATTCCACCTCTTGCTCATTATATCCGTAGTTTGAATATGTAGGCTTCTCTCAACAAGCACAACGAACAAAACCAAATAAAGTAACAAACAATGGGTTTCTGACTTTAATGATCCCACTATGGTACAATTCTGCCGAGTTGGGGTCGTATCAAATATGGTGTAAGCCGCTTTTATCCAATATATTCGTCTCTATCTCCTATGCTTCTAGTCTTGTTGTCAAAACTTTAGCAGACGTCGATCGGGGGGTTGCGCCAAGCACGTCCATTATTGCACGATGGATATAACAGATGCGGATATTCTGATAACTCCATCTCAAGCTATGAAACAACCATGTTAGAGTCAGCAGCTTGCATCACCGAAGTCAATGGATAGCAAACCCTTCACCTTCACGGCTCCAGATCTCTAGCTCGGATATATCGAACTATTAGTGACCCTAACGCAGGACGTAACACGATTGATTATTCTAATAACTCAAAAAGAAATTGTGTCAAAGGTTTACAATCCACAACTAGCTGTCAGCAGAAGCGATTAATGCTTAAGAATCTCAAATGCAAAGCACGTAATCAAAAGTGGACATTGAATGGTGTCACGACCGCATTCACAAAATATACTGGTCCTTTTTCTATAGTGTAAAGTATAACTTTCTTCGATGATATACCAAGAACTGGAGATTTCTAGAACATATATTTGAGTACTGCATTATGAATCTATTCAGTGACATCTGCTCATCTTTATCTACATACTCAATACTCAATTGGTCTAACCGCAATTTGCATTTTAACTAAAGCAATGTCAGAGTTTTTGCAGACCCATCGACACGCCTGAGACTTACTTTTGGCAACCCAAAAAGTACAGCAATGATAATCCAGAGTGTATTTTGGACAAAGCAGCATTCTTGCCGGGATGGTTGATCGATTTTACAACCATTGATGATGTGTTTCTGGACCAGAATATCCTTTTCCTGATGGAAGTTGTTTGGATGAAAATAGGCATGTGTCTTTTCCACGAAATAGATTAGTCGAAACACTACAAAATTGTTTTTACGGTGTTCACGTGGAAAACGTGGCCCACACGGCTACTAAAATGAAGATACAATACCGTTAGTTTTGAGATCTGCACCAGTCTTAGAGTTATAGCTATTACAGGTCAATTCATGTCTTGTCTATTCTAGGAAATAGTTGGATATAGATAACTTTAAACTGCCTAAAATATGGGGAAATCGTGGGAGATACCGCCCTGTATCGATTGTCTACAAACTTTGTCAAAACGCCACCATTACCAGTCTGGATAAGAATCCCACCATTACGCTAGTTCAAGTTTCCCATCAAAGGTCCCCATATTGAAATGTATTGACAGAGTGTAGAGTGGCAGTCATAGCTTCCAAAGCACTACTATTAATAATATCTCAATTATTTATATAGAGGCATGCCAATGTGCCTGCCTGTCTGCGCGTGTTCTTCAGCCAGTATGGGTCAGCAACGCATTGAGTAGGGCAGTGTGTAGAAACCTATCTCATATATGCAACTGTAGGCCTTCCTCGCGTGTCTGAGAGTGTTTCTAAGCAGTTAATAACATGTTAGTTAAGACAGTAGGTAAAAAGCACCTAATGTATACCTATACAGGCCTATCTCAACATGTTTTTATGTGGTCAGCAACATATTGAGCAAGATAGAGGGCAAATACACACGTAGATATCATTTATATATATATGATGAGGCATAGAAGGAGAAGTACACGCACAAATGAATAAGCAAGGGAAATAAAGTAAGGGAAGAACATATCTGTCTCATCAACGCCTAGTTAGGAAGAAATAAGCTTAATTAAAGGGAAATGTTGCCGTTCTGAATACGCAACTAGTGTAATAAGATTTCATCCCTAGCCAGTAATGTTGCCAATTTAGGCATGATTCTCAATATTGCCCCACTTGTAACAGTAACATACCCGTATTCGGCGCATGCCTGACAGTTTCCTGACCTCTTCACCTGCCAGCATTGTATTATAAGAGGTAGAAGTGAGGTATGCTATTATATTGTTAATATATATGATTGGAAACATCATACGATATGAAAAAGATTAGTATAGGCCCTAATCAATTTGGTATATCCATTGTTAGATAGACATGAAGAAGCTTATTATGGAAAATGCGGATTAAAGATGCTAGTGGCTACTTCAATGATGTGTGAGCTAGAAAAATCAATCAATTTATTATTATGTAACATGTAGATATCGGTTCGAAATGTTACAATTGCTTTGAATAGACGTATCCATAGCACATGTATATCAATTGATGTAATATTAGGTGCTATCTATATATAACTTCACACATCCCGATATCCTGAATATATTGATAAAGAATGTTCTCTAAGATCTGGAAGAGATTGATGATTGTAAGAGAAGATATATCAACAAATCTGGAATATATAATGAAGTTACGATTAGGTGCCTGGTTAGATACGTTGATTGTGTTTTAATTGCCTCTACCTTCCATATTATGATGATATTGATTCTCATGGCAAAGTCTCATTTTACCCACAACGGTACTCTTTCTATAGGAAGTTTCCTTAGCTCTAAATCCTGCAGATTTATTAACTTAACAGTTCTGCCCTTGGAATAACTGCCCGGTTCCTAAAAAGATTCGCACTTCTTTTGCTTTATTATACATTGAGACAGTTAATGCACAGCCTTTTTGCCTACTCTCTAATCGTCAAGAGTTCTTTCACTGTTCAAATGTTACTGAGTGGAGAGCCTAAAGGAACCCATTTGCAAGAGTGATATAAAATCTATCGATATTGACTATAGACAGCGAAGTTTGAAAATATATACATATGTACATAGCGCACCCAACCATCCTTGTTATCCGCAGTTGAATGGCCCAACCAACCGCATCCGCAGTTCGAATTATGCAGCCGCTTGATCCCGAATTAACAAAAGTGTCGATGAGCTTGAAATCAAGATACGGAAACGTTGCGGTCTCCAATGTCAGCAAGATGACTACTGAACAACTTTCCACTGAATTTGGATGTTGGTTCCGTCGCCGTCCTGGCTTCCGAAGGCCGTCCAGAGACCAGAGCACATATCAATAATGTCAGCACCGGCCCTGTCGGCAATAACAGCTTGCTTAGTTACGCCGTTAGGTCCGGTAATTTCAATTGTCTTGCCACACAGCTCGTCATTCTGAGCGGCGCCAAACTGGTCCATGACAGATGCGGACAAAGCGATCAGTTCGGCACCGGTCGAGCTAGGATTCAACGAGGGAAAGTAGGTAGAAAAGCCGCAGCTACCAGAATTGTAGAAAACTTGATTGCAGGAGGCGTCATCACCAAATGCGAAAATTGAGCCAGTGATCGGCATGTCGTTGTAGTAGGAGGATGGGATATCGCGCTTCTCGACGGGCATCGCCATGGTTTGAGAGGCGAGCACAAGTGCCGAGGCAGTCAAGGTAGATGTGAACTTCATTGTGGTAATTTAGACGTGTTGTTTCAAAGGAGTGAAAAAGTCTAAAGAGGAATTGAGAAAAGATAATGAGAGGTATACAGATCTGTAAAAGAATGCTTATTTAAACTGCACAGAGATAAAGAGAAAGGCAGCGAAGGCTTAAATAGAAAGTCCCTTTTCATCTCCTAGAAAAATAAACATCAAATTTGCTGACTTCAGTAGTACTCCTGAATCATCATAGCTGACGTACGGTTACATCTGGCCCCCATATGTTATTGCTGACTCCCGGAAGGAGCCCGAAAACACCGAACGTTTTTCTCAAGCAAGTAAATCCAGTTCGTAGATGACAACAGGTAGCATTTGTTATTTAACCTACATTTTCTCTGATCTAAACAAGAACGGTGGATTTAGCGCTGAGAGATAACTCTATATTGTTAGACGTTTGCTATCTGTGTATTTAGTCGATTCCTTAGTCAACTAGGACCTGTAAGATCTGATATCACAGAGACCGAATGGGATTGGCTATGATAAAACTTCATTGTAATTTTTTTATATTTAATTATGAGTTTGATGTCTAACGATTCTAATGATTTCCACAACATGGGGGTCCCTTTTTTTTTACTGCTGTGGAGGCTCGGCGCCAAGACTGTAACGCCGCAGCGTAACTGTTATGGTTGTCATTCATGCAGCCACAGTTATGCCTTCAGTTTCGATAATAACAATATATTGAAATAGGTATTAGAATTAAGTCTAGATTCATTATATTGATGCCTAGCCGGTCTCATATACCTCGACTAGTCTCGACGTGATGCTGAGGGAATCAAATCCCCGCAGAGAAGTTGCCACTGAAGAGTTTGAAGCAGTTCCTCGCTAGCCTAGAGGCCCGCTACCAACTCTCAGTATTCACAGATACAGTCATCGATTGGGGCATTTTCCTAAAAAAGCTACTACAACTGTTGTCTAGAATGGCACTTTTACTCACCTCCTCACCTGAGGATGCCGCGCGCCTCTTTACCTGCTCATAGCTCCTGTTGGAGAACAATGGGCCGGTATGGCTAGTATCGGAAGCTACGGTCAATAGCTCCTTAAAGAGCTTGGCTTCTTCGACGGGACACAATTCGAATTCTGAAGGAAACCTTCCCTTGTGCGGGCTATACCAGTCTCTTACTTCTTGAATTTTCTAAATATTGACTTCTCGTTAATTCAGGCAAAATTGACAACTGGCCGGAAATCGTCTCAAAATCAGACACTACTCAAATCATTAACAGCAAGCTAAAGCTCGGTCTCAATCCCTTCCCTGAATCAACATCAATCTCGAGAACTATTCCTTTACTGTTCGATATGTGGGACCAGCCAACTGCCCAACGATTTGAGGATGGCACACTGGTTGCCGACCTTCCAATGGTACATTCATATCTGCAAGGTTTGGGCGAACAATGTCTTTTGTCCCTAGGAACACACAGCTACCTATCGAGTCTGTGCAAAAGATGACTTGCTCTGGAAGCTGGGTCGTATAATTTGTTGACATATTAACATTGTCACTTTTCCAAGGACCCGAGACTTTTCTTGTTTTTCTGCTCACAGTCGCACTCCAAGCAACAGCTTTGCACGCAAAGTTTACTCTGTCCTAATTGCAGGAAGTCGTGAAATGCCAACTGCACTGGAATGGGCGCATGACTTAGTTCGGCATAACGGGTTGCCGGACAATGACCCGAAAGATTCGGTAATATACTGCTCAGATACCCTGCCATACTTGAAAACTTCACCATTTACAAACATGGTACAAAGGAGGTTTGGATCTCTCTGTAAGCCACATGCATTCCTAGTTGTCTAGAAACCCCAATTAGGACATTATTTCCTATGCGTAAATCAATAGCGAATAATATTCGCACCCCCTTCTCCACTCACTAATGAATAATGCTGGTAGCTCCCGTTCCCCCGATGGAATTTGTCTGACCAACAAACTCCAATTACCAACGAATAGCATCTGCTATCAATGGCAGTCATGGATGATAATATTAAACCCCAAAATATGCAACACTCGTGCCAGATTTGTTGTCGACAATTCCAAAGAGCCGAGCACCTAAAACGGCATTTAATACGACATACTTCGGAGCGGCCATATACCTGTCCATTGTGCTGTTATTCATTTAACCGAAAGTGAGACACTCTTTTTGCCTTTGGCTTCTTTTTCTATTACAGTTTTCTGGGAATTTCCGCTCACAACAATGAATAGAGATGTTCTTATGCGTCATGTTCGTTCGCACAGCTCGCAACGGGCCCGGGCTACCACGGCTTGCGATTCCTGCTCGCAGTCCAAAACCCGTTGCGATAACGATACTCCGTGCAATCCATGTCGACGCGCAGGACTACCGTGTGGGTCTGTAAGACCACAGCGAAGACTTGGAAGACCAGCGCAACGGCAGGAGCAGCAACCTTTTTCTACTGAGAAATATAACAAACCACATAATAGCAACGCCACAGCTGTGACCACACCACAACGATCCTCCCAAGCGCTTTTATTGCCAAAGCCTCCATCACTTGGACACAACGATGTCGCTAAAACACAACGTTCAGGCCAGGCAACCAATTCTGCAGGAATAAGCACCCGGAATATGTCTCAATCTAGCATACCAATGTCTAAAACTGTGAACGCCACAGTGATAACAAGAGTGGACAATCAAACCTCTGATGTCTATTCCCTTCCGTCTCAGCGTGATGCCATCCCCAGTGAAAGCAATGAAGGTTTTCCTCTGCAACCGCATCAAGATGAGGAGAATTGGGGATGGTTTAAAGCTATCTACCATTGATCCTCACCAATGAGAAATCTTGATTGAAACGCTACAAATTAAATATGTACAATGCAAGATGATTCATCTGGAATGACGTGTTAATAGTCACATTTAGCTCTTGTATCGTGAGCCATGAGTTCATGCATCTAACATCCGCTATCACTATAAATCATTCCCTGGAGTAAGAGCCCTCAAATCAAGATGATCCGCTGGCCTATTTTCTTCTCTACCAAACTTTTCAACTTATCCACCGAATCAGAAGTCAATGGCTTCGGATAGCCCAAATCCTGCGGAACCACCAGCGGAATTTCCTGTACTTTAAACCTCGACGCCGCACTCTCACACATTAGAAACGGGAATTCGTCGAAGAACGACGAGTGCAGTTTCTGCGTAAGAAAGTCGTCGAAGACAAGACCATACGCCTTTTCGAGCGCAACAACCCCGACCGATCGTGGCCGATACGCGACCTCGTTACCGGTCGGGCTGAACCCGCTCTGTTTTTCGAGGAGTTGTAAATCCCAGGTACGAAACGAAGGTTGATTAAGGTCTGAGCTTTCAGGATCATCGTCGCCCGTTATAGATTTAGTTGGTCGGAGTCGGCGATGTGAGACCACGTTTTGAATAAGCGCTCTGCAAACGTGATCGACATCCACTTGATCCTGCACAAGAATGATTCGATCTCGTAATTCGGGCCAGGGCATCCAATCTATTATCGGGGAGTGGGGGATAGAAAGTTGAAGTGCGGTAGGGCGATACGCGCCGTGGAGATCAGAGTATGTGGCATGGGATGGGAAATTCCTCCAGATTTCTGACTGCACGAATCCTCGAAATGAAGCCTGCAATTCAAAGACGTTAGCCATGGAAGCAAGAATAGGATCGTATTATACACACCGTGAACTTCCAAAACCCTTCAGCTTCCGGCCATGCTTCTCTCACCGCCCAGAAAACACCATCAGAAATAATAGATTGCCGTTCGTCCGAACTGACAGAAAATCAGAAATTTGATCAGGTTCGATTTATCTTGTTCTTGACTCACCATAACCGTGTAGCTTTCAGTGCCTGTTTAATGACAAGCCGCAGGGTAAGAATATACTGATCTAATCCCCATTTTGGTGAACTGGTATTGAAACCAAGTGTTGCCGCCGGAGTGGGAAACACAAGATTTTGCGTGGGGCACGGAGGGATAGATAGAGCTCTTGCATCGTCGGTACTAGAGTTATTCAATTGGGCTACTCTTTTCAAGTTCCTCTTTTTCGGTTTTGGTAGTTGCTGGGTGTTTGATGTCTCTTGATGAGAAAGATCCTCGGCTTCGGTGTTGTTTTCTTCGGTTGCATCGTCACGGGGCTGTATATCTTGGTATTGCGGCCAGGTCTGACCGTGTGAAGCGATATGGTCTAGAGTGCTGTAAGTGGTTTGGAAGTCGTTACTGAAACCCTCAGCGTCGGTGGGCCAGAAATAAACCTGATCAGTATTCGGCTGTTGGTAGTGGATAGCTTGGTATTTACCAGCCGAATTTGGTTCGAGAACGGAAGACTCAGTATGAAACTCATTCGAGTTGAATTCTATGGCAGCAGTATGACAATGAGTAGTTGATGCCAGATTTGTAACCTCAGTCGTAGCATATACGTTTCCGAAGTTATCAAGTAAGAAATCCTGGTGGGTTGGATATAGAGTTGGATATAGAGTTTGATACTCGAGGCTAGCGTTAATCCCAGCTGTATGAGCATCCTCATACCTGATATTCAGCGGGAGACGGTAGGCATCGACCTCGAGTGGCGAAAATCCATGCTCAAGATCCCAAATTTGACTTTCTAACTGATCTGGTGGCGTCGCGAAGAACGGATCTACTGGCTGTTCAGAGGGGTGGTGGATGTAAGCGCATACACAGCACTGCTGTGGATAAAGACACGCGACACAGCAGCCACTATATTGATCCATACTCCGTCGATATCCTTTGATTTTTCCACTCTCGATTAGATTAGAACAAGAACAAAAATGCATGACGGATGAAGTCCGCAAGGAAATGGCGGGATTGTGGGGCAACTCCGCCAGTCCATCTTATTTCTTTTTTGAGTCGATCCTCACACATCTGGATTTTAGGTGGTTATAATATAAAAGGTTTATCGGCATCGTTTTGATCGTTATGACAGTGACAGGAAGCCTTAGCTGCGAATGATTGATGGGCTCATCAAAATACCATCACAGGGCAGATTTGTACAGCCTTGATTAAGGCTTTATGGGAATTCTTGATCAACCAGCGGCCCCTTGATCGGTCAATGCGGTCAATGCGGTCAATGCGATCAATGCATTCATCCGCCCCTCATTCAGGTCGACCTATGTCAAGCTCAACGCCAAACAAACCAAGTGTATGCACTAGTTTTCTGTACTTCAAATGACATGAAATGGCTTCATGAACGGTAGCTTCATGTGCCCTCCTTGCTCGGGATTCTTGCGGCATGATGCATCATATGGCACAGGTCACCAGTCACAGCCTTGTACAATTGGTTAACTCACTACCAAGATGAATTTTATTGTACTAGTGTTATGACTATATCTACGAGTCAGAAAGATGCCCCTCGCCACTGCGGTACTGCACACAGCGGTTGTAGGGCTGCGATATGCATGGGCGGCGAGATCAAGTTGGCTGGACATGCAAATAATAGTGGTCTTGAGGGAACAAGGTGGTACCAGTAAGGATGTTCAAATAGAGTTGTGGAGAGACAGAGGGCTGTAATGTTGCACATTGAAGACAGACGATACGATTCAGTTGCTAGGTTGGGATATTCAGGGTGAATCGAGCAATGGGGACTCAGCCGAAGGGGATATTGTGGTTGTCATGTCTAGGTTTCGATGGGGAAGATAACAGAATTCAAGGGTGCCAATGATTGCATTCTTGGTTTTTGTATGCTTATATTCATGCAAATATTGAATTGTTTCCACATTGAAGCCACATAATTGGATTCAATGTCATGCTATATAAGCATCCAGTATGTTGGTGGTCAGTATAAACAGACTATACCCTCGCCATGCGTTCCAGTTAATAAATAATATGTACACCAAATCTATCGACTAGGGAAGAAATATACAAGATGGCCGTAACAGGCTTAAGATGAGGAATCGATATCAGACACCATACTCCGAGATAACGAAATGGCCCAACCATTTGCACCAGATAGAAACACAACGAAGAAAAAACACATTATACGGTTATTATGTCGATTTATCATTGTATATCGTTTGTTCTGCGATAGCCTCGTCGCACACGCGATGTAGACGGGCTAGAAGGGTATTTTGATGCTGACGATAGGCTAGACGGGACCTTCATGTTCGGGCTCAATGGATCGACGAGGCTCTTGCCCGGGCATACGTTTTCGTTTGCGTAGTTGAAGTAGCGCTCTAGTATATCGGTTTTGTGAAGCCACCTCTGGGGGCCGTACGAGAAATGAGAGACGATAGAGTGCGATTCAACGAGGACAGCTATTAGAATTAGTAACTGAAGAATTACGTTCAAGAAGGGTAAATAACTTACGTCGGTTGAGCGTTATGGGCATTTCGACAGTCAATTGATGCTCGTCGTCGCCGTGTGGATGGGCTGTAATCACATCCATGTAGTCAAGCACATCAGCGCCATGCATGACAATAAAGTTGATGCTCAGTCGGTGATTGCGCATGGACCAGGTAGTACCCTTGCCATAGTCTTTTGAAATGCCGTACTTGCCAAGCTCGCCGTTCTCGAGGTTTGTGAAAAAAGAGTAATGGTTCTGCGCGCCAATCTGCCATTTCGTCAGATGCGGGCCACCCTCGGCATCGGTGGCGGCGATGCTCGAGCTGTAAATATCGCTTTCCTTGGAGGTTGGGAGCCAGCGGTGTTTAGGAATATCCTCATCCTCGGTGACATGGAAAAAGTTGGAGAAGTTATCGAAATCCTTGAAGTCCAAGCTTGCGTCTCCATCCCAAAAGGGCAGGTCGGAGGTCTTCCACATCCCGTTGCCTCGAGTAGCCAGCTCAGGGTTCTTGGGAATTAATTCAGGTTTGAATGAGTGTGCCGCGTCGGAGTGATAATGCCACCAGCCTAGGGCAGGACTATTGACGACATTTGCGGAGATCATTAATGCCTGTGGGTTGCTGATCAGGGTCATAACCGACTTGGCAATGGCCTGCGGTTCGATAAAGACGACATCATCATCGATCTTGACGTAGATGGTATTCCGCTCCGTGAATGCCGCCTTGTAGACATTCCCATAGCCCTTATTCTCAATGCGCACCAGCTTGTAACCCCCATCCGATGCCGCAGCGACGGTGTCGATCCATGCCAAGTCGTCTTCGTTATCGGTATTCTGCGCCCAGATCACCTGGTCGAGCCAGCCACCGTTGGAAACCAGGTTTTGTCGGGTATAGCATTCGAGAATAGACGAGCGGTCGCGACGGCCGTAGAAGATGACTCCCACCACTCGCAGATCCTTTGGTTTAACCAGAGGGATGTCTCCGTCTCCGTACTCCAGGTCGGGACCGGGTCGGTCATCATCATGCGGAGCTCCAGGCGGCTTGTGATCGTTACTGGAATGTGGTGGTGATTGTGCCGACGGCCAAAAGGGAGGTTCTTCAGCGTAGACGTAGGCCAGTGAAAACACAAGCAGTGTGACAAAAATGACTGTTGCGAAATATGTCATGCGACTGAAGCGCCATTGGAATGGACCCTGTCCGTACGACCAGCTGGGCAGGAAGCTGTATTTATAATTCATCTTATTTTCTTTGTTCGTCCCCCTTTTGATCGATCAGTCAGGGAGACGGGGAGACTCGCAGAGAGTAAGGCCAGTCCAAATCCTCGCAGGAAGGACCGGAGGAAAGAAAGAGGGGACAGTGGGAAGCAAAAAAAAAGGTCGCACAGAAGAAGGAACAGCGATAGAACGTGCCAGGGGGTTGATAGGATAGAGACGACACGAGCAGAGTTATCGCGTTTCGAGATGACAAGCGACAGGAGCCATGGCTGTCAGACTGGCAGTGGCACGATCTAGTCGAAAAAGGCGCAGGCGTGGTGAGGCCAACCTTTCCCGTACTAATTCGGTGCCCGCCGCTCTCGTATGGCGTATTGTTGTGACCAACCCTTACCTACTGTGACCAGCCATCGTGTCTCATCTCTGATACCCCGCCAATCAGCACCCGTGGCCGGCGGTGGGGGTAAGAAAAACTGCCTGAATACAGTCTAGCCGTCGACCCAAAGTTACCAGTCTTACCCCATTTTGTGAGTTCTGTCCAATGAGCGTGCTGGGATCTACTCGTCTGGTCCCACTGGTAAACTAGCGGCTACTAAAAGCGTTCGACAAGCCGGACCCCCACCAATCAGAGAGGTGACAACAATTCTGCCTCCGACGGAATGGACGCATTGGCTGGTAGCGTGCCAGCCGCTCATGCCGCGTTGGGACTGGCGCTCACAATCAGTCCCGCAACAGGGCAGCCTTATTGTCGGTAACAAAAGCTCGCTTTCTGCTTCGTCGACATCTCAGCATGCATGCCTTTGTACTGTTCCGCTCCTGTCAATACCATCGCACCCCCAAAATCAGCATAATACACATTTACAAATACAAGAGCCAAGAACACTTGACATAAATCGCCAACTCACCGCGCCAAACCACCTGCTGATCGAGCGGTTCGCTTAGTTAAAAATAAAGTAAAATACATGGTTCTTAATATTGGCCCGCTCGGATCGCCCCCAACAGACCCGCCTTACCAACATTACTGGTATTTTTCAGCCTCACAGCCAGACAGCAGCCACGCTGTACGCCACGGTGAAATATCAAGTTTTTTTCGAAATCTCAGCCGAATGTGATCATCATCGATAAATTGCTATCACTTATTACTGGACTTCCCCGGATTCTCTACACCACTCATTGCCAGAGTCAACTCAGCGACCATCCTCCCGCATCCGTCTTATCCGCTGAGCTGAAAGCGGACCAACCAAGACTCACACTATTAAAAATAAAATTGCACTTCAACTCCGGCGGGGGCCGAATCGCTGGCGATTTCCGCGCTGCCTCAGCTTCAGGCACAGCTCAGTTTTCACGTCAGGGGTCAACTGATATTTAGACCTCGTCTACCGTGCCTGATGCCAAACCATGCAGGTCTGAGCTCATGTTTCTGTGATCTGCAGCAACGACACCGTGGGAATATACCTAGTAGCCCCATTATTAAATACAGGCCGTTGCATGCTCAATGCTGATCTGTCTATATTTATCAAATTGCTAAACCTCTGCAAACACACCCATAGGTCACAGACACATGGAGAACTTTTAACATGTTGACGTGAATCAAGCTCATATTAAAAAGTATGACATCGACGATCAGTCCGATCAGCCCGATCAGCCAAGAAGAAAGGTCTGCAGACTTCCAGTCGATATCATATTCTGACAAAAGATAATAATATCAGCCTCGAATAAAAATGATATGGAAATGAAAGGAGCGGATATCCAGAGCACTTTTCATCATAAATCACGTGAGCGTTTTGCCACGTGATCTATATTGCCTGAGGCTTCCAAAAGAGCATATTTTTCTCTCTGTGGGTAAACTTTCACAGGAATATATCTACTGATGGTTTAACCTTTATCAATTAATTGGATCCCAATTGTGCAATCGCCGACAACACGCATCTAGCTACCGAACAGCGCAACTTTAGGATGTTGGCTCTGGCGAGTCAAGCATACACGCAGCATATCAGACAAGTTTTCGTAAGCATAGATGCTCAATTCGGAGAAACAACCACGGTATGATTCTCGACACAGAGCAGGGGAAGGAGTGAGGTCTGAGGAACATGATCATACTCTTCAGAAAGTTCTTGAGAAGCTACCATTAAGTCCTCGATCAAGAGTTCAATTCCAAAAGGGTATTGCAATAACATTTGAAGCCTAGTGGGTTGATCGAAGTGATTGTTGGACTTAACAGTCTTCAACGTCATCCTCAGAGGCTAGATCCACCCCAACCCAATGGTCTTGAATCTTGAAATATATAATTAAACATATCGGCTGTCATCCCTCTACCAACTTACTCTCGTTGCGTCAACTCGAATTTCCGAAAACGAAAAGAAAATGACCCAACCGTCTCTATCCGAGGTCTACAAAACCTCATTAGGGCCTCGAAACTCGTTTCCTGTATCAAATAACTGCTGTACATTCCGTGTTGCCAAGGCCGTATTGTAAGACTGGTTTTAGTCGATAATCGGTGAGCAGTAACAGGCAGAGTATTTCATACTGATTTCAGGTGACAGGTAGGGCTACGTTTTTCATTTGATTTACAGTTTCCCTAGGGTATTATAGGGGTACTTCACGGCTGTTTTCTAGCCAGTCACCGTAATTATCAATCAATCAAACCATGATCTCTTCGATATCTAAGATCCACATTAAATAAATATACAAAACATTCGAGTTTATACCTGTGGGCTAGTATGATTGAGAGTGCTTCAAGGTAAGGAATGGTCCGAGAATTTCCTTGATCTTGGTCTATCTCGCAACAAAAAGAGGAGCTAGCGAGCTGCTCTGAAAGAATGCTCTATCCCTTTCCCATCCCTTCACTATAAGGTCCCTTTCAGCCGTTAAGCCTGACATAATCACTTCTAAAGAGGTCACCCTCAGTCCCTTCTAGAACCGCCTATTACACCAGCTAATTAGATAAACACCTATATAAATAGTAATCTAAACAACCATTTTGTCAATTAATATGTTATAACCATTAATAAGTCTTATTATAACAGTGTTAAGATTACTAAACGTCTTTTATTTATAGAGGTCATACATAATTTAATTATGATCATAGGATTAATAACTAAACTAAGTGAAGTCCCAGTTAATAATAAATAGCTCATTATTTTATCTATTAATAACAGCTCTTATCACCTAGCAATAAGAAGTAGAATACTAATATTAAAACATTTATTAGAAGAAAGTTTAAAATATGCAAATAAGATTAAAATTATAACTTACTTTTCTAATCAGAACTCTCTATATAAAAGATTATAACTATTATTATCTATATTAATAGCCTTTTAAATTTCTTTATTAAAACATCTTAGAAAGTGTCTAAAATCTTCTTATGATCCTTTAAAAGCTTAAGATAATTTTTAAGTATCTTAAGAACACTATCGTAAGTGAAAAGATACTTGATCTTCCATATGGAGTCATCCAGCCACATTCACGCCCGGAGAGTGGCTTGCTCTGGCGCCGAAGCCCAGATATGAAATGGTCGAAGCCAAAACCCCGGGTGGCGGGTTGATGGTGTCTGTGCTGGACGAGGGAAGAAGGTTGTGAGCATCTGCAGAGAGTACCATGGCCCTGAATCCGTCGTGACGGAGGATAGAGGATGTACAGTCCGGATGGCGAGAGAGATAGATAAGATGACAATAACAATGGCGATGACGAGTGAAAAGTGAGAAATGAGAAATGAGAAACAATTCGCTTCCTAGTATTCCCACACAGGGACGAAAACACCAGGAAACCTCACTAACCTGAAATAGCGCCCTCGCACGAAGCAGAAAGCATTCATCTAAGTCACTAAGCTTAATGGGAAGTGGTCGGCCGGTAACAGGCATGGCGATCATCGATGTCCGATCTACATGTGAGCTCGTTAGAGCTGTATATAGAGACTAGGGCATATTATTGGTATATAGTATTATATCCCCAGATTGCTTGCTCCTTAGCATCCCGGGGCAACCCGCGCCAATGACCACCTCTCATTTCAACTGCCGCATATTCGACCTCTCCTTACCAGCTGATGGCTGAATGATTACAGGGGTGATAGGAAAGGCGTTTTCATTGGCAATACGGAAAAGTTGGTTTTGGGACGGATATATACATATATACTAAATTGAGAGGTATTAAAAAAACGGTTTTTTGAAGCATCATCTTTTCTAACTTATAGTGTCTTGCAACTACGAGGCGTGGCAGTGAGCAAAACGAAAATGGAGCCTGTAACAGGCAGTAACACGCACCTATAGTTCAAAAGCTCCTAAATATGTATCTCCATGCATCCAAATTACTCCACTGGAGGCAGTCAGTACAACAGTGTTACAATGCCGCTCGTTGTCCGTGCTGTAGCAAGTTTGTCATCTTTTAGAGTTTACTAGTGTTAGGGTTATTGTAATAACGAAAGAACATTGAATGCTAAAGGCGTCTGTCAGCGCAAAACCTCACAATCATAGCTCTCCCTGAGGTTAAACCTAGACATTGGGAGAGTAGCACAAACAAGATATAAAAAGATGTCGGGTTCTAGCGTCAGCAATAACTGCTCTGTAAAGGAGAACTTGCAGGATGTCATTTTCCTTACATCATTCATATTCTTTCCTAGGGTCCCACATTCTTTGCTTTTATTGTTCAATTAATTCCAAACACTGAAGACTTTAAAGTGCGTATATTGTCACGTGATTAGTACACTGACTCATACACTAGTACAGATCGATTGATATGTGGTCGACAAATTAAGGTGAATAACATACCTTGAAATTTACTAGAATTGTCAGATATATCACTGAGTTAAAATAGCTCAATGGCAATATAAAGTTGACACAAACCCTTTTCTAAGATCTCAATGACTTCAAGTACAACCTACGTAATATCAAAATAAATTCTTACAACAAGACACTCCGTAATCTCATGGCAATTGAGCTGGATAATAAATAATCATGTTTCAAATGAAGTCTCTCCGAACGATATTCGGTATTTCACCATGTCTTCTGCGGAGAGAGCTACTAACCGCATTCTGTTGACCAACACTGCGCGATGACTCAGTACAGAACTTGCATGCAGACCGTTGTTTTCAGGGGTGTCATTAATGAAATGAGTCATCAACTACGCTTTATCCTAGAAACAGAACAGTTCTTGAACTACAATACATAAGCAGGAACTTTCATCCCAATACTTTGTTTTGGTGAGGATTCTCTTGTCTCCAACGAGTTGTCTTTTTCTTAAACTCGGGATTCAAGTATTTATTTCAAAAATTGGTCTATAAAATGCACAGTGTTAATAAGATGAGGTCCTCACTTGATCCTCATCGGAATTTCCGTACCGACCCTTCCACTAAAAAGGCCCAGGATGGCAACCGTATGTTAATCCATCTCATACAGCCCGTCCCAATTACCAGTCTCCCATCTACAATTATTGACGGCTTGAAGGAATTATTGAACGAAGCTCCGCACCCAGGAATCCATATGCCCACAATATTCCAGTCACGGATTTCCTGAGCAACGTTTCTCGGTTCCAGATCATCGACAGCACACTGCGTGAAGGTGAACAATTCGCCAATGCCTTCTTTTCAACAGAAAAAAAGATCGAAATCGCCAGAGCATTGGATGATTTCGGGGTGGACTATGTAAGTTCTTCATAAAGCTTCATGCTTGTGGTATAGAATCAATTAGTGATAACTTTGGCTTAGATCGAACTGACCAACCCTTGCGCCTCTGAACAGTCGAGAAAGGACTGTGAGGTTATTGCTAAACTTGGACTGCAGGCAAAGGTATTTTTAATCCTTACATAACTTGACCCGTTCATCGGCTGACGATTCATTGATAGATTCTCACCCACATTCGTTGTCACATGGAAGATGCCAAAATCGCAGTTGACACTGGAGTCGATGGTGTGTAGGTATCTTCCAACCTACCCTATCAACAGAAATTCAAGCTCTAATTGAACAATGCACAGCAACGTCGTAATCGGCGCATCTCCCCACCTCCGCGAACACTCCCACGGAAAAGATATCGCGCACATCAAGGAAACCGCCATCCAAGTCATCAAGTACATCAAGTCGCGGGGCATCGAAGTGCGCTTCTCGACCGAAGACTCCTTTCGGTCCGACCTCGTCGATGTTCTATCTATATACTCGGCCGTTGAGCAAATTGGGGTCAACCGAGTTGGAATTGCAGACACCGTAGGCTGTGCCTCTCCGCGACAGGTTTACCAACTGGTTCGCGTATTGAGGGTATTGTTGGGTGTGACATTGAAATGCATCTCCACGATGACTCGGGATGCGCGATCGCCAATGCGTATTGTGCGCTCGAAGCCGGCGCTACGCATATCGATACCTCTGTTCTAGGGATCGGCGAGCGCAACGGTATTACGCCGCTCGGCGGATTCCTAGCACGCATGACGTCGGTTGATGCTGCGTATTGCAAGGGGAAGTATAAGCTTGAGAAACTGCAGGATATCGAAGGGCTTGTTTCTGAGGCGGCTGGGATTAGTATTCCGTTCAACAACTATATCACCGGTTTCTGCGCCTTTCCAAGGCAGTATTCATGCAAATGGTGTAATCAGTAACCCGAGTACGTACGAGATCATCAATCCAGCGGATTGATTTCAAGATGGCTAGATACATGCCCTTTGCACCTCAGATCACTAGGTAGAATGCAATGAAGTCAAGACTTAAGGGCTGAGCAGCTAAAACTCGAAATATCTGATTCCCTATATAAAAAGTGTACTGCCAAGATCAAGATGCTGGCTGATATTCGACCAATTGCGGTAGACGATTCTGATTGTATTCTCCGCTCTTACTATCGTGGGCCAATCAAAGTGATCTTGATTAGATGTATATAAAGTATTCTAATCAGCGATTAGTGGGAAAAGTTAATATATACTGAGATTTGAATCCAAATTTAGTTCCTTCATTATGTAGTCATGTTATTTGCTGACATACAGCTAGAAAAAAAGTGAAAGAAAATTTTTTTTCATAATCTACTATACAATAATGATTCATAATAAATATAGCTTTACGGAGCTAATTCAACCCGCCGACCCATCTCTCGCCTGTTGAAACAATAATCATTATAACGAGTTATAGGTGATCACCTTTAGAATAAATACCAGCATTATCGGCCACTTAACGCGATAAGTAGTAAGAGATGCCGTCTAAACCATCTCGCCACCCAGCGGCTCGATGTCTAGCAGTCCGCTAGGCTGTATTATCGGTGCAACCATAATCAAACACACCAAGAACGCCATAATCATAATTACTCCTCAGCCGAGCTGTGACTTTTTCTGTCACTGGCACGGCCGTACGGATGATATCCAGGCTGCATCCTCACGCTACTCCCCATACACAGCCTATACAGCTCATCCACATAGCCAGCGCCTGGCCTTGCCTGCCCACCTTCAATAGTAACCGTCCTCCGCTCCACCGGATCAGAAGTAGTAGACGTGTTATCAAATGCCGCAGGCGACATGGTCGGCGAAGGGAGAGGGGTGATATTAGCCGTGCTCGTCATTTCCACCTCATCCAACCGAGCTACGTCAACTCTGACTTCCTTGCTAATGAAAATCTCATTGACAAAGGGATTCGAGATGGAGAGGTTGCCTGGCCTTTTTCGTGAGAGTTGGCGAACGAGGGACTCTTCCGACACCCCGCCTTGCAAGCGAGATTCGTGATTTTGTTGTTGATGGCTTCGTTTTGGGGTTGAGAAAGACCATGGAAGAAAGTTGTTTCGGTTTTTGGTTGGTTTAATCGACGATGCTCCGTCGTGGTTAGCCGTGGATTGGGCGGAATAAGAGGAGAACTCGCTATTCAGCTCTTTCATAAACCGCTCGCGCTCAGCGGCTCTATCATTGACTTGTTCCTGCACTCTGAATAATTTCAAGGGAATAAAAGCTAAGTCAGGTTCCGAGATACGTGTATCCAATGCAGATACCACACGGAAACAGAGCAAGACGCAGTAGTCGTTATCAGAGGATGATTGATGTCTGCGACAAGGCGCTAATAGTGGTTTCCCTGAAAATCGAACAGCAGGCGCTATATTCTTGGGTAATGAAGCGACAAGCTCCAAGATCGCTCTATAGAGGTGGTTTGCGAAAGTGTTCTTCGGTGAAATCTGTAGGCTTTCTGCGCTACTGATGCTGCTGTTGCGGCTACCTCCGCCCGTCAGAGGGGAGAGGTGTTTGAGACATGTAGTCAGTGAACAGTCATCCATTTGTGATATCAAATCCAGGTCGGCTTGTGTAAGGGATAGATTTGGGAGTGAGGAACTAGGTAAACCGATTGGGCTGCTCATTTTTGTGAGGACTTCGAAGTGTTCATGGACGGTGGGACGCAAGGCGAATGTGACCAGGTGTACACCAGGGGGATATCCCCTTTCAATGCGACAATACTCTCGCATTTCGTGTAGGTGAGCGGACAATTCGGTTGACGGTACATGAATGTGACTTGCCATTGTGGCTGTCACGCGCTCAATAGGAGCAAATCTAAAACCATTTGCCATAAATCGCGACGCCTCTTCTTGACTGCTTAGCTGGCGAACGGTGAACATGAGCTGACCTTTTCCAATCCGTGGAAGAGCAGGCCTGGATGATTCAGGTCGAAACCGAGAAACTTGGGTAGCGGTTGAGACAACTTCATTATACAGCTCACCGAGACTAGACAGGGGCTGACGTAGTTCGTCAGCGAGTTCCTGGGCTGACACGCAAAAGAATTGTTTAAAAAGATTGTCAAAACTAAAATGAAGGTTTTCATTGGTGTCCTGATTGGCACCGCGTTGGCGAATGAGACGGTCTATTTCGGTTTCGTTGTTTTGTAAAGTCCGTTTCATCGATGGAATAATGTCCTTGACAAGCGTCCAGTTACGAGAAGCCCTAAATGCCCATAGGAAAGCTGGGTGCGTGCGGCTAAAGTCATCATCCTTCATAGACTGTTTTCTTGTCAGACATGCTGTAGTTCAGGATTTTAGAGAAGATGAACCCACCCGGCCGATATATCGGTCAACAACTTTACGACTCGGCAGCAACGCTTGTGGTGTAACCATGATACGACCAGCGGGGTCGAAAATCACGCAAGATAAAACCAACTGCCTGGCCCGAGTCTTCGATCGACGTCGGTTGCCTCCAGCAACAATAGCGCAAATGGATAGTATGACACAAGAGGCAAAAGACTGCTCCGTCAGAACAGAAAGCCAAAGGCTCGGATTTCGATTAGAAACTCACCAATGCAGCACAAATAATCACAGTTTGATTTCTAGATAATTCACCACCAGCGCTTGTACCTGGCTGATGTCGATACGTCGTCCCCGCTGCAGCCGTCCAATGCATACCGGACACAGCACCTGCTAGGAACGCAGCGCAGACCATTCTACGCCACCAACTATTCGACCAGGTGGCCTTCCATCGAAAGAACACGGTCAGAGCTACCGTAGCCGAGGCGATGGCAATAATTGCTGCACCGACGATGTTCCCGACTGCATACGAACAGCGATAATTTGAGATACCAAGTTGCCCAATATAATGCATTGCACAGATAGCGCCGCCGGTCAGGAAACCGCCTGGAATGAGACGGATCGCCGAGGGCTTTTCTTCAGAGGAAATGGTGTAAAAGGCAGCGCAGAGCACGACGATGGGCAGAATGAGGGAGAACATAGTGAACGGGATATTGTAAGAGATCTGATCCTGGTCGGTGCCATTGCCGAGGAAAATAGCACGGTTACCGATAAAATGCATGCTCCAAATGCCAATTCCCCCCATGGCAAGCGACGAAGTTAGCAGCAAATACCTGTATTCCATTTCAGCACATGTGCGGGCTATATAGATGCAAGAGAACATACCAATTAAAGAGACCAGACCTAGATGTCCGTCGATGCAGCATTTCCAAGCATGTCGCCGAGCCCATGGCGCTGATAATGTAGGAAAGAGCGATGAAGCCTGCCGAGTAGGAGACAGGCATAGGCACGAGGCCGTTTTCCATCGCTTCTGACGGTGCTGCCATGCTGATACACCTTGGGAAGGAATATCATGCATAAGCAGAGAGGGGAAAATGAAGGAGAGTGCTAGTATTAGTATAATAATCATGTGCTAGCTCTGCATGTACTAAGCCTCGTTTGGTTGACCAGTTTCCATCTTTCCTGAAGATCGAGATCGATCCTTGCTCCTCTCCTCTCCGCGTGGGCAGACGCGAAAAAGGAGAATTCCTTAGTAACTAACGCCAACCTGCAGGATGTACGGAAGATGAGCGAAGCGATTTTGATCCCTGCAAGTAAAAAACTCTATTGTGGACCTGGATTGGGCTGGTCTGTTTCGATAGTGAGCACTCTGTAGAGAAGGTCCACGGAATCGTTCGATCGAACCTTGGTTCTTGCAAAGAGGCTGAGAAACATATCCACATTATGGTAGTGGGAAGCATTTTTTTGGAACTTAATCTACGGGAGAAAGACACGCATGAATCAGATAGGTGCCAACGCCGTGGGTTTCTGAGTGGATCGGATGGAGCAATGGCTAGCTCCAGGATCCTATGCAGGCCATAATCAATTGGCGTCGGTAGAATGCTCCAGGCTCAAGCCCAAGCAAGCCGGACCAGCCAGCCACTGTCTCGTCCTGGCCGAGGTCCGCCGGCTTGCGTGACTCCTGTTAGCATCGGATTGGTCTTAGCTAGCAGTAGACAAGCTCGTTAGGTAAGACATGCACGGCCAGCCCGTGTGAGAGTGAATATCACTAAAGTTTAACACGGCGGAATCGCGTATAATAACAAGATTTTTGTGCCTTGATGGAGCTGAGATCGGATCAGAAAAGTGGGGAGCCACATGGCTCGACGATTCTTGCATTGCTGGCCAATTATGATTGAGTTTGTCCTATTTCCGTGCGCCGAGATAGGATCAATAATAATCAACTGTGTACGTGGTTTCATTTGGTTGTTTTCTCTTGATGCATCACTCAGCCAGTTCCCTTTGCATAAACATGTGTACAGTGTGATCACGCCGCATGATAGGGGGCTGTTGGCCTGGCACCTTGTTTCATGAGCGGCGACCAGGCACCCTTGTCAATCCCCTCTAATGACATTAATGCCTCGCCTGCCACAAGCCAACCAGGCTTCTCAATTTTGGCGCTTGGTGTTAGTGGCGTAAAGGAAACTTTTACAACGGCTCGTCCTGCATAATATACTAGACTAATGGTTTGAAATTCATGCCTCGCCTTTCAATTGACCTGGCCAGTCAACAGTAAGTATATTGGTGTTATTTATGGAGAAAGCCAACCATGGGGAAGGAAGCCAATCTACAGGAGCTTCCTGGTGTTTTGTTATTGTGCGCAAACGCTCAAATCACATGACCTCGCCCGCTGCTACCTCGTCACGCCTAGCTACGTTTCAACTTTTACAATACACTCGCAATACAGACAAATCCATCGAATAATCCAGGTAAATTCATCAGGAATACAACATCAATGTCCAATTTAACAAAACCAGTTCTCTCATCCATTCTGAGATAATATTGGATAATATCGGATATAGTATGAGCAGAATTGAATATTCTCATTGGCCGGCACGGACTAATAGCAGCTCCGCCGCCGACCAGTGTTAGCCAATCGGAGGCGGCCCTCTCGCCGCCTCAGTTTTTTTCTTCTGCGACTTTACAACAGTCCAGCGTTCTGAAATGAGCAAAAGAGCGAGCCCATCTTCACCATGCGCTCCCTGACAGAACAAGAGCTGCGCTCCGTGCTCGAGAAGCTGACCGTCTACGTTTCCTCGTCCGTGAAAGAGCTGCTCACCAACCTCGACGGCGCCTCGTCAAAACCCGACCGCTATGTTTTTCGTCTCTCGCAAGGCCGCGTTTACTACCTCCGTCTTTCCCTCGCAAACCTAGCCACCTCCATCTCGCGCGACAATCTGCTTGCTTGCGGCACATGTCTTGGTAAGTCCATCACCCTTATGTTAACTCGAAGCACCCGCTTATCTCGCTGTGTACAGGCCGCTTCACAAAATCCGGTAAATTCCGGCTACACATCACCGCGCTCTCCATCATCGCACCATTGGCACGACACAAGGTGTTCCTTCGATCCAACGGCGTTATGCCGTTCTTGTACGGCGGGCACGTGGCCAAGGCACACACGCAGCGCTGGCCACAAGACTGCCACGAGTACGACGGAATGATTGTTTTCGATAGCAACGAGATGCCGCTAGGCTTCGGCATTGCAGCGAAGAGCTCGGCAGCCGTGCAGCGGTTAGGGCCTGCTGAGACGGTGTGTATTAATCAGGCGGATTGCGGCCAGTATTTGCGCGATGAGGAGACGCTGTTTGCTGCATAGATAGATACCCCTACTCCCACGCCATGGATGATGTGGGTTGATGTTTTGTTGTGTTGTTATGGAGGTTTATATGTTTATATGCTGGATGAGCATGTTACGATTGTCTGCCACTTCATAAAATGGGTGTTTTAGGGTTTAATAGGCTAGGTCGGCGCTTGAGGATATCAATGATGTTCTGATAGATTATTCACTGACAAGACCATTATATTTCCTGCGCAGCCGATATGCTTTCCAGGATCTGAGTCCTACGCTAATCAGAGACCGTCAATAATGGCATTATTACACAATGGTATTGTGTTATTGCGTTACACTTGAGACATGCTGGTGGCGCTCCACATTGTTCTCAACGGATCGAGATACCCTTTCGGGAAAGCGATCCGCACGCCACAGCAGTCTACTTTAGTGCCAACATGGCTTATCTTAAGATTCAATGGCCGCTTGTCATTGTACTAGTAACTAGCAAAATTGTACTTGCTTGAAGAGAATTCAATTCAAGGGCTTGTCTTGTTTCAATGTTAATATTGGAATAGAATGAACTTTTTGAGTTGCAATAATAACAATTTCACGCTGCCCAATACATCAGCGTCAGCATGTTTGAGTACGCTATTAAGCAATAGTCATAGCTTATTTTCATATCCAGGCATTAATCAAATCAAAATTTACTGTGCTTTTTGTCAATTTTATATCTACAGAGCGTCCGTCACGCAGCCGTGACTGGCATCGCCAACGAGTCTATCGAACTCAAGATTAGCATAATTCTGGATTTAAGCTGAGGTGTGTGGGAGTGCGTACTTGGCATATTTTCCCAATGTTCCTCTCAATGTCAAGCCTGTAGGCGGTAATTTGCCGGCAATGCGGTCGGCATCCCATTGCTTACGACGCGAGGCCAACTCCTCATCGCCAACGTGTAGATCCAAAACACGGCTCTCGGCGTCAATAGTAATATCGTCGCCGTCCTTGACAAGACCGATAGGTCCCCCCACGGCGGCCTCGGGCACAATGTGGCCGATTAAGAAGCCGTGAGAGCCACCGGAGAAGCGTCCGTCGGTGATAAGGGCGCAGGAAGATCCCAGGCCGGCACCCATCAGGGCAGAAGATGGTTTCAACATTTCTGTGTGTTTGGTCAGTAATTATCTTCAAGATAAGAAGTAGCACAAACCAGGCATTCCGGGGCCACCTTTGGGACCACAGTAGCGGATGACAACAACGGTCTTTTCTTCCTTCTTAATCTCCTTGCGCTCAAGAGCAGCAACAAAGTCATCCTCGTCGTCGAAAACACGTGCCTTGCCCTTGAAGACGGTGCCTTCCTTTCCGGTAATCTTCCCAACACAACCCTCCGGAGCCAGACTACCGCGCAGAATTTGAATGTGGCCGGTGCTTTTGATCGGATCTGACAAGGGGCGGATGATCTTCTGATCGTCGGGGAATCCCGGTGCTTTCTCTACATTCTCCGCAAGCGTCTTTCCGGTGACAGTGATGCAGGAGCCATCAATCAAGCCTTCTTTCAGCATGAATTTGATCAGAGCAGGAGTACCACCAATGTTGTACAAGTCGTTGAACACATATTTGCCAGACGGCTTAAGATCGGCAAGGTAAGGTGTACGGTCAGAAACAGATTGGAAATCATCAATAGTCAATTTGATTCCGACAGAGTCAGCGATGGCAATCAGATGGAGCACCGCGTTAGTCGAACCTCCTGTGACGTTGACGAGAATCATAGCGTTTTCGAAAGCTTGACGCGTCAGGATATCCGATGGGCGGATATCCTCGGCAAGAAGATTCTTGATAGCTGCACCAGCGGCCAAACATTCAAGTTCCTTGGCCCTGGAATCGGCCGGGTTGGAAGAGGAACCTGGAAGGGTCATGCCCATAATCTCAATAGCACTCGCCATAGTATTCGCGGTATACATTCCACCGCAAGCTCCCTGGCCCGGGCAAGCATGGCGAATTATATCAAAGCGCTTCTCTTCGTTAATTTCACCGCTCAAGAATTGCCCGTAAGCCTGGAAGGCTGACACAATATCAATGTCAGCATTGTTCTGTGTGGCAGCACAGCCGGGCTTAATAGATCCTCCGTAAACCATGATACTAGGCCGATTGAATCGTCCCATAGCCATCAACACACCAGGCATGTTCTTGTCACAGCCAGGAATGCTAATATTTGCATCGTACCACTGGCCACCCATGACAGTCTCTATCGAGTCGGCAATCAAGTCTCGGCTCTGCAGCGAGAAACGCATTCCTTTGGTGCCCATGCTAATTCCGTCACTAACACCAACAGTGTTGAATTGATAGGGAATCAGTCCTGCCTTCTGCACACCCTCCTTCACAATATTGTTGAGCTGCAGCAGATGCATGTTGCACGGATTTCCAGTCAGCCACACCGACGAGATTCCCACTTGTGCTGTATTCATGTCTTCTTCGGACAGGCCGGTAGCGTAAAGCATGGCCTGGGAGGCACCTTGCGAGATTGGCTGAGTGATATTCCGCGAGACTTTGTTGAGTGCGTTATCTTTATGGCGTGGGAGAGTGGTAGAAAGGGAGCGGCTGTAAATGAAATATCAGTTAGATATACCACTTGTTTCGATTTGCTTCACTCACGAGGCCAGCGAGGCATTCTGAACAGCTCGAATCGCCGAGGGTATCCGCCCTCGAGTCTGTGACAAAAACATTTTGGTGGCTCTGGAGATTGAGCAGAGGTTGCGAGCCTCTAGTAACACGCTAGAAGACTTCTCGCGGTCGTAATAATTCCTCTGTCTTCTTTGCGCTCAGCAAGTTGTTGATACTCGAGCTCAATGGTGTGGACAGTGGAAAGGTCAAAGTCTTGAAGATGACGGAGAGTGCGGCCAGCCCTCCGTTCGGGGAGGAAGGTGCAAACTCCGGGCCCCGCTAGAGCTGGAGCTGGCCAATCACCGCCCTGCATATGTCATCGCACATCACATGATGTTACAATATAATATACAATCTATAGTATACAGTATACAGCTATCTAAGTATAAAATCAAATTACAATATAGGCTAACACCAAGCTTATACTCTTAGATGTTGAATGTTTATAATTAGATAATTTTTTTGTTATTCATACATCAATATTAGTATATCTAACAATACATACACGTACAGATATATTTAAGAAAAACAAATATTATCAATTTCTTGGCAATAAAAAGATATAATACATACTAAGTTACAACGAGACTACGATTGTTTTGAGCAGGGCATTGAATCAGTATTATGCACCAAAACATTAACGTCCCTTAACATTCGCCGCCAGTTACAGGACCTTCCATACAGTCTTGGCACGATATTTTTAAATTAATATATACGTGTGGAAATTGAGGTAAGAATATGAAGGCTCCATGTCAATGTCCCTAATAACTAGCGTTTAGTAACAAGTTTATTGGAATTCTTGCTTAATCAACCTCTTGTAAGTCATATCACCACGCCACAGTCAGACTACTTGGGGAAGCACAAAGGAGGGACGGTAGATATTTAACAAATGATGATTCCAAGAGGAACTTCAAGGAGTTAACTCACCCAGACCACACATGCTTTCAAGCAGAGAGACTAACATTTGTTAAGTACTTACCTGGCGAGGCCAACATGGACCAATGGGAATCCTGTCGCATTTAGTTGATTACATATACAAATAGTTAGTGGTACACTTCCCCAGTTTGTCACGGCAATGCAAGGCCACAAAGTAGAGGATCTCAGAAACTCCAGTGGCTAAGCTCGCTAGTTGTGGGAAAGGAGAAGAACATAAATGCAATAACGAAGAAGAAGAACAAGAAGAAGAAGTGACTCCATTATCTTTATGATGAGCTTCCCCCTGCTTAGTTTTAGTTCTTCAGAGTTCGTTTTGCTCATGAATTGACTCCTGTTCTTGATCTCTCGCCTTGAAACTGTAATAGGCGGTTGGGTATCCGATTATTTTATAGGTGTCAATATAGTTCAGAATTGAACAGCCCTCAGAATTGCTGGTCGAGGACAAATCTGCGGCCAATGTACTGAGGAAACTGTCGTCAATTTCGAAGAATTCATCTAATTGGCCAGACTTTCACGCGGAGGGGGTTGATCGATCACATGTTTGATCAAATCCGTTAACTAAGCCCACTCATCCAGAGTTTGATTTGACTCACCATATATATGTTGGTGTATTCGCTTCATTAAGGTTTTATTCGTCAGGATGGCATTTCGTCCCGAAAATATTCCTCTAGTTGCCCGAAGATTTTGGACTTCTGACGAGCTACCTTCATTTTGTTCTAACACTCTGGCTTGTCCACTGTCTGGGGGACATTGTCAAGTCTACAAGCTTGGATTTTCCGATCAGACTACCTGGGCTGTGCGAATTCCAATACATGCAAGAAATGCCCCTAAAGAGGTCGTCACATCTGAACTCCAATGCAAAATAGAAGTTCTGGAACTTCTCGATGCCAGCGGATTCAAGTGGGCTCCAAAACTTATCGGTCACGACCTGAGCTATGATAATGAAGTTGGCTTTCCGCTCATTGTTTACTCGTGGGTATCAGGTGATCCATTGAAATGGAACGATGCTGCGCCTTTGCACCGATGTGACCGCGACAAAGTCTTACGACAGGTAATCCAGATTATACTGCAGCTAATTCAATGTACAAAAGCCAAAAGTAAGAACACAATGCGATTAAATATTATTTAAATACTTACAATACTAGAGGGACCTACGCTTGATTTCCTTACAGATGCCGTGGACCGAAAATTCATTCGAGTTTTTCGGAATCAGTTACCGGGAATTTCACTAGAGGATTGCCTGGCACTTCGAGCATCACTCCCCGAGGTTGTGCATGGGGAATTAGACGATGCACCGTTCCTCATTTCTCATGGTGATCTATCGAGTAATAACATTCTAGTAGATAACGATTATAACATTACTGGGTAAGAGGTTACGAGCCTTAAGAGAAATAGCTACTTATACTTTCTAGGATCATTGATTGGGGCTTTGCGACATATCAACCTTTCCCACTCGCTGGAGGTCTTCCGCGATTTCTCGTCATGGAAACTGAAGAAAGTTTGATCCCCTCATCAGTTACCCAGCAAGATCGAAGAAGCCTGGTCACGCATCTCAGTCAATGTAGTTGTGAATACGCGCCATTACTGGCTCTTATGTATGGTGCAGCGGACGCGGACTACCGGTGGATGGTGCTGGAAGCAGTTTTCAGTAAAGGGACTCACAAATGGTTAGCTGATTGCATGTGGTTCAAGAGTGGCTCCACTTCCCGGATTGACCGTGAAATTTTGGAACGCGAAATGGAAGCTTTTCTAAGTGGTCGTGTAAATCTGGGAGCGAATCTCACAAGAGAGCAGGTTTGTCAATGTCTGCCATGGATGAAAGCGAGGGATGTTCAACATTTAAGATTTGAACAGTCCGCCTGACTGAAGCATGAGGAAGAAATTGGTCCAATCTTTGTCCTCTTGTGTTGCGAATATAACCTCTGTCTGGTGGCCTTGTGAATGATATCCGAATTGCCAACCGAGTGATCATTGAATGTGATTGGCTGGTTAGATAGATGATAGGGCGCTAGCTTCAAAAGCCTAGTGTGAGGCTACTTCAACTCTGGAACGGGTCCTCAATCCTGCACTTTCATTGGTCGCCCTGAAGCAAATTTACTCTTTGATGTCGCTACTCCCGAGCTTCAATTGCTCATCAATATAGTGAGCTTTGCGATGTTAGGTCTTTACGACTATATGCGCGTGGTAGTCATCATGCTGGAGTCGGCATTAGCCCGTGTCCGCAGCGAACACAATGTGAGATGCTGGAGATACAAACTGTTAAGTGAAGTGCACGGAAGCAAATTCATACTGTTACTGGGGTAGAAGTACGGAAACTTGATATCCGAATGAGTCGATTTATCACGTGATCGACATTTTCCTCCTGGCATCGCCGATATCCTTGAAGAACATCCAGGTATTGAATCTTTCACGCTATCACTTGTCCAGCTCTAGTACACTTCTGTTCTCTTAGAGGTTATAACAACATGGCGTCGCCGTCTAGACATGATTATCAGTTTGGAGGACCGTTAGTGACCCTGAATCCATTAAAGTCTGATAACATTGCTAAAATGATCTTCAGGTTAGGTGCACTTGCCCTCAGCACTCTGCTTCCACTTCTCCTTTATCTGTCATTCCTCACCTGCAACGACAAATCGGGATGCCCAGCTCCAGCTCTCTTGGACCTGCATACACTTTCTTGGCAGAAATTGCGAGCCCAAATACCGTGGCATGAGGACGGTATCAAGGGCCTTGCTAACTGGAAGGTCACCTGCTGGGTGGCTGCTTATTATCTATTCAGTTTGCTTCTTTATCGAATTCTTCCAGCCCAAAAAGTGCACGGCACAAAGCTGCGTGGGTTCGAAAGGCCCCTTGAGTACCGATTTAACGGTAAACTATTGGCGCCTTGGCTACGAATTTGACGTAGTAAGCTAACATCTAAAATAGCATTCAGTGCAACTGTTGTGCAGCTGTTCATTGTGATCATCGGCACGTGGCTTCACGGTGCAAATTTTACTGTTTGGACATTCATCGATAATAACTATGTGCAAATCTTGACAGCTAACCTGATCCTCGCCTATGCGATCGCTTCATTCGTTTATATACGCAGTTTTGGTGTGAAACCCGGCAACAGTAAGATGCGACAGCTTGCTCAAGGAGGTTGCACTGGTAACATGATATACGATTGGTTTATTGGACGCGAACTCAATCCCCGCCTCACAGTTCCTTTCATTGGCGAAGTTGATATCAAGGCTGCCCTGATGATGCGACCTGGTTTGACTGGTTGGCTCTTGCTTGACCTTGCTTTCTTGGCAAAGCAATACCGCCTGTACGGCTATGTCTCTGATAGTATTGTTTTCACTACTATCATACAAAGCTATTACGTGCTTGAAGGACAATACGCGGAGGCCGGTATCGTCAGTATGATGGATATCACAACCGACGGCCTTGGTTTTATGCTTACCTTCGGTGATATTGTCTGGGTTCCGTTTTTGTATTCGACTCAGTGCCGTTACCTATCTGTCTATCCGGTTCATCTAGGATGGCTACGCCTGGCCACCGTAAGTATTGTGTTTGCTCTCGGGTTGTATATTTTCCGTGCATCCAATGCTCAAAAAATCGCCTTCCGCACCAATCCAGATCACCCTCGCTTCGTGGGCCTGCCTTATATACAGACCAAGAAAGGTACGCGATTGCTCGTGGGTGGATGGTGGGGCATGGCTCGTCATATCAATTACTTTGGGGACTGGTTGCAGGCAATTCCATTCAGTCTGCCAACGGGCCTGGCCGGGTATGTTATTCTCACGGCTAACAGTGTCGTTCCAAATACTACAAATGCGACGCACATGACGGATGGCCGAGTTGTAGTTCAGGGTGATGCTAGAGGTTGGGGCACTATATACACTTATCTATACGTTGTATACTTTGCCGTTTTACTCATCCACCGAGAGAGGCGGGATAGCGCTGCATGTGCTGAGAAGTATGGCGAAGACTGGGATGAGTATAAGAGGACTGTTCCGTGGAGAATCCTACCCGGTGTCTATTAAATAAAAGTGCATTTCAGCAAACAACTAGACAAAACAACTAGACATGGTAAATATACCGATATTTGTCATGGTTTGGAGAGGACACGACTGGTGTCTCAAATAAAATATATGAAACATGCGATCCACGTGTGCGTTAGATCATACCCAGAAGATTCTCAAAATAGCCAAAAGATCTCTGCACCACTGATGATGCTCGGGTCCTCAAGCGCCATTGCTTGGTTGGTCAATGATGGCGTTGCGGTCGATATCCAGGAACCTGAAGATACTCCTTGGGAAAGAGCGTAATTATGAGATATAAGTATCATCTGCTGCTTTGAATGCATATGTGAAGGGAGGCTAGTGCCGCAAGAGGTTCGGCATCGAATCCTTTGTGCTCATGAGTTTCGCAACGGGTCTAATTCTAGGTGAAGGGTGTTTAGCCTGTCACACTTCGTGTGGGAATGTTAGCGAATTTGCAATATTAATATTGTGATGCACTCTGCCCAGGAGACTAAATTTAAGACAATAGGTATCAGGTCAATGGATCTCCTCTTGAAAATTATACTTTTTGATCTTGGCATCGATCCATAACATATCTTCAAAATCATAAAGGCATCTCTAAATACAACATTGAATGCCCCTAATCTCCATCTCAACAACCTAGTGGTAGGCAACGCTGAAAATCTTGAACTTGACGAAGGACGAAAGGTCCCCTAGGATGCTGGTCCATATGTCGTCGTTGTCTGTGGGATGCAGGGTGTAGGTGGCACCGTTGGCCGTGTACTTGAAGGTGAAGGCCTGCGCGTGCTTGACGTCCGAGGTAAGCCAGCCTAGGGGATTGGCAGCGATGTAGGTCTTATCCAATGCAGACTGGATGTAGAAAGAGGTGGGAACAGCAGCGTCATCAGCCGCGTGGATGATCCAGCGCTGGCGGATGTCCTCGTGAGCGGCGGTGGCGGGTAACAGAATAACGATGCCGTCGACGTTGGTCAAGGAGAAGTGTGCGGTCTCAAAGACCAGATAGCGGCCCTCCGATAGCTGACCGCGGACCCGCTTAAAGCCCTCCTCAACAAGGAGGCTCATGTTCTGGTTGGTGTTTGCGGGCCCGAAGGGGATAGCCGGTTGGTTGTTGGGGTACTCAGACAAGCACAACGAAGGCTGAGCCCACGGGCCGGTGTTGGAGCCAAGAGTGGAAATATTGCCGCTGAAGTCGGACGGCTGGATGGGGAGCGTGGGGGGCTCGGGGACTGGGGAAATGTAGGGCTTGGTGAAGTTGGGCTGTCACAACATTAATATGGAATCAACAACAACAACAAGCGCCTAGCAGCATGAGAAAGAGTTATGGGCAAGCACTGTACTTACGTTCTCGAAGTCAAAGGCGTTCACTAGGTTGGACATGGTGGCACGACGCCACGGGGTGATCTCCTGGCTGTGGACACCCTTGTAGCCCTGGGCAGCAGCCCACGCCTCAGCGAACATGATATCGGAAGTGTGGTCGGTCAACTCAGTGAATACGTTACCACCCGTGGTGTACGGCGAGACAATGACACGCGGAACACGGGGACCTGACTGTCATTAGCAAAGGGCTAAGAGTGGACAACGCAACACAATGAATAAAGACAGAAGAGCATGGTGTTTACTTACCGGGCCCAAGGGCAGTGTAGTAATCCGGATCAGACGATGTGTACGGGTCAATGAGCCATTCACCAGGAGTTCCCTTTGGAGCAACGACGGGCGGCACGTGGTCGAACCAGCCTCCCTGCTCTATAACATATTATCAGCCTCTATCTGTGAAATAAAGTTTGTGTGTGAAACGGTGCGTGATGCCTTACCATCGTAGCTGATAACCAAAACGGTCTCGTTGTAGAGGGGGCTGTCCACCACAGCCTCTACAATTTGCTGTTGGAGCCAGGCACCGTCCACGGGACGATTAGGCGGATGCTCAGATAGCTCCGCCGGACCAATAATCCAGCTGACAGCCGGCAAAGTTCCCTCGGCAGCGGCCTTGGTGAATGCCTGCAAGCCAAGGTATGAGTCACCCTTCTCCTTGAGCGCCGAGCCATTGGCGGCGTACAGGTATTGCTCAAAGTAGGCAAGTGGGTTGTCCTCGAAGTTATCCAGGTCCTGGTACACCTGCCACGAGATACCAGCGTCCTGGAGGTACTCAGGGAACGTCTTCCACTGGAAAGGAAAGCAGTTGGCCTTGACTGGGTACGTAATATCACAGCCTATTCTCCGAGACGAACATTAGTCCTGACCTTTCTTTTCCATTAAACTATAACTCACCTGGCGTGATAGTATTATCAAGCATGGCACCACCGTCGCTGTCAGGGTTCGATGGCGATCCCGGCGAGTTGACAGAGCCGCTCATCCACATACAACGGTTTGGGTCAGTCGGCCCCATGATGGACTGGTGGTTCATGTCCAAAATGGTGAAGCTATCCATGATATCGAAATGGGTGGGCAGTTCCTTGCGAGTAAAGTAGGCCATGCTGTAGAGGGTATCGGCATGTGTCCAGTTGTTGTAGGCGCCATTGGACCAGGCGCCGTGCATGGCAACCCAGCCGTTGCTCCCGGCATCCATGCACTGCGTCGCATTTGAATAATCGCCACCAGCGTAATTAATATACCAAGGCGTCAAGATGGAGCTGCCGTCCACAGCGGGGTTGACGGGTCTAAAACGGAGGCAAGCTCCAACATTAGCTATTGCATAGCCTGCGTGTATATCTTAAGATATGCCTACTGTTGAAATGTCGTGAGGTTATTCTCAGAGACGGGAACGTTAGGGTCAGCGAAACCGCGCACACCGGCCATGGTGCCATAGTACTATCAACGTCAACAACGGACCAGGGCAAAAACAGCGAAGGCTGCATTACATGGTCGAAGCCTCTGTTCTCCTGCATGAAGAAGACGAGGTGCTTGATGTCCTTGAGCGAGGCGGCTGACACAGCAGTGGCCGCAGCAGCGAAGGCTGCCATGTAGGAGCCGGCGGTACGCATCTTGAGCTCTTCTAGGTCGATAGAGGTGTTAAAGCTTGGAAAGGACCGAGCAAACAATCATCCGCATCCATCTGGGTATATATTATATGCGCATCTAGCGGGCGCCATCAGAATAGTCACCTAGATGAGGTTGGAGCACGTGGGTAAGCAGGTTAGATTCTAAAAACGATCTAATACGACAATCGGTATGGTGGTTGGTTTAATGAGGCAGGTGGTGGAGCGTGTACGTGATTTCACACTGCCGATAGGTCGTACACATCAACCTTGATGGCGAGGAGACAATAAAATAAGCTAAAATAAGCCTTTTGGTGGTCTTGTCAAGGCGGACCTAGGCGATCCATACAGAACACGGCAGGTCTTCACGTGCCCGTCTCTTGACACGTCACACCCGAGTGTTCCGAATGGTGTAACGTTATATCAGTGTTGTTATTGTTCTTCTTTTCCTTGTTGTTATCGTTGTTGTTGGCTTACCCCTGTCGGTTCGGGCAGCGTGCCGTTGCTTATCGACGTGGAGCAGGCCAATCATTCCACCACATGGGCGCTAGATCAACAACTTCTCCGCGCTACTACATGTCTTAATTTAATATTATTCACTTCCCCACATCTGTACCTGTGTGAAATCGGCACGAACAGCGAAAGAAAAAAAATTCGATGGAAGACGTGAAGCAGAATTGAAATTGTGGCCATGATCAGAAGCGAGAGCTTACGACAATGTTGAAACCGTCGCTGGACAGACATGGGCGATGGTTCTCTCTCTCTTGCTCCGCCGTGCTCCTAGCTACTGTCTGCGGCGTATACATCTATCTCTATTACCGTCATTATACGTCTATCGCAGCAGTCGGCGGTGTGTCAATAGGCCTCCTTCGGCCCGTGCCTAACGCCAACAACGACACTCATACTAATGCATGGGATCCTACTGTGCAAGATGGTGTGGATGATGGATCTATATTACTGCACCCAGAGCAGCATGTCTTTCGCGATCCCACCACAATTCACATGACATGGAACGTCACGCTGGAGCCGCGAGCGCCGGATGGTGTTACGAAACCGGTGTACCTCATCAATGGTAAGAAGACAGCTGAATATGAAAGACAGACCGCTTATCAGCAAGCCAGGACGATTTCCCGGTCCTACAATTGAGGCACGGCCAGGCGACGAACTTGTCATCGATGTATATAATTCTGTTGCCAAGGAAGAAGGCATTTCCATCCATTGGCACGGCTTATCTATGAAGGGTAAGCAAATACATATCCAAAGATGAGGGAGCACGGCTTCCAGCACAGCCCAACACAGCTGACTTGGCAATGTCCTGGCGAGAAGGGACCATCGAGATGGACGGAGTCGTCGGCGTGAGTCAGTGTGCAATTGGCCCATTCGAGAGTTACACATATCGCTTTCGCATCGAGACCAACCAATTTGGCACATTCTGGCACGTAGCTTTTCTCCCAGAAGCCTAAGCTTGATCAACGGCACCTAATATGTGCATAGGTATCATGCCCATTCCGGTGTCCAGCGCGCCGATGGGCTGTACGGTGGGCTTGTGGTCCATGAGCCCGCCGGCAATACTAGCCGAGACCAACGGTCAGAACATCTGCTCCTTATAGGTGACTGGTATCATCGGCAAGCAGACGCCGTTTTTGAGTGGTATCACAATCCAGGCCACTTTGGGTATGAGGTATGGAAGGTTTCCTTACCTTAGCTATGGGACTACAAACTAACACAGCATGCAGCCTGCGCCCGACTCACTTCTCATTAACGGGAAAGGCTCTTACAACTGCTCAATGGCTGTTAAAGCACATCCAGTGGAATGCAGCCTGATTGAGAAGCCAATAGTGACCTTTGCACAAAGTGATCGTATTCTATTACGAGTTGTTAATACTGGGTTAGTCCCTCCTCTGCTGCTGTTGATATTTATGTCTTGATTAACTCGGACGCATTTGTCATGCTAGAGCTTCAGCCGGATTCTCATTCTCACTTGGACAGGCGCCCATGACGGTCATTGCAGTCGATGGTGGAAATCCTGTAGGACCAGATACCCCAAGCTCAACTTTGATTGGCTTACTGTATGCTGGAGAACGAATGGATATTCTTGTTGAACATCCAAGAGACTCCGGAATAGCAAGTAGCTCTGAGATGAAGGGAGAACCCGGAGCAGAACTGAGCCTGACAATCGGTCTCGATTTAGAGTACGTTTACGCATTCCAGGAATGGTATAGCCTTGCTAACTTACCACTAAACTAGGAACTTCCACTTGACGAACTTCGCCCTTACACCGAAACAATCTTTTCCTGTGCTGTGGCGAGGTAAAAGCGAGGAAGTCCAGAAAGATGCTCACCAGCAGGATGCCACGGGATCCGTCACACAGTTCAATCTCGCACAACTATCAGGCGGCCCCGTCGCGGCGGACGTTGCTCAGAAACCTACAGACAAGGCGGTTGTGTACACAGCAATGTCAATCCGATCGGCAAGCGGCCTTCGACCGGTCGGCGCAGTGAATCGTACTGCCTGGTTAATTGCTGACCCCAGAGCACCGCCACTTCTTGCTCTGAACCGGAGCGACTGGGAGCGTGTAACAAAGCAGCCTGGACCAGTCTGGACTCTAGATGTCCCTCAGTACCAGTCTGGGGAGAATAAGTGGATGGAGCTTGTAGTGAACAATCCGGATAATCAGGGACATGTATTCCACTTGGTAAGCACAAGTTCCCTGTCAAGGAGTATACGTTTGCATCTAAAAAACGGGTAAACAGCATGGATATGACTTTTATGTTGTGTCAAAGTTCCAACAAACCCAACTGGGCTTCCCTGGAACATACAACCCCTTTGACTTGGCGAGTGCTCCACCTGGTGGGCCAATAAATACACTCAACCCCCTTCGCAAAGACACCGTGTACATCCCAAGAAATGGGTACGTTGTGCTGCGCTTCCCGTTAGCAAATGACGGGTTGTGGCTACTGCATTGTCACACTTTATGGCACTTGGCGTCGGGCATGGGCATGGTAATTCAGATCGGCGAGATTGGCGAAGATATCAGACAGAGGGCCGCCGCACTATGCTCAACATGAGCAGAACATCCTTCTTCCCCAAACCCTCAAAAACGGCCAGGCTGGTCGTTTGCAAAGGATGCGCACGTTGTTTAGTTCCAAACACACCATGTGCTTACAGCTGAACGAAAACCACCATCAAATAGGACTCCCCCACATATCTATTGGCATCACTTTTCCTGAGCCGAGAAGTTTGTAATGCGCCGATCAGGGGGGCCGAAAGTGGCCTCGTGGATTCGACCAAAGTCGATACTATACCATCCCACTGCCGCCTCATCCAGACAATGATCAAGGCCATCGTTATCGACCTCCAGGTATCCCGTCATCATTGCTACCCAGCACTTCAGATGCCCCGCCTACGGAGAAAATATCAGCATCGGTGTCTGCTTTTATTTCATCGACCGCAGCCTTAACAAAGCTTTCACCCAATGCCTGCTCCAGCGAGTAGTGTAAATTGCCGTAGGTATCGAATTCCTTTGTTGTCGTTGTATATCTTATTTCGTTCGAATGCCGGGGAATATCTTCTAACGGTACGTGGGTGAAGGAGTTCGGAAACAGATACAGCTGCATATCTTCTTCTCCTGGATCACCACGGGGATAATCAAATACTGCAATATACCGACCCAAGCGTTTGTAGCCAGCGTTTATTTCCTCCAACGTCTGTTAGGGGTTTGGAGGGTCCTTCATAACCTCGGGAGGAGGAGTGCGATTTGGAACCGTTCGGACGAATCCCACTCTCGAGGTTTTTAATGGCGGCTGCGTAGTCGTCGTCTTGCACCACAACCATGGAGAGCTACAGGTATAGGAATATGGTTAGATCTAGATAGATAGTTATCCAAACAACACAAGAAAATATATCAATATTAAAGGCTTACCAGCACATCAGTCTAATACCAGTAGACCTACACGCGCAGCTAAATAGTCATAAGCAACACACTAAAACACAGCAATGGTAAAACTTTACTAACGCATCAACATCAATAATGTTATCTAGCCTCATGAGAGAGATACATCTGCTAGATGGTATCAATTACTATCAATATCTACGTTGAATTACATGTATTTATCTGCTACACTCTCAATTAGGGTGGAACGCACCTTTTATATAATAAGACATTGCACTTCATACAACACATCGCTGATGGTATGATACATATCCAAATTGCAATTTAGTATTATTATGGTAGTAAATCATTCAAGAACCCTATCTCCCGCTATTGAGCATAGATAAAACATAAAGAATATATTTAAAATAAATTACAGTGTCTAGCTAATTATTAATATTATTTTTCAGTTATATCTTCCGACTACTGTCAGCCAGTTCATCTCGACATCCATGATATAATGGTTCATAACCCCAATTTCTAACAATTATACGTTTTCTTTTTGAGCAGTAAATGGGTCCTTAAATGGATCAATGAATAGTACTGCTGCGGCCTGATTTTGAGTGCCATTCCATTGATGGGATGCTAACCGACATATCTTGGCGCATTCTAGTTAGCACCACTTGTAGTATGCCTCTATCCCCTCAGGATAACTACCTCCTTGCAGAGAGCCATTGTTGACCCGACAATCTCAACATATTCTAGCGATTCGATTAGGTTATTTATGGTTTTCTCATATTTCACTTCCTCATCAAGGTACCAGCCGTGTTGCTTCCACATGACCGAATACATGGTGAGAGTTTTATTTCAGTTTTCTTGAACTTTGACGCAACCAGGATCGTCTTAGAGAGCGAATTAGTACGCATAATTATGATAATGCGATCTGGTTTGGCTTGTTTTAGGCCGTTATTGCACCTGAAAGAGACCAAAGTAATACATCCAGGCAATATTTAGACAAGTATAACAATTCTTGAGGGAGAGGTCCCTAGTGCACCCGTCATAGCCGGAGATCAAGATGAAATCCAGTTATATTGACTTGTTATGCAATTCGGGGGAAAGCTATTATGGCTAGGATCGTGAGCAGTAATAGAGATGCCATTTATACGCTTCCATCTAGGAAATGATTGGTTCTGAACACTGAAACGAATTTATTCTCCTTGATTGTGCAGCTCGGCCTCGTGGTTCATTCTTGCTGGCAATGTATTGGCTGGCTACTGCGTGGCATATTTACCCCCTGCATATATGAGTTTAGCCCACAACGTCACATTCGAGATTAGGCTAGGTCGGGGTAAGATTAAGGGATCTAAGGCAGAACTTTCCGCGCTGTACCTTCTTAAACTTGAAGATGCAATGAGAGAGTTAGAGGTCATTTCTTATAGGCCAAATTTTTCCATAGGTGTAGTGCTGGACAAATATTTCTGCTTAATTACAGGATGCGACGAAATAGAAGCTGCCTTGAAGTGGGCCGTGGACGGAATGTAGGGCTAGAGAGGGAGGTTACAAGACCAATGCTACAGTGACTTTCCGAAAGTGACTGAGCTAGGCCGGCGGCACAGTTATCACTACTTAGTCATAGATATGCTCGCCACTGTCAATTGGGTTTTCAACAATGCTGGATCAATAAGCCATGGATGAGACGGTCTGATTGGCAAGCTGCTCCCTCTGTAGTGCGCGTTGTCGGTACGGTGATATGCATAGGTCATATCTTTTACGAAGTAACATCCCCAAAAGTCAATCGCCTACTTGGAATTTGGATCATTAAACAAATCCATTAAATAAAATTTGTTTACTCTGCTTTCTAAATGCTCTACAATTCCCTCGATCATCGAATGTTCAACTCAGTGTAATGGTTTTCAATGATCCTATTGCACCACTATAACATCCGTGTGAACCATCTTTGCCTAAACTGTATAGTACGGCTCTTATTTTGAAGCCTCTTTCTGAATATGACCACTCGACCCCCCATTTTAGCTGCAAATGGAAGATATAAGCCGCCGGTATATTAGGGGTTGGGTAGCACTTTTGTGGGTTGTGGCGTTCGACTGGAGAATGACCTCGAGTTCCTAGTTTCCGAAATTGAAGCACAAGCTAGAAGATAGATTGAAAGTCACCAGATGAACTTTTGACATATACAAGATTGTCACATTGTTGTATTTCGTGACTCCTGCAGATTCTTAGGCCCTTTTCTCCAATTTTCTCCAGGTTACCTCCACTCTCATTTGCGGGGGATGTTACGCGGCCGAGAAACGAACTGGCGTCACGAGAGATTATACCTTCACTTTCTGCATGTCTATTGACTAGTAGAGCTAGTGTAGTGCCATAGCTAGAAGCTCTGATGAATGAACATCAAGTGTAACCTTAAATCAAAACACTATCACGTTCGGTATATCGTAATTATTCACAGCGGGACCCGTGAATATAAGATGGGCATTTCTCCTGCAGAACTCACGAAAGTTCTATCATTTCTCCTTATTTATTAGTAACTGAAGTTTCCTGGCGGAATTGTAACTAGTCCCACATTCCTTATAAGTACTGGTGTTTTCCATCCATCAAGTCGCCCGTGCAACTTCAAACCTTTCCTTTCAGCAAACATGAGGAACGCCGTTGTTTATCTTTCTGCTTTCTTAACAGCTCTTACTGGCGTTCAAGCTGGTATCAATTTGAACAGTCCACAGAATGTTGCTATCTACTGGGGTAAAACACCCATAAGGAAACCAAAACCTCAATCGACTGAGTCTTAACTAAAAGCTCTTATCTACCAGGTCAAAATTCTATGGGCACCCTTGACTCCACGGGTCAACAGAGACTAAGCTACTATTGCACAAGTAAGTCCTACACTGGATGTTTGATGCTGAAAAATGAAAGCAAAACCATGAACAAGCTGACGATTCTTGTTTTTACCTTTAAAAAAAGACTCTCAGGTAGATGTATGTTTGCTCTCATATTTTTCCTTCTCTTCAGATAAATTGGCAATTTAACAACCATTCAAAACAAAAATAAGACTTTTATTCTTTCCTTCGTGACTCAGTTCAATGGTCCTGGCGGTTATCCTGTGACCAACTTCGCCAACGCAGGAAACAACTGCACCACTTTTCCCGGGACTGGGCTTCTAGATTGCCCTCAAATGGCGTAAGTCGGAAACTTTTTCAGGGCATGAAACAGAGAAGAGATCTAACAGGAAGTCACAAAATAGCCAGGACATTGTGACCTGCCAGGGTCTCGGAAAGACTATTCTCCTCTCCACCGGAGGCTCCACGTACAGTGAAGGTGGATTTAGTAGTACAAGTGAAGCACTCCAATTTGCAAATCTTATGTGGGAAGTTTTTGGACCAGTGTCCAGCAACAGCTCTGTTCTTCGTCCCTTTGGTACTGCTGTTGTTGACGGCTTTGATTTTGACTTCGAGAATCTCGTCATGAACAATATGCCTACCTACGCCAATCAATTACGAAGTTTATATTCCACGGATACGTCAAAGAAATATTACACGACTGCCGCTCCTCAGTGCGCTTATCCAGATCAGGCTGACAACCCCATGTTGGCTGGCGCCGTATACTTTGATGCCATCTTTGTTCAGTTCTACAACAACGCCTGTGGTCTGGTATACTTCGATCCAGGCTCTGCAACCCAGCGCTTCTTCAACTTTAACACTTGGGATAACTGGGCCAAGACTGTCTCTCTGAACCGAAATGTCAAAGTCTACATGGGCGTTGAGGGTAACGTCGGAGCTGGCGCCGGCTATGAACCACTCTCCATCGTTGATCCAGCTGTCACCTATGTCTCCCAGTTTAGCTCCTTTGGTGGTGTTATGATGTGGGATGCTAGCCAAGTCTGGTCCAACACAGGATTCTTGTCTTCTGTCTACGGAACCTTACCTAGTGGCACCGGCGGCAGCACCACTACCACCACCACCTCTTCCTCCTCCTCCTCCTCCCCCTCCTCCTCCTCGTCGTCGTCTACAACAAAGACCACATCAATATCGACCACACTTACTACGACCACGACATCTTCAACTGCTACTTCTACCCCTACAGGCACTTGCCCCGTTGCTGGAGCTTCTTGCCCTACTAACGATGTCTATGCCTGTACTGGTAGTAACTTTGGTATTTGCGATCATGGTGCATGGGTTATTGAGTCTTGTCCTGCTGGCGACGTCTGTGTCCAGTCAGGCACAGGTGTCTACTGCGCTGTATCTGGCACCAGCCCATCTGTCTGCTAGATTTAGGTATATTAACAGGTACATCCAATTTGATAGTTATCTGGAAATCCCAATATTCACAATATTAAGACTTCTATTCGAAACTTTAATAATTTAGATCTTATTTTCTTTTGTCTTTTTACTCTCAAAGAACATTATAAACTATGGATGTTTTATAATACTAATATTAAAATGATATTCATTTAATTATAATATAGATAGTCATTCTTTAAAAAAATCAATATTTTTTTTATAAATAGATTTCATAATAAAATAAACAGGGCATAAGGCATTCATTTCTATTGGGGAGTAGGTCAGGAAGCAGTTAGGAATGAGGTCCGAGGACTTGCGATTCGCAATTGCCGCACTTATTTGTTATATATAGCCTAAATAAAGAAATCTTTATAATTATAAAAGTGTATATTTAATATAAATAAATAATACATATATAGTGTTTAGCAGTTCCTCTCCACATGGATGATCTAACCCCATTTCTTAAAGTTACAGTTTTCTTTTGCAGCCCGACTCACGATTCTCGTTCTCTAACCGTGGTCGGGGCATGCATATAATCATAATCAGACATCATCAAGCATAACAAATCATAAGAATGTATAGTACAAGTCAAATAACAATAGTAATCCAACTCACGGAACCTCTTTGTCGCCCCTCTTCAGTTCCCCATCCAAAGCAAGCGCATCGCTTACATAAGGAAGTTGCGCAATTTCGTCTAACGGTTTCCGCCTCGAATGACGCTTCAACAGCCCCTCTACGCATTTTCGGGCGCCCTCGAGCTCGCGACCTTTGACAGGGTCCCATTCCTCGTCTTCATCTGCATAGCGATACCATGACCACTCGCACCGCGCGATTCGGTGCGGCGTACGGGCACGGAGCTTTTCTGGGTCTCCTCGTGTGCCTGGAAGGACGTCAAATGGTAGGCGGCTTTCCATCATGGCATACAAAAGCACCCCAAGGGCCCAGGCATCCGTTGAGCGTCCATCGTACGGCTGGCCCATGAGGATTTCAGGAGCTGCATAGTCTTCGCTGCCGCATCGAGTGTGCAGCAACGGGCTCTCTGGTGGCTCTGGAATTCTTCTAGAAAGACCTAAATCACTCAGCGTGATGACGGCGCGATCGTACGTGCGCCAATCCAACACTTGCTCCATGGCCGCTGCCGGCGGGTTCACCAAGACGTCTAGTTGGGTCAGTACGTTTCACAACTAATGGAAAGTACAGCCTTACTCTCAAGTTTGATATCTCGGTGGACAATATAGTTAGCATGCAAATAACGCACTGCCGCTACCAATTCCGCAAAAATTCGTCTGATGAGCGGCGGACTCAGAGTCTGCTTGGCTGAGGTAGCGAAATCAAACAAATCTCCGCCGGGGCAATAATCTAACACCAACAATGCACGTCGCTCATCGCTTCCAAAGGCCTTCAGTTGGACCAATGATGGGTGGTTGATGGACTTCAGAATCTCCACTTCGCGCTTGAGGGAGACCTCTACACGGTCCTCATCCGCTCCTCCCGCTGGTCCGTACTCAATGATTTTGACAGCCACTAGCTTCTGCGACATCAAACTGGGCATACGAACATGGCCGTCTTTTCCTGGTGCGTCATCCGGCACTCTCACGGCAAGGCTGACTTGGCTAAACGTCCCTTGTCCCAATTGGCGTAGCTTGCGGTATTTCCTCGGTTGCTTCGTGCGAATTGACCGAACATAGTACATTTCGTCGTGAGACCCATGCATTAACTCATGTTTAACAATTGGCCGAAACCTTACTTCATCCTCCCCGCTTTGAGTTGATCTAGGAGGTGTCGGTGGTCGAGCGCCGGGATGTGCAAGACCTCTTTGGACGGCCAGGTATTGTTCACGGTGCAAGTTATTCGTGTCCGAGGCCAGGTCCGATGTCGAAGACGAGCTTTCCATTGAAGAACCAGGACCCTGCACGGCATTTGGCCTCGGGTGCGGTATCACTGCTTTATAGGGGATATATTCGCTCAAGCTGCGGTTACGCGAATGTCTTCGCGTGTCTTCGTTATGCCTTGGACCAGGTTCGCGTACATCGCCATCATTCAACCTGTGACTGCTATATCGTCTAGATCGTGAGCGCGAGGATGCCGTCCTAAGCAGCTGGTGTGAATCGCTAGGGCGTAAGTTTACCGAGCCACTGCGGGAGATCGTAGACGAAGTCCTAGAAAGTGAATGCGACGAGATTGTGCGTCCTCCAAGCCGCCATGGCGAGGGACTGAGGTATCCAATCGGCGACGGGAGAGGGGTGATATCTGCCATAGCGGCCAAGGCAGGAGATGAGATGGCGGACGAGCGGACAGACGATGGCGAGAGTGAGCCAGCGCTTGACAAAGTTCTCATTCGTATCGCCCAGCTGGGGGTTCGTCGAGGAAGACTGGCCGTAGATAGGCTATGGCGCAGGAGTTGCGTCTCATGGTCATTGAGCGGGGTGGTTGGGGTGCCGTCTATTGTAGTCGGCAAGTCAGTACGAAGATGCAGCGCTGGAGACGGATGTCGTCCAGGCTGGTGCTGCATCGCAATTTGACCAGTCCATGGTGAAGATGTTGGCGACTGTGGAACGTTGCAGGCCGCATCCGGGGTTGGCTGCACCGATGTTGACGCTCTCGTCCGGCTTTGCAGTTCCGCAGAGAGCAGAGACCGCGACGGAGTTTCTGACCCGACGGTCTGGCGACGCGCTTCGGGAGTCAACATGGACGACCAAAAGGCAGAGGACACAGTCCCCAGCCGAGGGGAGGCGAGTCAACCGTGGTCAGGTATAGTATAAATATTGTATTTGTTTTTTGCTGCCCTTCTTTTTCTGCCCCCCTTGGGTCGAGGAAAGGACCGGGGCAGAAACGTCTTCGGAAGGCTTGGCGGCGGAACCCAGGCTTAGTAGGCTATCGTAATTCCGGCGCGTCAACTTGCATCATAATGGGATATGCAGAAAACGGACATTAACAATATTGATAATGCGTGCAGGTTGCGACATGTTACAACGAAGCCATGGTGTATGTATCAGAGGACTGAAAAAGGACAAGATGGAAAGAGGAAAGGCAGAGACATCACGGGGCAAAGTAACGGCAGGTAGGAAATGCGACGTGACAGGAACTAGAAATGCCACCAAACCCTAGCTTCCGCAGGACAGACTAGCCCTGGGCATGGGGTCAAAATACTCGAGGCAGTCAGTGCCCAGTGCTCACAGTGCTACTGCGGTCCGCAATGCTGCAAGCCACCGCTCGTAGGAGTCTGCGATTCTAAGAGAAAGAATCTGCCTAGCAAAGTAGACACGCGGAAGGCCGTGGCTTACCGCATGCGGCAGTTCCGGGACTCACAGATCTGGTCACGTGTAAGGTCACGTGTAGATGCCGGCTAGTTATGTACTAGTGGCCTAGGGTACCAGCGTGCCGGTCCGATTTCCTCCCCGCGGACCAATCATGTGACAGCTGGCCGCCGCTTATCCCGTTTAGAATATCATTCCTGCATTGGCTGTTGTTCGCCAGTGAGGTCATCGCAGAAACTGGAGGTTCAATTCTGGTGTTTTCTGCGTGGTGCTGACTATGGCCAACTTGAGTGTGAGCAGACATCGGGAGTCGGCGCCCGAGGCCTTGCCTAGTGTGCTCACACAGCGTTAAAGACCGGACCGTGCATGCTCTCGTTGTGCTTGGTGATTGGCGAGCTGATCATCTCTCGGAACAAGTTTGATGCGAAAATCAACAGGCTAGCAACCAGTTCTTTGGGCAGTGCAAAGACAGTTATCATTGTTGTTCAGATATGGCTGCCCAAAGTTGTCGAGCGTGATAATGCCGCAGTTAGTCTGTGCATATCGATAAAGATACTAGGCAATAAATAAGTCTTAAATATGTGCCATTGTAACACGTATTATCTAGAATAGCCATGTGATCATCGCCAATGCTAACACAAATAACCGCTGGAAGAAATGTAAACGAGACAGAACCCTCTATATATATACAATACAAGGTCGAAGAGATCCATGATCATGCCCGGTCCCAAACCCGTCAGAAAATGCGAGTACCAATGCCCTGACGCCGGAGTGAGGAGATAGGTCTGAAATAATCGGAATTTTGGTGATACAATGCGCAGAAAGATCGCGCGCAACTATTCATGCGTCACAATAAATAAAGCTATAAGGGCGAAGTTTTGTCGTTGATGTCGCCAAGCGATAAAAGACGGTCAAATATAGTGGAGAAAAGGGGTCTTGGGCGATATGCGTTCAGGAAAAAAGAGCCTTGCGGGTGACCTGCAAATTATCAGTATTTGAAGAATCTAGTAGCACGCAGAGAACATACAGCCCAGGCTCCCGCGATGCCAGCCACTATTCCACCAGAGATAAGCATGGGCCGAGTGCCACGAGTGCTCTTAAAAAGCATTCCGCTCAAAGCGCCCGCGACAATACTGTTTGCCGCGTCATGCTTTCCGCGAGTATATCCAACCATTGAGTTAACACCGTTGTAAACCATGGCAAGAACGCCAGCAGAGTTTCCTAGGAAGGGGCCTCGTCGAGTAATTGAGTTCAACACGCCGTTCAGACGCAGCTTTGGGGAGGCAGTAACAGGCGTCCGCGTCAGGCCCTCAGCCAGGCCCCATGCTCCTCCTATCGTCAAACCTGCAAGATATGTGGTACCTGTTCCGTAGCAAAGGTCGTCCGACCAGCCTCGGGATGGAAGAGCCGAGCGCGATCCCGGCAGCTGATCAAGAGTCGAGTCTTCCAAAGTAAGGTAATCAAGGGCGTCCTGGTTCAAGCCTGCCAGCGGATGAAGCTGGGATGGGTCGGGAAATGTGTTCTCCGTAAGAAATGACGAGACATCTTGGGCAGAGGTCGGATCGAAACCACCTTCAGTCGTCGATTTGCGACCACCGAAAGAATCCCAGATCGGCATTGTGAAAAGGTATTAAAAAGGATCAGCGGAGAAATATCCGGACACAGAAGAGAAAAGGAAGCGAAGGCGAGTATAGCGGGAAATCACAGGCGAGCGTCAGCAGTGTTGGGTTATTCGAAAGTTGATAACACTGGACGATTGACGAGCAAAAACTTTGTCCTCCGTGACGGCAAGGAAAGGCGCGCCCGGAGAAACCCGCGTGCCGATAGACGCGCGCTAGGCCCTAACGGGAAGCGACCTCGAAATTTCCACAGGAAAGAGCAAAGTGGGATGTGCGGGGGAAAGAGCGAGCCTCAGTCGAGGATCAGGTTTTTTCTCTTGTAAAGTCAGAAGGTCGCTCCCAGGCCTGTCTGATATCTTGTTTATCATGGCCTCTGCCGAGGCTGGGCCTTTGGCGGGTGCCTCTGACAATGCGGACATCAGGTCGTTGTTTGGAAATATACATTTGGTACCCGTTGATGTTCTAATGAACATCAGCAAAGGACCGCTCAAAGTATTTGTGCAGAACTGCGAGGACAAACAGTAAGCCATCAAATAATGTACTAAATTCTATATCTGCAAACACTTTTTAGCTAATTCCTCCAAGACAAGCCAGATCCGTCTGGGAGTCACTGTTTCTCACACTCTCGACGAGATCTGTATCAAAAGAGCAGACCAGAGCCGCATGCAATGCAATCATTGTATTCCTAGAGAATGCAAATGCGACCCGCGCCGAAGCCACATGGGACTTTGCATTCTCCAATAAGACATGGATGGCTGTCTTCACAACCATCTTGGCCAAGTTCGAGGATGCGGCGCTAAAAGCTATTAAACAGCTGCTCGGTACATTGGCCAAGATTCTCAAATGCCATCCAGACTCGAGCGAAGCGCAACTGATTCGCGCTGAGATCATCAATGTGGTGATGCCAAGTGTCATACTTGGGGACCCGCGATCGCAGCTAAAGTCCTCCCTCGTCGCTCTAGAAAGGCTCATTCAAGGTGATGGGATGTCTGTCAAGACGTTGATGTCATTAACATATGACTGGCTAGTAGCTCATTATGAAAGATGGCAGCCTTTATTCGAGGGTCATTGTCGTTCATTGTTCATCGAAACTTCGCAATTTACCCAGACAAACTCCGTGTACGATATTACCAACGAGAGGGCCAGAAACGCTGTCCCCATGATATTCAACCTAGCGCTTCTTGTGTATGCTAAAAGTCAAGGCTTTACGCAGGCTATTGGGACTTTGATAGCCCTGTTACACACGAAAGTCGGAAACTGCGAAGACAGCAATCTTGAATCGTGTTTTCCTTTAATGAGTTGGGTGGTTCCGACTAGGTACATTATGCTGCAAGACATGGATTCTATAGAGTATATGTCTCGATCAATACTTAGACCGATACTAGAGTGCGATATAAACGGGTTTCACGCTTTTACCAAAACCTTGCCTTTGGATATGGTGCTCTCTGGAAATATGAAGAGCCAAGGAAGCGTCGATGAACTTATTCTTCTTTTCTCAACATTGCAAATCGGCAAGAAAACTGGATTTGTGCACGAGGACTGTAAGTTAACGATAACACTCCCTTTTATTTTAAAGTCGCTGACTTTCGTAGATGTCAAGGAATCCAAGTCCACGGCTATTAAAAAAGAGAACATTCTCATACTTGATAGCAAAATTATTGGCACTTTTTTGTTACACAACGAGCAAGGAATTTGCCTTTCAACATTATCTCTGCTCATAACTGCTCCCTCATCTGCCAAGCCACTTTCAAAATCTGCCTTGGATGCTATATTGGCTGGTCTTCCATCTCTGCATGCCGTCTCGAATTCACAAATTCGACAAGAAATCGGCAGCCTGATGCGTAAAATGATGACACGTTTGCGAGGACCTGGAATGCAGAAGAACTTTATGGACAACGAAGGAAAAGATGCGAAAAAGTTTATGGAAGATTTTGTTTCATTTCTGGAAGGGGAACTGATCTCGACAGCTTCCTATCAACGCCACATATCTGCTTTGAAGTCGATGACTTTAGTTCTGAATTCTGGAGTTGATCCTAATGCTAGACATGTCTCATTAGAAGACCAGTCATTGTGGCGGTACAAAGTCGACATACTGCGTCCAAGCCTGTTTCGACTCCTGGTTGACCTTCTTCTTGACCCCTTCGATGAAATTCGAGCGACTGCCCTCAGCCTGCTTAGCTTATTTCCTAGTGATATTTTCACGAATTCCACTGCACAATTGGAAAGCGACGGACTCAATGTGTCAGAGCGACTAACGTCAGCCTTGACAAAAGCTGAAGCTTTAGCTAGCAGTACCAGTCGAGCGGACTATGCAGATGCTGTTGCCAGGATCTACAAAGCTATTTTTTCTGCGGCAAAGTCTGGTGGTAGCTTAGAGACTTCGCAGAAATGGTTTGAGACAAAGTGTGGTGTCGTGAATGAGGTCTTACAGAGACTTGAAGAAAAGGTTTACCAACAAGGCGGGCTTTTCAAATCTTCAATTCGTGACGCCCCTTTACATGGTCACCTATGTGCTCTGAAGTAAGAGCCTGAATTCTCTGATAAATAAAATGCTCATCACGATTATAGGTATATCGTTGGCACACCGAATTTCTACAGCTGCATTGCTAGCCAAGAAGGCGACAAAGATGTATCATGGAGGAAAGTACATGATCGAATTATGGCGACATGCCATCGCATTTGGGACGGAGTTAAGCCAGTTTTATGCATTGATTCACCGGAAGGCCATACGGACGACACACTAGACGATATGGAACTAGGGCCCAAGGATTTATTGTCATACTCGTGGCGGGCACTGCGAGAATCTAGGTAAGACCGCACAGATTTCATTACACTTATATTGGTATTAACTTGACGGCAGTCTTCTTCTTAACGAGATTTTAGCAAACAAAACATACGCGCCGAAAGACAGCAAGACAAGTCTCGTACTTGATGATTACACTACTATCGGGGCTCTTAGTTTTACGCAGTTGTCCGAGCTTCGACATAGAGGAGCCTTTTCCGCTGTATCCCAAACCTTTGTCGCATGCTGTGAGCGTTGTGCCGAGCACGAAAATACCGAAATCTCTAACCTGCCAGACATGTGGTACCAGGTAAGTCAGGTAAAGGTGCTAGCATGTAAAGACAGCTGACAACATACAGGATTCGAAGAAAATCATCGAAGACCAAGCATCCAAACTGACAAGAAGATCGGCTGGATTACCTGCAATTGTTACGGGGATAACAATTGCGAAGTGTAACGATCCGTTGTTCGAGAAAATTATACACGAGCTACAAGAGATCTCGAGTCAGCCAGCAGTACAAGCAGCCAGTTATAATGAGCTCTCATTGCCTCAGGTCCATGCAATGAATTGCTTGAAAGATATTCTCGCAACAACAAGGCTAGGGGACAAAACGGAGGGCTTTATCATGCCAATTCTTAGGCTTTCTGCTGATTCTCTTAGCTCGCCGATGTAGGATCCCCTTTCAACATTTATTATACACGGTGAATACTGATTGAATATATGTAGATGGGCGATTCGGAATTGTGGGCTGATGCTGTTTCACGCATTGATGATCAAGATGTGTAAGAGAGTCCAGGGCACGGGCTTTGGTTTCAGCGGCACTTCAGGGACAGAGTCTAGCATGACCATCGAATTCCAGAAATACCCTGGCTTAACTGAGCTTCTATCTAAACTTTTGACATCTGCAGATGAAAGTAGAGACTCGAAAGATGGATCAGCAGCCTCAGAGACAGAAAAAGTTTTCCCAGCCCTTGAAATAATTACTGAAAAAGTGCCATCTCTTACGGATAATGATGATGCCGTCTTACGCGATTTGATCCTTCACCATGTGAAGAGCTCCATCTGGGCAGTCCGCGACCAGGCTGCTAGAGTGCACGCATCTCTGATGCGGTCCACAGAGATTGTACAGTCGGTCGAGTCGTTACTGGACTATGAACTCAGCACGCTCAGTCAAAAGCATCTACATGGACGGTTACTGTGTATTCGCTATGCATTGCGGAGAGTATGGTATTCTGGATACTGGCGTGGTATGTATTGCCATAAGACATTAGCAGTGAATGAACTGACGTTTGTAGATCATTTTGATAGCTTGCTTGCGATTATAAGCGATACATTTTCTAGATTCACGCCATTTTTACGATCACCGTACTGTCAAGCTGCGTTGATCGATGTATTGACCGATGGGCTAGAAAGTAGCCTGAAATCTAGTAGAGGAGGTGAAGTTGATTATAATAATTCTATCGTCGGAATACTAATGATTACTAGTTGATATCCAAGGATTTGCACACGGTTTATTTGATAGCTATGAGCTGGGATTGCTCATGGCAAATCTAGTCAGTCACGTTGGATATCGAAGAAACGAGGTGCGAGCCGAGTCGTTACTTCGACGTTCCTTGACATGGAGTATCATTCTGAAGAACTCCTTACATAATATTAATGACTCGCCTGCTGGCCTGATTGGTCCATTTTTCGACCTCTCCACGGCAGACAGTGACGCTGCTGGCTGGGTCCTTGAGAGAATCCGGGACGTCTTTCCTGGTTACAAAGGACAGAAAGATTTCTTGAGTCTATATTTACTAATCTTACTCCAAGATCAAGAAGAAACTGTCAAAGCGAAAGCTGCCTTGAACTTGGCAGAAACTCTCGAGGATGCTTTAGAAAAGGGGCTTTCGGTGGACTTCCTCGACAAATGGGCTCGCGTATCAGACTACCTTTCTGTTCAATCACAGGATCAAGTATGGAGCCGTGAGTTAACTGAAAATGTGCTTCGACTTCAAGGCGCCATGCTGGCTTTGAAGTATGCGGATGAGTCGTTCGATACTGAATCGCAAGAGCCTTCTCTTGGTCTTCGACGGTGGGCAGTTGGTCTACGATCTGCACTGAGTGAGGAGACGGTGAGCATTTACTCCTCTTTAATACCAGCACTTCGCTTGCTGAGACTAACCTGAGCAGGTCTTTTCTTCACGACTCGCCGCCATACATTCTCTCAAAACATTTAGCCGCATTATTCGCAAGCCCGATCAACCGCCAAGCACAGATGCGGCTTTTCTGGAACTTTATTTGATCCTTTATGATATGCTTAATGATGATGACGACGAACTTCGCGATTTCTCTGCCCCAATAGCGTCGTGGATTCTTTCATACTCCTCAGTGTTCCCTGACAAGACAGTTGCGCTAGGCTCGATTCCTGCTAGTGAAAGTCTTGCAGAGTTCATATCGAGCAACTATAACAAACAAAAATCATTGTTTCGTCATATCATCAAGCGGATGATGAACAAAAGCGCGGTACCGCAACGGGGAAAATTACAATTTACGTCATTTGAGACATTGTTCAATGATTACCGCAAGGAAAGCACAGTGCTTTTCGAGGAGGAAAAACAGAATTTGTTTATTGATGATGTACGCGAAATTGACATCTGGTCGAGTGCCCTGATACGTTTGGAAAAGTCTGCATTTGACGAGGACATTATTGACAACTTGTTTGCTTGGGCGTCGGAAGGATTGGCTTGTCTTGAAAGATGTTTGATTTCTGGCGATCAGGATGGCGATTTAGGGTGGACGGCAAAGCCCGAGATTTACTCTCTTGGAATTTTGCTGTTTTCCATCACATCATTTCTCATAGCTACTAACCCAAAAACGAGTGGAAAAACAGACGAGGGATCGAGTGCTTCTCTATCAGAAGCACTTACAGCTCTGTACACAAAAGGCCAATCTATGGCCCTACATCCTCACTGGCTATCTCGGATACGTCCCTCGCGGCCCTCCAAATAGGACAGAAAACATAGATAATAAATATGAAATGCGAATAAACCATGATTCTTGTGTTCACCGGATTCATCTCATCTTGTCCCCTTTCAAACGGATTGGACAAGGCGGTCAGGTTTCTCTCGTGAGTCAAGGGATTTGACGGCGAGCACCAGCGCTTTTCGCTAAAGTCTTTATTTGTTGTTGTATTCGTCGGGCATTCCCTTTGTCGATGAAGCGTGGTGACATTTGACCAAGTATTTGGGGCTCCCAGTGCCTCTGAGAGCTCTACCTTGCTCATAACCTTCAACTATCGATAGACAGCTATCCAACCAGTAAGCAAGGTGAAGCACCACCAATAACATGATGTCTCTAATAACGCAGATTCGTGACAACACCCATCGCCATGGATCCACGATTGTTGTTCCTGATAATATCACTACCTATCTTATCCATCACCATGGTACTATGTACCTTGGTGCACATGAACATGTTGGGCTTTCGTGTCGCCAATGGAGAGGGTGGTCTCCATGCGCATATAAACTCTCGCAGGTACCGTCCGAGGAACTACCAGACGATACCTCGCACAGACCTAGAAGCGGCTGACAATGACAACTACGCCCCTGAGCGAGGACGAGAACGAGAACGAGAACAGTCCAGGATTCCCCGTCGTCCCGTGCCGCGTCTGGGACAAAGATATGTCGATTGGGACCCAGAAGCCGGGGTCCTTGGCGTCACAACCGCCTCACATCCGCGACGAACAGAGCAAGGACATGTGGAGGAGGAAGAGAGGAGTCCCAGTCCATACGACTTAGAGGAGGCGCTGCGGCGTGGTGGCTCGCAGCCAACGGATATTCCCACAAAACGTACCAGCCACCCTACCTTCCCTTTCCCTGCAAAGCTGATCTGGCAGAAGCTAACTCCCTTCGAGAGGGCTGGAATGGTCTGGTGGCGCAATTGATCACCGTGTACCAGCAGCTCAGAAACCGACGGCCGAGCGTGGTGGACGAAGAGTAGGGAAGATCCAACGAGGCTGTGGACAGCAAACGGAACGTGAAAGGGAGATATGATATCACACACAATTTAGGCACTAGGTAAAACGAACCATAACTTGACGCCTCGTCTTGTATAAACCATCGAGCTAATGTGTGGGCCTCCCCAATTTAGATAGACATTAGACGGCGAGCTGGTCAGTACAAGCAGTTTACAAATGGATTCCCCTTTTTGGAGCTTGAAAAACGAAAAAAGTAACGCCATATACTCCGTACAATGGCATTGCGTACTAGAAAAGGGCACTGTTCGTAGGGGCTGGGATGTGATTTGCCAGTGACAGCCAGTTAATGACTTGTAGACTGGACTTGACCGGCTTGTAGGCTTGAGATGGGTTTGATATTCGAGTTTAGAGCCGTGATAAGCTTTGGGTGGATTCCAATTGCGTCGAAGAGCACTAGTTGACGTTATCGCATACAAAGAAACAACGCCCTAGAGACGACGGTCAACCATGGTTGAGGAGTCAATGGCCGGCATCAATGGTGTTGTTGTGTTTGCTCTCGCCGGTCAAAGGTACCGAAAACAGGCTGTGTTTGCAGTTTGCCAGTCTATCCCATCCTATCATTTGCTAATGGCACCTGCTATCTCACTACACTTGATGCGTATTGGCGATGTTTAAGCTGATGCCTGAAACAGTCACCGCGTCTTCTTATTGTGTTATATGTAGAGTCCTTTGTTGGATTTCTTCAAAGTTGACAATTTCCCTTCCTATCTTTCTTTGATCCTCCAGGAAGACATAAAAGCTCAAGCACATAATCTGCACTTCATTCTGTCAAAACCCACTTCAACATACCTCAACCCACATCGTCCTTTTATTGTTTTATTGCCACACTAAAGACATGGTTGATTATGTAAGTGGAAGTGGAAGTGGTATTGGAAGCACTGGCAAGCCTGTGGAATTCAGTGCACCTGTCTTCAAGCAGGATGTGGCCAGCCTTTGTTCTGCCCTAGAGGCCCCGTACGACGAGTCCATCCTGGATAAGATCTTGGATGTCTATACAGAAAACTTCCGACGCGGAGCGGTCCTATGGAAGGCCACCAATCGCCCCAAGGATGGAATTGCTTTCCGCTTCTACGAGCGCGCGAAAGTCGAGGTGGTTGCACCAGCCATTGAGGCCAACCTTCTTCAAGCGGATCATCCTATGATCCCGTTGATCAGGTCATGGGCCGACATCAACGACAAGGCCATTGCCTCTTGCGACTTCGACCCTGCCATGGGCCTCAATAAGACTTGGATATGGCTGGGTGGACGCCCGTCCATCGATGAGCTGCTTAAGGTACCCAATGTCCCGGAGTCTATCCGTGCATTGGGAGCCCAATTCAAGGAAGTGGGACTGGACACTGTCCGGCACACGGCCGTCGATTGGCGCACATCCACAGTCAACATCTACTTTTGGGTGAACGGGGAAATCGACCTCGAGATTGCTAACAGGCTGGTGGGCCTTTCTGGAGGCACTGCACTTACCAAAGAGAAACTCGACGAGATCAAATCACAGCTCATCCCGGAAGGATTTACCTTTGCCACCACCATCAACTCGGCTACCGGCAACATCGAACGCGTCGCCGTCTACGCCCTGCGCCTGGATGGCAACGCTCTTCCGCCAGTGGGGGAGCGCCTGGCGACCTTCTTCCAGGACGCTAAGAGCTACGATCACAAAGACATCAACATCGTGGCTTGGAGTTTCGGTAGGGGAGAGAAAGGGACCAAGGACTACATCAAAGGAGAACGTAGCTACTCAGGAGAGCTCAACAACGTGCTGCAGGGCTGGGGCTCGCCATTGAAACCCGAGACCGCCGTAGCCTGACATGCTGTTTTCTTTCTTTTCTTCTGGTAGTATGTATAGGTCGGGTGATCTGAATGGTTCTTCCGGCGGGTGCGACGTATCATGAATCTCACTGCTGGGCAGGAGGAATGAGCGATGAAGATGGGGGTGGGGCATCATTCTTCTTTCTTCTGTTGCCCAGGCTTAGTCGAAGCTAGTTTTTGGAACTTTTTGGAACAATGAGAACCAATGTATTCGTATTCGATATCACCCGAGAGCCGCCGGGGTAGTTGGAGTGTAGTTAACAAGTGAGGGTTGAGTGAGTGCCTTAGTCAGTCATGTGCAAATCGACGCCTCAGGCCGCCGTTTCCGCAGAGTGACGTCCGGCTCCCCGCAGCACTCCAGTCTCCGTCTCCAAGTCCACATTGAACACAAGACACACAACACAACCTTTGCGACCTCAACTATCAGTTGATATTATTGCAGCTATCGACATTAGCTGCTGTCACTAACTTTGCCTACAGCGTCTTCGCCAGCCGATCCTCATCCAGTCCCCAGGCAGCAGTTCGCAGCTTCAGACTGGTAATTAACCTGTCCGGATATACTCGCCTGGCTCTCATTCCCAGCGCTCCATCCGGACCCAGACAAATTATCGCCTGCGGTTCTTTATCCCTTGTCCCCGCCTCTTTGTTGCCCTGTGTTAGCTTGTCGTCCGATCCATGGGTGTTCTCCCCCGGTAATCTCTGCGCACTGCCCTCTCTCTGATTGCCGCGCCGCCGTCGGCCTTCGCTAGACTGCCGCCATCTCCGGCCAGTGGTTAGTCCAGGCTGCGACAATCACCAGCTGCGTCGACTCCCCCCTCCCAGTTCCAATTTGAGCGAGCGCCGGCAGAATGTGGAACGACGAAGACAATAATCCGTATGGTGCGTTTGATCGCCCAGACTCGCACCTTGCAGAATCGCTGCACTCGGGCGCAACTTCGCCTCGTAAGTACCGGCCGATGACGTCGGGTTCTAGGCCCCTGCTAATACATATGCGCTGGAGAAGCCCCATACGACCGCGATACGTCGCCTGCTTCACGAGCCTCAACCCAGCCGCCAGACTATGTGTCGCGGCTGACCGAAGACACCGACGACGAGGACGATTATGGCGTGCAAGCAACCCCCCCCGTGGGCCGCAAGAAGGGCGTGTACGACAGCCGCATTGAACAGATCCTCTACGAAAATCCTGAGCTCCCGATTCTGATTACAGATGCTGGAAAGAACCATGAAGGTGGCGGGGGATATATTGTCTACACGATTAGGACGGGGGTAAGTGTGAGCGAAGGGATTTGACTGTGCTGTATTAATTATGGTGTGTAGGACTTGGAGGTGCGTCGTCGTTATTCGGAATTCGCTTCTCTACGGCAAACACTAGTCAATTTGCACCCAACCTTGGTCATCCCTCCCATACCAGAGAAACACACAATGGCCGACTATGCTGCGAAACCCACGAAAGCAAAGGAGGATGTCGCTATCATCGAGCTCCGAAAGCGGATGTTGACTGTTTTCTTGAACCGGTGCCGAAAGATGAAGGACGTTCGAGAGGACGGTGTTTGGTGGCGCTTTTTAGATCCCAATGTCAGCTGGGTGAGTTATTTCTACGGGCTGACGTCTTTTCGTTTACTAATTCCATGACAGAACGAAGTCTTGCACTCCCATCCAGCATCGTCTGTGCCGAAGAATAACCTCAAGGCTCCCCCGCTCGATCCAGCCAACCCTACGGCTGCCCATGGCTGGCTTCCCGTGCCATCGACATCCGCGAAGCTAAAGTCTACATCAGGGAATACTGCCACAGGGACGCCGACTTCACCGTCTGAATATTCACAGACACCGTCCACAGCCGCTCATTCGACGCCTGGAGTGCAGTTCCTCGGGAGGTTTCCTCCAACATCACGAACCTTGAGTGAACAAGATCTAGACCCTTATTTTATCAACTTTGAAGCATCTACACGGGAACTGGAGCTACTGCTCCAGGGAAATATTGAAAAGGTTAATCGTCGTACACTGTTACACCTCTCATCTCTATCCGCAGATCTTATGGAACTTGGTGCTCGCTACAATGGCTTCTCTCTCTCGGAGCATAACCCCACAGTTGCTGCAGCGATCGAGCGCGTAGGCCAGGCTGCAGATACATCCTATATTGAAACTGAAGAATTGTCATCCTCTCTAGGGGCTAACTTTGCCGAGCCTATGCGGGAAAGTGCCCAGTTTGCTAGTGTTGTTCGTAGTGTTTTGAGGTACAGGGTACTCAAGCGTGTACAGGAAGAAATGACCCGAGATGAACTTGCTAAGAAGAAAAGTCTGCTCGAGTCGCTAGAACGCAGTGAGCAAGAAGCGAAACGGATCGATCAGTATCTCAGCCATGCAAACCCATCGTCAGCAGCGACGCGGCCGTCTCGATCAACTTCGGCTTCGTCGGCAACGAGCAGTAGCCAGGGGGAACCCGACGGCGGCCGCGGCTCTGAAGATACAGCGTCTGTTGACTCTGATTTCCCACCCACGCATGGCGAGGTCACACCACACCCGTCTGTCGGCCAGGGCACTCCACAGCGAGAGACAGCCGCCCCTCCAGTTCATCGCAAGAGTCCGAGTGGTAACTTTGTCGCCAATCGGATATTCGGCCGAATTAGCCATGCGGTGCATGGCTTTGTTGACGTCGACCCTGAGAGGTCCCGGCGGGACCAGATCGGCAAGACAAAAGAAAGTCTCGTGCAGGTATGTATATCTTATTTGTCTTTCTAAATGTTGGGGTCCATGCTGATCAGATCTGTCTAGTTGGAACAAGCACTTCGGGTATCGGAGAAGGATGTCAAGGATGCTAGTGCCGGCGTGCTTCAAGACTTGAAGAGATTCCAAAAGGAAAAAGAGGAAGATCTTCGTCGGTATATGGTGAGTTTATTCTACCAATATGTATTGCCTTGACCCCACTAATTGTATCACTATAGGTCGCCTACGCGCGGTGCCATCTAGACTGGGCACGGAAAAATCTCGAAACATGGACTGAGGCCCGAGACGAAGTAGACAAGATAGTTGCACGATAGATTCAGACAGAAGCAATGATTTATTTCTTAGAGACGATGGTTTGTATAGGATAGGGCGTATGTATTTGCTCAATGAGACCATGGCTATGATCAATCGAATACAATTAATTCATGTTGATATCGACTCCATGATGTCATACGGCAGTCACAGGTAGCTCCAAGATGCACATATGTATCCTATATGGTAACAATTAAACCACGTAGAGGTTCCCTAAAAGCAACTAAAAACAATATATTAAGATTACTAAGATAGATAAATAAGTAATAATACAACTAAATAGAAAAGATCTCTTAACATATTTATCTAAAATGTTTTAGTGTAATTACTGCCTTAGCTAATTTCTTACAAGAGGAAGATTCATACTGATCATGGTGTTTCATTACATCACTTATAAAATTGCTGGCCTATGATATATTGCTAGACAAGATACTAATAACAGACTTGGACCACATTCTTAGGCATGCCATTCCTCTTATGTGGGTATGGAGACATGAACATTGACTCAATTTGTTCGAACGCGTAAAAAGTCCGAGAACTGTCTACAAAACGTACCCCGCAACCCATTTGTTGCTGCAACTCAAACATCCACAAAATACTTTCAAAACACCTGCTCTCAATTCCAGTACTTATCTCTACATACTAGCTTGTAATACTCGAGATGGATCAAATAACTTCACCACCGCAAACGATCCCAGCGATAGGGATATCTCTTACAGCCTCGTATGGGTAAGACCGCCCACCAAATTCTATGAACATAAAGTCTCACACTTAAACATGCAGAATCCTCTCTCTTCGTTACTTAGATGGTTCCTTCAGAGACGTCGGCCGAGTTGAAGGCAGTCACAATTACATCGAAATGATGCAGCGCCTCTCGTTGTCAAGTGCGAGACACCCTAGGTAAACTGTTTAACATTTATTTATCCCTTAACCTGCCACACTCAGAGTATTAATCAAGATCAGCCGCCCATATTCCTCGATGGAGGATCTTTGGGCCGATGGCCCCCGACAGGCATGGAGAGCGTTTCGAAAAAAACTTGGTCTACCCGCTTCATCGGATGTGAAAATTCTCAGCGAATTAGTGAAGAAGCTTCTTGCTCTAGTCCCGTCGTCATCACTTCCATATGTTGTAATAAGTTATCCAAGTCTTATAGCGCTTTACAGAGAAGACATCTTTGACACAGCAGAATATCTAAGTCTTCGCAAGCTAGAAGGATACTACTATTATCATCCACGTGAAATTATTGCGGCTTATGCTGGACATGGGATGGGATTATGCAGAAACATGCAGAATGAAGAACAATCCAAGAATGAAGGTTGTCAATTACCGGCTCATGGCACCCTTCTAATTGAATATACTGAACAGGCGCTCTTACTTCAGACAGAGATTCTACGTGAAGCAATAGATCTAGGGGATAATGATATTCATGCAGCGGCTTCATTTGAACTAGGCAGCCGCTCCTCCCAGATGGATAAACATGCTTACCATGTGGCAGAGTTCGTGGATCAATTCTTGAGAAAGTGGTACCCCGACTTTCTCATCCCAGGGGAGATTCTGGTTATTATCACAGGGAATATAGACGACACTATACAAGAGGCTATTCTGGAGGTGGTTAAAGGGCTAGTGGAAAAGGTAGAGCTGATTACCTCTCAATCGGAGTATGTTGCTGCTCGAGGCGCTGCGGAACTCGCCTGGAGGGCAAATATCCTGGACAAATCTATATGATGGATTGACAGGGTTTGAGATTATGCAATAAAAGAATACTGCCCGTTTCTCCTATGAAGTGACAGATAGTTGTTAAGCAGTTGAGAGGCAGTTAAATTCTTTAATCAGTGTACTGACCAACAGCTGGAAAGCGAGGTAATCTTGGTAATCTTGGCGACGCTGGCTCTAGATTCACTATTTGTTCTTTTCTTTCCTATTAGGAAGCATATCTCTAGCTAAACTCAAAATTTAAACACATCCACACAGTTCGTTTATATCTAGCAGTTACAGGGTGCCTATCTGCTATGATGTACAACGGTGTTGGTATAATGTATATCAGTGGATCGTATGCAGGAGATGCCGGACTTTTAATCATTATACCAAAAAGGGCGTACAGCACTGAATTCCGACAGCTAGATAAGGATGTTTAGCCATACATAGATACTCGTGTACTATACTGTACAAACCATGTTGGTGGAATAGTATATTTCTAGTGCGCTATTTCATTTAGCTATAAAGGATACTCATATACTATGACCATGTCGATATGTGCGTTCACACAGCATTGATCAACATGTATTGCTCTTATCCGTTGACATTATGATGAACAAAGATAAAGTTGAGGCAATTAGTAAGGTATCAGCTGCAAGGGCCGTAGAATCTGAGGGGCAATATACAGATTTGTAAGATTGAGCCATGTCTTTCGATGGCCATTTATTCCTGTGAGTATTATTATTTGTCCGCGTCATCGCCACTTCTGCCTGGTTTTGCTGACTGATGACTGATTCTAACAATAGCAAAGCCTGCCACATAATACTAATAAAAACAACAATGACAATAACAGTACAGATAACATTGAATATATCTGATAGAACGCGATCACTGTTAATACTCATCAAGCCGCCAGCCAACCAAGTAGCGGGCGTAGGGTAGACTCTTCTCCCCACCGGCTGCCAACTCCACCGGCAGGTCCACTTCTCGCTGTCACCGTCGAATAACAATCGCATCTCGTGTGGCATCGTCCTTTTTTTCCCTTCGCTCTCTTCTCTTCTCCCACAGCCGGCGCCAAACTGACCGTTTAGCCTGCATCCCAGCAGCCTCTCAGCGTTGGCTGCGGCATCGACAGACCCTCTATTTTTTTTTATTTTTTTTTATTATTTTATGATCTTCTTATTTCTGATAATTTCTTATTTTCTCAGCTCAGTTGACCAACCCCGTGATCGCCTCAGATCCATCACCTACCAATGTTCGACTCTTAATAATAATTAACCAACTAGTGACCGGGCTGTACTCTCCGCCTCCACTCCTTACAACCGCCATTGTCACAAATACCAAAATACTCGCCTGTTCTCAGAGCTGCCACTCGACGTGTGCAGCTCACTGTCACCACGTCTCCCTCAAAGCGCCGAAAGGTTGTTGACCAGCCTCGCCCACACTCTGCGGATTCCGGGGAGAGACCTCAGTCCCGTCACAGCCTCAACCTCAACCTCGCCCACAAATACAACCACAACCACAACCACAACCGTCTGAACAGTAATCCTCCCTCATCTCTTCCTGCTCCTGCCGCGCCGCATCCTGACTACTCCCCCTCTTCGGCCTCGCCATCGCCGTCACCGCGCTACATCCCTGCCCACCTGCAAGACGAAGTTCTCGGAGCTGGTGCTGCAGCCCGCTCCCCGACCCCAGAGCCCTCCGCCAACGCAGACTCGCCGTCTGCTGCTTGCGCTGGGCTCACGCTGAACAGCGACCTGGCGACCGACATGTCCAGCTCAGAAAAGGCGTCCAAGCACGACCAACGAGACGTCCGCTCGTCCTCGCCCGCTATCAAGCGCCGCATGTCCGAAATGAACCGCAACGAACCCGCCGCAGAAGACGTGGAGATGGATACCGCAGGGGCTGACCAGCAGCAGCAGCCGAATGAAGCCGACTCGCGCCCGACACAACGCCGGGCTACCTCTGTCGACATGATCGGGGGCGATGGCGATGCTGAAATGGCCAATATTGGCGAAGCGAGCTCAAATACCAGTGCCGATCCCGTCTATCCAACTCCCTCGAGCATGGCAACATACACCAACTCTGCATCGACGAAAGAAGCGATCGCATCACACGAGTCGTCTCTGGCAGCTGAGATCCCTCCCATCGACGAGCAGATTGCCCGTGTGTTGGAACTGAATCGAGAACCCCCAAGGACAAGCAGAAGGGATACGTACTATCTTATAACTGGCTGAATCGCGTTCTAGCTCGGAGCACGCAGGAACCCAACGGCAAGCCGGTTGATAAGAAATTTGGAGAGGGCGAAATCGGACCGGTCGATAATTCTGACCTCGTTTTGGATGTCGATCCTACAAATACATTCGAAGATGAAGCAGGGGAACCGTTTGTGCCGCTCCGCCCTGGCCTGCAGATGGGCGAAGACTTTGAAATCCTCCCTCCGACGGCATGGAATTTGATTATGAAATGGTACGGGCTCGCCGACCAGTCTCCGGCCATCGTTCGCTATGCACACGACACTAGCGGGGGAGATGCCGCGAATATTCAATATGAGATTTCTCCACCAATCTACACTGTACATAAACTACCGAGCTCTGCTAGCGGAATGTCCCATCATACGCTGAGGGACAAGAGTGCCCCACCCGTGAAGTTCCTAGCTAGCAGACAGACCAATTTCCAGAAGTGGCTTAAGAAAGCCAAGGAACTTGCTCATATCGATCTAGCTACAAAGGTCCGTGTTTGGAGGGTTTTGGACGGCCTGGGCAGCACCCAAACGTCTGGCTTCATCACACCCGCCCAGTCTAGAAGTAACTCGCCAGCACCGGGCGCCACTCTAGTTGCTAATGCCGGCAACAGCCTTGTCCTGGACGTCAACACCTTTGCTTCTCTATCTGATGCTCACCGGGAGCTCATTGAGGATGCCAAAGACCAGACTAATAATGATAAATACAACGGCAAATCGACGCTGGATACTTTGGGTCTTGGAGATAATGCGGTTTTGGTTCTAGAGGAGCAAATCGGAGGTCCTGGAGGCGGCGAGTGGGTTTCTGACGCATCAAGAGCGACTCTCAATCGTCTCTCTTTGCCCGGGGCCAATAAAACTGGCGCCGGTAAGATCAAATCAAAAGCACTCACCACCAGCGGCCGCACAACGCCTACATCCGAACCTGTTCGAGGAAGGAAGAAGGATGGACGACCGAAGGGCAACACTGGGTTCACCAACCTTGGAAACACCTGCTACATGGCCTCCGCACTTCAATGTGTCCGTAGCATTGAGGAACTTAGCTACTACTTTCTGAGTACGTCTACATATTTCCGCTAGTTCGTTGAGATGGCTTTCTGACATTTCTTTCTAGATGATAACTATAAAAGGGATTTAAACCCGAGCAACCCGTTAGCTCATAACGGCGAGGTTGCTAAAGCCTATGCAAACTTGCTGCATGCTGTTTACGACGAAGGACCGGCATCATTTTCGCCAAAGCATTTCAAGCACACAATAGGACGATACGGTCCAGCGTTCTCAGGTTATGGCCAACAAGACTCACAGGAGTTCCTTCTTTTCCTTCTTGACGGTCTACATGAAGATCTAAATCGGATTCAGAAAAAGCCATACATTGAAAAGCCAGACTCCACCGACGAGATGGTGCGGAATCCAACTGCCTTGAAAGAATTTGCGGATAGATGCTGGGATATTTATAAAGCTCGCAATGACTCCGTCGTCACGGACCTGTTCGCAGGCATGTACAAGTCAACTCTTGTGTGTCCGGCCTGTGATAAGGTCAGCATCATTTTCGACCCTTTCAACAATTTAACCCTTCAGCTTCCTGTTGAAAATCTGTGGACAAAAGATATTTTCTACTTCCCTCTTCACAAGCCACCCGTTCTTCTTGATGTTGAAATCGATAAGAACGCCAACATTAAAACTCTCAAAGAGTTTGTCGCGCAGAAGACAGGATCCGATCCACAGAAGCTCGTCATGGCGGAGATCTACAAGCACAAATTCTATAAATTGTTTGACAACACTAGCACGCTTGCTGACAGTAACATCAGCCAATCGGATGACATTGGTATTTTCGAGGTTGAAACGGTTCCGACCAATTACAATCCAGACCGACCTAAGAAAGTGAGCTATTACACTTCCTTCAGTAGCATGGACCATGAGGATATTCCCAAGATGGATTCTCCTCGAGCGGAGAAGCTTCTCGTGCCCATTTTCAATCGCGTGCATAGGCCTACCAGTCGGTATAATACTCGACAGACATTTGGTGCGCCTTCATTTGTCGTTATTACCCGAGAGGAAGCTCGCGATTACAACACAGTTCTTAAAAAGGTTTTGCAAGAGGTTGCAACCTTGACCACTCGCGACTTTCTACATGAACCTAGTGGCGAGGATGAATCGGTACAAGATGACACTACCGATTCGGATGCCGTCATTATGGATGCGGATGACGCCGATCCTGATGCAAAAGTCAAAGCTGCTTCTGTGCAGAGTGAAGAAGGTCTAGTGGACGTCTCCATGGAAGATGCTTCAGATGTGAAACCGTCAGCAGAAGCCAAACCAAGCAGCAACGACAAAACTCTTCCGCCGCGCTTCCGAAGTCTCTTCCAGATGAAATATGTCAGGTCCAAGAATGAAGTGATTCCGCTTGGCTTCTCATCTGTTGATGATGCCACTAACTATCCCTTAATATCATCGCGGATACCAAAACCAAAGCCGAAACCCCAGGTCCGGAAGCCCGAGAAGAAGAATGCGTTCAAGAACAGCCCAGATAGCCCGATCAGTAGCGATGATGAGATCGACGCAATCCAATATTCGTCAACCATGCGACCCTCCCGCACTAGCACAGGCTCTACGGAATCTACTCGTCTCCCTAATACTGCTGACAGTGAATCCGATGATGAACTCCAAACAGTCTCCACCAGGCCCAAAGAGACAAAGGAAGAAGCTATTGTTCCTGAAGTACCCGAAGTCGCATACATCCGCCCTGGTGAGGGTATTGTTCTGGACTGGGAAGAGACGAGCTATGATGGAATGTTTGGCGCCGATCCGACCGACCATGATCCGCTGCGTGGGTCTCCTACGTGGACAAACGTAGAGCATTTGCCCGATGAAGAACTTGCGCAGAAAAGGGCTGCTCGGGCTAGCCGAAGAAAACGAGGACTGACGTTAGATCAGTGTCTTGATGAATTCGGTCGCGAAGAGATTTTGTCCGAAAATGATGCCTGGTATTGCCCTCGGTGTAAGGAGCATCGCCGCGCAAGCAAGAAATTCGAATTGTGGAAAACGCCGGATATCCTGGTCATCCACCTGAAACGATTCAGCTCTAGCCGTGGCCTCAGGGATAAGATTGACGAGCTAGTTGATTTCCCGATTGAAGGGCTTGACCTTACTGGCCGAATTGCGATGGCGGAACCTGGCGAGAGCCTTCTTTACGATCTTTTCGCTGTTGATAACCATTATGGCGGCCTTGGTGGTGGACATTACACGGCTTATGCGAAGAATTTCTTCACGGACGAATGGAATGAATACAACGGTATGTCTGTGTTAGAATAATTTAGGTAATTTTACTGACGTTATGTGTAGATTCCCATGTGTCCAGGGCAATCAACCCGAACAAGGCTATCTCAACGGCAGCTTATCTACTATTCTACCGTCGTCGGTCAGACCGGCCCCTTGGCGGTAAAGTTCTGCAGGAAGTCACCGAGTCCTCGGTGCGAGCCGACTCGGACGACCAGGATGACTCTCGCGCTGCATCCCCTTCGGGGGAAGGCCGGCGTCTCGTCGACTCCTCCCGCATTGGGTCGTCGAGCGCCTTAGCCGGAGTCGGAGCAGCTCACCAAGCGGGAGATGGTGGTTTGCCAGTCGGGCTGCAAGTGAAGAGCGTGGAGATTGACCCTAGTGATGACGAAGGCTTGCCACCATACGCAAGATACGAAGATAATATCGATGGAATGGATATCGAACGATCGAATCCATTAACAATGCAACCGACCTGGTCTTTTGACAATGACAATGACAACGACCATGACCTGTTTGACGATAACGATAACGATAGCAACAAAGCCGAAGCTGGGGGGGATGTCGACAGTGACATTGAGAAACTCGTTGACGGAGATAATACCTCCAGCTACAATGTCCCATTCAGTAATCAGATAAACGACGACGACGACGAACTACCTGTTCAAGAGCTATCGGTGCCAGACGATAGCGCCTAACGAAAAGGGCCGGCACGATAGTTTATGAATGTCACTTTTGCTCGTTTACACATTTTCTATACATTTGGTAATCTTCATGCCGAGGGTTCCTCTTTTTGCGTAATTTTTTTTTTTTTTTTTTTTTTTTTTTGCATGATTATGGTTATAGTCAGTTTTTTTTTGCTGGCCGGGGGGGTTAATGATTACTTTTATTATCGGGGGACTTTGTTTTCGGTTGCATTTCGAGTGCGAATCGCAGTGAGATTTTCTATTCTCATTTCTGTGAAGAGTCGAGGGTGGGTGCATTGCATACATACATACATTCACATCATACATTTGCGTGATTGCAAAATCGTGGTTGTGCTGGTGTCATGATGAAGGCGATAGCTGAATTATTAGTCTCTCGCTACTTGAATAGATCAGCCTTGTCGCATCGTCTATGATATTAATATTCATATCTAACAATATTGCCCGTGATCCTGGATTTCGATGTTTGTGGCTGCTAACTCGTGCACTGCGGTGCCTAGCACCGCCACAGTTGACCACATGGGCGCTGAAATTCATGCAGCCTGTTTATGTAAACTCAGTTCCTTGCATGATCCCCCGATCGTTCTCGTGGACTAGTAAAAATACCTCCGTAATCGTACATGTATTATGCATAAACTTGTTTGTCTGTCTGTCAGCCTTACAGGCTCAGCTGCTGATTAGCCCTAACCCGTGAGCCTTTCCAGAACAGGAAACCCGTTGCCCGCCCGTTTTCTGAAAACGAAACGTGACAGCAGCAGGGAGACTGGGATGACCGGGGCAACGAGAGTCATGGTCATGGTCATATTTGTGCTCCAAAAAGGTTCAATGATAGAAGGATTTACTTTTCGTCATATGTCGCAAACGAGAAACCCTCGTGAGGCTCAAGTCGACACGTATGTAATTACTGCCGGGCGGTGAGTCATCTGTGGCACAGCCTGCGTCGAGGCGCCTGACCACACCACAACCACGCCCAGCGCCTGACCCTGGTCTCTCCCATCGACCTCGCAGCATTAGCTGTGGTAGCCTGCGTGCCTGTCCGTTGATGCTGTAGCCTAGCATGTCGGAATCCCATCCTAGCTCCGGTGTGACTGGTAGTGAAAGCCCGGTGGAGACGCGAGGGAATATATGTCCTTGAACTGACCGTGCCACATGTACCGGTCTCGCTCTCTGGCTCAGTTCATGCTGGCTAGGCCTGTTGCTACAGAAGAGCTCCAGGTCAGTTTGCGCGAAACCGAGTCACTTCAGTCGGTCAGCTTGTTCAGACGTCAATAAGATGAGATGTCAGAAACAGTTGGACAGAGTACGTGACATTTTTCCTGCTCCTGCGGTTCCGATATGTTGCCTGGGTATCTGCTTAAAACCCCTGCAGTTGTCTTAAACCCAGCTGTGGCTCGAGCAGAAAAAGAAAGGAAAATATAGCCGCTTTTCGAATATTTTCTCCGCGTTTCTCTGCAAACTCCGCCTCGATAGAGATATAGTCGATTCCGTTTTATACATATCAAGCCTTGTTATTGTATGAATATACAACATTGAATTTATTGGTATCTATTCATTATCTAAATCTATTATTCTTATTGTGATAGACTGTATCCATGTCTCATTACTATTATTTTATCTGGTTTCCCCCATTCATCTTCACGGCCTAATAGAAGCACCGCTCACCCAAAACAACCAGGCGGCCGCAGCTGCAGTCCGTTTATCACCGCCCTGGCAACACATCTTGTTTGCCACTTGTCATGGACGAGTATTACCGTTACGGCCACAATTACCACCTACCCATCTACGGCACAGACATAGACGCAGATTACCGCGATGAGCTCCTGGATCTTCTCTATTATCGATGCTCGAAAGGACGAGAAACCCCTCAAAACCTCCTCTTGGATCAGACTGTCTCTGACCTGGATTCGGATGAAGACGTGCCTGAGGCGTGGCAAGACCTTTTTCAAGACCTCGCCAGGCAGTCAGTGGACGCCCAAGAAGCACTGACCTGGGAAAGGCTGTGGGACTACGAGGACAAATACAATCAGCCCATGTTATCTGAGAAGGATTCTGCCGAAATAGCCTGTTTTGGTGAAGGCGGAGGAGACGATGAAGGTAAGACTTTCCTTTCTTTTTATTGTTTATATACCAGTCATGGTCGTGCATATACACAAAGTCATCGTCAAAAAAATCACGATGATCACGACTTCAATACCTTCAACACCAACACCCTTTCAAAACAAATGAATCACATGTTTCTTTCAATGAACAGCACACAAGGAATGGCATCTGCATTCGTTTCCTCTATTCACCTGCCGGCCTTCTTATGCTGAAAACATCATATCAGATTTCTGTGTCATATCTCCATTAGAAATACCCTCCTATCTCCAACCCAGCCCCTTGACAAGTGACTCTACATCCTCTCTATCAGACAGCAGTCTCACCATGGTCCTCTCGCAACCGGCCACCCGCTCTGAACGAATCATCGATCCTGAAGATCCTAACGAAGGCTCAGATCTAGGGCTCTCTGATTCGGAGCGTCCGGGCTTGCGTCCTCAATACTTTGACTTCCTCCCCCCAGACCACATCCCCAAGAGCCCTCCTATACCAACAACCCGCGCTGAAACAATCACAGTTACCTTGGGCAACGTGGAGGTTCCATACACAGGCATGAAGCAAAACATGGATTATCGAAATGTACCATCACCAATCATGCAACCTAGATCTCCAGACCAGCGTCGTCGCCAGCCATCACTTAAAGAGTTTCGCAAGGGTCCCCAACGTCGTGATTTCGTCGAAGAATGCGTTGCCACAAACACCGTGGTAAATATACCACAAAACGAAGAAGACTACACATATCCCTCACCGTTACCACCACCACAACATGCCGAGTTTACTAGACGTGCCGTTAATCTGATGGATCATCCCAGTAACTCTGACATCTCCCTCTTTCATATTGGATCGCCTGTCGCCAGTATCGCATCTGCACGTCGTCCTCCTTCTTTTGATCTGCCCGTTTCAGATGCCGCTTCGTCGCCGCCTATTCGCAGTTACACGAACCATCCAAACACAGAAAGGCAGTTTATTTGGCGACTCAATGGTGTTTGTGCGCCAGCCATACTTTCAGTGGACGCTCCTGTAAGCAATGATACAAGCTGGTCTGAGCCTAGTACACCGCGGTCGGGAGGTTCGGGGAAATCGTCTCTAGGTGGAGTATTTGCACTTGATGAGGAGCTAGATGTAAGTTCCGCTTACTAGCGATTTTCTAATTGGTGGCTGAATGCTAACAACGGTCACGGATACAGCCGAATTCACCTCACCGTTCTTGATAAGATAAACCCTTATATTTCAATATACCTAGTTTTGTTTTGTTTTGAACTGCGGCTATTTGGCATTTTTGTGATGATGTACATTGATCTCCAGTCTCGATTTTGATTTGGTTTTTCAGGTTTAGTGAATATGGCATAATACCCAAGGCGTTTGGTGGGTTGGGAGATGGGAAAGGCATAGAATATGGTATCGAGGGCAGCTTCGTATTGCATTATTCTTTACAGAACTTTGGCTTGTTTCTCCACGTGGATAGATCTTGAGAATGGACTTTATTTCTTATTTGAAGTATTTTTTTATTTGATGTGATGGTAGACTACGATATCGAGTACCTTTAAGGTAAATAAGCTATTATACGCACGAGGCAAATATTGCCATTTGCCCTCTCCTACATCATTCTATTTAGCTCTCCTTATCAGACTGCGACCAGTCCCATCATTGTACCTGACTCCTTTCTATTTCTTCATACGTATATATACACATAGCTCATACGCTAATGACCGTAAGAGTTCCAGACTGCATATCAACCCAAATAAGAAAGTTTCAATTCTTCATGGCAAGTTATTTCTGTAGTACCTCATATTCGCCCTTCACAATACCCGGTAACTCCTCCAAGAGGCTCGGTCCAACTGGCTTCCAGCCCAATAACTTGCTAGCACGCTTCGCTGTTCCACGCGAATTCATTCCCCAGGTCGACCCTCCGTACTTGACGGCCGTTTGAAAATCCATATGTTCAACCTTTGCCTCCGGAATAAATCCCTGCTTTGCAGCTTCTTTCGCCACAGCATGGGAAATGTCCCCCCACACATGTTCACCATTTTCAACTAGATAATACGCGTTGGCACCCCATAGCCCATTATCGTTTTTGCCTGCAATGGCGGCATCGGCAAGAAGAACGAATAGGTTGCTGAGATCGTGGACGTGCACATTATTCCAGACGGATTTCCCGGCGCCGAGGATAGGCGCGAATTTGAGCTGGATGGTTGCTCGCGCGAGTGCATTTACCTGACGACTTCTCTGATTGACTGGCCCGCGACCGGGTCCTGTGTCGTGTTAGTTCTAGCAATGCAAGTCTGCAAAACGAAAAGAACTCACCGTAGATAGTTGGCGGACACAAGACTGCCGTCTTCACTTTATCGGCAAATTTGGTGCCCGCCTCAAGCACGATTTTGTCGACATTACGATGGAAGGCGTGGTCGGGTAGATGGGTTAGCTCGTCGACCCGATCCCAGTCGTCATACACCTTGTCATCGTATTCGCCGTATACCTGTCGATCGGAGTCTGCAAATGTCAAGATACCAGTTCCACTGGTGTGCAGCCAATAGCCCGGGTTAGAGGCATTGTGTCCTTCTGCAAGACCGGCCGCAATAGCATTAGCAGCGACAACATGGTCGGATGAATCGGCGGTGTCTGGGCCATATACAGTTAGCAAAAGACTTTTATATTCTCGCGCTTCTGCGCCAGATAGAATACTCACGAAGCACAATATCAGCACTCGCGGCTTCCTTCTTGAGGAGCTCGTAATCGTCTAAACTGCCAATGATAATGCGGATACCTGGGAACGCGGTTTTGATTTGATCGGATTTGCTGTCATCTCGTACAAGGACAGTGTACGAGAACTCGGGATGCTTCTTGTGAAGTGCGTATAGAGCGTCACCGCCAATGTAGCCTGTGACACCGGTGCTTGTAGGATGTCAGAAAAGCGGGGGTTGGATAGGAGTTAAGCTCACAGGAAGACCTTAGTCATTTTGTCAGTGTTACGATCTTGGTCTCTTAAATTCCACTAATAGTATTTCGACAATGAAAATGACTGTCGTGCTCATTTAATACCTCAGAGCCACGGATACAATTAATAATCAGTGATGAACAGAAATGAAGTCATCGCCGCGATGACCAATAATGCGGGGGATAAATTCATGTCCCCGGAACAAAAAACAAGCCAGACCTCTCATTGGCCAATGTTGGGTCACTTGCCTGTTTAAGTCTGGTGGTTGGGTGGCAGCTTGCATACATAGCCAATCAGACTAGATATACATATTGAGACCTACACTTGCTGATCATCTGATAACTTGTGGGATATATTATTATGCACCCTGCTATTTCCACTATCTATCACATCATTCATGATATTTCCAATCGGAAACTGAAATGTATAGTGAGGAAGGAAGTCGACAGAATATAAAAGTCTGGCATTAAGGCGACGAATTCTGCCACTGCGACTAAACTAGAGTCAACCCTGAAGACACAAGACTTGGCTGTCTATATTGCCATGAAAGCAGAGCCATCCTACATGTAACCCCTGTTGCTAATATTAAAATCATTTCCCTGCTAATTCTGTCTACCAAAGTCATTAACTAGCCATTAAATCTTATTCGTTGTAAGAACATCGAAAATTTCTTACTGCCGGATTTGCAACCGAGTGAACTCGGAGAACACTCCACCGGAACCCCACTCTAAAAATATATAATATCAAAAATTTAATTTCATAGTGGAATCGATATCAATATTTTCGCTGTTAAAATCGATTAGTTGATGCCCAGATCGACCATCAATTAATTACTGTAGGGAATTATTTCTTGCTTAAAGAAAAGTAATCGATACTGTAGTAACTCTCTTAACAAGATCTGGATGCGTAGATTTAGCGATACAACTGGTAGTTCATGTTAATATCAACTGAATCCGGACTACAGTCACCCGTGACCAGACAGTGTGACCCCATCTAACATCCCTAGCGCAGCATAATTGGCTTTATAGAAGCCGTCCTCAACTACACAGGCAAGAGAGATATCTCCAAACACCATAGTGCCAGGTTGTAAGAAATGCAATGACCTTGATCCTATAGACCGACAAGAACAATCCAAAGTGTTTATTTTGATTTGATAAAATATGGAAAAAGAATACGCCAAACTTACATCCTTTATTGAGGCCAGAGCTGCAGCACATCCGAAATCAAAATTTCTCGTTGCAATTGCCGGTGCCCCTGGGTCTGGCAAAACCACTATCGCCGCAGAAGTTGTTCGGCGTATCAATGAAATACATCCGCCAAAGCTGCATTCAGATGTAGCAGATGATACAACACCTGGGGAGATCCCCCATGCTGCGCTTTTGTCAATGGACGGCTTCCATCTTCCTCGGTCAACACTCGACACGCTACCAAACCGCACAGAAGCGTACGCGCGCCGCGGAGCACCGTTTACATTTGACTTGAAATTATTTTTGGCTTTTATGACTGCGCTCCGCAAATGGGGAGATTGTTCACCTTCGGGATTGTTGACGATCTACGCCCCTTCATTTTCTCACACAAAAAAAGACCCCATTCAAAACGGTATATCGATCCCTGCAAGCACGTCGATTCTTATCATAGAGGGGAATTATCTTCTGCTTAACGAGCCTGGGTGGAAGGAGGTAGCATCGATGGTGGATTTGCGGGTGTTGATCTCTGCTGATCTAGCTGTCACCCGGGACCGTGTGGCGCGTAGACATGTTCGCGCAGGAATTGAAGGAAGTTTGGAGGATGCATATAGGAGGGTCGATGGTAATGATACTTTAAATGGGCGATTAATTCAAGAGAAAGTGGTGGATGGGGTGGATTTGGTGATACATTCTGTTGATGATGAACATTGTTCATTGACGCGTGATTGAAATACTTCGAATTTTGAACAATAGTACAATCTATAATACAGAGGATACATAGCTATATGTACCGGTACATTCCAAATCCAGATACAAAAATTTATTCTCTTGGTTCTTCGGGCACTCCACCAGACATACCTCTAGCCCCTCCTGAATCATCAGGCGGCTGAGCGACATTCTGAGACAATGCACCGATTTTTTCCTGGGCTCTATTCTTTGCATCTTCCGAGACTCGTGGATTTTTAGTTGCTCTTCTTTGTGTTAGTCTCAAGATTCAATTGCCAAGGCAAAGGCACGTACGCTTTCAAACCGCCCTGCACACGAGTCGGGTCTTTGGTCGGATTTCTCAACTGATACAAATCCTCGCGGACCTGATCACCTCCCATTGCGTCAATCATTTCTTGTGCATGTTGTTTTGCGGGCTCCGAGTTACGCGGGTTGTTTATTGTGCTGGATTACAATTGGTTTAACACGCATATTTTGCTCAAATCGGATACATACGCTTTATATCCACGAAGGGCGTTGACACGGTCCTCGGGCGAAGGACCAGCGGGATCGAGGTCTTCAAATGGAGATACCATTGTGCGGTCAAACAATTCAGCTATTGCAGTTGACTTAGCAAAGAAGTAGGTCTAAAAGGAATGCGGATATCAGCGCACGATGAAAAAAAATATTGTTGAGATCAAGTTGGTATAGCACGACACGTACGGGGAGCTTATAGAGTGGCCAGTGGCCATGCTTATCTGCCACCACATGGCGAATGGCGCAGGATGTGGCTGGGCATGAAGTCATTGCGATGTATGGCCATCGCCATAGATGGAAATATTATATCACAGAGGCGACTTTTGGGACAATTGATGTCATTCAAGATAGTTAAAGTAGGGTTTGAAGGGAGTGTTCGTTTTAAGCTTATGTTTAAGTTGGGAATGAAAAGTTACTTCAAACTTACCAGTTAGACCATCAAACTTATTAATTTATAATTTTCAATAAATCAACTTATCTCCTAATTTTATATGTGCCTGAAGGAACGCCGTTTACTAAAGTCGATATAGAAACGGCCGGAACTGAAACCCGCATGACATCTATGGGCAAAAGCCATTCCAAAAAACACAGTATACTAAACGTCAGAAACAAACACTATAGAAATTTGCCGCCGCCTCGTTAGGAGCTTTATAAATAAAGGCAAACTGCGTCCGGATCTCCCGCCGCTGTCGAGGTAATGCATTTTACTTTCCCAACATAGTCAGTCAGATAACGAAGACCTACCATAGTGTCAAAATGACAACGCGAGAAGAAAGAGAAGGCGACGACAGCTACGAAGACAGCAATGATGTCGCCCCGATTCCCACGACTCCAGTAGACGACTCATACGTTACAACCGAAACCGATGCCCGACTACCAGTGCAAAAGGACGGCGTGGACTATGACGATCCAGTACAGCCACCCTACTCAAACTCGGATGAGCAATTAGGTATGTATCTGAAATATTTCCTCTGAACTGGAATTAATAAGAAACGATGCTAATATGGTCCCGAATGTGGTTCTTAGCCGATGATGAGAATGAAGCAATAGATAAGGCCAATATGTTACCGGGAGACCGACTGCGGCATGCTCGTCCGCGCGGAAATTATAGTGAAGGTGCAAATGAGGATGAGTTGCCTCAGGCTGTCCGGGAAGGGAATTTAGGACGGTCAGCCACGCTAAAGGCAGTTGAATAGCGGTTACCAGTCAGATTTCAATGAGTTACTAGTATACATATGCAAATTTCATTTCACAAGACAGTATACCCGTGATTTTTGATATTATTTCGTAGGGAGTTTAGTGTAACGCGTGTTAAAATGAGGACAAAAATGCAAGCACGAATGATGTTCTGTATGTGCGATCCGGACCAGTCCGTAGTGGATCTCATAATCCTAAAATACGGACTCCGCAGTGGTCTAGAACACGACGTTAATTGTAAAAAGCATCAAACCAGCACCCTGGCATCATTGGATGAATTGTTAAATGACACTTTTCACTGTTTGCCGGTGGGCATATCGTTCCGATAGCCCTGTGGGTGGTGGCTTGCCAAGACGATGCGAAAACTAGGTGTAGCGCAACCGATTGGTTTAATGGTAAAATTGTCAGGAACGGATATATCCGAAAAAGTATTCCAATTTTGAGGCTGACGTGTTTTCAGAAATGGCTTTAGAAATGGCTTTAATTAAAGGATACTGAGATGGGTCCTGAGGGAACATTCGAATAAGCTGAGATATTATTGAGAGGAGTCTAGTCTACAAAAATCACTGAGAGCTAGGTATAAGCCGTAGCTTTGGGCGTAGTGGTAAATAATCAAGTGTCATCTGGATCTTTCTAAGACACCCAGTCATAATCCGGCAAATTGTGCTTATCCGTGCTGGAAAAAGCGCCTGCAGAGAGCTTCTGTACAAATGCTAAGAGTCTTGTCAAAGTGATAAAAGCAAAGATGATGTTTCGTAGCCATATTCCCCAAGCTGTCTGGGGCGCAAGAACCGTAAGAAAAAATCGTGGAATCTTTTGCATGTCATTGATAATGGGTCGCATCTGCTCTTCGTAACCCCTGAGTGCTGCTGCTAGATCGCCTTTGTGCTTACCCACTTCTCCAGCCAACACATAGGCGCCGGCCATAGCGAGGCTGGTTCCGGTACCAGTAGGGCCTGGTGCATAACCTGCATCACCAACCAGCACAAAGCGACCTTTGTATATGCTGGGAACCTTGACCTGGACAATCTCGCTGGCGTAGAAGTTCTGTGCCTCCATTATTTCCTTGCTCAACTCATCGCAAATCCAGCCACATCCTTTAAAGTGATTAGCTATGTATTTCTTCAGCGCATCGTCTCCTTGCTTCAAAGCTTCACGAAACGGCAGCGTAGCGTCGGGATTATCCGGTGGGTGGAAATTCATTGCAGCAATTCGGGTGACGCCAGGTGAATCCGTCGCGATGCCAATAAAACGGCCACCGGGAGCATTGTATGCGTGTCCCAATTTGGTTCCCTTAAGAAGGTCTTGCTTTATTGAAAAGTAAGCTGCCCAGCAGTTCGCCGGCGTAATGTGATCACGAACAGCGCAGCCAAGCCCTATGGCGCGGGTCCTCGAATTGCCACCATCGCAAGCAACCACAAGGTCAAACTCAGAAGGGGGTAGGCCGTTTGCGAATTCAACGGTAACTGGACCGTCGCCTTTTTCTTGCTGCCGGATCGATGTGACCTGCTCGCCAAAAATGTAGGTGATATTTTCGTTGTCTTTAGTCATGTCGAAAAGAATTTGTGATAGATCGCCGCGGAAGATCTCATACTCGGACACTAGTGATTGCTGATCCGGGTTTCCAGTGGCCCCGAGAGTTCCATATGATTGACCGTTGGTGTTGACGAAGCTAACACCTTCCATAGGTATCATTTTCGATCGCACAGTCGCCTCCATCCCGGCCATCCTCCGCATTACCGTGACGCCAACAGTTCGAATATCGACATTCTGTCCATTTGTACGTAGTTTTGGAAAGCGCTCGATGATAGTAACTTTTGCTCCAGCTTTGGCAAGCCAGTAAGCGGCCGTCGGGCCTGCGATGGATGCGCCCACGATAAGGACTCTTGGGTTGGACATAATAGGAAGTGGTTTGGAAGTTTGGGAACATACCGCAGCACATAAAATCTCGTTGATTATATAGCTGAATTCATACGCATCTCGGGCGAGGATTCTCCTGAGGCCGAAGCGGCGGGTTTCTTGATTGGTTGGTTGCGAGCAAGCCGGACACCAAGGCCCGAGGTTTCAACCAATCACAGGAAGTATAGATGCTCAGCCATGAATCAATGTCAGTCATATACAGTGAAAACAGGCAGTAATTATCCTGGCTGCTGTCCATCTTGCACTTGATGATCCTGGATCAGCTGATCCCAGACTAACCAGTTGGCAGGGTCAAAATCGAAATCGATATCTGGATTGAGATCAACCTCACTAGAGAGGTTGCTTATTGATGTATTCGTGTCGCCTGTGGATAACCAATTGCTCGGCGAAGTTGAAAATGTATCTAAGCTGTGTAGGTTCGTTCTCATGCCCTGTTTCATTGCTTGGTTCTGGAGTTTTTCTTTCCGTTTAGTACGCAAGGTCGCGATAAAGGTCGGTTCCACAGCAAGACTGTGCGATCCGTGGATATCCCAAGCTTTCAGTGTGAGGCATCTAAGCGCTACATGCAGCACTCGCTTTGAATCTATTATCTCATAGTGACTCTGGTAGATTTGTTCTACTTTCTTCCAAGCAGACTCTTTTTCCGTCTCCAGCAAAGTATCGTAGTTTTTGCAGAAGCTAGTCAGGACGAAAATCAATGAATCCCACGTACCCCATAGGAAAAAAGACCTCACAAACCATCGGTATTTCTGAAGACCGGGATGGGTGTAAATTGCCGTGTCGCTGTCGAGAATCTTTTGGGCATGTTGGAATAATTCCCTCCGCTCTGCATTTGTAGCTGTCTCGTTCCTGATTTTGGACAGTCCAATCCGAAGGCGCATGGCGGTAATCCCTGACCTGGCAGAGCCTATAGCCAAAAAGTGTAGCGGGTTGACGATATCACAGTAGCGGATAAATTTCTTCTCAATTTCGCTTTCAGTTTCATCAATGGCTAATTCGGCCTCGTGGAGGTCTTTAAACTGCCAGGAATTTGTATCGTTGGAGGGTCCTCCCAACCGGGAAAGATATGTTCCAATACGTAAGCGTAATAGGCAGAAGATCATCTCAGTTGCACCCTTTTGTTCTTCTGGCATCTCTGCCATTCCCGGCCAAATGTGATCATCGTTTAAGTTGAGAGGCGATTGCACGTCCCACGTGACAGGGATGGTTGGCATCTCAGCCCCTGATAATTGACAAGCGGTCCCTTCCAGAGGCAGTAGTTGGTAAAACAATCGCCGTCTCATTTGCACATCAAATGGTGGCAGACCAAGTTTTTCCCCATCGCGATGAAGTCCCATGCGTTGGGCAATTCGAACTGCAACCCCTGTCAAAACCCAAAATGTCTGTGAATCATAATGGTATTGACAGGGAATTAGGAAAAGAACGAGTGCTTGTAGTACCGGCATCTCAGTGGTTTTGAGAAAGGATGCATTGACTAGGGCTTGCTGCGCCGCAAAGCGATAGCGTTGCATCAATATGGCGCGCGACTGCCCTAACCTTTGACCACAGTCCTCCTCTGTCATGGAAAAAACCGCGAAATGATATATAGCAAACATTAAGCACTCATCAGACTTCGACACAAGTGTAGGCTGCTGTGAAGCTACCTGAATCAGTTTTGCGGCCGACGGAATATGGAGAATCTTGCAAAGAGGCTCTACATTCTCAATATGCGTTTGGAACAGTACCATAGCCGTAGTGTGGGTCGGATGATATTGGACAAGGCTTTGATGAGTATTTATCAATGCACCCGTCAAAGGATCTGGGGTGACACCATCTACGAGGATTTGATCCTCCTCTTGGTCATCATCGGACATAGCTTGCACCCCATCATATCCTAGGCTGTGCAAGATATTGCTGTCCATGTATCTAGACTTACCATGACTGGCTAGAAGCTTTCCCTTCCTTGTTAGCTGCGGATGGAAAGTAGCTGGTTCATGCGGTGCTTTCTCTCCAGCAAAGATTACCGTGTCAGCGTCTAGGAGGTCATGCTGCCGAAGGATACGCTCATATTGAGCGAGTTTTTCAAGAACACCGTCACTCAGCTTTCTCTTGCGCGGTACAGACTGAGGCGCCTGATAGCAGCACGAGAGCTTGCCTCTACGGCAGCTAGAACATATTGGCGTTTCCTTATTGCATTTAACTTTGCGCTTTGCACAGGAATTGCAGGCATAAAGCATCGTAGTTTGAGATGAAACCCCATTCCCGCCGAGAACTGTTGACCCGGGCGCTGGAGCGATAGCCACTGGTGTGCTGCGTGCTAGGACATCTGCAGGGGCCATTTGGTTCCGGTTCTACATTGAAACATAGGCGAAGGTCATTATGCTACCGACTGTGAACTACCTTGAGCCCAGATAATTCTGCATCTGACCTGGGAAGACACCGGTGACATACAAGATAATACAGCATGATCATCCCCGCTGCACGAGAAGGAAATCACGTGCTGTGTCATCACGTGATCTGTTTACAGTATTTGCATTGTCAACGGGCGCAGTCGAGAATCATTCTTGGTGAATATGAATCGACTCGGGAAATTGCTGGAATATCATCTCAACAAGTGTCTGCCCCGCGCACCAATGGAATGTCTCATTCTTTGTTATTCGCACAGAAGCCGGTCCTGTAATTGGCAAGTCTGAGACATTTGCACGGCTTCGATGTCACTTAAATCGGGTGTTTGATTTGTATCGGCAGGTCAAAGTGCCGAAATTGCCCCCAGCGCGATAATAAAAGTATTATCCGTAGCATCCGCAAGTCGCATTCTGAGGGACCCTGTCAATAATAATAATTTGATAATGGTTATGGGGAGCCTAGACGTCGTAAGCCAAATGCCACAGCTTAAGCCTGCCTCCACATGGCCCCTGCTCGCTGGCCCAGCTCTCTAGTTTGTGGCGGTGTGGGCTATTCGATAGTCTAGAATGTAGGAGCGTCGGCGATCGATTCCGTCTCGATCGAATTCGCCGTGGCTTGTAGGTGCGAACCGATGCGAGGAATGCCGACGCCAAAAGCACTATTGGCAGTCTGGAATGTGCCCAATCTCGCCGTGAGACAGCGCATAGAGTCAGCTTACTCTCATCGAACACGCAGCGCACCTCGAAATTTGCATCAGGTAAACATGATCAGGCAGCGGCTGGTTGTGTAGGGGGATATTTCTTTTGTTTCATGTGTCGCCTTCGGCCGTTTTGAAACTGTAGAGCGCGAGCGATCACCCAAAGAACGGTCGGCCAGGTCGGCCTGCAGGGGATTCTGGTCGCTGACTGGCTGCGAGGTGCGCCATGAAACCGCCGCGCGGGCGCCACGGGCTTTATTCAGGAACCAACAGCCTCTCTCCACCTCACCCAACTACACAGCCAGGACGTGTAGGATGCTTGCAAATCGCTGTCAAAGAAGACCTCTGCTCGGCGTGGTTGCTCGACAAGCGACGCCAGCATGGGTCGCTCGCAGCCAAACGGCAGTCGCAGGCGATGCCCGGTGTGCTCCTTCCCCCGCCGGCAATGGGCGGTAATAATAGTAATAACACCAATAACAATAGCAATAACAATCATGCTATGAGTAATCCATACCAATAGTGCTGCTAGCACTGCGACTGCTCCTGCTCCTAAACTAATATCTCTTCTCTCTCCTATCTTCTCTCCCTCTTCTCTCCACTTTCTCTATTCTGTGCTTAAAATATTCCCTTGCCCGCCTCTGCACGCCGCGTTCGTTCTGTTTCTGCTGGCAGTCATTCATTCATTCATTCATTCATTTCCACGCCTCCGTGCCCACTCATTCCATACCAAGACCACACATTCCGATCAGGATATACGGTCGTTTCATTCTCTTGCTGAAACAAGCCACCCAGATTGCTCCTATTTTATCCGCCCACTGCCGTAATTGTTTCCCCAAAGAACCCGAATCATCAGGCCGCTGGCTCGTTCTGTGATTGTGTTCTATCTTGAGGATGCCATCGTCACTCTTTGGCCTGGGAGCTTTTGCTCTGTCTATCTCCCCAGTGCTTGCAACAACATACAATCTTGTCCACAACTTCGACTCGACGAATTTCTTTCAAAATTTCTCACTTACTAGTGGTGCTGATCCTACTCATGGGTATGAAATAGCCTATGCTTTGCCGAGTGTGCCGAATTTGATGCTAACTTCCTTCTAGGTTTGTCGAATATCTCGACTACGACACGGCCCAGAGTGCAGGCCTGGTCAGCACCAAATCTGGCAATGTCTATCTCGGTACTGATCATACAAATACCTATAGCACCGGCGGACGACCCTCGACTCGCGTAGAATCCAATGTTTTCTTTGACCAGGGCCTTATGGTTGCTGACTTCGCTCATATCCCTGGGTCTGCCTGCGGTGTCTGGCCTGCCTTCTGGACGGTGGGTTCCAGCTGGCCCGCGGACGGTGAAATTGATATTATCGAGGGAGTCAACAATCAGGCTACCAATAGCATGGTCCTACACACCCAGGGGAAGTGTGACATTGTCAACAATGCCCAAACCGGACAGACTTCTGCCACTAAATGCGCCCTATCCGATGGCACCACGGGTTGTGTTGTCAAAGGGACTAAAGGAAGCTTTGGTGATGATTTCAATGCTCTCGGCGGCGGTGTGTACGCTATGGAGTGGACCTCGCAGTTTATCAAGATCTGGTTTTTTCCTCGCGATTCTATTCCTGCATCCATCACGGCGGGCAAGCCTGATCCTAGTGACTTTGGCACCCCCATGGGTGACTTCCAAGGTTCATGCAATATCGGCGACGAGTTCAAAGCCCAGAAGATCGTCATCAACACTGATTTCTGTGGTGACTGGGCTGGTGGTGTATTCGGTTCATCTGGTTGTACTCTCAGTGACGCAAGCAATCCGACTGCAAGCTGTAACGCTTACGTTGGCGCTAATCCAGCTGCCTTTGTTGAGGCGTACTGGGAGATTAAATCGATCAAGATCTACGAGCAGGGCAAGGATGTACCACCCTCATCGACAACTGCTACTGCTACAATCGCCACTACCACAACTACAACCAAACCAGCATCCACAACTGCAACTACACCGAAACCAGAACCCACAACAACCACCACAATGCTCTCTACTAGTACGAAAACAACCACTCGCACGCTCGCGCGCACCGCACCCTCCAGCTCTGCTCGAGTTCTACCTTCGTCAACCCCCTGTCCGTCAAAGACTACTCTAACGGTTACCTCTTTCACCACCTCGCCGGCGTCCACAGATACCGCGGTGGCGCCTGCTTCCTCGAAGCTGACTACCACAACCATAGTCACCACATCATACGTTGACATTTGCCCAAGCGGATACACGACGAAGACAATTACGCACACCGTTACGTACTGTCCTGCAGACACCACTTCAGGCGGTGTTCCTCCAGGCTTCACAACAACCTCCAAGGCGTGTGCCACTGGTTGCGGCAGTGGCCCGACGACGGTCGTTGTCACAGTCCCCACGGGAGTTCCTACTGCAGTTGTCAGTGCCACTGCAACGAGAACTGCGGTTGTCAGCATTGAAACTCAAGCAACTTCTTTGCCAGCCCAGGCCACAACTACGCCTGCTGCCCCAGTTGCTACATCCGCAGTTCTCCCTGGTTCTTCGATCGTCGTCCCACCCGCCGTGCCACGCGTTTCGTCCTCACCGGTCATTTTACCCTCATCCTCAGTAGTAGTACCGCCTAGAGTTACTTCATCATCTACACCTGGATCTGGCAGTTCAACAACTACCGGAGTCAGCCCGTTGTTCACGAACGCTGCTGGTCACAGCAAACAATTTTCCATGGTTCACGGGCTAATTGTTGCTCTTGCAGGCGCAGCTATTTTCATTTAGACTTGGGACCATCATATTTATCATAGCATTTAGATATCCTTGGTTTTTGTCTTAGCTTGTTATTCTTTGGTAAATGTCCATGTAATTTAGTGTTCACGGGCAGTGTTAGATATTACTTGCACATACTGAAGGAAACTAATTAATAGAATTGATTTGGTTGATCACATGTTTTCTTTTTATTTCCTAAGCTCTGTTCAAGTTTACCCAATCCCACTACTAACCGCTATATGATTAGGGCTAGACTACGGCCCGCTCTAAGGATTTATTATCGACCAGAACATACCAAAAAGCGTAAGCAACGACTTTCCTGTCAAATTACCCTTTTTGCGCACGGGGTTTAACCTTCTATTATATTATTAGATACTATAACAGTTTATCTCCGCGTGGCTAACCTGATATTCATTTGTCAGTGGAGTTCCGAACCCTATTTACCATAGCTTCAAGCAATCAATTGATATGTTGCTTTAATCAGCTAATTGGGTACTCAAATGTATCCCGGAAACGATTGTATTTTGTTCCAAAAAATTATCTCAATTCTACTTATCCTTGAATATAATGAGCCGCATCTTGAAAATATGCTGTCCTCAAGACCATTACTGCTCTCTATTTAATCTTTAGTGATTATTTCATTCTCTCAATTGAGAATTACATTAATTGCCAATTTTATTGTAGGAATATGTATGACCGTGATCATTTATGTAATATTCATCATTGCCATTACGTATACAGGGAATGGGTAGGTTTATTGTCTTAGTATTAAGAATGACAATTAAATTTTCTGTAATAATTTTCTCTCTACTATTTATTTATCTTATCATTTTTAACTAATTCAAGAGCCATTTTGAGTTTGTTGAAAGATGACATTGAAAATTCCCGAAACGTTAGGCAGCCCGTTAACTGTAACCAACATGTCGGCGATGAAAGATGATGGATTATTCCAATCTCTCAGCCATAACTTGATGTGAAATATCCGAATTTTAAAAAACTTAGAATTTGAAATCAAATCCTCTGCATACTCTATACAATAATATACTGACTATCAAGCTTCTACCAAATGATAGATACATAGAATAATCAGAGTGTTCAATGTAGTGACATTGGCCCCACTTCTAAAAAAGGCAAACTTGGGGGCCTTACGAATCCCTCCAGTGAAAATCGCCCAACAGGAATCCCTTGGATTCAAACCAGTCTAGTCTGTAGGTTAATTCATCCGAAGCTGATTGTTACCCGTGACTTACTCCCTGTAGTGTAACGATGGGATGTAACAATTTGGCCTCGGTAAACAACCCGATTGCCCCAATCGGTCATGCCATCTATCAGCATATAGCGACTAAAGAGTCAGCATATATTATATGGCCAAGAACATTCCCACCCCTTTCCGATACTCTTTTACTGACGATCGCTACTTAGATATAGACTGCACAGCAAAAGCTGCTTCTTCTTTACCGACCCAGGTCATTCTTTTCATCTAGTCACTCCTTCAAAAAAATATAACCAAAATGCGCTCGACATTCTTTCTCGCTGCCATCGCCCTCTTCGGCTCCACCACCGTTAACGCAGGTGGCTTTTCGTCGACTTGCACCGAGTGCAGACTGGGCTCTTCAAATACACGGTACGGCTGCTTGTGCGGAGATGGCAAAGGCAACGAAATCTACTCCCTTGTCGACTTGAATGATTGTATGGTCAACTTGGGCGGCCAGCTTAGTCCTCGAAAGAGCGGTGGCTTCGGCGGCAGCTGCAAGGCGGATGGACAGAATGATGAATACACGCCGTGCTGGGACTGCGGAAATGGAAGTGGCACTGACAAGGCGTGCCCTGACTTGAGTACGTTTCTTCTTCTGGTACGGTCGTATGTATGGGTGCTAATAAAGGAATTATAGACTCTTTCATTTCCAACCACGACGGAACCATTTCGTGCGACGTTTAGATTCGTCATCGTTGACGAGATCGTGGTATTCGAAACCAGATGCTACGATTTATCCTCGGGTTGTATATTTCTTTACAAAGAAGCGTGGAGCTTAAGCGTAATTTGCTTTTCAATTCCTTTCGACAAATGTACATATGAAAATAATATCGTTTCAAAGAATATACCCAATTGTACATGTTGTGTCGTTCGCTTTGGACATGTAATCTGCCACTACGACCTGTGGGTAATTATTGGTCGACTTATCTTATAAGAGATTAGGCAACGTACAGTATATCCCTAAGTAAACACTACCAGCAACTTTTGCACTCAATAGCTGATGCCTCATTCGAATGGATGTCAACATGTTAGACTGAGATGGTGTTTTTACGAAACAGAATACTGATGAAATTCTATTACTAAATACAGACCATCCTCAAGGTCTCCTTTCTCGATTGTTTGAAAACTAGCCATGCCTTGAATCCAATAAAAGACTAATCCTGGCATCGATTCCCATGCCAACCCTATATACAAGACATACATTATAATAATAAAATCCAAACAACTAAAACAAAAACAATATAAATGACACCCAGAGAACTATGGTTGAAAAACTGCACGAAGAAAGAGAGGATCCAACTGATGCCGCAAATGTTGCCGCCGGCAGAGTATGTCCCTGGCACGTGTAATTTCCCGGGAAGGCTACAGTTTTCGTCCTTAAGTCGTCGAGCTGGGAGCAGCTAAAGGATACGTTGGTAGAGGTGATATTTAGTGACCCCGAGACAGATGGTCGATGCTCTGCACTACTGTTTGACTGGATACGATTGTTCCACAAATCGACGAAGCTTTGACTAATCGATGGAATTGGATAAATTAGCATGTATAGAAACGAGATGAAAAGAAAAGAAAAGAGAAATAGGTTGAAATATGCATGGATCGACTCACAAATACGTATTATCAATATTGGCATCAATGACCAAGGACTGCATATGAAATGGCCACCAGTACCAGTCGTCTTTCTGTTCACGGAACATAAATGGACACTGCTGCGCCGTCAAAGTATCGTTTGCGGCACGAGGAAATGAGTGTTGAAGCGTCAACAACGGATTATCTTTGATGATGAGATCGGTAAGATTCCACAACCAGACATTGATGGTAGCAAAGTCCGGGCCATTCCAAGGCAAGAATCTCCGCAGGTTGGGATTGTCGCGTACTTCAATCCGTTGTAGGCTTTTGAAACCGAAATGAAGATACTCGATGGAATTATTGACTGCAATGAAATTGTGTACATCCGGCCACAAACATGGATCGACTTGCTTCACACCGCTGATGTTGAGTGTTCCAATGATAGGCTGAGGGGTGTCAGTAAATATCGACCCTTCCCACGTATAGACCGTTAAATCGTTATTTCCCTGAATCTCGACCTGGTCAATGTTTCCGGTACGCAAGATGACCGAGTTGAGATTTGGCAGGTCCTTGAGAATCAAATTGGATGCATTATAGAGATCGATCAAGCCATCGACATTGCTGAGACCGACATTGCGGACTTCGATCGTAGCATCTGTCGGGTCGGTAATGTGTTTTAAACCGATGGTAGGATCCGTGGTTACAGTCTTTGAGCCCATTGTAGCATTAACTAATTTGGGAGCTGAAATAATGCGAATGTTGCCAACCGAATTGATGCTTTGGAGAGATAAATTGGCGAGCACTGGTAATTCGGACATGGTCACAGGGCCACCGACAGTGGTCAAATTGGGCAGGAAAAGACCATATAGGCCAGGCATAGAACTTAGAGTTAAATTCCCACTGATGCTTGTAAGTGTATTGCTGGATAGCGTGAACTGCGCATTTGTTGGTTTATCTGCTGTATCCGTGCCGGGCCCGGTGTATAAAGCCCCGTTAATTTTCTGGATGCCCCTCAAAGTAATATCTTCTTTGATTGTAGGTGTGAGAACTATATCCCCGTCAAAGGTTTGACATTGGCCGAGCTTATCTGCATCGGTTTGCGTTGTGATGGTAATGGTGGCATCTGGACAGCTCGCTCCAGCCATCGCGACTAACAAAGTTAAGACAGCCAGAAGCCATTTCGGAGACAAATTTGATTTATCCATGTTGTTCTACATCCCTTGATTGTCAATATTGTATCCGTAACAAATGCACGAATTTTGAGTCATACCATGGTATTTATAAAATTTAAGAAAAGCACATATTTGGAAAAGGAGGGTTATTTTGAGGGATAATTAACCAAGAACAATGGTTTTTTTCCCTTCTACAATCGGCGAGGCTGAATTGCTTGGCTGTGTCATATTAATTTGCCTTTCGGAAGCAATTCGGCACAAAGCGCCATCCTACATGGTTCTTCACAACACTAGTATGGATATGGCTATGCCAAGCGCAAATTGAAATGTTGGAAGCGGATATCACGGACTTCGGCTGGCCCGGATTGGAGTGGTTTTCAGTAGCTGTAAGGTGCGGGGTGCACTAATAAACAGCCTCCGGGGCGTTACAGCCAAGGCTGTTTTTTGCTATAAAACGTAGTCAAATGTTGGCTATGTCTCCAAACTCAACCTTGATCAGGCAGGATTCGAGGATTTTTATTGGTGCGTATTTCTGTTGGCCAAGAGACCTTGGACTACTTGGCCTTCTAGATGAAGCTAGACCCAAGGATAGGGTGAGAGAAGAAATGGGCAAGACAATTAAAGAAAGCAGAATTTTAACCATGACACATTGTTTGGAAAAGCAGATGTGGTACATCCTCAATTCGCATCCCATAGTGAGGCAGAAATGGGGTAGTTGGTTCGGGTTACGGCATGGTGACTGCCCCGCAAGTGTCCAACATTCGTAATCATCCACCTCGCCCGGTTCAGGTGTTGTTTACGCTTGTATCTCCCATCTTTGAAGGGCGACGAGATTTATGAGCATTCCTTAAGATGCCTGTCGACAAAGATTCAGTCGCGTATTATAATGGTAAGGTCCATACCCTCAACAACCTGGGACAGGTTGCCGAGGCTTTCATTGTCACGTCAACTGGAGACTTCCAGGCTGTGGGAACAAGCGATGAAATTCTACAAGCCGCCAAGGCTAATAGCTTAATTACCTACAATCTCAATGGACGCTTCGTCATGCCCGGTATTCATGATGCCCACGTGCATCTACTCTCAGCCGGTATATCTTATCTGAGCGGCGTGAGCTTGGCAGGAGATACTACAGTAGAAAATATTGGACAGCGATTACAAGAAGGCCAATGTACGTGCGCCTATCAGCACGCCTTTCAAGACTGGGTGGTTGGCAATACCTTTGCAATTCCCAATTTCGACCGGTCGTCACTTGATCATGATTTTCCAGATACTCCTGTTGTTATACTGGGCGGCGCAGGCCATAGTGCATTCCTCAATACCACTGGTTTACAGAAAGCTGGATATGATGTCGATAATGAGCCGGATTTCAAAGGCGCCAAATTCGGTCGGCGTGCAGACGGCAGTCTAACAGGGGAGCTGGCAGAGTTAGCGATGAACAAAGTCATGCTCTCAAAGGGAAATCCAAACATCACGCATGCGAAGCGCGCAATCAAGGCTGCGATACGTCGTTTGCACCAGGTTGGTGTTACTTCCTGTCAGGAGGCCGCGACCAATACTATTATTCTTAATGCGCTTCGTGAAATGGACGAAGAAAATGCATTGCATATGGATATTGCCGCGCACTCGGTATATGCACCAGAATTTCTCGCCAACGAGCGTCAAAGCTCTCTAGAAGCCTTGATTGAACGAGCCCCTCGACTCGCGACAAAGCACGTTCGTACCAATTTTGTTAAGATTTTACTTGATGGTGTACCGCTACCGCCTATGTTTTCAAGCGCTGGCTTAGACGACGAAGGGAATATTGAGAAGGATAAAATCCTCGTAGATGACGTTATCGAAGCTGTAAAGAGGTTTGATGAACGAGGTCTCACCGTGAAAATACATGCCACTGGCCGAGGCAGCACCCGACTTGCGCTAGATGCCATTGAAGCGGCAAGACAAGGCAATGAAAACAGTCGCACGGGTTCGATAGTCAAACATGAGATTGCCCACTGCAATGGCATTCATCCGGGTAAGATTCCTTGTAAAACTTTGCCGAATATCAATTGATATGCATTCATTCAATTTGTTGATTGAATTTCCAGACGACTTTGAACGGTTTCAAAAACAAAACATCACGGCAGAGCTGTCACCTGCAATGTTTTTCGATCACCCACTTACACAAGCGAGCAATGGGGCTATGAATTGGGATTTCGCCCAATTACTCAAAGCACGTGCTTATCCTATTACGATTGGGTCAGACTGGGGTTCACGGGGTGATCCCTCTCTGTTGAACAAGGTCCACCACGTTGTTAGGAGGGTAGGTGATTGGGCAGTGAATAATAGCGCTATAGCTGTCCAGGAAAATAGCAATACCCCAGTTTCACTAGGTGCGAGGCTCGTCCTTGAAATCTTGACTAACAATGGGGCAACGGCTGTGGGTTTGAGCGATAAAAATGGCAGCATTGAAGTCGGAAAGAGAGCAAATTTCATCATGCTTGATAGAGATGTTGTTAGTGACAATGAGGAGGTTGTTGCGGACTTTGAAAACGTCAAAGTCTTGAAAACATGGTTTGAAGGGGAGTTGGTTTGGGATGCGGAAGCTGAATAGTTCTCAAATCCTTTTATGTCCTTATGCCGATCAATGAGACTCGGGAATTATTTAAAGAGAGAATTTGAACATTTTTGAAACGACAGATTTGTTCTGCTATTCATAAGTCAACGAGCCCATCAATCATATCGCATCGCATATCATTCCATTGAATCCATATGTTTGAAACGCGAATTACATCTCAGCCATTGAAAACAATCAACCGATAAATGAGGGTGAAAGTCGTTCTCCAATTTCCGTTCTTGTCTTCAGTTTCCTAATCTCGTTCTGAGACAAGCCTTCCTCGCCATTTGGACCAACCTTGCTCAATATAGCAGTGGCCCATTCCTCTGCATCAAAGTCTGTTCCAAATGGGTTCATAGCGAATAAGGGACCGTTCATAAACTCAATCGATTCCTCTAAGGTGTCAAAGTTATCAACCTGCAGCTCCACCTTATTTCCATCGGGGTCTCGATAATACATGCTTGTAGTCGGTCCGTGGTTGACAGTCCAAACCGGCATAATGGGCTCTTTATCAGATCGGAGTGTGGCATATGTTTGAGCAAGGCTGGTTAAAGACTCAAACGTGAAGGCGACATGGTCAAGTCCAGTAAGCGTTTTATTCTCCGGTCGTGATTCGATATGGGGTAGCTGGATTATGGCGATGCGATGATGTTCATGGTCGTAACGCAAAAACGTCATAGTTTCTGTCCTGTAAGAGATATCTGCAGCTAATACACGAGTATAAAAATTTACCATGGCCTTGTAATTGCCCGCAGTGGTGAGCAGGACCACATGGGCAAGCGCAACTGGCCTTGGGTGGGACGTGTTGACTGTTCCTTGGGGTTTGAGTGCTGACATATTGAAGTATGCGTTTTTTTGATGGAAGATATTGTGGTTCTGTCACTTCCAGGTTTTATTCATGTACTTTGAAGGTTGTTTACAACCGTTTGATCAACTAGACATGTGGGATGGGAGACATCACCGTCTCTTAAATAGACCCCACCAGCCCAAATATTGGGTGGGCGGGGAAATTTGATAATTGATCAGTATTTATGCGGTATAATATATATCAAATACGTTGATAAAGAATGGTTACACCGAATCTCGCCTGTATTGTTCTGTCACGGGCCTTACTACATTGAAGACTCGGCCTGCAATGCAATGCATCAATTGATTTTTATAGCAATATTTACCCGGTTTATTGAATTTTTACATATATGTGAAGCAAACAAGAGTCAGGACTAAAATCTAAACCTTTCCGCCTTTTAGATAACTCCTATTTGGCGTAAATATTCGGAGGTTAGCATAACCACCCCCGGTCGGGGCGGAACTCCTAACCCGGGGCCATGCATAAAAGACAATTTTCTCGGCTTGCATCCGAAGTTATCCATTTAACACGAGAGCCTGCATGGTAAGATGTTTTGGCTCCTGGATTCCGGAGGGAGATATAGGGAATGACCAGAGCCCTACTTTCAAGGGCTTTTGCTATTTAAGCTGGAAAACTTGGGTCATCTTTCCTGAAATTTTTCATATATGTCCATATAGCTTAAGCAATTAGTTACATAACTGTATGATAAATTGGTACTCCTATCCTTCACCCTTAGTCTACCATAACAACCTCCCCCCTTCCCGCCTACTATTAGTTATCGGCTAGACTTGGAGCCAAAATAGAGATAGTTGAAATATCTGCCTCGGATATCATAAAACGTGAACCTTACTCCTCAAGTGTCGCTTTTAATTGAATAACAAAATGTCTATTCCACACTAAGACCTTCTCATCTAACTCCTTTCTCATAATAGTAGATGAGAAACCCATCCCAACACTACTGTTTTAACACCCATATCTTCATAGGCTGCTAGGAAAACTCCGTTTGTGTTTAATATTGCATGGTATAAGTCCGTGAAAATTACAATTTAGTTGAAAGTCTACTGTATACAACCTTTCTAGGTAGTCATATTCCCCGTTCTGTTTAACAAGCAGATACAAGAATTCGGAGGTAGCACAGACAGGCCAACTTCATTCTAGATGACTTCGCTCTACTCAAGGAGTGAAGAATTGTACCCAGAAATTTCTTCAAACAGTCAATGTCACACACAAAATGACGCATTTTCATATCCGGTTTGTCTTTTGCATTTACTACTTCCGGGGCCTATGGATATGATATGACTCAACATCCCAAGTGTCTTACCTTGGCAACATCGAGTATGGTTATAACCCACAGTCAAAGACCTCATCGTAGGTTAAGCTTCCGTTTCCAGATATATGAAATTGAAAACGAAAGAAATTTCATGAGTCACCAAATAGTGGACATAACTGAAAATCGCAGTCAATCCCCGCTTAGATGTTGTTTAGGGTCATAGGGTCATATTTCATCACCACCAGTCAATTTTCTGACAGAACAATCAATCTTAGTAAATCAACCGTTGTGCTTAGGTTACATTGGAAATACCGCTTTCGTCGAGGAAAATTGAACCACAATTTGGTTGTCGGACCATGGGATGGGCTTTGATGTATTCATGTGAGGCTCTGGAGTCTAGATGGTTCGCTGATGTCAATGACTATATCCATTGCATCGAGTAATACCCTAAAACAGGTGTTCATTACTGGTATCAAACATGGAGCTTGCTGGATCCACCTTAGGCTTGCTACGGATGTTCTGAAATTAGATCATGACCCAGTTGAACTGTTAGATTTGGTCCGAGACAGTAACCAAAGTTGCTAAAATAGGAAATTAGGTCTTTCCGATTGCACTTATGGATGTCCAGCACACCTCTACTGTCCCACAAGCATCGAATTCTGCTTGTGGATCGAAATATAAATGTCGTCAAAGACATTATCAGTCATTGAAACGACGCAAGCGGTCAAGCTCGAAGTTCCATGTCATCATGATTGACGAGAAGGATCTTTTCTATTGTGGTTATGAAGCAAAGTACAGTAGACGCTTTCGGTGAAGTCATTTTGTTCGTGGATTCAATGATTCATAGATAGACTATCTCAGTCGAAAATGTCGAGAGCTCTCGAGCATAAATAGGTCTTGATTTCACAGTTTCAAAGGTACTCATGCCATCCAGCATCGGAAATCAAAGCTCCATTACTATATCAATATTCTTACCTTCAGTAATCCATTCCCAATTGCTACTTTTAACAATGGCAACTGCAGTCTCCTCCCAGCCTTTGTTTGAAACGAAGTTTGAACCCATTGATAATGCAGGTTCTTCATCTTCTGATTTGGGGACTGCTCTCTGGAAGTCATCCTCTAAAGGAGATGACGCAGAAGTTAAAAGACTCATTGCAAATAAGGCACCCTTGGAGAAGGTGATTGATGGTTTTACTCCTCTCCTAATCGCAACTAAAAACGGCCATAAGGATGTTGTGGTTGATTTGCTGAGTAACAAGGCGAATGTTTACGCTCGTGACAAGGATGCATACACCATCATCAACCTTGCAATGAACAACAATCATGTTGACATTGCCAAATACATTGTCAAACAGTTCCCTGATATGGTTGTTACGGATCCCCGTCTCCCAAAGGGCGCTGAATGGTTGACTCGGGAATTCAAGAAAATCTCGGACAACGTCAAAGACCATGCAAGCAAGCCGGATCCATCCTTGTTGAAGAAATTCATTAAGTGGGACCTCGGTCCTATCGAAAATCGCAGTGTCTCCCATGTCTATTGGGAACACATCCTCCTCCGCTACGTGGGAGATGTTCCACTAGACATCCAACGAAACTATTCCACCAGTCTCACGCTGTCCTTGGTCGGAACATACGACCGTATTTTGAAAGGCCACGCAGGAATCAAAGAGTCAGCAGAGTTGCTGAACAAAGTCTTACCTACCACTCAGTATACGATTGCTGGAACTGTTGTGGAAACAAAGAGTGACTGGGTAACCGAGCGTTGGGAGTATAATGTCAAACCCTGGCAGGTAAAGGATGGAATCGATACCTTCCTCATCAAGGACTCCAAGATTGCAGTGATGATGATTAATTATAATGTGGAGGAAAATAAGTGACTGAGAAATGGTTAGGCAAAGCTTAGGGCTTTTAAAGCTAAATTTGCCTATATGAAGCGGAAATATGTCAAAAACGAGGAGCTGGCTTAATGGATGTAATAGTTTGTCTTTTATAAGTGTTGCTGTTTTGGTAAAGAAATAGTGAGAAAATAAAAATAAATGTTTGACCAATACCTTTCTTCATTTTCAATAATTTGATTGGTTGGCAATTATGAGTCAATTAGTTATTTTGCAATTGGGATCATTAGAAGGCCACGCAGACACATCAACTAATGCTTATCAGGTCAGATTCAGCGTATAGCGTTTTCCCCCACTATTAGTCAACAAGTTGTATATGAAAGCTACCCTAAGAGCTATTCAGTATGCTCAGTCAAAGAAGAAGCAAATCTGAGCATTGTAACATTGTTGTCGGCAGTTGCATGTACCTCAAATAGGATGATTATCGAAACATGGCTACAAAAAGGTACTAGCTTGCTAGCTCATTCTCGAATGATTTTGAAATAAGAAAGAAGTAATTAGTAGGCTGCGGTAGGGAACGACGACTGCCAATTGACTGTAGTGTCTACGTGGGTGGTTCTTCGTGATTGGATATCTCTATGAGGCGTCGGTAAAGGTTGCCCATTTGCATTTTCCGCCCCGTCATGGTACATTATGTGTAGACAGGGTGAAATCATACCGTCCTTCGACCTGTTCAATTTTTTTTTGGGATCTCCTTGTCATGTATAAAGTATTTGACTCTGACTCCACATGGAAATTTGACGCTCCTTTGTGATACAGCCAGCAAAGGTGATTATAATGGTGAGATATTCATTCTCGAGGGCAACGGATAACACTCGAGACTCTAAAAGAAGATGCTAGCGTGGGAAACATGTACCTGCCGGGAGAGCAATGAATCATCTTGATATCGGACAATGACATCGAAAATGGCCCCAGGATCAAAATATCTGAACATTGTCAGTTCACTCGTGGGAAAATACACAAGATACAGTATACACCGTCAATCCTGGTCTGAGAGCCGTTAATGAATCAAGAGTAGAGGTAAGCCTAATGGTAAGAATATACTGCAGTTCCCCGTGTCAAAAATTATCAAATTTCCGTTTAAACTCCCCGGTGACACTGTAATATAAAATGACGAAGCGTATCTGTTAAATAATGTAATAGTATCTCCGAAATTATCTCTTCCGAGAAAGCTACTTTTCGGTCACCCTATGTAGTAACACGCAGTTCGATTCCAGTATACACGATCTTGTTGTCAGTACATGATAGTATCGCAATAAGTGGTGTAACTGGCTAGGTAACTGCACTCAGTGGGTGGGGTGACTACGTCTCACGATGAATACATTTTGTTCCCTAATCATCGTTCTTCCGCCTCTCAGCCACGGTTGCGTACCGAATATACCGTGTCGAGCTATTGTATGATCGACGTACTACTTCCTCCATTTATAGACATATATAGCAGCTAGGATTTTTGTCGCTTGACCAAAAAGTTATGCGCTATCAGATGGATCGCAAGCTGCGCTGAAATTAGTATCAGATGGACCGGGTCACACAATTTGAATTCACATCCGAAATATACGCAAGAGGCTCGTAACAAATTGGCTAACAAGATCACATAGACTATGACACATTTTCGAGGAAAACAGCTACCGAATAGGCTCTTTAGCAACGACGCAGAACAGGATTAAGATGAAAGCACGGGCTATATAGTTCTTAGGGTAGGTTTAGATGAGCATATATTATTGGGCTGGAGATTGGACTGAATTACACAAGCCACTAACCCTATGCTGTAGAATACGTAGTGAATATTCCAAGCACTTGAACCCTCTACACATATAAATATAAATACTCCATAGAGACATCATATGATGAGGTGGGTGGGATGTGGAACTTCTTCATTATCCCAAGTTTCGGTATAAGTCAACCGCGCGCAGAACTAGTTGATTCTATGTGCTTTTGTGGCCAATCTTTGACTTTTTAGCAAGTAAATTTCATATAAATTAGTCAAAGTTCGTCGGATAAAACGAGAGCCCTGGCTTTCGCTCAATATGGACCTAGTACCTAAGCAAAGTCTCCTTGCACCAATGACGGGTGATTTTATAGCCTGGAGTGGGGCTCACTAGCAGGAAGACCTAATATCCAAAAAAGTAAAGAAAAAGAAAAAATAAGCCCTTTAACCAGTCAGAATTATACTAGATACGTCTCCGTGGCTCTGTAATACCTTATCACCAGGTTTAAATAGGTTTGAACATGATGCTTCCTATGGTAACTATCATTTCTGAAGTAAATAATGAAAGTGGTTTCTAGATAGATGAGTTTTGCAGCGAAGAACTTGCAGATAGGCGATGAAAGAATGGATAACCGTGATCGTGAGGATCGAATACTAAGCAAACTGGGTTTAATAGCATATTTTTTTGAATGTGACGAGCCACATCTTAAATCAGGAGGCAGTCCATCTTCTTTGGAGCCTCTGGTTTCACCGCAAAGTGCTCTTATTTCTAACGTTGTATATATGGCGGAGCCTTAACTACCCGTCTTCTGTATGATATACGGTCGAAATGACTTGGTGCCTTCTAGTAGGACTCTTACCATGCATCTCATGTTACTTAAATGTCTATAGAATTTTCTATTTAGGTTAATGGAGACGAGAGTTAATTAATGCCGGTTAAATCTGAGAGCAGGAGATGCTCTGTAGTCCTAAGCAATCCCATATAGAAACTCAATTGCTGAATTATCACTCCTATTTATAATTTTTTGTGTCAACAGACATTGAGAGAGACAGGAAATACAGTAGTACAGCAGCATGTCACATCTCCAGGATAGACACCGGGACTTCTCCCATGATACCGGATCGATTCCATTTGCCAATATCGACTTGGTATCTTGGGTTCAGATTACTCGTTAAAAAAGCATTTTGTTTTCCAGGTTCCATAGAAGCTCTCCAAGTAAGGGTACAAATTTTAGTATCCCTCACATCGTCAACTAGATCGAGAGAGCCTTGAGTTCCTGACATAGAGCCGGCCTCGCCACAGGAGCAAATACTCCGTCTGCCGCCGTTGTGACGGACGCTTGTATCATCCACATCATCGGTTGTCAGAACATCATTTGGATTGCCTTCTACGTAGAATTCTCCGCTGCTCAGTGGTGTTAGAAGACGGCCCACGTAACCGCCGGCGAGGTAAATACCTTTGCAATTGAGAATTTTCAATACGAATGTCATATTTCATGTCATCCGTAAGTAGGATGCTGAGGTATTGCTGGTCCGCAGAGGCCATATTGACTTCGGAGGTTTGTAAAAGCCGGTAGTGTGTTCCAATTAGTAAATGTAATTAATTAATGAACAGCCCATATTCAAACGACTAGTTTCCTTCCGGGGGGAGGGATGGGCACTAATATATGTTAACAGGACGATCGGGAATCTATGACGAATATCCTACCGAAGACATGGGTGACCAGTCCTAAAGCAGTATACAATTACATCATCCTAGGGAAAAGGGTTTGCTGATGTCGGTTGAATTAAGACACTGAAATTCGTTAGCTTCTATTAATATTAGTAGACTAGCTACGCCATTACAGTAACTGACCATACTCTTCTGTACTTTATGATTTATAACAACCAAGTGCCTTGACGTATTTATAAAAGGAGCGTTAGCTCAGATATTTTTAGATGAAATATTATTACAGTTCTAGGATCACCGAACTGCTTCCCAGTATTCTCGATTTAATGAGTCGTAATGAGCCCAGCACAGCATACCATAACCCAGATAGGACCATTAACACTCAGCCGAAAATAATAAAAGCTAATACGAGAACTTTCAGAGTCTAGCCCAGTTCTCTAGAATAACAACATATGTTGAGGAACCTTTGCTTGGGAAAAATAAATTAAATGGTGGTGAGTGACGTAACTTTGACGGGTGTGAGCGGTTGTAGCCTGACTACTCAGCAACGCCTACTAGGTGACCGTGCCGTTTGCATGATAGCCAGCCAGATCACTCAAAACCTCGTTCTTAGATTTTTACAGATAAACACCATAAAATTACATAATGATCGGTCCCTCACAGAAACAACATAGATTCTTAGCAATACTTGACCCCAAGACTTTTCCGCATGTATGACCTGACCAACGCGAAAACTCCCAGGCAATTCCTCTTACCCTTTTCTTCCGCTCCAACCCCAGTACGCGTGTAGCAATCTGTCAAAGTAAACACCATAAAGTTAAACAGTGAAACTCGAAATCTAGGCTGAAAGGAGCCAACATCGACAATCTACATATCGTCCAGTCGCGGTTCAGGCTCTGCCTCAGACACAGGTCCTTGTTTTTTCTTTAACGTGGACGACTGTGTTTCGAATTTGATATCATCACGGTCGGCTTTCACCTACGCAGTATCAGTGCCCAGTCATAAAGGTTTAGAACAAACAATATGAAAATTTCATAACATACTGCAGCTTCGCTAGAACCAGCAGCTTTCTCCGTCGGTTTTCTTGTATTTTCCACGCTTTTATTCTCCTTTCCTGCCTCTGCTATGAACTCTGGATCATCAAAGTTGTCTGGGAAGGAAGAAGAAACGAATACTAGGAGAAGAGGATTAGCCTGTTGAGATAGGCATGAGATAAGAAGTATAGCAGAAAGAGGGTGGCGACTTACGTTCGCCCTTCGGTGTGGCGGTTTTCTGGTGAATATAGGCACAAGCCAGTCGATTAATGGAAAAAGGGGTCATAACCCGACGTGTCACTGAGATTATCTGCATGATGATCGTCAATCATATAGATAAGTTATGCGTGAATACATTATATACAGCCAAATATCAACATGTGTAACAATTTTTGACTAAATAGTGAAACTGCTCTTGTTATCTCGTGATCGGCTGGGAAATGATGATGTCAATGGCTCGGCAGTTAGCCACTGCAGACGCTGATATTCGTGAACTTTATTCGAGTCCTGCCTAATTCTATGATTAATTATGTAGGGTAATTATGTGGAACGAGTCCTATGATGTGTGACTTTCACTGGTCAAGGCTTTACATCTACTAAGTGGTAGGATTACATAGGAATTGAATAGACTCAGTGGTATCTACCATCTCCACCCGCGAAGAACGAAACAAGGAGCTATAGATAATGGTATAAAAATGTTAGCTGTCATAAATCAAACTCGTGTTATATTATCGTTGATCCAATCGTTTACGGATTGATGACTAGAAAAGTGCATTCCTGATTAATATTTCTACAAGACTACTCGCACGTTGTTCCGAAACCAGCCTGCATAAAACTAATCGAAGGACGGAAATGTTTTCTTAAAGCAAGCTATTCGCCACAGATCTGGATACACTCTAATTGTCAATGGCTGAGGTATGATGCGGTCTTTGAACTACGATATATTGAAGGTTAATAAAATTTAACAAAAATCCTGAAGTATCCAGTTCTTCAAGACCATATACTTGTAGAATGGCTACCTGCGAGATTATAATTCTCGTACTCCTGATATCGAATGCCCGACGAGCCGTTCTCGCCGGGGTATGTTGGCCGGCCAAGGACCGTCGATTCCTCCTTGGGGGGTTGATGCGCGACTTTGTAGGTTTTCTTTTCTAATTCTACAGTACCTGAAGCCTTTGTCCCACACATCCTCCATATTTGTTTCTTTTCTTGCCTTCGGTTTAAACAAACGCTAACCTAACTTAATAAAGGGAATATGGCTCCATGACCAGAATATCTTCTCGGCGAGTGTTCTTCATCAACTATGGCCAGATCTGCCTGACCTTAGTGGTACATGGAGAATGTCGAGATTCAATGCCCGGAAAGGGCTGCGGCCGGTGAGTGGTGCCTTGGACTCCAGGGATGCTGGTTTCTGTAGTTTCAACTCAAACATGACTTAGATACGTGAGAAGAGCCTCATTGGATATAAGAAACATCTTTAGCCTCTAGATGTGGTAATCAATTTAATCAATATTCTAAGTCCTGCGTGCTTCATTTTGCCAAGTGTCATAATGCGTAGCAAAATAATTACTCAGTGTCGTTCCCAATAGTCTGTATACACCTCAGCCTTGATTATCTATAACATTCGAAGCATTGCATTATATAACGATTTTCTCACCATTCTATTCTACATCCTGGCGCCGTCTTAATCTGGAAACTGGGGCTGTGCAGTCATGGCTCATCGATGATTGGTTGATATACGGCTCAACCGTTCCTGCTCTTCGTGGCGCCACTTGTTTCGCGTTTCCTCCTGTAACTGTTGTGGTGTCTTGCCATCTGCATTCTTTTCGTTCATGCTAAGCTCATCACCGGCTTCTTTTAAGGCTTTCATCATCTCATCTTGTGCTCTAATCTTTGCATCCAGCGGGACGTGCCAATCAATATCCTGTTCGTACTTGTTGGGAAACACCTTCCCCTGTGCAGCCTGGTGAAGTGGTGTATCGCCTCTTGAATTCTTCACCCTCATGCAGGCGCCACAGCTAAGCAGAGCCCGCACAGCGTCGACTTGACGTAAGTTTATCGCCATTTGGTTGAGTGGGGTATTTCCATGTATATCAATATCATTGATGTTGGCACCATGAGCCACCAGGCGTTCTATTATCACTGGATCTATAGCTTCACCATCCTGTGTGAATCCTAACAAATGCAACATATTTAGACCATCTTGATTGCATATATTTCCATCTGCTCCATACTCAAATAAGATTTTCAAAACACTCAAATGCTGATTAATACGTTCTCTGAAGCCTAAGACTGCATACCATAAAGCATTGTACCCTTTATGATCTCGAGCATTGATTGTGTCCTGATCGATGGTTAAAAGTAGCTTGATTGTATTGGCCACCTGTGTAACAATTTCATTACGAGGAAGCATATAGTAATGTTCTGGAGCATCAGCTCCTCGTGCAGCCCAGTGAAGGGGCAGACGACCGGCGCTGTCGCTGAACAAAACCATTTCCGCAACAGTAGCCTTATCCCCACGATGATCAAACAGGGCCTGGACACCGTCAAGATTCGCATGAAGACTTCCAAGATGAAGTGGAGTAACACCATGTGCTATTTCATCCTCAGGTTGACTTGAAAAGAAATTGATCCAATGTACTGTCGTAGCGTGCATGTCCGCACCTTCGGCAATGAGTCGTTTTACTAAATCATAACTGGCTCTCGAAATAGCCAAGCTGAGGACTGTGTATGAAATATCTTGTCCATTGAGATCAGATGTCAACACATCTCGAGCAGAAGCTCCTCTGTCAAGGAGCTGATTCATGAGCTCTTCAGCACGAGTCTGTTGGGAACTGATTGCAAGGTCATCTTCCGGCTCGAAGCCGGGTGGCCAATATGTGAAGGAAAAAGCAGTTGAGAGCAGTGGGGTGTTGCCATCTTTACGCCACATGCTAGAATCATCTCTGGCGTGGAGGCTTGCCAGTGCAGGTTGGGTATCCAAAAGAAATAGAGCAGTCTCGACCCGAGCATTTAAGCACGCCACGTTAAGCAGCCGAAATTTTCGTTTTGCAAGTGGTATCATGTCAGCGTCGGTTAAATGAGCGTTGTAATATTTAAGAAGAAGGCAAAGTGCTTTAGTACTCCCAGACTCTGCAGCAACGTAAAATGGGTCCCAGTAGTGTACCTCAACATGACCGAAGGTAGCACGAGCACTGTTCTCCAAATATTGGGCTAATTTAGCCACATCATTGTATCGCACAATATCATTCAGAAGGCCGCCGTAAGGTTCTTCATAGAGGACTGCACCGTCGTCATCGACAACCCCAACGTCATAAGCTTCCTCATGAAATTCATGATAGCATTGATATTTCGATGTTGGTAGTTTTTCACCAGCTTGTGCTGACATGGTGTCTGGCCTAGTTCTCCTCGGCTATGAGGAAGCGACTTTGCGATTAGAAGAAGCCGGCAGATTACGGGAACGAAAAAAAAGAAAACCATTATAAATGTCGCCTAGGTCAAGACAACTTAAATAGAAAAGTCCAGGGTCCAGCGCACAGACCAGTCGTAGGAATATTAGTTAATGTATGCTCTATTAAGATTACTTCAGTCATAAATTAGCATTAAGTGGAAATTTAATTAGATAAGAGCACAAGCCTGTTTACTAGCGAAAGGATGATTCTTTGCCTTGTTTCGGATTAAGATCATAATTATTTTACGGAAAAGGGAATTTACATAGCACTAATATTCCCTAGTCGGTATCCTTGAATTGACCGACTACTAAGCTACTTAACTTGTTGCAACCGCGGCTACTGGAGTACTGCCGATGATTGACGTGATGGCCAGTTGGTCCTGATATATACATACGTGTACGCAAACAAACGTTTGGAAGCCACGAGCACGAATAATATGACACTAGCATAACCAGTATTATGTATTTTGTTAAGATATGATTGTAGCTAGCTTATATCAACCCTCAAACCCTAAATACAATCAATACCTATCTTTCATGTCCATCATTCCGCCGATTTAACCACCCTCACATAAAGCTGTAGGCTGCAGGTGCCAAATCTAGCAACTAGAAGAGAACTGTTGCGAAGAACTTGAATTAGACACAATTACCCTATGGGTTTTCTTTCTTATGCCTGACCGTTCACCTCAGCTTGGTTTGCCTATGGAGATGGGACGACTCAAATTGGCGCGCGAAGCACCATCATTTGTCCTAGCCATTGCTTGTCACTGCCTCATTCTTTCTGGAATACGATTTCAAGGCTTCGGATGAACAAAGCGGAGAAGAAAGAAAACGAACCACACTCCTGTCTACAGAACCATGGATCCCAACATGAGACTTCTTGCTAAGATTACTAATGTTAGGTAAGCAGACAGTCAGGAACACTGGTAAGTGTGTTGATATTGTTTATTAGGCTGAACACGCTGACTGTCAAGGTCCACAATGCAGACCACAACCCTCGGGAAACTGCTTCGAGGATAGCCACTTTGACTGGTGCGTTAGTCATCAGAGTATGGTCATTAGAGATCAGGATATCTACTGCTATCAGGGTGCAAATGGAAACGATTGCAGCATTGCCATATGGCTGTATCCCTCCCATATCGAATTAAAGTTCATGTTATAAACAAGCTACATGCTCCCGCGCCATATCACAACCACCTTAGTTAACCCGTAAGGAAGTTTCTACCACACGAAGAGGAAGCCAATGAAACTGGACAGTTGTAGCGACTAGTTCTAGCCGATCACGGGCCGTAGTGCCTTGTGATGGTTGTCCGTTGCCGACGGTATCTTTTATATACTGTTCATTTACTTGGGCAAGAGGGATAATTTGGTGTTTGCGTTGTGTACTATTGAAATCATAATTGCGCTTGAATTCAAGGAAAACCCCTGTCGCTGTCGTTCTAGCTACATGGATAAATTTTCCAACCCTGCCCGTGACACTAGAAGGGACAAAAACGGCAAAATGAGCAGGTCTCGCGCCATTGGAAAAAATGCCAAATAGATTGTATGAGACATTCTTCTGTATTGCAGAAGAAATGATATTCCCTAGGTAAGGAAGGCAAACACAGCGTGAAGAATCCAAAGAACTGAGTGATTTATACGGCGTATAGACATTTGGTGATTGAGTTCCTGGGCTTATATGCGCTTTTCTCATTACAATCAATGGCCATGAGTTGGACTTTCCATGGTTTAAGCGCCCATATCTCGATCAGGACCCAAGCATGTTTGAGTGCGCCGCGATCTGATAACTCTTTGTTATAAGCGATCCAATGTCATCGACTGTTCTAACACCTGGTCTAACGCTCTCGATCTATTTTTAGGTAGGAACGTGATACGACTATACTCACTTGTAAAGATAAAACAACTATGCTAGGTTGGATTTCTAAAATAGGGACCTATTTAGCGAAAGGCAAATAGCACAGCGAGAGTGGCCAGGCGCTATTCTCAGTCGTCACGGCAATCAGCAAGGATAATCTGCTCTCAGTAATTTATGTATATTGAAATGGTCATTACTGTCTTGACATTGGATCACTGAAACAATTAAATGCGTGCTCTATGATAAAACGCGAGTTACCACTAGTGATAAGGTGCTAGCAGCAAGGCATTGGTTTAAAACAAGACGGCTTGGCGGTTAATGAAACATTATTGAGGCGTTGTGGCGGCTAACGTAGTACTAACTAGGCCATACAAGACGCGGGATTAACTTCCCGCCAGCCAATAGACAACCATGCATGCGTTTTTACCGTAAACCAGATCCCATGGTTAACTACATCTAATTAGCCATTACTTTTAATCCTCTGTGGTTTCATCTGCCCGGTCCTTCATATTTCGCATATTGTAGTGCTCACGTTCTGTGTGCTGCTTTCTGGACTCCAGGCTTGGTAGTTTCATTATAAGCGTTTCGAGGGAGAGTTCCAACCAATCGTGTATGGGACAGCCCATGCCGTTACATGCTTGAATCGTAGAGCGCGGTTAAAAGTTGTTTATGATTGGCATCTCCTAGTATCCAGGTTGTTTCAGGATGTTGATATTTCTGGGTGCCCGAGTCTCCGGTTAGTAGTTGGTGAGATCTGCACCTCGCTAACGCTGTGATAATTAAGTCAATGATGGTAAGTCGTGCGCTATCAAGCGCCGATAATTTGATATTTTTAGAATACCATTTGGCAAATAGAATACTTGAGCAGTCGCTAAAGAGAGGCATGCGGTTCCAATGATCCGATGGTCCCAATCAACAAGTATAAGAGGTCGCATAACGCACCCTGGAGTATACGTACCTCGTGCTCTTATTTCCTTCATTGTTCTATACAGAATACCTTTCAACATGGCAGATCCAATTTCTCTTACTGCAGGACTTTTGTCGTTAATTACATTTGCGTTTGGGGCATGTCAGTCACTTTTTCAAGCAGTTGAAGGGTTCCAAAATCAACCTAAAGACATATTCCAACTCAAAAGTCAACTCCAATCCCTCAAAGAAGTTCTGTCCAAGTTGCTCACCCTTTCAACTGACCCTAATGCCGATAATGATACTGATCTAGCTGGGTTGAAACCTCCGCTGCTTGGGTGCGGTGAGGCCTGCAAAGATTTAGAGACACTCATCAAGAAATGCATCAAACACTCAACGGAGGCTAAACCAAGCGTCCGAGATTGGGCAAGGTTGAAAGTTCATGGGGATCGTATAAAGAGTGTTCAAACTGCCCTGTCTATGTACAAAGCGACAATTGGTTTAGCTGTTGGCGCTGCAACACTGTAAGATTCAAAACCATCTTCTTCAATTACCCAGTCTGACTCGTGCAAAGACGCACTACCAGAGTTACCAAGCAGGCTTTAGACGAATATAATGCTCTTATTATTCGAACAACAAAAGACTTGAAAGATCACCTGAATCACGTTGAAATCCGGCTGCAAAATTTACCTTTGCAAGATATCACTGGCCCTGGTGCAGAAGAGAATGAGCTACAGAGATTATTAAAAGAAAAGCACCGAACGGACCAGTGTCTTCATATTTGTCAACAGATCTCGGAGTCGATAAACTGTGGACAGTCTGCTCTTGTTATGAAAGAGTCTTGTCCTCCTGGAAACATGCACTATACCGCAACTACGACACTTGAAGATAGATCTACTGCAGATGAAATGACGTTTCGCTTTCTGAGCAAATGCTCAATGAGTACAAGGGAGGCAGAATTAAAACTTGAACGACGCCTTCATTTCATACAGGACAAACTCAAAAGTTTCCCAGCGGATGTCGTGAATAAACTTGATGAAACAATTACTGAATGTTGCTATCAAGAAGGACAGAAAGATGCTCTTACAGGATGTTTGTCTATCTGTGAGGATGCTGCACGGGTGTCAGACCAAGCTAGAACCAATGTCTTTGAGGATATTTACGCTGCAAAAAAGGCGAAGCAAGTAGTCATATCAGACGTGGGAGACCTTATTTCGGCAAAAAGAGTAAGAGCGGGCCCAAATTCGAGACAATACCTTGGGCAGATATCAAATCCGGCGGTACTACATCTTGACTCGGACGCTGTTGAAGAAGCCAGAGGCCCTTTATCGATTTCACGTACAATTGCGAAGGGATTCAATCGTCCAAATAACCCTATCATGTTATTGTTGCTGGTTATATTGGTGACGATATTTTGGAAGATGTAATTATTAATATTGTTGGACTTATGTAAATCAAGCCAGGTCCATGGAAAGGTTACTTACTATCAAGAAACCGACGTTCTCTATGTTCTTTATTGACATGTATATTTATTGGTTTGAATCGATAACTAGCTATCATCCTAAATTTCCAAAATTTCTCAAATCCAAGTTAAGACGTCTCTGATATTCTGCAAATCGCACTGCAAGTTGTGCAACAGCTATACCCAAGCGACTTTCCTCACCAGGAGATTGAACATTCATACAGCCACATCTGTTTCACCTTACACAATCTGGCGTGTGGGACATTTTGTAGACAAATGGTTCAGGTCTAGATACTGGGGCCTAACAGCAAAGATCAATATAACACTAGCTCACCAACCAGATAGCAAGTCTGTCTCACCACCATGGACCCACGTGCGAGTAAATCGCACAAGCATCAGGAATATATCCAATGAGAACACCTGATTACGTTTACCTACGCGAGCTCTTTATTTAGCTTGGATTTTCTTATTCATGCGCGGTACCATGACAAATTAAAACTCACCTTCACACCTACACCAGGAAGATCGATAAATTATGGATCCCACTAAGCCAGGGTTGGAAAGACTGATCAAAGCCAACTTGGCCAAACAGAGTACAAATCAACTAGCATCATTCGAAACAATTACGTCTAGCTACATTTGTCTTAGTAGCCTTAGCAGATGTCTCTCTGTCTTAGCGGCCCGCCTCAAGTTGGTGCCATCTCAACCATTAAAGCAATGAACTGTAAGAAAATTCAGGCAGATCTAGTCCGCAAATGCATTCGAAATATATTACATGTAATGGTATCCCATGCAGCGGATAATTTGGTCTTTCAGAACTTCGGGACCGTGGGCATGTCCCATAGGAGCCAAGCCTCCACTAAAGCCAGCACTTTGAGAGATGTAAATATGTGTTGCTGCTACACGTACAAAATACACATTTTACTGCAACAACTATCACCCTATAAGTCCATGTGCTCATATTGATTTCATTATATGACATTGCTGATATGTATGACCAGTGTTCATTGACCGGTAATCTTTGTAGGTACTCGTTGACGACTGGAATTGTAGTTTGCAAAGTACAGCAATGTGCACAGCGTGGTTTATATGACAGAGCAGGGGTGGAAGGTTGACATGGTCAAAGATCAATCTGTTCAGTAATATATGATGTTTGGTTCTTCTAAAACTATTCGTGCTGTGTGTAGAGGATTGATGGACTGTGGTACTAAGGCTGTCAATAAGGGTCAGATGGAGTGAATTAACTAAGCAATTCTACATGGAGACAGAGGTTTGGTCCCATTACATCTCACAATTGGTATGGTACAGAGCTCACTTTGTTGCTCTATTATTTCATGGATATAGAATTAGTCTATCGCATTCCTAATTAGAAAATGCCGAACGATTTTCATATTTAAAGGAACGCTAAAAAACGATAACACACAATAGAGAGTAAATAAGGAATAGGTCATGAGTACACACAAAAGAGAACTTAAATTGACAGCTTTTATACAATACTTTAAGCACAAATTGTTTATCCATTATTGGAAGGAAGAGGGGAAGGTCATGGATGTCACAAGAATCGATTTTCTACACTAAATCGGCAGAACTACCTTAGGCTCTTTAATCCCGCGAGTGCTGCATTTGATAGGAACTTCATGCCAGATGGCTCTGATGCTCTAGATTTAAAAATTCTAACTCGTAAAGTGCAAGTACTCTGGCTAATATTATACATTCGTTGTTAAATATCTCCCTTTTGTGTAATCCACCTGCATCCTTAAAATAATACAGAATGAACTACCCTTAATTACAATCATAATTTACTCTTAGAGTCTATGTATTTTCAAAAGTGACCGAATATAGCAGATAAATCTAATCCCTATTTCCGATGAGTCTATTTTTATTTATCGAAAATTGATAGGACTCATTATAGTACGGGCTACAACCACTGCACAGATTTTAATTACCCTAGGAGCTAATGTCCATGCTGAAAACCTAAAGGGGAATATCGCCTTGCATGAAGCAGTGGCTGGAGTGCTCCGGCCGCGGCAAAACCTAGAGGGAAACCAGGAGTATGTAACACCTAACGATCGAATCAAAGCGCAAGATGAGATACTCGAGGCCTTAGAAAAGGACACGGGAGATGACAGAAGCTTAATAGATCAACCCAATGCAGCTGGCATGACACCAAGATGATTACTTGAGGAGATAAGAGCTAGGTGGCAGGATATGACGACCAAATTATCACGACCCGGGTCCAATCAGCAGAGCTAAATATTGTCAATGAAAAATGAATACAACGCCAAAGTAGAAGCTATTAGAAAAAGGAAGGATAATTCAAGGCGTAGGATTATAGAGTAAGAGGTACGCACAAAAATCAGTACAAAACAAGCCAATCTAGCTAGAAGATTCTTAGAATGTTTCACAAACATGAGAATATACTATAATTTCTATTACTATATAGTTCGTTGGGGAAGGGAAGTGGCCGACTCGGATGTGGATTACGTTAGGCACAAGAGTGTCTTAATAAGCAATTTAACATCTTGATCAACTGCAGCATTTAATCCCTCTCCCTCTTTCCTCTATAAAGAAAGAATGAAGAAGACCCTATGTTAGCTAATGACCTAGTGGGTGCGGTAAAACGGCTACGTTACTGAATACTCAGGGTTACATGGGACTACCGAAAGCTGACTGGGGCCAGAAAGACTAGTCATACCCCACGACAATTTTACCTGCATCAAGAAAAGGTGCTTACGGGAAGGATTTATTTTTATTTGCATTTTATACTTAGCGTGAAACCTAGTAGAGCAATTATATCTGCAAATCGGTGCGGATGTTACCAAAAGATAAGCTATTCAGCCTCGGATAACTGTAGTTGCCAAGATACCACAGAGGCAAAATGTATTAATAACGTAGCACTTGACCTGTTCCGATTGCGACTTTATAAAAATTAGATGTATTCCGCTCGTCGTTAAACATCTAAGGTAGACACTCTTTTAGGATGTATCTCTCGGGCCTACTTTCAATCCTGTCGGTCTTTACCGTGGCCTCAGCAAGTGTTCTCGATTACGGGCGCCATATACGCAGGAATTCATCAGAGTCAAGCTCTCCCCGAAATGTGGCATACTATGCCAACTGGGTTAGTGCTATAATTATGCATAATTCAAGAGGAAATACCATTGACGCTTCGAAAATTGACACACAGGACATCTATTCAGCAAAATACTTAGTCACTGATATCCCCGCAAGCAATCTTACCCATATAATATACGCCTTTGCAAACATAAGTTCAACGACTGGCGAGGTGTAAGCCATCTTTAAATCTAAAACATAGTACACAACAAGGACATTAGTCTAATACCACATAGTACTTTAAGCGACAAGTATGCGGATTTGCAATTTCTCTATCCTGGAGATGACGCTTCAGCCACCGGAACAAACGTCTTTGGGAACATCAAACAGCTGTTTCTCCTGAAAAAGAAACAGAGAAATTTGAAGACAATGATTTCTATCGGAGGTGGCACATTCTCATCTAATATGGTTCCCGTTTTAGCTTCAGAGTCTTTGCGAGAAACATTTGCCAAGTCAGCTGTTGATCTCGTATCGAATTTGGGTTTCGACGGCATAGATATCGACTACGAATCTATAAGTAGTTCGGCCCAAGCGGAGCAATTTGTCGATCTCCTGAATAAAACCCGTGCAACTTTAGATGCCTTCGCGGCAAATATAAGTGCACCTCCATTCTCTCTTTCCTTTGCCGCGCCAATGGGATCGTCGTATTATGATTTACTTGATTTCCGTGGAATGGATAAATTTCTTGACTTTTGGAATTTGATGGGTTACGCTTATACCGGATCTTGGAATACCGATTCTGGTCACCAAGCTAGCCTATACAACTCTTCCACGAACCCAATGTCTACTCCAGTCGATTCGAACACAGGAATCAATTATTATATATCTCAAGGAGTAACACCAAGCAAATTAGTCCTAGGTTGTCCTTTGTATGGAGCCTCTTTCAACAATACGTCTGGACCCGGAAAACCTTTTGAAGGTCTCGGCAGTCTGGGTTCTTTCGGACAAGCAGGAATTTGGAATTATAACTCTCTTCCTATTCAGGGTTTCAATGCCACGACCGTCGAACTTCCAGAGATCGGTGCCAGTTATAGCTATGACGCGAAGAGAAGATATATGATCAGTTATGACACGCCTAAGATCGCAGCTATCAAAGCAGAATATGCCAAGAACATGGGCTTGGGCGGTATGATGTGGTGGGAGGTTAGTATGGACAAAACTGGTATTTCCAGCTTGATCAGTGCGGTCGTGGAGAAATATGGTGGAGAGGGTGCCTTGGATCAAAGCTTGAATAACTTGAACTATCCGACAAGCATATACGACAACTTAAGAGCTGGGGCTTCTGAAGATGTGAGCAATACTTAGAATTATCTAACAGTAGCCACTACAAATAATATAATATCTTGTGTCTTGTAAGCGTTTAATCAAGACAAAATTAAGTACTCCCTCTTCATTAGGCGAAAGCCCACCTTTCCTCACCCAACCACATTTTACCAAGCAGAATCAGGATCAATGAATGAGGTACAAAGAACAGAAAACAGCTTTTGGAATAGCCTGCTATATTTGATGTTTTATGGTATGTTTTCGTCCAGTTTACAGAGAGCAAATATGCAAAGTGCTAGGTTGTCACGCGTGTGTAAAACAAATCCTTGGTTTTGTAAAGATTTAGGAAATTATGTATCTCATTTTGATTCTCTACACGAATCAAAGCTGTGATACGAAGCAAGACTGTCCAATCGAAGATAGGATGACTAAATCTATTGTTTTGCACGCGCGCTGCTACGGTGGCCGATAAGCTGTTTAACGACACAATGCACATTTCACTAGTAAACTTTATTAACACACATATTTTCAATATTTCCACATCTAATGTTTTTAGATTCAAAGAATTTACTGCCTCAACATCTACCTGAACGCCTACCTTAAAGCCTACCTAAACACCTATCATAGAACCTACCTGAGCATCTATCTTAAAGCCCGTCTTAAAACCCTCCTCAGCGCCTTTCTTAAATCCTACCTTAGCGTCTATCTCAATGTCTATCTCAATGTCTATCTTAATGCCTACCTTAATGCCTATCTTAATGCCTATCTCAAAGCATACCTCACCACCTTTCTCACCACCTTTCTTACTGCCTTTCTTACCACCTACCTTGGAGCCTAAAACACACCTTAAGAAAGGCACCGAGGTACGTCCCAAGATAGACGCTAAGACACACTCTAAATACACCCCAAACACGACATAAGACAGGGCCTAAGGAGGGCACTAAGGAAGACACTAAGGAAGGCACTAAGGAAGGCACTAAAGCAGATGTTAAAGCAGACATTGAGGCAGGCACTAAAACAGACCCTAAAGAAGGCATAAGGCACTGAGAAAGGCCCTAAAAAAGGGCCCGAGGCAGGCAATAAGAAAGGCAATAAGAAAGACAGTGAAAAAGACAGTGAGACAAACCCTAAAATAGACACTAAAGCAGATATTGAGACAAGCGCTGAGACAGGCCCTAAGACAGACACTGAGGAAGGCACTAAGGCAGACCTCAAGACAGACCCTCAAACAGGCCCTAAGATAGATCCTAAAATAAGTGCTAAAACAGTAAATTTTTTAAATTAAAAAAAATTAGATGTGGAAATATTGAAATTACCTGTTTCCTTATGTCATAAATATAAAAATCAGAATTATGTTATTAAAGCGCTTATCGTCCGCCGTAGCTGCGGCTCGGAAGTTGCCGATCAAAAAAGCCAAAATCTTACAAATCACACAGCACGGAGAGAAGATACATAGATCCTTCATAACTTATAACTATCGGCTATTTGCACCTAGCAGCCTAGTATACACTCAAATAGGACGGAGTTATCTATCGATCTCGGCACTGAAAATGTCTACAAGTGCAAAAACCATTGTCGCGACAGGCGCATCTTCCGGCTTGGTAAATCTGCCATGCCATCGGCGTAATGCAAATTCCAGGTTCTCTAATGTGTAACAGGGATTTGAGGTTGTGAAGCAACTTCTCGAGCAGTCACAGAATTACACTTTCATCCTTGGATGTAGAGATCCCGAAAACGCTAAAGTTGCGTTCGATGCCCTCAAATTTGATACAGCAAAGCACACAGTTTGCGTCTTACCCTTGGACCTTTCGGATCTTCGTAGTGTACAATCGTTCGTGCAACAGACCCTTACCGAGCTGGCCGGCAAAAATCTGGACTATTTATTCCTCAACGCCGGTATGCTGGGAAAAGCCGACGGCCCAGGACCTCACGGGTCGCAATGGTGCGAACCGTTCGTGGTTAATCATTTATGTAAGTCAATCTAGAACCTTTGAGAGAATGAGGCGTGGAATATTTACGTCTATACATAGCCCAACATTATCTCATCCACTTGCTTCATGAGACCCTTACTGCTTCACGGTCTCGTCTTGTCATTGTGTCATCAGGGGCGATTCGTAACCTGCGAGACAATGATCCTAGTATGTCCTATTTAGAGAGTTTATCGCAGCTTGCCGAGACTAATCCATGATATTATCGTGCAGAAACGCTTGATGTTGATCTCAAGGCTAACTCCGGTGCCGAGTTGTTCGTGATATACTCTGCTTCAAAATTTGCTCAACTTCTGAGTGCACACTACTGGCGTCGTAACCTCCCAGAGTGTATCGTCGTAGCTGTGTCCCCTGGTCTCATTCCGAACACCGGACTAGGACGCAATGCATCTTTTGCATTACCGGCCGACCTTCCTGATGCTAAAAGCATTCCCGAAGGTAAGACTCTCTTTTGCCAAACGATTAAACTGTAGAAGACATCTAATCAAATATAGGTGCCCAAAGTCTCATCCGCGCATTCACTATCACGGAATTTCCAGCCGATCCCGAGCAGATCTTCCTAACTAGCTGGGGTGAATGGTGGCCGAAGGATGTCTATAAACTGAGCCTCGATACAGACCTACAGTCTCGCTGGTCGTTCAGCAAGCACGAGATAGAGACTACCGAGGCTCTCCCTATACATTGAGAGATGTATATAGTTCTGGCTAGGTAGTGAATGAGATAATGAATGATTCGCATTCGAAAATATTCAGCTAGAGGTGGATTTTAAGCTATGGCTCTATAGATGATTCTAATCTCACTGCGTCTTATACCTTCCATCCAGGTTTTCGCTCCCATCTTCACTTCCGAAAGTTCACTCAAAACTCAAGTGAAGGCAGTAGAGTTTTAGAGACACCAGAAGAAAATACTTTCACAGACAGCAATGACGACGAAGAAAAGAACAGTCCAATTAGGAAAGGTTTCTTTAAACACAGTCTTGTACCTTGGCGGCGAGAAATATCTCCAAGCTCGATCAGCGAGTCGCAAGTCTATGCTTGCGCAGAGAGTTTTCCTACATCGAATCTTTTCGAAAGACTTCCGGGCCCTCAATAGTCTGAGGCACTAGATACGTCATATCACCCACGTGGAAACCTCCTTTTTATATGTAAGAAATAGGGAATTATATTGAAATAAATCGCATGCGATCTTCAATACGATAATATTTGGGTAACTAACTCCGGGAGTAAAAGAGGAGGAGGAAAATTGACATAAAACCACACAAAGCATTTGCACAATACATAACGCAGCTTAGAAAAACATACATGTCAAAATAATGTTGACATAATAATGGTACACATGTATTTGTCTTGTTTCTGGACAGAGGAAAATGTTTTCCTTATTTTTTTCTAAAGACTAGTAATTTCGAGGCAAACCTTCAAATATTGAATTGCTTTCCTGTTCAGCTACCAGCTACGTGGCTTTGACATTTTGATAAAGAAGACCATTGTTGCATGAATAAATACACAAACCATACAAAAAATAAGAAAGCTTGCCGAATGAGGAATTTGCAGGTTTGTTCTTAGGCCACGAATTCCAGAAGATGACAGTTCTTTGAACTTGATTCATCACAATGAGAGAATAGTAAGAAGGTAGTATAAGTACCACGATGGAAGCATCTAATCATAGATTAGTCTACAGGATGGTAAAAAATAATGAAAGGTTGAATACGCTGCATGGGCACGTGCATTGAGAGTTTTTGTTTTATATGTGTCTTTGACTGATTCATTGTACTCATTACGCCAATCACTCAGGTACTCCGTTCGTATCGTGTGTAGATATATTCAAGCGTTGCTGGGAATGAGAGTATGACTAGCAGTACCTAAAGATTAGTGGATTAAGAAGTTGGAGAATCGACCATTTTTGATCAACAAATTGTGTATTAAATACCTATAGAGATCAATTTTTCGGGGAATTTCCACCGGTTCAGCGTATAACATGCGTCCTGTCATTTTACTAGATTTAAAATTCAAGTTCTGCCAGTCGCGACACTTGTGTGGGGTATTGAAATCTGGATAGGGACGCTGGACGTGGTCATGCACGTCCTTGTACCCCACGACGCCTGGATCGGCATTGCACATAACCACCTGTCGCAGGGTTTCGAGAAAGTGATAGGAGCGATTTTCTAGAACGGGTTGATATAATAAACAGGCGCAAATAACAGACATAAAAGCGATACTAGGTTGACGGCAAGTTGGTGCTACAGAGTTGGCCATCTACCTTGGTTGGACATGGTATCACGATAGGATGCCTCTGTACGACAAATTTGTGTCTGGCCGTCCCACATCTCTGTTACATGGTCGTATCTGTTCTACCTGATACGTGGTGTTCACCTGTAAATTCAACGATTGTCACAATAATTTGCATTTCCGGCGCGGATTACAGCGAGGCTGTACCACCCTTGTCTATTTCCTGCCTGGACTATAAGAGGGTAGCTATGTTTGTTCCTTGAATCCTTTCTTCTCTCCATTTTTCCCCATCTCAGTCTTCTCCTTCAGTTTTTTCACTTTGGTATCTCAACATCATCAATCCGGCCAACCCCGTGTTTTTTTCGTGTTCTTGACTTGACATACCGACAAAATGATGCTCAAGACAGTGATTGCCCTTGCTGCGCTCGTCAGCCTGGCGACTGCATTACCTACCGGCCTCCAGCATGGTGAGTTCACTCTCATCATAGAGTATGGAGAGACGTACTGATCTACAAGACACTGCCGACGTTGTCCCCTTGGCCAAACGCAGCAGCTTCAACGACTTATATACCTGGGAAGGCAAAGACACCTGTAATTATTCTCATATCTACCAGCACTCCCGTCACTAATTGCCACAAAGTGGATGCATTGTCCAGGCGTGACCCCAACTCTCTTGTCAAGTTCTATCATGGCGATGAAAAAGACACCTGTGAGTATTCTCCTATCAACCCATAAACGTCCGCCACTAATCGCCATAAAGTGGATGTCCTATCTAAGCGTGGATTCGACACTAGTGTTAAGAAGGATGTTTGTGAGTATTCAATATCAACCTATAATAATGCCTGCCGTTAATTGTCGTGAAGTGAATGCTCTGTCCAAGCATTAACTCCCTGGTTAAATTCGACACTGGGTTTGAAGAAGATCCCGGTAGGGTCACATCATTACCATAGCCAAGAGCACGCAGAACACGGCAAGTGGAAGCTTTGTGTTTAGTTGTTACTTCCTGAGTACTTAAATCTTGAGATAAGTCAAATTACTTCTGAATGCTAGAAAATCAATACTGCATAGCTCAATCTCTCACATTCAATTGGTGAACAACTCTGGTATTCAATGTCGGAGATTTTAGTAGGTTATAATTCCGTATATGGCCACGAAGTCAAATTTGAACCGGAAAATAACGGACATCGGGTGATTAAGACCCTTGTCATGTAAAAGCTATCTAGACGCGTGCCGTCTTTGTAGACCTTAGTAGCTCATTATTTTGTCACACATCTCTGCTCCAACCTTTTTCAAGTTCGAATGTCTCTAAAAGCAACGTCATTCTCAAGCATTTGCTCAAAATATCTTTTTCTGTTTCTTTTATAATATCAAAATGGATCACAAAAGGCAGCCTGGAGACAGACTGTACCACGCAATCTCTATCGTTGTATTAGGGGTTTTAGTCCTCCTTATCGCAGTTGATATTTACCTTATCACAATTTCACCAGAGGGATACCACTCTATCTCCAACAGCCTTTATACGTTCACAAATATCACACCTCATAGCTATCCTCAATCGCGCAAGCCAGTCACTGTTTCCATCGACAGATCACTCTAATCGAACCCACAATGCAAAATACGGCATCATTTTCAACAGTATCACGGCACCTGAAGACACAATCATCAACGGAGACGATATTTGGGAGGAATTGCTCGCTACTTCTGACGGAGGCTATCTTTACCTCACTTCAAACGAGTCTAGTTCTGGCCGCGAGCCAGGGTGGTGAGCATGTTCCACGGCCTGCATTGCCTGCAGGTGCTACGATACAAGATCCAAGAGCTTGAGAATCAGTCTGGTGGTCAGCACCATCATACCGTTCATGACCGTGGCGACGCATTCGTATTATAAGCATTTCTTTGTATAACGCTCTGGTATGTTTCTTTCCGCTGTGGTGGATATACCATACTGGTTATGCTTATTATACAGTCCCTGCTCTGTTCAGCTGACGCGACACTCGAGCCTCCGCACACCAGTTACTGCGCGAACGGCACCTTCAAGGGGGTATACCATCAACGGGATGGGCGCATGGCGTCAATGCAGTGATAAAAGCGAGTTCTGGCTGAGGGTCTGGGAGGCAGAGAAGAGTCCATGTGCAAAATGGGACTATCAGGTTGGAAATACCATGAGAAGCGTGTGGTACAGCTAGAATATTGAAGTCAATAAAAACAATAGGCCGGGGGTAATAAGAAGGAACCTGGATCGCGAATCGCGATAGTATGTAGTCACGTGCAGGCTTGGCGGTTCACATGCTTGAAAACAATGAAGATTTGTTTCCGCCTCGTCCACTTTTCCTGCTCTCCACGACGACGAGAGTTATTCGCCCGCACAAGCCAGAGGGGCCACGCTTGCCTGAACAGGGGCTTCCTCTTATCTTCTTATCTGTTTTGTATTGTACTGTAGCTCTGTGTGGCTTGCTGAACTGGCCCAGTCTGTTCACAGCTAGCTGCCAGCTCGCTGAATGGTTCGCCGCATCGCATCACCGCCCGGCCTTTTTACAACCAGTCTTGAGCATTAATCCGAGCGAGAGCCGATGGATCGACCGGTCTAGAGGATTTGATCGCTGCCAGCCGAATTATAAATATATCTAGCACCTGACCTCATCTGCCTGCTCTGCCGTACATGGCGCAAACACGCACACAGCTTTGAGAATTACGTGCGTCTGACCCTAAGCATGGAGAAGTTCTCCCAGTTCCGAGACCGGGGTATGTCCTAGCCAAATTCGAGTATGTGCACCAATTTATCTAATTAATGGGAGAGTATAGGCTCCGGCATTGCGCCCTTTCTCCCCATTCCTACCCAACCCTCGGGATATGCGTTGCCCCTACACATATTCCTATTCTGCTTCCGTCTACCGCTCCTCATATTCGTCTGCTTGAGCTATTTCCTCGTTCTACAGTACCTCCCCATCGGGTCTCTAGGGAAGAAAGCATCGCTATGGTGTATACTCGGCGTGCCGAGTTTGTGGTGGATTGATCTGCAGGTTGATGGTGTGAAGAGAGGGTGAGTCGGCGCAATATTTGGTGTATATTCACTACTAAATTGTGTGCATGAATGCAGACACCTTGCCAGCCAGCGGTCGCGACTTCCCTTAGCCAAGTCCATCATTGCCTCGTCTTTCACCTCCCCCATCGATGCCATCTATCTCGCCGCCATCTTCGACCCAATCTTCACCGCGTCATACCCAGACACTAGCAAAGTCCAACAGCTATCGCTCCTTGGGGCTATTCTGAGGTCATTCGCGGAGCCAGAACTCACTCCGCCCGTCGGCGCAGATCTCGTCAATATCTCGGATTTAACCGAAAACCACCCATCAAGACCCATCGTCGTATTCGCCGAATGCACGACAACAAACGGCCGCGGCATTCTCCCGCTCAGCAGATCACTAGCATCCGTTCCGCCGCGTACGAAAATATATCCTATCAGCCTGCGATACACCGAACCAGACATCACCACCCCAGTACCTCATTGTTATACCACTTTCCTGTGGAATCTGCTCAGCAAACCCACACATTTCATCCGTGTGCGAGTCGCCGAACATGTCAGCTCGAGCAGTAAAGCGTCGCCCGAGGGTCGGGGTACAACTAGCAATTTCTTTGACGACGAGGATGACGATAGTTCTGCGACGTTGCTTGATGAGTCGTCTGCTAGTGAGACGCTGACGAATCAGGATAGAGCCTTATTGGACTATGTAGGCGAATCGCTGGCCCGTCTTGGGAGAGTGAAGAGGGTTGGCTTGGGAGTTCAGGAGAAGAGAGACTTTGTCCGCATGTGGACCAAACAGCAGCGCAGGTGACACTGATATTAAGAGCCACCCTGACGCTGAGGCAGAGATTCAGAATTAATCAAGATGCTCAATAAGTTCAATTTCCCCGTAGTAAGTTAACCATTAGGCGGACTGACATGACGGTCAGTAACGATCCCATTAATTAGAAGTTATTACTGGCCGTTCTTGGATTAGTAAATGTATTCCTGAAACCGAACACAAAGTGGATCGTCAAGGTGTTCCCTCCTGGTATATCTTAGTTCTCCGCTACGTTTATGCTTACTCTAACATTGTGCTTAACACCGCCTCTAGTCTATGCACCTTGTTGTTTTACCACACACACGGTTTGCGGAGCCAGGCAAACGGCCATAGGTCACATGATTATGTTGTCCTGTCAGAAAAAATATGCAACTATAATAACACTAGAAATCCTTACTAAGTGTTGCGCCGTTTTTGGTATAGTGGTTAAAAATTCGACACTACCTGTCAGAATGCTAACCTCCACATCGAAAAGACGCCGACACCCAATTTGTCCTAGAATTAGCAATTCCATGTTTCTGGAAATTCCTTAGCTAGCTTCGAAGGGGCACAGAATACTGGGATCATCGCCATCTCTCCATCAGATTCGTCCGGTTGTTACCAGATATTTTCCTTCTCACAACCCTCTTAACTGAGACTAGTGGATACAATATGGTACTCCATTCGGACACAGGTTCCGCACATTGGCAATGGCGCTCTTCTAAATGGTTCGTCCTAGCCACCGTCGCCGTAGCCCTATTCATCGGTTCGTCCTATCCTACTCCCCTATAAAGTTGAACAGGACAGAAGAGAATATCTTACTAACTCCTCCGCCCCAGAAATATTCCTCTATGGCTTTCTTGTTCCGATGCTGCCTTACATGCTCGAAGAGCGGCTACATCTAGGCCCAGATCAAACGCAGCGTTTCACCTCCATCTCACTCGCCCTGCACGGCCTGGTATCCATCTTTGGGGGCCCGCTCATTGGGCATTTCGCAGACAAGGCGCCAAACCACAAGATCCCGTTTCTCATTGCACTGTTGGGATGTATCATCGGGACAGTCATGGTCGCCTGTGCGACGTCTGTGGGTGTGTTCTTCGGCGGACGCGTGTTGCAGGGGATTTCAGGGTCTGGAGCGTGGATTGTGGGCCAGGCGACGGCGACGAATGCAGTCGATCCGGAGCAGATCGGGACCACGATGGGGATTCTTATGGTCTTTGTGAATGCAGGGATGATTACGGGGCCGATGGTCTCAGGCTTTATCCTGGAGGCGGCAGGGTATTGGTTTACGTGGAGTGTGCCCGTGGTGCTATTGCTCATCGATGCCGCGGCTCGTCTGTTGATAGTCGAGAACCCCGAGAGACCTAGTACCAAGGCCTCGACAGAGACAGACGAAACAGAGAGTCTTCTGCCTTCGCAGGAACGTGGTCGAGAGGGCTTGTCTGCTCCGAGCTCGAACTTCTGGCGCATAATGCTAAGCAATAGCCGCGTGATGACGGCCTTGCTGATTGGGATCTGGGGTCCGACCGTTGGCACAAGCTTCAACGCCACACTTCCACTCCATGTGCACGATATCTTTGGGTGGGGTCCCTCTCGTGTTGGACTGATGTTCTTCCTGCTGGCTGTGCCGGGTCTACTCTTCAGTCCGCTCGCGGGATATCTTCGTGATTGCATTGGCAGCCGAAAACCAGCTTCTATCGCACTTGGCCTGCAGGCAGTGTTCCTAGCCCTGTTAGGATTCGCTGGAAACAATCATTTTGACTGGGCTGGCTCTGGTAGTCGAGGCCCGGCACTTTATATTCTTTCCATCGTCACAATGGGCATCCTGCGACCTTTTGTCTCGGGTGTCGGGCCCGTAGAGTTAGCCTGTAAGTATCTAGCCATGTTTAATCAGAACGGCCTCGCACTCACCTATGCATCGCAGCCGTCGTCAAGGCAGAAGAAGCAAAGAATCCAGGGATCTTCGGGCCGCGAGGAGGCTACTCACGTGTCTTTTCTCTGCTTGAAGTCGCTGTCACGGCTGGCATGACGATTGGCCCCGTTATCTCTGGCGCCCTTGTTGAACGATTCGATTACTATCGAATGACCTGGACATTGAGTGAGTCATTCCCCCTCTCTTCAACTCCCATGGTTCTTGTTGATCTTCTCAGGCGGTATATCCATCATCATGGCTATCTTAGCCTGTATCTTCCTAAAAGATAAAGGTAAGATACAGACAGAAAGCGCCGAGCAAAGGTAGATCTGAAAAGATTCGAAAAAAACTATGAAAAGGGTGTCAAAAAGGTATTATACATATTTCTCAGGATATTTTCTATTAAGAATAGATCAATCTAAACAACAATATCCAAGTTCCAAGTCAAATTTGTTAGTTTACAAGTTAAATGCCCCGAATCTATAAGATTACAAACTAGCCTAATCTATGTATGAATCAAATCACTGACAACCACCGTATAATGCCAGCCAAAGACGGGTGTAGTTCTGGCCAGAGAGGCATGGTTCCCGTCAAATCTCTATGTTCACGTCAGCTCCGAGGTCGAGGAAGATATGCATGATATTAATGTTTTCGCGAATAACTGCAACATCAACCAGCGTCATATATTCACTATCTCTCTGACATACGACCCAGTCTGTTGAACGTAGCTTACAAACAATTTCTATAAGGCCGTTAACTGCTGCGCAGTTAAACTCGTCCTTCTGCGCTTGACAAGGATCGGCGCCTGTAGCAATCAACCCCCTTACCATTTGTAAATGGTTATGAAAATCACCGTACGAAAGCCACCTACTCTGACCCTGTCACCGTTCTTAAGATATTTATCTTTTTTGCCGGTGATTTCTATTCCGGTCCTGTGATATTTGATGTTACTCCATTAGAGTAGGGTACAACCTACTTCTGCTGTTTATTGTGACGAGGGACTAGTGTATCACGATTGATCATATGGACTGGTTCATCTACTTCGTCATATTCGTTTGCATCAGACTACGTAAGCGTTATACAAAATATCAAATCTTATACATCAACCTGAAACCACAACGCTGTACGACTGACTCCAATTCCCGCCAACCATACAAAGACATAATCAAAAAGCAAATTAATCAAGAAACCCTCAATCTCCCCACCACTTCCTCCGTAGCCAACTGTTCAATACGCTGCGCATACAAATCCATCGCATGCATCAACGGATCTCCGAAAACAAGGCCTCTAAGATCTGCATCCGACGCAATCACGGCCTCTATCATTCTCCTCGCCTTCTTTTTCTTTGACGATGAGGAAGAAGAAGTAGTCCGTAGAACAACAAGCCGTCCAGCCAACGAAAGCGTTGCTTCGGGGACTTTCCATACTGGTTTCGGGTTCTTTTTCTTGCTACAGTTGTTAATGCAAGCTGTTGGTCGGGCATACATCTCCAGTAAGCTTTTGACGTATGTCTTGTCGGCTCGGGCAACCGGATCACCCTCATTAACGAATCCAAAGAACATGTTCTTATTATATCGCGAACGGTTATCCCTATCACTGCCAAGCTCTGGATTGTGTAGAGGTAACAGCGAAACAGGCGGCGCACCAAAGGTCACGCAGTGAACCCTCTTGAAGAAGCCACGCAGATGGGTCAATTCACTCGTAACCGTCTGCGAAAGCATATGCGTAAACAACAACGCCGCCACGGCACCACCAGCGCTATGTCCGGTAATAACGAGCGAACAGCTCGCTCTGCGCGGATCTTCGTTCAGCAAATCCTGTAACCGCCTCGCCACCGGCTTTACCATCTTCCGCGCCACATTTAGAAACCCTGAATGGCACAGGTTTCCCTCGTCATCAAGGAAATTTGATGGGCTTGTTGGCTGTGTGTGCATATTGACAGCCCAGTCACGGAAATTTTGTGTGCCGCGGATAGCGAATACGATTGTGTTCATGTCGTCAAGAGGTACAGATTTGATAAGCATGTCTTTTGTGCCGCGGAGCCAGTCGCCTGAGATATGCATATGACGCTCTGCGCCGGAGGGTTTGTCGTACGCGCGACGGGAATAGGTGGCTGCAAGGCAGAGTAGAGGCCAGGTCTCGAAGTGAAGCTTGAGCATTGGTAGAGAGGATGGAGTGTAGGCGTTGGCGTAATGGTATGATTTGGTGAAGGAGCTGCTTGTGGGAGGAATTCGTGTGCGAGTATGACTTTGTGTTGGCGTGCTGTGATGCTTTTTGTCCGCGTCTTTAGACGGCTTGTTGTGTCGTTCGTGTCTACGCGGTGGAAGTGCAGGTGCTGCTGGCTTTTCAGGTTGTATATTGTTGAGCACTGATAGAAAATCAGCAATTTATTTTCTCTTTCCGAAAAGTTCTTAACAAACCAATCTCATCAGTTTCCCCTCTATATGTCCCGTTGTCCATTGACGTGATTACTTCGTCTAGCCGCATTCCAACCGCATCCAATGCGGCGGTGTACTGCTGTCGACTCGACTTTTGACCCGCAAAAGCATCGTATGTCTCTACAGCAAGATTGCCGGCGTCGTTGAGTGTGGCGGCCAGAGATGTCAGATTCATGCAAGACTGCCACGGACGTTGCTTTCTTGGTGGTGGCACGCAACCCGACTGGTTGTACGTATTGGAATGTGCATTTTGATGGCCACCAGTATGGGCATGACTCAAAGGCCATGGATGAGCCTGATTCGGTGTATGATAGCTTCCCTGGTGGTGATGTACTGTTGGATACGTTGCGGTTGTTGGTTGTGGGTAGTAAAACACCGTCGGGCCTTGTGGTGGGTGCGTTGAATGGGAATTAAAAGTCACAGGCCGTGAATGTCCAGCTGTCAACTGTGAATGCGATGGAGCTGGAGATAGAACTGGCGTTGGAGGGAGAGTCTGATATGGAGGTGGGGGTGTTCCTGGGATGCTCTCACTATGCATCTCGCTGGGTCGTCGTAGCGCCGGCATCCTGAAGCATATATTACATTCTGCTTCCAACAGTGGTCATATATCGGAGCGAGTTTGGAGTGTTGTTGTCAGGTCAGAGATGAGTACGGCTGGGTGAGTCATGTTTTAAATTCAAAAGAAACCATCACAAGGCTGTCGAGCATGTGAAACTTCGGATTTGCACTTCTTGCCAGCCGATAAATCAACAGAATCGCCAATGATGGCCATCGCTAAGGACTGGCTAGTGCGAACGTATGGCTGTTAGGCTGATTCTGGGAGCCAATCCGATCTGCCTGGGGAGCACTGCCCTGCTGGTCGACGCTTGACGGAGGGAGAATCTCAATGTGACTCGCTCGCGCGGGTGTTCAGGGCCTACCTACCCCGCCAATGACAGAGTCGCGCCTGCAGATCTGCACACAGGTTGGCCACATGCAAATACGATTCAGTAATTTCTCCACAAATCTTTAATTATCCTTGAATTCATGGCCTAGTCGTTGATTAACGGGGTGGCTTGAGAGAACTGAGTATCACGATGCTCAAAAGAAAAGAACGAGATAGGGGGAACAAAAGAGAAACAACAGATCTACCCTCCGTGTCTTCTGTCTAACCACCGTAGCATCTTCCACTGCAGCGCATCAATCAAACCTTTGGTTTTCCTTTGCGAGTTTCTGTACTACCGTCCCTTGTCTTCGTCAAGTCTAGCGCTTCATCCGCCTGTATCATCGCCCTCTCAACAGCAAAATCGTCAAGTGCTCTATAAATACTGTCTTCTAGTGCATGCACCGGTAAGTCAACTTCGATTCCGTCTGTTAACTGCAGATTGAGGTGCGCTGTGTTGCGATATGATTCAACTCCAGGGGGAACAGTGTCGCCAAAAGAGTCCTTAAAGGCACGATCTTTACCACCAAAATTGGACTGCCAAACCGGTTCAGTCTGATCATCATCTCTATCGCAAACGAAAAGGTTCGCCGCGATGGCGCCTCTAATCGAGGAGCCGTGATGACTGTGCCAATTCAGGATATGGTTACTCAACCCATCTCGTGGGATTTTGAGTAGCTGTTCGGTTGACAACCCCCATGGGAATTCGCTCGGGGGCGGCCTCTCGAAGATTTCCACACAGATGACGAGTCTAGTCTTGCGCTTGGTCCCGTAAAGCCATTTGTTTGCACCACGGTTGAGTTCTTCTAGGTTCCCGATCAACACAACCACTCGCGGGAAGTCAGTGTCATCTTCGTTGATCTGACCGTCAGAAGTCTGGATGTGGCCTTCAAATTCGCCTTTTAGGAAGTATGCTATAACAGATTTGTCAGAGCTGCTTGCCAGGGGAGTATCGGTGAACAACTAATCCAGTAAGAAAGGAACTCACGCTGGTTGAAGGTAACAGAGTACTCTCTCTTCGGGTACGCCAGGACAGATTTTTGAACTATTTCATCAAGAAATGTCAACATCACGCCGCGTGCAGCCTTGTGTATGGGATCTGGATTCGGCTTGATGCTCATATAGCCATCCTTTGCATCATACTGAAGACCAGGCAGCAACCCGTACTTCTTTACCCACACCCGCATTTCACAGACTGTTGAAATGTGTCGTTTAATCCCTATCATACTGCCAGTAAGACCCTGCAGTTCTCTGATGGTGTCGTGGTTGATGTCTAGGATTGACTGCGCGCCTTGAAGAGCCTTCTCGATGTAGTAACCGCGGTTTTCCATTGCTGGCCAATTTTGATAGACAGGTAGACGTGAGTGAGAGGTAGAAGTAAGCTGGGATAGGAAAAGAGAGCAAACAGGGGATTTAGACAATGGACAGTGGACAGTGGATTGGAGAACACAGTAATAAATTGTGAACGTGAACATATGCCTATCTCGGGACTGTTGCTGCAATCACAACATTAAGCTACACATGCCCCAGGCACAAAGAACTGCATGTTTGAACAACTACATCCACTTGTGCAGCGTTGGATGGATGAATGTCACGACAAAGAGACTTTTTACGGTAAGCCAATATATCCTATACATACGTGAATGCCCATCACCATGTTCAGTTATGCCATGAAAATATCACAATAATAATGCAAAGCATAATTACTACATATGTAAAGTTTCTGAAACTAGATGAGTCAAAATTAGAATACAGGTAAAAAAAGTCTGTTAAAGATCCACCTGTCTCAATGTTCCTTCTCATAACCCAGCTATTATCTCTTTTGTATATTTTAATAATAATTCTATAGGCCATCAAGTGATATAGATGTACCAGAACCATTGAATGCATGCAACATATAACTGTTGGTATATTATAGTGTCATTGCTATTTGGCAAGGGTACGTCCAAATTTCTTGTTCCATGCATCTCATTCGGTCGTATTGTGTATCAAAAAATTCAAACTCGTTAGAATCATATTCTGGAGATTTCTCTCCAGAGATTTACCAGACTTCGGTCATGAGCTAGCACCCATACCAGACCTTTTTATGCGCAAAATCCGCCTTATTTGGTTCTCTCACTATCTCGTCCACTGCCAGCCGAGTTTTGCGAAATGAATATCCTATATACGGCCCGTCCAACAATTTTGGATGTAGACTTTGGGTATATAGATTGGTTTATACGATAACGATCTGCCTGGATCTGCATTTCGCGGAACTCAGTAATTATTCCCTCCATTCGGCGTGCGCATAAGCCTTTGAACAAGTTTATCCAAGGCTTCCAAAAGAGTTCCCATCATTGCCAATCGATTCTCGCAGATGCTATCTGATGGTTAGACTTGTTGAACATACCCGGGAAAGTATGGAGAAGGACCAAACACTGTACCGAGGATTTTCGGGTTGACTGGCAGGTCAAAATCGTGGACTTCTTCCACGCTGATGTTAACAAGAAATCCGAATGCCTCCTGAAACATATACCCCAAGCGTAATTGTGAACTAATATAAACTCTACATATCGCCCCAGCAATCTAGAGCTCAAATTCTAAACTAGGGCCAGCTAATGGAGGGAGCGCGGCTAGCTATTCTGAAATCTAAGTATCCAGCAAGTCAAGCATACAAAGAAGTCTGCGGCTATCATAATATTTGCCCTCAATATAGCAGGGACTTTAGTCAATTGCAAGTGAAATATGTGCATTAAAATTTTGAAAACTTTGCCGCTGCCGGCAAGAGTGACACTCGGTCCCGTTGAGCTTCTATCCAGCAATGATCTCCATTTGCTCGAAACATGTTTTGAAAAAAAATTTGAAGCAGGGATTAAACATTTCTCAGACACTTTGAAGAGTCTGGATGGCCTAACTCTTTGTTCGTCCGTTTTGTGCATGAAGAACACAAACAAGAATGAGAGAATTGTTACAGAGATCAAAGGAAATAATAATACAAACAAACCTAATTACAGAAAACCTCATTTCAATCCTCCTGTACCTGGGATCATGCCATCCCATATTATTCGCTGTTTTCTTTTGGTGGAGTCTGGATAAACCAGCATTGAATAGCAGCAATCAATGCCAGTACCCCTGATCCCCACCACGATAAAGCGCTGAAGTGATGGTTCTGACCAATAGTCTGTGACAAACCGGCTGCAGCCGGAGAGACAGAACGACACGCCGCGCTTGCACTCGCTACCAGGCCATTGACACGGCCGAGCATCAGAGTATCTGGTGTCCACCTTTTGATATAAATCAACAGAATAGGGTATGTGAAAGTCGAAAACACGCTGCGCACAGTTAACCATGTGTACAAGCCAACGTCGCGCCAGGCATTTGCCGGAAGAAACGCCATATACGGCGCACAGAAGTATGAGATAGGGTGTAGTGTGGACATCAGCAACAGGGTGGTTTGTATACCAACAAGTTCAGTGAAGAAAGGGAAGGCAAGTTGCACAACCAATCCGATGATGCCATTGATCCCCATTACTAAGCCCACCTCTGGTAGACTCATGTCTAGACCACCAACTCCGCCTATGTAATGTGGAGGGACGCTTTCATCACGAGCGTCTCGCAGGAAGATCGGTAGGAGCTGAATGTACGTGACAGTATGAGCGCTGAGCAAACAAATAGCGACAACGAGCATCCACACGTTCTTGCCGAGACCACTGAAAGGGTTCATCCCACTGGAGTCAGCGCGCCGGTTTGATTCCGCGCCATCCACTGTCCCATAAGTTCCATTTTCACTTTCCGGCGCATCTGGGCGAAGAAGTGGTGTCTCGCTTGAATCATCATCCCAATAGCCCCAGAAACCATATTTTGTTTTTCTCAGTCGTAGCTCCGGGTGAGTCTCTTTCAAAGCCACGGTTGCAAATACCATAGTGACCAAAACCATTACGGCGCAGACAAGATTCGGAAGCAGATATGGAAATTTTGCAAACAGTGGACTGTCTCCAAATAGTGGAAAATTGGTATCAGCGGGACGGGCAAAGAAACCTCCAATCGCGGGTCCAATAGTGCAGCCAATACTGAAAAAGAACGGCATCACCGCATATGCGCGAGCTATTTGGATATTAAAACTGGACGGTATATAGATAGATGCTCCCATGGTTGAACTTACGCTCGTGTTCAGGACGGGTAACCATCTCCCCAACCATAGTCTGGACCACTCCAATGTTCCCATTCAGAGCTCCACCAAGAATTCTCCCCAGCACCGCCATCCATATATTCGACGAGAAGCCTAGGACAAATAGCGAGATCATGGTCCCTCCACAGCCCAGTAGAAGGACAGGTTTCCTGCCAATGCGATCCGAAAGAGCCCCCCACCAAAATCCAGTCAAGGTTTCAGCGAGGGAAAACACGGCGATGAAAATACCGGCATAGAAGGCCGCGTTAGAGGTATCATCCCCCATGAGATGTCGCATTAGATCATATGCATAGGGGAAGACAGACGTAAGGGCAACAGGCTCTGCGATTCGACATAGCGCTGCAGAAAGGTCAGCTCATGGGTGAGTGTGGTTGCTTGTCGTGAGACTTACCTAGCAGAAACAGCTGCGCTGTGGGGAAGTCCTCCATCTTCAATTCTAAACGCGTGTGCAATTCAACTCCTCTGGAGGCGCAGCGGTTTATACCAAGAACTCAATTGCGATACAAGAAATAAAGGCAATTTTGGTAAACAGCAGCAATCGACAGAGCGGACATGGGTGGCGAGGTGAAGTTGGTGCAAGGGATGCGGAATGGGAAGTCGCAAGTTTGGGTTGTGCGGGAAGGCGCAAAGGAAAAGAAAAGAAAGAGATGAAAGAATCAGCCCAGGCCAGCGCCTGCCTCCGAATCAGCCTCCTATTCCAGTCTACGCGTGGCCAACACTGCAAAAACTGGTGATTCGGCCTTTTCTGTCGGATCCTTTCATTATGAGGAATCCATCTACTGATTCGTCCGTTCAGGATATTCTGGGCCAATAAAGAGCGCTTCGGGCCAAAAAGAAGCCGCCTGCAGAGCGGATTATTGCCGCTGCGTAATGCTGCATGAGAGGATTTGATCGCCATCACATGATGAGACAGATAATCTATTCTACGTCCTTCTCCTTTTGGTTCTCTCTTCCTCGCGAGATACGCAATGCGTCGCGGGGATGTCGTTGAGAATGTCGTTCTTCAACTCAATTGCGATCAAGAGTCAGTCCCGGTTCTGGCGCGTCGCTGGGCTGTGTGCTGTCTTGAAGCTACTACAAACGCTGAGTACCGCAGTATCTGTCGTTCCTCGTCTACGCTTGTTTGAGGCGACTATCTGTCGGGCATACTACCAGACACATGATCCCGGTGCAATCGGCATAGACAACAATGTACCGGAAGAGCTTTGCAAGATAGATGCGGTTCAGACTGATCTAGCCCAATTGACAGGGTGGAATTCATTCTTCTTCTACATTCCGAGTGCGTGAATATCCAGGCATAACGAATGAGGGCGCTTTGAAGTCCTGCTAACATCTGAACAGTGCTACTTCTCGCGATTCCGTACAGCGCTCTAAGTGAGCGAGTTAGTCGGAAAACTGTCTTGCTCGTGAATGTTTCGAGTGGTATCCTTTCGCAACTTTACGTGTTGATGATATGTATGAAGTGTACCTCGTATATAAATACAGAATATGGCACGAGTTTTGCTCATATGAATCTTTATGCAGGCTACTTTTACAATACATTCGATGTACGGCTGATATGGCTAGCGAGCTTGTTTGACTGTGTTGGAGGGGGACGATTAGTGTTCAATACGATGACACAGGTCTTGATTGCTGAAGTCACGGCACCGTCCTCCTTGTATGAGATTACCTCGCCTGTCGTGACAATGTGGATCTAACATGCGTGTAGGAGCACGGTTTACTTCCGTCTCACATCTATAATGTCTGTTTCGCGTGTCATGGGGGTCACAAGTGGTTCCTATCTTCTCAGCTATGGTGTCTGGTTACCAATCTGGCTGGGATTGGCCGTTTATGGTCTCTGTGTCCCTGTTCTTCTGCTACTATCAGACCACCGCAATCATATATCGGCCAAGACAAATCCCTCTGATACGGAGAATCACTTGCTTCAGCCTGGCCACCACTCTACCGACCCTGATTCAGCTGAAAAGAAGAGCGAGAGTGATCATAAAACCCAAAATATCAAGTCTAGCGAAGACAATCAATCGCCGACTCAATCCACGTCTCTTCTGCGATCCTTTTCAGCTTATTTAACCTTTATGTCTGATCACTTTCTCATTCTTGCAATATTTTTTATCCATGAATCAGGCATGGGCGTTCGCAATATCACCGAACAATGGATGAGCCAACGTTTTACCTGGCCCCTGCGAATGACCGGGTATATTCTCGCATCCGAGACATTTTTGGGCAGTCTATTCCTAGCCATCTTACCCACAATATCACACCATCTCCTCAGGGGAAGCAAAAATACTCGTGGAGCACGCCAAGTGCAGAAAGCCCAGCTCTACATCATCCGCGGAAGCCTGTTTGCCGCTGCGAGCGGCACCGCACTGATTGCAGCCTCGGGTAGCAGTCGCCTCACCTTTCTGATGGCGTTGGGTGTCTTTGCGCTAGCAGTGGGGTTTCATGACGCCCTGAAGTCGTACGTGACCGGTCTAGTTGACGTGAAAGCAATAACCCGCATGTACATGTGCATCTCGATTGTTGAGACGTGCGCAAATATTGTCAATGGGCCTGTGTGGGCCGAGATATACACGATCGGCATGAGTTACGGCGGGAGGGGTATGCCGCTCCCGTTCCTCGTGTGTTGTTTGTTGTTTCTAGGTTCCTTGGGGCTCGTGTCGCGATTGGTGTAGCGAAGATGATCGCATCGCGATTGACTCGGCTCGAGTAAGGTTGTCGTAAAGGAGGGAGGGGCTGCCAACTAGTTTAAGAATCCACATGAATAGTCCGAATTAAGCCACCAGTCATAATGCCGAACGCAGGGATCAGTGCGATTAAGCTAGAATAATGGGATCGCGATCTACGAACCTCTTCAAAGCTCATGCTAGCTAGTTAGCTAGCTCTTTTTTTCAGCTAGCCATCCCAGCCATGCCGAAGCAGGGGGTAAAAGCACAGAAAAAGCAAGGAAAGCAAGCCCTCACGGTAGAACCTGTCAACAGTCTCCGGAAAACGCAATCAGCCCAAGACTTCACAAACGTACGTCATATCCGTCTACGATAGTCTCGAATATGAATATCTAATTAATGAGTCTCTACAAGGTATTTTTCAATCTAAACCGGAATTCATCATCATTAATGAGCGTGGTTGGCTACATCGATCTCGTTCTGACTGCATAAAAAGAAACATTGCTCCACTTGTCATTCCGACTGCTGAGAAACACGCATGCGTGTCCGTCTAGCGTCTCCAAATCACTTATCATTTCGATTCTTGTTCAGACCGCCTCTTCAACTCCAATACTCCATGCCTGCAGGGGTCTCGGCGGGGTAAGACGGCATGGGTTTTGGTTGACTGTGCCTGTCTTAGCGCCAGGGTAATGTTGGGCTGCTTTAGTAGTTGTAGAGGTCCCCATCAAGCTCGTCACGCTTGTTCTTGTAGTTGTAGAGATCACCATCAAGTTCATCGCGCTTGTTCTTGTAGTTGTACAGGTCACCATCAAGCTCATCGCGCTTGTTCTTGTAGTTATACAAGTCGCCATCGAGCTCATCGCGCTTGCTCTTGTAGTTGTAGAGATCACCATCAAGTTCATCACGCTTGTTCTTGTAGTTGTACAAGTCGCCATCGAGCTCATCGCGCTTATAGTTATAGAGATCACCATCAAGCTCATCACGCTTGCTCTTGTAGTTATACAAGTCACCATCGAGCTCGTCACGCTTGTTCTTGTAGTTGTACAAGTCGCCGTCGAGTTCGTCGCGCTTGTTCTTGTAGTTATACAAGTCGCCATCGAGCTCATCGCGCTTGCTCTTGTAGTTATACAAGTCGCCATCAAGCTCGTCGCGCTTGTTTTTGTAGTTGTACAAGTCGCCATCGAGTTCGTCGCGCTTGTTTTTGTAGTTGTACAAGTCACCATCGAGCTCATCGCGCTTGTAGTTGTAAAGATCCCCGTCTAACTCATCGCGCTTGTAGTTGTACAAGTCGCCATCGAGCTCATCACGCTTGTTCTTGTAGTTATACAAGTCACCGTCGAGTTCGTCACGCTTGTAGTTGTATAAGTCGCCATCAAGTTCATCACGCTTGATAGGCAGGGCGGCTGCCATGCCCATGGAAGCTAGGCAGGCGACGAGAACAGACTTAGTGACAAGCATTTTCAATAAATTCAAATTTGCCTTGCAGTAGAAATTGATGTTGATTCAAGAAGTGTCAATAGAAAAGAGAGTTTCAACAAAGAAGGCATCCAAGGGCTCCGTATTGCTATATATCCCTCGCCCCTCTATTATCAAGTCCCACCTGAAGAGACGGGCCGAATTGTTAGAATTTCAATGCATAATTCTCTTGACTTGTCGCATGCTCGCTCAGTGGCTACATGATGAATTGGTGGATCGTTTTAGCCGACTGCTAATCAACATCAATACAGGAAGCCAACAGAGAAAGATCATCAATCATCAATCATCATCCTCGTCTTCATCAACATGGGGTCCCGCCTTTTCTCGAGTGGAAGACGCCATTGGAGACAAATCACAAGAAATCTGCATCTTTTGATGTCACGGCGCAACTTAGCTTCGTAGTCAAAGTTTTGGGACCGCCGAGTCAAGACTGCATCAACATTTCAGGTGGACCGGTCTTCTGCATGCAGGTCTTGCGGAATGGTCGACGAGACGATCGCGACAGTAACAGGACTATGCTTGGACTGGGTTTTTGGTCGTGGTCCGTCGTCTGTCTGCGAGTGTAAGAGAAAGAGAAGCAGATCACGACGAGGAAAGAAGGCTGGCTGAGGCGGTCCACAGGTTCCTTGCCCTAATAATGCGCTAAGCCCCACGCCGGCACCGCTCACATACTCTACGTACCACCATGTACTCCGGACATTATCGTGCGTTTCTCATTCCTCAAGCTTGTGAGGTCCCCTTTCCCAGCCCTTTGATAGGGTTCTTGGCGTGATGAAAAGCCACCCCGCATCAATGCCCCGATAACACTCTCCATGCCTCCAAAACAGCCATGGCACGCTGTGATTGTCATGTTGTGTGATACGTCATCTGACGTCCGATCCTCGCTCGATCGTCAGCATCTTAACAATACGCTAAACTCATTGGCTGCGGACTTGAAATCCTACCGACGGCCAGATAAGCTACTGTGCCTGGGGCCTTGATTCGGTAACGAATGCTTGAGTATCCATGTCACTGGACGATCAAGAAAGGAACCATAGAGAGATCTACTTCTGTATCCAATGAGGCGTGCTGTTTTGACCCTTGGTGTGTTCTTACCACATGCTAGCTTTGGCCTGTAGCAGCTCCAGCTAGTGCCAGTGCATAGTGACTATGTCATTTTCAAACCCAACAAGACCCTGCAGGCCAGATGTCCAAGGGCTGGATTGGTCTTACAACCTAGAATACTCCATACAAAGCGTGAGGGGTTCGGCTGACGTAGCTCTTCGTATCCTGGGTCTAGATTGAAGCGGTCTGTTTCGTGAGTTGCTCGATTTGACACTTGCATATGCAGTCCATTACATGCCCTGTTGGTGACGTTATTCGTATTTAGTTCATAGGGCGGCATCTGATTATCTTCTTCTTGGATATGATATTCAGTCTAAAGATTCAGTCACGCCAGCCACCCTGACGCTAGTCAGGGTGAGAAAGTCAATATACATAGCAAGTTACATGTAACGCGATTCATGCATGCATGGTTGATGTTTTGAAAGGCAAAGATACGAGTACAATATGTATCTATTACACCATTAAGTGGAGAGCCCCGCTATCCACAATCATGTTGCTAGGAATTGCGTGATCTTTGCCTCTCTATTGCTGCCGATCTCACGGCCAGAACCAGGGATAGCTTTGTATGGAGCTCATGATGCATAGGTATATGCAGAGAAGACACAAAATTGGTTCACTCGGACTAGATCCACATCCATCATATTCCGCCTAGAATCACAACGTGCGGGACAGAGGATTGCCCACAACAGCCAAGCAATACATTACTCGTCGTCTGCATCGTATAGAATAGGGAAAGTCACTAGAGTCTCGACAGACAGCATAAATCAAATCTCGGTGTGTTGTTTTTCCTTTTGTTTTCTTCAACAAACAGCCCCAGAGTTATTTTTCTGCAAGCTTTCTGTACGTGGTGTGGATGAGAGCTATTATCCGAATTACAAAAGTCAGCAATGCTCAATTTGTTTAAAAAACTTTCAGGCCGTCCTGAAGAAAACTCCACGATGTATGCAGCCCTCAGGCAAAGCGGTAATTCAACAGAGGAAAGGCTACCCTTGTCAGAGAACGACGAGTTTCATGATGAACTCCATACCAAGGAAAGTACATCCGACGACGGATATTACAATGAGAAGCCAGTCAAGTCTCGGTTCAGATTGAAAGCTCTGCTTTTTCATTTGGGCCTTATCACCATTTATTCGATAGCATTTATTGGTGCGATCTATTCGTCCTCTCATTCAAAATCTGATAATGGGGTGCAACATCTCATTGAATGTAAGCTTGATTATCTTTGACCCAGATTCGGATTTTCATTTCCTAACACAATCAGCACCTTTACATGAGGCCATTGAAATGGAACGTAAAATGGTTCATGCCTCATTCGCCAGTAAAAACCCTTTCAAGGGACCACCCTCGGATGAGCTTGATCATGCATGGCACCAGCTTTTTATCAACTCCAATGTTCGCGTCACAGAAGAAGATTTGGCTAAAATCAATCGCACTTCTGTTCCCATCACTGATGAGAGGGGAGGCTATTACGCTATACCTGGTGAGTCTCATTGCCAGAATCTTGGATTAAAGACTAATAGCGTGATAAGATGTCTACCATCAACTCCACTGTCTGGTATGTCTTAAAAATTTCCCTTTTTTTTTTTTTAGCTTTACGGGTTACTAACGTAAATAGAAATTTCTGAGACAAGTCATTTACAAAGATTATTACAGCATCGAGAAACCAACTACACCGATTCACATTGGTGAGTTCTCTACCAGGGCAAATTTTCAGCGGGTTCAAATCCATTGACCGAACGTAGATCACTGCATTGATAACCTTCGACAAAATCTCATGTGCAAAGGCGATGTGTCCCTCGTTACCTTTTCCTGGGTACCTAACGATCGTGCCCCCAAACCTAACTTCGAAGTCGAGCACGAATGCGTAAACTGGCAGAGACTAGACAACTGGGCAAAGGAACACCGGTTCGACATTTTTGACGAACGAACTCTTGTCCATCCTGAATTGGGTATGTCATCAACTTCATATCATATTTTAATGGCTTTAAATGTTAATATTTTACTGAACTACAGGACCTTCATTCCCGGAGGCCGAATACAAATCAACAGGCAGAGTACCAGGACATCCGGACTTCCGTCCTAACCATTACGATCATGATAGCGATCACATCAACCATAATGACAGCTGATTTGACATTGTATGAGGAGTTGGCGCCTTTTTATTTATACAGACAGATTATATTCTACGGAGAGGCTCAAGTGAATAATGATAAACAAGAATTTATGTGTGTATTACCTATCCTTTTCTACAACACAGAACAATAAAACTTTCCATGTAGTATGTTACATTTTCATAGACACACCAGGCAGCCATGACTAATTCCACGCCATTCTTATTTCTATTCCGTCGTTCTGGAAAGTCATTTCTTTGGAATTTCTACTTTAATCAGTTTCTCTGAGATCTAGGACTCGTGCGATGAAGTTAGCCTATTAAAGACATTTCATATTCTCATGCCACTTTCAGCTTTCTTCGCTATGTGACACTGTGAATAATGAATAACCAACGATTTGTTCAAGAATCGGGTCTAAATCTTTCCGCTGGTAAGCACTATGTCTAATTATGGAAATGGTTCTGTTGGAAAGCTTGATTTCAATGTTGGTGGGGAATAATTCGCCCCGTAAGCTGCGGACCAACATTCAAGTCAAGTGTTTTTCTATTTTTATCCCCAGCTATCATCCCACTTGGATCTGAGTATATTATATCGGATATTTGAGCAAGGGAAGATACCAATATCAAACACATCAAACCAGAAAATAAACGAAAAATGGATATCGTCCACGGCAAAAACGCCGAATTCGTTCCCCCACCTCTTAAACATCGTGGCGATGGCCTCGCTTTCAAAGACCTGTTCCGTGGTCAGAATGGAACACCTGAAAACTACTACCTGTCAGTCGCCCGCCAAGGAGATTTTTATTCCCCGCGACACAAACACAATTTCGACCAATTTCGGTTCGCGCTGCGCAATGAGGTTTCAATAAGTCCAGACATGTTGTTGCGCGAAGGCGAGCTCTCGTATCATCCTGAAGGAGTCCAATATGGTCCCCAGCACGACGATGGTGGAAAGCGAGATGTTCTAGTATTACAATTTGGCGGGGCGAGCGGGCAGGGCTATCTTTCTTTCGATCAGCTGGCAGCTGCTCAAGCGGCGTTGAAGGAAACGGGGCGTTTTGAAGGGGGCAAGTATTACAGTAACGACGGCACGGCGGATGATGGGAAGGACGGGTATGAGGCGTTATGGGAGCACTGTAACGGCCGTCCTTTGGTGTATCCGACTCCGAGATTCCATGATCCGATCCTCATTAAACCGAATGCCTTTGCTTGGAAACCCTATACTAGGACTCCGGGACACAACGTGCTCTACAAGAGCCTCGGTGTTTTCACTGAGCGAGAAACACGAGTGCAGATGATTCGGGTTGAGTCTGATGGGCAATGGGAACTTCGCGCTGAAAACGCTATTCAGTTATTGTACGTGCTACGCGGCGAGGGAAGTGTGATTTCAGTTAATGCAGGATCGCCACAAAGGATGCAGGTTGAGAGCGCTCTGCGTTTGACACCAGATTCAGACAGTCATAAGATTTCAACTACATCCGAGATAGAGATTCTGCACTTTATCTTGCCTATGTTGTCAAGTGGACTTGAGTAGTTTCTTTCCAGCACTTCAAATTGAGGTAGATAGAGGACGGCGGAAGAGCTACTTGATTGGCTTTCAGGTAACTCATTCCAAGGAGTTTGAGAAGCAGCCCCATCACCTCTGCCACACAGAGAATGAGCTGCAGCCTTCTACTAAGTAGTAGTAGTAGTAGTTAAGTCCAGGCTCATTTAAAATAAATTTCTGGCCAAATGCAAGCCTTAAAAAGTGTGTGCTACAAGCAGCGTAGTCTAGAGAAGGCATGAAGGTCTGATTTCTGATAAACTATCCACGAGTGACTATTTAACATCCTCGAAGCCCCTACAAGCTCCTTCCTAGAAGGCAAATATAAATGAAAGACTCAAGTTAGATGATTTTCGTTACTAAGGAAATAATATGAACCCCTGCAGAATCGAGATCTCTGTAGCTCAGCTACTAGTCGCGGTCGGTAGGAACCTAACAGTTGCCAGTCCGTCGGCATCTTTTGGTTTAGACAATTACCTATCCCAGTTTCTAGCCCTAAACCGCATCACCGTCATTTTTTCATGTTCTTTTCCGCAAAAGCAACAGAAAAGTCAGCGACCTTCTCCCACTTGTCCTGGTTAACGATGCCATGGCTGCGACCCTCAAACACCTTCATCTCGACCACCGCATTGCTCTTGCCCTCCTGGTACGCCTCGAACCCCTTCAGTGCCGTGGTCTGTGACACCAAGTGGTCCTTCGTCCCTGCCACCAGCAGCAGTGGAGCGCGGTCTTGCTTCCCAAAGTCAACCTGTCCCGGACCGGTCTTTTTCAGCATACCAACCGCCTCCTGCCACAGGACGTGCGCTACGCTAGGGATCGCGTACCGGTTGTACAGCACGTCGCTGGCCTCTCTGGTCATGTGGTTTCCGAAGCAGTAATGGAACTGCTCCGCCGTGATCTTGACAGTGGAGTGGACATTGAATGGGTTCGAGAGGACGGGTATAGTTGCCTTGATGGTGCTGAATGGCAACCCGAAGATACCTGTTGGCTGCGCGGGACAGAGCGCGATCCCGGCACAGCCGTACCCGCGTGAGAGGAGAACCTGCGTGAACAGACCTCCAAAACTGTGCCCAATTATGATAGGCGGCAAAGGCAGGGCTGCGATGATGGATGCGTAGTGGTCCACAATCTGGTCGATGGTCTTGTCGGCAATGGGTTTGGGATCCTCGCGGATCTGCTCAGGCGTCCGCTCGTCGACGCCTGGCCAACCTGGAGCTAGCACGTTGTAGCCTTTGGCTTCCAGGTACGGAATCCAGTGCTCCCAGGAGAGTGGTGTCATCCAGAGGCCATGGATGAGCACGATGCTGGGCTTAGATGCGGTGGTCAACTCGGCCATGGTGTTCGTATTTAGGATACGCAAGCGATATTGAGTATAGGATGTGCGTTTGATATTATAAGGGCAGTTTGGGGGTCAATGGGCTTCTCAATATCTCTGTATTGGCTGCAACAACGGGTTGGGCAGTGTGGTTATTTATATACGGATACTTCCCTCGACGATATTGCAGACATCCACCATCTTCGTATAGGTCGGCGTAAGGGATTTAGACCCCGGCAGAGGAAGAGCCTTCCAGGGCTGCTATCAAAGACGCTATGGTGCTACACTTCCCATATCTGTATATCTGACGTACGCAGAGGTTGCTTAACGGCGTCAGATATCGGCCAGAGACTTCCACTGCTCGGAGTTGACCGAGCATGAGCTCTGCGGAAGACACCATAATAGTGTCGAACGTAGCTTCCTGCGGTGGCAACACATGGGATCTCATAATAAGCTTCAACCTCACGGCACCACGAGGCATGTCGCGAACCGCATGCAAATGGAAGATGAAAGTGTACGCACTTTAGCCGCAGCCTATGGCGCGTTGGAGGACGCGAGCCTCGGCCCAGAGAAGGGTTCTAGCAACTTAAAACCATTCCAAATATCTGGGTTCCATGGATGTTACAAGGAGATTCCAAATACTATACTAATATGAAAGAAAATCCGTGGATCTTGATATTCCAAATTTCGGACCGAATGCTTGACTACCTAGGTATAGGAAGAATACATACGGAGTACGCCGTATTTCATGCGATAAATTACAATAAAGTCGCTCAGCGGAATCTAAAGGCCGATTAACAAGGCGTTAGTAAGCAGTAGCGCGTGCGCGTGGTTCGACGCATGTTGTCGGAATTTGTGAGACGCAGGAAGCAAACGATATACATGTACACACAATATTAATACTACAAAGGTCTGGGGGACTTGAGAACTAAATACATGAAAATAACGAATGTACATTCAAAACACGCACAATTTTGCTCAATAGGCCATGCAGTGATTTGCATGGTCTTGTCTGGTGTGTTTGATTGCATAATTTATAGGTATTAAAACTAGATTCTGATCAATAAGATTTGAAGAGTTGTCCAGTGTTTATTTGCTAACTAGCTAACAAACACCAAAATTCCATCGGGTTTTGATCAACTTCCTATCCTGTACATTTGAAATTTCGATGATTTGATATGCAAACTCTTGTCTTTTTACGGCTACGGTCGGCCGCTATTGATCTGAATGTCGGGGATGCGAATGCCGCTGAAGCTTCCTCCGATTATGGTGCTTGCGTTGCTTCCTGGGGCGATTTGGAGCGTGCCCTTGTGGTGTCAGTCCGGTAATCCTGTGTAGAAATTTCCTGTTCTCAGTAGGTTAGACAACATTGAACCAGTAAAGTTTATATTTATAACCAAATCTGTTTTCCAGATCATAGAACTTTTTTTTTCTTTCTCATTTTCTAAAAATAATGATGAAAACACCGAGGTTGGGCTTAACCCCGAACCCGAAGTTTTTATACACCGAGAAGATATATATCATGCAGACTGATTAAACACTCAAAACTTTTTTTCAACAAAACTCGTCAAACTCAAAGCAAGCATTTCAATACGTAAAAGCAAAAAGAATTGAAATATTCCATAACATGACTTCAAGCTCAATCCTTCTGAAAAACGGGACAGTCTTGCAGCACGATGCGCAGGACAATGTCTGCGTACGGCGCCAAACCGACATTCTTATCACCGACGATCGAATCGCAGAAATAGGACAGTATCTGCACGGTCAAAATGTCGAATGTATCATTGACTGCACCGACAAAATAATTTCTCCGGGTCTAATTGATTCGCACCACCATATGTGGCAGACCCAGTTGAAGGGGAGGCATGGCAATCATACATTGTTAGACTATATGACTGCTGGTACGAAACGTTATTACTCTCACGATTATTAATCTCTTTTGTTGGCTAATTGTTCTTCTCTAGCCAATTTACAAGCTATAAATTTCACCCCGCAAGACCTCTTCTGGGGTCAACTAGGAGGCTGCCTCGAAGCCCTAGACGCAGGAACAACCTGTGTCATCGACAATGCCCACATGAGCGCCAGCGCTGAGCACGGGGATGTTGCTCTGGGTGCAACGATTGCTTCTGGTATACGCTCCATATTTTGCTACGGGGTTACCCCTGCACGCGCGACAGAATGGACTTCCACAACCTTCAAACTAGACAGAAGTAGCGCGTTTCCGCCGTGGTTCTTTGATCAGCTTGAGGAAATGGCGAAGAAAGCACCGTTTGGCAGCGACGGCCGAGTCCAGTTAGGCTTTTTCTTCGATTCTTATTTCTTGCCTCCGAACGTAATTAAGGATGTATTTGAGAAGGTGCGCAGGATGGGGGTTAAAATGATCACAAGTCACTTTAGACACTGGTCTGTATCTGCAGGTGTGTTTGCCTTCTTTCAACATTTACAGGCCATAGGAAGAGACCCGAATATATTGTATTGCTAACAAATCCCTGATTTTAGGACAATCCAAAATCCCAGAAATTCTGCATGCAGCCTCGCTTCTAAGCCCAGACATTCTCCTATCACACGGCAACGGCGTCACATCTTCTCAAGCAGAGCTACTCACGTCAGCTGGGGTATATATCGCATCAACTCCAGACGCCGAGATATTCATGGCTTCTGGAGCCGATCCTATTGCCTTCCGAGCCGATCTTCCACTCACCAGTCTAGGCGCAGACTGTCATTCGTGTGGACCGGCTAGCATGCTCCATCAAGCCCAGTTAGCGATGGGAAACGACCGTGCGAACCAGATGTCAGAATCTCACGACAAAGGCGGTTATCCAAAGGAGTTCCGCGCGAAGGTGCAGGATGCTTTCAACATGGTGACAATCAACGGTGCTCGAGCAGCACGTATGGAGGACCGTATTGGTTCTATAGCGGTTGGAAAACTGGCAGATCTAGTCATCTTCGATGCGGATACGCCATCGATGATCTGTGCGGCTGAGCACGACCCCTTGGTTGCGGTTGTTCGGCATGCCGGGCCGAGAGAAATCAATACTGTAATCGTAGGTGGTCGAATTGTGAAGCGAAATGGTTTATTGTGTCAGGTGGATCTTGTTAAAGGGTTAGAGGAATCGGGTGAATCTTTTGCCCTGGGACTCGATGAGACCTCAACACTGAGCTGGAAACAAGTCGCCCAAAATTTGCTGGCTAGCCGAGCAGAGCTTCAAAAGCGGATTGAAAAAGTGAATATTGATCTAGCTAGAGGGGAGCTGTTTTCGGTGTTTGGTATAAGTGAAGACGAGCTGTTTTTGTGAGAGAAAATGCTGTTCTTATGCACCTTCAGGGTGAATCAGCACACAAGGGCTTACCGACTTTTCATCATTTTGATTGATAGGGGGGCTCGTTCATGGACTCTGCATGACAGAGTCCAATTTGTATGTAGTCTGTATTGCGAGACCAGGAACTATATATCATAAACAAAACGCTTGCTTTCATTGAACAGAGAATAGGAAATACATAATGTACCAAAAGAACGCACCAGCAGCTTTATAACCTCTCCTTTTTGTTGCATCATCAGTCTCCAATGCCAAGCAAATTCATATACCTCACGGAGTGAATGGGAAATATACCGAATATGTAGACTAGCAACCGTCAAAACTGTACCGCGCCATCCAAACCTGCTATCAAATCCCAACATGCATTTACAGAATAACATTCCCGGAGGTAGCAACAACAAAATTGTATGAATGAATCGGAAGAGAACGGGTGCTTCTGTCCTTAGTTATCGAGTTTTGACTTGAGTGACTCGATCTCTGCGGTAAGATATTTCACTTGTTCGGCCTGAGATGCGATTGTCTTCGTCTGCTGAGCGATCAATGCTTTGATCTCGGCAATATCGTCCTTGACAGATCCTGAGGACTCAGGTGGCGATTGCGACACCTTTGGAGTGGCGGTTGTTGGAGTGGAGGCCACTGGCGTTATCGTCTGTTTGACTGGTTCCTCCTTGACTGGAGGGGTAGTCTTCACCGGAGAAGGTGGAGCTTGTTCAACGGGTCTAGCGACTTCCTCAAAGCTGGAAGTGTCATCGACATCATCTTTCTCTTCATTGTCAGCAAACTTATCAACCATGGCTGACATCGAAGCTCCTTGGTCCTTCATCGAAGGAGCTGGTCGGACCACTGGGGTCGGCTCAGCGCGAACGGGCTCGGCTTGTTTGGCAGGTTTGGCAGGTTCTGCAGGTTGAGGTGCTGAGGCGGTTATTGTAGATGTTGGCTTTTCTTGGCTAGGTGTGACCTCTTTCAGGCCAGTTCCCTCGAAAAGGCTTTCCAGAGATATCTTTGGAGGAATGGCTTCCTTGCCATTAATCCATTCAGACGAGGTCATAGCAGGCGTAATGCCAATCGCAGGCGGATAGATATCATCTTGGAAATTTTCGGACCGGCGAGGAACAATGAAAGAGATAGGTTCGATGTAGGTGTCGGAAACTGACTTGTAGATCCGAACAACCTCATTCTGATGAATATTCACACCGCGCTTGGGCATGAATGCCAAGCCACGCTGAGGATCGCCTGACTTGTATTCTGTGAGATATTCGAATTTGTCGTTTTGGAATTCATAGTAACGAATGTTGCCATCACTAACGAGGTCAGCCAAAAAGGAACGAGTTAATATTTGCCGAGTTGTGACACTTACCCTTTTCCAGCCAAGTACAAGCATTGAGTACCATCATCCCAGAAGGGAACGCAGACACCAGAGATCGAATCAAGTGTCTTGAACCCGCTGATAGGCTCACGCGCGGCGCGCACATCCCACAATGCAAGTTGGCGATCGCTCATCCTGGAGAAACCAGTGGTCGCAATCCTATCGTGCTCACCCATCCATACAGCCCGGCTGTTCTTTGCTCCTGAATGGCCGGCGGTTTCCACGGCTGGGCGTTCCTGACGGACATCCCATATCCTGAGCTTCTTGTCACGAGACGTAGTGACTAGGAGCGATCCGTTGGCGCTCCATGATTGCGACTGGATCGAATCGCCCAGCTTTAGGGTAAATTTGGTGGCGCCAGCCTCGATATCCCATATTTTGATGGAGAAATCGCCTGAAGCTGTTGCGAGCACGTTCTCGGCAGCGGGGTTGAAAAGCACCTGACCAACTTTCCTGCTCCTTTGTCAGCTAATATTCTTGGAGATTAGTGAGCGTCCTGACCTCGAGTGGCCGCTCAGTTTCCCAACTGGAGATATGTCTTGGACATTGTCGGGCTCGACGTCGGGGCGAACAGTGAAGTTGTCGGGGACACGCCAAAGGAATATCTACAGATAATTAGGATTGTTATATGCGACTGCAGACAACACAAGCCCACCTTTCCGTCATCAGATCCAGAAGCAATCAACGAGTCGTTGAAAGGATTCCTAGTTGTAAAATTAGCCTGGTGGATGTCAATGCATGGTAGATTCTGCCGCCTACCAGTCGGTATCTAGCACAGCCGCAGTGTGTCCTCGGAACAAGGGAATTCTCTCGGGCAGCTTGCCCCGTTCTTCGAGGGGAATAACTGCGAAAGCGCCACCACCGCCAGTTTCCCAGTTCACAGCAAGATATTGTGGGTTAACCTGTAATCGCATCAGATCTTGCATTCGGGCGCCTAGGTTCAAGTGCTAGGTCTCACCTTGAGCAAGTTTGTATCCCACGCATTGGCGGACACACGCAGGTTGTCATAGCATTGTTCCTGTTCATAGAAGATGAGCCATCATCCAGTTGAGTGGTGGTAATCTGCCGAATCCAAGCGTACTCGTCTTGTAGGTTGACCGAAAACGTGTCCTAAGGGCGCAGCAGTGTCAGTTCTGGTACTAGTCAGCTAGGTGGGACACAGGTGCACACTTACGATATTTCGACGACCGGACAAAGCGACCAGACATGGCGAGAGGCTGGCGCAGACAGTGTTGCAGGGAGGGAATACACAGAAAGATCGGATCTCCAGGACCGTGTTGTGCGATTGACGGGGGAGAAGGAGAAGAGGTTGTTAGATTACTGGGGGTATGAACCAGGAGCCACCATCTACGTAGTGTAGAAATCCACGCCTCAGGCGCCGGGGCCCCTCTTGGTCAAGTTCGATGTCTACTACGGGTCCAGTCCAGTTCTAGACGCCATAAAAAGGGCGGGATGGATATATGAGAGCTATGCAATAACACTACACTCCTAAACTTTTGCTACAGTAATTGATCAGCAGGATAAAGTGCTCTGAAGCGAGCGCATTCACAGTACAGGCAGGGGATCACGTGGCCGATAGGCTCGGCGCTAGACCACATTGGAGCTGGTCAAACGGCTCAAACAGGGGACTGCCCCTCCCACCGCGCCATGCCTGATCGGGGGCTGACTCAGCGGGCGTTTGTTTACTCGTCTCTCTGGGCAACCGACGCTCGCAATATTGACAGCGACAATACTGCCGTGACTCTCCAGGCCATATCAGCTTCCAATTACCACGACTCGCCTGCCGATTGCCATTGTCGACGGGCAGTAGCCAGCTGCTCAACACGGCTGCCGTTTCCTTGCAACATTGTCGCAACATTGTCTGCTGTGAATTCGGGTTTGTGATGTTTCTCTATCTCTCCTGACCATTGTTTACGTGATCAACCAACCTCAACTATCTCGCTCCACACCACAATGGATGAAAACTTCGTCAACGTATGATAATTGGAGAAATATTTGACGTTGATTGCGCTCAAACTGACTAGCCTTGTTTGTATATAGATGGAATCTCGATCAATAAACAAGTCGCGAATCCCCCCGGCTGGATTGACGGAGATGAACTCTGCGAAAACCAACTCTCGATCAGGACTGAAGCTGCCTGGTTTCGCGACCACAAATGTGAAACCGTCATCTATAGCGAGTATGTTTGGGAGCTCTGTACTTCGCGATGTGTCTGACTTGTATCGCAGGACCAGCTGCAAGCTCAAATGCCGATCCGCGAACATCAAAGATGGCCAATGGCGCGGCGCGACAGCACGGTCGTACGAATTCGATGTCCTCATCGGTTTCATCGCGACCAACCCAATCCAGAACCACGGCGGCCTCGTCATTCTCTCAAACGGTTGGCCCAACCTCCCGAACCTCTACCTCCAGACCCCAAACCTCTATGTCGAACCGCCGACCCGGGACTTCATCAATCTCAAGGCCCAAAACGTCGCTAGATACTCATGAGGAGGAATCACCCAACAGCGTGCTTGGAAAAAGAAAGGGTATGCAACATTTTCATCAAAGTCTTCAAATTACCCCTGGATCTTATGATAAATACCCTGATTGCACAATGGAATGGACCCCGTCACCCCGCATATCTTATACCCCTGAGGGCATGCCTATCCGACAGCGCGAAGTGTCTTTAAGCATTATGATGGGTAATCTCTCACTGGAGGAACCCATGAGACCACCTGCCGGCTCAGCTGTGTTATCTAGAAAAATGCACAAGGTACCCTCACGGTCGGCCATACCCAAGGCTGTGCCCCCTTCAAAGCCAATGCCACTACTTTCCTCATCCCCGTCTCCTCGAAAATTCAAGTCCCCCCAAAGAGTTACACAAAAGAGAGAGCCGTTTCTAACTAAATTTTCTGATCTTAAAGCTTGGGATCACGACTCCAGGATGCAGGACTTCGAAAATATGTTCGGCACTATCTATCACAAAATTCACGAGGCCGGTCAGAGTAGTGATGTCATGAAAGATGCAGTAAACTTATACAAAACACGAGGTATGCGACTTTACAACTTTTAAATAGGGTATACTAACATCCATAGTCGACGAACTTGAGAAGACGCGTGATGAGCTGATGGATACTAATTGTGCTTTGCGCATCGAGTTGGAGTCGATGAAAAGTAAGCTTTCAACTACTGAGACTGCGCTTAGGAATGCCGAGAGAGACCAAGAGATTGCCATGGATGAGTCGCAGCAACGAATGCGTATCGAGGCCGAAACTATCAAGCAGGAGAGTCAAAAACAAATCCACAATTTACATTCTCAGCATCAAAACGAAGTTGAAGAGTTGAAGCGACGGTTCGAAAAGGAGTTTGAATATGAGCGTAACCTCCGTCAACGCGAAATCAGCCAGGTCAATTCACAAAATGCCTTAGACTCGCAACGTGTGCAAATGGAGGTTGCCACCAAAGAGAGAGAGATTCAAAAACTCGAGCGAGATCTTCGGTCTGCTTTTGACGATATCGAGGTAGAAAAGTCCAAAAACCGCGACCTTCGAAACAACCTCAACACAGCCAGCAGTAACAGTGTTACACTTGAATCTTCCATTAGAGCTCTAAAGGCTCGAATAGAGTTCTTGGAGTCTGGAAGTCAAGAGCAGTCGCAAGCTTTTGAACGCCTTCAACAGCAGCTAGAGAGTGCCCTTGCGGAGACCAATGAAGCCACGGAGAAATTGAGAAAGGAAGAAACTCTTCGCCGCAAGCTTCATAATCAAGTTCAGGAGCTGAAGGGCAATATTCGTGTGTTTTGTCGTGTTCGCCCGCCACTTGACTTCGAGCCACCCTCTGAAGTTGCTCAAATTGCTTTTCCAGACGATGCGGAGGAGTCTAAAGAGATTTCCGTCATGGGACCTGAGGAAAGAAGTAGTCTTGGGGTCGTCTCTCGAAGGAATAATGCATTTTCGTTCGACCACGTCTTTGGGCCTAGCAGCATGAATTCAGATGTGTTTGAGGAGATTAGTCAACTTGTTCAAAGTGCTCTGGACGGCTACAATGTTTGTATCTTCTGTTACGGACAGACTGGTAGTGGAAAGACTCACACTATGTCGTCTCAAGATGGCATGATTCCTCGCGCTGTTCATCAGATCTATGATACCGCAAAGAATCTAGAAGATAAAGGATGGACGTATACCATGGAAGGTAACTTTGTCGAAGTGTACAACGAGAACTTGAATGATCTTCTCGGAAAAGCGGACGAGTTTGACAAGAAGAAACATGAAATCCGACATGATATGCAAAAGTGCAAAACAACCATTACTGATGTCAACACGGTTACTCTTGATTCTCCTGAAATGGTGGAAACCATTCTCAAGCGAGCGGCGGCGAACCGGTCTGTGGCAGCTACCAAGGCGAACGAACGCTCATCACGCTCACATTCTGTTTTCATACTCCGTCTGCTTGGACGTAACAGCATTACCGGTGAGTGTAGTGAGGGCACGTTGAACCTGGTCGATTTAGCAGGCAGCGAACGACTCAGTCACAGTGGTGCTACTGGTGATCGTCTGAAGGAGACTCAAAATATCAACCGAAGCCTGAGCTGCCTAGGAGATGTCATAGGTGCTCTCGGTCAAGGTAAAGACGGTGGCCACATCCCGTATCGGAACAGCAAGGTATGTTTCTCTTCTAATTCTCAAAGTAGCCACACTAATCCATAACTTTTCCATGTTTAGCTCACATATCTATTGCAATTTTCACTTGGTGGCAACTCGAAAACATTAATGTTTGTCATGGTCAGCCCTCTGCAAACCCACCTTGGAGAGACTTTGACTAGTCTCAAATTCGCGACGAAGGTACACAACACTCACATTGGAACTGCGAGAAGAGTGGCCAAGGTCCAGAATTGAGCATTTTCCAACCAATTTTGTTAATAATTATGATACCACGATTACAAGCCAGAGAGTACTGGCTTTAGTTGCATTGGAGTATGGCGTTTTCCTGTTGTGAGAAGCTGATCTATTTCAGCGTTGTATATGTTACTTTCTTTTTTCACCTTCTGTTTTGGATGTTACCATAAACGATGTTGGATTTAAAATTCTTGGAACTAAATTCAGATTAAAACAAAGTTTTTCTATGATTTTTCCTATGTCCGGAACAAGAATTCTTTCACTGGCGTGGTGAAGATTTGGTCTAATAAACTCAGTACACACGTTACGGGTTTATAGATCTGTCATTTGATGACCGCAATTCCAGATCATGCCCCACGGATCCGAAACCTGGATCACATAGTCAATTACTTCTTTTCGCCTAATCAACAAGTCGGCCCCGAATCGGAACAAGGCACAACAGAGATCCAATTTTGATCACTTTAACTTAGTGCACTACAGAATCCAGTGAATCAAACTTGATTGATTACATTCTCTAGCAAGACAGTAGTCCCGGAATCACTCAAAGTTCCAGCTTGAATGTCTCACAACATGCGTCCCGAATAGGTAACTAAAAGTCTCGACCAATGCTCGATATTTCCTATTTTGGTGTGGTTGCCCTAGTATGCATTACGTTAAGGCAATTTGAAGTCCGATAAAGGTATTCAAAAGTTTCAATTTTCCCATAGTGATTCATTGTATCCAATGAACCACCAGGCGGGCCGACATGACGGACAGTCTAACATCAGCTAAAGAATAAACGTACTCAACTGTCTCACGGTGTTTAATACTTTCGAGGACCTTCCTATCTAGTAATAACTGTATAAAAAAAAGATTACGGATAATAAAAAATCTAATTTACTAAGACTTTTAGTGATTATATCTAGCATCAAGTCCATGAACTAACCGTTTAAAAGTCGTGGTGGTTTTGTAAATAATGGGTAGGTGGTGAGAATATCTGCCCTTACAATTTGGAAGAGCCCGGGGGAGAAATGACTGATCTGAGGTTGGACTGAACCAAAGCCATGAAGGAATCCATGGCAATGGGATCGTAGTATTTGCTGTCAAAACCCAGGGATAATGTGATCTGGTTCCAAAGAGAAAACATCCCGACCCAAGGTGAGACATTGATTTGCCGGCCCGTGTGTGAAAATTCCTGGATCTTAATGGAGGCTGTGTCAGAGCAGAATTCGCGCTTGAGAGCGAGAGCACCCTGAGAGGAGAAGCCGGGAGCACAGGGGGCAGCAATGGGCTCTTTTTCACTCGCCAGGTTGGCCACGACCCGGTCCGATGTGAAGGAGAGGCTAGCGAGATAATGCGGCGAGACCAGATGCGGCCCGAGTTCTGTTCGAATTGCACGACCTAGGAAGAGAACAGTGTTGCGCGTCGAGCCCTGGAACCAGTGTGTCTCGAATGGAATCCAAAGAAAGACAACATCGGCGGCACTGGGAACCGGGCCACCCTTTCCATGGTGACCAAGTGTATCAATCCATCTTCGAGCGTTTCGCGTCATTCCGAGAAGCGCCCCCGTTTCGTGACCACGGGTATACGTTTGTTTGACGGCCAAGAGTGTTGCAGCCGCGGCAGCATACGTGATGCTCAGATTATCGTCGCGGAGCTGGGCCAAGAGAGCCTCGGATTCCGCAAGCGTGTACTTCAATCGAATGCAGTGGGTTGCATGTACACGACTGGTCACGTCCGTTTCTGGGTACATGGCAATGGATTGGGGCATCTGCAAGAATTGGAGTCAGGCCTGGAGAGTGATTGATTTCTGTGCAAGAGCGCTCGTACATACCTTGGAGGCGTACAACTCGCCTTGACGGATAGCTTCATCCAAGGCTTGTTGCCTTTGCTCCTTGGTCGGCTTGTACTTTTCTTCGTAGACTGTGACAGGCGTAACCGGTAAACGGCCAAGAACGCCCGCGTAATCGAGGTGGTCCACAGTCAAATAGTCGTCGTCGACTTGAGTGACGGTCTGGAGGAAGTGGTTGACAAATTGCACGATGCTGAAGGCATCTGCGAAAATGTGGCTCACATTCCAGACAAGAGAGTGCCGAGTGGGATTCTCGCAATCAGCAGCAGGTGCCGTGACGAGATAGAGCATATTTCGTTTCCCCTTAGTCGGTAGCCGCCGACTGTACGTAGTGGTGGTCACCTCGCGTGTGCTTTGGTCGGTGACGATGCGCAAAGTCTCTTTTAACCACTCGGCAGCATCGGCATCGGATTGAAGCTGCTCAAACTGCATCATCTGCGGAAGTTCTGTCCCGGTTGACAATTGGATGGCGATTTCTGGATGCATCGAGTGTGAGACGAGCCAGGCGTTGCGAACCCGACGTATTAGCTCCCATGTCGAGAGGCTGGTGCTGAAGAGGACCTCGATTGTCAGTTCGGTATGGCCGTCGCGTACGTTTTGATTGTACGAAACAGCCTGCTCGCCTCCGACGCACTCTCTCGTCCAGCAACCAGCATTAAGTTGGCGCCAGGTGCCATGTGGTATTTGATTGCCATTGGTGTTGGTCATTGAGACCGAGGAAGAATCCATTTTGGCAAAGATAATGAATTTGAAAATACAAGTGGAATGCCGGGGTAGGATTAAAAATGGTTTAGATGTGGATGGGTATCTGTTTAGGCGATGAGTGAAGCGATGAGTAGATGTGCTCGGAGAAAATAAGGCGAATACTACGACGACGGTGGAGTGGCGCTGTACATTGAATATCGTGATCAGTTGCATAGCGTTAGCTAGGCTATCTAGCCAGTTGGTATTTCCATAGTTGACACTTGGTTAAGTTTAGCTTTGGGTGCAAAGTATTTTCGACCCTGCATCGAATGTATTTACACGTATGTAACGCAGTTCCCGGTCTCTCGCGGAATACCCGACGGATGTACAGTTACACATGTTAAAAAAAATGCTTGGTACAAACTCAAATATTAGCTAAATTGTGGTGTACACCTGAGCGCTTTTTCACGCCCATTCAACTCTAAACCAACACCCAGTCTAACGGGGAACACTAAATGATCATCTTTTAGATATTCATGTTCCACTACCTTCATTGGATAACCATAGATCAAAACGCTATGGTATAGATTTTATAGTCTAAGGAATGTGGTGGAATCCTAAATCCATAAAACGGCAACCAAGTTGCCTACACACCATCAGGGCGTCTCGGAAGTTATTTCTCAAGTGGGTCCTTGTTATTTCCGTTTTTAGGGTAATAGTCCGAGAATAGTAAGTCAAAAGGCACAAGATAAGGGACAGTGATTGGGATGAGCCTAGACTCATGAGCTTCAAGGCGGATCAGATCGCTAGAAGCTCATCATCATATGCTTCCAATTTTTGAAGAAACTTTAATCTGAAGACGGTATGAGAATGAGCACTTTAGCTATACGTGTTGACGCTAATGATGAGGACCCAATTTTCGATTCGGCCATCAGTCTTGAGAAGAGAGGGAAGATGTCCTCAACAAGCATGCATGACCTCAGGCCTTGGAAGCGAGGGCAATCTCAGATTCTCTCACCAAGATGTGTCTTTTCAGTAAGGTGCAATTCCACCGCCTACTTATCAGGCAGTTTTCCTAATCCAGTACTACCTGAGGTATCGAACAAATTTTATAAGCACCAATATTCTCTGCTTGATGTTGACTATCATCGAGTCCCTGAGAATCTCCCCTTCCCGTAACTAATCCAGCGAGATGCATATCGCCTTTTTGTCCAACCCGGCTTCGGGTGAGGTCAATGTGCAACTGGCCATGGCCCAGCAGCTCGTGGCTCAAGACCATTTCGTGACATTCCTGTCGGCCGAGTCGTGCAGGAAGAAGGTCGACCAGCTCCGAAAGGCTCAACAGAAATCGAAGCAAGATCTAGTTCGCTTCATTAGCTTAGGTGCAGGTCGTACCCTAGACGACTTGTATGTTCAGTCTTGTCCGCTGTTCACCCTAGACGTCAGACTGACAAACAGGCGGCAGCACGCCGTTCATTCAGGAACGCATGCCTTTCATGCGAAGAGTTCCAGGAGACCCTGTCAGTTTAGAGACGTGTATCGAGGCTGCTCTTGGCGCAGCAGAGGAACACGCTGAAACCGCCATCCGGGTTCGCGACCACCTCAACGCGCTCGACCCTGATATGAGTGAGGATGTCACGGCATAATATATTTGTGATACGGAAGCTAACCTTGTTCCCATAGTTTGTGTCGACATTCTGACGCCACCTCTTGTCACCGGGGTACGTCTGACAAAACGGCAATTCATTCTTACCATCCCTTGCTCGCCGGGGCTAACAGCCTTGCCGGGTATGTTTGAACCGCATATGGTGGCCGCGAAGCGCGACGGCTCATGGGGAACCTTATTTGAGAGTAAATGATCCTCATTTTATGTGAGAAATGCAGTGGACTGGTTTTTCTGACCCCAAACAGACATGTACCTGAGGTTCCGTGGATCTCTCCACAGTCGGACTCACCGCGATTGTATAGCCAAGCGTGAGATGCTTTCTCGGCGTTTTGGTCTACAGTCTTACGGTGTCTCTCGAGACACGTCGCTGGTTCCCCCCTACTGGGAAGATGAGAACTGCATGGCGGGTATTCACTTCAACACTCCTGGTCTGTCCGACTGCCCTCGACAATCATCCAAGATAGTCTTTGTCGGGGCCGGCGTCTCGGTGGAGACGCCCCAGACGGCATTCTCCGAGTTCGATTGGATGGAAGAAGCCATACTCCAGGGCGAAGACGTCGTATACATCAACATGGGTTCCATGTTCATCTGGCAGCGACATGAGTTTTGGAACTGCATCGCGGGCTTCGAAACAGTATACAAGAAAAAAGACGGCCACATACGCTTCCTCTTCAAGATCAATTTTCCTGTTGACTCTCGCCACGGCTTGTTCTCGACCGACGAGCTACCCTCGTACGTACGACTGACCAACTGGATTGAGGACCAAAGTGCCATCTACTCACACCCGGCTCTCAAGGCCTTTATTCACCATGGAGGGGGAAATTCCTTCAACGAAGCAGTATACTACGGCATCCCACAACTGGTCCTCAGCCAGTGGCTCGACACTCACGAATACGCCAACTACGCGCATGAATTAGGCCTCGGCCTTCGGAGCGATCGGCCGCCACACATCGACGCCCAAGATATTGCAGCCAAGATCCTGACACTCCTGGGTCCACTCTGGCCGACATTCAAGTCCCGCTGCCAAATATGGGCCGTCCGAAGCCATATCGCTGGTGGTGCGTCGTCGGCAGCCAAAATTGTGCTCTCACATGCAGAGTTGACTGAGCGGCAAGATTCCGGCTTGAGTTTACCCCCCTCCCCGATGTCGGTATCACCCATAGCTGAAAAGAGCGCCGGGACTGTCATGAGGGTTGGCATATATTCCTGACGAGATAACATCCCGACTCGCATTCTTATGTGAAACCTACGTAGACCGAATGGGCAATTTAGTGTAATTAGAGTTCAATTTGATTTTTTTCGAAAGTAACAATAGAGCTATGTTGGCATATCTTTCTTTCTATGAAGACCAGAAGTATGTCAAGACCCCATTGGCTATAACGCTCTCTTCACTGTCTCGGCCCGCTGGTGTTCTGATATCCCCTCCTCACTAAGTATCAAATCTCCTCCATAACTGACATTTAGGACTGCTAGTATTTTCCCAGACGCTTATTTGAATAAATGTAATTGAATAATGTTACGATTGATATATAGATATGTGTGTATATATGAACGTATAAATATTAATAAACTTCAATATAGGACGCGATCTTAGTAATATAGGAGACCAACCTCTAGTCTGTTACTGTCATCGAGAGAAAACGGCGTGAAATCAGAGTTTTGGAAACTCCAGTTCCTCTGTTGTCAAACGGCGAAAGAGGCCAGAGACAGTGTACGCAAGTTGCATGACTTCATCTTGGACGAAGAAGCGCCCATCAAACATTAGATTGCAACGGAGCTCGTCTCGGAAGCTGTATAGAGCAAAGCAGACATTTGGGTCCGTGTTGCGTCCTCCCGAACTAATGTCGGTCATTCGAATCTGGTCCCGGCCAGGACCAGGAAGACGGTTGACATCGTCATCGAAGTAGCCCTGGGACGTCAGGGTCGGGCGACCAATAGGAGACGAAGTAGATTGGGGCTGTTCACCAATGGCCTTTGCCAAAGCGGGTGCAATTTGATCGTAGACGGCAATGATGTGCGGGGAGACGAGGTCTTCCTGCTGGGCTTGCTCGATGGCCCTGGCTAGTCGCATCAGTCCCGGCTGGTCTTTGGCTCGGATATCCACTTTGCTGGCATCAATCCACATACCGGCGGGCAAGATACCCATGGTTACGAGAACACCGTGGCCGTTGGTGGGCAGCCATCGCCTGGCATTAGCGCTATACAAAAGATGGGCACCGTCCTCATTCCCAGCGTCGTAGGTGTTGGCAATGGCCGAGGTTATGCAAGCAAAGAAGGCCGTAGTGAGCGTGATACCCCATTTTTTGAGGCATTTCAAGGCGGCCGACGCTTCGTAGGGTTCAAACTGGACAACTTTGGTATAGATGTGGCTCGGACGCTTCTGCCAGTCGCGGTGAAGGGGGATCCCGATAGTTGAGCGGGCCCAATGCATCTGGACTCGCTGGTAGATTTGGAAAGCATCACGGAGCTCTTGTGGCGTCGGCTGATGGAGTAACGAGTATGCATGGCTCAGGCTTTGTGGGAGGCGCAGTTGGACATCAAGCACGGTCTCTGGCGAAAAGACGGTGTTAATGCCAAGCTCACTATCAGGACGGGCTAGCTGGGTGAGAAACTCTTGCAATATTCGGAAGCCTTCTTGGCTAATGAGAGTGTGCGATACGTTTAGGACGCAACCTCGGGCGCCGCGTATGGGATTAACCACCAGCGTCATGGTCGGACTTTCCAATGGCTGTCGGGAGCGGGCCAGGGCGACGTCGGCAACGGTCGTGTTGCTTGCTACTCGGCACGTCTGTGTAGCCCATTGCTTCGCCGCATCAACAGTTCCATGTACTTCAAAAGCCGCATAATCCAGACCGAAGACGACTCCGACGACGGGGCGCATGTGTCGAGTTCTCCACCAGGCGGCTTGATGGCGCCTTGTTAGTTGCTCACATGTCAGAGTTGTTTCCAGCGAGGCCGCCAGCGTCAATTGGAACTACCAAGTTAGCCAGGCCTGGGAAAATGGGAGTCTAACTCACGTTTCCATTGCAAAAGCGCTCCGAGGACTGGATCATCAGCTCAACGCCACGAAGAGGTCGCACCATGCTAGTATTCGAGTTGACTACTTTCCATTCAGAATCAAACACAGCTGGATGCTCACTAACAGATCCCTTCATGGTGTATCTTTCGCTAATTGACTAGATCAACTCGCGGTATACTGCCAAATCGGGTGCAATGGAGTGGGCAATTGATATGCGTAGCTCCACTTGGAGGAATAGGGCCTTGTTCATAGAAAGACTCTCGGCTACATGGCAACATTGAAGTTGGGAGTGGCATTGTATATTGATGTTTCTGCGTTGGGCTCTACAGTGGGCGGAGATCAGTGACGACATGGCTTTCAAGCACCAACACTAGTTTATCCAGTAGATCCCCCAGATCCACTAGGTGTCCACACCCATAATATTCATAAATGGCTTTAAGATTATGCTTTCCATTAGATCGACTGGTGGGAGCAAAATTGGGTTTTCGGTTTTTCGGTTATTCGGCCAGTTTAAAAATGCACGTACAAAATGCAATGTTTCCATCATTTACAGTATGAGCACAATTTATACATAATATAGATCAAGTTAGGAAAATTGACTCCTTGTAATTTTGGTAGTATTAATTGAACTTGTATTACTAATTACAAGGCTTTTGATATATATCTTAACTTAGATTTTAAGTATGGTTCACTGACTTGCTTGTTAAGATATGAAGATGGCAAACGCTCCATTTCGTATGTGTATTTAGATCGGGACGGCGTTATCTCCCGGAATGCATCGGCCCTTCTGCTATCCTGAAATCATACGGCCGGAGCCCTATTCCGACTGGTTGTGAGCTTGGATGCTGATGCAGCGCCCATCCCAATTTGGAAGGTCTAATCAAGCACTGGGCTAAATGAAGAATCAATTAGACCTCCAACATAATAGCTTTGAGAGCTTTACATGGCTTATTTTTAGGACGGTTATTTCATTGAAGTCATTCTTCTTTTCTGCATTCTTAAGAACGCTACCGAGGTAACCAATACTGTCTTAACAGTAAAGATGGCCTGCGAGGCGTTATCAGCACCAAGAGTTTCATTGAGATTTCCTAATTTTAGGGCTAGAGAGTCGTATAATGCTAGCCGATTTTGTTCAAGCGTGATAGGTAAGGTTATGGTTCTCACCTCAATCTCGCCGGAAAAAGTCAAGGCTCGTTTGACTAGTGTAGTCTGTCCCACACGGCATTCCGCAAAAACGAGAAAATCTCCTAGCCTCGGGCTCGAACCGATTCCCGATCACTAGGTGATCTTCGGGTCCTGTAAAGCCCGACGAGACTCAACTTCTCACTTTCGGGGCGGACCGGATTGGGATCGCCAGGAAACTGTAACTCTGGAGGTTGGATATGCGGATCCCAAACAGGCTTGTACAGCTCCTGTCTTGATACAAAGCCATGAAAGGGAATAACCACGGACCGGACAGAGCATACAAAAAATATCTACCACTAGGGTGGACACTAAGAGGCAATCCTTCAATGTTGCTCACTGCTTCTGGCAATCCGGCCGCGACAGCCGTTGGTCCTAAGGACCAGGTACGTTTGGATACGGTCCCAACCAGGGAGCAAACGGGTCTTCCATTGGGAGAAAAAAGCGCTCAAGACAAACCGGTACTTTGGCTTTCTATCTAACATTTTTTTCCATTTGGAATGTAGGCGGGCCCTTGTTGTACCGTAAAGTATAATTATATCGACTTCATAGATGTTTGCTGAAAGGTCCTCATCACGACAGTCTTACGGATACAGCGTACTCATTCAGCCCCACTCATATTAGTATTATCTTTTGTTGCTTCTCTGTGCGTATAGCGTCGATGTTGGACAGACATCATCGACGGACAAAGCATCTTTGGAAAACACCTCTGGCCACTATTCTCTCTGTTCGATCAAGGGCCTCTCAACGGCAACATGGATACTGACGACTATACCGTCGTGCCCGTCCCCCTTTTGGACTCGACGTTGGCAAAGTGAGTTTCAAAAGAAAATCCACAAACCCGAGCCACCGCGCTCTGACATTTATTTGCAAAGCACCGAGATTGTTGTGCGTATCGAGACCTCATCAGCTGAACCGTGCTGACACGTCGTGGCAGTTTCGAGTCAGCCTTATCTTAGACGCACCACTATCATTCGAAAAACTGCAGGAATCATGGTATCAAGCGCTTGAGGCAAGACCCATCATGCAGGCGCATGTACGTCGCTCCCCGTCGGCACCGTCAGGCCTTGAGTATCATGTCTGGACTCCCAAAGGTATGGAACAGTACCTGGAAAAGCAACGTAGAGCGCCTGATCACCTCAAGGACTTCTTCTGTCTAGACCAGTCCCATCGATCCATCTCCGACTACTTTCCTGGTGTTAGGATTGGTTCTCGGGCACCCTGCCAGTCCGAGGGCATCTTCGTCAGCGACAGTGCGGATCCACAAGATCAGAACCACTGCACAGCTTTCAATGGCGTGCAAAGTCTTGACGAGCTGCTCAACTCGGACCGCACGACAGCCACGGTCCAGGTGACCAGATTCTCTGATGCGACAATTCTTAGCATTTCCATGAGCCACATCGTTGGAGATTTATTCGTCATCAAGGCCATGTTCAAGGCGTGGGAAAGCGCTTTGCATGGGATATCTCTTGCTCCCATGGAAAATCTGGGACGGGATCCTTTCAGTGCCTATGGACCAGGTGGTCAGCTTTCCGGCAGCAACGCTCATCTGTTGCCTCCTGGCTGGCGGGTGTATGGTCTCCTAGACAAAGCTCGACTCCTGTCGCGTTTCCTATGGGACAGTTATGTTTCACGGCCCGAGAGAAGCATTTCTCCGAGATACATTTTCATTCCGGAAAGCGAGGTGCAAGACTTAGAAAAGCAGGCAAAACGTGACCTCCTCGAGCTAGAAGAGCGACGTCAGCAGCAGCGCATCGAGGGTCAAGGCTCACTCGTTGTCAGCCGATCCAACGTCTTGCATGCTTGGCTCCTCAAACACAACCACGCTCACCTTGATCCAGGGCAATGGAGCACGACCATCACCATCGTCAACGCGCGCGCTAGGCCGCCTGTTGGCATGAAGATAGGTTCGGATGATTTCCCCAGCCATAACTGGTATGGTGCTGCCATGGCGGTTGCTTTACCCAGTCTCAAAGTAGGTGATCTCATGTCCATGTCTTTGGGGGAATTGGCAATGCACATTCGCAAAGGGATCGAAGCCGGCTCGTCGGCAGAAAACGCCCGACGGTGGCTCACTTTTACCTTACACCATCAACTGTGGAAGAAGCCTTCGGGGAAATTCGTCTTCTGGAGTCCACCCGATCACCACTGGTCCGGACTGAGCGATTGGCGACTCATCCCGTTAGCCGACGTGGACATGACTCCCGCTCGGCTCGACCAGGTCCCTCAACGTGTCGCCATCTGTAGCCTCAACGCTCACATGGTCAGGGCGGGCACACAACGAAATCGATGGGTCTGTTTGGGACAGGCTGGTGGTGGTATCTGGCTTGCTGGGACTGTGAGTGAGGCCGAGTGGCAGAATCCTCGAGGGTTTGGAAAATATCCCCATATCCTTCGTCGGACAACTAAGTTGTCGAGTGAGGTTACAGAAGAGAGATCTGAGGGTGCAAACTCTTGATATTGTGAAGCTATCGAGGTGCACGAGGGGTCAGGCCATCTCGCATGCAAACTGGAAGGCGCTGAGCCAATATCAGCTCTAGTATGCTCTGTATTTACATTTAAACAATAGGTCATTCGTAAACAATGATGAATTGGTCCAGTTCTCAATCCTACCCCTAGACCACCCCAATATATGAGTATGCGAACTTCTTGGAATTTAGGGGAACATATGCTATTCCAATTTTGAAGGAGTCATCATCGCTATCTGTGGCAGCAGAAGGTCTTCGTATTCGTGATCCTGCTGACATGATATAGACGCTTTAAGTAACTTTGACTTCAAGGTTGAGGTGTTTGGTAAGTGGTAACTGTTTGTTATATTGGTGGCAGTGGCATTGAATTCGTTCCATTGAGCTCACTATGAATTGACAGTTTCATTATGAAAAAGGCTCGTAGGATTTCAACTACATATGCGAACACATAAGTGGTGCAAGGCTTTGATCCCAAGAATTTATGTTACCAGTCCTTACCATTCTCATTTAATAAATTCGAACGAGCTAAGCTAGGCTGTCCCATCTACTTTCAAATCAATTTTTCTTTTTGCCCCGTTTTCTACTAAAGCTACTATCGTGTCCGGCCGCTCACTGCCTGGTCGACCTATAAACCTAGGCATTGCGGTACTGTGGCGAGAGTTGTTTTCGCCGGCTGGTAGACCATGCAGGAAATGGTGGATAGAGCAAGCGAGATCTTTCTCAGCTGCATAGCAATGGAGTCAATCTAGCACGACAACATCGACTACCAATGTACTCGTCGATTCTACATCACTCTTACTAGCATCCCACTATACGGGACGTCCCAATAGAGCGTAGAACTTTGTCAATGAAGCCATTTTCGCCATTCGAGACTTGAGGTTAGATCAGGCGGAAGGAAACTCCAGACTAGATAGAGTTGCGGTCGAGCTGTGCAAGCGCACATTTTGGAATATCCATATCCTGGGCATTGAGGTGGGATCTCGTAGTATAGAAAATGAACGCCATGGTTTCTTGACGAGTTAGATCAGGGTTTGTTGAAATAGACATGTCGTGTGTGGAATGTCGCAGAATACATAGGCTTCCATTGGCTGCTTTGTATGAGCTAGTATTAAATGGAAAAAATTATACTCCCTCTCAATCTGGCCAATAGAAGACTAGCTATTGCTTCTTCGACTTGTAGTTTAAGAACCGGTTGATAATCTACCAGCGATAGTCTGGCCAGAGCAGTCGTAACATGAGGTATCTAAGTTTGTCAATTCCCAGGTCAAACAGTGCTTTTGCGTTGGACTTGATTATTGTCTCATTCGAGCTGCAACTGTGGCGATTATATGAGTTCCAACTATTTATATAGACCGATACCCATTGTAGAATTTGTCCCGTGTTGCCAATTTTATATACACCATTAGTGGCGTCAGAGTAGGCCATCAGGCCACACCCGCCGCACATAGTACCGTAAACAAAGGATGAGGTAACTTCATGTACGCTGAGTTTTCGTTCTTTGTTCTTTTTAAAATTATTGGACCGGTGTTAAAGACGAATATACAATCAATAAGTTATAAGGTTGCCATCAGAACTTTGCATGAAATTGTCGTTTGCATACACATAGATGCGCATTCCGAGGCGGGTTTGTAGGACTATCTAGTCAAAAATAGCTCTATTAAAACAATCTTTACACAAAAGACTGATATTCTACTGGTAGTCAATTTACTGAGAATAAATGCGCTAACTTATTCCAATGACAGCAATTCATAGATGATCTGCAAACATTTCCGGTGTACATCCGGAGGGAATATGCAGGAAACTATTCAAAAAGAGAACAAAAGACATTTTGGTTTTAGGCCAATTAGCCTTGGGGTGACGAGTAAAATTAATCTGAAGCTTGAGTGAATAATTCAATTTAACTACTTTCATTATTGTACAAAGAAGCCGAATTAGACTCTACCGGGACATGATCTTGGATTAGCTAGGGTCATCCTCAATCCTCGGCGAATCACAAAATACACACCTTTTCATAGCAAACATGAACCAAAAAAGAGTAATCACAAGTTTAAGCCTTTAGTCGGTTGAAACTTGAAAAAGAATCTGAATATCCTCCGAACACACACATCAATCAAATCAAACTATGCAGTCTATAGAAATAAACTAAGACAAGCCTTATTTTATGTCTGAACTCTATTTTCATTGTATTTATTCCGTATAGGTTTATATATATACACATTTAGACAAACACAACATGGCCAAAGTATGGGCTCATGTGGAAGCTGGCCTGGTCAGGCGGGCTCCAGGCACCAAGGGTCTGGTTGGGGTAAGTGCTAGGCGAAGTGATGGTGCGGAAAAAATTCATACGCCACCTAGAGCCCTTGACTTGGTCGACATTAAACAATGCGAGAGGAATTTTCGCAACGGACTCCCATGTGTTCTTCGACTTATCGAGAGTTGTTGTGGCGGTGAATCCGTCCGTAGCGGGATCAGTCACGAAAAAGTGGTCAAATGGAGCACCAACGGCCCGCACCTTAGTCGGGTTGTAGACGACAGCCTGGTATGTGACGTTGTTGGGGTTGACCTCGTATTCAAGGTAGGTCGTTGGGTCGTTGGTGCCGTGGTAGAGGAAGGCCTCCATCACCTCGTACTCCCAGATGTCGCCATTTGTGGTCTGGCTCGCGTTGTAGTAGTAGTTTGTCTCGTTAAACGCTTTGAAGGCCAGTTGAATAGAGGTGTCATCGTAGCAGAGGCTGACTGTGGTCATTGGGAACGGCCCTCGGTCTGGGACCGACTGGTCAACATAGGCCACCGCAGAGCGTGGACACTTTGGCACATGTAGCGACGGGAGCGATGCGTTGGTAGTCGCAGTGGCTGCTGCCGCAGCAGTAAAAATTAGAGGTTCAACACGCATTTTTGGCGAAATTTCTATTGTCGTTGAAAATAATTAAGAATGTGATGGCAGTAAACCGGATGGCCATACCGGCCAGCGGGGATCAGTTCCCCTTATACCTTTTTTTCGCTGGAATTACTTTATCAATGGGAGATTCACCTCTGTCTTCATGTTTACGCAGCTTGCTGTAACTCTGGGGTAAGACCCAATCCCTCGGCACCTTTTGCGTTGCAGGCGATGGTAGGATTTGGCCATTGAACGGCTCTTCCGGGGAGCGAGTGCCCACTCGCCATCCGAGCTCAGAAGCCGGTGGCCCCTAGCGTTGCCAATGGAAACTAACCAGGCACTCAGCCCCGGGTCAACCCACGAGCTAAAGGGTTAGCTGGTGTCAGCAGTTCATCTTGGTTAGATAGCAACGCCTGTTCTGGCTGTTCATTCGTCCCTGCCTTAGTGTCTTCTGTCTCCGATTTTCACCCGGCCAATCGAGTCAACGCCTGCCTATATAAAATCTTTTAATAGTAGGGTTGCCAACAGTACTTGCTTTGGTTTGGTTTTTGCCTGAAGAAACTATAGCTCTATTATCTAGCGTCTGGTGTGCCAACCCTTGTCGTGACGTTGCACGCCAATGCCGGGCCTCTCCTGAGAAGGAAAACATTTCGTTCTAGAAGCATTGGCGATTGGTGAAATAGCTTGAAACTCTACCACTTTTAGAAACGTTGGTAAATTAATGGCTATCAGGAAATAGTATGGTAGAACGATGTCGTCGTCCGCTTGGCGAGGGAAATAACAGATCCCTTCGCGTATTCTACGCATTACAATCAACTGTTTCATTAATAACGGTCGATATTATAACAAGCAACGTGGAAGGTGGATCTAAACAATCCTACCTTACCCTTGTGGCTGCTAACGTCGTATAATTCTTGACTCGCGAAACTTTTCCAGAATAGTTTTTGGGTGATTACAAGATATACGAGATCGATGGTGATTTGTCCAGAATACAACACTTCAAAACGAATACGGAAAGGCCCGGATTTCGTAGGCCTAGAATCCCCAGTTCTTCATTGATCATCTTCTTTATGTTCAAATTAATTTTGAGTTCACCTAACTCTAAACTCGTAAAAAATTATGCTAGACTATGTAAAAGTACAAATCCGGTGGAGATAAGCAGACTCTAAGACCATCCATAAAATATAATCCAACCCCTATAATATAGGATATGAACAGGATCATAGAAAGTGAGCGATAACTTTGACTAATAAAAAAATGCCCTCCTACTAACATCCCTGTTCACGGGAAGTTAGATGGCCCGTGAGCAGCATCGAATGCAATTTTGCCTGCCGTCAACAAATAGCTTTTAAAATTAAATTAGGGAAACTTTGACGGCCACGTGCATTGGTAGTGAGATTTTAGTCTTGATTTATTATTGTCGTCAGCGCAACCTAGGTTTATGGATAGACAACTATGCTTTGTTTTGATCCGCAGTCCCTTCTTCGATACCACATACTTTGAAAGAATATTGAGTTGTACTATATGCTAGTTACCGGAAAGCAAGAAGTCTCCAGAAAATCTTTAAAATCTCCAGGCCTAATCTGTGTAATAGATCAGCTCAGCAGGTTGGCTGCAGGGGACTTCTCTGTACTTCGAGCCACTGTACGGAAGTAATAAATCTTATTGTAATCGAATATTCTGGTTTGTTGATCTCGTGCTACTCTTTTTGAAGTTAGAAAGCTGGCATTGTAATCTAGCCTAGTAGAACCCTAATCTGTCGCAAGGCTCGATGCGGAAATTGAGCAGACGATCGAGCGCAAGAGACTCTCAGCCATCAACCTGCACAGACCATTTGATTGTGTTTCTGCTTGAACATGTAATGGAAATTATTCGTGATATTGATGCGATCAGACATGTTCAATTTGAACAAAGTTAGGAGGTGCTACCACTTGTAATCGATGTTGAATCCCTTGACGGAGCTGTGTGTAACGAGCACAAATCTTTGGAACCCAACCGTCGAGGGTTTCGTATCACTTCCTTAGTTTATTACTATTATTCTGGATTCTAGGGTGCAAGAATGTAATAACAATGTAGCCAACAGCCAGAAGGATCTGACATGATTCCAAACAGCGTCAACTTCCTGTTAAAAGCAGTACATACCGTGTGGTGCTCGGCCAAATTTGCAAATATTCTCCCTCAAGTTTACTATTGTGTTCAATCAGAAGCAGCGCGAAACAATATTTCTTTATCATTTACACATTCGGCCCAGTAAAGGTTGCGTCAGAGACTCGGGACCCATTTAGCTATTCAAATTTAACTGATTTTCATAATTTTAGGAACCTCACAACAATGGAATACCCCCCATGCGCAGATCAGCCAATAGACTATCAACCAACACAGAAAGATAAAATCACAGTCACTACTCCCCTCGAGTCTTGCCCACAATGGGTTATTCCCAAAGACACGGACCTAGACTCATGGAGCGACCTTTCGTGGACTCGGCGACTGCTGCGAATCGGGGTTGCTATTCTTGTAGGAGCTATAACAGGACTCAGTATGATACGGAGTCTTCGATGAATGGGCGAAATTTATGTTAACTGTTGGCATTGTGAGGGAATACTGGCTAGGGAGTGACGGTTCAATTCACAAGGTGGGTTAATCAACTAGGGCATGGCGCCTAGATATGTATATTCATTTACTCTATAATAAATTATAAAACAATGATGAAATAGCATCACAGAGCTCAAGGCTAGCCTGCGAGCCTAAATTTAGATGCAACGCCTTCCAGATGAGCTGCAGATGTAGCAACCAGTGTACGTGACACACTTTCCAAGCTGTCCAGGAGTTATACACTTTGGGTGCGAGCATTTGTTAGAGGCAGCAAAGACGTCGTGAAGATCGTTCTCGGAGATACCCTTGTGCTCAACAGCGTTTTCGAAGGCCTGGGCAGATGCAACACGCTGGTCGAGCTCGTTGCTGAAGCTATCAGAGGTATAGGCTACAGCAGGGCCCTCAAATCCTTCCCGGATGACATAGCCGCCGTTGTATTCGTCAAGGATCTTGTTTGGACCGGCGTCCATCAAAGCTTTGAGGTCGTCGTTGGAGTTGAGGATCGCAGCACCTTCTGGGAGAGGGGAGGTGTAGCGGCTGGTAGAATCGGCAGCATAACTGGTCGCAGCGAGGGCGACGAGCAGAAGGCTCTTGAGGTTGGCTTGGGCAAACATTCTTATTGAGTGTATTCTCGGGAGGGTTCTATGAAGTAGCTTGTGTTGTTGTCGGTTGAGATGTGTCAAGAGAAGATAATTTGCTTTTGATTGGGATTGTCTCTGATAATCATCTAATGGCGAGGACCATGATCTCCTTATATACCTTTTGCCAAGCAAATATTCACATTTTCAGATCAATACCAAGTTGTCTGACCGGGGTTTGCTGCCACCCTGGATTTCCTTTCTGAGTCCTAAATATGATACAGGCCAGAGCATGAGGTGGATTTTCCACATTTTCCATTGGTAATTGTACAGTGCAAATGAAACTCTCTGATCCTGTCAGTGTTGGACCAAGTTAATTGGTGAATAGACTCCGAGATCGCAGATCCTACTGACTTTTCAAAACATCAATTTAAGGACTCTAGGGTTCGTAATTTAGCCTCATTTGGCAAACCTGAACAGTCAACCTGTAGAGATTATGATTAAACCAGACATTGCAGAGGACATGGCACAAATATTCATCCATTTTAGCAATAAGATCTTTGATTGGAAAAATCTCATGTGAGATTCAGCAAGTTCATCATGGAACAGATCGCACCTCGTTCACTGTATAAGCTAGTTTGCTCCACTACAGCGGCTCCACGTTTGTTTGCTGTTGCCTGTTGTAGTGCTTTGATCCTGACTGTTGGCCGATAGGTCGTGGTAGTATTTGGTCCACCGTATGGAGCATATACCTCAAATGCACTCAATATAGGGGTGGCCAAAAACAAGAGTGGGCTTGTCCTCAATCCAGAATCCTTTTAGATGGATTTTCGTTTCGGAATGTCACAGTCGCTGGAGTAACAGTGAACGTTGATCGACTGCAAATAACGTTCCAATGCCCACTAGTGTGAAACTATATCCAGTTTGATCAACATTCGAGCAGGGTTTAAAGTGCTTTTCGGGTCTGTTGGGGGCTAAATCGTCTGCGACTTCCAGTATTTTTGATCATATATGGGGATGTTATCATGAAGGAAACCTTGAAACAATGATCCGCAGTCGGCCTAGTGCTCTGCATTGTCTTTCTGGACAATCCGATTGTTGGTGTTGCCTTGAAGGACCATGATTGGTTTCCCCATCTCGAACAGCGTGGCATCTACTCCTCCCCACAATTTTATAATTTAAATTTTTCTCAATTATTACCAGGAACTTATCCATTCAGGAGGCTGGACCAACATGTTGAAGCATCTCTGATAATAAAGCGAAAACTATTCAGTGGGGTATTCGGAGTCGGTGACCTAATCGGAAGAGTCAGCGATGTCACCGAAGGAAGGCCTCTTGATTCAGTATTGCCGGTTATATTTAGCACAAACAGTAGAGCGAACCCTAAACGTATGGACACAACATTGAGCATCAAGCCGAAGTTTGACATGTCGTTAAAGATAGAATGGACAGGTAATCCCTGTTTTTCTATCGTTAAATTTGTTATTTGTGTTCAGAAAATACCTGGCACATACCTAGACGAGGATGTTCGCCATGACGTCAAACAGTCATCATAGGAAGTTTTCCAGACATCTTGCCTATATAAATCCAAAGTCTTGATAGTATTTCAATACGAGAAATTGGATCGGCTCATTCGTGAAGATTATCGATCATGCCAACTCTCACTGGGTCCTGCTTTTGTCGAAATATCCAATATAAGCTGTCTCTCGACTCAATCGACGATGTACGAGCCTCGCTTTGCCATTGTCACAACTGCAAAAAGGCATTCGGTACAAATTATGGTCTGACTGCCAAAGTACCAAAAGACTCGCTCCATATTACCAAAGGGAGCCCCAAGCAACATGTCTCGGATAACGGCTCGGGGGCGCTGATTCATAGGGAGTTCTGTGATAACTGCGGCAGTTTCATTCTCGAGTATGGAGTAAGCGTCGCATTGATGCGAACTTGAACTGGAACAAGAAAGACTTACTCCTGTTCAACGTAGGATGCTGTAAAAGGGAAATTTCGATATATCACCGTCGGGTCGCTGGATGATCCAGAGGCTCTGCCTCCAAAGGGCGAGTTCTTTTGCAAGGATAGAGCGAGTTGGATGCCTGAAATTCCTGGTCAGTAGGCCTCAAGTTTCTTGATGCGTGCTAAGAGGATTATGACAGATGTGTTTCACAAACGGATGATTGAGGAGTAGCTCAGCCGCTATTAATACTGCCAATGTGGGTGTGGGTGGGATGTGGACTAAACACCATAAGCCAGAAGGCAAGATGGACGCAGATAGGCAGGTCACGGGACACTGCCAGCCGCTACATTAATCCATGTACATACAACCTAATGAACTGAGGGTATATAGGTCAATTCCAGTATTTCTCTACCATCCAAACATACGGCGTGGCCGAGTGGTCCCCATTGCCAGGGGTAGTGTACCACTCAGTCGCCCAGCAGCCCTCACGGGTTGCCGGGTAAAGGGTTCCCTATGCTGAGTTATCTCAGGATGATAGGCTGCCTTCACGACGAGTGCCAATGCCGGGGCGGATCATCCATATGTCTCAGGTCAAAGCTGTGAGTGGCTCCTCAGCGAGGCGTGACAGGATGCAAACCACTACATGTCGCTACCAGGGGGGGCGCAATATTTGGAACCGTCGATGCGCAAGCATCACACCATTCTTTCTTTTTCTTTTTCGATTATTTTTCTTCTGTTTATTGCCTCTGGTGGCTTTTCTATGCCATGCTATCAAAGTCGTGGTGCATCCCAGGTACATCGTGGGTATGGAGCCGCTGTGGCTCTGCTCATTGCTGGCGCAACGAGCTTGCATCGGGTCTCCTCCTGCGCAAAACATTTGAGAGCAGCAGTCAATTTACGCTAGGCGCGAGGCCTTCGTTTCGAATTGCCTGGCTGCTGGCTTTTTCTGTCTTCTTTTTTCTTTATTCCCCTTTTCCTTTCCCATTCTTTGTCCACCAACCACCCTCTCCCACCGTCCTGCCTGCCACTTCTCCGATACAATTCAGAATTCTGGATCCTTGACTCCTCTCCCTAGCTGCTGGCTAATGCCGATCTGGATTCTGTCTAGATACAGACTGTATGAAAGAGGACATCAGTTGAAAGAATCAGATAAAATAAATGAATTCCCAAAGCATTCTCAGACGACACTAGGCATCCGAGATGAATGTCGAGCCACTGCCAGACAACCAGCAAAAAGTTGACATCATGACTGTCGATGTTTGGCTGCCTTATATTCATCTATTGCCGCTCCTTGCCGCTTTCCCTTGCAAACAGGGCAGTAATACGTAGTAGCTGCAATAACGTTATTTCTTATGCGTATATTTATTATCTCATTGCAATCAAATCTGCCTTCTTTTCAGTGCGCTTGTCACTATATACTATATCAACTACTCAAATGAAACGCCGATATGTTCTGCGATCAAGGGCAGCTAGGACCATTTGGGACGCAGGCCTGCTACAGTATTGGTCTTGGATGATATCAGTTATCTTATCGATATATACCATCAAAAGACCTTTTTCGAAAGCAAGACACCGACTTGCTTCCATGGCATTAGTGGCTGATCATCCAGTGAAATCATCAATGCAAGGATCAACTCTACCTCCCTACCTCCATCACGGCATCGTAAGACCTGCTATGCTCTCATTGCATTTCGACACGTCCTTTCGACCTCAGGATCCGCCCTATCCACTTTGAATTTGACTTCGCGTACGTTTTAAGACGTAATCAGCCACTGGACAGTTATCAAGCATATGGGTTTCTCGCTACCCTTGTCCGGCCTTTGTCCAGACACAAGGCCATTGTCAACGCATCAGAGAAGGTAAACGGGATTTAGTCCAACAAGGCAGGTGCCTGGCCTCCTCTATCAGATCCATGCGGTCCCTCGGTAGTGTTGAACGCTAGGTTTCAAGTCTTGCCTTCGACAGCAGCAAGTTTTTGAACCAGCGAATTGATATCTGGAATGCGCACATCATCATAGTCAAGCTTAGACAATCCGCAGGGCTGTCTTCCACTGCTTCACCAATTTCTGGCTGAGATTAGGTTTCCTCGGAGAATTCAAGTTACAGTAGGCCGAGCGACTTTCATATATGAGTGCGATTCGCCGAGTGATTGATATTCAACTAATTCTTGAAGGAGCGTTGCAAGATCCCAAAAAATATGACGATTAACATACAGGTCTCGATAATATACGACGATGTTATTTGTGAGGTCTCTGAGCTTAAGATGTTAACTTGAAAATGATAGATGTCAGCTTTGATAGTTTCCGACTCTTCCTGATATTCCTAACGAGCGCCGAGACTTTATGTTGTGCAAACCATTTACGCATCAATAATTACCAAGCATATCCTCGCAGCTTGTACTCCGTGATGTGCAGATCTGCGCAGTGGGTTAAGTACCCCGCCTGTTGCTGATCTAGATCTAGTCGATATTGGTTGCCTGCATCATGCATCCCACATCAGGTTCCCTAACTACAAAAAGTGAGAACAATTCAAAAAGGACGCGTCATCCTCCAGTATATGCAGTTCCCCAATTTATCGGGTAGGTAGATTCGAGGTGCTCGCCGCAATACATCTATCTATTCGATCATTTCGATGCAGCCAAACGAAAGTGATAAGCAACCTGACGATTCAATTTACAATACTTAAAGAGTGTTATAGGCAAAATTCGGATAATTCCCCACGGAAGCATTATTGGTCTAGTGGTAGAATTCGTCGTTGCCATCGACGAGGCCCGTGTTCGATTCACGGATGATGCACATACATTTTTTTAACTTTTTTCAGTTATTTTTCAATTTTTGGTGGCCGAGTGATTACTTCACAATATACTGGCGATATATCATGGAAGGGCGCCTGTCTGCTACGACTATCTTTTAGCCGCCTAGCTTAGCGAATGGAAATCTCGTCCTCATTTCCAACTTATATCATTTCACTTCAAATCAAGAAGCCGGTCCATTCTCCCTTGCTCTTTTTTTCTTGTCGCCTTTCGTATTGTATCACTATCCCGCACCTTTCAGCTTGTTCCAGTTTTGTGCTCGCGATCTCCGGTGTGTTGAACATTGTTAACTGGTTGATCACCGCATGGAGAACTTTTGGTGAAGAATTACATAACCTATAATGTCAAGTAGATTTGGAGACGTTTATATAGCGTTATTACAGGAATAGTAATTGTGTAAACACATCGAACTTTTAACCGCCATACTAAAAAGAGCGCAATCCTTACTTTGTAAGGATTCAAGTGGTATGTTCTAGTTGTATATGTTTTCTGGCAATTAGTACTAGGGGTGTACGCTTTACCCCTATCAGTAGCACTGTAGTAATAGTATTCGGCTTTTAGTCACGACAGAAATAACACTCCTCCTCCTTGACTTCTCTGGTGATGTCAAACTAGCCTCCCCATCTCTCCATCCATCCCAATTTTGTTTCACGAAACGAGAATGCCATATCGATGCTGCGCTTTCATACTCCTCTTCTAAATGGCCCGCCAGCTCCATTGGTCTATAATTATAAGTCCGAATATCATTCAAGTAACACTCCGACGGCAGAAAGAGCTCACCAAAGCCTTGCCAACTCCCTTTCGGCAAGACGTGGTCGAGAAGTAAACAGACCATTATCGCGGGGACTTTCGGGTAGAGTTTCAGCTCTGCAAATTGAGGACGACGATGTGAAAGAACACAAGTCCAGACACTGACTGCGTGCTTTCTTTCGAGCTCGGAGTCTTCCCTTCAGCAAGCATCACACAATAACAATGACTCGATGAAGCAAAGACCTCCGGTTTGGGCTTAGTGTGGTATCTAGGCGGCCATTGTTGGAATGAGACTAAGATGATCTCGACTGTTCGATTCTGTTCCTCAGGCAGAAATCCTGGCATCGTTTCTCATCGTGTTGCTTGCAATTAACTACTAGTGTGAACGCGAATCGGATTCAATACAACTCCGTTTTCCACAACATACTCGCTCAATTCAACATCAATGTTATAGACAGCGTACGGGCATAGGTCTTCGTCAGGGATGGCAAATTTACGTAAAATTTGCCAGTTTACTAGTTAATTATGACCTATTTTAGGCGTTACAATTTACATACACTTTTGCCAAGCCTGGGCTAACTTAACCAGTGATTATGAATTTTGCTGATTGTCAAAAACCCATTACATTTCGACGGCACAATTTACAGTAATCTCACATTCGAACATAATTGTCACCCTAACTCTGGCCTTCATAAAACAGGTAACTTCGTATCTCCAGCTGACGAATTATCTCGGCATGCTCAGACTGCTCTGAGAGCGGCAGAAAAAATACTGCCGCCTCCTTTCCTCCCATTGGCTGCTAATGGACCCACTAGGAAGCATCTTCCTGTAGAGCAGTCAGAGTATTGATTAGTAAGAGGCTACTTTTAAAGACTTTCATATTTCAACATATATTATATTAACTCGACAGCCATTAAGAATTATTAGGTTGCACCACCCTAAGATATTAAACAATCAACTTTGATTCTTTAAACTACCTACTGTCTTAAACCGATCCCTATTTGAGAAAGCCATCAAGCCATTTTTGATTCTTACCCAACTCAGAGCGGTTCCGATTTGCCTTAACCAGAGCGTCTTCACTAGATTGCTTTGCCAATAAAGAGCGTCTTTGCTTTTTAAATTAAATACAAACCGCCTAAATGGGAAAGTCAGTATTGAGTAATCAATTCAGATTATATTGAACGTTAGAAAACGTGCGTGAGGGGGCAAGTACAACCTTAAATATTTAACTATTAAAGTTTGTATAGAAGAGGAAGGGATCACCTACCTATTCCATATTTGCACAAGGTGTTCTCAGACCTTCTGACGACAAACTGAGCCGCGCATTCTCATTGGCCGATATCACACTAGACTTGACAGAGGCGGCAGCAAAGGCGGTGAAGGCGTTGCTCATCCTGGGGCTGAGATGCCATATTCCTCATCCAGAACCTTGACAGCATCGAAATTATGGATATCCAGGGCTCCTTCAATACAATGGCATCTGAGTCAAATACTGCTGGGGCAATGCGCCAGACCTCTGAAGTTTCTCTTCAAGCTTGCAAGGCGTGCAGTCAGCAGAAGAAACGATGCGACAGAGCCTTGCCTGTATGCGGGTCATGTGTAAAGTAGGTTCTACTATTCCTGTAAATCTGCCTCTCTCGTCACACCCATTGCGTTTATTTTTTATGTATATTTGTCACGTCTCGACTAGTGGACTATAAAGATATAAGATACTCATTTAGCCCTCTAGGAAAGTTCGCAAATGCTACTATCCAGTGCCGGAGGTCCAATCGGACGAGGCTCTAGTCAACTCTTTATATCGAAGAATCGACCAACTAGAATCTGCTATCTGCCGAAAGAGTACTCTCCCGAGACCTCCGGACTACGGTGCCAAGTATCCAATCCCAAAACAATGGTATTTCTCAACTCTGCTCTCCTACAGTTAGTCTTTTCTTTTCCTATATATCGGCGAAAATTGGGGATAGTGGATAACATTGGCCTGTAGGAGACGCTGTATTACGCCCTCTGGTACAGCAGTATCCCAACTCGATTGCCACTATGTTGCAAACTACGTGGATGCAGGCGGCATGGTCGGATCCTTGTTTGTTCCATGCGACACTTTATTCAACTTCGGCTCATATGGATATAACCCACGACACACCTGAAAATCCTGTGACCACGTACCACAAAACTGAGACCCTCCGATTAATTAGGGAGGCTATCGCGAATAGTGACCATAGTAGTCTTCCAACCAGCGTTGTTGCAGCGACATTACATCTGTTGTACTTTGCGGTAAGTAATGCATTGATGCAAACTTTAATAATGATCAATACCTGAGATTAGTAAACATAGAAATTGAAGGGAGAATTTAACGAAGGGACATCCCACGAGTCCGGGATTGAGGCACTTTTACGATACAAAGGAATGGGAGAGCCGCAACCGGATAATATCATTGGATATTTTCTTATAATGTTAGTCCTATTCCTCTATTCCCAATGGCAGATTACAGATATCTACTCTTGGGCATCCGGCTTACCTTGCCTAGACAACAAGTATGGAACGCTCTTGTTCTTCGGGTTAAAACAGTGTTCCCCGTACCTCGCGTTGGCTCCAACCATCGCATTGGGAATTATTCCTCTTTACTCTCAAACGCCGCCGAAAGACAAATGGAAAGACCTCCCAGACTGAGACTTCCAGAATCGGCCCTAGAGCTCGTTCGTGAATTTGCCAAATATTCCACGATGAGCGTGATAGATTCTACTTCTACATGGTCTAACTTCATTGCCAGCCCTGCTTATCAGCAGTGTTCTACCACAGCAGATAGTAAACAAAGCCAAGTTGAAAAATGCTGTGTCTTGGCTGGAATTATATATTTAAGAGCTTTGCTAAATGTAGGGAGTTCAACGGACCTGAATAGCGACCCAGAAACACAAAAGTATGTTCTCAGTTTGAAGGACGAAATCACAAATTGCGACGAGTCCTTTTGGTATAGGTGCGGCCCTGAGGTCTTTCGATGGGTTCTTATGACTGGGGCCGCTGCAGGAAGTTCGTTATCGCAACGAGCCTGGTTTATTGCACGCATGTGTCCTTTCTGCGCTGTGATGGTGCCGCAAGAAGTAGATGATTTTTTGGCGGGAGCTGACCACCTTGTCTGGCTGTTCAACCACAAATATCCGAGATAATGTATTCTAAATTTCATTGTCCCTCTGTATTCCAATACTGAAGATAATCTATTATTTGCTCCATGTCATTGCTGGGCCATGATCTCTGCTCTTAAGCGCCAATTCTCTGCAAAGCTTCTTCGCTGGACTTCCACAGATTCGCCGCCAGAATAGGATCCCTCGCGTCTTCACTTGGTTGCTCTATACGTCCGTATGGTTCAACATAGGCACCACCATATAAATCCCTCTTCTCCCATACTTCCGGGTGGGCCGCAGCAAATACGGTTGTCAACGCACCATCAAGTGGCGAAAGTGACCTTACTACGATGCTCTCACGTATATCCGAGTGATACTTGTCGATATGCCTGTTTGCACCGTCTGGAACCGTCGTCAGAAACATCTTTCCACAAAACGTGCATATGAAATAAATGGGCAATCTTTCTACATACCGGTCAAAACATAACCAGGGTGCAGTCCAACGGTGACGATAGGGACTTTCTCTGCATCTAGTCGTCGCTGGAGTTCAGCACTGAAGAGGTGGTTTGCCAATTTGGATAGCGCGTAGCGAAATAGATTGCTCTCTGCACTATCAGTGGACCCAAAAGATTGATTGAAGTCGGCAATATTGTTGAGCTGGATGCTCGGTGGGAGCTTAAGATGGACATCAGAGCCAACATTTACAATGCGAACTCCGGAGTACTCCGCTGCCGTTTTCTTGAGGAGGGGAAGAAGAGCGGTTGTCAAACGAAAAGGGGCGAGGTGGCTGTTTATTAAATTAGTGATATTGAGCCTTTCTGATTGTCGACACACTTACTTGGTTGCAAAGGACACCGAAATCCCATTCTTATCCAAGTCCAGAGGCCTAGCTAGCAATGCAGCGTTATTCACCAAGATGTCCAATCTCTTCTCTTCAGCTGCGAACTTCGCCGCTACGGTGTTAATGTTCTGAAGGTCGCCGAGTTCGAGGGCAAGAGGATGGAGCAAGTCATCACGAGCAAGTGAGGGATTATCCTCTTTCATTTGCTTGATTGCTTTATCAGCCTTTTCCAAGGACCTTGCTGACACATAGACCTTGGCTCCCTTAAGAGCGAGTTGCTGGGCGACATTAAAACCCATGCCAGTCGGGGAGCTGGGAGCCTGTTAGCTGGTTCAATCTTTCATGGCACGGAGGGTGGCATTACTTTGCACCAGTTACAATGGCTACCTTACCATGAAGACTGGGTATTTCAGAGACAATGTCCCATTTCTGCAGCATTGGTTAGAAGCAATGTCCAACCTAGAATCTAAGGACATATAGCAGTTCACTCACCGTTTTGCGATCCGCGCCAGATGTAGACATTGTATATAGCTTTAACTTGAAGGAATTTGTAATGAGGATAATGGACTCTGGATTTTCTTTCTGCTTGTTTCTGCTTCACTCTTCCCACTTCAAGCTGGGCTCAGCGGGCTATTTATCTTCAGATATCTCAACCGTCTCCCACATTGTTGACTACTGAGTAGAAGTTTTTCGTCCGCTTACAAATAGAAAAAAAAATCGTGATGACGATATCCAGATATGAGAGTATCAAGCTCTATAAATTAAAATCAAAGACGAGTTTCTACAATGGCTGTGCTATGATGTTGATTGGTTGTAAAGACAATCTAACCAATTAAATCAACGGCAAGGGTCGGGATGGGGCCGACTTTCACATTCGACCAATCAAACACATGCACCCGGGTTTTGGCATCAAGGAGTACAAATTCGAATGGGGCAGAGTACAGTCTGAGTAATTATTTCATTCTAGAGCCATTTAAGTTTTCTATATTAATAAGAAAGCGAGGTATAATATCATTCCAGATCCCTTCGAAGCACGCTCTTGCCTATTCAATTCAACACAAAGCTATTTACACTTACAATCTACACATGTGCGTTATACAGGAACTTCAGCGGCGCCGGTCATCTGACAGGGTCTGGCCGACAACATGAAGTGATGATTGGCCTCGCTTGACGCCTAAGAGCAACATCTTTACAGCCTTGTCCGACTTTGTTTGTTTATTTACCATAGCAATTTTCTCAGTCACGATGAACAATCCTACCCTTTGCCACCCGTCAATTGCTGCGGAGCGTTGTCAAACCGGAATACCCAATCTTGAGTCGTCGCTTTCATATAGCTGAATTGTGGTTCAATGTGAGTTCTGGCTCTCTCTTTCCCAGCTACGTCGAGGTTCCTTGGGGATCCGTTCATCAGTGTCAGTAGTGGGTTGCTATGGTCATACTCGAACGAAGCGCTATCACATCCATGTGAGTCTATTGAGCTGACATCTTGGCGAGTATTTATTAGTTTAAAAGCCGGACAAGGCTTTGTTCAATTGCTGCTTTTTGCTGCGGAATAAATTAGAGAAGCGACTCGAGCGCTGGACATCGGATCTGCAGACTGCGGCGTTCTTGCGAGTCCTATCATCCCACAATACCGAAATAATGGTTAAGGAAAACGACGCCATTGCTATTATCATCATACTGTTCATGACGCTTAGGATCATCTTATCAATATTTTCCTGTCGGTGATGGGCCGGATACAGAGAAAGGAGATCCCCCAAAAAGTGGCATTCGAGTGCCCCGATACCCTCAGCCAGGCGGTGGAATTATGGTACCTCGCACACCCGCTGAAGTCAGTAATAGTAGAGTTCCCAAGTACACTGGTGGAGGCAATGGTATAAGGGTTCCTCGAGATGTTGGGCAAGGTAGTGGTATCAGAGTGCCCCGTCAACTACAACCTGGTTAAAGAAATGCCTGTTTAAAGGATAGAGTGGCTTATCCTGCATATTTAGGCAGGTGCTTGGAAACTGCAAGTTGCTGAACTGGTTATCTCCTGTAGGTTGGACATCAACTTAGTCTAGTTCAATTGGTTTGGGATAGAGTTTCGGCTGCCACATACTACATGCGTGTTACATTGAAGCTCTTGGGTCCATCGTGTGATTGTTTGAATTGTGTATGTTAGATACACAAAGTACTTCGGCCTCCTGCCGAAACTTCTGTTAACTTTCATCATACCCTATCCAGGCAGAGACCCCAATCATACAAACTGGACCAACTTTGGTCCGAATCTCTTTTCCTTGCTGGTACCTTTGCCATATATCCCACAAAAAGACAAGCTTGCAGAGACCAAGGTCATCTCGATGTCAATTTTAGCACATACAAATCTATGCCGTTGTATTTTTCGATGGGCAATTCTAGGTCCCGGAGGTCCATCTTCAATTGGGCACATTCTCGGAGACCTAACGCATTGTACTCGTTAGTTAGTATCTCGGCCGAGTGCTGAGAATCCTACCTGGATCGTCTGAGTACTTGGGCTCAACGATCCCACCTGCATCCCGTGTCTCGCTACTATAAATGTGAATAACGACTTCTTGAATCGGACCCATAATAACTTCCTGTTCTTTTTCGAACTCGAAAGGCTTCAGAACTCGGTCTTGGATGCTGTGACCCTTTTCCTTGAGTTAAAACAAGTCCCGAGAGGAACAACATCTCGTAGTCTGATCCATACCTCGTTGACAAACCATTGCATACGCTCTATTAGGTCTTCCCCAGTTGATAGGCGTTGCCTGCGCTCGGTTAGCTCCAGTCAAGAACGCCTCGCTGTGAGAATGATAGATTTACTTTCTCGACGCATCGTCTTCCTTCGGGTTGAACCGCTGATAGGCACAGGTTCCATAGGATCTCCCAGCTATCCTAGACTCGACTCGGGGACCTCGGACCCTGAACACTCCATCTTGGTCTTTGCTATGTCGAGTAAGGCCCGCTATCAACGCTCCTCGAACTATGGCGCTGTTGCTGCATAGTGTTTATCTATTAGATAATTGCCCCAGGATTAGTGAACTCTTGACTTGCCTGTTCTCGATGTGCTGGATCAGGATCCTTTGGTCTTTGACGGAAGGCACCAGCTCAAGTTGTTACTTGAGATATGCGCTTTGACCGAAGCCCTCAGCAAGCAGGATAGCCTTGATGCCCCGACGTCGTGGCGATCTGATTGCGGACGAGCCCCTGAATCTTAGCGATGGCCTCCTTGAACACATTTTCTCGAAGCTCCTTGACCGACAGTTCGAGAGAGCATCCAATGATTCTGTGCCGATGGCTATCAGCTAATCCATGCACCATGATTGTGTATGTCCCGTTATCCCCGTCACCTGTGAACTCGGTCTTGATTCGTCTTTCGAATTCATCCACGGCATAGTCCAGAAATCCTTGATCCCAGCCCCCATAATAATCTCGGAGTTTGTGTTGAAGGCAATTTGCAAATATTCTGTTAAGGAAGCTACTGCCGCGTAGTCCGCCAGAGCGCTTTCCAGCACCAGCAAGACTGATGGGGTCCAGGGACCGGATCGTATAAGATGTAAGGTCAACGGTACTGTGAAGAGATGGCGATAGTTAGAATGACAAAGAGCCTGGGACAATGGAAGACCTCACTCACCCTCCACCAGCGTCACATATGACAAACGTATTTCCCGCCCTTAAGCCGAGCCGGGGCATTCTGTCCAACGCGAAGGTGGCGGCAGTCTCGGGTTCTGAGATAATCTGTAGCCAACTCCCCTTTCCTATGCCAGCTCTCTGGGCGTAGTTACGGGTTCTGTCTTGCTCCCAATGGTCCCATATTGCCGGAACGATGACGATGTACTTCCTCGGGAGTTCATAGACACGCACATCAAACTCTCCGAAGTGCTCGTCAACGCGCCTCTTGAGCCTTGAGAGATAGTCGACGACAAGCTTTTCATCCTTGTCTCCCGTGACTGGGGCCAGGGCCGTTGTACTGGGGTATTTCCTGCTCAGCTCAGACTCGGCGGCACGTCGCTCCTCATGTTCAGGACAAAGCCCTAGCTTGAACCACTCATGCATCTTTCGCCCCTTGCGCAACTGTTTCCGTGCCTGGAAGCCCCATTTAAAAGGACCAGTCGTACCACCGTTATCATAGCGTAGGATTCTAGAGCACAGAGTTAGAAGGGCTGCGGGGTACACGTAGGTGTCACTGACGTTGGGACTTTATCATCGCTAGGAGTTCCTCGCCCCCAGTTTCTCATAACCGTTTGTTTATCGGCCTATGATCCGCATAGTCTTTGTCAGATCAGCCGCCGGGAGCATGTTTGGACACCGTAGCTAATTACTTACTTCTCCTGTGTTGGCATAAGCGATGCCCGAATAGGTTGTGCCTACAACAAGTATCAATGTTAAGGAAAATTGTTTCCTAAGTAAAAGGTGTGTTTTGCACATATCATACCGAAATCGATTGCGATAATAACTTTCATCCCCTTGGTCTCCTTTCTTCTGCTCCGAAGAACAAGCCCAGCAGATATCGATGTACCGCCGAAAAACATTGAATCAGCTGAATCCGTGTAACTGTGCTTGAAGGAAGGTAGGTGTCACCCCCATCAGGTCGAGGAGTCTGCCACCCGGCGTGGGTGAGGTCTTTATCACCCTCAAGTCTCTCACAGCAGGGGCTTGAGGCTCCGCAACTGCGCAAAGCGGGGGCCACACATACTCCGTGGGCTCTTTCAGGGTACTTCGCGTTCTGAATGAATTTGAATGGCTCATTGGCAAGACAGAGCCCTGTGTAGCGAGAAAATTTCCTGTAAGATGAGTCTTGTATGCAGCCGTAAGTTGTTGTCACGGAAAACCTCTCCTGATTTGACCATGTTCAGAATGTGTCACACTGCGTAAGTATTAGTATGAATCACAGTGTTATTCGAGAAACTAGTGTGACGTTATTTGTCACAATTCTCTGAATTACCAGTTTCGCGAGAACAAGCCGAATATGACCAAAATATTTGCCTCCCTTTTTTCAGGATGTGTTCTACTTAAGTATCAAATTGTTTTGATCTTTGCCGTTCCGTTGAGTTTTTTTTTTAAAAAAAAAAAAAAAGAAAAGAGAAGAAAGAGAGAATCGCGCACAATAGAAAAGAAAGGAAAAGATACGTATTTTGAAATACTGTAAGTCCAAAACCGTATCCCTACAACACGTCATCCATGGACACGCTTATTTTTTGTCGTGTGCAGTCACAGCCAAGGAAGGTAATATAAGAAGAGGTCGGGCGCACACCACGCCGGGGCTCCTCAGTTTCCTAAAAATCTTCATTCCTCCAGACCAACTTTCCATACCAGGTCCTTCCAATATTTTCCGTCTCGGAGACCTTGAGACAGTGTGCTAACCACCATAGCATTGCTCATCGTTCAACCATGGACTATTCAGATTCGGTCCGGTTGAAGGCTCTTGGTGATCCCAGAGATCTGCAGGAGGAGAACGACGTCTTAAGATATCGCCTGGACGCAGCTATTTCCAAGATCATGAAGCTTCAAAGTGCCACGGATCAGATAACAGACGTGGATATAGGGAGAAGAGTCGAAAGTCTCCAGGACGCCATCCAATGGTGGGTCAACAGCGTCGGGAAAGACTTGAGAAAAAGGTCTCGAGACTTCAGGAGCATCTTTCACAGAGCACTTGATCGCAAGGACCAAGCCTCGATTATTCGCGAGCTTGGTCTTGCCAATGAAAGCTGTCATGACTCGGATGTCGAGTGGATTATGTGGCTGGTGAATCTCAGCACCTGCATTTACATTGTCCTTGGCCGTCACATCTGGGAATATCTTTCCGAAAACATCTTCAGCGAGACCTAACCCATTGGAGTGACCAGCGACTCTGAGGCGACATTCGATGACATATTGTCGGTCATGAAAAGGAGCGGTGACGATGAGGGTGCGTATGGCCATTCTGGTAGGAAGAATATTGTTTGACAAAGATACAGACACAATTCTTCTTGCTAAAAAATGGAGATCGGACACTATTACCTCGTTGACCCAAACGGAGTCTTTTCAGCGCCGGAGAAAGCGTAGGATAGAGAAGCTTTCTGATGAACTAGCTAAATCCTTTACTGTATAGATCGATGAGGAGACTCTTGAGCCGCACCTCAAAAACTTTTAAAGACAATATAGTTCGGCGGGCAATAGATCTACACCAACAAATTGCCTCCTCTTCGTACGACTATCTCATTATGTCCCCTGGATCCTCCGATTGGTGCGAGGAGAGATTCCCGATGAATCCAAGCTCTTGTCTTAGACGCTCAAGGACACCGTCAAGTGGAGACCAATTTTATGACGATGTCGCCGGTGTGTTTCAGTGTCTTTACCCTGGCATATACAGGCGAGGAATGCCAGGCGAAGAGAACGTACTCGCGGCGCCGCCTGTCGTCCTCGTGTACGACCACACGAGCCCCAAAACACTTCGAGGTACCACTCGACGATCGCAATCTCAAAGACACCTACAACAAAACCAAGACATGGAAAGCCCTGCATTCAAGTCGAATCGTAGGATTGCCGGATTAAGAAATGTTGCCAAGAGACGAACTAGGGATAAGACTCTGCCTGCAAATCACTCGTCTGACTCGATGGAGGACTACCCACGTAGAATTGGTGGGGGCGTTGGCGGGTACCTTTGAGAAGGCAGAAACCCGCCAAAAACGTCTGGAGCGCTTCAAAACGTTCTAAGCTACCAAAACGTCCCTATAACTTTTTTAACTGGAAAAGTCTTTTATAAATCAATTCTACTGTATTTTTTATATAACATCCTCAAAACCAACTACAGTTTTATAGAATTAACAGTATTATAGAATATATAACTACTTTTATATCATTCTTATAGAAAAGAAATATTACAGTAGCAATACATTATGACATTTTAAAAGATTTTAAAAAAGATTTTAATTTTAACAATATCTTATGATTACATACTATTTTATCAAGGCAAACTGCAAATATATTGCTTTGTATAACTAGATCGATCACACTGATTTACAAATGGTGTTCGGTTTGATCATTTTTTCTTCCCCCAAAATTGATACGACAATGCTATACTAGAAATACTCCCCCATTCGTGACCAGAACAGAGCCTGTCACGAAACTATCCCTCATAAAATACAGGTATGCCTCCGCAGTGTCTCCCGGATATCCCACGTCTTTTGTCAAAGATTGTTGTTTATGTCGCTCAATAGCATTTTCGGACATTTCCTTGGGTAGTCTCTCAATAATTTCAGTTAGAATAAACCCAGGTGACACTACATTGACGCGAATCGGAGGCAGCGTGACAGCCAAACCACGCATCAATCCCTCAACGACGCACCCGATGGCTGGGGGCAGCCACATTGTCGGCTTGTGCGCCTGAGTGCCTGAAGTCAAAGTGATCGACGATGACTTGGCTGGAACCATGTACTTAGGAGCATATTTGGCGACGGTTATGGCGCCATAGAAGCGTACTGCAAAGAAGGCATCGATGTGGTCAAAGGAGGCTTCTGGAAGAGGGTCTAAGGGCGGCACATCGCCGGCAGTGAAGACTATATGATCGATAGGAGAGTCTTTTGCCGCGTATTGAAGAAGTCCTTCTACAGTCCGCTCAAGCTCTGTCTTGGAAGACAAGTCGGCAACATAGCTTCGCACATTGTCCGCCTGCTCTGGGAAGTTGGTTCGGAGGCTATTCACCGACTTGGAGATTCTGTCTTCTGTTGACGAGCTGATGGTTATATGTGCTCCATCTTGAAGAGCCTGCTCGGCAACGGCGAAGCCAATACCAGAACTGCCCCCGATAAGCAGGATATTCTTCCCAGACAACTTAGTAGTGCGTTGCGACATTGATGCGGCGTTGAGTATATCTTCCGCAGAACGGAATGAAGATGATAGTGAAAGTACTGACTCGATGAAAAGAAAAAAAGTCCTTCCTCTGAATTCTCTGAATTTACAGGATGTTTAATTTTGCTTCGTTCAAATAGCAGTCCTGTCATGTACTTATATGCTTTATATTGATGTTAGGGTTATTGTTCGGACCTGTTCGTCCGTTTCGGCTTTCCTTATTTTCGGCCGGTTCAATGTTGTCGACGACATCTGGCATAAGCATCAAGACTAACAATACAAATATGTTGAATAACTCATCGCAAAGAGTCTAGCGAGTATTACGCGATATGAGTTCTCATTAGGCGTCGCATGTGTTACATTTACAGTGTCGATGTGTCCAAATAGCCTAAGTCTGAACATCCGGACTCAGAAATTTATTGCTTAACTTAGATAACTAGCTACAAATATTAGAGATTGATATTTTTCTCCACTGGAACAGTTTAATTTACTATGGACTCTGTGGAGAGATGCTAGGATCAACGTTCAGTTTTTTATGTCGCAATTCGAGAATTAATCTCTTAATCTTGTGCCACGCGCATGATGCTAAAAAAAGTCGCGAGAGAGAATTATTAGCACCTCCCAATGCTAATACAATGAAGTCAGGCAAATGTATCATGATTTTAAGTATGTATTGTACAGTAAAAACCAGACTCCGGTTTTCCCAGTCCGGTGTTGCATGCAATAAATCCTATGCCCAACGGCTTGATTCCCGCTCCTCTTCTATGCGATTCATTTCATCTTCGTCGTCGTCGTACCTATAACTAAGCCTGCGACCACCAGTCAAGTTGCGCTCCTGACGGTGACGAGAATTCTTGCTATCACGATCAGAGGTGATCGCACTGCGCCGCTGTTGCTCTTTCATCATGCGTTCGCGGTTACGGGCCTCGCGTTCTAGAGTATGCGGGTCCTTCGTTGACGAATCACCTGATTTCGCATCGGCACGGTCCTTGGTAGATGGTTTGCGCTTTTCATTATCGTTGTCATCTTTATGGTTGCGTTTGATGCGTCGAGAATGGCGGTACGAAGACTCGCTATCGTTAGGGGAAACGGAGCGATCGCGACGGGAGCGTTTACGGTCCTTCTCCCGATCACGGTCACGGTCACGTTCACGTTCGCGATCTCGATCTCGATGTTTATCCTTTTCACGGGGACGGTCGCGGTCGCGGTCTCGTTCCCTTTCGTGGTCGCGACGCTTGTCACGCTCGCGGTCTCGGTCATGTTTCCTGCTCCGATCCTCGCGATGGCGACTTGAAGAGTCCTTGCTAAGTCGTTGTGCATGCGTGATTCGGCTCGCAAGGTCATGTTTGTCGCCGCCGTTGGTCTCTGGAGCAAGAGAATCACGGTTGTGGTAACGGCTTCTGCTCTGGCTACGATGGCGACGAGAGCGGTTTGATTTTTTATCACGATCCCGATTGTGGTCAGGACGACGCGAGGATCGTCGAGACGTCTCTTCTGTCACTGATGGCGAGCGTGAGCGCGAACGTGAACGGTTTTCACCATCACGTCGAGAACGTCGGTGATCGTCCCTTCGTCGGTCTTTGTCTCCGTCCCCTTCATCATCATAGGCTTCAGATCGCTCACGTCGAGTGCGGTCATGACGAGAATTCGGAGCAGACGGTGACCGAGGCCGTGATTGAGTTCGAGAGCCTCCCTGTGAAGGCGATCGAGTTTGCACTTGAGATGTTTGGACAGATGGTGACAGTAGACGAGTATTTCCATTCATGGCTGCTGGCGTGGCACTGTGATATTTGTTAGTAAGATCGACGTGACCAATTTTCAAGATTCGTAATCCTTACCGTTGCGAGACATTCTCCGAAGTGTCTGCTGTTGACGGGTTCTGTTCTGCAGCAAAGAGTCGCCGCGTACTGGTATTCGGAAGTCCTTGACGCATCGCACGTGGCGCCAATGGTGCGCCTACCACACCTTGTCCTGGGGGCGGTCCTTGAAAGTTTGTGTTGTTGTAATAACCCCCTCGACTATTGTAGAATCCTCCTCGACCATAACCTCTGCCGCGTCCATACCCTTGATTCATCATGGGGCCGTTGTGATAGACATTAGGCTGGGAAGCTGCACTATCAACACTGTCAATGGTTGGAATACCTTGTAGTTGAGGTGTGGAGTCATCGTTATTAATGACTTCTTGTTCATCAGATTTATGATCCACGTGACTATCAGTACGATCAGTACGATCAGGATTATCCAGGTCCTTCGTTTCTGCAGATGCAGCTAAGGCATTAGAGGTAGTAAGGGTAGTAGTATCCTCTCTAGATGGGCCGTCTGCTAAATCGCTCTCTCCGCCAGGGGCTAGTTCATCGTTGAATTTTTTAATGTCCTCTTCAGTGGGCGCCTCTAAGGACTGGTCCACGGCTTCTTGGGATACATTATTCTGGTAAGCCTGTTGCTGATAGTCGCCTGAATACTGGTTGTTAGCTTGCATATGGCCATAGTAGCCTCCACGACCTCCACGATAATAACCGCGGCCACGGCCGCGACCCATGCCTCTCATATAGCCTGATCCATTGCCATAGTAGCCACCTTGATGATAATTTTGGTTAGGATATTGCTGCATCTGAGAGAAGTTTCCGTTGTCTTGAGACATGTAGCCAGCATATCCAGATGCTTGATAATCTTGGCCCATACCATTCGAGAATGCAGTTGGATTGTACATATTGTTTTGAGAGTTGTTCCAGTTGCCATACATCTGCTGCCCTGTACCATATCCCATATTCATGCCATTGCTCATATTATTCATGTTCATACCAAAACCCCCGAACATTCCTTGAGCTGCAGTCATCGGATCCATTCCTAGCATTCCTGCATTTCAATTAGTGCTCTTTCACTAGTCATAACTAATCTTATATGCAAACATACCCATTGGGTTCTGAAAATTGCCCGTGGCTGCATTCGGCATAAACTGAGCCATCGCAGTTAGGTCTTGTCCGCCCCAAGGCATATTAGACATCAATCCCGGATTCACACCAAAACCCATGTTGAGGGCCATTTGGTTAGATCCGTTGGTCGGCACCATGCCTTGCTCAGTATGTTCAGTTTCATCCGCCTCCAAAGCTCCATCGCCAGATTGTGTGCCATTGTCATCAGCGTCGTCAGCTGCTTGATGATCGACAGTGGTGGTCAAAGGTTCTTCCACCTACAAAATCCATTAGTCATATAGCATACTCATAGTGGATGGGAGGACTAACTTGATCGGAGGTGATGAGTGGAGTTTGTGACTGGTTCTCAACGATCTGTGGCTCTTCGATAGATGCTATAACCGAAGGTCCCTCAACTCCAGCATTCTCGCCAGTTGCAACTGGCTCCACATTTGATTCTGCAGAAACCGCAGAGCCATCTTGATTTTGACCAGCCGCACTCTCGCTCGGGGTAGCTGTAACTGGTGTAGCTGATGGCCGATCTTTCTCTCGTTTCTTCTCTTCCGTACGCAAGAAGGCCTTCAGAGTTGTGCGAAGTGCTTTGTTTGGTTTGCAAAGATCGGGTGAGATGGGATTGTGGTCACAGACAGGACAGCTTTCGGGCAAGGAAGTTTGGCCTGGAGGAACTGTTAGCCTGCAACAGAAGGTGGGAGGGATGAAAGTGGCACAATCGGCCAGGAAGGAATATGATGACATACAGTTCTCACAGATCGCTTGGTCGCAGCATGGTAGGCGAAATGCGTTGATTGCCAGTTTGTTGCAAATGGCACACCGCAGCTTGTATGGGATGTCATCCTGGGTGAGAGAACTGGTACCGTTAGTCATCGGTCTGATGACGGGTAAGGCTGTGCTTTGATGGGAACTCACTTTACTATCTCCAAGAGACCCGTTGACAGTTCCATGCTCGCCATTGTGATCAGTCAATCTGGTTTTCTGAGGCAAACACGAAATTCTTCAGGCATCGGTCTCAAGCCGCGACGATGAGGTGGAGAAGATCAGACGCGGACATGATGCATCCGCTAAATCGTTCGCTGAAAATGAAATTTCGGAACACGGTACAGTTCGCTGCTCAACAGCGCAATTGATATCCTTTGAGGTTCGCTGTCATTTGATACGGTCAGGAACGACCGCATTCAGCACATGGCTGGATTTCTTTCCGGCCGGAACGGATTAATATTTTACCCTGAAGAAATCCGTAGGGCCTTAGACTGCGTTCCTCTGCCGATCCTTCGCGGGAGTGGGCTGTGGCGATTGCTGTTTCTTTCTGTTTTATGAATGAAAGAAATCCCTTTCTGGCCTTTGTCGAAGACTCATCTCTACTGCCATTTAACTACGACATGCCAGTGCGAAATTCTGCAATCAGAACTTTTCATGTTTGAACATGATTCACCTGATTGGCCACATCCCGCAGCGCCCCCACTATCTTCTGGAAGGCGTGGAATATGGCATCCACCTGAGAAGCACAAATCTTCTGATCTGACTATTAGATGCCTAAGTTTCAAATTTCGCGTTTAGCTAGATGGCACTTGATTGCGCGTTCTCGCCAGCATCACTAATATCCCAGGTCTCAACTCTATGAGCCGACGTGAAGAATTAATAAATTTGAATTTCAAATCAAGCTAAAGGTATTGATGCAGATGAAGCGTCTAGGGATAAGAAATAATCTAGTGAAAACCGATCTTTCAATAACAATTTGCTATAGAGTCCAAGCGACACGAGGGACTTTGTATAGGAAAGATTAACGATTCGAGATTTTCTCAGAAAGTACCATGTTTATGTTTTAATTATTGACGGCGAACATATGTTAGGTAGTAGGTACATGTAACTAGTATGTATTAGTAAGGTTGAAGTTGTGAAGGAAGGGCATATTTCACTGCCCCAAGGCAACAGAAAACATCAAGACACACAAAAGTACAAGCCCTTTGCAGGCGGGCGCCTATAGGAGATTGTGTGAAATCGGGGAGTGTGTCGCCCCCATTCAGGCTCGTGATTACTCTCATTAAGATTGTCTAGAAGTCCGTCTCTAATTACGGAATATCTCTTTAGGCTCGGCCGGGCACTATACAAGCATTTGTGCGTATATGGAACTAAGGGTGCTCCAGCTGGAAAGCTAATAACCAGCTCGTCAAGTCTTGAAAACCGCCAACCGAAGGAATCTCCAACGCGCAATATCCTTCCAGCAGCTCCGTGACACATGCAGGAACCGCACTTTATGGGATTTTCCCGGCAGGAGATCATTCATCAGGTAATCGAAGTCAAGATTGGGGTCTGGGTCGCCCAGCAAGAAGCGGTCATTGTCGAAGTTAATATACGTAGCGCAACGACTGTTACAGATAATGAGGTATACAAATTCGTACCTTCTCCTCAGATCGGGATTCTCGACATACCGAGAGACATTCAGTTGGTGGTGCATGGATGAAGAGCTTTCTGCTGTTTTCGCCTGCGGCACTTGTGTAAGAAAACAACTATTAAACGGGGTTCAGAGAGTGCGAGGTTCTAGATTACCAAACGAAGCTCAGCGGGATGCCTGAGGAAAAGTGTGAAATCACCAAGAGGGTCGAGTGTGGCCATCCGCGGGTCGAGACCAAGGACTCTGGATGCAGAATCGAGTAAATATAAGTCTTGATAGATCCTCGTGTGTGCTGGAGGACAGCCTCATCGGGTTGACACTTGAGCAAGGGCTCAATCAGATGCACCGGTACACTGGCAGTTCTGCATGGTGTATCTCTCTATATCAGAATAAGTCTATGAATACATATATGTAGAAAGACGTGCCATGCGAGCTATTGATGAGTGCTTTATAGTAGATGTAGCCGTCTTTGATGTGCGAAATCGGGAGTAAAATGGGTATAGATATGCCTCAATGTCGTGGAATTGGATTGAGTAGAGTGGTTAATCGAGTTAACTGTGGAGTAAAGTAGAAGAGAAGATTTGACATAAAAGCGTACTGAACGTTTGCTCACACGTGAGTGAGTGCCTGGGCAAACATATATGCCGACATTTGTCGAGCATCAAGGCGTACCTAGGGGGCAGAAAAGCGCGTCTAAATAGAGGCATCACGCCATTGACAAACCGCAATAAAAACATCATTTAGCATGGAGTATACCGCTCACATCTATGCAAATACATCGCAAACTATGCTCCGCGTATATTGAATAAACTAGTTGTAATGACACGAACTGATTATGGTGCTAACGGTAAGCAGGAAATAAGAAAGCCCTCAGATTAGATCAAGTAATTTGAAACACATCGACGCGAGCTGGTTGATTGAAAACCAGTGGCGATACCGCAAGGGAGCAAAAAGATTTGACACCCCCCGGCCTCAGCCTAGCATGGGTTTCTGCCCGGACATCTCGTTGTTGCTCTATCATCATCGGACAGTATACTTTTACGGGGTAGGAATGGAAAAAGATAAACCCTAAGAACTGCGAGACACATCAATCTCGAACATGTGTTGTTCAGTGCAAGAAGTAATTAGTTATTCAGTGGAAGAGGCCATGTTTGAATGTTGAATAAGGGCGGCTTGCTATGGTTACCCACGTGACAGCACGAGCCAATCATCTGCCGTTGGTTCGCAGATTGCCAGGCTGTGGCTCAGACAGCCAACCAGATGGGTATAGCGGGGCCGCACTGGACGAATGATCGACGCGGTGAGGTCAGACGGCGCTTGGCGGGGCCGCTGTGATTGGCTTGCTGGGGGGACGGCGGCGGGCTGGCATTTGGCAGGCATATTGCGTCTATTATTTAATTCTGAGGCGCCGCGCAGGGTTAAAAGGGACGCTGCGACCCGCGCTCCGCCGCCGCCCAGCTGCCCATCCCTGAGCCTTGCTACCACGCACCGCCCGTTGTCATCTGCCTTGTACCACGCACTGTGCCGTCGCCCCCGCCCTGTCGCCACGCACCACGCACCTCGCACCTTGCACCAGAGCTTGGTCCAGTTTATCGCGATAGCACGCACTTTCTGTCTCTTATTATTCTCTTATTTTCTGCCTTTCTTGCTCGAAAAGGCAAAGAGGGGCATAATAATATAATTTCAACAAATTGCATCAAAAGAGGCATACGCATTATTATCAAACCACGGTCTGGGGGAAGCTGGTTGGATGTTGATTGCACTAGCAACAACTAAACCCAACATAACAACGCCACGATAACATAGTCACATAGGCGCGCCATTGTCCATCCATTCGACATCTGGTGTCCACTATCCAGCCACGTTGGTAAGTTTGGTCTGTGCCATTATCACTGTTATTATTGTTATTCCTTTTGTGTTGCTGCTGTGGGTCCTGCGGCGCAAACCTTGGGTGAAAAAAAGTGACAAAAAATAATAACAAATAATACTAAGAGACTGACTCTTCAAAGAACATGACAGATCCAGACAGCTCATATCGCCCTCGGTCACCGGACTTTTCTTCCTTCCAACCCTTCGCCAGCCCGCTCAACAACACCTACCAGCCGCAGCCACCCTACCTCGCCAGCCCCCTAGACCAGCGCGCCTCCTACGACGCTTCTCCCTTTTTCAACTCGGGCTATCAACCGCCCGTGCAGGCTAGTCGCGTTCCCCAACAGTACGTGCAACAGACCCTGCCGCACGACTACAGCTTCGACATGGCCCGTCGCAGCGCGCGTTTATCCGCCTCTGCTCCCCAACCACCCGGCGTGGCTCCCCAGGCCATCATGTTTGACCAGCACGTCCCGGCGCCACCTGCCGCGCCGGCCGAGGAGCCCAGACAAGCCAAGCCGTGGGATGGGATAGAGGTCAAAACCAAATTTCCCGTCGCTCGCATCAAGCGCATTATGCAGGCCGACGAAGAAGTCGGCAAGGTGGCTCAAGTTACTCCCATTGCAGTCTGTAGGTGTCTCCCTTATACCTCTCCTTGTGACACTGACGCTAATACTCCGCCTAGCCAAGGCATTGGAACTCTTCATGATATCCCTCGTCACGAAAGCTGCCCAAGAGGCGAGGGATCGCAACTCGAAACGTGTGACTGCTGCTCACTTAAAACAGGCAGTCTCCAAGGACGAGGTTCTCGACTTTTTGGCTGATATCTGCTCAAAGGTCCCAGATCACTCGTCAAAAAAGAACGACGAGGATGGAAGTGACCACAACGAGGGCAAGCGAAAGTCAGGCGGCCGACGGAAGAAGGATCTGGACAGTGACGACTTTTGATTTGCCTCACATGCTGCTCACATAACGCTGTTACGAACCCGGGATTGGTCAAATTTTGCGAGCTTGGAGTGTTTCTAATAGACTTGGATGGGGTGCATTGGAGACATTGTCACTGGAGTTCACGTCGTCATTTCGTCTGCTTGGGGAGTTGGAGTTCGGTTTGCATAATGAGCCCTGTGGATAGCATTCTGTCATCCCTTCTATCAATTGGTGGAGGTGGGTTAACATCGTGTATATAATGAAAGAGCAATTACTTCAGTGGCATGAGCTTTGAGATTGATTTAGCATTGATCGCTTGTCGACATTGATGAAGACCTCAATGATTTTACACTTGACGAACTCTAACCTTTGTTACATATGTAATACCATTCTCTATCATAGCAATTAATTGAATAGTATTATTGAAGAGCTTTAATAATGCCTGAAGAATATACATCACAGAGTACGCCATTCCGGATCGGGACCAAGCCCCTATCTAAGCATCGAGTGGAGCCACGCGACCTTGTGGCCTGAGGCTGCCGTTCGCCAGCTCTCTCTCACGACCACCTGCAAAGACGCCAGGTCCCCGCAGTGGCTCGTTCTGTCAAAGGGGATGCAGCATCCTCCTTGAAGCATGGATTTTGTGAGTACTGACCTGGAAACTATACGAACATACTGCAAAGCACGAAGCATGAATCTAATTCGAGGTGTACAAGTGGTCTCGACTTGTTGGCGGTTCCCGCAACATCTCCAAAATCCCTCGAACCACGACTCCTGTGGAGCGGTTGACGGCGTTCAAGAGGTCTTGCAATGCTCTCCAAGTGAGTCTATTCCATTTCAGTGTTGTGGGAGTACGTGTCTGACATATAGCCTCCAAGCAAATCTGGCGCACGAGCAATTCCCAATCCAGCGAGCTGGCTGCTACAGTCCATGCGCGGAGCTGTATCGATCGTCTCAACCATGTCCTAAGTGATGAATCGCGTGGTCCAGCACCACATCCGTGTTTATCATACGCATCCACATCCCAGATATTCGTGACAGTGACGAAGCTGTCCATCACATACCGAGACGAAGGATTGGTGCGATCGGCAACAATATTCTTCAATACTTTAATTGATGCCGAGGTGGACGGTGTGGTGGATAACCGTGTTTTTTCGCGTGCGCTGGTTGATCTTGTTCGGAGGAATGCTGTTCACACGGAAGATGTGGAGTCGAGACTGGTTGAGCTGCTTTTTGGGGTGGCTAACAACATCCGTTTGAGACCGAACATTTTGACGGCCTGGTTTATACCGAAGCAACCCGAGCTTCCCGAACGAGAGCTCGAAGAGGATGAACAATTTGCGGGCGTGACGCGGAGAGATGATTTTCCGCTCTTTTACCTCCTAGTTGATTATGTTCACCGTGAGGGCCGAACAGGCGACTTTGCTCGGACGGGTTTGCTGTACTTGATTGATTCTGCCACTAGATCTCGGATACTGGAGAAGTGGATGATGGAGAGTGACTTGGCAACGCTCATGGCAACAGGTCTTGGCGCATTATACAGCCAGCTGAGCAGGTACGTCTGGATTGGTTATTTCTTTGTTGGTTATTATGTTGACCCATGAATAGAAATGTTCGGCCCACCTTTGCTGAGGGTAACGTACCCACGATCATCGCTCTTTCAGACGAGAATGATATCCGAAGAAATGTGCCGACACCGACAGGTGCCGATTTTGAGTCTTTTATGTCCTATCTCCTCTTCTGGCAGGATACGATAGACCATTGTCGCTCGAAAGAAGTCAATGATACCTTGTTGGACCATTTTCAGGTTTTGTTCCTGCAACAGCTTCTGTAAGCTCTCATTCGGTCGTTAGGAATAGCTTCGGGTCTCTAACAAGCATAGATATCCATCTCTTCTGGAGTCTTCAGACGTAAAGGGGGGCTCGACATCAGCGGTCTTAACATACCTTTGCCGAATATTAGAATCTATCGACCAACCGGAACTTATCCATCGCACTCTTAACTTTTTGTTGGCATCTCCAACCGAAACCGAGCCGGCCATGGAGGTTTCACAGCAAGCACATAACAAACATATGTCGGTCAGCAGACGGAAATCAATAGATCTGCTGGCTGCTTTCACGGAGGAACACTCCGGCCCATCACCGTCGCTCTTCAACTTAGCAGATTTAATTCTGATGAGTCTCAAGTCCCAAAATAAAGAGACTATAGTAGCGACACTACGTCTGGTCACCGTCATACTACGCAGGCATCATTCCTTTGCTGGGTCATTGATCAAAACAGCGCAGCCGACATCGGGACCACAACGCAGTGTTGGTGCTCTCAATGCAGAGATTAAGAACTACATCTCACTTGCAACCACCATTTTTGACGACCCATCAATTAACGATTCATACCAAAACTACTCCAAGGATGCAACTCTTATTCTTGAATCCCGATTATTCATACCATCACCCCGGAGTAGTATTCTGGATGGACCCACTGATCAGCCACTTGACGTGCGCGTAGATGATCCAATATTCAAGGAGATTTTAAACCTGGCAGGAAATTTCTTTGCAAACAGCGTTACTGTTAACCTAGCTTTGACCGAGGTTATCGCGAGCCTTGCCTCTTCTAATCTGGTTTCTCTGAACAAATGGCTTTTGGTCGATCCATCCGATTACGACTACGAAGCAGAAAAGTCGATACCGCTCTCAAATTCTCGTACGGCAGAAAATGAAGAAGATGGAAATACCGCGGAGACTGACCGCCGTAATCCTCACCCTGATCCTCTGGAGATCATAAGAAGAGGTCTTTCTGAGCCGTCCTGGTCGGAGGAGAAAAGTACACCTATCACAAAACTTCTGCGGAAACTGGTTAGTCAAGTTGAACAATGGCAAAGCGAAATTCCCGACTTTGATATACTCGTTGCCGCTCGCCGGGATTTGTTACATTTAGATGACGCTCCTACGGAACCATCAACAGCTGCCTCCCGGCAGACCTCCCAGCCTCCTGTGTCTCGTTCTGTCCAGCCGGATCAGGCCCCCTTGTCTCCAAGAGGACGTCCAGTCAACATCGCACCAGAGGCTGCTTCTATTATGACACCAGGGTCTTTACCCCGCAGTACAGTTGGCTCACCATTTCGAGAGCCTGCATTGCGGACGCCCGATTCTCGGGATCCTTCACGCCGTCCATTATTAACCAGTGACTTTCGACGCCGACTTGCTAGCCCTTACCGTCTTGATAGTTTAACTGGGAGCCTTATTCCTAGTGACTCAGAGAGAAATTCTACAGTCGGAAATACGACAGAAACAGCCACCACCGAGGATGAAGAAGATCGGCCATCGCTTTCGAGCGAAGGAGAAACGGTGACGCTGGGACATATTCTGACAAACGCTGTCGTACTATACGAGTTCATTCTAGAATTGACCGCCGTCATTCAGGCTAGAGCCACTGTGTTTGAGGAAGCCGGATTTTCTAGTTAAGCTATGGACATACACATGGAGCGGATATGTAGATAGAGCATGGTTTGCCCGTTTATTTCGATTCAATAATATACCCATGTACGTACGTTTGTTTATTAATTCACAAAAGCTTCCAGTATATGAGTATCAGCGCGCCTAACATTCCAAGACCAAATGTTCCAGTAAATGTTAATAAAGACCTTAACATTTTGAATCTCCGCAATAGTCAGTCCGAATTTTTCAATTCCGACATATTATAAACTTGTTCTGGCAAATCAACACTTTCAGGGGCCGTCAAAATGCCAAATTCGAACGTAAAACCTGAATGCCCACAACTATTTCCGTATAAACCAATAATGACTTCATCTTCACGCGGCTGAAGTGTGACGACACTTTCCGATCCCTCGTCGGCGTTGAGATGGCCCCAGCTATCTCCATTGCTCAACGTCATTCGTATCCCAGCCAAGGTACCCCAGCCAGGATCACTTCTAGTCGCGACCTCGACCTTGGTAATCGTTTCATTTGCCGGAATATCATGACTTTCAGAAGCATGTCCACCGAAACTATGTGCTTGACCGGTTCGACGGTTTCGCATGGGGCCGCAGTTAGCATGGTGGCCATCGGCGTAGTAAACCACAGCGCCATCCATTATGCAACCTACTCGCAGATCGATCGAGGTAGCGCGATGAAGTTGGCCATCTGCACCACGTTCGCGAAGCAGGAAAGCCCAGGACTGAAATTCCCCATCATCGCTCTCGTTGAAGTCGGTTGAAATAGCAGACTGTTTGCGCAGTTTGATGTCGCTGTTTGGTATGCGTATATATGATCTTCCCTGGCCCAATAACTTCCATGCATCCACAACTCGGACTTTGCCGTTCATTGCCAGAGCGTGGATTTTCAGAGGCTTCTCATTGTCGAATTTGGTCCGAATTGACCGGAGAATGAAATGTGTTGATTTGTGATCTAGGATGTTGTAAAGATTCTCTTCATCATCACCGTTCTGGATTGAGACTCGTGCGAGTCCTCCTGAGCTGGACACTACCAATCCATCATTTTCATTTTCATCGTCCTCATAATCACTGTCTATAGCCACCTCAATCCTCACTTCCGCGTTTTTGAACTCTTTGGTGGAGGGATCGTCGCCTGGAAGTCTGAAGTGTGGCAGTAATTTGAATCTGAGCACATCCTGCAGGTCCCATTTCGCCTCGTTTTTATCGCGGCCATCCGACCTGTTTGCAAGAAAGTTGCGACCCCAGTCCTTGCTGTATCCTCGGGCCATAATCCCCGTCGTATGGTCCGCGCCAAATGCATGGCCGACTTCGTGCAAAAAGGCACCTTGTCCGACAAAACAGGCATTGCGCATAGTATCGCATTCGCCGTTGTCATTGCCTACCGTATCCCCAGTTGGCCTAACGTCCGTCAGACAAGCGGGAATTTCTTCCATGAAACGTGGCCAGGAGTAGGCCAGATGACTGCCAAATATTCCCAAAGAAATTCCATCTGGTTTATGGCAGCCTAGTGCCGCGTGGCCGAGAATGAGGGATTGGTCGGTATCATAATGCGAATCTAACATCATACCCGCGACCACTGGACGGCAGCTCGAATCGAATGGTGGACCATGAGCCTTGAGCGCCGCCTCGAAGTATTCGTGCAACGCATCTCTCCTACTTCCGTGATGATTTTGTTGCGCAACGTTGGAATCTCGAAGCTGTGCTACCGTCCTTTCTGATTTGACGATATGCACTTTGGCAACAGAGCCCATATGAGTAGATGACGGTGCATGCGCATATTGATGGGTCATTTGCAAGTTAGTGTTTGGAGCCCATTCCTCATCGAGCCTGAACGAGCGTCTTCCAAGCCCTTTCTGGCGCATGTCTTCTGCCGTTAGTGCCTGCCACATGTATGCTGACAGGCGAAGCTTGGAAATTGCAGCTTCAATGCTGCTGTGTGCAGTTGATATGCCGCCGTACTTGGATGATGGGCAATCCATCAACAGCGGCGAGTCTTTTGCGACTAGAATGGCGAGATGAAGAGGTGGAAGCTGCAGAAGTGGTTGGTACGTGACTTTGAGTTCGATAGTATCCGTAACTGCGCCGACATGATGAAGATTGAAAATGAGTTTATTTTCTCCTGGCGAAAGCATAACTAGGGCTTTCCATTTCCCTTGAGCGACAGGCCAGTTCTGGGTATGTGATGTTTGGGTCACATCGTCCGAAGAGGAGATAGTAATGAAGTTTGTCTCTTCAGCATAGTCGAAGTTTGGGCATTTGCCACTGACAATAGTACATGCTTGGTGAATAACTTCGCTGTCATTTAGATTTGTGATTGTCAATTTGGACATGTTGATAGGATCGGGCTTGATACGACGTGTCGTTGGCGTAGGACTAATGGCGCGCTTTGTCATTGTAGTTTACAAGTCTGCTATTGTGTAGGAATTAAATAAGAAAAATATCCAATGCAAGAATACACGAAATATTAATAGCAATCAATTGATGATTCTTTATAGTCCGCATAGGAGGAAATTCCTGTCGATTCTTATATGAAAAAGATGGCAGAATTGCCTTCTGTTTAGGGTTAGGACAGCTCAGGCAACCGGCTGCTGCCTGAGACTGTGGCTAAAAGTCCGGATACATCCGACCAACGGGAGCATTCCAGAATAAAATGTGCAATATCTACTAACTAATAACTAGGGGTTATATGCATATATTTAGGGGGGCAGTGCGCCAAAATTTCCATAGTGCTTGCTTTGACATCCTGGCGGCTCCTTGTGTGCTTGTTGGTTTGTAGTCACCTGATCATGGTCATGTGCTTAATACTCAACTTGTAGTTATCTAGAGATATGTAGAATCGATCTGAATGTTGGCGCTAATTACAACTCCCAGTAATTGCCATTTAATATCAATATACATATATCTATGTAATTGAATATAACTATTTCAGTCAGATAGGAGGCCCTTGCCAGTCGAGTCCGTGGTGATGGGCGGGTGAAGTTTCCTATTCGGGAAAGCTGGGCTCGCTAGGGCTTTCCTAGGCAGCTGACCATGGTAGTATTGATGTAAGGCAGCTACATATGAATTGATGGTCTTCCAGGCTGTTGATATTTATCGTAGTTCTAACACTCTGTTGGATACTGATTAGAGGTTCTACAGCGCAATTGTGCGACTTAGCTTGCAGTATGCGGAGCTACTTAAGAAGAAGAGACAAGCAGCTTCAATACATATACTCATGTCAGATCATTCGGGCACGGATAGTACATATTTTTCCTTGGAGCTACCGCCCTAAAGGATTCTGCAAGGAGATGAGTACTCGAATAATCAATTTGAAATTTGATGATGCTTGCAGGTGTTTTACAACTAGAATACAACTCCAGTTGCCTCAATAAATTTGCTTAAAGCAATGTAAAAGGACCAGGTCGAGAAGGCAGAGGGTTATAGTCTCTGGTGGAGTTAGTAGCTCGGGCCTGGTGGAGGAACAGCATGTTGCACGGATCGATAGACATCATGTGGTCAGCACTGCTCCCTATAAGATCACCACTACTAATATCATTTGTCCAAGTGGCACCGCCGCCGTTGGCCTTGCCAGCGAAGGGCGCTGCCTTGCTCGTAACCTGTGCTGTCCACGAGCCGTCCAGACTAGTCGCCGTGAATGAGCGGAAATACTCCCATTCTCTCCAATTGCCTCGACAATCATCAGATACTGATTCTAACCTTAGACGGAGTAGACCTGAATGGCTTCAAATAGATTAACTGCCGAGTTGCTCAGAATTACAGTATCTGATGCTCCGAAGTTGCCAGCGAAGCCATCTATAGCTATACCGCCCGGTAGATATTGCTATTGTCTCCTGCAAAGAATAGGTACATGGTTGTGTCATCGCTAACAAGTGTTGAATCGATAGGACCGGTGCCAGAGAGACTCCCGGTGAAAAGGGACTACAGCGATGATCATCCAGCTGCATTAGTGGGATCACTTGACGTCATGTATGAGAATGGGCCAACACCTCGTTCATAGGCAAGGATCCATATGCGCTTCGGAGCAAAGTAGAAAAGCCAAGGCCCAACGGCTCCTATCGTCATCGTGTCCTAAATCACAGAGGCTATTCCAGACCAGTCAGTAAAAAGGCCGAAACCTAAGAGCCATAATCTCCTGCGGTATACAGGATGTTGACCTTTGTACGGAAGGTGACCGAAGACTTTGACGGAGACAAACCCTGAATGCATCTTACTATATGGGGATTAGACTAACATCTCTGGTAAATTAGGTACTTGATCGGCAACAATTGAGTGTGTAATTGTTGTTGGTAATCAACTGGCCTAACACGAACGGATAAAACATATCTCTCTGAAACAAGGCACCCTATAGTATTAAGGCTTTATTGATACCAATTGACCAATCCATTTCAAATGAGAATGAATTTATGAAAACCTGGAAAACGTTAATAATTTATAGCTTAGACTGAGACTGCCTAAGAAAAATTATCTTGTCTAACTCCCCAATAACTGTAAGGCATTTAACGGTATGTACATTGCTGAAGAAATGGAAAGAGAATAAGTGGTCAAAAATCATTGAAAAAGGAACGAAACTTAGATTATTGTATTGTGTTACAAAGTGTATGTATTATGGCATGTTGTGGTGATTTTAAGCACCGCGAAATGAGGCTGAAAGATGTTAGAATATGGCACCGCTCCACCGCAGTATTGCCGAATAGGGCTTGGGGGTAGGGTTCGGGGGTACTCACAAATTACATTTGACTTATATAACTTACATTTGGAGGATTCAAAAACTCTTGTAGAATTAAACACTTGTCCTAAATATAGAAAATAGAAAGGCGGCGATAAATTAATACTCTCGAGGTTAAAGGGTCTCACATTTTTGATTCCAATGTTATCACGAGTACTATCTTAAAAAATAAGAGAATCATGTGGCGTGCAAATTCAAGAAATAAATCGCTAGTGAATGACATGTTAATAGATGTATTGAATGCCACATAACTCGTACCCGACTTCTGTATGTCGCGACGCACATCGCCCCATTCATCGAGAGTTCAAAATGTTCAATGTTAACATGTTGCAACGAAATCATTCCTAAACTATGCTGTTTAGAACAATATATACGACCTCAATCTTGCTTGGGTAGCCTGCAGGGCAATCTAGGGGCAAGTCATCCTCATTGAAGAGGTACTTCGTGTAGGTCATGTTAGCAAAACAGACTTTTAACTTCAGAAAAGGGTTTTATTGTGAAACCTTGGTGGGATCAACTGACGTATCACATGGTGAATGACGCACGGGACGGGGCGTAGCGATGCGGCCTCCGCCAGCACCAAGTCTTATTATTGCATGGCTTGCGCAATGATTTCGTCTGACAGTGCTGATAGGACCGAGTGATGAGAAATATCCGCCCTGTGCCTCATTGGTCTGACTCTACACTGCCAATTGGCTGCATCAGAGCGAGCAATTGACACTAGTAATCTAGCTGCATACCGGCTTCAACGGTCTCGGGGCCTACAACAAACCCAGTTAGCGGAAATCTGCAGCCCTCCACGCTTACAACGCAGGTGATAATTCTAGGCCTATTCTGCACGCTTGCTATGAAATAATTCTGGGACCTGATTGGCATGTGGATACAGATCTCAGCTGCAAGAGTCATTGCGTTTTAATGGCGGTGTACGGAGTAACTAAAAAATCAGTGAAGCTGCGAATCGACGACACCCCGCTTTGAGGTAATAGTAGTAGTATGTGACGACGGCTGTATCGTTGCACTAATGGTTCTAGTGGGGGATAGGCATTGGGCCAAGCCAACTCTTTAATTCATAACGGTCGCACTATTTTTTTCAAATGCCGTTTTTCAGTCCCAACATTTTACTTCCATCAAGTGTAAAGTCATGCCGGGTCCGGAGCCTACGACGAATATAGTCGATGTAACGAGTCACACTCCTCTCTTACCTAGCAACGACACACAGCAGGCGTATGGAACTGAAAATGGAGGAGCCGACGAGCTGGCCGTGTCCGACTGCTCGGACGTAGAGCTGTACGATCATTTAAGAAAGATTCCGGATTCTCTACCGCTCACAGTCTGGCTTATTGCTACAATTGAGTTATGCGAAAAGTTTGCTTATTTCGGTACTACGGCACCACTGCAAAATTATATTCAGAACTCTCGGGACGATCCTCTGCGTCCGGGTGGACTTGGTACGCGCGTCGCGATTGCGAAATCGCCTCAAACCCGTAAATTGAACTGTATTGCTAATTCGAATAGGCCTTGGGCAAGCCAAGGCTACAATAGTGAATCTAGGTTTCATGATGTGGTGTTTTGTGACCCCATTAATAGGCGCTGCTATTTCCGAGCAGTATCTTGGAAGGGTGAAAACTATTATTTTCTCGTCGATATTCTATATCTGTGGTTCGGTAGTGTTGGTCTTTTCCTCAATTCCACTGGTTCAGGATATCGGACTGTCCTTTGCGGCTCTGATTCTGTCTCTGTTTTTGATTGGAATCGGCGCGGGTGGCATCAGGGCCAATGTTGTTACGCTAGTTGCAGAGCAATATACCAGCCCGAAGGAAAAAATCCGCGTTTTGGACTCGGGAGAAAAGGTCATCATAGATGAGAAACTCACTCTTCAAAGGTGCATTGCCTGTCTAACTGTTTTAGCCTATGGTGTATGTCTAAGAGCTGACGTTTATGGACAGAATTGTTACAACATTCTTCATATACGTAAATATAGGTTCTTTTTCGTCCTTGGCTACTACGGCAATTGAGAAATATCACGGGTTTACTGCAGCTTTTGCGCTACCACTGTTGGTCTTTCTCATCGGATTTGCTATCATGATGGCAAGTAAAGACCGCTACGTGAGCCATCCGCCAGATAATTCTATACTGTTCAATGCTGGACGTGTACTATGGATTGCTCTGAAAAACAGATGCAATCTCGACAGTGCACGACCATCTTACCGAGCTGAAGAAGAACTAGTCGAAATTCTTCCATGGGATGACTCATTTATTGACGATTTAAAGAATACTATAGTATCATCCAGAGTGTTTCTCCTATTCCCCTTCTTCTGGGCGACCTATTCCCAGTGTTTAACCAATTTTGTTTCCCAGGCTGGCACCATGGAAACTCACGGAATTCCAAACGATTTAATTTCAATAATCGATAATATCTCGGTACTAATCCTACTTCCCACCTGCGACCGTGTCGTCTTGCCTCTGCTTCGCAGAATGGGAGCGCCGTTACGGACAATAGATAGAATTCAAGTTGGCTTTATGCTATGCGGAATTGCAATGCTATATACGGCATTTGTTCAGCGCAGGATATATTCATCCCCGCCTTGTTACGACCACCCCCGAGCACTCGACTGTCTCGATGGGAGAGTCCCAAATCGGATTTCAGTATTTTACCAGGCTCCGTCGTACGTACTTATTGCCGCTTCTGAAGTCTTCGCAGCGGTGGCAGGCAACGAGTACGCGTTCGCAACGGCCCCAAAGTCTATGAAGTCGCTGGTGATGGCTATTTATCTGTCGTCAGTATCCGTGGGAGCTTTACTAGCTATGACTGTTTCGCCGCTCACGGTTGACCCAAAGTTGCCATGGATGTATCTCACTCTTGGGGTTGGGACTATTATTTCCGGTAGCTGCTTCCATTTTGTCCGTGCGGGAGGGATATAACTGGCATATAACTATTTCGGGAATTGTACATATATCAGTTACTATATAGACAAGTCGATGAGCGTTACTCTGGCATACAGGTCAAAACTAGCTATATATCTGCTGGAGCATTTATGAGTGAGTCTACGGTTGTAGCATATGCTGCGAGATTCTTACCATGACAACAACAATAAGAGTAAAAATAAAATAAACAACAATTGAAACTCGAATAAGGCTCGGAAATTAAGTTTTTGCATGCACCCCATTATTTCTGTTTTCGGCAAGGTTTTCGACGGGAGCGCCACCGCCCCACCACAAGCAGCATCATCGATGGCTTTCGGCTTCAAAAAGCTCTTAAATGCGAGGAAATAGCATTAATGATTATTTTGGAGGTTCCAGGAATTTTCTGGCTCGCAGGTAGCCGGGGAATTCCGCCGGGGATATCATTTGCCGGGAGCGATCAAACGCTGATGGTGCTGCTCATTTGCCCATGTAAGACCACGCTTCCTCGCAGCCTCCTGGCATATATAAAGTAGTTCTGAAGAACGCTGAATTCAAAGGTGCATTGGAATCAATACTATCACCTCCACCACCTAGACCGGCTTTTTCATCAATTTTCTTCGTAATAGGCACTCCTGCGACCTCACCGCTAAGGAGTCGCATCTATTTCTGGAATACGACTATGGCTCCCACCAACCAAGCCGCGTGGATTACGGAGAAAGGCGGCAAACCTTTAGTAGTCAAGTCCGCGCCCTATCCATCCCCGGAGGCCAACCAAATTGTCATCAAGAATGCCGCTGTTGCCATCAATCCGATGGACTGGATGCTCCAGCTTGTAGGCTTTTTGGCTTTCAGCTGGCTGAAATATCCAAACATCTTTGGAGCAGACATGGCTGGAGAAGTTGTCGAAGTGGGCAGTGGCGTGAAACGATTTGCAGTGGGTGATCGCGTTCTGGCATTGGGTGTTGGTGGTGACCCAGACACAAACAGTTCTGCTCAAAGCACTTTTCAAAATTACACAATTGCTCGCGACAACTTGGCGTCACAGATACCCGACGATATGTCCTTTGATAAAGCTGTTGTTCTGCCGTTAGGATTAGCTACTGCTGCGTCGGGACTGTTCCAGGAGGATTTCCTCAATCTACAGTGGCCTACGATCCCTCCTCAAAAGTCAACTGGCAAAACCCTTTTGGTTTGGGGTGGCTCAACGAGCGTTGGAAGCAATGCCGTTCAGCTCGCTGCAGCAGCTGGGTATGAAGTCTTCTCGACCTCATCACCACGGAACTTTGAATATGTCAAGAAACTAGGTGCTAGCTATGTGTTTGACTATAATTCCAAAACTATCGCCAAAGACCTTGTTACTGCTTTGAAGGGCAAGCAAATGGCAGGCGCGTTGGCTGTAGGGCCGAATTCTCTGCCGTTTTGTATCGACATTCTCAGCAAAACAGAAGGGGTTAAATTTGTTACCGAGATTGGAGGACTTACCCTGCCACCAGATAGAGATGTGACCGGCCTGACACTGGTTTCGCTTATTTTAGGCACCTTGTGGACTAATATATCTCTACGATTTAAAAGGGCGATGACCGGTGTGCAAAGCAAATTTGTTTGGGGTAGCGATTTGAAGAAGACCGACCTGGGAAAAGCTATCTTTGAGAACTTTCTTCCCAAGGCTTTGGCTGAGCACAAGTACATTGCCGCTCCCGAGCCTCAAATTGTTGGCCACGGTCTTGAGTATATTCAGGACGCTATGAATCAGCAGAGGAAAGGTGTTTCGGCCAAGAAACTTGTAGTTACACTGTGAGCGGTTTGCCCAGGAGGTTATCAGTGCGCATTTCATTTCTTATTATTCTGTCGATATCATAGTATAGAACTGTCTTTATTTAATAACAACATATGAAAATAATCAAGAACATGTGTATAGTTGATGAGGAATATCAATTGATATTTACATACAGATATATAGATATTTGTATACAATATTGGAGATGGAGCTATGCCAGATTAGTAATATGGGGTATGGCGGGGTTCCCTCCGAATATTTGAATGTCCATGTTCCTCTTTGTTTCTTCTCTGCTTCCTGCTCTAGCTGCAACGACACTCGTGTTGTCAACTCACCAAGAGCTCGACACAGAGGACTGCATTCACTATGGCAACCAGCTTGGACTTTGTCTTTGACCCGGCCGTCATCACCCCCGAGATCAAGTCGCTTTATCCTGCGGGGTACACCATCCGCCCTCTTGCGCGCGACGACTATCACCGCGGCTTCTTCCAATGCTTACAAGACCTCACCGCGACGGGCGATATTACTGAGGCACAGTACCTCGATCGCTTTGACTGGCACAAAAACCATGGGCGGGGCTGGTACTACTGCGTTGTGATAGTGGATGCGACCGACCGGATTGTTGGCACCGGGGCTATGGTTGTCGAGAAGAAATTGTTCGTCTTGTTTACCCGGCTCAACGAGTATTTCTAACACTTATTTTGTATAGTATTCACAATCTCGGGATCATCGGCCACATCGAAGACATCACTATCGCGAAGGACCACCAGGGTAAACACTTCGGGCAGAAGCTGATCAACACATTGGATGGTATTGCTGTGAACGTGGGCTGCTACAAGACGATCCTCGACTGCGCGGCGCGAAATGAGGGTTTCTATGCTAAATGTGGCTACGAAAAGGCAGGCACAGAAATGTCGCATTATTATGAGGAATTCAAGAGCGACTACGAGCGTGGTTAGAACGGGAGAAATAGACGTCGACCGGATATGATAGATTTCATAAATTATGTTTTTATGGCCGGCCATCTCTATCTAGCTGTTGTTTGCCAATGACGACTTTTTGCACTGTCGCAGCATTTGTTGCCAGTCGGCGCCAGTCCTGCGGTGTGGCTGGACCTGCATGAGCTGTGGAACGCATCTCTGAGTCTTGTACGACAGGGTTTCTAGTGCGCCCTTCTATACCCAATATAATGCATTCAATACAAATATTTATTATCGCTGTCTGGTGTTGTCTGCTGAGAAATATGCGGGGAAATTGGCGATTGTTCCCGGCCGCATGAGAAATTCTCCGAATGGCATCGTGCAGCACCTTCTCCTCTTAGACAAGCCATGTAAACAAAGAACTGACTAAAGAATCCCCGCACTTCGACTGAATCATCTTTTTCTGTAGCTAGCGGGAAGAAGAACGCGGCGGCTTCGGCAGATGCACTAATCACAGAAACCGAAACGATCTCTCTCTCCACCTCGGCGAGAATGGCGTTATTCCGGCCTCCACAGCGATTTTCGATTTCGCTCTTCATCAGCTTAATGAAATTGCCAAATTCCAACTGAGAAGACTCGCTCTCATCTCACCAATGAAGCGGAGATGGCAAAGCAGACTGAAATGAGAACTGATATAGTAAAGAATTCTCCAGCTTCCCACGATGCCCTCGCTAGCGTTGAGAATGCTGCCCCCAGTGAAAAGCCTCCGGTTGACAACAGCAACCTCGAAAGCTGGCTAACTGTGGTTGCTGGATTTTGTGTCTTTGTCAATTCATGGTAGGAAAAATTTCCTCTAGCTTCTTGTGATTGCCTCTAAGCACGACAATAGGGGCCTTCTAAGCACATACGGCGCTTTTCAAGAGTACTACCAGACCGTTCTGTTGCCAACAGTCTCTCCATCGGTTCTATCATGGGTCGGCAGCGCACAGGCGACATTTATTGTCCTGATTGGCATTGTCACCGGCCCACTAGTCGATGCAGGATATGTGCGGCCGCTGATGATTATTGGTTGCTTCTTGACCGTATTTGGGATGATGATGACTAGTCTCGCAACAAGCTATTACCAAGTAGGTTTACTGATCTTCCATTAATGTGTAATTTGTAGATTATAAAAATGTCTCATGAGAGAATATAGGTTCTTCTAGCTCAGGGCTTCTGTGCCGGTATTGGCGGCGGTATCGCCTACATACCTTCTTTAGCTGTGATATCTTCAAATTTCAGCGCCGCCAAACGACCTATCGCAATCGGCCTGGCATCTATTGGTTCCAGCATTGGGAGCGTTGTATATCCCATTCTCTTCCGTCGTTTACAGCCCCAGATTGGATTTCCCTGGACGGTCCGCATCATTGCATTCATCACATTTGGCTTATCCTTGATCATTTGCGCCGTCCTCTGCCGTCACCCAGGACATGCAGCGCCAACTAGACGCAGTCTCATTGACCGTAGAGCAATTTTGGAACCGACATTCATGTTATATTCAGTCAGCCTGACTTGCATTATGCTTGCATACTATATCCCTATATTTTATGTCCCCACCTACGCTCGCACCTCAAGTCTACACACCTCCAAAGATCTATCCTTCTACATGCTTGCCATTGTCAACGGTGCTTCCACATTTGGCAGAACAATGCCATACCTGCTCCTTGGTATATCTACCAGCGGCAGCAAAAGCTCCGATAAAAATGCGAGCAACAAACTAGTCAAACCAATATACATACTCGTATTCTCAACAGTGGGCTCCGCATTAGCCATGTTCACGTGGCTAGCCGTTAAAAACACTGCTGGTTTTATAGTTTGGCTGTGCTACTGGGGTTTCCTTACCGGTATCCTAGTCACTGCTCCGACAAGCATCATTGCCCATCCAATTCTCTGTCCGGATATGAATTTCATTGGGACTAGATTAGGCATGATGTGGGGGATTAGTTCTTTCGGGGGACTAGCAGGCACTCCCATTGCTGGTGCTCTCGTTGATCTCGAGACAGGTGAATTTTGGAAGGCCCAAGTTTTTGGTGGTTGTATGATGGTGGTCGCTGCACTGTTGCAGGCCTGGCCTACTTTTAGGATTGTGAGATACGATAGAAGGGCGATGGTCTAGTGCGAGAGCACACATTGATTATTCAATGTCTTTGAGGGTTGTTTAATGACTTTCTGCTATTTAATTTAGAGTATCTGGACACCTATACAATAGACCCGACACTAAAATTTGCCGGTCATATTCGAGGTTGACTGGGTAGTTACCGAATTTCTTATGACGGGACACTCGAAGCTGGAACCCAGTATAGTGAACTGGGCAATCAATGGAAGTGACATTTCGTCCGAACCTTTATAAGGAAAGTAAGCAACGTCTCGAAAGTCTTCAAATGATTGGCTCAAAAGAAAAGTCCCTGCTTTCTTAAGACAATGTGTGTGAATCTTTAGATCGAACATCCTCTCCTTTTATAGTTCATCCTAGCGTTGACCATTCAATTCTTAAAAAAATGAAAATAGAATAAATATCTGTTCGGATTTGAAAAAAAAAAATTTAGAAAATAGCTATCTGGTACAGACGGTGGAAACTATGACTATGGCCTTCGCTTATCGGACCTAGAAAAAATCACTGTGAGTTTCGAAGACGTAGCCAAGCTCGGACTTCATCCATTTCCTGTTGAACTACCTTCCTAGCTTCCCTATCCCCAGTGTTATCCAACACTTTCCTTGTGGCCAGTCTTTTGGCAACTTCGTTGGCGTCAAACAACGTAACAAGCTTTCTTATCTTGCTGTTGCCATCATTTTGAGCCCGAGAGCAACAAATGCGGTATACAGCCTCAATCTGAGAATGTTGCTTCTTATGCTCTCCATTGTTCTCAACAAAAGTTTCGGGCTCTCGAGAAACAATGTCTGAATTACTTTGTTCTTGGTGAAAACCCCAGGCATATCTGCTTTCCGAATCAAACCTCTCTGGAGGATTCGAGGTAGCTTCAGAAATCCACGCGACCTCCGCAAGTTCACATGGAGTACAACCAGTTGAATTCTCACGATGAAGCAGATCCGGGCGATGATCAAGCAGAATTTGAAGACTCTCAGTTAGTCCACACCGCACTGCATCATGAACCACAGTATTTCCAGCACCATTAAGTACCTCGAGATGTTTTTGGCCTGTCCTCTCTGCAAACTCAAGAATCTTCCGGAGAGTGCTGATTACAAATTTGGGTTCTTGATTCTGAAAACGTCTCACCCGCAACGTATGAGTGTCTTGGGGTGACCAATGAATTCCCATCCACAAGGCAAGAGGCGTCAATGAACCCGGCACCACAGAACAGCGTTCGATTAGCATTGATGACAAAAGTAAGGGATCCACGAGATCCAGCATATTCTGAAAATTATCCAGGTCCTTTTGTGAGGCTATGACCAAATTTTGGAATAGAAGGTGGAGAAGATTGCGTCCAGATTTATCTCGAGTAGTCTGATCAGCGCCCGCATTAATAAGTATCTTAGCGAATTCAACCTTTCCTTGACTGAATGCGAGTGCCAATGGGGTGTACCCATCCAAAGATTTAACTAAAAGATACTGTGGGAAATAATTCACCAAATATTCGACCAGTCGTATCGATTCAGGTCTTTCTTTTGACATGACAGCACAATGAAGGGTAAGATCGCCTGCGACATTCATTAGCATTAGAAAGTTAGCAAGATTGAATACGGAATCTTACGTCTTGCGCTAAGCCACGTTTCTATAGAAAGCTCGATTCCACCCTTTGCCTGTGCAAGTCCTTTCAGACGTTTGTCATGCTTGTATCTCTTGGCGAATTCTGCATAATATCGGCTAGGAGCTGTTCCAAGGAACCACTCAACAGTTTCTAGGTTACCCTCATGAGCAGCCAACAGCAATGGTGGATGTCGATCTTTTGGTTGCATAACTCGGATACCTCCACCTGCAGCAGCCCAGTCTGCGCGTTTTTCTCCATGGACAGATAGACCTTGGTAGAACTTTGGCTTTTCCTTGATGCCCGTGCCACTCTTTTCAACAAGCTTATCAAGCGGAAGACCGGTTCCAGTACATCTAATAAGTTCCTTCAAACAGTTGAGACGACCAAGCCTCATTGCCATCTGAAATGCGCTCTCCGATACGCAGGACATCAGGCTATCTAGGTCGTCGGACGATTTGGAAGACAAATCTTTTCCAAGATCTAGAAGAAACTTCAATAGTTCCAGGTCATCCTTGCAGATTGCATACTCGATGAGACCTCTAGGATCCTCTGTGCCGAGTATCTGGCTTTTGAGAAATGAACCTGTTGCACATTGCTTGCGAAATATATCCAATGGCGAGATGCTAGTTTCAACTTCAGTTTTGATTTCACCCACATTATCGATAGTAAACTGATCATCGATTATATGATGCTTAATTCGTATGTCATTAGAAGCATCATCGTCGGTTTGTTCATTCTCCGAATCGTAATCGGAACATTCATCGTCAGAAGTTCGTAAATCGTACTTCTTTTCTCTTTCATCTTTCTGCGGCTTGTACTGAGCTTGTGCAATAGCTAGAATGGGCTCTGTAATACGGAAATGTCCTCGTAGAATTGCAATCGTGAATGGAGAAAGATCGTTTGTGTCAGTTATACCAATTTCTAAAGGTGGCCATTGTTTCTCCGGCCCCCACATCCCAATAGTCATTTCTTTGATACTGTCCAGATTTCCGTCCCATGCAGCTTCAAATCTAGTTTATGTCAATAATCTGGGGATCATTCCTGTTTCTTAGACTCAAGATAGGGAACTTACAGTTTGATATAACGATATCTCTTAACTGGAGTTAGATCGGGGATGTTGAATGAGAAGCTGGTTTTGAAAGGGCCAGGGATTGGAGACTGATAGGGGTTATGCGGGTTTTTCGTTTGCAAAGGCTGTTCCGGATAGAGTTCGACAAATTTCTTCGCACCCTTTCTTATCAACACCGCTTCAATATTTTCGAATTCAGTGATGAGTGCTGCCACTGCAGCTTTCTTTTCTTCCAAACCTTTTCGATTTTTTGGGTTCTTTGGGTCTTGGTCGTAGAGATCCTTGTCGCGCTTATATATTTCTCTTTGTTTTGCTAAGGCCTTTCTTGCGCTCCACATTTGATATGTACCCTCCTTGAGACCATTTAAGTATGAACTATCATCTAGCTCCAGGGGATGTGGTAGGTTTCTTTGGATGGGCTCCGCCTTGTACCCACGAAGAGTGTCCAATTTATCTCGAACGCAGTCCAGCAAAGACGTTGCATTCCCTATGGAGTAGCGAGATTTAAGAACACTATGTCCGTCCTTGCTAAGTGTGTTTGGATCGACGCCACGATTCAATAGCTCAAGAACAATAACTGGCTCCTCTCTATACACAGCAGAGATCACAGGCTGATTGACATTGCTTAAGAAATGGGTTTCGTTGTTTTCTGATGACTGATGACGCAAATTCTCCCTTATTGACTGAGCCGATTTTATGTAATCTTCAAATCGAATTTCTGGGATTGCTTCGGAGTTCAAGAGCTTCAATGCGCCGATAACATTCTTTTCTTTGATCGCAACCGTCAAAGCAGAGTCTATTGTAGGTGAATATGCATAGCCAGTGACAGAAACGCAATCCAAAGCTCTTTGAACAGCAGGACGGTCGTGTTTCACGAAAATATCCCAAATTTCACTATATTCCTCAAATGCCGAGACATAGTGTAAAGCGGTCTTTTGCTTCAAATCTCCTTGGGCCGGGGATGCACCCAGCTGCAGAAGTTTCTCAGTCATCAACTTAGCTTGGTCAATAGGCAATCTTAGAGCCAGAACCAATGTGAGAATGGCGGCTCGTGGAGTATGATCATAATCATGTAATAACTTTATTGGTAAAAGCACGTCAGCCCCAAAAGATGAGACTAGCTCTTCGACGGCAGCGATATGGCCATTGATAATAGCGAGATGCAGCGGGGATGCACGGCTATCCCACGCTAGAACGTTAATGTCATAAATGTCAGGCTCAAGATCATTCGCGTCGTCCGGCATTCCGTCGGTTTTGGCGTTTTCTGCATTCTTTTTGACATTTACAAATGAGCCCGTGGCATATGAGGTATCATCCGCATGAGAATCATCAGAAGCATTGCTAGCAATCTCCGCATCACTGACATCACTGTCTTCATCGCCGTCGCGGTCGATATCTTCGTTACTGTGATCCGAATTCTCATTTTTAGTCTCATGCACACGGATTCCATTTATGCGGGATTCCTTCTTCGCCTCTTCTTCCTCGTTTTCTGCACTCTTGGTGAGAAGTATTCTTATGATCTCAACATCGCCTCTGCCCGCGGCCAGATGCAGAGCAGTCCTTCCATCTGCGAGACGGGAAATTAATCTAGCCCCATGATCTACCAGACATTGAACAATTTCCGGAGTAGAGCTCATGACTGCCAAATGAAGTGGGGCACGTCCAGTGTAATCACGACGGTTTGGATCCGATTCTTCGTGCGACAGCCACTCCCGCACGCGATCAATGTCCTGGTCAATAATAGCCTGGCAAAAGCTCTCTGTGTTTCCCACATATGCCATTTCTATTATTCACAAAGTGATTTAGTTTTTGGACCAACGCAATATGAGGTCCAATGACACTAACCTGTCCAATCGGTGTCAGTGATAGGATTGAAACTACCAATCTCCTGACGCCCGGGGTTGTCCTTGAGAAAGAATAAGTCTCCTTTGACATATATTTTGTCTTCCTCCTCTGCCACGTCTTTTTCTTCTTGAGTGGCAGTCGTAGGGCAATAACCGCAACAATCATGAATCACATCTTCAAAATGGCCAAAGAATGCCGGATGCCTATGCAAATTGACTGTCCTGTCTTTTGGTTTATTCCATTCGGCATTCAGGAGCAAATCTTTGGTATAAAGCAACTTTTCAATTTTCCGAGCATGGAACTTTACACCGTATGGAATTGTCTAAGCCGTGTCAGTAGCTACTGGGATGAGGAGACTTGGAGAGTTGGGAGTGCTTTACAAAAGTGTGATAATCCGACACTTCATCTTCTTCCAGCCAGTCTGGAACTTCGTCATCCCAGTCATTCTTGATATTTCCGTTGAGCTTACTAGACCTTCGTGCATGCATGTTAGCGGGGGGCCTACCGCGTTCGGCCCGCCTCTGACTCAAATATTGGTCTCGATCGACTGGCCGAGGAAGCTTTTCAAGAACTAGAAGCCTTGCGAGACCCTTGGTACGAGTAAAACTTCGCTCGAAAACCGTCTAACAGCTGTTAGTATCCCATGTAAGAGTGCTAGTAATAATGAACTTACAGGATCAATACGCGAGCGATCCAGATGTGGCCAGAATATTTCGAAGCCTCTGTGAGAATACTTTGAAAGTCGATTCTCATATGACGGTGATCTTCTGGTCAGATCGATTTGATTTACTTGAGTCACAAAGGCCCCGACTGCCCGGGGAGCCAGATATACTTGATGACCATCATAAGCTGCACATGAGCAATCGACATCAAAGCCAGTCAGGATCTCGGCAATAGACTTGTAAATGCGGAGCACAATTTGGACATGGCGTGTCGGATACTGTGACGCAATAGTGATGGCGTTTTTAGTCCTAACAGTGGTTGTCTCTGTCAAAATTGAATCTTTTATCTTGGTCTCAATTTGTTTAATCTTCTCAATGGCTTGCTCTTCGGTCAATCCGTACAGGAAGAGATCAACATCAGATGCTGGGGTAAATTTCTCGTGATAGAACTGCCGAAGTCCACGCTTCGAATGCGCATATTCTTTTGGAACAGGTAGGAGGGATGTTATCACGGCACTGCCCGCAGCTACAACATTACTCCAATCCAGATCTGCCAATGAGCCTTCGCAGAAGATATTGAAATTCTTTTGGAATTCCTTGAAAGTAGTCACAACCGCTGGCGAGCCATTTGCCCTGCGATCCTCGTGCTTCAGAGACATGAGATACTTTGATTGCACCTCTTCTGACTCAGAGCTCGGGTCACGAGCTCGAATCTGGACATTTGCCGATCCATTGTCATCAAAGAGTGGGACAATATTGGCGAGGTTTTCTGCAGCGGCCGGGTGGGATGGCTGTTGCGCGTAGATCTTGCGCAGGACCGCATCATACTGGTTATATGGCTTGACAAGATCGACGACTGGTGTGCTATTGTTTGCCTGGAAATAACGAAGGAATTCGGAATGCTTGGCAGGAACCGGCGGGAGGGTGTATTCGGCTTCCATGGCCCTGGTCCTAGTTGATGAATAGAGGAAGAATATTGACCACTAAGTAGTAGGTAATGAATGATGCAATTGAGGGCGAGTTGGTGCTATTGCAGCTCCGTACAAGAAAGAAGCTGCGATAACCATGGCTAATTTATACTTTGGGAAGGTGCGACTGCGCCATGTGCACCAGAGGCAGCAAGAGGCAGCAGATGCTGAAGCCCCACTCTTTTCAGGCAACGGACCCGCAACTTTATTGAGTTGTGGCCAATCGCCAGAGCTGTTGTCCTGGCCTAAATCCAAAAAGGTGAGGCTCTTAAGCACGGACCACTGCAGCCTGCTTGGGTTTGGGAGTAAACGATTTTGCTCATTCTGATTGGCCAAGTTCGAGGCTGCAGAGCGCCACGGTCGCCAAAATCAGCTCAATTCCACAGTCCTCCATACAGTAAGTACGCTGTCGCGAGGAGCTTCAAGCTTGTGCCATATGGGTTAATTGTGCAAACATCGCAATTCTCGCCTTCGGGCTTTTAATATTACTGCCTGAGATCTACCAGTAGATTGTAGTTGATTGGTGAGTTAATCGAATAAATTTATATGGTGTTATGTTTGTTCAAATCTCAGTGCATTTCCTACTTGATATGTACCCGACATGACCCTGTACAGGTGGCCAACTTATCTGCATACATTCATTGATCCTGCTTAAGATACTTTGCTGTACCGGATTTGATCATAGTAGTTTCTTTTGGTATGTCGAAGAAGTCGAGTGTTCTCGGCCATGGTGAAAGGAAAGTTCCTCCAATCCTCACGCACTAGCAAAGTATCTTTGTTTTTGATAAAAATTTAATTTAATAATCTCATCTGTTCTATCGTGTCGCCGGCTCCGTCGGATATTGCCTGCCCATTGGCCAAGGATCGTTTAGACGGTTTCGTAAAGCGAGACCCGCTGCGACGCTGTTATTGGCTGCGAAGTAATTACTCAGCTGACGGGCAAGAAAGGGCCACTTCACATCTCCCTCAGCCGGAGCACGCAACGAGCTGTCACGTACCATGATTGCTCAGAATTACTGTTCCGATCGAGCAGCAATTCTATACGGACATTGCGGCCGCAGCCGGTGAAACGGCGTTGAACCCATCGTGCCGTTCATCTGAAACTTGGAGTGCCGCTGCTTGCCGGGACGGACCGCAACCTCTGAACAACAAAGAGCCGAAGAAGACTCGGGAACTATTTCCATTGCTTTATGCTTCACAGAGATCGGATATCATAAAAAAAAGTAGGACGCAATGCAAGCGACGGTGCCTGCCAAGGCCGACGAACCGGACGATCATCTGGACGACAACGAAGACGCACCCTTTCTTTCAGGTAGCTCGTCGCCGCGCTCCCCGCGACCACAATCCCAACCTTCTTCTAGCCGTCGTGAAAACCATGCCTTTCGAGAGAAGCTACGGATCCGATTGATGATCACCCTTTTCGCTATCATTCTCTTTGTTGAAACCGGCAACGCCATGACCCAAGGACCGCAAACCCGCATCACCGAGTCTATTGCCTGCCGAAATTATTACCAAGAGACAGACCCTTCCCAAATCGGTCCCGATGGCCAAATACCAGAAGAACAATGCAAGAACTCGGTCATTCAGGGTGAAATTGCCATAGTCAAGGGCTACATGGAGCTTTTTGACGGGGTAGCGAGTATTTTACTCGCCCTGCCGTACGGATTGCTGGCCGACCGCATTGGACGCAAGCCAACTATCCTTTTGAGCATACCTGGTTTTCTGCTGAACATGGCTATGATGGGCATTGTACTATGGTGGTCAGATATCTTTCCGCTTCGTGCTATATGGTTGTCAGCGATTGCTTGGCTGTTTGGTGGCGGCCTTGTCGTGGCCGCCGCAGTGGTGTGGACAATGATGACTGATGTGACTACTGAAGCGCAGCGGTAGGTTTTTGTTCTTTTAGTTTGATGCATACTATTGTCCCTAGTACAAGATTAGTTACTAACAGCATTGTTTAGATCCGCCATGTTCTTCCAATTCGGTGTTGCTGTAATGGGATCGGAGTTTATCTCCAATTCAATTGGCTCATGGCTCATGTTGTACAATCCCTGGATCCCAATGCTTATCGGCTGGGGAACTGTCCTCGTCGGCGTCTGCCTGGGTCTTACATTACCCGAGACGAAGAACGCTTTCCCCTCCGAGGTGGAACAAAAACCTGGAGAGTATGAACTATCTGGCATACACACTGACGACGATGAGGAATCTTCGGCATCTTTCCACAAACCTGAAGAAATAAACAGTCCCCGGAATTCAAGATGGCAGCAGGCAGTTTCCGGCATCAAGGCATACGCCTTTCTTCTGGAAAGCAAGCAGGTGATGCTCCTTTGTTCTGCATTTCTTGTCTACAAGCTCAGTCGTGGGACATCCTGGTTTTTGGTGCAGTATGTCTCGGTTCGGTACGGCTGGAAACTGGCAGCCGCCAACATGCTAGTCTCCTTAAAATCGATTCTTATGGTCGCTCTTTTGCTTGTTGTCTTGCCATTAGCATCGTGGTACCTACAGAAAAAGAAAGGCATCGACGGCCGAACAAAGGATTTAATGCTTACCAAAGCGAGTGTCATGTGCCTCTTTGTTGGCACTCTAGGTATGGGCCTTGCGCCTCATGTGTCTGTTGTGATCATATTCCTCATTGTACAGACTATGGGTGCTGGGTTTGTATATACAACACGTGCAGTCGTCACAACGATGCTTAAACGCGAAGAAACAGCCAGGGCTTATGTCATGATTGAAATCATTCAAGCTTTTGGGATGATTATTGCCAGTCCTACGATGACGAACTTTTTCAACTGGGGACTGAAATTGGGGGGGGTTTGGACTGGATTAGCTTGGATGGTTGCTGCTGCCCTGTTCGCCGTCGTTGGTGTGATTATATGGAAAGTCAGACTTCCTCCTCTCCCCACTACACATGAAGATTAGATTTATTGGCCACTTTATATGTACAAAAGTTTGCTGTATATTGCCATATCACTGCATTGCACCTCGGCGTCTAGGGATATGTTTGATTTTATTTGCACCATTTCTTTGATAATGTTCTGAGTTCTTAGTCACTTTATATTGGAACCCCTGATATAATGACTTGGAATTCATATCGAACTTTGGGTCATGCATATAAAGCAATTTAAATGAAGATAGACGTAACTTATTGTTTGTGATGAAACAAATTATTACAATAGCTACATGTATGACCAAACAAATAATGGCTTCTTTGCCATTGGCCCTTTAGGTATTTTTAATTCCAAATTTGTAGGTCTGGATAGACTGGTGAATAGACTATAGACAGATTTTATAAAACCATATGCATTGCTACAAAATACCTCAGAACAACAAGTCGGCCAAAAATCGAAACGATGGCGGTGCTTTCATCCGACGGAAAATATTTTTCCTCCCATATTGCAGCCTAAACACAGGGTCCGAGGAGACACAGATCTGCGCAACATTCGCTCATGGCAGTGAGGGATTGCGCGAGTACTGTATATAAAGCATTAGTCTTATGGTAACTTCCAGGCGCTAGTGGACCTAGGACTTTAAGTTGATTGTCACATACACTTGCATTCTGCTGTAGACTTATCCCTAGGTGTCAGATGGCGGCGATAGCAAAGATCACAGAGACTATAGCGATCACGGAAAATGTGAACTGAATTTTGAATAAAAGATGGATTTCTGAAGATGGTGACTTCAAGTTTCGGTGAAGGAACTTTGGCTGAACGACTGACTGATATTCAATTGATGTTTATTTTGTGATTTTGCATTTAATCGACGCCAAACTTTCCTCGGAGGTGAATGGAAGTATACATAATGACAAGTTAGGTATCTAACATTTGAAATGACGGGAGAAACACCAGGTTGACACAATAACTGTGGATATCAATTGATAAGATATCGATCAATTCACCCCATGCAGCGATTGTTAATCTTTCATACGAGTCGAAACTAAATGGTGGGGAGTTGGTCGATAAACTTTTAGCTTGCTGATACAAAACAATAACAACCAATGATTCCGAAAACCATTGTAATCATAGAAAGGTCCCACACAGGATAAATTTCTATAGATTTTGTGGATATAGTGAGAATTCCGGGCTTCTTCGCCACTGGTGGCACATTTTTACAAAATAAGCCCTGTGTGCGAGACTGTAGCTGATTGAAGAAGGAGTATGACACTTGGGGGGGCGGGGACGGGGGTCATCTTAGATCTAGGTCAGCTGTAGGGTTAGGCTACGGTCCCATACCTAAATAGATCAGCTGGTGCCCATTCAAATGGGACATTTTGCACGTGTAGATAAAAACGCAGACATAATTACTTAATTCTAGGGTTTCCAAGCCGTTTGTACTGAATTTCTGAGAGGACTCTAGAGATTTAGACCCATGTAATGCCTTCAGGTGTTAGGTGCGACTTCTATATAGCCTCAAAATTTCATAGATCCTACGATACCTAGAGTAACAGTTGTGGTACACCAGAATAGATCGACGTATGGGATGCAGGATTCGGCGTTCTTTATCATGGCATGTGCTTCTCCCGGGCCCGGGCTTCCCACGTCATTAGATTAAGGCATATTAGGAGTTGAACATGTGAAAATGTTCGCAAAAATACTTATAAAAATGCATCGCGAAGAAACCAAAGTTCAGGAATAACTATGGAAATGAGTAGAAATTTGCAATAAGACTTATCAAAGACAGAAAGAAACCCTTTTGTCTAAAAGAGAATGGGGAAGTTACAGAACAAATGATGGAAATGTTATGGTTTCAGATTATTGCTATAAAAGCGAACGTAGTGTAGAGTCTTACACTTTATTCTTGAAATAGCCAGTACAGTAGCAGGATTTAAAGTAGTCAAAATTTAGAACTCCTGTTCAAGAATTTGGAAATGTTAGCCTCGGTTTATTTATTTAGGATATAGACTTACATACGGTGTGATAGTAGGTGTAGAATGACATAAATAAATAACGTCACGTAATGAGTGATGTTAGATACAAGAAGGATGTCCCAGAGATCTCGCCCTCTGATGTCCCGGAACCGCAATTTGACACTACGAAAGATGGATGACAGGCAGATATCTCTGAGCCTCTAGTTAACCTTGAACAGATTTTTATTTATCTTTAAACGCGAGCTAAGGTATTACTATCGGAAAAATATCGGTTGGAAAATGACTCAGGCAGAGTTGATAATAGGTTCTGGCAATTTTAACTGCTCCGATCTCAAAAATACAATCATGCAGGAGAATAACAACAATTTAAAGATACTTTATACGGCTAGTACTCGATAAGAATTCTGCTCTTTGATCAGGGCTTGTATCCTGTTCTCTATATTAAATAAAGTTGCATAAAAATAGAAAAATAGAAGAAAGATATCTTCTGAATTAAATGCTGCAAACTCAAGTTAAACCTCCATAATAACAAAGGTAGTTACAAGTTCTGATTTCGATTCACTTTCTCTGAAAAGGATGAATCCCGCTGCTACAGCGGCCAAAGAGCTGAATTGCCAGTTTATAGACTACAGACTGGCAAAGATGGGGCTGATGTAACATATTTCTACTGGTGTTGCCCTTGGTGCCTCTTCTCTCACCTTCTTTTCTTTCGCAGCTCCCACTGCGGAACCTTCACCTTAACCAGATAGCTCTGTATCTGATCGAATAGGTCCAACGCCCTGGGAATAACGTTCGAAGGCATAATGAAGAATTTAAATAGTATCCGACACACCAAGGCGGTGTGTTTATTGGAGAGTTCAAGGACTAACGCATCGAAATTGTATTTGTCACAAATATAGCCGTTTTATCTCAACACAGAAAACACCGTTGTATCATATATGTATAAATAGATCACATTTGGTTATATACCAATTACATGTGTAGAATCTCTTACTCTCACGCTATATTCAAATAGTCTCAATATATCGCCTAAATTCCCTATTTACAACAATTTCGTATTAGTACAGATGTTTCAATGATATAAAGTTCCTTGTCTCCACTTACCAATCAGTTACAGTCTCACGCCACACTTTCAACTCGTGCTCTCTTGTCCAAGCGAAGAAGTCCACAAATGGCGAGCCTAATACTTCCCTAGCAATACTTTCCTGCGCAGCAAATCGTTTCAATGCCAAGTCCAACGTCCGAGGAAGATTAACCGAAGGCTTGCCCGTCTTTTTCAACGCCGATAAAGGTGGTGTATTTAGTTCGAGACTCTTTTTGATGCCACGAAGACCCGCCGCAGTCAGAGCCGCGAGAGCGAAGTGCGGGTTGATATCTGCACCTGGAATACGAATTTCGAACCTCGTAGCATAGGCACCGCAGCTAGGAGGTGCGATTAGTCGTACTGACGCCATCCTGTCTTCGAATCCCCAGTTTAGATCTACCGGTGCCCAGTAATTCTCAACCAACCGCTTATACGAGTTAACAGTTGGAGCGAGTAAGATGAACATGTCAGGGATTGCATCTAACAACCCAGCAAGAAATTGACGCCCTATTGTTGACAGATGAGCAATATCTGGCCATTTAGCATTATTGTCGATCGATTCTCTGGCAAATAGGTTGTTGCCTTGCTTGTCCGTCAGAGACAGATGAATGTGACCAGAATTTCCTGGAAGCCCGTAGAGAGGTTTACTCATAAAGCACGGAGTAATACTGTGTTTGATCCCAATTGTTTTAACAAGGAGTCTGGTTATCTTTTGTTAGTATGCGATGCTATCGGGACAAAGGCAAGCACATGACAGGAGCATCTCACTTGAATAAGGACACCCGGTCAGCCATTTCATCGATATTGCGGACGCGAAGCGCCTGTAGATAGAAAGTATGTTAGACTTGGGCCTAATTGCGAGGGGAAGATTGACAAGAGCAGAAATAATTTTTGGAAATACAGTTGGGAATCAATTAAGCTCAATGAAATCAAGACCTCACAGCTTCAAAGGTAGGCCCACTTTCGGTGTGCCAGCCTTCAATGTCACATTTGAATTTCTCTGAGCCATCAAAGATGTCATAAAAATATTGCTCAACTGCAAGAGGGCGTAATAGACTGTAGCCGAACATGCCTTCAGACAAGGGCCGAAGTGAAGCTGGCGAATGGTTAATTAAAAATTTGGCCACATTCCGCCGAGCCGATGTATCGCTATATCCATCTTCCGATGGTGTTTGAAAGTTCATAAACTCGAGCTCAACTATCGATATATCAGTAAAGCTGAACTAGAGATTTCAAGGCTAGTTCTAAAGATCTCACCGCCGGCTTTGGCTTCATATCCATCGTTGGCCAACTGATCCGCCACAGATTTTAATAAGCCTCGGGCACAACCTGGGACAGGCTTTCCATCAATATAGAACCTCAATAGAAAGAATGGCATGTTGTTCTCCGATATCAGCCTCCGAAAGGTCCTCAAATCGGGTATGGCAGTCAAGTCAGGATAACCCTCATTTGTCGATGTGGCGTCTGTCTTAGTATAGAGCTCATCATGCATGTCCCACCCAAAGATGGCAGAGCTAAACCCGAATCCGTTTTCAACAGTAGATAGAAATTTCTCTTTTGCCATAACCTTCCCCCGGAGAACACCATCTGTATCGACACCAGCGACTTTGATGCGGGTGTCATTTTGGAGGACAGTGGAAATATTTTCTATTGTAATTTCCTGTGTTTCTGTCATCATGTAACTCTTCGTCTAATTCTATATAGTCATAAGTTCAATAAAGACCATTTATGGTAGGTAGTTGGAGGCCACTCGGAACTGACTTCAAGTATAGTTGTAGAAAATATGTTAGTCGAATAAATAACTGTGGGAAGATTTCTAGTCAAAAGTAAGATTTGATTAATTTCTGGAGATTAGAACTGCACCCAATTTCGTAATCACGGTAGTATTAGACTTGTAAGTGTAGGTTGAAGAAGTTCCTCGATTAGGAAATTTTAGCCAGCTACATAGCTGGCGGGCCGATAATCACGGATCCAGTAATTTTGTCTCTCTGTAGTCCGCGGGAAACATCAACACCACCGACTATCGGAGGCTGAAACCACACGGCTAGGGCGGGGTTAAGATGCTATCTTGGAGTTCGATGAAATATACATAGTAAATGATTGCGAATGTCAATCAATCACCCATTAATTTTCCACAAACAACTATTAGTACGCAAATGGCTCGACCGTTTCGCCTCGCAATTCTAGAGTGTGATACTCCCGTAGACGAGGTGAGAGCTACACACGGCTCCTACGGGGATATTTTCGAAAAATTCTTTTTCAATGGATTAAAGGAGTCGGATCATATCAATATTGACTTTCGCGTGAGCAAATGGCACGTTGTTAACCAAAATACTTTCCCAAATCCTGAAAGTGTTGATGCTATTGTCTTGAGTGGAAGTAGTGGGTTTCCAGTTTTGAAGTTAAAGAAAAGTGAATCCTTCTGAACGTCTACCCACAGAACATACCGCGGCAGAAAATGATTATTGGATACTTCACCTTGTAGATTTTGTCCGCGAATTTATACAACATTACAAAAAGCCAGCCGTGGGCATTTGTTTCGGGCACCAGATAATCGCCCGTGCATTAGGCAGTCAGCTAACACGAAACCCAGGTGGGTGGGAGATATCTGTTGACCAGATTACTCTCACAGGCCTCGGTTATTCGCTACTTGGAAAAGAAATATTAGTATGACGGCCACGTTCAATCATTGCTCTTTTCCGCCTTCAAATACGCTAATTTTTGTTCCCGAAAACCTCAGATGTTGCATCAAATGCATCGCGATATCGTATCAGATGTGCCCGCCGAATGTGTCAATATCGGCTTCAGCTCACGATGTGCGGTTCAGGGGCTCTACTGGGAGAATCGGGTTTTCTCGATCCAGGCTCACCCAGAATTCAACGAGAGTATCATGAATAGTATTCTTAAAGCTAGGCATGAGCAAGGTGTTTTTGATGACAAGCAGTTCGCTGATGGAGTATCGCGAGCTTCGCATAGCCATGATGGGCAATTGGTTGTTAAGCAGGTTTGGAATTTTCTGCTTCAATCGGTAAGAACTATAGAATGAATGCTCTAGTGTGGGTAGTTAAAACTGTATTTGGTTCGTTTGTCTATTAAGAGCCAGTTTGACGATTCCTTTGAAACCAATAAGAATAATCAGTTAGTCTTCCATATGAGTATGAAAGCAAAAGAGGGAATAAAGTAAATTAGCCATAAATTTTATATCACTCGCAGAACCGGAACATTGACGTATTGATAATTGCGGGTCACCTCCGAGTGGAGGGCGTAAGGACACTACAGGGGCAACAGGTATAAATGGCCAGGCCCGCGCCGGTCAATTGAAAACTTCCAAGTAATCTGTGAACAGACACGAATTGGCAGTGCGGCAACACCAAAATCAATTTTTATTTATTAACAAAGTAAACCGCAACAGTTTCTTTGCATAATACCAAAATGTCTTACAACCAGATTCGCACCATTTCTCCCGCCACCAATTCGGTGATATACGAACACTCAGGGACAAGCATCGAAGAGTCTCAAAATATTGCAATCAAATCCCAAATTGCTTTCTACACCTGGAGGCTTACCACATTAGCTGAACGCAAAAAGATTGTGGATGCGGCCCTCAGACATATTCTAGCTGATAAGGAAAACCTTGGTCGCGAAATCACCCTGCAGATGGGTCGACCGATTTCCTATAGCAGCAAAGAAATTGAAACAATGTATAAAAGAGGTGAATATATACTCAATCTCGCCGAGGAAGCATTGGCCGACTTGCCTGGCGTTCCTGAAGAGGGGTTCAAACGTGTTGTTACAAAGGAGCCTATCGGCCCCTCGCTTATCGCTTCAGCATGGAATGTAAGTTAGATTATTCTTGGACTACCCTTAATACGTGATAAATCTTGTTGCTGATGGTTTTATACAAAGTTTCCCCATCTTACTTTGGTCAGTTCTCTAGTTCCTGCTCTATTGGCAGGTAATACTGTGATTTTGAGAGCACCGCCTCAAACACCTCTCATCGGAGTACGATTCCTGGAGGCATTCCAAAATAGTGGGTTGCCGGAGAATGTTCTTCAACTGGTAAATATTGGAAGTATGGAAGTGCTTCAAGAGGTAGCAAAGTTACCTCAAATACAATTAGTTACCTTTACAGGATCTACAGCTGGCGGAATAGGTTTGCAACAAGCTACAGCGAAAAGAATCATCCCGCTTAATTTGGAGCTTGGTGGAAAAGACCCGGCTCTTGTGAGGTCCGATGCCGACATCACAAAAGTCGCCGCGAATCTTGTCGATGGTGCTGTATTCAACTCTGGGCAAAGTTGCTGCTCAGTTGAAAGAATCTACGTGCATGCCGAAATTCATGATGAACTTGTAAAGGAAATACAACAAGAACTTAAAACGTGAGAGAATACATTGAACATTGAGAAATACTGTTAGCTAATGGATTATCATAGATACATCCTAGGCGATCCATTTAACCCAAAGGCGAATGTCGGGCCAGTGGTGTCCCAAGCTGCAAAAGAAAAGATTGAGGCACAAGTAAAAGATGCTCTTAAAAAGGGTGCACTTGATGTAACCCCCCAAGTGCCATCTTTTGAACAGGCCAAGAATAAGGGCAGCAACTACGTAGCACCAACGGTACTCATCAATGTGAACCACTCGATGTCAATCATGAAAGACGAGACTTTTGGCCCTATAATTCCCATACAAAAGGTCAAAGATGACGATGAAGCAATTAAGCTTATGAACGACAGTGAATATGGCCTTACGGCAAGTATTTGGACAGAGGACGTCTCTGCTGCGGAGCAACTACTTAGCCGCATAGAGGCCGGAACAGTCTTCATCAATCGTTGTGACTTTCCAAGTCCTGTAAGTTCACTTTCCAACAATGTGAAAGGAGAGTACCGTTAATCAATTCTATTCCAGGACCTTGCTTGGACAGGATGGAAGAATTCGGGGATAGGTTGTACTTTAGGGCCTCGTGGCTTTGATGGATTTTTCAAATTGAAAAGTGTGCATATCAAAATGTGCCAATAAAGTATACATGGGATGCCATGTTTTAATTTCAAAATATTGAGAAAACAAACATGATTGCCTTGACTTTCTCTTTTTCATGTCTTTCTACCCTCGTCTTGGTCGGTCATGCCCACTTTTTCGATATGAAGATTAGTATAGCATTCATTAGCCTAATCCATTATCATACTTTCCGAGAGGCGGAAGTTTGAATTCTGCTCAAAGGGAAACATAATAATGCATTATCGAACTAGAATGGGACAATCATCTGTCTATGATTTCCTTTCTCGGAAATTTCCCAAGCAATTTGCCCCGCTTAGCTTCCCGCGGTACCACAGATAACGTTTAGCATACTTTCCCGCTGTGTTTCATGCTAGCCAGTCTTCCGGCCGATAATCAAGAGCTTAGTAACCAGGTATGACTATTTATTTGAGAAAAGCAACTCGACTCCATTCAAAGTAAGCAAGGAAGAACGAAAGACAAACACCCCAAATTTAACGATAATATAGATATCGTCATCAACAAGATGGTTGGCAGGCTTGCTGGTAAAAATGCGATCATAACAGGTGCAGCTGGGTAAGTTCAATTCGACTTCACGAAATTACGCGTCTCATTAAGTATTTAATATAGGGGAATTGGTCTTGAGACGGCAATCCTTTTTCTTCGGGAAGGTGCCTCCGTTCTATTAACCGACATCAGCGAAGCGGGTCTTCAAAAAGCGCTTGAAAAAGCAATTGAACTTGGGCAAAAGGCTTCGAATTCCCGGCTCGAAACAAAAGTTGTTGATGTGTCCAAGGAATCGGATGTAGAAGGTGCCGTGAGTCATCTTGACAGCTGGGGAGGCGTCGATATCATGTTCAATAATGCTGGTATCATGCACCCGAATGATGGCACTGAACTCGAAACTTCGGAGAAAATCTGGGACTTGACCATGAATATTAATGTCAAGGGTGTCTGGTACGGCTCAAAGCATGCAGTCAATTCCTTGAGAAAACATGGCAAGAGATCAGGAAGCATAATCAACACCGCAAGTATGGTGTCTCTTGTCGGTGCTGCAACACCACAAGTTGCCTATACAGCTAGTAAAGGAGCAGTTTTAGCTCTTACACGTGAACTAGCTATTCTGCATGCCAGAGAAGGTATATTCTTGCACTCACCATAACACAAATAAGAGCTGACTTGATGATATTAGGCTACAGATTCAACTCTTTATGTCCTGGGCCTTTGAAGTAAGCACCGTACATTCATAACCGTAAAAAGACATTCTGACAAACTATAGCACCCCTCTCCTACAAGATTGGCTGGGTGACGATAAAGAGAAGCGCTTCCGCAGAGAAGTCCATTTCCCAATGGGTCGGTTCGGCGAATCGATCGAGCAGGCCCACGCCGTAGTGTTCTTAGCGAGTGATGAGAGTAGCTTCGTTAATGCCACCGACTTCGTAGTCGATGGCGGAATGACTAAAGCATATGTTACCCCATTAGGGCCAGCCACAGACTCTCCAAGAAACCTTGCTAGTTAGACGGCCATTTAGTTGAAAGAAATAATAAACCAGTTTCATCTTCAAGTTATATGGATGGGTTTTAATGAGTATTCGAGCTAAAGGTGTTCGTGACTTGATTAAGCATCTTTGGAAAACAAAACTGGCAGCGAAAATTGAAGGACGAGGCAGAGCAGGAATAGCCTTTTCATAAAATGGAATAGCACTGTATTGCAGCATATCTACCCGTGCGTTGATGTGCATAATTTATAATCTCGGGGTTTTAACAGTGTTTACTATATCTAATAAGAAGGGTGATACCCAGTATCTCGAACACAGAATCGAAAAGACAAAAGTCGTTGGGTATTCTCACTCGTTCGATAGAAGGTATCGTTACTCAATTTCATGGATTTCTTCGAGGTTGTTGGGGCATGATGAAGGATTTCCAAGCAACTCGCTACATGTCATCCGTGATAATGCCATAATTTGTAAGAGACCTTTGATTGCTTCTTGATGCCTGGGTGTCCATCTATCTGATAAGGGCTAATATTTCCTAACTGGGCTTGGCGTGCCATGCCAGGTGGGCGCCTTACCAGAAGAAGCAAGAATACCCGGCCAATGGGGCCCGGGTTATTTTCGCTCTTCAGCGTCATCACTCGCATCGACCCGCACCGAGCTCGTCTGAATTGTCTTCTTAATGTCTAGCAGTTCAATCGACGCATAGGTGATTCTATCACATAATGCAAAGCCAAACCACTACCGCCAAGACCAAGTCTACTGGGAAATTAGGGGCAAAACGCTCCCGAAATGGTTGCCGCACGTGCCGGTCTAAAAGAGTACGTAAGAACTAAACACAATCCTTTCACACATCATCAATGTCTACTACGAAAGTCATGCTCTTTGTCCCCTGTTCCAGTTGCTGAGGCTTTTGTACGAACCTGGGCTCACTTCTGGGAAACCAGTTGAAATGTGACGAGACAAAGCCAGCATGTCTTATGTGCGGGGAGAAGGGTCTTTCTTGCCCTGGTTACCAGCGACAGTTGAAGTGGTCCACCAAACATGAACGTCAGATGGGTGGCCATCCTAGTACCCCTAATGCTGATTATCTTACCAAATCTACGCCTCTGGTTCCTCAAACGCCTCAATCGCTCATTCCCAATAATGCGTGGGACAATAATGTTATCAGGAGCGAAGACCAGAATATGTTATATGGAGCGGGTTCCGGGACTGATGATTGCCATCTATTCTTTCCAGAATCACCCGCACGACAAGATGGAACTCCTTTGTTAGAATGCTGGGCTCCAGACCCCTCGCCTTTCAATGACCAGTCCATGCTATTAGCATTGTCCAATTCGATGGCATCTATATCGGGTAGTTCCATTGATCTAGACGGCTTTACGATTCCCGACCCACCAATTTTCGACTCCGATCAAGGGCAATGCGATTCTCCTCAAGATATGATAAAGTCATCCTCGAACCCTTATGTGTTAAACACTTTAACTGACATACCTTCTTTCTTGATCGACATCTGGTTCCGGCAGATATGTCCGATGTGGTCCTGTTTCGACTCTGAGTCAAATCTCAATAGGAGAATTGCGCTAGATACCCGAACACACAATGAAGCTGTGTTTTATGCATTGCAAAGTATGTCTGCGGTCTACGTTCTGGACCAATTGCCTCATTTAAAGGCCGTAGCTAGCACATCAGCGAAACAAGCAGCGTCCGCACTGAAACGAGACATGGTCGCAGCATATACGACGGTCAATAATGGCAGAGTTCCCCAAGAACAGCTTCTGACACTGATCACACTTGGTACGTCTCAGTGCTGGACAGATCCACACCAGCTCGGCTTGCCTCTGTTACGAGAAGCCAAACGACTGCTTGGCTTGTTAAACAAAAGGGCCAAGCTTTTCTCGCCATCAGAGCGAACTATTTTGTCTTTCTTTAACAATAGTTGTCTATATTGGGATATGCTATGTCGCACCGTCACCAGTGATGAAAATTCCCTTGGTCCACCCTGGCAGAACGAAGAATTCATGGTCTGGGATACGGGATTCGCAACGCCGCATCCTTGGACTGGAATATGTGCAAATATCCAACGACTTTTCACCCGTGCAATGGGTATATGTCGTCGATTTCACCAGCGCCTAAGTCGAGGCCACCGAATAACGGCTGCTGACTTGGCAGCATCCTTGAGGGATAGCGAAGAGGCAAAGGAACTTGAAGATTCGATTCGAAACTCAGAACACCTTCAGCATAATAGATTTCGGGATACAGGTGACCATCGTACTCCTGCTTCACATCTCACCGATATCGCCGAGGCCTTTCGAATTGCTGCTCTCTTGCAACTCTATCAAACATTTCACGATCTAGTCCCTCCTACGATACTGAGTGTCAATGTTTCGACAGGATTAGACACGATATCTTTTGAAGAAAGTACCTCGAGCGACTCGAGAATCATTCAATTAGCCCTTTGTCTGGCCGGAATCTTGGAAAGATTACCACCAGATTCAGGATCAAGGTCCATGCAGCCCATTTTATACATATCGGCCAGCACTGGCCTTAAATTTGACACCCCGGTCCAGTCTCCTTTAGAAAACCCACAAAAGCAGGCAGACTCCGACTATCTACCTCACCCCCGCCACACGAGAGACGTGTCTTCACCACAGATTCTCAACGCCTCGGCCGAGCAAGATTCAGAAACCGCTCTCAGTTCTTTCACAATACAAGTCGGGCGAGCACGCCACTTTATCATGAAGCGAATGGCCATGTTGGAGTACAGCTTGCCTCCACGGCCTATTACAGTTGCCCGAGATCTCATCAAAGCCATATGGTCGACATATGACAAGCACCCTGAACGCAATGCACACTGGCTTGATGTTATGGAAGAGACAGGGCTATATACTATTTTTGGGTAGTTTTATCCCTGTACGTACAAGCTTTATCTGATCCAAAACGCCGTAGTGGGCGCTCTTTTCATTCCCTATGAAGCATACTTGTGTGAATAATCATGTGAAGGGAAATGAGATCAATGGTCAGTGTATAGACTCTATATCTATTAACAAAGCAATGGCTCACAAGCTGTCGCTACAATTTCCCTGTAATTATGCAACACGTGACCGGCACATTTTGTCAAACTTTTAACCACTATACCAGAAAGGGCGCAACCTTACTTTGTAAGGATTTCTAATGGTGTTATAGTCGCATATTTTTTTCTGACACATTTATATTAAATTACGACTTTGTATGGGTATCAGCATTGATCCCTGATGTCTCATCCAGCCACAGTGCCTAATAGCTAAAGCCTACTAAGTATTAAAGCTCGGAGTAAGTAACATATAATATTAAATGACAAGAATAGGACATTTCGTATATGCAAACTTCCGCCTCTCGGCCCCATAAGCCACAAAAGTAGGTATACGCATTTAGTGTTGGTAGCCCTCGCGACTCCCTAGTAAGTATTAGTGTTGTAGGATTCCAACCTTTAGCGCGCAGGCGATTCCATGACTACAGACGCCGTAGCAACTAAGAATGGAATAGCCTCGTACGGACTCCGTTCATTATCTTCAACAGCCCCATTTTCAAAGAACGCCACAGCGGTTGCACAATTTCTAGATGAAATTAGCGCCAAACCAACGCGACCTCGTAGTTCGTACGGGAACGGGCGGTTGATTTTCGTACCGTGCATTGAAAATGTATTTTTCCGTCAGCCTCGATGCTCTATAACATTGTTATTAAGCATCGTATTCCGAGGCAATCCGCTTAGCTTGAATTTACGGTGATATTTATTCAAGTTTCAAATATTGACACTATTGGACCAAAACTAGCCTTCAATGCGATCCATATAGTTTAATCCAATAAAAAAGGTATCCATCACACATCAATGTACATACGTATCCACGCTAAAGATGATATCTTAATGACAACCCAAAAATGTAACCGACGCCGAATAGAGAGAGTGACTGGTTCAATAAATCGTCAATGTCAAATGCCAACGCAGACATGAAGCGAATAAACCTCCAAGTATTGAAGCGGTTGTGTCAAACCACACAACAAACACTCTATACCAGTGATTATTTGTAATAATAATGAGAACATTAAGAGACTTATGTAAAATAAGGTCTAGATGAAGCCCTCCTTATCGGCCGATTGTTTAAGCTGCCTTGGTCTTGCAGGCACTGGATGGACAATATCCATGATTGCAACAGTAACTGCACAAGCCCAGATACGAATCATCCTCACCGGACAGAGGAACACCATCTACACCAGTTGTTGGGGGCGTCGGAACAGGGATACCTGAGCTCGTGCAGGTACATGGGCCAGGTGGACAGTAGTCGTAGCTGCAGGCAAAAGCGCATAGACCAACATAGTTTCCTACTCCTGTACCTCCAACACAGACGGAAGTCGTTTTCGTAGCACTGGTAGTTGTGAGAGAAGGGGACACGGTCGACGTAGGGCCAACGGTGACGGTTACAAAAGCTGTGGTAGGTCCCTGTAAAGCAGCCTGGTCTGATGAAGAGGCCTGACTGTTGGCTGCTGCGACATTGGATGATTGATGATGTGTACCCCCAACTGCCCCTCCGACAATAATTGCGACCAAACAAACGCCAACGACGGCAGCGAAGATTATCCAGAATGTCCGTTTCGGTAACCCACAAATGAATGTTTGCGGTGGTGTTTGTGGATGTGCTGCACTGATGGAAGTGGAAAACCCAGGCTCGGAAGTAGCCGGGCCATACATGGGATATTGACTATCTAAATAAATATGAGTAGGATGATTCAAAGGAGAGGTTACCAGAGTTTCATACCTTTGTTTTGCCAGAATGTCGGATGTCCTGCTTGAGAGGCTCGTTTGTACGGCTCCAAGTCACTATGGTGGACCACTTCTAGTGTGCTAAACTCAGTACTGTAAGTCTGCTGGTCATATGGTAAATATGTTCCGGAGGGACTTGATGTGGCCTCCTCGGGCCGATTGATGTCTTTTTCCATGAAATGAAGCGTCAAAATGATCAGTTGTTCGTCAATAGAAAGCTCGGTGTTCTTCGAGTAGACATTCTTATGAATTCAATCGAATGGGGCGGGATGATGGCCAATGGAAACGAAATAGGCAGTTGACAAAATAGATGGACTAGCTGGCCTGGGCCGTCTACTAATGACTACCAGGAAGCTGAGAACTTGGATCCCGTCAAGGCCGCGACAGAGGCGGGGTTCGGAGGGGAATGACTCAGTAATATATTTGTGACAAATGAGTGGTGAGTTATTACTGGCGATCAGTTGTTTCCTTCATGCTAACGTCCAAACTTTAACAAAATCGTGTTGGTTTAGACCCCAAACTAAAACTACTACACCACAGTGGATTCAGATAGCGCCGAGGAGTATTCCCGATGGGGCAAAAACTACGTGCGACACTAACACTGTATTAAAGGATTATAATACCATTAAGCTTAGAATGATTAGCGAAAGCCGATGCAGGGATTGGGTAAATGTATACGCAGCTGAAATAAAATGTCATAAAGTGCATATGTATGCCGGTATTCCGAAGACGTGCATGTATTGCATACACACGTGGGATTGCCGTAAAATGGTTTAAACATCAGTTAGTAATTTAGAGGCGATCAGACCAAACCTTCTTAGGCCTTGTTGGTGGCTAGTCAACTGGCATCCAAGGCCTCCTCGCTATGTATGTGCCCCAAACTTTCAAGCATGGTAAAGTAGTTGGTGGCAAATAGCTAATGTCGTGATGGGTTGATTCAATTCTATTGGCTGATTAATTAGGAGTTATTGATGTATTGAGATTTCTTGGAATTAGTAGAGCGATAGCAATATTAATGTCTACCCACTGCAGGCTGTGGCTGTGGCGGTAATGATTTTCGTTGTCATCGCTCCTTCCAATTCCCCAGCTAAGCCTGGGGTTTTGGAGCATGGATATGTAGCAATAAATGGTGTTTCTTTGTGTCTTTACCTTTATACAAAATCTTTTTCACTTTCCTTGCTATTTACTTGGGGAAGTATAATCGGTTTACACTTTATTGGCGCGTGCCGGGTATGGAATTCCCAGGTTCCAAGATGTTGCTATGCAAAATACACCCTCGTATTTACCAAATTAATGCCGCTCAAAACGTCCACCGACCTGTTTTGGGTCGGTTATAGACAAAAACCCGGTATTAAAGGTAGAGTAGGAAACATGATTAATTTAAGTAAGATGAATTTGATATTATTAAGCACTTCATTAAGTCATGGTATTGGCATCCATACTTTAGGACCGTACTAGGTGCGAGCAATTGAGCACACTCATTGACTGCACACATACGCATAGAACGGCCTAAACCTGTCAAAGCTGCCACACTTCCGCTACCTTAGGCGTGTTCATCGTCACTTTCCAGCAAGTTGTAGTTCTTGAAGTTGCGTGGTGGCACTTTTCTCTCGAAGAGAATGTCTAATTCCTCGAAAGTTCTTCCCTTTGACTCAGGCAATCGAAAGAAGCACCAGATATAGCACACCAAACTGATACCACCAAACAAGAATCCGGTCTTCCCACGCCAGTCGCCTTGGTCTGAGTTGATCATATAAGGTAGTACGACGGTGAAGACGATGTTAGCTAGTGCCTGGACAGCAGTGGTGATGGCGATCGTGAGACCACGCAGACGCGTTGCAGATATTTCGGAGATAATGACAAAGCAGATTGGTCCGACAGTTGTCTGATAGACGAAAGTCCATATATCCATTAGAGAGGCTTGGGCCCAGACTATGCCCGTGTTGTTGCGGCCAAAGTCGAGGAAACCGATGACAAACAAAATGATTGTCATTACAATCATACCGGTGTTGTAAATTGTGCGACGGCCGAACTGCTTTTATTAGCTGGTGGGAGACCCTTTTGAACAAGATAGTACTGACATATAGCATCAATGGCCACGAAAGGCAGGTGCCGACAAATCCAAGTGCGGTGTTACCGACGCCCACTATCTAGCCGTTAGTATAGGTAGGACAATCACAACAATTGGTAGGAAAAAACTACATACTATCGAATGCTTCTGAGGGATCCAAACCGGCCATCTCAAAAAACAGATTGGCATACGCGATTAAAGGATTGCCGCCAATGACCTGAATAAGGTAGACCATAATGGATATTTCTGTGCGAAATAGATTCCCCTTCTTAAAGCAATCCCAGTAGGTAGTTGTCGCTTCCAACTCTCGCTCAAGCAAGTCTGTTTGTTCGATCATAAATAGCATGCCGTCAATATCGGGAGGATTTTTGGCTGAGGAAAGTCGCTCGAGTGCTCTACGGGCGTCCTCTCGTCTGTCCTTACGCACAAGCCAGTACGGACTCTCAGGGGCAAAGAGAAGACCAACGAGAAGGATTGCTGGCCACACCCATTGTATTGCAAAGGGCGCTTTCCAAGCCCATTCATCGAGTCGACTTTCGAGACCCGCAGCAACACCCTGCGCAATGAATTGACCAATCACGAAGGCCAAGTTCACAGATGCGGTCAGTACGCCACGTAGAGCAAGTGGGCAGACTTCGGAGGCGTAAGTAGGGGCGATTACGACGTAGAATCCGTATGCTAGACCGCCGAGGATTTCACCGGCGCACAACATGCCAATGCTAGTCGCGAAGAATTGCACAAACACGAAGCAGATGGACCAGACGCAGCATATGGCTAATGTCAATCGTCGACCAAGTTTCTCCAAAGGCCAGCCGCATGCCAGCGCTCCGAGAATCTGGCCGATTGGGTTTCCCTAGTCTGATTGTTAGTCAAATAGACATCCAATGGCGTGGAGAGCATCGGCTTGCCATATTCAAGGCCATCTGCCATTCAGCTGACAGAATATATTTCCCGTTATACGGGTAGCCGAATCTCTGCTGGAAGGCAGGCAGCGCAAAAAATGACGTGATGATTTGCGCATCGAAACCAGCCATGACAACGGCGATGCAGAAGAAAAGAGCCCAGAACATTGCAGTCGGCCATTGTCGGACCGCTTCCCAGAAACCAGCCTGGTGCTCGGCGATAGTGATGTTGCGGGTTTGGTCGATGGCAAGCAAGGCGCCTTTGTGCGGCTGCTCCTCGTCGCGTGTAGCCGTGGCTGTGACAGCAGCACCGACAGTGAGAGGCTTATTATCTGGATCATCCATAATGAATGGGTGTGACGCACAATGGGAGGGGGAGAAGGGGTGGGAGAGAGCACGAAGGGGAGGAGAGAGAGAGAAAGAGCGAGGTGTGGGATGATGATATAATAATAATTTGTCCCCTGTCAGAAACCACAAGCGTAGCCGCGCAGTCACATGAGGATTTGTTATCGCGCGTGCCCATTGGCTGCTGCTGCTCTCCTGGTGAGCGCTAGAACCCCGCGGGGTAACCTAAGCAAATTGGGCCTTGCCTTTTTCGAAGCAGCGTAGGAAGCTCATATTTCTTTTCTCAGCCTCAATTGATTACTTCACTTGCTCGTATTGAATCTTCGCTGGCAGAAACATCTGGAAAGGACAGCTTGTATGTCCAAACTGCCAATTTGCCTCTTTTGCGCGACATCCCCAGCGTTCGCTGTTACTGATAACGTATCTCAATCTGCTGCAGGGGTGTTTCCCAGTCCGGCCTAGCGCGTCCTGGTCACCTTTTGGTCGTGCGTGCAAATCGCCGGCTTCTCCGGTTTGCCGGAACTGTTCCGGCCGCAAGCAGCATGATTCGCTTCATCTCGTTAATCCCCGGCCATCTGCTCGGCAATTCTGATGGTTTCATCGTAACAGCGAGCCTGGGTGGTATCGCTTCCAGACAGGCAGTAGGAGGCTTCTTATCGCTGTCTGTGCAGCCATACATTAATTTATCAGTTGATGTGTGAGTAGAGCAAGGCTGCTGTGTGCAATTCAGGTGGCGCAGATCAATGTCGCAGAAGTGTTCTGCACATGTCTATGATTGCTAATGTCACCTTTGCTTTTTGTCGCTCATCCACCCGCAATCATCAACAAGCACATAGCAGAACATGGTTTTTATTGGGTGGGTGTGTATTCTCAGACTGAAGATGGATAAGCATCATGGATATGGTATCAGGCAAGTATATATCCTATATGTCCACTATGCATAGCCCCAATGTTTCGCTGTGCTCTATTAACTCAAACAATTTTTTTGGTAGACTCTGAGACCTGAGACTGTCTCAAAGACAAGACTTTTAAGACATGAACAAAACTCAGCCTGAAATCCTTTCTTGCGAAGAGAAGTACTTCATTCTTCTTTGACGGGAAGCTTCAATGTTGGGCAATGGCCGTTGAAAGCGGCGATATCGACCGTCAATAAGGCTGGAGTTGATCTAACCAAGTAAAGATTGGGGAAGAATAACAATGCAATCAAAATATATCTATCCCTTGGTGCTTTAGACCTCCTAGGCAGCAGTAATATCGATGAGCGACCATGTCTGGTCCCTTTTGTTTTTCCCTTCGTCATGCGATTCGGGAAAATCGCTTCCGGCCGGAACCAAACCCTAACTCAAGGTGGAATCACCACCTCCTGTGCTCTGGAGCCAATCAGGATTTTGATATTTGCTAGCAGAACGGTTTTCTATGGAGAATGAATATTTCGTATGGATATATGATAGTCCTTGTCGCTTCGCTTCCTGCTCACTAAAAAGTCTCTGTCGTCTTGGTTCTGTGTGAAATCCCTGCATCTTTGAGAAATGACGACGACTTCTTCGATTCCGGTATTTGTTACCGGCTCTTCATTAACAACCATTACTCTCCTATCTCTTGTCGTCTTCATTTTGTTGAGTACCCTATTCAACGTTCTTTTTCAACTATGTTCCAGAAAAGAGGTAAACAAACCGCCTCTGGTGTTCCACTACTTTCCTATAATCGGAAGTACGATAACGTACGGCAAGGACCCTTTAGCCTTCTTCCAGGACTGCAAAGCCAAGGTCAGTACCATCCCTCTTTTCTACAAGAATCGGGCACGATTGACAATACCCAAATAATGCTATAGTATGGCAATGTCTTCACCTTTGTTCTACTCGGTAGACCCGTTACCGTATACCTTGGTGCCAATGGCAATAATTTCATTTTAAACGGAAAGCAGAGCGAACTCTCGGCAGAAGAGGTATACTCGCCTCTGACCACACCTGTTTTTGGGACCGATGTGATATTTGACTGCGACAACGCAAAATTTATGCAACAGAAGAAGGTACCGTCTCTTTTTTCCCTTTGAGGGTATGCTTGTTATACTGATGCTGGTATATCACAAAGTTCGTTAAATTCGGCCTGAGTCAAGCCGCTCTTGAATCATACGTTCAGCTCATTACACGAGAAACCACGGCGTTCTTCACTTCATATACGCCTCTTCAAAGCCAGGGGAAAGGAGGTGATGTAAAGGCAAGAATTGTCGACGTACCCTCTGCTATGGCAGAATTGACCATATATACTGCATCCTCCTCCCTACAAGGCGCCGAAGTACGTCGGCAGTTTTCATCGTCTGGGTCGCGTATCGCAGATCTCTATCATGACCTTGACATGGGCTTTTCACCTATCAACTTTTTCCTTCCGTCCTGGTTCCCATTGCCGAGAAACCGAAAGCGCGACGCAGCACAGCGCGAAATGACAAAGATATACACAGACATAATTTCCGAACGACGAAGGCTAACAAATAACACCTGTGATTCGGATGATGGGAAGGAAGAGACAGAGAAGCAGGACATGATTTGGAACCTAATGAGTAATTGCACATACAAAAACGGAAATGTGCTTCCAGACAAGGAAATCGCACATATGATGATCGCGCTTCTTCTCGGCGGCCACCATTCAAGTTCTGCCGTCATTGCGTTTGCCATTCTCAGCTTAGCGAATCGTCCGGATATTCAAGAGAAACTCTACGAAGAGCAGGTCCGCGAGCTTGGAGACGCGGGTTTGACATACGAAGGTCTTCAGAGGCTCAAACTGCACACGAACGTGATCAAAGAAACCCTGCGCCTGTATAACCCAATACATTCAATTATGCGACTTGCCAAAACCCCGCTTATCGTCAAAGATGAAAGTGGGATGGTGGTTCCATCCGGCCACACCCTCCTTGCGAGCCCTGCATTCTCGGCCCGAGACGAGACCTACTTTGCCGATCCTCTGACTTGGGATCCGCATCGATGGGAGAAAAAGGCGTCTGTTCATGAAACAAGTGATGACGACGAATTATCAGCTAAAGGGGCGAATAGTCCATATTTGCCCTTTGGGGGTGGTCGGCACAGGTGCATCGGGGAAAAGTTTGCGTATGTCCAGTTAGGGGTTATACTAGCAATTTTCACAAGATTTTTTCAGGTCAGGGGAATGCATGGAAATACCGATGCGTTGTTAGCGACCGACTACTCTGTAAGTATAGTCAGAATAATTCTATTCGATGTTGTGCATGTTGCTGATCGCGATTCCAGTCGCTTTTTTCTAGACCGCTGGCCCCGCCAAAGTTTTCTGGGAACCTAGAGATGGATTTCCGAGTAAGGGTTGAGTTGATAACCTTCGAGTGCAACTGGTCCCCCATACGGGAATAATTAACTAATGGATAAACCCCTAATATTTAGTGCAGTTATTTCAATTAAATAGAATTTCTCTTAGCGGGATCATCCGCCGAGACTATCACGCTAGAAAAGAAACAGGACTTAAGGCTTGCGTTTCCAATTCCCCGCAAATTTTTAGCTTCGTAGACTTTTTCGTTTCTAATAACAGCGTCTGAAATATCTGAGACTTGCATGAGCAGGTCAAATAAAGACTTCATGTCATGGATTCGCGGGTATGTACGTAACTATGCCTTTCTCCACGTTTTCCTCGTCACTGCATGTATTTTCCTGCCATGGTGGATCAAAAATGGAGCGAACGACGAGTCTGGGATATTCGCCGAATTGAGGCAATTTGGAGGAGAAAAGTGCGCCTCTTTACCCCATACCGACAGCGTTTTCGTGATTATGAAGACTGGTACTACGGTTCTACATAAAAGGCTACCGGTTCACTTGGAGTCGACTTTCAAATGTATCCCGGACTACATCGTCTACTCGGATGCGAGCGAGTCCGTGCATGGCCTCGATATTCATGATATCCTATCTCAAATTGATGCCGAGATCAAGGATCAGTTTCCAACCGAATTTGCGCTTTATAATCGGCTTCATGGGCAAGAAAGCTCAACATTATCCACCAACCAAGGATGGAAGCTAGATAAATGGAAGTTCTTGCCAATGATGAAAAGCGCACTGGGCGCAAGGCCGAATGCGATGTGGTTTATATTCATTGAAGATGACACTGCTGTTGTGTGGTCTAACTTGCTGCATTGGCTTGCGACACACGATCCCAGTGAATTCTATTACTTTGGACGAAGACAAGAAGTTGCAAACCGACCCTTTGCTCATGGTGGCTCGGGCTTCATACTTTCTAATCCTGCGTTACGGAAAGCAGTGATGTATTTGATGCCTCGAATGAACCAGTACTTTAATCTGACAATGCAAATGTCTTACGGCGACATTTCAACTGGATGGATGCTAGAAGATAGTGGGGTTTCATTGATTGATACCTGGCCCTCATTTCAAGGCGAGAACCCAGGAAAGCTTCAGTATACAGAGCAAATTTGGTGTCGGCCTGTGATGACACATCACCATATGTCACCGCGGGACATAGCATCCTTGTGGATGTTGGAGCAGAGGACCCTCCTTGATAGAAGAGATGTCGAGATGGGCGCAAGTCTTCTTCATCGCGACGTATTCAAAGCGCTTATTCGTCCCAAATTAGTCCCCCAACTTGAAAATTGGGATAACGGACGTGGTGACGAGCGTTTCGCTCCAACTGTTTCGGAATGTCAGGACCTATGCATATCCGATGAAACCTGTGTCCAATTTCGATTCACACCTGAGACTTGTCGGTTGTCTAGTTACGTTAGGTTCGGTATCCCGACAGAGCCTCGATTTGAAATCACGTCGGGATGGCTACCGGATAGAATTGATCGACTTTATGGGAAATTTCAGTGTCGTGAGTAGTCAATATCATCCTCCTGCGAGGGCTTGAATTTTAGAACACATGTATTGTATCACAGGACTAGTTTCTGTATTACACATATATCAATTAATATCAGATTATATGCCTACATACTATCCATGTATGCGATTGATTAGACCCCGTTTGTTTGAAAACTGGTCACCGTCCAACCATTCTGGAAGGAGTACTCGCTGGTCGGAGTACTCCCATGCAATGGCTCATAATGTGTCTCCTGTACACACGCGGGGCTCTTGGCATTATTCACACAGGCCGCCACTACCTTACCAACACCCTGTCCTTCGTACCAAGCTCCCTGTAAGAAGCCAAAGTATTCTGTACTAGTCGCTTCGCCGGCAAAGTACAGTCGACCAACATTTGCACGTAGATTCTGGTGCATTTCAAGAGTGACACCGTATGGCCAGTTGGAGTAGCTGCCATATGCCCATGGCTCGAGACTCCAGCGCGGGTACATGAATGCAATAGGGTCGGGGACATTTTCCGCGCCATACATGTCACGAAGAACTGTCATGACTTCCTCTTTTGTTTTCTCGTCACTCTGGGATTCAGCTCTATATGATTGGTCATGCACGACCGTCACAAAGATAATTCCGGAGCCCTCAAGAAAACCAGGAGTATCTAGAGATTGAAAGACCGGATACCATCCACGCTCTGTAGGATCTGCGTAAAGAAAGTACTGTGTATCCTTGGGCCAAAAGACTTTGTCGGGTGGAAACTGAAGAAATATTTTGGTGTAGGTACCCATATCAAAGACTTCGATACCATCTTGCTTCCAGTCCGGAAATTCCGGCTCAAACGACACAGCGTCATTTTGGAGAACACCGACACTATTTGCGTTACTACTCTGGATTTATTTAAGGACAGGACAGGACAGAAATAGAACGTACGAAAAAGTACAAATAGCGTAGTCAGCCTGGACACAATCGCCATGACTGTCAGTAACCGTCACTCCTGTGTCGCTGTAAGTGACATTTGTGACGACTGTGTTGAGCCGTAGGCGTGAGTCGTTTTTCTTGAGGAATGTGCTAGCCTCGCCGTTGAGCCAAGTGTTGAACCCGCGCTGGTCCCAGACGAAATTATTCACGTTTGACCATTGATAGAAAGATGTGTTCTGCATTCTTAGCCTAGCCTTGGGATGAAGCTTTGTTTCAAGGTGACCTACATAGTTCACGATTCCATATACCAATGAGCTAATATCAGGCTCATATGCGTATTCAAAATCTGGATACACATGTTAGTAAATCTACGAAGCAAGCCAAAGGCTTCACGACCTACCCCATTGCCACCATTCAATGGCTTGCGCCTTCTTGTCTTTTTTCGGTTTCCAACCGCTACGGGTCAGACCAGCTCGCGTGCTGCGATCTTGGAGATTTTCTTTCAGAACTGTCCCTGCTAGCTGTTCCATCGTCGAATATGCATTTTGATAGTCGTTAAAAAGACTACTATAATCGTTGAACCCAGTCTCGTCGTAGGTTAGAATGGAACTGTAGTTGGAATAAGTGTTGTTGACACCATATTTTTGAGCCTTTCCGTCGTATAAATTAGATAAAGTCATAATTCACTATAGAAAATGAAAGCATACCAGGAGCCAAATTGGGTTTTGAGGTCCACCAGGAGTTCCCAAACCCTGGATCCAGTTCGCGCCAATTTCAACTGTCAATGGCTTTCCATCTGCATCTTTTCCGAACGTAGTATGTCGCATACGGCCGCCAATTTCAGAGTTGTATTCAAGAATGATGAAATCCTCCACAGAATTATTACTCAGAGATTGCTGTGCTTGTCAGATTATCGATCATTGAGTCGTGGGCTTTCAACTAGACATACAGCCGCTGTGATACCTGCAACACCGCCGCCACTATGCCTGTCAGTCTCTATGCTATTTTAATGATATTCAAAACATAGAATCATGATACTAACAGAATGGCGACCTTGGTCTTTTTGCATGTCTGGTCCTGCCCGTTGGAAACGGGACTTCCTAGGACCGATACTGCATTTAGCAGCGCAGCTACGGTAATAATTTTGTAGAGCATTTCCTCGTGTAATTGGTAAGTGTAACTATCAATACAAGTCATACAACATTTATTTGTTCTATTCAGGACAACAATACCCCAGATTATATACAGAATTCGCCGATCCCGATAAAGCTTAGGGATAGGCAGCTACGTATCTCGATAGTATTCCAGCCAATAATATTAAAATTGGCATGATAAACAGGCATTTACAGAAGCTACTAGATCTAGAGAAGTAGGTACATGCGACCTACACCAATTTAATTCTCCACTTGCTTATCTCGCAGGTTTACAGTGGCTGGTTTGTTCTGCGTTAAGATTATTATCTAGCGTTTAAAGTTACATCCCGCACTTAATCCACTTAGCTTGCACTCTGCAACTTGGTCATATCAAATGCTTCTATGGGTTAGTTCAAAATGCTAGCCCCCGCTTAGACGTTTGTTAAATTATGATCATCTAAGCTCTAAAAGCGAATGCGGAGGTGATAAAATGTGTGCTATGTGTGTAACCTAAACAGCCTTACGGCCTAATATTTGCTGTTGTACTTTTCTAGACCTGATCAAAATCGGGGCCTTTTTGAATTGTGAATGCGAATATTCATCGATGTATCTGACTTTTATTCAACACAACGAGCTCTCTATTCTTCTGCTCTTCGAACTTGTAGAAGCGATTTTAATGTAGATTAAATAAACTGTTTGGCATTGGTCCTAGGAGCGGTCATTTAAAATTGGTATCACGAGAACAAAAATTATGTTGCACAACATTTTGAAATATTTAAACTTAATATTGAAGTTTTATGGACGCGCACAATATCACGATGTGTTTTGGCCAATTACGCGTTGCGATTGGAAAAGCTGTTGGAATATGATCAGCCTATGCAAATTGGCCGCTGCAAGTAGAACTCTCCCTATTCCTCATTCCAAACATGAAATTGAACCAACAATACTAGAACCCTATTAATTAGAAGTCTATTATCAAGAGATACTACTAAACCCCTCGTTTCATTTTCCTTTGGATTTATACGATTTATGCGGTGGTTTATTGATTCACTTGTTTTGCTTTCATGCCAATTGACCTAAAAACACAGAGCAGACTGTCTATTATAATACAGAACACCAGTTTCCGTTGGTAAACCAACTAAAGTAAATGAGAAATAGGAAAGCGACAAAAATATTTTTGAGTTTCTGTTAAGTTTGTACTATTGTAGTACTTGAAACTAAGCAAAACATCTATGATTCGACCGTGTCGCCGATGAAAGGAGCTATCTCAGCGGTGATAATCACCCAATAAGGCCGGCTCGATGTTATCAAAGCCACTGTAAGCTTGAATGTTTGTGAGCGATGATAAGTGGTGGATCAACCGCGGGGAAATCCATTACTGTATCAAGCAAGTCCACGCGTGATGTTGGGATCCACTCTTCGTCAGTTACTCGATGCGGGGAAAGGATAGCTTCAGCCGTAGTAGCATCGGCGGACATTGCCATTGTTTAATATCATTTGCCTAGAGTTGTTCATTAAGCTGGGCTTTCACCATGTGTGGTTTTATATCTATAGCCTCTCTGAAGAAGCTGCCGGAGAAGTCTTTTGAGATACTCATTGAATCAAGGAATTGTGGAAAATGAAGCCCGGGCTCGACGACGATGCCCAGCTAGCGGCGATGGGTCACCGCGCCGAGCTGCAGCGAAATTTCTCCATGATGTAGGTGTTCCTCTTGCTGACGACTAGGCTTCTTGCATGAACTGACAGCTTCAGGGCAATGCTGGGCCTTGCATTCGCTATTCTCAACGTAAATACCCTTCTTTTGTACTACTCTCTTCAACCAAGTAGATAGCTAACAATTTCATTGCAGTCGTGGACAGCCCTTTCCGCAAGTCTTTCTCTTAGTATCACATCTGGTGGCAGCACGTCGGTCATCTGGGGTATTTAATCAACCGTGTGAATCTTGTTTGTACACCAAGGCTTACCGCAAGTACAGGATGCGTAACAGCTGGTGTCTGTACACTCTGTGTGGCTGTTTCACTAGCTGAGTTTTTGAGTGCTTATCCAACGTGGGATTTTACATAGTATTACTGGGAACAAGAAAATAAGTATGCTGATCGTTGGTAGGGCTGGAGGTCAATATCATTGGGTTGCCGGTATGTCCATTCTTTCACACTGACTAGGGAAATTCTGCTGACTTCGTAATTTCTCGTAGTCGGTAGGTTGAACATATATTCCACAAAAATTCAATACAGTCGTTGATGATATTCAATAAAAAGTTTCATGGAAAAGCTGGCGGCCTATATTGTCCTGGATCACCGGATGGGTCAACTGCGCGGGTTGGGTATGTGAGCCTCATAACCCATGATCAACTACCGATACTAATGACTTCTTCATACCGTAGGTTGCACTGGTGGCAACAAATTGTCTCTTGTCAAGTCAGCTCATTCTCGGTGTCATCTCCCTAGTCCACCCGGTTCGTAATTGTTTGATCCTGTCCGGGTAATTCTCAGTCCCTGATGATATTCAGAACTATGAGTCTAAAAATTGGCATCAATTTTTCATCTACATCGCTTTTACAATCATATCTTTCATTGTTAACGCGTTTATGAATTCGATCCTGCCGCCTATTATGAAGGGTGCATGTACGTCTCTCCTTTGAAATTTGCAATCGGTGCACTCATCAAGACTGTCATAGTCATATGGTCAATTGCAGGATTTGCAGTAGTGTCAATTGCTGTGCTTGCGTGTAAAGCTCAAGGCTATAATTCTGCATAGTAAGTCTGAAGGCTGTTTTCGTGAAGTTAAAGCTAACAAGGAAGTCTTGTCTTTTGTCAATTCATCAACGAAACTGGATGTAGGTTTTACTTTCTAAATGGGCATTTAGGTGGATATGGTGGATATATGTGTTAACTATGTGCAGGGCCTGATGGAATTGCGTGGCTTCTTGGGGTATGTCGAATTTACTCAATGCAGAGAGATTGTCTAATCCTTATCTACAGCTTCTACAAGGGAGTCTCGGGTTAACAGCATTTGTAAGATACGTGTCATTCTAATCAGGCTGAAATATCTTACACCATTTTTAGGATGCTGTTGCACATATGATTGAAGGTAATTCCTGGGTCTTGATCTTTACATAAAGGATGAACTGGTCTAATCTTGTACCAGAAATCCCAAATGCCGCCAAAGAAGGCCCGAAAATTATGGTGTCATGTATCGGAATTGGCACTTTCACAGGCACAATCTTCCTCATGATACTCCTTTTTGTTGCTGGCGATCTGGGACCAGTCACGTCATCTGCAGCAGGTCCACTGCTACAGATTTTGAAAAACGCGACTAGCAACAATGCCGGGGCAATTTGTCTACTTATGTAAGAGCTGATATACTCGTATGGTACATGTGTATAAGTAGAGCACTAATATCGGCAGGGTACCTTTGGTATGTCTCCTAATGGCAACTATAAGTGTCATGACAACGAGCAGTCGCATGCTTTTTGCCTTTGCTCGTGATGGCGGACTACCATTTTCTCGCGTCTTTTCTAAAGTCCATACTGGTCTCGGGCTACCTCTAAACTCGCTTTATCTAACGAGTGCTTTGGTCATTATTTTTGGCTGCATCTTCCTTGGCTCATCAAGGTTTGTTCCCCTGTCATCTGAGAAGTAACTCTGTATATGTTGGTGAAAGGCTGATGAAAGAAAGTGCATTTAATGCAATCATATCTGCCTCTGTCGTTGCTCTCAATGTGTCCTATGGGATGCCGATTGCTGTTCGTTGTCTTCGTGGCAGAGACGTATTACCAGAACGACCTTGGAAAATCCACCCAATTGCTGGATGGGTTGCGGACATTGTACCTTTCCTCAACCCCCCTTGGTTTTATAAGCCGGCTAACCTCCGTGGACAATAGATCGGGCTCTCTTATATTATACTAACAACGGTTCTATTTTTGTTCCCACCGACTTTGCCGGTTGATGGAAGTAGTATGAGTAGGTTCCTGATGCTAAATGAAATCAAGACTCGACAGAAAGTGTGCTAACATGTTTCATCAGATTACTGTGTTGTTGCTTTTGGGATTATCGTGATTATTTCAGCGGTGCAATGGATCATCGATGGTAGAAAGAATTTCACTGGGCCAAGGATTGACGTCACTCTTGAGGGAACAACTGAGTACACCCCCGAGAACGTGACTCATACTGGTGGTAAAGGACTGGATTGACAAAGCTACACCAGTCACTGGTTTAGTAATGGAGATCACTTCGAATGTTACATATTACTGGGGGATCACCTTGGGTATCAAAGATACGGGTCTCCTCGTGCTCCGTTGAGATATGCCAACTTTCTTTGCCAGCATTCCACATTCCAGTCGCTACCCGGGTGAAACATAACAAGCCACACATAAATATAACAAATAAATAGATACATAGTTAAATGGATTATGTAAATAAATTAAAATGAAACTCTTCTTTAGTAGTGGGTAATCTTCTTCATTAATTTTGATAAACCTTCCTCCGAATCGATAACATAATGTCAAGATCTCCGATGCCCTCACCAACTGACTCCTTCCCATCCTCCGAAACAACATGTGCAGCATCAGTGAATATTGAAGCCGTGGCAGTTGGAGTAATGGATAAGTTAGAGTCACCAGAGTCGAACGGGGAGAGGAAGGACCAACCCGTGAAGTCATTCAAGTCCAGTCTAGCCTTACCATCAAGAATATTCAGCCCATTAAAAACCAGAATGTACCATGTACACTCTCATCCCTGGTTTCAAATCCTCTTAATTAGTGGAATATGCTTTTGTTGCCCCGGGGTGCGTTCCTCCTGATGATCCTTGCATACTAGAAGCTGGTGTAGGTGTGAAAGCTGACTTCAAATAGATGTACAATGCTTTGACTGGAATCGGCGGTTCTGGACAGGTTGATCAAACTGTCGCAGCAAATGCGACTGTCGCTCTTCTGTCTGCCATGGCTGGGACAGCACTATTCGTCGTCGGTCCTTTATTTGACAGAGTTGGGCCTCGAGTCTGTTTGCTACTTGGAGCCTGGACATACCCATTATATTCTGGTGCATTACTCAATTTTAGCAGTGAGGTTTCCGTTCCATATAACCAAGCCATCCAGATAAGCTGACTAAAGAAGAAAATGAAAATGGGGCCTTTGTGATTTCAGCAGGCGCATTACTGGGTATTGGGGCCTCTTTCGTCTGGGTTTCACAGGGAGCAATCATGACAACCTACGTTCCTGAAAATCAAAAGGGAAGAGCAATTGCACTCTTCTGGGTTATATTCAATCTTGGGGGAGGTGTCGGTTCGCTGGCAAGTTTTGGTCTTAACTACAAATCCGTCACAGGAACTGTCTCGGATGCAACGTACATCGCTTTGCTTATTATAATGGGAATCGGATGGCTCATGAGTGTCTTCATTTGCCCGCCAGACTCTGTTAGGAAGCCAGCCATCCAGAAAGGTCAACAGAAGACGAACCAGCGAAGAGGCACCAAAGCATATGAGCTTATAAAGAGCTGTTTCAAGATATGCACGGACTGGCGTGTTCTCTGCATGATACCTCTGTTTTTCTGCGCCAACATTTTCTATTCATATCAACAGAATGAAGTCAACGGTATGAACTTCAACATCCGCACTCGATCGCTTAATGGGGCTCTCTATTGGCTTGCCCAAATGTTTGGGGGTTTGTTCATGGGAGTTCTGCTTGATATGCCAAGTCTTACAAGACCCCAACGAGCCTGTGTTGGCTGGGGCTTTTTATTTGCCTCAGGAATGTGCATCTGGGGAGGTGGCTATGCTTTCCAAAAATGGTCCTCATACCGGATCGAAAAGCAACATCATAAACAGGACATTGACTTTACCTGGAGTTCTATGTCGGTGGGTCCAATGTTTTTGTACATTTTCTACGGTGCCTACGATGCCTTCTGGCAATCGTTCTGTTATTGGTTAATCGGGGCATTTTCCAACCAACCAAAGGTCTCGGCCATTCTGGTCGGTGGGTATAAAACCTTTCAGAGTGTCGGTGGAGCAATGGCGTGGAGAATCGATGCTCTCAAGGTTTCGCCCATGACTCAATTTGCTATGAACTGGGGCATGTGTATGGGAGCTTTGGTATGCGTACTGCCTACCGTACTGGCAGTGACATTGACCAGTACGAACGAGGATGAGGCGGAATTTGAGGATAACACTAGGAAATCAGGACAGTTGGCACATGTAGAAGAGGGGGAATCGACAAACCGACAAGTATCTAGTCGTCCTGAACCTCATACGTTGCTCATGGTGTAAGCATGTCATAGCCAGGCGGCCATTCAGTAATTACCAGATATTTCCAACATTTGAGATTAACCTACATATATAATTTAATCTGAGCCCACTTCAATGTTCTTGGAATTTCTCGAGAAACCCAGAAAGCCACCAAAACGACAACTCCTATCGCGCCTGTAGAATTAAGACCAATTACACAATGGAGAATATCTCCTGGTATCCTTAAGCATAGACATTGCGTAACGCACTCTCCATCCAGATTTTATCATATTCGCGATGCAACAACTCGATATGATAGGGCATCGGGCCAGGCCCTTCTTTTGGCCCAGACAAGCCATTGAAGAAGACACTCTTTAGGTAGAAAACAGCCACATCCTGGTCTTTCTTGACATCTACCGACATCTCAAACAAGCCGTCAGATTCGCGAACACCCGTTTTCGATGGCGTATCACCACAGCGTACGATGATCCGGTTGTCCGTCTTCTCGAGGACCTTGAAATGGTCGGTGATCTCAGTGCCCACTTCGTAAGAGGACGTCACGAGGGCGTTTTTAGACCAGAGGGAGGTGCGGGCCGTGTCTGCATTGAGGTATTTTTTCGCCATGTACTTGCGTTGCACGTCATATCCTATTTCACAAAGAAAGAGCAGCATCGAGTCAGACTAGTAGCCAAACGACATGTATGTGGAGGATGCAACAAACCAAACCCGCCCCATACTCCAGCACAAAAGGCTTCGACTAATTTCCCTTTCTTCTCCAGCAGGCGAGGATCAATCTGCGACAAGGGCACTCGGCGAATACAGACGTCACTGAGCACGGCGTTTTGATCTGGATTGAGCTTTTTGTAGGAGGGTGAAGTGAAAAGGTAGTCTGTGGTCGGGAGCGGCTCGACGGTGGAATGGCGCGTCCAGATAAAATGCGCGCCGAGGGTAGCGACACCGCCGTAAATGGGGAGTTTTAGGAAGCGACCGATGATGCCCATTTTGTAGCTATATTTGGTGGCGAGTTCTCGTTTCTGATCAAAGCAAGAAGGCAGAAGGAGGGATGCGTGGAAGAGGATGGCATTGAGGGAACATGGAGATGGGGGTTCCGGGTGGGGTCGGAGCAGCTCCGAGCACTCGGCAGTAGCCCCGTCTCGAGAGACATTGCCAGCGCTGCGAGGGTACTCGTATTAATATTAATATTCACTCTTTCAAGAATCGAATGTCTTTGCATGCTCGTTCAGCCAGATCGTCTCGAATCTCAATGCTGCCAGGAGCATCACTGGTCAAGAGGGAGCGCGCCTCATGATTGGCTCACAGCTCCTGTGGGAACATCCCCCATGTCTCCGGCCAATCACAGGCATCTTTACCTCTTCTCCCTAACAATCATCACGGTATCATCCAATGATTACATCTCTCTTCCTCACCATTATCAAGTAAAGACGCCCTTCAGCCCGCTATGGTGCTCCTGCTTCTACTCCTCTTGCTACTACTGCCGGCTTTGGCTGCTCTTTATCTCGTGTATCGGCCTCCACCGCAGCTCATCCAGTACTTGCAGCATCGATGGCCTGACATCCTCTGGCAGGTGCCCACCTCTGCCAAAGTCATTGCGTTGACAATCGATGACGGTCCATCCATCTATACTCGAGAAATACTGGATATATTAAAGGCGAATAACGCAACGGCTACGTTTTTCATTATTGGTTCCCACGTTTGTGGCCGTGAAGATGTCCTCCGCGATATCATCAGCAATGGCAACGAACTCGGCAACCATGCTATGCACGATGAACCGTCGTTCAAGTTGAGTGACTGTGAACTCGAGTCACAAATACATGCTGTTGAGCAAATGATTCATAATGCTTACAAAAATGTTACTGGGCCTGAAGCAGAAAGCTTCCCGAAATATTTTCGCCCTGGGTCTGGCTTTGTTACTGCCCGAATGCGCAAACTTCTACACCAACTAGGTTATAGTCTTGTGCTCGGCGGAATAGATCCACATGACCCACAAATACCCTTTGCGTGCGTCAATTCTGCGCATATATTGAGTATGGCACGTCCCGGTGGAATCATTATTTGTCATGATGGACGAAGCTGGTCGCCCTCAATGCTGAGAGCCGTTCTTCCAAAGTTAAGGCAGAGAGGATATAAGATTATCACCATTACAGAACTATTGAAGTCCAGTCCTCCATGATGCTTGGTTGGCATCAGTATTTGAGAATACATCATGTTTCTTCGTTTGTATTCAAACCCAAGCTCAGGCTCTGACAATAACGCCGCCCAATGCAGTGCATGCCAGCAAAAGAACCTGAACACTTACTCCAATCAAACAATAACAGTCCAGCCGCTCAATAAATTTTCTCAATACTTGGCTCAACCCATTCGGGGTCGGCGCATTCCACCCCATTTACCCAACCCTTCACTTTTACTAGATCCCACCCACCTGTCCAAACTGACCTTGAGGTCAACGTTACCTCAGGGTCTTTCGGACTTCCCAGTCGAATTGAGCGGACGAAAGTGCATTTTCGCTCTGACGGCTCTTTGCCCCATGAAATTTTAGAGAAGAATGTCCATTGAAAGCATTCGCTGTGGGTATGGCAACCCTCGGCACAAGCTGACGTGTCTATATTAACAGGTGACTCCGGCCCTTCTTCAAATCCAGCCCAATCTGAATTTTGCCAATGCTGGCGTTCTTCGGTTATATTTGCGAGACTAAGGTAGTCCACAATGTCGGCATAAAGCACGGGTAACTGGCTCAGGCCTACATTAGAATATGTGTATTTCAGGAACAACCAAGGGGTTAACAAACCCCTTTAGGCTGACTGTTCAAATATTTCGACGAGGACCTACAGCCCTTGGCCAACTCTTGTGCAGAGTGAGCCCCGGCTGACACCAGTATGGCTTCGCACTTGGTCCAAAAGGAATTCCATGAAGAGGGTGTGGATTAAACATCGGGTACAACCCCGAGAGGAATATACCTTGATTTGCCAGCGCAAACCCGAGCACTGAATCACCGCAGCAGTCGTCCTTTGCTAGCTGTGCCCATTTCTCCGTAATGGAAGGCTCGGTAAAGTTTCCGTGCACATGATCGCGAGTCCTGTGAACAAATTTTTTAATCGCCGGATTACTGAGAAGGATACCAGTGCCACCATATGCAAAATATGTTTTCTTGCCATCGTCCATCTCTCGACCAGGCGATGGGGAACCAATATACGATTCTTTCCTCGCATCATATCGATCTAGCAGGCGGAAAAGCGTGTCTCAGACAATGTACGTATCCGCCTCAACAAAGAAAAACCACCTCGCCGCTTCATTCCGCTCATATGCATATTCCATCATAGGCAAGAACTTGAATCTGTCCAGTAGCCATCCATCTCGTCTTGTGGTAGGCTCTTTCAAGCCATTCATACTGTATATTCTCTCGTAAGCCTGCAAATCGACGTTTTCCTTGTCCCAATACACTTCTGGCAGATCGGAAATGATATCGTGCTCAGGTTGAAACGAAGGGCTCATTTGTTCTTCCTTGTCCGACACGATAATCATATTTGAAACACAATTAGTTATACTATTGACACGCGATAAGACTTGGTCTATCGGCTGTGTCGCTCCGACTTTCAGAACTACCTGGATCTCTGCGAGGCGGTGATGTTGGAAAGTGCGACAGCTGGTAGCTTCTTCTGCAGGCGCGGTCCATTTGAATTCATTCGAAGCGGGTTCGAAGACCAGCGACTCTGGTCGATGGAAAGAATACCAGTCCAACTGGGTGTCCAGCAAAGGGACCACACGACCACAATGAAGGCAATGGCAGGTACCGCGGCATAGTACCAGCGGCTCATCCGTGTCATTATTTTGCGGCTTATTCAGCGTACATGAAGACAATACATCAGCCAACCCGTGTAAAAGTGTGTAAGGATTGCGGCCTGGGGTATTGATGGTGGCTAAATCCTCAATTGATAATTGAACTGGTAGTTATTATGGGCCACGCTATTCAAGTCAACTACTATCTTTTCCCTCCGTGCAGTGTTATTATTGAATGTTGTTGAACAAAGGATGGCCAATATAATATGCGGCGGAACGCTCGGCATCAATAATTGACTCGGTAGCCTTTGTCATGTCCTTCTTGCAGCTTCCGTTAACAACTACGCCGATTCAAAGAAACGGCACAACTTTGAGGACAGCGACGGAGTCTCAAGTCACAAGGTATTCAACCTCACGAAGCACTATTCCATGAAAATACGACTATACTCAAGGCAAGCTAGAAATGAAGCTTAATTCTACGTTTGGATCTAGGCCAATCCCAGACCAGAAGGACCAAATTATCATGTCTAAGTGGGTTAAAATGCTACAGCATACCCATTGATATTGCGGAATGAACGCCATTGGTTAGGCCCGTTACTTTCCGTCTTGGCGGGCTGCATGATGTAATTGTAGCTTGATAACTAGGGGTTATGTGCCCGAATATTCTATAGCTTTCTCGATTTCATGCAGCATGCTTGTCTCACGTCATTCTCGGTGTATATCTGTTATTAAAGAGTCGATGGTGTTTGATCAACCGAATTTGAATATCGTGTCGCTTTCACGTTGATATTTGGAAAGGGCGTCAAATCATATTTCTCGATGTGACATATTCATAACTGATATATGTACTTGACGTAAAAATTGTGGAAATTGATTTTTTGCCGAAGATTTTACGATGGCTAACATCAATTCAGAGCTCTCTGTTTCCTTGGGTTGTGCTGGTCCTCTCCTGTTCCTCAAGCCGGGATTTTTCTCGCCACGCATACCCCCATTTATATACAGCCCACATAATCGGACTGAAAAATATCCACAGGAAAGCAATAAAAGTTGCTGTCCAGCCTATTCCAATGCGATCAATCAATGGCGCTGCTATTGCAATAGCCCCGGCTCCAACCAGGCACCTCCATAGATTATTTGCTGCCACTGCTGTAGCCGGACTTTGACGATGAGTGTCAACAATCAATGTATTGAGCGAGCTAAAAGCTCCTGTAATGCAATGGCCCATGAAAAAGAGCGTCACCATTGGTCCGGCCAGTGACGTTTTGTACTCCATAACCCAACCATATGCGATAAGACATAAGGCACCAATGTACACCAGTGGAATTGTAATGGTCAATCTAGCAATTTCAATATTGAATTTCTCAATTTCTTGTTGCCTGTTTTTCACAATGGGTAGTCCTTGGCGCCTGGCTTCTCTCTTGAAGTTCTTATCCAGCAGAAACCCCACTGTCCATCGGGAAGTTAAGCTGCCGAAGCCCAGTGGAAGGTAACATAAGCCAATTTGAATGGAGTTGAAATCGAAGCGAAGCTGTAGCTCGGATGTCAGTGTGCTCAAGACAGACATGAATCCAGCATATAAGAGTGAGCCGTATATCAAAATAAAGAAAGCTTCCTTCTCTGTCGCAATCATAGCGGAAGCTAGAGGATTTGCACGGCGTTTATTCCTATTCTGTAAAGTGTCATAATTTGGCGGCCCAGTGAACATCTTTTGCGGGCATAAATTACTTTTCACGACTTGATACACGGAACGATTCCACTTAGGAGCCGGCACGGAACCATTTCCAACTACTGCCCGGCATGTTTCAGGATAAATAATAGCAACTGTTGCCCCGAAGGCGCTGGACAGAATGACCAGAAACCAAAATATCCATCGCCAGCCAAGAAAGTGGTCTAACAAGCCTCCAATGACCGGTCCCAAGGCTGGTCCGAGTGTAACACCCATTGTTGCATAACCAATATATTTTCCTCGCTCGGCTCGGGTTGATAGATCAGATACGGTTGCACTGCCGAGGGCTATGGTACCACTACTCCCCGAGCTTTGCAGACAACGGAGCACCATGAGGGCCGCATATGATGATTGTAGCGCCAACCCAATATTTGCTGCTATGTAAATAGTAAAGCATATCAAATATGCAGGGCGTCTGCCGTGTATATCCGAAAAGTTTGCAATGAGTGATGGTGCAATTCCTTGCAAGATCTGAAGGATTATATTAGCCCACATGGTATGACGATTTGATATCTAGCTTTAGACCTCACCAAGTATGTCGTAACCGTTAAATTGATCAAAGTAATTGATACATTCAAGTCTTTCGCAATATTATTGATTGCTGGGAAATAGATACTGCTGGACATGGGCGAGATGATGGCGGCGAAAGAGGCAAGTATCATTAGGGTTACCTTTTCACGCTCGGGTAAAATGCAGTATGGAGCATTTTCAATGGAGTATGTTTCCACTTCCTTTGCATTATGTTGGAGTTCGGAATGTGCAGCTTCTTGTACCGAATCAGGTTGTATATTGCCGCTTGTCTCTGGTTGTTGTGTATCCTTTTGTTGTTGACTGGGGATAGTCTCGATCATTTCTGCACGCTTCTTGAAGAGTAGCTTCAGCTTCTTCGTCCCATGAATAATCACAATGGACTTATTTTGCCCTGTTGTATCCTTCTCTCTCTTTTTATAATGAATGGCATGGCGGTGTAATACCGGTCCCGGCTATCGTTGGCCGAAACCGGCAGAAGCCTGCACGGCGCAACGATGCAATTTCTACAACTCAAATGTCAAGACTCAACATGATAACTGGCCAACATTCATTTATTTATTTACTCAGTTTCCACGACCGTACCGAGCTTCTGAGTCATGACAGTTACGAGCCTGTGAGTTCTAGGGGATTAAGGCGCCAGGCATCAATCATCCTTGTCGCCTGCTCCATATGGCGCCTATATACTTTAACTTTACTCTTTCCTCGTACGGGCGTCACACGCAGTAATAGACCGCTTACAGCTGTTACCCTTCAGCATATATTTTCTTCGCTACATTTTGTATATTAGGTGATTGTGATTTTAGGAGGGGTTCTGTGCTGTCATGCTGGTAACATATTAGAGGCCCTTTGATCGCAGAATGAATAATTAGAAAAATCATACCTTCAACTGATGTTGGTCTCATAATTTAATAACCCCTGAAGTGAATAGAAATGGAAGCCAAGAATCATCATTGAATAAACGAATTAATAAGACGGAAAATTTACCTGAGAGATCTATATTTGGTAACCGTGTAGCCTAATTAACTAACTAATATCATAGCGCTGATATCATCATAGTGTTGGCAAGAAAAAGAAAACCCACAGACGCAGACGCGCAATGTTTTCGAAAGGGACGATCCAATCAAATCGTAAGCCAAGCCTTGCAATCACAGCTGTTCTCAAGTGCTGAATTGACTGGCCAAGCTAAGCATAACTCCGATCCGCGCACGGACAAGGAACCAATCATGACTCGCGTTTATTTGGCTTGTCATGTAGATGATTGTACAAGCCACAATCGTCGGATCGGAGATAATTAGATCGAAACAAAATGCAGGTAATAAGGATGCCTAGATGTGCCATATTGAGGCTTTGATGCTGACTTCAGAGCTTCGGGCATTTATTTTTAGTCATCAATATTGTTTAAGTTTGTATCAATTCAAACCGTGCACTCTCGGTCAAGGGTATAAAGATACTCTATCCGACTTTCATTTTGGCGGAATACAAAGAAAAGAAAATAAAGCCAATTCATCAATTAGCCAAACATTCCATTCAAAGTATTGATATTCTTTTTCAATCAGCCGTACCGAAAATCTTTAACGCATCATGAGCAACACGAATATCACGCTTTTCGAGAACCCAGATCTCTGCACACTATCAACCTGCCCGCTTAGCCTAGCCAATGTCGACTACGATCCATCTCTATGGGGCAATCTTTTACTTCTAGCACTCTTTGGTGCTGTTATGATTTGCCAAATTGGCATGGGCATTCGCTATAGAACATGGAGTTATCTCATCGCTATGACAGGGGGATTGATTCTTGAGGTTATTGGATATGTTGCGCGAGTGCAAATGCACTATAATCCTTTTACACAGAATCCTTTCCTGATGTAAGTTTCCGCAATGTGATTATGCTTTGAATTTTTAGATCAGTTGGCTAATTACTAAATGCAGGTACCTAGTTTGTCTGACCATTGCGCCTGCATTCCTATCGGCAGCAATTTACCTCTGCCTTTCCCGCATTATCATCGCTTACGGGGAATCGATATCCTATTTCCGTCCCCGAACCTACACTGTTCTATTTATCACCTGCGACATCATTGCATTGCTGCTGCAAGCTGCCGGTGGCGGAATTGCCTCAAGCGCAAATACGAAAAGCCTCACAGACATAGGAATTAACATCATGGTCGCTGGTGTATCATGGCAAGTATTCAGTCTTGCATTATTTGGCGCGCTGTGTTGTGATTTCGTCATTCGAGTTCGCGGAGCCCCTCCATCCAGTCTTAATGTTCAGTTTGAAGATCTTCGCAGAAGAAAGTCGTTTTATTACTTTATATTTGCTCTGGTTGTGGCCACGGTCACGATATTCGTTCGTTCGGTTTTCCGCTGTGCTGAGCTTTCTGGTGGATTCCATGGCCCATTGGCCAATGATGAAGTCACCTTCATGGTTCTAGAAGGTGCAATGATTTCTATTGCTGTTATTGCATTAACAGTATTCCACCCAGGGTGGGTGTGGAAAGAACTATGGAGCCAGGCCGTGTGGCATTTGAGATCTAGTAATGACGGAGATATGGAGGAGAAGGGACCCTCTACTTAGCTATGATTTCACACAAATATTTTTCTTCATGTTTAGAGAGCCTGAATAGAACTGAGTTTATTTTAGATTACTTGACCTTTACGGTCTGATATAGATAATATATCAACAGGATGAATGAGTGATACCCAAAGGATAAGCAAAGAATAATTGTATTAATGAGAGCAACCAATATAGTTCAGACGCAACCCGATTAATTATTAAGCGAATCGCTGTTCTTAACAATTTCTTGGGATTATTCCGATGCCATCGTCGGGTGTATGATACAAACACTTGAGGGAAAGTCGTGAGGTTCATACGCATTTTTGAATTATGAAATTTTGTGGCTATAGCTCGCAAGTTTCATAACCTGTTAATTACTAGTTCAAAGTTGTGTGTAGTTAATAGACTAGGCTGAATTAACTAGCAGGTAGTAATATATAGACCGATTCTATGGCCAGTTAGTAACGCAAAGAACCATAAATCGGCAGGGGAAAGTCGGGGAAAGATGAGACATACGGAGAAGGGTTGAAGTCTTGGAAGAAAGTTAGGTTAGTTGACCCGGCATTCTCAATCTCGAAACCGATGCGTTCACCGGCAGGGCAGGTAAAGGAGGCGATATGATACGAATTACCCGGCGCAATGGTGATTTCACCAAAGTCATGTTCCACTGACGGGGCATTGTTGAATGTTGTGGACTCGGTGGCAGGGGAGCTGAGCTCAGAGATATCGACTTTTCCATCCCCACTAAATGTGAACGAGGATGTCTGCAACTGTGATTGTTCAGGAAGTAGGAATATCAAGCTGCACGACTTGCCAGAATCAGAGCCTGGAATATCAAAATTAAAGATGCTCGAAACGGTGGTGCTAATTTCTCCGTTCAGTTGGCTACCAGTGGCGGTGTTCGGGGAAGCCGAGTTGATTGGCACAATTAAGTGAGGGAATTCGAAGCCACCACTGGATAAAGTTGTCGGGCAAGCAGTTCCACTGCTGGTTGGGGAGCTTGATGGTTTGGATGAGGAGGGAGCGCTGGAGGAAGAAGCAGTCTCAGTAGGCGGGGAAGGGGCAGAGGAAGTTCCGCCATGTGGAGGACCAGGAGAAGATGAAGTGGAATGTAAGGTTGGCTGAGCAATGCTGCTTTCTGAGATAGCGCATACTGTCTCAGTGACGGTGACCACAGTGACAGAGGTGGCCGGAGGTGAGGGTGGTGCAGACGAAGAGGAGGGGGCCTGACATCCATTGGCCGTCAGCGTCACATCCACGCACCCAGTGACATCGCCGCTTGGAGGGTTAGAGTAGATGTTGAATGAGCCATTGTCTCCAGTCTGGCAGGCCTTGAAATTGATGTTTCCGTTAAACTCCAGTTCCCCGGACGAGGAAACGGAGAAGCCAGGTGTACCAGTCGCACCAGTGTCACACTGCAACTGAGATGTTGGAGCTGTATATTTGTATCGTATCAGAATGAGAATCTCAATGTACTGTCTATTGACCTACGTGTGAGTATGCACGCGCGCCCATTGTTATCGGTAATTACCCCGCTGGAGTTGATGCAAAACGTTGCGGGAGGCAGACCGCCACCGATACGATTTTGCCCATCGCTCAACTGACCAACAGAGCCCGAAGTACCACCTGAAGCTGTAACTTCGAAGCAGCAAGTATCCCCTCGGATAGCAAACGCATTGACCCCGGCAGCCAAAACAGCCACTGCTGCAAGGTAATTCATATCTTCAACGAGTGAGATGGAGGACGACAATTAACGAGTGATTCCTTCTGCCGTCAAATCAGCGTTCATTCGCAGTTTCGAACATCCTGGGCTACAATAGGACGTTTATATAAACGAATGTAAGCATCATTATGGAATAATATCCGACGTCATGGACCAACAAGTTCCACGGGGGTAGCCTGAGGTGAGACATCTGACACATCCATGCTACACACGGAGCTATTACCCAGGGATCCAGAGGCTTGATCCGACCGATCCGTCAGAGTCGAGTTTAGGCAACGCATGGTCCAAGCTGCCCTGAACCAGGCAAAGAAACACCAGAGCCCCGACCTCGTGGAGTTGACACGTTTGCACCACGTCATGCTAGAGATAGGATGATGACGATCATGACGTGTCAACACAAAGGGCACACATAATATTGTAGCCGCGAGGAAACCCGCTGATGTACTCATAATGATGCGTGTTAGTAATGGATGTTTGTTGTTCTTCTTGAGGGGGATGCAATCATCTTGATGGATGCCGGCCAATCAGCGCCTGGAAAAGCAAGACATGCAGTGGCGACTTATGTATGTTCCATGGGCCCACCAGCCAGATCCAGACAAGTCCTGGCTCTTGGCAATGGATTTATATGCACCAGTCAATGGTAGCTATTAATTGGTGACCCGTATCTACTATGGTTGGTGGATTGCGAATAATAGTGGGACCATATATGGAGACCTTTTAACAGACAACCAATCGGGGCAGCCCTGTATTGTGCAGATGATATAACTTCCAGAACTACCAATGGGAGGGACAAACAAACGCCCGGAACGCACAGGTACTATCGAATAAAACGGATGTCGGATGTTGTGTGGGTGGTGGCCCGTGTGTTCGACTTTGGAGGTGATGTGCTTACAGCCATGGAATGAATGCTATACAGTTTCCTGGAATAGAAACATGACCACAAACACAGATTATCGATATCCTGATAACGTATCCCTATTTCGATACTCATCTGACTTTTTACGTCGTTTTCTATCTGATATTTTTGGGGTGGTTACAAAGTAAAGAGGCTTGGTACTGACAGGCCGGTTCGTTTGGCCACGAGGAGGGTGGCCGGGCCTTGCCGGCCCCTATCAGAAGTGAAATGCATTTGAACGTTTAGGCACTAGTTCGGTGCACATGGTGCGTCCAATTGGGGGTTCTGGCCCATAACGGTCCCCTTATGCCCACTAAAGCGAGACCTTCATAGCCTAAGGCTGGGCAAGGCCGTTAAAATTGATGATAATAATATGAATAAAATATAATAATTCAAATATACATACATGCTGCATTTGACTCATCGATTGATTATTAGATGGAATATACTTCATCGAGTCGAATAAAGGGCCTCAAGTCCTACATGTACTAAAGATAATCATCTAGATACAGTCGCTTGATAGAGCCCTCAGCTTAATAGATCTCGCCTTACCAGTCTGTGCAATATGACTCCGCGTGCCGACCTCGACATCATCAAATGGTTCTGGCGGCGGACTTGCAGCTTCTGCTCTACGTAGAATTTGCTCTGCCTTCAAGAAATGCTTCCCTGGGTGAGCCCAGCTTAGTAGAAAAGTATATAAAAGCATGGGTACCGCATCAAAAACCCAAAAGAACACTTCCTGCCTCCAGATAATTGAATCTGACGGCCTAAAAAGCTGCACAGTGCGGAAAGTATCCCTGATAAACAGGATGATAACAAAGCCATAAATATTAGTTATATCATCCTGCGTGTTGTTATCGAGCTGGGAATGGCCATATGTACGTAGGCGATAGTGAAATACGAGAGTTGTAAGACCGACAATACCGACAAACAACAGCTGAATAACCAGGCTTATTTGGAGTAGTACGAGACCGGATTGTATTGAACCGGAATTCACAGTCGTACTAAAAAGGTTCGACGTCCCCTGTGCCGATAGCGTTATTAGAGTCGAGAATGTGAGTGATACGAGGATTGCGAAGGTTTTTTCCGGACGTATCGTGAAAATGGTTACATAACAGGGGAGAAGTTGAGAAAAGTAGATATATAACGAGGTCGATAAGATCGGTCTGTAACAAAGGATCAATATTCTGAGTGTTTAATTTCTTTTTCAAACAGAGTAGATTGTCTTACACGGCAGTGAATAGAAGTCCCTGCATTGCAGTATAAACATCACTACCAAGGTGATGTGCTCCATACTCGCGACAAATGAAGCCGGCGACAAAAATGGCACAAGACGGTGGAACCACCCAGGTGAAAATCCATGACCGGTATTTACTAAAATCCCCATTTAGTCAAAATACAAATTAAATCTGTTTATTGAGAGACATGCATTGTCTGCCATGTGTGCATAATACCAGAGGCGGCAAAAAGAACGGTGAATACCGCAGAGACTCCCTTTGTGGGATTATCGATATACCCCGGTACGTCATCTGTAGTGTCAGAAGTATTTCTAGTTCAAGTATTAGAGAAGTAGGATACATACTGATGAGCGGCATCCTGACCTAGAGGCAAAGTATAAAATTAAGCTGTCCATATACGATGATAATATAACTGGTTACCTACTGTGATACTGATATAAAGCAATATATCGCCGGATTCTTCTTGAATATGAAGCTTGGGTTTTTTCACAGATGGTATGGGGTGTTCCCAGTTTATACATGTGAAGGGTAAGAGTGCTGTGATAGTGAGGCTGAATAATGAATACGAGGCCGCAACGGGACTCGACCGTATTCAGAAAAAAACTCGTATTCACGCAGTTTAAGCTTTTGCCTCCCGCCCCAATGTCAATACAAAATGAAATATTAAATCTTATTGTACGCAAATTAAATTCAATAACGTCTATTAAGTTGCAATAATAACCGTTATCATTTGAAAGAATTTCTCGTTCTATCGGTTATACTATAAAATAGCATTTGGTGCCTAACTTGTCTTATTATTTTTTAGAATACCGCCGATAAATATGGTTACAGAGTCCGTTGAAACATCAGTGAGATTAGAATTGGCGTATTGATTTAGAGAAATGTGTTGAAGAGGCTAAAATAGCCGTCGAGGAACTTTATTGCGGATTATACCTTCACATCCAGTCAGCACCGGAAACGAGGAGTAACCTCGAGCTATTCGGTGTCATTATTATTCAACATCGGCCAGTGGTAAACTTCAAATTCAAATTGGAGATAATAAGAGATAGCTATTTTACCGCCATAGTAAGTCAGAATGGTTCGAAGTTGATAGAAAACTTACAATATATACACTGAGACCAAGAAAATCTATGTAGATTATTATTTAAAAAAGAAGAAGAAAAGAAGAAGCAAAATATATTATAAGAAGATATATTTATGGTGATATTAGCTATATCAACATTGAATTACCGTAGTTAATACGCATGTATCCTTCAGAGACATATAAAAGGTTCTGACAAGTTAAGTCTGAATTTGTCTTAGTCTATATATTACTTGAAAAGTTAACTAAAGACCCTGTTGTCTAATAGATAACCTTAATGGCAGATATAAATTTATTAGGGCTCACGAGTTGATTTCCTGTTTGCATGGCGTCAAATGTTATGTATGGTGGTGTGAATAACATCAAACATTTGAAAAGAGGGGTGGGTTTGCATATTCAAGGACAATAAGGATGAATATGTTACTTGCTGGAAGAAACAGCGTCGCAACATTAGACCACAATATTAAATGATAATCACATACACTGTAATATACTCCGTTTCGAATATATTATACTGTAAGATGAATTTACTTCAGACATCTTTGTAGCTTTCTAGTCTTTCAGAATGCCTCGTCAGTATTTGCAAGTAACCGTGACCTCCCTCCCCCGAAATTAAGAAGAAGAAACATATTTGTGTTTGTAATTAATTTTCTTTTGAAAGAACTGAAAAGCAAAACTAATAGAATGGCTTAGTGATAGAGAGCTCTATGTTGTAACGTGAAAAATCAATTTGTTAAGCACCCCCACGCTCAAATTGCTACCTATGGCATCGGTAATAGCTTTTCTCCGGCTAATATTTGAAATAGATCTCAAAAGAAATTAAAAATACGCAAACATTAGAATGGAATGAACGGATCCAATTTCGTTGGTAGTCTTCTCAACTGTGAGCTATCAGGTAACAAATCAGTTTAAATGTTCCAGATGTCATTTGACTCAAAAAGATGATAGCATCTCAACGCCCATAGTATGACTAGGTAGCCAAGTAGACCAGTATTGGCTCTTAAGGCTGACTACATATACTCATTGATTTGTGTTCTTTGTGTTGTCCTAAGAAATTCTTGACAGGTACAACCGCAGACAAGGCCGACAGGGGTGCCGAGACAACCTGGGTTAGGCTTCATTTGCTAAGACGGCAATTTCCTAAAAGTTGGATCGGTTCTTGGAAACGACACTACAGATGCACCACAGGCAATTATGGCTCAATGTTAATACTAACATGGGTATTAATACAGCCGTGATAGACTACATATATATACAGATGCAGTGTGATATGACTAATTAAGAATGATAAAAGAAAAAGGTTTCCATTAAATTCCTGACATGACCAGAACATGACTAACATCTTCACCAAGAGGAAAGCCCGGTGACTGTGTTGGAAGATGAAGGTAGCACTGCATGGAATATCTTGTCAAGGGTAGTGGCTGGTCGATGTAACCATCGAAGTTGCGGGGAAATTCAGCCTGCCACCGGCCAACAGTAAACTCTGTGGACCTAAATGGTTGATTTATTATTAATAATATTATTAAGATGGTGACATTGACATCTGATGTCAAAGCCTACCAATATTGGAAGAAGCCACGAATATATTCTCACAACTGCATAGAAAACCTAGATCTCGTTACAATACAAGGCTGACGAAGAAATGCCACTAAAGTTCATAACTATCCTTATAACGTGAAACACTAGTGGGATGATTTTTCTGATCGAGACCGCTCCATGGTCAAACAATAACTCGCAGATCGAAATAGATCAACTGGGACACTAGCGAAATGTCTTGCACTTATTTTCCTGTCAAATAAGACATCAATCTCTGCTGGAGTGCGGCCCTTGGGCTCTGGAAGACGCAATAAGCTCCATGCGAAGCAGAGGAGACAAAGCCCCGCCCAAATAAAGCCACCTTTCCCTTTAAGATTCCAGGCAGTCGGGTTTAAGATCGGGGGGTTGAGAAAGTTTGCACCAATACTGGAAAGATTGTAAGCGTTACGAGCCAGTGTTGCGGTTTTTATGCGCAGCCGTGTTGATGGAATCTCCGAAACAAGGCAGTACCCAACAGGACCCACAGTGATGTCGTAGGCAAACACATAAATCATCATTAAAGCCACAGAGGCATAGTTGATTGCCGGAGTGTTGGTAGGAATTGCCAGAAACCCGATCATCGTTAGCACGATAAGCATTACCCCCAAGCCGTAGACATACAGCGATCGTCTTCCGACACGCTGCATTACCAACCATGAAGAAATGGTGCCTATCCAGGCTATTCCATTCACCCCAAGGCCGAAGGAGAAAGATTGATTGTTATCAAAGCCTACTTGTTGTAAAAAATATGTCACGTTACCTGCAAATGAGATACCGCAGAACACTTGAATCATCCATACGCAACAGGTAATTTCTGTGCGTCTTAAATCAACTCCTTTGAAACAGTCTAGATATGAAGTTCCACGCCGAACAACCTTTTCCTGTGCATCTGTAAGAATTATTAGGGCAATGGCGTCATCAACGTCGTAGCCACTATCAGCCCTAGCCGTTGCCGACGATAGCCGTAGAAGTGAGCGTCTCGCTTCTTCTTCGCGACCATGTCGTACCAGCCACCATGGCGACTCAGGTGCGAACGATACACCCACAAGTATAGGAATAGGCCAGGCCCATTGAATGGCATAGGGAATACGCCAAGCCCATTCATCAGGCCGACTGAGAAAGCCCCTGAGCACCCCGGCCGAAATGAACTGGCCTGTAACCCAGCACAAATTGACATACGTTGTCAAATACGGTTTGAGCACAACTGGGCTGACGTCCGCAGCATATGTCGTGGTCAAAATCTGGAACATGCCCCAGGGTAGCCCGCAGAGGAATTCTCCAGCAAAGAGCATTTGGACATTGGTAGCGAAAAAGAGAACAAACACAAACCCAATGACTAGGGTCAGCGCGGTGAACATAGTTCTCCTATAACCAAATCGATCGGCTATGGCGCCGGCAAACATTAGGCCAAGGATCTGACCTGCCTGGGTGCCGTTCTGTAAACCGGATTGCCAAGACGAAGTAATCGAGTAGGTCCCATTGACCAATTTTTCTCCAAACCGCCTTTGAAACTCTGGATATGCATACAAAGAGGAAAGTAGTGATGTATCATAACCATCCATAACTATGGCTAGCGAAAAAATGAAGGAAAAGAAAATCGCCTTTGGATAGAGCTTGAAGGCAGTCAGATTGGTCATTTGGTGCTCAAAAAGAGCGGCACGACGAGCTCGCTTGATCATATCGGAAAGGTTTGGGACGAGATTTGACATGAGAGCAAGATGTTCATCGTCAAATCCGATACTGTCTGTTTGCAGGCCCGTGGATGATGCCGAGAGCTCCTGCTCTATAGGGTGTGGCTGAGCCTTTTCATCCATCTTTTGTGATTGATGGTCCAGAATATGAAAGGATGCCATCGGATAATGGCTAGGGATTTGTATATAACACTTTTATTTGAGGAACAGATTGTTGACGTTTGATCATCCAAATAATGTGGAGGCATATCATATTCATACCTACATCTCTCGAAATTGGATAAATCGTCCCCCACCTTGTCATATGGTATGCGTTATTGTTGGCCGACCAAGGTGCCAATCTGTATTTTGTAATGCGGTTTCGGATAATAGAACAGAATGTGAAAATTAAAATCATAAACCCGAGTTATTTTCTTTTTCTGTTTTGAATTCCAACCCCCTAGAGCTAGAACGTGGTGGTGACAGTGGGGATTTACTCGGTGTTAACTCCATGCATGACCGTTGACTTGAAATGTTGGAGTGGCATGTGCCAAGTGCTTTGAATAAATGGGGGAAACTCAAGAGCTGCTAGCAGGGAATCCCCAATCAGATATGGGCTAATCCATGGCAGTGGCAACCTGCAAATCCGCCTAGAAGTTTTGACGAAAGCTTTGAGTTTTCTGGTGTATTTCACAAACATCCTAGCGCCCTTGGCGTCTCAATATCTGTGGGGGCCTCGTCTTCCTAGCCGGAGTACGGATCCCCAAGGATCAATAATCATAGTCCGCACGCTATATAAGTTCGGGATCAATGCGCTATTAATTACATTCAAATTTGGCTTTCGACAGTCACACTAGCTTTTGCTCAACCAACAGCCCCATCGGTGAAGCCGTTGCGGACTGGCTGGCTTTTGCTCGACTTCGCTGTGCGTCGTATCTGTGTAGAACCATCCCCATAATGATCAGGCGTCACTATTTCGTGGAAGGCTGATGTTCAAAAGGCTCGGAATATTTAAACTTTCTCATAAACAGATAAATGGGCTTCATAAATCATCCTTCGACATCTATTTGATCTGCTCGGACCATGTACTATTGGAGTAATGTGCCCCAAGCTTTTCTCGAAACCGCCCCATGGTGCGAGTTGCACTGATACTCAAGCCACATCATGTCGGTTGATTGAAGATTGGTTATTAGCTGCTTCAGGGAAGAGATCCTAAGCGTCTTTCAAAGTAATTAACTTTCTCTGCTGGAAATAACAAATAAATGGGGAATTACATCACTGTCATAACAGCGTCAGGAGGCGTGGCTATTGTAACGTTATGTATACCAAGCACGGAAAATAATGTGGTAGATCTGCCAAGCCTATTAGAGAAAATCAACTCTTAAAATAGCTCATCGGGTTGAGCCAGTGGCCATGGGTTAGGGTGCGAGACCTGACCCATCCCAACATTGTAAGTTTGTATTAGTATGTATCGGGCACTACTGTAAGACGGAGGATTTACTAAACCAAATTACTACGATTCTTCGACCCCCTGAAACAACCTAAGTGCAGCTGTTTGGCGCAACACTCCGTGATTACACTGTATTAGAGCGCTGTCATTGGAGAGCATGCCTATCCTTGTCAATAGGGAAGCCACATTCTTACTTCTGTATGGCTTGTTGGACATTAAGGTTCCCATCTACCCAGCCACTCACACGCTGCCGTGGTGACTTTCTTACAGAACCTTTCGGATGTGTACTACAGAATATCAGACATGTTCTTTGTTCATGGCGGCACTGTACATCGATCGTCACAGTCCCGCCACTATCAACAGGATATACCACAGACATATTTGCTGCATTATTGTTATGGTTGCGTTTTGATTGTGGCTTATCAAGCGATGTATTACGCGTAACATGATTTTGAATTTCCAAAAACATATGGCTGATGACGTTAAGCGCGGTGCCAGATAGCTCTGTAAGGGAGCGTCAGCTGTCCACCGTGATATAGACGCATACTAATAGTAGGAGGGAACACTAGCTGGGTATTAAGTGCTCTGTAATTCATTGTTGGAGATGAATACTCCGATATAGGGCCACTAACACTGTCTTTCCGTGGTGTGCACTCTTAAGCCCGGGGACCCCTGGACGCATGAATAACAGATGACGACGCTGATAGATATGGACTCGACTGGCTGCTACCCGTACAGATCAATTATGTCCAAGTTTCACATTACAGATACTGCATTCGTTTCGAAGTCTAAACTTTGAATCGGATAGCAGACACTAGAACCAACTAAACATGATTAATAACTCTAAACTGCAACTACTAGCACGTGGAATTATAGTCTCGAGTAGCCAAGGTGCGAGAATCGGCCAAAAGGGTCTCGAGCAAAGGGTAGAGTACCACATCATCCAATCCGAGAGCATGCAGCTCACCAACAATTACCACCAACGGTATTTCCCGGTCAATAGTCGAGCGGATTCTGGCTTTAAGATCTAGTTCGATGTGGGCTTCACGCAAAAATGTCATGATGCGATCGTGGGGGTTGAATGTGTCGAGTTGAGGGTCGGCATCCCCGACACTGACAACAAGACTTTCAGTTATCTGGTGAGTGCCCAATTTTAAGACTAATCCATTGTCTACTGGCTCTGGGGAAATCTGTATCTCTGGTCCCTGTCCCACAGAAAACCACGGGGACACAGATGAGGAGTAACGACCGATTAAGCGAATTGTCCAGTCTCGGGTGTTTGTTTTGTTAAGTCCGAACGTTGGCGACGAAACAGTTGGACCGATTGTTACTTGACCTGAGTTCTGCTCAAACCTGATAGGAGTTCGCAAAAAGTGGACGTCGTCAGCTGTCTGGCCTTTCCCATTATCTTCTACCAGTTCAAAGTATCCATCTGCACCCACAATAAGGAGAATCTCGATACCATCTGGGTTTTTGCAATTATTTCCAGGCTCTGATGCTACATCGAGAGGAATAATGGCCCCTTCGGAGGCAAATACGGGGAATTCTGACAATTTACGGCTCAGCCAAAGAAGCCGATCACTATTGTACACGATGCCAGTCGAGATATCGACTTGTCGTCGACCGGGAGGAAGCCAGGCGCGTGTAAGAGCCTGTCTGGACGTGGGGTTTTCAGGTGATGTGACTGGCACCACCATGAGTTCAGATCCAAAAAGATACTGATTGGGAAATTCATAAGCCTCTTCGCGCTCCGCATACGCCCAGTACATGGGCTGCACAAGAGGTAGCCCCTCAACAGCAGCCCGTACGTTCATTGTATACAGATACGGTATAAGGCGATGTCTCAGTCGGAGAAATTCCGACATAACGCTTTTATATTGAACGGGTAAGTTCCATGGCTCTTTGATATTCCAAGGATTATTGGACGAGTGAAGTCGAAGGATGGGAGAGAACGTGCCGTACTGCACCCAGCGGACCAAGAGCTCGTTATCTTTCACTCCATGCATGTGTCCACCGATATCGTGGCTCCACCATCCAAACCCAATGTTGGAGGCGGAAGCAGTGAATTCAGGTTGAAACTGCAGCGATTCCCACGTCACAATTGAATCGCCGGAAAATCCAACTGGGTAACGGTGACTTCCCGGACCAGCATAGCGAGAAAATGTGAGTGGGAGCTGTCCGTTTTGCTTACTATCCAAGAACTGAAAGTGGTTGAGAACCCATAACGGATCAACGCCTGGGATACGAGAATGCTTGCCTTGTTGCCAATCCACCCACCAGAGATCGATTCCCTCGCTCTCAAACCTACGATGAAGAATATCGAAATACGCATCCAGAAAGGCACGATTTGTGATATCAAAGGGGATGGGATCACCATGGGATGTGTCGTGGTTCAACACCTTGGCCATCTCCTCATAAGGGTCTTCAAAGCTCTGGACACCATCGGCAGGATGGTCGTTAAGCGAGATGTGTAGACCACGCTCGTGAAGCTTCTTCATGAACGCGGGTGGGTCAGGAAACAATTGCTTGTTCCAAGTATAACCAGTCCACCCGGTCACACCAGCCTGGGCAATGCGAGGGTCATCTACCAGATGCCAATCCATATCCAGAACAGCAACAGATAGAGGGATTCCTTCGGAGTGAAATCGATCAACCAAAGCCAGATATTCGTCTGCATGATAGGCATAGTATCGACTCCACCAATTTCCCATTGCCCAACGTGGCAACAGTGGCTGAGGTCCGGAGAGCGCGTAAAAAGTCTTGATTGCTTCGCGAAAATCATGCCCGTATGCGAAGAGGTAGCCATCAACGCGGCCAACCCCGGGTGCTCGGACGGTGATCCAGCCGTCGGTGTCAAACAACATCGACTCCGAATCATCGACACTGGTAAAACCACCACGAGCCATTATACCCGACTCTAATGGGATCCGGCCATTAGCTTCGTCGAGAGTGCGGGCGGTGCCTCCCAGATCAGTATAAGCCTCGCCATACCTCCAAAGACTGCCGTGACAATGGAAATTGCCTTTCACAACCACGTGCAGTCCACTGGATGAGAATGCCTGTTTGTTGTACGTAAGGTGGAGTCTGCTGGTGATGATTTGTAGACTGCTATCGTTCTCTTTGACCCGAAACTCTGGCACCGGTAGTCTACGGTTGATTGCGAAGACCGAAGCGCGGTCCTCAAATTGGTGATCTATCGCCCATTCGTATCGAAGCAGTCCGTCCGCGAGCACGGTGAAGCGATATTTGTCCGTTGACCGGCCGCCAACAATCGCATCGGTATTGGCACGAGGGTCGTGATTAAAGGTGTAGCGGTGCATTGCGAAATTTAATACCGAATTTCTAGGGTGCGATGATAGTAACAATAAACACCCTCTCTCTCCTTCCAGTCCTCTATATGAATCATTCGCCTTCGAGAATGAGAATAGCAAACCAAGATACCCAATCAAATATACCGATCTTTTCAGTTTTATAACTCAAGAAACCTTTTGGGAGCGTGGCTGTTTGTTTTCCATTTAGCTTTTCGTCTTGCACAATCACGAAGTTGCCCCAAACCACAACTGCCGATGAGGGGAGATCGTCGCCGCGATAATCGCTCGAATTCACCGCCATGTCGATTGGCTGGAGAAAACGAGGGGCCGCCACAGCTATTCCAGAAGTAGTGCATTGTCAAACACGTCAGCCGGAAAGTGAAAAGCGATGTTTCATGTACTGCGTAGAGTCGTCACTGCGACGGTTCAATGACCGTGCGGGGGGCGTTTCAATCAGTCACAAGCATACCCCAGAGATATTAGTGTGTACTACCGAAACATTGAATTTGGAATGAAGCGCCAGTGATAAATAAAACCTCGGGGGTTTCCATTGCTGCTGGCAGCCGTGGAGTAATCATTGAGAAACGCCTAACATCAGGCTTCAGCATTAATTGTTTCCTAGCCTCCTGGAATTTTCCCCTGCGAAATTCGCGTGACGGACCAAACAGATCCCGAATCAGATTGTCACGTCCTCTGCCAAATGCTCCTTGATCGAAGCGTGAGCAGCTATTGGGCGGCTAAGCAAAAGGTCGCATCGCGGCGTCGTCTTCTGTGTTGGTTGGGGTGGTGTAGTGCCGTGCTCTGTATTGATACCGTAACCGCCCCCGCGTATTAAGCACTATTGAACGTTAAATTCTGCGTCCTGTTTGCGATTTCGGGTGCGATAATATGATAATAGCTGCCCATTGTCCATCTCCCTCCGGTTTGCGTGTTCTTTACTACGTCCGTAACGGGCATGGCCATATTACCTCTGTAATCGTATAAGCTTATCACTACTAGCCCATAGATTCGAGCCATCATAAGGTGCGCCGGTATCGTCGAATTCATCGCGCGACGCGGATCAATAGACAGCTACTCTCCGTGAGTTTGCGACTTCATCTTTGAACGACGCTCTATCTTGAACTATGCAACCGGAGCAGAAACTTTCCGTGACGCAGTGGAACAATCCTTGCGACAGCTGCTCGATTCGTAGGGTCAAGTGTGATCGCCAGTCACCCTGCAAGGCATGCAAATCACGATCACAACTATGCACCTATTTCAAAGTCCGCAAAAAGCCCGGGCCTAAAGGTCCCCGGCCTTTGACGAGCAATAAGATACGAGAGCTTCAGCAGAAGCAGCAACAACAACAAAGACACAGAAATGCAATTCATACATCACCAACACATCCGCCACCGCTGGCCCCAACCAGTGGTGAGCCGGCAAGTCTCGCAAGCAGTCCTATGGTCCCTCTTGCCGCTTATTGTGCTACGTTGGACTTGTTTAGGGCAAGGCTGTACAGTGTCTGGCCGATTGTGTCGATAGATGAATTAAAAGCTCGGATGACCTCGCCAGATATCGAAGCAGATCCATCCTCGCATGCGCTGGCCGCTGCGACATGTGCCGCCACACTCGCACAACTGAAAGTACCACACGCTGGCTTCAACGAAAACCTGAGACCAGTATCAGCCGAAGGGTTCGCCAAAGAGTGTTTAATGGTTCGAGCCAATGTGTCAAGCTGTCCAGAGCCCTCTCTGGCATCATTGATTACCTCAATCTTCCTACACATGTTTTATGCAAATACGGGGCATATCACAGCTGCAACATTATCACTCCGTGAGGCTATCGCCTATGCCGATATCACCAGTCTTTCTACCGATATTACGTCGGATAAATATGACCAGACAGAGCGGGAACTACGTTCGAGGATATATTGGATTCTCTTCGTTACAGAAAGGTACCCCCTTACAACCTTCGTCTGCATCAAGTCGTCAGGTATTAATCGGCTAGTAGAACATATTGCATGCAACATGGCTTGCCACTTACTTTGCAGAAGACTACCTATATTCCCAGCAACCAAGAAGGAGAGTCCAACATCGAGGGTCATGCTGCATTATATCTACTCGCTAGGTTGTTTGTTCACATTCAACCCCCTTTATTGCAAATGCATTCCAACCTGCTAGAAATAACACCTGCTGCCTACTCAGCCACGCATATACTTGATGTGCAGAGTCAAATTGAGCCATTATCTGTTAAGCCTACTTGCGTTTCCGAAAGCCAATGTGTGGACATTCTTACCACATCCGCATGGCTTCGGTCCTTATTGTGGCAGTACTCTGCTGCTCATTTCATGCTCTCATCTACAGCTAAAAACGAGCCCTTGTCTCTCGATTATCCTTTTGTTATCGCACGGGACTTTCTTCAATCATTATCCGGTATCTCCATCGAATCGATCAAGACACATGGTTACGGAATGGTGTGTATACATCCAATTTCTATATAACAATACGAAGGTCGAGTGTGCTGATGTGGATTTGAATCTTTAGGAAATAAAATTACTACAGATAGCAAATTCACTTCTCGACGTGATTGCCTGCGTACCAGACCCGCGCCAACGTCAGCTATGCTGCCGTGATCCACTCGACGCCGTCTCAGGCATCGAGAGGCTGCTCTTAACAGTGGGTGGAGCCCAGTCGCCGCGTTTTAGTATTCTACAAGAGCGATTATCTCAGATTTACCCTCAACTGGACATGCCAAAGAGCATAGACTTTACCTTCGAGAAAGGGAGTTACGCTCCTAGTAGGGGTAGCGTCAGCAGCAGTAGTGAAGTTGACAATTCGGAGTGCTCCATAGTTGCAAAAACTGCTGTACATGTGTCGGTTCAGCAGCAAAGCCCTTTGTTTCCTGATATCAAAGGCTCTAGTACAAGTGACTGGCCTTTAGAACAAAGAATGCTTTCAAAGTACGATGGTTTCTGTGAGCATCGAATCGTGGATCTGGACTCTTAGGAATCTAGCTATAGTGTTTTGTTTCCTTCTATTTTCTGCATCATATTTAGCGTAGCGGGTTGGTTGAAGGGTCAAAACCAGGGATTAATTTACATCGATTGTCATTTATTTTGTTCTTGGAAAATATATCTGCGCAATTTCATTGTGAAATGAAGCCCGTTGATGTACTACCTTTTCTTCCTCTTGACATTAGGGCACATTAGGGCTTTCGGTTAAGTAGGCTTTCATTTTGCTATATTCCTCAATACCATCTGTCGATTAGCGGCATCACACTCTGAAGTATCACAAGGGGTCATACAGGTAACATCATTATTGATTAAGTGAGTGAATGATACCAGTTAACAGGGAAACAATGCAGGTATGAAAGAATTTCCTTTGTTCTATGTGGGCTTTAGTGAGAATTCACACTCAGTGGTGTATTCATAATACTTCAGAATTAAGTCGTTGGTTTTTGTGGTTTCAAAGTAGGTTCTATAAACGACAGATAAAAATTGTATATACAAGAATATAATAACGAACGTCGTATCAGACCCTATATACATGAAAAGTTGGGCTTATTTTCAAGTGGCTAAAGTGATAGAGAAATGCTATGCTGGACTCAGGATCTGACTTCGAAGGCTTGATGCAGGAAAGAAATGCGTCAGAAGAGCGACTATGAGTCCGTTAGATTTGCGTTTCTCAACAAGCTCCAGCGATAACCTCACTCTTCCATCATCTATTTACATGAAAACTCGGTGCAAAGTGACCTTCTCGCAATTTGTTGGGGCGGAACCGTTGTAATTTGCCCAGTCAGACCAGTAAAGCTGCTTGACGCCAACAGCAGCAAAGCAGGCATACCATCCATGAAAGGCATCAAGGCTAGAAGTCAGGTTGCCGTATGTGGACGGGAAGTCCCAGCCGGAGCTAGCAGTGACAACAGAAGGGTTTCCAAAAATGGCATGTTTAAGGCCAGAGTATCCCTCTTTATCCTCGAGAGTCAAAAGGCCAGTTACCCCGGCACCGCTGATACTGCTGAGGTCGACCTGGAGCTCACCACCCTGACCAGTGATGATAGCGGGAGTGGCAGACTTGGCATCAGTCAGGAGCGCATAGTGGGTAAATCCGTCGATGGCAATTGAGGCAGAAAGGTACTCCTCATTAGTGCCGGCTTGGAGGTACGATTTCTGGTCATCTGCCAATGTGGTGGCGGTGAAGGCCAGGATGGAGGCAGCAGAAGCGAGTGTGAAGCGCATTTTGGCAATTAGAACTGTTTATTGAAACAAGGAGAGATTTATGAGATCGGTATTAGTTAAAAAGGAATGATGGGTGATTCTTCTGCTAGTTTTGATGAATGAATGGACGGAGAGGAAATTACTCACTTATTTATATTGATCGCCTATCCGATCAGATGTAACATCCCAATGCCAATCTTTATGTACGTAAAAGCCTAGAAACATCAACGTTGAAGTAAGATCGTCATTTGACAATGTAGCTCTACCTACGAAGCAGAATTATGTCGACCGTCTCTGATTGGTTCATACCAATACAGTGATGACATGTTGGCATTGTTGGGTAACAGAGAAATTGAGCCAAGCAAAGCGAGGCGAAGTCCACCTTTCCTCTCTAGGCTCAATTCGAGCAGCAGGAATCTAAAAGTGACATCTAGAAGATCTTCCTTTCATCTTAAAGTGACCTTGTCAGTCATCCGTCCAGAAGGCTCCACTTACGTTCCCATTTAGGAAGTTTGCTGACGCTCTCCAGTCGCAATTCGGGACTAGCAATGTCAGATCATGCATATACCATATTATTCAAAAAATGTCCAAGGTTCATAACGATATTCTTAAGACTCGCCCAGGGGATGCTCCGCTGGAAATTTCCGCCGCTTCCGCCACGCGAACGCTGCTTCTTCCGAAATATGAACTCGGATTATCATGATCCGGCACGCGGAAACTCCAACATAAATTATTTGTTGACTAATTAATATTGCACTGCTCTTCTTTATTTGCAGCCAGTAGTGCTTTTCAGAAGGAATATAAAATTGTATAATTTGAGCACTTTCCTTCGTCTGTCAGCCGATCCATAACGTTCCATCAAGGTGGAGAGGATGGGCCCTTCCAGAATACAGAGGCAGGTCTAGACTTGAGAAACAGGCATGGTTCATTAAGCAATTCTTAATTCCTCATTAATATTTTTTCATCTGCTACTCAACTGTCTTGTTCTGAGACTCGGGTTGGCGGAAAACGGAAGCCTCAATGCTATCATACCACCCACAATAATGCATCAATTGTTTGGATTGACCTTCCTGCTCTGTGAACTCTGTGTTAAATTTACCGTGAAACCTTGATATATCGACGAGGTTCTAAGTGGCCTGCTCTATTTTCACCTTGGAGAAAAATGAAATCTACTTACCAGGCTTCCCGATGCTGCCCTGCCGATGGAAAGGTGGGGAGAAACAACTTTTTGAACATGTATCAGGCTTTCCAAAAATTCCACCTATTTGTTAAAGAGAATAAATAGGTTCTCAAATATAAACAAATAATCGACCATGGAAGCGAAACGAAAAAAGAGAAGAGATCCGATATCTAATGGCGCGTGCGGGGTAAATCGGAGACTGAGGGGAATACTATTAACGGAGCGGAGACGAAATTCTGCTTCGGGCTTCCGAGAGAATTCTTTCCTAGGAGTTGCTGCATAGCTATGACTGTCTGAAAACCCACATTATGGCCACAGGAAAATGGATATGTCCTGAAAGCGACTGCCGGCGCACTTTCAGAAGGAAATACCATCTGACACGCCACCAGGATAATAAGCACGCTCAGGCACGACCGCATGCTTGTCACATATGCAGCCGGTCCTTTGCGAGACAGTACGTGGTGCCTTTTTTTTCTTTACAAAAGAAGATAGATGAGTTTTTAGGATATGGGCTTTACTAATAGCTTGCCACAGTGATGCTCTGATTCGCCATGTTCGCTTTCACCAACGTAAAGTCGACGCTGGAGCTCGAGAAAAGACCTTCTTTGCCTGCGACCGCTGCCATAAACGCAAAGTGCGATGCGATAACAAGACTCCCTGTCTTCCATGTCAAAAATATAATGCCCCTTGTACACGCAGTGGCGCTGCGGCTGCTATCGACCCCGATGCGTCGTATACGTCTACGCCGGCAGACGAGTTCAATGGCTCATTGACATCGCCTATGACTGCTGCCACAACGCAACAGCATATCGAAGACCTCTCCTTGCCGACACCGTCGACGTCGTATGAAATGAGTGTGAATCCGTCGACTTTCCCAAATGTATCACACAACCCGAAAGCTATTCCACCGATAAAGTTCGCCTCTCTGGAAGCCAATGATGTGCCGACTCCATCTATTGTCAACTCATTACCGATTGAACCCCTCACATCGACAGGGTATACACCTGGGCAGTCAGTAGGGGCACAATCATCGCATCCTGGGGATTATGCAACGGAAGACGAGCAGACAACTTATGAACTATACCACGCCATTGCCCAGCAGGAGCAAGACCCTTCCTATCTCGTTCACCGCAGTACGATTGACAGGATAATGAGGGATGAGTGTTACCAGAGCTACTTCAGCCTGCTACACCCCCAATGGCCAATACTTCATCACGAAACATTTCGGCGCTGCCTAGCTTCTGCTGAGGTCCGGTATTCGATAGCGTTTTTGGGGGCATTGCTACATGAGTCTCACACAGACTTGAATGAATTAAAGGCTTTGCATCAAACTGTGGTTACGAAAGTGCTAGAAAAGATAACACAGGTACGTCCTTCGTTTTTCTTCCTTTCAGTCTTCGCTAAGACATTGCACTCAGCAACACCACTACCCAACTCCGGATCCGACGGGCCGGTCCCAGCTAGAATTGGCAAAGGCCCTTCTGCTGACAATTTTGTTCGCATTCTACGTGCAAGTAAGCATGTCGATGCATTTTAAAACAGAGCGTAGCAGATCTAATAAGCCTTAGGAAAAAAACTTACTGTCAGCGGCGTTGGGGCATATGGCTACCCTCGTCAGCTGGGTAAGACACATTGGATTTTTCAATATCGAGGTCATAGCCGCACAGGACGATCCCAGTGGCACAGAGTGGTCACGTTGGATACTACGTGAGCAAAAGACAAGGTACAAACCCTGCCTTCATTGCTATTGTTTGCGCTTTCGTTCTACTTTACCTTTTCCTTCTTTTAACAACAAATTTCAGTTATTGTCATGCTATTTCCTTATAGCAAAAGTCATTGTTAATGTATGGTATTAGGCTTGTTTTTTCAACATTCCGTCTGGAATGCGAACTTAATCTCCTGCACAACCTACCACCGACGATACGTTTCCAAGAGCTAGAATTACCATTTATGACAACCGACGGCTCTTGGAACGCGTGCACTAGTCAAGAATGGGAGCAGGCAATTGCGCAAGAGCCTCAGGGACGAACCAGCTTGGCTTTTAGTGCTTTGTGTTCTCTCACCCTTTCGCAATTATCCCCATCAGAAAGACTTAACCTAGCTGGGTTCTTCACCACTGCAGATTTTGAGCTGGGAATATGCTCGATACAGTCACGCTTATGGGAAGAGACGAAACAGCAACCAACAGCCACCGTCTCGCCTTTGAACAACTGCCAAAGTAGTGATGTTGCGAGTTTGCATGGATACGGTCAAGGGTGGCCAGTGGTATTGGAAATATGGCGGGTAATGATGGAGCGATTTCGACCAGAAAGCAAGCCATATTGCGAAGATGATAGTGAACAAATGGCATATTTGACGGGCATGATGATTCATCATCTTTCCATGTTACGCGCGTACGCCGATTTGTCCTTCCTAGACCGACTGGCCAAGCATTGTTTACAAGATCCACAACAAGGGTCAAGCACCACCCCGTCAGCTACATATTTTACAAGACAGTACGAAATACGTTTACAGCAATGGACACAATCCAATACTGCCTGTGACGCTCTCTGGCATGCCGCTCAGATCCTCGATCTTGCCATGCAACATATCCCGTCTTTCCGCGCGCGCAAAACCATTGTTTTAAACCCCGTCGTCATTGACTGCTTATACCGTGCGAGTCTTATAGCATGGGCATTTTGTCGTTCACGGATGTCATGCTCTCTGTGTGCCCCATTGCTATCTTCGACCACTACATCAAGCGCGCTCGGCTTACGTGTTCGATCTTGTCCTGAGCCACTATCTCATAGAAGTGATCGGTGTTCTGATGCCATCGATCGAGTTGAACTAACCCGTCTTCCAAAACATTCAGAGCAGTACAACTCCTGGATACAAGTAGAATTAGGAGAGGGACAAAAGAGCTCGACGTTTATTGGTAACATTCTAATCTGCGCTTGTAATGTGTCTCGGGTGGTTGATATGTATGAGGATATGATCCGAATCGCAACAGAGCAGTGGTGCTCGGTTGAATTTCCCCTGAGAACTCTCCAAGCGTTAAAGAGGAATAGCTAGTCTCAGATGTGACCATTGATGAGGTTATGGCAAAGGAAAATCTAACCTTTTCTGTGTATATTTCAAGTGCTGTAGAAATATGATTGTATTCGTATGAAATGTATCAATTGATAGAATTAAAAATATGACGGACGTACGTAAATATGTAAATATTGTGAGTTGCCCACCACCTGAGTGTGTTTAAATTTATATCGAAAATAATTATTGAAACATCAATTGATTGCTAGCGGTTATATTTGATAGAGACGACATTGGCTACACATGGATGTAAACACATTTTAGAACACGAAATATGAAAATTTAACTTACGAAAAACAATATTTGACAGTTAGAACTTTGCTGTGGATTCTAGAACTTGTTTTTTGCCACTACTAGGATGCAAAATTACGAGTACTTAGTCCAAATTGAAATTTTGAATTGATGGCTAATTCTCATGGATTCCATTGGCCACATGCCTGTGAGAGCAGGTTTTTGGGCATTGACGCATTAATGGATAGTCATCGAGCGTGAAAAAAGGAGAAGAAATAAAACCCCGCAGTTAATGCATGATCAGCCAGCCACGTTACAACCGGAGAATGGCCTTACAGAAAGTTGTGAAATGCTTTTTATTGTTGTTCGGTTTTAATTCTCAAGACTAAACTAACCTCGCCCATTCATTCTTTGATATAAAATTGCATAGTATACTTGATCGAGTAATCATCATTATTTCCAGAAGAATTGGGCGGCCGATCTGCATTGCAATCCCATAGCATTCACACACGTGCAGATGGCTATCGATGCTTTACCCCAGCAGTAACAATACTTGCGTCACTCGGGGGGTGCATAATTAGTCTTGTTGCCGTGCAAAGCCAATCCCCGCGATGATGTTTTGAGCCAACCATATCGTGATAACTTGGGTTGATGCAGAGGGGGAACTATTAGCTGCGTTTAGCATATAGAGTTTTCGTTGATCACGCAATACGAAAATAATCACTAAGAAACATCCTAGGTGGCTAAAGTATTTATACCATTTAACGTTCTGCCGTCAGCAGTAGTCGGCTATTATACCTAAACCCTAGATTGAAAATTGATCATATGCGTTCTTCCACACATCATTTCTTATATCGACTGTTGTTCTTACTAGTTAATAGGTTGGAATTGAGGTGACAAAGAGACTATTTGTAGGGTTTGGGGATCTGCATGCGTTGCTGTTAGTTTTGAGGTTAGTCTTCTCATTCTTGAGCTACGAGTCAGGAGATCAGTGCATGTCACTACAAGATCCGTCCAATGTATTTCCTAATTAAACTACGTATAATGTAATCCAGGGTCTGCAGTATGCATATGTTGACATTTTGATCGGAGATGACTCAAAAGACTGCATGAATGTCTACGTGGCGTCAATCTGGATGACTCGAAAATGATGTCAAGAGACAGACACGATAATCCCATCTGAGGATGGATTTTCTAGGTCATAAGATATAGCATCTCATAAACATAAATAGGAGGCCAGATCCCTCTTTCCTGGTCTTTTATTACTCAAGAATCTCTATACTCATATTCAAACTTATACAGTCAATCCTAGCTAATATATATCTACCTTCTGATCAAAATGGTCGACGCAGCGTATTGGAACGAGGATATACAGCAAGCCTACTTCTTTGGAGGCACCCGCTACGCTCGTATCAAGTTTACTCCAGGTACACCCGAGGAGAAAATCACCTGGGGTCCTGAAACTATCACTCGGTATTGGCCCTCCTTAGTCAAAGCAGGCTTTGGCACCGTCGATGCCGTTCTGCCTGTTCCCGGAGTGAAAGGCGAGGCTTATTTCTTCCGTGGAAGCCGTTATGTCCGAATCAAAGTAGTCCCCGAGACATCTGACGATACAATTGTCTACGGCCCACACAAAATCACAGACAAGTGGGCATCTCTTGCCAAAGCAGGCTTTGATACTGTCGACGCGGCTATGGAGGTCCCTGGAAAGGATGGTGAAGCGTACTTCTTCAGGGGAGCAAACTACGTACGCGTACATGTGTGGGATGATAAGGTTGTGTATGGCCCAGCTAAACTGGCGACCGAATGGCCCGGCTTAACTGAGGCTGGGTTTGACACCGTCGACGCTGCACTCCCGATTGCAAAGGGAAATGGAGAGACGTACTTCTTCAATGGCATCAACTATGTCAAGATCAGGGTAGTGGCGTCAGCTCCTGACAAAATCACCTACGGGCCAAAGCCGATTGCTGATCACTGGAAGACTCTCAACTGGGTTTAGAGGATACATATCATGAGGAAAAAGTACAGGTAACTAGCATTGTCAGATATCAATCGCGGTAGTATTCAATGAACCTGAGTTTAATGATATGAAGTGTCGGGCATCTAGAATATGAATGGTCGTAGCAAGGGCATTCAATCCGGAAAAGAAAGACACTACCAATGAAGTTTGAACATCCACAAAAGTAGACTTTTCCGCAGAAAGTTTCAGTTAAAGCCCATTTATGTGTTAGTTAGCCATATGTATTGTATGTACGGTTATGTACGTAGACATTATCCTGGAGATAAGGATATGTAGCCTAGGAGGACTTGTAGTTTGTAGACCCGAGTCTCGATTAGAGCTTGCGGCTCTGCTCGTATATTGCATGCATGTGCCACTTGTCGGAACAGAGAAAGACAGAGAGTGTCGTTTGAGATGGAGTATCTCAAATGATTATATTGTTTATACACTATAAGATAAATATATACAAATATACGTCTATTGATGATTAGACGCAGATCGGCAACAGCGATTGTATGACAGTGGGGCATTCTAGGCTCATCTGCCTTGCATGATTGGCCAAACCAACGATTCCCGAGCTTCCATATACGGCCATTGGCTCTCCAAAACTGGCTAGTGATTGAAGCATCACAGCCTGTGAGTGGTCAAGTTAGGCCAGGATGGTCTCCACAGGCATGCTGCCTTGCCTTCTTCGGTATACTCCGCAAGGGAGTCCGTGGTCGGACCACGCCAGGGCTGAACTCGATAGGCTGTGGAATTTGGTGGCTGATCTGCGATGGGGCTAGAAGCATTCCCCCATGCTAACTATTAATTAGTAGCTCTGCAAATCGCGACCAAGGGCTTTGTGTTTCTTCGGGCTTTAATGGCAACAACGCTATTGTCCCCCTTCGGCAGATATCAGGGCTTTTCTCGTAGATGTGCTTGTGGAGATGAACCGGAAGCCAGCTGGGCGCTGAATAAACTGATACTCCGTTTCAAGACAGGCGGACCCTTTATTCGGGCTGGTTAACAACTTCGCCTTTCCCAAAGAGGGTTGGCCTGTCTCAGTCAACGCTGACTGTTGACCCAACCCAATCACAAGTACAGTTTCCGCGGTCCAACGTTTTTACGTGGCAGGGCTAGTCATGCTCATGGCCCCGGGCAAAATACCAAAATAAGCCCCCCTGAGCTGGATTGGTCTGGCTTTAGATAATAATCGCCGGCTCAGCCGAAATGCGATAAAAAATGAATTCCTGAGAACCTGGACAGCATCCTTCTCCTCGTCATGCAGCTTCACCACGATGATGCCTGATCTGCTGTCTATACCAGTCCTGCTGTCGCATCCACTGCATCCTGTTTCCTTCGGTGGCCCCGAGAATTAAAGGGATCGAACAACGATTACCACTAATAATGTCATTCTTCGCCGTCTCCCAGACACGCTACATCGCCGTCGTTGGCACTGCTGTTCTCCTCCTCCTCGGTCTCTCCCTCACACTCACATCGCGAAGCCTAAATTATGGCTATTCGGCACCAGGCATCCAATCCGCGATCAAAGCAAACAACTCTATCCCCGGGTCGACCTTTCCGCAGAAAATATGGCAAACAGGACCACCAGCCGAACGGCTAGATCCGAACCTAGTCGCATTGATGCACACATGGGAAAAGCTCAACCCGGAGCACGAATACACCTTCCTCGACGATGATGCCGCTCTAGCCTATGTTTCCGATCGATTTTCGGAATATCACCCGGAGCTCGTCGCCCTGTACAACGACCTCGACGACGTGATTCTCCGCGCCGATCTGCTGCGGCTGTTGTGCATGTGGGCTGATGGCGGCGTATACAGCGACATCGATACCGAATGTCTTGTCCCTATCGACCGTTGGCTACCATCGCCGTATGTTGAGACGGCATCCCTTGTCATCGGCATTGTCGCCGATCTGCCTGAGAACCCCGTTGAGAATCGGCGATCTGAAATTGTGCAGTGGACTTTCCTGTCCAAACCGGCGGCAAAATACACAGTAAAGTTAGTTGAGGAGGTAGTGTCCAATCTGCGAAAGTATGCAGAAGAGAAGAATGCGAGCATTGGTGAAATCGGAAAAATTATGAGCGTTGGAGATGTAAGTTTGCTATGGGTTTCCATCTCCTAACCATAATAACTAACTGATTGGTTTTCTGTATAGGTAATGCGAATCACAGGCCCGATTGGCGTCACATGGGCCCTCTATGACGCCCTACGATATCATCTACGCGCTCCCTTTGAGTGGTACAATGTGACCGGTCTCAGAGAACCAAAGCTGGTGGACGACGTGCTCTTCTTGCCGATCAATGCTTTTGGAAGTAACCAGCAACACAGCCACTCGGGCGAGGTAGGCTATGGTCCTATCTTCCTCAAACATCACTTTTCAGGCAGCTGGCACAACAACAAAAATGGATAGGAAGAGTTTAAGTTCATATATATCGCCAATGATCTTTCTTTACGTTTTTTGTACATATACATTGCCGAATGAAAATTTCGCCGTCATAGATCATTATCTACAAATGGCCAATGCTGCACACTTCCACGACCATGCACTCTTTTATTGACAGGCTGGTATGCTATTTCAGGCCAATTTCCACCGCATTTATACCACACATTCCCAATCATCAAGATTACTATCGACCGAATTGCTTCAATTCCAACCATCTCAACGGCGGAAAGACAATCATCGCCCAGGAACACCCTACCCAGATTCCCAGGTCAGCCCCTTCATCGCTGGCTAGTTTGGCAATGGGTCCGACGTAGTAAATCTGATACATGCACATAATGCTCCCAATCCACCCAATAACAAACGCGGTGAAAGCAGCAAGCCCCAAGGGCAGCTTGCTTGGGTCTGACCAAGCAGACCAGTCAAAGCCACGATGCGGTCGCCGGAAAAGAAGGTGCTCTTCAAGCGCAATCGTCAGAAAAATAGTTACCCAGTAACCCATCAGAGCGAGAAAGTTCTCAAAGATATCATAGAGATGGTTGCGTCCACCCAAGGCACAGGCAGTATAGATGATTACGCTTATACAAGACCAGAACCATCGCGGTAAGCGAGCGCCGTAACGGCCAAGGACTTGAAATCCAAGCGAGGCAGAATACGTGCCGGGAATATTGTTTGCAACCAACCCAAGCGAGACAAGCACACCAAGAAACTTTCCAAAGCCGCCGAGGCCACTATATCCTTCTAAAATGAGGGCTCCCGATGAAACTTCGTTAGCAGCAGCCCAGTCTGCATTAGCAAATGTCCCGGATGCAAGCCCGACTCCAAGAAGAGTGGCAAACACCAATGCAAGCCCGATCCCAAGGAAGGTCATGGTGAATGTCTTCCATTTTTTGGTGGTTGGCGGGTAATAGACGTAATAATCAGCGCCAGCCGGAGCCCACGCGACAGCACCGGACAGACACAATGAGAGGAACGACAGTCGGTTGCCGGCAACCGTTCGCGCATCGCCGCTTGACGTGATGAACGTGTCGAATTTGGGGCCTGCCGATCCAACCAGTACGAAGAGTGCAATTAACTGCGGTATCCAAGCCCAGCGCTCATAAATGTGGAATATAGACATGCCAAAAACGACAATCGCCCAGGTGATAATCGCGACGATGATTGTTCCCACCACGATGCTCATGTTGCCATCTGCGACGGCAGAGAGAACCTGACCACCGACAAGGCAGTCGATCATGCCGTAGCCTAGCATGATAACTATATTCAACAACGCGCAGATCTTGCTAGGCCAGTATCCCATAAAGTATCTTGCGACAACCTTGTCAAGATTCAGCTATGTATTTCGAAGACACGAAAAAACTGGACCAGATGAACTACATACCATGGTGCGGTTGCCACTCGCTGGTCCCCATGTCCCCATGTAAGCAGCCCCGGCAGCGCCCAGGAGAGATCCAAATGTGGCGCATAGAGCAGCATCGACAAAGCCCAAATCAAAGGAAATCGGGCCGAGCATTCCGAGAGCGATGTTATTGGCAGTGATGTTGGTGCTAAACCAGAGCAAGGTCATTTGCATGTAGTCGGCCGCATTGACATCGTGACGTTCGGATTCGGGCACTCGTTCAATACCACGGGCTTCTAGGAACCTCACAGAGGTGATTCTCTGATTGAGTCTGGTCAACACGTTGGTAGATTTCGCCGAGTCCGATGACTGGCTTTCTAAAGAAGCGGGCTCAGGGCCTGCTCCAACGCTAGACGTGTCTTTGCCTTCCTCCATCATTTCAGTTTGTCAAGGTAAGCAAGTCCATCCAAGGAGCACGCCTCAAGGATGTTCATAAATTGAAGAAAAGAGGAAAGAAGCCGGGAATGCGACATGTGGGAAACTTGGAAGAATGTAGGATGAGTGGCGAGGTAGCACGCTAAAAAATTAAGAAACAAATCAAAACAATTAATTAATATTAATTAATATTAAGATCCTGAGAGTGCAACAGTGCTTGAAGTCGAGTGGGGAAGTTAATGTTCCGTTCTCCGATTCTAGAAACGCCGTAGGAAGAGTTGTTTAGTATTAATTATTCGCTACCTGAAGTCGGCTGCATGGTTGGCATGGTTAGCTGTTGTACTCCGTGCAGCAAATTTCAAGTAGCTTGTAGACTAACGCTCGGACTCAGGACCAAAGGCCAATCGGTCTCACGGCATCCCTGCAACTGGCCCGCTCGCGATCGCTATCTCAGGAAATTTTGGATGTGGCACTGCAGGGAGAACGATATCGCCATTTGCAATCGGTTAGTGCGGGTAAATTACACCCCCTTGTATACCGGCAGTGGGCGAATAGGAACCCAACGGTCTATCATGCAATGCGGCGTGGTTTGCTGATCCTTGCCTGACTGTATATTTCATGCCAGAATCAGAGTTTACGGCCACGAACTCTCGTCCTATCCATGCAAAGAAAGAACGCACGCAAAGCATATCACTATCTGGCCTGGCCTCGGTTGGTATCTGCTCGCTTAGGGTGGTGAGGCCCCTGGCATTCGTCATGGACAGACAATGCCGGCGGAAGCTTTGCGCCTAACCTTGCTATTATAAATTATTAAGAATGTTAATCCAGCACAGGGGATTTGATTATGTCTGCTCTCGCTAGTCCTGGGGGCATATTCCTTCCAAGATTCATATACTGACGCGTCCAGTCGGAACAGCCCCATGGCGGGAGACGGCGGCGGCGGTGTCCGCGATTTAGTAGTGCAGACTTGGGTCATGTACAGCATTGGGATCGCGCTATACCTACTCAGAGTGTGAGCATTCATTCTATCCGTCAATCTCCCTCATGCGAGGAAGACACGCCCTAATGCTTTATCAGCTACGCGAGATTTCAAAGACTGGGGTGGAAATGGCAGGCCGAAGATATTGTCATGCTCACTGGAGTCGTTCGTATCCCCTGCGACAAAAATATAAGGTGTGCTCAGCCAACTGATCTGATCGTAGGGCTGGTATACCGCATTCGTCGTGACCAACATCCAGCTCGCTGAAGGTGGGGGTGGCACTCTTTACCTGCCTGGACAGTTTGAGACCTTCACGCCCGAAGATATTGCGTCAAGAGTACAGTTTGCCAAGGTGGAATTTGCGTCTGAGCAGGTAATATCCCAGAAGCACGCGGGAAAATCCATCCGAGAAGCTTACGAGGAATCAAGTGCATGGTCAATGTTGTATGGACGACGAAAGCTTGTATGCTGATAATATACTATCGGCTGACGTAAGTTATATCAATTGATCTAGACTGTGTGGAAATAGAATAATTAACTGCTTACTCAACAGCTTCAATCTCAAACAACAGTTCTGGGTGAAGCTGTGCGCCGCATATACCCTCGCCAGCTTTGTTGCCGTCCAGCTTACATTGTTTCTCAACTGCCGGCCCTTTTCCGGATACTGGACTCTTCCACCACCGCAGGAAGAGTGCGCCACATACTTTCATTTTGAAGTCATCAACGCAGTTTTCAACATCTCGTCTGACGTCGCAATTCTGGTCGTAATTGTGCCGACCCTGTGGAAAATGAACATGTGGGCCCGAGAAAAGCTGCCTGTGGTGTTCATTTTCTCTCTTGGCTTCTTTTTGGTAAGTTTCAACCCTATTACACCAGCTCAGACCAAAGGAGATGTCTAACGAAGTAGATTATCTGTGCCATCGTGTCGAAATATTTCACCTTTCGCGACATCTTCGACACATCTTACCAATTTTGGTATCTTCGAGAAGCATCGGTCGCTATCTACATTTCGAACCTGCCTTATATCTGGTCATTCTTCCGCCGAACAATTCGATTCCTACGTGCGAGTACGGCGGTCAATAATATCACCAATTCCACTACAAAAAACACTTCCTCCTCGCAACGGCGGCATAACATATACGACGGGAGTGGCTCGGGCACAAGTCCATTCCAGCCTAATACAGGCCACGGATTCATCTCATCGGTTTCGTCCAATGTTGATGAAATCGAGATCAATGGATTTGATGGCCGCGAAAGCAATGAACATATTATCGCTGAAGACGGAACGGTATCACACACGGGAGATGATATGCGCTTAGAAAATGGGGCGGATTGGAGTAGATCTTATCGTATACAGAAGACGACGGAAATTCATGTCACTAACAATCGCTTCAGCCAAGCAAAGGATATCATCTAATTATTATCCCACACCCTTAATATGTTATATATGATGTGTACATATATACGTATGTGAGATCTTGTCAGAAACGGCAAAACGGACTATTTTAACCATATATCTAGTGTCCCACTAGCCTCGAACGAGTCCACTTTTTAAGTCCGTGATATTTGCCGAACTGGAGTTCTCAATACTACATAAAGTCGGGACATTTTCCGGAGAGGCTGCAGCAAATCCGATTTTATCCAATCAAGCAGAAATTGACGCTGGCCGACCGATTGATCCACTTAGCGCTTGTTGCTCGCTTGTTGCTTCTCAGGTTCTACAAACCTACCACAGCTCGCTGACCGCTTCTTCAACACTTTTCTATCCGAAAATCTATTACGACGATGGAAGACCCGAAAATGGCCAGAAAGACCACCGATGACGCCGAGGGGGGTGTCGTCCAAGTATGTCCTCTATATCATGCGATGAGATGGGCAAAAAGTGGTAACTCATTAGGAGGTCGACGACGGCAATGAATTTGACCCGCCCGCCGTGAAGGCCCTTGTGTGGAAACAAGATCTGCGCATCGTACCGCTGTCAGCATTTATTTACTTGCTGTGTTACTTGGATCGATCGAATATTGGTAATCTACATGCAACCCCTGTGTACCAATGACTAGTATGCCTGACCGATCGTAGGAAATGCCAAAGTGTTAAATGCAAATACAGGCGATGATCTATTGTCGGACACGCATATGACAAATTATCAGTATACGTAAGATGCCTCTAATGTATGAATGCAATGATTAATGGGATGGGGCACGATAGGATCGCATTAATGGTTTTTTAATCGCTTATGCCCTGTTCGAGGTACCGTCCAACTACCTCTTGAAAAAGCTGAAACCAAGTGTATGTTCCGAACCCCTACTGTCAAACCAAGCCCCTTTTCATACGTATAATAGCTAATGGGGAAAACCTAAAGCGATGGATCGCCTTTCTCATGCTATCCTGGGGCGCAATCACTATGGGTCTGGGCGGCTCCAACAACTTTGCACAAGTTACCGGTATTAGATTCTTGCTCGGCGTCATCGAAGCCGGCCTCTTCCCCGGTCTGGTCTTCTATCTTACCTTTTGGTACCGAGTATCTGAACGATCGATTCGAGTGGCATTAATTCTTGCATCTGCAACTCTCGCCGGCGCATTTGGTGGTGCAATCGCGTACGGAGTTGGATACATGAATCAATCCCATGGACTCTCTGCGTGGCGCTGGCTGTTTATTATTGAAGGGGCTCCATCGTGTGCTTCGGCAATTCTTGTTTTCTTTTTTCTACCCGATTACCCAGAAACCACTAAATGGCTAAATGCAGATGAGAAGGCACTTGCACGGCGTCGACTAGAGCTAGAGGGCTCTAAAGGAAACGCCGAAGCGATGACATGGGCCGATGCAAAGAGTGTCTTGACTGACTGGCGATTATATGGACATTATGCAGTAAGGGATTAAAAGCCAAAGCCCTTTGCAAAATCGCTTTCTCATGCCCACAACAGGTTTACTTTGGCATCTCGACACCTTTCTCGAGTCTATCACTTTTTACTCCATCCATAACGGCCGGGCTAGGTTACAAAAATCTGGAAGCACAGCTTATGACTGTGCCACCATATGCGGTGGCTTATGTCGTAACCGTCGCAGTCGCAGGATCGGCAGACTATTTCAATGCGTAAGCTGTCCACCTTTTTCTAGCGCTTTTCTAATCATAATCAGGCGTGGCATTCACTCAGCAATATTTTCTTTCGTTGGCGCAATGGGTTTCCTTGCTTCTGCCGTCCTCCCAGCCGACGCATACCTGGTACGCTTTCTTGTTTCTTTCTCTATTCAAATCTAATTGAAAATAGCACCGTTACGGCTGCCTCATTGTCGCCGCAAGCGGAGCTTTCTCGTGTATTCCACCGCTGCTGGGCTGGCTATCGTCCAACCTTAACACTACTGCAGCCGCTGGCCTTGCTATCGCCCTGAATATCTCCTTCGGCGCGCCTGGACAGATCGCCGGTGTATGGATCTACAAAGCGAACGAAGCAGAAAAAGGATATCCCACCGGCCATTGGACAAACGCAGCCTTGCTGCTATTTGTCTCCGTGGGCTGTATACTGTTGCAAATTTATTACATTTTTGTAAACCGAAGAAGAAGACATTTTGGAGCGAAGTTGTATGCATATTAGTATACAGCTATGGGGCGTGTATGAAGGGTGCTAGTGTAATGGAATGAATTCTGAGGGCATAAGATTCAATGAACTATGAAGTAAACTCCAATCTATTCCCCGCATAATCTCTAGCAAAGAATCTAGACGGATATTCCACACCTTGGGCTCCTACGTATCCAGACAGGTTATTAGCGTGTTTCATTCAACATGTCAACGAGAAAGAGTCACAAACCTGAATTCTGTTGTCCTGGCTGATCAGCTGCCAGTGGTGCCGCACTCCCACCACGTTTATGATGGTTCCAGATCCGTTCTTGAAGTGCCTGCAAGTCCTGCAAAGACCCAAGCTTGAAGCACGGATGCCGCGATGCGTTGGGCTCGTTCTGTCCGAATGCGATGTGAATTTGCTGTCCGCTAGCTTCTCCGATGTTGAACCTGCAATGTATCAATGAGACATTCACAATAATTAATCTGTCCTCTCAAACAGACGACATACCACGCAATCTTGCCGCGTTGCAGATGCGGGACCGGCATCGGACGTAAGCCTAGCGTTTCGCCATAGAACGCGTTTGCATCATCGAGTGTGCCCTCGGGGACGAGTAGATTGACGTGGTGAATACCGGTAATCATTATTTCCAATTATTCTGCTTACTTCGGGAAATGATGGTGATTCGTGAAATGCTTGAGTATTAATAGAATCTCTGGCTGAGAGATGATTGAGTCATCATAAATCTATGCGATGCGGGGGTCACGGTCGGGTCTCCGAGCAATAACAGTACCGCACCGGTGGTCTCACTAACATTCACTCAGTAAGGCGACATCGATGCGGGGGCCCCCTCATTATGCAATATACCCAGCAGCCGGAGTTCCTCCGACAAGGCGATTGCCTGCGTATTCACCGTATTCACGGAAATAGGATTCCAGTTTAATGTACTACATATGTTTTGTCTTTGTTAAACCATGATCTCTGCTTTGGCTCTTAATTCAACGTATATTGTCCCCTATTGACAATATGAAGATGCGCTGTCAAAACATAGTGATCCACGCATGTAGAGAAACTTCCTCGGTAAGCAAAACTTGTCATAATTGTGCAATGTCAATACAGCATTTGATATGATTTCAGTATAAAATGTTGACATCCAAAGAATCACCTATTAATTATGACATACTATTCTAAGCTAGCCTTTAGATGGTATATCCATGGTGATGTGTGCGCTTCTGTCAATGTAGTGTAATAAGAGATGCTAGGGTGCGACCCTTATCTTCTACTCAAATGCGATTCGAAGAACAGTAATGTCTAGACAGCCGAACAGATTACAAGATTACACGGTAAACGAAATCTGTTAATTTAAAAGTGTTTGTTATCAAACAACTGTTTATTTTGTTCGCTGTAAAGCATTCAGGCGCTCGTACCCGGTCTGTTCTTTACTGGTATTCTCCATCCCCTCATCCATTCTAATACAACCGCCGCGCTGGAAGTGATACGCTCAGAAGGCTCATGAATCAGCATTGATGTTAGAAGCTTCAGGAGACATGCCATTTCATCTACACCAAACTCGCACGCCGACGGCTGCTCTCGTCGGCCCATAATATACAGTCGCTCAGCCAATGGCCGAGAATATAGTGCATGACTTCGATCTGTGCCTGTTTTCCAAGAAATGTTTTGGAGGAAAAAGTCTAATTTTTACTGCCATTTGTCCCACCAACGTTTTGGAAGAGGTCCTAGAGCGCTTATCATCTCCGCGATTACATGGTCCTGGTCTGACATGAACCCCTCAAATAGAGCTTGATAAATTGGGACTTTTGGCTTTTTCAGGGTGTTCCCCAAGAATCTCAAAGAGTGGAGTGCATCCAGAGTCCACATATCTATAGCCATGCCTAGATGATCGCTGAAGAATACTTCTAGTAGGAGGATTATGATCGGGGTGTGTAATTTATTGCGCTGTTCATCTTAAAGAAACGCCTCACGAAAGTCCGAGATGATAGTTCTTGCATCCACAACATCCTCACTAGACTAAAGATCGTAGTAGGGGGAATGCAGTATTCAGAAACCACCGAGACATTCGGGATTCTATCTAGACGCTCCACAGGTAGTTTCTGAACCTCGCCTAGCCTGTGGTAACGCTGTTCGATAGAACAACTCTCCAAAATTGTACTTCGAAATGCAAATCTGTTTCTTAGATAGTAGTTCATAAGGGACTTTTTCGGTGGTCAAGTAGAAATGGAAATTATTTAGGCAATCTGGCAATGTAGTAGTAGATAACACCAAGGTAACCATTTCGTATTTTCACACCATGCGAGGTGGATAACAACAAACTGCTTCACAATTGCTTTTAGGGGCGATATTTAGTCAATGTGCATTACCCATGAGAAAAGTAAAAGGTTCGCCGAAGGTTTGCCGGATTGCCCGACTGTTTAATATTAGGATAGCCCCTGCCAAGTCAAGAGGCTTGCGAATGACTAATTAATGGACTGAAACTGCGTGAGACAAGAAGTAAGGTGGCCCGCCATTTAGATTCAAAGCCAAGCCGGACACGAAGTGGGCGGGCTTCGTGGGCGAATAATTGCGAGTAGCTAAAATCTAAACTGAGACCTAATGCTCCCATAACTCACCGTGACCATCTAGCATTCGTGGGGGCGGATCATCTAAACTATGCCGGGGAAATGCCAAGGGATTTGATCAGCGGGCTTTATAGGTAAACAGACGCCTACTCGAGATGATATTGTCCCCAGTTTACCGTCTGAGTCTTGGCCTGCGAGACAATTTCTAAATCAGCTATGCATCGGTCATTTTCGGTACATTGGAAAGATTTCCGATTTGGGGTCGAAATTTACTACTACTTAACAAGCAAATCTAGCAATTGGGCTTATAGTTGATGATGTATAAATTGGTGCTTCAACCTGCACAAGTTGACTCGTCCTCAAAGACAAAGTTTCTCCTTTCTACGTCTGAAACTAAGAGCATCAATCAAAATGAGAACTGGCGCACTAACTAGTCTGACCGTGGCAGCCCTGGCAGCCCCGGCACTGTCATACAACATTCCTGACAACGTGCAAGCCTTTTACGACAAGGTCAAGAACGGCGGTTCTTGCTCTGGTTCTGACCTCCTCCAAGGAGGCTTTTATGCCGAAGAAGGCGGGTCCACTGATTTCGGCTACTGCCAGAAATACTTTACAAACAAGGGCTTCTATCTCAAGGGATCCGGCTCGCAGCTTGCCGATATGGACATCGACTGCGACGGTGATCAAGATGGACTCGACTCACGCTGCGATTCTTCTGGTGATACCCAGCCTGATACAGCATTCAAAGACCAGGTTAATTCTGACTACGGCATTTCTGACCTGCGTGCTGATATCCATCCTTATGTCGTCTTGGGCAATTACGGCGATTACAGTCCCACTTTTCACCCTGAAGATGTCGGAATTAAACCTTTGAGTCTTGTTGCCGTGTTATGCAATAACAAGTTGATCTATGGGATCTGGGGAGATACAAATGGCGACGATGGCCCTCCGTTGATTGGCGAGGCCTCTCTGGCCGTTGGCACTGCTTGTTTCGGAGATAGTGTCAACGGTGACAGTGGCCACGAGGATACAGATGTTTTGTATATCGCTTTCGAGGGTGATGATGCCGTGCCAGGAACATCGGCGGACTGGTCGGCCTCATCTTATGAGGATTTCGCAGCGAGTATTAAGGACCTTGGTGACAAGCTAGTTGCTACCCTATGAAGTCGCTACTTGTCTTTTGAAACTATCATGGACCCATCTTTTCAGAAGATGGGGGTGGTATGTATATAAATGCTGCCTATAGAACCGTTCATGAAGGTCTCGAAAAAACACATTCTTCTGAGGTACATTGGAATTGTCAATTGAAGAGTCGCACCTGGTGTTGTATTATTCTATGAAATGTGTCTCAGTGTCAATCAAATGCCGATATCCCAAATTTGAGCTAACATTAAAACATCACCTTTGTAGTATCAGTACATAATGCCAAAATAATTGTGGTGGGATATGAAATTATTTCAACGATGTAGGTCGACCTCTTTGTGTTTTTTCCTACGGGCGACCTCATGTAGAAAAGTTACTTTAGCTTCTAGAAAAAGAACCAGAAAATTAACCTAAAGGGTTAGTAAGGATCTGCATAAACTATATCTGATCCAAAATGTTACTACGAAATTGGCACAATGGAGGAAGACGTGGTATGTGCAACGTGGAACCCTGTGTTTCATGAGAATGCATAATTATATGTTAATAAAATCTAGGCTCTTCCTTCTAGGCAATTTCGATCATCGCTTTAAAAACTATAATGTTTCCTATTCATTGCTTAATTTAATCATATCTTACAGGAAAAAGAATTCCACTGTGAGGTCTTGATCTTGAAAGGAAGGAAATCTCTTTTTTTTTCCTTGTATAGCTGCGACACAAGTCACTATGACTAATTTTCTCGACTTCCCATTGGACAAGTGAACTAGTTCCTTGAAATGAGTAATCGGCAAGCAGCCGCTAATGGTTAAGCTACGCCAAGGAAAATATTTCGGACTCGGTAGAATCGGCGGAATCGTTGAACCGATATGGAAAACGGTGCATCAATTTCTAGATTCGGGAGTATTCAGCAAGGCTCCTGCCCACTACTACATAGTTAGATATGTATAGAATTGCCTGGGGCACTTGAAAAAATGAAGATAAATAAGAGGAATGTCGTCCTTATACCTGTAATTAAATGTTTGAGAATTTACCAAATTTTGACTTAAGCAGCCTTAAAATCTCAAACTTGAAAACACTTCCAAAATGTCTGAAATTATTGTCGTCTTTGGTGCTACGGGTAAACAGGGGGGCTCCGTTATCCAAGCAATCCAGAATGATCAATCTCTCGCTGCACGTTTTAAAATTCGAGCTGTTACACGCAATCTGTCGTCATCAGCTGCCCAGAAACTCGTGGACAAGGGGCTGGAAGTGATCCAGGTCTGCACTCAATCAAAATCGCTCATAGTATGCAAAACCCCGAACTAAATTTCAATTCTCTGTAGGGAGACATGTCGGTGTATGAGTCTGTCGAAAAGGTTGTCTCTGGTGCGGATACAGTGTTTCTGGTCACAAACTTCTGGGAGCAATGTGAACGCTCCATCGAGGTATCGCAGGGAAAAAATGTGACCGACGCCTGTAAAGTGGCCGGGGTCCAGCATCTCATTTTCTCTAGCCTTATAGATGCTAGTGAAGAAAGCAAGGGTGCCTGGGTCAATATTCCCCATTTCGATGGAAAGGCTGAAATTGAACGATACATTCGTCAGTCTGGAGTTCCCGCATCCTTTATTCTCGCCGGAACTTATATGACCGAGATTGAGGGGATGTTACAAAGGCATGACGGCAACTACGTAATTGCGTTGCCGTTGAATAGCAATGCTGAAATTCCACTGCTTGATGCTAGTGAAGATACTGGTGAGTGCTCTATCATTCGGTGTTTTTATTTGGTCAATCCATCCCTGATCAAGGCCTTTTCCATCCTTCAGGGTTATTTGTCAAAGCAGCCATCAAAAACCATAAATCCGTGCTCGGCCAACGTATATACGCATCCGCGGCCTACTATACTATTGAACAAATCATAGAGGATTTCTCAAAGGTCACTGGCAAGGCTGCTACGTTCATGAAAGTCACCGAAGAGCAGTTCAAATCTTTCCTCCCACCTAACAAGGCAGTGGAAGTTTTTGAAACTCTAATGATGACACAAACCACCGGTTACTATGCTGGGGCCGATTTAACTGACAGTCTGAAATTGTTGGATGGTAAGCCAACCGAGTGGAAGGGTTATGTGGCTAAGAACCGTGAAAAGTGGTTGTGATTTGCCTTCTCATGTCAGTTATCTGGAAGACTGAAATTACACTCGGCGAATAAATTGAATTTCCATCTCTAAACTCAAACTAACTCTATAGTATACACGGAAATATTGATTATTAAATTGATTAAAACGTTCTTTGGAGTAAAACCGAGTCAACTGTTTGTAGTATTTGTCACTTTTGTTCCTAACTTGCTTCTAACCATCGTATTCTTGGAAGGGAAGGGGCTACAGTGTTCGAATGTAAATCTATATCTTGGTGCATAAAAATTCAGTGCATGTATATAGTTCTTGTGCGGGTTATTGAATGATTCACCATGATGAAAACCGAAAGGAATAGATTAGATGCAGCAAGAGTGTACATGTACAGCCCAATTATAAAACTTAAGAATAGTCATCATATAGAATTAACCTACTAAATATTAGTAAATGCACATTAAGAAAACACTAATATCTCCTAAGAGGGGCTACAGAAACGAGCCCCGTACTACAATGAGTCGTCTGCGACATATCAATTGATTTCTCGGGTGGTTACCAAGTTCGTAAACTACTCCTTTCTGCAGATAACCTCTGCACTGAGAATAGAAATCCATGCATCCTCATGCTCACCCCATATTTTCCAGGCGTTAGATACTTCCTTGAGATCATCACTAGTAGCCAGCTTTGCGTCAATGGCAGTTGTAGCGAATGACGATGCCACCGACCGCTCGGTCCACGCGTCGGCCCACCATTTCACCTCATCTTTCTGACTATAGCACCAGTTACTCGAAGAACATTTGATATTGGTAAACCCAGCCTGTTTGGCCCACACATGTAGCACGCGACCAGCATCTGGCTCGCCCCCGTTGTGTCGAGCAACCTTGTCATACAGAGACTGCCAACCCTTTAATCCTTCGACATCTGGGTACCATAACCACGCTCCGTAGTCAGCTTCACGAGCAGCCACAAGCCCGCCGGACTTAGTTACACGTTTCATTTCCTTCAGAATGCCAACTGGATTACCAACATGCTGTAGAACCTGATGGCAAAGCACAACGTCAAAGCTACCATCTGCATACGCCAGTCCATTTGCATCACCCTCAACAAATTCAATGTTTGTGATACCCTTTTCCTGTGCAAGAGCACGTGCCTGTTTCAAAACAATGTCACCGGCTCTTTCAAGACCAATAACATGGCCGCTGGGGACATAATTGGCAAGATCAACCGTTATAGTGCCACCTCCACATCCAATATCGAGAATCTTCATGTCAGGCTTAAGATAAGGGAGTAGATAGCCAGCTGAGTTGAGTGCCGTTCTCCAGTTATGAGATCGGATAACAGATGAATGGTGTCCATGCGTGTAAGTAGCTAGCTCTGTTTTGGAACTCATTTTGTGATAGTATGATAAATAACAAAAAAGGTTGATACAATTTGGACCTCGTTGTGTAAAAATACTTGTTTCTTAATGGCAAGCAAATTGTATCACTCCCTTTATATATCAATTGATCGCACCAGAAATGTATAGATGATGATAACAATGCCTCGCCGACATCGGAGGGTTCGGAGCCCACCAGCGGGGTAACACGTCCACATTATACCTCTTTGAACAACAATTCACCAATCATCAATGATGCTTATTGTCTGCAACTTCTACAGGGCTATAATTGTCGTGGTTCAATGCCGATATGCCGCTTACGTAGTCTGGCAGAATAGTACAGAGAAGGCTTACTTTCCGATCGACAGATAATTGGACTATGTATATACATGTATATCTAGAGTATGCTTGTCAAGCAGGATTTGCTTGTAGTCAATATATAGCGTTTAATAGCAAAGGCAATATAATGCCGATAGCTTAGGCCAGTTAACAAATAACTTCAATTGAAAAGGTAATATTATATGTAAACTTGTTAAGCAAGAATAAGCCACATCTTTACGTAGACTTGCATCTTTCCTGGCCGTCAATTTAACAACCCTGAAACTAGCGCACCGACTTCATTAACCACCTTGTTAAATGATGATAATTGAGGTCGGGTTCTGTTGATTTATGATTCCTCAAATATAATCATCAAAATGCTCAAGTGTGATGCTCGGATACTTCACATTATGTCCCATGCTTAAATATTATACATGTATTTATCATATATCAAACTCAACCAAAAAAGGTTGATGGGTAATCTGAGTCTCTAGGGATCCTGAGTTTCCTCGAAAGACTTAAAAAATGTGTATTCCAATCGCACGTCATATGCTAATATCAGTAACTTCGTTCAGATGCAAACCCCAGAAATTTCCCGGAAATATGTATAAGTCACGCTGGCAATTGACAATATAGTCCCACAGTTATCCAATAGCTTTTAAGCAGCTGCTTTAGCAAAGGAAACTGCCTCACAGGTTTTTGGTGCTTGGGTGGACTTTGCAGCCCAGTACAATTGTTTTCCGGTGTCCTGTTCTTCACATGCGAAGAAACCGTGAAATCCGCTTTGGCTTAAAGTCAAAGAGCCATTTTTCGAAAATGCGAAGCCCGTGGTAGGAGTTTCATAGGCGAAAAGAACCTCACTAAGATTTCCTGGTCCGCCATAGAGGTTTGTTAAAGTCAAGGCAACGAACGATGTGTCTACCTCAATCTCGAGCAGGCCCTTCTCGTTGACAAGCGCCTTCGTAGCGGACGATTCTTTATCGACCACGAGTCCGATCATGGCTCCTCGGCTGACTGTTGTATAAGAAAGGTATTCGCCCTTAGCAGTCTCGAGATACGCTTTACTGTCACCAAGAACAGCAATTGGCGAAGCCGTCACGAGGGAAAGGAGCGAAAGAATGGAAGACCGCATTCTGGAGGTATGCTCGTGCTTTATTTTGTTGGATGCGAAGTTGTCGGTATTGAAAGGCTTACAGGAGTCGATTTCGCCATGACACCGGTTTGGAAATCAGACCTTTAAAGCCATAGTTCCGGATTTCGGTTCAGGACTAGCAAATAAGTTGATGTAACTTAGTAGTCGATCTGGCTCGCAAGGGAAGGAAAATGATTGGTACAATGGCTGAAGTTAAGTACCAAATAGCGATAGAAAACCCGATTGCTACCGCGGATTGCTGGATTTGATCCTACCAGGCCACCTTCAACTGGTGTGTCGCATCACTAGACGAACAAATGACAAATTACCGATGCCGTGTCATGGCTAAGAGCAGTTGTGTGGGGGCTGTTGGTTGATCCAGGACGATCAAAATTTAAGACAGCGCCGAACCCCGGTCCAGAAGCCAGTGAAATGCAACGCATTCCTGGCAGATGCATCTAGTGACACAAAAAAAGTTTCATATGACGTTAATGTTTGTTCGGGCGTATTTCCTATAAAGCTGAAGCAAGATCGTGGATTTTGCTAGGAATGACGAATCCTAAAACGGACAAAAGTTGCGAATTGTCAGTTTGTAATATATGTTGCTAGTATGAATTATATCACGCGTTTTTACTCTCTAGAGATTGTCTAGGCTTTTCAAATATGGTCTCAAAAAAATCTATATTCCGGGCAATTCATCAGTACACCTTTTGGCATATGCAGAACATTCTGGTCTAACATTCACGAATTCTACTTCAAAAACGCCGTCAATATAGCAGTTATTTGCTCCGGCTTGTCTTCCGGTGAGAAGTGGCCGCAGTGATCAATGACCTCCAAGCTTGAGCCAGGAATCGCCAGATTCAACTTATGAGCCCAGTCTAGCACCTGCCAGGTGTCATTGGCTCCCCATATAATTTTCACAGGCAGTTTTCCAAGTTCGTGATATCGATGGGAAATCTCCAGCGTGTGCTTTGGATCGTAATGTTTTACTTGATGCTGAAATAGACTGGCTTGTCCAACGGGACCTGAGATATAATCCAGATATACATCCAGACTGCTCTCTGCCAGGCTCTGTTGATCGAGCACAGCAGACAAAAGCCACTCTCTGAAGTGTGCTCGATGTTGTTTGTCCTCTACATTGATCAATCTTTCTAGTCCCATCTCCATTTGCTCTTTAGTGCGTCTGGAAGGATAGCTGTCAAAGCTAACGACGTCAATTAGCGCCAATGATCTTACTCGGTGAGGTGAAAATATTGAAAATCGTTGCGCTATTCCTCCGCCAATATCGTGGGCAATAAGGTGGAATGAATCTATTCTCCAGAATGCCAATAAGCCTTCTAGGATTGGAACCTGACCTGATATCGACGTATCCACGGAAGGGTCTTCAGGGCGCTCAGACAGCCCATACCCGAGAAGATCAAAAACATATACATGGTGTCCTGCTGAAACTAAACCCGGTAGGACGTTGCGCCATATGAGCGAAGAAGACGGTGTTCCATGAATTAGGACGACTGGGTAAGTATCACTTTGGGTGCCGTAAACGCCATAGGCAATGCGCCACCCGTTGATCAATACATTCTCAGTTGCAAGTGGCTTCATAGCGATGGTAATAGTAGAATTTTGAAGGTATATTCACAATCCATTTTTGGAAGAGAAGCTTTGAACAAACAATATTATATAGTCATTGGTCTGACCGTCGACTTGTATTTGTAAGCTGGTGGGGTGCGCTCATCTCATGATCGGGGAGTCGGTCCGTCGTATTATCTGGTCTGTGAATGGTCTTGTATTTGATGCGGAAATAGTCAACTCTTAGGATTTTTCTTCGCCCAGAGCTTGAAGGTGTCCTTTCTAATGCTATAATTCTAGAATTTACCCACTTTTGTGCCTTGATAAAGAAAATATAAACATGAGTCCAATAGTGGACAATCTTATAGATATTGTCGGTCTTCGGCTGCCGGAAGCCGGGCAGGTTGCCGCACCCGACAACCATCACTTACAATAAGGCTCTACGTGATAGTTGTATTCTACATTAACCACATCCCAAGATGTGAAGCAATATGCTCTATAATCTCGTCTACAGGTCATACTACAGTAAGTCATAATGTCAGCGCCGCCAGCTTCATCGCATATCCACAGCCGAAAGCGTCCGATTAGCAACGACGCCGACATTGCATCGTTTCGCGCATGCGACCAATGTCGGAGCCGCAAGATCAAATGTGATCGCCAGCAGCCCGAATGTTCCAACTGTCGCAAGGCTGGAATGGTGTGCGATTTCTCAGACGCAATGAAACGCGTCAATCATGCAAAGCGCCTGTATCTACCCCTCTTACTAAAGTAAAAGTATAGGGCTGAGTTAGGGAACAGACATGATGAATTCTCCAGCGTAACATCCCGGTTGGATCGTGTTGAGGCAGCATTGTCCAAGCTGCCTGAGCAAATAGCTCGTTATTTACCGTCCCAAGGGTACGGGCCTACATCCCTGGCTCCGATGAAGAACAGTCGCCCAGCACCTCAAATCCACGGTGGAGAGCTAGGCTCTATTCTAGCTATCCAGGCAATAGATGATAGCACCGCATTGGAGACACCTAAAAAATGGCAGCCTAAATTCGAAAGGATACAGATCGCCCAGGGTGGAGAGCGCATTTTCGGATACCCTGCAGCAGTGACTCTTTTCATATCTACAAAAAGGCAGGTAGAAAAAGCAGTAACTGAGACTGGCAAAGACCATTCCTCAAACGACGACTACTTAACGGCTCTCGCCCGTGAGAAGCACTATGTTCAAACCGAGTTTCGCAAACTGTTGCAAACCTTTCCTTGCAATGATCCTTGCCATGAGCCCCTCACGAAACCCGATGACAGGGCGATTAGCACGCCGCCGAGAATATTGCTTGAACCTGCTCTACCGTTCTTTCTAAAAAATTTTAACGTACATATTCCGATATTCGACGAGGAAGATCTCCGGAACATGATTGATGAGCATTACCAGCAGAAGAATGATAGTCGTTCCCGTGTTGCCAGGTCACTGATCCTGAATAATATAATTTTACTTAGTCTCACTCTAGGAACCCAGACAAATACAGAAACAGATTCGCATATGGGAACAATGGGCGAAGACTTGATCCCGTCGTTCCGGAAAAACTGCGATAGGGCATTGGCCAATCTATTTGAATTTAACGGGCCTCGTCAGCGTAACGTCCAGGCCCTGGTGACCCTTGTAAGTTGGATGAATTAGATATTCTCTACGCATAGTCTCTGTGCTAAAGTCGTGCAGGCATTGGTCGCACGCGTTTGCTATGGGTGCTCTGTTTTTGAAAGGGTCTGTCAGATGGCCTGCCAAGTAGCACGCTCTATAGGTCTCAACCGTGGCCAACGGCCATCAGCGGCATCGTGGGATCAAATGTGCCACCAAGAGCGACTATTTTGGGCGATATATATGCTTGACAAGCAAAGAGTCTTTCTGAATGGCCAGCCCTGCGATTTATACCTATTCGACTCTGACCTCCAACTTGCCCATTGTAGCGAGAACGCTACGTATCATCAGCGCCTGAATGCTGCACACGTACATATGATGACCATCTGGGAAGAAATCTTCATTGCGCTTTACTCCTGTCGTGGCGCACGGGCGAGTTATTCTCATCGTAATCACCAAGCCGACAAGTTACGAAATTGCATCAACGAGTGGGGCATTCAACATCATGACTTGCTTAGGGAAGGGGGCCCTACAACCGGAAGTCTCCTCGGCAGCGATTCTTTACAGATAGAATTGAAATATGGCTATCATGTGACGCAAGTTCTTATTAATCGCTGTGACGTGCTGGAAGCCAACCAGGGGCGAACGATCACCCATGCACGCACCGCGCTTCAACTCTTAACGTCACTTAACAATTTAGAATCTTTAGAAACCGATCATCTAGTAGCTATATCTAGAATGCATCGCAATTACCCCCCGTCGCATTCCATGATTTGTTAACGGTGTGCCTGACAAAGGGGGTCGATGGGAGGGAGGAGGATATCAGGCTTCTTCAAGCTGTCGAACAAAGTTTTCTTCTGATCCATCAATCACAGTTCCCATGCTATCAAGAACGGCTCTTCCAAGGACTCCGCTGGTGTATTCGTACGTTGAATATCGTCTATGAGGCTGTGAATACCACCGACCGAAACCCTATCCTCGGGCAACATTCATCAAACGAGAATTCCACAGCATCAGACATGACTTTAACTGACGGTTGCTTATATGTGCCTTTTCGAGAGGCTGCCACTGTAGATCACCAATTATCTTGGGGTGATGAGATGTTGCAAAACGGTTTGGGGAATGCAACGATACCTGACGTGTCATTCGAAACTGGATTTCTCGACTTTGATTTCTATCAACGCCTCTTTCAGCAAGAATCCTGGGATCTGTCTACATCGCTCGACCCGTCTGCAAATAGATAGTTTCGTTTTTGACACAGCACTTATTTGTTTGTATTTAGCGTATTATACGGCAATGGAATAGTAATGCTAGAAGAGGAGTCTTTGTCTGTTGACGGGTTTCGGCTGCCGAACGTCGTATCGCTAATTTTTATTTTCACGTAAATGTTGCTGTATTACTTTACCTATGTCAATTGTGATTACTTGGTGATTAGTCAACTCTTCAACTGGTGTATCAAGCTTATTCTACATGGATGATTTTCATCCATACCATTGCATAACTTGAATCTAAACCGAAGCGACTTTTATCATTGATATCTTATAGTCTACGAGGGTGCATCACATGCTATAGCATCAATTATAATTGACTAGGCATCAGCCATCAGCCACCTTACCTCATTGAGTGCGGAGAACCTTGAAAACGTGACGAAAGAAGAATTATGAACATGTAGTCTTTCAATTGAATCTAAGTTTTCATAAATCGGAAACAAATGTACAAAAGAAATTTTGATCGTTAATATATTGAACACGCTTTACAACTTGGAAGTCTCAATGCGGCGTCCAATCTCATCAAACTCGATCTTCTTGCCAGTAATCAAGCTTTCTTGCAGCGCACATCCAATCTTGACCGCGTTCACGGCACCTTCCAGCCTCATCGGTGGAGGGGTGTTATCTAGACAGCAAGCCGTGAACTCATTGGCCTCGGTGATGAAGGCTTCCCGAAAGCGACCGTAGTAATCGGGAGGAATTTCGCGGCGGATACCGGTGGATTCGTAGAGATTGACGAGATTAAGCTGCGGCTGTGTGTTAACTGCAATCTTGCCTTCTGTTCCGAAAATCTCGGTAGTATCTTCCTGGCCAGCGGCCATCATGCGAGAGCAGTATAGCTGGGCGATTTTTCCACCCTATTGAAGAAATCGTCAGCATGTAGGTGTACTAAAGTCATAGTCATATTATATATTTGTCCAAGGACGACTTACATAAAATTCGATAATACCAATAGCATTGTCGCGGTCATTATGCTTGCGTAGTTCTGGTTGCACAGCAGTGATTCCCACCGCAGAAACACTCTTGACTACACTGTTTTCGCCGAAAAACCACAAGGCAAGGTCAATGTCGTGTATTGAGCAGTCGACAAAGATGCCACCACTGAATTCAGCATATGCAACAAAGAATCCGGATGGGTCCAGCTTGTCGCATGTCTGCGACCGAAAGACGGAGGGTACGCCAATGTCGCCATTGGTCATTCGCCGGTGAGCATCGCGATAAGAAGCATCGAATCGCCGGGAGAAACCACAGATGACTTTTTGGGCAGGGTGTTTTTTGATGGATTGTTTATATGCTGTTACGACGGTTTGCGACTGGCAAAGTCTGGTCAGCATTGTGCGAAGTATCTAAAGAGAGTTTGGAGGGGGTACTTACAATGTCAGGACTCGTGCTCAGTGGCTTCTCGCACAAAACATGTAATCCTTTCTCAATAGCCTTGATAGCCTGTTCGGCGTGCACAGTTGTTGCGCTCGAAACAACAACTGCCTGCAGTGTCGATTCTTGCTTGAGCAGCTCATCAAAGTCTAAGTATGTTCGCACCGATGGAAATTCCCTCTTGGCAGCATCGAGCTCGGCTTGCACGGGCGAGCTAACAGCAATGAGCTCGGCACGAGGAGTCAGGGTTGCGAAATGGCGTGCATGGCGAAGACCTATCAGTTGCAAGTCAATTGACAATCCGAATCGCAAACGAGTTGGATGCTGTGTTGCACGTACCCATACGGCCGAGGCCAGCCACCGCTACCTGTAGCTTCGGAGACGACATTATCAAGGAAAAAAATCTGGTAGATCTATAACAAAGAAACTCGAGCTCGACAAGGGTAACGTGAACTAGAAGAGCAAAAAGACACTCTTGTCAAGCAATTGGGAGGGGGGGTTGGAGCTAATATTACTATTGAACGGCGGTACTTTACCGAGCTGTTAGAATATTTTCTAGACCACAGACAGCTAGCTGTACCTGTGAGAGTACCACGGACAACGGTATGCCAATTCCGATGCACCAGACCCATAGACACTCCACAGGGGGGAAGCAGTCTCCATCTTCTGCGGGGTATACAGCCCAATCGATAACGCCCGCAGCGTGCCGCATGCAGTAAAAGGCGGCGAGAACTGCCCTCGTCGAGATGCCCCCACAGATCAGCGGCGGCGCGACCGGAAATTGGTTTCCCTCATAGTTCGATCAGCAGCTGGATGACCGGGCCTTATTGATCATTATGATTGCATTCTTGGCTTGTACCATTATCCATGTCTAAGTGTGTTCAAACATATATAATCACGTCGGCTTCCGGCTTGGTTGTTGCTAATGGTCGGAGTGAAAAGCGATAGTAGAGTTATTACTAGTATTGTATGAGAGGAGCGGTGTGCATTGCTCCTAGCACTAGCCGAGTAGGGAACATACGACTCTGGTAACCAGACCGCAATCGACCACGGATCGCAATTATGGCTTGAAAAACTATGAGAGCGGCACTGGGGAAATCAGCAGCTTAAATGCACAAGAACTTGTGGAATTGAGCAAGGTATTCTTTATCTCTTACTTCGGTAGACTTGCGAGGCGGCGAACGTTTCTTTGTCGCCATGTCAAAGTCAAACCGAATCTAGGGGTGTTTATTGGTGAAAAAAAGAGAGAGAGAAAGGCTTCGATTGTCTATATGAATGATCAAGAAGGCCTTATACACGTAGTCGGTGACCATACGGCATATATCAATTGATATCAGAAGCTGTGGGCGGAAAATATCTGGAAACGCCCGGAAATAAGTTTGATGCCAGTGAAAACGGGGACAATGCTATGCACACCCTGTCTAAGTAGTGATACTGTATGTAGATGGAAATTGCAAGAATACATGGCCGCATGGTCTTCGGTCTAGATTATATCATCATCTTCTAGACAGACCCTAAGGGCCGAATAAGCATATAAAGAGGAGCGGCCTCTTAGGACTGGGTGGTTATTGGTAGGTTTAGTCCGATACATACTACGACTTGAGACCAGTGCACTCGGAGAGTATCGACACCATAGGCCATGCCTATTCTACAGTCTCAAGCAGATCTTACATGCAAAACTTTCTCTCCCGTCTCCTAGGCCTCTTCCTAGCGTGGGGTCTGGATATCCCTAGCAGTATTTCGCTCGCTCGTTGAGGTGTGGCCAAAAGAAGCTGTCCTGGCAGTCCACTGTCACATTCGCACAGATTATCAACCACTGTATCGCCCAGAAAACCAGCATCGAGTGGGGACCCGCACAAATTCGTGAGACAACAAAGTGGTCGGTCGAAGGCAAAAAGAAGATGATGGAGCACCGAATGATGCGCGAAAGGGTTTACCCTCTTTGTTGATGTGGTTCCGGGCCGGTTGTATTGTTTCATAGCGTATCTGGCCAATATTAACGAGGTAGATGCTTATAATGGCAACTTTGACGACTGGTTAGTAGGACCCTCACTGCTGCAATGCTCATTACTGTGATCTTCACGACTTGGTATGTGGATTTCTCAAGGCCGTGGGGGGAATTGTTAAGCTCGGCATCGACGAGCTATCCAGGGAGTGAGCGGCCAACCGGGCTCATCCTAACCGACGGCTTAAAGTTCCTAGGCCTGGAGTACTTAGGGGCAGATTGTGGCGCCATGGATGTGGAGGAATCGACTAAAATCAAGTTGCTAGGGAGTGAGACTTCAGAGAGCATAAATCAGGGTCGTGGCGCTAGTTTCTGTGAGGTTTGCAGCCAGAGTTTGTCCGGAAAGGATAAGGGTATGTCTGTGGTGTAGGACGGGCGGGTGTCGGCACTCTCGGATCCCTCATTGATTCTAGCTAGTGGTTGAGCGGCAGAAAGGGATGTAGAGACTGCGGGCGATCGGAGCAATGGAATCGGGCTATGGGAAATTGGCGTCGCGATACTGGTTGAGATGAGGCCTTTCACTAAAGATCGAGTTGCAATGCTATCCTCGGTTTGTGATGTTTGCGATGTTTGCTATGGGTCGCTACGGGTAGCGCTATTCTGGCGGTAGCTTGGCGTTACTGCCCGAAACCTAAGGCACTAAGGCCCAACCTCAGGATCTTTTACCTTCTTGTTTGGATAGCAGCTGCTCACAGGTAAGGTAGGACGATGCGAACATCAGCATCTCACCATATAAAGAAACGTTCAGGTAGAAGGGAGATATGACATTCCAATTTCTATCTATGACAAATGAAAGCAGAGAAATGCCTCTAATTATCCTTGGCTAAACTGGCCAATGTTTTGTGATCGATATAAAAAAAGACGCAACAAGTGGAACTGAAGAGAAGGGCTCTAATGTCCAGATTTATGGATAGTTCGAGGTTTCAGAACACGAAGAGATCATCTAGGAAGCCGAATCAACATTAGTGGAAGAGAAGGGTTCCTTCACCCCTTCCTCACTGTCTCGGCTCGGCCTAGCATCACTGAAAGCGATATTCAACGCGCGATAATCCCAGTTGCGGCCGAAGAACAAGATGGCGAAACTAAGACCAGGCACCATGAGTAAGTCAAGCACACCGAAAAAGATAAAACTGCCGGTTACGCCAATGTAATTGCCACCATCGGTCAGGCCAAAGGCAATCGGGTAGAGAATCCACAAAAGATTCAACCATCCAGCAAGAATAATATAGTCTCGGTCAACACCAAGCAAGGCTGCAGACTCGCGGCTCTCGTTTATGGTACTCATCGCCAGGATGAGCCACGCGAATGTGCCAAAGGCGAAGAAGCCCCATTTGTAGTCCGAAGTAGTGTATGCGGCCACAAGATAGCTGACCACCCAGAAGCATGCGAGAGCGATGTTGCAGATGATTGTGGTCCACGAAACGCCCGATACTAAGCCGAGTCCCAAGGCAAGTGAGGGGAAGGCGACGGCCCAGTTGACGTACTTGGCATAGAACATCTGGCGAACAACACCATTGCCGAGATGATCAACCTGTTTAACTGCACTCCAACCCAGATCTGCAGCTTGTGCGTAGTATGTCATGGCGCCAACAATTAGGGCGAAGGTGAACAGGTAGTGGAAAACTCTTTCACTCTCTTTTGCCGCGAAGGAAAGCACTAGAAGGCCGATCTACAGAATTTTTTGTATCAGCAGATCAAATCATACCAAAAGTGCTATTCAAAGAATCCTGGGAACTCACAAAAGAGAGGACATAAATGGCTGTAACAGCCCAGAGCCAGTCAGATCCATGTACAGATAGAGCCTCGTCCACCCCCGTGACAGGGTTGACATTCAGGGCATCATTCCCACGCTCGAGTAAGATCATTGCAAAATTGATTTCTTGGATCACTTGCTGTAAATAATCGAGTCCACTGACTAAGATATATGTGCTGTCAATATTTCTAGAATATGCCTATAAGGTTCGATGGGATAGCTTGGACGTTGAAAGACGCAGAGGGAAGTCTGGCTCTTATAACCATTGAGCTAACAAACAACTCTACTACGGAGATGGATAAAAATAACCGCAGCGTATAAGTGTGACAAATGGTGGAATTCGTCGAATACGCTTGTTTCCATGCCCCTTCGTTCAGCTATTTGTAATCATCAGTGATATTCCAGCACGTTATCAAAGCTAAGAAGAGAAATATCCCCGGTTTTCCAAATTATTATGAATCTTATTAGGTACGCTAGTACTCCGTTCTTAGATCTACGTTCCTGCTCGGCAAATTGTTTTTAAAGTTTGTAGGATCAAGATTTTTAATCAATTTTCCGAAGTTGAAATAGACCTTGAAAAATCGGGGAAATAATTACTTGTTTTCTTTGATCATAAATGCTTTTCGATTGAAACTTTCATGAAATACCTGAAGAAAAGTCTTCCAACATTACAGTGTCAAAATTAACGTTGCTTTCAGTGTAACTCTTCTAGACTCTAGAGGATTCGCGAAACCTTTCGAAACTAATTTTCCGAGATTGGTCAATACGTTTCTTTAGCAAGTTAGACCAACTTCATGAAGGCCCCTTGCACCATGAGCCACCTTATAGCGAATAGAGTTAATTAAGAAATTTCAAACATTATTTGGGCTGATAGTTGTATTGGTGGCAATTGAAATGATGACAATTTCTTCAGAATCAATGAGCAATTGTTTTTTAATTAATCATACATAACTGAAATGCCCCACATAGATCAAATTTACATGCTCATCAAGTGTTTAATAAATAAATCCGAATTAAAAGTAGCAACCTGTTGAGTAAGTTAAACAAGGGGAGAGGAAAGTTTGTGCCAACGGGGGAGCAAGGATTATCGCACCGGAGATGAGCAAGTATATGATTGCGTAGGTTAGCCTTACTTACTCCTTAGCAAAAAACTATGACCGTAAAGGGAAAAGGAAGTAATTATATGGTTTGTGGTCATGACCGCTATTTTGTATCTGTTCGTGGAAAGAAAAACTTCCGTCTCGGTGCAAGTAGTCAATTAAGCGCGAAGTATTACTGACCACTTGTACAGAATAGTCATCTCGAAATGTGATTGAACAACTCGTTGGTTTTAGAAATGCACGACTGTGGCAGCAAATCTAAATAGCTTTTTTCGTGACTGTTAACATTCTTCAGCTCGCGGAATATGTGGAATAGCTCCTGGAGTCGCAACTGAAAAGGTTCGCCACGATGCATATTGTGGTAGAGGAACTCGGCGCAGAAGAATAAGGGAATAGGCATCAAGGGATGGATCTATGTAGATAAGAATCAGCAAATGAGTATGATTGATTTATACATATGGTTCACCTTCGAGACGGGTAGCTCGCGCAGCGTCGTGGCAAAATAAATGATAGTCGAAGACGCTTCTAAAGCTCTGTTTTGGTAATTGGAAAGTTCGCAACTTTTATTCAACGGGTCGACAGCTATAGCTGCTGATTCTATCATAGCTTTGCAGAAGTATACAACCGTGGCCTGACCTAAGATATGAACAAACAACAGCAAAGGATCATAAGATTCAATTGGCGAGGGATAGCATTGAGACAAGATATCGAGTCTCTCTGTCAGTAGGCCATCCAACCACTGACGTTGCTCTGCACAGTCTAGTACCATATCTCCGTAGGCCTTGGAGATGTTGTGCCTCTGGCTTTGAAGTAGGCTACGTCCACAAATGGTAGTCAATATAAGACACTCATTGAATGAAGACCGCACTTTGAGGTTAGGGTCGGTCATGGCTTCGGATAGGAAAGGCCCTAGCTCATAATGCCCAGTCTGGAATTCGGCATCTGGTGCTGGTAATCGAGTGCAAATCTGCGAGTTATGGAGAGGGGTGATCAGTGTCTCTGGTCTGCTTGGTATGTATCTTCCCAATCCTTACCACATGTTCATTCAGTGTGATAGGCCAGTCATCGCGCATGCTGATTACATGGTCCAGAAAATAAGCCATCCAGAACACCCGGCGTTTCTCTTCAACCCCAATCAAATCACCACACTGAGGAGAATATGAACCGCGTCTGTGAATAGGACTATCGATGTCATGATACCGCATTGCCTGCACCAAGCGAAAAGCCCGGCCAGCGCTCATCCAGGCTTGTCGGTGATAGGCGCGCATTGACTCAAATGTTACTAATAGCACCCATGCTTGGGCCAACTCCGCGCCGGCACCGCTATGCTCATTTGGCTCGACACTGAGACGCTCTAGCATCCCCTTCGTCTCTTGGTAAAGGGGCTCTACCATATCGTAAAATTGAGCCGAAAGCAGCGAGGCTAGCGACCACATAGCGTATTGCAAACACCTACTCGACTCCGTTTTGATACTGGATTTAGACCACGACAAATACCGCCGTTGATGAAGAATTGGTATTGATGGATGCACGCGGTCCAAATAGAGTTGATCTCTAGAGAATATTGTCAGCGTACATACGCCACTTACTCTCACAAGGAACACCAGGAGCTATGTCTTTACAATTCAGCGTGCAAGATATCCGTCGGAGGGATACAGATGTTGGAAGCGGCCAATGTCGACGAAAATGACCGTCCATTGGACAGAGGCGTCAGAGCAGCTGGCACGAACACCTGAGACTCCGCCGTTGCCTGTGGTAGATGTACCTCTGTTGTATCAATCACGGCGATCTCCGCCACGCCTCCTGGCGATGCCGAGAGTGTTGCCTCGTTGGTGTCCGGGGCATTACCATGAAGATCCTCTTGTTGCTGATGAGCCAATAAACGATCCTCCAACATAGCCTCCAGGTGCACTAGACGATTCTTCAGGGCCTTTAGGTGCCCTTTCTTCGGCCCTCGGACACCACGCTGCGTCACCTCGCATAGGATTCCCGTCTCCTGACAGAGTCCGCATTGCGGCTGCTGCCCATCGCAACGCAGCTTGCGACGCCGGCACTCATCACACGCGACTCTTAGACGCTGCATGGGGGGTCTGCGCGTTGCACTTGACGATGGCGTCCCATGTTCTTCGGAATAATGCGCCATAGGCAAGGAATCTGGAGTAAAAAAATTATACGGATTTTCTTTATTTCCTGTCGAAGAGCTAAGGTGGATGTTGGTACGGGGAGGAGCCTGGAACTTGCAGAGGCCCAAGAGAATAATCCAGTGATTCAGACCCACACGCTTGCTCCCTAAGTAAGCGCTTAATACCCGTTCCAGTCAAAAGTTTAGTGTTGGTTGTTGGATTAATTGAACCAGTCAGCTCCTTTACTGCTTAAGTAAGATATTCCTGACCATTCACATACTCCAGTTGCTGCTATTATTTATTTCTCCGACAGGTCGAAATTAATTATCCGAGTCACGAAAACATTTATCCGGCAGACTTGAAATGTTTCATCTTGTTGGTTTTCTATTTTATTGTCTTTCTGTTTACAGAAATTGAGGAAAGATTTTATTTTATTCAATACTCTAGGTCAATAAAATTATGTTTAAATCTCTCTTTTCACGTGAACAGTAGATATAGCCCCAAATAGAAGGCCTACCCTCACTCTCCCACCTGGCCACAGACCATATCTTTTTGTTCTGCAGCTTGTTCATAAATAGACACGACACATTCCCTTTTAAGAATGGAACCAAATACAGGACAGTTTATTGCAGGGAAGCGAATTATCGTGGCTGGTGCTAGCTTTGCCGGGCTGGCATTTGTGACTGCCCTCGAACAGCTCTGGAACTCATCGCTGGATCGCCCTGAAGTCGTGGTTTTTGAGCAACACCAACGCGAGGAGTCTATACAGAAAGATCCCTATGTACTTTGCATCAACGGAGGTAGCCAGAATGAGGGGCTGGTTGTATTACAGCAATTGGATCTGCTAGATGATATACGTCCGCACTCTACACTCAATAGCGGCGATATACGAGTGTGGAGTGGCGACTGGAAACAGCTCTCATCTATCAACCCAAAGCCATATGGAAATCTACCAGCAGCAACGATGCGTATCTCACGACAAGATCTTAAACGCATTCTTGTGGAGAAAGCTGAGAAGACGAAGACAATCTGGAAATGGGGATCGCCCTGTTTGGCAGCAGAGCGACTTCCAAATGGAAAGATACGTGTCAAGATCTCCACGGAGGAAGGGTCACAAATATCAACACATGATTGTGATCTTCTCGTAGCTGCAGACGGAGCAAACAGTATTATTCGAGCCAGCTTCCGACCCAACGATATGAAATTACAATACACGGGTCTAACCCAGATTGGTGGAATCTCTCGTCTGCCCAACGGACTTCCTCATCCAATTCACGAAGATTATGGCCTACAGATGTCCTCGGGAGAAGGCATATGCTGCATATACAACCCCTTCGGCTGTGAGACCATCGGCTGGGCACTGAGTTGGAGACAGCCTGAAAGAGAAGTCAAAAGTGGTCCATTTACACAGGAGGAATTGGCAGCACTGAAAGAAGAAGCCTTGAAGACAGGGTCCATGTTTCAAGAACCATTTAAAACCATAGTGGAGGCTACAGACCCACAAACTCCATTTATTCGTCCAGCAAAGGAAAAGACCGCTTTCGCCCACGATTCTAGTTTAAAGGGTGCTGTGTTCATCGGTGACGCTAATCATGTTCTGAGCCCCTATGAATTTGTCGGGGCAAACTTAGCACTCAAGGATGGCTGGGATTTGGCAGAACAGATTTGCTGCAATACTTCAATGGAGACAACCGTCGCAGCGTACGACAAGCTCAGTATTCCCCGCTTCGAAGACGTTTACAATTTCTCGCATACGAGAATTGGGTTTGGTCACAGCACCGGATTGAAGTGGACCTTCTACAAACATGGAATGGCTGTTCAAAGGGTCTTCGGGAAAAAGTAAATAATGTACACGACGTGCATACAAGGTTTCGGAAATTGGACCTCAAATACCTCTCTCCATATTCATCTCACTTAAATCCGCAATCAAGCCACCGTATAATGATAATAGCTCTCGTAGCAACAGCCCACATGAATATTTGAACTGTGGAGAGAAATTTCCTATCTGGATTTGTAAAATACGATTGAAAACGCCTCACGCGGCTAGATGCCTTGTTGTCCTTATTCGTTGGTTGAGTAAATCAGATATTTCTAGCACTTGATTATCGTGAGTAAATTTGAATCAGAGAAGATCATTTGTTAACAAAGTTTGACAGGAACTAATAAACAAGTGAAGTCTGGTCTTCAGTCTCTAAATTATCGGCAGAATTGTCGGATATACCGAATGGATCACCGATCAACGTTCAACTTGAAACATCCAATCTGACCCATGACTGTATCAACAAGCATCGCACCAATCCACGCTCCGACGACTCACTCGAACGCATGATTCTGTGAAAATTAAGATACAGGAAAGTTTCGGTTACATCGCGACAGGCAGATCTCCACCAATTTCAATCAAACTCCGAGCCATTTGGCGCCTAGAAATACTAAGTAGGCAACTGATTAAGTGAATTATTCTCGTCATCAGTTGCACCAGACGTTCCCGCGAATAGCTATAAGTACTCTACATTGGCCCAGATCCAAACCTGCTTATTTATCAGAAAAGTTGAAGTCAATTTTGGACGTGTAATATTATACCATGGTACCTGAGCCGGGCTTCACTCTGGAAGTACTGGCTATTTTCCTTGGACAGTGCCATGCTGAAGAAAATATTACTTCAGGTACTTATTTTTATGGCAGCTCCCGTGAAGGAGAGTCAACTGCGATTTAGAGTCACGGAATTGCAGCCATTGAGAGAGTGCGGAATAGGGGTGGCGCAGACTAGCTAACAATCTAAACCAATGGTAGTTCTTTTCCACTGCTACTGTGGGTTGCTTCTTCCTTGAATGTGATTGGCTTTTTGGGGCATAGTTCGATGCTTCTGTCAACATTGAATATCAGTTATAGAGAAATTAAGATATGCCCAAAGAGGATGGAAGAATGTACTGAGAGTATTAAATAATCAAATATAAGACTAAGCTTATCAATATTATCCACATCTACGGTATGGGAAACCCTGGCAAAGGCGAGAGGCTATACTACAAGGAGGAGACCAGCACCAGCAAGACCAGAAAGAAGATGTTTTGCGTTGCTCGTGGGGAAGGTTGCCAGCCCAGAAGAAGTACTCGTCGAAGCAGCGCTGTGTGCAGCGCTTGCAGTAGAGGTAGCGCCACTGCTTCCCGAACTCGTTCCAGTCGAGCCTACAGGGACGGTCGACACAATCGCGCTGTTAGTTGCCGTCGCAGCGCCGTTTCCCGTAGCAGTTGAAACGGCAGAAGGTACCAGAGTCGCACCTGGCACTGCACTGGATCCAGTGCCTATCTCCAGGATGTCATCGTCACCGGGGTTGAAGTTTGTGTTTGCAAGGGAAATCTCATTGTTTTCGAGATCGTAGACAACGTAAGCACTACGAAGAAAGGTATCTCCTAAGAGGTTCAGTCCCGCGGCACTGGGCACAATACCAAATACACAAGTCCCCTTGGGGAAACCAGCCTCGGTGCCGTTCAAGATCAATTGGCTGATGGCGACGGTGATCTGTGCGCCGGAGAAGTTATATGTCACGTTATAGTCCTTTTCAACCGCATTGCAGTCAATATATGCTGCTGCAGCTTTTTCATCATATGTCACATCCAGATCCTTGTAGATGTTGTTGACAAGTGCTTCGGGCAATGCTGTGAAGGAGGTGCCTGTATCGAGTGATACCGCCAGTGGAAGATTGTTCGTGTAACTTTTGGATTGGGAGCTGGTTTGCACGGAGACCTCGGTCAAAGCAATAGCAAGGGAGTAATACTGGTTATACACTGGAACGATAGGAAGCGTCTGAAGTTCGCCCTTGTATTTAGCTTTGTTTACACCTCCGAATAGGATGGTGCCCGTAGCAGCACTTATATCATTTAGCCACAAACTATAAGCAGCAGATTTAGTGGCACCACTAGCAGCGAGAGCATATGGCAGGTTGTCATATGTCTTGTTTTCGTGATCGGCCGCGTATGTGGAGATTTTGTATCCAACACCAGCGATACCCTCTAGACGCACAGTCAGTATCAGAAAGAAAGATGTATGTTCAGGTCGTAAGATGCAGATTTGGAAGTGCTTACGCGGAATAGTAGATGATTCGGCAACTATGAATTGGAAATTATCGACTGTTGAATTTCCCAGCCCCAGGGTATCCGTCGCATAGGAGCCATAGGAATTGGAGCCGTCCCCGTATGTGGCGTTGAATGCAAGGTCCAAGCCCTTATATGTGGACGAAGCACTGGAGTTGTACAAGCCAAATGGCTTGCAGGGGTCATTTCCACCTGAGCATATGGACGAATTCGCCACGTTCACCCATAAATCACTACTACCAGTATCCAGAGTAAGTGAAAATGTCTGCGGCGGTGAACCCAGGGTCAGGTTTACTAGATAGCTTAATTGTTGCTGTCAAGATATATAAGTTTTGAAACTGGGCTGACATATTGGATTGGGGCTGATTTGCGTGACACTCACGTTGTTTGAGATAGTTACACCTAGAGTGGAATCTCTTTTTTGAATAGTCTGGGCAGCTTGCCTGCGCTGCACAGGCAGCTTCACGACAGCCGGGGAATCGCGCTTATGAAGTGAAAGCGCACTGGCAGACGAGGTCGCCGTCACGACAAGAAGTACTAAAGCGCCGCGCATTGTGAAAATCTTCCACTTGCTTCACGAACGAGATGCAACGCGCAATACTGACAGCAACAGCAGAACTCCTCGACAAATCAAGGGCAGGGAAACTGCCGCGTCAGAGGTGGGAACAGGCCTCCTTTTCAGTGGCCGAGAATGGTGTCTCATTCTCGCAATGTAGTAACGACTGTGGCGTTTATCCTAGCCTGCTTGGACGTTGGTCAAGTGTACGCGACAACTCCTGACACTAACCAGCCAGTCAGATCCTGCTGCTCCTCTAGTACGTTGGAGGCCAAGCTCTCGTTGCGGGCCGCAAAGCTTGCGGCGCCCACTGGGGAACAAGTCTTGTTGAGGGTGCTGCAAGCGAGTTGTGCTAATTCTGTTGATTTTTAAGCCATTTACGGCCTAAGCTGTGTGTTTCCGGTGCGCTCCGAAAAGCCTCATCAAGAAATCGAATTGCAATTGGATGCAAAGGGCTGGTGCCTGGTGGAGAGGTGGCCGGACCCTGGCGGATGACGCCCCCGTCGCGACATTAATAACGACAGTAGTATAGTTATGACATTAATAATAGCATGGTTACATTCAGACTTTCTTTAGAGCTTGTTGCTCTGCCAGTGTCCTGCAGTGCGGCTCAACTTTCAGGTCATGACTGAGTCTTAATGTGTACCAGGAACTGCCCAGGTGTGGCGCAATATCTGCCCGACCAGTATTTTCGTTGTGTATTAATAATCCATGTATTGGTTTTCGGCAACGAGCCTCTGAGAGTCTCGTTATGCGGGCAAAACCCCATGCAAGCCTGATACAATATATTTTAGATAAGTAGCCAAGCTTAGTAGGGAGTAAAAGAGAGGTGGCATTTTTCAAATGTTGACAAATCTGAAGCGTTTTCACTGCATGTGATCGAGGGCCTCAGGCAAACAGCGGCCGCATTATTGCGCGACGGCAACTGGCCTACTCTCAGTTACAATTGATCAACCGATATCAAGTGTAGTCTTTGGTGTATGTGGATACATCGATGATATCAATGTATCAACTGGTGCTAAATTGAGGTAATTTAGGTTCATTTGGATATGTGATATATACATGTAACGCGTAGCTTAAGAGATAGTACATGTATGTGTAACTTGAGTTACAATCGACATATATTTCGAACTGTTGACTAGACCTTCGGTTCATCAACACACCACCACGTGCCACATACATGACGCACTCCCTCCTTGAATCCTACATTCTAATCATCTTTACTAGAGCAATTGGTGTATATATCTATTCTCTGCCGTCAGAACCAGCCGAGCTGCACACCACGTCCAAGGGCACAGGTCGCTGTGGCCAATGCCCTCCGTCGCCCCACCCGAGCTGCCTAGCCAACCAGACGTGCCCCAGTAAAGTCTCCCCGCATCGGCAATTGAGCGCGTCCCCTCGTGCCTTCCTCTCGGGGAGCGGTTGCCGCCTGCGATTTATCTGTGTTGCCCTGGCTCCTGCCTGCGTTGCTCTTTCCTCCGCGACAACTTGCCTGCTGCTCCTTCCCTCAAGTCGCAGCTATCCTTGACTCTTTAGGGCGGAACCGTCCACGTGACCCCCCGCAATGACAATGACGGCAGCATCCATGTAATGTTGATATAATGACCCAGCCAACAAGACACAGGCCCATTCCCTGGTGAGGGCGCCGTGATATTTCCTACTGCTTTCCGGAGTCCTTGCTGATGCTAGCCTTGCTTTTCTTTATCTCTCAGCCAAGAGTGTCGTAGTAAGCATCAGCCCCTCGTTACCTAGTGCGGCATCCAACATTCAATCATCCGGTGCTAACGATTTCTCTGCAGCTCGTCATTTGAAGTGTGAGTCTATCGCCTTTCATGTGAGGTTTGCTCACACGAGAATGTAGGTGACGGAAACAAGCCGATATGCGAGCGGTGCGAGCGGACTGGAGTTTCCTGTATTTGGGGTCAGACACGTATTCGATTTCGTCACGGCTCCAGTGCGAGATACGATGCTGACTTCGCGGATGACCAACCATGGCTCAAGTCCGATGGACACGGTAGGCGAAACTCAATTCCACTGTCCTTGTAGGCGCTTGTGTGCTACCTAGCCTCGAGCAAGCAACACGCGAAGAGAAGAGGGGGAATAACTTTCGTTGCTCCGTCGATTTCTCGCTGACAATGAATATGAATAGTCAACTACAAGTACGTCGATGAAACTGCTGATATAGCTAGCTGCTATACGGTGGACTCGATCCAGGAACCCCCCACGTGGTCCGCTGTGCGAAATAGAAGCGTTTCCTCCGTAAGCGACTACCACCCTCCGACGGACTCATCTCCACCTTGTGGAATCCTAGAAGAATCACCTTTAACATTTGATTTTGCCACATCATCGTCATCAAGACGGCGACGAGTACACGAAGATCCGAATCACGAAAGCTTTTCCTTCCAACTATCTCCACATGATGGTCAATCAATCAATTCATCGCCCCTGAACCCGTCTCATCCGAGTCACCAGTCACTACGACCGACTGATAATATATCGCAGATCGATAACCGTCTCATGCAAGCACCCCAGTCGTCTTTCGATGCACAGGAAGCTTGCTTGATTCGCTATTTCATCGTGGAGCTTGCACATTGGGTAGGTATGCGCCTTATATTCATGGCACGAGAATTGACATTTTCTATTGTTTGATCTATGCGACGGCGAAAGACACTTTGCTACAACAGTTCCATTACGGGCCATGTCATCCCCCCTTTGATGAATGCAATCTACACAACTTCCGCGAGACATCTCAGTCGAATCAGAAAATACTATATGGGTGACGAAATTCATTACCAGGGAAAAGTGCTTCCAGACCTGAAGCCGGAGACTGCTCTGTACTACCACAATCGATGTATTGAACATCTAGTTTCGCTTTCAGATGATCCGCTTGAAACTAAAGACGAGGATCTGCTTGCAGCGGCCGTCATACTCCGATTCTACGAAGAGGTCGATGGTATAGATACCTATCTTTAGTCATCTAATTTCAATATCCTATTTTGAGACGTGCTCACTGACTATTTTTAGTTCCATTCACTGGTGACGATATCGAGAATGCACTAAGCGGTATTCAGGTGTTCCTTGACGCAGAGGCTATAAGCACGGCTGCTGGTAGCTCTCTTCGCCGTGCAGCATACTGGGTAGCTCTTCGCCAGGAGACGATTACTGCATTTTCTAAACAACGACCTTTTCGACTCCCACTCGAACCATGTGAGACATATAGATCATTCGAGCCGGCCGACGATTATGTATGGGCAAATCGACTTGTTCTGCACTGTGCAGATGTGTTGCAATATTGTTTCGGAACTGAACAGGAAACTGCCAATAACCGTGACCGAGCTAAGTATACAACAATTACTCCAGGAATTGTTCTACCGGTGACAAGTCCTGAAAACTTTGCGGGTGCGGATATGACCCCCGCTCATCGTTTAGCTCGGTATGAGGAGCTTGTCACGTTTGACAATTTGTGGACAGAGCTTGGACCATCGTCATTCAATGCTATTCATTCACGAGAGCCGGATCGCTCCCGAGGAGAAGTATTTCCGGAGTACTGGTGCCTCAATGACTGCCACGTTACCGGTATACAGCACTTGGAGCTCGCACGGATTTTACTTGCGGTGTACAACCCAGGGATCCCTCGAATGGGGCCGTATCATCGCCTTGCCATGCAGTTATTGGATAAAGACGTAAAGTCGACCATATTGAGACTGTGTGGTCTTGCTCTGTCAAACCAGCACAGTCCGCCAGGGTTGATCACTGCTAGTGTAGCCATTGCTATGTGTGGTGATCGATTCACAGATGTACTGGAACAAAAAGCCCTACTTGGGGTTCTCATGAAACTCGAAGACGAGTACGGGTGGCCAACGGTTGGAACACGAGACACGCTTAAGAAAGCTTGGGGATGGAAGGATGGCCTTTAGAGTGATTCGTGGCTCATTGTTGCCTCTGTTCGTACTCTACCGTTCCATGGCTTGATAACATACGCAAGATTTGCTTAGGAATTTATCAGTTTAGCCTTGAATCATGCCATTTATCGAAAAATAAAACTCTAACCATTCCCTCTCTCATAGCACGCTGATAACACAGGCGACCAACAACAGTTCGTCCGCCCTTGTTGAATGTGTAAGAAGTAAAGAATCGTACAGACATTATAACATCGTAGCATCAGCTTCTGGAAGAAATTCCATGACAAAACAGCATTAAACATCGGGAAAAACATGCATTAATCATGAGTTTCATTTCGGCACAAAAGACGACGTGTCTGAAATTACTATTCGTTCGCAGTCTCAAAGGTTCTTCTCCAGATTTTCACTGGCATAGCCGACGACATTAGATTGAAGCTTTCCCATCGCTCCGGCTCCCAGTCTGGCTTTGCTAAAGCCATTTCATAACGGTGCACCACCGTTGCAAGCACGACACTTTGTTCTAAATAGCTGATATTGCGCCCAATACAGCCGCGCGCACCAGCTGAGAAGCTGATGAAATAAGGCTGCAGCTCTTTGCCCTTTTCACCAATCCAGCGCTCGGGCTGGAAGGACTCTGGGTCTGGAAACAGTTTCGGGTTCCTGTGCGCTACATAGGCGGAGATAGATACTGTAGTGTCGCCCGCCACGAATTCTTCGCCAATGACGGAACCATCACGCGGTGTTCTCCGAGGAAGACCAAATGAGGTGGGCGGAAGGATACGAAGTGCTTCATCAAGACATGCTCGGAGGTATGGTAGATAGCGAATTTTGTCGTAAGGGGCCACCACATCTTCCGAGTCAAGGACCGTATCCAATTCCTCCCGCAACTTAGCCAGGCATTTGGGATTTCTGAGTAGCAGGAACATGGCGTTTGTCATAGCCAGTGCAGTCGTGTCGGAACCTGCGTTCATCATGATGGAAACCTCAGCGACAATCTCACCAAACTCCATATTGTTCATGTTTCCCGATTTATCTTCCATCAGACAGGCGAAAAAGTCATCGAGAACTTCTCCAGCTTGGTAGCGACGGAGACGTTTACACGCACGGTGCCAGACAATATCGTTCCATCCTTCATTCAGACGCCAATACTCGCGAAATTTGGTGGAAATCACTTTGCTCATTTCTACGAGAAACGGATACCAGTCATAACCCCAAACGAGATTTGACTGAGCTCGAGCTGTGGCATGGAGACAGGCGCGGTATGATGGAATAGTATAGAGTGTGCCATCCATGCGCTCCCCAGTGCAGCTATCATTCCCCGCATCAAGAAACCCAAGGCGCTCAGATAGACCGATATCAGCAATGGCGTCGAGAGTAAAGAAATTGGTCCAAGCACGGTAGTCTACTGTTAGGTCCTCAGGCGCTGGATTGTTATTGGTCTTTTTAGTGATAGGGGCGGTGCACCTGGTATCAAATGCGTGCACTAGCCGTTCGGCTTTGTCTGCGACTTTGTGCTCCCACCCCTCGAGGTTCTTTAGAGCATATGCAGAAGACAAGATTTTTCTCTTACGAGCGTGATCCGGTTTGTCAACTACGTCGGCGAGGTGGTAGTGAGATCCCACGAGGACGGAGTAGAATTGGTCTTTGACGCATGAAGTTCCATGGCCGTAGATATCCTAAGCTTCAGGATGAGTTGTGTCACTACATTCGATTATTGGGGAAAGTTATACCTTGATGGCTTTCGGGTCCCCATAAGATAGTGAATTCGGACCTATACGGACAACGGGGTACTTTTGATGAGCTTCTAATAGCCGATTCGAGCGAAATCCTTTGTATGCCTCCCAAATGAAACTGAGGTTTGTCATGCCTGACAAGCCGTTTAGGTTTGGGTATTTCCGGAGACCCTTTGGATCTCGGAAGTATTCTACCACTGGGTAAATGATGAAGTATGAGATTAGGGAGAGGGCCACTCCGGTAAGAAATACTGGCCCTAGCATTGTGAAAAGGATTGATGATTATGAGACAAGGAGCGAAGGAGCAATGGGTGATAACTAGGTAGAAGGAGAACAGTTGACGGGCCTCCAGAACATCTCAAAGAAAAAGTATATGGCAGACTCATGAATCAGAACATACGGTTTTCATTCTTATTTCATGTCGACAGACGCTGGCCAAGTTCCTCCTCTACCCCGCGTCCATATTGTGCGGCAGAATCTGAATAGGTGGTTACTGCTGATCGAGTATTGGGTCATTACTAGTACGCTAGACGATCAATACAGATGTTTACTGGTGAAAAACACAGATCCAGTAACAGTCGCCGAACGTTCACTCTCTTGGAGGTCCTAGACGTTGACAGGTGTTGGCTGTCGCACGTATTCGGAGGGTAACTGCCCCCTCCGTGGTGTTACTTGACAGGACCAAGAATTGCAAAAATTGTCTTGTTAATGCAATGGCGCTGTTGGGAATAATTCTGAGTGGTAAATGGATGTCCCGTTTTCGAAATATGCACCAATCAGGAAGGTCTCGGCGGTAAATTGCCGTGTTTGCCATCACAGATTCGGGCAAAATTGCTCTCCCGAAGTCCCCCTTCGTACAATCAATTATTTCAGGTTGGAGGTATCACTACTTTTAGGTCATTAAAGCAAAGGCCCCAGCTTTTATTTCCCCGCATATTCCTACGTACCGATTTATTGAACTATATTGATGAATGCGGGGCATGTTTGTAGGCTCTCCCTGGTGTTTTTCAATGAGTTGATATAAGGGATGTGGGATGCCCCAATACTACGGCTATTCTATTCTTTTTAAATAAGGCGCAGTCTAGAGAGTCGGAGGATTGTGTTTATTGGAGTTGTGTTTTCTTGCTCAGGAGGTATATGACGATGGATTTATTCGTATCTCTCTGTTGGCTGCAAAGTCAGTTTCTATATATCATAAAGGTTGCCCCATTTACATCTTCCGACGATGTGGCAGTGGTCACTGCCATAGCGATGTGCAGCGCTGGGTACCTCCTACACGGTGTATTATGGGGCAAACCAAACCCCTATGAGTATAAATTGTACGAACGACATCAGGAAAAACTCGGTTTCAAGGCTGCTGGAAGGGCGACGAGGAATATAGCAGAAAAGCTCAAGCAAACAGTATGAAGGATTGTCATACCCAGAAATTCTTTCACATCAGTGATTACTAATTCAGCGTTCTCTCACAGAACAAAGATGTCGTGGTATTTTGGGGGTCGCAGTCCGGTACGGCTGAGGGCTTTGCAAATCGACTGGTCAGAGATCTCCAGCGTCGGTTCGGCATTCAAACAATGGCAGCAGATCTGTCGGACTTTGACCCAGAGTCAATTTCCTTGATTCCATCCACAAAACTGGCCATATTTATAGTTTCGACATATGGGGAAGGAGATCCAAGCGACAATACGGCCGAATTCTGGAACTATTTGCATCAAAAGCCCAACATCAAGTTATCCAATCTGAAGTATACGGCATTTGGTCTAGGAAACAGTAACTACAAATACTATAATCGAGTGGTTGAGGTTCTTACATCTGCACTGGATCATTTTGGTGCAAAGCCTCTGCTTCCTGCTGGGCGCGCGGACGATTCTAATGGAACAACTGAAGAGGATTTCCTTGCATGGAAAGAAGCACTGTTTTTTACGATTAAAGGAGAGTTCAACGTCGACGAAAAGAGTCCAGATTATGAGCCCACTTTGTCCGTTGTGGAAGATGAATCGCTGTCACTGATTGATCTCAATGTCGGCGAGCCCGTGCGAAAGCTACGAGGGAAAAAATCAATGGTGGCGTGCTCACCAATTTACCCATTACCGTTAAAATCTTGCCGGGAACTCTCATCTTCGTCTGACCGAACATTTATCCACCTGGAATTTGATGTGTCTCAGTACCCCGAAGTGAGGTATAAAACTGGTGATCATATTGCTATCTGGCCGATCAATCCAGATAGTGAAGTGGATCGTCTCATGATTATTCTGGGTCTTGAGAAGAAAAGAGACACTCCTATTTCGATCAACGCTTTGGACTCTACTACGAAAGTCAAAGTTCCCACACCAACTACTATTCATACAGTTTTTCAGTATTACCTCGAAATTTGCAGTCCAGTATCGAGAGAAACTATTCAGTCACTGGTACTATTTGCACCTACAGCATCAGCGAAAAAGCTGCTGTCAACTCTCGGAAGGGACAAACATATGTATGAGAAATTTCTTCTTAATAACCATGTAAACTTGGGCAGGCTACTTGAATATTCCGTTCAGGGTAGTAAAGAAAAATGGAAAGATATTCCCATTTCTCTTATTTTGGAAAGTTTACCGGCCATGCAACCACGCTATTATTCCATTTCATCTTCATCCATTGTCCAGCCACGCCAGGTGGCATTGACAACTGTTGTGTCCGATTCATATATAAATACAGATCGCGGGATAGAAAGAATCCACGGTCTTGCAACTAATTATATGTTTGCTACTACGAGTTCCTTATCATCCGACCTAGACCGGCCGAGGGATCATCCGTATGGACTAACATATCCTCTTAACGGCCCTGACGGTGCCTTGCAAGACGGCAAGATTTACGCCCACATTCGGAAGTCACAATTTAAATTACCCACGTCTTCGTCTTCCAGTATCATCATGATTGCTGCTGGTACCGGGGTTGCGCCTTTCCGAGGATTTTTGCATGAGCGTAGCCGACTGAAAACCATGGGACGAGAGGTCGGTCGAACGATTCTCTATTATGGCTGCCGCCGACCCAACGAAGATGATTTGTACTCGGATGAGTTTTCAACTCTGAAAGAAATAATGGGGAATAATCTACAGATCATAAACGTATTCTCACGAGAGAATCCAGAGCGTAAAGTATATGTGCAAGACCGTATCATGGAACACACCGACGATTTGTTTAACCTATTGGTTAACGAGGACGCTTACTTGTACATTTGTGGCTCCGCAAAGATGGCCCGGGATGTTACCATAAAAATAGGGGAAACTTTGAAGGAAATGTCCTGTTGGAATGATGTGGAACTTCGCTCTTGGATGGAAGGGCAAAAGAAGCACGGTAGATGGCAGGAGGATGTCTGGGGCTGAGACAAGAAATCAATTCTTTTTATGAATAATTTAGTTAGATATTTATGCTTCGCAATACTTAGTTACTCTCTGTATACTGGGAACTACATACAAACTTTGCGTGTGTAGCCTGAATGCTCAGTACGTGGTTTCTTCCAAACCAACCAACTCCAGTGAATCTCTCCACAGCTGAGCCTCCAGTTCTGGACAGTAAGTGTGACTAACGTACGTGTCACTAGCTCGATATCCATCATCTGGGCCTCGGACAGCCTCGGTGCAATTTACAAGGTACTTTCCACCCCTGCCCTCCCAATCTTTGTCAATTGCCGCATAAATAGTTGTAGCTGCTCCCTGTTCAGGATTCTTAAAGGTTTTCAGTAGGGCTTGATCCTGCAGCATTGAGTCTCTTATTTCTGGTGAGACGAATTTGCTCAGACCAGTCACGATAATTCCGGGGTGTAAACTGGTCGCGTGAAGCCCGCGTGCTCCAAACCGACGCTCAATTTCATTGGCCATGTAAATGTTTGCGCACTTGGACTGGGCATATGCCCGCCACGGATCATACTGGGTATTTTTAAAAAAGTAATCGCCAGAAGGATTGAGACCTTGAATTCGATGAGCAGCGGCCGAGAGTATGACTACTCGCGATTGGAATTCCGGTGTAGTAGCAGCTAGTAGAGCGGGTTTGAGAAGTCCAAAGAACAAAAAATGAGATAGGTGATTGGTAGCAAATTGAACCTCAAATCCGTCTTTGGTCAGTTGTAGTTCTGGGATAGCCATGATTCCAGCATTGTTGATAAGAATATTGACCGTGTGCGTCTTCGAGAGGATGGTATTAGCCGCTTCCCGGACGCTCTGCAACGAGGTCTGATCCATTTTCACGAAATGAATTTTAGAAACGTTCACTTTGTCGGTCAAAGTGTTCTTTGCTTTGACAATGTCTCTCGCTGTTAGATAGAGAGTAATCCCTGTCACAGCAAGAGCACGAACTACCTCGATACCGAGCCCAGCTGAGCAACCGGTCACGACGGCGACTTTGCCATTCAACTTGTCTGCTATGTTGTTATCGGTAACGATCTGCAATGCAGTTGGTCTAGCATCCCCAGGACCTTCAGGGTTAATATGAGCGGAAGTATAACGAGACATGACGAATTTGTAGTAAACTATGCACAAATCAAGGCAAGGAATAGGGGTTTCGATGATTAATCTTTTTGAATGAATACTTGATTCTTTATCTACTTTCTTCATATTTACACTGGTCTATTGTCTCCTATTTAAAGCTGATCACAGACCTTTGGTACTACTCTTAATTACGATGCTTGCTTGGTTTTCCGCCTTGATAACGTGATGACACTTTTAGACAAATTCGGTTACCTCCAAAAATAAGATGACACTTTTTTCCGTTCTTAGTATAGCGCCTAATAGTTACTAATGCGGGGATTGATGATCAGTCAATCAAAATCATTTCAAAGGTTTCATGCCCCATCAAGTTGCAATACTGCCTCTATTTGTCTCACAAAGTTTGATAAAGCCGTCCATAAGGCCGCTGTATCGGAGATATTCTTGTACCCGACGCCTTTCTATTCCTACCATCGTCCTGCTGGTGAATGACTAATATAATCTATTCTGCAAAAACTGGTGTACGCACAAGTGAAGCTACCGATCTGCAATATAGCCTATTAAATATATTAAAAAGGATGGAACGAAATAATGAAGAGCAAAAACAGCGGAGGCGACTCCAAAATCGGTTAAATCAAAGAGCGCGACGTGAGTATTTGTCCATTCTATGTTGTGGGTTACTTTCGACATCTAACACAATTAGCTAGGATTGCGTATTCAAAAAATCAAACATGCGAATGAATCCCTAAAAGACCGCCCATATATAGTGGGGCGCTGGCGTTTTGACGCAAATCCACTCCATGGGTTTTCAAGATTTGAAAGCAAGTCGAACAATAATATTCAGAGGTCTATATCTCAGCCGGGAAAGGTTCCAGGACAGGTGATAGCAGTTACAGATGATAACAACACCCCTGTTGCAGGACATAACACCGTTTTTACAAACCTGGAAAGACATTATCAGAAGGAATTGACGTTACCTGCAGATCACCTTCTTAGTCTCATTCAGTATAATGTATCCCGGGGTTTGCGGTGGAACAAAGCTTTACTGAAGCAGTTGGTGTCATATGCTATGCCGAGTTTGCCACCTTTAGGAGTCTTCGATGACGATATACTTTTCTTCGGTTATTCGATTATTACCCGGGCATCACAAAATTTACCCAATTGTCTTGCTCCAACTCGGTCACAAATGGCAAACGTACATTCAACATGGATTAATATATTGCCTTTCCCCAAACTTCGAGAGAATCTCATGAATTGTGAGGCTAGTTTTGATCATGGAGAATTCATGCATGATCTAGTTGGTGGTCTCGTTGACGTAACACGATTTACACGGCCGTCACCTATACAGCCACCAGCCCCCAGCAGATTGAGAATTTTGCACGCCGATGACGATGAAGTAACAACAGGTCGAAATGGATTGATAATATGGGGAGAGCCTTATCTGATGGAAAGTTGGGAAGCGACCCCAGGATTCTTAACAAAGTGGGGATGGGTTGTTGAAGGCTGCCAGGAATTGATAGAGTCAAGCAATCGTTGGAGAACGGCTAGGGGTGAGGAGGCAATAAAAGTTTCTAGTTTGGAATAGAAAAGACCAATCGCTTATTTACACCCAATCACCGATAATCTTTCCAACCCAATTGATTTTCCATGTGGAACGAAATATTGCTATTTAAATATCACAAGCTTTGTCGTATCAAGGAAATCAGGCTATAGCAGGCTTTGCATCCTCCTGATCCTCCTTTACCACGGTCCCTGCCACCTCTGAATCCACATTGGTCGAGGTGATACTCAACACTGTCGGAATTGCAATAACTAAAGATCCCATGCAAAGACCCCAATCCATTGCAAACTGAGTCATGGCAGACTTTTTCAACGCATTTATTCTCCACGCCATCGCTCCTCCAGTCGACTGGAATGTCTTGTATCCACCCACCAAAATAGCCGTTGTAGCGGGAGAGTTAGATCGAGCACCTATTAACCAGTAGCAAAATGACTGCCATAGTGCGTCATATGCACCATAGCAGATATAGAGAATTATTGGCCCAGCTGAGAGATGGCCATTGGTGTAGTCAATGTCCTGCTTGAGCCCTTTCGCCTGACGCCGGTCTGACCACAGTTGAAAAGCATAACCCCCGCCCCAGATAGCGAGTCCTGTGGTAAAAAGAGTGACCCAGCCAAGAATAGCACGCCAACGACGACCTAAAAAGGGCATGTCGAGAAGAAACCCCATGATCAGACCGCCAAACATCTGAGCGAACCAGTACAAAGCACCGTTCAGTGATCGAGTTCTGATATTGAAGGTCAAACCATTCACATCATTCTGTTGGTAGGAGTAGAATACATTGGCACAGAAAAAGAGCGGAAACATACAGAACACACGCCAGTCCCCTACTATACTGAGGGTAAGGCGAATTATCTGGCGCCAGTTAGACCCTTCTTCCGCGAAAGTACCAACACCCTTAATTCGGACAGCCGATGGATTGCAGATGAAAACGCATGCAGCCCACCCAACTAACATGATTACCATAAGTGCGATATAGGTTGAATCAGATACCGTCCCAATTTTGGAGTTGAAATTAAGGCCAAAGCTTGCCAAAGAGCCTATGCCTCCACCAAAATTGAAAATAATCCAGAAAGTAGCGATAGCTCGACCTTTCTGGTTCTCGGGTACGTAGGTGGTCATAATTGCACCTTGTGATACCCATAAAAACGAAGCGCCGATACCCAATATTGCACCGGAAGCAATGACAAATGCTCCATTGTGGTTGTCTGTTGTTGCCGTCTCGTTAAGTCTTCTTCTTGGAAGCCTGTAAGGAAGTTGGTAACGTACGGTTAAAGCTAAGTAAGCTTCCAGAATACAAGGCATATGTCCATCCGCCGATCAAAAGACATACGCGTGGTCCGACACGATCGAAAATTGGGCCGACAACGAAAAGTGCAGTACCTGCAGTTGCAGCTAACAGAGCGACTGTTGCATTGGCAGCCACTGTTGGGTCTACCTGACCGGATCCACCAAGACCTGAGAGCGCATTATACATCTGAACGAAATCGCGTCAGTCTGTAAGACACATGCCTGCGAGCAGTGTGACACCAAAACTTACGCCAGGGCAGCAAAAACAAATAAAGCTGATCATGAGAATCTGAAACCATGGATTGGTATACACCCGCCTCATCGGCGATAACGGCTGCTCGACTGTTACGGTCGACATCCTGGTAATATAGAGATGAAGACCGAGAAAAGAGAGTTCCAACAAGCAACGTTGAGATTTCAGCGTGGTTTCGTGTATATCGAAAACTTCCACATTATAGCTATGTCAAAGCACGGCTGCTACGCAGGTTAATATAGTTGATTGCCATTGACTATCATACCCCATCTGTGCAACGTGGTGGGTCCCGGATACGATAGAGAAGATATGGAGATGCCCACGGAGAAAGACCAAGGGGAGCGAGCTATCATCACGCGAGCTGGCGGAGAAAACGGCCTGAGCACAGATAAAGAGTTCGGCATGAGGTGGGGGCTTTCGGCAACAACTCTCTATACGATTGGGGGTTTCTCACCGGAGTCATTCCCGAGGCAGAAAATTTTCTGGTTGACTTTCATCCTATCAATTTCCGGGCTAGACAGTCGGAGTAAATGGTTATGAGTTTGGTTTCATGAATCGAGATTTCGGAATAAGCCGCTCGTGCGCTTATCGGCCAGTCAGGCAACATGTAACCTTAGAACACCTGTGGAACCACCCTGCAAGGAGAAACGGGGAACAAGGAGAAACAAACCAAAAAAAGAACAGGAGAAAAGGTGGCGAGTGAGGCACACATTTAACGCAGAATATCATTCGCATTGGAGTTTGTTATCTTTCACGATTATTACCTATTGGAAAGTATCTGCTCATTCTATGTGGTATCACCAGTTGGTATCGTTATGGCTCATGATCTCGACCTGTCCGGTCTTCAGACCGAGGCAATCAATATTTGCACTAGTCACATTGACAGAGTTTCGACTCGTGAGATGTGTGCCATAATGAATAACGAAGACCAGAAAGTAGCAACCAGCGTAACTCCATGTCTGGATGATATTGCGCGGGCCATCGACTTACTTCTTCCGCGCGTACGTCGTGGTGGTAGAGTTATCTACATTGGTGCGGGGACTAGTGGCAGGTGAGATTGAACAGTTTTCCATCATCTTTGACATATTTTGTGCACGTCAGAGGCTTTAGTCCTCACCATTGACACCTCTAGACTAGGAGTATTGGATAGCTCCGAGATACTGCCCACCTTCGCTGCACCTTCGACACAGTTTGTCGGATTGATTGCTGGAGGAGACGCGGCAATTCGCATGGCCCAAGAGGGAGCGGAAGATAGTTTTGATGATGGGAGAAATGACCTGGCAGGATTGGAACTCGATCCTGAACGAGATAGTGTTATTGGGATCGCTGCTTCGGGGCGCACCCCTTATGTGTTAGGGGCTCTCGACTATGCCAAATGTATAGGTGCTCTTACTATAGGAATTGCCTGTGTGTCCCCCTCAAGTATGAATGATTCAGGAACAGTGGATGTCATGATCTCCCCTTTGCCGGGCCCAGAAATTGTAACTGGAAGCACAAGGCTCAAGGCAGGTACTGCGACAAAGCTAGTGTTGAACATGCTTAGTACCGGTACAATGATAAAGGCTGGGAAAACGTACGGAAATATGGTTGGAAAACACATTGAGAAACACCCACGCTGTGAAACCTTAATCCTCTAATCTAATTCTGCAGATGGTCGATTTAATTGCCTCCAACGAAAAGCTTGCGCAAAGATCACGAAATATCCTCCGCAGTTTAAGCACCCGTTGTTTTTCGATGACGGAACAGTCTCTCGACGATCTCCTTGCTAAATGTGACCGCAGCGTCAAGCTAGCATTAGTTGTCGTGGAAAGAGGCCTTACTGTTGAACAAGGTCGGCAGCAGTTAAAAGATGCAGATGGCGTTCTTGACAGGGTGCTGCACCCGAACAAAGATAACCATCTACAGAAACTAGCTATATATGGTTTTGGACCCTACGTTCCGGTGCTGTGCATTGATGGTGGCGGCTCCAAGTGTGCGGCAGTGACCGCAATATCAAACAACATAAGAGGGCAAGGCATTTCGGGACCTTGTAATTTGTATGTGTTCGGCTACTTTTACCTCTTCAGATTATTAACTACCCTGGTACAACATTAGAACGGATGGCAAATTTGACTTGACTATAAAGTCAATGGTGACTGCCACTAGCCACTCCCTCGATGATCTTGCAAAAGCCTTGAGTGAAGAAAATGGGAATGATATGACAGGAAAACCAAACTCCCCTAAAAGAGAAAAACAAAGCTTGCCGTTTCCCACTGTCTGGATAGCCGCAGCAGGCATGGATCGACCTGGAATGCGAGAACGTGTCAAGGCCGTATTGTCCCCCATACTAGGCTTGAATGAATCAACAAATATCAGAATCACTAATGATGTCGACCTCCTGGCTGCAGCAATGATACGACATCCTGAAATATCTTCCAGTATCGTTCTTATAGCCGGTACTGGTAGTATTGCTATTCGGTATGCAGTCGATGGTGAAACTCTGTTTCCAAAACGTATAATTCGTTCTGGTGGTTGGGGCCATTTACTAGGAGATGAGGGAGCTGGATATGCAATTGGCAGGGAAGCAATTCGATATACACTCTGGTCAATTGAGGAATTTCAGTTGGGTTTACAAAAGATACCGCTCACTTTCCTAGCGAAAAGAATCATCTCTATCTTCAACGACTCTGCAGCATTATTAGAAGAGGGTTCTGTGATTGTGGATTTATTAAGTCAGGTACTTGTAGGAGGCGATGACCAACTTACAAAGGCGCGAATCGCTAGAGTCGCGCAAACTGTTCTCAATGCGGCCGACGAAGGGGATGACGAAGCATCCCGTATCCTCTTAACCCAGGTCTCGGCACTCTTTGATAGGATACTGTCCCGCCTGCTTATGCCTCAGTCGCATGGATATGTCAATCCTTCACGATGCGGCCTAATTCTTGCTGGTGGCGTCATGCTCCACAAGGCATATCAGAATCTATTCCATTCCCGCCTGGCTGCAGATTCGATTAAGTTTGCTTACGTTGAAACGGTCAGTAATGCTGCATTAATTGGCGTTGAATATATGTTGAACAGTCAATGATCAACTGCGAAAAAGTAGATGAAAGGGGACAAACAATTCAATAGTTAATCGTATCATTAGAATCGATAACTGGGTATAGACCTTCAATACGGTACATATAACATTGAGTAATCGATGCTGTGAAATTTCCTGGATAAGCGAAAATCGATCATCATAAACCATTAAATGTCATAATTGGGACACCATTTGATATTGATGCCTTATGTATTCAGAATGATCCAACCGCAGATAGATTCGTTTCCGTGGTTTCGCTTATCGAACCGTGCACCCGCAATATGCAATATCGAGAGTTGCATGTTCATTCCGGGAGTTGAGCGAGTCGCTGCCAGAGTTCGCGTTTACTCCGAGTGCTCTCCGATAGGACGGTGCCATCCCGTTTCAACGCCCCTTTTGCCCGGAGTTTGGAGACTAAATAGAAATAACGAGTCATGACTGTTCGCAGCTTATTGGATCTATGAAAATCATAACCACGAAGGCACAGGAAAATCAGATTGAACGCCCTGGAGGGTTCTTGGTTTGGGACGACACATATCGGCATAAATTGAGGTGGATGTCCCGCCTCGAGTTGTGATCGAAACACTCGCCTGAATTGAGCCCTACCCGAAATTCCTAGTACTCAACGAATGATCTAAGTTCATGAATCATGAGAGCAACAAATTTAATCATAGCATTTTCAGCTGTGGGATGGGCCAAGCCAGTCGTCCAAACTGGACTAGATGTGCTTCGAGCAGAGAATTACTCTAAGCTGGCTGGTCGGAAGGTCATCATACTGAGTAATCCAACCGGCGTCACGCCAGAGCTTGATTTGGGCGTTGATGTCATGTTTAAGTCGGGCAGCGTTGACCTAGTTGGTGTAATGGGCCCTGAACATGGGTTTCGGGGCACCGCTCAAGCCGGCGGTTCTGAAGGCACTTTTACTGACCCGGAGACAGGTCTTACTGTCTATGTGAGTTCTCGTTTAATCTTAGATTTTACAACCAATTGAATTGTTAATTTGCATGGTTCAAGGATGCGTATAATGTTAATACAACTACCCTCGTTCGCTACATCACTGAGTCAGAAGCCGACACCGTGATATTTGATATTCAGGATGTTGGCGCACGGTTTTACACATGTATGAAATAAACCTTCAAATCCTAGACACGGTAAACCAATGATTTTGACTTATGCGATGTAGACACATGGGCTATGTATGATACTATGGTCGCAGCCGCCTTCACAAACACGACGTTTATCGTTCTTGACCGTCCCAATCCTCTAACTGGAATGAACGCATTTGGACCTGTCCTGAACGAAACCTATGCATCCTATGTTGGACGCCGCCCAATTGCTCAAGCACACGGTATGACCTCAGGGGAATTGGCGACTATGTTTGTCGGAGAAGGATGGATTCAGCAAGCTGCGAATGGATCAGAGCTCAGACTGGAAGTAGTCAAGATGCGTGGATGGAAGAGGTGGATGGCATGGAAGGACACTGGTTTGCCATGGGTCATGCCAAGTCCCAGTGAGTAAATATTTTAATTGCATATTTGATTTGAATGACTCCTATTGATCAATATATCTATAGATATGCCTACCGTAGATACGGCATTCATATATCCGGGAACTTGTATGTTCGAAGGAACCAGTATCTCCGAGGGCCGAGGCACCACTCGCCCATTTGAAGTAAGCTGCTCCTTATACATACCACAGAGAGGTTATTTGATGTTTAAGAACTAATGAAATATAGTTACTTGGAAGTCCGTTTGTAAATGATTCCTGGGTCACAACAATGCGGACGCTGGACGTACCACATGTGAACTTTCGCTCTGCGTGTTTTACTCCCACCACATCCAAATTTGACGCCGAGACTGTCTGTGGATTACAGAATTATATTACTCTCGACAATGTCCGTGACTACGAGAGTTTTGATCCAGTTTACTTAGGTGTATCGCTCTTATGGAGTGCGAAAAATTTATATACTCACTCGGAAAACGATTCAGGATTCGGAAATACCACCCAAAGTTTTCATTGGCTATTCAATGGTGCCAATGGGAGTCTATACGACATAGATGTTTTGAGTGGTGGGCCATTGATCAGAGAAGCAATTGAAGCTGGACACACTCCAGCTGAGATTCGTGCTCAGTGGGGGCAGGGTCTGCGGGAGTTTAAGAAAAGACGTGAGGCCTACATTTTGTACTGACCAACATTGAGTGCTCTATCAAACTATGTGAATTGCCATCAAATATCGATGAAGGCGGGATATAAAATTATACTAAATATTCTATTTACTCCTATTATCATTGGAAGGAAGGGTCGTACAGACCGCGTCTCTTGATTATCATTTAAGTATTAAAGATACTGACGAAAGTACCTTGACAGGTCTAATACTGGTAGTCGAGTTGTGTAACAAACTTAGGGTTCTGCATGTAATTGATATCATTACGAAAATAATAAGCCATTCGCCTTCGAAAGCAGGGATGACTCTATTCCCAATAAGGCAAGTGGAAATTTACCCCGGATCAATTGATAGGGTATGATTATCCGTAGCCAATCAGCGTGCCTGCGATGGAGGATAGCCAAAGTTAAGATTGTCGACACTTTCATCTTTCCGCCGTCTCTGCAGACTTCTCGTCGCGCACTTGAGCTGCATAAACTAAGGCGTGGACGCAAAATGTCAAACCCGCCCAATCTCGCTCAGCGAGCAAATGGCAAGGATCGCGTCCGTGTTCCCTCGTGTGAGCCATGCCGTCTCTCCAAACTGGCTTGTGACCATCGCCGTCCAGCATGTTCGCGCTGCATTAATCGCCAAATCGTGCCTCGGTGTGTCTACCGAAAAAACCCATTCAGGAGAAACAAACCTATTACAGCAATCCCGGATCGTCCTCTGTGCGTATTCTGAAATTTACTTGCACCACTGAAATAATTGAGGTATGACTAACATTCTGTAGACTACAATCAAGCGCTGCAAACTCCCCAACATCGGAGCGGCCATTGTCAACATTCCAGATGAAACCCTATCCGAATCCTGGGTTCCAGGGATCTTCATCTCTAAAAACAGTACTTGAAAATTTGGGAGGCAATCTAGCTGTAGGGATTGAGACATCTCGCTCAATTTCCGCCACCCAGCATTCGTCACGAGATGCTGTCCTGCGAGCCGACAGCTGCAGGATGGTAGAAGAGGGGGTTCAGCTTCTTGATACCTTCCTTGAATATCTCTCTCACGAAGCACTCAGAGCAACTTTCTCAGGAACCAAAATGAGCGGTCTAGAAGCTCATTTAGGGTTCTCTCTCCTCCCCCCTTTCTTTGAAAGCCTCATAAATGAAGTCGAGCTGCTTAAAGTATCGCAGAATCGGCAAGATACCTTACATACTTTATCACAGCGTCTGTTTGAAAATGCTAACCAACCTGTGGAGATCCACGAATTTTTGACACTACACGACTTTATCTCTCAGTATACTGGGCCTAATCTGCGCTGGGAGACAGTGGGCCTGATTATTGCATTAGCGGGGTATGAAAACTTACCATCGTGTCTATAAAATGATGTTCTAACTTAGAATAATAGGCTAGCTTCCACAGAAATTCGCGTACCACATGCAGTATGCAAAACAGAAGAAGAACGACAGCTTCTAAGGACAAACCTGGTTCATCTGTGCAACAAATGTGTGGCCTTCTGTGACTCTCTCGATACATTGAATGATGTTACTATGATATTTCTGTATGAGAGTTTTCTACTTGCTTCAGTATTTTATGGAGACCAAAGTAAGTTTCACGAACTTTAAAAACGACATTTCAATTGAAGTTTTATAGGTTTCAAGGCTTGGAGACGGCTTAATCATGCATCTAGCGCACTTTTTGCAGATGGACTTCATGAGACGGTTAAAGAACGGCAGCTGCTACCATTTTTTATTATAAACCTCCGCCAGCAAATATTTGCAAGAATATATGGATCTGATATCAGTTTTGCAGTGTTTTTGGGGCGACCACCGCGTGTGAGTAAGCGCTTTTGCTTTACCAATATGCCTCTTGATGTAAGTGAAGATACATATTACTTGGTTGGAGGTGCTTTGGATCAGGAGCTACACAACTTGGATCGAGCTGGCTGGAACACACTAGGCCAGATAAACAGAAGTGCTATTATTCGCTGGTCCATGATCACGTCCATGATAAGGGAAGATACGTTAGAAACATTGCTTGGCCGAGGTCTTTCTGATATACCACAGCGCATCATGTATGCTAATTATCCATACAACTTTTCGTTATTTAGACTAATACGGGAGAGACTATAGTGACCTCAGAGCTAAAATCGGCCAAGCATGGGACGATCTTCCTTCTTTCCTTACAGGTCCAACGCAGAACCTGTGGCAAAGGGGACGGCCTTGTCACGAAGTTGATATACTCCATCAGATTAGGTTGTTCTACCTCCACACGACATTCTTAATTGAATGGGCGGCGTCAAGGCATGGTCTCGATAATACAAAAGTCCTTTTTGTCAATGCGAGTGAGCTCCTTGAATGGGTCAACAATGCACTAGTGCGGCGTGAACAACTTTCCACTATCGGCCTTGTCTCTTTAGCATGGAGGGTAAGTTGTGACTTCAATAATACCTCATTAGGGACTTTCTGCTCATTTTGAATTGATTAAGGTGGCTTCCTGTGCCCTTCCAGCGGCGGGAGTCCTTGCCTGGTATCTTTTGCAGCCATCATCTCGCACGGGCCTCGGACAACTTGATCCGTCATCCCGGCGACAAAGTGTCGAGAATCTCTCAGTGCTAATCGCGCATATGGGCATTTTGCACGATCCTGGAGACGGCAACTATCAACTCTTCTGTCAAGCTAAGAATGCTCTGCAATCTGCAATGGACACGATTCTTCAGCCTTCGCGTACCGACCACTCAGAAAGCCCACTTGATATAACCGACCCAACTATACACGCTGATTGGTTGTATTCAGATTACTTGGGTTTAGGAGTGGACTCTTGGTTAGTCTTGTGCTTTGTCACGGAAGTGAATACAAAGGTTGAATACTAATCATTTCAAGGATTGGTTTACCGGATCGCGGGTCTTTCACTAGACTGGATGATAATATGCCCTACTAGCAGTCTTCATGTCATTAAATTGGTCATAAATCCTATTCAGTCTAGGTAAGGCTATGCATCATACTTTCTATAAGCTAAATACTCATCCGCCTTATGAAAGTACAAACGTAGCCTTTCCTTATAATCGCCCAACGTAGCCATGCAATATATCGATGTAGGAATCATTTCCAGTCTGCATATGTACATAATATGTAATCTTATATGTGAGTATTGTCACGAGTCATTTTCTTATAGTGGAGGAAACGTGACATTCAGTCCAAGACTCTTACCCACCCAATAACCCATCGCTTCGCGCACGATATTATTGCTGGACCACTCTCGTGATGGATGAACACGATTGCTAAAATGCAACCAAAAGGCATTATGCCCCCGATCGATAACTAATGTTGTCCCCGTAAAGCCAGTGTGGCTGGCAGTCAACATACTGGCCATTGGACCGGCTGTGTAGTATTGATCTAGCTCAAACCCGAGGCCATGTGCATTGCCAGGAAAACGGGCATTGAAATTAGTAAATATCAGGTTCACAGCCTCCTCGGACAGAATTCGGTTCCCCATGTACGTCCCGTTGTTTAGAATCATTTGACACAGAGCTCCTGTGTCACGTACGGTTGAGAACAGCCCCGCGTGGCCAGACACGCCGTTCAATGCCCATGCATTCTCGTCATGAACTGTTCCACGCACCGGTTGCGGACGTTGCGGTTCCACTGGGCCCAGAACGGCTATCTGAAATTCCTGCGTTGCCGTTCGATCATACATCGGAGTCTTATCAGTGAGGCCTTCGATGTTCCCGCGATTGAAAAAAGTTGAAGTCATCCCCAATGGCTTGGTAAAGTCGTAGATGAGGTCATCAAGAGCTCGATCTGTTACGGTCTCCAAAACAATCATCATTGACATGAAATTGAGATCTGAGTAAAGATATGTACTGCCAGGAGCATTGATGAGTTCCTGTGTCAGGATTGCGTTGATTCTTTCTCGATGTGTTGTGTAATTGGATGAGAAAAGTGGAGGCGAGGGATCAGAGTTAAATCCACTTGTGTGTGTAAGAAGTTCAAGGATTGTGATGTTTTCTTTCCCATTCACGGCAAATTCTGGTAGATAGGATGCGACAGTAGAATTGAGATTGATTTTCCCGTTGTCCAACTCCCGCAGTGCAGCTATGGTGGTAAAGAGTTTAGTAAGGCTAGCCATATCGTATATGGTATCGACAGTCGTATCCTCTTGGAGTTTATGGGGCAGTTTCGTCCCATTGATATCGGCATAGATGTCCCTTTTACCGACAGCAAAATGACTAACTATCACTCCATCATGAGCAACAAGATTAGCCGATCCAGGTTCGATTGGGTGAACCTCATTGTGGGAGAAGCTACTATAATTGGCAGCATGGGTGTATGCAGTCAAATTTCGAACCATATGGTTTAGTGGATCGCTAGCCATGCCCACTGAATTGGGTGAGCCGTAAACAAGACCACGATCTTTGATACTATTTGACATAGTAGCAGAGACATGGTCTACCAGAGCTACCACAATCCATTGGTTCCATAACATTTTTGGTAGTTTCATATTGAGAATGGAGAAGAGTTTTCATATAAAAAATTGATATCTCTAGAATATGAATCGCAGATTCTTCTAGCAATCAACTTTATTTTATATGTTGGTATTGGCATTCTGTCCCCCATGTTCTCGGAGTAGAGACCCCGCTTGTCTCTAACATTCTCCGTTCGGAGAAAACACTAGTTTACTCCGATAACAGAGTTGCTATATAGGGTTATTGTCAATAGTGGCACATGAAGAAACAAAGGATAATTTCCAAATACGAGCAAAATTTGCAACGATGTAGGCAAAGAAATCGGGGTTGAGGAAGATATAATAAAAACATCAGGCATAGTAGTCAGATTCCCTTCCATCCTTAAATCCACAAGTGAAAATATTAGATTGTTTAACGTTAAGAAGAGAAGAACAATGTGCTATGCAGTACAAAGCCAAATCTAAGAAAGCAACGGCTACGATCATCTCGTATCGCATCATTTCGCATCGCTGCAGGTAGGGAGGCGCTCCTCTACCAACTCCGTCAAATTTCCCGGTATGCGAGTTATATTTCCCTATCAAACTGCATTAGTAAGAAGTGAATCACTTAATGAAACATAAAGCGGAATAGAAAAGGCGCCGACAGTAAGAAAGGAAAATGACATAAATACATACAGCGTTGTCAACACGTCCATCCATATTAACGTAGCGCTGTTGACCAGTCTTATTGGTATATTCCTATAAACAAGCTTTGACGTCTTTCTTGAAACTGTTCAAGCGGCTTATATCACAGCCTGCTTGCCTCCGGGTTCCCCTCACATATTTCATTAATGGTTGCATTGACAAGATCTTGGACACACGTCGTGTATTCTATTCCTCGTCGTTTAATGTTCGGTCGCAAAGTCCAATCTTTAGGGCAGAGACGAGCTGCATAGATTAGGCTATATGTAGTAGCAAGAAAAGAAAATAATATATGTAGCTGCATCGTGTCGTCTTCACAGTGTTTTTTTCATACACAAACACCAGCACAGAGATAAAAAATTTGCGGGTTTAAATGGTCATGCGTAAGTGGTCATGCATAAGTGACCCATAATAAAGAAGCGAAGATCGAATAACAATCATAGATCAATAGATGAAAAATTAATTATGAATAAATGTTAGTTTCATGTATTTAAGACACCCAAGGCGATTGGTGTGACCGCCAAACGCGACAAATTTGTTAGATTCTTAGAATAGGGATTGCCCCGGGCAGCCATCATAGAGAAATTCGGAATCAACAGTCCCACTTGTCGACGATCTTGGACTTGATACCCTGGAATATTAATGGCGATCTAAAATCTTACTGAGGGAAACTATTTCTAGCTGACTGATTTTTGGAATATTTTGCGCCAATTGACTTCAAATGACTTTTCTTATCGCGATCGGGACTATTTACCGCTCCACAAACCATCGGGTATTTTCGGCCCAAGTTATCATCACCATTTCAAAAAAACACGCACACAAAAAAAAGGGAAAAAGAAAAAGAAATCAACAAGATTTACGGGAAAGAAGTAATGAAACACTTCTTATGAGCGCATATCACGTAGTCGCTACTAATTAGCACTTACCAGTTTCCCGCCAACTATATATGTATCAATTGATACATGAAGTACAAAAGGCAGTTCGACGGCCAGACGCTCCAGCATCATCACACAATAATTCAATTTCTTGAATTTATGATGGTAAAACTCACTAATTGAAGATGACGCAGTGTGAATTCGAGGCTTCTAGCTGCGAACGACAGGAAGAGAGAAACCTAGTGAAGGAACCGTGATTTATTTAACCGACTACTGAAAATCGGAAACTGAAAATCAAATTCAATGGTTCCCATCTGTAAAACCTCAATAAAAATCTCTCAAATACCTCCTTGACCCCGAACTTTACTCCAACTGCGATGTGTAAAACATTGTTTGTCATCCTTCAACGAATCTCATTTGCAGCTTCAAGAATCACAATTTGCCCCTAGGCATCATGACCAGGGAAGAAGTTAGAGGGAGAATCCCATCGTCCTGTAGTGCTGAGCCCGCTCTTTTGATATCGAACTTCATCAACAGCTGAAAAATCAGTCTCTGCTATCGAATGTTGGGTAATCTAAGCTTACCATAACAAGAAATTTATATAGCACTATTATTGCAATGTGCCTACCGGGACACTCACGAAATCCAAATTCCCAATGAGAATCATATGTGTTCCAAATTCGCAACTGTTCATCGGATGCTTCGAGCCATCGTTCAGGTTAAAACAAATTGGTGTCGGTACCATAGATGCTTTTACTTGTTGAGATCGCAAAGGGACTGGTTGCTATGGCTGTTCTAGGACGGGTGTCTTGTCCAAGAAGATTGAGTACTCGATCAGAGCTACGCCATCTTGGAGACGCAGTTGAAGTAATACGCAACGCTTCTCTTATGCAAGCACTCACGTATTGTAATTGGCAACATTCTGAATACAACGGTGATGGCTGTGATAGGATACCGCGCACCAAAGCATCATCTATCTCCTGCTGCGCTCGTCTCATAATTCTTGGGTACGAAGCCATCAAAGCTCCAAGACCACCAAGAATGGTCGCCAAGGCGTATGGACCCCCTAGCCTATTGCAGAAGTCAGCTATATACTAACATTCCTTTCTAGTTAAATACACAAGGCTCTTGATAGCAACTCACACATGCGTGACTAGCTGGTCTTCAATGTCCCTCATAGGGATCACCTCACCTTCAGTTGTTTTTGCTCCTAGCCATTGGTCTAACATTGAGAATTCGTACTTGCATTTCCCCAACTTACTGGTTACTGAAATACGCCTTTGGATTATTCGTTGAACTTCCTGATAAATATTTTAGCGCCTAATTATATTGAAAGCGACTTAAAGCCCACCTTCTGAATATTTTGTAACTGCTATTCATCAAGCCACGAACATCTCCTTTTTGGTCTAGAAACCCAAAACTCTCGCCCAAGCTCATGGGTACGAAGATGTCAAATCCGAAATATCTTTGACAAAAGCCTAAAGTCAACCATTGCTTAGTTGCTAACATGATAACCCCGTACCTGACCCAGGTGGCCCATTCCACTAGAGAGCATCTAGATGATTCTTCTTGTAGAATTATTGTCAATTTTTGCAGTTGCTCATCAATGAGACTCTCAAAGGCTTGGACGCGTGTTGGCGAGAACTGTTTGCTTAGGCTTGCTCATTTGAATAATTAACCCAATGAACTTACCGCTTGACCGAATCTTCTTTTCTTAGTAGCGTAATCGGCGTATCTGGCCTTATTGGTAGCTGCACCGGGGCAAGTGAAATCTTGAGGGTATTCTGTTTTGTCTGCTTGTCGATGATAGACAATAGGAATTATCTCCGGATCATTAAAAGAAAGGTGATTCGGCCCGCACCTTACGACTGACCCTATGTTCATCAAGGAGAACAGTAAGCATTCTTGTTATATTGCTCATGAAACAGTGATGAATGTTCGAAACGAACCGTAAATCTGATGCAGATTGCGATACCAGGACTTTTTCTCGCCCTGTCCATAGAACATAAAACAGCACGAAACTTGTGATAGAAGCTAACTTAGGTCCAGGAAAACGTGACAGAGGATGAAAGTAAAGTCGTCGTAATACGATTATGACTAGGATAATTACGAACAGACATAATAAAAGGGTATAAACCTTCCATGCCATCGCTCTTATTTTTCTCCCATTCTTCCTTTCCTAGGTGCGAACTGTCGAGAAAGTATTACGAAGGCCGAATTATCAATTGATATCTGGCGCTATACTCTCACAAAGACGATCTTCATATTTCAGCCATTTATTGCTTTTGTCAAGACACCTCATCCTGGAAAGTGGAGAGGCAAGAAGTACAACTGAAAATCCCACGTCAGAGACAGGACTTGGTGCCTAACGTTTACTGCCCTGAAAATTTTCTAGGTTGTTCTTTTTACAGTCTGTATTTTTTGCCTTTGTTTTGTGGCTTCTCCTCGCTTCTTTTCCCAAAATACGAAAGTGATGCATTGCAACTGTCCGCATTGCTGCATTCATATGCATGACGCTTATTACGTCAAGAAATAACGATATGTAGTTACAGGTTGGAAATCAGGGCATGGGCTTTGGAATAGCGGCGATCGCCGATCTATATTATATGTCGTTCTGACCTTGCTACGTACTGGTCTTTACGGCTTTTTCCCGGCAAATGCAATCAATTTAGAGGTCGCGCATGCGATTGTGTGAACTCCCATGAGTCGGATGCCACGTTCTTCCATCTCCAGTATACCTTGAATAGTAGACTCCCTAGTGTCATGACACTGTCACGAATAGAGGAGGTGTGTTGTCCCGAAAGAACTAGCTGCGCCGTTCCCTCAGCCATCAGGGCAGCCATACGTGTCGCTTGTTTGCGATCGAAGCCTTATGTCAACGCTCCATCCACTAGGGATTGGAGGAATGTAGCCATTAATGCTGGCCCATAATTACACAGCATGCTAGTGATGTCGAAGCATAAGGAATCCACCAATATTAGGCTTCCAACCTGCTCGAATATCCATTGACTATCCATCGACCATATCCAACGCAGATGATGGTGTGATAGATGCATCCATCGTTGATACCGTGACAGGTTTGCAGATCATGGCAGCTAGATTTGCCATGACGCGGACGATATAAACATCTTCCTTCGCCACACCATGCTTGTTCTCCGGTACCAATAAACGGAGGACTTTTGCACATCGCCCGACCCAAGACAACCAGGGAACATCGCGAGGCTTGCAACACAGAATCGCGACATTTGCCGCAGCAAAAGCTGGCCTATTATATCCCACAAAAATGTTGACACAGTTGCGATTAGCGCCGAGACTTTGCTCAACTCGATAGGCACTAGCATAGACCGCACGCATGCGTAAATTGGTTTGATAATAGGAGCCCCTGCCACCACGCTCTTGCTACCTGTATGCAGTACTTGCCAGGGCTCCCAACGAAAGATTTTCCCATTCAGGAAAGTTCCACATATGTATTGATGTTACTTCAATTTAATATATGTAGGTAACCCGATTCGTTCCATTATATGCAGACACGCGCTCGCTAAACCAACCAAAGAACCTATCGAAGTGAGTATTGATGGGATTTAAAGTCTAATGATTTGAATCCTCCACTATGATTTTAAGACCACCGGAATGTTTGAGGATGGCTAAATAACGTTTCTTGACTTACGCGTTGTTACACTAGACCGGTAAAAGCTGTTTAAACCTGCTCAAAATTAAATTTCATTTAAGATGTGATAAGAAAAGGGATATTTTCTTCTTCATACCTCAGCTGCCGTATTGCGGGGCTTCGGGAGACACGTATGTATTTCTATATGTTGTCAAATGTTGGGCTGGTCTTTCTAAATTGACCTCTTTTGACCGAAGAATAAATTTACATTTCCCCCATCATTATTACGCATTCCCACTGCATCAAGCGTATGTTCCCTGTATTCTCATGTGTTGAAACTCATTGGCTGTCAGGTACTGCTGACCATACTCCACAGTTTGTTGCAAAGGACGTAGAATGGCTGTTCTATCTGGCTTTGCAAAATAGGCGATAGAGAATCTCTCCATGATAGCATCATCAGAGCCCTTAGGATGAATGGATGGATCGGGCAAGTGCACACGGTGTCTCGCGCTACGTAAGCCCGTCCACATCTCTAGACAATCTCCTACGTTGAGAATACACTCGCCCTGTCCACCACTATTGATGGGTATGAATTTTCCACTGTTAGGAGGAGACTCCATTTCTGAGATATAACGTGGTTGGTATGCAGCACACTGAACAGAAAATTCAAGTTAAAGAGTAGTTACTAACCTAGACCTCCAACGTTATCCTGAAACAGTAGGGTGATAGTACCAAAGTCAGTGTGAGCCGCAATTCGAGTAGAGTCGACAAAGGCATCTCGAGACACAGAAGGATAGTGTGTCAGTCGTAGTTCATTTGCCTGCGTCTGGTGCAGGAGCCTCAGCGTCTGCGTTGGAAGTCCAAGGCCGATGGAAATAGCGTCAAGAATAACAAGTTCGACTTCATAGCAAGACGCAAAAAAGGACGTAAAGTTGGTTTGAAAGCTATCATATAGTCCGGCAGGAGGCCATATGTTCTTGTAAATTGGGTCATTATCGGATCCGATATCATAGGATTCCTGATCAAATATTAATATAGTACATACGACACATTGACAAGACAGAGAGATGCAAGACCTTCATGTCTTTCAAAAGAGGCATGGTGGAAGCCGAGCCATAATTCGAAATTGTCGATATATTTTCAAGCCCAATTGGGCTGAAACCCCGATGGGGGTTGGCAGTAGGGGGGTGAGGAGACTTCAACTTTTCACTTAACGGAAGTTGGAAGAAGTTTCGGCTCTGTATGCATTTTAATATACTGTGACATGTTGAAGAAATCGATTTACTTCAGACCGTTTCGAATGCCTTGTTGACATCTTCTAGAGGAACTCCGTGATTTATGAGTTTGACAAATCCATAGTGCCTCAGTTCCGATACTAGTCGACGACAGAACTCATCTCGCTCGGCCTTACTTGCGCCGTGAAATATTCCAAAATCTAGTTGCTCAAACATGAGTTATAATTTAGTACAGTTAAAGATGAGAAAAAAACAGCAAGACCACTGTGCGTCCAGTCTTCATGTTAGTTTCTTACGGTCGCTGCGACCATGGGAGTACTTTAAATCCTGTGCCATCGTTTTGCTGAACTGTTATGGAGAATAGTGGTAATACATCCCGTCCCATCGTGGGTCCATGTTCACATGAATTTCTGCATCGTGATTCCTCAGGTAACTTCGCTGTTTATTTGCTAGGCTGATTATGAAAAAGCGGCCTAGTGAGGCGGAGTCTAGCTAGCCATGCCGTGGAAACTTTGTTTCTCGTCATCATTTAATACAACACTAAAATACTATCAGAGACTAACAGTAATAAATAATAATAACGGAAAAAACCCACGTATTGATTGATTGGTCCACTTTTACGGTGTAAAAAGGCGCTGTTGTATTTCGGGCGCAATGCATTTCGGGTACATTGCGGTACATGGACTATTAGTGGTCTGTTTACAGCTTGGGAGACAAAGTAACCACGTGGCCCGTCCCATAGTAAGATGGTTGATATTATTGCACGTACGCTGTACAATTTTACGAACCCACCTCCCCTCTTCTCCCCGTCTATTTTGGATGATTCGTCCCCATTTCTCTGTTCTTTTTGGATATATTATCCAAGTAGGTGTGCGGGTTTCGTCAAAATACTAGTAGCAAGAAAAAGCGTGGCAACGCTTACATTTTACACTAGATATATCATGGTGTCAAGCGTAACGTGTGGATATGTTGGAAATTCTTGACGTACATCATTATTAGCGCTTCCAAGTACCAACAGTGCTGGACAGCCAAGCTCGAGTCATTATTACTGCGGGGCGGGCTGGTTAGGTAGATTAGATTGTTTGTGAACAATGTGTGGTAGCATTCCTTCTTTCCGTCTAACCTCTTCGAATGTTGCGAGGTGGGTCAGTCTCTCCGCTGCATGCTTGGGTTCTAACTACGTATAATATTTTTCCTGAGGACACAATTTTATTAAGCTTCTTGTTCCTGGTCATTCTCGCACAATTGTTGATTAGAAATGCGGTCGCAAATTACAAGCAATTACGACATGCTCTGATTCACAAGTTCAAGAACATGGTATCTTAAGCTTGTTGAACATTGACAATTTCTCTAATCATAATAGCGATCCCTTACCCAATAATACCGAATTGGAATCGAAAATTCACTCTATATTACCCATGAGAGGAGATCTAATTGACTAGGTTGAGAAACACATGACCGTCCGAGGATAAGGGTAATCACTACACATAAAACATGTTTCCCGAAGATAGTCGTAATGATCCCATGCTGGACCGGAGGCTGTTTACGGATTCACAAAATGAGGCCGTAAACAGCGCTCCGCTCTCGGATGAAGATATTGAAAAAATATGGACTTGGAACGCGGTAGTACCAACACCAATTCAGGGGTGTGTTCACGACCTCATCACGGAAATAGCAAATTCCCAGCCAGATGCACCTGCAGTTTGCGCTTGGGACGGCAATTTTACCTATGCTGAACTTGATAACCTCGCCAACAATGTGGCGCAACGTCTTCTAAAAATGGGCAATTCTCCTGGATCTAACGTACCGCTCTTGTTTTCAAAGTGTCGATGGACTTGTGTCGCAATGTTAGGTGTAATCAAAGCTGGGTGCGCAGCTATTGCGCTTGACCCTGCTTACCCTGACATACGGCTGCAGTCGATTATAAAACAGTGCCGGTCAACCACAATCATTGCATCAGAAAGCCACGTGGATAGAATCGTACAAATGACAAATGTTCCCGTTCTGCAAATTGACGAGAGGATGCGAGTTACAGCAAACGTTGGCGAAGAGCAAGACAAGTTGGGGCTACCCGTCGTTTTGCCGGAAGACATTGTGTATATCTCATTCACATCGTAGGTGCCCTAAAGCCGTTTCCTCTCTGACTAGGTAGTCATTTGAAGCCACCAAAGATGTAGCTCGGAGGTATAGATTGTCATATCTTTAGTGTCTGGAACCTAGGAACCTCCCCCCCTGTTCTCGAAATCTCATTTTGATCATAAAGTCACTAACTATGGACAGTGGATCAACAGGTCAGCCCAAAGGTGCTTGTATAAGCCATGCGAACGTGAGGAGCACCGTGTATTACCAAGGGTCTCAACTTGGATTTCATAGAAAGTCTAGAGTATTTGATTTTGCGCCATATTCTTTTGATGTGGCATGGAGCAATGTTTTACACACACTGTGCGCTGGGGGATGCTTATGTATTGCATCGGAAGAAGACATGATGAGAGATCTTTCTGCATCGCTCATCGAATACAAAGCGACATTGATCAATCTGACGCCAACGGTGCTCCGTACAATCAAAGGAATTGTCCCATCTCTTGAAACGATTCTACTGAGTGGAGAAATGCCTTACTACGACAACCTGAAACAGTGGGCCGATAACGTCAAGCTTGTTAACACGTATGGACCAACTGAATGCACTTTTAAGTGTGCATTTTCTACTCTTTCGACATCGACGGATGAAGTACCCAGTATTGGAAAAGGTGTAGGGTTTTGCACCTGGGTTGTTAACCCCGATGATTGCAACACCCTGGTTGCCGCAGGGTCGACTGGCGAGCTTTATTTGGAGGGCCCTATGGTTGGCCAAGGTTATCTATATGATCGTGAAAAGACTGAATCGGCGTTTATAAATAACCCCCCTTGGTTAGTCGGTGGGAAAGACGGATTATCGGGTCGGTCAGGCCGCTTGTACAAAACTGGTGATTTGGTGAAGTATCGATCAGACGGATCTCTTGTATTTGTGGGCAGAAAGGAAACTTCCCAGTGGAAGATTCGGGGTCAACGTGTTGAAATTGGCGACGTAGAGCATCATGTTCGGGCTTGCTTAGATGGTAGGCTTTCAGTCATCGTGGAGGCTGTTGTTTATCGTAACAGAAGCAGTCCGTCGCTGGCAATGTTTATACAGACTGGGGGTGAAGATATGACAGAGGTGAAGTATCTGTTAGACGGGTTAATGCAAAGGGCTGCGAAGCGCCTACCTGCGTTCATGCTTCCTAGCATTTACATTCCCATTGAAAAAATACCGATTGGCCCTACAGGGAAAATAAACCGGCAACACCTGCGAGCAATGGTTGCTTCTCAAACATTCAATGACATTCTACAACTCCAATCCAAAACTATTTCTGCCAGCGAATATTGTCCACCGTCTAACGAAATCGAAAGCCGGCTCACCGAGCTTTGCGCAACTGTTATGGGTTTAGAGTCAGGCCGAATCAGTATGACGGATAACTTTTTTCGTCTCGGCGGCGACTCTATAATTGCAATGCAATTAGTGGCATCGGCTCGTCGAAGGGGTTTACTGTTGACGGTAGCAGATATATTCAAGTCACCAGTGCTACGAGATCTGTCTAAGGTCAGTAGGTTAGAAACAGAAACCGAGAGCGAAGATGGAATGGCACCGTTTTCACTCCTCAGTGGAAAGATAGATTTGGATAACATATGTCAGGAGAGTGCCAGGATTTGCGGAGTTGGAATAGGTGATATTGAAGACATTTACCCATGCACGCCGCTTCAGCAAGGAATGCTGGCATTAACGGCTAAACATTATGCAAAAACCACTCTAGGAGCGGACTATTATGTTTCGAGAACAGCTTTTAAGCTTCCTCATGACATCGATCTGGTGAGATTAGAAGAGGCCTGGAGAGCTACAGTTGCTGAAGTCCAGATTTTACGGACAAGAATCATAGACCTGCCAACGGAAGGCTTAGTTCACATTGCAGTGAATTCTCGGGTTCCTTTGCATCGATGGACATCCCTCAATGAATTTTGGAATGATTCATCAAGAACTTCATTGGGAAATCCTTTGTGCCGAGTAGGTATTTATGAAGGACAAGGATTGTTCCTGGTTCTAGAAATGCACCATTCAATCTTTGACGGGTGGTCTTTTGGACTGATTCTGGATTGTGTGGAGTGTCATTATAACGGCACCGGCAAGAACCCGTTATCGCTAGTACCATTTCAGAAATATGTGAGATACACGTTGATATCAAATACCGATGAGGCTGTTTCATTTTGGCGAAACCAACTCATTGGGTCAGAGGCAGTTGTCTTTCCTCCACCAAATTACCACCCACTGGGAAAACTGGATTTAACCCATGAAGTGAGAGATTTGGAATGGCCACGAGAAGGAATCACACCTTCATCCATCGTACGTGCCGCAGTATCTCTACTAGTCGCCTCATATACAAATTCTACTGACGTCAAATTCGGAGTGACCGTTAGCGGTAGACAAGTGTCAATCCCAGGAACTGAAAGAATAACTGGCCCAACAATTGCAACAGTTCCCGTACGCGTCAAATTCAACTGGGATCAATCTGTACGAAGTTTGTTGCAGCTAGTCCAGCAGCAGATGGTAGATTCCGTGGAATATGAATATATTGGACTTCAGAACATCCACCAAATAGCTGCAGATATTGAGGATGCGAGTCAATTTCAATTACTACTTGTTGTTCAGCCTGATCAACAGAGTGCAAGTCAGAAACCAGGAAAGCTTTTTTCCCAAGCTATGACGATTCTACAAACCAAAAAGAACAACTCGGAGCTTGATCCCATGACCGATATGGTCAACAAAGAATCTTGGGGTGACAGTTTGGCCGGTTATAATCCATATGCAATGATGATAGTGTGTCAATTGCGGGAGTCTGGTCTTGATATGAAGATAAATTTTGACTGCGGTGCCATTCCAGAAAAACAAGTTCAACGACTCTTGCTACAAACCGAACTCGTGCTTCGACAATTATGTTCAAGAACCCACTCCATGCTGGGAGAGATTGAAATGATGACGAATGATGACCTTACCGATATTTGGAGATGGAATAAAAATATGAAAATGGATCCGCTCATTTCTATAAGTGACGTAATTGACGCAAGAGCCACAACCAAACCGCATGACACTGCAATTTCCTCTTGGGACACCGAGATCTCATATCAGGAGCTTAAATATCTATCGACAGATTATGCATTTCAACTAAGTGAAAACGGAGTAAATAAGGGGTCAATTATTGCATTGAATTTCGAGAAGTCGGCATGGATGATTGTTATTATGCTCTCTGTCCTTAGAATTGGCGCAGTAGCAGTACCACTGTCAATAGGATGTTCAAGCCAGCGCGCTTATCAGGTTGTGGAGACAGTGCAGCCTCAACTGGCTATCACATCAGGTCTACCTGAAGAGTCCCCGTTTCAGGGAATGATACCAGTTATCGGTATATCCAGCCTGCAGAACCCGACAAGACAGGAACCGAAGCATACTTTTCAAAATGTCACCAATTTTCCTTCGGATCCTGCCATTGTGCTTTTCACATCCGGATCAACAGGAAATCCAAAGCCGATCCAGTGGAGCCATGAAATACTGTCAAGCAATATCCAAGCCGCCATCCGCTATTTCCGAATGGTTGAAAAGAGCAGGGTTTTTCAGTTTTCTGGGTATGACTATGATGTTAGCACAATCGAAACGTTGGCATCTCTAACTGTCGGGGCCTGCTTATGTATTCCATCGGAATCTGATAGAAAGAACGAACTCACCAGCACAATCAAAGCCTACGAGGCTAATTGGATATGTCTTACCCCATCGGTCGCCGAAACGATTGAACCTTCCGATATCCAATCTTTGCGCACTCTAGTATTTGCTGGGGAGCCATTACAGGAAAGACATGCATTTCGGTGGCTGGAAACCGTGGAAACTATTTATAACTGGTATGGGCCAGCAGAAGCTTCAGTAGCAACTGCATGTATCGTTCGAAGAGAACATTGGAAGTTTGGCCTTATCGGTAGAAGTGAAGTGGGAGCAATGTGGTTGGTTAACCCCAACAACCCTGATAAGCTGGCCTCAGTAGGATCTATCGCGGAACTCTGCATTGAGGGCCCAATAGTTGGATGTTACACAGGTAAAAGAGGACAGTCGTTGAATTCAAAGGCCTTTCTATCCGCGAAATGGCTACGTGATGGGCATTTAGATATTCCAGGACGTCCTGGTCCTATATACCGTACCGGGGATCTTGTTAAATATGACAAAGATGGCGACATAATTTACATTGGCCGAAGAGAGAGTTACCAGAGGAAATTACGAGGACAGAGGGTTGATCTGCAGGATATTGAGATATGTGTGCAGTCCTTCCTACATGGAAAATTGGACGTAATAGTGGTGGCGGAAATTTTTTGTCCATTTGGTAGTCTCAAGGAGATACTGGCGCTCTTTGTAAGTGCTACTAATACGGCAAAAAGCCAGGACCATACCGCTTTGATTAAGCAGAATCTACCGCTGCAAGAGATTGAGGACCACTTGTTAAACTGTCTAACATCTTACATAATTCCGACGGTCTATGTTCCTATCGATGAAATCCCAGTCAACAAGTCAGGAAAAATGGACAGAAAACGACTGCGTGAAATTGGAAGTTCCTTGACTATGAAGGAACTGGCAGAAATGCAGCCTTCCCGGCGCAAGGATAGAAAACCTGCTACAAACATGGAATTTAAACTCCAGGAAGTGTGGGCGAATGTATTATTAATGGAGCCGGGATCAATCTACGCGACAGACAATTTCTTCCGTCTAGGTGGTGATTCTATTACCGCAATGCGACTTGTCGCCTTGCTTCGTAATCAGGAATTATTACTTACGGTAGGGGATGTATTTGAAGCTCCAGAGCTTCAAAAGATGTCTGAGAGAGTTTTGCAGCAGAATTCCGTCTCTCAGTCTCCTGAAACTATCCCCTTCTCGCTTATCCATGTACATCAGGATACCGAGATTGAGACTAGAGTAACAATATCTCGTGCTGCTCATCTTTGTTCAGTTAATGAAACTTTGATTTCGGATATGTACCCGTGCACACCACTTCAAGAAGGCTTACTTGCACTCGGAATAAAGAAGAGAGGACAATACGTATCTCGCAGTGTACTACCACTCCAGGGCCATGTTGAAGTCGAGAAGTTACGACAAGCCTGGATATCGACCGCCAACAAATTCCCCATTCTTAGGACCAGAATCACCGATTTACCCGCACATGGCCTTCTCCAGATCGTGATTGACAGTGTATCGTACAGATCGGGCAATAATATCGACAGTTATTTGAATGACGATGAGCGTGACGCGATGGGTTTGGGGACAGCTCTTTGCAGAGTTGCTATCATCGATCGTAATTTTATATTGACCATCCATCACTGTCTATATGACGGAATTTCACTCGAAATGATTTTACAGGAAATCGAGTCTCAATATTTTGCCAAGCCTGCTAGGAACAATACGCCCTTCCGTCATTTCATCGAATATTTAAAAAGCAGTGACACAGAAGAAGCCGCCCAGTTCTGGAAAAGAGAGTTGTCTCGTGCTGAATTCAGACAGTTCCCTATGGTTCCCACTGTGACATATCAACCACAGGCGACCGCCTTCCTGCAGCATAAGGTCTCCCTGAACTGGTCGAGGAGTGGAATAACGCCGTCCACCATGATCCGTGCTTCCTGGGCGATGCTCGCAGCTCAATACGTGGGATCAACGGATGTCGTGTTTGGTGCTACGGTCACTGGAAGACAAATCAATATGAAAGGGATTGAACACTGTGTAGGTCCAACCATTGCAACCGTCCCGGTTGCCATTTCAATAGACTGGAGTGAGACCGTTGCAAAATTCCTCCACCATGTCCAGAGCCAAACTTGGGAAACAGTTAAATACGAGCAGTACGGAATACAAAATATCCAACGTGCTCTGGGAGTCCTCGACAACGGTGTTTTCCAGACATTGCTGGTAATACAGCCGTCAAATGCAGGTAATAGCTTGCAAAAAGACAGCCCGTTGTTCAAGGCCCGGAGCTTCGCGTCATCCCTTGAGACAACAGGCACGGATCCTTTCAATACCAACGCATTGATGATAATATGCCAATTGGAACACTCTGGAGTGGATTTGCGTATCAGCTTTGATCCGCATATTATCGATCGCGATCAAATGTACCGAATAGTTTGCCAAATGGAAACCATACTTTCTCAGATAACAGCAGACAGCTCACAGAACATGAAACTAAGCGAAATACAGACAGCAAGCGATTTTGATTTGAGCTCATTTTGGACGCAAAATCGACAGCCTTATGAAGAACCAAGCACATGTGTTCATGACCTAGTAACATCAGTCGCAATAGAAGACCCCAATGCAACTGCAATCCACTCATGGGACGGGTGTTTCTCTTACTGTCAGGTCGAGGAGCTCTCATCTACTATTTCACGGAGACTATATCAACTAGGGGTTGTCAAGGGGTCGACAGTAGCCTTGTGTTTAGAAAAGTCAAGATGGGTGCCTGTGTTGCAAATTAGTGTTTTAAAGGCGGGTGCTGTGAGCCTGCTTCTTTCAGCTACACTGCCCGATCAGAGAGTGGCTGCCACCCTCAACAGTTTAGTAGTTAGATTAGCAATTGCTTGTGATTCTCGCAGAGGATTGATATCTCAATATGTCCACTGCGTAACGATAGAGGAATTATCAACCGATCCGGCCAACCTGCCTCTATGTCCTTGGTCTCCGATAAAAATGAGCGATCCGGCCGCGATACTGGTTTCTTCAGGAAGCACAGGCGAGCCTAAACAAATTCTTTGGACTCACGGTGCTCTGGCTGCAAATGTCAATTCCCACCGCTCCAATCTCTCATTGGGGCCAACTTCTCGCGTGTTCCAGTTCGCGTCCTACGATTTTGACGTGGCCACAGTTGAGACAATGTCTGCTCTAACTAGCCGAGCATGCTTGTGTATTCCATCAGAGCAAGAGCGGGTCGATGAATTGGTTGACACAATCAATCGCCTCCGTGTCAATTTCTGTACGTTTACACGATCCACGGCAAAGCTCCTTCACCCAAACGATGTACAGCTTCTATCTACTATAGTCTTCGCAGGCGAGAATCTGATTGAAGACGACATAGAGCTCTGGAGAGGGCATTGTCGAATCGTAAACTGGTATGGTCCCGCCGAATGCTCAACGGCAACCTTCTGTAATGTGGACGAGCCCACGTGGCGCGGCGGAGTAATTGGCCATATTGACTCCAGATATTCAAATCGCTTGTGGGTAGTGGACCCAGGTGTTCATAGCCGGCTCGTTCCCTTTGGCGCAATAGGTGAACTGGTTTTCGAAGGCCCGGCATGTGCTGATCGTTATATGAATGACGTGGAATTAACAAAGAAGCATTTCTTTGACAGCCCGGCCTTTCCATTGAAGGGAGGACACATCAATAAGCCAGGCAAATTGGTTCGTCTCTACAGAACTGGAGATCTAGCTCGATTTGAGTCTAATGGGAACTTGGTATTCTTGGGGCGAAGGGATAATCAGCTGAAAATCAATGGACAATTGGTCTACCCAGAGGAGGTCGAAAAACACTTGCGGCTATTTTTGAACTCCACCGGTGCGAATATGGAAGTAGCTGTGGAAGGAGTGTCTTTTGAAAGTGAAGATCAACTATCGTTGGTTGGGTTCATCGTATCCCCAAACAATAGCATCGAGATTTTGACAAAAGACATTGATAAAGAGCTTCGAAAGGCATTACCCCGGTATGCCATTCCTTTATATTATATCTCTATATCTGAGATGCCAAAAACTGGTACGGGTAAAAGGGATAGGAGGAAACTCTTAGATATCGCTGCCTCGGTTGGCCGACCGTCTCCCACCGACACGCAAAGGTGGCCGATTACAACAGGAGAAAAGATGATGGCAAAACTGTGGTCCATAGTGTTGGGGGTTGAATTAAACAATATAACTGCTCATGACAGCTTCTTACAGATGGGTAGCTCCATCGAGGCGATGCGCCTCGTGGGATTGGCACGCCAGGAGGGATTAAAATTAACAGTGAGCACCATATTTGAAAATCCTGTGCTTATGGATATGGCCAAGGTTCTTGTTGCTCTCGATAACACGATGCAAGAAGATGCCGGTCCATTTAAACTTCTGCATCGAGGCATTGACATTGATATGGCACGTGAACAAGCAGCAGCACTGTGCGGCATAGAGAAAGGAAATATTGAAGATTTGCTTCCATGTACACCGTTACAGGAAGCTCTCTTAGCCTTGACTGCACAATGTGATGGTGACTACATAAGTCACAACACATTAAAACTCCTACAATACGTCGATATTTCTCGTTTCAAAGCTGCCTGGGACCGGGTTATTCAAGCACTGCCAATACTACGGACGCGGATTGTGGATCTCCCTGGCCACGGCCTTGTTCAAGCAATCGTTAAAGGACAGCAAAGCTGGGTACAGGCTAAAAACATAAATGATTACTTGCAGCAAGAGGTGAAGAGCCCGTTGCGTCTTGGATCATCTCTTGTGAGATTTAGCCTCATCCCCAACTCTATCGAGCATAAGAAAGGAATGGGGCGGGACACTTCAACACAACCGACGTTTGCCTTAACTCTACATCATTCAATTTATGATGGTGTAACCATATCTTTGATAGTGGAATGTCTTGAGAAGTTTTACAATAACGATGTGACTCCTGCTTTAAGCCCTTTTCAGTCATTTGTGGGGTACATCTGTCATCTGGATCAGAAGTTGCAGTCCAAATACTGGGAAGACCAATTCCATGGGTTAGAAGCAATGCAATTTCCTCCACTGCCCTATTCCCAATACCATCCTAAAACGGATTCCTTTTGCACATATACTCTGAACGACGTGAGTTGGAGAGCGGATAACTATACCCCATCAACAATAATCCGCGCAGCATTGGGTATTTTGTGTTGCCAATACTCGAACTCATCGGATACGGTGTTTGGAACCGTAATAACGGGTCGCAAGGCCTCCATCCAAGGCCTGGACAGAGTCGCCGGTCCCACTATTGCGACTGTTCCAATAAGAGTAAATATTCAAAAGAACTTAAATGCCTTCGAATTTCTCGGCGTTATACAGAGCCAGGAGATAGAAATGATCCCCCATGAGCAAACTGGACTTTCTACAATTCGGCGAATAAGCTCCGAAACAGAAAACGCGTGCGCATTTCAGACACTGCTCGTTGTACAATCACCGGAAGCGAAACTACAAGAGTCTGGCTTATTCGTCAGCCCAAGTGAGCAGCGGGATATGACAAGGTACTATAACTTTACTTCATATGCACTGTCGATTATCTGTACACCCGAAGGAAGCAATTTAATGGTGGAGTTTTGTTACGACTCGGCCGTAATTGTATCTGATGTTGTTCAAAATATGATGCCCCATTTCGAAAACATTATCAGATGTCTATGTCAGGTGGAAATGAACAACAAATCAATTCATGATTTTGATTTTCTAACAAGCAGGGATCTCAACAAAATTTGGCATTGGAATTCAGAGGTTCCAGCGAGTGTTGAAGAATGCGTGCATGAGTTGATCTCTCAAGTTGCCAAGGTTGTGCCGGATAATATGGCAATATGTGCATGGGATGGTGAAATTAGTTACAGGGAGCTTGATCAGCTATCCAGTCAAGTTTCCTACTGCCTGGTGAAAATGGGCGTAAAAAGAAACATGATTGTTCCACTATGTTATGAAAAGTCCCTATTCGCTATGCTAGCCGTCCTTAGTGTCATGAAGACAGGGGCAGGCGTGTTATTACTGGACCCCTCACTCCCAGAAGGTCGTCTCCAGACTATCATGGACCAAGTAAAACCAAGCTTCACTATATGCTCACCAGCTAGCGAAGGAATTTGCTCGAGGTTGTTTCCTAATCCCCTAATCCTTGGTGGTGCATTGAAGTGCATTGAAGAATTCATAAAGACCAATAGCGATGTCGAATCAGAATTACTACAAGAACTCCCAAAGGTATTTCCATCTGATACTTTATACACTATCTTCACGAGTGGAAGCACCGGAACACCAAAAGGATGTATCATTCAACATCGGAGTTTCAGCAGCGCAGTGACGCATCAAAAAACGACCTTACAGCTCAATCACCGTTCCAGAATGTATGATTTCTCATCATATTCGTTTGATGCGGTGTACTGGAGTGCCATCCATGTTCTTACAGCGGGTGGAACACTGTGCATTCCAAGTGAGGAGGAAAGAAAAAATAACCTTACCGAAAGCATACAAAGGTTTGCAACTACCGATATTTTTCTCACTCCATCAACTGCACATAGTGTTGATCCGACAAGAATACCTACTCTACAAAACATTTACCTGGGCGGAGAAGTTGTAAACCCATCTGATGTTAGACTTTGGGCGCGGTTCGCCAACGTCTTTGTGGTATATGGCCCTACGGAATGCTCTGCGATTACCCTCTATAATCGAATACAAAGTCCGATTTCACAAATGCCCTCAATTGGCCGTAGCATTGGGGTTGTCACTTGGATTGTACATCCATCATCGAGCGATCGGTTAACACCTATAGGGATCGTTGGAGAGTTATATTTAGAGGGACCACTACTTGGTGAAGGGTATCTCGGCGACCCCGAAAAGACTGCTCAAGCGTTTGTTGAAGATCCACCATGGTTACTTTATGGGTCCCCAGATGGCCAGTCACAAGGACGACATGGCCGATTATACAAGACAGGTGATCTTGTTAAGTACAATCCTGCCGATGGGTCTCTCATATTTATAGGGAGAAAGGATACACAAGTCAAACTGCGAGGACAACGAATTGAACTTTCCGAAGTGGACTATCACATTCGACAATGTCTCAACAATAGGTTCCCATTGAGCACACTTTCGGTGATTACTGAAATAGTTGTTCCAAAAGGGTGGAATAAACCCACTTTAGTTGCTTTCATTCAGTCCTCAGAAATGAGAGAAACTAAGGGTTTTGAAAAGTACCTAGAACTAGAGCTATCGAAAAGGTTACCTTTATACATGATACCCACTATCTATCTATCTGTCCAGCATATGCCTTTAACTCCGAGTGGCAAGGTAGATAGAATCCAATTGCGGGGAATTGGGTCTACCGCCATGATTGAGCACTTAGATAGTCAAGTTAAGCCGGATAGTACTAGTGCTCCCCTCACTAAACGAGAAAGTCAACTGTGTGCTCTGTGGGAAACAATTTTAGAAATCTCGGCCTATCAAATTGGAATAGAAAGTAACTTCTTTCGACTCGGAGGCGATTCTATATGTGCAATGCGGTTGACGGCACTGGCTAGTGGTGAGGGTATTACATTGACAGTCAAAGACATTCTCATGTACCCTCGATTAACTGACATGGCGAAGACGATGATCTTACACCAGACCAGTGCCAATAATAACGCGCTCACCACTCCGTTCTCACTGTTAAAACATCCGCAGGATCAAATGATTCTCATTGATGATATCTCAAACCAGAGCGAAATCAGCGAAATCAATACCTCGCTCATTCAAGACATATTTCCTTGTACAAGTGTACAAAAGTCGCTCTTGTCAATGAAAAATGCCTACATTGCCAGGTTTTCGATAGCACTTAAAGATGACGTGTGTATAAAGGATTTGATTGATGCCTGGGAACAAGTGAGAAAAACGAGGGCCCCCATTCTTAGCTCCATGATTGTCAACACAACATCGGAAGGTCTAGTCCAAGTATTTTTGAAGTCGCCCATACGGTTCCAGTCATATGATACCTTAGATGAGTATTTCAAAGAGGAAAAGGCTAAGAATATGGGGCTTGGTACACCTCTCACCCGATTAGCAATTGTTGGAGAGACGGACTCTAGTAGTAAATATTGCATATTAACACAACACCATGCAATATACGACGGGCACTCACTGAAGCTTCTTCTCAACGAGGTTTCCAATGTCTATGCTGGAATTTCGGACAACCATCACATTGCATCCTTTCAAAATTTTGTTGAATATGTTGGCAATGTTGATGAGAATGAAGTCAAGAGTTTCTGGGGTCAAGAGTTCTCTGAGTTAGAAGCAATGCCTTTTCCAGTCCTGCCTCAAGAAAACTATAAACCTAAAGCTGATGATATGATACGACGTACGTTTACAAACTTCACTTGGCCCAAAGGCGAGGTGACTGCATCCACAAGTAAGTCTTGCAGATTTAGCATTTGAAACCAGATGAAGTATTACTAAGCTGACTACCCACGAAACCCATACAGTCATCAGAACAGCCTGGGCGATTATTACGGCCCGTTACACTGACTGCAACGATGTTATATTTGGTGCTATGGTAACAGGACGACAGGCCCCGTTAGATGGATTACATCGAATGATTGCTCCGGCAATTAATGTCGTCCCAGTGCGGATTAAACTAAGAGCCAAGCAGACGATAGATGAACTTCTTAAACAAATCCTAAACCAAGCGATACTCACGATTCCGTACGAAAACACAGATCTACTTAATATTCGACGGATCAATGCCAATACCAACCAAGGCACGCGCTTTAATTCTTTACTTGTCGTGCAGCCAGAAGGACAAACGAATTTAGTTGAAACTGACGAGGGGCCTTTCAAGCATCCAACGCTAACCAACCTGAACAATGGATTTGATGACTTCAACCCGAATGCACTAATGCTGGTTTTCCAACTGACAAGCACTAATGAGGTTCATCTTGATATAAGTTTTGATTCCCATGTCATTGGGAGAGAGCAGATGAATCGCATTGCCTACCAGCTTGAACATACTTTGCGTGAATTGATCTCATGCGATGTCGCACAGACGCTCGACTTTCTAGATATACTCAGTGTACAAGATCTGAATGAAGTATGGAGATGGAATTCTTCTGTTCCCCATTCGGTTCACGAGTGTGTCCACCACATGATTGCTAGAACAATCAAGCGACAACCTGACATGCCTGCCATACATTCATGGGATGGTAGCTTGACGTATGGAGAAATGGAGGTATTATCGAGCCACCTGGCTTCGTACCTCGTTTCCTCTGGAGTCGGCCCGGGTATGACTATTCCCCTTTGCTTTGAAAAATCCATGTGGCATCCAGTAGCGGCGTTAGGCGTAATGAAATCAGGGGCCGCATGTGTTTCCATGGACTCCACGCAACCGGAGTCTCGTTTGAAATCAATTGTGAAACAGGTCAATCCTAGTTTTGTACTTTCTTCAGAAAAGAATAAAACCCTATCAGAACGGCTTTCCGACGCTGAAGTAATCATTGTCGACCGCAACAATTCCGCCTTCTCCGAACATGGCTCTCCAATAAGTGTATTACCTACCATTCGCCCAACAGCTGTCCTCTATAGTGAGTTTCCTATCTCCTCCATTCCTCATATTTTCTCTTCCAATCCCAATTCCGGTGATATTTAGGCTAATTTTTGAAAATCTTCCAAACATACAGTCGTATTTACCAGCGGGTCAACAGGTGTTCCTAAAGGAGTTATTACGACCCATCAAAATTTCGCATCTGCATCCACCCACCAGTCGAAAATTCTAAATATCAAAGCGAATTCTCGGGTTTTTGACTTCGTCTCATATAGTTTTGACGTTTCCTGGTCAAATCTTCTGCAAACCTTGATATGTGGAGCCTGTCTTTGTATTCCCTCAGAGTGGGAACGACGAAATGATATCCCAGGTTCCTTAAACAGTATGAAATGTGACTATGTCTATTTCACCCCTTCCGTGGCCAATTCATTGGACCCATCAGCAATACCTGGAATTCGAACCTTGGCGATGGGAGGGGAGCCGATCCAGGCTAGTGAACTCTTCCGCTGGGAACAAGTAGAGACCATCATTGGTATCTATGGCCCTGCAGAATGCGCCCAAGCTTTGTCATTTGCTCGGTTGAATGGAAAAAGTCAGAACAATTATGTGGGTCATTCTTTCGGGGCAAACACCTGGCTTACTATACCGGACTGTCCAGAGCGTCTGGCGCCAATTGGAACAATTGGGGAGCTTCTAATAGAAGGACCAACTGTAAGCCAGGGATATCTTAATGACCCCATACAAACGAACTGTGCCTACATTCAAACCCCACAATGGCTTGCACGGGGTACATCAGGTCAAAATGGTCGACAAGCGGTTTTATACAAAACTGGTGATCTGTTACGTTATAATTCAGACGGATCTTTAACGTTCATCGGTCGTAAAGATGGCATGGTAAAGCTCAGAGGGCAAAGAATAGAGTTGGCAGAGATTGAATACCACGTGAGAGCATCACTGAGTCACCCACACTTATGCAGTGGAATTGCTGCAGAAATTATTACGCCAAAGAACCTTACCACCTCAATCCTGGCCATTTTTGTTTCTCTAGATTTTGACGAGAATCATGACCCTGATGTAACGGTTTTATCTAGACTTGCTCAAGTCACCGATGGCATAGATGAAAGGCTCGCAAGCCGTGTACCGCAGTAGTATGTACTAATTTCTCTTGTTCTTATTGTTTTTAAACTTCCATTCACTAATGGGGATTCTTTGACAGTATGATTCCGGGAGCATACATCCCTGTCAATAAGATACCGATGACTATTACGAACAAAACGGACAGACGTGCTTTGCGACAATTGGGAGACGAACAAACATCGGATAACCTTGCAAGGCCGCTACTAGATGAAAGGAAATACCGCGCTCCATCAAGCGCAATGGAGAAGAGACTTCAAATTCTGTGGTCCTCCATCCTTGGCATCGAGGCCCGTAACATCAGCACAGAAAGCAATTTTCTCAGAATAGGTGGAGAGTCTATCGCTGCCATGAGATTGGTGTCCATGGCAAAGGGCCAGAATTTATCGATGACTGTCGCAGATATCTTTAAGGCTCCTCGGCTTTCTGATCTCGCTCTTCTGGTGAAGGAGGGCATCTTTCAACAAACGCTTCAACTAGATGCCAAGTTTTCCCTGATTGATGAAGATGATCCTCATATGTTCCTCCAAAGATTTGTTTATCCCGTTTTGGGAGGTAAATTTGGGGTTGTGGAGGATGTTCATCCTTGCACAGATTTTCAAAAATGTGCCATACTTGATGCATTACAAGACCCACCCGGCAGACTTCCGCATTGGATATTCACATTACCAATGGATGTCGACTTTGACAAATTGGAACAAGCCTGTAAAAAGCTAGTAAACAACTATGACATACTTCGGTCTATCTTTATTGAGGCTCGTAACCGATTATGGATGGTTACATTGACAAACTTGGAACCAGAATATGATATTCATAACATTGATGACGATATTACAACCGCCATAGACACGGTGTGTAAACAAGACTTGAGAGCTCCAAGGCAATTTGGTCATTCTTTCATTCGCTTTATAGTGCTTCGGCATTCTGGAGGAAATCATAGACTCATATTTAGGATTTCACATGCCCAGTTTGATGACTTCAGTTGGGGGACAGTTTTAAGCGCCCTATCATCGATATACGTCGATGATGACGTTCCAACACAGCCAACTTTCGCTCAATACCTTTCTTACAGAGAAAGAACAAAAAGTCAAAGCTTAGCATACTGGACTTCTAGAATACGGCGTGCAAATTATCCAATATGGAGCACCAGCAAGTTGCCCTCTACATTGGCTTCTAGCGATAGGCTTGTTGTCGAAGAAACTTTTGAGATGCCAAGTTTAGAACGAATTCAAGGAGTCTCGATAGCAACGATCTTCCATAGTGCGTGCGCAATAGTATTGTCACGCCAATTCGAACAAGAGAATGTCATTTTTGGCCGTTTAGTGACCGGCAGGTCTATGCTTCCAGGAAATCTTAACAATGTCGTTGGTCCTTGCATGACAGAACTTCCAGTCATCGTTCATATAGGTTCCAATGACAACGTGGCTAGTGTCGCGCTGAGGTTGCAAGAACAATTCATACAGGACTCGGGCTATGAGACAGCAGGAATGGAGGATATTATCCGAAGCTCCAATAATTGGCCAGAGTATACGGCTGACTTCGGGTGGCGAACTGCCTTTCAACAAGAAGATGGTCCTAGCCTCACGTTTTTAGGATCAACTAGTGAGATTTCGTTCTACAGCGGCGACCTACCATCTCGGCCACGCCCAGAAGTTTATGCTACGCCAAGGAATGGGAAGTTAGATATCGTGTTCGAAGGTAATCGAAGCTTGATTGGGGAGGATACTGTCCAAGAATTTCTTTCGCGTCTCCAAATCGTCCTTGGCGATGCATGACACAAATGTGAGAGAAGTCAGAGCCGAGGATAGCATGCTTCGAACCGAGTTGACAGTTATTATTGCTGTTTAATAGTGTAATATCTGCAATTCATATGTTTTTCCCTTCTCTTTCGATTTCGTGATTTAAGATAGAAGTATTGAGCGCATTAGTTCTAAAACAATCAATTGAATTGTATGCTGTGGCGAAAACGCACTTTATCTAGCTGATTATTTATTTAAATATTTCCCAATCTTTCATGGAAAAGTAAAATGTTGCAATGGATAACTTGTCCTAAAAGAGTCAGACACGGCCATGATGCATCCGAAATAAAACGCGGAGGTTGCTACTCCGTATATCGTCAAAGCGGAGGGAGGAGATACAATACAAGCGGGCTATTCAGGTTACGTATTGCCATAAATCATAAGCCAGCAACCGTCGTGCATCGTCACCTGCGGCTGATACCGCGACGTTCTTGCTTTGTACGTACTTGATCGTCAGACATACACAACACTGCTGAGGTACTAGCAATGCAGCAACTAAATTGAAATCTAATCCATTCTATGACTGAATTAAGGGTTGAAGTAGTAATGGGAGCCCTGTATGTAAAATTTTGATGTCGATAGGTTAAATATTTTTTTAGGTTATCATTCTATCCAAGTTCAACGTTGCCTGCATCGTGTGCCTAAATAAATTAATAAGCTCGTTCTCGGCTCTCTCCCGAAGTCACTTATCTGCGTAGGGCAATTCGGGGACCTTATATACGGACTGGCGAAACCCCGGCCCCCCCTGGGAGCCAAACGTGCGGGCAACAGGCCACCCAAGACTGGTGCCCTGATAGGTCACATATGTGGGTAAATGTATCGAGGTGTCGCGTAAGTCGCGACGCGTTCGTTCTCTCCATTTGTTTACGGAGGCTGTCTTTTGCATGTCGGGCACACTAAATCTCCTAGTACTTATCATGGTGATTTTAGTTTGTATTATGATAGTTACCTTATATTATAATAAATTACAAATATGGCTAATAAACATTATTTATTATCTATTCTAGCTTAGTTTTATAAATGAATTGGCAAACTAATTACTAGTGAGAACAATCTGGTGCCGCCACATATTTACTTGGAGTTGTGCCAAAGACTTTTTGTACCCACCTCCCGTATATTTTCTTATTAAGGAAGCTATGCCATATGCTCTCCTCTCTCCTTTCAATTTTTCAACCCATCATAATTAGAACACATTGTGAAAATTAGTTATTAGAAATAATATGTAGCTAGAAAATACCACTAAATCCTTACTAAGTAAGGGTTGCGCCGTTTTTAGTGTGATGGTCAAAAGTTCGGCATCAGAATACGTACCTGGTTGTCTTCTGGCATGTTTTCGGATCAAAAACGACGAACAAGCAAGCCCACTAGAGAAAGAGGGCAGAAATGATATCGTATTTCCCACGTAGTTCCCTAATTATTGGTTCCCACATGCACTTTAATATCATAGCAACATTTTGAATGCTTTAATAATATCATAGTCACGTTTGAACACTTCATATAGTAGGGCTATCTATATGACTAGAAAGCACGGACGGGCTACAATTTTGGCTAATTCCATCAACGCTACGGTACCATGTCAAACCACGGCGATTTTTTTCTAATATGATTCTTATTTATTAAATATTGAACTATATAAGTTAGTCTTCCTGTTTGAATTTTCTGTAGTGACTGATATAGGTGAAGTCCTCCTAATGATACGCATTCGATAATTATTGCTTAGCTTTCAAGCGGGTTAGACAGTATGGCATTGTGTAGGCTTTTTAGAGGACTATTCGATTGATAAAGACAGGCTATCCCGTTGAACTAACCACAATTCCTTCTTACATTTTCCTAAAGAGAGCGTACAGGGTGGTCTCGGCCGCTTTTCTCTTCCGAACCCCCGAGGAGCTATCAATATAAGCTGTTTTCCCTCGCTCGTACAGCGGACCATCAGGAGCCACCCGTAAAAGTCGATTTGATAGGGCCTACTCTTATGTCTGAAAATATAACATAAGCGTTAGGATCGTCAGCATTGACGGTTTTCGGAACTCCAGACGTTGTAGCACATGTTCCACGTTTCGCGCCGGGGGTGGTCGCAGTATCATTTGTTGCGTACATGCTATCAAGCCATAACATGCTAGCAGAATAATCATCCCAAACACTTATGACTAAAACCATTCCGCTGGAGAGTGCTTTCCCAACACTACTCATGCCACCGTGAGAAGTAAATGCAGTAGTTTTAGCGAAAACCGAAAGCTCGGCACTGCAAAACGCGACGTTAATGACATTTCCAGTAATGCCTGAAATCTGAGAGGCAGGCTGCGGGATGACCACGTCGTTCTGAACATAATAACGAGTTATCTGAGAGAGAGTTCCAGTCGATGTGCCATCGTTCGTAATGAAGTGAGTCACAAAGTGAATGGTTTGGAAGTATCAACAGTCATCCTGGACTCGTAGAAGCTGGTGTTTCCGAGACGGGAAGGGTTGAAGTCACAACCATCAGGGTTACATGTACCAGCATAGCGAGTATTAGTATAAGTTCCACCACGGGCGTCTCCCTCACAACGGGTATTTGTTGGAGTGTCGCATGGATGAGGGGTAAGTGCTTCTAACACGCTATTTGCCTCCCAAATGTCCAGTTCAGCGCAACAGGATCCGTAGTTCCCAACTCCTGTATTCGCATTGTTTGATGATGGAGTCCAATCCTCAACGTTCGTCAAACCTTGAATGAACTTGAGATCGCGAGGACATCGAGAATCACAGTAACCGACACCATACTGTGCGCCATCTTTGTTAGTGGTCTATTTCAGACGTAGTTCATTCCCACTGCTAGTTATACCGTATGTCCCTTCATAGTTAGCGCCATCAAGAGCACAGTCCTGAGCACAACTGACATCTATCATATATAGATGTATCCCAGGTGCTACCAGTATAACAGTTTAGTGGTTGAATTAACGCTATGCGCCCAACGCTAATTTGCGTCCAGAACTATTTCACCAATAGTAGTGGTACAACTACCACCTTCTGTACATGTTGACCAAGTCAAGGCTGGGTGAGTCTCGGTAGTATAGGTACCAATTTTTTGAGATCTCACAACGGTAATGGTCAGAATAAAAAGAGTAGAGACTTTCGATATTCTTTGAGAATCGAACAAAGACATCATTTTCGTACTCTATCAATAATTTGCGTTATGCAATAATTTCTTTTGATTTCAAATATCGCGGTTGTCTCCTTTCGATAAAGAATATGAGAAACAATATATACTTATTTTGTCTCATTCTTTCGAGTCGTCGAGGACAAAATAGTCTTTGATCATGAACTTTTTCAGAGTTTGAATAATAATATGACGGGATTTGTCGCGTATTGTCGGGGTAAGGACTTTTAAGGGAGGCGCTATATACGAAAAACTATTAAGTGACTTGCAGGCAGGGTCAAACACCATGAACCTTCGGCATCTAGCTGTCACGGAGATAGTAGGAATATTTATGGGGTTTGAATGTAAATTCTCTTCGTATGTTAAAATAAATATCTGTCAGACATTTTCTTTATTTTCTAACCACCTAGCGCTGTCCAGGGAGCACTAGAATAAAATTAAGTTCAATGTTTGATATACAAGATACGACATGGTCAACCGATAAACATGGGGAGCTTGGCCAGACTATAGTCACAATTGTCCATTCTAATACCACCGTCTACATATGTAATGATTGAATAACTGCTCCTTGCGTTTGAGGTAATATTTATCTTGGTAGTTCAGCTACATATCAATTGATATCTATGTAAAATATATATACGTTACATCGGTGAAGTGGCTTATTATCTGCATGTGAGCTGGTCGTATAATATGCACATCATTGTTATTTAGAAAATGTTTATTTAAGCAAGTAGGATGATATTAAGGCTAAGCATTGATTTCCGTGTCTCCGCGATCAATCGCTCTCATAGGCAAAGGAGTCAATTCATTACGCAAGTGAGAGATTAGTCTGGTGCCATTTGAGCACCATATAAATAATATAATCCATTGCAACATGCTGGGCCGCGTGTTTTCGGGGCCCGGATGTATCGGCCAGACATTTCAGTATGAATATATTCGTCAGCTGATATACAAAAGAGGATTGAGTTTTGACCTCGAAATCGAAGCAATCGCGACTCGTTCAAAGTTATGTGTGCAGACATAGATTTAGTTAGCATTAGGTCAACTGTGCTGTGGGAGTACGACACGTATCTTTCTCACAACAAATACTTGACCACATGCTTAGGAGTATAAATATACTGAAGTAAGAGCTTTGTTACATGGGGATTTCTCCAGCTTTGATCTACTTGAACTGTGCGAAGTACGATCAGCGCTCAGCCAGCTTGCTTGAAGAGAACCGTGGCCTACGTAGTTCTTTAGCATATTATCGTACATGATCTTAAGATCAAGAAAGGATACCTAAACATGTTATAGTAATAATGAAACGCCGCATATAACGGTAGCTAAACCAATTTCATTTCCCGCTGGGCGATATAAATCTGAGCTGGAAAGGGATTCTATAGAAAGAAGTACACCATCACGTCTAATTTCGACCGTTTTAGACTCCTTGGTGAAAAAAAGTTAACGAATTGAGATCTTATGCAGCCTTGAGACGTGGGCTAATAGACCTAGGTCATGGAGAAGATGGTATTGGAATGTCTCCTTCAAAAGGATTTCACTAAGAGTTCTATCAATCGATATGGTTTCCATTAAAGGGTATTTCAACTATCAAACCCTCAACTCTTTTGATATGACCTAGTTATTGCTAGCATACAATAGGATAGACAAATGGGAGTATTCGGCAGTATTTAGATATAACTTCAATACTGCCCTGCAGTATACAATTGGAATAATGGGTCTACTTGTCATCACCGAGAAAGAAACAGATCCCCCCACCCCTGGCCCAGGAACAACCAACAATAATAAATGATATAGAATTTTTCTGTATTATTGAGCTGAGAATTTGATTAATTACTACCACTCCGGACCATTTACAAACTTGTGCGACCGTGTGCAGAATACGCACCACTCTCAGTAACCCTTAACAAGTAGGGTCTGTGAGCCATTGCCTGACCCACGGGTTCACTAGTAAAGTTTCGGTAGAGGCCAAGGCGGAGCGCACGAAAAATGATGATTGGATGAAGCGTGCGGTAAGAACATGGGGGTTTTACGGTCTTATGAATATGCTGGAGATAACCTGTGAAGTGGAAACTCCCAACCACATCGCTATGCAAGGACAAAGTCCTTTGGCTCGATTTATGTTGGGTGCGAGAGAATAAATTTCAATTAAATGAAGATCAACTAACTAGCCTGGCAAGTGGCTAGCATATGGGACACGTGCCCGTGTTGCTTGTTTGGCTTGTTATATTACGGTTCGTTATTATTGTGGTCCAATCAGCGGATGGCTGCATAGAGTACAGAGATTATAAAGTCGGTATATATATTATTTAGAGGCTGCCGACAAGAATGCCCCATGCAGACAGAGATATGGGTATTGTTATTATCTGTTAATGGACTTCCCTTTACTTGGGAGCTTTGGAATAGAAAATCACATGGTGCAAATGGTTCTCTAGCGTAATAATCTCAACCCCAACATTTCAATTATACACAAAAGTGGGGTTGTGAGGGGTAGGGTTACATCTGACCGGACATCTGTCCAATAACTATTATCGACGGATCCAACGCTAGTATTCTGTGTACCAAAAGCACCAATCAGACTACTAGTCAAAATGCTTATCTCCGCTGCTAGCCGTCAACCATAGAAACGTCTTATATACTGTAGTTGTGAATTCTGTATTTAACCTGTGTGGGTCTTGGTGTAGCAATGGGTAAAAGAACATTGCTAAATCCGGGCGATAAATATTGAATGCCACTTCTGTTACTGAACATTTTTTATTAACCATGCCATCAAATAGGCAAAAGTGAGAAAAGTCTCAGTTAATGTGAAATTTACAAACAAAATGGCACAGTCACCAGATGCGCCTCGCGGCGCCTTTTATGTCGCACCGCAAGCTCGCGCTCCACATGATCCAAATGTTTCATTCGAAGAGTACTTCTATTACGCACAAGGAACAAGGGAAGAAGAAGACAATATCGAGTCACCAAAACTGAATTGGCGAGAATTCTTACACCCAAAGAAACGAATAACGCGACAAGATGCACGAACTGATGCGCCGCAATCTCATGATCCAAAAAGCCCAGTCGGCCTGGAGAATACAGCGCAAATATCCGACGAAGAGTGGGCAAATGCAAGCCGCGCACTGCGTACAGCTTCATGGGGTGCATGTGAGTCATTGAGACTGAAATAATTGTGCCGTGTAGGCTTGATGAAAAGAAAAAAAAATCAGGTTTTGACTTATTATCGTCTTCAAAAACAGGCTTCTATTTAATTACCACTGACATCCTAGGACCGTACGGCTCTGCGTTCACAATGGGGACACTTGGTTGGGGACCAGGTAGGCGTCTACTGCTTCATCGACATCTATATAAATCCTAGAATACTGATTTACATTTGAAATGTTCAAGGGGTTGCTCTTTATACTGTTTTCGGCCTCATGGCGGGGTATTCCGGGTACCTGGTCTGGCGAGTTTTTATGGGGCTTGATAGTCATCAATTCCCTGTGAGGAATTACGGGGATATTGCTTTTAGAAGTTGTGGACAGACGATTCGATATATTACAAATATCATGCAAGCCATTGCACTGCTACTGCTTGTGGGTCAAGTTACCATCCAGTTCGGAGAGAATATCTCGCAGGTCTCCAAGTTCCGTTTATGTTATGCCGTCTGCCCAGTTATTTTTGTCTGTGTGGGATTCCTTGTTTCCCAGATCCGAACTCTCAAATCTTTCGGCTGGATAGCCAACCTCTCCGTCTGGGTAAACCTTCTCGTGATCTTCATATCGATGGGCGTAATCGCAAACTCGCTGCCAAATTATGAAATATCGACCTTAGGATCTGCAGGGAGTGCAGTAGATCCAGATACAATCACCCCTGTGAACGGCGTGTACCCTGCTATCATGCACTACAATGGTCTCCCCCCTAATGGGTTAGTCGGCTCAATCAATGGGCTTCTTTCCGCAGTTTTAGCATATGCAGGCGTTCAGCTGTTCGTCGAGTTCATGGCTGAAATGAAACGTCCCCGCGACTTTATCAAGGCAATGTGGGGGGCACAGTTTTTTATATACACCGTTTATCTTGTATACGGATGTTTTATCTATCACTTTCAAGGCCAATACAGCTTTAACCCGAGTTACCAAGGTGTCAGTGTTTACGGCTGGCAAACGGCTGGTAACATGATATCGTTAATTAGCGCTCTAATTGCCGCCGGGCTATATGGTAACATTGGAGTCAAGGTGATATATAACAATGTTTTCATGGATCTTTTCCGAGCGCCACCTCTTACTTCCAGACGAGGCAAGATCATTTATGCCTGTCTCGTCCCAATATTTTGGATAATAGCCTTCATTATTGCTGCAGCTATTCCCGACTATTTCGGATTCGTGAGTGTGATGTCTGCCTCCATGCTCCTGAACTTAACGTACACGCTACCTCCGCTTTTTGCCCTTGGGTTCGATATCCAGAAAAACAGTCTTCGTTCTCAAGATGGAAACGGATTCGATCCTATGAATGGACAGGCTATTCAACAGGGATCTGCTGTGCAAAGATGGGCCCGTGGACTTATAAGCGGGGGCGCTTTCCAAGTTACGATTAACATCTGGCACATTCTATATCTGCTGGCTTCATTGGCTATGAGTGGCCTGGGTATGTATGCAGCTATTGAGGGTAGGTTCCCATTCACAATAAAAAATATATTTTATCAGGAGATGCTTACTTCTGTACCTCTAATATTTAGGTATGATTACGGCATTTGAAAATCCAGAGCTGAATTCCTTTTCATGTAAATCACCTCTGAATCTGAGTGGATAATCTCTACGTGTTGTGAGAATGTACAAATGTACACATTGAGAAAACTTCTGCTTGAGACTGATCGGGAATCTGTATTCATGATGGATTTTATGGTAACTCAAAAGACCAGCTTGGACTTGCATACATATCCTGCTGCCTATCAAAGCCCCAATAATTGCATGTTATTTGCGTAAGCCTGAAATAGATATATTAATAACCTGATAAGAACGAAAGTCTCACATGTAAAGGTTATTGAGGAAACAAGCAGCCTCTCTACCGAGCATGTATCCAGAAAATTGGTAAACCATGATATCAATCTTTAAAAGGAATATGATCGAATAAAGAGTAGGCCACATGAACATATCTAGTATAGCTACTTCAACGTTTGGATGCCACTTAACTCAATCTTATTGATATTGTGACTTAAGGATTATGAAACCTTATATGAAAGTGAGTGACAGAGAATTGGTTAGTAGATTCGATTGGATGCTTGGCTGGAAATATATTGGGTAACCGGAGTTTTGGATTGATCAATATCTACCAATAATAACCTTGATTTCACCGACTCATTTTATGTTTGTTCACCTGGGAATTCTCGGCACTTTCTTAAAGCAATATCTATTTATTTATCTTTTCTTTTTCGGGCAAAATAACGTCGTATTGTAATACATAGCCATGGTTCACATTGGGCCAGCAAGTTCAAAAGACCAAAGCTCATAGAAAACCAGTCACCTAGCAATTATTTCTGGAATTTCAAGCGTCTATGCGATTTCGCCTACAAAACTGGATCACGCGGCAATAATAATTCAAAGAAGTGTTCTATTTTCAATTATATTCTCGATATTGCAATTTTGCCACTGCCACATTTAGAACTCAGCCCTAGGGCGTGGCAGGGATTCAGGATTTCGGAGGGTATTATTTTCTTACGGCTGAAGTTCGGTTCATTTTCTTTAACTCTTTCCATCATGCTTACATATCAGCCTCGATGAAACAGGCCGTAATCTGACATAATTCTATCATATTATGTGGATCATGAATCGTCTGATATCCAGTAGATATGAATACACGGTAGCTAATGATGTCGAACAAACACTTGGTTACAGGCTTAAGCCTTATGTTCTGGCTAACCTGGAACCAACTTTACAGTCGTAACATCGGTATTTTTGAGAGCATTAAACCTAAATTGATTGGGTCTATGATTAGCAATATTACATGTTGACAGGCTCGTCCCTATTTGTGATACTCTTTCGAAATTTGGAATGAGGTGGCGTTGTAATTCATGTCTGGTGTAAGTTTGGATAATAAGTAAGCCTTGCATCAAAATAAAGGTTGTGTATATCTTAATCGGTGTCTTTTTTATGCAGCTAGACAAGATCCCTGCGATTCAGCTGGCATGGGAACTTGATTGTCTAAATAGGTAGAATGGATATGTATATAACCAACATTTCTACAACTTCTATGGCCTTTATAGATTGTAGTATATTTAATATTTGAACGTCGCGGTGTCGAAACTTGAAATCAATCTCAGATAAATACCCGGTTACCTTCTAAGTCATCAGACTCTTTGTCGCAATGGACATATTAAATTTCATAATCATCTTCTTCTCTCAGCTCATACCGTCGTTTGAAAATTCCGGGTCTCTCCTTGATAAACTCACACTCTACCCATATATACCGGGTCTACACGTCCAAACTGTTGCAGTCCAGCATCCCATAATTTCGGAATCCAGATACCAGGTGCCAATTAATAACAATAATAATTTGGACTGTAGATTTTCTTGCTCTTACCCTTCATTGATTAGATGGGAATCTTGGAATAAATCGCATTCTCGTGACTACTAGTTACGTGATAAATCAGCGGTGCAGCCTATCTTCAGTCAATTCGACGTCACGACCGACTATGAGGATATTTGGCCACCTGGTATAGCCAGAGAGGTACGTGTTTTAATCGAGCAACCCATAGGCTTTTGTGGCCTCCCACAGAAAAGGTCTAACTGGCACTGGCGAAGTTCTGGCTTGATGTGTCCGAAACGACCATCAGTCCTGATGGATTTCCGAAACTTGGCCATGTATTCAATGGAAGGTAAGATTATGCCAATTCTAAGCAAGTAGAACATCTTATTGATGCGAAAACCCTCTTCTTATATTAGTTTTCCGGGTCCATTAATCGGTGAGTAATACCAGTCATCTTATCGGTGCTAAGCTTACCAGACGCTATTTCCCGTTCAGAGGCTTGCTAGGGAGATGATTTGAGTATGTCCGAAAAGAAAGTGCAGGAAGTTAGTAGTTGATACTGATCTTCATTAGGAATTCACACCAACAACAAGTTACCTGATAACGGAACAACAATACATTGGCATGGTAAGTCAATATCAAAATAAAACCGGCAGGTAAGAATATTGAAATAATTGACCAGAATCTCAGGGATTCGCCAATTGCATACAAACGATGCAGACGGTGTCAATGGTATGGATTATACCACACTTGACATGATAGGCTTTATACTAAGAGTGTCCATTTCTTGAGGCATCACGCAATGTCCTATAGCAGGCGATAATCAAACATATACATACCGTTTTAGAGCTGTCCAATACGGTGCGTACTTTTGTCCAAACTTGGTCAACATGGGAATCAAACAACTAATACTTATTGCTATCATGAAAGGTCATACCTGGTATCATAGGTAATCACAGCCAGGAACAAATTAGATGGGAGGAAGCTTTAGCTAATACCCAAGCAGCCATTACTCATTGCAGTATCCGAACGGGCTGATAGGTACCAAAACGCCGCATTTACCTTAGTTTCGTTAGTATGAAACTGAATTAATGCTGATATCAAGAAAATGACAGGTCCACTTTTAATCCATGGCCCAGACAATGCTGACTGGGATATCTCCTGGGAACAACTTTTTGTACAAGATTGGGTTCACGAAAACGCATTTCAAGCCTTTGTACACGAGCTACACCCGCCGCTGCCAACGTCAGAGAGTATTCTTCTTGGAGGTGTAGGTGAGTATACTGCTTCTACGATTCAGACTGCACATTTCAGCCTCCAGGCTAATGAGTACCCACTTGTAGGAAAATTTCGAGATGGAGACAGTGAAGTGGGCTCGACATTTTGGAAGACCGTTCTTAAAAGTCGAAGAGTCCTAATAAGACTGATAAATACCAGGTATGAGTGGAATTTCGATCAACGATGGGGGCATACGTTAGCTGATCGTTTTTTTGCGTAGCTCGGACGAGCACTTCGTCTTCTCCACCGACAACCACAACTTAAAAGTCATCTCAGCAGATTTTGTGCCTATAGAGCCGTATACAACCGAATATTTATCAATAGCGATTAGTGTGTCAATTTTCAATTTTCAAATTTCCAATTTATAAGGCGCTAATATGCCGATTATAAGAGGCCAGAGATATCTGTCATCGTTGAAACAAACCAAAAAGTAGATAATTATTGGATCCGCACTGTACCAGTGAAAAGTTGCTCGTCCAACTATACTGAATTCGATAATCGCACAGGCATTTTGCATTATGAAAACTCCCCAGAAGCCCAGAAACCAAAGACATCTGCTCAGCTGAGCATCAACTTTACGTGCGAAGATGAGCCACTTGAAAGCCTTAAACCGGTCGTCCGGTGGGAGATCGGGTCATCGCCAGCAAACAATATCACTGAAAGCACGTATGAGGTAGGACTTCAGGAGTCGCGGGGAGCTCTGCGATGGGTAATTGGCAGAAGTCCGTTGTTGTAAGCACCATACCCAAGCCCGAGCTGGTAATATTAGGACTTATTTCTTGTCTCTGAAACTAACCAAGATTGCTATCTCCCAGCTTGAACTTCTCTGATCCAACTCTGCTTTCATTGAATAATAAAACTTTCAACCGTGACTATGACATATATGAATATGACTACGACAATAAATGAGGTAAGTTTTGAAGAGCATTCATCATTTCATAAAATTCATTCCAAAAAGATGATCAAGGAAATCTCTTACACGGTAAAAAGTCTATCTAATAGTTACCGGGAATGGGTCATTGATACAACCTGTGCCTGGTCTGGACAACTCTACTCGTATAGTTCCTACAGTTGCCCACCCCATTCACATGCATGGCCATGACTTTGCGATCCTAGGACGTGGAGATGAGCCATATAATGAGATGACGGATCCACTCACTTTTAACTATCATAATCCCCCGCGACGGGATGTCGCCTTGCTTCCAGCGAATGGTTGGTTGGCTCTTGTTTTCCGCAGTGATAACCCAGGTTCGTGGTTAGTCCATTATCATATTGAGTGGCATGCAAGCAGCGGTCTGGCGCTACAGCTTTTAGAGCGACGACCGGAAATGGGCCATATACTTGGAGAGAAGAGAACTAGCGAAATTGAGAGAACCTGTCATCGCTGGAATGAGTGGTTGAAGAATGGCGAGATAATTGACCAGGAAGATAGTGGTAAGTTTGTAGTGTTATTTGAGTTTGTGGCTAATCGGCATATTCATTCTTGCGTTGAGTGCTAAGAGGTCTAACCATAGGTATATGATAGTATGTGGGTTCCTCGCCTTCAAGTATATTGTTATGGGGCATCTGGGACGATGTTTAAGTCGACTCTGGCAGTTGAGTACATGATTTTGCGGGTATGATGTCCTAGATCACGCTGTGTCAAGGGACAAGCAATTTTGAAAGGATTACGAGTTGTTATGTTGCCTCAATATCTTAAAATATCATCGCAAGTTATTTTGAAGGACACTGGCTGCCCTGTGCCTCTAATAGTATTATTTTTGTTTCCTTGCCGAAGGGAAGAATTGTTTCAGTGACGAAATTTCGGTCCTAATCAATCAGCTGTACAGCACGTACATGGTGGCCATATATATAAAATGACTCTGATTATCAATCTCTAACACTCCTTCACGACTGTCTTCCTCACGTCTATGTTTCTTCGGTTGTCATAATGCACTCCGAAAAAGAATCGCCAATGAGTGGATTGGTATAATCTACTCGAATAACCATTGCACTATGTTAATACTAAATGTTGCCTTCTGTGAATGATAGGTGTAATTTCAGTAAATACCACTATGCAATTTCGCTTTGTTTTATTTACATACATTTATTTCAAACCATGGTAATATTCCATAACAAGCATATACTCACATGGCGAAAAGTGGTTTGATAATGGCGCCATTCCTTCATAAATTCCGCATTTGATTTGGGTATCTTTTTGACGCTGAATTTGAGATAACCGTGTGTATTTCAACCAGGTTTGGGGTAAGCCTTTATCTTCTTTAGGAAAGTGTAGACTGAAATCATACACGTGCTTGACAATGGTTACTGGAGGCGAATCGATTGGTTTCTTACGTCTGTCAGTTATTCCAGGATCGTTTCCCCTTTGTTGAGGTGATTCCGATGGCGACAACAAACAGTCCTCTTCTAACTCTATGACAACAGTCGCTATATTAGCTGCAGCCGCACAGACATACATACCTTGCACAGGTGGTGACTGGTACAAATATTCAAGTGCTTTGCGGCGTAGCGTGGGATTCCTACACTTAATGGCAGTTATGAATAGGGGCAGCCCAATTCCCATCTCAAAAGTAAAAGGAGGTTGCTTGTTTGGGCCGGCCAGCGCAATAGATGCATGTGCAATCATATCTTCAAATAAATGGTCATAAGTGTCATAAACAGCCTCGCTAGCATCAAGTCTTGTTTTTGTCAAGATAGAAGCAGTCAACCAAGTCATCAAAAGGGTGGCGATAATCCCAGCGTATTGAGTTGTTGTTGGTGCTTGCCCTGCTCCGACACTAGTTTTGTTCGACAAGTAGTTTTGAACTTGAGGGAAAGTATTGAAATTTCTACGCCATGTGTTTAGACGCAACTCAAGGCGCTGCTGACGTGCTGCAAAAGACGTTGTGGTATTCATATTGTCAAGCGCGTGAATGCTAGGCTGTTGATCCCCACTAGCTGCCCTCGAATTTAATTTATGACTGTAATCGCGATCGAAGACTCTAATTTCCCACATGATGGCATAAAGAATCCTTTTCGCCTCTGGTATAGTTGAGAATGCGATGGCCACATCCGCAAAACTAGCGACACGTGGAGCAAGAGAACCGCATTTGGTAAGCAGGGACGAAGTACCCATTCTCAAAATAACAGGCGCAACATTTGTAACTGTTGCTGTTGCTATTGCCTTCGACCCCGCTACGGACATTATATATGTTACTAATTGAACGCCCTGCTGATAGAGTCTCAATGCTGCCGATATGTTGCCTTGTAGGACCTCAATGATTATGAAAAGAGTGCAACTAATCAATGAAACGTCAAGATCTGCCGAGCCCCGTTCAATATTCGCTTGCAATGTGGCTAGAGATCTTAGATACCAACTTAAGGCTTGCTCATTAATGTAATTTCTTGGGCCAAGTTTGGTGCGGCTGCTCTCCATTGTGTGCTTATGCTCATATAAGGCGCTCAGAGATATAACGGCATCCCATATCAAGGGTTGAGAACGACAAATCTGAAGTACTGTGCCTCCCCAGAAGCCGAAGTCAGCCATGCCTGACAGGGATGGCGAAACGAAATGGAAGTAAAAATGAAAAGCTCGTCTTTCAAGCTGACTTGCAGGAAGTAGGTTATGGGGTGGCCGATATGTTGTGAGAAGAGGTAATTCAGAGCTTGCAATATATGGAGAACGTGCAGCTCTTTGGTATTCACATAGTCGACCAGTGCTTGTGCAACGAAGACACTTGGGTCTCTCTTCAGAGCACTTGATATGGCGAATCCTGGTGTCAACATCGTGTTAGGGGGAAGAACAAACAGGCAAATCAAACGTTCACTTACTTGCAGGTAATACACCCAGATTTTGTTTTAAACTTCCCAATCTGACTGTAGCTTCTATACATATCTGCTATTTTAAAGTGATGGGACCATCTGACATATGTAAAGGAGTTTTTAATCGGCATGAATCCCTGCATACAAATGACACGACTTGCGCTTACTCTGGCTTACTAAGCCCGTGCGTCCCCTCGCAACCGCCTTCAGAAATTGATCAGGCCAAACAACCTGAGCCCTCTCCTTATCTTCATTGATAATCTATTTTTTAGGTCTTACTTTTAGAGAAATCCTATACGTGGTCATGGTACCGAGATTAGGGGTTTATTGCCATGTAGGTGGTTGAATGAGCCCCAAAAAATGACAATTGAAACAATAGCCGATTAAACATGCAGAATTTGGCCCCGTCGCCCAATCCTATTGAAGATTAAACAGCGATGACCACAATCCGACCAATTACGTCCTGTAAATTCACGCTCTCTCTGACATATACACCTAGAGGATAACAAACTAGGTTTCTGGTGCCGTGTATTCCTAATTCGATGCATAATATCTAATTAATATGTAAGAGTGACTAGTTGGGAGCTGATGGATAGTGAAGTCGCTATTCCATACATTCTGGATATTCTTATGAAAGAGATCGACAGGTCTCAGGTCAAGAAAACAAGTCAAATGCATCTAGGAGTATGAAACTTGATGGAGGCAGCGGCTTTGGGATGGTTGTTTTTTGTGCCAAAAAGAAACAGCGGGAAGACATGGAAAGTGCGCAGTCAAGCATGTATTGTAAAAAAGATGAAAGGAAGCCAATGTTTCGAGTCGGGAAGACAAGAAAAGATTTGTGCTCCATTTACGTGGGTTTTTTCAGCTTACGCCTCGATATATTTTTATAAAAATGACAGGCACGGTACACATACCTAAAGCTTTATTATTTTGTTGTGCCGGATCACGCCCCGGCAATGTCCCGGGCGTTCACCCCAGTCGCTGGACGGTAAGTTGATCTAATAAGGGTTTTCAATATTCTTTATGCTACCATAACAATAAAGGCCCGGTGGGAAACAAACTCTATATGTCTCTTCTATATAGCTATTTGTTGTCGAAAAGACTTTGATTTGTTCATCGGAAGTTCATTATGATGTCATTCTCTAGTTTGGTATTATATATTATTGTATATACGAGGTACTATTGGTGTGATATGAAGATTTCCATTGTTGGCACACAGCCATCGTTTCTACTGTGATTCTTGAGGAATTTCCTAATGTCAGATTTACTATCCAACTTTTCGAGCAGGACCATCTATTGTAGACGTGTTATCTATGCAAGAGAAATATTCTCACATGCAATGGTTGTTTATATTTTAAGGGGAAAGTAACGATTGGTTTACTTGACGTATATAAACAGATGAAATTTCCATACAAGAATTAATCAAAAGAGATGAACGGGCGATAGATACATCTAGCATGTTGTTTTTGCTTTTGCAAAGGACAACTTTTAGCTGGATCTTCATGTGTGAAAACACAAATTGATAGCATGCTTAGTATTGAGGTTCCCAATTAGGCTGGCTCAGTTGATGCGGAAATTACCTATATTTCAAAATGGGGGATGCCCTGGGAACTTGCCGGGTAACCCTACGCACATGAGTTGCGGAGTAATCTGGGGAACATCCCCCACGCTGCCAAGGTCAATGCAGTACATTCAGTTTTGAATATTTATGAAAGCCTGGGAGCGAGGATATAGAACGTTTAGATACTGGTCAATATATTCGCAACTTAGGAATCCTGTCTCAACAAGAATTCGTTTTGACATGCACATCAATTGCTGCAGCCTTCGTCATTAAGCCACAAAAATTAAAGCACAATGGGCGGCCGCAGTCCAATGAACATATTGAAACTCCGATGGGGCGACGAGCCCAGGGAGGTTTTAAACTGGAGGCTCTGGCTTGCGGTGTTTTCTTTTGGGATCATGGGTGCAGCAAGAGGTGTCGATGAAGGCCTAATCAGTGGAACAATAGACTCTGCTGATTTTAGGAATCTTCTCAATTTGCCAGACACAAGTACCTCTGCGTATGCTAATATCAAAGCCACAATTGCAGCAATGGTATCTTTGGGTAGCGTGGCAGGCGCGGCAATGTAAGTCCGAAGCTGACCCTGGAAGTCTACCATACGGAGCGCTGACTATATCTAAAGGGCATTCCTCCTTTGCGACCGCATTGGCCGTCTTTGGGCGACCCGTCAGTTGTGTGTTCTTTGGGTTGTTGGGATTATCATTTTCATGTGTAACGACGGTAATCTAGGCATGGTTTACGCAGGCAGATTTATCGCGGGCCTTGGCATAGGCCAGGCTTCAGTCGTTGCACCTATTTATCTCTCAGAGATATCGCCGAAATCGATTCGAGGACTTTGCACAATGACATTCGCTGGAGCCGTGTATATAGGTATCATGCTGGCATACTTTGCAAGTTGGGGGGCCAGTTTACATATTCCTGATAACACCTCGGGACGTTGGGTATATCCATCATTAATAGCCATCAATAGGGAACTAGACAAGGCTGATATTCTCCATAGTTGGTACCAACGAGTCTACATCTCATTTTCGCCGCGATAATAGCCGTTCTATCATTTTTCAATTATGAATCTCCTCGCTACCTAATCAAGCGTGGTAAAGATAGGCAGGCTACAGCTAATCTTGCACGTATTCGTAACTTGCCTCCCACCCACGAAACGATCGTTAGGGAGCTTTGCGAGATTCAACTTCAATTGGAGGAAGAAAAAGCGGCGGTTTCGGGACATGGTTGGATAAGCATTTTGCGAGAGATGTTTTGCAATTCATCTAGCTTGTATCGTATCTATCTCGGCTTCACTATACAACTTCTCACACAGTGGTGTGGTGCACAATCCATCACTGTGTATGCCCCAGACTTTTTCCTTTTGGCCGGGGTGAGCGGACAGAACGAGAAATTATTTGCTACGTGTATTCTGGGTGTTGTAAAATTTGTTGGGGCGCTTCTCTGCGCGTTCTACTTAGTTGATGTTATTGGCCGGAAAAGATCATTAGGCATCGGGATCGCCATCCAAACAATCTCAATGGTGTATATTGCGATCTTTCTCAGCATTGTTGGCACTCCCAATCCTGACTCTTTCACCAAGTCTCAGAAGTCGGCAAGCATCGGTGCTATTTTCATGATCTATTTATGTAGCTTTGGTTGGGCGATGGGCTGGAACGGAATTCAGTATCTCATCAACGCAGAAATTTACCCACTGAGAATTCGAGCGGCGTCGTCTTCGTTGATCATGATGCTGCATTTCGCCAACCAGTACGGTGCCAACCGCGCAGTGCCTGACATGCTACTGTCAGTATCCAAAGGGGGGATGGGGCCCGCTGGTTCATTTTGGTTTTTCGTTGGCCTGACCAGCTTCAGCGCACTGTGGGCATGGTTTTCCATCCCGGAGACATCGGGACTCACCTTAGAAGGTGTTGATCGCCTGTTTACACTGCCATGGTATAAGATTGGCCGCTATGGGGCGACTGAGGCAAGGGCCCTGCAACATGCGCATGACGAAAGGATCAACGAGATGGCCACAAAGAGAGATGCGGTTGAAGTGGAGGCTGTGTGAGAACTTGGGCAGTTCCGTGCTGGAAACGATTAAGTCATTTGCAGGAGATAGTCTTGGATTTCGAGTCGTTCTCAATCGGATGTCTGATGGGGAAGTGGTTAACAGCTCTGTGCATCAATGGAACCAGTCACAACGGTAAAACAAATCATATATCATATGACCATTCCTATCATCGAAAACAAGTAGCCTGCGTAGCATGTATTATTTATTTGCCAAGCATGCGATGCTTCCCCGCATGGAACAAAGAACCGAAGTCCTCCTTGTTCCAAGCGTCCCGTCGCGTGACCTGATTGGCGACAATCCAGCCCAGCAAGCCAACGAGTGGACGCCTCGATCAATTATGGCGAATGGCGTGATCTTGCCTCGTGGCAACTTCTGGAGCAGCACCCCACACCAAGTTTGACCAGGCGTACTAGCACGCTCTTTGCAAGCGAGTAGCGCAGGCATTGGGCTGAGGCGACCCGCACCCGGAGAGCCAGGCCAATAGGAAAGCCCGGGATCCAGGTCCTGTCCGGGAATAGCCAGTCAGACGCAAGGCATCGACAGGCCACCAAGGAATACCTCGTTAGCGATGAGCTTGTCGCTCACTGGCCATCTCCATGCCAGGTCATGTGATCAGGAAAGGACTGGCTTTCTCTAATCCAACGCGTCACGTTGTCCGCCAGATCAATGTTAATGGGAAGTGTACAGTCAACTTCCTTGTTGTACCAGTAGCTGCACGTCTTTAGGTCCCAACGTATAATGTCTACACGGCAGAGGAAAAGGCGGGTTCGCCGTCAACCACAGTCGCCTAATGACTCGTTATTGCTCGACTCAACATTACCCAACCAGCAACAACGGCGGGCGCATCGCAACACCCTCACATGTACCAATTGCCGCGTTCGAAAGGTGAGGCATGAAATCCCAGTTGTCATTATAGTGACGAGGCTAACATGACCAAGACAAAATGTGACGGAACCCAACCAGGGTGCAAAACCTGTGAAGTTTATCATGATACCTGCCGATATGAAAAGGTCCCACCTATGTCTCAAATAATCTCCATGTCCAGAAAACTGCAAGAGTATGAGCGGCAACTCGAGGCGATGAGAGAAAATATACCTGGACCCATGTTGGGATTAGATAATAATGGACAACCCGTTAACATCGCTGCTACTTCCGATACGACCTCTGAACATGGTCTGAACCCTGGTCATGACAAAGCTGATCAAGAGCAAAACAATAAGCCCGGGCAAATGCTCAGGTTATCCACGTCCTTGATCTCTGACTTGAGTGTTGACGAGAATGGAAAGGTTAGTTATCTCTCTCGGCACGTTGCATGCGAATGATTGACATAGAATTGAGTTGTGTTACTATGGCCCAACTTCAGCCGTGCACGACCCCCTTAATTTACCAAGCCATAGCACAATAAGTAGTGAATTTTCCAATCCTATATCGGACTCAGCTCTGCGAACCACCCTGGTTTCGGATGCTTTAGAATCAAGATCCTGGGAGGATTTCGCGGTAGGAAATGCAGCACTTGGCAACGATATCCCAAAAGAGACGATTTCGAAACTTCTACAGCTTCACTGGTCATGGATTGCCCCAATGTTCATGTGGGTCTATAGGCCGGCATTCATGCGTAAGCAATCTTCGTTCAGCTCATACGCCGTCATTCGATCATTATCATACTCATAAAATGCCCAGGTGATATGTTGACGGGTGGCCAATACTTCTCTCAACTACTGCTACTCATCATATGCGCCCATTCATCTCGATTTCAAGGGACCTCTATCGGGGAAATTCTCATATACCGCGCACGGCTTCTGCTTGGAAAAGAGATACAGAAACCCAGCTCTATACCAACTGTCCAGGCATTACTTCAGCTAAGCGCGCGCGATCTTGCATTTGGTTCGATCTCACAGGCTTGGCTTTATAGCGGCATGGCGTTCAGAATGGTCAGTGACCTAGGATTGCACCACTATTCCGGTCGGGTAGTCCAGCTAGGCCATCTTACGGCAGAGGATCTCGAGATTCGGCGACGGCTATTTTGGTCTTGTTACTTCTGGGATAAGTATGAATGCATCGTAAATGCATAAAGAAGAAATTGGTCGCTCATATCACAATGAACAGGGCTATAAGTCTCTATCTTGGCCGAATGCCGGCGCTCAGTGAACTCCCGTCTGATCATCAACCCATCTTTTGTGAGTGTAGATCTTCTATGTCAGCCGCTAATGACATGCATTAACTTGAGTGGCTAGTCGATGATTCTACAGCGGACGAGATTTGGGCGCCGTATTACTGCGACGCTTCGAATACCACAGCAATTTCACCTGAAGTGTACCCACCTATGAAGTCATACTCTGTATCGTGCTTCGGGAATTCTTGCAAGCTTGCTATCATCATAAATCAGATTATACTTCAACTATACTCCCGAAATACAGTTTGTGTTTCCGATTCCACACTGCGTGACATACGTGAGCAGTTAGACAATTGGAGAACTCAGTCTCCCGAATACCTAACTTACGACCCAGACAACTTGTCTGGCATATGTTGTCCACCACATATTCTCACTCAAAAGTACAAATACCTCTATTTTCTTCCTTTGCTAAGCTAGCTAGGCTAACAACTACAGCCTACTATACTATACGACAGTGATATTACTCCACAGACCATTCTACTCGTCACCCATTCACCACTCTGCTTGCCGTCATGCCGCAGCGAGCATTGAAAAACTCTTGATCTTCCTCGAACGAACATTCGGGTTCACACAAATTACGTATCTGATGGCATACTGTGTGTATACTGCAGCCTCAGCCATTATCCAGGACGTCAAAGAGGGCGACGCTAATGCCAGTGAGAAAATGAACACATTTTTGCGAGCACTAAAGGGGGGCCTCACAACATGTCCCATTGTACAACGAAGTATCGACATAATCAACAGTGGGCTCGCTCACCGGCCATTAAATGATGCTGCAACCGCCAGCTCATCGCAGTTCACCGTGGGTGATAACAATTTCAGTACAGGCTATCTCCCAGCTTTTCCACACCATAATTTACAAGCCAACTCAATGGTATTTGATAACGTGGGAGTAATGGATTCCGATTCGGTGTGGTTACTCAACTGTTTCCCAGAGAACCACATAGACTTGGGCAATAGCGAATGGTTCGTACCTAGTTAGAGAAAATATACTATATAATTGTATTCAAATTCTACAAAAGTCATCGATAAGTTTGATATATCGAGACATTATCTTCACAGAGACTACCGGCATACGTGGACGAAGACAATTTCGATATTTGTAATATAAAGTGCCAACCACAAATGAACAGATGATTATGAGAATAAATTGTATGGAGTTTGGATAAATTAGATAAACTAACTGTCGATCACATGGTTGAGTTGGGGAAGGAGTTGAGGGGTGAAAACATTGGCATATACATCAAAGCATTTCCAATACACGTGACCGAGGGGGCGTCTTAAGCATCTCACTATGCTGTCAGATTATTGGGGTTTGTTTTTCCCCTGTACTCAGTGTTTATTATTATTATTATTCTTATAGTTTGGTCAAGATTTCAATGTTAGCAAGTCTATCACTGTGTAAACACCCAATACATTTAAGCAGTTGACCCATCAGTTGGCGAGTCACATGACGTTCAATATGTATAAATGGGCCTACAATAAACCTTAATGCTTGAATACACTGCGTTGATTGACTACGAAAAAGGCAATGCAAGCATCAACTGTCTTATTAGCGAGGCTAGAGATCAAGTGCATCATTAGTACTTGATTGTGACCACTACATCATTGATATGTAGCAGTCTATGCCTTCACATTACTGAAAGACAAAGTTCTAGATAGTTGGAGGACTCCAAGCTCGGCAGTGCAGCAGCCGGGAGGCTATTCGGTATTCCGCTCCCCCGTTATCAAGAGCTCCCGAATTATCACGGAGATGTGCAAGGCTAGCCGAATGCGCGATCGGAAGGGTGCTTCGAAAATGACAAATATTACCAATAATCGTGTTCAAACGTGCCAGAGAGCCGAGAAAGAAATTACGATTCAAATCGGCTGTAAGCGTGGACGCTCAACAGTAAATATGAATACTTACCCACGGATAAGCGCTTCTCCGGCCTGGGCGTTACATAAGCGCGCAATGCGTGACTGGCAACGCACAGGCTTGTTGCCTGAGGCTTGGCGCCGCTCGGCAGTTGAAGCAGACACTGCCAGAGAACCGCAAGATGGAACTAACTATCAACTGATCTCACAACATCGGCATGTGGCTGCGGTATTATTTCCGTTTGCACGGATGGGCAGCCGACAGATTTGCCGTCAACATCACGTCTAGGAACCTGACTTGACAATGCTATTTAAGGCAGCTGTCTTCCTCACCCCAGACTTCCCCACAACCAAGCATCTTTGCCTGCGCACACTCACTCTCATACCCGCCCACGATGTCTTCCACTCGTCAATTCGATCCGGACTTCACTCCTTATGTCGTCAACGCTATGGGTCCTAAAACGCCGGAGCGTGCGCGCGTGGTTCTCGGCTCTTTGATCAAGCACATTCACGAGTTTGCTCGAGAGGTCGAGCTCACCCCAGCCGAGTGGATGCTTGGCGTCGAGTTCATCAACTCCATTGGCCAGATAAGCACCCCGATACGCAACGAGTGCCATCGTATCTGTGACGTGATTGGCCTCGAATCGTAAGTTGGATAGCATATGATTGAACGTAAAGCAGCGGCTGAGCAATTGAACCAGCCTGGTTGACGAAATCGCCAACAAAATCGTCACTGAACAGGGAATATCCCCTACCTCCAACGTCATTCTAGGCCCATTCTGGTCACCTAACGCTCCGTTCCGCAACCTAGGCGACAGTATTATTCAAAACCCGAACCCTAACGGCAAGGTCACCTATATGCATGGTGTTCTTAAAGATATGGAAACTGGTGAGCCCATCGTCGGTGCTGTCCTTGATATTTGGCAAGCCTCTGCCAACGGCAAATACGACTTCCAAGACCCAGACCAAACCGAAAACAATCTGCGTGGAAAGTTCACGTCGAATGAGAAAGGGGAATTCTTCTGGTATTGCTACCACCCTACGCCCTACTCGTTACCCACCGATGGCCCAGCGGGCGTGCTTCTCAATTTAATGGACCGCTCCCCAATGCGACCTGCTCATATACATCTCATGATCACCCACCCTAAATACGCCACAGTCATCAACCAGATTTATCCTAACAACGACCCGCACCTTGATATCGACTCTGTTTTTGCTGTGAAGGATGACCTTGTTGTTGAATTCAAACCAAAGACCGATGACCCCAAAGCACAGCTTGATCTTGAATATAACGTACAAATGGCTCTTAAAAAACATCATCCCAATCCATATTCTGCACCCCCCGTTTCTTCATTTGAGCGTCACAATAAGGCTACTCAAAAGCTTTGACGAGGCTGCGTTCAAGGGTGACATGGAGAGCTTTTATGTATATAGTTACTGATTTTTTTGGTTATAAAGAATATTGTCAATCTACGTGCAGATTGGCGAGCGATGAATGAACGAAATTATTATAAGCGATAATTTTTCCCGTGTCCGCTCCAAAGAATGATGCAGGTGTTGCTTGATGTTCAATGTTCTTTTTTTGGACGTACGTACAATGTGAAAAGGGGGACTTGATACCCATCTCTTGGCGACGTTTTTTCGTCGTACGTATACTACCATATATATATCTGCAAAAGGGTTATCATCCAATTCCATGAGAATACTTGAATAAAAATTGAGCTTGTAAGCAAAGTTCCTAATAGGATATAAAATCTTTTATTTGTTTTATTTATAAAAAATTTTTTATTAAACATTAATAAATTAACCAAATTTTGTTCGTTTATTTATTTCTCGTATATATATAAATAAATTATAAAATAAAATAATGTACCAGCTGGCGTTCTGGGTGGTAACATGCTGGTGAAATTTCACCAAAGATGGGTAGTAATACCTTGCGACACGACAAGGGATTGATGGTTTAGGGCTTGGAATGAAAAAAGGGAGCGAAAAGCATTGACAAACAACATGCGTAGGTCGGAACCTTCTACATACTCGCGAACTTCCTGCGTTTGATTCTGATCGTCGCATTCGCTGGGGGAAATTGGACAGGCCCCAAGAACTTCGTCTCTGGGCGTATTGGTTGGTATTCCACGTCATAGTTCAGTAGTAAATGGGACAGCATCAGCTTGAATATGGCTGATGCGAAGAACCGCCCGACGCAGGCATGTTTACCATGCCCAAACGCATGGAATGTAGCGTCTGTAGTTACAAATGCTTTAACATCTGTTTGATCCGTTATTGGTTGTCCATCCATATCTGGTGAGCCTTTGGAGAAACGATATGGATCGAACTTTTCTGGATCATGGTAGAACACCACGTCATTATGGATACCTAGAGTTGGAGCTGCAATAAGGCTTCCATATGGGCAATGTGTTCCATTAGGCGCGATGACTCCACCGGGAACCTTGACCTTTCGTACGATGCCAATGCCTTGGAAGAAATTAAGTCTAGAGGATTCACGAAGCAGAGAATCCATCCTCGGAAGTTGTGCTAGGCCCTTTTTACTCCAGACACCATTTTCGCTTGCTAAAATTGGTACAAGCTCTTCACGAAGAGTTGCAATAAGTTCATATTGTGGCGCGGCAGAAGCCAAATCAAGAAGGATATTCGAAATTGCCAAGGTCGAAGTATGCATAGCAGCGAAGTTGACAGCAAGTAAACGCCCAGCAATAACTTCTAGAGACGTCTCTTTGTCAGATTTAGACGATATCGCAGCGCGAAGTGTCCACTGCAGGTAATCGTTCTGCTCAGTGCTACCGCTGTCCTCAATATAAGAGCAATTCATCGTCGCTGCCTTGCGACGAACAATTTCAGGACGGAGAACATTGATAAACGCGTTGATGTTTCTTCTGTTTGGTATAGTTATGATGGTGGCCACAACTGGGCGGATCAGAGCGGGGAAAAGTCGTAAAAGATATGAGGTTATGACAACATCTCGAGAAAATTGTGTGGCAGTTCTGAGAAGAGCTGGATTACTACCTGCGACAATTAGTTTTTATCTTTAGAAATCGAATTATCTGGTTGAGGACAACGTACACAGGGACTTTCCAACAAAAACTCTATTTGAGGTTCTGGCAACAATAGTCTGCATGCTGCTCATAACCTCGACTTCCCTCCAATCCTCTGTGTTGCTACCCCAAACTTCTTCAAAGCTTGTAACTATTTCATCCATCATATCCGGTATCTTCAAGGCCATCTGGCGATTTAAATCTTGTCGTATAGTCATCGACTGTATTGGGTTTTGTAGAATACATGGATCAGGAAAAGTATAGTCGCTCTGGAGGCCTTCCAGATGCGGCTCATAGGCTGAGAGAATATCTTCGGCCTGTCTTGCAATCCATTCGGTGCAATTTGGGGGAAGGACGATGCTAGTGCTGTCTAATGTGCCTACAATGCACGGTTCTCCATTTTTCGAATACTGTGTTTGTCAGTGATTCATTATCTCAAAGTCATGGCTTACAGCCTGCCACTTACTTGTGTATATGCGTGCATCAGAGTGGAACGGAAATTGCGTAGAGTTCGAAAACGTGCCCGGAGATATGGGAAAAAGATGTCATTATTTCTTTTGTTAAGCCAAACAATTTGAGAGGGATAGGATATCCGTGATTCGTACACTCGAATCGCAACATATGCTAGAACAAAGAAAACAGATAGTAGTACTGTGTATATTGGGAACAGGAAAGGCATATTCAGGGCATAGGACTTAAGCAGCGGATTGTAAGGTTGGCGAGGAGTATGAGAGAGAAAGATGTGAGAAGGTACCGATCGATATTTTTAAAGGTAGTTGAGATATCCATTTCCTATGATTACACGTATAGAGCCAATTCCAAAGGCGGTCGTTTGAAATTGTTTTACCACAAGCCTGTAATTCTGCAAGGTGCTTCGGAGCTTTAATGAAAGAAATGTGCTGGATTAATTAAAATCGGAACGAATATATTCTTTCATGAACTATGTTCGCCGTTGCGCCTAAAACATACTAGATACATGCAGGTTTAAAACTTGAAAACCAATTGAAACTACTTACCTACCCATTGATACTCTGGGAGGGCATTAAATTGAAAATAGCGCTAGATATTAGCAAGCGCGACTTATAACACTATGCTATATTTAAGAAGGTTATATAATTGCCTTACCGAATACAGGAATGTTACTTCCTTTTATAGGAATAGCCTTAGACTAATTCTTACTACCCTTTAGTGCTATTCAAATTAATGTCTCGGTGGTGTAGTTAGCTACTATTTCCGTAGGAAGGTTTACCTTTCAATTCCTGAACCCTTTCTTTAATTATCTACCATTAAGATCTACAGGAGGTGCGGTTTAGTCGGGAATCACCTCCAAGACTTTGTCGTGACCCCCACACTCATCGACTTCCTATCCTCGAGCTGGAATGATTCTTTATCTTAACAGTGTAAAGCTTAATTTGAAAATTTATATTTAGAACACGAAATACTGTAATACGCCGAGTCGATGCTGGGGTACAACAAAGAAAAGAGTTCGACAGATATCAAGTTTTTTGAGAGTGCGTATATATTTCCCTTCAATTAAGAAACGATGGTTTCTAGAGCCAGTGGGATCAGCATCTGAAGACAAAATTGATCTGTGATATGGACTGATTTACGAATTCTTTTGGTCGAAGAAGTAATTTGTTGTCGCTCACCGCAGAGCAGTCGTACCCTGACCACGAGAGATCGCACTTCCAGATATCCTGATATTGCGCAGCTGCTCTTTGACGCAATTCAATCAGTGCATTCAGAGAGCTGTGAAGAACATCCAAAAATGCCACTACAAAAACGGACCGAGGACTTGAAACTGAATGCGAACCAATCTTTGGCAAGGGCTATCAACTGGTCGTTCGATCAGCAACACAGCGATGGTCACTGGGTGGCCGAGTGCCATTCTAATGCGACTATTACTGCTCAATATATTTTCCTACGTCAGGCATTCGATATTGATCATGAAGAAGCGGATTCCTTCAAGGTCTGGATATTCTCCCAGCAAAAGCCAGATGGAAGTTGGGGTCTTGCAACAAACTATCGAGGCGATGTCTCAACTACCACGGAATCTTACTTGGCACTGAAGATACTTGGCGTTTCAGGAGATGAGCCACGGATGGTAAACGCTAGGAGATTTGTGTTGAACCACGGGGGATGCGAAAAAGTTCGATTTTTCACACGCTTCTTTCTTGCATCCTTTGGCTTGTTTCCATGGAATTCTGTACCACAGCTTCCTGCAGAGTTTATATTAGCTCCTTCATGGTTTCCCATCAATATACAAAGTCTGTCATACTGGGCGAGAGCTACGCTCATTCCAATGTTATGTCTCAGATACCACGAGCCCGTATATGCACTACCGAACGGCCTGAGTCGAGACAACAATTTCCTTGATGAACTCTGGTGTGATCCAGCTAACAAGAACGTTCCATACGCACCTTCCTTATTGAGCATATTAAAAAGGCGTGAATGGGTACAAGCTGGCTTTACTCTATTGGACCATATAATTGCACGGACAAACCTCGCCAAGAACAGTCCGCTAAACAAATATGCTAGAACTCAATGTGTCGAGTGGATACTTCGGCATTTCGAGCAGAATGGACATATAGGTGGCGTGTGGCCGCCAATGCATACTGCAACCTGGGCTTTATTAGAAGAAGGATATGACATGAAGCATCATATAATTAGTAGGAGTTTTACCGCGATGGAGGATTTCTGTATCTCAGATCAAAATGGAAAGCGTGTTCAGCCGACAACTTCACCAGTCTGGGATACGGTGCTCATGCAATTCGGGCTTTGCGAAATCGAGATGCTCAAACATGATTCACGACTTTGCAAGGCTCATGATTGGATCTTGAAAATGCAGTCACCAGCAAACACACTATCAGGCGACTGGAGAATATTCAAACCCAAGCTGTGTAGCGGTGGCTGGTCTTTCCAGTATCATAACTCATGGTTTCCTGATATTGACGATACAGCAGTAGCCGTAATGGCACTAATCAAATATGACGTCCATATTGTTAAATCAGATTCCATTGTAAGAGCCATTACTTGGATGTTAGGTATGTACACTGGGGTGGGGGATCCCTTTGGAGTAGCTAACTAATATATGATCAGGAATGCAAAATCCAGATGGTGGTTGGGGCGCATTTGATTGGAATAACAACAAAATGTACCTCAATAAAATCCCATTCAACGATATGAACGCTCTTTGTGATCCCAGCACAGCAGACATTACCGGGCGTTTGCTTGAGTGTTTCGGTGTGATTCTTAGCAGTCCGAAGGTCGAATTGATTCCTACCTCATTGATCCAAAAAATCGATGTAGCGACTAACAAAGCAATTGAATTCGTCCTGAAGTCACAAGAGTTGAACGGCTCCTGGTGGGGACGATGGGGGTGTAACTACATCTATGGAAGCAGTAATGTCATGCGTGGAATATCTCATCTTGTGCATAATAATTATCAACTGCAGCTAGCTGCATCAAAGTGTATCAGCTGGCTCAGAAACTGTCAGAACACATGCGGTGGCTGGGGCGAGGGCTATGAGTCGTACGATAACCCTGAACTCGCCGGAAAAGGAATCACCACAGCATCACAAACCGCATGGGCTATTTTAGCCATGCTCCCTTATTGCCCTCCTACTGATACTACTATTAGAAAAGGGATAGAATTTCTCATATCGTCACAAACTGACTTTTCTGACCATGGGATGTCATGGCCAGTGCACGCAATGACTGGAACTGGTTTTCCTGGTACCTTCTACGTAGGATATCCGCTTTATGAACATTACTTCCCACTCATGGCCTTAGCCAAATTCGTGCAGGCGCCTGATCCAGCAGTGCCTATCATGCTTCAAAAGTGTCTTCCATCACCGACTGTTGAGCTGCTGAATCAACCTGATATTGTCCTGATGACTATTGGTAGTCATGGCGACATTACGGCATCCTTGGAAGTAGCTAAATCCCTGCAACGACTATTCAAATGCCGTATACGATTTGCAGCGTCCCCAATGTTTGAAGATATAGTGAAACAACAGCTCAGCAAAGCAGACTTTTATTCTGTTGGTGGTGATCCAATGCTAATGGTTAAATACCCGGCAGAAAACAAAAATACCGTTCCGTCTATCAAAGCCTATCGACAGGGTGCATGGGGACGAATTAAAAAAATGCAACAAGAAATGATGGACGGTTTCTGGTCCTCATCCACCGATACAGGTAACACTTCTGCTATGTCAAATTGTATCAGACCGTTTTTAGCCGATGCTATCATGGCAAATGCGAGTGTGCACGTCCACGTTCATTGCGCCGAGCTTTTGAAATTGCCCCTTGTGCTTATATCCTTGCAGCCACGCTGGCTAACATCTGAGATACTGCATTTTATGGCCTATTCTCACCCACTCATCAATCAATGGAAATGGTGGAAGTACGCTTCTCATTTAGTCATCGAAACCTTGTAAGTGATTGGAAATTTCTCATCAGTTTCCCACCATCTTCTTTCACTTGTTGACAGATCATATAGGGTTTGGCTTCTTGTTGGTTCCTTTGTTAATCGCCTCCGATTGCAGAACGGGATGCGACCAACGCCGTGGTTTACTACTCCAGCTCGAATTCTTAATATGGATATTCCCCATCTTGGCTTGTGGTCACCTACCATAATTCCTCGGCCGCTCGACTGCTCTTCAAAAGAAAAGGTTGTAGGGTACGCATTTACCAACAATAAGTCTTCCATAGGGTTAGATTATTTCGTTCCGGAAAAGTCACTTGCAGACTTCCTCAACACAGATCTGCCAGTCATCGCTGTATCTTTTGGATCTCAACCAATTCCAAATCCAACAAATGTGTTCTCCATTATCCGGAACGGGATTAATCGTTATGGAATAAAAGCTGTCATCTGTCAAGGATTTTTCGAGTTTGACGACGATCGGTATAACCCTAACATTTATTTTGGTAACAAAATTCCTCATGAATGGCTTCTTCCTCGCGTTAAAGCTCTCATTCACCACGGAAGTGCCGGGACCACCGCCATGGGCATGAAACTGGCCAAGCCTATGCTTTGTTTTCCGTGTATGCTTGATCAGCATCTGTGGGCTGCCCACGTCTATCGCCTAGGACTAGGACCGGCCCCTCTTAAGCCGGAAAAGTTGACAAGTGAAAATTTTGAAACTTCTCTCGAAAATATTTTGTCAAATAAATACGACACAAAATGTTCCAAAATAGCTCATCAACTTGCTACAGAATACGATGGAGCCTTGATTGCTGCTGAAACCGTTATGAATAGTGTATATAAGGCTCGAGAGAGAATTGGATGCTGTGCCATACTTCCTCAACTTAACGCCATTTGGCAACATAAGAAACTCGGTTTTCCCCTTTCCGGAGTTGCAGCAGCATGTCTTGTTCAACACAATGTTTTGAAATGGTCTGAATTGGAAGTTGCCTCACATAGCCAGATCGATTGGTCTAACGCATGGTCCCATCGGAAAGGAGTTCCCCTTGTCGCTTTTCTCTTTTGTGCAGGACCTCCACTTCTCTGGTACCACTTTGTGTTCAAGGGTATTTGGTCTCTACTCGCCCTTAGTTTTCTATGTTTAGCTATGGTATTGATTCCAGCAACAATGGTTAGACCTGTCCATACTTCCTTGGATCCTGCCTTCGAAGCCAGAGTCAAGCGAAGTGAATACGACTTAAGCCATGTTAGCCAGGTACTGCAAGTGGGTGAGATGCGGCCAGAGCTGTTCAACCTCGATCATACTCTGTCTCTGGGCGACGATATAGTTTGTGCTTGGCGATCCCTTCGAGCCTGGAAGTTTCAAAAACTATTTGTGTAAATGGATACTACATATATACTCAATACTTAGTAGATATATTTCATTATTAGATATATGGAGTGATTGATTGACGTATTAGAACTCTATTATGGATCTCCATCAGGCTCCTTCCAGAGTCGCCAGCGGTCAATTAGAGGGCTACATGTTGCCAAGAGCCCCATCTGAATAACACACACTACAATAACAATTGAGATAATGGATAACGATACATGGGTCGGTAGGCCAAATGGATACATGACAGGGCCGTAGATGTGAGTATATATATCGACAAAGCTATTCCTTTTTGAATTTTATAACCCACTCAGACAGAAAATTAATTTACTCATTGGTCTTAGCAATCCCCCCTAATAGATCCGCTGGCCTATCAGCATATTATTATCTGCGCTGTGGATAAGGAAAGAGGTGTTGACGGGTGACAACATGGGACCCCTTAGGGACTAATGGCCATTGATTGAGAGTATCTGGTGATGAATCGTTCTGGCTTTATAGTGGCTAAATCCTGTATCAACCATCTCATCAAGACTGAAACGAGGAGGGACTAAGGCCAAACGAAATTTTTCGAGAATATCGTCAGGGAGGCTGTTCAAGTGCAGGGCCCATAGATGCCGAGTGTTGTCGAAGTGTCCATTTTTGAATATTCATAGGCACCGGCAATGATAACAGGGGGAAATGGCCAGTCTTTCAGGGTAAATAGACTTTTTCAATTGCTTCACTTTTCACTCATCTGACGGCTTATTTCATTAATTCTCGGCGCGCGCTCGGTTCAACGAACCACCGAGGATCCGCAGGAACCGATAAGCGGGGTACTTCCTTCCGTTCCATACAAGATTACACTTTGACCTCAGCATTAAATTTCTAACACTGATCATATACCCAACGTCAGAATACCGCCGAATATGGACGAGCTAGTCCGGAAGGCCATCCACCAGGCTGACGCCCTAAAGAAACCGCCGCACTCGGTTCCATGGAAAGACGACGAACCATGGCCTCAGCCCTACTATTCTTGGGTCGAAGAAACGGGACAATGGCAGCCAACAACATCACGCAGCGGCCCTCAGACGCATTCTACTAGTATTACCATGGTAGTCTTGTACAGTTGGAATATTGATTTCATGTTGCCATTTCCTGAAACAAGGATGGATACTGCATTAGCCCATCTACAGGAACTCACGACCCATACGCTATCGGATCCAAACGCAGCTATCATACTTAACCTGCAGGAATGCGTTCCGTCTGACCTCGTCACTATCGGCCAGAAACAGTGGATCAGAGAAAATTTCTACATAACCGATATCGATACATCGGCCTGGGCGTCTGGGGCGTACGGCACAACTACACTGATCGATCATCGATTGGATATATCTTCATGTTTCCGCGTTCATTACTCTAAAACTCGTATGGAGCGGGATGCGTTGTTTGTCGACGTCGCACCACCGACTATCTCTAAGGACCACGGCAGGATCCTTAGATTTTGCAACACCCATCTCGAGTCACTAGCTCTCGAGCCACAACTCCGACCGGCCCAAATGAAAGTAATTGCCTCGTATATGCACCCAGACGGCGTCATGGGCGCGGTAGTCACAGGTGACTTCAACGCCATCCAGCCGGCCGACTTATCACTGCACTCAGAGAATAGACTGAAAGACGCCTACCTCGAGCTCGGCGGTCTCGAAAAGAGCGATGAGGGATACACATGGGGACAGCAGGCGCTGAAAGTACTACGAGAACGCTTTGGATGTTCGCGGATGGACAAGGCATACTATTGTGGTGGAGGCTTGAAGTTGTTGGGTTTCGAGAGATTCGGCGCCAATGTAGAGATTCCAGAGAAAGAAAAGGACCAGAGAAATCAACTGCTTTCACTTGGATTTGAGAAGGCCTGGATTACGGACCACCTAGGAATAAAGGTTGCTTTTCACATCTCAAACGACATTCATCTGTGACAAGCGCTTCAAAAACAAAATTATGCGTGCCTTTTTGAAGAAAGAGGAGGGCTCTAGACTACGACTGTGCATAAAAAACAATGCACGTTCCAGGCTGGAGCTACAGCGTGTGCCAGATATCTATTCATGCAGTATACCTTAGGTTGCCTTGCACGTATCTTGCTATTTGCTGGGTTCATATGATTTGTATTCGAATGAACACATTAAATCTAAAAGACGCGTTTCGACTATCATTCTTTATAGAATAAAACATTGAAGGGTGCATACACCGGCACCGGATATAAGTAAGTTCATTGCATCTCAACCTGCCAATTTTTCAGAAAACCATTTGCCAAGGTGCTCGACCGTAGGGTGACTCCAGGTCAGAGTAGGGGGCACTTTGATTTCAGGGTTTGCTGGAACTGACGGCGTAGGCTAACTGTCATGACCGAGTCAACACCTAAGTCGGCAAGAGCTGCTTTCGAATCAACATCGTCGGTGTCGCATTGCAGTACCTAGGCCACAATTCTCTGATTTTGCGATCGAGATATGCCTTTAATTCCGGCCCTGAGGTTGGCCTATCATTGCTACCTTCCGGGTTGGCTGGTGCTCCCTCCACCGCAGCGGTGCGGCGTACCGCGATACCATCCAAGATAGCTACTGGTAGCGGTTCGCCTTCATCGAAAGCTCGGCGAAGAACTACACCATGGTCGATGTCATACTTTGCTAAGTGTAGCCAGGCACCAAATACTTCGTCATGAGTCACGTCTGTGATGCCTCTGTTTTCTAATTCGGCGTGATAAAGTCAGTGCTGGCACCCATACCCATACCCCGCCACAATGTCCACTGGAAAGACACTGCGTTATCACTTTGTTGGCGGCGATTTTGAGCCAACGCATCGAGAAAGGCGTTGCCGCTTCCGTAAGAGCCTTGCCCTGGGAAGCCAAAGAGCTGACCGCAAGAAGAGAACAACACGAAAAAGTCCACAAGAGCCTGAAGGGAAGGCTTCGTGAAGTGCCAACCCCCCCCCTTTAACTTGGAAGCAAACACCCTAGAGAACGCGGACTCGGCGCTCTCCAGTACGAGTTCATTCTCCAACACTCCAGCAGCATGAATCACTCCTCGGACAGGGGAAGGGCTAGATTGATAAGTGCAGCTTACAGATTCTTGACTGCATCTCCGTGGCTGATATCTAAAGGGAGAACGTGAACAAAAGCACCTTGCTTCTCGAGTTTAATCAGTCTAAGAAGTTTGTTCTTCAACTCTCCCTTGGCATTTACCCACCCCGTTCGTGGTGGAAGGCCCCCACGAGAAATCAAGACCAGACGACGAGCTCCTTTCTCCACCAAGAAGTCCGCAACAGCCAGTTTCTCAAAGCCCCAAGTCCATCAGTAATAACATACGTGCAATCAAATCGGGCTAAAAGGTTATTCTGGGATTGCTGAGTGGGTAAAAGACGGTCTCGAGGAAGGGTTCGAAGACGAGCAGTCCGGGCAATTCCATCCTCAATTCGGATAATATTCGGGTCTCGAATATATTTAATCGTAGCTATGGGGAACTCTCTGTCCTCGATGTCCATCAAACTCCCAAGGATATCTGGATGTTCACTTGCAATTACTCTGCTCAAACCGTGTAACGAGGCCTGCGCTAATGCGGTGGCAGTTGAAGCTATCGAAACACGGTTCGTAATTACATATAATTTAGACGAGATTACATTTTCGATGATGAATTTGGTGATAGATAGCAACTGTATGCAGAAAATACTTGAAGAGTTCTCAAGCGTACTCAATGTGAATTTTACATTACTCATTTTATATAAAACCCTAGAATCTTTGAAATCACGGAGTTGCGTTTTTCCAATAAGTAAAGTTGTCTATTAATTCTTCAAACCTAAGAGGGTTTGTCGATAGCATTTGAAGTTGCATGTTGGTACTGCAGACGGTTTTCAAATGAGAAATACTTATAAGTGCTGCTACAAAATCTCTCATGATAATATCCCTGATTAGCAGGGCGTTCATGTGAAGTCTTCGAGCATGTGAGATACATGTATCATTGAAGACGTTTTGGGAGTCAAAAGTCGTCAGTCAGGCCACCCAATGGAATACTCCGGGATTCCTACGTCCGATTGAACCTCTTTCTGTCTGCTCTACCTTTGTCGAGGACTTACATATAGCTCCCCAGTGATAATTGGTAGAAATATTGCCTCACCTGTAAGAATTTAACCGTGGCATAGGCGACTATTTGGTAGATGGCAATAAACACTGGCCACACCAAAATGGGAAGCATGAATCGGACTTCCAGAATTGGAATGCCTCCATCTAGATTTCTCGGCGCACCAAAATTTCGATCAACAAGTGAGTAAAACTAGAAAATTTGCTACCTAACGCTCCTAGGAAAGTCTTTATTATTCTCATGTGGGACCCTCTGTGCAAAAATGAACTAAGTGCCAGATAACGAGACATCTTGACTTCAAATGTTATGTCCGGGGCAAAGTAGCGGAAATTAGCGTAAAAGGGACAAAAATTAATTAATTATAGATTAATTTCGTGTAAACTGTAGGGTAGGGGCTGATTTTCGGAACATGGCAGTCCTCATTCATCCTTCTCGCAGAATATAAGTACGCTTGAATAGGCAGCCCATCAACAATAGGACAGTCTCCGTCGCGTTGATTACGAAGTGGTATACTTATTTTATGATCAATAGGCTAGCCTTGAACAGTTAAAATATATTCAACACGGCTCTTAAATTTTTTAGAATTTCGGAAACGTACGCCGCTATATCGATGTCCATCATCACTATTATCCTCCCGTTATGACCGAAGGTGAGTCTAAAATGTCTTATACAGCCCGAGAACTCCATTCTTTAACACTGAGAACACAAACTAGCTCTCACGAGGGCTGGAGGTGACCCATCAGGGTTGTACGTACCTCGGTAGACTAGCGAGCTGGATCGAGAGGTGGCCCATCTCATCGGGATCAAGGCTACCATTTTGTCGGTCACGGCTCCTGGCCCATGAATCGAAAAAGAACCTGTTCGAACAGCAACACTGATTCGTCAGTGCAATCAATATGGTGCGGCCATTCGTGACAATAATAAGTCACGATATAGATTTTTCGCCTCAGTGCCATCGCTTCTTGACACCAAATTAGCCCTGGATGAGAATTCATACGCATTTGATGTTTTACAGGCAGACGGTGTGACTCTTTTCACACGTTACGGCGCCAGCCATCATTACCTTGGTCATGCTTCATTCCGATCTGTTTGGGCCGAACTAAACGAACGACAAGCGGTTGTCTTTGTGCATCCAGCTCATCCCGTCGATACATAGCAGGTAAATAAATGGATGCCCCAGCCAATGTATGACTATCCGCAGGAGACGGGACGGGCCGCCATGGATCTTATTACTCAAGGTATTCTTCGCGATTTCCAACAGTGCAAGATTATTCTATCTCATGCTGGTGGCAGCTTGCCGTGTCCTATCTATCGCACCGCAAGCATGCTACCACTTATGCCTCGGTCCTTGAGTCTAAGCCGCGATGAAATTGTAGAACAGGCGAGACAGTTCTATTTTGATACTGCCATTTCGTCTAATCCTATCACCCTGAAAGCTCTCTTGATTTGCTAAGCCAGGTCATGTGTTATTTGGAACAGATTTCCCAAATGCACCAACAGAGGCCATCAAATATTTCTCCACCTCGTTGGAAGCTTATCCACTCTCTGACAAAGTGCGGAAAGAGATGGAGTTCGAGGCGGCATTGGGATTATTTCCTCGACCGAAGGACAACTATTCTTCCTAAAACCTGCCGGAAGGCTAGGGATTTATGGACGGCGCAAAATATATGTAGTCTTACTATACGTGGAATACGGATGGTTGAAGGTTAAGGCATATTTCGTAAAACTAGCTCTATATAGGAAGCTCCAAGCAATACAAATTCCGTGGAAGTTGGCTGCAGGGGAGGCACTTAGTCAGGTAAATCAATTTTTGGGTGATATTTTGACTGCACATGACTCGGTATAGTTACTAGTAGGGAATAGGCACTCCTTTAGTTCCGGGCTCCATCGGTCGATTTGTCACAATGGAACGTCCGGATACAACGCAGATTTCCCTTTCCAGCCTCTGCCGCCGCTTTAAACGGCATGCCAATGTATTATTAATGAGGAATTTTGGACCCTGGTTTATTATGTCAACAGGAAGGGGGGGCCGCGTTACCGGCAAGCCAGTGGCAGATCAGCCCACTCTCATCACAATTGGCCATTGGCAGGCGTTGCAAACGAACAAGCGGGCACCAAGGCGGCCCTTCATCTTGGTATTATCAAACAAGCTTAAGGCAACAACTCGGTCTGTAAATACTGGCATGGATGCTTCATTTCCGTTTTTGCTTTGCTTTATAAATTGCCAATTCAACTTGTGTTACGGTCTTGATCCGCCAGGCATTGGATTAGCCAGCATACTGTACCTGCTTCGAATACTACTAGTCTCGCAAATTGCAGCCGTTAGTTGTAGAGTATGCAGGCTGAGGGGGACATTGAGGGTGGGCGGCTCGATGACAATCAAGGACGCAACCGTATTTCAAATGGCGAGGACCATAACACGATACCAGTTGCTAAAGAAGAGAAAGACTCGACTCTGGTGGACTGGAATGGCCCCGACGATCCGGAAAACCCTCAAAACTGGAGCGCATTGCGGAAATGGATGATCACAACCAACATGGGTTTGGTGGCATTTTGTGCTACTTTCTCCTCCAGTATTTTTAGCACAGCGACCGCTGCCACGGCTTCCGAGTCTAATGTATCTCAGGAGGTTATGATCCTGGGGACTTCCGTGTTTGTCCTAGTAGGAATTATATGGTACAAGTAAAAGCACATATTACTGACTAACGATATAGGGATTCTCCTTCGGGCCAATATTTTGGGGCCCACTATCAGAAATATTCGGCCGGAGGATACCTCTATTTACCGGAATAATCGGCTTTGTCGTCTTTCAGATACCTGTTGCTGTCGCCAGTAACGTACAAACAATTGTGATCTGTCGATTTATAGGGGGCTGCTTTGGGGCAGCACCACTGGCAGTTGTTGGCGGGGGGTTGGCCGATATCTGGAATCCGGTAGACCGGACAATGGCCATCTGCATCTTCGCTGGAGGCACTTTTATCGGCCCCGTGGGTGCACCTATTGTCGGCGGCTTTATTGTCGATTCGCACCTTGGCTGGCGACGGACACTTTGGATTACACTCATAATGTCTGTGTTCTTTAGTATCATCGGCTTTTTCACCATTCCAGAAACCTCACCATCGGCCATTCTGCAACATCGCGCTAAGAATCTCCGTTATCAGACGAAGAATTGGGCACTTCACGCCAAGGCAGATGAACACCGCGTAGATCCATGGTCCATTGTCACTGTCTATCTAGCGCGGCCATTGACAATGCTTTACCAGGAGCCAATCCTCCTCCTCATGACACTATACATGTCCTTCATCTATGGTATTCTCTATCTATTTTTCGAGGCCTTTCCCATTATCTTCCAGGAGAATCGTGGGTGGAATGAAGGGGTCAGCGGTCTGCCCTTCCTATCCATTATTATCGGCGTCATTATGGGATCCGTTATAATGGTTTATTCAACGAAAACTCGCTTTGTGAGAAAATATCGAGAAAATGGCAACAAATTTGTCCCCGAGGAACGCCTACCACCCATGGTCCTCGGCGCTATCGTTCTCCCCATCGGTTTATTCTGGTTTGCTTGGACTGATAATCCTCACATCCTGTGGGTACCCCAGGTCATAGCTGCTGCGCCTGTTGGCATGGGCATCTTCATCGGATTCTGGCAAGGGCTCAATTACTTAATTGACTGCTATGGACCTTCCTCGAACAGTGCCATTGCAGGAAATACCTTCTTGCGGTCTCTTGCTGGTGCCGGGTTCCCGTTGTTTGCTACTCCAATGTATCATAATCTCGGTGTTCCATGGGCAACATCTCTTCTCGCATTTCTTTGTATCGTCTTCGTCCCAGCACCTATAGTGTTTTATTACTATGGTGCCCGTATTCGGAGCTGGTCCACCATGACTGCGAAGTAACCAATTAAGCCTCTTTTGAGTTATGTATTCTAGAAGGTAGACAAGGAATATCATCCTAAGAGACTTATTCATCCCCCCGGGCCATTGTCTTTTCGATTAGCTCGGAGATCTCAAAAATCTTCAAATGATTCTTTCTTGGTGTTAAGGCAGATGTTATTATACGATTGCTTATTGTCTTATACCCATATAACCTTTGCTCTTCTTTGATAGATAATGAATTGGAATACTAAGATACAATTTCATGACCGCTTGACTGCTGATATTGCTACATACATTGGTTGTAGAGACTGTCGATCGCCTCTAAAACTTCTTGTAGCACCGTCAAGATATAGAATATTACTGAGGAGAAATCATCACGTGGCTTCCAGTCTGGACTGCAAGGGTGATTTGAGCCGACTTGATGAACGACGCATTGTAGAGGTAAATAACTGAGAAGATATAAATCTGCAAAGTCATGATAGTCGGATTCTCTATCTCGTCAGCTAAGCACTCTTGGCATCTACTGTAGAATATATGCCCTGCCATGGTTGCATCGTAGTTGGCAGACACTTCCTCATCTCCATTTTGTTCCCCATTAGAAGACAGAAAGGTGATCGATATTGCATACAAACCGCCAGAAGAATATCAGCCAATGTGGATGATTTTCGTTTCGACCGGGCATCGGTGGGTGAATTCATCCACAGGGAATTATAGTATGCCTCAATGGTTGATTGAGAAGGAAGTCTTTTAAACATCATCTATGTGCACCTCCTCATACAGTGCTGCAGCTTGTTTTGAGTGAAGTAAAAATTACCAATTGAAGCCTACTTAGCCTTACGTATACGTCGGCCCACGTTTCCAGGCCCGACGCCAATGTGACATGACTAACCTTAGGAACCAACCACGATTCATTAGACTGCTGGTGCACCGATGCTTGACCGAGAAACAGTGCCCACAGAAGCAGTTCTAGAAGGCCATCCTTGCTGACGACTGCGTTAAGTAATATGGAGGAAGCACGCTTTAATAGCAGAGGGAAGTGCAAATGAACTTTGCCCGTTCCCCTCCTGGACGTAATTTAGAAGAAGGCCAATTCGAGGTGCAATATATCCTCCACAGACCCGGCACGACCTAATTCCTTAAATGTGTCTATCTCGATTAGATGATACTTAATACCGTAATATCTTCCAGGATGGATTTGATCTTGAGCCTGCTGGTCTCCAGGAGGGCTGAATCGGGTTCTCGAGGTCGCTCTTGGACGTGTTGCGAAACTAGGCTAGGAAACTTCTACCAGGGACTACCGTAGCTTTGAACTTGGTAGCCAAGCTAAAGTGTAGGGAAAATTCTATATCAGCGCCATTATTTAATTAGCCTGATTCGCTTAACTGAATATCCAACTGGTGTGACTAGCTTATCTGAGAAATTTCTAGGCAAGCGAAAGTTCGCGAGCAACGACTAGAGCTATCCCACCCCATAAATCTACTATGATCAGCAGACCCTTGAAATGTATCATACCTTGATCATGTTGTTTTGAATTTGGTCAAAACAGATTACAAAAATGACCACAGCCATAGTGTCGTCACGCAATGCCTCTTCGCTAGATATCTTCATGTTGACGAGGTTGAAGGTTAAGGAGAGGTGATGCAAGGCCTCAGCCATGTCTTGGGACGTATAAGAACCATCTCTTGTCGTGGTAACTGATATAGCCACAGCACGATTAAAATTTGTCGGTTCTAAGTTACTATGAGTACACACTATTTCTAAATGGTCTATTCTTACAGGCCTCGTCCGTGAAGATGAGCCGAGCCACATCGACGATATTGAGCATCTAGAAGATGCACCCATTATATAATATTGCAAAGTTCCTTGTGACAATATGGTACAACCTTTGTGATTGTACTCTTTTCCGTCTCCCGCTCCCATTTGAGGGAAGCCCTCTCGGGGAACTATCAGTTGCCCCCCGATGTTTCCAACCAGCCCTAATACCGAATGTCAATGGGAGGTTCAATCAGCTGAGGTTGTATCCCGAGCCTCAACGAGATCTGCATTCTTCATTAGCCTGTGCTCCGTAGATCAATGAGAGTCCTCCATAGTATATGTAGACATAAATGCCCAGAGTACCTCATATTATTCTCTCATGTCACCGGTCATTCAGGAACACGAGCAGGTCAAAATGAACGTCGTTATTTCTCACAATACCTATGGTTAAAGTTCCTGATAATTGTCTGAGGGTTGATCAATTGATATGTTGGGAAAATTCTTAATCTTTTTAACATTGGAAGCTGCCCGAGTGCCCATATGTAGCTCAATTCGGTCTGTGTCATTCCACTCTGCACAGACATCCTTAAATCGCCTCCTCAAGTAAACAAATGCCGAGAATATGTTGTTTTTAATATTCTATTATGCCAAATGCTACTAGAAGCAGGAAAGACGAAACCTCTGTTTGATTAATGGTGTTGGTTCTGGCTTTACCTGTCTTTGGGCTTGCCAATCAATATCGATCCAAGCCAACCCTATTTAGGCAATCGAGATGTTAGCTAAGTCTCTTGAGATTTAGGTTAATGAGTTGTTATTACAGTCAGTCCCGTCCCAATGATATCATACCTTCACTAACTTATTGCAAACTCACAAACTAGACATTTAGTTTTGCCGGCGGGCTTGGTAGCTTGGGTTACTCATACATATTTCTATCACATCTCACAACTTATCGACCAAGTCTATAGAAGTGGAGGACTAGTTACATGTACTTACTTTAGTTGGCTATTCAATCATATCGATGATTCAGGTAAGGGACTGTTTACTGCATAAACCCAGAAACACTCTCATTGATGCCTTAGCTGCTTTTTGGATGTCTACATTTATTTTCGTGTGCCTATGATAAACAACATATTTCGTGCTTACGATGGGATAACATTGCACGTCTGGTATTACCTAACCAGCGTCAAAAGATATTGTATTGTAATGACATAGGGTGTAAGTGACTGGTCACTTTAACTCCCAACCCAGCTTGATAACAGCAACTTTCCAGAATTCGCCTTTTCTTGCTCCCTCATTTTGCCGTCATATTCTATGAAGCTGGTTTTGAGATTTTCCTGTACGACAACCGGAGCTGGGGTGATAGTGACAGGGTCCTCGCCATAAATCGAATCCTAGACTCCAGCAAAATAATGTCTATGATTTATTCAACTGTGTCGTCGCCCTTCCACGTGTGGATCCAGAGCGAACTGTGTACTGAGATACAAGCTTCTCGAGTAGTAATACTACTTATGCTGCCGCTGTAGACAAGCGTATCAAAGCTATTGTGGTTTAGATGCCAGCAGTGTCTGGGGAGTCGTGTTCATTTGCATGGATAGACCGAATTCCTGCCATTGTCAACAATTATGTGGTATTGTGGCTGGCTGAGAACGAAGAACGATGCAGTGTATTGCTAGTAGTCCAGAAAAAGCAAAATTAGGCCGCGCACCCATTCTCTTTCCTTACCTTCATGCCTATGAATCCTTCAACAGGATATACGAATGTGGGGGTCGATGGGAAAATCGGGTCACGGGCAAATCTGCATACTAGAATTTGAGGGGCAAGTAATGATTCAACCCGTCTCGCCGAGTGCACTACTCATGGTGATTCTAGGAAATGATGTTCTAGCGCAAGCATCGTTTCGGCTATAAGCGTTTGGCGAGACCCGGGAACTGAAACGAATGATACTTCTGGATGCTGCTAGCTATTTTGATATTTACAGGGGGGAGTATTTTGAAGAAAACATCGCGGCTCAGATTGAATTGCCTCAAGAAAATCTTCTTGACTAGTTTGAAATGTCATCGAATCTCCCTTCTTTTCGGGTGCTTGTAGGAAGCAGCAATGGTGTTCCACCAGAGCTGCAGCAGAAAGCTGTTATGAATATTTAGGAAAGTTTGAGGCCATAGGCTGATAACTGACATATCCGGGAACTGCAGGTTTGGCCTGCGACTGCGTTCCCTGTTTCATTGGCAAGAGCCAAAACCACACCTTCTCCAATGGCAGAGACCAAAATATATATGGAATATTTTGAACGCGTCATAGAGCAACTCACAACAACCGAGGAAATATTCAATTACATACTGGACTTACACCCAGACTGGCTGAGTCCAGGCTCTCTATGGGGTGGTGTGATGCGGGCCGCGAAACGATGATCTATGGCCAACTTAAAGCTGTGTGGGTACTTATTTTGACAGTCGTACCTAGATACACCTTTTAGTGTATTTTTATTACGCTCTCAAGCCTACTTTCCGATTTTCCCTCTCTTCTTCTAGAAGTTATCTTGCCCATTCGTTCCAGTGGTCTTCTTATACTGTTGTTATTGATCTCAGAATCTCTATCATTCATTTATGTCCCTTGCTTGCGTCCTCTTTGCAAAGAGATTAGGTTTTCTTTTTGGCTATTCATCTGCCATATATATGCAACAATGGCATGGGGTCATTGTCTACCACGGCATATTAAATGTAATAATGCACTTATACTGGAGTCCTCATCGTAACAACGAATAGCGGTAATTCATTTAGTCAAAATACGTATCGTTCTATGCCATTAACAGAACTAAGAACGTAAGTCTGGCAGCGATAATGGTGGAGACAATGGAATACTTGAAGGTATGGATGAGGATACCGCCAGGGCGACAAGCACTCACTGGTGTCTTAAGGGGTGCCAACTCATGGGCTGCGGCGGTGGAGCACCTGAGCAGAAAAGGTCGTAGAAAACGAGTATTAGGCTACTTTCCAGCATTCACATTAGTAGGTAGTCACCAGTAGTCGGGAAGAGTCATAAAAACATCATCTACTCCCGGCTATTAGAACCATCAAAATCATTGAAACGAAATGAAACAGAAGGCCGCTTCAGTTTTAATCTTTTATGTGCCACGACTCACTATCTAGATGATGTGCTTCGGAAGTGCCCTAGGTGAGTATACAATTTCGAGTAGGGGAGATAGATGTTTATAATTAACCAAACATCCAATACAGTCAGTTCCTCTATACTGAATAGGTATGATACCTTGAGCCACCGGGAAAAATTGACACAACCATTGATCTAACGGTATGTATACTTGACCACCATCAGAATCGTTGCATATCCTTGATACATTGAAGTTCCAGCGACCGAGTTTACAATATGGGAAATTTTTGGGTCTTGGATACCACTCTGCAACCGCTGGCAACTATTATACAACGTTATCGCAACGTTTTGAATCTATAACATCTCCTTAAAAGTCATATATGCCTCGTAGTTGCTAATCCAAAAAAATATTTTATCATGAAATATATTAACAGAATATATTTTTAAGAGCGTTCTTAAGTATTTGAGAGTCAATAGTGCACTGAGTAGGGTATTGAGTAGGCATTAAGTAGAAATACACATAATATATGCCTATGCATGCCTACCTCGGCTACCTAAGGGCGTTCCTAAAGGCGTTTCAAGGGTCAGTGGCGCATTGAATAGCGTAGGATGTAGATATATACCTGGTTATATAGATAGATATACCTAAAATAACACGGTAGGCGGGCTACATACTGGGGCGGTCCGGCTTGATGTCTGGTCTGATACCTGACTGCTCAGGCAGTAGCCGGTGAGGTAATGTCGTATGAGCGTTTTCACACCATAACAAAATCTCAGAAAGCTCCTGTGTATTCCCTTTCCTTCCTTGCGCTTAGTTTTCTCGATAATAGCACCAGTATACTCATTTATTGACCGGCCCTTCTCACATACGCGCAAAGATGAACAAGGCAGTACTCTGACTCATCAACGATCAAAGCCTAATTAGAAAGATGTAGATCTATATACATGTAGAGTTATGTAGTGATTATAAAGCTGACTACGTTTCTTAATCATTACAAAGCTAGTCCCATTTCCTAACTAAAAAATGTTACTATTTTAGATATAAGTTAGAGCTAATATACATTATATTTTCGTAGCTAGTGATATTACTAAACTGATAGTAATTGCTGAAAGCTATACTGATGTTATATTGGGGCTCCTAATAATATTTATATAATTATATTAGTGCCGCCTAGAATCGTTGCGCAACGGTTTCTGTGTTTCCGCATGAGCCCGTATTGTGGTGTTAGGAATAGATAGGGTTTGGAAGAAAGTAACAGGCTGTACGGAGTAATGCTAAGAAAAATAAGATACAACTCTGAAGACTAGCGGTGGTCTCCTGGACTTTCCGCATGTAGAATATGGTCAGATCGAGATCCCAGTGTTTACCGTATTCGTTTTAGTAGACTCCGAGGTCCAGTAAACTCGAAAGTTTACCACGCAGTTAACTACTGAGTACTACTATATAGTTCAGTGATAAACCAGTGCGGTGCTATCCCTGACCATGTGTAACAGGCGCTAGTGATCCATAGAAATTTAATGTTGAAAATTACAGTTACCATACATTAATCTCAATTTTGCGATCAAAATACACTAAATTAATTTATAGCTTAGGAAAGAGACCCAGGCAATGCTCGGTCTTTTCCGAAATACAATCTAGGCCTACATTCGATGAGGCCCCAGAATGAGAAATGATTCTGTGTTTATCAGGGAGAAATAAGGCGTGGGGCTTTTCTGGTAAGCTTCTATTTCCGTTGTACTGTGACCGTTCAGCTGGACACTCACCGGCTCGTGGCGGATGTGCACATGACCCATGTAATTTTTATACGATATACGAAAACATCCTATGGGCTAGACTGATTGGATGGAAGAAAGCACTGAGATTATGGAGTATCATAGAATATCAATGTCTGAGGCATCTAGGAGACGCGGGCCACCCAGGGGGTGTTACAGGTTAGGCTCGCGCTAGGCTTGACAAAGCGCTAGGAATAATATTTTGAAAATTACCATATCTGCTACTGAATGTAATTTATCCAAGCAAAATGATACCGTAAATTAGTGTGACAGGTAGGTCGTGACCACTGCTAGTCATGGGCTCGTCCACTCGTGGATCACATCATTGTGGGAGAAAAACGTTTGAATAATTTATAGCTCTACAGACTAAAGTTTAGAAGACAGAAACATGGCGCTATACTAGTAGTAAAGACATCTAATTTCCCTGCCGATGATGTAAGTTGCATATCCATTTAAAGGCATGTCCTTGCATTAATAATTAGTGTCGCATTCAAACATTTGGCCAAATGGCGTATGTCTTGGGTTCCGCCGACTGCGCCGAATGGAAATAGAAACCGGCGCTATCTGCCTCGTTTGCCCCATTATTAATAAGCCACCCGTCACTGTTGACAGTGATGTAAAATCCATTGCTGGCGGCCTTGATCGAATACACGCCCGAAGCAGCTCCAGTTTTCTGGCGGATGACAAATCGCTCCCAGCTCGACGGTGTTGCACGACTTGCTGCGAGTGTGTAGTTACCCGAGCTGTCGGCCGTCACATACTGACTTGTGCTTGTGAGCTGGAGTGTGCCAGCGTTCGGGACAAAGGTGCTGTTAAAGTTTACTGCCGTCTCAATATTGGCCGAGACGGTGAGATTTGTATCAGCACTGGACGCAGTCACATAGTTGCCTGAAGATGCCTCCTGAATGTGGAATACTCCGTATGGGTTCTGAGGAACTACACCACAGATTGATGCCCCGCTCGGGTTTGGTCGTGTTCCAATAAAATAAAGTTCGTTCGTGTATGTCTGGCCAGTACCCCAACTAGTCATGTTCGCACTCCATTGAGCGGCAACTTGCGGGTTCGCGTTCGAGTATGCAGCGACTATGACACATTTCCAAGAATCGTCGATGCTAGGATCTAGGAGCTCATCCATTGCATAGGACCACACGCTTTCTACCCACTCAGTGTCATAGAGGTCCTCACTGGCAGGTGTGACTGGTAACTGTTGTATTGCTGCGATTTCGCTCTTCTGATTTCCCCAAAAGAGCCAGGCTCCAGATTGCCAATCCTCCACATTACCTATTGTGATTAACTCTCTCATACCCTGCTCAGAGTAGGGGTTATTAAGGTCTGTCGAGCTTAGACTTGGGTAGAGGTGCCAGTAAACCTGGGCACCGTGGATTTCCGTAGCTAACAGGAGCCTTGCATAGTTTAAGAAGTCATTTGAGAGCGCAACAGACGCCCAGAGAGCCGCACCATAGTATCCATTCACAGCCTCACCAGTCGACTCTTGGTCTCGACTACCCGCGCCATTCGCAATTCCAGACGCCCAGGAGTGACCCGCGAACCAGTCTCGACAGCGGGTGATTGGAAAGAAGGGATCTTCAGACGACGGATTGATAATATCCCGTGCAAACCAGTTAATATAGTCCTTATGTTTATTCAACCACGTTATGTCGTACTTGGCGATTGTTGCAGCCACAGAGAGAAAATAACCATAATGAAAGTGGTGGTCGTTGAAAAACCCGTTCCCGAAGTCGATATTCGCATTCGTTGCACCGGCCTTATCAACAACACCGCCCCATGTGGTCTCGTATGCTGCCAAGGTCACCGCGGAGGAGTTGAACCAATATTCAAATGATGCCTCGAGATATTGTACAACGAGTTGGACGAGATCAGGACGCCCGAGGTTGTCTGCAATAATTGCCAGCCGCGCTACGGAGTTCAATGTGCCACCCCAGAAATAAAAGTCACCTGGAACAGGTGCATTACTTATATTCAGCTGCCCAACTTCATACTCAAGACCTTCAATGACAGAAGACGAACATGACTTGTCAAGCGCACGAGGAGGGTCCCACAGGCTCGATGTGAGATTATATTGCAACTCCCACTGCTTACCAAGTGCAGGGTACATATACCCCTTAGTTGTTAAATATGACAGTGTCGTTGTTTCAGGGTAATTCGATTTCTGCATCGCAATTCGGTGGTGTGGCCATGTCAACATGAGGAGGTCCGTCCCATTGCCAGCAGTATCCCAGTTGAAGACGAGTGAACCCGTGGAGTTCGTCCACGAATAGTCAAGTCCAACAGAGGTTGGGTACACGCCACTATACTGGTCGAGGAGTGTCTTGTGGGAGGTTTCGTTGAGCATGGCAAGACGGAGGACTCCAGTGAACGTGTTTGAAGCGCTGATTATCCCCAAATCGGACGAATTTGAAGTGGCCGTGAGCGTGATAGGTGAGAGAGCATATATGAGATAGGTTGAGTTGGAGGTATCAGTGACGCTGAATTCAGTCCCAGTAGCCGTCACTATATTGTATATTTTAGTCGTTTTCTATAATGTCTAGGAAATGGGGCTGGAACATACCATTTGCGCCAATAGAGAGTGTCTGGTTGTTGAATGACTTGATTCCACCATTCATTGCTGTCAGCAATGGTGTGGAATGGTTGTATTGGAATGTCAGGTATGGTGACCCAGGGACAGCATAAAATGTCATTGCCGCGCTGCCTTGGACGTACTGGACGGTTACACTCTGTGTGTCAAACGCGGTTGCCTTGTGATTTGCAAATTCACCAGAATGTTCTGCAAAGGTCGCACGCCAGTCGCTTTGTGTAGGTTGGTGGATGGAAGTCCCATCAAATTGCCGCTTCGTACTGATGCCGAAGACGACGCCATCGCCATACAGGGCAGATGCATATGGGAATGGTCCAGCCGCAGTTGCATTTCCAGGAGGAGCGGCATAAGGAGCCCACCACGAGTTAGTTGGGAACTAGATCCATTTTCAGTTCACAGGGGTCTCCAGATTGTCAAATGTATGAAAGTGTATAGATACCGGAGGTTTTAGCCCATCAAAGAACGAAGTCACTGGAGGAGCCTCGCACTCGACCGTGCCGCCTGCAATACTCTGGGGAGAGTCGGTCGCTATGGGGCCGAGAAGGCTGCGCTTATGAAAGGTGTGGAAACTGCTACTACTGAAGGCAGTAGAAGCGAGGAGAAGGACAAGAGGTCGCAACATCTTGCTTGGTGGAGCAAGCTCGAGACTAGGGAGTGGAGTCATCTACCATATATATGGCAGAGAATGAACGGTTCCTTGGGAGCATGTCTGAGAAATAAATGCATTAAATACGGTAGATTTTCCTATAATTAATCTGAATGTCGTACAAAATTTCCGGACCCTAGCCAAGGACTCAATCGCCATATCGTTGTATGCCGCGGATTTACGGCAATGGCATCTCAGAACCCCTGGAGGGACCCACGCGTCTCTATCTTCAGTAAATCTGTACTAGCAACATCCGTTGCTAATCGAATTTAATGCAGGTACGCACTGCGGAGGCCCGCTGATCGTCGCCTCTGTTTTCTATAAGCTTGCGTAATATCTATGACTTTTGTTAACAGTACCCACACTTTGTGTTTACAAGAAAATCAAGCCTGGTGCTTTACGAGACCTTGTCGGTAGCATAGCGGAAATTTACCGGGCGATTACCAGGAGGGGCCACAGCAGACCAACGACAATACTGAGTGGGAGTGATTACCTCTTGTTCTAGAAACATGCCAGTCTAGTCAACATGAGCATCCTTTAATCAAGCAGAAACTTCATTGCCAATCTGTATTCCTCCACAAGCCTCCATACGATTAGATTGGTCTTGGAATGCTCTATTCTCTCATTGCTTCATAATTATTGTGTGCAGGTGATAAGATTTCGCGAGAACTTTTTAGGGCTGGTGGGCATACGTTGAGTTTATTTAATTCTTGAAGTACTAAATTCATGATGCACTTATCATCGTAAGGAATTCAGTCTCTGTAGTTGAGAATAACTAGATACAACGTTGAAGAGCTTCTCACACTCTTTATTCTTCTAACAGGGCTTATTGGTTTCGACCTTAACGTTCCTTTTGTGGGTAATGAAGCGATTTCTGGACAACATTGCATTTATTGTTGATAAATTGATAAAAAGATTGAGTTGACACACAGTTGAGTTGAGTAGAGTAAGAAGTTGAGGAGTGAAGTAAATTTTGCACATAAACAAAAGCCATTGCACGACACATGACGAGAGCGTCATAGGTATCTCTCTATGTCGACACTCTTTAGGCGATATATGCCTCGCCAATAGTTGACAAACCTGTCCCTTGGCCGTTCACTAGCATACCTTCAAACGCGCCGAAATATGCATACCGCCCAATCCACGACTGCTGATCCATCCACGGCATTACGTCTTTCAGGAAGGCGATCTGATTATTCGCGCTGTCCTGCAGCATAAACTCGGTGACCCAAATTGTCTTGTTGAATCGCTCATGTGCTTCGGTCAAGTAGGCTTTGAAATTGTCGGCTGTGTCATTGGCATACCAATGTAGTGGGATGAAATCAACGGTACAGCTTGTGCAGCCTTCAAAAAAACAGTCGAGCCAGCCCAAACCCGCGTATGGTAAAACGCCGTTTCCAGCATTGGTAACTGCTGGAGCTCCAACATTGACTTTTCCGGCCAATGGATTCATGTCAATCGTCCAGTTGCCAGAAGCATCAGAGGGTATGATGTTAGATTGCGTATTTAAGTCGGGCTCGTTATATCCAAGCACGGATTTTGCGCCCAGAGCTGCTGTTTGCCAATTCCCAACATCATTGGGGCTAGCTATACCCCATAGCATAGGCACAAATTCCAGGCTGGAGGTGAGACCAGGTCCTGTGAAAGCCCAGTTGTACGCCCAGGTGACCTGGGTGCTATTCTTGGTAAAGTAGGCTGCCCAAGTAGGATTGTTGTATGCTATTCCACGTTTTCCTTCAGCAGAAGTGGCAGGGATTGTGTTGAATAGAGCGAGACAAGTGCCCGCAAGGAAGATGAAAGACTTCATTTTAACTTCGTAGAGGCTTGATGGAGGGAGATTCCTTCTTCTCTAATTCTTTACTCTCAGTAAGTTGTGATATAATTTTTGGAAACAATGCGCAGTACTCATACCTTTAAAAGCGAATGACAAGCATAAATACTACGCTCGTTGGAATATGAGTTGCCTTGATCTTTTGATAAATGTGTACCATGTCATTTTATCTGCCAGCCAATCACTTGATAACAAGGTAAGCGTTAACGATCAGGGAAAGTATCTACAATATTCCCAAAACAGATGTGGTATGAATACCCACTCATTTTGTAGGATACGATAGACAGTTTGGCATATGTGGCTCGTGATGTTCAACGCTATTGGATGTTGCTTTTATCTGGGAATTTACACTTCTCCCCATTCAGTAGAACGGGAGTAATCTCCGCTTTATGTTGCAATGTAATGTGAGAATGCAAGCTCAAAGCTGCAGTAGTCAGATGGGCAAAGTCACTACCACCTACGCAGGCATGTGGGCTAAGAGGTGATTGTAAGACGGCGCTTCCATGTCGCAAGCAATTTGTTTCATAGGGTTGTAAACGTTTACTGCTGACAGACTAAGAATGAACCACTTGAACACTAAAAGTCTCAAGCCATTGAGGCCTTGCCATTTTTAGTGGGGTAGTATAAAGTTCGGCACCTGCTGTCCTATCGAAGTATGGTGGTTAATAGATATGAAAATGCGGGGAGTCGGAACAGACTCACAGACGCTGCGGTAATAAAAAAGCAAGCCGTCGTTTTACCTGTTTGGTGAAATATGCCCAACTAATAGTGATACTAACACCGATTGAAACATTGGAAGAATGGCCTATCGGAGGGTTTCTAGTGGGTATAGTTAAATATTTTAGTAAGCTAGTTTACTGACATAACTCGCTAGTGCGCTAGGTATGAAGAGTAGCATTGGACCCCTCTTCCCGCTACGCCATTTTCCTTCTCTCCTTTATTCGAAGATTGTCATGATTCACACACCCATGCCCAGTTGGCGGCCAGCGGAATTTCGCGTCTGACAATGAATACACGGCGGCTGGTACTGTGTCAAGATGGGGAACCAAGTCTCAACGAAACTCTACGGACCAACAGCGCCTAGTTCGTTACTCATGCGCTAAGATAGACTAATCATATGTAGATAGCTTTCCTTCACATTGACTATCAAAAGTGTTCCGGTTCGATACTTCCCCAGAAAAATTCTATATGTAACTATCTATCTTCTCTAGCTCAGCCAGAGATGCGGAAAATTACCGGCCGGCAGTGGAGAAGAGGACAAAAACAAACAATGGTCAGTATTCAAGTAGGGCTCGTATGTAGACGTGGATTATCAAAACTTACTACAGTTATACACCGGCGTACATGTAGTTTTGGAACATGTCACAGGATGGAGTGTAAATAACCCTGACATGCACTTGTGTGACAGAAATCCATGACTAAAACTAAGTCAGGGCTCTATGCAAAAGCCATGATGATTCTTAACCTTCTTACCACCTTGTCTTTGGCCGCTAGCGCTGCATCGGTGAAGCGTGATATTCTATCAGTTGAGGTTTTTGTTGCCTCTGCTTTGGCTGAGAACGGAAACTATCGAGCATATGATGGTCCTGTAAAGAAAGCCCCAGTGAGCAATGTGGGAAAACTAAACAATTGACTAGTTCCTCCAATAATACTGCTTCTTTTTGGCTCGAATCGATTCAACACCAAGGCGTCTCCGCATTCGGACCTGCTAACTACACGATCTTTCGAAATGTGGAGGACTAAGGGGCCAAAGGTAAGCTTGCAGTGTACCAACCAACATCCCTATAGTCAGTAACAAGTTGTAGGGGATGGAGTTACAGACGACACCGCTGCTATTAACAACGCAATCAGCAGCGGTGGTCGTTGCGGGGAGGGCTGTTTTTCTTCAACCCTCACACCAGCAGTTGTCTACTTCCCGGCCGGTACCTACTTAACCTCGTACCCGATTTTCGATTATTATTTTACTGAAATTATCGGCAATCCGAACGATCTGCCTGTAATTAAGGCTTCATCCTCGTTCAGCGGAGGGTGGCTTATCGATGGAGATCCATACTTTACCCCAGATCCAAACTGGGTCACAACAGACGTCTTCTACCGACAAATCGGTCATTTAGTAGTGGACCTAAGGGACATCTCATCAAATAGTTCAGTTAGCGGTATTCATTGGCCCACAGCACAGGCCACAAGTCTTCAAAATCTCGTTTTTGAAATGAGCACAGAATCGGGGACCAAGCAGCAGAGGCTATTCATCGAAAGTGGTGAGTGCATGATTCCCATCGATGCGCATATACGACTTTCCAATAGTAATGGCAACTCAGGGTCTGGTGGATATTTTGGAGATCTAATATTCAACGGGGGAAATATCGGAGCTGGTCTGGGTAGCCAGCAATTCACCACTCGAAACTTGACATACAATAATGCGAAAACCGCTATTAGCCACTTCTGGAATTGGGGCTGGACATATAAAGATATTAATATCAATAATTGCGAGGCTGGTATCGATATGTCCTCCGGAAATACCTCTACCCAAGCAGTGGGTTCAATTACTGTGTTAGACAGTGTTTTCACCAACACCGGCGTTGGTATCAAGACATTCCACAGTGCAAGTTCCTTACCAGAATCTGCAGGGAGTGTTATTCTGGAAAATGTATCCACCCAGAACGAACCCATTATTGTCCAAGGAGCTAATAATGCGACATCTCTGGCTGGCATTGATGGCACCATCGCCGGCTGGGGTGAAGGACACAGCTACACACCAGATGGCCCAAAAGAAATAGAAGGAAATATTACACCGAACACCCGGCCCAACTCTCTCGTTCAAGGAAATGGTTTCTATGCGCGATCTAGGCCCCAGTACCAGTCTTATAGCTGGTCGTCCTTCTCGAGCGTTCGAAGCGGTGGGGCTACAGGTAACGGAAAAACCGACGATACAGCTGCCTTGCAGCAGGTGATCAACGAGGCCACCTCGACTGACAGGATTGTTTACATGGACGCGGGTACTTACCTCATCACTAGTACACTCACAATTCCTGCTAGTGCCAAGATTGTGGGAGAAGCATACCCAGTGAATATGGCTGCTGGCAGCTTTTTCCAGGACTCATCAAACCCTCAGGCTGTTGTCAGGGTTGGAAATAAAGGCGACAGTGGCCAGGTGGAGTGGTCAGATGCGACTGTCAGCACACAGGGTGGACAGGCCGGTACCATCCTGATTGAATGGAACCTCGACTCTCCGGCGAACAGTCCGTCAGGCATGTGGGACGTTCATACTCGTGTTGGAGGATTTACCGGCTCGAACCTGCAAACCGAGCAGTGCCTTGAAACCCCCGCTACACAAATCCCACCCGACGCACCCAATGCAGCATGCATTGCGGCGTACATGCCGATGCATATCACGCCCGAGGTTAGTGGTTTATATATGGAGAACGTTTGGCCCTGGGGTACCGACCAGTAAGACTTTATGAATTAATTATCCTGCCTCTTGAAGGTTTAAAGTCGTTGACTATTTTTTGTTCCCAGTGACTTGGACGGAAACGGACAGCAGATAACGATTTACAGTGATCCTGACTTCCACAAGACATGTGCAGGTAAAACTGGGAATTGCGCTCTTGGATGGGGTCTTCGAGTTGTCGATTCCACCGATAAACTGGTCTATGGTGCAGGCCTTTACTCATTCTTTCATAACAACGACGCCAGTAAGCAACCTATTCCACAAAATACGGTGTCCATCTATTTTGACAAACCAACTAACGGGGGGCACAGGTTGCGCCGCTCAGAGCGCCGCTCAGAACGCCACCACGCCATGCCAAGAGGCAATATTAAGTGTAGAGGGGTCATCGTCAGCAATCACCATCTATAACTTGAATACGATCAGCTCTTCAAGCATGGCCCATGCCAATGGAACGTCTGTTGCTAACCTGACAGACCACTTGAGTGTTTTCAGTGAGGGCATTGCGCTTTTTCGACAAGCCTAGCATAAGATGGATATGGAGATCGCTGTGAGATCCGTAGCATGGCACAGAAGGCTTTGGGGTTCGCTGGGTCGTTCCATTTAAAAGCAAGTTCTATCAAATCCTGGGTTTCCTTGTCCATTCGGAATCTACTGCCAAGATATATCGACCACAATTTCTCATCATCACACCTTTATTCTATGCGATAGATTTACTTCATTCTGCTTTGATTAGACTGCCTTCATTCCACCGCGTATTTTTGAGGTAACAGGACAATTCACTTTAGTTGATTGAGTTGCATTACCATGGCACATGGCGAAATTTAAGAGTCATTTCGCAACATTTGTGGAATGGAAAATCATTATCCACAAGTGAATTACACCTATAACAACCTATATAAGCCACTGACAGCCCTTGTACATACCTTTTCCTTTGTTTCCCATGTTCGATTGTATTCAATTACGGGAAGAGGCGTGGGAAGGCCCCGCTACCACGCGACTGCCGGAACGAAATAAAAGTGGCTATTGGCTAGGGTGTCAACACCCCACAAGCTGTGCCGGGTACTGTTACATAGGCGGTCATACGGTAACAGACGGGAATAAGAGCCCCACAGACCAATGTCTCCACTTAGGACCTAACTCCTAACCCTAAACAACTACTAATTACTATGGAGTACTACCGTATGCTATTATTTTAAACCTGACAACCCTCATACACTTAACACTGATACCGGCACCTCCAATAGGCTATATAACAGATAGAAATATATTACCCCATTTTAGATTAATAATCAATTCGCGAACTATCTAAAGCCAAATAGGAAGTAATGTCTCACACATTTTGATCCCCTAAGCCAGAGCCGCAAGGTTTTCTACCCATCATTTCATTCAGGCACTGCACTTTTGCCTAGATTATGCAGCTGTAGGGGTAAATTCCGTGACATGGTAGAATTAGAATTTCCAACAACAATGCCAAACATGAATAGCTATAAAATAGCTTCACTATCATTCTACACGTAAACAATGTATGCCCAACTCATTCTTACCTAAATGTACTGTTCCTTACCGCTCGCCTCAATTTTCTCAATTTCCTTCTTCAGATCATTTCCACCAAACGCAGCTTCTCCATCAAAAAGCACAGCGACCTCTTCCAAACTACGACCTTTCGTTTCCGGAAACACAAGGTAGACGATCACAATCTCAACGGCGATTACACAGCAATACAAAATGTAGTATCTCCAAGTAATTGCCTCCATAGCTATAGGATTGACGTATCCGTTGAAGATTAGAGCGCATGTGCCTGCAATCTGCATGATGTTGGTACCTTTCGCGCGAAGGTGGGTGGGAAGCACTTCGGTGACGTAGACCCATGGGGGACCATTAAGCCCCGCATTATAGAAGAACTGGTAGACGAATATCATAATTACAACGCCTATTCCTAGCGAGCCGTGTTGGAAATTTTGCTCTTGATTGATAGCTGATAGGATGGTCCATATTACAAAGGAGATTAGCATCCCAACTGTAGAGAACAGAAAGAGTCGGCGGCGACCGGCCAATTCCATCAGTGAAGCCATGAGAATGGAGACGCCTAAATTAAACACCATCAGACCACCGTTAATACGGAGTTGCTGCGGGCTCGAAGTTAATCCGATTGAGCTAAGAACAAGGTGCAAATAGTATGCGACCAGACCGTTACCAGAGAGTTGCATCATGCAGGGAACAAGTATGACAATGAAGAGGCGATGTCTGTTGCCGCTTGTTTTGATAAACTCTCTATATCGTGTACTGGATGAGGCCCTCGCGGCGGCGACATGTAGGATAATTTCCCTCATCTCATAATCTACAAGGGAAGAGTTTTCGTCCCCACCGGCATGGTATTTAACCAGTACCCTGCGAGCGTCGTCATAACGATCTTTCTGGACTAGGTATCTTGGAGATTCGGGCAGTAAATACACGAAAAGAACCTGTAATAGAGGGAAAAACCCTTGCAAGAGGGAGGGTATCCGCCATGCCCATGAGGAATTGGGTCCCATGAAGTATGTGCCGTAGGTGATCCAGGCTGCTGATAATGCACCAAGGTACCACAGATTGTTATAGTAGCCGACAAGGACTGAACGATGAGTAGGATAAGCTAGCTCGCTCACAAGCATGGGAGATGCTTCAACAGCAATCAGGCCTCCAAAGCCAATGACCATGCGTGAAATGAGAAACATAGTATAATTCTGGGACGCAGACTGCAAGACGGCGCCAATGACCAACAGAAAAGATCCGAGGAAGATAGGAAAACGTCTGCCGGTGTTGTCGCAGAGCCAGGGTGCAATGGGAAAGGCGACAATCTGGCCAAAAATAACACCATTGGAGAGGGATCCGAGTCGCGTACTAGTGGGAAAATTGAAAAATTGTTGCCACTGATTCATGGATTGCAAGCCATTGAGCATAGACCCATCATAGCCGTTTGTTGTAGATGATAGGTAGGGAATTATCATGAAGATGTTGAGTAGCAGCAAATGCCGCTGTTTATACCAGGGAAAGTCATCATCCGGCAGCACATTTTGAATATTTAGTAGCACCTGCTGAACATTATTCACAGGCTCGGAGCCAGCTGTTCGAAGTTTTTCAACATTATGAGTCCCTGGCGTCGGTTTTTCTCCTGCTTGCATAGTGAATTATTGTCTCACCCTGGTCACGTCCTGATTTAAGGTGTAGACATATATAAAGACAAAATGAAAATGCTTGAAAGCAGGAGGTTCGTGGCAATATGCCTCTTTCTACAGTAAAAGTATTTGAAGCGGTGATGTGTGAAGCCTCTACCCTTCAAAATTTTCATATATGTGTATATATAGTCCTGAACGCCCAAAGAATATAAGACATCTGGAGCTCAAACTAACCATGAATCTATCGGGTCAAACACACGGACCCGTAACTCCGCACACGGTGAAGGAGCCCCTTCCTGTAAAGCTTAAAGGCATCCAAATAGACCCCAATAACATACCGTGGTTATATGTCAGGTGACTTTGATGACCCGTGTAAATCGAGATCTCATACTAGGAGGAGCTCAAAAATCCCAGAGACATTTTTTAAGGACATATTTTCATTGGGGCCGGCTTTTGCCCGTAGATAAACCTAAACATTAAACCTGGTCAAAAATGGCTTTGCACTAGGGCAGTCGGACATGGTGAAAATTACGGCTATTTTGTCGTGTCATGATATTCGAACTTTATACTGCTCCACTAAAGAGGGGCCCTCCTCAGCTCAATGGTCTAAGGGGTTTTAGTGTTCAACTGGTACACCGTTCCTTGTCAGTCAGACGACCATTTTCCTTCGCGGCTACTTCACCATGCAAGGGCCCGCGACTCTCCTGTCTTGGCTCGTTCCAAGCGGGGAAGAAAACCGGAGGACTAAGCAACTTCCATTGGTCTTGTTTCAGTCTATTTATCAATGGAGTTGGGAAGGCTCCTGACTATGACTGTCGTTATATGGAGTTGGGTTAAGCTCGCATGGGGGCGACGCCAACTGCCTCCTTCCGAAACTCCGCTAGGTACTTATCCTCTTCTTATCCTCTTATCTCTGCTCTGATATCGGAATGCAGTGATAAACAGCTATATCGGTTATAAAGAAGAGTATATTGGCGTTTTCAGAGAGCCGGATCCAATATCGCGAAAAATTATTAGGAAAACTAGACCCACATTGCAGGGTTTAAGCCGAATGGATGCAATGCAGACCTCTTGGAAAGGCGTCGCTCCTATGCGCCACGATGATACCGATGATGAATCGCGTACAGAGACGCGGTCTGTACCGAACGATAGCGACGAAAGAGAGTCTCTGATGCGAGTGGATAAAACTGCGATCGATCTCGCCGAGAAGCCTCGTCCCCGTCATTCCCGACGGGGGGCGGTGTATCCTCGGAAACGAGCTTCACAAGCCTGTCATACGTGCCGTTTCCGACGAACTAAATGCGACAATGTACGACCAGCATGCACAGCATGTTTGAAGCTGGGGGCGGAGTGTGTATACGGATACACTAATCCTTCCACGTTAGTCCACCTGCCACTTCCAGTAAGGTAATAAGCTTATTTTAACTAAAGAATTCGTTTATAGATTCGATCCTGCTAGTCTGGTTATCCTGCAGAAAATAAACGATCTGGAAAAGTTGATCCAACCCAGAGCTAATGAGCTACCAGCCACTCCTTCTACAGGCGTTGGACAGATTTCACTCCCAGCTTCTCAGAACGATTTTAGCTCGTTGGTAGACGGTCCTAGCACACACTGGGCGCGATATCTTATAAACCTTGACACAGTTCTTCAGTGGCCTCCTTTTGAAGACTGTGATTGCTCGTCGCGGCTCGTTCCCATTTCGCCTATCGCGGATAAGAACGCCTACTCAGACCCGAAAACTCTACCATTATCGGTCGACATCGACCTCCCTACATCCGAGATCTTATTACAGAGTTTCTTTGGCAACGTTCACATATTTAATCCAATTCTGGAAGAGGAAGCCATAAGAGAGCATGTGAAAACTTTGAATGGAATCGGCTGGGATGCGATGTCTTGCCTACTAGTACCTTCTTCCTTTCCCTACTGCCGAACCAAACAGACGTTCTTGATGCAATGCAATTCGCTTATTTGAAAATTAGCTTCTCATCTACGCTCATGGATCTATCTCCACTCCATTTCGGAAGAACATGTCTGGGCTCTCCCCGCCCGCGCTCGATGACTCTATCACTTTTCACCAGGCCGAGTCCTATTTCCTTGCTGCTCAGATACGCATGGGAGCGTTATTCTACGATGGTGGAGTTATTGCAGCCCAGAGCTTCTTCATTGCAGGTATGTATCTGATGGCGACGTTGCGGCCGTTGGACGCCCGCAAGATGTTTGTGCAAGCGCTAGCATGCTGCCAGGCGCTTTTTAACCATGAAGGCGCTACCAGCGCTAGTTCAGAGGGGAAGTGGAACCAGGAACAAAATATTTATTGGACATGCTTTAAGTCTGAACTGTAGGAAACAATCTGGCAATGATAGGTACGAACAGCATTTAACCGCGCTTACTATATAATAGCGAACTTCGGTTGGAGTTGAATCTGCCACGAATGAACGACTCAGAATTCTCTTATCCAAATTTCTTTCCGTCTCCTCCCGACCGATTAAATACAAAGGATGAAGTGGCTTGGTACTTCTATCTAGCCGAAATTGCGTTACAGAGGCTCCGGAATAGAGTGCTCAGATACATAGGGGACAAGCACCACAATACCGAAATGCAGAATGTCATCTCCGATTTCCAAGAGCAAATGGACGCGTGGTGAGTTGCTTTTTTTTCTATCCTCTGTCCTCACACGGAATGATAATATATGGCCATACTTTATATTGTCTAATTGATTTCATTACGTTTGCCGCAGGCTACACTCTCTCCCCGAACCATTAGCATTCAACTGTGGAGACTCCGGTAAGGAGCAAGACGACGCCCTACGTTTCATTCTCAACGGTCATTTTCTGGACTGCCAAGAAACTGTTTACTGGCAGTTCATAGTGAACATAGTCCACGGTAGTCCATATCGTGAGAGTGACCAGGTATATCTACGCAAGGGGTTGAAGGTGTGCGTAGATCGAATCCAGCAGAATCGACAAGGCTTCTTTTACCGCCACCATGGTACGTGGTTGATGCTGCGATCATGTACAAGAAGCGCATTCGTTTTGCTAGCTGCTGTGCGATATACAGATCTTAAACCGTTTTTGCCTGTTGGTTGGAAGGAGGCTGTGCTAGACGTGACGAGAATGCTCTGGTTCTGGAAGGATGAGTCCCGCGATATATATGAGATGTTAACTATCTTAACAATGTATATGGAACGCTGGCTATCCTGGGACATGTGATCTACTTCTCCACCTCACTGATAGCATTGACGCCAAACGGCATGAATCGTCGACATCTCACGAGTGAGGAATATGTATAATTTCGGGTTTTGAAGACGAAGTTAATCTATGAAACAACCTACTCATAGCTGATATTAAAATAGGGCATAAGACACTCCTTTCTATCATAGAACATGTCAAACAGCAGTGCAAAGTCCTAGACATATATGTTAAAGACCTTGATAGATTATATATCTTGATTTATAATTTATAAATGTTAGATTAAATTCTTATAGTAAAAGAAACAGTAAATAGTTCTTTATATTAGATATATTAGTATAGCTTTATTTGATATAAGAATCAAAATATTCATGTTCTACCAACCCCTACCCCTATAGTAAGCCTACAGGGGGATCACGTAAACTAGAGTTAGTAGTTTAAAACAGGTAATTTATATAATTTATATTCTTTTCAGTCATTTTTTATTTATACATAGATTAACGCTTTTGTTATAATATACTATCATTTGATCTGGAAATTAGCCTCAGCCGCTGATTTCTTATAATTTTTCTTTGATAGAAAGTCTAAGTAGGTAGGAGCCAATTAATTTGCTGCATGTAGATAAAGGGTGCAGGAGTCGGATTTTTAAGGAATTTTAAGCATAATACAAACTCATTAATTATAATGACTTTGCAGATTTTAACGCAGCCTTATGAAGGTTTTACAGTAGTTTTCTTACTGTCTATTTTACGTCTCAAAAGCAGTTCATATTTTGTATAGCGATTTTCAGGTCTTTATCCTTAAAATAATCTAAAGATCGTGCAATTTCTACATCTTCATAGAATTGTTCCTACAGCACCTATTAGGTCAGATACCTTGTTAGCAAGCACTCATATTCATGATCGCCAAGGGAAGTATTCTTAAGCATGTCTGTCAAAGCGTCTGCCCCTACCGTAGCATCTGTTTCTATGCCATCCATGGCGTAGGGATCAAGTTGTCATAAACATAGAAGAGTAAACCACTGATAACTGAAAGATAAGCTAATTGAAAGAGCTCTTAACAGAAATATTTGGTGCTCCAAATATCCAGGAAGGAAAAGGAGGCAGGCTGTGTGGCTGGTGTTATTAGGGAAGGCGAGGACTACAAACACTACCTTACACGTGATCTCAAAGAGTAATTATTCGTGCTTGAATTCTTCCACTGATATCCTCTCCTATCTGACCCTGTGGAAATCCTGAAAAGCACCGTCATATTGTCTTCTCGAAAGAAAAGTGTAAAAAGTTAGTTGCTTATACGATAAAAGGATTCAAGAAGAGATGTACAATGAAACCACGGACATTTTTTCTATTCTCATAACCTTCTGCTGGTAATCAGAAGGTGTTTCTCAGTTGTACAATAACCAATATCTTAAAATAAAGAGAATATTGATACCTCTTTTGGTTTTGTGCTTGGGTGTGAATTAATGCACCACTAAGTTAGTGATTTGAGGACATGCAATAATAGAGAGTTAAATCATTGTCTGCACCAATCAGGGTGCATGCCTATACATCGTTGCGATCTTATAAAATTTAAATCATTCATTTTCATGCGGCTTTTCTATTAATCAATCTTACATTCCTCATAAAGCTGACAGAAAACATAGGTAGAACAGATACATCTCGAAGTGAAGACCAATACAACTGCATGCACATATACAGACAATTGATCTTGGACTTTGGCATGAGAATGGGTAAAGAATTCTAAGAACTGGGGTGTAAATTAATATACATACGTGTACATCAAAGATGACTAAATCATACAAGCAAGGTCAATCCTTCAGGCTGTTGTAACAAAACGAGGGGCCCGGCCACAACGAATTCCTCCATTGGAGCCCCTGGCTCGGAAGCAATGACCGCAAGAATTAAGCCAGTGGCCTGGTCGAATTCCTTCGGAATACGAGATGTATGTTTCGTAGTGTCAAATGGAACAGTTATGTTATTCACACCGTGGAAGAAAACAGCATGATATTCTTTCCCATATTCAAAATGCGGCTGGTTGGTCTGATCAGGGAAGGTGAACTGAATAGCTGCACCGGGTCGCCCCGTTGTTGTGTTGCGTACGAAGTCTAGTGTTGGAATATGCTGGTTGGGGAACGGATAAGGAGGGTTTTCTTTCGGACAGGTCCTAGGAACTATGAAAGCGTTGGTGGAATCGAGGATTTGATTTGCATATGGATAGATTGTGTCAGATGGACCAGCAAAGGGATTGGAGTTCCACACGTCAATCAGTGCCCAGGCATTGTGTCGAGACTCGGTCTCTGCAATAGCAACAAGCGCGGCTTTGGTCGAATTTAATTTAGCTTGTTGGATGAGTCCAGTGAGAAAAGACATGCTTGAAAGCTCGAGTAAGACCTGCATTGCCAAATACGATTCAGCGTTTTCGCCAAACCGAAAGTCGTACTTGCAAGGTCCCGGCTTGAGAGAGAAGCTGGAAATATGGTCTTGAAAAATGCGTACGTGGCCAGCTTCATTATCTCGGATTTGTTGAATACGTTCGTAAGTGGTATTTGGTAGGCCTAGCTTGGTGAAATCTTGAGTCGAAAAGGCATCAACCCCTTGCTGATAAAAACTGTAGATTGCCCACTCTGCACTGAGCAAGTTTTGGAAGAGATTGTCGTCGTTGAATTGGCCAGAGGAGCTGTTTCTGCCACTTTTTTGTGTGGCAGGGATGGCTTTGAGGTATTTGGCTTGTAGTGGCGTTTGTTTTCCTAGATATGTTGCAAATAAAGGTGACTGGCCAGGAACTGGGTCTGGTTGGTTTGTATCTCTTGATGCCAATCCATGGCTGTGAAGGCTGTTGCCGGGAAAGGCCGTGACGCCTGCAATAAGCAGTAGTCCAGCAGTAAGAGAGAACATTTCCAAATTCGGCTAGAAAGAACAGTAGGGATAGGTAAGCGACGAAAAGAAAAGAAGAAGATTTTACAGATATCCTTTCTACAAGGAAGGGAATGGATGTTCATTGGTAGGAAACAGTGGTTCTTTTATATTCAGAACATGCGGGTCTTGCCAGGAGGCTACCTGAGCGTTTTGTGAGCAAGTTTCCTATTTAGGTCCAATTTTCGAGATTGACCGAGGTATCCTTGCATTGTGCATGCAAACAAGTCTGGGCCAGAGCGACGACGGTGTACCATTTTCCCAATCTGGAGGAGATCGTCGTCTCAAAATGAGGGCTACGACGCTAAGCCGCTTTTGGTGCAATTCGCGATGCGGTGAAGGGTTAGAAGGAATGCTTATTTGGCTCTTTCTGATATTATGCGGGCAGATAACAAACTAGCTCTGATGGAATAACATAGTCTCCAGTTTCAGCTGCATTTTTTGTGTAGGCATGTCCCTGTGCTCGTGGCAACCGTGGTGGCTTTACAGCGTGCACTATAAGTAATGGAACAAATGATTGGCACGATATGCTTAACTCTTAGTGTAAGACAGAAGTCCTGTACAATAAAGGGGAACAATAATAGCTCCTTAGAGTTAACGCACAATTGTGACTTAAAAGTGATTATATAGTTGCTATCATATTGACTCGTTGAGATAAAATAACTTTTAATCTGATAATAGGTATATCTAGCGCTAGATTGAAGTTAAGAAAAAGATAATTGAAAAGAAACGTTTATATTAACTAAACCTTTATCTAATCAATATGTAGGAGATTTAAGCAAACACAGGAGTAACAAGAATGTAGTCAATGCCTCCACCGTAAACTGAGAAAGGAAAAAACGAGGAGATCGGTGGAAACTCACTACGTACATGAAGTTGAGGAGTGCAAAAGAGACAAGCACGATCAACATAGTAAGAAGGAAAACAACCAGATAATTATCCAGGCTATTAGAAGTAGGAGGAGATAAAGCAATTACTTTTTCGAAAGTGAGAGTTCAGTCCATTTTTCATCAATACCCTTGCCTAAAGACCTGAAGTCTATTGCATATCGGCGTATAATAGATCTGTTAATATCGTCCAGGCCGACTTTTAGGTACAGATAAATAGGCATACATTAGCTAGGAAAATATACAACACACACAGTGGGATAGAGAACGGCACTTGTCCTCTTGGTAACCAAAGCTGGGCTTGCATTGCATTGTGTTGATATCTTAACCCATACGAATGGGAGTAATTTCACTGAGCTTTTCTTCTGTGAAGTGCGAGTCTTCTCCAAAATAAGGTCAATATCTTTATCAGCATCATTCCATTGATCCTGGATAATAGCAGCTTTTTCCTGGGATCTCAGACTGAAATTAGCCCGGAAAGGCATTGGCCGACAATTGAATCCTTGTGTGAATGCGAATGGATCGATCTCACATCTTCTTTTCCCCTCAGCAGTTTCCTCATAGAAATAACCAATATCAAAAGCCCACAACAAACGAGTGATATTAAAAGACGATGAGTTTTTGGCAATGTGCTGGCTAGTACAGACACGGCGCCCGAAACCAAAGGGAGCCAAAGAAGATCTGGTTCTTCAATCCAATGATCCGGGTTAAAGCAGTAGGCATCATCATGTACTTCCTCATCCAAATGAATAGACCAATGATTCCCATCACTGTTGCTCCCTTCGGAATATGAAATCCATGTATTCGTCATCCTGTGTAAAGCAGGAATCCAGAGCAAGCAACTCGGTATCAAATTTATTTGTACCAAAGAAGGATATGTTACGAAACCACAAACTTAGTAGTTGGCCAAACTCCAGTAATCGTGGCTTTGCCCCATGGTTTTGTTCGGTCTGGCTTGCATCTGCATAGCCACCCCAAAGATCCAGGACATTCCTTCCGTCGATGTTGATACAAAGGGAAGCGCCTACTTCATTACCTTCGACAAGAGCTAAGGACAAATTAGGACGTCTTAAGTTACTTTAAGGCAAGTGGCCCTTAAAGTAGCTAATATCACGGTCAATTAATTACCACAGTTGAGCACTGTCCGTTCGCTATTCACACAGAATTACACCTTATATAAATATCTACATCCAGGTATATAATAAAGTATAGAAAGAATAAAAATTAGATATACAATCAATAAATAATCAGTATACATTAAGTGTATACAGATTATAGAGAAATTATAGAGAAATTAAATCTATATAAATACATTTATTTCCATATATCTAGTTTACTTTAGTATAGTTCTTTGACATAAGTCATTATAATTAATATTATAAGTTACTTTGATTATATTGAAAGAGTCAGCAAAGCAATCCCACTTGAAGTACTACAGCATTTTAAAGCATCACTCTTATTTTAATTGTGTTACTCTATTATCTAAACCCTTCAGTAATCTTTGTACATTGTTACTAGTTACCATTAAGGAACCTCTGTATAGTTCAACACATCGTATCGCTCCTCGACACAGCCAGTGACAACTAGAGTGAGTCCCGGTGCGTGACACACCCGCGGACACGGTCCTGCCAGGCCGTGTTACATAATCTAAATCTTTTTGTAACACGGTCTGGCAGGACCGTGTCTGGGGGTGTCTGGAAAGACTAGTTGTGGGTGAGTTGAAGCTTCACCGATTGATATTGATGCTATAGAGCAAGGCTACTAGGGAGGAAGTTATCGGTTTTGATTATATAGTTATAGAAGGCTTCTGACCGAAGGCTATTCGAAGCCTAGTAGACTTATATTGAAAGTTATGTCAAAGATTATACAAAAGATATTGCTTGGTTTCCCACCCGGATTGATATCTAATCTAACTAAATAAAGGCATATATAGCGAGATGAGGGGTACTTATATCATGCCCGGGGTCTTATGGTATCAATTGTGATATATCACAATTGACCCCTGGTGTTATAATCTAAGGCATGTGTGCATTCTGGTTATGTGTGGAAGATTGTTCTATCGTACATAAAAGGGACCTAAAGCTCATATATATAGCTAAAGATATATAAAAAAACATCTATCTATAGCCTAAAGGGTTTCACTATGATGAAAGCCCTTTGACTATAACACTGCCATTCCTTAAGCCAATGCCTTTATTGGCATGCATAATAAATAACTAAAGATAAAAATTAATTAATAAATATAGAGCTCTTAAATTAATAATAATCTATAAATAAAATCAATTAATCAATATTTAATTATATTTCTTCTTCTTACTTCCTTTAAACTTATATATCTAAACATTTTACTGTGGCATAAGTAAGCCTTCATAGAGGGTTAGATTGAATAGATATATTAATCTATAATTAACCAATCTGAGTACCTTATATAATATAGGTTATAGATATAATATTATTATATTTAGAAACTGGTAGACTAACTAATTCTAAATTCTTATTCTATAGTACTAATTATTATACTCATAGAGATGGAAAAACATTATAATAAAATTATTAAAGCTTAATAAAGCTTAAAAAGAATATCAAAAGATAGAAAAGAATTAAAAATAATAAAATAAATAAAGTTTTTCAATCTAAAAGATGTTAATATAAATAATATTTTTTATATTATTTTTTAGAATTAAGATATTTAGCAATCTTTAAATAGATAATAATAATATAGAATGAAATAATCTAGCAATCTCTAGATAGATAATAATAAAATAAAAATAGAATAGTCTAATGTTTCTTAGATAAATGATAATAATTAGAAAATAAGATCTAGTAATCCCTAAATAAATATATTAATAACTAATTAATTATATAGCAGTTAAACTATTATATTAAAAAAATATTAATATTTTCTAAGATTAAACATTGAATATATTATCAATATTATAATTTAAAACATGTATATATTCTAATTATATATAGAAGATTGTTCTATCATATATAAGAAAGACCTAAAGCTCATAGATATAGCTAAAGGTATATAAAGAATATCTATCTATAGCCTGAAGGGTTTCACTATGGTGAAAACCCTTTGATCATGACACCTGGGATATCCCTGAGCTCCTGTCACGCACCGGGACCCACTCTAGTTGTCACTGGCTGTGTCGAGGAGCGATACGATGTGTTGAACCACACAGAGGTTCCTTGAGGGTAACTAGTAACGAAGTACAAAGGTTGCCGAAGGGTAAAGGTGAGGGTAAGACACAACTAAAGTAGGAGCGATGCCTTGAAGTGCCGTAGTACTTCAAGTGGGATTGCCTTGCTGACCCTTACAGTGTAACTGATAGTAATAATCGTAGTGACTTATGTTAAAGAACTATGCTAAGGTAAACTAGATACATGCAAATGGGTGTGTTTATATAGATGTCGTTCCTACAATATCCCTACAATCTGTCCGTATACAGATTGTATATCCAATCACCTTCTTGTCTTTTCCTACACTTCTCCTACACTCTTATTGTATACCCGAGTGTAGTTGCTTATGTAATGTGTAATCCCGTGTGAGTAGCAAACGGGCTGTGTGTGGTCGTGGTAACTGGTTGGCCGTGGTGTTAGCCGCTTTAACAGACACTTGCCCTGAAGTGGCTTAAGACATCCTAATCTGTCCTTAGCTTTGCATATGTTGGTTTCGTAACATCACTCCCCCTCCTTGAAGTCCTTTGTCCTCAAAGGTATAAATAGAAGACGCGCCCTCGTTCCCAGCGTGACCCTGCTTCCTTTGGTGAGTGTCCGAAATGCGTCAACATGACTCCTAAAAAGGACCGTCTGGCTTATCGTGTGTCCCAGTCCGATCGCATCCGTCGAAACGGTTTCCCCGTCGATAATCCGTGCGAATATTGCAAAAGTAAAAACGAGATTTGCATAATGGATTCAAAAAGTCGAAACTGTGCGTCGTGCACACGTCGTGGTCGCAAATGCGAAAAGCGATTTCATAGTGAGCGAGAATGGTCAGATCTTCAGAAAGCTGAGGATCGTATTAATCAAGAGCTTCGCGATGCTCTTGCAAAACAGGCGGATCTGTCCGCGAAAATAAATCGTTTATTCAAACAACAGCAGTTTCTCAAAGAGCGAGGTTCGAAAATGTTGGATCATGATTCCAACGTGATGGAGATCTTAGA